TTAAATATTATTAATTATTATAGTCTTTCTAGGATTAGTAAGGGATTTAACTATCTATACCTATAATAATATAGGGCCTTATTATATTAATAAATAGTATAGCTGGTAATATAATCTACTATATCTTTTAGTATAAGATTTTATTAAAAATACTGGTAAATAAAGTTTAGTATTTTATTTTATTTAAAATATCTTATAAAAAAATTATTATAATAAATATATAATAGCTTCTACTATAGTATAGCATCTAAAGGTATATATAAAATATTTTTATATTATATAAGGCTTTTTTTATTAAGGCTTTATACTTCCGGAGAAATAATTTAACTAAATAAATATTATAGATTAGTTATATATTATATAAAAGTATTCTTAAGTTATACTTACTATATTAAAACTTTAAGGCCTTTAGTATTAGATCTATATTTAGTTTTTTTATAATTATTTTGCGCGCTAATCAGGCTTATTTATAAAATATTATTATTTTTTATTTATTTACTAGTCTAATCTATTTATAAATCTATTTATATATTAAATTAGTGTTCTTATAAATAATTATTATTTACTTATTTATTAGTCTAATCTTTTTATAAACTAATTTAAGTATTAACTTAGCTTCTACGCAGTATAGTATAATCTAGAATATAAATATTATTAATTTTAATTTTAATATTATTTTTTAAAAATAAAAATTCTAGATTTTTTTTTATTTTTTAAGATAATTTTTTAAAATTTATCTTATTTTATAAAAATAATCTTTAAGGGTTTTTTAATTATAGTTTTCTTTAAAATATTAATAATATTTTAATATCTTATTCTTTTTTAATACTCAGCTAGTAATCTTATTATTTTAATAATATATTTATAAGGTTTTTATAATTAGGCTTATATTTAATTATAAAGTTATAAACTATAAGTAGCTTAGTTTATCAGGCTTACCTTATATTTAAAGTCTTTATTATAAAAAAATATTTAAGATTTATATAATTAGTTTATATATAGATTACTTATAGTCCGCCTATAAAATAGTACTATTATATCTTAAAATACTTAATAATTATTAATAGTTTTTAATTATATACTTTCTATTATTATTTAGTATTTTTAAGCTTTCTTAAATAAAAAATAATTAGTCTCCAGATCTCTTACCTATAAGATTCTTATAGTTTATTTATAAATTATAAGAGAATACTAGTTATTATATAATCTAAAATATTTATAATTATAAAATATTACTGTTTAGGATTAAAATATTCTAGTACTAGTAGTTTTATAAATATCTTTTTTAACTCCTTAAAAGTAGTATACTCTTTAAATATTATTTAAAATTATTCTCTTATTTTTAATTTCTTTAACAAGTTAATAAAAAAAATAATAATTATTATATATTAATAAATAAATCTTCTGAAGAATCTAGTAAAGCCTAAAAATGATTAAATATTATAAATTAATTATAGCTCTGGCTACTATATAATTATGTTTAATTAAAAAAGATTTAATTAAATCTTTTCTTAGCTAATAATAAAGCCTAAAAAGTAAATCTTTTTTATATAAAATATATATTTTAATATTTTTATAAAAAAATTATAATATTCCAGATATTTTAGTATCTTATTAATATACTAGATATATTCTTTTTTTATTTTTAAAAAAATTAAAATATAATTAAAATAAGTAGTATAATAATTATTAAGGATTTTTTATAATATCTTATTTATATAAGCCTAGAATATAGAGGGAGCATTATATAGTCTGAATAATATTATTATATATTTATATTATTTATAATAAGTTTACAAGGCTATTTTCTATTTATCTCCTTAGTAGATATATATTTAATAATAAGTGTTATATAGATCCAGCTTTGTAAAAACCTTAGTGTTTTTTAACTAATTTATAATTTTATTAATCCGCGGGAGTAAATAATAATTTTTAATTATAATCTTATTTAACCCCCGGTAGTTTATGTATAATCACAGGCTATTATTAGGTTTCTTAATATAAAAAATAAGAGTTATAATAAATTTATTAAAAGGCTAAATTTATCCTTTTTTAATTATTTTATTTAGATAGTCTTGTAGCATCTTTAACTTAATATAGAATATATTATATAAAAGTTTATATAAAGACTTTATATCTAGCTTTAACAGAATAATATATTCTGTTAATTTTATTAATATAGATACTATTTTTTACTTGGAGAATATTTTCTTAAACTAGATATATTACTTAAAAAGATTAAGAGTTTCCTAGTCTAATATAATTATCTTAAATAATATCTTTAATTCTCTAGTATAGTAATATTATTTAAATTAATAATAAAATACCAAGCTAACCATAGGTAATTTATTATAATACTACTAGATTTTTATAATAATACTAAAATTAAAGTCTATAAGACCTATCTAACTTCTATTAAATATTATATTATAATTTATTATATTAATAATATAAAATTATATAGTATAGTTATATATATTATTATTTAAATTAAAAATCTTTATATCTTTCTATAGTATTCTATATTAAAATATTATCTAATTCCTGATAAAGCAGATAAAGGCTAATATCTAATTAATATTAAATTAAAAATCTTATCTTTTTAGCTAATAATATAATATAAAATTATTATCTACTCTTATATCTAATAATATATTCACGGTAGTTTATTTTCCTTTTATATATAATTAAATATCTGCGCGGAGAGGAGGGAATTATAATAAAATATTAGATTTAATTATATTAAAAATTAAAGACACGCTTTTTTACTAAAAAAAAACTACCTTTTTTTTTATTATTAAAAATCTTATTTTATTAAAGATTATATTTATAAATAGTCTTTTATTCCCCTAAAAATAATAATTTTAGGAATAATACTTTTTTTTTTAAATAAAATACTATTTATTTTTATTTAAATATTTTCTTTTTTTTTTAAAAGTCTGCCACTTAAAATAGCTGTTTTTTTTAGAATACTTATACTTCATATATAGTATACTATCACCCCGAAAAGTTAGAAGGCTGCTTTAAGAAGTAAAAAAACTATTTTAAAAGTTTCCTTTTTAAAAGGAATATTTACCTCTAAAAAATAATCTACTATATAACTATAGTATTAAGTAAGACTTTTTATCTTATTTTACTAGTTACTTGTATTATTCTACTAAGATATCTATTTTAATAAAATTCTTTAATCTTTTATTAGTTAATAATTTAGGGGCCTGCTTAATATTTTTCTATAAATTTAACTATAGTATTTTAAAAAAATGATTAATAAAAAACTAATTAATATTTTTTTATATAAGCTTTATAAAAAAAATATATTTACTTAATATAACTTAAATAGATTAATTAAGGCCTTATTTTAATTAAATAAAATTATAAATATAGATCTGTCTCTAGTTTTTTTTATTTTTTATTAATTTTATTAAAAAAATTTTAAAATTTTTAAATATTACTTTCTAGAGATTCCTAAAATATATTAAATATTATAAATTTTAAAGAAATTTTAATAAATATATTTTTATATATAAGACTTTTATTTCTTCTTTAAAGAAAAAGTAGGATTGATTTTTAAAATAATATTTTAAATTTTAAATAAAAATTAAATATTAATACAGGTCCTTACTTTTAAAAATCTCTAATTTTTTAAATTTAAAATGTTTTTTTTTTTACTTTTTCCTAGGGTCTTTATTAGTATTACTAATATATTAAAAATTATTTATACTAATAAAAGAACTATAGGCTAATTACTAGCCTTTTAATAATTAGAGAATTATTTAGAATAATAATCTTTAAGTATTTAGATAAAAAAAATTATTATTTAATATAAAGGATTAAATTACTTCCTTTAAAGTAAAAAAAAGATTATTTAAAGATATTTAATAAATATAATATTTTTATTTATTATAAAATTATTTATATATAAATATAATAATAGTAAAACAGGGATAAAGTAATTAAAACTAAAAAAAATAGTTATAAAGGTTTTATTCCGGGTACTTAATTCTCTTAAATAAATATACTAAGGAGTTTAAGATACCTGCGATATACCTGCAGACTGCCTATTATATACTAAGAGATATAAAAAATTAAGAAACAGATATAAAATAAATAAAATTAATTACTTGATCTCTTAAGAATTAAGCAGGTGGTCCCTTTTAATAAAGGGTTTCACAGGAATCAGTTCCCAAATACCTCAGCAACCCTGCGGACCTCTGGCAGTCCGGTTGTTCCGTGTTCCGCGCTGAGATAAGCGCCGGTGACAGTTTAACAATAATAATAATAAAATCACTTAATTTCTAAATATAACTGGGCTTATAACTGTGGCAGAAATTCGGGAGGATTTTATTTTACTACAGAAAATGACTAATTTAATAAAATGCTTTATTTTGAAACAAATGATTTTATTAGCTATAAAAGAGTGACAATTTCGCTTGTTATTCTACTTATATTCTATATCTTAATTAAAACAATCTTTAGGGCTATTTATATTGTTTTCTTAGAGGTTAAATCAATAAAAAATTGTTAATTTATGACTTTATTTCATAACATGTCAAATTGTGTGATTTTGAGCAAGGTGATGATTTGGCTAATCGATCATTCCACTACCCGAACTGCAACAGAGAATAACAGAAATTGTATGGGCTCCAGTACTTACAGACCCTTCGTAGCATCGAAATATCTATAAACTAGATAAGAATTTGGAGAGCTGGACACAAACATACAAGGCATCCGAATATCTGTTTACTTTAAAGTTAACATCATTTCTGCGACCGCCAGTGTCAATAATAGAGCCATCGGCCGCTTCCCCTGCCTTCTGGCGAGAGCGAGGTTTTGGCAATCGGTCTAGCGTTGGCGGTAAGTCGATATGCGCTAGTCCCAAACAGACTCTGCCGGCTAGTTGCTACCGCCCGACCGTCAGCTGAGTCCAGCTTCATCGTATTTATTTGCTATTTCTCCTCTCCCAAGGGTCTTCGATCCCCCGAGCAGCAGAATACAATACCGTGACGATGAAGCCATTCATCGCTATTCCGGGCATTTTTGCCCTTCTATATCGTGCCTGGTCACGAAAATCACTGACCCCGCTTGGTCTTGTCGCTGCAGGCCTAACCGCCAGCGCTCATGCCCTTCACCCCTGGTCAGCTCCGTTCGCCTTGTTGGGAGTGTTCTATCTGTCAGGGATGAGGGTGACGAAAGTGTGTTCTCCGCTTGGTCATGGCATGAGCCATCCCCGTGGCCCCTGGACATCGATTACTGACTATGCGACAAGGTAAAACATGACGTCAAAGAAAGTCTCACGCTCTCTGCGTCCGGCTCCCATGGCGGCGAAGGCCAACGTACTCATATTCAGGTGCTTGCGAACTCTATCGTGGCATCTGTGCTCATCCTCTTCCATACTCGTGCTCTCGCCGTCTCCGGACTCGATGCCGGATGCTTCTCGAACGGTGGCCATGCCTCGGATCTACTCATGGTTGGGATCGTATCGTATGTTGTTCCCCTTCCCTCACACCCACAAACACACAAAACCTTCATACCAGCTAAACTAACCATCCTCTTCCATAAACAGTAACTACGTCGCCGTAGCCGCCGACACCTTCTCGTCCGAACTCGGAATCCTCTCCAAGTCGAAGCCGCGCCTGATCACCTCTCCGACTCTCCGTGTCGTCCCTCCCGGTACAAACGGCGGCGTGACGGGAACGGGTCTCCTGGCTGGTGCTTTGGGAGCGGTCATCGTTGCGGCCACATCCGCATGGCTGATTCCTTTCTGTTCGTCGGGCAATGACACATTGAATCTGATCCCGAGGGCCCAGTGGATCCTCGGCTTCACGGCGTGGGGTACTCTGGGCAGTCTGCTGGATAGCTTCCTAGGCGGGATTCTGCAAGCCAGTGTAGTTGATAAAAGGACGGGGAAGGTTGTTGAGGGAACGGGCGGAAAGAAGGTATGCTTTATCTTGCCCTACTGTTTTTGTATTGAATCAGAAGGAGGGGGGGGAGTATAAATCGCTGACATGGCGTCTCTACTTAGGTTCTTATCACGCCCAGCGGAGTGGCTGGTACCTCTACTTCAACCGCCGTGCCCGCCTCGACAGAAACGCAGAACACGCGCCAACGGAAATCCGAGGCCGAGGCTGCTGAAACAACCGACGTCAACGATGCTGGCTCGCGACATGAAAGTCGTCGTGTCGAGAGCGGATGGGATATCCTTGACAACAATGCGGTCAACGTCCTCATGACTGCCATCATGAGTGTGGGCGGCATGGGTGTTGCCAGTTGGATTTGGGGTTTGTCAATTGGGGATATTACGATCTGATTTGCCCGGGGTTGTTGAAGGGGTAATTTATGAAAGCGTGATTATATGATACCTAGAGGAGGGAAAGCGATAGTGCCTGCATCATTTATGATTCTATATGACTTTCGGAGCAAGAGCTTTAGTCTCATATAATACATGGTTTTTATTCTGCTAATTCGAGGTCTAAACCAAGCTGAATCAGTGAAAATAGGTTATGTTGGATTTAAATGAATTCTTGAATGAATTGTTGAATTTCAGGTTAATATAAAAGCCCACAATGATGATCAGTCCACATCATCGGCTAGCCATTTTAACCAAAAAGCCTAGGAAGAACTACCAAAGACAAAGACCAGGATATGCGGTCAAAAAGGAAATGTCAAATAATTAAGATCCTGCATCCTAATGAAGACGATGACAACGAAGACAATGACGAAGATACGAAGACGACTAACGCCTCCTTCGATAATCGTACCGCAAGCCCTGATACGGAGTTGAGTTCAGTTCGTCTGTGAGCGTCTCCATCGTGAAATCAGTCTTACCGCCAGTCCTGTTCCTCGTAGTCCTCCTGGAGCCTGATTTCTCCCACGGCTGCTTCGCGAAGATCTTATGGCTCCGGAATCGACTGGCTCGGCTCTTCTTCGGATTCCTGGAGAACTCAAAGGTATTGAACGGCGGTTTAAGCTGACGTTCCTGGGGTCTCTTCCAGCTGAAGTCGTAGACCAGGTGTGGAAGTCGACGGGGATCCACCTCCACCTCTTCCCCGGGGTGGATATGGCGATCCGACTCGAACGTCATGACGGCTCGGCTGCGGTCTCGCCTCCTGCCGTGGGTATCAGGCAGGTCCAGCGCGACGGCCACGTCGGGCTCCATGTTCTCGCGTTTGCGCTTCAGCCCCGGGTGGGAGTACCGGTTGTACGACACGGCGGTAAACGGCAGCGCCGAGCCCTGCGCTTTCTTCCGACTCACGGGAGCCGGCTCGCTCTCGTGAGGAGGACGGAACCCTTGCCGGGACAGCCGCGCCCGTCGCCTGTCCATGCCCGGGCCAAGCTTCAGCCACTGCAGGTACGTCGGGATGTTGCGCATCTCGTCCGAGCCGCGGGGTAGCAGCAAGGAAGCTTTCTTGAAGTGCCACCATGCGTCGTTCTGGCGGCCTTCGAACCAGTCAATGCGGCCGAACCAGTACATGCATCGGGCCTGGTTGTCCGTGTCCTGGAGTCGGTTGCTGATCTCCTCGGCGTGTTTGACCCACTCTCGTGCCTTGGAGGGGAGCTTCTGCTCGAGATACTTGGTCGCTCGCATGAAGGAATGCGCAAGTGCTTGCTGGTCGAGATGTCGGTCGAGTCGGCCGAGCTCTTCCTCCATGGGATCCAGTAAACTAGCTAGGAGTTGTTGCACGAGTTCCTCCGGATCCTCGGACATTGCATTTGGTTCTTGCAGGGGGGCGGTAGTGCTCGGGCCAGGATCAGGGCCAGGATCAGGGCCAGGATTAGGGCCAGGACTAGGGCTTGGGTTGGGATTGTCCTTTGCCGCGTCTTCCGCAAACGCTTCCAGCTGAGGCGTCGGGGGTGTACTAGACTCATCGACTGATGTCTGGCTTGAACTTGAACTGAGAATTTGAGAATCTTGAATAGGGCCCAAATCGCTCAAAGGAGGAGATAGATCAAGAGGTGAATCAGGCGCTGGAGAGTTGTCCTCATTGTCTGGAGGCGATGTCGACGTCTTGTGCTTGTCTACATTCTTTCCCTTTGAAGTTGAACGAGGGGCCGGCTTTGGCGAGGGTTTGCGTGAAGCGCCCTTGCGGCGGCCAAAGGACCACATGGCTCACTTGTTTTTGAAAAAGCGGAGGCTCTGAAAGATTCTAGTTAGTGGTAGTGACGTAGGCTGAAGATAAAATTGGGCTGTGAAGTAAGGTAGTAAAAGAGATCAAGTGGGTAAACTGTATGCATTCTATGACTGCGAAAGAAAAATGGCATCCCAGTTCAAGACAGGGAAGACTAGGTCTTATATAGTTGAGCATTCTTTGAGTCTAAAGATATTGTGCAAATCCTGGGGATCACCGGGAAGTATACAGAGCTGAATCCACGGGGTCTTTGTAACCAGCCGGCCGACTCTTTGTTTGTCCATTGTTTTAGGGGCTGGCAGTGACACGGGAAGACCCGTTGATTACCAGCGTTGGCCACCATTTTTCAACGGCTTTTGTTGGGTTTTGATAATGAAGGTGCCTGGAGACCAACGGCATTGTTGAGAGATGCGGATGATTGTGATGATTGTAGAGAGAAGAAAAGAGAAGCCGAGGATGAGTCAGCTCAGATCATGTGGGGTGCAGTGGGTCCGTCAAACCAGACAAACCCCACCAACCAGACAAACCAGACAAACCCCGCCAACCAAACAAACAGACAAACTAAACAAACCGACAAACCAGACAAACACGACGTCACGACCGGGAATTTTCTCCACCCGCCGTGGCCGAAGGTTCTCTTGTGGTTGGATCAACCATCGACCTCAGAGGGGCTTGGGCGAGAATGACCTCGTCCGCTATGCAGAAATGCGCCCTAACCCCTTGGAACTGACTCGCAAGGGGCGTCCTCCGTTGGAATGTGGTCGAGCTGATCTGCCAATCTGATTGATAATTCCATATCCCGGATGATGCTCCTCAGCCTCCAGGCCTGGAACTGCACGGGTGGGGTGTTTGCACATCAAGATGACATGGGTCTTTCAGGAACGGCCTCGGACTCTGATCCTGGCCGGATAAAGGAGAAAATAAAAATAGGGTCTGGGCTGACTGCCGGTTCCCTATGATGCCCGCCGATTTCCATATAAAAGAAACTCCGGATCCCTCCCTCTGCACTGGCTCCCCCCCTCTTCCTCCCTCTCTCGATATTGGATTTTCTTTTTCTTTATTTTTTTTTAATTTTCTGTCTTGAGATTAATCCCTCGGGGTCATACCATCTGCACGAATTCCCTGCACTCCTCATTTACCCCTCTTTGATCTGCCCGACTCGCTCCTTGTCTTTGCCGTCCAAATCCAATAAATACCTGGCCGACTGCTCCTGTCTTTGTTAAGAAACACAAATCGAACTTGTACCGTTTACCACCTCAAGATTTCTCTTGCTTGTGATATACTTTGCATCCTATTTTTAGATCGACCCTGATCTGCCACCATGTCTCCTTTGACCTTGTCTACCCAGACGGTCGAAATCGTCGACATTCGTCAGAATGACGTGGGCTTCTCTCTGGTCCACGATATCCACCAAGGGATCGATCCCTCCGTGGGCCCAAGACGCTCCATGCCCACTATGCTCCTCTACGATACCAAAGGTCTTAACCTTTTCGAGGAGATCACCTATCTGGACGAGTATTACCCGACCAACGCGGAGATCGAGGTGTTGGAGACCCATGCCAAGAGCATCGTGGAGCGGATCCCGGACAATGGACAGCTACTGGAGCTGGGGAGTGGGTATGTTTTAGTGACGCTAATGATCCGTTTGGCTCCGATCCTAACCGCCCTTCTAGAAACCTTCGAAAGATTGAGATCCTTCTCCGCGAGTTTGAACGCCAGGGAAAGCGCGTCAGCTATTACGCCCTAGACCTGTCGCTTTCCGAATTGCAGCGCACATTTTCTGAGGTGTCTATTGAAGACTACACCCACGTCGGCTTCCACGGACTTCATGGAACGTACGATGACGCCATTACCTGGCTGAATAGGCCGGAGAACCGCAAGCGTCCCACCACCATTCTGTCGATGGGTTCCTCCATGGGCAACTTCAACCGCCCCGATGCCGCTCGGTTCCTGTCGCAATTTGTAAAGATTCTCGGCCCGTCGGATGCGATGCTGATTGGCCTCGACGGCTGTAAAGACCCGGACAAGGTATTCAGAGCTTACAATGATTCGAAGGGCATCACACAGCAGTTCTACGAGAATGGCTTGGTTCATGCCAACCGTGTTCTGGGACACGAAGCCTTCAAAATGGATGAGTGGGAAGTTGTGACTGGTTACAACGTTGCCGAGGGGCACCATGAGGCGTTCTACTCGCCTAAAAACGATGTGACCATCGACGGAATTTTCATTCCCAAGGGCGAGAAGCTCATCTTTGAAGAAGCATTCAAGTATGGTCCTGAAGAGTGTGAGCGACTCTGGAGAGACGCGAACCTGATACATGGTGCCGATTTCGGCAACGGTTCTAATGACTATCGTGAGTTATCCCCTTCTTGCTCTGCTCTTGATAGACACGACCTCCCTTCGTCCCATTCGTTCTCCCGGATACCCGAACCTCTGAAGTGAATCCTCAAGATGCGTACTGACTGACTATTGCGAATAGATCTCCATCTCTTGTCGTCTTCTGCTCTCAGCTTCCCTACTGCCCCATCAGAGTACGTATCCCATCCGGTTCCCAGTCTTCAAGATTTCCAATCCCTCTGGACCGCATGGGATATTGCCACAAAATCAATGGTTCCCCGTGAGGAGCTTCTTTCTAAGCCGATCAAACTCCGCAATGCACTCATTTTCTATCTGGGTCACATCCCCACCTTTTCGGGTCAGTCGTGAAGTACAATAATCAGATCGTGATGTTAACTTAAGGTGAACAGATATCCACTTGACGCGAGCGTTGGGGGGAAATGCGACCGAGCCAAAATCCTACCAGCTGATCTTCGAACGCGGGATCGACCCCGATGTGGATGATCCCCAAAAGTGTCACTCACACAGTGAAATTCCGGACGAATGGCCGGCCCTTAATGAAATACTAGGCTACCAAGAAAGGGTCCGCAACAGGATCGAATCCGTTCTCGAGAGAGATGACCTCTCATGCAACCGGACTCTAGCCGAAGCACTCTGGATAGGGTTCGAGCATGAAGCAATGCATCTAGAGACTTTTCTCTACATGCTGCTACAAAGCGACAAGACGCTTCCACCGACCGGTGTTGAGAGACCTGATTTTGAAAGATTATTCCGCGATGCGAGGAAACATGCAAAGACCAATGAGTGGTTCACTATTCCTGCGCAGACGTTGTCTATCGGTCTTGAAGACGCGGATCCTACGTCGGTGCCCTCGGCTACATTTGGATGGGACAACGAGAAGCCCGAACGAATGGCGGCCGTTCCACCGTTCGAAGCTCAGGCTCGACCTGTCACCAATGGTGAATATGCCAAGTTCTTACAGGCAAAGCATCTGCGCCAAGGGCCTGTGTCGTGGGTTTTGTCCCATTCCAACCAAGACTTCTCGATCTCGGGGGTCAATCAATCTAGCCCCGAGGCGACGAAGGATTTCATGTCCAATTTTGCCGTACGAACCATGTTTGGACTAGTTCCGCTTGAGTTTGCTCAAGACTGGCCGGTCATGGCATCCTACGATGAGCTGGCTGAGTATGCCGAGTGGATGAAATGCCGCATCCCGACGTTTGAGGAGGTCAAAAGTATTTATGCTCATTCTGAAAAGCTGAAAGGATCTAATGCCTGGATACCCAATGGCCATGTGTAAGAACTATTCCCTCCCCCAATCAGTACATCGTACAATTGAAGCTAACAACTCCATCAGTGAGCCTGAGTATTTGAATGGAGATGGGCCGGGCAAGAAAGACGTCAATCGGACTCGGCCTCGTACTCCGGATCACCAGCCTGTTCGCCCGCCTTCCCCAGGAGCCTTGCCAGTGTTCGTTGATCTCGACGGCTGCAACGTCGGGTTCAAGCACTGGCACCCTACCCCAGTGATCCAGGACGGCAATCGACTTGCCGGCCAGGGTCAACTGGGGGGCGTGTGGGAATGGTGCAGCACTGCATTAGCCCCACACGAAGGATTCAAGGCTATGGACATTTATCCCGGATATACTTGTAAGTGAATTCTCTCCGTGAGGTAGGATTGTTCCGGATGGTCGAGTATTGACTATACTTGTTAGCGGACTTCTTTGACGGCAAACACCACGTCGTGCTGGGCGGTTCTTGGGCCACTCATCCTCGCATTGCCGGCCGAACCACCGTGTAAGTATCACGGCACCCTTAGACAAGGGCAGTGCTAATTGTTTTTCTGCAGTGTCAATTGGTATCAGCACAATTACCTTTACCCATGGGCCGGAGCCCGTCTGGTTCGCGACCTGTGAGGAATGGTGCGTGATATGACAGCGCGATGAGTGGGATGCCATGGGATAATTAGCTTAGCCTCGAACAAATGAAATTGACATGAATATTGATATTGATATTGATACTATACGACTGAATAGTTGCTTGTAGTTATACTCCTGTGGGTCCTCAGCGGGGAAGCTCGCGGATAACGTGACGCAATGCCCCTCATCGCTCCCATTCTCGCTCTCTCCCTCTCTCCCTCTCTCTTCTTTCCTTCCTCGAACTTGGTAACTCCTAATTTCCTTCCGATATACCCCTGGAAGTGACACCATGTCTGTCGAAACAATCACCACCATCTCCCCCTCCACCAACCAGCCCGTCCTCACTCGGACGGGCGTCACCGCGGATGAGCTGCAGCAGATCCCCCAGCTCGCCCAGGAGGCGTTCCGATCATTCTCTCGGTCGACCACGCTCGAACAGCGTCAGCAGATTGTCAACCGCGCATTGGACATTCTCGAGAAGAAGAAAGATGAGCTCGCCCTTGAAGTTACGAACCAGATGGGCCGGCCCATCGCCTACACCGGCGTGGAGGTCATGACGGCCATCAAGCGCAGTCGTTACTTGACGAAGATCAGTAGCTCGGTTCTTGGAAAAGAGGGCATTGTGCCCGGAGAGGAAGAGAAGGGATTCAGACGTTTTATCAAGCGGAAGCCGGTTGGCGTTGCTCTGATCATCTTTGCCTGGAACGTATGTTATCGAGCGGTCTTCTTAGTATGCGGGGTTACTGACACAAGGGGCGAACGATACTAGTACCCATACTTGATCTCAGTGAACAGTTTGATCCCCGCTATCCTGGCCGGTAACGCCGTGATTCTGAAGCCCTCGCCCCAAACGCCCACGATTGTCGAACAGTTTGCCAATGCCTTCGCCGAGGCCGGCCTTCCCAAGAACGTCATCCAGTACTTCCACTGCGGGTCGCCCACCATACTTGAGACCGTCGTGCGGTCACCGCTTGTCGACCACATCTGCTTCACGGGCTCCGTCGCCGGTGGCCTGGCAGTTCAGAAGGCCGCCTCGGACCGCATCGTCAACGTCGGCCTCGAGCTCGGTGGCAAGGACCCCGCGTATGTTCGCGATGACGTGGATGCCGCCTGGGCAGCGGAGGAGGTTGTCGACGGAGCCATCTTCAACAGCGGCCAGAGCTGCTGCGCCATCGAGCGAGTCTACGTGCACCAGAACATCTACGACACCTTCATCGCCGAGGTCAAGAAGGTGCTGAGCAACTACCGCGTGGGCGATCCCCTCGACAAGCAGATGCAGATCGGGCCCGTCATCTCCAAGCGCGCCAAGGAGACCGTCGCCGCTCACGTTGCCGACGCCATCCAGAAGGGCGCCCGCGACGAGACTCCGGCCAACGCGACGTTCGAGAATCCCCCGGCCGAGGGCAACTACGTCAAGCCGACGCTGCTGACGGGCGTCACCCACGACATGGTCGTCATGACGGAGGAGACCTTCGGGCCGGTGATCCCCGTCATGAAGGTCAGCGGCGACGAGGAAGCCGTGCAGCTCATGAACAGCAGCGAGTTCGGCTTGACTGCCAGCGTGTGGACGAAGGACGTCGCTAAGGCGGAGGAACTCATCGAAGACATCGAGGCCGGAACGGTCTTCATCAACCGATCGGATTACCCAGCTCCGGTGCGTATTCTTCTCTTCTATTATATCCCAGCTGTACCATCATCCTTTTGGCAATCGCGCGCTAACTCATGGGAATCAACAGGATCTGGCATGGACGGGATGGAAGAACTCCGGTCGGGGCGTGACGCTCAGCAAGTTCGGCTTCGAGCAATTCGTCAAACTGAAGAGCTACCATGTTAAGGATTATCCGAAATAAATGCATTCATGAGGGAATAATGAGGGATAGATAGGCACATAACGAATACCATTGGTCTTGCAATCAGTCCCTATCTGCCATCCATAGATAGTCTGTGTAGTCCCCGTAGCGAACGAGCGAGAAATGGTTAAACAAATACAAACACCAGAATAGAACACAACAAAGACAAAGAACCAAGACCAACAACCAAAACCCGAGTCAGAAAAGAGAAACAGACAAGAGAAACCAAGAAGACCAAGTGTCCCAGCCCCCATCAGCCTCGACCAATTCGCAAGCCGCACATAAGCAAACACGACGACCGAACAACGCATCGGCTGGGGCAGAAGGTCTCGAACACTCACTCGGCCCCATTCCATCCATCCATCCTCATCCCTGAAACCTTGTCTCGTTCGACAGTCAGAAATCTAGAACTTCAACCCTCCCGACACCTGATCTTAATTACTGGAGAACTGGAGAATTGGAGAGGTGTTGCGAGTTAAGTTGACGCCGTCAGACCGGACCGTCCGTCCGTCCCACTTGACATTTCTACCCGTCGGGCAAGACAAGTCAAGACAAGGAAAGACATAGTCTAGAACGTACGTTTGGCGCTGGACCGGGAGCTAGGTATGTAGGCAGACCAATCGGTTTGTGTCATTGATATGGTTGTCTAGTGCCTAGTTGTTTAGTTGTTCATTCCCATTCCTTAACTAACTGTGTATACCCAATTGCCCAGGACCAGGGCCAGGTCCCGGTCCAGCCCGATAGGAGAAGGGCAGGGCGACGAAAGAAGAAGATACGCAAGCCAAAGTATGAGACAGGGAGGAAAAGTCAAAAAAAGATCCCGGAGAGAGAACACGTATGCACGGTTGTACATGTGCATAGGACGGTATGAGCAGAGGACCTAGGGAACTATCACAACTGCGAGAAAGAAGCCAATGGAAGCAAAGAACCGGAATAGCTGGAGAATATCCCATATCTCACACATACAGAGAATAAACAACACTCCGATTCAGGCTACTGAACACTCACGAAACAAGAATCCAAGATAAGCGCGGAATAAATAAAAATAAAGTAATAATTAAACCCTAGGGAAGGTGGGCACGATTGGCACGCTAATAAGGGGAGGATTGTGTGGCAGGAGGATCATCTATCCCTTCTTTGACGGCGGTTTTCTGGCGAGAGACGAATGCTACATGCTGCAGGAAGGATCAGAAAGAGAGAGAATCCGATGTACGGTGTACTCCATACATACGGAGTAGTTAACTATGGACCTGGGCATGACGAACCGGGGTGTCCCTCTGCCTGTCTGCCTATCTGTCTGCCTGTCTATGTATAGAATGCCGGCAGGGACAGACATATCACGGCCATGGAGAATGTGAATGGAGACATGGGACGACGGGAGGAAGCGGGTCCGAGGGAACCAGAAAAACCAAAAAAGAGTCAAATCAACAAGAAGAAACCGGAACGCGAAACAAACGAAACGACATTGCTCCTGATGCAAGGGCGAACCCTCAACTCACTTTCCATACTTAGATCCATCTTCGCCCCCCTGGATCTGCGAGAGTCGGGGGGAAATTAAAGAAAATGATCCACGTAGCGACGGGCCCATATTCTGGATGATCTTCCAATAGTTGGTTGCATTGGCAATTGGGTTGCTCATCGGGCGTGCTATAATTATCGGTATATCAGGATAATTGCCCATGGTGACTATGAGCGACCCCATCCTTTACGGAGAAGGGATCGGTATGGGAGATGCGGTCATCAGGTATTTTCGGCTGGAAATAAGTCGGATCTGGGTCTTTGTGTCGGGTGGCCCTTTGTTCTGCTTCCGGACGCCATTTCCACTGTCTCTCCCCTAATGAATGTGGGCTGGATCGAGCGAGACAAAAATATTGTCTAGAAGTAAAATCCAGATGACGTGCCCTTCAAAAACAACCAAAAATGCACTGCCGCCGCCCGAGACATTCTGGGCTCTGCAGGCAAGCAAGCCCATCAGGAGGCGGTTCCCTGGAAAGTCGGTCAGGGACGAATAAGAAATCGGCACTCAAATATAAATTAAGAAAAAAAAAAAAGAAAATAGAAAAAGAAAAAAGAAAGTTCGCGAGACACTGCATCGGGAAAGGAGAATCTTACACGTCGTGCAGGGATGCCGCCAATGCATACCGACATCACATAGTATATGCAATGCAGACGCTAGATCGGGAACGCCTCGGAGACTTTCGTACGCTCGATGCCTTGTTTGCCGGTTTCATACAGGCGTACGAGAGAAACCAGGGTCGGGCGCCTATGAGGTCAACAAGGCGTGAGGCGTCCGACACTATGCTTAGCCTGCGCTCAAACAATTGTCGTCGACTGCGTGGCTAATTGGCGTCGCGGGCGAATGTGGAATCAAGGGGGAGGAGCAGCGCAGAGGAAATAACTGGTCGTCAGCCCAAGTTGCCCTGGGAAATTCCGACCCAGGGGGGGCCATTCAAGCGCCAGAGAAACCGCGAGAGAATGTGTCACATAACGCGCAAAGATTGCTGCACATAAGGCTGTCACGGTGACCTTCGTGCCGCTCAATTGGCCGATCAGGTTAAGCCTGCATTGCACGGGCGAAACCGTTAATCCGTAGGCTTGCAGGGCGTCGCGCCTGTCGAGGGTCCTGGGGATTTCTGGAATATATATGACCTTGGCCTCCCCAGAAATCATTCTCCTATCTCTCCTTCACTTGTCGCCAGCGTCTCAATGCCATAGAACATCTGCCAGCCTTTCTTTCATTCTGTTTGCGTTTTGGTTGCTTCTCTCTCGTCTTTCGACAGTCTCTCGTTTGGGTATCCTTTTGTCCTTTCTTTCTTTTTTCTCTCTCTTTCCAATAGACCTCCTTTTGCCACAAAAGCGTTCGCTCTCTGTTGTACGATTGATTGATTGATTGGGATACTATCATCTTGTTGATTGGTTTTGCCTCTGCCTGCGTCGGTCCTGGCTGTAGATACTGACCGACCTGCCGCTCATTTTCAACCTCTGCGATTCCATTCGAACCCCCTGGATCTTATTCTTACGACCTTTATAATCCCATATCGATTCTCCCATTCCCGACACCATGGAATGTTTTCGGCAGATCGTTCGACTTGTCAAGTCCCCGTTTCAACGCGACTCGCAACAACAGCACAAGGTTCTGGAGATCGTGAGTCCATCGAAGGCGAACCGTCGAGATATCTCGGGGCTAATGGCGAACCACAGGGACCCCCGACCAACTTTCGCAAGGAGGAGCTGCCGGCCTTCTTCTCCGATGACGAGTGAGTGCATACCTGCAGCCTTGACGAAACATCACTGTTTTTCTGACACTTATCCCCCGCAGCGCGCTGACCTTACATAGCAATGGTTCGGCAAACGAGAAAGAGGCAGTCATCACGTCGATGGAACGTCAGCCATCCACCCGGGACAAGATCAAGAACCACGTCCGACGACTGAGCGTCAAGACCCATCGCCCGCTTCCTGAGCATGAAGAATAAGCCTGATGCTCGTCCGATGGAGAGAAGGAAGCCTCTGAGCACCGCCTGCAAACCCGGTCACCTGGTGCGCACCACCAACGCAGGACTGAAGGAAGAGCTGGAAATGTTGCAAGTTCCACCGTGCGAACCCGCGGAACGCCGTCGCATGGTCAAAGCAAGAACGTCGGGACTTCGTTGAGACGCGATTTCTTTTTCGACTCCAGATTGTTACCGTTTTGGATTTTCTGCTGCATTTGATTTATAGACGATGTAGATCCGCCTTTTGTCTGTGTGTATGATGTATGTAGCTCTGGAAGCTCATCAAAATCGTCGAAAAGCATCCTCTTCCTGGATTTGAGCGCGGGCTGTGCCTTGTATTTAATATTCGTCTCCACAGAGCGAGCCTCTTTCGCTGCACGACCTTGGTCGGAGCGAGATGACAAGGGACTACTCCCTGCATTTGACAGCTTTGAATCCGAACTGATAACATGAGTCCTTCGATGTGATGCCGTCGCAGTAGGTGTTTGAGCTTGAGCGTCGAGATCGTCATCTTCCGAGGCGGTCGCATCCACGTCAGTATTCGCATCTCTGCTTTCATTCCTAACCGCAGTATCCATCCGAGTATCCGAAGATTGCGAAAACCCAGCTGCCGCGCGAGTCGACGACTTGACCCCCTGCATGCCCACCAATGACCTCGCTTTCCTCGGGCTCATCAGCAGGTCATGCAAAGACGTCCCCGCAAACGTGTCATCCAAAGCAACATCCTCCTCGACGTCATCGCTATCTTCAGAGTCCACCGCCGGTCGCCCGCTCTGAATCTGCCCCAGACCTTCTTTTTGCCGTATGGAGAGCGCGCCCGCCTCATGTCGCTTCTTCGTTTCTTCGCTCATCGGGGTCACTCCGTCCGTGGGTCGGGCAAGGTCTTGAATGGCAGCTGCGTTCTGCAGTTTCGCTTCTTTCTTCCGTCGGACGTATTCTGCGTAGTGAAGGTGTTGGGTGAAGGTTTGCGCGACGGCGTAGAATTCATCCTCGACCATCATGTAGATGTCATCGTTGTCGAGGCCTTCAATTAGGTATCTAATTCCTCCAATGCTGCATTAGTTCCGGAGCATATAAGATCGATCGGTGCAGGTGGAGAGAGCGATTTACTCTTCTGATGGACAACGCTGGATAGGAGACGATGGAGGAGTCGGGGCTATTTGGGAGTATCGATAAATCAGTCCAGAGATTTTATTGCACGGCAGGGGAGCAAGGAGCCTTCACTTACAGGATCTGAAGAAGTCGCGCCTGCCGACTTCCGAAGAGCTTAGCTTCAACTTCGCTTTAGGAGTAGTCTCATCGTCATCTTGCTTGATGTCTCGCTCTCGTTTCACCGGTCGTCGTCGCGGCGTAGAATCTTTCGTTCCTCCGCTGAGACCGGTAAGCCATGGCAGAGTTCGAGGCATGGCGATGAATGCGCGTAGGTGGGAGGCCCGCTGTCATACATATATATTGAATGATATCATTCTCGTCATAACGATGAAATAGATTGAAGGAGGGAGTGACGCGAAAGTCGGCGCGCCGGAGACGCGGGAGAGAAGCCGCCCCGCCTCCGCATGGAGTGGGTTGCCTTAGTTTGAGGGCCGACCGATCTACTCAACGCTTTATGGGGCATGACAGTCTTCCTGAGTCATTAAGGATGGAAAAAAGACATCATTCGCAATTCAGCCGCAGCAGTCAAATTCTAGATAAACCTCATATTCTCGTAGGTATCGGTGATCAATCTGGCAATCCCGATCGCAGAATTTATAATACAACAAATGCCAAACGCAAGTCCTCAACGCCGATTTCAAAGCAACCAAAGCCCGGTGTAAAACATATGCTAGGACCATGGGGACAGCGCCAGTCCATGTCCATGGTCAGGTGGTAGTAAAAAAGAAAATGGAAAGAGCAAAACACAGAGAACACCGCAAAAGGTCGTGTCTGCCTCCACTAAACCTCTCCGGGTCGCTTGCTATTGCAACTCACGATCTTCACCTTGTTTGCCGACACCGTCGTCTGGTTGTCTAGTTTGAAATTGACATCTTTAATGAGGAAGGTCCACACTTCGTCGCAGAAACGGTAGGTATCGAGATGGCCCTGGAGTAACGAGAGATGATCGATTAGCGCCCATCTCCCCAGCAACAGAGGTCAAGTGGTCTAGGTCAAGACCACCCCGGGCATGAGGCGAAAACTTACCTTGAATGTAAGCCTTGCGCGCACTTTATCGGCAAGAACCTCCGTGATTATACGGTCAAAGGTCGAGAGGATCTTCATCGCCAGTTGGGGCTCGATCCGGCCCTCGTTGATCAGGTCATCGAGCGTATCGGTAAGGGAGAGACCGAGACTGCGACGGTCAATGTCAGCGACAGAATATCGGGATATGTCTTCAAGAGATGCCGCAGTACCTGCTCCCACGGTACAGCTCGTAATAAGCCTGAGCACTCATGATGGCGAATGGCCGAGAGATGGATTTGTCGGGGAGGTGAGGAAGTTGGAGAGTTGGTTGCAGCCAATCGACGGCGCCGAAGCGGGGAGAACGAGAGCACGTGATAATGGTATCATGTGACCCTTGCGCGGGCATTACGTCAAATCAGAGAACTACATTGTCACTCATCTATACACATCCATCTGCACAATCCATCTCTCATCATGGCTACCTTCCATTCGTCTCTTTCGAGGCACATTGGGCCCATGATTCGGTCGCGGAAGTCTCACCTGGTAGCAGGAACTCGTTACTTATCACACACGTCGCAAAACCTATCAGATGCCAACACAGGTCGGCCCGTGAATATGTTTTCACCATGCACTGCCCTGCGCTAACAAAGTCTGCAGGCGAGGCATCTTTCAAACATAATAACTCTCCGATAAAAGAAGAGGAGAAGAGCCAACCAAACTCGGAAAGCGACAAACCATCAAAGCCAGAGAAAGCAAAGTCTATCAGTCAGGCCGACGACGAACTTCGTGAACGTCTTGAGCAAATGTCCGGCGGAGGTGGAGCCTCTGGCATTGAATACGAGGATGGACAACCCAACACTATGAAACGAAGTGTTCGGAATAATATGTTCCGCTATATTTGAGGGCCCGATCAGGAGATGGCAAAACAAAGCCGCATCACCTCGTATGAGGACAAACCTAGATCTCGACGATCAATTAGCACACGAAAATCGCTCGTAAAGTGATAGAAATCCCAGACCTCCCAGAGCCCTCTCCATGGCAGTCTCAAATATTACCGAGCCCCACGAGTCGGTCTCGTTCGTCAGCAGATCGGACAATTTGAGATCGTGTCTGCAAAAAGGACCATTATGTGTGGATTGAAATAAAACCATAACATAGCTAGCTGCGTGAGCGAATGCAGATGTACATAGAAAGTCAAGGTCCGGTGATTACAAAAAATTAGAAAATATGATTTGGCCAATCTCCGAATCCAAAAGATAGCCCCGATTTGCCATGGAATCAGTGAAAGTTCGTGTTTGTGACCTTGACGAAAAAGAAAGACAAGGAAAAAAGAAAGAGAAAAGGCAGCGAACCACTCTAAAACGCCCTCGATGGGAAATGGAAGTCCCTCTATTACCCCGAAAGAAAAAGTCGCCAACTCCAATGGACCACGGCGCTAAAAAGACAGACAGATATCCCATGCGCATTAAATCATCATTTCATGTCAGTTTCAAGCAATCGAGGATGGCATCGGTTCTTTCAAAGAGATGGATTGTTTCCCACCATGCCCGCCAGGACTCCAGCCCCGATTACGCCCCCGTCCGAAGCCTCACGCAAGAAGGCTGATTTCCCGCTCTTCTGTGGGCCGGTGCGCATGATGAGACGATCGATAAATTGCTGGCACATCTCTTTAAAGTTGGGATAGTGCTGGATGATTCCACCGGTATAGGCGACCACTAACTCCTCGGGCCCCGACTGCCAGTCGGCAGGTGTGGGCGTGGGCGAAAGGACGGGGACAATCGGTCCTCGAGAATGGGTTGTGCCTGGAACTCCCAACGTGGGTGGCGTGAATTCATGAGAACCGCCGTTATGCACAGGTGAAGTGGCACTGGAATTCAGCGGCGAATTCTCATTGCTATCCACTTTGAGCTCGATCTCTCGCGCACAAGCCAGTAATCCTACGACTGCAGCTGCGATGAGTCCGGCGGATCGTCTCTGCACAGTTCGAGCAATCTTGCGAAAGGCCCCCGCAGTAATGGCATCCCAACGCCAGTCACTACCTTCAGGCGGCGACAAAGAACTTCCCAGTTCATCGGCCAATTCTTGATCTGTGCGCGCACGGGCGACCTTGTCCGAAATATACGAAGTCGTAAGCGCATAGTCTTGAATGATGTTTGCCGGTAGGGCCTTCTCGGGCACGCCATACACCGTGGTGAGGTAGTCAATGATGATGAGTCGGACCAGCTCCCCGATATACCGACCTCCAGTCATGTATTCGAACGGCTGGAAACCAGGTCGTGCGCATGCCCTGTCAAGCTCAACATCCCACTTGGTGATGATGTCGAGCTCCTTCAAGGGAGGCAAGGCCCCTGAAAGAGTCCATTCCGTGTTGACAACCGTCTCTTGCGCCGCCGAATTCCTCAGCTTCACGTGTCTGGCCTTGGAGTCATGCAGCGACTCGAGTTTCATCGGGATTGTAGCATTGCACCCAGTTCCGACAATGATCCCCATTGCGACGCGACTGTTCGGGAGTGATTTTACCTCATAGGCCAGGGAAGTAAGAGTAGCGACGGCATCATTAGTGATAGCAGATATCTTGAGCTTTGGCAATGAGTAGAGTTTTCGGCGTTTCGCTGAGGGCTCCTCTTCATCGCCCGGGCGCTTGGTGTGTTTCTCGTAGCCATTGAGCAAGATCTTTCGAAGATTGAGGTCCGAGGTGATGGCAAATCCTTTCCCCATCGGCATCAGGGTAGCCTCCGCAAGAGATTCTTGCCTGTGGTTTGTTAGCTGCGATCGCATTTCATTTCACACTGGCGGAAGAAACTTACATGATCGGGAAACTGAAAGTAATCCCCATCTCTAGTTCTTCCGGAATTGTGCCTTTCGTCGCATCCGAGGTCAGGCTTTCAGCCACCACTTCCGCAATGCAGTCGCCGATCCAAGCAAACAGGTCCTCCGCTTTATCCATCTTAAGATGCTCCTGGATTGGCCATGCTTTCTCCAACGTTCGTTTCACGCGCTGTCGCTGCGCCTTCCTGATCGTATCTCTTGATTTATTCGAAGCGTCTCCGGAGCGAATGTCCGAGTCCGCGGATTCCCCCAGCAGCTCGATGAATGCGACGCGCAGGTTACTCCCGCCGACATCGATCGCCAGATAGCGGCCGGTCTCCAACCCCGTGGGTAGATTGGTCACCGGCGTAGGCAAGAACTGCTCCTCTGACTCAAGCGCCAGTTTGCGATATACGCCAGAGAACCGGCGCGCAAGCTTATAGAGAACCGCTTCATCGAGGGCTAGCGGCGACAGGAATTGGTCAAGCACTCGGTGCCGTTCCAAGTGTTCCTTTTGCAACGGATCCAGATCGTCCTCCTCCTCGTCTTCCTCCACGTCAATTGGGTCCTCATGGAGATGATCGTGGTCCTCATCCTTAGTTTCCTCCGCACTGATCGGATTGACGGGCGCCATATCGAATGAACGTCGAAAGAAAAAAGGGGCTTGTTTAACCGGCAGAAGCATCCACCCGAGAGACGGTAAGCCCGGTCTGTGCAACTGGCAATCTCAGTATAGTAACCACCCAGGAGGGATGCCGTGGAACAATCTCGTATGGGGGAGAACAAAGAAATAAGAATTGTTTTTCTTTAAGTTTTTTTTTCCCGACCCAGGGAGCTAGGAATGTTTAAAAGCCTGGCAGAATATAGGGTTCAACAGGAATGGAGACCGAAGCTTGACGGATGGTGAAGGTGTCACGAGGGATCGTAAGGAGCTCCCACAGAAACTCCAGCTAGCTGCGATTCGAGAAGAACGGTCCAGGGGGATGAAACCACTTGTCGTAGCCTGTCGAACTATAATTAAACCAAAACCGTCAGAAGGTCAGCAATGAGGTTACAGTGAAGAAAAGAGAAAAAAAAGAAAAAAAAAAAAAAAAGAAAAGACCAGTCCACACACAACGCTAAGAGGAAAAAAATGTCACAAAAAATGCCAAACAGCAATGACGCGTGTCTGCAGTGGAATCATGGGGGGGAAGAAATCCTGCGGGGGGCAAGAAGATGGACACGACGGCGACGATCAATGCAGGGAGTCTTAGCGCACTTAGGATGAAGGGGGCCAGAACAGACGGGCAGCAATCGATTACCTCTTACAGCGTGTTAGTCCGCACGGGGAATGGAGCTTCGTAGAGTAGTAGAACGACCAGGGGGTGGTGACAGCGAGTAGGAAGTAGATGGAATCGGGGCGAGGATGGGGAGAAGGAAGGGGAGATGGAGAGCGGCGATGAATGATGGATGATGATATTGAGGCGGAAGAACTAGGTAGTGAGAGTAGTAGGAAAAGAAAGCAAAATAAAGGCGCCGGAATACGAACGGTCCAAAAGGCGGTCCCCACCGGAAGAGAGGAGGGAGGATGACGAGTAAATAGCAGAAACGAAGTTAGTCCGACCAAGAGCCGCGGGAGATGCGACCATCGGCGATGTGACGCTGCTGGTCGCATGTCCTCCACTCCGCCATCATCCATGATGCCCATATTAACTATCGCTTGACAGGCAGTCGCTCCACGCTTTCTTGTTGGTCCAACGGTTCTGTCCGACGTCTGCTTCCTACTGCGACTGCGACTGCGACTACGACTTTGTCCCCTCGTCGATTCTTCTCGCCCTCCTCCACCTGAACTATAATTCAATGCGACCCCGGTGGCCACCACCATCGCCATCTCGATCGAGCCGGACTCTCACGGACATGCTCCGTATATCTACGTCCAAGCATCCGTATCAAGTGGGTCAGCGTTGTACGATTCGGAGCGACTGACTCAATTCCGGAAGCCCTGGCACCCGAACACGAACCGCTAGACGACGACCGGGAAAAGCCCTCCCAATGGAGCCACACAATGACTCGATCTGATCCCAATCCAAGCAAAGCCGCCATGTGGGAGACGGTGGGGCAGTTCCAGTCGACAGCTTTAGTCGTCAACATTAATTAATGCACGGACTACTGCTCGACTAGCATCAAGTCAAATGCCGGCGGTTTCCAAGCCTCCACCTCCTCCTCTAGCAGTCTAGCTCGCGGCCGACCATCTCACGATGTCGGTCTGATTTGTCTAGGAACCCGCTTGGATCGACTGGCGCCATGTCCTTCTCCCCCCGCCGGCTGGGATGAAACGTCCGGTACCGGCCGCCTTCCTCTTTCTTCCTGGTGATGCCCTTTCAGGGACGAAGAGGGAGAAAGGATAAGTGAGTCAAACAGGATGGAAAAGGTCTCCAGAGACGGTTCGCCTTTCAGCCCCCCTCCAAGCATTTTCCGAGAGCTGCAGCCCATCCCGTCACCCGGTTTCCGGCGAGAATTCACCGCTCGGACGAGGGAGTAAGACCGGGGGTTGAGGATGCTGAGAAATACTACCTGTAAGACCGGGAAGAGACCCTCTTTGAACGCTTCTACAGTTTTCCCAGCAATCAAAATGGGATGGACGATCCGAGTGGTGACTCAATCTGTTGCCTTTGGATAACCGAGACAGATCCGGACCCAGAACCAGGATCGCTGTTCTAGCTTCTCTTTGTACCCCAGTATAATTGTACTCAGGTGAGTGGAAACCGAGACTTCTACCTCCACAGAACTTTCCGTGGTTTGATCTTGCTTGACAGTTAAGTATTTCAGGGGTACGTACTCGTTGAGAGCCCACATCGCAAGCAAACGATGTCAGAAACGTCTCGAGTATCGCTCAGGTTCCTGGAGACTTGACTGAACCCTTGGAAGTGTAGCATTGCAGCATAGACAGAGTGCCATTCAGCACGTCTGGATCGGACGTTGACCGACGCTGGATTTTTGTCGCGATCATGAGCGGCGGTGTAATTCCTACTAGCCAAACGTTGATCTCTCCCACAGACCACCAATTAGAGACTGGTGGAGCGCATCTTTAAGGATTGAGACTTGGCCGATTCAATATAGACTCCAACGGTTTTCTGTGCCTTGGAAGTCAAGCTCCACCAACACCCGCACGCACGCACTAATTAGGAAGATTCGATTCGTTTATCTTCGCTCGACTGTCAGTGGCACTGTAGAAGGCAAGGCAGTCTCTCACCGATGGACTCCTTGTCCGGTCCTTGGCGGGTTATGCGGCACGGCCGACAGTTTTGTGATCATGGAAGGTAGTATATGCAGTGTGATAGCAAGTAGGCATTGAGGGGGAAGACGCAAGCTATGCTTTTTCATAGGTAGGTTTACGCCGCCACAACCTTGATAGCCTGACTTGCATACGCTTGCGAGAATTAAGACCAGGGTGGATCGTTCCGCAAGGCGCATAACCCTAGTCTAGCGATGCCATCGTCCGTTGTCGTGAATCAGTCTCGGCTAGGTTGAAGCAGTTTGTCGACGGTTGTTTTCATCTGTCATATAAATCATAGCATGTCTCGGAGCTGTAGTTCTTTCGGATAGCGGTGAGCAGGTTGATTTCATTTCACTCAAGTGATTTGTATTTTTTTTTTCAATGTTTTTTCCGACCACTCCTCATCGCGTACCTGGCTGTGGGTATGGACACAAGCGATGTAACCTGGACGGAAGATGGGCGAGATAAGCCCGGGTAAAGGAGCACGCAATTCCCGGTCAGAAGATCAGATGGCCCGGTTCAGAGTGAGATGGTAGCCTCCATGCATAAGACAGGAGCAGGATAATATAGACGGAACGCACAAAGAGGTGCGATTGTTGATGATCGCAAGGATGGCCCGATGCGGCCGGCGAGGGCAGGGAGGGGAGGTGTAACCTCAGGCCAACTCCGCAGGACTCGGCATCTCCGCAGTCGCAATCGGCGTCGACTTCTCCCCCACATCTCCCTCTCTTGCTAACTTCCAAGTTCCATCTCTGCTCTGGTCCATTCCCACACCCCCCCAAACTGATCAGCTCCCGGCTCCCATGGAAAAACAACCTTTTCTATTTCGGGACGAGACCCGCTCCGCCCATCACGATGATGGTGAGATTCCCGTTTCACCTGCCTCCAGCCCGAAGTGCGCCCGACGCGGCCGTTTCCTTGTCACCCTCGTCATTACTGCCATTGCCGTCATCCACGCCTTGTTCACGCTAGGCTGGCTCTGGATATCAAACTCTCCCGGAAGCGGTATTTTCGGCTGCCATGGCCTGAATAGACGTCTCTTTTATGGCTTCTCGACTGCCCCGGAAGGCGCGGAGCTGCCGTTGATGGGCCTCGAAGAGGAACCCTCGAAGGTTCCTCTGGAGGCCCACATTATGAGCAAATGTCCGGATGCTCAGGAATGTCTGCAGGAGCTGGTTTTGCCAGCCATGGAGCAAATTAGCGACAAAGTGGACTTCGACTTGTCCTTCATTGCAACGTAAACAAACTCAGCCTTAATTATTGGATCTATGCAACGGAACTAACCACCCGACTTAGGGTCTCCCATAAGACTTCGGATATTGTCTGCAAACATGGTCCCGGCGAATGCATCGGTAATATACTCATTCTATGCGCTCAGAACCTGCCATTTCCCGATGGCAGTGATTCTCGCATGCCGACCATTCGTTCTCTTGGCTTCGCCAATTGCCTTATCGGCTCATATGAGGACATCCCAGACCGGGAGCTTGTGCATCACTGCGCCCTGGAGCATGGTATTGATTTCGATGCTTTGAATCATTGTGCTAGTCAGCAAGAGGACGATCCCGGAGACGATGGTCTGAGCGGCCTTGCTTTGCTGCGAGAAAGTGCGCTTCATAGCGCAGACCTGGGAGTCAAGACAAGCTGTACTCTGCGGCTAGATGAGTCAACCTGGTGTGTTCGAGATGGTGGTGTTTGGAAAGATTGCGCCGAGGATGGGGAGGGAAGTGAGGTCTCGGTTCTTGTGGACGAGATCAACAAACTCTGGGGCGAGAGAAATTGACTTCTGCCATTAATTCAGTGTGAGGTTGATCATGACGGTTTATGATTTTAATGTCCTAGGAGCCAAAGGGATTTGGAGCTTTTGGATGCTGGTTTGTGCCAGCCTAATATTGGTTTTGCTTATTGTTATTGCGGCTTATGGGAGTTATATAGAAATTGTTAATCCTCCACGGTAATAATGAAAGTGCCTAATACATCAATCTCTGGACGCATTATTTTACTATATGATAAAATATTTCTTGTTTTGCAGGCATTGAAGCTTGCTGTATAGACAAAGTAGTCACGCTTTCAATGCAGGTCTCAGTTTATAGCAAACCGTTCGATAACTACCGATGTGTTTATATCTACCTTATGTGCAAACTCTCGGTGTGATAATTACCATGCTGGAGGTTTGTTTCATTCACTTTGAACCTGATCTCCTCTTGCGGTCTGTTTGTTTGTCTTCCCCCTTTCACTTCTACTCGGCGTACCAACACCAAGCTCACTTCTGGAAGTTACCTTTATTCCTTTCCACCATTTTCTACACCCTCCTCCCTCCTCTTCCTCGTCCTATTCCTCCTCTTTCCCCTATCTTTTACATCCCACATCTTCTATCCTCCAGTCGAGTCTCCATTTGCAAAGCAAGGGTGCTTCATTGCAGTCATGTCCTCAACACGCATCTGCCATCATTCCAAGAAGCATTTTGAGAGTAAAGTAGACGATCTCGTGCGCAAGTACACCAAGATTTCCGAGCCTGGTGAGGCCCTGCGGCACATTCTCCAGAACGAAGACGAGTCGACCCTCCTCATCCAAGCCGTCCGTCGTCAGATCGCGCTGATCAGATGCCGCTCTCAAGCCCCCGAAGATGATCAAATCACCATGTATGACAAAGCCTTGCTGGTCCTCACCCGACACGGAAAAGATCCAGGAGATATCGGAGCTCTTGAGCTTTACGTGACCGAATTTCTCGGGATCGTCCCGATTTCTCCAGCATCGCAGAGCAAGAACATCCTTTCCCAGCATGTTGAGCTACAGGCTATTTTGAACAGAGGTTCGTAAAAGCCTTCTTCTGGCCCACCCCCTAACGAGAGCCCGCGCCTCGGAGACTGAGTCTTTCGCTGTCCCAGAAAATCGTCTCCCTCGCAACCAACAGCCCCGGCAGAACTCAAGCGACCGTAGACTGCATTCTTCTGAAAACACCGATCCCAATGAACGTCAGCTCGAACCCTACAACCGCGAGGTAAAGAGCGTTCCGAGGCGGAGCAACACCTCCCACAGCCAGGGGGTGCGTGACCAGACCGAAAGAATACTGGGAGTTTTTTATGAAGCTAGACGCGACTATTTCGAGGCTTTACAAACCGATGGCTTTGCTTCCACAACCACCATTCGGTTCCTTCGAGATACAGCCGAAAATGCACTTCTGTACTTCCGCCAAAACGCGATGATGAACCATGACGCTGTTTCAGACCTGCAGAAGATCTTCGCAATCGCCAGAGATAAGGCAGCAGAGCTCTGCGGAGGCCGAAAGCGCCACTTCGATGATGAGAACAAGCACACACACAAGAGATCCCGTCGAGCAGTTGACTCATATCGTCCTTCAGGACATTAGCCATAGGTTCCAATGTATTATTGTTCAGGATGTCTGGATTTGGGCAGGGTGGGTGGTAGGCCGTGACTAGGATACAAGAGATACAAGGAACCGGCTACTTGAAGCTCCCTTGGGTAGGGGATCTCTTTTTCATATACTGTAATGTGTCATTAGGATCTGAATGGAATGATTGTACTGGACATTTTGCGTGCCACGCCGTCACTTGGATGTAGTGCAGACCCCGTGATGCTTGGCAAATCACGCCCCTGACGCCCGCCACGTGCAGACAGTCACGTGCTCCCTATCGGGGATGCATGGAGCAGTCTGTTTATCACCGTCATTCTTCACTGCTTCCTGTGCCGATGCGCAGAGACTTGCTCTATGGGTCTACTGTCATTCATTCACTTTCAACCAGACATGGACATCTAGAAATAACCCGCTATCCCTCTATTCTAAAATGACCTCTTTGCGGCCCCAGCCGACCGAGGCCGCATTTTCCACCTCCAGCAACGGATCGTCCAGCGCTCAATATACGCCGGTGTCTGATGGATCGGAAGAAGAACATGTCCCATCCAGCGCAGGTCGTCCACCACCTGGCTCGCTGAAGCTCCAGACGGATCTTGATACTGATGAGGACCGTTTTTCCGATGCTGGTAGCGACGAGGGCTACGAGTCTTATAGCGATGCGCGGCGTGGGTCCAACCAACCCGGTCTTCCAAAATACACGATGATCGAGGAGAGGGAGGTCGTGAAGAAATTTGATCGCAAGCTTGTGCCGTTTCTAGCGTTGCTTTACATGCTCTCGTTTTTGGATCGATCTAGTACGTTGCCTGCCAGCCCGCCAGCCTAAGCGGCAGCTTCCCCTCCTTGTCCCTTGCATATCCGTGAAGATGGGGTATCTAACTCTAGTATCAGATATTGGAAATGCAAAGATTGCAGGTCTTATGGAAGATCTAAAGCTCTCTTCCTCTCAATATGAGTGGCTTCTTACCTCATTTTACATCACCTATATCCTGTTCGAATGGATGACACTTATGTACCGCCTCGTGCCACCCCACATCTACATCGCACTCTGCGTATGTGGATGGGGCCTTGTTGCAACCTTCCAATCTCTGGCTACTTCATTTGGCGTCCTGGTTTTCTTGAGAGCTCTTTTTGGAATCACAGAAGCGGCATTTGGGCCTGGTGTGCCGTTCTATCTATCGCTTTTCTACAAACGCGAAGAGCTTGCGTTTCGAAACGGCCTCTTTATTTCCGCGGCTCCCTTGGCTTCATCATTCGCGAGTAGTCTAGCTTGGCTGATAGTCAAGCTGAGCAGTGATGGTCCGATTGCTCCCTGGCGCACTCTATTTTTGGTCGAGGGATTCCCGAGCGTCATTGTTGCCGTTTTCGCCTGGTTACTGATCCCCGATTCTCCGGGAAGCGCTAGGTTCCTTGATCCGCGTCAGAGAACCGTGGCAAAATTGCGAATGGGCGAGGGCAAAGCGGACTTTCATGGACCGCGTCAAGGCAAATTCAACTGGAAGGAAGTGGGAAAGACTCTAGCCGATCCGAAATCTTATATCGCAGCTGTTAGTGTTCCATCGAGGCGCTCTCTTCTTCTCCCTTATGACCTGAACTTCATGCTAACAAAGTCTCACCCGCCGTATAGTTCATGTTCTTCAGCTGCAATGTAGCCTTCAGTTCAATGCCTGTGTTCCTTCCTACAATCATAGAAGAGTACGTGACGTTCCTCACATTGAGTTCCATCCCTGCTAACCAACCTTCCACAATTGCAGCATGGGCTATTCCTCCCTCACATCGCAAGCCCTCTCCGCCCCTCCCTATCTCCTAGCCTTCATCGCGGTGCTGGTCACCGCCTGGATCTCCGACCGCAACCGCTCGCGCAGCCCCTACCTGATCGCACACGCCGTGATCTCCTCCGCCTCCTACCTCATCATTGCGCTCACCGGCCATTTCCACGCGCACCTCCCCACCACCGCCCACATCCTCATCCGCTACATCTGCGTCTACCCCGCCACGTCGGGCTTCTTCTCCGCCATCACGCTGATCATGACCTGGACGATGGACAACCGCGTCGCCAAGGAGGGCAAGGGCGCCAGCATCGCCATCCTCAACGTGATTGGTCAGTGCGGTCCCCTCCTCGGCACACGGCTGTACCCTGCCAGTGATAGGCCGTGGTACGTGCGCGGCATGGCCACCTGCTCGTTCTTCATGCTTGTGGTGGCTGTCTTGGCGTTTGCGCTGCGGGTGCTCTTGCAGCGGGCAAATCGCACGGGGGAGCGGAACGGCCAGGAAGATACGTTTGAAATGCAGGGTGGTGGAGGTACTGCTGCTGCTGAGGAGAGTGAGGTGCTGATGGGTGATCGTGCGAGTCGAAGGGGTGTTACTTTAAGGTATAATGTGGAGGAGAAATTTACTTATATTCTATAGATTCTACTTTTCTTTTGGCGCTTATCACTTGGTTCTCAATCTGGTTCCAATATTGGATATCACATCGTGGTTGGTTATTGAAAATCCCATGCTCAAAGTTTCCAACGGAAGATATCAGAAATGGATAAATAAATACAGAGACTAGGTCTGTCGAATACATTCATCTTTGGCGATCACGGAAAGACAAGGACACCGGTGATACAGTAAAAGTGACCGTCTGACTGATAAACCTCTCGGCCTCTCTCGTCTGGAAACTCCATGTCAACTGATCGATGGAGCTGCGCGTCTATCCCTTGCTTCAGAACTAGTTGATGTCTTTCTGTGATGTCAACGAGCGTCTCTGATGGTGATGTATCACAAAGCGCACGCAAGGGAGAGACTGAACATCACCATGTCGCTAACCACGGGTTCAGTCCAGCTTGTATGTTTCCCCGGCATCTACCTAGGCCAGCCTGGGACCACGAAATTCTGCATATCACCAAGACATATCTGGATTAAACGAGCCTCGAAACAGCAGACCGTGTATCCCAGACGAGGATGACTCTCAGTCGGACCACGATGACCAGTTCACGCCCACCCTCAAGCTGGCTGCAAGTCGATGAAACTCGGTACGTTCGACCGCTGGATGCGCTGGAGACCCTTCTGAGCAGTGTGTACATCAATCCGCTTCATCCTGGGTTCCGCACACAGGACATAGTCACCAGTATTCGAATCCGCACGTCGATGAGCAACGGCATGCTTCTTCAACATGCCCGGCGCGCCTGGGAGCAGATGCGCCATCTCCACCCGATGATCGCCGCCGAGTATGACGAGAAGCAGCAGCAGTACGTGTACCAGTCTCCTATCAGTCGGCGTGAAGTCGAGGAATGGCTCGAGCAGAGCTTCATTGTTGACTCGGGCTGTTTTCACCACCCTGCCCGTGGGCACGACTACGGGCGCGTCCCAGCGTCCGATCGCCCGGTCCTGTACTACTTCCAGGGCGAAGGGCGCTTCGTACTGCGCTGTCCCCATATTCACGCGGATGGCACGGCAACCGGGATTCTGCTGAAAGACTTTCTATCCGAGCTGACCACTCCACGGGAATTGGAGGCCGGGGCGTTCGGCGACGAGATTCGCAACCTTCCCCCCGGTGCCATCGAGGCTGCCAGGATTCAGGTCCCCTCCGTCACCACAGAAGACACCCGCCTCAGCAGCCGGGAGATGCACATCCCTACTTCCGGGGAGACGTTGTCCCCGAAACCCGGGCGACTCCAGGTTCTTGCCTTCTCGGAGACAGGAACCGCCACGATCCTGCAGCGTGGCCGACAGACGGGACTCGGCCTGACCGCGCTCGTGCACACGGCGCTCCTGAAAGCTTGCAAGGCCATGACGAGAGCAGATTCTCCGCCGCAGGACACACACACCTCGCTCACGGGTTTCAACCTGCGCGATCGCTGCGACCCGTCACTTCCGGACGCGATCGGGGCGAGGGCGTTTGCGCCGCGGGCTAGCATGTGGCCTTATCAGGTCCGGGTCGGGGACTACTGGGAGACGGCGCAGGCGTTGAAGGTGGAGTATCGCAGTCTTGCGCAGAGCAAAGATCGGATTCTGGAGGCATCGGTGCCTTGCCTGCGCAAGTTCCTGCCCGCCTGGTTGGAGAAGGAACCGCCTTTCTTCGCCAGCTTTATCGGCGATCTTTCCCTCCTGTTCGGCCGATCGAGCGGGTCGTTGCAGGTCGAGGAGGCATGGATAACGCTCATCCCCATGACGGCGATGATGTATCTGGTTGTGCAGACGTTCCGGGGCCGGTTGGCTGTCAGGTTGAGTTATAATGAGGCCTATTGGAGGGATGAGCAGGTGGCGGAGTTTCTTGGGAGAGTGAAGGGAGAACTCGACCGCCATGTCCTGACGGAAGGTGCTGTGGGGGTGTATAGGGCCAACGGACAGACCTTGTAGGTTCTTGATAACCTAGGCAATTGTTTCAAGTATACGGTAGCTTCCACGCAGGGCGTCCCGGTACATTTGTCGTCGGGACTGTGCCTCGATGGCAAACTCCTACAGTTCATGCTTGGGGCGAGCACTCCAGCTGAAAGGCAAAAAATGAATCGAAGTGTCGAGGAAATAAAGTAGATATGATATACATCGAGTAAAAGAAGGCGGGAATTGATGTGTTTCTCTTTCAATTGGTTCCGCTTCGTTCCAGCCAATTCGACTATGCAAAAAATATCATCGGGTGTGCGCCAACTATTCCGTGCGGACTATACAAACTCCATTGCGATTGTTTTTGATTTCTTATCCCATTTTCCGTTGTCTATCCGTAAATCCAGGTCTTTCGAATTATTTCCTTCCGAGGGTCCAGGTTCTCAGGGGCTCTGTGCTTCTGATCGAAATGTTTACCACGCCGTGTGTCCTCCGTCAATGACCAGGGTGCTTCCGGTCATGAAGCTGCTAGCATCGCTCATGGCAAAGAGAGCAGCGCCTCGGAATTCCTCGGGATAGGCAAGACGACCGAGCATGTTCTCGGCTTCCCAGACGGCACGAGCGGCCGGGTTCTGCTGGAACACCTGCTCGACCATGGGCGTGATGATGTGACCGGGGCAAATGTTGTTGACACGAATACCGTGTCGGCCCCATTCCATGGCCAAGCTGCGAGACAGCTGGACCACAGCGGCCTTGGAGGAGTTGTAGACGGGCGAGGTCATGCCCTTGTTGGCAATCAGTCCGCTCATGCTCGCAATCAGCACGATGGAGCCCTTCTGCTGGTAGTTGAACATTTGCCGCGCAGCGGCAGTGGCGGAGTTGAAAACACCGTTGTAATTGATCTGCATAACTTCATTCATGGCCACCTGCGAGTGCTCCAGGGCGCTCTGCAGGTGATTGATGCCGGCGGCGGCGATCAGGCCGTCCAAGCGTTTGTGCTGGCCGGCAATCTCGGCAAAGGCACTGTTGACCTCGGCGTCGTTACGGACGTCAATCTGGTGATATTCAATGCTGCCGCCGTATTCGCTCTCGGCGTGCTCTTTCGCTTTCAGGAAGTCAGGGTGCGGGTTGTCCAGACGGTCCAAACAGTGTACTGCATTCAACACAAGGTTAGCTTTCAAGTCCGATGGATGCCAACGGAGGGTTAGAAGTATGTACCTTTGGCACCCGCTTCCATCAGGGCTTCTCCCATAGCAAGCCCAAGTCCTCGGCCACCACCAGTGATAGCATAGACACGGTCTTGCAAATCGAACTCCTTGAATCGAGGTCCAGCCTTGGCTCCTTCCCGTAGCGGGGGCATCCGCGTCTGAATGTGGTTTGCGCTATGTGTGCTAGAATACGCTACCCGCGAGAGAGGAAGCGTAGAAGCGGATTTGAATGATCGAGCTGTTTGGAACAGCGATCGAGACAAAGTAGAAGACATGGCTGTGAAGAAGAGAAGAAGATATTAAGGAAATTAGGTATTAAGGAGATAAGTCGTGAAGAGTCGGACAGCCGAAAAGAATCAAGCAAAATTGTCTAGACACGCAAAAAGAAGAAGGATGAAAGACCACGATATGAATTGACCAGAGAAGATTGGCCTCACGTCGGAGGAGCTGGGGTTTATAGATCTGGGAGGAGCCAGACCAGGGCAAAGCCAAATTAGCCGGCCGAAAGCGAACATCGGTCGTTGTACGAAGGAGCCGAAACAAGCATAGCAATGGAAAAATCAGAATGACCGCGTGATTGCCTCGATGGGTCCGCCATCGGGATCCAGAGCTGCCTGCTCTGGCGGTGATTTCAACGACCCAGACCAATTCATCGCCCGGGAGCATCTACGGTACATGGGGGCATGGGGCTAGCTCATGCATCAAGCTATGCCCCATAAAAAGCTTGCCACCGGGGGAGGGGGTAAGACAGCCACGGAAGGGCATTGGACACAAAGCGCTCTGCAATGGCAGGGAGAATTGGGTCCATGAAGCCATCGTGACCTTCCGTGGTAGCAGAACCGCTGAGAACGGTAAACGACCTTGGTCATTTGATCGAGGGATGGCGATCATTCATTCGTGGAATGCCCCACCGAAACGGGATTCCCGAGTATGGGGAGGCCGAGACGCTGGGTCAGATTCAGATTTGCGGAACGTGTCCCCGACGATAGTAGCGGTCAAGGGGGGCAAGGGAAAAAAGAAAGAGAAAAAACAAAGAAAAAAAAGGACACCGGCGTGGCCAGACTATCGTCCGCACTTCATTTGATTCTGGTATCTCAATCGAATTGGGCTCCTCTTTTCGGTTCGTTGTGAGGAATGTGATTGAATTGGGAGTCTGTTCCACTCGGCTAGGGCAATGCACCTGGGAGGACGTATGCTTCGGAAGTGCTGGGGAATGCGCTCCATCCAATTACCGTCTCGGCATCGTGAGTGGTGGTGTAATCCGCCCTCGCAGGATGGAACGCTCCTGTGGAACAATCCTGCAGGAAGATGCTGCTGCGTTTCGCGTTCTCGACAGGCTAATCTTGGTTGATCCTTGCAGTCGGGACCCAATCTTCGGGAGGTCACCCATCCTTCTAGATTTTCTCTTTGCTCCATGCTCCAAACCGTTTCCCCGCGCCCGATCTTATTATAGCAAATAGCGTCCAGGAAAGGCACAGGAGATGTCCCCAAGCAATAGTATATGTAATCGTGAATGTCGGTGGCTTGAATGATTTCCAGGTGAGGTGAGGATGTCTCGTCCGGTCTCTTGTCTTGGTCTTTTTTCTTTTTTTCGTTTTTTTCTCGTTTCCCCTTTGTTCCCCTTAGACACCTTGTCCTTCGGGGCGGAGGGAAGATCGGCCTTCCTTACAGCTGTCTCTTGGGAATTGACCCCCTTTCCCCACAAAAAGAACCGTACTTTTGCCACTTGGCCAGTGTCGTCTACTCCGTCGTAGTTAGCTTCCGAAAAATGACATCCCGAGGATTCCATGGGCGAGCCGATAGGAGGATAGGCAGATAGGCTCGTAGCATGCCATATGGGTCAGGGAATATGCCTCAAGATCCGCTAAGCCAATCAATTGCTCTTCCCTTCATCCCCGTCTCCGTGAATCTGGGGATCCTTCTCCCCTTGACCCCCTTGCACCAAACAGTATCTCCGGACAGAGCAGCGGAACAGCGGCGGAATATTCAGCCCTAATTTTATTCATGGCCGCAATGCCGGGACCAAAGGGGGAGCGACACTCGGATCGAAAGATAAAAAAAGAAGCATAAAAAGTCAAAGTAAAAGATAAAAATAAAAAGGGAAAAAAATCCAGACCGAAAGGAATGCAGGACCGACAAACCAGAGCCGATAGCAGAATGGACGAGATCCGCAGGCAAATGAAACTATCCTTTCGGGTGGAGATCCTCTCGGGTTACCCAAACAGGCAACCGTGACAAGACTGGACCCTGAATCATGTGCGTCTTCAGAGTTTTATCTTTTTTGCTTTTGCTTAATCTCCGACGAGCAATCTGTTGGTATTCCTGCATGGGAGCTGCGGACCGGCAGCCGAGTAAGCCCATAAGCCGATGAACAGCAGATAATTTGGCGGTTGATGAGATGTCCCTGGCTCCCCAACCATTTTACTCGTCATCACGGTGACCGATTGGCCATCCCACGGTCCTCGTCGTTTGCAAAAGCCGCCATGCACGAACAGCGTAGCATGTCAATCTATGGGGTGGGGATTCTTTCCAGGTGATGGAGGAGCTCTGGGTGACAATCCATCAAAGGGGATATCCATCGAGTGGAAGTAATTTCCGCGACCGTGGGAAAGTCCAAGGATGGTTTCAGAGCAGCAGGAAACTCTCTCCAAGTCGAGACGCGCGGTCTTTGGAGGAAAATGGAATGTTTGCTTGTTTGCTTGGACTAGCTGGATCAGGGCTAGTGTGACACCTGACACCTGACACCTGACCCTCTTCCATTCTATGCGTACGCCGTAGTTATGAGATGCTCCCTGCTAATCATACATTAACTTTGCCATTACATTCGTCACTGCACCTTCACACCACCGCTCGGGCCGTCATGGATCCTAGTTGAATCCACCTGCCACGGCTGTAGGGCCGATGCTCCCATTGGCGTTCCCGAAGTCCAGTTTCATCAGCAGTCGATCAACACCGGCAGCCTTCCGTGGCACGTAATGGCTGATGGCAGGTTCAGCGCGCGTGCCGCTCAGAGGAGCTGCCCAAAGTCCAGGTTGCGGTCTAGCTGCATCGAACATCTTCCGTCCCTCTCCTGACCGATTGTCGTCAATGTCCCTGAGCCCGGCTACGACGTTCTTGATGCCCGCCTCCACTTGACGGCGCGCAGCACTCAACGACTGCCAGACTTCTCTCTCTTCCCCGGCATAGTCTACCAGTGCATCCACCACGCCTTCATCCGTCTCGAGATCCATGTTCCGTTGAATGCCCTCGAGGCGCACCACCAGGGCGATGAAATGATCGACACTTGTAAGCAAGGCCCGTAGAGCCTTGGTGAAAGGAACATCCGTCAAGAATAGCGATTGGACGAGAGAGAAAAGATACCCACGATGTGCAATGGTCAATGTTTCGGGATCATGTCGCTGGGTTACAGTTTGACCAAAACTTTCGAAGCCAGGCTCTTGTGTCTTCGAGGACGCCGCAGTCTGCGGTCGGGAACCCATTGACGAAGCAGCCGAAGCCGGACGCCCATCGATCCACTCTCGGAAGTGTTGCCAGGAGCCGTTGATAACTTCGCCCTGGAAAAAGCTTCCTATCTCAGACAACACAAAAAGCGAGGCACTGCTCGTTGCCCAGATGGGTCTCATCTGGTGAATTCTTGCGTTGTCTCTCTGCCGCCCCATCTTGAGTTTGTTTTGTCCAAAAGGCGTACTGCTTCGGGGTGGGCCCCATGGCGATGGATAGCTCTTACGCAAGGACGTGTGCTTCCATAAGTCGCCGAGATGTATTTGAGCACGCCGGATACCCAGCAGGTAGGAATGGATCTTAGAGTAAGAAAAGATGTCGGAAGTGGAAAGAAACAAGTCAAGGGGCGGGCGGACTTGTACGGAAAGTGATGTCGGGGTTGGGAAAAGAAGATCATCGAAAGCGATATTGGAGATGTCCGTAACTTGACCAAGTTCGACCTTATCATCAACTGGCTTCTGATTTTCCTTTGAGTCCTTGATTGACAGCCGCAGAAGATCCCTGGCAAGGTCAAGTTCGTCATCCTGAGGATCCTCCTCATTCTGCAAAGAATACAGCTCGATCCAGGTTTGTGCTAATGCGGCTGCAACGTCACCCTCTTTAACGGCGAGCCCTCGAAGAACCCCAGCAGATTTGTCTCTGGGACCTGGGGCTTCTGGTTTTCGACGCCTCTCTTGTAGCCGGCTATCAGCATGCGATACTAAAGCCGTCGCAAATTCACCACGTCTTAGCAACAGGAAATCATGCAGCACGGATAAAACTTCGAGGATTTTCGGAAGAGGCAGAAGCTTGGAGAACGTGCTCTGCGCCAACGACAAGCGGATCGAATTTATCGCTGTGGATAGCTTCAAGGTTGATATGGGGGATTCGAGGGTGGCAAGATGCTCGATATGATCACCATGGAGAGTGACCGGTGCCGTTGAAAGACCGCTTGAAAACCCCGCGGTCGAAGTACTTCGCTTTGCTCTAATGAGATTCAAGGTTTTCCCAATGAACAAGATGGACGACGCCGTCTGTGGTGAAACAAACTTTGGTAACAGCTTAGTATGTAGAATGAAATTCGACGTGGCAGAGTGATTTCCAGAATTTGCACTCTCGTCTTGTATGAAGAAATCACTTTTTCCCAACACAGGAAAATTCCCATAGAGCAGCCATGTCGACAGCTGCCTCATCCAAGCAGTCTCCGCCGCACTGACCAAGTGCAATGCCATTTCTTCAATGTCAGCATATCCGGTCTGCGATTCTGCGCGAAGGAAGTCAATCAACGATGCACCGGTGCAGCTATCATGACTTTCCTCGGGTAGGATGAATCTAGCCACCTCCCACAACCATTCCAGTCGCCGCGTCCATGGCGAAAACTCTCCCACAATGGTTGATAACGGCACAATTCCGTACCCGCCAACATATCGACTATCCTCAACCAGTATTGCTTTTTCGACCTCGATGATCTTCTTCTGGAATTCGCCAAGGTGCTGCGTGCTAATTGCCGTCGATACGGCCCGACAGATCACGGATTCATGGGAGGACGAAATTCGAGCCGTGTGGGTGCGCAGACGAGCATGCAGTCGGCTCAGACGGGCAAGGGGGGTGAGGAGTGCTTTCTCGGGAGGAGACAAGAGGGGAAAAGCATCTTCAGCGACGAGGCCTTCTTCGGTGGAGAGGTTGAATAGCGGCGACGGTTGGCCGGATAGGGAGAGGAGGACCTCGTGGAGCATTCTGGCGATAGCTCTCTACGCGGAAAGTCAGGCACAGCACAATAACCACGGCGAATAATTGCGGTTCTTGTATTCAGGACTAACCTAGATGAAAGATCTATGTCCACTCTGGATTTCTTACGCTGCCAGTATAATAGCCCGCGACCAAGAATCTCGTACCGACACATATAAGCTGACCGAGAGCTGAATCGTTGCTTCCATGTAGATTCGAGGGCTGGAGCGCGTCGCGGGTCGAGGTTGAGAACGAAGTCGAGATCGGTACCTGCAGCAGGGAGAGGCAATTACAGAGGGTTAGTGGGATAAGGTTAGCTGCCTTTTCCAGTAGGAGGTGAATGAGCAACGAATTGCATGGTGCGGGATCCCTTCATGACATGCTGGGGGAGTTCACCGGCTGGACGAAGAGTTGCCATGACGGACTTCCTCGGCCGGTCACGCTCGCGGTCACGGGCGGTGGGCAGACGGCCTGAGGCCATTCCGCGGGGCCATGGCCAATCAGCGGCCTCTGTTGCTGAGTCAGCCGCGACAGCTTGTCCCTCTTACGTCGCCGACGGGTCGATTATTCAGTTGGCCGGTTCTCGTTCCTTCTTTGCCTCTCTCTCCATCTTGCTTTAACATCGTTATTGCCTGTGAATCTTGTCATTTCTATCATATACGCATCTACTCGTCAGAGAGCTTCTCTGTACCTTATTCTCTTCCCCCGCCTCGTCCGGTCCTTGACCGCTTCTACCCCTCCTCGAAGTCAGTCTGCACTGGCAGTTGTAGACACCATCCTCCCACTGTCGGAAAGTCTTGCTTAGAGGCAAGGCTTTCGTTGCACCAGTCTTCACGATTCCTTCCGAAATCCCTGTTCGTGACGCTGCGAACCCGGGAAAGCGGAGAGCGTCCGGGGACAAACCAGCAACTCGACCGGAGAAGAAGATCATGACGGTATGTTGATTAATCTGCTATGTCAAAGTCCTCTTTGGCGAATCCGAGGGCTCTAACATGTTCCAGGACTCCACGATGCAGGTGGATAACCCCCAGGAAACTGTGGAGATGATCAAGCAGGGGGAGATCGACGAGTCCTTGTACAGCCGGCAGCTGTAGGTCATCCTCGAGTATCTTTCAAGCTCGGGAGCTATACTGACTCATAAATCCCCTCATAAAGGTACGTGCTTGGTCATGAGGCTATGAAGCGTATGGGATCATCCAATGTTCTTGTTGTGGGCTTGAAGGGTCTGGGTGTGGAAATCGGTAAGTACCAACCAAAGCTGTTGCGGCTCCGCGGCCATCACTCATTGACTGTTTTTCTCAGCCAAAAACATTGCCCTCGCCGGTGTCAAGTCCCTCACATTGTACGATCCTGCTCCTGTCGCCATTTCGGACCTGTCCTCCCAGTTCTTCCTTCAACCTCAAGATGTCGGCAAACCCCGTGCCGAAGTGACGGCCCCGAAAGTTGCGGAATTGAATTCATACGTTCCGGTCACGGTTCACGAGGGCGACAGCATTGTGAACAACTTTGAGCAGCTGAAGCGCTATCAGGCAATTGTTCTTACTCTCACGCCCCTGAAAGAGCAGCTGGCTATTGCAGACTTCTGTCACAAGAACGGCATTTACCTGACCATCGCGGACACATTCGGTCTATTCGGCTACCTCTTCAACGACTTCGGCAAGAACTTCACCATCGGAGACGCTACGGGCGAGGAGGCCGTCGGCGGCATCGTGGCTAGCATTGATGAGACTGGCCTGGTCTCCGCCCTGGATGAGACTCGACACGGCCTGGAGGATGGCGATTTTGTGACATTCACCGAGGTAAAGGGTATGGAGGGTTTGAACAACTCCGCCCCTCGGAAAATCACCGTCAAGGGCCCCTACACGTTCTCTATTGGTGACGTCGCCGGACTCGGGACGTACAAGGAAGGCGGCTTGTATACCCAGGTCAAAATGCCCAAGTTTGTGGATTTCCAGTCGCTCGACGAGCAACTTAAGAAGCCTGAGCTTGTCATCTCGGACTTTGCCAAGTTTGATCGGCCACAGCAGTTGCATATTGGTGTTCAGGCACTCCATAAGTTCGCGCAGGCCCACGATGGGCAGCTTCCTCGTCCTCACAACGAGACCGATGCTGAAGAGGTTCTCAAACTCTCCAACGATTTGGCGTCGAGCCAGGAAGAGAAGGTCGAATTGGATGAGAAAATCATCAAGGAACTCAGCTACCAGGCTCGTGGTGACTTGAACCCCTTGGCGGCATTCTTTGGCGGCATTGCGGCACAGGAGGTTCTGAAGGCTGTTTCTGGAAAATTCAGCCCTGTCCAACAATGGCTCTACTTGGACTCTCTGGAGTCCCTTCCTGCCTCAATCACTAGATCTGAGGAGAGCTGCAAGCCTTTGGGAAGCCGCTATGACGGCCAAATTGCCGTCTTTGGTAAGGAATACCAGGAGAAGATCTCCAACGTTACCCAGTTCCTTGTTGGAGCCGGAGCTATTGGATGTGAGACCCTGAAAAACTGGGCCATGATTGGTCTTGGAACTGGTCCCAAGGGCAAGATCTATGTCACCGACATGGATCAAATCGAGAAGAGCAATCTTAACCGACAGTTTCTGTTCCGCACGAGAGACGTGGGTAAACTGAAGAGTGAGTGCGCCTCCGCTGCGGTCCAGGCCATGAACCCCGAATTGGAGGGCAAGATTGTCACCTTGCGGGACCGAGTTGGGCCCGATACCGAGCACATCTTCAACGAGGACTTCTGGGAAGGACTCGACGGAGTGACCAACGCTCTGGACAATGTCGATGCGAGAACCTACGTTGATCGCCGTTGTGTTTTCTTCCGGAAGCCCCTCCTTGAGAGCGGCACTCTCGGTACCAAAGGCAACACCCAGGTGGTCCTTCCGCATATCACGGAATCCTACTCGAGCTCGCAGGATCCCCCCGAGAAGACATTCCCGATGTGCACGCTGAAGAGTTTCCCCAACCGGATCGAGCACACTATCGCTTGGGCCAGGGACCTCTTCCAGACATACTTCGTCGGACCACCCGAGTCTGTCAACATGTACCTGTCCCAGCCGAATTACATCGAACAGACCCTCAAACAGGCCGGCAACGAGAAGCAAACCCTGGATCAGCTGCACGAATTCTTGGTGGCTGACAAGCCATTGACCTTCGATGACTGCATTGTTTGGGCCCGTAACCAGTTCGAGGCCCAGTACAACAACGCAATCCAGCAGTTGCTTTACAACTTCCCTCGGGATTCGAAGACCTCGTCTGGTCAGCCCTTCTGGTCTGGACCCAAGCGTGCTCCTTCGCCCCTGAAGTTTGACGCTACGAACCCGACTCACCTCGGGTTTGTTATCGCCGGAGCAAACCTCCATGCCTTCAACTACGGCATCAAAAACCCCGGTGCCGACAAGGAGTACTACCGCAAGGTCGTTGACAACATCATCATCCCCGAGTTTTCTCCGAAATCTGGCGTGAAGATCCAGGCCAACGAGAATGATCCCGATCCGAACGCCCAGGCTTCCGGATCCTCTTTCGATGACAATAAGGAAATCCAGCGCCTGGTCGAGTCTCTGCCCGCGCCGAACTCGCTTGCCGGCTTCCGCCTGACCCCGGTGGAGTTCGAAAAGGACGACGATACCAACCATCACATTGACTTCATCACTGCGGCCAGCAACCTTCGTGCCGACAACTACGATATTCCTCAGGCCGACCGCCACAAGACCAAGTTCATTGCGGGCAAGATTATTCCTGCCATCGCCACCACGACTGCGCTGGTTACTGGACTGGTTGCCTTGGAGCTGTACAAGATCATCGACGGCCAGGATGACATCGAGAAATACAAGAACGGCTTTGTCAACCTTGCGCTGCCGTTCGTTGGCTTCAGTGAACCCATTGCCAGTCCCAAGGGCAAGTACCAGGGCAAGGATGGTGAAAAGACCATCGATCAGCTTTGGGATCGCTTTGAGGTGGATGACATCCCCCTCAAGGACTTCCTTCAGTATTTCTCCGACCTTGGGTTAGAAATCAGCATGGTGAGCTCCGGAGTGAGCTTGCTATACGCGAGCTTCTATCCCCCGTCGAAGGTTAAGGACCGCCTTCCGCTGCCGTACGTTTCCCCCACTCCTTCAGACCCTTATCCAATTGTTGATTGACTAACATTCGCTCGCACAGGATGAGCAAATTGGTGGAGCACGTCAGCAAAAAGCCTGTGCCGGAGCACCAGCGGAACATCATCTTCGAGGTGACTGCCGAAGATCAGACGGAGGAGGATGTGGAGATTCCATATGTGATGGTTAAGCTGAGGAAGTAGAGTAAGGGAGGAGACCATGTGAAACGGGGCCATGCCTAGAGATAACGTGCGTTTTACCAGATTATTAAAGTCTTAGATGTTTTTGTCCCATTCCATGAAGTTAGATAAGATCCTCGTAAGAATGACCAAGCAGGCTTTGTCAGCCACCATCCGCTCAACGTCATCGCTCCCCGCACCTGATTGGACCTCGTTTTTCTCTGCGACGCCGCCAGCCCAGTCCAGGCCTATACCTCCTGCTATTTATACTCGTGGTGATTTCTTCCTGCCCCTCATCTCTCATGTTTCTTGCCCTCCGCCGTCTCCAGCAGTCCTCCCGCCACATCTTGCCCCTCAACACCACCGCGGGGTTCCCTAGCAGCATCTCCGCACGATCGATCTCTCCGCGCACGATGGCAGTAAGCTGCCCTACATGCTTTACCTACTATAGATCAACTATATATTAACTCTCAATGATCTATCTCAGACCGGAAACACTCACAAAATCACCGACTGGGTCAATCCCAATGACAAGTCCGGTGAATTCAAGCGTCAGCAGTCCGTCTTCCGGAACTGGATCTCCAGAGAGCCCGGCGCGGACTTTCCCCCGGAGAAGGATCGTTACCATCTCTATGTCTCGTACGCCTGTCCCTGGGGTGAGTATAACTTAATCTCTTGTTTCTATTGCTCTTCCAGGAGGCTTCGTGAAGTGGAGAGCTAATATGATCAAACACCCCAGCCCACCGAACATTGATCACGCGAAAGCTCAAGGGCCTGGAGGACATCATCTCGTTCACGTCGGTGCATTGGCATTTGGCTGAGAAAGGTTCGGCTTTCTCTCTCTTCTAGCTTGAATCCCCTGTTGTTAGTGAGAAACTAATATGTCTTGGATAGGTTGGCGCTTCGCAACCCCGGAGGAGAGCTTGCCTGGCGAGAACGCGGTTCCGGATCCTTTGCATCCGCAGTATACGCATCTGCGCGAGATCTACTTCTCCAATGACCCGGAGTACACGGGGCGATTCACGGTCCCCGTCCTCTTCGACAAGAAGACCCAGCGCATCGTGAGCAACGAGGTATGTCTACTGACACTATTCCATTCGCATACCGCTAACTCTCGCCAACAACAGAGCGCCGAGATCATCCGCATGCTCTACTACGAGTTCGACGACCTCCTCCCCGCGCAATACAAAGCCGTCGACCTCTTCCCCAGCGCCCTGCGCGCCGAGATCGACGCCACAAACGACTGGACCTACAACGAGGTCAACAACGGCGTATACAAGTCCGGTTTCGCGACCACGCAAGAAGCCTACGAGAAGGCCGTGACCACGCTGTTCGCCTCGCTCGACAGGATCGAGGCCCATTTGGCCGCGTCCCAGCGCGCCGGCAACCCCTTCTACTTCGGCTCGTCGATCACCGAGATCGATATCCGGCTGTTCACAACCATTGTCCGCTTCGACCCCGTCTACGTGCAGCACTTCAAGTGCAATCTGCGGGACATCCGCTCGGGGTACCCGGCGCTGCATCGCTGGTTGAGAACCCTGTACTGGGACGTGCCGGCCTTCCGGGACACGACTCAGTTCGAACACATCAAGAAGCATTATACGAAGAGTCATAAGCAGATCAATCCGTTTGGAATCACTCCTGTCGGACCGGTGCCGGATATTCTTCCGAAGGACGAGGAGGTTAGGGCTGTTGCTGCGGCTAAGAATTGAACATCGAAGATTGTTTCAAAGGATAATTGGTGACAGCTGCATATTGATTTATATAATTAACCAAATAGTCTAACCTAGTACAGTATGTGAAAATGCATATCAACTATTTTCAGAGTATATGTCCTCTCTCCGCCCCATTATAGTGTAAACAGATGCCGTGAAGCAAAGAAATCTTTTTTAAGTACATTCGAATCAGTTTAAACCCCTGGTTCGACAGGTCGGGAATATCCGATAAACAAACGAGATGGACGACGAACAGGAAAAGAAACTCCAGAGTATGCTGCAACGCACGACGCCTGCCATGCTAACGAGGTTCGGCGGGACGCCTTATCCAATGTGGAATTGCCGTTCGAGAAGACCAACGGTCTCAATGCCAGAAAACGCAAAATGAGCTCAAAACAAAAAAGCCATTAGTAGATCTGGTTAGAAAGGTGAGGAGGTGATATGAAGAAAAATGGCGCGGCGATGCTGTGTCAAGTAAACAGCAAGCTCACACGAATCCATGGCTTTCCACCCAGAGGGTGAGAACGAGACCAAATCAGGCTAAGTGGCTTCGAGGGTATCTTGGCAAAAAATTCTAGAATTTGGAGAAATCAGATGGGGAAAGAAAAGGTGGAAATGAGCGTGCTTCGAGTCCGGAGCGATGCGAAGGCTGGTGGTAGACGCAGTTAGCCTCCAGCGAGAGGACCGACTCTCGGCCTTATCTGAGGCCAAGCATTCGTTTGGCGTTCTCGTATACAACATAGCTGATAGAAACCGCAGGCGCAACCTTGAGGAGGTTCGGCGTCAGCCCTTTGTAGAATCCACGAAAACCCTCGGCCTGTATCGTCTTGCGGGCAACTTCGCCAATACTGTTATAAGTCGCAGGGTGAAGAATGGTTCCTTGAGCTTGCATTCGAGTCCTGAGAACGTTGAGCGGATAGACGACAGAAGCGCTTAGTCCTCCACTAAGCGCGCCAATAGCTCCCGTGGTAAAATTGTTCAGAGGGACATCGTCTTCATGGCAGTGGTGCGCGCGAGCTTTGCGCGCAAGTAAGCCGCGTTTCAGGTATTCGAAAGTCGTTAGGTCGATCGCAGCATACGGAAACATGCCCATTAGTCCGAGCGGCAGGCCACGAAAGAAACCGAATGGGCCGTGCTTATTCAAAACTTTGCGCGCTGTGGCCGCGATAAGCTGGTTGCCTTTGAGGCCACCTTCAACCGTCTCGCACTGCATTCGACTGGACGAAAGATGAGCTTCTAGTGTACTAGGAAGGTAATGCTGCATGCATGGAAGTACTCACAATTTCAGGGTATCGAGAGGGTACACAAAGCATCTACATCCCCGTTAGTGTATGAATCAGTTGAATTGGATCATCAACATAACATACTGGGCAACCATTCCACCGCACCCTCCGGATAAAAATTGCGACGTCGGCGCAAGACGTTTTGTATCACCATGGCCTTCAAGACGGGCAAAGGCGCGTTTGGCAGACTATAGTCATCACATCAGCAAATTGTGGTCGCTTCAATTGACCAAATGCGGCGGGACTGACTTCGTAAGCGCCGAATTTGATGGCCGACTCAGGCATAACTTTCACAACGTTCAAGCCATTTCCTGCCATCGTTAGTCGAGTATCTCAGGTGTGGATCGGAGCGAAACCAACCTGCGAAGAGACTCCGAATGCCTCCTGCACGCCACAGCTCCTTGATCGCATCGGCGAGCGTTTTCGACGCGGTTCCTGCTGCCTTCAACGGGGCACCATCCTTGGCCGCACGAACAGCAGCCGTTTGCACGCCGGTTTGCGCAATGAGATAGACTTTAAGTCGGTCTAAGGGCGCGGTGGCTGTTCGTGATACGGCACCAGCAATTCCGCCTGCAATAAAATAACCTAATTGAGGAGTGTTTTCTGTCAACTTTCGCTCATAATATCGGAAGGACATCCACATGGCGACAGTCCTGGGTATAGGCAGCCACTCCAAGTCGAAGTCGCCGTCTAGGGGGGCAGTTTCATGGTCAAACACAGGGCCGGGAGCAGATACGCCGCCGGCTTCCGCATAAGCCGATGGTATGAGAGTTGCCAAAGCGTGCACTGGGAAGATATAGTACAAAAGGTTCTTTATGGCCAGGATATAACGGCTAGGAAACGAGTGGTCTGTACCTAAACCCTGTAGATCATTGATGTGGACATCTCCTTCCGGGTTTAGATTTCCCGTGGCCGTGTAGTATGATAGGACAGCATGCAAGTTGGAGGACGAGTAGGCAGGTAATAAGAGGAGGAAGTCCCTAGTAATCACACGTCATCAGCCCTGGTCAGCAAGCTCCCCAAGTGACATAGGGACGTCAGAGGAGGGGAAGGAGAGAAGAATGAGGGGGCGAAGAGAGAGGGAAAGCGATGGAGAGGCAATGATCGACCGCGTACATACCTCCACTCTGCATAGGAAATAACTCCGTCGCTGTTTGTATCGACGTCTGCGAAGAATTCATCGAGTTTGGCGTTCGACACGGTGACCTCGGCGTTCGCGAAGGCGGACTTTAACTCGTGTTTGTCGATTTCCCCGTTGCGATTGCGATCAATACTCTGGAAAAGACCCCATAATCCATGCTCAGTGTGGTCGACGAAGGCCCGGAATTCTGGGACTCATTAGGTTTGTAAATCAACCGGCAATCTTGCCAGTCACTTCGGAGGAGGGGAAAGTCCATGATCAAGACGTGTGATCTTACCCGAGTGATCGATATACCCATCGCCATTGGTATCGACAGATTTCATGACATTCCGCAGCATACTATCCGCATTTTTGAGGGCTATCCAGACGGAGGTCATCGGGTCAGTCGGCGGCGCGGCAGAAATGCACGGGAACCACATCTGCAGGTCATGCTCACGGTGATCAATCTTCTTTAGCCCCTTCTTCAACCCATTGAGATCCAAGCGACCGTCTCTGGGGACGCCCAATCGTTCCCAGAGTTTCGCGACTCGGAGGTCACGTTCATCTTTCGACTCGTCGGGTGCCATGATCGATAGTTCAGCGTTTATCGGCCACCCGACATGATACTTCCCGGGGAGGGGTGTTCGTCACGGGGTTTGAGGATCGGAGATAGCGAGCCCGTCACGGCAGGGCAGGAGAGATAATAGGAACAAGCTGGGCATCGAATCCGCGGGGTAGAAGGCTTGTCGTGGGTGGCAGAGGTTGTCGCAGATGTTCCGCGGGCATGGCAAACAGAGTCGCGGAAGCCTGAGAAATCCAGCCGCAATGATTTGCTTTTCCATACGACATTCCGCCGGAAGAAAACTGAGCGCCGGCCCGGGGCTTCACGGGACTGGCACGGGACTTGGCACGGGACCACGCAGGGCCCAACCCTACTAGGCCTGTTTGGGACGTGGTCACCTGCCGTCACCTGCCTATCGTACTCGACGTCGGGTGGCCTCTGGTCGAGTCTCTCCATCGCTCGCCCTCGATCGGTCTGTCTCCTGCCTGTCTCCTGTTATCTATCCTGGCTGCGGCAGTGGCTGACGGGTCCAGTAGCCACCTCTCCCTATATAAATCCCCGGATCTTTGGTGATCCGAATGACTGCGCAGTCAACCTGGCATGCTTGATATCCTGACTCCAGGTCTATATACCACCGTCTCTCCCTCTCCGGGCTGAACGGGCCATGGCGGCCAATTATTGGGTGTCGACGCAGCGTCGGCACTGGTTGTTCACGCGCGAACGGTTGATGGAAATCCGAGAAGGGTTCAAGGAAAGAGACAAGATCGCGCATTCCCAGTTTCCTTTGCCGGATCAGAGGTTGCTCAATATCTACTTCAGCCAACGTAAGAGAGGAAGAGATGTGGCGTGATGGTTCTCGCAACGACTGAAAGCTGAAAATCCGGCAGAACTGATCAAACTCGGAAAGAGGATGTCGACTCGACAGCAGGCCCTTGCAACGGCTCAAGTATACATCAAGAGGTTCTACACCAAAAATGAGATCCGGCACACCAACCCGTATTTAGTCGTGACGACCGCGTTCTATCTCGCCTGCAAGATGGAGGAATGCCCGCAACACATCCGCTTTGTCGTTGCGGAGGCACGAAACTTCTGGCCGGGTAAGACAGGATTATATGCATGAACTTCTTCGTAGTCGCTAATCATCTCCTTAGAGTTCATTGCCCCCGATGTGTCGAAACTGGGCGAGTGCGAATTTGCCCTGATCTCCGAGATGAATTCTCAGCTCATTGTTCATCACCCGTATCGAACATTATCGGAGCTACAGCCCGAACTATCTCTTACGTCCGACGAGGTTGCTCTTGCATGGTCAGTGATCAACGACCATTACCTGACGGACTTGCCACTGCTTTACCCGCCTCATGTCATTGCCGTCATGGCTATTATTGTGGCCGTCGTTTTCAAGCCAAGTCAAACCAGCTTCCATGGATCTGCGGCTCCAATAGCCTCGGCCATGCGGGACGGCGGCATGAATATTCTTGCGGCCTTGGGGGATAAGAACGGCAACGGTCCACCCCCTCGGATTCAGAAACTTATTGCCTGGCTGGCCGAGAGCGAAGTGGACATCCGAGCAGTCATCGAATGTACCCAGGAGCTAGTTTCGCTGTACGAGGTTTGGGAGCAATACAGTGAAAAGCACTGCAAGGAACTCTTGGGCCGGATGATCAAGAGCAGGAATCTTGACAAATAACTTCTTAGCACAGGTTTTGGATGCATTTTCTGCGGTGTTTTTGGCTTTTTTCTTTTTCTTTTTCTTTTTCTTTTTTTAGTCTTTTTCCCAGGAAAAAGAAACCTTGGAATTTTTACTATTCATTGTACAGCCAAGGGTTAATTGGCCATCGAGAGGTCGTCATCATTGCACAGACCCATGCATATCTGTATATAGGCGGCTCATATATGAACAATCCAAGAAATATAAACAGCTAACCGAGACCGAATTGGGTTGCAGACATGTTGACAGATCACCGGCCGATATTCAAATAGGTTCACGAGACATGTGTTCTATTCGGCACGTACGGTGGCTACAAGACTAGGTATACATCGTGCAATTAAGTTGTTAAGCTGTTTAGCCAACAGTTCGATATCCTCATTCGTTTCGAGACAGATGAGAAGGCATACGTAAAACACAATACCAAAAACGTGGTTTGACTGAAAAGTCAAGACGAGAATGCCATGTGGTATGCGCGACGAATACTGCGTAAAAAGTGAAGAAACCGCCAACCGAAGGCTAGTCTAGTCTAAGAATAGCCAAGGCTGGCTTAATTTCAAAGATTCTTGTCTGTCTTATTCTCATGTCCAGAATCAAGATCTGAGCGATTCATCGCTCATGCCTGACTCAGTGCCTGATATCCAATAGGCTGGCCGGCACGGGATGCCTATCTAGGGACATGAATGCTACATGCCACCAAGCAAGGGATGTGAAACACTTGATCGATCGGCCGGGGTCTCAGCAAGCGCCCATGTTGACGGCCACGGGTCGAGCATGCACCCAATAATGCTGCCTCGTGGGACTGTCTCTGAAGACCATGTAGGACTAGGGTGTATGTATGTACCTGTTGTATGTAGGCGCCCCCCAGATGACGATGCGTACCGAAGAGCCCTGTGCAGAGATCTCAAATTCCTGACACAGCTCCGGGTAAATGATGATTGGCCTTGACGTGATATCAGAGGATTTGACCCTGGTCGGGACGGTCAGACACTAGGTGGTTAGTATAGGTACGTACTCGTTAGCACGACTAGCACGGGGTACTTTGCAGCAGGTCGTTACTTGGTAGCAGAGTCGAGGGTACTTCGTAAGGCTTCCCAATCATTAAGCGCCCATGCAATTTACGGGGTAGCATGGAATCCCGGGCGTTGGTTCTTATTCGTTGTTCGAGCAGCTTCAACCAGCCGACACCTTTTATCCCTGCACCCGCATTGCAACCCCTACCACCAGCCACCAACCACCATGTGCTGACGCTTGCTTTCTCTTTTTGTCTTTGTCTCCAGGCTAGCACAAACACTTTCGTTTCTGGACGAAGGATTGTCGACATTTGACCCACCCTCGTTATGAGATACGGCGCAAGGAGTAGGCTGTGTTTGAAAGAAAGAAATTGCCCCGGTTCGGGCGCCTTTTTCTCAGATCGTCGTAACCAGTCGCCCCTCGATGGCTTCCCCACGGTTCCACCCAGAACAATCAGACGACGACTCCTGTTGACTCGTCATGAATTGACACTGCACCGTCGAGCGGCAACAGAATCTCAACCTTAATCGAGGGTCCTAAAAAGCGGTGAGGGCGAAAGAGGGGTACGATTCCATGATTCAGGTTCTGGCAAGAAATTGGCTATGGGGCCTCAGGATTGAGAACCAGAGCCGGTGGACTCCGTCGTTGGGAGGACTGGGGGGAGCGATTCCAATGATAGGGTCCCGCATGGAGTCTGAGGACCAAGGGAGTCTGCTAGCTGCATATTGACCTGCATACCGCCCTCTGATCCGTCGCCGTGACTGTTTTAGCGTCTCGTATCGACTTCTGAATCTTCCCTGGTTTCAAGAGTCGCCGGGTGAAGGCGACGTTCTTCTATGTACAAGTGGCAGGACGATGTGGCCCTCTCGCATGATGCATCGGCGATTATCGTGACAGCGGATCATCTATTCTTGGTAACCGAACCTCCTGAAGCGCCGACTTCACTGTTCACTGTCCACTGCATCTCTGACTGTCACTCTGTCCTCTCTACTGCCATCTCAGGAGGAAAAGGGGGTCGTTGGATGGAGCCGGACCGGGGCTCTATTGTTGACCATTGGTGCATAGTGCCAATCTGACACGGCACATCGTAGCCTTCTCCATTGTACACCCGAGGATGGGAACAAACCCTCTAAATTGGGCATTCGTTGCTCGTCCATGGAAGCGTCAGTTTAGGTTTCGGTTTGGAAAACTGTCGAAGCCGCGAAGACCGCACGGGGCCACGGATCCATCCTGAACTTTCTTGTAGCGGCCGTGGCTGGATCGGGATTACGTATTATTACCGAAATACGCGATGAATTGATAATATCTGATAATACGCAGTAAATGATAATATGATAATACTATTCATGCCAAAACAAATCCCAGGGCGTCTCCTTTCCCACCACCTTCAGGCAGGTGGCACGGTTCAAGGGAAAGGTACCGAGAGACATCGTGGCCAATCACGCCTGCCCCGGAGTGGGGCCAGCCACCTTTTTGCACATCATTTCCTGCACATGTCGTAGTGTGTTTAGAGACCGGTACCTAAGAATAATACCTAAGAATACCTGACCAACCTGCCAGCGCATGCCTGTCTTCGGAAATGGAGAGCCACCTTCATTCCCCAGTGTCCTCGCCCTCCGAGGACGCAGCCGGGAAGTATCCTCCGGCAGACGGAGGAGTCCGAGGTATCATTTGGAAGGCCTCATCCTCGTCATCAGGGTAGACTGGCTCCTGGACTCCGGAGTAGCAGTGTAGCACGACCTATTCATGTTTGCCACGATCTTCACCATAACACTGCAGATCCACTTCGTTCCCCCCCCCCCTCCCTGACCACTGAGCCCCGATCCTCCGGCAGTCAACTCATCATACAACAAGCAGCACCATTATCATACCACACCAATCCGGGGACCAAGAGTGGTAAGGTGTTACAGGCTTACAGCCTTAAAAAAAGTCCGCTGGGCCTGGTCGACCGCCACCTTGCACTAATCGGGGACGCCCAGATTTTAGATCATCGAGTGTTGGTGGAGGTGCGTCGCTGGAAGTGGACTAGGCGAAATCTTACGACGTCACTTTAGTCCGTCTGCTAACCGCCTCGAGCCGTTCTGGAAAACAGCCATTGGTGGGAGGGACGGTGGCTGTTACGGGCCCACTTGGAGCTCTGATCAGGGGTGACCATTGGCCGGGGTGGAGCCGGTATTGCCACTCTGCGGGCGTGGACGGGGTTCTGGTTGGATCTTCATCCTGCCCTAAAACTGGTGCGTGACCAGGTTAGCGCAGGAGAGAGAGCGTCGGACCGGGTTATTACCAAAGTGACGATACGCGGCCGGTACCAGGGCGGCAGCGTCTAAGGGGGCCTCTGAACAATCCGGCGCGGAATGGACGGTACGGGGCGTCAGGTATGGTAAGGCCCTTGCGGAGATCCACCGACCAGCACTGGCTCAGCCCCAGCAGAATAACAACCGGCAGCCCCTCTTGCTCTCGCCTCCGTCCACTCCGGGCTCTTTTCCTCTGCTCGCGGTCTTCTTTTTCAACTTCTTGTCCCGCCTTTTTCCATCGAAGATTCCCCATCCCACAACCACTAAACGCAAATTCGAACCGACCCTCTCGCTTTCACTGCTTTTTTATTTTTTCTCTTTCGTCCCATATTCCTTCCCATAATCCACCCGCTTCTAATCTTTTTGAATTTCTTTCTCGCTCGCCCGCCCAAGTCTACATTCCTCCCGACCCCTTGTCACTTTACCATACTGTTTTTCTTTCACGTCTTCCTCCCCTCTGCTTAGGATTCCAGCGAGCTGGTCCTTTGTTATTGTATCCACCTTCATATAGCTCGGAGTTCGCCAACGATATAACGACTTTTTCTCCTTCGTTATCACTTGCCACCATACCCTCGCCATGTCGACGTTTTTCTACGGTCAGCAGCAGCAGCAGCACCCTCACCACGGCGCCACCGCACACATGGCCTCGAACAACCACCACGGCGGTCGCTCTCGACGAGGACCCAAGATGGCCGCGCAGAACGCTCAGCGCCAGTTCCGAGGTGTCAAGAGCATGAGGGAACTCGCCGAAGCCCCTGCCGTCTCTGCTTTCCGCGCTCGATTCGAGGCTGGCCGGTCTTTTGATCTGGACGACGACCTGGAGTTCTGCCCTGGTCTCCTGACGGAAGATGATGTATGTTTGCCCCCCTCCGCTCGGATCATCCGGGTTCTTGGCCTGCTCCCCCATCCCCTATCGAACCTCGATCCGAGTCTTTAGGGGGGGAGTGATTGGTAGAATGTTGTATTAACGTTCGACCTTGTTGTAGCTGCACTCAATCCATTCCGCTTCTTCCGATCGGTCCTCTCTCTCCAGTGGATCTCCCGACACGTCTCCCCTCCAGCATCAAATCCAGCCTGTCCAGCAGGTCACGCCGTCCATCTCCCTTTCTCCTGCTTCCAGCAACTCGTACGTTCATTCAGGGATTTCCGGCAACCTTAATCACGTGAACTACCAGCAGCCGTCGGCGGCTCGCACCCGCAAGGTCATCCCCATCGTCAACCCTCACACCGGGATGACCCTGACCAGCCCGCCCACGTCTATCTCGCCGGCCTCGATGCAGCATGCTCAGCGTCGATGGTGAGGAGCATCTTCCCTCGCCAGTCGCCACTTCTCTGGCTCATGGGCATAAGTCCATGACAATGTTTTCCAATTCGTCCAGCTTCTGCATCATCGGGCTCCCTAACCGCCGGTTTTAATTATTTTCTTTTTGCGCTTGTTTCCTGTTCGACACGGCCATCGCATCCATTACGATCAAATCCGGGTGATTCGATCCCCCGTGGCCTCCGACCCTCGCGAGTCCGCTGGGCCACCCGGTGATTTTCTCTGTATATACACCTTTCTCCGATGACGACCTTCAGCACTTTTCTCTCTAGACTGATGCTTTCGACTTTCTGCGAGCGACGGCGCCTGCGATCGAGTTTTGCATTCAAACTTCCTTATTTTCCCATCGATACCTTGTTTTTTATCATTCGGTTAGGGGCAAAAACAATTATTTCCTGGCCTCGACGTTACTGGCCGCGATGATGTATAGAAAGCGCGGCGGATTGCCATTTGGGCGCGCATCTATGGACCGGAGTTGCTTCTGCTTTTGATGTACTTTGGCGACTAGGCAAGAAGTGCTTAGCCGTTTGCCATATATCCTTGCTTTGTTGTTTTTTCTTTTGAGTCTGGTTTAATTTCTGGGTGGGATGGGTATTTTCTATTATACGCTTTTCAGGGATCTAGAAAGGTGGAAACGATATACGTCTGCATTGATTGGGCACTGTTGGACTGTTCGGGATGTTTGTTTGGTCTGCTTGACTTCTTCACACGTGTGTCTTTTACAGCTCTTTTCTTTTTCTTTCTCTTCGTGTATATGGGTTGGGGATATGGGTGATTCTTTTGTCTTTCTGGCGGCCGCTGCTAATGCACAGCGGCCGGCGAAACGAAAAAAATCCATGGACTGGATGTGGCTGGAGTTTTTGACGGGGTCTCTCGCTCATCGCGAGACAATAGACCATTTTGCGGTTTGAGATTCGTCTTCGGTCCCGCGTTGATTCGTTCGGGTGTTTTGATTGTGTTATTTGGATTTTTCACTTCTGGGACTCCCGGAGAGTATGATGCTGTGTATGATCTTCTGTTTTCTGTTCTCTTGGGCACTCGGTCATTTCTACCATATCTTCTTTTTCCTTTGTCTATATGCTCGTGGCTTTTGCACTATGCGGGACGATTCCCTATAAATAGTTGTGAGATTAGCTTTGGACACAACCTGATTGTTACACCACTCCAATTCTTCCGCTGTTTGATCTGGTTGCTGGCCTCATGCCTGGATGATAGATCCTCGTGAAGCTTTTGTATGCTTTCTAAACCGAAGTACTGGTACATCCCTCGCCTTCAAGGTGAACCTATATACTCTTCATGCCAGAGCATGCCAACATCTAGCAACCCTCGATGATCACTCATAACGCATAGCCCATGACAGGTCAAGGATGTCGAGACACGGTGATGTCATTGAGAGCCATCGACACAACAAAGGATGTCCCGCGATGGTCGCCCTGACTACCCAGCTTACGACCATCCCCCGCCCCATCAGGGATCCCCGTCAAAAGAACTGGAGACGTTGAGGGAGTCCCCACCCAGGCAGCAGAATAGGCCTGCAGTACTATCGACAAGAGCGTTATTCCTACTCCATACGTTGCGCAAAGGCCAAGAAGGAAGGCGACGGATTGTTCGATGGTCAATGACGTCATCGGTGACACCAGCCAGGAAGCACATTTGCTTTACCGAGGAGACATGGAGGTCGGATGAATACTTATGGAGGGCTGTCGGCTATAACTGAATTGCTATTCTTCTCTACTTTGTCCTTTGTCTCATTGTGAATATTTCTCGAGCAAACCCTCTGCCATCACGACTCGAATTGATCGACCCCGTAAGTGTCACTTTGTTCCAAGGCGTCGAGAAGCGGGTCATACGTCATCCATTCGACCCAATCCGTCTTCTGTCTGCCTCTCTTGCTCTGTCCAGTTCTCGCTCTCGCTCCTTTTCTACGAATCACCCTCAGTCCATTAACAATCTCTCTCTCTCTCTTCTCCAGGACATCCTAGAGACATACACACCAACATTCCAACATGTCATTCCTCGCCTCCGTTCGCTCAACAATCGCTCCGCGTCTGGCTCTTCGCCCTGCCTACGCCAGCACCACCCTCGCCTCTCCCTTCCATACCTCCTCCGTCCGTCCGGGCCTCAAGGAGTCGGATCACAGTCAGTGACTACCGTTACCTTTACCTTCCCTGGACTCCCGGAATAGCAGCTAACGATAACATTGCTAGACCGCGACGAGCTGCACAATATCTACGAGCAGGAGAAAGAGGACACAGTGAAGAGCTCCAAGGAGGGCAAGGCGAAGTGGAAGCAGGAATTGGCGAGTAACAGTGAAGCTTCGGTAGGTTTCCTCTTTCCTTTCGTTTTCTGTTCTGTGTTCATGAGGCAATGGTGTCTGGGTTCGCTGGGTTGAATGGATGGATGAATGCTAACCACGACGTACGATGCAGGTCAAGGCCGATCGGGGCGATCTCGACGGCGAAGAGCCGGACTTGAAGGATTTGCAGAACAAAACGAAGCATCTGCCTCACGAGAAAGAGGCGAGTAAGCGACAATAGGCGCGGGGACACTGGGTAGATGTCACTGTTTCTTTTTCCTTTCGTCTAATGCTCATTTACATTCTTGATGTTCATTCTCGTTCTCGTTCTCGTTCTCATTCCCACTGCCATTCTGGCTCGTTGATCTGTGGATTCTCACGATGTTATGTATAATATGTGTGGCTGAGGCCATTTCGGACATAAGCAAGAAGTCAAGTAATAATCGGAGTTCCAGGTCAAGATGAGGAATGATTGCAAGATAGGTTTAAAACAACACCGAGCGCCGTACGACAAAAACTCCCTAGTCGGTCAACGAGATAGACCAGAAAAAAATGTAACAGATACAGTAAGAACAACAAGGGGGAGACTTCAAGAGCTGGAATGTGAAACATGAAACAGAACGCCGCGTGCGCCTCTCCCAGAGACCTATATTTGTAAATCCCCAAATTCCCCGACAGAACAAAGAAAAATGTGATCTATACACCCCTGTATCACTTCAACAGGACGATCAGGATGACCAAGACGATGATCAACCCGATGATGGTCATCATACTCCAATTGTCACCCGCACTCCTCCGGATCTTGTCGAGCCGTCGCCTGGCGCCATTCAACCGGCCTTGGTGTCTCTCGACGTGGCCGTCCATATCGTCTAGTAGTGCAACATGGCCTTCTAGCTCATCCCCGATCTGAATGCTGAGTTGGTGCTGCCGTCCGATGGACTCTCCCAGGCGATCCAACTGCTCGTCTTGCTCGCGCATCACGTCGGAATGATGATCATGGATCTGCTCGTTGGACATTTCGGACTGGTCCACCCCCGACGGGGACGGCGAGTCGCGATACGGCTGGAAAAGGTGGCGACGGTTCAGGTCCTCCTCTTCGGCGGCCGAGTCCATGAACCGGACCGACTTCGACGGCGGGTGCTGCGGAATGGGCTGTTTCAAGTCGGGGGACGAATTCTTGACGTTGGTGAATTGCGGCTCGCCCAGCGGATCGGCGGAGGCTTCGGAGGGATCATGTCCCAGGAACTGGGTCGACAGGTCGCGGAACTGCGTCTGCAAATGACCCAGCTGGTCTTTCATGGCTGGGGCCTCCTCGTCGTTGGCATTCTCGAGTCTGGAACATTCCGCCTCGACGGCCTCGATGCCTTCTCGTAGCGATTCTAGAGAACGGGAGATCTCCCCGTCCTGGCTGTTGGGTTCTAGGTCTAGCGAAATGGCGCGTTGCCGCTCTAGAAGGGAGAGTTTGATGTGATCTGCAAGGAGGAAAAGCTGAGACGGATTCGGCATTTTGAGGATGATCCCAGAGGGCAGTTGGATGCCGATGAGAGGGTGAGGCAGGCGTTGACGGAGGTGACGGTTGAGACGCCTGACGAAGCCGGAGAGTTGAGGCGAGGAAACCCGTTGGGCAGGAGAGACGGAGTCGACGAGGTACCCGACCGGAGCAGATGCGACAGGAACAGGGACAGGGACAAGACGGATGGGAAGGGAGAGAGAGAGAGAAGAGGAGATGGAATGGAAGAACGGCCGGTGTCAGCCTCGCCTCCGTTTGGCTGAGATCAGCTGCCGCCTCCCGCCGTTTCCCAATTTCTCCCCGCAATCCTTCGCTGCCTTCTTCTTCTTCCCCTCATCGCATTCTTGTCGCACCGCAAAACCGCATTCCTCCCTCCCCTCGGCCACCGTGTAACCCTCATGGGTGGCTTGCGGCACTATTGTTTCATCTTCTCATCCCTTCGGCCACTCGTCCGTCCTCGCTCGAACCCTAAACCCCCCTTTCCCGGTGTGAGGATTCAGTGGCGTGACGGTGTCTTATAACCCGCCTCCTGTCCAGGGCTTCGACGACTTGATCTTCGACCGCTATGAATCTCGAAGAGCTCCTCGCTATGGAGCCGAATTCCGACCGCGACAATATCGTCGACTTGCGCTCCTTAGACCATGTCTCAAGTTACGATGACCATCTGATGTGCCCGATCTGCCACTGTCCCTTCATCCGTCCGGTCCGTTTGCAGTGCGACCATGTGTTCTGCCAGAAATGTCTCAACAGCGCCATCACCAGTTTTGCCGCCGGTCGCGACGAGTTCACCTGCCCCAGTTGCCGAACACCGACCAAGGGCATCTACCTTAACGTCCCCCGATTGTTGATCAACATGTGCGATGACATCCGCGTCAAGTGCCCGTTTGCGGAAGAGGGATGCAAGGAAATCATTCCTCGCGGCCATGTCCAGTCTCATGTGGACAAATACTGCGGTTATAGACTGGTGGACTGCCCGGGTACGCTATGCGACAAGAAGTCCCGGAAGAAGGACTTGCATCCCGACCGCCGATGCATGCATGAACTTCACAAGTGCCTGCGCTGCGAGGAGGAGATTATGGAACAGGATTTTGAAGTGTGTTTTACGGTGGTCGCTCTTTCCATGCCATTTATGATTACTGACGACGGTATCGCAACTTAGGAACATGTGAAAGAACTTTGCCCTAGCCTTAAGACAACGTGCCCCGACTGCCAGACGACGGTGTTTCGAAAGGCTCTGAGGGAACATATCGATGCCTGCCCCGAGGCCATTCACTCATGTCCGGCATCTAAATTTGGTTGTCCTATCAAAGTCAAGCGTGCAGAGCTCGTGGTGCATGAACAAAGCTGTCCCCTGATCGCCATGGGGCCGTACTTTGAGGCCCAGAACTCGCGACTCGACTCCATGGAGCTAACCATCCGCCATCTTCAGCAGCGGAACGAGATCTTCGAGGACGGAATTGCCAATATCCGCTCGACTCTGGTGGAGTCCACTCGGTCAATCCCGGGGCGGAATGCTACCGAATTACCGGCCGAACGGGACCGCCGAGGAGAGCATTCGAATTCCTCGGCGGCCGTGTCGAACGACCAATCGCAAGCGGAGAATTCTAATACATACACGTCGAATGCCACGACATATTTGCTGGCACTCCATGAATCCCTTCGCGAAGAGGTCGGGCAGCTCTCGCATGCCATCACTGATCTAGACGCTCGCGCCAGCATGGCAATCATGAACGAATGTCTCCGACTCAAGGAAGACATGGCCCACACCAACGCCGCCGTTGGCAGCGTGCGCATGCAAGTTCAGTGGCTCATGAATCCTCGCATCCATCAAGGCCAGCGGACCGGAGTACGTGCCAACGGCAGCAGTAATGATCACGGCTCTTCGACGCCAGGCCCCAGCCATGCCGGACCTTCTGCCGGTATGCTTCGATCACGCAGACTCAGCGATAGTGGGCGCGAAGGCACCAAGCTGTAGCATCCACGATGCTCCGCGTGAATCAACATAAGACACGAAATAATGATTTTAATATTTGACCGATTATACAGCGACAAGGGATGGCATTTCGAGTGGTTCTACGGGCTCTTTTATCTTTTTTTAATACCGACAGCCTGTCTTAGAGCTCGCTGGTTGATATTTTCTACGCAGTACTATGTAGCTGGGAGTTTTATGGACGGAAGCTATTGATTGCTATTATTATTTATACCACTTGTAATTCTGTGATGTTTTCGGCTTCTGGTTTCGGGCTGCTTGAGTTATTATTGCTTTCTCATTGTTTTTTTGTATATACATAACATACTACACATACATATCACCTGCCTATTTTACTATTGACACGGGGGATCTGGGTCCCCTCGTGTTTTTCTCTCTTTCTGTTTCATTCATTTTTTTGGCACTTACTGGTTTTTCTATTTCCACTGTCTGGGTGAGGTGAAATCTTGAGGCTACTTACTACCTAATAAACATGTATAATATAAACTTACTGATATGAGAAACAATTTTTTTCTGTTACTCTGTTCACATTAAATAAATAATCAAACAGGGGTAATTAAAAAACAGTAATAGGCAGGGGGTCGTGGGTATATATATATATCTAAGCTCATATCATGTCATCCATCCATAACCATCTAGACAAGAAAAAACAGACAGGCATGTATATTTAAACATATGCCCGTTGTTCTTCTTGTCCATTGCTTCTTCGTTCTCATTGTCACCTTTTTTTTGGTTAATCGTTTTCTCGCCCTTTTCTCTCTCTCTGCGTTGGAGTCACCTAGTGAATGTGTCTTCCTTAGTGGATCTTCCAGGTCTTCTAGGTCTCTTGGTAGAGTCTTGGATAAGAGGCATGTAGATGTAGAGGTTCATACAGTACATGCCATATATCAAACACCCTGAAGACACCGGATGAACCGGACAAGCTAGCTAGCCAGCCAGCCAGCCAACTCTTCAGTCCACAGTTGCAGATACACGCGATTCCAATTAGAAAAGCGGCATCGTCGCAGGATTCTCATAATCCACATTGTCGGGCACGGACTCGATGCGGTCATGACAGGTGCCGAAGATACGATCCCAGAGACGGGTCTGCTTGCCGTAGTTGTAACTCTTGCGCCATCCCTTCCGATGATGTAGGTCGTGGTCTTCGATGACGATCTCCGAGTCCAGGACCTGAAGCAGCCAGCTCATGGTGGTCGGCACGGTCAGGTGCAGGCGCAGGCCGCTGTGGCCGAAGACCTCGGCGAAGGCGACGTACTGGTGGCAGATCCACCACTCGTAGAAGCCCATGGGGAGGCCGACGAGGCGCATGGTGAGGTAGGTCATGAGCGGGACGCCGACCATGTCGAAGAACTCCTGCTCGTGGTCGGCGTAGGCGGCGAGGAGCGGGTTCGGGTGCTTGGTAAGGTGGTGCGTGCGGTGGAATTTCCAGAGGAAGGACACGTCGTGCATCACCCGGTGGTACCAGTAGAACCAGAAGTCGAGGATGATGCCGTAGAGGCCGATTTCGAGCGGGAGCCAGGCCCAGTGCATCTCGGAGGGGAGCTGGCTGCGGGTGTAGGAGAGGTAGATGGAGAGGACGATGCGCGAGCCGGCGGTTTTGTACAGGGAGGTGACGACTTTGCCGACGCCGACGTCAGGCACGCCATCCCGTTCGTGCTGGTCGCCGTCGAGGAAGCCGTACTTGTGGCCGAGACGGCGCAGGACCTGGACCTGATAGAGCACGGTGGCGTTGAAGGCGAAGAAGTAGAGGTTGAAGACGGCGAAGGGACCCAGGGTCTTGCCGGTGTAGGTCATGTAAAGCTGGTGGACGAGGAGCGGGAGGGCCGAGTAGAAGAGCACCCAGCGATGCAGGGACCATTGGGGCATGAAGGGCACTTTCTCGTCTTTGCTGTGTACTGGGACTTCCTGGTCCAAGGCGATGGGGTGGGCATTGAGCACCTCAAGAGCCCAGTGGTTGATATTCCATTCCGATCGATCGCCGACGCGCCAGGTCGACTTCATAGAGTCCTTGGGGTTGGCCCTGGTAGCCATTCTTGCTGCCGTCTGGTTGAGATTCTATTCGTCTGTATCTTCTGGGGGTGGCGTTTCTCTCCGGGTCTCGGTCTCGATACGACTGGGTCTTTCTTCCCAAGGAAGAAGACCAGAAGGGTCCGTCCCCGGCCATATCTTAAATAACATCTCATCCACCAGACTTCCCCGGGATTCGGACAAACGAGCCAGTCTTCCTCATGTGAAACTGGGGGTAGAGCCGTAGAAGGCATCAGGTCTCGCAAGACCACCCAAGATAGGAATAGGATGGAATCGCCTGTAGATCAGTTTCGACGCCGATCATCTGTTTGGTTTCCCCAACAAAAGCCAGGGCTGCTGGAAGCGAGATAGTTCATCCCACTACAGTGGAACCCCCCGAGCCAGACCAGATTCGAGGTCTATTTAGTGGGCATGTGAAGAACGAAACCAGGAACCCCGGTTTGATGTCCAACCCCGCATTGATCCAGCCTCGGATTTGAGGGATCAGCCAGGGGCGCTGAATATTGAATAGTGCTGACACCGTAGCATCTCGTCTAATTGTTCTGCGTGGTCATTCATATCGCCCAGAGGATCTCGTGGGATGCAGATCACATCGAATCGAGAAAGCCGGGGAAACGAGAGGAGAAAAGGAGAAAGAAGCCGACTGACCGCCTTGACCATCACGGGACTTGGAAAACCAAAAAGGAAGAAGATATAGAAAGACAGAAAAAGAACATGAGGAGTTGAGAGATGACAGACAGACAACAAACAAGTCAAAAAAAAAACAATCAATCAATGCTCCTCCTAGTAGATAGAGAATGAATGGAGTCGGCAAAAACAAAAAAGGAAGTCAGCCCAACGCGGGGCTCGAACCCGCAGCCTTGTGATTAAGAGTCACACGCTCTACCGATTGAGCTAGCCAGGCTCCCGTGTTGAAAGTGGTTGATTTAATGTGCTATATAAACAGTTTGCAAACTATCCGACTAGTACAGTATGGTCGTAGTCAAGGCAATGTTTACGATCTACTACTGTACTGCACCACCCTGAGAAAAGAACCATCAAAGAATCAAGGAATCAATCTGATGATTAAACTTCCGGAATTAAACAGATGCCTACACATTTTAGTATTGGTATCCCCCAGAGCCATATCCCCCAGAGCCATATCCCCCAGAGCCATATCCTCCTGATCCGTATCCTCCCGATCCATAGCCCCCAGAGTTATATCCACCCGACCCCTGCCCGGAATATCCACCACCAGATCCGTACCCCCCGGATCCGTAGCCTCCAGAGCCATGTCCGGATGAGCTGGACTGTCCATATCCTTGTCCATATCCCTGTCCATACTCTTGCCCATACCCTTGGTTAGAGTGTCCGCCGCCATAAGATGGCTGGCTGGAGCCGTGCGGCTGCGACTCGTAGCTGTGGCCATGGCTAGATGGTTGACTATAGTAGTCCGAGCTGTGCCCGCCATGCCCGCCATGTCCGTGATGGCTGCTGTGACCACCGCCGTAATCCCCACCGGACTGGTGCGACTGGTAGCCTTGGTGCTGCTGGTGATGCGAATGAGATGAGTGGGACGAGTGGTGCGATTGATGGGACTGGTGTGTCTGATAGGACTGCTGGCTCGAGTACTGCTGATCCTGGTAATGCGACGAAGAGCTCTGTTGTGACGGAGCCTCCTCCTCCCGGTTGGAACCACCACCCAGTCCGAGACTGGAGAAAGCACTGCCTAGCTTGCCTAGGTTGGACATCCCCGGGATCGGAAGGTTGGAGAGCTGCTCGAGCGGGTTTCCGGAGGAGTTCTGCTGGGGCGGCCGCTGTTGCTGCTGCGATTGCGCCCCAGATGACGCTCCGTGGCTGTGCCCGTGACCGCCATGGCCGTGGGAGTGACCCTGTCCCGAGTTGTTCTTCCCTTCTTTAACACCCTCGGCACTGAGGATGTCGTTGAGCTTGGAGCCTCGGTCGGACCGGGACTGGACCCAAGACTCGACGGCTTCGAACATAGATCGATGAGCGTCGTTGCGCATGTTGCGCAAAGCCGGATGATGGAAAACCTGCAGGCAGTCCTCGACGACTTGATGCTCCGGGATGTTGGTGTTCTCCCAGGCGTGAAGGACGCGAGGCGCCACGTACCGGAGGATGGCAGAGGCGACCTGACCCGCCGGTTCGTTCAGAATGTTGGAGAAATGGTCCTTGGACAACAGCGAGTGGGTGGGATCCGTGCAAGTCGGGTCGGTCCACGGCTCGTACTGGTGCTTACCGGAGGCATCAATGACGCCGGCGGATCCAGACTGAAGCGACTTGGAGGCGGCGTTGATGAGAGGGCGGATGAAAGGAGCCAGCAGAGACATGACGAAGACCGTCAGCGTCTCGGTGACCTTCTCAACCAACGTTTCCAAACCGGGGATCTTTTCGATGATCGAAGAAAGTTTACGGACCACATTATCTCTGAATTGAAGGATCGGATAGATCTGTTCAATGGTCTTGCTAGGGTCAAACTCAGCCAAGGCACCGGAGGGACCCTCAGAAGGCTTGCTGGATTCATTGGCCCTCGAGGATCCATATCGATCATCATCAAAGCCGCGACTGCGACCTGAGTCGCGTTCGTTGAAGCTCCGGACGGCTTCGCGAGCTGCGTAACCCGAACGAGAGCTGCCGCCTCTGTTGGAAGACTCTTGGGCATCCGAGCGACGCTTGAGCTCCTCCGCTTCGGCCACAAGGTCTTTGGTTCCGGGAATCTTTCCGAGCAATGCGGTCAAGGCCGTGCTAGAGCCGGAAGAAGAGTTATTCTGGGCATCTCCCAGCGCGATGTCCATTTCGTTGACCTCGGACTGAGTGAAGTGGTCCGTAGCCTCTCCAAGCACGGAGTGGAAGAAATCCACCATGCCAAAAGTTCCAGTCACCAGCGGAAAGACGTGCTTGCCGTGGATGTTCATCTGGGTCCTAGTGCCGGTATGGGGGAACACATTGTGGAAATTCATCTCGCGGAGGGCAAGCTCGACGTAGTTGGTGTGCGCCGCAAAATCCTCCAAGGTGTGTAGACCCTGACCCAGACATCGCAGCGCTTCGCACAGATCTTCTTCGTTTCCTTTCCGGCTTCCGCTGTGGGTGTAGGTCCGGCCGTAGTGAATGCTGCGAGCCAGGCTCTTTTTGATGTACGCAGTGCTGGTATCCCAGTTGCCTCGCTCATTGGCGATGTAGTTCTTCATGCCGGTCTGAGGGTCGATATCCAGCTCGGCCTGACGAACGGGGCCACGCAGTCTCTTGTCATATTCGCGGGCATCTTGGTTATCGGCGTAGTCCTTGGGGTTGCTATACAGTGAAACCAGCGTCAGCGATTTTGAAGGCATGGGGTCAAGCAAACAATGCGAAATCCATACTCAATATGTTCTTCCGGACGGTAGACACCCAATCTCTCGGAGGTGACCTCGAACTCGGCCGTCGCGTAGCCGAAGGTCATGAACGAAAGGATCCAAACCAGGACTCGAATGGTATCGGCGGGGAGACTTTTGAGGGTTCCGACATCCATGGCCTGGGAGCTTTTTTGTTTTCCAACGTCAGCAGCTGCAGCTTCCGAAGAGGGCAAGAGCACTCACTAGTCGCGCAGCCAGTTTCCAAAGTAAGCGCGCTTGATCATGGTTGACGTCCACTTGTGGCCCTTGATGAACGCGACCGTCTTGAGCATATCCTCGATATCGCCATGGCGCCAGTTTTTACCCTCGACGGCGGAGATGGAGGCGATGTCTAGGGGGGTTAGCAGACGATCGTCGGGGATGGTAATGCAGGAACATACTGCCGGCACCGAACGCATCTACTTGCGAAGGGAGCACAAGCAAGAGTAAGCCCAAAATCAGCAGGGCACTGAAGCCCGGGCTGATTCTCAAGGCCATCGTGTAGAGAGCGATGGGGGAGAAAGATACAGCTAGAATGAGATGAAGCTAGAGGAGAGGAACTGGTTAGGGAATAGTAGAAAAGAAGAAAAAACAAGATGCACCCGAAACGCACCCAAGGCCGCACTTACCGAAGAGGGGTTGCCGGGCTGACCGATTAGGAAAGCACGAGAAGTGGCAGGCGCGACCTTTCCTGATCGGACGTTTGTATTTGCCTCCGCTTACGTCCTTCACAGCATTAATTTCCTGGCGATGATTTCAGACAGCCCCGCCACCGATGACGGCTGAAGGCCTTCGATCGGCAGCGCCCTATTCCGCATCGGGCGGTGGGGGTTGCTATACAAACCATCGAGTCTTGGCTGAGACACGCCCATCGCCTCGTCCGTGGAACCAGGAGGGACCGCGGTACGTACGCTGGTCGATGGGGGGTAAGGATATTCCTGATGGACATCGGTGATCACGATATCTCCTACCAACGGAGTACGAGCCAGCCAACCGTCATCGGTCATCGTCAGGTCATCTCAGCTCCCCGCAGTCCACCTATCCAAGGCAGCCTGAGGCAGATGCCGGTTGATCGCTTGGCAGAGGCTCAAATATATTGTATATAATATAATTGATTATATATTTTATTTATATCCAGGCAGGTATGGGGTAGACCACCCGATAGAGCTGGACGGAGTATATTCGGGTTCGTGGCTGGACTGAAGGAGAGGGTCAGCTCATACCTGCAGACAATCTAGAAGTAGCTTACCAGGAGGTAGTACCTCAGGGAGTAGTAGTATACCTCAAGCAGATGTTGAAAAATATCTGGCAGGACCTCCCTAAATAGACCACCAGCCCACTGTCCAGTGAACTGTTAACAGTAATAATAATAAATCCTAGTACTGTAAGTAACCGACTGAACCCCGCTTTGCCTGCCGCGGGGTAAACCCTCCTACGAATGTTTATGCGTAATAATGTTTGTTCGGCATCAGCGACGTCGTATTGCTACGCTACATCGTTGGGTAATAGAATCCACGGCCGATGCGACATCCTCACCTCCTCTTGGCTGTATAAAAGCCCCTGCAGATATCTGGCAACCCCGGACCTGACCCAAGGATTGCCTTATCTCCCGTGACCTCAATTTTTCTTTCGTCACCCCTCCTTCCATAACTTACCTCATCCATCATCCATTCATCCATTCATCCATTCATCCATTCATCCATTCATCCACCCTCTGTATCAAACCCCCTCAAAAAAACGACCTACAAAAATGTCAACCCCCTACCTAACCGCCCTCCAACGCGACGGCTTCGTAGTAATCCCCTCGCTCCTTAACCCCACCGAAGTGTCCGAATTCCGCGCCGTCGCGACAGCCGCCACCACCAAGACACGCGCCGGCGAATGGCCACACTTCCGGACCGTACCCAAGCAGTTCCCGCCGTGGCCGACGACGCCGCCGCCCGCCTCGGAGGGCGGGATCTGGGGCGTGCAGCACCTGCTGCATCCGGAGATGCCGGGGCGCGGGGAATTCGCGCGGTTCTACTTCTCGGAGAAGGTGCTGGCGGTGGCGGAGGAGTTGCTGGGCCTGGGCGCGGGCAGAGGCGAGACGGGGGAGGAGGAGCCGCTGGTCATGGAGCTGTTTAATCTGCTGGTGGCGCCGGAGACGAAGGACTTCGAGCTGCGGTGGCATCGCGATGATATTCCCGACACGGTGACGACCGAGGAGGAGGAGCGGTTGTTGCATGCTAAGAGCCCCGGGGGGAAGCAGTCGCATGCGCAGTATAACCTGGCGCTGTGTCCTGATGCGTCGTTGATTGTGGTGCCGGGGTCGCATCGGCGGGTGCGGACGGAGGCGGAGCGCGCGGCGGCGCCTTATGAGCCGAACATGCCGGGTCAGCTGGTGGTGGAGCTGCAGCCGGGCGACGCGGTGTTCTACGACAGCAATATCCTGCATCGCGGGTCGTATCAGGCCAAGCCGGAGGGAGGGGAGGAGTCGCGGTTGACGCTGCACGGGAGTATCGGGTTGAAGGGATCCGGCGGCGACGAGGCGGACAAGAAGGTGCGGGCGACGGCGGTGCTGCAGCACGGCGTCGGGGCCTGGGTGCATCGCGACGATGCGGCCTTTGGTATTGGGGAGCGCGCCGAGAAGATGCGCGCGAATCTGGTGGCAATGGGAACGGGCGAGGGCGTGGGATATTCTCTACAGGGGTAGGACGAGGTTGAAGGTCAATTGATCCTGGACTCGAAGAATGGAACCGTTGAGAAAATGTTGAAAAAACCGTCTCGCTCATATATATACACCAGGCCATGAAAATAAACAAGAGGGTATTCAAGAAAAAGAAAATAAACCCGAACAGTAAACCCCGGCACAAACCCAAAATTTATACAACAGTCATATAATCATCGTCGTTAAACCTCGTCGAAAATTCGTTGCGCCTTTTTGGTTTTCAAGCCATGAAATCTCACCCATCCAGCGGCCGTTGCCCATAGACATAATGGAACAAGACGTAGCTATGGTACGGGGAACTGAGAAGCTCCGCACGCACTTTATTCACGTAGTTCTGGGCCTCTTCGAACGTCCAGCCCAGAACGCGAGTGAACAGAGCCAGCGAGTAGGGCTCGACGGCCTCGAAGGTCGTCACTTTGCCGACTCGTCCGATCTCTTTCAACCGGGGACTTTTGGGCCAAGAGCCGACGGGACACTGGACTCGAGTTAGTATGCGGTTCACCCGTCTTCAATGAACAGATGGGGGGACACCAACCTTATACACATCATCGGTCACATTGGCAAACCCCGCCTCGTGCATCCAGCCTTCCAAATGAGGCGCGATATTCATCCTCTTGCCGAACTGACAGCTGGCCGTGTCCAACTTCTCCTGCCAATCCGTCAACAGGTGCCCCTGGTGCAGCGTGCCGTCATCCGCCTTGAACCAGGCCTCGTACTCCTGGATCTCGAGCCAGCCGCCGGGTTTGAGGTGGCTGTAGGCCTGGCGCAAGAACTTGCCCCAGTCGCCGATGGCGCCGCCCAGCGTGCGGGCGTGGATGTAGTCGAAGGCTTCGTCGCCGGTGAAGGTCCAGTCGCTCTCGGCGTCGTCGATGTGGAAGGTGCAGTTGGGCGGCGCCCAGCTGGGCTGGATGGGGCTGAGGTCGGTGCCGACGATCTCGACGTCCGGCAGCAGCTCGGCGATCTCGAGCGCCCAGATGCCGGTGCCGGTCCCGACGTCGAGCATGCGGCGCGGCACGCCCTGCTGGAAGATGGGGGCGCGGTTGAGGTCGCCGCCGATGAGCAACTTGAAGAGGTGGTGCATGAGCGTCAGGCGGTCTTGCTCTTCCTCGTCGTTGGGCATCGGGTATTGGCCGTAGCGGTAGGCGTGGTAGCGACGGCCATTCTCGTAGCAGTAGTCGCGCACCGAGGAAGAAAGGGTCAGGTTGGAATCGACGACTGATTGGGCGTCGTAGAGCGAATCTTCATCACTAGTCTAGAGAGAAGGAAAAGTGTCAATATGGTCTATCGGAGGTTGAGAGAACGGGAGGGGCGAAGGAATTGCAATTTAAATGAAACGCCAATCGGACAATGGATGATGACATCCTTCAATGCGACACCGACAAAAGGATCCTCCCCGCTCTCTGATCTTCTGATCTTCTCCTTTCCCTTAATTCTGGAGAGGGACCGACCCGGAATGGGTCCTTGTGGAGTGTACAAAAAATAAAAAATAAAAAAACATCCCCATATGGGGGAACAAGAGTATACCCCCATCGCTAAAATATATATATATATATATATGTATGTGGATTTCTTTTTTTGCAAGGGGCAGAGTGCAGAGGGACCGAGAGGAGAATGAACTTACATCCACCACAATGTGTTCGTAGAGATTCGGTTGTTGTGGCATACTTCTTCCCTCGGAAGGAATCTGGTCTATGATCTATGATGTAAGGAGGGGGAGGGTGGAAAAAGGAGAGAAAGAAAAAGGAAGGAGAGAGGAATAGAGAGGAAGAGAGAGGGGGACCGAGAGAGAAAAGGAAGCGAGAGACCAAGGGGGAGAGAGAGGACGAGGGAAGAGGGAAGAAGGAAGACGGGCTGGAGTATAGAAGGCGGATGCAACGCAAAGTGACAGGGGGCCGACCCGGCAGAGAGGACGCCGGGTCGACGGCGGTGTGCGCCCGCCGCTCTGGTTCTGGTATTGCTTGGTATCTTCGCGGCCACGTCGAGGCTGCAGGTATTCTGGATGGATTGTGAATAACAGATAAATAAACTAAATGACACCAAATGAGTAGATTCTTTTTCCATCCGCCCAGCAGAGATATCCATCCTACTCCGCAGTCAAAGGATTCCTTGGGTTCCATCCCCCCTCCTCTCGTCAACCTCGCACACGGTTGGAGTGTCCTCCCTTGTACTCCCCATGAATCTATTGCATCCCGTCCATCCCGTCTAAAGCGCACCCGACATAATACCGTACGGCTGGTAACGACGGCCCCCGCACGGGCGGATCCGGAAGAGAAGCCGCCACCTTTCGTGTCATCCCGACTAGAGTCGTCCGGGTTTAGTGGCCTCTCTGAATTACCCGATGCGTTTATTCATCCTTCGATGCACCTCGTCCAATCCATCCGCGCTCGCCTCTTCTTCCCCTAATCATTGCTAAAATCGGGGCTACTGTAGTGTGAATCCCCCCCCCTCTTGGTCTGAATGCGCTGGCAGGAGGTTAGTCATGTCATGCTGAAATCAACCGAGACACTACCCATGTACTAAATACTTTACGAAATGGTCTAGGCAAGGTCACAAACGCAAAAGAATTTGCAGCATCTCCAAATATTCACATCGGTGGAGCTGGGCCTGGGAACGCGGCCCAAACTCATCTTCCCTGGCCACAAAAAAAAATACATACGTACATAGCGACTTCCGACTGAATACCCAGTCAATATGTTCATTCCCGACAGCGATCGCCGGCCTTGGTTTCCCCCAGTGGTTCGTTGTCAGCGTAATCTTTCCTCGGCCCTTCTGCTTCCTTTCCCCGCAAGTCCCAAGTAATCGGATCCATCACAAATCACGAAGATCCTGGCGTCATCCGCCCCTTTTCGGACCACGGCGGTCCCGATCATCCCAGACTCTGCAGCTTCTCCTGCTCGGCCGGCGTCAACGCGGCAAAAAGTTGCTGGAACTCGGCCTTGGCCGATGCGTTGCGGAAGAAGTCCAGCAAGAACGCCTGCGTCTCGTCGTCCCGCTTGCGCACGCCAAACACTCCTTCGCTGCCGCCTTCGCCAAACGCCATCAGCTCCTGCTTCGTTATCCCCAGGTTCAGATCCAGCGTGTTGCCGGGGATGTCCTCCCACTCGTCATCCTCGTCGCTGTCCTCTTCCTCCAGCGCCGCCGCTGTGGCCGCGTCGATCTCTTTGCTCCCCGACGCCGCCGCCAATTCCTCCACCAGCACCTTGACGATCTTCAACGGTGCCGCCACCGCCGTGTACTGGTCCGGGTTGTTGCGCGTCTGCGACCGGGTCTTGATGCGGCCGGTGTCCTGGATGATGAGGTCGCCCTTGACCTGCACCTGCGCCAGCCGAGGGTCTTCCAGGTTGTAGAGCGTTGCCAGGGCGATGATGTTTTGCTTGATCTCGTCATACCCGGCGAAGTTGACCGAGTTCTCCAGCCATTTGCTCATCACGATCGGCAGTCCGCTCTGCCCGCCAATGTCCACCTGCGCCAGGAAGTCCACCACCTCGCGCGCACTGATAAGCGTCAGTCGCGCAAAGACAAGGATCAAACTCTGGATGAATTGCGCTTGCTGAGCGGTCGCCAATCGTTGCGCCACGGCCCGAAGGAGCTGGGGCAGGTAGGGACCGAGTCGTTCGGAGCCCGCTTTCTCCACCAGTTCCGCGGCCAGCTGTCCGACCTCGGTGGCCGCATTGTCGTCGACGGAGGGCCCCAGCAAGCGATCGATAATAACAAGCACCACCTCGGTGGCCTCCTTGCCGCTCTGGGGATCCCGCCAGTTCACAAATTGGGCGAAGTCGTGCGAGAGCATGTGCCGAACGGCCTCCGTCGCCGGACGGATCAGCTCCGCATCGGTCGAGTCCAGCAGCAGTCGATTCATCTTGGGCATGACGGTTTCCACGAATCCGGCCGGAAGGGGCTCGAGGGACCTCTCCGCCAGAGCTCGCACGAGATCCGCGGCAAAGTTCGTCAGCGTGTTCTCCTGAGTCAGGTTTCCAACGTCGATCGCCCCGGTCAGAGAAGGCAGGACCTTTTCGCAGAGGAGAACGAATGATTCGGGGCCTTGGTCAGCAATAGACTCCACGAGGTCCTCGAATGCCTCGGTGACAATCATGGTGAGCTGGAAATTGGACGCGCCGTTACTGGCGATGTTGAAGAGAACATCGATGGCGATCGACGATAGAACGATGTTTGGATTGACCATGATCGTGTCGCGCAGCGTCTCGGCGAGTGTGACCTTGAGATCATCGCTGTCGGTTGGTTCCCGGAGGTCGTGCGAGGAGACAAACTCCGAGATAGCGGAGATGATGGAGTTCTGGAGGGGAATAGTGGTGCTGGAAGACAGAGAAGGCAACAGGTCCTGTAAAGCGCGAATGCATGCAACCTTCACGACTTCCGAGGGGTCTCCCGCGATTGCTTTCAGTGCAGCCTCCAGATACGAAGCAGCGGTCGGCTGGAACGCCTCGCCGGCAACCTGGGTCAAAATACCCGCCACAAGGTAGCCACGCGCACGGAGAAACTCTTCCTCTTGCTGAATCGAATAGTGGATGAGGCCATTGAATCCATTTGCCAAGTCTGTAGAGATCTGCTGGGCGACCTCACTGAAGTCCCGCAGCAGTTGGTTAAGAATGTACAAGGCCGATTCGCGGGCCTTCCACCTGTAACGCGAGAGAATTTGGTTAGTAATTTTTCTTGACGCTGCGTTCTTTTCGCATCTTTCTCGTCCGGGAAAACAAGAAGACAACAAGGAGGTGGGGGTCCTTACGTCGAAGAAGAGTCCGCGAAGACAGCGTTTAGATATACTAGCATACCCTCGACCGTAGTTTGCTTGAGCCATTCACCGAGTTTGATGACCAGGTCTCCACTGCAGGTACGAGGCGTGTAGTTGGCAGTGACTGAAGTCTCTTCCGATAGGAATAGATTGACGTCGATATCCCACAGGCCTTCTTCTTCGGACGTGATCTGGGCATATGACCCGGTCAACTTCAGAATCTCAGGCAACCAACTGGACGTGGACACGGCTTGTCCGGCGTTCTGCAATTGCTGCTGCAGCTCTGCCTTGACCGGAGGTGCTTTTAGGAGGGTCTGAATCAAATCCAACTCTTCCAGGACCAAGAAGTCCAAGGTGTATGGGAGCCCGTCCACGTCTTCCAAACGGCCCTGTCTCTCGTCCCGTATGTAGAACTCATGGTACCCATTCTGGATGTTCGTGAGCTCCGTCCAGATTGTAGAGAAGTAGATAGGGCTTTGGGCCGACAAGAGACCGGGGAAAACCATTCGGATCTTCATCAGGGTCTGAAGGGGTAGAGTGGTTAGCAGCTGAAATTGCATAGGGCAAGCTAGAGTATCCCGAACGTACCTTCACCACCTGCAATTTTAAGCCAATCACACCCCTCCACTGCGAGGCAACTTCGGTCTCCTTCGATTCTTCTTCCTCCACAGGAGCTTCGGGCAAGGGCGCCTTTAGCGTTGAGATAAAGAAAGGCGACCAGCCGCCGAGCACCTCGTCCATAAACTGCTTGACAGCCACCTTGTGTTGCTCCAGGACCATTTCAAGGGTATCGAAGCACGACCGGAAGACCGCGATGGCCAAGGCCCGGAGCATCGGTCTTCTCGACTCGCTGGTCGCAACGCTGTAAAGGGACGAGACAAGGTCCCTGGCGACGTTAAAGAATTGCTCTTCATTGAATCCGGTGTCGACCAGATCCAGGAGCACCTTCAAGGCACCGTGTAGGGCCCCCGAGGTGCTACTGGCATCGTTGATTATCTGAAGAAGCGTCGGCAGGAGGTCCGGCCACTGTTCGGGAAAATCGGCGCTGGCTATTTTGCTGACGGCGAAACTGGCGGACGACTTGACCTTGCGCTCAGGGGTCTCCTTCACGGTGGCTAGGTCCAGCAGGACCCTCCGAATCTGATCCTTGTTGGGATCACTGATGAGGATGCGGCCCTTGAACTCGTCCAAATTCGGGGACCAGGCGGCGGCAATAAAGGTACGCAGGACAGAGAGGGCGGACTGACGGAGATTGGTGGGGACGGAATCATGCGAAGCAATGGCGGCCAGGGAGAGGGGGAAGCTCTCGTTCGTGTAGAGACGCAGCAGTTGAAGCTCGGCGGTCTTTCTCGTCTCGGCGACCGGCGACTGCGTGTCGGCGAGCAGCGATAGGAGCTCTTGCTCCATAGTTGGAGTTGTGGGGGGGAGGGAGAGAAGGGGGGGAAAGAAAGGAATAGATTTTGTTGACAGACTTCAGGAGGATTGAGGTCTAGATGGTACACAATGAGCCAACACAAAGAACACAAGACCCCGGGCAAACCCAATGGCCGAGTCGAGGCACTTCAATGATAGTAGAATGGAGAGTTGACATCAACGCGAATTGGGCGCGTCGGAAGGAGGGGCACGCAGAAAGAGGGAAGCGGTGAGGTGAGTTGGCCGTTCGGCGAAGGCGGTCATTCTACTAGTATTTACCACTGTAAGTGTAAATCCGTAGTATTTCATACCCAACTTACAGTTACGCCGTGCCGTGACTCGCCTACCAGGGATTCCCATCGCAGGAACCATGGTTGTCCCTCTACCCAACGGTCCTCTTTTTTCTCTTCTTTTTCTGCTGTCCCTCTTTTGGCTCTTGAAGATTACTGCTTTGCGGTTCGGGGGTTCTTCACCCTCACGAGACCCAGTTTTTTTAATCAAAAATTTTCATTCATTCAAGAATCGCGCGATTAGCCTCACGGTTAGTCATCTGTCTCCGGATGACCATTGAGAATGTACCCAGCAAGGGCCCCAACCCAACCCAAGACAGCCAGAAGTCACACCCGAGATCCGATTGTCGATCGAGGAAAGGAACTCCATGGAAGAAACGCATTCCGCGCTTAGTGGCGGAATGCTTGCCCTCCAGACGGCTGCCGGGACCCAGAATTACATCTGTGAGCAGCTCGCCTGCATTGTACTTTTGGCGGGTTGCAGGCCCTCGACCCCGGATGGGATTGACGTAATGGACGGATTCCATCCATTCTGCCCTCGAGAGACGATCAACAAAGTGGCATAACTTTCCACCGGTGGCCTCGGGAACTGCAGGCAATACGTAATTGACCACTTGGGACGTCTTTGTAAGCTGATCATGGGCGCTAAACGGCCTGCGTGGTGGGGGCTCCAAGGGCGTTCCGGTAAGATTTCTTCCACTCAGCGTTCCCGGAGAGAGGAAACAGAAAGGAGCAGAGGCGACCGTGGATGGGCGGAGCAGGCCCTGCGGTGGATGGATCGATCCAGGATCGCACAATGCCACTACGTCCTAGCTTCTCTGGCGCCGTTATCTGCAGGAGGCATCGAATACCAATCTGTACCAGATTACCGCGATGGCATTCAGGGTTCCCGAGCAGACCGGGGGAGGCGACAACGCATTCCCTCTGACGATGTCGAGCCTGTGGATAACCCGCAACGACATCGGTTCACTCCTCCGGCGTTGCTGCGTAGCTGCTCAGTGGACGAACGAGACGCCTGAGTCAGCAGGACAAGACCGATTTCAATGATTTAATATGCAAGGAGACGACGAACTCCGGCAGGGGGAGAGGCAACAGTGAAATTAAGGCTGAAGGCTAGCACGGGAAGAAGACTTAGAGCCAGCCAGATGATGCAATCGTAAGCGGTTCGGCGGTTTGGCCATGGGGATTTGCCTTCCTTCGCGTCCGTTTTAATCTCGTCTCGCAGGAATCCCGCCGTGAAGAGGATTCGGCTTTCTGACCGCCAGCAGGCGCTGTCGATGTGTCCATACGTGTCGGGTTAGGTTTCGCTTGTGGCATTTCGGTCGATGAGAGATGATCGGCCGTGTGAACTAAAAGCGCCTCATCCCACCCACTCGAAGTCGGTGGGGACGCCAGGGAAGTTATCCTGTAGGGGTATTTAAACACCGTACGGCGGACGGATCTTGACTCGATCATGAGGACGACGTATGTCCTCCCAGTACGGCGCAAGTCGGTCGGTGGTCAATAGTAAGGAGGTCGGTAAGATGTGGATGAATGGTGACCAGCGACGGTCTTCGCGATGAGGCCGATGGACGAATAATGCAGGCAGAGGGGACTACATCCACTAGAGGGACATTCCTTATGGATTTCATGGATACTCTTACGGCGTACGGAGTCTGTTTTAGCGTATCCGTAATTGCCCCTCCGATATTTCTACCTAAAATGATGAGTATTTTGCCTTACACATTATTATACGGGAGGTAGGAAAAAAAAAAAAAAAAAAAAAAAAAAAAAAAAAAAAAAGGTAAGAAAAAGAAAAAAGAAAAAGAAATGAATTCTGCAGCGCACCCACACCCATGACGCAACCACGTGACGGGCGGGCAAACCGTGACTTTGGGCGTCTTTCCCTCTTTTCTGCTGGAAAATCGACTCCGTCGCCCGACACGCCTTCCCCTCCGAAGGACTGCCTGTCTGCGTTTCTCTCGCTCTCGCTCTCTCTTCTTTGTGTCTTGTAGTCTGTGTCGGTTGGCCTGCGCGTTCTTCTCGCTCTCTTTATTTGATTTTTCCGATTTTTTTTTCTATTTATTTATTATTTTCCGGATCCTCTGGGGGACTTTGAGCGGTCTTTACTGGTTGACTCGATTCTCCCCATATCCAACACTCCCAGCAGCCCACCTCTTCTCTCCCTTCCCCCCGAAAGGGTTGGTTTTCCCTGTCGTCGGTCCGCCTGCCTTTTTCCCTTCTTCCCAGTTCACGGAAGGGCCTTTAAAACCCAATACATAATTACAAAAGAAAAAAAAAAAAAAAAAAAAAAAAAAGACAGGACAAGACCAGTCAGGACAGGGGACGCCAGTATAAATTATTCCATCCTATTGGACTTCCCGTGAGAAATATCTTTTTGATTTTCTCGTCTTTTTTTTTTCTTTTTTTATTTTTTCGCTGCTCCTATCAAGAACGAGAAGGACGAAGAAGGTTTCCAGGAACAAAAACTTCCGAGGGAGAGGGGAGCCAAAAAAGAAAAGAAAAGAAACGCCAAACAAGGGGAAAACCCGTCTGTCCTCTTTATCGTCCAGCTCCAACCCATCCGGAACCTCTGGCCAGAGCAAGACGAAGCTAGACGGCCCTCATGCTCTGAGGTTTGCTTGTGTTTCTCCCGTCCACCCAACGTACGTCCGGTCCCTTCCTTACCTCTGGCAAACCACAATTAATCCACTTGCTTCCCCTCCTTCCCGCCCTCATTCGCTCTCGCTCCCTCGACTCGCCCTCGCTCTTTCTCTCTGCTCGCGCTCTCTCTCTTTCCCTCGCTTTCCTTTCAAACATTCATTCCCGTTTGCTTTCCACACCACCTGAGACTCCTCTGCTTTGGTGTTGCCCCCCCTCCTCCTCCTCCCTCCCCTCCCTCCAAAATTCATCGTCCTTATTCACTTGACATTTTGCGACCCTTTTTTTTTTCCTTTTTTCTTTTTTAATTTTAATTGTACCATTACTGGATCTTGCCGCTACATACTCTTTTTTTCTGTTTGCCTCTTCCTTTTCTGTTCTTTTCTTTCCCCTCCCCTCCCCTCCCCTCTGCCAGTTTTTTAAATCTGGTCATCGCTGTTATCGTCTTATAAAAAGTTTATCTTCGGGGTTCCTCTTGTCTTTGCCTCCCCTCTTCTGGTTATTCCCAACCGAAGAAAAAAAAATTTCCCCTCCATCTGTCACCCCCACTCTCACCTTCCTTCTCTCCCCTTTCCCCTCCTTTCCGTCGATTGTCGTCGCATAAAAGGCAGCAGGGAAAAAGAAAAAATAAATAAACAAGCGCCCTAGACGAGAGAAAGAGCGAGCTAGAGAGGGACCGTGGGACAGCGAGCGAGCATAAATCACCGCCGTCATTTCCCATGTGTGGCAAGGAACTCCGTTGTTGACCTGTCGTCTCGAAAAGGCAGAGCGATGATTAGCCTCAGGGTGGAACAGCACTCAGATTCTCCGAAATCCCGTCCATACCATCTTTCCCGTGGAAACGACGATACCAGAGCCTTTGACGGCAATGCCGATTGCCAGTGAGAGCACTACTGTCAACTCCGTTACAACCACCATGACCACATTTTCCGCCCCGGTCACCGCACCCAAATCGATGCCCAACAATCAGTCGGCGTTGGCTGCATCCTTCACCAATTTCCTCACCGTCTCGATACACCAGATTCTGTTCCTCCGTTCGGTCTACCCGCGAGCAACGTTCCTGCCCGTCCGAGCCTACAACTACCCCGTTCGCCAGTCCCGTCACCCGAAAGTATGTGACTACATCAACGATGCCTCGATCGCGGTCGGGACGGAGATTTTGAAAGGCACAATAACCGCAGTCAGTATCATCATTTCATCTCTCCGCACAAATCAGCCCCTCGAGCGATATGCCTTTGATCTGTCGGGTTTCCCCCGCGTTGCCGCCGGAGAGATCAATACCACATTTGAAGAGAGAAAGGAAGATTCATCCAAACCAGGTGTCCCCTTGTCAGAACGGGGCTCCGCTGCTCCGACGGTCGATCTCGAAGCCCAATTTCGTGCGTGCCTCGCCAGATTGGCCTCGGCCTGTGCGCGGTTAACGCCGCTTCCCCGGGACGATGAATTCAGCTTCACCGTCTGCATTGAAGTTCGCGAGGACGCTTTGCCTCCCGCCGGGACCACGACGGAAGAACAGACCTGGATCGTGGCCGAACCCGACAAGGTTCACCTCCGATCGTGTACAGCCCCATACTCCGTGTCGAAGTTACGGAATGGGGAGCCGCAGCAACAACCGCAACAACCACCTCCCAAGGTGTCGAACGGTCGCGCGAAAACAGTCCCCGTACGACGGGTAGAAGCCGGCGAGCTTCGTCTAGAGCTATGGGTAGAAGAGGCACGACAGAAATTCAATGAACCGCCGGATTCGGAACATCCGCCTTGAATTGCATAAATCGGGGTTCATCTTGTTTTTCTCTTTTTCTTGGAAACTCTTCTTTTGATTTCCCTTATGGAAATTCCTCTGTGTTTCTGTCTGTCTAGTTCGAAGTTTCCCTCTTCTATTTCCACTCAAACGTGATTTCCTCTGCTCTTTTTTTTTTTTCATTTTTATCATTATCATTTATTTTTCTCCCGTTTTTATCTCATTCTTTGTTTTAGCGTGACCAATGATCGAACATACATGATGGATGAGGGAATTGGGAACTGTCGTCCGAAGTGAGCGGCGCAAACATATAAAATGGGGAGCGGACGATTTTTGGGACTCGCATGGCATTACATAGATCTGGTTCATATTTTTTGCCCCATTTTCTTTTTTCCACTTATCGTGATTTGCCATTTCTCTTCGTTTCCTCGTCACGTTCCTTTTGATGCTCATTTTTCCAACTTCTTCACTATAAACCTTTTTCTCGCTTCTCTTACCACCTTTCTTTTTGACTCTCATCATTTCCACCGACTTTTTTCCTCTTTTTTGCCACGGAATGTTTCCATTTTTCATACCATCTCCTATTGTACTTTTCGTCTCCTTTGTTGAGCTCTTTCCAACACGATCCTAGCCAATTCAAATATCTAGCATCTAGGTACCAAAAGGTCGCCAGCGTTGTCGCTACCCCGTCATTAGAGGAGATGGTTTCGTCGAGTCCTGTCCGTAATTCATAATATGATCCTTGCCATTTTCCGTTTCCTTTCACAGCGTCCCAGTTTATTTGGTATTTTCATTCCGTGTTTGGTTTTTGCATTTCAACAGTGTTCCGTCTCATACGGACAGAACGTTCATCCATACGCCCCGTCGGGTTGGATGTGGCTAATACTGAAACGGCGCCACAGATCGCGCAGGCCGGGGAACAGACGGTAGCATGAAAAGGCATCCACAAAGCTAGCCAAGATATGTATGTTTGTCCTGCCGTTCGACGCTGACTGAATGGCTATGCTGTGTAGTCAGCATAGTCTTTCCTTTCAGTCTTTCTGGTTTGTCTGTCTGTTTGTTTGCTCGCTTCCTAGGTAGGCAGATTGCTTTACTCGGCTTTGATGTTTGCTAGGCACTTACCTACTTCCTTACTTCTCTGACTACATTTACTTACCTAGGCGACGCCCAAGTACTTTGGCTAGCACTTACTTCGTAGCGTACTTTTATGTACTGTTTCTCTCAAGGTCGGCTTTAGTTTGCTTGTTCCTATGTTTTGCTTGCTTTTTCCAGGGGCTGGGTTCCTTTCTTCTGGGGAGGTGGGTATATTTAGATGTGCATGTTGTATACAGTATCCACTTCTCCCCAGGTAGCACCACTATGGTATTTATGTATCACCCTTCTGCTATACTACCTACCTGGTTAGATCTGAAATATGCCGACTATAACAAGGCTAACGTTAGCATGAAAGAGCTTGTCTACTAAGCAGTACTTAACTATGCACAAGTATGCCTGCCGGGGCGTAGCAGTCGAACATCACGAGGAAGGCCCTATCTATTCGAAAAGAAGTAGGTAGGGAGCCCCCTTCCGAATAGCTAGAGTTTGCAAATTCAATTCCCGTAGCAGGCACCTACTCTACCTCTACCCGGAGGCACCCCTGCGAAGAAAGCTTTAACAACAATTGATCTCTCTAAGATCTGGATGTTGCACCCAAGGTAGGGAGGGTATATCTACTATGGTCAGTGGGAGGGGAGCTCAGTCTCTATATAATCTACTTAGTATGTCTTATAAAAATAGTCAAATTTAGAGCTAGCTTTAGGATTACCCCCTGTATAATAATTAGAAAAATAACTATATAATGACAAGGAACAAGAAAAGACCTAAATTTAGATATGATTAGCTGATATAAATATGCATATATTAAGAGAATATACATACACCTACTTATATAAAGGCTTTGGACTCTACAAGAGTTTTAAATTTAGGATTTTATAAAGTCAAAAGCCTTAGTACGCAAACAGGGAGTACCCACCCGCATAGCTACTTGCTACAATAAAGTGGCTGCATCGGACGTAAATGGAATCATTCCGAGGAAGCCACCCAGTTAGTCAAGTTACACCTGTAGAGATTGGATCCTTAAAATCCATTAACATTCGTTTCTTCCCGTCCAAGCGGAATGAAGTGTTCGGTTTGAACTACGGAACACCTATGAGAAGGCTCGGAGGCCAACAAAGGGAGGAAACATGCCAGGCTAGTCCGAGAAATGAAAAGGAGACATGAAAACGGTAGGGGGTATGAAGCACGGAAATTAGCATGAAGCAGACGGAAGGAAACCGAGAAAACAAATGGATAAAACGCAAGAAAAGAAAAGAAAACATAAACCAAGACGGCGCAGATATCGGCGATGGATCAGTCGTCTATTCATAGAACGAGTTGAACAAGTGCTCCTTGTACATGTCTCTGATCTCTGCGTCATGGCAAGACCTAGGTCAATGGTATCCGATAAAGATCGCGAGAAGCACACCGGGTTGTTCCAGTTTTTGGATAGACATGGGGCTGCTTGTGGAGTAATCCCGGGTTAGTGAAAATAGGTTTGGCATCTTGGTATTTGATAAAGAAGGTATAGACCTGGGTTAGAAAGGACCGTAATGAGGGTTTTATGGGAGCCGCCACCCCGGTTGATTTGCGGCTGGGCGTGCTGGCATTTTTCCCTGGGCGAAGACGTGAGACGGAGCCTGCTGAGGGAGCTGCTGCTGCGGAAACTGAAAAGCAGGAGGGAGATTTGATTCAACTCCCTGCCTCCAGGTTTCGAGATACGCAGGCGGCATCGGCGGCAAATTGGCAAAAGGGTTGAACGCATGGGGGTCATCCGCTGCGGCATTGTGACGCGGATTTGGATATTCGTGCACAACGCGTGGTTGGAACGGCTGCTGAATTGTAACCATGCGAACGTTTCTAACTTCATGATATGCGCGCTGAAAAGGCTGGTCAGCAGGCGCCGCTCGCCTAGGTCGTGGAGCAGAGACTGGAGGTTTACTCTTGGTAGGTTTGTGTATCAGGAGATCCTTCTCGGTCAAGTCGGAATTCTGTGAGAGAACCTGGGAAATAGCCGTAGCTTGAGCCCGCTCCACTTCTTCTCGATCGCGGCGGCTCCTATGATCATCGTATGTGTCGCAGAATGTAGGGGCCTTTCCGAAGTGGCTATACATCTCTTTGGAGATGTCCTTTCTGCAGACATAGCACATATGACAACCGCACTTGGTACAGGACATTCTGTTGCAACCAGATTCCTTAATAATCTTTACCTTGCACTTGGGGCAATTGCGGATCAGGGCTTCACTCATAGCTTCCTCAACCATATGACGTTCGGGGAGCCCCCTTTCTTTCCGGGCCTCTTTGCAGGTCTTCGGGGTATGGCTCTCGGTATTGCATAGACGGCAGCTGAGTATTTCGCATGAAGGATTCTGGCACTGGAATTCTCGATCTTCTTCTAACGGCCCACAAATGGCTTTGAAGTCGCAAAAGGGGCAACATTCGAGTCCGTCCAGACAGGCTTGCTGGATCTCATCCTCTTGTTGCAAAGAATCAAGCTTCTTCATCAGCGATGGTCCCAACGTTTGCTCTAGTCGAGAACGATCAAATTTCTCTTGGCAGCCGCTGGTGTCAAAGCACTGTAGGCGCCACTTCATGAGTCCAATTTGAGTCTCTGCCGATTTGCGTATGCAGGTGAAACAGAAGAAGTGGACAGTTTCTCCTTCACAGGGCATGGTTCTGTTCAACGGGACATCAATGTAGCAGCACTGGCACTCCACAAGTGTACCATCGCGGGCAGATTCTTCCTCGTTGCGCCTTTCCAGTTCTGCATCTTGTTCTCGCTTTCGAAGTGCAACTGTAGGCAAGCAAACGTTAGAAAAGCATGCTCTTGAATCTTTTGGGGAGATACTTACGAGATTCTTTTTGAACATATCGTTGGGCTGCGTGTAACTCTTCCAGATCTCCAAATTCAGTATATTTCCACATATCCGCGAATCTCGGGTGCTTCAATCTGGAATAAGGGATAGCGGGCTGGGCTGACGAAGATTCTTGACCATATATGGTAAGGTAAGCAGCGTAAAGACTCTGCTTCTGCGACATTACTTTGCGAATGTGAGAGACGGGGACGCGGTTAAACTCCTGGCCTAGCACGTCGCAGCTTCAGAACATCGTTAGTGAACTTCACTTGTTCTCGACGGCAGGCATAGAAAACTCACGCATTCTGATAGTATGAGGGGTCGTAAGGGCGTGCTGCGGCCGCCTCCCATTTTTTGCCGTCGTCATTAGTCTGTTTGCGTTTTCTTTGAACCTTTTCCTGTTTAGGATAGGAGTCCTGGGCCAGGATTTGCTCAATGAGATCCTCTTTTAACTGAGTGTGGGCATTAATCACATTGATTCCATTATTTGACGCTGGGGGTTGAAGCGCTGCTCGGAGTCCATGCACGTATTGGCGGTCGATATCTGGAAAGAGCTCTAAGATTCCATGCAACGTCTCGTCATCGAGTTTCGGCGCAGCAAACGATACATCGCGATCATTGTTGGGAATTCTCGCCGCGGGATGCGGGACTGTGGGACGAAGGGCAGGGTCTATGGGAAGATAATCATGGTCAACAGGAATTGCCGCATCCACGGTAGTTTTGGAGGCGCGGGTCCTTCGTTTCTTCGAGGGCCTGGCGTCGGATAAACGAAGATCATCCGCGTTGTCGCCCATGACAGGTCTTTGCCCGTCGAGTCCCCAACGGAGAAAATCAGTCTCACCCGGCAGTTTTTTGTCGCCCAAGAAAGGTTGTCTCATGTTCTCTTTACCCCATGAGATTCTGTCACCCATGGGGGCTTGAGACATTGTGGATGAGGTACGGAAACAGAGGCGTCTTTTTGTGCAATTGGATCGGAAGGAAGAACAACTGGGAGATTGTGGAAAGGAGGAAGGTACAGTAGGGGAAGAGTGGATGACGAAGAAGAGTAAGGGAAGATGCCGGTAGGATTAGTAGAAAGTGCACAAGCTGAAGTGATTCAGGAAATGGAAAGCTCAGAGCAGTCAGACGTTCGTAGAGTTATGGGGATTTTGGATTAGCTTGTCCATATGCTCATTATGATGGCAGGAGCTGGATCATGATGACACGATGAAACCAGAGCTCGAGGGAAACCTTGACAGTTTGACGATCACAAAGCATTCACAAACGATGGGGTTGAATAGGGTCAACGAGGAGAAAGCATTTGCCTTGCTTTCTAGGGAGGTAGAATAGCAGAGAGAGAACGAGAGCTGTCCAGTCACCTACTTGACCCCACCACTGCCACGCCAAGTGCTTGTTGGTCCAATTTGGGTTGAGCTCTGCATCAACGCAGCTGTTTCATAGGTAGGTTGTCTGTCGCCGGTCAATCCCGTTGCGGCTGGCAGCCAGTGGTAAGCGGGACTAGTGAGTTTCAGAGTGGTAGAAAAGCGAAAGTGCCATGCTTGATTATCGTTCTTCTTTCTTCTTTCTTTCTTCTTTGATCCGCCACGGCCGGAAAATTACCCCGGAACGTTCAGGAGGTTTCTTCTCAGGTGACTTGAATGCCCCGGAAGGAGCATAGCCTCAGAAATCAGCTGTTCAGGGGGAAACACCCCTTGTCGAGGCTGGTGCGTTTGGAGCTTGTTTGCCGTGTACTCCGTACAACATGGGCCGTTGCAGCAGTGCATCTATCAGGAACAAATGATCTATCGATTGGACAGGTATGTTCATCATTTCACATTGATTGGAATCCGCAGATCATGCAGGATTATCCGAAGAAGTCAGGATGACGGCAGGTTAACGGTCGGACACGGAGTTCCCCGGAGTGTCCCCTTCGTATAGATTCTTGATAAGTGAGAAGGAAACCGAGAGAGAAAGCGGGATCGACCGACGGTTCGTCTCCGCGTGAAGGGCGGAATGGCCGCACCACACCGCCTTCTTGATCAGGAGTCCCCATCGTTAACCGTCCGCCGTCAAAGCAGAAGATCCGCCTGGATTCTCCCGTCCAGAGTGTTGGTTCGTCCAAGCCCGATGGCAATTCGGTGACCATGGCTCTTATCGAATGAGATACGCCCCTTGCGTCTCCCCCGCAGCTGCCTCTACGTCACGGAAGACCCCTAACGGCAGGTATAGCCCACGGTAAGTCAAAAGACGCCCGGTTCCAGGGTTTGTTAGGTCGCTTTCCATCGCTTGTAGTCGGCCGGGCTGGTCATCGGCAGGGCGTGACAAATAGAAACACCGCCTGTGGAACATGCATCCGGTCAGCCTGTCGAGTCTCGACTATTATACTGCTCTCCCTTCCCGATTCTGATGTATGCCTGCTAGCGCTGCTCGATGCATGTAACGTACTGATATCGCTTGATCCGCTTTCTCCCTCTGCTCTGTATACATATACGCGGTGTTCTCACGTCCATGCACTGCGCTTTGTCTGGCTTCATCTTCCATTGTTGATGTTCTTTCTTCTTCTCTACCAAGTTGCGATCACACGAGGGTTGGGACGATATTGAATTATTTTTTCTAAGTCTATTGTTCTATTGACACTTTTTCGTCACGTTGCCCAAGACAAAGACAGACACTCGATTGCGAGGCATCCCAATACCTCTTAAACCATTATGATTGCCTCCTATCCTGACGCTACGGCCCTGCCACATGGCGACTCGCCAGAGCTGATCCTCGTGCCGGCTTCGCCCGAGGAACGCATTGAAACCATCAAGTTGAACAGCACCGAATGGAAAGGTCGGTTCGACATTGACACGTACATCGGGCGAGAGGATCACCTGCTCGCGCAGCCCTTGACCAAAGATGGATTGACCTGCTGGATTCTGGTCGACCGTCAAGAGCCGGAAGGGCGGCGAACGATCCTAGGCTCTTGCGAGACGTATCTGAAGACGGCCATGCTGGCGCAAAACGGCGAGGTGTACAACGTCCCCTGCCATGGCGTTGGGAGCGTATATTGTCGGCCTGAATTTCGAGGCAAGGGATATGCGAAACGAATGCTCCAGGAGCTGAGCGCAGTACTGGACAAATGGCATGACACCAAGGCAGTGAACAGATCGGAATTTAGCATTCTATTCTCGGACATTGGGAAGAAATTCTACGCCCAATTTGGCTGGAAGCCGTTTCCATCGTCGCACTTTGCACTTCCCCCGATCTCCAAGGCCCAATATGACCTGGGGCTCGCCGGAACCGATTTACCCCACGCGGAATCTTTGCTTGCCCACGATGTCCAGCGGTATATGTGTAATGACACGGTTTTGTCCGGCGAACGCGAAGTGCTGCGAGCCGCCTCCCAGAACTCTCATGGTGCCAAAGTAGCAATAATCCCAGACTATAACCACTTCGTGTGGCACTGGGCTAGGGAGGAGTACTGCGCCGAGAAGCTCTGCACGGACCGGGATGCACCACTGATCAAGGGTGCCGGCGACAAGACGTCCGGGGTATACTGTGTCTGGAACCGGAACTTTGGAGCGACCCCCGAGGAAAACACGCTGTATATCCTGCGGTGGATTTACGATGAGCCGACATCGCCGGAAGAGGCCGAGACAACTACCAAGGCCATGGCTGCGATATTGAGACGCGCTCAACTCGAGGCCCATGAATGGAACATGGCCTCGATTGAGTTTTGGAACCCAACTCCGTTGCTGCAGAAGGCAGTTGCTCTCCTGGACCCGACAGCCAAGGTGGTCCACCGAGAAGAGAGTAGTATTGCTTGCTTGCGATGGAATGGCACCAAGCAGACGAAGAAAGACGCGGAGTGGTTCTTGAACGAGAAGTTTGCCTGGTGTTAGATAATTTCCTTCATCGAGATTTCATGGACGGTCATGTCCACGGTGTTGGTGACTTATTTGGCTGATATAGATTGCGTTGAACTTAGAGGTGGTGAGCACGCTGGCTGCCGGGGTCCGAGTGAGGACATAATCTACTGTTTCTGTCGCTTTTGGTTTTTGAACAGTTCGTGCCAATTTCGGGTCTTTTTGGCTGCCGTTGCAGCGCTGGCATCGGTTGAGACATTCTTCTTCGCCTTTTGGCGATCGGTTTCGTTGACAAAGCAGATAGTGGTGGGCTCGGGATGTTTATAGGAGTTTTCCTGCAGACTCGCATTAGACTTGATCTTAGGCAGAAATAAGAGGATATTGATCCCACTTACCGTTAGCTTAGAGAGCTTGACCTCATCCTGCCAAGGCTCAGGCAGATGGTTTCGCCATGTCTTCAGGAAGTCATCTCGAGCCATGGCAGAAGTAGTAGTCGGCGCCATAGCCTCCAGACAGGTCTCGCCGACCCAACGCGCGCAGCTAGTCTTGTCGATACTCGCCCCTATCCATCCCTAGTTAATGCAACAATCCCAAACCCCAAAGGACTGAGAACTTACACTTCATCTTCGTCCCAGCCAGCACCTGGTCTCGCTCCACCCCCGATTCACAAACCCTCCTCACCACCGCCTCAAACAACGGCTGCGGAAACGGCTCCTCGCCCCCTTCATCAAGCACCGACCTCCACAGATCCGACACCAGAAACTGTTTCCCCAGATCGATGCCCTGGAGCACCGAGCCCTCGACAACCCTTCTCCACACATCGACCTTCACCCTCGACGACGGCCGCCAACACCAGCTCGACAAATCGTCCTCCGTCCCACGCGGCAGCACAAACGCACACAGCTCGATCCAGCCCTGCTCGCACTGCGCCCTCGACACAGGAACATCCGCCAAGACCCGCGACAGCACCTCCTGCCTCTCAATCGGATCGAGATCCTCGTCGGCGTGGCCCTCCGATTCCGACTCCCTCTCGCTGCTCACGACGTCATACACGCGCAGTCTCCGCTCGAGGGACGGAAGCGCAGAGAACCCGCCCGCGGGCGTGTGCAGCTCGAGCGTCGAGCCGCATTTCGACACCGAAGTCATCGTCTCCACGAGGTTCAGCTCGTCTTGGTCCCCGCCGACGATGCTGATGTCTCCGCGCTGAGCGCCGCCATCGCTGGGTCGCATGACGAGTAGCGAGTTCGAGGACTGGACCTGTCGGATGCGGTAGGTCTGGGTCGCGGTGCAGAGGTTCACGTATTCGCGGGCTTCGGGGTCGGTCGTGACCGGGGAGAGAGACGAGGAGGGGGATTTTAGTTCGAGACTGTAGAGTATGGACTGTTAGGCTTGCTGGTAGGGAGTCGATTGGGGTAATGGCAGGCATAGAGGAAGCAGTTAGCGCTCCGGGGACAGGGCATACGTGGGCGGGTTTTTGGACGACAGCTGCTCTGCTAGATCTGGGGGCAGTTCTAGGAGCCTGAATCCCTGTTGTGGGGATGTATGTGTGAATAGGATGCTTCGCGCAGCTTGAGTCGACATGGCAGGCAATTGGCGGCAATGCCTGGACTTCTGAGTAGGCGAGAGGTTGAAGAGTCAAGCGTATCTTATCCGATCGAGGCAAAGTAATTCGGACGCGGTACGCGTGAGTTTGCCTGGGATGCACGGGCCACTGCTTATTGCCTCCAGACTACAGCCTACTTCTAGGGACTCATACTCAAGGACCCTGCTTGAAACACTAACAAAAATATGTTGTTCGTCTATCTATAGCAATACATCAATACAGAGAATAAAAAGCCTCCGGAAATGAGCTCTGAATCCTTTTCACCAGACCCAGAATATTAACCAATAACCCCATGTAAGCAGACCAACACTCCTCAAGTAAACATGTTTTCATAAAAGACAACAGCTACACTGTGACCAGCACAGAGGTAGATGCAAAAATCTGCCCCTTAAACGGTGGTTTAACCCGGTGAGGCTTCGACTTCAGTCTTTCCTTCAGATTGAGGAAGATCTAACCCCCTCAGTGTCTCGTTTGCTCATCGTCCAGGGAATCGACACGTCCCTTGGCCGGTTTGATGGCGGGTGCCTCTTCTGAGTTGCGGATGTCATCGCCCTTCAAAGGCTCTGAGACCTTCTCTTTCGGGTCTTTCGGCCCCTGCTGCTCGGGTGCCTCCTTTGCTGCAGGGTTGTTCCCAGGCGATTTCGTGTCTTCGTTGGATACAGGCTCCGAGGCTTTCTGTTCCCTCTGTTCCTCTTCGATCGAGTCACGGACAAACGCATTGTCAATCTCCCATTGGGTTTTGGTGTCTTTGAACATGGTCTTAACCCGTTCCGTTCGTTCGGCCTGCTCCTTTTCTTCTTTCTCGCGTGCCTTGCGTTCCTGTTCCATTTCCTCCATGTGTCGGAGATCGTCCACGCTGGGTTCATAAAGATGCCAGATGGTGTAGTGCGGCAAGCCGATGACCGAGAATCCCATGCGTTTGGCCATCTACTCGGTGTTAATATAACACGAGTCTGTATATATCTTATGGGCGGAGTGTCTTACCTTGCCAAATCCCTCGGTCTCTGCGTGTTTCTCGAAACTGAAAGCCGGGAAATGGACTCCGGCGCGAAAGACCCTCGCTTTCGCAAGGATACTGACGCCTCCGACGCCGTCCAACTCCATTTCCATATCGCCGTCGCCGTAGGGATCGCGGAGGTAAGCCAGATGAGGCCGCCACGTTGCGTACTCGGCATATCCCTCCACAATCACCGCATCTTCATCCAACGTTTCGGCCAGAGCCAGCGCCGTCTCCGACTCCTGCCAAGAGTTTAGATCGTAGGGTTGTTCTCCGCCTAGCCAGTCGGGCAGGGGTCGCCAAACGTCTGATAAATCACGATTAGATAAGGGAAAAGACCGCGGTTGAAACCGAAAAAGCGGGCCACTCACTCGGCACAATAACATCCTTGTCGTGTCTCATGAGATCTTCTATAATAGTAGACGGCGCCGTCTGTACATCGGCGTCTCTCCAATATACCCAGCTGTGAGTCGGGCGAAGAGTGGCGCTCAGCAACCAATTCCTTGCCTGAGCCATCAACTTTCTTCGTCCGGCTTGAGCAGCGAAACCGTGTCTGCTTTCTACGTCTTGCGTCACCTTCTGGCCAAAATCCTTTTGAATGACGGAGATTTCGCCAAAGGACATCTTGGGATCGACGTCATTCTGAAGCTCGTCCAGCATGCTCGACAACATCTCTAGTGTACCGTCCTTCGAATCCGACACCAGGAAAGCTAGGTCAATGAGGTTGTGCGGGTATGTCAGGTTCCGGAGGTGGGAAAAGAACATCGGTAGATGCGACGAGGCATCTCGGAGAGGCGTGCACATGAGGACACGCTCTCCATTTTCCCAGCCACTTCCGGTGCCCTGCGTCTTGGACAGATCATAGTATCGCGTTGTTTGGATGTGGAGGTCGTCGCTAGATGCGACCAGTCCAAGAGAGAACGTTGGCAGCAGTGCAGCCCGCCAGGACGGAAATATTAGGACCAGGAGGAATATCGAAATTCCGCCGAGGAAACATAATCGGTGGATGAGTTGTCTTCGCCGTCGCAGGGCGGGTTGAGGACGCGGTTGGAAGCTAGCAGGTGATTTCACGAGCAAGTCAGTCAAGTGGACGATCGGAAATGATAGCGCAATCGACGACGATACGGCCCATTTGCTCCGAGAGACACTAGGCAGACAAGCGGACGCTATGCGACAACGACCGAGACACTTACCGGTGGGGAGAAATCGAGAAGGTACTGCCCTGCCCCCGAGGGTAAGCAGCGTACCCATTACCAAAGGCGTGATGCCTATTCATCGCTCGGGGGATAGCAGCATATGCTATGCCGCTGGTCAACCGATCACGTAGACAAAAGACACCTCGCAGTAGTCCCTGGATCCCGCCGAGATGGCCCCAGACTAAACTCCCTCCAAACTGCCCACCAAGAAAGCGGGTGCAAAGGCGGACGTGGCGAGAGACGATGTAGGACACGGCGATGGAATCGATGCCAGGGATCGCAGGGGTGCGCAGGAGGAACGAAGACCAAAGATCGAGGCGGTTGTGACTTCAGAGCAAGGGAGGAAAACGAACGACAGGCGATCGGGATTGTATGTAACCTGGGATTGCGTACGTAAATGTAAATTCGTGCAGGGATTCCGGCCAAAGCGCCAGGTGGAAGACGTTGGATTCTCGACCGATGGATTCCGCCCGCTCGCCGAACCCGGAAATGAACGTCGCCCGCCCTCCCGTTTGCGGTCGCTCGCCATGAAGCCGATCCCTGGAATTCCTCCCTACTTCATCTCTCGGGCTGATGCCATCGCTTGCCAATCATTGGTGGTATTGCTTACTCCGTACCAAAAAAAGAACCAAATGCCGTCTATTTACACAGGCCCTGAAACATCCTATCCCACAAAATAATCTCCCATGCACATGCAATTCCCGGAACTATCCATGCCAAAAAACGCCCTTGAAAGAATGCTGAAAATGCTGATTGACCGTGACCCAGAAAACGAAGAGCTCCAAGAAACCAAATAAAAAAAAAAAAAAAAAAAACACAGAAACCGATAACTTTTGCCCCCGTTGCATCACTGCGCCGTCAACCGCGATATCCGTGACTCGGGCGACCCCATCCCCTTGATTCCGATCTCGACTTGTCGCATTACTTTCTTGAGCAATGCGTCCATCTGCGCCGGGTCTCGCAGTACCGGAATCACCGACCCGGCTTCGTACTCGCTATCCAGGATGAAATATCGCTCCCGACCCCAGTTCTCTACCGTCTCGCGCTGGAATGCGATTTTGGCGATGATCTTGGCCGGCACCGTGGCCTTGTTGATGGCACTCTTGGAGAAGACACGCAGGAATGGACCGAGTCCAGATCGGGTTTGGTGTGCCATGCGAACCGACAGAGGAGCGGCGGTGGTGAGGTGGTTCTCTCCCGTCAAGTTGCCCGGGTCGAGGGTGAAGATGTTGAGCGCAATACTGCCGGACTAGTTGGGGCGAACGTGGGTTAGTAGGCAGACCATGGAGAGGAAGGGACAGACAACGGGGTAGCTCACCAGGACCAAACTCCGACGCAACGCATACATGGCGGCACTCATCAATAATTTACTGCTTCCATACCGAATATTCCCGTCTTTCGCACTGATGGGCGACCCGGGCCGCTGATTCGCGTCGTTGAGGTCGTTCTTCTCGAAGTAGTCCAGGGATCCCTTGGACATGGAGGCACATCCGATGTTGATGATCTTCGCTCCGCCGTTGGGGGTGCCATCACCGGCCCGGAAGGCCTCGAGGAGGGTGACGGTCAAGAGGAAGGGGGCGATACTATTCGTCTGGTAGACGGGATCGTAGCCGTCCCGCGTCCCTTGATCGGCCACATAGGAGGAGCTGGCGGCACAGTTGATCAACAGGGTCACCGGCGGGATTTCCTTGCTCTGGACCCTCTCCACCGTGTTCTGGGAGAAACTGACGACGGAGTTGAAGTTGGCCAGGTCAACTCTCAGCACCTCGACGGACCTAGGTCCAATCAACCGGAGCCTCGCCGTTAGATCCTTGACGCTCTCCGACCGGATATCACGGGCCAGCAACATCAGATGCACGAAGGGTTGTGCCTTCGCGATGGCGATGGCGACCTCGGACCCGAGCGACCCATTCGCGCCGGTTATGATGGCAGTTCCATGGAGGGTAGTCGCCATTGGAAATTGGTGGTCTTAAACAAAACACTGAAACGACCGTTGTAAGGAGAAGGGGTTCGGAATATCAAGTATAAAAATATCAGAAAGGGTGCCGGGTCAACCGAGCATGCGTCGTAAATATAGATATATAGTAATATGGCCCGTGGAAACAAGCCCCCAGGACGATTGGGAATCTCACACGGCAGGGGTTCGGAAAACCGATATATCGAAACGATCGTCGAAAGAGATATACAAGAGGAGGGAAGATACGAAGCAAGTCAGGGCATGATGGACTCTCGAGTAGAAAAAGAAAAACAAGCCCGCAAGCCTCGAGCTGGGATCGGCGGAAAGGCCAGGGAGAAAAGCGAAAGCCTTAAGGGGGGCAAAGCAGGAAAAAAAAAAAAAAAAAACGAGGGGATGGGAGAATTGGAAATGGACTTGACAGCGCCGCAGCCAAGACGATCTGAACCAAGATGCGCCAGACCAGTCCAGAGTATGAAAAAAAGGCATGAAAAGCCAACCGCACTGAAACTTAAAGTGGGGGCGTTCGGACGTGGTCCACTTGGGCGGATTTATAAAAAAAGAACGGGATTTTGGGTCGCGATGGTAATGGTTGATAATAAATCATTTAAGTCCTTTCAAGGGAGCCCGACCAGCGAGACCACCCGATCGCCGATCCGCGGGAGAGGCTGAGGTTTAATCGGTTTAATCCAGGGTTAATTCAAGGTATACAAGAGTATCCCGTATACACAGTAGTATACACCATGATCAGGAAGACTCTTCTGGAATAGACCAACCCTACCACCCTAAGCTGCATGCTCTGCGGAGGCGAGAAACATGATCCAGGTTGGATGTGCAACAATTCCAGGGCGACCTGTCGTACGGCTGAAGGGTTGACGATGTTGTTTTTTTTTTTTTTTTTTTTTTTTTTTTTTTCCCTCTTCTTCCTTTGTTCGGACCCGAGAGCTCTCTCCTCCCCGGTACTTTCTGATCCGAAAATCTGCTTCGTTCTAGAACGACAAAGACGACATGAACCCAATGCAGCTTCTCGTGTTAGCGGGGAGGCGATCGCTAGTTCTTGCCCTGTTACCTTAACTACCTCTAGACGCTGAATTGGAGATTTGAAATCCTCGGTATCCTCCGATGACATCTTACTAGCATGGCAGCCTGGGGCATTGCGATTTGGCCCAGCAGATGGCGTGCATTTTTAGACTGGATTTCTGCCCCGTTGAGAGGGAGATTTAGAAAAAAAAGAAAAGAAAAGAAAAGAAAAGAAAAAATAAAATAAGAAAAAACAGAAAAAAGAAAACAGGAGGGGCTGATCAGAATCCCGGCCAGAAGGAATCCTCTCGGTTCAACGAATACATCATGATCAACTCTATGGGTTCGGTCAACAAAGGCGTCATAGTCATCGACTACGGAGATGCTAGCCGACTACCGCCGAATGAATGGTTCTTTGACCTTTCAATAAGTCGACTGGCTAGTGAACTACGAGGGCTAAAAGAAACGACCATCAGACTAGCATCTGCCACCGACCAGGGTAGCACGAAAAGCATAATAACTACTTCGTATGTGAATCAGCTTACCGACCATCAGCCCACAGGGTCAGCTCAGATCTCGTTATTTCTGGCTCGGAAGGCGAAGGCGAAGGCGACCGCGACCAAGAAAAAAAAAAGACACGTCAATACCCTGGCCTTTTAGGCTGTTACATGCGCTTTCCCTCTCGTCCTATGTATCGGTAGTAAGACATTGCGGAGCTCTCGGGGTTTATGAGGCCCAATGAGCCCTCGCTGTCACGACGCATTTTGATTCCACACGTGGTTATTCGTCAAGACGACTACTCGTCGGGGATCTCCAGCACTCGGTTTTGCTGACATCGCACCGTCTGGAGTTTGGGAGTTGCCAGGCGAATGATTGGGGATTCCGCCACTTCGTCGCGCATGTCGCCGTTGCGCCAAGCAGCAGCAGAGCGAGCGGTTTGTTGGTCCCAAGGGATTCAGATCGAACAACCACGGCTTCTCCACCAAGGTATGAGGTCGTGATGCGGGGATTGGGCGCTAGACGAAGTGTTTCCTCTCCCAGTCTACGAAGTATTGCCATCTAGACCTGCCATGACATGACCGCAGCCCTAAATGCGGGCTAGTGCCATCTCCAGAAGCTGGTGAGTAGGACAACAAGTCATACGCTGGGCTTCTCTCGTCACGACATGGGGCTGGCTGACTAGACTATGTGGATTAGTTACGCAGTAGTTTTTTCTTTCTTGTTTTCTTTCGAATGGTCCAGCCCTCGTCCTCGCAGACCGGGTCGATCAACATGGCCCGATCTGGATTCGGGGAGTTCGTCGGAGTTTAACCCTAATGTATGTCAGTCGGTGGAATTCCTACAGTGACATTTTACAGGTACTTCTGTCGCGTCCACTCCACCGTTCTTCGGCAGCTGAAGCGGCGTTTGCCTGGATTCCCGACCGACAAGATGGGCACCGAGGACGGTAGACAACGCATGGGGCTGCTGGCTGGCTGCTGTCAAACCCCAGAATGTCTTAAACTTCGTGAAAAAGAAAACAAGGGCTGGTTTTTCCTCGGGTATGTATGTGCGGAGGAAGGCCACATCCAGTCGGGATTGGAATGACGACTGTTGTATTGGCATTGGCTTTGACATATTGGCATCAATGATACCATCGTCATCTTCCTGCCAAGGGGCTTGAAGAAAATTTTCCCTTAAAAAATTTCAGATCGCCATGGTGACGATAAATGTTGACATGTCCACTAGTGCTTCATAGTTCCTCATAGTTTCTTGGACGGCTCCAGACCGTCGAGTCCACGTATTTCTCTCCTCATTCCAATGGTCTCTGGCGTTTGCGTCGACCTCATCACGCTCTAAAATGAGCCTCACCACCTCTATGGAACCTGCATTTTCATTCCCCGGAGCCAATGGATGATCCTTGTGCCTGGATGGTTGGTCTTCTGCGATGCGCCATCCAAGTGTTCCGCTTGTGCCATCCTAGGTTCCCACGCAAAACTGCTACCCTCTCAATGCAGCAAACGGGAGATTGATTCCGTTGCAACCTGATCGGTCCAGATGAAAATGGCAGAGTGCTCGGGATATTCGGCATCTAAGACCGGTCACGTCAATCGCTGCGTTGGCGTTGTTCAAGCGTGCCTGACTCGGCATCGGACTTGCAAGCTCAGTTCCGACTTGTCACCCCCTGGCGCTGGGGTTTATGGCTGGTTTTTGAGCACTGTTGAGTTAAGGGCACTTGTTTCTCTCTGAAACGCTGATCATGTATCAATGGGGTGGTTCTTGGCTTGGTTTGGATATATCATATCTTCATCCCGTGGTGCCTGAGGTCCTCAACTCTCCTCAAATCAGACCACTTTTATGGCCGCTTGGCTCCTAAACATCAGAGCGATCAACTGCGTATAACTTCTCATTTCACCATAATCGACAAGACCCAAGCAACGCTGTACTTCGATACAAAAACACCTACCCCGGGCTGAGATTGCATTCATTTCTATTTCAAGTACCCGTTAAATGTAGGGGCTATCATGCATAGACTACCCCTATTCCCATTCCATGTACAACCTACCCATCTATATAAAAACCTCCGGTCTTAATCCCCAACCCCGGTCCCTCACCCCAAGCCCCTTAAGCATACAGCCATAGAGCGCACGCACAGCCTCAAATAGAAACATGTCTCACCTTAACCACGGGGGTTTAAAACCGGGCCAGTGGCTCGCGTCTCGGGGAATAAAAGGATCAGGAGATCGTCATGGCTGGCGCTGTGTGACGGTGCTGCGTTCTGAAGTCCTCGTTGACTGGAGAAGGTCACTACTTACCTTAGGTCATTGTGCGTCTGTCCCAGGCTGTTGTGACGCGGTGGTTTGCTCTCTCCCTCCTTGCCTTTGGCAAGTGGGGATGGGTTGATTGGTTTCGTGATATGGGGATATGGAGATATTGACAGGGATTAGCTCGTGTTTGGTTTATTTGTCTGGCATCTCGCATCCCTTTACTCTCTCTTGGTTTTCTTGAGGCCGTTTGGCCGGTTTAGTATACTCACCCCCCCATCGCCGACCATCATGCGGCACCGTCCTGACTCGGTGCACCACGTCTTCCGTGCGAGGATCCACGGCGCCGATCGAACGGCATGCGGACGAACGCCCGACGCTGCCGTGAGACCTTGGCCATTGGGGTTGGAATTCGCGCGGGGCCGGCCGAGTCTGCGTATTTGGATGGGGCGTATGGGTTTGAGGCGATGGAGGAGTTTACCTACTTGCGAGTTTACCGGGGTGAAGTAAGATAGGATGGGTTATGGGACTCGGGTTGGCGTAGTGGGAAATATACGAGTCCTGCCAGTTGCAGCTAGAGGCAAAGTAATCCAGCAGATGAACACAATTCAACGTTAGATTGAAGAATAAAGCAGAAGATTCGTTCCTCGTTGGACACGTTAATTACTGTCTTGGCCATATCTACGCTGCTTTCCCAAATACAACGATAAGAGACTCGATTTTCCACGCTTTTTTGTCTTTTGTGTAAAACCTCTTAAAAGAACCAGTTTCCTTCCCATGGATCATCCCGTTTACCGGACAGCAGCTCCCTTCAGCGTCTTGACGGTGCAGACCACTCCCGAGGCAGTCACCAGCTTTCCAAGAGCGGGCTTGCCCTCCTGGCCCTGCACGGCGGGGACGGCGCTGCTCTCGAACGCCACCTCGAGGGTGTCGGTGGTGGTGAATCCCGGCTGGAACGTCTCCCAGACCTTCTTCTTGGGGTTGAGCACCTTCTCGGGCTCGCCCTCGCTCCATCCCTCGAAGAAGATGCGCTGACCGGCCGGGGCGTCGGCGGGCGGCATGACCAGCTCCACGGGGCCGGCGTGCGAGTCCTCGCCCTCGGTCACGCGCGGCGAGGCAGCCAGGACCATGGCGCAGGACTTGATGCCGCGCATGGTGACGGGCTTGAGGTTGCAGACGGCCACGATCTTGCGGTCCTGCATCTCCGGAAGCGGGATCAGTCCGTTCAAGCCGGAGCACACAGTGCGGACGGTCTTGCCGGTGGCCTCATCCAGGGAGGTGTTCTCGCTGCCGGGGGCGTCGCCGCAGTCGATGGTCGACACGTACAGCGAGTCGGCGTTGGGGTGGTTGACGGCACGCAGGATGTGGCCCACGCGCAGGTCGATGACGGACGGGGTGGGAGGCGCCGCCGGAGCAGGCGCGGGCTTGGCCTTGGGAGCTTTTTCTTTCTTCTCTTTCTTCTCCTTCTTGTTCACCTTGCCGCCCTCGGGCTTCTCGGCTGCCTCGCCCGCCTCGGGGGCCTTCTTCTCGGGCTTGCCCTGGCCCACGACAAGAGGCTTGTCACCAACGGCAGCGCCGGCGTTCTGGGCCGCAGCCTTCTCCTTCTTCTTGCGCTCCTTCTCCTCCTTGGGGTCGACGGGCTTCGGCACGAATCGCACGTCGTTCACGTCGATGGCGATCTTCTCCTCGTCGGGGATGCGCAGGGAGAACAGGCGGCTGTTCTGCACGAAGTCGACGTGGCGGACGAGGTGGTGGGAGCCCTGCTCGCCCGTGCGCTCCTCGGGGGACCACTTCTCGACCAGAGGGGCCACCAGGGCGTAGACGGCAATGTCGGCGACGGAGGGCTTGGAGCCCAGCAGGGTGGTGCGGGTGGCCAGGTGGGCGTTCAGCTGGGCCAGGATGTTCGAGGCGACGGGCTTCTCATCCTTCACGAGGGCGGTCTGCAGGCCGGAGATCGTGTGCAGCCATTGCTTGATGTCGGCCTCTTCGGCCACGGAGAAGGTGGTCTGAGGGAAAATCTTGGGCGAGGCCGTCAGAAGGTCGGGCTCGGTGGCGTCGGGGGAGACGGCGGCCGGGTAGGAGCGGTACAGCAGGGAGAGGAGCGAAGTCTCGGGGGCGGAGTTGATGGCCATTTTTGCGAATGGGCGGACAGGAAACCGGCGAGAGGGCGAGATGGGAAGCGGATGAAGAGGGGCAGGACTGATGACTCCCAAAAGTCGAGTGCACCGCGGGGTTCTTCTGGCGGCCCGCAGGAGGGTCGCGGCGAACAGCGTCAACTTGTCGTCGGCCCAACGGGACCGATATTTCTTTAATTAATTGATTGATTGATTGATTTTTTACAGAAACGTTGCTGCGTTGCGCTAAATTGACGGAAATCAGATTAATTGCGGAATGCAGCAGAATTGAGCATCGATCGTTGAGCAGCAAAAACAACGTCGAATTTGTCTCGTGACCGCATCCGGTTTAGCGCATTTCTTTTTTTCTTTTTCTTTTTTTGCCTGGGACGATGACTCAGCATCAGGCACGACTCCAACTTACTAGTACTGAAGTATTAAATGTTGATTGATAACTAGGTAGTACACTCACTTTCAAATGCCTTTATTTGGTTTGCTCTGCTAAAGAATGATATCACCCAACATTATTTTGACACTTCTATATTGCCCGCAATCTACGCTTGAACCTGGGTTTCCAGACAACTCCATCAAAACCGAAAACATGGGAAATGTCGAATCTTTCACGAGAGTCGATTAGAACGGCTGAAAGGATGGACGGAATTTATTTAGGGGACGCAATGCCGAGAGACGGTCCTCGCAGGTCGAAGATCACGAAGAAGGCCTTGAGGAACACGTCGCCCAGGATCTGCATCGAGCTGCCCTGGTTGGACTGGACACCGCCGTAGCAGACTAGGAGTACATTAGCAGTTGTTCGGCTGATATCAAAGCAGTTCGTCCATCACTTACCCTTTTCACCGGTGGTCCGGTTGACGCCAACCTCCGAGAAGTGGAGCAGGTGGCCGGGGACGGTGGCCAGATGCTTGGGGCCGACGGCGATCGAAAGGTTGGGCAGGTCGGCATTGCAGGGGTAGATGTAGCCGCTGGCACTGCTGGCAAACACCGCGCCGTGCACCTGGTCATAGTACGCATCCACCACGTCCTGGTCGAGCAGCATGAGAGAAGTTCCGGTGTCGGCAATGGCGGTGGGCGTCTTCTTGATGCTTTGCATGGTTCCGTTTCCGACAGCGAAGTGGGCCGAATCGAATTCCCAGAACCCATTCGACGAATCCACCGTCACGTTCGAGATCTCGCCGGTGTACTTGTCGTGGCTGATGACGCCGAATTCGTACTCACCAACGCCGTCGGCCTTCAGGGCGGCAGTCAGAACGGGCTCGTCCAGGGTCTCGGCGGCATTTTCGAAAAACGTCTTCTGGCTCTGGGGCTTGACGGTGTTGAGGGACGAAAAGCCCAATCCCACGAGGCCGTTGGAGTAGGTGTCTTCGATAAAGGAGTCGGAAACCTCATCCGGGATGCCGATGGCCTGGCTCTTGACAATGGCACCGCCGACGTTGACAGTGTCGGTGCCCACGCCACCGTGGGCATAGGAAGAATCGCCGTAAGAGATGTTGAACGTGGCTCCCGTGATCTCGGCAAACGTGGACGAGTTACTAGGGTGATACACAGTGCGGCCTTGCTGGGCACTCTTGGGCAGTCGCGAGTTCATGACCCAGCTGCGGACTATCAGTTAGCCATTCACAACACTGGCGGGTACGCAATGGGGACATACAAATCCGCGGAACCGGTATCGAAGTTGAGGACCAGCTTCTGGCCTCCGACCAGGACCGGAGACACGAAGGCAGCGTCACCCTGCACGGAGGCCGCGCTGACAGCTCCCGACTGCTCGGGTTCATCGACCTGCTTGTTCACGGCGGCATGCTTGGCGTTGTTGATGGGCTCAAAGTCCTTCAAGTCGATACCCAGATTGATGGGGACGATGCCGTATTTCCGGTAGGCCTTGCGCAAAGCATCAGGACCATGGATAGCGTCATTCCCACGTCGGACCCGCTCAACTTTGTAGGACCTGCTCTTCCGCTGAGGGGCTGTCGGGACCGAAATCACGCCGGCGAAGAACAGAGCAAAAAGGAAGGAAAAGAGGAGCCTCATGGTGCTGGGTCCAGTCGGTCTCTGCGCTAATAATTAAATGAGTGATGGCGGTATGCTTCGTCAAGAAGCCCCGAAAAGAGATCGAAAAATGAATGTCCAGAATATGTCTATATTTTTTTGGTCTTTTTTTGCCGTTTTCCGTCTTCTTTCTGTCTTTTCTAGTGCGTTCTTCCCCGGAACTATAGCACGTAGCACAAAGGAATGGAACAGGACCAAGTCCCGACTTGGATGCCTGACGAGAGAAAGCAGGGAAAGAAAGAAATTAGAAATAAAGAGATGGATAAAGATCAACAGCCTCACAGAGCCACTGCTGCAAGAAACGGAAGGTAAAGGAAGGGAATGCAAAGAAGGGAAAGGATTAGAATGACATTAGGATTAGGTGAGAAGTAAAAGAATTAATAGTGATCGTGCAGGGATCAATGGCTGTCTAATGGCCGAAAAGAGGGGGAAAAAATTAAAAATAAAAATAAGATAGAGGCGTGCAGGAACCAGTCTCCAAGAGAATTCCTCAGTGTCCAAGACTTCCAAGACGTATGCATGATCCACCGCTGTCGAGGACTAGCCATGCTCTGACCAGATGGAGCAGCACCAAGAGACCGGCGGTGGACGAAGGAACCAATGCATGGTGTTGAGAGGGACCCCAAGCGGGCCGACTCATCTGGCTGACACAGTTTACGGAGACGGAGCCAGTCAACGGTCGAGGAGAGTAGATCTCCGTGGGCGCATGGAAAGCATGGAACGGATGACAGCCGCCGCGACGAAGCATCCGGTCCAGTCGTTGCCCCTGAAGGCGCAGAAGCCGTGAAACGCTGGAGGGGGCGGCGCTTCTGCCAGGCCAATCATTACTCCCGGCGGACGTTTCAGCGGAGGGGCGCCCTGTTACAGCCTGCCGCTGCTGGCTGGAGCTTTTCGTGTTACGGAGTTCCTGTCGGAGTGGTCTTTTCACGGCTTCTCTCCGCGGACTCGATGGTGGCCTAGAGAGGATTTGGAATTGGTCATGTTTGAGAGTCGCTCTCGACCTTCCTCCAAAGGGAAACGGAAACTCTACTCACCCTCGTCTGTGGCATGACAGGGCCGATCTCTACTGGACTCTGTAACATGCACAAGACGGTGGACGGCGTCAAACCTTCCTCGGATTAAATGAGTGGAGTCCTTCCAAGAACCGTACTCGGTTCAAGGCAAAGCACCAAACGGCCAATAGACCAATGCAGATAACACATGGTGGACCTTTTCTGGTGGCAGCCAGAGGAATCGCCTCAGTCCATTAATCAGCACTAAGGAAGTACGGAGCAGCCAAGCATTGGTTAAGATTCGAGGATCGCGATCAACGGAACGGCCAATTTATACATGACCGCACGCGCTGAACGGGCGACCTTGGCATTACTGAATTTAGCATGCCCAGCTGGATAGACTCCCCGGAAGGTACAAGGCTGTCGCCCTGAGACCCGATCGACAGGCCCTAGTCGCACTTAATTCTCGTAAGGTCGCTCTGTTCCGACTGCCAGGTCGCGTGCTGCTTTCCGCTTGGTCTGTGTCGGTTTTGGGGGTCGGAGGCGCAGAAAATTGTGAATCAGGAGAATTATGCATCAATTGCCAAGGCAGCTTTCATCAAATGTGCTAAAAAATCTGGTATCCCAATAATAATCATCATAAAAAAGAATCTCCCCATCGAACGCCCAAAATAGAACGAGAAACCAAAAATGGGGGAAAATAGACCCCAACCCAACATACCCTTTAGCAGGCGGCCCCAATGCATCACGCTGGAGAAAATCAAATGTAAGTAAGCATGCATATAATCATTCCATCAGTTCGTCGGGCAGCACGGCCTCCGGATCCTCGCCGACCAGCTGGCCAACCGATCGCACAACCCCTTTGATGGCAGTCGATGCCGGACTATCCGGGAAGTTGTCCACAAAGCTTTCGCCGTAATCACAGGCCATGCCCACTCGCGGGTCGAGAGGAACAGATCCCAGGAAAGGAATGCCCATTTTCTTGGCGAGCCGCTTGCCGCCTCCCGTCGTGGCCCGGAAGATTTTGGACTCGTGCCCACAGCCGGTGCAAACGAACCCTGACATGTTTTCCACCAACCCGAGCACTCGGATCCCTGCCTTGCGGCAAAAGTCGATCTCTTTCCTAACGTCCAGCAGCGACACTTCCTGGGGGGTGGTGATGACCACCGCCCCGTCCACACCCGACTCCTTCAGCAATGAGTTGACCGACAGATGCTCGTCCGAGGTGCCGGGTGGCGTGTCGATGATGAGGTAGTCCAACTCACCCCAGTCCACGTCCTTCAGGAACTGCTTTATAAGACCGTTCTTTTTCGGTCCCCGCCAAATCACCGCATCGTCCCGATTGGGCAGCATGAACTGCACGCTCATGGCACCCAGGTTATCCGTCACCCACACCGGACTCCAGCCGGCATTGCTCACATGAATCGTTTCCGCCTCGACGCCCATCATTTTCGGGACAGAAGGTCCGGTGATATCGGTGTCCATTAGTCCGACGGTGGATTCCGGGTTTGCCGCAAACGCATGGGCAAGGAGGGAGGAAAAGGTCGACTTCCCCACGCCACCTTTGCCGGAGAGAACTAGGATCTTGTGTCGGATCTGCGAGAGACGCTCGGTGATGATGGCTATATCGGGATCGGGTCCTTTGGGGGCGGTGGAACAAATCGATTGGTTGGGACAACCGGCGCAGGCGTCACCTTTACCGGCCTGCTCGGACTCGGGGCCAGGGCAGTGTTCTGTTTGCCAGTTAGCGACTGAACGAGGGGGGTTGCAAGAACAGAGACCGTACCTGGCTCGGGAGCGACCAGATTGGGTGCCTTGGATGATGGCGCATCGAAAGAGGCCACCGCGGGCTCCTCGAGAGAGGGCGCCATGACCGTAGATTCAAATTGGCTGCGGTTCCGGAGAGATTACAGACACCAGTAGTAGGTTAATAGAGTATCAGGAATAGCAGAACGGTTGTGTCGATGAAGCAGAGTCAAAGAGAAATTTGGAGAAGTGGCGGATGGAAAGACTCATGGCGGGACGGATTGGCTGCTTGATAATACACCGGCCAATCAGGGACTACGATGACAAACGCGCGCTGCGGTTTCGGAGTCGGCGATAAGATCTTATCGTTTCTCATTTTCTTTTCCCTATGCAGTCATATACAATCAAGTGTCTAATTCGTGCTTCATTGTCGCTGCAGTAGTGAACGTCTGGCCGAGGATTTCTTGCGTGGCATTTTGCCGGTCGAGTGGCCACTCGCGGACCCCCAGAATGGCTCATCGACTCCGTTCCACTCCGTACTGCGTAGTACGAATATACTCGAAGAGGCTCTCATAGCGAAGAGCTACCAACCAGATCGGCCCTTGACGATATGAAAATACCTCATGATTAGTTTCAGGGACTAGATCCTTGGCAGTCTCTCATATCAGATTATCAGATGCTGCTCCCCCGCCTAGGAATACCTTCACAAGACTCGCAGGATCCTTTCTACACAAGACAGGTGTATTTGGTATCATTAATCGCAGCACAGGGAGGGCGACCGATATATTACGATGCAGCCACCATGTGCCACGATAATTCACTCCATCGCGTGCTCGAATTCAGCGTCGCAATCTCGGGTAATTGAAGGGAAATAGCGGTTACCGATTAATCCCCTGCCCTCGAGTCCCCGGTGTGCTACGGTAAGTTGGTGAGGGGAAATTCAGCGGACGAGGAGGGGTGAGACAGGGAGACAGTGCGAAGTCAGAACTTTCTTTGACGCCGGTGGTCCAACCGCCGGCTGATCTGGTGGGATTCGGGTCCATGATATCATCGTCTTGTCGCAACCCGGTTCTGGTGGCTGGCCCTTTGATTCCACCTTCGAATCCATGAGGGTCCGTCGATCACCACTGGTGCACGTCATCGCCATTATTCATTATTGTGTCAGAAGAATGGCTCGACAATACCCGCTGTTTCATCGACCCACGGAATCAAAGGGCTTGTTTGACAGAAGAGCCAACAGACAGAGCGCGGACGGTTCTCTACGGTCGATGAATATCCATGCCATCTGAACGAGGCCACGGGCCTGCATCCGGTCCGTATGCAAAGCCGTGGGGGTTGTGCCTCTTGCGGCCATGCACATGCATATGCATCTATATCTTAGGGCCTCTCGCTCGAGGACTCGAGGAGAGGAGAGGAGAGGAGCGGAAGAAGCAGAAGAATAATGATATGTCATAGCGCAATTAATGGAAAAGACCGCGTCCAACAACTTCAGCCTATTGAAAGCACGCGCTATTACCGCTCCAGGCTATTCTCCAGTCGATCGCCCAGGGAATGGCACACCTCCCCCCCTCGAAGAATTAATCCCTCTTCCGACAATGAGGTGCACTCGGCTCTGTGCTCATGCAGCATCTCTCGGAGCCATCTTCTGTTCTAGGACTCGACCCATGTAGACTCGACTCGCTAGCCAGAAATGGGATTAACGTGCCAAGGATCGCGAGCACGTTGAGGAGAAGAGGAGAGAGCCCAAGCTGCGACTAACCCAGGTCGACTAGACCAGACCCTTACTAACTCATTCTCCCTCCTTCCGGCTCCTTCTTCCCTGCTGCTCCACCCTGCGACTGTCGGCTGCGGGAAACTGAGGAGTCGCCCGCGCTCTCTTGCTCTGGAGTCGGGTGCAAGATAAATACGGGGACATAACTTCCGGACGATTTCCTCTCTCTTGTTATTTTGTAGAAGCAAAAAAATTGAAAAGCCCCAGTCCAATCGAGGGAATCCGATCTACTTAACCCTTAACCACGACTGCCGGCTTAGTTGTGGTGGCTCCCGCAGGCCAATCACCGTCGCTTTCCGCGCTGCTTAAACAAAGCCCGCTGTCACATGCTCTGCTCTCTGTCCTTCTTCTTCTCAACCCTTTTTTTGCCTCTCGTTCTTCCCCCCAACATTCTTGCCATTCTTTCCTCGTAGAATTGCAATCATGGATCGTGGCCTCTCAACAGGCACCCAGGCTGGGAATGAGGGACTTCGTGAAAGGAGTGTGCCCTCCCAGTCGACTCCAAAGCTCACCACGGAGGCTCTCGCAGCCACCGGTGACGTCGAGCCCAAGGACCAACCTGGACAGGACTCGAAAACATTCGGCCGGACGCCGGATGGCACAGGTAGGTCGTGCGGCTGGTTTGGCAGCAAACCAATCCCCCAATGTGTCCTCGAGACCGGCGGAGTCTCTGAAGTTCGAGAGCGCTAATTCTGCCGCGACCAATCATTAGTTTTCACGGTCCCTCAAACCCATGACATGGTTTCTCAACTCCTGTCACCGTCAGAGCCTAAGAACTTATCCGATCTGCTTGTCCTAGCTATCTTGGGCGCCCATGTCTTTCTTCTCTGGTGGCTGCCCGCAGCCGCCAAAGTCCCCGTTTTCGCGGCAGTCTATCTGTTCTGGCGTGCGGGATACAACGCGGGAATTGGGTGGCTGCTTCACAACCAGTCCCATCACAACACGCTGGTCCGCTGGGCGGAGAAGACCAAGATCTTCGTGGATCCCGCCACGGGGAACAATCCACACCCGGCCCTCTACAATCTGATCAAGCGGGAATTGGAAACTAAAATTCGCAGTGACTACTCCTTCGCCAAGGCTCCGATTGAGTACAACACTTGGCTCGTGTTTAGGCGTCTTGTGGATCTGATTCTGATGTGTGACTTCGTGTCATACTGTCTCTTTGCTATAGCATGTAGCCACCATCCCGCTAATGAGGGCGTCTTGATGACTACACTGCGGTGGTCCGCCGGGATTGTCCTGGTGCTGTTCAACCTCTGGGTCAAATTAGACGCACATCGAGTGGTAAAAGATTTTGCGTGGTACTGGGGCGACTTCTTCTATCTCATCGACCAGGAGTTGACCTTCGACGGGGTCTTTGAGATGGCGCCTCACCCAATGTATTCGGTCGGCTACGCTGGATACTACGGTATCTCGCTCATGGCAGCCAGCTACAAAGTGCTGTTCATCTCGATCATCGCCCATGCAGCTCAATTCGCCTTCCTGGTTCTGGTCGAGAACCCCCACATCGACAAGACATACAACCCTCCTCCTCCCCGGAAGCGTATAAGCGACCAAGAAGTCGCGTCGACAACCTCCCAGAGCACTGATTCACCCATCGCGCCAGCATCCGTTGATGAGCAAATTCCCCACGCGCCAGGCTACTCCAGCAGCCCGCCTCCGTCGGTCCACAATCTGTTGGGGCTCCACAATTTGGATCTGCATAGAACGACCGATACCTCGTCCATGCTGATCCAGTTCCTCGTATTCGCTCTTACTGTTCTGACGCCCTCCACTCGGTGGTATCAGTTCTTTTTTGTAGCCAACGCTACAGTCTGGAGACTCTGGTACACGGCTGGCATCGGATACCTGCTGGATCGCCAGTCCAACCGCAAATCCTGGACCCGGCACTTTGTCAAGTATGGGGAAACCCCCCAGGAGGCGTGGAGTCAGTGGAAGGGCACCTACCACCTCAGCATGATCATGTGCTATGCCAGCTTCATCGCGGCCGTATGGAAAATGTACACCTTCCCGGCCGACTGGGGCTACGGCCTTGTTCTGCTGCGGCACGTTCTCGGCGCGGGTTTGATCAGCCTGCAGATCTGGACGTGCGTCAGCATCTACGAGTCTCTCGGCGAGTTCGGGTGGTTCTACGGGGATTTCTTCTTCGACGAGTCCCCAAAGCTGACCTATAATGGCATCTATCGCTTCTTAAACAACCCAGAGCGTTTTCTGGGCCTAGCCGGCGTGTGGGGCGCTGTCCTGATCACCAGTAGCAGTGCCATCACGTTTCTTGCCATCTTGAGTCACTTCCTAAGCCTGGTTTTCATCCAGTTTGTGGAGCGCCCGCACATGCAGAAGCTGTACGGCCGGAGCCTGCGACAGGACGCCGGTCTCGTCAAGAGCTTGAAGAGGTCCTTGCCTCCCACGCTCAAGCAGCTCCATGGCAGCGTGGATAAGATCTTTGACGAGTCGTTCGATTTCATCGAGGACATCATTGACAATGCACGCCCCAAGCTCGCTGCTGGTGTCAACACCTTTGTCAAGGACACCACGGCGCTTTTCCAGAAATATCCGGCCCGTGTAACCATTTCTCGTATTGACGAAGACCTGGCTGGATACAACTCGCGTGACTACTCCTTGGAGGTCGAGGGCACCGACTCATCCTCTCTGACCGAATCCGACGGTAGTAGTGGTCGGGAGGGTGCCAATGCTCGTATGCCTCTCGATCGACGAGGTGATTTGAAAAACCTGGTCTTTGAGTATGGTTCTCCGATCAAGGTGAAGTGGACCGCACCTCTCAACCATAGCAAGAAAGACTGGATTGGGTTATACAGAGTAACCGATAACACTTCGCGAGAAGTGACGCGGGTCTCATCCCAAGGAAGATGGATCGCGTCGAATGAAGGCTTCTACGACAACACGACGTGCGAGAAGGGCATCGTCACCAGTGATATCGTCTCAACTCCCCAGCGCGCCGATGGCGACGACTACGACATCGCTACCGGAGAGGTCATCTTCTCTGGAGACAAGCTTTTCTGGACGCAAGGCACCTTCGAGTTCCGCTACCACCACAATGGCAAGCACAATGTCATGGCCATCTCGCGACCCTTCGAAATCAGCATCCGTCGCTTCGACGAGGAAGACCTCGTAGGAGCCGACCGTGACCTTACCCAAACATCTGTAGAGAAGAGCCTGTTGATTGTTGTCCGGAACTGTTTCGACCGGGACCCCGAGATCGCGCCGGAAACCGCAGAAGAGCAGTTCGGATCTCTGGTCGACCGCGACGGCAAATATGCCAAGCGGGTCATTTTCGCTGTACATCAGATGTGAGTTCCGTGATTCCTTGAACCCCATGAACCAAACTCGTCTCCCAAATCGCCGTAACTAATTACCGTCGTCATTAATAGGTTCGGTATCGAGTTCGCCCCCGAAGTCGTTCGAGCAGATGGAACCGTTCGCAATCTTGCTTGGAGAATCTGCAATGCGAAATGTGTCCTTGTACGTCCACATCTTCTCCCATCATAATCCCTCGTAAATAACAATGCTAATAACCTCCGTCCATCACAGGCGCCATACAGCATGTCCCGGAACGGCGCCACAACACCGACCGAAGGGAAGGAGTAAAAACGGATGATTCCAAACAGGTGAAGTCGACGAAGTGATGACGATGTTATATGTCTCCCTACGCTCATGGTGGATATGAACCAGAACAAATCTTTTTTTTCTTTCTTTTTATGTTTTGACCCCTCTGATACAGGATGAGGCGCTGAGAAGGGTAGGTGGCTCTGTCGAGTTCTTTTTAACGTTGATTTTGCTGCGTGTGCTCTTGTTTCAGGTCGAATGCGTTTCTTGCAAGGAAATTGGGAAAGCAGAAATGAATTGTTGATTCAGGGGCGGCGGATGTAGCGGATGCAATATGGGATCACAAAAACTATTAGAAAAATACAATATAAAAGTTCAAAGCTCTCATAATTCTCAAATTGCTGGTTTTTACTTTCACTACGCAGATTTTCTTGATTGATGAAAAATTGCAATATCAGACCATGCCATTGTGTTCTAAGCTATCTAAAGTTCTAAAAGCCTGCGAAATTACTTATGAAAAGTCAGCACGTTGCTGCAAGCATATCGGGGTGAAAAACAATCGATATGATCAAGTTTAATCAGCCAAGCCGAGTTAATTCATCCCATCCCCTGCCGACCTCAATCCCCCAACATGCCATCCAAGACGAACGACATGCCGAAGTAAAGTGATCGACACAAGTCAAGCAAGCAATGACCGGCAGGTACGGCGCGAAAATACAAGACGAAGCCCACAGCCCAAGCTCCACAACCTTCCTCCCTTTCATCTGCCATCCTCCTTGCGGAAGAGGCGAACGTAAGGTCCAGTACAAGGGAGAGGGGCATATGGATCTTGTATTTCCAATGCGCTGGCTGCTGGTCGATGCAGGCCCGAGGGGCGGTATCCCACGAGGAGATTCATTGAATGGATTGACTAGTTGTCATCATAAAGGGTGTGTGTGTGGTGGAGATGAGAGAAAGAGAGATCATGTCCATACCTAATTATGGCTTGAAAAATCTTCTCATCGTCCCTAGAGCTAAGATACAGTGCCTAAAATCTTCGAATAGTTAGCCAAAAGTTGCTATATAATGCAATTGCAAGTTGGCAACAAGGCGGAAGCTTCGAATGGGATCAGGAGTTTTTGGTAAGGTATTTTGTTTTCTTCAAGATTTTTGCAGAAGCAGAACTGAAAAAAAAAATGTTTCTCATCACGGAAGCGAGGACAGCCTTTGAGAGCGCCCTAGGGGAGAAAAAAAAAGGTAAAACCTACCAAGCTTCTTTACGTGGTTCCCGAGTATCAGTACTAAGAAAAGAGCAGCTGTGCTTCTCATAGTCAGCGGAAATATTCCTGCAAGACACGAAGGAATTTTTCAAGATATGAGGATAGAAGGGGATCAGATGGTGATGCATGTTTGTTCAATGGCCCATTTGTTTGTCGCCAAGAACTGATTTTGGATCGTAATCATCATAAAAAGATTGTGGGAGACGGTGATGGATGATGTCAAGGATTCATGGATGGACTCACAGATTGGGAAGTTAGTGGCAAAAAAGTCGTTGATTTTGAGCAATCAGAAATATTTCCCTCCATCATGAAGGAGGAAAGCTGTTCTGTCCACACAGAGTGGTGGAAAGCAGGCAGGGAAGGAAGAGAGAGAAAACGGAGGAAGAGAGCGAATTTAAAGTGGGAGAAAAACGAAGGAAAAACCGGCGCCGACCCACCGCCGACAAACAAAGCAAACATCCCTCAAAATTGTAGATTTCCGTTTCTGGCCGTCAACGACAGCGGGTCGGCAGTTTCACGTCTCGCCGGCATATTAGCTCTTGTTTTCTTCTTTCACTGCTTGGAGAGCATGCCAACTAATGTGTAATGACTGATAGAAGGAGAATCAATGGGCCGCCTGGCGGCACGAGGCCTGCGATCTTTGCCTCGTCTCTCGACTCCGCCTCTACGGCTACCGCAAGACCGCAGCGTCAAAGGCAGCCGAATGATCTTCGGAAGATATGTAAGGATGCGAGGCCTTCGTGGATCCTTCATGACTGGTACTGTGGCTAACATGGACGTTGGATAGTTCTGAAAACCGGCTTGATCCCCTCCGCGTCTGGGTCCGCATACCTTGAATTTGAACCTTCAGCCTCTCTTGCCGCCGCTCGATCCTCCCCTCAGTCTCTTATACCGCCGTCGTCCGCACTGAAGCTCGCATGTACAGTACATGGGCCGAAGCCACTTCCGCGCTCAGCTACCTTCTCGCCCAACCTAGTCCTCACAACCCATGTTAAATATGCCCCGTTCGCCGCGCGGAGGCGGAAGGGCCATATCCGCGATGCCAGCGAACGCGACCTCGGGGTGCACCTAGAGACCGCTCTTAGGGGTGTGATTGTCGCCGAGCGATGGCCCAAGAGTGGACTAGATATCACAATCACAATCCTCGAGGCAGAAGACGACCGTTGGTGGGGGGATGCTCCGGATTCGCATGACTCCCCTTGGGGCATGCTGAACGTGCTTGCCGGGTGTGTAACGGCCGCATCTGCAGCCATAAGTGATGCTCGAATCGACTGTCTTGATCTGGTGGCCGGAGGAGTGGCTGCTTTGGTCTCTGACGAATCGGAGGAAGGGAAAGATGCCAAACCGAAATTGATGCTGGACATGGACCCGGCAGAACACAAAGCCATTGTCTCGGCATGTGTTGTTGCATACATGCCTTCTCGCGACGAGATTACGGAACTCTGGCTGAAGGGAGACAGCTCGAAAGCGTCCCTTGCAGCCGACGACAAACGCCTCGCTCATGATGCCTTGATCGATGGCGCCGTAGATGCGGCTCGAGGAGCACATACGGTCCTAGCGGAAGCTGTCAGAGAGTCTGCCATGCGTTTTGCTGGTCTGACTTCGGGGGACAATGCTGCTTAATGAGATCTAACATCAGGGCGTATTATCTTTGGTTTTTCTAGTATTATTTGTCTGTTACCGTTATCACTGTCAGTGAATGCAAACCTGGGCTACGGCCTACTTTCTGAACCGTTCTCTGCCGAGATGAAGCAAAGCCGCAACTGAAAGCAAACCTTTGTGAAAACTTCCATTCACTTTTTCAAACCAGCAGCCTGCTGTCGTCTACCTTAACTGCATCACCCCCTCATCCCCCTCTTCTCACTTTCAAACTTCCTCCACCACTCTCCCATTACTCTCCGCACTGGGAATTTCTGTCGAAAACGTACGCAACTTTCTCAGTCATCCACGACAATGGCGCCAGCCAGCAAGAGCAATGAGAGCCTCATGTTTCTCTTCATCTGCGTGAGCAATCTCAAAGACAACGCTGTAAGTTTCCCACCCAGACAAGGGCAAAGACCTCCTCCCCTCACATGCACATATACATGTATGCACGTGACCAAAGACAATGCTGACAATGGATCACTCTTTTAACTATAGATCGACTTCAATGCTGTCGCTGCCGCAACGAACCTCAAGATCACAGCCGCGCGCATGCGTTACTACCGCCTCAAGAAGCAGCTTGAGGGAGAGCTTGTCGATGGCAAGTTGGATCTCACCAAGGCGGCAGCTGATAACTCTGAGTCTACTGAGGCTGCCGCGGCCCCTGCTATGGATTCAGCCTCTACCCCTGCGCCCGCTAAAAAGCAGCGTGGAGCGAAACGCAAGAAGACCGTGGTCAAGGAGGAGAACGCCGACTAGTAAGAGCAGCGTGTTACTCTGAAGCGTCCTCTGCAGAAGGATCGCACAATACCAGTCGAAGTAAGTTAGCCACCATAAAGAAGGAACATTGGCGACACGGCTCAGCTAACTGTCGATGATCAAAAGGGGGCTTTTTTTTTCTTCTTGGACGGAGGATTGAACAGGGATGGTTTGAGCGAAGGAATGGTTGGGCATTTCGAATCTGTTTAGTTGGTCAATAGCTACAGAATGCAGTCTTTGGAAGGCTAGTAACAAAAGCCAGATCTAGGGATAATTCTCCCCTGCATGATTAGAGTTTGATAGCTGTAGTTAAAAAGTAGTAGTAATATTAAAAAACTTCGCCCTGGTTGCCAGAGTACCGGTCATGCGCCAGGACCTTTATTAAACCAGTCGAAACCACTCCTAACTATTTTTTTTATCGAGTCTAAGGACCCGTTTGGGTTGGTTGAGAGCTGTATAGGTTTGTTATCGCCGGGTAAAGGACCCCTGATGAAGCTCCTGAACCACACCGACCGACATAAATCCTACAGCCGGATAAGAGAACTCCTAGAGAATATTGAACAGCATGATGCCTGCCTCGCATCCCTTGAGTAGCCCAGACTTGCCCTCCGAATGTTTAGGGAGCTGAAAACACTCCTCATCGCCAATTTCGTCCCAATCGTCGAAGCGCTTGAAACCCCGCAAGCGCCAAAAAAACTGCATTCAGGAGATAGTTGACTATTTCAGGCTAGCGAACAGGTTCCTGGGACATGTGCATACATAAAAGCAAGCAGGGAGCTATTAGACCAGGGCTCCGCAGCCTGCCTGACTAGTAAGGCTAACCGTACCTTCTGGACTACCTGGACCATTTGGCCCAGGTAAGACAGGAGGACTAAATGGCCTAGGTGATACCTAAGGACCGGCATACTTTCCCCAGTGTATTACAGTTGAAATGTTATTATTAGTAGGAGTAATATTATTTTAACGTCCGAGTCAGCAGGGTCGGAGGTAATTCGACCCTAATCTACCTCTAATCTACCCCTTTACTACGAAACCTTCGCATGGGTGTAAGGCGTGCTAAGCCAAGAGATATCCAGATATATATCAAAGACCTGCTGTGATACCTAGTAGGGTCCTGAAATATAATTCAGTATACTGTAGTAGTATAAAGTTTTATGTCGGACTAGCCTGACGTGTCGCTAGTACGGCGCGGTTAGTCGCGTAAGCTTGAAAGCGCTACAAAAGTCGTATATAGGATTATAAATATCAAGGTAGGATCGAAGTACATCGGGAATCAAACCCGCTTTACCTTAGTATTTTAAAGAATGACATGACAGTAAAGGATGACTAGGGACCAAGTCCTACCACTCGCCTACCGCCACCGCTGTAGTTTAAAAAGGTTACCGGTGGGTGCATAGCGCCCTCGAAACCCGTTGGGATGGTTCAGTGTCTCTCCTACTTTTTGAGGTCCGTCCATTGACTTCATACTACTCAGTAGCTCGTTCTTGTCTTGGACCCCACTTGACAGACACAACGGGGCTTGTGGCGTGTTGGAAATTAATGTTGAGACGTTGCCTCGGAAAATTCCTTGTGCTACACTGCTACAGAAAGGTAGTTGACGGGGTAGGAGGGATTTCTTTCAGCTATTTTTCTTTTTTTTCAGGGGCAACTGGATGACATGCATTCTTGTGCTACCTGGCTGCGAAGCTAAATGCAGGGAATCACACGACATTAGCCACATGCAGGAGGGGGGATGGTCGGTTAGGGCTTGGGACGTGACGGACGAGCAGTCGGACACTAAATTCAAGTGGATAAGTATCTACGGAGTAGGGCTCGCTCGCTCGACCGCTCCTTTGACCTTGACTCCTTTGAGGGATTGGGCTGGAAGCCATGGTAGATCTGGACTCGAGATAGATTGATCCCTCTGGATCCGCGGAGACTGATCCGAGGGCCGGCGACAGGCAGACGACGCTTTTCCGATGACTAGTTCTTTTTTCGTCTCTCGTCTAATTTGACTAGGAGGGAGTTGGCAGGCCAAGTTCAAGCCCCAAGATTGGGCTTGGTGATTAGGATCGTTGGCGTAAATACCCGATCGTGCTAGTTCATGCGTTGGGGCGGTTCACAAATAGAACAACACTTGGGACTAGTCAGGAGAACCGTGAACTGGATGGTCTCGCAGGCTGTCACTGTCAGTGTACTCCGTATGGTAGTCGATCGATCGATCTCGAGGCAGGACGATAGACAGACCGTCTATGTAGTCGATGATCATAAAAGAAAAGGGAGAGAAGAGAGAAGAAAACAGTCCGCAGGCAAGGAACCTGAGGCACAGCTTAGGTAAGTGGTACGGCCGGTAACGTACGGTCAGCGTCAAATCCCGATCGACCTGGAAGTCATCAACCATCCGTCATCCTTCACGATTCCGCCTATTCTTCTTCGGTGTTTCATCCTCTGCCGATGGGAGTGCGGGTATCGAGGTGCATGAACAAAGAGCTATGACGATCTCTGCTGCTCATCGGTGACAGCCTACGCGTACGGAGTATACCGACTACCGAGGATGCGAGGAACAAAGAATTCCGTGCCACATGAATCTCCTTCTCGGCCCCAATCGACGGCGTTGACCGTCTAATAGCCATCATTCCTTCTTCCCTTCAGCCATAGCAATCAATTCATTTTACTCCTCGTGAGGCCATCCCGGGATTTGTCCATCATCCAAACAAACCCAAACAGATCCGCGTTCAAAGGCCCCAGTTGCTGCTCGGGTTGTCTGGCTAGTGCATACTATTTATCCAAGGACCGTGGAAAGTCGGCTCCTTTATGCCTCCCACTAATTCGGTGTTTACGGACGATCCTCCCCGATGTACGCAGTATACCAATAGACGGTTCATCTCATACCCGCTCCTTTTTCTGGGTGCTCGCCGACCCCGTTCGACGCAATTTCCCGGCTCCTGACTGGCACACGTCTGCCAGACTTTAAACTAGGAACTCACTTTTGCCTTCCTTGCCCTTAGAGCGGCCCACTTGCTCTCGGGGCTGTTTTTACGGTACGACCGGTTACAATGGGCCCACTGTTATACTATGCTTGCTTAACCTGCTCCCTCGTGCCTAGTTTCCTGCCGGCTGCAAGACCTGCAGATCAAATTTTCCAATGGCATTGCTGTCAAGTGGAGCTAAAGCTCTAACCTATGCATGATGGATGATGGGTGTCCAGACGTTAGGGCTTTGCTGCACGTTCTACACAATCGTCACCAGGTAAGCATGCATGTACATTTGCGCTGCGGCATCTCAGCCCAAGAGCTGCTGACGTCTGGCCGCCGGAATACGTCGAGTCGGACGCCACAACCAGGGGGAAAAGACCACTGGGAGGACAAAGACTTTCATCATACCCCGTAGACCACGGAATCTTGCCAGGACAGCACAATTTCCCGCTTGTTCCCGTCGGCTCAGCCCCATTTTCTTGTCCGTCAGTCCGTCGCGATGGATCATGGAGACTGGACCACTTGCCCCCCCTGATCCAGGAACCAGCATCGGATCTGCAAATCAGGCGAGCTTCGATAGTAAAACCTCTGGGCTCCTCACCTACCCTTCAAGCTCGAGGTTCCTCTTTTGTCTTTCTTTCTGCCTTTCTCTCTTCCTCTCTTTCATGTCTCTCGTTTGACCCCTCCATTCGCTCTACTTTTTTTGATTCAAGCGTCTTCCAGTCCTTGTTTTATTAATGATCCCACCAAACGCATAAACGTTGTCATGACAGCAACCTTAATTTTTATTAGCCCACTCAATTCCTTCTCTCATTGCAATTGATCTGCACCTGCCTCGTCTCTTTTGCCTATTTGGTCTTCTGGAGCCCCGGTGTTCCCCTCGCCGTGGTCTACTTGAGGAAAAAAAGTGTTAGCTTTGATTCTGGTGCAAAAGTTCATGCTCGTACTCTGCCAAACAGTCCTTGTTATATGATTTGGTTGATGACATCGGTTTAACATGGTCGCCCTGAGGCGATTTTTCCAGGCGGAAAGAGGATTGTCGATGGACCACAGTGAAAGGGAGTCTCGGGCAAGCAGCTTACTGCAAAGCGATCCTCACTCCGCAAACGTCTCGCAGCCATTAGATGGGCAAAATCGCTTCCAGCAAATTGAGAAACAATTTGAAATCATGCACGACCAATTGCAGACACAACCGTTGTCCCCTCACTCTCACGTCCCGCCATCTCGTGGTTCAACACGGCCCAAAGAGCGCAACCCCGGCCATGTGGATTTACTCGATGCCTTGTTTTCCTCACATCGGTACCACATCCAGTCTACGACCACATTGTCACCCATAACCCCATACAATGAGGACATTGCCGAGCGGAACATGACGCGGTTCCTTCAAGGACAACCGCGCAAGAAAAACGTGTACACGCGGTTTTTGTCCGCTTTGTATCAGGAGGACGTGGCGGAAAGAAATATGACGAAAAGCCGGAGAAGAAGCCGTTCATTGTCGCGCACAAGGGACGGCCAGTCTCGGGGCCAGGACAATGCCGGTTCGCATTCTAGATCGAGGGCTGGGGACAGTCGAGGGACGGAGCTCAACTCGCGGGAAATTACGAGTCCTATGTCCATGAATGATGCTGATAGACACGCCTCCAGCGCAAGAGAACGGATACTGAGTGGAAAGAGTTCTCTGAGACACCAAAAGTCCGCACCGAACTTGTCCGCTGAGCGAGCAGGTGCATCCCAAGGGGCTGCTGGATCAAACCCTGGTGGTCATCTCAGCGTGCCTCCAGCCCACAAACAAGGAGACACCTGGAGAAATACTCCTCTTCCCGATAGCCCGACAATACCCGTTGCGATGAGACAAGACAAAAACATGAACGAAAACCACCCAATATACAATAGATATCGGGGCTCGGGTTATTCACGCCCATCACTTCATCGTGGCCCTCTTATAACTCCTCGACTGGGCTCCAAAAAGAATGTCCGAGATCTTTCTATCAACACGGAACTGGCAGCCCTCGGCCGATCAGCCGCGAAAATCTCCCATCGTGCTATACAACCCCCCACCCCAAACACTCTTGAGAAACAAAACCCAAGCATTGCCGAAGTTATGAACAGTCCCCTGCCAGCAGGTACCCCTACGTCCATATCTCCGCTCCCCACCTCCAACCAGAAGGTTGCCGAGATCATGGAGATGTTTAGACAAGCATATAGCACATCTCAAGCTATCACTCCTCATCCCACTTTCGAGACCCTTCAAGACGCCATCATCCGGGAAATCAACTCCCATGAGGCTTTTAACCGGGTGCCTCCTCCAGAACGAGGCCCTCCTTTCACTCCTTCACCATCACAAGACACTTTCGAGCCAGACCTTGACATCAGAAGAGCTCCAGGCGGCGGACGGAGCAGAAGCAGCTCGCTTAAGGATGGCCAAATTTCCAAGCTGATCAGGCGAGGATCTTTCAAGAATCATTCTAGAAGCAAGAGCTCGGAGACACGCAAAAGTAAATCTAGCAGTGTCTCCCCAAAGATCTTCCGACGAAGGCATACTGATGCTCCGCCGCCTTCCCCCGGATTTTTGGACACCTTTGAAACAAAGAAAGATGGCCGCGAGGAACAAGTAACTTACATGGACCTACTGTCTCGTTCCGAGAAGCTCTCCCCCAATTCTGAACCCGAGAGCACTCTCTCCCCTCCCCAAATGCCAGAGCGCTCAAAAACCGCACCTTCTGTGCTACACCTTCGCGCACAAACGTCAGCCTCGTCCTCTGAGAGCTGGAACAGCCTCTCTGTCGATGATAGCGATGAAGAGGTAATCCAACTACCCAGCGTTGATATCCCATACGTTCAGATCCAAGGCGTGGACGAAAACAGTGTGTCCTATGTTACCGGCCAGACACCACCGCAGGATGCATATAGGCTGATGAATTGGCCTCGAAAGTCGCGCAAGAGCATCAGTCTCAAAAACAGACCTGGCAGCAATCATTCTCAGCCTACCCCTAAGCTAGAGCACCATGTCCGTGGAATGCGCTCAGTGGAATCCTATTGAGTTCCTGAAACAGACATGACTCGGTGCTCCAGGAGCCCTACTCGAACCCGACCCACCTTTGTCTATCATTCTATCTCGCTTTACTATTTCTTTACTTCCTCTTCCTGTCTCTTTCAAGTCCACCAATTTTCTTTCCTTAACTTTTGATACCTCTCTCTCTTTTTGACTAAATTTGTTGATCATATATGACTTCCATGTTGGGATCATACTCGCTCTACGCGGCCGCGAAAAGCATTTTCCTTTATAATATTTGATTTTTGGCTTCTCCCTCCGTCCTACTCTCCTTGATACGATATAGCTGGGTTCATTGGGGCTCATTGTCCGATCCACATCCTGCGCACCCCTGCCTAACTGTGCTTTACAGCTACTTTCCCATCTTTAGCATTATTAGCATTTCATATCTCATGCATACATCAGCATACAAAAAATATCATTTGAATTCAACCAAAAATAATATGAGGATCTGCCGGAAAAGAAAACTGCGTCAAACTCGTCATCATTCAGCCCGTTAGCTACAATAAAAACAAACTATGCCCGACTCCCTGGTAAAGACTTCTTTTTCTCGATCAATCAGTTCTCCCCGCAAAAAGAAATATCACCCCTTCCTCACGCCCACAATGCGTCGTTCTCTATAATTCAGTGTAGCCGTTTCTTTTTTTTCTGATTACATGTTGGTATTTTTTTTATTTCTGCCCATCTTACGTTGCCAAACATAGAAGGTGTTTGCGCTGTATCAACAGTGAAATAAATGTCATAAAGGTCATTGTAACCATACGAATGCAACTAGTAAGGATAGCTCGTCTACTATGTTTAGTAGGAACCTGTTGGGGACGTGTTAGCAAGAGCATTGGTAGGTTATTTTGGGAGGGGGTTATTTCTCAGTTAAACTTACGTCCGAACATGCACCATTTCTCGGCCAACCGGGTGCACTGGGGGTTGGCGCACTTGGTGACACCGGCTTCGATGCCCTCGGGCTGGTCGAAGGGAATGCAGAGGGACTTGGCACCCATGCTGGGGGCGCGGGAGTCTTGGGGCTCATCCGAGTCCTCCTCGGCCTTGCGGGCACTCATGTCCTTGATCTGGTCCTCGCACTCCTCCGTCAGGCAGTGAGGGATGATACAGATGTTCTTGTCGTTGAGGGCGGGAACGAAGTCATCCCAGTTGGTGATGAGCTTCCGGTGGGTGGCGTACTCGTGGTCGGCACGCTTGAAGAGGTCGCTCTGGATGGTCTCGAGCAGAGTCGGCACGGCAGTTCCCAATTCAGGGATGGGGATGGTGATCTTGCCGTCCTTGCCAGGAACGTCACGGCGAGCAGCAGTAACGAAGTGACCGGCAGACTCGCCAGGGCCGAACTCAAGACGCAGAGGCACACCGCGAAGCTCCCACTCGTTGAACTTCCAGCCAGGAGAGTATCCCTCTCTCTTGTCGCTGATCGCCCGAACGCCAGCAGCCTCGAGGACAGTGACAAGACCATCGATCTCAGCGTAGATCTTCTCGCGGTCCTCATCCGAGGTCTTCGCAGTAATGCCGACGGGGACAATGACAGTCTGGTTCTCGGCAACGCGAGGAGGAAGAACCAAACCACGGTTGTCACTGTGGATCATGACCATAACACCGAGAGTACGGGTCGACAGACCCCAGGAGTTCTGCCAAACAAAGAGGGGAGCCTTCTTCTCATCACCCTTGGCAGAAGGATCCTCCACGGTAATGTTGAACATCTTACTGAAGTTCTGACCAAGACCGTGGGAAGTACCACCCTGGATACCACGGCCAGTAGACGGAATGTATCCCTCAACAGTGGTGGTATACAGACCACCGGCAAACTTCTCCTTCTCGGTCTTCTGACCCTTGACCACAGGGACAGCCAGGAGCTCCTCGTAGATCTGCGCATAGTAGTCCAAGATCTGCATAACCTCGTCGTGGGCACCTTCCTGGGTCAAATGGGCGGTGTGGCCCTCCTGCCAGAGGAACTCGCGGGTTCGGAGGAAGGGCTGGGGGTGCTTGAACTCCCACCGGACGACAGAGTTCCACTGGTTGAGCTTCAGAGGCAGGTCACGGTGACTTCTAATCCACTTGGCGTAGTAAGGGTACATGACGGTTTCCGAGGTGGGACGGATGGCAATCTTTCTTTCAAGTGGGGTGGAGCCACTGCATACATGCCGGACACAGTCAGAACTTGATACTTTGAAGATAGAGCCTGGAGATGAGGAGAAACATACGCATGAGTCACCCAGGCGACCTCGGCGGCAAAGCCTTCGATATGGTCCTTCTCGCGCTTCAGGACATCCTCCGAAACGAAGAGAGGGAAGGAGCAGTTCTTGACTCCCATCTTCTTGATGCGCGCATTGAACCAATTTTGGATCTCCTCCCAGATGCTGAACGAAGCGGGCTGAGTCACAGGTTAGTATCAAGATATGCGACGCCGGCAACGAGGCGAAGAAAACGCAGGCGGAGACCAACCTTGAGAATGAAACATCCGGAGACATCGTAGTAGTCAAGCATATCTCCCTTGGTAAGGACCTGCTGGTACCATCCGGGGAAGTCCTCTTCCTTGGAGACATCAATGCCGATCAGGGCAGCGCCATCGATCTTCTTCTTGGGGGCCTTGGGAGCCTGCTTCGCACCCCCCTTGTTAGCAGCCTTGTCGGCCTTGCCGGCCTTGTCAGAGGCCTGCTTGGCAGCCTTTGCGGCCTTTTTGGCGGCGTTTTTGGAGACCTCTCCCTGGGGAGCGCTGTTATCGGCGGGGGTTTGGGTACGGTCAGGAAGGGTTTGCGCCGAGTCAGAGGCGACCGGAGGATCAGCAGGGGCTTGGCTTGCCATCTTGCAGGAGACGAGGGGTCAGAGACACGGAAGCAGGCCGAAGCAACAGGGGAAGAAGCGAGCGCCAGGCGAAAGCAGGGGAAACTCCGTGAAGCGAAGGAACGAGCGGCGCCCCTCGTCAAAGTGGGATGCATCTCGACTCGCTCACCGCCCGGGGCCGGCAGAATTCTTAGCGCAAACACGACCAACGACGGCCGCCAGCTCGAGAAAGTGTCGATTCCTCTGCCACGCTCCTCCCCTCCTTCTCTTGCTCAACAATGGCAGGCATCTTCGAACAGCCGCGGAATGCGGATACTCTCTGTGAGTCCCTTTCCCCCTCCCCCTTCGCTGTCCCTGGGACTCATCCACTGACCCATCTCGCACAGTCTTGGGAGGGCAGAAAATCACCGGTGCTGATGTCCGGGAACAGAACGGTATGTTCCCCCTCCCCCCTCAGTCTAATCTGGCGGCCCTGGACGCCCATACTGATGCCTTTCGCCGGTAGTTCTTGCAACGCAGGCCATTGCCAATGTCGTCAAGAGCTCGTTCGGCCCCTCGGGCTTGGACAAAATGATGGTGGATGATATCGGTGTACGCATCATTCCGAACCCCGCGTCTGTCGAATGGCATGGCTAACGGTGTAACTAGGATGTTACTGTCACTAACGATGGCGCCACCATCCTGAGTCTGCTTGACATTGAACACCCCGCCGGGAAGATCCTCGTCGACCTGGCTCAACAGCAGGATAAGGAGGTGGGTGAACTTTCCAGTCTGCATACCCCGCGAAAGACCATGGCTGACCTTAGTCCAGGTTGGTGATGGTACCACGTCCGTTGTTCTGATCGCCGCCGAACTCCTCCGACGAGCCAACGAACTGATGAAGAACCGTATCCACCCTACGACCATCATCACCGGCTACAGACTGGCGCTCAGGGAAGCCGTCAAGTACATGAACGAGAACATTACCACAAAGGTCGAGACGCTTGGGAAGGACAGCTTGATCAACATTGCCAAGACGTCGATGTCCAGCAAGATCATTGGCTCCGATGCCGACTTCTTCGCCAAAATCGTTGTCGATGCCATGCTCCAGGTCAAGACTATCAACCAGAGAAACGAGGTCAAGTACCCCGTCAAGGCCGTGAACCTGCTGAAGGCTCACGGTAAGAGTGGAACGGAGTCTATGATGGTCAACGGCTATGCTCTGAACTGTACCGTGGCTTCTCAGGCCATGAAGACCCGGGTAACCGACGCCAAGATCGCTTGTCTGGACATGAACTTGCAGAAGGAGAGAATGAAGCTCGGCGTCCAGATCACCGTCGAAGACCCCGATCAGCTGGAGAAGATCCGTGAGAGAGAATCTGGTATCGTTCTTGAGCGGGTCGACATGATCCTTAAGTCTGGAGCCAACGTCGTTTTCACCACCAAGGGTATCGATGATATGGTCCTCAAGGCTTTCGTCGAGAAGGGTGCCATGGCCGTCCGTCGCTGCAAGAAGGAGGATCTGAGACGCATTGCCAAGGCCACTGGCGCCACTCTGATCAGCTCGCTCTCGGACCTTAATGGTGATGAGAAGTTCGAGGCCTCGAACCTGGGACATGCAGAGGAAGTCGTGCAGGAGCGGATATCGGATGACGAGTGTATCCTGGTGAAGGGTACCAAGGTCCACAACTCGGCCTCTGTCATCCTGCGTGGACCCAATGACTTCAGCTTGGACGAGATGGAGCGTTCGGTGCACGATTCCCTGTGCGCTGTCAAGCGAACATTGGAGAGCGGTAGCATCGTGCCCGGCGGTGGTGCTGTCGAAACGGCCCTTCACATCTACCTTGAAGAGTTTGCCGTCACGGTGGTACGTAAACACTTGGAAAAATAAGCTGTCAAGCTAGGAATCTCGCTAACAATTCCCCCTCAAACAGGGCTCCCGGGAACAACTCGCCATCGGTGAATTCGCTCAGTCCCTCCTGGTGGTTCCTAAGACCTTGGCCGTCAACGCAGCAAAGGACTCGTCTGAGCTCGTCGCTCAGCTCCGTGTGCGCCACGCTCTTTCCCAGCGGGTGCAGGACGGTGATGCCAACGAGGAAGAGAAGGCCATTGCCAAGAAGAAGACGTACCGCAACTACGGTCTGGATCTGATGAAGGGACGCGTTCACGATACGCTCAAGGCCGGTGTGCTGGAGCCCAGCATGGGTAAGGTTAAGCAGCTCAAGAGTGCTGTCGAGGCCTGTATCGCCATCATGCGTATCGACACGATGATCAAGCTGGACCCGGAGCCGCAGCAGGATGATGGACACGGTCACTAAGGCCCCGCTGTCGATCTCAAATTAAATTGCCTGTCTGCCTTTTACGGAGTTCTAGACTCAGGGTGAAGAAGAAAAAAGTATAATAAGATGTTATGAGTACAAATTTTTACTGCCGTGTTAATGCCCACACTCGTACACTTTTCTTGGCCGCGATTAGGACCATTGGATCAATCTACGCAATCGTCTGATGACCAAAAACGCTTTTTCTTCTCCCAAAATAGATCACAGCTTTAGTTGATTTGAATCACTGTCAATGACTTAAAAAACATAAAGTAAATTAACACCGAAGGGCTCCTCCAAACTTCTTCCAATCCGATTAAACCCAACCCAGAGAGCAGATGATTGTTAAGTGCTTTTGTTTTGCAAGAGAATCTTCTGTTATGCAGTGTATGCTGTAATGGAAATCAAACAAGGGACTGAAGTCCTCTAAAAATCACACAAAACGCCCGCTAAATGGAAGCAAATAATGCCTCGACGCCTTGAAAATGCTCACCAGCGCAAACAAACCAGCTGGGGAAAAATGGGGTTTGAACAATAAGGAAATCATTCGTCTTCATCATCATATGAGTCTTTCGTATCAGCCCAGCCGCAGCGCCATCGTCTACCATCGGCCTCACCCCCTACTCGGAGGTCTCTGGCATCAGGTCCCTCGCGCCAGCACCTAGTGCTATAGTCATCACTGACTGTAATGAGCTCGCCATCCACGGTCCAGGAAACTGCCGAGACTTCTTTCTTGTGGCCTTCGACTAAAGGTGTTCCAGACTGATAAATTGGTACCGTGTCCTCCAACCTTCCAGACAAGCCAACCCCCGAGTTCGTGCGTCGCAAACCAGAGCGCGTTGAAGGGAACGACGGCGGAAGGGGTGGCTCTCTTTCGTCGACTGTTTGCCTCTGAGCCGAGGAGTGAAGGAAGCGCTCGTCGGTCGGAAACAAGACAGCACATTGATCGGTGCTTCCAACCGCCAACATCTCTGGTCTATCCGCCGTAGCCTTTCGGACTCCGGCCTTAACGTAAAAGGAAGCGACTTGTAAACGAGGATGGCGAAATCCATACAAAGGCCCGAGGCCTTCTTTGTCAGATCCTCCCGAGCGACGTGGGCGATCATTGTTCAGCGAAAGCTCAGGTGCATGGCCAAGAATCAAATGAGAGGTTGAGTAGGCGTAAACTGTACCATCTCGACACAAGGTGTAGAGTCTTGAGCCATCGCCGCCAAGTGTCATGGAAGTGAGCCCAAACCGCCTATATTTGATGTGGCTGTCCGGTTCTCGAGTAGTGGAAAGAGGAAGAACAGGCCGGCCACGGCGATTGTTATGTGCCGTGCGCATATCCCACAATCTCACGCAGGCATTTGCTTCGGATGCAGTGACGAACAAATTCTCCCGGCCCGGAGGAAGGAAAGCCAAGGAGGTCACGGTGATATCAGAGCGCCCGATCTGGGGCTCTGATTTATCCGCCGTGAACACCTGGGGCATCCAAGCGTGGGCACCATGGATCGTGTTCAAAACCTGGGGGTACGTCATTTTAGAGGTAGTAGGCGCACTAGGATAGTCGGCTTCGGACTCAAGAGAGCAACGAGCCTGCCAGGAAGGTTTCTCAAAACCTTTGCATCGAAGATCCCAGATGTTGACGTTGCCATCACGACTACATGTCGCCAGAACCTTGTTGTTGGCTGCTGGTTGAAACTGTACTCGTTTCACGGAAGAAACATGGTTGGCCAGACAGTAGATCGGCTTTTGCGTAGCCATGTCAATGACTACTGCCGTTTGATCCCCCGACGCGGTTGCTAACAACATATCATCAGATGAAAACTCAAGGTCCATGATTGCGTTCATGTGAGGACGGAAAGAAAGGTAAGATTTGGAGAAGCCATTCTTGTCGTCCTTTGCGGAGTCCAACAATCGGATACCACCCTCTTCATCGCCTACTGCAACAAGCGTATTGGCTGTTTGAATTGTCAGCGAACCATCTGGCGAGCAAGTCGACGAGCTTTATTATACTTACTGTTACACGACGCCGTGCAGAACGGAAGTGCAAGCCGGTCTCCAGATGAACTGGAGCAGGTATGACTGTCCGACGGTCGAGAGTAAAACGTTGATGTTAAATCTTGCCACCCAGCGCCTGCGTTCGCACGCATGGTCACCCGGTTTGCCCTTGAACCTAGCACACTTCGCATGAAAAGTCCTCCGGATGTCTGCAACGCTTTCGACCGTTGAACTGGCGCAATCTGGCGAGACGGCCGGGCCAATGCAAGAGGTTTGATTGGGCTGCTCGGGATCTTATTGTCGACTTCGATATCACGGACTGGGGCGTCCAATTCGTCGGCATCGTGATTTGGCGTTCGAACTCGGACTTTCCGCAGCGGCGAGGACTGTAAAGGGGAGCCAATGGAAGAAAACGAAAGCTTTCTCTTGCGACTCGGTGTTCGCATGAGATCGGACGGGTCAGGTCGGGTTCCAACAGCTTTCAGTGTTCTCGTAAAAGCCGGCCCTAGGCGGTTCACAGCCGGCGAGCTAAGGGCCTTCAGGGCCTGCCGGTTGGTCTTCACGGTCCCTACGTTATTTCCGCCATTGAGCAAGGAGCGCGGCGTAAAAAATCGTCGAAATGATCGAGGAGTAACCGGAGGAGGCTTCTTTGGCTTGCGTCGGACCCCAGCATCGGATGCTATGGACGGCGGAGAGGAAGGGATCTCCTGCGACGAGGGAGGGAAAACAGGTTCGGATCGAGGTACTTCGGGAAGATCATGACTGCCATCCATTGTGCGCCAGAAACAAGCAAACACCAAACAACATTCTATACCAAAGGAAGGAAGTGGGAAAAGAGTGTGCTGGGGGGTTGGACTAAGCCAAGGATTGAGGCATAGTGGAGCTGGCAGGAGAAGGGCTAATGAGACTTCGAGCAATGCGAAAGTCGCGGGAAAGGAAGGCGAGTCTCGTGTCGACGTGCTTTTTCGTGTCGCGCATCGCCCGGCATGGCAGGCGGTGAGCCCGTCCATTAAGCCTCCCGGCGTCGCCCCGTTCGGCAGGCGGTCAACATGCCGGTCGGGGTTTTTCCTTCGACAAATTTTAATTTTTTTTTTTCGGACTCCGCCAAATTTGTACTCCGGATCTAGAGCTTTAGAGCAGCTCAACGAGTCTGCGCTGAAGCCCCGGACTGCATTATCTACCTCCATTATGGCTCCAATCAAGCGCAAGGGCGCCTCCGCTGAGGGGAACGTCGCCCGTCAACCTCAAAAACGAGTGCGCGTTGGCGCCGAAGAGCGCCAACCCGATCAAAAGAAGCAGAACACCGGCCCATCGGCTTCTGAACTCACGGTGCTACGAGACGACGAGCCGTCATTCCCTCGTGGTGGTGGAAGTGTTTTGACCCCCCTCGAGCGCAAGCAGATTCAGATCCAAGCGACGAAGGATGTTCTGTTCGAGCAGAAAGGCGCCAAAGGCTCGAGCGGACATTTCGCTGATGACGATGATGACGAGGACGAGGACGTACAAATGGGCGATGCCGGCGACACGACGACTGCCGACAAGAAATCCCGGAAGCGAAAGACGAAAGGGAAGAAAGGAGCGGACAAGGATGCTCAGGACAAACAAACGGTGCGAATTGAAGGCCTCAACTTCAAGGTAAGCTTAGACCCGTTCTTGGATTACGGCGACTTGGAATTGAATGCTAACGAAAGCAGCGAATTGTACCAGGAACTATGGTGCTAGGCCAGGTTTCGAGTATCAACGCTCACGACATCGGACTTTCTCTGCCGAACAACCTGACCGGTTATGTTCCCCTCACTGCGGTCTCGAAGGTGCTGGAAGAAAAACTCGAGAGCCTTCTTCAGGAGAACGACAACGATGACGACGACGAGGATGACGAGGATGATTTCGACCTGAAGGACTACTTCTATCTCGGCCAGTATCTTCGCGCATACGTTGTGTCGGTGGGAAGCAATTCGGCTGATGCCACCTCCAAGAGTCGAAGGCGCATTGAGCTTGCGATCGACCCAAGACAAGCTAACTCCGGCCTTGTCAAGTCCGACTTGGTCGACAACGCCGCCATTCAAGCATCAGTTCTCAGCGTTGAGGATCATGGTCTGATCATGGACTTGGGGATGGAGAGCTCTGGTGTCAAGGGCTTCATGTCTTCCAAGGAAATCGACCCTAAAACCGACTGTTCGAACATCAAGGCGGGATCGGTCTTCTTGTGTATGGTCACTGGCCAAAACGCCAATGGCAGCGTCGTCAAACTGTCTGCCAACCTCCAATCTTCTGGGTCGATCAAGAAGTCCCGCTACCTCAGCACGGCCCCTACTATCAACACTTTCCTTCCCGGTACCGCGGCAGAAATTCTATTGACTGAAGTTTCGTCGAGTGGACTTAGCGGGAAAATCATGGGAATGCTAGATGCCACTGTGGATCTCGTGCAATCCGGTGGTAACTCGGGCAAAGATGACTTGACGAATAAGTTCAACATCGGGGCTAAAATCAAGGGCCGTCTGGTCTGCACCTTCCCGGCCTCTGAACCCTACAAGGTCGGCTTCTCAATGCTTGACCATGTCCTCAAATTGACGCCCGAGGCCAGTGGGCCGGGCTCCTCCGACGATGCTCCTGCCATTTCTGATATTGTGCCCGAAGCCAAGGTTGTCCGCGTTGATCCGGGGCTTGGTGTTTATGTGCAACTCGGTTCGTCAAAGCACGTCGGATTCGTTCACGTATCGAGGTTAGCAGACGGCCAGGTCGAAACTATCACTGAGGATCACGGACCTTTCCGGACCGGTTCCGTTCACGAGGCGCGAGTGACGGGATACAGTGCGCTTGACAACTTGCATTTGCTGTCTTTCGAAAGAAAGATCATCGATCAGCCTTTCCTTCGTATCGAAGACGTGACCGTCGGCGCTGTGGTCAAGGGACAGGTTCAGAAGCTCATCATCGGTGGCTCGGGAGTTGACGGTCTTATCGTGTCTCTGGCCGATGGTATCAGCGGTCTTGTTCCTTCTATGCACTTTGCTGACACGCCTCTTCAATTCCCTGAAAAGAAGTTCAAGGAGGGAATGACCGTCTCCGCCAGAATCCTGTCGGTCAATCTGGAGAAGCGCCACATTCGGTTGACTCTGAAGAAGAGTCTGTTGAATAGCGAATCTGCGATCTGGAAAGACTACCAAGACATCAACCCCGATTCGCAATCTCCGGGAACTATCATTAGCCTCAAGCCACACGGTGCTGTGGTTCAGTTCTACGGTCTTGTCCGGGGTTTCCTTCCGGTGTCGGAAATGAGTGAGGCTTACATCAAGGACCCCTCTCAGCACTTCAGACAAGGACAGGTGGTCAATGTCCATGTTCTGACTGTCGATGCTTCCCTCGGGAAACTTGTTGTCTCTTGCAAGGACCCTTCGACATTTACCGACTCCTACCGGAAAGCCTTCGAAAATGTTCACCCCGGCCTGCTTGTGGCTGGTACTGTTTTCGAAAAATCAGATGATGACTGCCTTCTCAAGCTGGATGATTTCGGCCTCGTGGCTCGCTTGAACTTCGAACATGTGATTGATGGCAGTCCTTCGAAACAAGGGTCAACTCTCTCCAAAATCCGCGTTGGCCAGAAGCTCAATGAGCTCCTTGTGCTCGATATTCAGCGGGCTCGCAGACTCATCAAAGTTTCAGGCAGAGCAAGCCTCAAGAAGGCCGCTCAACAAGGACTTATCCCAGGCAAGTTCGAAGATGTCCAGGAAGGTGCTGATGTCACCGGGTTCATCAGAAATATTACCCAGGATGGTATTTTCGTTGAATTCTTGAGCGGTATGATCGGACTTGTGCCCAAGCGTCTTGTCGCGGAGGAAAACGTGAATAAGCCCGCTTTCGGTATGGCGAAGTCGCAAGTCGTTTCTGCCACGGTGCATTCCGTCGACACTGATTTCCGAAGATTCATTCTGAGCATGAAACCCTCAGAGGCCACACATGCCGGTCCCAAGAAGTCGACCCCCAAGGCCGCCCCCAAGGCCGCCAACTCTGACGTCTCTGTGGCCAACGCTGTCGATGAAGGTATCACTCAAATGTCTGATTTTACATTTGGCAGGGTTGTCAAATGTAAGGTCGTGTCTGTCAAGGCAACTCAGGTCAACGTTCAACTTGCAGACAATATTCAGGGTCGGATCGATGTCTCTGAAGTCTTTGACAAGTGGGAGGATATTAAAGACCGCAAGCAGCCCCTACGCTTTTTCCGCCAGAAACAGATTATCTCCGCCAGAGTCCTGGGTGTCCACGATGCTCGCAACCATAAATTCCTTCCCATCAGTCATCGCACTGGAAAGTACCCTGTCTTTGAGCTTTCTGCCAAGCCAAGCTTCCTGCAGGCTGCCAACCCCAGCCCTCTGAACTTGGAGCAAGTTCAAACCGGTTCATCATGGGTGGGTTTCATTAACAACGTTGCCGATGACAGTCTCTGGGTCAATTTGTCCCCCAACGTTCGAGGAAGATTGCGCTTTATGGATGCATCGGATGACCTTTCCCTTTTGACCGACGTGGAAAAGAACTTCCCCATTGGTTCTGCACTGAAGGTACAGGTCACGGCCGTTGACACGGAGAAAGGTCGTTTGGACCTCTCGGCGAGGAAGCGTTCCGATAAACTCTCATTCAAGGACATTTCTACTGGCATGGTCTTGCCCGGAAGAGTCACCAAGGTCACCGAGCGCCAGCTCATCATGCAGCTCACGGATAGTATTGTTGGCGCAGTGGATCTGGTTGACATGGCGGATGATTACTCAAAGGCAAACCCGACGGTCTATCAGAAGAACGAAGTTCTGCGCGCTTGCGTTGTGACTATTGACAAGGCTAACAAAAAGATTTCTCTTTCGCTTCGACCTTCCAAGGTCCTGAGCTCCTCTTTACCGGTGCAGGACCCCGAGATTTCCTCCGCCAAACAACTCAAGGTGAATGATATCGTCCGAGGTTTCGTACGGAGGGTCGCCGATAATGGCCTTTTCGTGACCCTCGGCCACGGTGTCACTGCCTACGTCCGGGTTTCTGATCTATCGGACTCCTACCTCAAGGAATGGAAAGACTCCTTCCAGGTCGATCAACTAGTTAAAGGACGAATGACCGTTGTTGACCCGGAACAGGGCAAGCTGCAAATGAGCCTGAAAGACTCGGTCTTGGACCCCAACTACAAGGCCCCTATCACTCTTCATGATCTTAAACCCGGTCAAGTCGTCACTGGCAAAATCCGAAAGGTCGAAGAATTTGGTGCTTTCGTTGTCATTGATGGGTCTTTGAACCTTAGTGGTCTCTGCCACCGTACTGAGATGGCTGAAAAGCAGGTCAAGGATGCCAGAACCCTCTATGAGGAAGGAGATGTCGTCAAGGCCAAGATTCTCAAGATTGACCGTCAACAAGGAAAGATCTCTTTCGGTCTGAAGGCTTCTTACTTCAACGATGAGGACTCCGAAAGCGACGGCGAAGACGAGGACTCGGAGGGCGTCAGCCTAGATGGGTTCGACGGGCTTGACGGGGAAGATGGCAGTGACGACGACGACGATGAAGAAGGGGATGAGGACAGCGATGTGTCCATGGGAGGAGTTGAGGTCGAGGAAGACGATGAAAGCGACTCCGACGAAGATGATGACGACGACGAGCCGATGACCAACGCAGAGTCTCGAAAGGAAGGCGGCCTTGGTGCCGGCGCCTTTGATTGGAGCGGTAACTTCAAGGACGACGACGATGAAGCCGTTGCCTCGGATTCTGGCGATGATGATGAGTCCCGGAAGAAGAAGAAGAAGAGCCGTAAGCCCGAGATTCAAGTTGACCGGACTGGCGAGCTGGACGCCAATGGCCCCCAGTCTGTGGCCGACTACGAACGGCTATTGCTTGGTGAGCCAGACTCTTCAATGCTTTGGTTGAAGTACATGGCTTTCCAATTGGAGCTGGGCGAAGTCGACAAAGCGAGAGAAATCGCCGAGCGTGCTCTCCGCACTATTGCCATCGGGCAAGACGCCGAGAAATTGAACATCTGGATCGCCCTGCTCAACATGGAGAACACCTATGGCGACGACGACTCTCTGGACGATGTCTTTAAGCGCGCTTGCCAATACAACGACACCCAGGAGGTTTATGAGCGTTTGATCAGCATCTACATCCAGTCTGGCAAGAATGAGGTGGGTCTTTCCCTTTTCAATTATGAGGTTCATTTTCGGCTTGAGATGCTAACATATTTGACGTACAGAAAGCGGATGAGCTCTTCCAAACCGCCCTGAAGAAGAAGGTTGCGTCCTCGCCCAAGTTTTTCCTCAACTACGCCAGCTTCCTATTCGATAACATGGCCGCCCCCGAGCGTGCCCGTGCTTTGCTACCTCGCGCTCTCCAGTCTCTGCCTTCTCACACTCACATCGAGACGACGTCCAAATTCGGCCAGCTTGAATTCCGGTCTTCAAATGGAGACGTTGAGCGAGGGCGCACCGTATTCGAGGGACTTCTCTCCTCGTTCCCCAAACGGATCGACCTCTGGAGCATTCTTCTGGATTTGGAGATCAAGACTGGCGATGCGGAGCAAGTGCGGCGGTTGTTCGAACGAGTGCTTGGTATCCGCGACAACAAGAAGGGCGCCGTTTCCATCGAAGCCGAGAAGAAGGTCCGCCCGAAGCAGGCCCGATTCTTCTTCAAGAAGTGGCTGGCCTTCGAGGAGAAGCTTGCTTCTGCCGACGGCGGAAACAACAAGATGGTCGAGGAAATCAAGGCCAAGGCAGCAGACTACGTTAAGTCTCTGCAGCAGGAATAAATCGCGGAACCCCTGTGATGATCTGGTTCTGGTGGCCTATAGATGATTTGGGTCGTTCATGAACTCCTGTATATAAAAAAAGCATTACATTACTACAACTCCGACGTCTTCATTTGTTCATTCCCTGTTTCGCCGGCAAGGTATATAGAGCATGTATTTATTTCTTTAGGGTCGCAGTTGAGCCGGTGTAAGAAATCTTAAGCTGATCCGGTGTAAGATCATGTGGTTAAGTTGAGCCGGTGTAAGAAGGGTTCCTTGGCATTCATACACCGGATAAGATGATGATGATGATGATGATGATGATGATGATGGTTGCATTATACCCGAATGTTAGCTCTTTCTCAGGGCTCTTCCCGGGTCGCCAACGGCCGTTGGGCCGCTGCAGGTTCTATGTACAGTGTGCTATAAAAGTTAAATGATCTAAACTTATCTGTTTTATCTGATACAATGTTATTCCTGTTACTTATAGTGTCTGTTCTTACCGCATATCTATAGATCTTATAATCACGCCCAGTAGCTTATATTAATAATATAGATCTTTAGGCCCTGCTGGTCCCCGAGTCGTAGATATTATTAACTGTTTGGCTGAGGTTGGAGAGAGGGGATAAAATAACTTCAGAGCCAGTAGTTATCTCTTTTTTCTTACTACGCCGCCGAGTACGTAATTTGCTTATTTCTTATAGTGGTGTTGTCCGTATTGCTGTGTCTATGGAGATTAAAACTGTTATTATAATTGTTTCTTTCCGCCTCTGCCCTGAAGGTCAGGTCCTTAATCGGCTTTAGGGATAGTAGATATCTTAGGTAGCCTGTTCTAAGTAGGGAGCAAGCTGCCTTTTATAGTTGTATGCTTTTTCTTAGTAAGTGCCTCCTGGAGATCTCTCTTTAGTTAGTCCCCCTATATTGATTTACGGAGTTGGTTATATTTAGAATAGAGGATTAGAATATGGCGTAATGTCTCTGGGCTATCTCGGCATCTCGGGCATGTTTTCGAGTCCACTTATCTTACCTTATAAAGCCATATATTTGGCTCTATCTTACCTGTATAGGCTTGAAAGAAAATATTCCGTTCTGCCGGGGACAGCCCTTTATATGTTACCAGTGTTTTATATTAAATTTCCAGGATCTATTACTGTAAAGGGTTCCCTGGAGCAGGGGGTGTTCTGCTGCGAGCTGTAATGCCAGCACGATTCCCGCCAGTACACCGGATAAGGTAGCGCGTCTTAATTGATTCTTAAACCGCGCCAACTGTATACCCTATTTCTTTAAGCGCGTCAAAAGGAGTATAGAATTAGTCATGCAAGCTCTGCTGCTCCTAGTTGATCAATCATTGCCGCTTCTCCGCCATCAACTTCCGGTATTGCTCCACGATGCTTCTTCTCTCGCCTGCAAGCTCTTCTCTCGTTCTTAAACTTCCTGCAGCAGTCGGGACGTTCGCGACATCAATTTTGGCACCGCCTCGAACCTTGAAAAGCGCCTTCGGTTTCGTTAATGTCGGCGGAGCCTCAGCAACCTCGAAGGGATTCGCCTTCTTCATGCGCTCGCGCTTGGCCAGCTTTGCCCAGGGGTCCGGATCATCAGCAGCAGCGTCGCCGTCACCGGTCTTCTTCCTCTTGGCAGAACCGCCCTTCTTCTTAGCCCTGCCCTTTCCAGCCTCGAGATCCCATTCATTCCACAGCCGTAGTTGGTCTTCCATTTCCTCTTGCCGCTCCTCCCGCTCGGCGGCCTCGCGCTCTTTGATCGCCACGTCGTCCTCGCGCCACTGCTTTTGAAGCCGCAGCAGATGCTTTTCGTGTTTGGTCAACCGGTGTTCCTCCTTCAGTCCCGGGATGTTCGACGCAGCCGGTTTGCTGGACTTTTGCATCGCAGAGATCGGTAATTCCCGATCCACACGGGCCGCGAAATCCGACAATCTCTCCCCGGGCAGGATCTTCGGGGCCGGTCGGGACTCGCTCTGGGTCTGCGGCTCCTCTGCCGTCGTCTTCACAGCGGCCGACTTCTTCTGCGCAGGTTTGGCGTCTTCCGTCTTTCCTCGCTTCCGTTTCTTGCTTTCGCCAGTCTCCGGTTTCGACGATTTCAACGATTTCGACGACGTTTGGGCGCCGCCATTCTGGCGCTGCATCAATCGCAGGAAGGCCTTGGGGGTGTCATCTTCCCCGGCGGATTTGCGCGAGTAGTCGGACTGCTGGGTCGGAGGGGGGTTCTTCTTCGCATCTTTGCCTTTCTTCTTGGATTTGGCTTGGGGGTCGCGGGTTGGAAGAGGCTTTGCGATCATCGACGGGGGGAGGTCGTAGATACTACGGGGGGGGGGCTGTGAGTAGACGTTCATACCCAGGAATTGAGAAGGATTGTCTTACTTCGAGTCATTTTGACGTCTCTTGTGTTTGTGAGGCATTTTGGAGGTGTTGGTGATGAGATGCAGTCTGCAGGCGGAGACAAACTCGATTTTCCCGTTTTTTCGTTTTTCGTTTTTCCTTTTTTCCTTTTCGGGCCAGAGGCTTATCTTATCGGCGATAAGGACTTTGTTATCTCCCGTGGCGATAAGCAGTCACGGGACCTGGTCGGCAGGGTTCTGCCAACAGAATGCTTTTCCTACATTTGCTTGAATGAATTGCTTGAATTGATCGCTTGACTTGCTTGACTTGCTTGACTTGCTTGAATAAATCACTCAAAGGTAGCTCAAACACTCGCTCAAATGGATGGCTTGTTTTACTAGGAGCTATAATAATAGTAGGTAATCTACAATCCTACGTTGAAGGGGTTTTGTAGGAATTCTGCTATCCAACCTACTATATAGAAGGCTATGCAACCTTCGGTAAAGCTTACCTACCCGGCTGCCTCAGTCGTCAACCCTTATATAAAGCTTTGATTTATTTAAGCGATTTGAGCAACTTATTTGAGTGATCAATTCAAGTAAGCAATTAAAGTACCCAATGGAAGCTGAAATCCTTGACTTGAAAGCGGTGGAGTAAGCGGTAGGCACACCCGATTGGGGTTTGCGTGGAAGTGACCCCAATAGTCCGCCGTATTGCCATCTGGAACATTATCGTGGGCTCTTGGATTCCTACACTGTACGACCAGCCATTATTATTGACGGACTCAGGATCTACTATGCTGAAGCCTAGGAGTTGGTGTCACCTCGTGATCTCAATGGGATGACCCTTGTCTCAGTTGCGTTCCACCACTAAACCTCATCAAGCTGGTGGCCCGAATACATCCCCAGCCACCTTTCATTATCGAGCTGGATCTCGCTCGAGAATTGATACTACGGAGGAGTGTCCGTGCTGCTTCCCCTCTTCCTTCGGCATGCCAAGCCAACACTATCTCCAAAGCCCCGAGATCAGAATGACGAATTCCAAGTCACCCGTAGACTAGAGGCGATAGCATCGGCAAGCGACTGTAACCTCGGGAGAATTGACCAGGATGACTGGACGGAACTCGCCAGGCACATCTGACTTCGGTGGCGGCTGATGGATTAATTGCATCGCCGACCGGTCCAGCGTTTTATGGTTCTATTGATTTCTTTGACTTGGGGTGACACAGCAGGGAGCCAAGTTGGTATGGGTATAGTGAACGTTAACCATTCCAGGCTTCCACATTTTCGGCGGCAGGCGGCACTTCGGATGAGACGAATCACAACCACACACCGATACTCGTCTAGAGGCCGAGTCCCCTCATCCACGGTGGCAACGGCGTGGGTCACCCTGTGTTCACGGAGTATCGCTCGTCGTCGCTCGGCAGCAGCGATTAATGAATAGCGACGGACGATCGGCCACACGGCCAGGACGTTCGGAGGTTCGGGGGCACCAGGAATGCGCTTTCCCCCTCGTTCTCGTCCTACCTGCACAAGATTCTTCTCTTTGACTGGAAGCGCTAAGCGATCGAGACCCTGCCAGCTCGGCCGTCCAGGGTCTCATCTCGGTCTCGGATCGGCGCACGACGCTGGTTTCTCATTATTATTTCTGTCCTTGTTTTTTGGCCGGATTTCTCCTCTCTTCGTGGTCCCATTTCTCTCTTTCACCGCGTAAACCCAAGCAAGCTTGCGCGCTCTGCCGACAATGATATAATCCCTCGGGGTGATCTGCAGGTGCCTCTTTAGCCGAACCATCCAATAATGGGCTGCGGTGCCGCACATGGTTGACGCCGTGGAGAAGAATACTAATAACTAGAACTGTTGATCCAGAGTTGCCCGCCGGTGACGAAACCCTGACCCAGGAACCAGGGTTCTTTCTTATAAACCTGTCCCTGAATCCAGACCCCGACCAGATCGCCAACAACAAGAGAACGAGGCGCACTGCTTTCCATGGCCTGAAGAATGCCTTCCCGCTCCCCGCATTTCTCCAACTCCGCCGCGGCGTCTTCAGAGCGCATCGGCGCTGGTTTCGCCCTCGATAAACAGGATTTCTGCATCGACGTGAACGACGCCGCTCCCATTCAACAAAGACGGAAAACTCCTCTATGGCGTCGGGGATTAGCTGCCCTTTCCCCCTTCTCTTCGCCCTCTCCATCTGCATCAGCTACGAAAGACATCGATGATGATCGTCCACTGCTCTCGGGCGCTTCCTCCAACCCATACCCATCGCGGAAGCTCTCCAAACGATCCAAGATCAATCGCTGTTTTCTATTCCCTTTGCTGGGATTCTTCATCATGCTGTGAGTTCGCCCCCCAGGGGGGGACCAGGGTTCCTGGATATTTGGCCAGGTCCAAAAGCAACGGCAGTTTAACTTATACTTCTCTAGTGGTGTTGTGCAGTTTATCTCGATTGCGTGTGGCATTGTCGTGACCTTCTTTTCGGACGACTTTGATCGCGCGATAGACCGGTGGCGCTTCCGGGAGAAGGATGTCGGTCCTGAGATATCGCACTGGCCCACAGACATTTCGAGGGACATTGTTCCGGCCCGATGCCATTCGCACAACGACTATTGGCGCCCCATACCTTTGTATTCGGCTCTCCAGGCGGGTTGCGTGGGTGTTGAAGCCGATGTTTGGCTCTTTGACAACGAACTCTACGTCGGCCACACCACCTCGTCTCTTGCCCCGAAGCGGACGCTGAGGAATATGTATATCAATCCTCTACTGGAAATTCTCGAGCGACAGAATCCTCGGACACCATTCCACCCCGCCAACGATCAGCCGTTACAGGGAGTTTTTGACACCGACCCATCCCAAACGCTGGTCCTTCTGATTGATTTCAAAACCGATGGGGAGGCAACTTGGAAGAGCGTGGCCGCACAGTTATCTCCTCTGCGCGAGCGTGGCTATCTCAGCTACTTCAACGGCACCGACGTGGTCGAAGGTCCCATTACCGTCGTGGGTACGGGAAATACGCCCTTCAACCTCGTAATGGACAATACTGCCCACCGAGACATTTTCTTCGACGCACCTCTGGAGAAACTAGCAGAGAATGACGACATCGACGATCATGCGCTTCTAGATCCCGATCAGCATGTTGCACATGAACAAGCCGTGCAGGCGGAGAGTTCCACCGAGAATGTCGGTCAAGGCTTATCGGGCATTCCGGCTGCAAATATTCGCCCCAACACCTTCAATAGCACAAATAGCTACTATGCATCGGTGTCTTTCAAGAACTCGATCGGCTTCCCTTGGTCCTTCCATCTCAGTGAGGCCCAAATGAGCCGAATCCGAGCCCAAATTGAGGCCGCTCATCGCCGAGGTCTGAAGGTTCGATATTGGGGTTTGCCGAGTTGGCCTCGCAGCTTGAGGAATCATATCTGGAGTGTCTTGGTTCGCGAAGGTGTGGACATTCTCAATGTTGATGATCTACAAAGCGCCACGAAGAAGGACTGGAGGCCCAGGATCTCCGATTGGTGGAGTTGATTATTCTGCCGCAGTGAAATGACTCGTTCTATCTTGTTGCGGTTTGCCTGGCGATCTGTGATTCGACCCTTTTTCCCCTCTCTTTTCTTTATTATGCACTATTTTTTTTTCTCTCTCTCCCTTGCTTTTTTTTTTCTTCTTGCCCTTCCTTCCTTCCTGCAGGGGAGGGATTCCTGTTTGCGAGAATGGCGTTGGGGGTTTTATGTCGAGACAATACCCTACAGAGAATTCTTTTTTTTTGCTTTTTTTTTGCTTATTTGCTTTTGTGCTCTTTTTCTCTCTTCTTTTTATTTTAGCGAGCCGTTCTTCCATAGAACTCCTTGAGCTCTTACATAGATAGTACTAGCTGGATTACGACTAGATGAAATGTGAAAAAATGATTCATGATCCTTGTGATATGATATGATATCCTGATGCAATATGTGTGGCTGGTTACACAGTAATCAAACGCCCGAAATGAAATGATTTTGGGTATCATATGGTTGAGAAACTCAACTCAACCATGCAGCTTTTGTTATCCTCACGTTCCCCTTTCTTCTTGTTCACTGCGTCAAAAAAAGTCAAAAGGGAGTTTGGATGGTATCTCCGAATTGGAGACGAGTGAGACGAGTGGGTATAAATGGTATACATGCATAAAAGAACAGGAGCATTCATTCATAGACAGAACAAAGCCTCCTCGCCGAATTCATTGAAAACCGTGCCCTCCTCGCGCAGGATATTGCCTAGCCAATCCTTGGCAGTTTCGAAGTCGCTTGCTCCAAATTTGACCAGGACGAATCCGGCGCGCACACGCGCCGCCGTGAAAGTGACTTTGCTGTCATAGTTGGGCGTCGACTCCACGGCGCCAGGACTGGACGAGGACCAATTGCGAGCGCCGATGCGCGGTTGTGATGTAAACCGGTCCATGAAGAATGTGGCAAGCCGTTCGAAAACAGGCCCGTACAAGATCAGCGTTCCCACCACCCCGTGGGGCCGTGTTCGCTCTCGAATCAGATCACTGCGACTGAGCGTTTCGTTGTCGTCCTCCAGGCACAACTCATCCACCTCGTCATCGAGGATGAGGGAGTCGCGCAGCAGTAGTTTCTTTTTCCCGTTCTCATCGGCCGCCCAGACTTCGTTTTTCCCGCGCCACAGGTGGAAATCCCAGTTCTCGCCGAGGGAACTGCGCCCTTGTGTCACCCAGTCCAGGATGCAGAGACTGCTTCGCTTGGATTCCTTCGTTATGGTGCTGTCGACGGTGAATTTTTGTATTTGTTCGTACCGGCTTCCTCTGTAAGGGACGGCCGGGTCGGGTAGGTAGCAGAGGGCGGCCTCACGGCCGACTTGCACGTCGACCGACTGGCGGCTTTTGTCGGACAATTGATGCGCGGGAGTTCCTCGTTGTCCCTTGACGCTGGCGTTGGGTTCCGTCTTGAAGATCTTGGTGCTCCCCTGGGGAGTTGTGACAACAAGTCTCGTCTGAGGTTCTAGCGTGATCGACACATCGATGTGGTCTCCCGGGAGAAGACCTCCGCCGTAGGTAAGAAGGTAGAGGTGAACGGGTCGGGAGGTAGGACACGACAGGGCGGACGATTGCGGGACATAGCCTGGGGCACGTGTGAGGAGCTTCAAGGGGTATTTGTAGGTCAAGGTCGTTAAGGTCGGATTTGAGGGAGGAAGCAGCGAGAGGACAACGGTGCCTTGACCGGGCTTCGCGATGGATGACTCGAACGGCGACTTAATTGGCATTGTGAAGGCAGGGTTTGGATGTAATTTTTTGAAACTTTTTGCGGGGAAGACGATCCCTTTATATGGAGAAGGTAGGAACGGAAAGAGAGAGAGGGAGAAGAGGGTCCAGAAATGTGGACATTTAAGACATGATCTGGAGACCGGGGATCGATGTTGAATGGCGTCATGGGAAGTTTTTTTTCCCTTCCTTTTTTTAGGCGTCAAAGTCTAGGTCCTGTCCGGGGCAACAAGCTGCGGCGGGTTCGTCCAATTGACAGGCTTCCTAAGCCTCGCGGATCATCAGGTCGAAGCGGGGTTTGAAGAATCTGTAAACGACGCAGTCTTGGCCTTCCACGGATGCGCTGAACACGAGTCGGACGTGCAACCGCGATGGAGAAGCTGGTGGTTTCCATTACGGCATCGTTTCTCCTCCGCTGCAGATCAGGGCTGCCATCCTAGGGTTGCGCCGGTCAGCTGCCGCCCCCGCCTGGCCGCCAAGCCACGCCGCGTGTTTCGTCATTTGGTATTCTGGTATTCCGCATACGCCGTATGACTCGGTATTTTTACCCGTCCGCTTTGGGGGGTGTTGCGGCCTGAGGCAGCCGCCGCGCTCCCGTCATCGCCAGGCACCAAGGCCCCCAGGCGCGCGTCGTTTGTCCGCCGACGCCAGAACTGTTCAACGTTCAACTCCCCTCATCCCGATTGCTCGAGTCCCACTCTCGACCTCCCCCCCAACCCCATCCTCAATGCACCCGTTCGCCATTGTATTCGGTTAACTTATCGCTCGTGCTTTTTTTTTTTCGCCTCCCCCCTCGTCCCGCCCGATCGCGTGAACCTGCAGGACGCGCGCAGAAGACTGACTCTTGCGAAACCTGACGTCGCGTTGACGCCCGATAACCAGAGTTTCCCCACGTTCAAGTACGATCTACTCCTGGCGTCTCGTCACCCCGATTGAAGACTGTCTGCAAGCGTCCAAGGTCACTAATCCGATTGGAATCCATATAGTGCTTGAGATATCCGCCCGAAATGGAAACTGATTCGCGCCCCTCGAGCCCGCAACCCGGGGCCACGCAGGAAGCCTCCACCCCTCGAACAGACAGAAGAAAGTCCGGCCGAGCGACGCGCAAGCCGGAATTATTCTCGCAGAGCTACGGCGCCAATGAAGATGCCACCCCAAGTGGCGCCAAGCGCAAGCGTAACACCCCCGGCGATGATGATAACGAAGACGAAGCCGAAGACGCGTCGGAATCCGAAAGTGGCGAGTCCAACGATGAGGAGCCCGACGCAGAAGAACTCAGAGAGAAGAAGCGTGCTGCGCGCAAGGCCGCGTCCAAGAAAGCATCCTCCGGGACCAAAACCAAACCTAAGTCCCGGAGCTCGAAGAAACCAAAGGTAGCAAGCAATGGCATTGGGAGCCAGTTGGCTTTTCGCCCGGCTACCACCAACGGAAAGAAGCCTGCTTCACGCCTGCGAAAACCGGTGATCAGACCAAGTCTGGCTGCCGGAGAAAAAGGCCTCTACGGTATGCTTTCCCCATCATGTTTTCAGTGTCAAGGAAGAATGCACGTCGACTGACACCGTTAAAATAGCCGAGGTTTTTGGCAAAGGTCGCAATGCGGATACCACTGCTGCAGATTGGCTTAAATCTTATCAGAACGACCAGGTCTCTGCCATGCGCGAGATGGTGAATTTCGTGATCCGGTGTGCCGGATCCGATATCGAAGTAGTGAACGAGGATATAACAGAAATTGATCATGCACCGCATCGTGTGGCCGACGTGTCAAATCAGTACCATACGCTTGGTTTCTCCGACTACCCTCTTATCTCGAAGTCGCGGACTTTCCGAAATTTCAAAGCGGTTCTCGAAGACTTTTTCAGCACGTTAATACTCACTCTGCACCATTCTTCCACCTTGTATAAGGACCCAAACCTCTACGAAAACATCCAGATATGGCTGGCCGCCATTTCCAACTCAACCTGCCGGCCTTTCCGACACACGGCAATCGTCATCGTCCTAAAAGTCATGAATACCCTTTGTGATATTGCTCAGGAGCTCATGACGTCGATTTCTACCTCCCGCAAACAACTTGAGAGCGAGAAGAGGAAAAAGTCGGTGAACAAAGGAAGAGTTGAGGCCATCCAATCGGCTGTTCAGGAAGGCGACAAGAAGTTGGAACTTGTCGATGATATCCTCAAAGATGGCGTCAATATCTTCTTTGTTCATCGTTATCGCGATGTGGACCCGACTATTCGCGCCTTATGTATGATTAGTCTGGGCCATTGGATGCGAACATATCGAGACTACTTCTTTGAAGGCCAGTTCCTCCGATACTTTGGCTGGATTCTATCCGATCCCGTCGCCCATAACCGCGGCGTTGTGGTCGAAGAGCTTCGCCCCCTGTATGAGAACAAGGATAACATGGCGGTTCTGCGCACATTCAATGACCGATTTCGTCCACGAGTCGTAGAGATGGCTGCCCACGATACTGATGTCGAAGTTCGTGCCTCGGCAATTGTATTAGTTGATGTGATTCGGGATGCCGGCCTCATCAAACCAGAGGACATTGACACTGTTGGGAGACTAATCTTCGATTTAGAACCAAAGGTCAGAAAGTCAGCTGGTCGTTTCTTTGTCGCCAATGTCGAGGACGCATTCGAGTCCACCATCGAAGAGGTCGGTGAAGAACTTAACGAGGTGTTTGGCGATGAGGATGAAGACGATTTCGAGTCACCTAAACGTTCCTGGATCAAATACAAGTGCCTGACCGACATGCTCCAAGCGTATGACGAACAAGAAAACGAGTTGAATCCCGATCGCCCCGTTACCGCATCCAGAGATGCGCTTTCCGGAACCTCCGTGGACTCACGATTCGTTCTTGCTACCGAGGCAGTTTACCCTCACTTCAAAGAACTCTCACAATGGCAATCTCTCGCCGGATACCTCCTCTACGACCATTCTCAAATTGAAGATGAGCCTAGCGAGGATGATACTGCGACTGTCGTTAAAAACCTATACAAAATGGAAGAAGGACAGGAAGTGATTCTTTTGGAGATGTTGTGCTGCTCTGTGAAGTTGCGAGTCCTCGAAGTGGCCAAGTCCGACATTGACAAGCGAGGTCGAAAAGTCAAGGCACTGACCGACAAAATCCCGGAACTACAAGAAGAGATCGCTCATAGTCTTGCACAAATCATTCCCCAGCTGCTGAACAAGTTCGGCTCTATCCCCGAAGCGGCATCTGCTGTCCTGCGACTAGAACATTTGGTGGATCTTGATAAGATCCAGGATATGCAGAAAGATGCCACTGCCTACATGACATTGCTGAATGACATTAATAAACAATTCCTTACTCATTCTGACCAGGATGTCTTGGCCGAGGCTAGTGTGGCATTTCTCCATGCCAAAAGCTCTGATGATATGCGAGAAGCGCTGGAGAACAAAGTGCAAGAGCTGTGGGATGGTATCGTGGAGACGCTCAGCACGCTTTCGCAGAAGGCCGAGGCTGCTAAGGGCAGCTCAATACCTTCCGCAACCCTTAATGAGCTCACTAATACTGTGTCGAGAATTTCCAATCTTGCTAGCGTCACCGACTGCACACATGTCTTAGAAACATCGCCTTCTCGATCAAAAGGCAAAAACAAAGAGGGATCAGAAGCGCCTTTCAACACCCTCATGCATTTGGCAGAGCGTGGCCTTCGTGAAGATGAACAAGACGAGGATTTGGCCAGCACAGAATCTGAGCTTGTTATCAGCAGTCTCCGGACGCTGCTCTTCTACTTTATGTGGAAGGTACAGTCTTTGAGAGCATCACTGAGTGCCGGGAAGGCGGCTTTCAATACGGCTTACTTCGAAGCTTTAACCAAGAGTCGCGAGGCATTCGTATCTACCCTTGTTGCTATCATGAAGGAGCGTTCAGATTTGGACGACATCCGTTTTGCTGCTATTACAACCCTTCTGGATCTGCAAACCTTGTTCGGCACTCTTCGCCATGCAGGACAAACTGCCAGCAACGATGAAGATGTCATTCTACAGACCCAGAGCTTGGTGCATGAAATCGACTCGAATACCCAAGCACTCATTATCAAGATTCACACCGCAGCAGAGCGTAAATATGCCAAACTGCGCAAATCAGTTTTGAAGCACACCGACGCCGAGGAACCGGGTTCGGATTCTGACGTGGAGAGGGAGCCTTCAGACGATGAAGACGAAATTGACTCAGATGATGAAGGCGCGGTCAGCGAGGCCTTGCGATCCAGCATCATCGCTGAACAACGCCTGTGTGAACTTACCGGCAAACTTGTCCTCGCCATCGTAGGACGCATTGTCGATGCCTCTGGCGACCAACAGGGCAAATTGAAAAAGGCACTCTTGAGACGCAAGTCTCGCCTAGGTCCCAACTACCGCGAGGTGGTCTCTTTCCTCGCGGAGCCCAGATCTCGAGGCGCTCGGAGCGCTCCGTCCAAACCGAAGCAAGCGGCTCCGAAGAATGCGCCCAAGACTCAGCCCGCTGCCAACAACAAGCGTGCGAATGACCACAAGTCAGCCGAAAGGGTGGATGATGAGGATGAGGATGAAGATGAGCGTGAACATTCTCCAATTGAAGACGACGACGACGAAGATCTACGAGCCAGAGGCCTCATCGAGGATGATATCATTGATCCCGATGACGACGAGGAGGCGCCAAACCACGCAGCCCCCGATCCAGATGAGGATGAAATCATGGGCGACTAAACTCGTCTTTTTAACCCATATTTCTATTTTCTTTGACGTTCAGATCGGCATGCGGTTCTCCTTTTCTCTCTTTTTTTTTTTTTTTTTTAAAGCAAAGCAGTGGTATTTTATTTGACAATTAAGTGGTATTTTTTCATTTCATATCTTATGTTTCTTTCACTTTTTCTTTTCCTTTTCCCCTCTTCTCTTCGCTTTGTCATGACGTGATTGCTCTGGATTCGCTATGGGTTCAGATAACCTCAATTTATCTATTGTGAGGGTGTTCTTGCAATAATTCCACTTTTTTTTTTTCTTCTTTCTCTTCTTTTTCTTTCGTTATTCCTCAGTTTTATTATCCCCTTTGTCCTCGGATGTAAAAACCTGTGGCGATGGGTATCAAGTGCGATGTATGTAACCCTATTTATTCACTGTATATATTCTTAGGTTTCTTTCCCTCTCACCAGAACCACCCTCGACAATAATATCTGGTCTCCGTGTCATTTGTGCAACGTAGGATTGATTGATGTAACGTATCCAAGTTCGGGTACGACGGCAAGTCTAAGGTTTACGGGGTTGTAGAAACAGAGAATCAGAGAAACAGGGGGTTGGCATTTTCTGGCTATCAGAACTATCCATCGTGGAACAAAGACAACCTGTCTCTCCTAACGTCCACTAAATCTGGCCCAAGGGTCTGGTGGAGAAACTTGATTTCTGTCCACATGGGCCCGGGGGTTAGAAGAGACACGTCCAAAGGAAATAGTCTGATTGGGTAATCAAAGGTAAACAAAAGGTGAAAGAAGATTAAGGAAAAAGAAGAAAAACCGAATGAACAAACAGTTACGCCTGTGTATGGGATGCTACGGAATGGACATTGCGAGGGAGATATAGAAAGTGGGGGGAGGGGATACATGACGGTGAATCTTGTTTATCGTGAACTATCAAAATCCGGGAAATCATAACACAAGAAAAGGAAAATAGGGCCGAAAGCGACAGGTTAGGGGAAGGGGAGGGGGATTGCTCAAACGGCAAAAAGAAACTCGGGGTTTAATGTCTCCAGGAACGTAGGCAGAATTCGTTTCTTTTTCTTTTTGGACATGGCAACATTAAAAGACGCCACGGGAAGATCTAGCAGGCAGGATCGGTGACAACTTGAGCGTCATAACTGATTTGCAAATAATATTCGACTTTTACATATCCATGGAGTCACCGCCGTTGGCGAAGGTGAACCCACCAGGTTGTTGCTGGTTGGTGCCCAGAGAGAATCCGGTCTGCGTCTGCTGAGGAGCAAGCTCGTCGACATCTCCACCGGCCTCGTCCTCGTCCGAGAAGTACTTCTCAATGATGTTGTAGGCCTTCATGTAGATCTCCTCGTTGGCGTTGTTCTGGCAGTCGTGGATCTTCTCCATACCACCGGCCTCTTCGATGAACAGGGCGTAACGGTTGACGCGAGCGTCGCCGGACTGCGCGGTCTCCTTGTCCATGTCGCCAACCTTGAGAATGTTCTCCAAACCATCCAGAGCGACCTGGATGATCTTGTTGTCAGGGCAGGCAAGGAGGTCACAGAGAGGCTTGATGCATCCCTGCGAGACAAGGTAGCGGATCTGCTCGGGCTTCTGCAGACCACCGGAAGTAGCGTTGGAGATAGCCCAGCAAGCTTCCTTGCGAGTCTTGAAGTCACCGTTGGCAAGCAAGTTGATCAGAGGGGGGATGATGCCAGCGTCAACAACGGCCTGGATCTGGCTGGAGTTACCGGCGGTAACGTTGGAGATAGTCCAGCAAGCCTCTTTCCGGATGCCGTCCTTGGTAGAGCTCAGAAGAGACAAGAGAGCCGGGAGAGAACCACAGTTGATGATCACTTGGGTCTGAACATCGTCACCAGTCACGATGTTTCCAACCGATCGGAGAGCAGGGGTCTGGACCGAAGTGGAGGCATGCATGAGAAGCTCCACCAATCGACGAGGGATACCGGCCTCAATGACGGCCTGGATCTTGTCGTTGGCGCCATCAGACAAGTACGAGATAGCCCAGCAGGCATCGATCAAGACTTCATCGTCAAGCATATAGATAAGTTTGGCGAGGACAGGAAGAGCGGGAGCAATCTAGTAGATTGTTAGTTTGATCTAAAATGGGGATCGGCGATAGTTTTCCCCAATCTGTTGGGATCAATACATACCGTATTCCAATCGGGCTGCGGCGTCTTGCCACGGCAGAAGTTGCTCAGGGTCCACGTGGCATTGCGAAGCATGCTCAGCTTCCGGCCATCGTTGATCAGGTTAAGAAGGGGACGGAGGGCACCGGCGTTCAGCACGAAGTCACGGCATTGAGGGCTGTCACCAGCAATGTTACCCAGAGCCCAGACGGCTTGCTCACGAACATCGGGCTCGGGGCTGGACAAAAGCTCGCAGAAGATCGGCACAGCACCAGCCTCGATGACCACCTGAGTCTGTTGAGCAGATCCGGAGGCAATGTTGGTCAAAGCCCAGGCGGCTTCGAACTGAACCAGAGTGTGGGGGGATCGGAGGAACTCGACGAAGCGGCTGACAACGCCGGTCTCGATGACGCGCTCGATGGGAGGGTTGCGCTCCTTGGAGAGCAGCTTCCTGAATTTGGTCGTAGCTTGGATTTGCGATTCGATTTGCTCGGAGAAAACACCCTTGACCATCTCGGGCAATTCCACGTTAAGCTAGAAAATGATTTGTTAGCCATATTAATTCCAATAATTGGGTACAAAAGCTGTAGCAAAAGTGATAGAATGGTCTGGTGTATCGTAGGATAGCAAGAGGGCAGTGAAAAGTTCGTTGACGGGCGCCAAATAAGAGCGCAGGGCAAAAAAAAAAAAAACAGGACTAAGAAAAATGAAGAAAAACAAAGCCGCCTGTGGTGACGGGGTGGAACAAAGAAAAAACAACAAGACAAAAAACATCAAATGAACCAGAATAATATCAAGACACAAAGCTGAAGGCAATAGTAGCACGTACCTCGCTTTCGATAGCACTGGCCTCGTCGTCGCTTTCAGCAGCGGCCATGCCACCTCCTACACCAATTCCGCCATCCCGGGTCTGAATACCACGACGCTTGGCCAAGTTCTCATCTCTTTTCTGCTTTCGAATCTCGACCTGTTGTTCCTCACGACGACGACGAAGCTCATCAGGCCGAAACTGGTTCCTGGCCTTGTACTGAGTGCGACGATGTTCGGGGATGTAGCGCTCCGCCATGGTTGCTTGGGACACTGAGGGGTGAAAACAAAGCGCCCACAACGGGGGGGTAGTAGAAGAAAAATAGAAGGGAAAAAGGAAATAAAAGTGGAGAACAGGAGAGGAACGAAGAATCGAAGCTCGATGATTTGTCGGGGAGGGGAAGACCCGGAAAGCAGTAGAGAAAGCACGGAGGCTAGGATGGTCAAGAGAGATACCAGCCGGGGAAGAGGTGAAGGAGGGGAAAAAAGTGTTGATGTCGGAGGTGGGATTGCCAGTCACGGGATCCCGCTGATTTGCTGTTTTCGGCCGCCCGCCAAGCGCCACTCCCGCCTAAGCGATCTTGCCGCCGGAACGCGTCGAGCGCTGCATTTGGCTGTTATTGATATGTCCTCTTGTTGGTGATTCTCGCCTTCGACACAGGCGTCAACGCTGCAATCTCACGATCCTGACTCCCTGCCTGGCTTCTGTTCACGTTGAATTCGCAGATCGGCCCCCAATCCCCCTCTTGGGACTGGACTCCCCCGTGCTTACTAACCATGCGCGATGCCTAACTGAATATCGACCTACTACGGAGTATTGACCTACTATTCACCATGGGTTGGGCAGAGCTAGTGGATATCTCTACGGCTCTCTCCACGCGTGACACCGTCACCGTGGTTGGGGTGGTCGTCGATGTCCCTGGAACCCCCAAGCAGACCAAAGGCAACTCGTTCTTTATAACCTTCACCCTCAAAGATTCCGATCTAACCAACGGACATACGTGGGATGGATTGAAAATCAGATACTTTCGAGACAATGAAAGTCAGTTGCCCCCTGTGCAGGTGGGGGACGTGGTTCTTCTGCGCAACATACATGTTCGTGACTAATCCGCTGTTCCATTCCTTTAAGTACACTGGCTAAATCTAGAGACTATAGATAAAACAGGACTCTAGAGAGATATTGGGCGTGGCTGCCCAGTACAAAACGATTCCATGGGCATTGTTTCGTCACAACCCCGATCCAATGTCTAGTATGGCGCCCATGTGTGGCCCGACGCCTTTTGAGCCAAACTTTACGGAAAAGAAGCTTGCACTGTCTTTACTAGAAAAGAGTCCAAAAGCCAAGGAGTATCGAAAGCCTTCCGTGGACCGCGTGGCCTCGCAATCCCACTTGAAGCGCAGCACGTTTTCCACACGCGATTGCTTCACTCTGGTTAAAGATGCCAAGTATAAAACACACGTCGACCTCATCGGGGAAGTTGTCAAGATTTACCCCCCTAGCGGCTTCAGAGACAATATCGTTATGTACGTCACTGATTACACGACGAATAGACTCCTACCTGATCATGACTCCGACGATGATGAAAGGGGTCGAGAAGGCGATGAGTTCAACTATCAACGCTTTAACAGGAGAAGATGGACTGGCCCATCCGGGCAAAGATCTATTGCAGTAACTGTCTGGGCACCGCATTCATCCTTTGTTCAAGAAAGGGTCAATGAGGGAGATCTTATCTACCTGAGAAACGCTTTCATTAAACAGAGCAACACCAACAGGAGCATGGAGGCTGTCATCGAAACGGGCAATTCCTACGATGCTAAAAATTGCAAAATCCGCCTAGTAAACGCCAAAGATGACGATCGAGCCAAAGAGCTTCTGCGTCGAAAGAAAGAATACTTGATCAAAAACCCGTCGAAGCGAAAGCTTGCTCAAGATGACGAGCCAACGACGCGCTCAAAAAGGGCCAATAAACAGCCAAAGCAGAAAGCCGAGGCAAAGGAAGAAAACCAGACCTCGATCGTCTTCAGGAAACAAAACCCCCCCAATCCAGAGAGTAAGCAACCATGACACCCATATCCGAGCGTTATCGAACTAACTTCTCCGTCAAAATAGTCATTACTGCATATAGCAGCTGCAGTGACCGCCCAATCGAGGATATCATTGCCAACGAATCACACAACAATGTCTCTCCAGATGGCATTGAATATCGTTTCCCATTCCAAAATCTCTGCTACCGATCTATCGTTCGCGTCGTCGACTTTTTCCCTCATACGCTTGAGGACTTTGCTGTACCAGAAAGGCAAGATGATAGGTCACTTTCCTCTTACGAACGCGAGGATGCAACCGGCGAACCCTTCAACAGATGGGAATGGCGCTTTTGTCTTCTCGTTGAAAGCTCTTACGCGCCAGCCCCGGGACAAACTAAGGAGCAGATGAAACTGTTTGTGTACGATGCGGAAGCAGTGCACTTGCTAGGTATTGACGCATGCGAGTAAGTGATCCAAAGAAATTCGGCAAAACAAATGTAGTCGAGCTGCTAACTCGATTGCTTTATGTTTCAGTCTGCGAAAGAAACCGGATGAGCTGGAAAGGGTAAGGGAGAAGCTTTTTATCCTTTGGGGCGACCTTGAAGAGCAGAAGAGGAAGGCTGCTGGGCAGAGTTATCAGGTTGCACAGGATTCGAAGGCTGTCTCGTCGCGGTCTTTTGCTTGCTGTATCCAAGAGTATGGAATCATGTGTTCCCATCGTGTTGCTGCTGGCGCCGACCAGGCGAAAAAGGACGATGGAGTAGATTCTTGTAGCCACGAGGGCTGCTTTGGATGGGAGAGGCGGTTCGCAATGTACCGCACCAAGATCAGATAACCGTCTTGGTTATGTTTTTTCTTCTTTTTTTGTCTAGCGCTTAGGTTCTATACCCCTGAATGTTCAGTATTAATCTCACCTATTCCTCATGTTCCAAATTAATTGGAGACGAGTATCTTAAGTCATGTGTGGGTGTGATATGCATAAGCTGTTCCTGTGATTCCTGCGACAGATTTCAAAGTAGGTACATGTTTCAACTGTAAATCAATGCGCCACTGAACAAAAGAAAAACCTAAATGCGATGATAGGGATATCGTGCTGAGAGAGGGAAGGAGACAGAAAGCAGTTGCATCGCCAAGGAGAAATGCTAAGAAAACCAATGACATGAACGCCGAGATACTAAAGAAACCCAAGGGGGAAGCGCTGGTCAAGAGTAGTAAATCCGACTAAACCTTGGTCACCTTGACGATATTGAGGTCAAGGCCATGTGCAGAGGCCTCGAATCGACAACTTGACCCCCAGTAGCAGTCCTTCTTGCCGGGTTCGCTCAGAGGACAGCGATGACCGTAAATACAGTCCGGGTCGTCGCAGTCCGTGCCGTAGCGACAAGGCGTCATGCGAGCGACAGCTCTCAGGATGGAAAGCTCACTCTTGGTTAGCTTGCGCGAATGGTCATGAAGACAGTTCTCATTCGGACATTCGCCCATCAGAAAGTAGAAATTGCACAGCTTCAGCTTCTTCATGCGATTGAGCTCATCACGGGGGATGTTCTTGAAGTCAATCCGATCTACCCGCTGACCGTACTTATTTCGCTCCACGATCTTGGGAGGTGGCAAGGAGTTCGACGATTTGGAACGTACAATCTGGAATTCGCCAAGCTTCGCATTACTGGCAGAATTAGATGCAATTGACAGCGAAACACTATTGTTGGTGGACGTGGTATTGGTTGAGGTTCGCGAAAGAGGTACGGCTTGCTGCACGGGAGACGGCGTGAAGAGAGAGCGCGGCTTGCTGGCCACCGCAGCTTTCCAGGGAGCCCAGACGGTTATCTTGGTATCTCGAAAGAGATTGGGGAATTTAGTTGCTCTGAACGTCGACTTAATCAATTCCAAATTGTTCTCAAAAGGAAGACCTTCAATCAGAGACACTCTGCCGATGAGATCCGCGTCATGTAGCGCGCTTTCCAGAATCCTCCCGTATGCAGGATCCTGTGCGCACCCAATGAAGATCTGGTGGCAGTGGCAGTTGTACAGATAAAGTTGGAATGTCTCTGGGTCAAAGAAAAGCAAGTGGTTAGCCTATTGGGGCGGAAAGAAGAACACTGCAAGGGGGGACGCATGTATAGTAAAGAATCCGTACCCGCGATCTTCTCCTGCGCGCTATGTTTTCCAGATCCAGTATCGATCAGTTCAAACAGTGGGAAGCTCCCATTGAAGCCACGCACAAATTCTTCGATCAAAAAGGGCTCGGTGGTGACTCCGCCTCGAACGCAGAGCTCTGCCAGTCCCTTCACGTTGACATATAGCTTTGTGATTATTTTGGGAGAAGCGATCCGTGGAAAATTACTAGCGATATAGTTCTGCAAGGCCTCCTGAAGCTTGGTCGCCGCGTTTCGTCCGCCTTGACCACCTTGCTGTAGAAAACCATCCTGGAAGATTATTCCGTCGCCATCGAGAAGGACCACGATGAAGGGTTCACGCTCCTACCAATGGCGGAGAATTTGTTAGCCGACGTTGTACAAAGGCAGCAAACAAGCTGTTTACCATGATATTCCTCATTCTGGAGACCTGGTCCATCAACTCCATCTCATGGATCTGAATGTCACGATTAAAGCGGGTCTCTCGTTCATGGTCAAGCTTCTCCTGTTGATACGCTTCTTCTAGCTCTGTCACACGTTGCAGGAGATCCTAACCCGGGGTAACAACTTGAGTCAACCACGGTTTGGTACTTTCACTAGTACGGCAGTGAACCATTACCTCGATGAGAGTGTTCTTTTTCTGGTCTATCGCTGCTAGTTGCTTATAGCGCTCAAAATAGCCTAGTGCCGTCATAGTTGCGATAAAGATCAAGGGACGGATTGTTCAGTTGCGGAGAAGGAGAGTAGGGAAGAAAAAGTACTAATCAACAGTCGTACTAACGGAGGAGAGAGATCTGAGAGAGCGCGAGGGACAGGCAGGCACTATATAACCGGCCTGGCAGGTGACCGGGGAGAACAAGTGAAGGACCGGTGTTTACGCGCTCAACACATTCACTTGACAGGGCCTGCCAGAGATCTACATGGCAGCTTTATATAGCCAGTGGAGAACACACTGGAAGGCAAATCAGCGACAAACGAGCGACGCCAAAGCGATCAAATTAGCAGAAAGCGTCGCGGCAAGAAGCACCCAGTCACGGCGGGGCTGAGTCAGCGGGCGCCTGGGGAAGCCGAATTGGACTACGTGGAGAAATTCATCTCCCTCTCTCTCTCTCTCTCTTCCGCTGCATCCTCCCCTTCTCTTTGTCTTCCCTCCCTCTTCCTCCGTCGTCCTCCCCCAATTGCTTTCAGACTCTACGTCTGTTCCGGTTGCATCGCAATGGCTCGTTTCGGTCTCCTTTCTCTGGCTCTTTTCTCTGTCCAGGCCTTGATTGGTGGTGGTCTCGCCGCAGTATGTTTACCCTCCTTTGTTTCTTGTCTCACACACGCCCAATTGGATGGCTGACTCTACTCTCTTCATCATCAGGACCCCGCTGAGAAGGTCGAAGAGAACGCTGAGTCGCCCAAGCTTGCCGTTTCCGCCCAGGCTTCCTTCCCTGCGTCGGAGATCTTCGGCGTGAAGCTGGTCAACGGCCTCCCAACTCAGGCGCTGATCACCTTTACTAACGATGAGCCTGCTCCTGTCACGGTCAACTTTGTCGGCGGCACCCTGTCGACCTTGGATGAGGATGAGAGCCAGGTGGTGCGCAACTTGACTGCCACCGCGTATGGCGTCGAGATCGCGGCCGGCGAGAAGGAGAGCCTCAGCTACAGCTTCTCCACTGAGATGCACCCCCAGGACCTGAGACTCTCTCTGGCCTCGATCCTGTCCGACAGCGAGGGAAGATACTTCACTGTCTATGCCCACAACGGTACCGTCAGTGTCGTGGAACCGGAGACTAGCATTTTCGATCCTCAGATGTAAGGACTGCTCCTCGTGACTTGGTCTGGGAGACATGGGCTAACATTCGATTCCCTTTCTAGTATCTTCCTGTACTTCTTCCTCCTGGCTTGCTTCGTTGGTGTCGTCTACTTCTTCTACACCGTCTGGGTTGCGCCCTACTTCCCTCAGAAGCGCAAGTCTGGCAAGGGACCTGAGAAGGCCTCTGCGTCGAAGAAGGCCGAGGCTACCGTCGAAGCCCCCAGCAGCCCCGCCGTTTCCTCTGCGACCACCTACAACGCGGATTGGATCCCTGCTCACCACATCAACCGTCCCGAGGCTCGGAAGGTCAAGGGTAGCACCCGGTCTAAGAACCGTGCCTAAATCGGCACCACGGCGACGGATGTGTGAGATTGTTGGGAGAGAGAGGCTGAAAAGTCTCGTTGGCCTTGGGAATAACTTGGTTTCTGTCAACGAGTCTCATGTGTGATTGGTGATTCCGGGCGAAGACGATTGCTGAAAATGCGATCTGCCCCGAGTTGCCGCGATCCATGGTTGGAGCGTGTATAGTTATGGCAAATATAACCGAGTAAGCGTAGCTCTTAGAAGGTTTAGCCTTACGATTTATACAAATGTATACACAGTCACTCGGTCGATGAAAGTCCGCGATGGGAGTAATGTAAAACTAAGTATAGTATGGGTAGACCGTGGTCGCCTTTTTCCCCCTCTACCTCATTCATTTACAGCCGTTTCCACTCGTTGAATTCCTTCTCCAAGTGCATCTTCAACTCGGTGAATTTATTTCCGAAATCCTTACCGCATCGCCAGCATCTGAATCGATATTTCAGATAGCCCTCTCGATCCGGGTGCCTTCTGACATCATCCGGCGCCAACGGGAAATCCTCGATGGGAACGAAGAACGGCGTGGTGAAGCTATTATAATGCTTTCTGTGCTTCATGCGATCGCTGAATCGATCCACGGAGATGATATGGATATGTAAATGGTTCATCGACGGATGCCCATGGATGCCGCACATGATTTCCTGCTCCCAGTTTCTCCCAGGCGGCAGCTCCTCTGCCGGCGGATCCGCATCCAAAGCATCCTGTCGCTGCTTATCCTGCGCCGAATGTTTCCCATGCAGGCGCCTGAGCTCGCCCGCCGCCAGGGTGCGCAGCTTCGTCGTCTCCGCCTTCACCTTCTCCAGGAACTCGCGGTCTTCGAAGGCGTCGAACGGGTGCAGGCGGGTCTTCGCGGGATCGCGCGGCAGGAGAAGCAAGTGCAGGGTGGATTTGGGGAAGAGGTCATGGATCACGACGAAGTCCTCGTTGTAGTATACGACGACGCTAGGGGGGTAGGACTCCGGCCGGGCAATGTAGGCGCCCAGAGCATCCCGCGGCCCACCGACGGCTTTCTTGTCGCGCGAGTCTCGATCGCTAGTATGTTTCGGCTGCTTGGGTTTAGGAGCGAGGAGCTCTGCGACTGGTCCACCTTATGCATTAATTCGCGCTCGTCGCAAAGGGTGGACTGGAGAGGCAGGGGTGGAGTAGCTTACAGGCGTCTCGCTTTGCGGGCTTGCCTTCTTGGGTCCCCGACTCAGGTTCAGCGCCCGATGTCCTATCCATACTCAGTCTGGACGAATCCTGTGGATCGAAGGACATGGCGACGGGCGAATCGGCGGGGGCTCATGACTGGGCCATGTCGAGAGAAGGAGGCAGACTGGAGAATGCGGGCGAACGAAGCTTACCGGATCGGCTCCCCGCAGCCCTAGACGGAATCGCCGAAAAATGCGGTCTAGTGCGGGACTGCCTCCGCCAACGTTTCCTACTTCTTCGCCTTCGCAATCGCGACACGCTCGGTTTCTGACTCCACGGGCGTGTGTTCAGCTATATCTGTCGCTTTGAGAAAGAATGGGACCGAAGAAAAAGGCCGACGCCCGTGGAGGCGGCCCCAAACCCGGCACGAAGCAAGCCAAAGCGGCCGCCGAGCGATCAGCGGAGGCCGCGAAGGCGCCTCCTGCGACGGAGGAGCCCAAGAAGCCATCCGTCAAGGAAGTCATTGGTGGCGCGTCATGGACGGGCAAGTTGCCGGTCAATATGCTCTCCGAGCACTGCCAGAAGCAGAAGTGGGAAAAGCCCGAGTATACTATGGTGGGCAGACAGCACTCCCCAGTTCCCCGTTGCGCAAGAAGCTTGGGCTAATTTGTTTGCGGTCGAATAGGCCAAAACCTCAGAGGGATATATATCGTCGGTCATTTTGAAGCGCGTTGATCCCAAGACCCGAGAAACGACCGTCCTTCCTCCCATGAAACCCCCTCCGTCTCACAAACACCTGGCGGCGCAAGCTACCGCGTTGGAGGCTCGCCATTTCGCTGCGGCGTATGCGCTCTTCCGGGTGTGCAACATGAAGAACTTGCACATGATGCTCCCACCGGCATACAAGAAGCTCTGGAAAGAGGACTTCTCGCAAATCAAGGCTGCAGACAGTAAAGAAGGCCGAGGGTGGATGTATGAGGCCGACCCTTTCCTGGCCAAACAAGAACGAGAGAGCGCTGCGGCAGATCTAGAAAAGAAACGCAAGGAGCGGGAGAAGTCTCAGGCGAAAGAAGCCAGCAACAAAACGGTCGATTTGGGATTGGGGTCGAGTGGGGAGAATAAGGGAAAGCGAATCTGGTCGCAAGCTCCGAAAGTGGACATGGGAAACAAAGTTCGTCGGGATATCGAAGGATTGTTGCGGCAGCATACCATTTGGAACCCTTACAATGTGCAAATCCCGGAGAAAGAGCGTAAAGCCATGATCGACGAGTTCGCGCGTCTAGGCTTCCGACGCAGCCACGTCGAAGAGGCCGCCGCCGCATGCAAAGACCGGGAGGAGGTTCTCGAGTGGCTTCTGATCTACGTTCCAGAGGATGACTTGCCATCTTGGTGTCTACCAGAGAGGTATTCTGCTGGCGTGAGTCTCGCGAGTGATGACCTTGCAAAGGAGGCCAAGATCAAACGGCTCTCTGCCGTCGGCTATCCTGCCGACCTTTGCTCGCGCATCCTAGACAGCAAGCAAGGCGACGAGCTTGCGGCTGCGGAGTTCTTACAGGGCACCCTGGTGCATGGAGAGAGTGCATCTGCCGGCTCGATTTCGGTCGAAGATGCGGAGGATCTCTGGGCCGAAGAGCAAGAGACCCTGGAAGCCATCTTCGGGGAACGATACCGTCGGATCTCACCCAAAGTCTGCGAGATTCACGGAGAGTCGCCAAGTGCTTTGGAAAACATGTCATTTCGCTTCCAGAAGCCTTCTGGCCATTATCCGTCATCGGTGCCGGTCATCCTGCTCCAGACCAAGGATATCCCGGCTTACATCCGCCTCAGCGCCATCCGCCAGGTCGTGCAATACTCCGAGGAAAACTTCCTGGGCGAGCCAATGATATATAATATACTAGACTGGCTGGAGGTCAACTTCCCTGCAGTCATGGAGAACCCGGGCAAACTACGAGACATCTCTACAGTCATGGCGGCCCCGTCGGGTTCGACGTCGACCATTGAAATGCCTGTCCGTCAGTCGCGCAAGAAGACAAAGGAGATCACATGGCAAGCAGGGTCGCCGCAGAGTCTTTCTATTCGTGAGGCATGGCAGGCTAAGCAGTTAACCAAGGCCCAGCAGGATATGACGGAGAAGCGAGAATCACTTCCGGCGTGGAATATCCAGGATGCCATCATCCGGGCCGTCAACAAGAATCAAGTCACCATCATCTCCGGTGAAACGGGAAGTGGTAAAAGTACTCAGTCGGTGCAATTCGTGCTGGATGATATGATCCAGCGCAACCTGGGCGGAATCGCGAATATTATCTGCACCCAGCCACGAAGAATCTCCGCCCTCGGTCTTGCAGACCGAGTCAGCGACGAGCGATGCACGTCTGTCGGCGAGGAAGTCGGATACATCATTCGCGGTGACTCCAAGGTCAAGTCCGGCGTCACGAAGGTGACCTTTGTCACCACTGGTGTCTTGCTTCGTCGTATACAATCTGGCAGCGGCGCAGATGGCAATGTCGCTAGCTCTCTCGCGGATGTTACCCACGTTGTGGTGGACGAGGTCCACGAGCGCAGTCTTGATACCGACTTTCTGTTGGCTCTCCTGAGGGATATCCTTCGTTTCCGCAAGGACATCAAGGTTATTTTGATGAGTGCAACCCTCGATGCCAACATCTTCATCGACTATTTTGGTGGGCGTGACCGTGTTGGTCTGGTAAACATTCCCGGACGGACATTCCCTGTGGATGACTACTATCTGGATGATATAGTCCGCGACACTGGGTTTTCGCCGGAGTTCTCTGATCGGGATTTCGACGAGGATGCATCCTCGTCACAGGGCGACGAGTCACTCGGCAAGCTTCTTCGCAGTGTCGGCATGGGAATCAATTACGATCTCATTGCCTCGACGGTCCGATACATCGATGCCATGCTGGGGGATCAGCCAGGAGGCGTGTTGATCTTCTTGCCCGGTACTATGGAAATCGACAGATGTCTGAACGCCGTGAAGAGGATTCCCAATGCCCATCCTTTGCCATTGCATGCCTCTCTGCTGCCCAATGAGCAGCGACGCGTCTTCCTCAGTCCTCCAAAAGGCAAGCGAAAGGTCATCGCCGCAACCAACGTTGCCGAAACCTCCATTACTATCGAAGACATCGTCGCCGTCATCGACACCGGCCGTGTCAAGGAGACGAGCTACGACCCCAAGGACAACATGGTCCGACTCCAGGAAGTGTGGGCCTCTCAGGCCGCCTGCAAGCAACGCCGTGGACGTGCCGGTCGAGTAAGGGCTGGAACGTGCTACAAGCTCTACACGCGCAAGGCCGAAGCCAGCATGGCAGCTCGTCCGGACCCTGAAATCCGCCGCGTGCCACTCGAGCAGCTCTGCCTGTCTGTCAAATCCATGCAAGGCGTGGACGACGTCGCCACGTTCCTCGCCAACACCATCACTCCACCGGAGAGCATCGCCGTCGAAGGAGCCCTCAACTTCCTGCACCGCGTGGGCGCCCTCGACCACGACCGACTCACAGCCCTCGGACGATACCTCTCCATGATCCCCGCCGACCTCCGATGCGCCAAGCTCATGGTCTACGGCTCCATCTTCGGCTGCATCGACCCCTGCATCACCATCTCCGCCATCCTCACCGTCAAGAGCCCCTTCGTCTCCCCCCGCGACCGCCGCGACGAGGCCGACGCCGCGCGATCCTCCTTCTCCAAGGGCGACGGAGACCTTCTCACCGACCTCTCCGCCTACCAGCAGTGGTCGGAACGAGTCAAGGCCCACGGCTACTGGCAGACGCAGTCCTGGTGCGGCGGCAACTTCCTCTCGCACCTAACCCTCCGCGACATCTCGTCCAACAAAGCGCAATTCCTCACCTCCCTGAAAGACGCCGGCCTCCTCCCCGTCGACTACTCCGACACCACCTCTAGCGCCGACCCCCGCTGGAACCGCAACGCCGGGAACCGCGCGCTCCTGCGCGCCCTCGTCGCCGGCGCCTTCCAGCCCCAGATCGCGCAGATCTCGTTCCCCGACAAGAAATTCGCCAGCTCCGTCACCGGCACCGTCGAGATCGACCCGGACGCCCGCACCATCAAGTACTTCAACCAGGAGAACGGCCGCGTCTTCATCCACCCCAGCTCGCTCCTCTTCTCGGCCCAGAGCTACCCCGGCGCCGCCGCCTACCTTAGCTACTTCACCAAGATGGCCACCAGCAAGGTCTTCGTCCGTGATTTAACCCGTATGTCTCCCTTCCTCATCCATAATCTCCCCATGCATGACCCACAGAACGCCGACTAACACTGAAAAAAACAAAAGCCTTCAACGCCTACTCCCTCCTCCTCTTCTGCGGCTCCATCTCCCTCGACACGATGGGCCGGGGTCTCGTCGTCGACGGCTGGCTCCGACTGCGCGGCTGGGCGCGAATCGGTGTCCTCGTCTCGCGACTGCGCATGATGCTCGACGAGATCATCGCGTCGAAGATCGACAATCCGAACGAGAGCGGCGGCGGCTCGGGCACAGCGAACCAGGTCATCGAGGTGGTGAAAAAGTTGATTGAATTTAATGGGTTGGATCAGTGATTTCTTTTTTTGGGTTTTCTTGGTTTTCTGGAGGTAGAGATTGGGTAAATGAGGGGGTGGGTGGGTATGAAAAGTTATATATATATACACACGCACGGGCACTGATAATCTGGGTTTCGTCTTGTTGACTTGGATATATAAAAGAGATAGAGATGATTTCCTTCAATAGAGATTGGTTAGTGATGATGACCCAAATGATCGATTCAGTCGGTATATATATGACCAGACAATTTACCAGTAACACTGGACTAAAATCATCCAACCTTACTCGGAAAAAATGGAGATAATAAATCCAATTCGACTAGTTTCTGCGCCATAATCCTGGACATTAACCCATGATAAACAAAGAAAATAAGATGGGCCAAAAAAGAAAAGAAGGACGGGCAAGACTAGCAGGACAAATAAAAACCCTCGACGAGTCGACGAATCGATATGGATCGCATGAGACGAAAATCAACATACTGGGGGACGTGCAGTCATGACAGTTGGGCAGATGGTAAGAGACAAGATCACATACAAAAGAAACGAAGAAAGGGTATGGCAAGAAGAAAAAAGAGAAAAAGCAAAGGAAAAGAAACAAAACCTATCATCCCGTTAACTCCCCAGGCCCGGATTGATTTGCATGCATGCATGGCTTTCATGTCATCCGTTTTCATTAGGTAGATTCGAAAAAGAAAAAGATAAAAGGGAAAAAACTCCACCCATTCGAAACCCTGTCTCCGATCTGTCGCCTTTTCTTTTATTTCGGCGTCATGTTGAATCCCAAACGTGAGGAAAGGAAAGAGCTGAATGTGAATGCAAGGAAAGTCGTAATAAAAGTCGATGCTAAGTGGGGGTATGTAGCCATAGAGGCCTAAGCGCGCTTCCAATAGTCGGAGGATTGGCTGCGATCGAAGACAGAGCTGTCTCTGGACGCCTCGGGGAGTCGGAATCCCTTGCGCATCTCAGCCTCGGCGAAGAGAGAAGCTCGCTTGAACTTGCGGTCCGCGTATTTCTCATAGATCGCCGCGTGGTGCTTACGAGGGATCTCGCAGCATTCCATCATGAGCGATATGAGCGGAAGCAGCTGGGAATACGTGTAGTCCGCATAATGAATATGGGCAGCAGTCTGGTATCCGTTAGAAGATGATAAGACGGTAAGGGGGTTGGAGTGGAAACATACCCAGGATCCCTTTCTCAGCATCATTCTCGCGAGGCAATGAGCACCGGCAGCGACGAAGCTAGGGGGGCTGCCCACGAAGCGCTCATCCATGATGGTAATCTCCAGGAAGTACTTGGCGAGAGTTCGAGTTTCCAGGTCATAATCGTCTGCCTTGCTCACTTTTCGTAGGAAGCTCATGGGACCGGGCCATCCAAGTTCAAACTGCAGCATGCTCAGCATGAAGCGCTCAGCCTTGAGGATTTCATCGGCCGTGTAGCCTCCGTCGACCATATAGACGATCTCGCCTACGGAGGGACAGTTGATCTCTTCGTATTTGGCAGCGATAAAGATGGCCGTCGCGCCCACGAGCTGCAGCTTGCCCAGGGAGACAATCTTGCAAGAAAGGAAACGATCGATGTAGTTGACACACAAGAAAAGCGTCTCCGGAAGCAGACCAAACCGATGGTGAACCTGCACCAGCCAATCCATCAACACCGAGCGCATGGACCACTGGATCTCTGCTTGGTTGTCCATGTAATGGGCGTTTGGCAGCATTTTGAGCTGACGGCACAAGAAGAATTAGTCAATTGTATCAAGCAATGAGCGTCTTCAAAGTACATACCTCCTGCTCCCTCATGTAATCAAAGATGTCGTCATTGTAGTCGGCCACCATGCTGGTATCCCAAAGCTCTTCTTCAATGTCCTCCTGAGTTCGGCTTTCCTCCACGATCTGCTTTGCGCGAGCCAGCTCACGCTTCACCTTCTGGGTAAAGCGAGGGAAGAGCATGGCCGTGGTTGCGCCAGTCGTGTTATCCCCACGGGAACGATACGAACGGGCCGTAATGTATCCATCATCTTCCTCATTTTCGTCTTCCTCTTCATCCCAGTATTCCTCGGGCTCCGACTGGACCGGGGCGTGTTCGATACTATCGCGAGGTTTGGCGACCCGGTCTAGGGTTGTGACTGCTGCGTGGGATTCTTCGGGCTTGATGTTTTCCTTGAGGCCCTGGACCTTGCAGTCATCATCGTTGACCTTCGAGACATCGTCCTCTTCCTCGGGAAGTTCGGAGAGAGCGATAGACGGATCCAGATCATCCGAGAGTAGCTCTTCCAGTTCCTGTTTCGGGACCACTTCTTCCTCCCCGTTGTCTTGCTGAGAAGGCGCCGTCGGCACGTGTTTCGCTTCGTTTGTTTCGCTTTTGGTTTCCTTGGATGTAAGTTCTTTCTTCTCTGCTAGGGGTTCGGACGGGTCCTTGAAGACGGTTCCTCGCTTGTTGAGGGCCTTGCGGGTGTTGGCGGTCTGTTGCGCGACACCCAACTGCTTGGCCGAGGGCTCGAGGGGCTTGGGGTGGGACACATTGTTCAATAGACCCTTCAGTCCGGTCACTGACATGGGGCGCTGGGCGGGCTGGGAGAGCGCGGCCGGTTTCTTCTCCAAGACGACTGCCGACGGCTTTTCCGATACCTTGAGTTGTTTCTTGCCCGCAAGAGAGGCATCGTCTCGGCTGGCCTGCACCAGGTTCGCCGTATTGCTCACGTCCCCAAAGGCAGCTCGTCTAGGAGCGTTCTTAGTCACGCCATTCTGGAACATGGTTGACAGGGCGGGCGTGGACTTGTTTTTCTGGTGAACGGTTTTGCCGGCGGCGAGAGGAAGGGGAGCATTCTCGTCTCCACGGACGCGAATTCGCTGGGGCTGTGATTGATCATTCTCAGTCAGTATATACAAGTACCACATCTAGTCGCGACCATTGCAAGCCCCAATAAGAGGAGACGGATCTGGCGCGCGTCGATCTTCCCGACCTACAGACGGGACTCGTCTCTAGCGACAGACCCGATGCAGGACCAGGACGGGAACGATGCAGGAGGGGGAAAATAAAAAGAAAGAGAGCAAACACACCTTAGCATCCATATTGGCACCGGAGAGCAGTCGACGCCTTCAGCGGACCGTGTGTGGGGAGGATTGAGGGGGTGGATGGTCGATTGTTTACCTCTTCGCAGGAGTTCGCCGTGGCAGCAGCTAAACTTATACTAAAACGACCCCAAACAAACAACAAAAACCCGTGCCAAGAGAATTCTTGACGGACGCCGACGCAGGGATTTTCCAGGGGAATTCGATCGGAGCACGAGCGAATTGCAACCGGAAGCAAAAGAAACACGCGAACGACGGGGTTGTCGACTGGGGGCTGCGATGGGAGGAGGAAGGAAGAAGAACGAGGGAGAGCGAGTCTTCTGAATCTAGAGGGCGAGACGGCTTCCTCAGGCAGCGCTCCGTCTCACTGGTGATGGCCGCTGACTCAGCCGGTCCTTACTTGGTTACCGTCAACAACGCCCGCGCTAAGCCGCTTCCGGCCCCCTGCGGAATGCTTATGTCACGCGGTGTTTGGCCTGTTTGCATGGGCTGGCGGCCGGTGACATCATCCGTCGCGTCTCCTGCTGCTGCCCGGAGAACACTCCAGCACGAGCAACTCGATGGAAAAAGGGTGAAACTGATTGAACATTGAGCACCATAATTGTAACATACATGCGACATATTTCTGCCTCTCAAACCTCCCCTCCGACCGTCGAATGGGGCGTTGTCCCGGAGCAACCCGTGGAAGGACCTTTACGCGCCGGGAGACACGGGGCCGACACCCATTAAACGCGAGAGCACGTGACGCTCCGTGGGCGGCGTCGCAGCGTCGTTCGTGCGATTCGAGACCTCCAAGACGCCTGCCACCGGCTCATCCACTGTCATCCTGTCGCCGCGCTCCACCCCGATGGCATCTCATCCGACCGAGATTCCCCCGTCTTTCGATCATGGAGAAAATCGGGACGAGAACAGATGTCGAGGGCAGACCATCGACAAACAACAGTAATCTGGCAGTGATCGGATCAGCCATTCTGCGCAAGGACGCCGGCTGGTTTTATATCGAGAGGCGAGCAGCAGGTGGGCAATGCGCTGTGACGACGGATTGGATTGGCTTCTTTGGCATCGCCTTCTCCGCTCGCGTAAGGGCAAAAAAAAAAAAAAAAAAAGGAAAAAAAGGAAAAAGGAAAAGCCACCTAGAAAGCCCGATCCCCAATGTGGGACGCGGATCGGGCGGTACCTCAGAGATGAGGCATGATATCCACCTTTCACACAACTTGGTCAGGCCCGGACTGAAAAATTGGGCCGTCGCTGGTTCGATGTCGTCGCATGACTCTACAAACTATCCTTGCGCCGAAGCCGCGGGGACGGCGGACGGCGAGTTCGGCGACAAACGGCGACCAGGAGTGAACGAGGGCGAGGCCATTGTCGCGAGAACAGCGTCGGCCAGAATGAAGAAAGACGGCAATACGAGGGCGACCCGCACGGAAATGTAGCAATGTGGTGGTTCCTCAATCAATAGTAGGAAACAAAGGCAGTAAATATAACGACAATAAGAAACGGCGTCGCAAAGTTTCGGTGTGCGGCCTCAATCGACGTCTCCAACCAGAATGCCCCGCCCAGCTCTTCCTCCCCAGAGGATCCTTTTCCTGCCTCTCGCTTTTTTCCCTTTTCTGCCGTTCGCCTTTCGCTTCTGGTCTTTCTTTGTGCTATACCTCCGTACATATGATGTATCTCGACCCTACCGTCGGACTAACGAAAGCAGGCCGTCGGGGGGTCGCTGGTCGGGGCAAGTTGCAAACGCATCTCCCCCACCCGGCTAACGGCATCGCTGCGCCAGCTGGTTCGCCTGCCTGAGACCTTGTCGCTCCGTCGCTCTTTTTCTCTTGGGCCTCTGGGACCATGCGACGGCTTGGGTCGTCTCGGAGAATGGATGCGACACTCGCCTTCCCCTCCGTTTGTCTCGCCGGTGGCCTCTGGGGACCCGGGTCAGTCCGAGGGTCAGCGCGCAGGTCGCTGACTCGGATGCGATAGGCGCCCGGGTCAGGAAGGGAAAATAGTAGCAAAATAGAGTCGAGTAAGGCGTAGGATGATCCGCCCCAAAGGTGATCCTTACGTAGTCCGAGGGAGGGGTAAACGAACGAGTCTGGACAGGCGCAGATCATGAAACGAGGCAATTGGGCGCGGTCGCTGGCTTGGCTCGTTCTCGCCGATTGCGATTCAGGTCTCCGTTGCTACTTTGCTTCCCAGCGCTCTTTGGGGCGCCTGTTGGCAACCGGTTTGTCCGGAAGATGCGATGCATTTTCCTGTTCGTTCGACAGCTTTCCCGGACTCGAGCCATCCGCTTGCCCGTTGATCCGCCGACGCTGGTGCTTCCTCCGGGGGGGAGATCGAGACAGGCAATTCACGGCAGGCAGGAATTGCAACTGGACAGCAAGAGACCCGACAGGATCTAGCAGGGGACCCTTCTGAAGTGGCATCGTCCATCCCTCCGTTTTGGCGCTTTTCCGACGATGGCGGCCTGACGGCACGGGCATCCCATCGGATCAACGTGACCGGCGGTGGTCGCATCGTCTTCTTTTTTCTCTCCTGTCTGTTCGTGGGGTTTACGATGGCTACTCCGGCTGTAATTATTTTCTACGATGGCCGACAGAAGGCCAGAAGCAAGAATCCGCAGCGACGATGACGGAATGGATTAGTTAGCTGGCCGGGATGTGATCGGGTCATTCGACGTGGCCGCGCTGAGGATGTGCCATTTTAGTCCGCCACTTCTTGCGCTCGCAGCGAATCATCCCGGAGCGAATTGTGGAATGTGCTTGGGCTCGCGTCTTTGGCTTGGGACCCTTTTGGCAGCAGAGAAGAAGTCCGGCCTCCTCCCAGGGCTCGCAGAGACCAGCCCTGGTCTACCGGATGGTCTGGTTTCATTTGCGCCAGACATCCAATTTGGAGGCATGTCGATCGCATTGTCGGCGACAGCGCCGTCCAGCTGGGACTGCCAAAGAGCCCCCGAATTCCGTCGCAATCCCTCAACTCCCATGACTTATCAAAGAGGGTCTCCGATAGCTCTGGGGGAGGAATGCGATCCGGGTCAAATGCGACCAGGAAATGACGGCGCAAATGCGACGGAGAGCCCGGTTCGGGGATCGGCCACGAAACGGCCACCACGAATTCTGGAAGAATCAAATAATAGTTGAACATCAAGTAGAATGGCCAAATACCAGAATAATGCAAAAGTAAACGGAGCGACAGACGGGGGAAGGCACCGCGGCGAGGGCGATGGAGTCGAGGGCCGCATTGTCACCGACCCTCTTTAGGTGAAACCCAAAGCATCGATTCTCCTCTTCTTCCGCTTCTCTCCTCGACTCAACTCTTCTTCTTCCCCCCAACTCGCCTCTTCTCTCGCCCTCTTCTGCCACCTCCCTCCCTCCTCCATTCATCGACAGGCCTTCTCAGGTATGTACTGCCCTCTCTCTATCCTTCTCTGGCTCTTGTTGCATTTTTCTCGACCTCCTCGCCCCTGACTCGCTTCGATTCTGCATCGACTGTCTGTGATGCCACCGCTGACATGCCCAGGCGCTTCGTAGACAACTCCCACCGCTACACCCTCGACCACCGCCATCGCCGGTTTTCTCGTTCGCTGCTCGGGTTATCTGTATGACTGCGACTCTGGATAATTAGGTTTGATCTGTTATAGGTGTGTCTTTGATGTTCTCCCTCGTCTTCCGATCGACTCGGGTCGCTTCTCCCACTTCCTCCCCCCCCCCAAACCTGCAGGTCTCCCAACAGGCGCCTGGCGAACACTCGACATCTCCTCTCCATCCCCTCATCCTCCATGATCATCGATCCGGTCCATTGGCCTCTCGACGGATGAATTGTGCTGACCTCTGGGTGCCATTTGACCTAGTTTTTCGACGGCAGTATTTTTTACCCTTCGCTTTTCTGTCGCTCTCGGGTCTTGCGACTGGGGGTGTTCTCATCCCATCCACAACCTTTCGCCATCATCTGTTGGCTTTAGAATAATCGCGGGTGATCCATCTACCAACCAAGCCCCTCTGGTTTTCTTGTTGTGGTAGGTTTGGATAGAATTTGCCCCGTACCCTGCCGCCCTGCTCCCTCTCCCCTCTCTTTTTCTGCCTCGCTCTCTCTCTCCCCCCACCCAACGAGATTCCATCGTTCGCTCCGTTTGGCTCCGTCCCATCCATCGAACACTCGATTGATACCTTCGTCGATGTAGCAGCAGTGTGGCAGTTGGTCTGCCCTGCTCCCCTCCATGATGCAGGCTATGCAGTATGACGGACACGCCGTCCCGGGACAGTCACCCACCTACCCGAGTCACCATTCGCCTCACGAATCCCCCCATAGAACCCCCGTCCCCAAGAACGTCGCCTTCGAGCTGCTCCTCGATGAGAACTCCAAGGTGCGGGCTCGGATTCCCATGCGGGTGCAGATCTATCCGCATGATACCACGGATTCGATCGTGACGACGGTGAAGAACTTCTACGGGATCTACGATGGCGCTGCCAGCGGCGTCAGCTTCGAGGACGAGCATGGCACCACCCTCATTGCTAGGTATGAGAATCTGAGGAATAACATGACCGTGTATGTGCGGGTGATCCCCGTTCAGGCCTACACGGACGACTATGCTGAGCGGTTCTATGGGCATCTGCCCGTGGAGGCTCGCAAGCGTCCAAGTCTTGGCGAGCCCTTCCAGATGCCGCCGTCCATGCAAGCGGCGTCGGTGATGGACCCAAGCCAACCGCCTTCCCGCCCCGGTTCTCGAGTTGCTCGGAAGCGCAGTATGTCGCCGTCCGCGAGAAGCCGCCGGAGCGCTTCCCAGCACAAGCAGTCGTCGAAGCCTGGCAATAAGAGCCGGGGCTCGAGCACCCACGGGAGCTTCCATGACGAGGGAACTCCCGGATACAGTGACAGCGAGGGTGGCTACGGCTCCGTCTCGGGGGCCAAGAAGTCTCGAAGTGAGCAGCTGGGCAGCTCGGATATCAGCATGGAAAATATACTCCAGGATGGCCGTCGCAAACGGCCCAAGTTTGATAGCTCGGTTCGTCTTGACTACTTGTCTCGCGTGGGGCGATCTCACACGCTGGATAAGAAAGACGTGCTAACGCTGGGATGCTTCCCGTCTTGTGTTTTAGGAATTGCCGTTGTTTGTTCCTCCTCAGGTTCCCCTCACTACCTCTACCTCCTCGATCTCCCCTCAGCGCCGGTCTGTCGGACAGGAAGGAGTTGTCTCCCCGTTCGCTCGCCCCGCCCAACGACCCTACAATTACCAACAGCCCCTGCCGTCGCCGCAGAGCTACGGCCACAGCGAACAAGTATATGCGTATAGCGCCCCGCGCAATTCCGTATATGCCACGCCGGCCGTCCCGGACCACGGGCATCGCCTGCGTGATCGGACGGCGACCCAGTCGTCGGGCCAGCTGAGCAATCCGGCGGGTCGAACCAGCGGGCCGGGCGTCTTGCCGACCCCCGACCCGACCATCGCCAGCTGTATCTCCGACGAGGACGTTGCCATGCAGCTGATCCGCCTCGGCGATGCGTCCAACTTCTCGCATGGTCGCACCTCTGCCTCCACGCTGGACGATGCCTTCAGCGGCGCGGCGGATGCAGCCTCCTCCACGGGCGCGACGAGTGAAGGCGAGGATTTCAGCGAGGAAGATGACGATGACCTTCCTGCGCGCAGCCGGCAGAGACTGGAATCGAGCCCGATGCTCCCACCGGGTGCGACCAAACACACGCACAAGCGGTTGGATGACATTCTCCCCAGCTTTGACAGCTCCGATGGCAGCTACGACGGGATGGACGACGACTACGGACAGGAGGACCCCGAAGACGGCATGGTCAAACACGAGGCGGATGACGATACCTTGTACAAAGAATCGGCGCCCAAGCCGAAGAAGCTCAAGACGCGCCCGAATGGCACCGCTTCGGGCAAGCCTCGCTCATCCAAGTCTGCCCCCGTGCGCCAACACAAAGGCAGCAGCAAGACTTCCTCCGTGGCCGTGCCTCGGAAAATCAAGTCGACCTCCAATGGAACTGCTCACCCGAAGGTTGCCATGTCCCCACAGATGGTGAGCCCGGCTCCGACGAGGAAGGCCTCTACTTCTTCCGTCAACTTCCAGCCTCCGCTGGCAGCCGACGAGGAAGACCTCTCGACCAAGCCACGTTGTCAGCGATGCCGCAAGAGCAAGAAGGGTTGCGATCGGCAACGCCCTTGCGGACGATGCAAGGATGCTGGCATTGGCCTGGAGGGTTGCATCAGCGAAGACGAAGGGAATGGTCGCAAAGGCCGCTACGGACGCCATATGGGGGTTCCGGTCAAGAAAAACCTTGATTCGCCTACCGAGAGCACCGAGTCCCTGCCGATGGTAGCCACGGGTCCGCTATTCTCCGCGAACAGCGAGAAGAACAAGAAGCGCAAGCGCTAGGACTTCGTCCGAGAAATTGGTACGCCCCGTGGGACTGGCTGGTCGCCCATGATTGACTCCTCGTCCTCTCTCTCTCTTTCTCTCGCTTGCCACTTTCCTGCACCTGTCTTGTCTCAAATCAAGGCCACGACGACGGAAATATCTTGGATTTGCCAGCGCTTTCCCACCGGGGCATTCATACACACCGCTTGATCTTGGAAAAAAAACAAAAGCCTGCTTCAAGCACCATCTCCTCATCCGTCGCATTTCCTGCTTCCTCTATTTTCTCCCGTTTCTGTCCAATTCCTATTGCGTACATTTGGTTGTCTCCTTCTTGAAACTACAGTTGTCTATCTACCGTCCATACTTCACCTTGTTGCCTTCCAGACGTACAGTGTTTGGGTCCGGATCCCGAGTTGATCTCTTCCCTCCACCTGAGCCTCCCAATGCTCCTCACATTCCTTGCTTGCGATCACAGTGTTCGTCATGCTACACTCTGCACCCTACCTTGTTTATCATGGATAGTCTAGCGATTGAACTGAGCGGGTTGAACATCTTTATCGAGTCTTTTTATCACTTTTTGGGGGCGTTTGTGCTGCTGCTACTTAACGGATCACTGTTCCAGTGTCACATACATTCATTTATTAGCCTATGTTTGAAGAGTGTGAATTTATCGTTTTGCCCTATTACTTCGGCCGACTGAAGTTGAGTCTGTCCTGGATTGCGGCCGTCGCGCTCTGGCGGCGCTCGTAGACGTTGGATGCCTCATTTCAGCCTTACATCACTCGCCCGTAAGCGGACTAGCGTGGTCCCGACGTGCCCCGCAGCGGATAAGCGCGCGCTTCTTTTTTTCCGCCAAATTCCAGTCTTTTTTTTGTTCCATCGGCCAAATTCCCCTCTATACGCTCTCTTTTTTTTTTTAATCGCCCTTTTTCAATTCTACCTCCACGACTGATATTCCTCTATTATTCCTGTCAAAGATCTCCCTCTCTTTGCCGACCTGATCATCCTACATCTTGTCCTCTCGAAAGAGAGACAGAGAGAGTTTCAGAGTCATCCGTCCGCTCAACGACCCGTTCATGATCTGAAAAGTTATACTTGTGCCATATACACATACACACGCATTCGCCGTGCCCCTCTATCCGTCCTGATCCTATTCTTACCCTCGTGAATCACCCCGAGTGAACCCCATACATAAACGACGACCCCACAATGCCGCCCAAAGCCGCAGCCCGCCGAGGTCGAGGGGCAGCAGCCACCGCCGCCAGCCGACGAACCGAAGGCACCGAAGGCGCATCTGCCAGTCCCGCGCCTGCAGCAGCCGGCGAGACAGAGACGCGATCGAGCGCGACTCCGAGCGCCGCGCGAGCCCCCGTGCAACGGCTGCAATCGCTGAAAAAGCGCACGCCCGCAGGCAGCATCGCGCCCGCCGCGAAACCGCCTGCCGGTCCGGACGGGGAGCCGGCCAAGCCGACGCTGAAGTACAAGCCGCGGGCGGTCGGCCGACGAAGCAAAGAGGAGCGAGAGGCCATCGAGAAGCTGGAGGCGGAGAGACATCGGGAGCGATTGGCCGAGGCGGCGGCGATTCAGCGCGGTCGTGGCCATGACGGATCGCGGGGTCGCGGAGGCGCCGCGCGCGGACGAGGAGGCGCCATGGGCTCGGCTGGACCTCTTGGGGCGGGAATGGGGATGGGCGGTGCGCGCCGCGGACGAGGTGGGTTTGGACGGTTTGGGAATCAGGATTCGAGGCATTCGTCGATGTCGCGGCGCAGCCGATCTGTTATGGATCTGGGCAGTGGCCACGTGAGTCGGGACGTGTCGTCGGATGAGAGTGACAACGAAGTGAGGTTCAGTATCGACCAGATCAATCTGGACAGTGACGAGGATGAACCCGCTCAGGTGGAGGATAAGAAGGGCAAGATGGCAGTGAAAAACGCCGACCGGCATGGCGGCGAGAAGGGCTTGCGGCCCATTCGAGTGGAGCGACACGAGCACGAGGAGCGTGTGGTCAGCGTGAACATGGAATCCAGCTCGAGCAAATCAGCCGAGTTGAGGCAGCAGGCGCAGGCGCAGGCCACCGAGGACGACGCTCTGTTCGTGCAAGATGACGACCAAGCGACTACGCAAGAACCGAAGGAGGGTGAGGCGCGCGTGAAACAAGAGCCTACGGATGACGACCAAGTCATGGAAGATGTTGCGGCTCACGACGACACTATTATCACCGACGACGGGCTGCTACCGGTCCAGAAGGTGAAGGTTCGCCGGAATCTGGGCTCTAGAGAGACCTCCACCGCCGTCGAATCGCCTCCGGCCAAGGACCCTAAGAGTTTACTACGCACCAAGGAGGACATCGAGGAGTTTGACCGCCACGCGCACGATCTTGATATGATGAAGGATCTCCTGTCGAGGGAGGAGAAGGAAGAGAAGGACACTGCGACGGAGAAAGACCCCGACACGGAGCAATCCGAGAAACCGGCGGACGGAGAACCCGACACCGCGGCGGACGACAAGGAGAAGGACGCAGAAGACAAGGACAAGGACGAAGACGAGACTGCCAAAGACAAGCTGGCGGGACAACTGTTCCTCATGCAGTTTCCACCCATGACTCCCAACCTGGTTGTTCCCGGCGAGGGTGGTGATAATGCCGAGGGCGCGGCCGATAACGCCGGACAACCCGGCGCCGAGGGGACGACTACGAACGGTGGGGGTCGACCTCAAGAGCCAGCCGTCAAGAACGAAGACGGCGTGGAAGTGCTAGATGAAGCCGACGAGACGACAGCGAGAGAGCCGTCCAAGATCGTCACGGCGTCGGACTGGCAGCTGCCGGCCGGGCGCGTGGGGAAGTTGAATGTGCATGCGTCCGGACGGGTGTCGATGAATTGGGGAGGGATCAACTTCGAACTGGATCGCGCGACGGCGGTGGACTTTCTGCAGGAGGCTCTGATCGTCTCGACGCCGCCCGATGCCGAGGAGGTTGACGCCGAGGACGACAAGCGAGTATGGGCGATGGGGCAACTGAGCGGCAAGTTCACGGTGACGCCCGACTGGTCGAAGATGCTGTGATTACTGTACCAAGTAGCCAAAATAATGACAGGCTGGGATGTGGGATGATCTGCACCGCATAGAGATTGATCATTCGACGGTTGCTTCCTATAATTAGCGTGGCTGTTCCGAGTTGCGACGGCTTGCGAGTACATCATAAGGCTGCCTGCGTCGGAGCCTGCACCCACGCGGGACTTGTCCGAGATCCTGGCATCATCATTCACAACGAGTCCACGAGTCTGCAGTCAACCAGTCGACGACCAAGACTTTATGACGTCCGCCATCGCGAGTTCTTGACTGTTAGTGTCGCGGCACACCGCGCGATGACGGAATCGGCGTAATCAAACCTGGAAATTACTGCCTGGCCTCTTTCGTCCACACCCTCGCGGCGCTGCGCTCTGACTGGCCGGTCTGCTCCCAGCCCAGCCCCCGATTGGGAAACGCCCCAGGCCGATTGTTCCAGGGGGGTCCCCTGCTCCACTGCCTGGGATTGGCCCTGAATCCCGGACAAGCTTCTGCTGGTGGCACGAGACACGGATCGTCTCGCACTAGTGTCAGCCCAAGCTGACACGGCTGGCAGCGGGCCAATCACCAGCCCGCCTAGTTGGCGCCGAGCGGACCCGCAGTGGGCCCGACCCAAAGACTAACTGCAATTAAATTTCCACTAATTTCCAGGGCCAACGGGGGCCTGTCAGCGTCTGGCCGTTTTTCCCTCCCTTTTGCTTGCGACGGTGAAACCAACCGTCTTTCTTGTTTTTTACCCTTTTTCCCTTTTTCTCTTCCTCGTGCTGGTCGACTTGCGTTGATTTCTTTTTCTTTTTCTGTTTCTTATTTCTGTTGCCGGGGCTCTTCTGCTCGTCCTTCTCCTCTTCCCCCACTGCATTCGCGATCCGGTCCTCGTCGCAAATTCCTTCACGGCTCCTCGGTCACTCGTTTGGTGTTGGAACTTGGAAATCTCTCGCTTGGAAATACAACCAACTGCCGCGACTCGCGATCTCGTATCTCTGAATCACCCCGATTAGATAGATAGTCGCCGGTGATCGCTCCATCGCCCCCAAAGGAAGCTGTCCGCTGAAGTGGTTGGTGGAGCTATTCGCTGCGACCGTCTTTTCCTCCTCCCACTTGTCTCTGCTCCGACTCCATAACAGCATGAAGACCTCGCATCTCCTATTATCGCTCGTCCCGACGACGCTGGGCCTCGCCGTCGAGACCGAACAAATACCACCCGCCGTCGCTCCTAGTCCATCGGTGCCAAACACCACCCCGCCCGCTCCGTTGCCAGAAGTCCAAGTTCCCTCGCCTCGAGAACATGGATTCGCCGTGCCGTTCCAAGCTCGCCAGATGCAGCCGGCTGCCGTACAACCGGCCGACGTGACGGTCACCGTTGCCGCGGAGGACCCTCTTCCAACGACAGTTCCCGATCAATGGCTGGAGCCTTCGCGGGGGAATATCGGGCTGAGAGCGTTGGCTGCCCCGCCGGGCGTGACAAAGTCGCTACGAGCACGGAGTGAAGGAACCCTTGGCCAAACGCCATGGATTGGCATGGCCATTGGATTGACCTGTACGGCACTTGCTGCCGTGATGCTGGGGTGATCGCGGCCGAGAAGGACCTTTCATCTCGCTGGAACCGTTTTTTTTTTTTTTATTCTCATTGCATTCGTGTCCGTGATTCGACACTTCCCCATTGCATACGTCGCATACGTCTATACTTGCGGTCTGGCCCATCTTGGCGTGGGATTTGCATTCGGAGTTTTCTCTTCTTTCATCTTTTCATCTTTTCTTCATTTTCATGACTGACTTGGCAATCGTGACTTGCGGTTGTTAGGTCTCTGCTACGAGCGTATTTTGCAACCATTGCGAGCATTTGATCGGAGGCCCTGATCCATCTGGGGTAGGTTCAGGGGTCTCCTGCTTTGATACACCTTTCCCCCTTTATTTTCTTCTTTTCTTCAGAATCAGCACAGCCTGGTTCTCATACCCAACCTGACTGATGTATAGACACAGGGTTGGTGACGTTTGGTGTACGTGTATATGATACCTCTTTATTTGTTTTCTTTTCCTCGTCCTGTCAGAGACACAGACTCTGGCTCAGGTCTATATACTGTTACTATTACTGTGGCTATTGTCTTCACTACTGTATCTACTGTCTAGGTACTGAGATTTATGCATGATGATCTGAATATCTTTTCCTGTCCTTTCTTTGATCCTTCGACCATTTCCATTCGCCGCCAATCATCGCGCGCCGAGACTCTCTTTGTACGCAGTCGCTCCCTTTGCGGTTTAGCCTGCAGGAAATTCCCCGGATTTGAAGAAATACGAGTCCAGCCGAGTCGTTTCGCGGTTCGGCTCTTTTTTTATCCTCTTTTCATCTCCCTATACTGCCCTCTTGGTCTCTATCCTCCATCTCGTCTCATCTCTCACCACTCGAAGACCTCCCTCTACCAGCCACCTCTACCCTACCTCCACCCTCATCGTCAATATCAAACCTCAACATCACTATCACCATCCCCAACAGCCATCCCAAACAATCCAAACTAAACCAAACCAACCCAAGTCCAAAACAAACCCCTCGAACCCCTCCCCTCACAAAGAAAGAAACAAACCCACCCAAGGAACCAACATGGTCTTCAAACGCGAAATCGCATCCACCAACCTGCCCGACAACATCCCCCCGTACACGCCCATGTCGTCGCTCGGCCACGAACTCGGCATTTTGTTCGGGTTCCTGGTCGCTTGCTTTGTCGTGATGGCGGTGTATATTGTTCTCTGGCGGGGTATGTACTGTCTGTACCTGTTGACTCTGTTGCTTCCCCTTCCCTGCTTGCTTGCTATCGTCCGATCTATCTACCTTTGCTCTGTCCTGAAGAGTACTGGATATGATATGGCTCTTCGACTTCTTTGCGACCCGTTCCATACACCAGAGAAGTCAGCACTAACCTCCCGGATAGTAATCGAGCGCCGCGAAGAACAGCGCGAAAAGATCCGCCGGGAGGAACTAACGGCTAAAGGGATCCATCACGGGCGAGGCGGCGTGCACGAGAAGATGATGGATCGGGAGCGCATCGCGCCGTTCGAGAGGGCCGAGTTGCCGGGGTACTTTGGCGGCGTGGCCGTGGCGCCGGGTGTGATGACGGGGGCCGGAGGGAGCAGTAGTCGGGGTCCTGCGAGTGCGAGCTTGAGGTGGGAGAGGGAGATGGAGATGGAGAATTTGAGGAAGGGGTCTCGATGAGAGGGGTTTGTTTTCTGTCTTGGTTTATGGAGTTAAGGGGGCTTAGTTATCTTCTTCTTATGATTATGACTATGAGCATATGCTATGTGAATGGCTGGATGAAGGCAAATGACATTGTATGAACGTTTTCTGATCGTTACTTCTATGCTTATACCTATCCATACTAGGGTATATATCATCTATATATGTGGTCGGTTTTCATTCTTGCTTCACTTCCCCATCGCAACAAACAGTCGGTCTCCGATATCTCCCAGTCCCGGGACAATCATGCCGCGCTCATTGCACTGCTCATCCACGGCACCCACCCACAATTCCACGCCCTCCGGCCAGGCCTGAATGGCACGGTTCACTCCGGGCTCCGATCCCAGAACGCCCAGCATCACTACCTTCTTAACGCCCCATTCGCGCAGCAGATGGATGGCCGCTTCGGCGGTGGCCCCGGTGGCGATGACCGGGTCCAGGAGAATGGCGATGTCGGCGGCGGCCGTGTTGGTGTCTGACGTCTGGCGGTGGAACGGCAGGTTGTTGTAGTACTCGACGGGTTGGAGGGAGAAACTCTCTCGGAAAAGACCTAGATGATAGATGGGGACAGAGGAAGGGAGGAGGTTGTTGATGGCTGGGATGCGGGGAAGAGGGGTGGAGAAGTCAGTCAACGATGGATTGATTAATAGATAGATTGAGTAATTGAACGGAAAGCAAGTGAGAGCTGCAGGCAGAAGATAGACAGTGCAAACACACCCTCAGTCATGCCCAACCCTGACCGCAGAATGGGCACCAGTGCCACGTTGGCGGGGTCGATATCTTGGGTTTCATATTCGAAGCCTAACGGGGTTTGATCCTAGAAAATCCCGGGGAAAGGAAATGATTCAGTTGGCTGAAGCTGGATCCAGGCATGGTGATGGGGTCGGTACCGTTCCACGACGGGTGGTTTTCAGGCTCGCTGCAAAGGCCTCGACGCCCAGGATGGTAGCAATCTCGTGGACGAGGTCGCGGGTCTCGCGGGTGGAGGCGGATTTGGAGCGCAGCTGCGAGAGCTTGGCCTGGAGACAGGGGTGGGAGGAGACGTGGACGTTGGCAGGAAGCGGCATGGTTTGATGGTGATTGAAGGCAGGTTGATCAAATTGAGAGGAAGGGAGAGAGGTAGAGGTAGAGAGAGACGAGGAAGGAGGAGAAGCGACGAAGACGAGGGGAAACAAAAGAAAAGAGGGGAGGTCACCTGCCGGCTTAGTACTCCTGCCCGACGACTGCTCACATTCCTTTTCTTCATTTCTCCTCTCTCCTTCCTCTCTGTCAATCGGTCTGCAGTCTGCATCGTCCATCCAATGCTCCCTTCCGTATACATCGCTGAGTCTCAGCCCAGCCCACTCCAATCTCCATGGATCGATCTCCACCGACCCACTTGCCATCCACTAGTAACACCGACTGCTAGACTGCTAAGTGCGAAACCTCCGTCATCGCCCTTTTTTCTTTTTCTTTTTTCTCATTTTTTATGGCGTCCTCACCTGTTTGCTCCCCGAAACTGCTGATGCGCCATGTCCAATGCCAACGCCGTCCTTGACACCGGCGCACCACCTCCCATCCAGGATGCTGCGCAGCGTCAGGTCGACTCTCTTCCTCCCACCAACGACAAGCCTTCCGGCGCCCAGCCCCCGGCCAAACATGCCACGCAACTCTACACCCTCTCCTACCTCGTTTTCTTCGCTATCTTCGGCACCTTGGCACGTCTTGGCCTGCAGGCCCTCACCGTCTATCCCGGCGCCCCCGTCGTAACCGGTGTTCTCTGGGCCAACGTGGGTGGGTCTTTACTGATGGGCTTCTTCTTGGAAGACAAGAACCTCTTTCGTGAAGAATGGGGCACCGACGACATCTCCGCCAACCACCCTGGTGACGCGACTGAGCAGGCCAAACGGCACAAATCCGTCAAAAAGACCATCCCCCTGTACATCGGCCTCACCACCGGATTCTGCGGGAGCTTCACCTCCTTCTCCTCATTCATCCGCGACATCTTCCTTGCGCTCTCCAACGACCTCGCCGACCCGTCCGCTCCCTCCATCGCCTCGCGCAATGGCGGGTACAGCTTCATGGCCCTTGTCGCCGTCATCCTGGTGACCGTCGCCCTCAGTCTAGGCGCGCTCGTGTGCGGCGCGCATCTGGCCCTGGCCCTGGACCCCGTCGTCCCTGCGTTCCCTTTCCGCCTCACCCGCCGACTGTTGGATCCCCTGTTCGTCTGCCTCGGCTGGGGATGTTGGTTGGGCGCCGTCTTCATGGCCATCTGGCCCCCGGATCGCCACGCTGCCTCGCCGGAAACCTGGCGCGGACAGGCCATTTTCGCCGTCGTCTTTGCGCCCCTAGGCTGTCTGGTACGCTACTACGTCTCCTTGCTGTTGAACACCCGTATCCCCACCTTTCCCCTCGGCACCTTTGCCGTCAACATCGGCGGCACCATCATTCTGGCCATGTGCTTTAACTTGCAGCGCGTCGACGGCCTAGGCACCGCGCTCTCGTCCAGCGCCGCCTCCTCGTCCATCCTCACGAGCTGTCAGGTGCTGCAGGGCGTCATGGATGGGTTCTGTGGCTCCGCCACCACGATCAGCACCTGGGTGGCGGAACTGAATGGACTGAGTCGTCGCCGCCACGCCTATGTGTACGGGATCAGTAGCATTGGCGTCGCCCTCGGGTTCTTCGTCATCATTGTAGGGTCTTTGCGATGGACTTTGGGCTTTGTAGAGCCTGTATGTGCGTCATGACCAATTCCTTTGACCGGGCCAAGACCATATGGACAAGATTCTATACAATATAATATACTTAATATACCTAATGTTGGCTGTAAGAATGATAATAGAAATGCAAGACTACACTACACTACACGAACAAAACAGCTAAATTATCCCCGCCAAACCAACTTGTATTTTGTGCTAGAATTACTTATAGTACAGGGTACTACAACGCAAACCATGTGCAATCAGTAAAAGAAAAGAGCAGATAAACATTATCAACGCAGAAAAGGTTTCAACAGAAAGAGATAAAAATTAATAAACCAAAACATCGAAACATGCATGCAGGCAAAAACAAATGCAACGAATCACGGTGGAGAGGAGTAAAAGAGATCAAAAAGACAACAGACATCAAACAATAAACACAGCGGGGACGGCATAAACACATAAACTCAGAACGGTTCTAAATCACATACATTAAAAGCAGAAGTCAAAAGAGAAAAATGATAATCAAAAGTGGAGTAGAAAAGAGAGACTTGAAGAGAAGACTTAAAAACGGTAGAAATGAATATATAAACGGCAAGGTATCAAAATGGTCCGGGGACAAAATCGACAGGCAAATTGACCAAACACGCTGGATGCGTCGAAGTAGGGGCACTAAGAATTAATAGTGTAGAAATGGATATAGAGAAAAGCAACAACTCCACCGAGTGCTAAAGTGAAGAACACACAGGACCAGCCGGGTGTCGAGATGTTGCCTTGAAGGGGGAACAACCCATAAAAACAAGAAAAGTGACCACACCGGACTCCTGTGAGCTCTTGCAAGATAAAAGACGAGAAGAATCAGGAGAACGCAAAGAAAGAGAAGAAGAGAAAACGTCGCAAAGAAGAAAAGCAGTCAGGCAACACCGGCACGAAGCATTATGCAGCGGTTCAGATCATGAGGTTTTCCCAGATGGGAAAAAGAAAACACTTTGCCGCCCATGCTCGCTCCTTTGCTCCCAACCACAACCCCGAAAATTCACCAATGTCCCAGGAGGAGAGCTATTGAAGCTCGGATAGCGAGTGATAATCAATGTGATAAAAGTGGACCAAAGACATTGGTGCCGGAGCACCAATGACTAGAGGCCAAAAGAAGTGAAGTGTTTCGGAACAGGCAATTTCAGAAAGCCTAGTAAGCTGTTCCAACGCTAGCAAGCGTCTTGGTTGGCATCGGGTGGATAGGTTGATCCTTGCCAACGCGCAACGAATCTTCGTAGCCAACAAGGGCCTGGGAATGGAGTTTGAACGACTCGCCCATCAGCTTGGTGATTCTGTAAAGACCAGTTAGTAAGATGATCATGAGGATTTCAGTCAGACGGGAATTATGAAAACTTACCCCCATACTACCACGCCGTCTAGGATGTTACCCCATACACGGGCGACGGTGGAGCTGAGTTTACCAAAAGCATCAACGGCGTCGTCATCAAACAAATTCCGGACCTTGTTGTAGATGGCCACCTCCGCCTCAGTAGCGGGCTCTTCGTCATGTTCCAGGCGATAGAGCCAGAGGCTGAGAATGACCATCAAATCAAGGCCACAGAGCGGATGCTCCACACTCCAATTCGTAGCGGACGTTTTGGCAACCCAGTTAATTCCCTGAATGGCGGCGATTTCGATGCATTCAAAGCAGGACTGAATGACCTTGTTCATTTCTTGGGACCGCTTGACCTTCTCCCGAGCAACAGTCATGGCAGCCGCAACCTCGTAGGGCGAGTGGTAGCGCAAAGCCTCTTGTATCGACTTCAGGTCAACCTCCAAGCGAGCGCGCGTGTTGCGATAGACAGCCATCGAGTTGAAAATCAAGGGGTGGCCGTTCTGAGGAGTGCTGAGGGGCACGACAATGGTCTCGGGCTCACACACTTCGAGCGAGCTTTCCCACGTCTCCAACGCCAGTCGAAGCTTGTATTCGGTGACCACATCCTGCAGGGCCTCAAAGCTTCTCTTGTGGTTCCAGACCTGCAAGAACAGGGCATTGATCAAGACACGGGTAGCAAAGGCGCTGTAGCGAGTCTGCTCGCCTTGGAAGAGGCAATCGTGCGCTTCGCGGACCGTCAACGAGGTCGAGGAAGCCAGGCTGCGGCGCCAGCCTTCCTCATCTGCGACATCGAGATTCCACAACGATTCAGAGGATGGAAGCTCGAGGTTGTCAAATTCATCGAAGCTCATAGCCGGGGTGTGGTTGAAGGTCAACGTGAGCATGCCGAAGAAAATGTAGACGGCGTAGTACGTGCGACGGCAAGATTCGTCCTCGATCCACTCTTCTCTGGTAGGCTGAGCTCCCTCGCGAGCTTCGGTGCGGAGCTTGAGCTGATAGCGGTTTCCGGCAACCATGTTAGCGAGCAGACTCTTGATCGAACAAGTCCATTCGAGACCCTTGGGATCACCACTCCAACTTTCGAAGATCATGTTCAGAAGCGAGCTCTGCATGGCCCACAACGGACACTTCCTCGAATCAAAGTTGTCCTTGTGCTGAAGGAATTGCGTAACGAGCACCTTCGACCCGACGTGGAGCATGAATGCATGCTGGCGCTCAAACGTGTACAGGGCACCGATGGAGAGGACTGCGAGCAACAGGGGGGGCGAAGTTGCAGTAGGCTTGAAGGACTCTTGGTGCAAGAAGGGCAGATGATGGTGGTAAAGGTTGAAATACGTCGAGAGATACTTGTTCAGGGCCGCCGTCGATGGAAGTTGGAAGTGATCGGGTAGCGAGCCGAGAGCATCCGCGTTGCGAATGCGTTCCAAGATCATGTTGCGCTCGACTTCATTTGCGACTTGGGGGGATTTGGGCAGCGTGAGGGCCTGGCTAGGGCCGGGGGATTTTCTGTAGTTCACGGGGCTGACGGGACCAGTCATGGAGGGGTACGGGGATAACGCGTTGGGTGTCGAGTTTCCGGACACGGGCAGCGAGTTGACAAGGGAGTTCAGCGACGGGGCAAGCGCTTCACCCACGGCACCATGTCGTTCCATGACCGAGGAGAGCTGATGCGAGTCCGAGCCACTTTCTTGGGACGCGAAATGTTTCGTGTCAGCAGGGGAGACCAAAGTGTCCCACGGCATTTGGGGAAGAGTTGCGTTGCCTGAAAGGTACGAAACGGAGGGTTCTAGCAGGGAACCGCGTCCGGGAGAAAAGGAGCGATCCGATTCAGCGCGATCGTTGGTCTGACCGGTAGCAGCGGCTGCGGCCTTATGTTGGAAATCTGTCATCAACATGGCTGCAGTTTCAAGGTCGACCATACCATCACTGCTTGCTTCAATCTGTTCTAACGTGGCAGGATCGATTGTGATCGAGGGTTTCGACGGGGCAGGTGCAGGGGAGGACTTCTGAACACCACCACCGCGACGACGTCCCTCGGAAACAAGCGGTATCCCACCATCTTTTGCATGAACAGTACGGTCATGTCGAAGGAGAAGGTCTCGACGAACAAATGTACTGCGGCATTTCAAGCACTTAAACGGTCTCTCCTTCGTATCTGCGACGGCACTCGAGTCAGCGTGGTTCTCTCATAATGGCGATTTGCGTTGAAAAGAGAAATAACAGACAATGCCAGCAGAATACAAAATCGCGAAAAAAAGACTGGCCCAAAACGAAAAACAAGAAAGACAAAAGGGGCGGGGAGGCAAGACGAGGGGCGTTGGGGTTCACCTACGCGAACGTTCATGTCGGCTGCGATGTTCACTTCTGCTAAAGGCGCGATTGCAAAATTGGCACTTGTACTTCTTCTCTGGTACTGATGTCTTTTTGGCCGGCGAGTTGCTGGCCGTGTTCGGTGCGCTTGGAGCCATATCTTAGAGAGCGGGAGAGCGAAAGCAAAAACGACCGATTCCTTCTCAGCACAACAACGGCGAGGATTGCGGTATCGTCCCTTTCGTGAGTTCACACCGGTTCTGAAGACGAGTCGACGACAGTAGTTCGGTTGGATGTCTGATCATTCCTTGGGCGGGGGAAAGTTGGAGGAAAAGGGTGGTTCCAGAAGGGAGGGGGGATCCAGCCACAGGCGGATTTCAAGAGGGGAGAAAACGAGAAGCGAAGTGGCTGATAAACCACCGGGAAATACTAAAGAATTAAGAGAAAACACCCAAACCAGATGAACGACGTGGGAGGGTATGATGTTGAATGATAAGGGAAGGGCGAGGGAGAGAGGGAGAGGGGGGAGGGAAGAGAAGAAAAGAAGAGGGGGATGTTGAATGGATGAGGAGAAAAAGAAAGTCGCGAAAGAAGAGGAAGTGGTCGAAGGGGGAGCGAGGGGGGGAAAGCAAAAGCGCAGCGGGTGCGACGAAAGGCGGCCGGTCGTGGGCAGAAGCCGATCGCGACAGTGAGGCGGTCGTGTCCAGCGGCGGTGTTGGCGATTTGGGCGGCGAGAAGCGCAGCAGCCGGCAAGTTGCAAGTGGTGGTGAAAGAAAGAGGGGCTGTCGAGGCGGGACTGACGGAGGGGAATCCAAACGACCTGACCAGCGCACCCGCCGCGCCCACGCACTGGAGCTCCTACTGCCACGCCCGGTCCCCCGCGCGGCCAATGATACGCCGTCTCCGCCTTTCTGACTAACGCCCGTCCGGCGCTAAACGCCTCCCGGTTAGTCCACGTAACTCCGTACGACTAATACGCCGCCGTAACTGTATGTATAAACAAACCCGGCCCAGCCCACCGCCAGCCCACATGGACTTGTCGCTTCTTTAGTTCCTCTTTTTTATTTTCTTTTCTTCTATTTTTTTGCTTTTCTTTTCTCGCTTTTATTTTTCCTTTCGAACCCGTCAACCCGGGTCAACCGGGGAGGGTCTGGTCTAGAAAGACATTCGTTCAGAAATTGCTGGTTTTGGTCGTTGGCGAGTCTGATAGGCCTGGTCTCTTTTTTTTTGTTTTTCTTTTTCCTTTTTCTTTTTCTGGTTTCTTAATGCCCTTTGCTATAGCACATGTTTCTAATATCCACCCTGGGTATTTTTATTTTTTACCCACAGCACACACAGCTTTTCTATCGAGTATCGAGTCGACGAGTCCCAGAAAAAATTGAAAATAAAAATATCCAACGGCCAATTGGCCTTCCCTCTGCTCTATCCATGATTTCAGAACCCTCTCTGCACATAATACCGAGCGACTTGCATGAACATTGGGCAGCACCGTCATCTGTCCTGGACCTGGAATTATTCGATATACGCTGTACCCATTGCCAACCATTAACCCATCAACCCATTACTCCGTAAAATGAATATTACTGCTGCCTCCGAAAGTTCAAACAATGAAAATCCCTTCCTTACGGCATTTAGGGTCCTTGAAAAGCATGGCTAGGGTCCGACTCCGATGAATCCACCGCGACTTTTCCACCTATACTCCGTAGATACTAGTTCCTCCATCCCTGTTTAGTGACGGGCCCCCCTCGCTCGGTTTCTACAGGAGCGACGGGTTAGTCGGCTGAGCAGGACGATGCTACGGAGTACGTAGATTGGGATTACGATTCCCATGATTGATATTGATGTTTCATTGTGGGGGGCTCGGCATGAGGGCGACTTCTTGCGGTATGGTATGTAACTCTGTTTGGATCGAGGACGGGCATAAATCCACTCGGTATAACTAGCCATACAAGAGCATCTCACATACTCCGGTAGTGTAGTTATGCCATCCAACATCCGTGGACAAAGAAACGGTCACCGATCCGAGGTACTTTGGGCAGACTACGGAGGAAATTACCATCACTTTGCTATCACATCCCTATCGTCCATCCCTATCTGACAGCGCAGAACCATAATCTTGGGACGCCGCAGGTGGCTGCGGGGCCCTCGAAAGAAGATCAGATCATGTTCTGTCCTGTCTTTCCTCTGCGATCTAATGGACCGGTAGGCTACATGCAACGACGCGGACTTGATAGGGCAATGGAACTCATAATTCCATGCTCCGTGGACAGACGGAGGGGAAGAGGAAGATTGGGGATAGGCTGCTGCCAGACTTTGGCTGAGAGTCAATCAATCACACGCACTCGCAGTTTAGCCCCTCCAGACAGTCCGAACCTTTTTTTTTTTTTTTTTTCTTTTTTTTTTGGGTAAGAATAATTGTTTTTTTTCGCCCCTCGTCAGCCCCCCCTTGCCCCTCCAACAAGGATGCGGCAGCATCAAATGCCACGGAAAAGCTGGCTGGACGAGGTGATTTGTGAAGTCGGGTCCTTTCATTTCCACGGATTCCTCCCCTCAGGTACTCCGTACATTCTCATTCCATGCAATCATTCTTGATCGCGACTATCATTTTTTTTTATCGATCATTCTTTCCCTGTCATTTTTGGGGGGCGGTGATGATGTTCCTGGTCGGTGGTCTTTTTTTTTCTTTTCTTTTTTTGATTTCTTTTTTTTTTTTTCCAGATTTTGGTGGATTTGGGTTTATTTTATTTTATTTTGAATTATTTTCTGATCTCCCTTCAATTTCGGAAGGGAGGGGAAACAGCTGAACCTACGCAGTAATCTTCTCTCCCTCCCTCGCAACTCCCCCTCCCCCTCCTCTCCCTCTCTCTGTTGCCCGCCACCCACTTTTTCCGTTATCAAGCCCGGCGACCACGGACGGATGCCAACTTTACCCCTCGGTCCCCTCCTTGTCCCTCTTTGCCCTTCCTTTCTCAGCGCAGTACCACCACTACCGACGCTCTCCCTCTCGGATCCACCGGCCAACCCCTCCTTTCCTTACCTGGACAAGAAGGTCCGTCGGGATTCCTACGTAATTTAACCCCAGTTATTTGGAAACCCGCCCGAATCGATCGCCTATCATCGCGGCGCTTTTCATACGATCACAATAATTTGTACGAACATGATTGCCTGCGGGTGGCACTAGTTTCGAAGTCGGTGGATCATCCCATCAAGCTCGACCGTTGTTCCAGACTTTTTACCAACTCGCCAGTGATCGAGAGAGACTGTCCAGTACGTCCGACGTAGCTTAGCAGTATGCCACCGTCCAGGTGAGAGTTTCTTATGTGTGCCGGATATGCTTGGCCGCTCCCGCCACCCGTCAGCACGCAGCAATAGGAGAATATTATGGCTGATGTTGACAGATCACCGTCTTCAGCACAGCCCTTGATCCCTCCTTTCTTGGAAGTCCAGGATAGATGTCGACGACAGCTCTGCGTAGGGATTAAATGAAATTTGAGATCTGATGGATGTCACCTTCTACCTTTGTGTGCGGTCTCTTTTTTCTCTTCTTTTTATTTTATTTTCTTTTTTTTTCACTTTTATTTAATTTGATTTTTCCTTTAATTTATTCTCTTTTTTAGGACGATTTCACGCGGTCGCCAAAGAAGTGGATAACAGACCGGATGGATCCTTGGTCTAGGCTTCCGTGACATCGGGTCAGCTGCCTCTAAAGGTGGACAACCCAGCAGACCGCCGGTGACATCAGACAACGACACCTCCTCTCGCATCCTACTTCCTCTGTCCCTCTTCCAGTTGGCAGAGCCGGCGGACAGGCTGGCATGAAACCAACAAGAGTAAGGTAGTCTCGATGAGCAGGGTCTGACCTTCCAGAACGGGGCGCTTCTGCACCGGGCGTCTCCGGAATATTGCTTCCATCGTTCAACTGCATCATCGTCATCAGCCGACACTATTGCTGCTGTTTTTGGCACTTCTGCATCCAAGTCGCGGATGCGTCAACCTCGCATCAACTACCTGATCCCATCTGCATAAGCGGCATGGGGGTGGATTCGCTACCCGCAAGGACTCGCTCTCCCAACTTTTCCTTTTTCCCCCTCCGTGGCGCGTCCCAGATTGGGTTAGATCGGCTGTGGCTGGCTGCAGCCCAGCAATCGCAATCGCGCCTAACCAGCCTCACTCGGAGACGCGCCCTCGTTCCGCGTCCACAAGGGCGGATCCACCTCGAAAGATTACAACCTCAGGTCAGATGAGTCGCCGGCGCTGGCCATGACGAAATGCGATCTTCTGGCGCCGGTTTGGCACCGTTTTTAAGGTTGCCCGCTGGGAGTCGACGCTTCGGGCTCACGTCGCGAGACGCGATTTCGAATCCAGCCGAGACAACCTCTTCAGGGAACCGCTCGTCCTCCCTCACCACAGGGGTTCCTCCGGTCTTCCCAGCGCGACAGACTCCGTAAAAACCCGGCATGCGCGGTGGGGCGTGAAGCTGGATGGATCCCGAGAAACCCGTCAAGGTCAGACGCGGTTAGTTACTCGGGGAACGCGCACATGACCGCGAACTGCTGACTCTGAGGACTCTGAGGATTCACACGGTCAGCTCCGTCCGTAGGTAGTAGGGAGTAGTTACAGATACATACGGGATCCTCCATCCTCGCTAGGAAGATTGTTATCATGATCTCATCCATGCATCCCGCATCTCAACACCTCGACGTCCACTTTTCGATGCCCACCAGCCCACCCGGCGCTCAGTTGCCGGGGTCGACCCTGCCCCATCGGCCTCTTGCCCTAAGACGTCAGCCTCCACCGGTCTTGAGATGCATGATGATCCAGTTTTCTGTCTTTCTTTCGCCAGTCCCACCTGCACTTAGTCACGGCCGTACTTTGGCCTCACCGCTTTGCAAACTGCCAGACGCGCGCCGGCGAGCGGTGAGTCGGCGACCTTACGCTTTTCGGCCACAAGGGGCGGGGTCTGTTGGCTTCGTCTGGTCCAGCCTCTTGCTTTTTCCCTTCCTCCTTCGTACGTAAGATTTGAATGCACCCTAGCAGCAGAGGATTCGATTCTTCGATCCACATCCCGACCATGCAGCGGTCCGACCCAGTAAACGTTGAAGGAAGGTACGAAAGCCTACGAATTCGACAAGAGGTTTCGTTCTATCGAAATGGAATCCTGTCCGGGTCTCATCGTTGCAGCCCCGACGGAGGACAACCGACAATAGTCAGAACTCGTCCCGACGGGGTCAAGATCTTGGAAAGGGCGCCCAGTCGTGAGCACTGATATCCGGATGGCCCTAGGACTTTTTCCATTCCAGTCTCCGGCGCACGGGGCCTGGGAGGGGAGGGAATAGTGCAAAATCCTCCGTGCATACCGATCCAACTATTCATGATCGATCATTTCCCGTCCAGTGCTCCTTTTCTCCGTGCGTGTTGGCCCTCTCTCGGTGATTCGGTGGGTTTCTCCTTGAACCGTGTCACTCCTTCCGACTCATTCATTACTCGGAGCATGGATTTGGCATCGATTGCCATGATTGGGCCCTTCCAGAAAGGGGTAAACCCAATTCTCTCCAGGGCTCCGGGGAAGAGCAGCCAGAAAGAAAGAATGGGTTCTCAGCCGGCACCGTCCCAAGGTTAGGTTTGGAATTCCCTGCAGCTACCCTTTCCAACGACGCAGGTCGATCTTCAAATGTCCACCTCCAAAAAAGAAGGGAGAGAAAAATGGAATCATGGAATCCCAGCCGAGACCTGATTCATTGAACCCAAGTTCCCCACTAGGTACCGTTGCAGGATTCCAGGAACCTCTTCCCCGATGCCCCGGGGCCTACGCTAGTGACTCTCGGCAGCAAGCAAACCCGCCTTGGCTGCCGTCCATCGTCCCGACAACTTTTGAAACCCCCATTCTGGCTTTCCAGGTTAGGGATCCGTAGGGTAGAGGTAGTGCAGTCCGGAGGATCGCGAGACGGTCAACCGATTGAGTCGGTGAAGGGTTTGGTGATGTTGAGTCCTTGACCGCCTCGATCTTCTCGCCCAGTTTACACATGGCATTGGGAATTGGGACGATTGGGCATCCTGCTTGTTCCGGTCTCCACTGATCTAGGGCTACCTGTGGATTCTGGATTCTGGATTATGGATTCCTGCGTACTCCGTATGGAACGAGTACGGATGGATATCATCTTGAAAGAAAACACGGAAGCCGCAGATTTTTCTTTCCACTCCGGCGAAGAAGCGGGATAGAACGACGGAATCCACAGTTGATCGGTTGCTCTCTTATCGTGACTTTTTTTTGCCTTTATTTTTTCTTTTCTTCTTTTTTTCTTTTCATTGTGGGACAAATTTTGGACTTTCACTATGTGACGGGGCTTGTGCGTGGCTTTCGCTAAAGCGCGAATCCAAACCTAAGCGCGTCTGGATGTTTCGTTTGTTTGTTTGCCTGTTTGTCTCGGTCAGGTCTGGCATGGATTGCGCGTATCGAGTGTCGAGTGAAAGCTCGACAGGTAGAATGGATGTCTCCTCCGTAGCGATATCTGCGACAGAGGACGTAGGAGTAAATGGCAGCCCGCGAACCATGGAAACGAGCCGTACCAGACATGGATGGGCTCGTTCCATGGTTCCCTCCCGTCTGTCAGAAACCAGATTTGTTCGGGCACATTGTTTTATTGTCTTGCGTTGTGTTTCCAATTTGTTTGGCCTTTGTGGGTTCTTGCTTCTACGGGACCCTGTTGGTGTTCGTGTACCTCTTTCGTAGTATATACATCTATGGGACCTTCTGTATACACTACAATATATATCGTGCGCAGGTCGGAACAACCGATAAGCCACATTGGGGTTAATCTCCCTGCTGGTCCGATTTACGAATAAAAGCACCCAACACAGATATACATCAGATATCCAAAACGATAGAGTAGATACACGAACAGACGACGGAGTCTAACTCGGAAGTGTCGAACAAGACGAATCAGAACCCAAGCCAGACATCCTATCTCGCAGCAAACACGACCAACACCAACTCAATCGGAACCTGTCCATTGACGCTGTCCTCGGTTGCACTGCAATCACCTAGAATCCAGAGTCCAGAGCCAGATCACCCAGGGCGCACAGCATCTACTAGCTCTATCTATTCCTAAAGACATCCGAAGATACCACCTCGGGACCACCTCTCAGTACCAAGTACGGAGTACGACATCGAAACTGCATGCAGTACGACCAGCACCGCCAACCAGTGCGTCGGTTCGTGAATAGCCATTGCGAGTGAGCTGTCGACTCCACAATCTACCTTCGCTTTTGACATGTCGATGTTTACTACTCCGTAGACACGGTACATACGTTATCTCCCAGAGAAACGTAGAAGCCTTCTCGAAGGTACGCCCAGAACGCTAGTCGCGACCTGCGACGACCGCGCAATCCCTCCCAGCCAATATGGAACCAACCGTTGTTTTTTGTTTTCCCTACCGGATGTCCACGGAAAGACGGGCCCAAAAAAAGCAAAGCAAAGAAAAAAAGAAAAAGCAAATGAGGGACGGAACACGGGAAGAGGATAGCTCGTCAAATTTTTAGAGAAACGCTGGGACCGAAGCCAGACGCTAGAAGGTCTAGAAAACCCAATCCCAATCCCCCGAGAAAGAAAAAAGGGGGGGCTGGGCTGGGAAGGTGGAAGTGGAAGTGAAAGCCGGAGATGAGCGCAACACTAACACTAACAGTAACAGTCCAACTCCTCCGTAATCCGTCGGGACGAGTCCCAGAAAGCAGAAAAAAAAGGGGGAGGGGCGGGTTCCAGACTGACTTTTCGACTGCGCAACGGAGTACTGCGAATGGGAAAGACGGGATGATCGTCCTGGGGACCACCCGAGGCGCCGGTCCGATTTGCTTCTGGCGATGTTCTGTGCAGTTTCTGAGCAGAGGATCATGAGAGGATGAGACACTACTGAGTCCTGACTCCGTGTGGTACTGGTCCATTGAGATGCGCTGCTGGCACCGCCCCTCGTCCTGGCATGGAGGTCTGGTTCTTGCGAATCAGTCTGCAGTATGGACTCCGTAGCCATTTTTATTATGATGATTAGTTCCCCCCTTCGGACAACCCCTTTTGATGGTCTGCAGGCTGAGATGAGATGAGATGAGATGCCTGCCTGCAGCTCTTTCTTATTGCGATAAGCATGTATGACAGACATCGGCGAGGGGCTTCCCCCCTCCTCCCTTCTCTTCTTTTTTCTTTTCTATTTTATTTCATTTTATCTCTCCTTGCTGATTGCCCCTCTCATGGATGGAGGGGTGAATTATTACCGTGATGACCATGTAAGGAGGGCTTGGTTACTTGCCTGTTCCTAGTCGCATGGGGGTGTCGCTTTCTGCGTTCTGTCCTTGCTGCCGGGATCTGCCTGCTCCTTCGTTTTCATTTGCCTTGATTAGTTGCCTTTCTTTTGATGCTGGCGTTGCGGGGATGGGCTGGTTCTGGGGCTGTAGAGCTGATGTTTGTAGTTTACTTGTTCGGGGTAACTGGAGTAGAGACAATTGGGTGGGGTGTTGGGATGGAATGGCTGTCTTGTAGATTGTAGCCATTTGATGTGTTTCTGTTTGTTTTGTCTGATATCTGTGGCCCTGTAGGCCATGCAGTGGGTATGTATAGGACGGAGTACGTAGTCCAGGGCCATCACTGTCTACCTCGTCGCAATAGTTGGATGACATGTCAGCGGTCTTTAGTTCAATGGGGTTAATCACTGTTTGCTAGACAGGTCTCTAGCGATCCTGAGGACCTGCTAGGAGACCCTGACAAGTGTATATATTTAGTTCCATATATCTGCTAGACCTAGTAAATAAAACCTATGGTGGAAGACTGGGACATCTTAAGGAACCACATCCGGTTTAATATATGTAATGTACATCTGACAGTTACCAGCAGGTGTCGTTTCTAGCAATTTGCAATTCATGAACCCCCCGCCAGAGCAATAACCATAGACAGTAAATCTGATACTCACTCTCGGCCAGCCCTAATAGACCATTAATAAACTAAGTCCCCATACTATTGATTTAATTAATCTAGCAAACTCCAACCCACCAGAAAAGAATCCACAGATCAAGCGAAAGAACCTTAACGTTATCTAATCTCCATCAGCTCTCAAGCCCGAGTCTGACTGAGAAAACACGATGTTCGGGCTTCGGGGTTGAGAGCTATCCCGAATCGCCACGCGATGACAAATTTGCCTCAATCCATGGAACGGCCACCGCGTCAACCACACACGCCTTTGTAGATTAACGGCCTGTTCGTATAAGTATTGCTGATTTCGGATACCATTATCTAAGCTCTGAGGATGGGTATAAAGGATACGAGTCCACCCTCCGGATTTCGAGTTTCATAACTTGAGGGAAAGAATCTATATTGTTTGCCTTGATTGGACCATCTCTCTGCAATGGCAACCATGAATTCGATCCTCGTCACCGGCGCCACAGGAAAGCAGGGCGGCTCGGTGGTGCGCAACCTCCTTGCCAGAAACGCGCCGTTCCAGATCCTCGCGGTCACGAGGAACGTGAAGTCCTCGTCTGCGCTGAAGCTCGCGGAGAAATCCCCCAATATCACGCTCATCGAAGGCGATCTCGATAACCCGGCGGCGATCTTTAAGTCCGCGAAGGAGCGCACCTCGAATCCAGTGTGGGGCGTGTTTAGTGTTCAGGTGAGATGCGCTTGCTCTGGCAATCAGTCAATCATGCGAAGGGAGACTCGTTTAGCTAACTGATACGATGAACGAACTAGGCTGCCGATCCGAGAAATGACGACGAGCGGCGCCAGGGGATTGCCCTGGTCGACGAAGCCCTCAAGCAAGGCGTCAAGTCCTTCGTGTACAGCTCCGTCGACCGCGGCGGCGAGAAGCGATCGATCAACAACCCGACCCCAGTGCCGCACTTCATCTACAAGCACGAGATCGAGAAGCACCTGATGGAACGGGCCAAAGACACCGAGATGGCGTGGACGATCCTCCGCCCCGTCGCCTTCATGGAGAACTTCACCCCGGACTACTTCGGCAAGGTGTTCACGACCGCGTGGCAGATGTCGCTGAAGGGGAAGTCGCTGCAGGTTGTCGCCACGAGCGACATCGGTTTCTTCGCGGCCGAAGCGTTCATGCGTCCGGACGAGCTTGCTGGCAAGGCACTCTCGCTGGCCGGGGATGAGTTGACGTTCGATCAGATGGCGGAGGTGTTTGAGCGGTCGACGGGCCGGAAGGTGCCCACGACGTTTCGGCTGCCCGTGTGGGCGATGATGGCGGCGGTGAAGGAGCTGGGAGTGATGTTTAAATGGTTCCATGACGAGGGGTACGGCGCGGATCTGGTAGAGATGAGGAGGATGAATCCGGATTTGAAGGATTTTGGGAGGTGGTTGGCGGAGGAGAGTCAGTTCGAGACTTTGAAGTGAAGGGGAGGTCTTGATTGGAATTCGTGTAAAGCTTCCGGCGTTTTGGCTATGGGGTTTGTTTAATGCATGTATGATATATAATCTATTCACTGTGAATCTGTTCTCTAGTAAGCTTGGTATATGACCTGATTGCTTGGCGATATTGATTTCAGACAACAAAACAGCAATCTTTTTCAAATGGCCTGTCTGGACTAGAGGCGAGTGGACTTTATGGCGCTCACTCGGCAGCTCCCCAGAGAGCGCCAGCTCTGTTCTTCCGCGAGATACTGGCGCGCTCCATGAGCAGCGACACCGGCTCCTGCATCTGGGAGTTGATCTTATTATCGGCCTGCCATTGGTCGTAGACCGCCTTCACCAGGTCCCATGCATGATCTGTTTCGGGCGAGATAGGCCGAGAACAGAGCTCTGAGAGGATCAAGGCCATGGCATGTTCTTGCTTGTAGCTTCTGCAGAGCCACGCCCACGGGGTCGTTATCTCGTTGTTCTGCAGGAGGCTGGAAAACTTCAAGATCTCGACTGCTAGGATGAAGATCTCGTCGTCCGTGGCGGTGGACTCTTGATCCAATGCCGCCGAGTTAGAGAGATGATTGACCAAGGATGCCTTTGATAGAGTGAGACGAAAGATCACAGCCGTGACCCACTGGATCGGAATTCTCAGGTCAAACTTCTGTAGATACCGTTCTTCGAGACTGGCTGCCAATTCTGGCAGGGAGCTTCGTTCACTTTGCAAGTGCGATTGATTGCTTCCCGATCCAAAGGACTTGTCGGTCCAAGAAATATGGGCCATTATCTCGTACTGAATGATGCACAATGTGATATCAGTAAACCCGGCTTGGGGAGAAGGCAATTCGGTCAAGGTGGGCGAAAGATCGTCGCTGTCAATATTCAGTGGAGGCTCCGTGTCGAACATCTCCGGCCGAATTTGGGTGTCAGTCCCCTGGTCTTCGGAGCAGAGGATGTCAAGTATGCAGATGTGCGACCACAGTCGACGTCGCATTTCGATATCAAACGGACTCAGACCTAGATTTTGACCGTCGCGATGGATCCCTTGTCTCTGCGCCACGCGTACCACGACTGCTGCTTCCACCCATATCTGTTTGGAATCGCATACGCAGCGCAGACATAACAGATAGAGAACTGCGGCCTGCAGAACCCGGATATCGTCCGAGCAGACAAGGTTGGCCTTTGCTAGCGATCGCTCCACAGCAAGCCGGAATTCGCGCAAGCAGACATCACGCTCATCACCGACGACTGACCAGCAATGGGCAGGATCCATGCTGACCACCGCCGCGAAGAAAACCGCTCGAATGAGCGCGTCCGATTCCGGATCCAGCTCAACGTACGGGTTAACACAAGCTTGACGAATCACGGACTCGACCGAGGATGTATGCAGAATGGTGACCACGTGCGCAACGTTGGACTTGTAGACCGGCCATAGCATCTCCATCTGCAGAGGTTGCAGCGGATCAGAGCGACCTGCGTCGAGGCCGAGCTCAGAATTCGAGGAATGTCCCTTGTCCCACGATTGGCGATAAAGCTCTTGCAGTCCCGGAATCTAGGCACGTTTCAACGATCCATCACCCCATACGACAAGGCGACCTACCTTATTCCTTAGAAACACAAATGCGTCGTCCGCTACGTAGCGACTCTTGGTCTCATCTTGAACCACCAACATGCCGTGCAAAGGTTTGGTATCGACAGGCATTGGCCTCTCAGCTTCATGGGCTGCTCGAGATCCCACAGCAGATCTACCATCAGCAGCCTGGAGCCGTTCCACTTCCTCCTCCAGCTGCTGCAGACGAGTGCGGAGCGCCGCAATTGGGGGCCGGTTCAGCTTGCGCGGAGCCCGTTTATTTCCTGGATGAATGCACTCGGCGTTGGCCTGGAGGCATTGAGCGCAGGGCTGTTTTCGATCACAACGCACTTTGCGCCGATTGCAACGGACGCAGCTCCGTTTGGACACTTCACTGTCTTCCGACTGGGGAGGCATGGTTTGCGACATTTGATTGGGGATTGAAGGATGGTTGACCGATGTTGACGTCAAAAAAGGTTCCTTTTCTTCACCCGATTAGTCAACTCCCGTGCCTTCGTTTTATCCACAGGATATCTCCATTCCATTTACTTGCCATCTCTTGACAATGAATGAATGATCAACTTGATGATCCAAATGAATAGACTCGTAGACCATGATCAACTATTATATACAGCAGAGTAAGTCCTTAACTATATAGACAAGGTCATATAACAACATCGCGGAATAAGCTATGAAACTACCAGAATCTACCACCAACATGGCGAGAGGTTCCACCACTATCTACAGGAACACAAAAGACCCCATATAAAGAATCAAGACCATTCAGTTCGCGATGAGCCCGCGTACAGCCTCTTCCAGCTCCTCGTCATTCATCACGCGAATCCCCAATCGCTCATTCCACGAGAGCTTCTCAAAGTCCTTGCCGCCGTAGCCCTCTTCATACATCATCGCGTAATAGTAGTTCATCATGACCGAGAAGTCTCCCTTGGCCAGCTGCGCATTCGACTCCTCCAGCAGCTTGGACACGTTCAGGTCGGGGATCCTGCCGTCCTCGACGGATCCGAAATCCACCCCCGTGATCTTCGACACTAGGGCAGTCAGTTTCCGCTCCGTGATGGCCACAGAGTAGATGTGGACCGGTTGATTAGCAGTCTCCGCGAGGTGAGCAGGATCCAGGATCCTCGCCACGGCGGTGGCGATGTCCGACAGGGTCGATGGGCCGATGGGGTTGTTGCCGCCGTTGTGGAAGACGGCCTGCTGGGTCAGGGGGTTGGGGCCCAGGGCGCCGAACTTGATGGTCAGGTCGAAGAAGGGTCCGTTGTTGAGGGAGGTCCAGGTCGTTGGCGCGGAAGGGCTGGTGATCCTCGACTGCAGGTATTGGCGGACCTTCACTTTTTCAGTGGCCACGGGGAGTTGGATCGTGATCGGGGATTCCATGTTGGTTGTGAATTCGGACGGGATGATGCGCTTCACGCCCGCGCTGAAGGCGGCGTCGATCCATACTTTCTCTGTCTCGAAGGAGGGCAGGCCGACGGCGCTTGTGGAAGGGATAGGGTTAGCGTATAGGATATAGGGACGGACGGCATGTTCTAGGGTTCGAACCTGATGACTGCGTCGATACCGGTGAAGGCCTGTTTCAATGCGGCTTCGTCGTTGAGATCGGCTTTGATGACCTGGACTCCCGCGGGAACCTGCTTCTCTGAGCTGGGTCGCTGGATCGCTGCGACATGATGTCCCGTAGACATCAATGCGGTTGAAATGCGACTTCCCAGAAGCCCACTGGCCTGGTGGACGTCAGTATACTGATGTCGGACGCCGGGAAGCTTACCTACCCCGATAATGGCCACATTCTTGATAGCGGTCGTCATGTTGATAAAAACAGTATGTTGACTGGTAAAGATGAATTATCGATGAATAGTAACATTTTGTACCAAGGATCTCAGGTCCTTAAAAGACTGGGAGTCTGTCTTCTGGTTCCACCGCATTTGGCATGATTATGAACTCGGGCTTGAGATCAAAGCCGCACCGCCGAGCGAGGTGGACGCTGGGATGGGGCTTAATAATGACATCGAGGTCAACCTGATGTCTGACTCTCATCTGGAGGGAGCAATGCTGATAAATGTTTGATTCCACCCCATTCCACTCTGTTCATTCTTCTCCCAAGAGAACGAGAGAGAGAAAAAGATAAAGATCGTCGACAGGGCAAGGAGACCCAAACCCGATTGTTGCAGTTATCTGTTCTTCAGAGACCAAATGATGAAGAGTACGGAGTCTGAGGGCCGAAATATTAGGTAGACTATGTGATCTACATTGTGAAAGGAACGGTGGGCAGGTCACGTTTACTCGTCATTCCTGGCTGACATCCCACGACATCAGAGAACCAGAGGACAGCCAATATTTGTTGCCATGAACATGCTCGCTCGGACGCATCATTTTTCGCATGTCAGGTCGTCCATGAGGTCGTGCACAAAATGCTGTAGGCACGGCCCAAGCTACACCGATAAGAGGACAAGACAGACAGACAACTGCGCCATCAAAACCAACGGTTCCAGGGGATGCCAGAAACCCCAGGAAACCTCGCACTCGTTGACGTCAGAGCCAGCGCCAGTCGGATAATATTGTCGACACTCTATATGGAACGAACTCCACCGTAATATTACTCCTGGGGCTAGATTTCCTGACGAAGCCCCTTCTAGATGGCTCGCTTCCGCCGCCCGGGTTGACTACTCCGTACGCAGTATAATCTCGCAGAACCCGGACTTTATTTAGAAAATCCGGCCGACTTCCATCCGCAGGAGCCGAGGCCTAGAAGATAGGTACGGAGTCCCAGAGAATGGATAACGGTGGCCATTTGTTCGCCCGTATGGTGAAGCGGATTCAGGGCATCGCATGGCCCGTGACCCACCCCGTCATCCCGACTACGCCTTGCTGGAACGGTCGTTTCAGGACGCATTCTTCGGCGTCAGGACGGAGGGTGGTGGTATCCTGTCGGTAAATCTTCCGTAAGTCCGTTAAGCTGTCATCCCGGGCGCATTCAAGGTTCGGTGGCGGACAGTAAGGCAGTCAATCTCGGGGTCAGGGGGGGTTGCCTTGAGCTGACTGCTGGCAGCAAACGGCGAGCGCGTACTTTTGCGCCTGCAGTCGGCGGGCTGGGACTCGATTTGGGCGCTGCGCATCCCGGAGGCGATCGAGCATCTCCGCGCACCTGACAGAAAAGCCACCGGGCATAGCTCTCTGCGGCGTGCCGATAGCTCATCTGCACGGCGGTGTGACTTGCATGGCGATGTGACGTGACGGTTGAAGAATCTATCAACTGACCCTCAGGCTTGTCGACCGGGGGAAATGAAGCGAGGGAAGTCTCGTCGGGGTGTTTGTTTGGGCCTTTGGGGGCATATCGCAGGGATGGCAGGGATGTTTGATATCGGGTGCTGCATCGGACGGGCCCAAAATGCTACTGTACGACGTTGGGGATGCAAAATTTCGAAACCAAGAAAACCAAAGGAACGAAAAGAAAAATCTGCCCGACTAGTCGACGATCTAGCGAGTTTAGAGCAGCACAAACAAGGCGGCATTAATACGGAGTAGTCCAGTCCCCTGGAAACCGACTGGCAATCCGTAACCCCTGATCGACTCCGTCCCGAGGATCCAGCAGAACCGACAGAGAAATTACTCCACGTTTTCGGTTTACACTTTAGTTTTCCACTCCCAGCGTAACGCGGTCGAAGGTAATTTGTATCCAGTCTCGTCCAGGCGAACGATTTCCAACCGGTAGGGTCTGATCCCCTCCAAGGTGGCACAGTCTTATGACGCCTCGGGTGCCTTCATGCGACCCGCCGCCCTCGAGATTCGATGCGACGTCGCTCAATCGCCCTTTCTTTGTGATTAATCCTCCGGGCCGGGGGTGTGCGTGTCCTGGTAGGTCCTCTGGGCGCGCTCGGCCTGAGCACACCAGAGAGACGTCGGTGGTTATTATTCCTCCATGCAACCGGAGAGATTAGGCTTAAGATGCGGGCGGAAGTGTCTGATTGATTCCGCGATAGTCTATATACACCGACCGATTGGACCTGTCGTGCTCCGGGGGTCTCTTTGTTTGCTGCGGTGCCTGGACTGACAGCGTACAGCGTACGGGGTCGTTGTCGATATTGGATGGATGCTATAGGCACCATCACCCTGGTAGGTACGGCTATTGGAGGAAATCCCGGCCCATGTCCATTGTCTCCCCGACCGTTGCGGGCTTAATTCCCTGCCGGTCGACGCGAGTCATCGTCCCATTCTCCACCGAGGCACCGGGGGGATATGACCGGTCAATGTCAGTCAAGTGCCGTGTGCGTCGGAGTCTGGAGTCAGGAAGTCTCGACTCTTGACGGCGGAGGGAAGAAAGTTGAGGGTTGTAAGAAACGGCGCTGCAGCGGGAGACTTATCCGCCGGTACGAATACGTGGGATTTCAGGTGGATCTCAGGTACACCATTCATACCATTCATACCTACCAGGTACTTCCTACGGAGTACTGCGTAGTCTATCGAGGAGATAATAATACTCCGAGGGGATTTCGATGGAGACCGACAGTCCAGGACGGAGTATGAAGGGACCAAGGCCCCTCTGGTAGGCTGGAAATACCAGCGACTACGCCGGACCGAGGATAGTGCTGGAGCAGCAGTCCCGATATCCCCTAAACCTGGAACCTCCACTCGACTGGCAGAGGCAGCCTATGCGATCGTGACCTTCGCAAGCCCCCCGACAAGAGCCCCATTTGGCCTGAACGCACGTCCTGCTGGAAGTCTGGGACGGGGAACTTGGGCTCCCGTTAGTTGACCGTACGAGGCATACGGAGTAATATTCATAAAATAAATAAAATAAATATTACCTATTTGTGAACATCATTGTTATTTATTCATTCCACGTCGACAGTAAATCCAAGGGCATCAAAGTAAGGTCAGTCTATAGTGGCAAAAGCAAAAAGAAAACCAAAATAGCAAATGGCCCTTCTTCAGCTTCAGCCCATCAGCTCAGCTCCCAGTATACCTCAGGTACCTACCTGTAAGTACCTACCAGGTACTGTGTAATGTAAGTCTCGTAAGAAGTGTCAGCCAAGACGGCCCCGTCGATACGGCGTATTGTACACGTTCTGGTCCGTCACCGTCTTTGCCCACCGAATAATTCAACCTCCCTAAAATCTCCTGGATCGCTTTCTCTTTCCTCTTCTCTCGTCCTCTTCTCTTTCTTCTTCTCTCTCTCTCTCTCCTATCGATCTCTAACTTCCTCCCCTGCGGTCCTTCTCTCTCGCCACGTTGAAACCCACCGGTCACTCTACGCCCAGCCAGGGGTTGCCACCAGCTGTCGAACCAACCCGTGCACCCACCAAGTCTTGCCCGCAGGTGAATCTGCAACCCACCGCCTCCCCTCTCGCTCTCCTTCCTGCTTTGCCCGTCTAGTCATGACCAACGCCTCTCCTTGAGCTCGTCCAGCCATTTGCCGCGGGGACGTAGCCTGCCAACTTTTTTTTCTCTCACTTTTTTTCTTTTTTGGCTTTGCTTTTGGGCTCTCCCATCATTATACCCACCTCTTTTTTTTTTCTGTCGTCTCTTTTTGTTCTATTTTTATTTCGACCGGGGGACTGTCCATCCATTCTTATATATACCTTATCCCCCCCCCGTTCGGCCCTAGCTTGCCAGTTCCTGTGATACCCCCCGATGTACGAGACCCGTGTGGCAGAGCCATTGGCCGTCGACACTAGATCTGCCTTGGAGTCCAAATCCCAGACCTTCGCGACCGCCTTCGAGTGTACCGAGGAGCAGGCTTCCACCCCCACGACGGCCCCCCGGAGTCGCAGTCGTGGCAGCAGCATTTCATTTCAGAGAAGAGACCTTGCCGCCGATCAGTCGCCGCAGCGACAATTCTCCGCCATGAAATTATCCGCCGGTGGCCGTTACACCCCCAGCCCCGAGCCCGCCCCCGCCCTGTTCGTGCGAGCCCTGTACGATTACGATGCCGACGACCATACCAGTCTGAGTTTTCGGAGGGGCGATATCATCCAGGTGCTGAACCAGCTGGAGACCGGCTGGTGGGACGGTGTGATAAACAACAACGTTCGGGGCTGGTTCCCCAGCAACTACTGCGTCGTCATTACGGACCCTAGTGAGCTGGAGGAGGAGCAAGAAGTGCACGGTCGCGAGGATGGCGACATCAGCGCCGAGTCGGGCATCGGAGAAGAGTACGAGGAGGAACCCGAAGACGACGAGGTGGACTCCGCCGGCAACCCGCGCGATTCCCAGCCCGTCCTGCCCATCGAAGGCACCGGTCCCGTGAAGGAGCAGGAAGAGGCCGCCTTTTGGATCCCGCAAGCGACGCCCGATGGCCGCCTGTTTTACTTCAACACGCTCACCGGATACAGCACCATGGAGCTGCCGTTTGAGAACCCGTCGACGAACGAGACCGGCCCCTACGACCGCACCAATTTCTACGTGCCCGATCAGACGCGACCTCCGCCGGAGTTGATGGCCCGAGGGTTCGAGCGGGACGAAGATGACTACGACGGTTCGGCTTCGGAGGCGGAGGGCGAGTCTTTGATGCTTGCCTCCCACGATTCGATGTCCCGGAGACGCCAGTCATTCATCGATGGAGTATCCCCTGCAACCTCCATGGACTCATTGCACCCGCCGTCGGCCACCAAATCGATTAGCGAGGGGAAGAGCTCGCATCGCAATCTTCACCAGTCTTACGGATCCACCGCTGCTAGCAGCACAGCCTCCCTTGCCGATAACTTCCATCGACCGTCGGTTTCCTCGGAGGCTCCGTCGCATTTCGTCGACGACGGCGCCGTGGCTCCTTTGACCTGGCCTACGCTCATCGATAACATGCGAAACGCCGTCGACCTCTATCGCCAGACGCTGATGAACGGCGACCGCTCGGAGTATGTGAGGCGGGCGGAGGACATTTCCGATCATCTGCGCATGTTGCTGGCCGCCGGCTCCGACACGACGGACAACCATTCGGGAAACCCGTCGATCATCTCCACCAACAAGGCCTTGTACCCTCACTTTAGGGATATGATGTCGAAATTCTCCAAGCTGGTGCTATCCTCGCATATCGCTGCGGCCGATTGGCCCGGCCCGGATTCCGTGAACAAGTGTCTGCAAGAAGCCGATGGCGTGATGAATGGAGTGTACGGATACGTCGACATTGCGAGACAACAACGCGGCGAGTCCATCCGGCGGATTGTCCCCGGTTTCGTGGTCGGCAGTTTTGCGGGCGGTTGCTGGCAGAACAACGGCGTTAGCCTCAGCGAGTCTGGTCCTACGTCGTTCTTAGACCAGGAGCAGGACCCGGGCGATTCTCGCGCAGAGCCCTCCGTTCCTCTCGATTCTGCTCTTATCGACCATATCGACATTCTGCGGCGGTCTTTCGTTGGAAGCATTCGGCGTCTCGAGGAGCGCTTGACTCTGAACCAGAAGAAGATCGTGACAGTGACCGAGCACGGTGCAATCGGCGAAGCCGTCTCTGCAGCGGCGATCAAAGTGGTTGAGCAGTTCCGCCCCTGGGTGTCGTCCGTCGAGTCCATCAACCTGGCACCTCTGGGTACTAGTTACCAGAACCCCCAGTTGGTTGATTTCAGTCTCCAGAAGCAGAGAGTTTACGATGCGATCGCCGATTTCGTGCTCAGCTGCCAAGCGGTTTCGGCACCATTGGGCGATGAATGGGCGGAGTTGCGCGGTGATTCACTCGACGACCGGTTGAATGCAGTGCGGGGCGTGGCCAGACAACTTGAGAACTACGTCTCTCAGATTGGATTCTCTCTCTCCCTTCTTCTCGAGCAGGTTCCTGAGCCCACTTCGGTTCTCCGGAGCGACAGCCGTTTGGGCGGGGAGCAAGAGAACTTCAGTGGCACGCACAGCCGCGGGGAGTCACAGACCAAGCTCCCGAATGAATCCATTGGAATACCCTCTTCTTATCCCGTCGAGAAGGCCACTGACAAGGTGCGGCGCAACATGGATAAGGCTCAACGATTCTTCGGACAGGCGCCGCCCGCTGCAATCACCCGGGAGCCCCCGATTCGGGAACCCGTTCGCGAGCCCGAAGAAACGCCTTGGTTCTTGAAGATGACCCATGAAGGGGAAGTATTCTATGACACCAAGAACGACAACCTCACCTTGAAGTGTGGAACCCTGTCTGGACTGGTCGAACACTTAACACGTCACGACAAGCTTGATGCTTCCTTCAACAACACATTCCTCCTTACCTACCGCTCCTTCACCAGCGCCTCTGAACTGTTCGAAATGCTCACCCAGCGGTTCAACATCCAGCCTCCGTTCGGTCTGACTCCGGATGAAATGCAGATGTGGATTGACCGAAAGCAGAAGCCCATTCGATTCCGTGTTGTGAACATCCTCAAGAGTTGGTTCGAGAACTTCTGGATGGAACCAAATGATGATGCGCATATGCAGCTTCTGGAGCGTGTTCATGCCTTCACCAGAGATTCCATCGCTACCACCAAAACTCCCGGATCCCCCCAGCTTCTGACGGTCATTGAACAGCGCCTGCGAGGTCAAGATACCACCGCCAAACGACTTGTCCCAACTCAAGCGGTCGCTGCGCCAACCCCCATCGTCCCCAAGAACATGAAGAAACTGAAGTTCCTGGATATCGATGCTACCGAGTTCGCTCGACAGCTTACGATCATCGAATCGCGCCTTTACTCTAAGATTCGACCTACTGAATGCTTGAACAAGACGTGGCAGAAGAAGGTCGGACCTGACGAGCCGGAGCCCGCGAGCAACGTCAAGGCTCTGATCCTTCATTCGAACCAGCTGACGAACTGGGTTGCGGAAATGATCCTGAACCAGTCCGATGTCAAGAAGCGTGTTGTTGTTATCAAACACTTTGTCAATGTGGCAGATGTATGGAGCACCCTTCGTCTTTGCTGTATGGACCGTTACTGACTCTACCATAGAAATGCCGCGCTCTCAACAACTTCTCCACGCTGACATCCATCATCTCCGCTCTGGGTACGGCGCCTATCCACCGACTTGGCCGAACATGGGCACAAGTCAGTGGCCGCACATCGACGATCTTAGAGCAGATGCGACGACTCATGGCGAGTACCAAGAACTTTGGCGAGTACCGTGAAACCTTGCATCTTGCGAATCCGCCTTGCATTCCATTTTTCGGTAAGATGCTGTGATCGGCGGTGACCCCCAAGTTCTGTCGCTTGAAGTGTTACTGATCGTACTGTATCTCAGGTGTCTACTTGACGGATTTGACGTTCATCGAAGACGGAATTCCATCCCTTACGCCATCCGAGCTGATTAATTTCAACAAACGCGCCAAAACCGCCGAAGTGATCCGGGACATTCAACAATACCAAAACGTCCCATACCTACTCCAGCCGGTTCACGAACTACAGGATTACATCCTCAGTAATTTACAGGCTGCAGGCGACGTGCATGACATGTACGATCGCAGCTTGGAAGTGGAGCCCAGAGAGCGGGAGGACGAAAAGATTGCGAGGTATGCTGCCGGTAATAGAGACACGAACGGCTTGTCTTTTGCAAGTTTCGTTCTGTCTCGATGATTCCCTTGACTCCTTAATTCCACCACCTTTTCCAGCGTTCCGTTGCTTTCCCCCACCCTTTGGTGGCCCCATTCCCTCCCCCTTACTTGGCGATACCCGGATTTGTTCAGAAACATCAAGTGATCTTCAAGAGGAGTTCCTTTTTTTCGTCTTCTCTTTTTGTGATTGACCGAGGACTAACGAGATTCATCTTGTCACGTAGACTACTGTCCGAATCAGGCTTTCTGTAAATGGCCTGAACGAATGTCTCGGCGTCTGGTCCTGCATGACCTCTGCGCATGTTGCATTCACTACGCGCGCGCCGAAGCCACCGCTATTTCGCTCGCCCGGCAAACCGACGGAGTTGATTTCCCAGCTTGGCAGCAGCCTATCATCAGTGTCAAGGGGCGACGATCAGCATTCACTGCGCGGGCGCTTGTCCCTTTCGTTTCTTTTTTTCTTTTTTTTTTTCTCGACCCTCATTTGTTCGGCAGTGGCCTGTCCAGCAGCTGTCCAGGCAATTGCAACACCGACAGTCGTGGCGTGTAGTTTCCGCCCGAGATCGACCAACGAGACGGGTTAGTGGACCTTTTCGGGGGATTCACTCCTTTGGTGAAATTCCCCCGGGCCAGAAGTTGGCTCCTCTGGGGGGCCTTTCATCCCTGCGAGGATTGAGCGTCCCGAGAACCACTTTAATTCCAAGATCCAGGCTCTCCTTCATCTGGCGTTGACCCGATGAATGGTCAGGCCATATGCGCTTTGACCCACAGACGGAAGGGAAGAAAAAAATTACAAAAGAAAACAGAAAAAAGGGCGACAAGAAAAAGTCAGGCGGCTGAGCCTTCGATAAGCCCGACATTAGCGCGTTGCATGTGATGAACTCCCTTCATTCCTTGTCATCTTCTTGTCATCTGATTACTATTACGACATCCTCATTCCTTCCCACCACGCCAATCCTTTGATACTATCTTTCCGACCCGAGTCATCCACTTCACTTCTTTCTTTTCCTCACTTGACCATCCGACCTACCCTCGTCGTCGACCCTTCTCCTTTGTTCTCATCCTCAACCGCAACGGTCTCTCAATTTCCTTGGATCCACTTCTCCGACTTGTGTCCATCTAACGCCTATATAAACCCGCATACATGACGAACTAACGCCGTTAGCACAGCAATGGTGTGGTTGGTCGTTCTTGTATAAAAGATTCTCGTTCGTGCTGTGGTCCCTTCCCTTTATTGGGTTAGGGCTTTTTACGAGATTTTTGATCTCGCTCATGAATGGATAATGACATGACATGATACAGACTTGTTCTTTTTATTTTGAATTCTTCTTTCCAGCATTGGCTGTGTATCTTTGCCTTCTGCAGTGCATCCTTCTTCTTCATCTTCTCTTTCTTCTGTCAATTTTTTATTCTATTTCGCTGTACCTACTCCTTGTACTACAAGAGGTAAATAACTTTTAGTCTTAGTCTCACTCATGGAAATCCATCTTTTACTGAGATATCATTATCCGATCCATTAAGGGACATCGAAGTAAAGAGATTCTAGTATGCCGCGATCCACCAAGCGCCAATGACACCGTAAGATGTGGGAGAAAACCGAAGTAAAATTGAAAGTGTCAGAGTCATGCCGTCGTCCGTAATGCATTTTCTTTTCATTTCATCTAAAGACCGGTCATGTTTGACCTGCAGTGTCTGTCTCCGAGCGGCTGCCGTTCTCTCCGATGCCCTGGAAGAGCTTCATCTTGATCTCCGCCGCCAAGAGACCCTTCACTTCCTCCGACACAATCCGCTGTCCATCACGCACCACCTTCTCCAGCTGTTGATCCTTGGCCGTACTGGGCCCTCCGCCCCGCGACCCGCCGCTCTCGATGCCCCGCGCCGCCTTCCGCACCTTCTGGCTCAGATCCATCATCTGCTTGCTGCCGTAATCGCGGGTCGTGAACAGGGGACTCTGACTGAGCGTCGCCACCCAGTACTTATTCCACAGGAGCGAGAGAATCTCCGTATCCAGCGAGCTCTTGAAATGCGACACCTCCAGCGCATAGTAGTGGGAAGCGTGGGCGCCAAAATCCTCCGCCTTATTCAGCGGCACGGTCTGGTACTCGTCTTCCTCCTGCTGCTCCTTCGGCGGGGTATAATCCTTCGGAAACGTCCTGAAGGCCCCGATATCGACCTTTCCGGCCGAGATCGTGCGCTCCGGGTCGATCACCACCGCCACGAACGGCCCGCCCAGCTGCTGCATGTCCTGCGTCGTCACGTCGATGCCTGACAGCCAGCACCCGTACCCGGGGTGGCTGTGGTACCAGCCGACCGCGTTCTCCATGCGCCCGGCGTCGCGGCACGCCTGGAGATACGACACCATGTACTCGTTGGCCTCGTCCTGGGCGTTGACCCGTGTCTCCGTCCCTTCGACCGGTAGGCGGAAGGCATCCGTCACCACGAACGTGTTCGGTAGTATGTATCCCTGCATGAGGCCCATGACTTCGAGGGACCCGCCCGAACGTGCGTGCATGACCATCTTGAGCAGCGCGACGGCTGAGATCCGTATCGATTTGAAGTAGTGTGGGTCCTTGGACCAGGGTCGCTCGGCGCTCAGCGCTTTGTGTGTTTCTTCATCGTATTGGTAGAGGGCGTCGCGCTGGGGATCAATCAGGCTGATAGTGTTCTCGAGCTCTGGAGGGAGAAGAGATGGGTTAGTTTATCGATGCGTAGTGAGAGGTGATGGGGTGGGGGAGGGGGGAAACGTACCCCAGGACCGCTGGGCAGTCTCCATGGTGAGGGGTTTGGGATTGTTGGCCAGAGATAAAAAGGAATGAGATGAGATGATGGATACCAGGCCCAGTACAGATTCCAGATCGATGGCAGACTGAGAGAACTGATAAGAGAAGATGAAGTCTATCAATCTGCACTGCGGAGACCCAGACGACCGACGTGGAGAAGGCGGTGAGCAGGGAATCGCGGGCAGACCCGGGCGGTGGAGGGCTGAGTCAGCAGTTGCCTGAGTAACGGGGCGCCATCAACAGCAGCCGCAATCGCGATTCATTGCGGCGGCATCTCAACCGCTTGAATATTATTGTTCCCCCTCTTTCCTCTCCTCTCCCTCTCTCTCTATCTATCACTTCACGCCCTTCCTCCACCGAGCCTCCTTTCCACTTTTCCTCTGGCCCTTGCATACCTTTGCATTGGTCGCTCGCTACATATATTGTGCGGGTCATCCCCCCCAGTTTTCCTCGCAGATGACATTTTCGCTCGGGTCGGTTGTTTGCTGTTGATTGCAGATTCGCCTTGCAATCATCTGCCTGTTTTGGTTTCTCGCAGCTGCCACTTTCGAGGCGCATTGTCGCCAATCATTGCATCGCGGCAAATTGTTTGAGAACTTTTTTTTCTTCCGTTGAATACATATTAAAGCGGGATTCGCCTTCCTGTCGTGGGAGATTGGGTGCGCAATGGCGGTCGACACGAGCTATTTGACCACGCAGGTCAACAATATTGTGGCTCAGCTTCATGGCATATTCGATGAGATTGGTGTTCCGCATCACGAGCGCGACACTCGAGAGGCAGAGGTTTGTTTTCTTTTTTCTCAATCGCTTTGTTTATTCGTGTTTACAGGGAGATCTGACAAACTTGCAGCTCTTCAGTGCTTTGTCGGAAACGTTGAATGGTCACCTTAAGATGGTTGATGAGTAAGTGATGATCATCTGAAGTGATGTTGATCTACAGTGCAATTGCTGATGGTCGCGCAGCGAAAAAAATGAAATGACCGGAGAAGCGCAGCGACTCATCACTGCGATCCGGCAGATGGAGGAGTCCTTGGTGGATGAAAAAGCCAATGGTCAATATAATCTAGACGGCAACGATCTAAAAATCAGCTATCCCCTGAATCGCTGTCTTAATTTCCTCCGTGAGAAGCACAGCGCACTAAAGAAGCTCCACCAGGAGCGTTTTAAACAGGTTAAGAGTATGTTTACCCTCTAGTCAAGCGCATGTTGATATCGATCGCTAATGTGAGCAGAGCTTGTCGAGGCTCTCGAGTCATACTCTTCTCATCTTGAACCCTCCTTTGTCGCCATCGAACTTCCCCCTACAGCACCAGGTTCATCGATCGCCCCTAGCTTTGATCTCTCCCCAACTTTTGTTACGGCCTTGGATAATGAATTTTCGCGAGTCTACGAAGAATACCACCGACGTCTTGAATTCGTTCAGGTGACGTGCGAAGAGATAATTAAGCTGTGGGCCGAACTCGGCACCCCGCAGGTGCAAACCGATTCTAATATTGTGAAATTCTATCGCGAGTCGCCTGAGCAGCTGGGGCTCCATGAATCCGACCTGGCTGGTATGAGAGCGAAGCGCGAGAAGCTTCTCGAAGAAAAGCGAGGCCGTGAGCGCAGGCTGAAGGAGCTCCGGAACGCAGTTGAAGGTCTGTGGGAGCGATTTGGAGTGGAAGAGGGTGACAGAAAAGCCTTCCTATCCGCCAACCGCGGCTGCGGACTACGCACAATTAATGAATTTGAAGAAGAGCTGGGGCGCCTGAACGAGCTCAAGCGTCAGAACCTCCATCTCTTCGTCGAGGATGCGAGGTGCCGGCTCCAGGAGCTCTGGGACAGCCTCTACTACTCGGAAGAAGAAATGCTCGACTTCACCCCTGCGTTCTCCGATGTCTACAGCGACGCGCTGCTCGAGGCGCATGAAGCAGAGATCTCAAGACTGGAGGCACTCAAGGAACAGCGTGCCCCCACATTACAACTCATTGACAGGCACCGCAGTCTTCTGTCGGAGCGTGAGGCTTTGGCCGCGTCAAGTCAAGACGCTTCCCGTTTGATGGGACGTGGCGTCAAGGGAGAGCGTCGTGACCCTGGAAAGCTTCTGAGGGAGGAGAAGATGCGAAAGAGGATCGCCAAAGAGTTGCCCAAGGTGGAGGCGGATCTCAGGAAAGAGCTGGAGTTGTGGGAGGACGAGTTTGGCCGTCCCTTCCTCGTTCACGGCGAGCGATATCTTGACGAGCTGACTCCGGTGATGAAACCGCCGCCACGTTCGAAGACGCCTTCTGCACCACCGGCACGCTCAAAGACTCCCTCTGCACCACCAAGCAGCGTGAGAGGAGGAGGGGGTAGCGTGAGGGCGCAGCCGCCATCGCGCCCTGGCAGCGTGATGAGAGGCCCACCGCCCCCTCGCTCCGCAACCAAAACGCCCACTGGGGCCAGCTCAACGAAGTATAACACCGTCGGTCCCTCTCGAGCAGGAGCCAAGTCACCATCGAAGATTCCCGCGCGCGTGCCGTTGGGGAACATGCCCCATGGGAGCAATTCGCCTGATCGTCGTGCGGGAACTCCCGGTCCCTACATGACTAGCACGATACATGGAAAGATGGCGACGTCTCGCGCTCCGCCCCCAAGAATGCGCGCATTGACGGGAGGTGAAGGCCGAGAGGAGAGAGCGAGCTATCTCTTTGAACCCCCCCGATGCGCCAGCGCTCTCTCAAACTCGTTTGTTCGACCTGTCAGCCCGGAGGATGTGTACGATGATCGCAACCAACCCTCCTTTATGAGTTCGTCGATCTTCTCCCAGCGATCTGCAGGATTCTCCCATTCCTCTCACTCATCGGCATCGTCGGTGTCCCTCAACTCGTCCACTCAGAACTTCCCACGCCCGAATCCCTACCTGCAGCACGCACCGCCTCCTCCAGCACCCCGGCAGGTGTCGGACGCCTCAACCATCAACACCGCCCACTCCGGGTCGGAGAACTGGGAGACTTTTGATGACGGGTCCGGTTCCGAAGCAGACGCCAGCGACATCTACTATGCGAAGCTTCGTGCCGCCCAAGGAAAGCGAGTTGCGCCGGATGAACAGTCCACTATCTCCCTGGCGGGGAAGAAGACTAAAGGCATCCGAAGCGTGAGTCCCGACGTCGCGCCCGCCAACATGAACCCTCGTTTCGTGCGAGGCAGCGATGCCGAATGGACGGACGACATGGAGGCCTATTGACCTCGCACTCTCCTGTGAAAATCCCTCTCGTTTGTTGATTCCCCCTCCTTTTTCTTAATTCCCCTTTCTGTCTGCTTGGTATCTCAGGCGCTTCTGGGAGGACGTGATTACGAGACCACTCGATACGAGCGAAAATGCCTTGAACGAGGCGGTTGACTTCTTTGTATTATGCTTTCTTTTGCCTTTTTCTGTTCATACGGTTTAATAATTGTTCGTGGCTTTCTTTGCGACGACGTGGATATTGGATTCGTTCTTCCTCTTCTCTTTTGTGACGGACTGGCCGGGCTGGCTTCAATGGTTTGTTTCTTTTTGTACAAGTCGCATAGCATGCTTTTTTTTTGTTTGTTTTGATATCCGCGGCAGCGCACTTGTTTTTTCTTTGGTTGATAGGAATGGATTTTTTGAGCTTCACTTGCGTGTATGACAGGTAGTACCGCTGCCTCCTATACTCCATAGTTTCTTCTTTCTAGTCTTGTTGATTCTACACATTATAGACCCAGTCGGGCTACCCGAAACCACGTGCGGGGTCACCCGAGGGCGATCCTGGCGATGTCAATCCTTCAAATTAACTCCTCCGGATGCCCAACTCCAAAATTGATCGCCATGGAGAACATGGGCATTGCGCGTGCCAGCCATGCTTGCTTACGGTGCCGACGACAGAAGAAAAAGGTGCCTGAGATGCTCCCGCTTGACAGACGTTCCGAAGCTGATGATCAAAAAGTGCGATCGAGGAATTCCCAAATGCTCGCATTGTGTACGAGCAAAGGCAGCGTGTACTATTTTCTCCATGGGGCTTGAGAGTTGATGATGGAGAGTTGCGAAGGACTCGGGCTGGGCGGGGATTAAGTGAACCAACTATGGAATAATAGATAACTTACTAGTACCGGACTGACTGACTTGGTGAGCTTTACTCTGGATCAATCCTATGTATGATACACTGTCTTCTTTTTATACCTTTAGTATGACAAATAATGTACAGATTGAGGTCAAATCAATGACCAGGACTGATTCTGACCACGATCACGAAGCCAACGATCCCATCCACGACTTATCCTCCGTCTGCATCGGCTTCCCTTGAGCTTTGGGCCTCGACGCCGAGCTCAGCTCCGACGTCAACTCCTTCGCCTCCTGCAGTCGACGGACCGACTCGGCCCGGCCGAGGATGGCCATCGTCTCCGGAATCCCGGGCCCCGGGGCGGACGCGGACAAGGCCCAGCGGAGATAATGGTACAGTTCCTTCTTGAAAGCCTTGTCGGCAGCGACGCGCGCTTTGCGCTGCTCCTCTTCGGTGAGGTCGGGGTTGGATTCTGTCTGTGCGCCATCGTACGAGGAGATATTGAAGCGGTGGGTTTCGATGGTCCAGTGGGGTTCGGGGACGAGGCTGAGTGCTGCGGCGGCCGTGTGGAGGGTGGAGATGGGGATTGTGTCTGGGCCGTTGGGGTTGGTGGCTGTAGATGTGTATGGGGGCCTGGTGAGAGCGGTGGTGAAGAATGTAGCATTGCGGTGGGTGAATTCAGTAGCGTTGGTAAAGGATTTGGCGTCGGCCTGGAGGAGGGGCGTGATGTATTCGGAAATTGGGCGCGACTGGAGGATTGGCGAGCTGGGAAGGGGGATTGTTAGTTGGGTGTTCTTGGTAGAGATGGGCTTGCTGATGGGAGTATACACGTACAGTTGAGCGGCTGGGTAGGTGTCTTCGACGACTCTGGTGACTCTAGACACCATCTCTTCGAATTCAGGACCGCCAGTTGCGGCAAATCGTTGAGCATGCGCCTTCTGCAAGAACCAGAGCTTCTCAAAGGCGACGACGGTGTTACCGCGGGTGATTTTGAGGTTGAACTTGTAGATGTTAGAATGGATGAGATCGTTTGGAATGTGGAATGAGACATACGATCTGTTCCAGCTCTGCCAAGCTAAAGATATCCGACTTTTGGGTGTGAGACCATCCCAAGAGAGCGGCGAAGTTCACCAGCGTCGCGGCAAAAACGCCCTGCTTGTCCTGGAAGTAGGTCAAGTCGATGTCGGCATTGCGCTTGCTGAGCTTCTGGCCAGACTTGTCCACCAGCAGAGGCACATGGCCGAACCGAGGCGGTGTCCACTTGAAGGCATTGTATAGCGCAACATGTAGAGGCGTCGAGGGCATCCATTCCTAAGAGTCCATCGTGAGTAGTTGTTTGCGATTGGTATTCCTCCCTGGGCGACTCACGGTTCCTCGAATGACGTGGGTGATCTTCATGCAATGGTCGTCGACCACATTGGCAAGGTGATAAGTTGGATGACCGTCCGATTTCAGCAGAATGGGGTCATCGTACACCCGCTCGATCAGGTCCAGTTTGTTGGGCGAGCGATTTTGTCCGGTCTTGCCATAGACCAGATCGTCGAACATCGGGTATCCTTCCACCTTCAGACGGACCACATGCGTTTCTCCATTGGCTGCGCGTTCTTCGGATTCCTCGGCGGTGATGTCTGCGCATTTTCGATCGTAACCCGGAGGTAGTCCGGCCTGGCTGCGATGTCTCGCGAAGGCGTCCAGTCGATCGGCGGAGCAGAAGCATCGGTAGGCGTGGCCGTTGTTGATGAGATCGTGGGTGTGAGTGCGGTAGATGGCAGTTCGCTCGGACTAAACGCAAGGACAATTCAAGTCAGATATATGTATCCAAGCACAATCCCAAGCCGTGGGATGTCTCACCTGCCGGTACGGACCGTAAGGACCTCCGATGGTAGGGCCTGCCAACCAAATCGCCTGTATTAGCAATCGTCGCGGATTGAAGATGGAGTTGTGATCGCGTATTGCTAACCTTCATCCCAGTGTAATCCAGCCCATTCTAGATCTTCGTACAACCTCTGTTCGGCGCCAGGAATCGTCCGTTTCTGCAGAGCGTGCCGGTCAGCGCCTTGTCCGTTCCACCATGGAATTGATCGTCCGCCGAACCTGATCCGTATCCTCGATTCGCAACAGAAATTGGCCTCCGGTCCGCTTAGCCAGAAGATAATTGAACAAAGCCGTCCGCAGAGATCCCAGATGCAGGTAACCGGTGGGCGAGGGCGCAAACCGAGTCCTGGCGGGCGAGTCGGGGAGGTTGGATTTCTTGGAGCCGCGCTGAGCAGCGGCCCTGGATGTCGCGACCGAGAAATAACGGGCGCTGGTGCTGCATTGAGTGCATATCCACGGGCGACGCGCTAGAAGACCCGGATGTCTCATGGTGACGGGGCGAATGGAGGGAATCTCGAGGAAGTGAAGGAGGGAAAGGGAAGCAATCGGAGGATCTGCGGCGAGAAGCTCCGACAAAAAAAGGCGGACTGAGTTTTCCCCGACTTGGGCTTTTTCTTAAACCCGCATCTCTCCTCCACATTCCACCCTCGAGCTTGCTTTGAGCTTATTGACTAGGCGCTTTAGACGGTTTTTGCTCGGCTTTTCCTATATTTGCATCAATCAGTATGTTTGCTCGTCTGCGATGGGAAGAAAGACCGCGCCAGCTAACGTGCACGCCGATCTAGTGTCGAAAGTCGAAGTTGACCTCTATGGTATGCTGAGCCTTGTGTTCCGATCCTTGCTTTGAGATGAATAAATACTTTAATTCTGTCTCATATTCGTCATGCGCTTCCGTTCAACCGCCGACAGTATAGCTAACCTGCGTCAAAACAGAGGTCCTCGAAATCACCAGCGACGCATCGAAAGAAGAGATCCGAAAGGCCTACCGCAAGGTATGACCGGCTTCCACGCGAAATCCACGATGCAGAGTGAGAAGAGAACTAAAAATACCATCGTTAGGCCGCTCTTGCCAGCCATCCCGACAAAGTCCCCGAAGACGAACGTGAAGCCGCCGAAGTCAAGTTCAAGTCCGTCCAGGAAGCCTACGATATCCTTTACGATGAAGACAAGCGACACCTCTACGACACGCACGGCATGGGAGCATTCAACGGCTCCGGTGAACCGGGAATGGGCGCTGCTCCGGATCTAGATGACCTTCTGGCGCAGATGTTCGGTGGTATGGGCGGTATGGGAGGAATGGGAGGTATGGGTGGTATGGGTGGCATGCCTGGGGGTATGCCCGGAAGCCAGTCGCGGAGGAGTCCCAACGAAGAACAGAAATACGAGGTGCGCTTGGAAGACCTCTACAAGGGCCGGACGGTCAAGTTTGCCAGCGACAAGAGTGTGATTTGCGGGCTGTGCAATGGCAAGGGTGGCAAGGAGAAGGCCAAGGCGAAGAAATGCTCTACCTGTGACGGTGAAGGTACGAAAATCCTGGGGAAAAGCTCGGCTATGAGTGGTGACGGAACTGACAAGCTTTTGTCTACTAGGTTACAAGCAGATCCTGACTCAGATGGGTCAATTCCTTACCCCCAAGACCGTGGCTTGCTCCACATGCAACGGACAAGGTCAATTCTTCAGCCCCAAGGACAAGTGCAAGAAGTGTAAGGGCAAGAAGACCACGGAGGCCAGGAAGATGCTGGAGATCTACATTCCTCCTGGAGCGAGGTGAGTTGAGATGTTACCCCGGTAGTCCATGGGGTCTCAGGTGCTAACGTCCTGGTTTAGGGAGGGAGATAAAATCATTCTGGAGGGCGAGGCCGACCAGGTCCCGGACAAGGAGCCCGGAGACATTGTATTCCACATTGTGGAGGAGGAGCATGCTACATTCCGCCGGGCCGGTGCTGATTTGACGGCCGAAATCGACGTCACCCTGGCCGAGGCGCTGGCCGGCTTCTCGCGAGTGGTCATCAAACACCTGGATGGACGCGGAATCGAGCTCAAGCACCCGCAGAAACCCGGTCAAGTGCTCTCCCCGGGTCAGGTCCTGAAGATCACCGGCGAGGGTATGCCCATCAAGCGCAGTGACGCCCGCGGTGACCTGTACCTGGTGGTCAACGTCAAGTTCCCGGATGAGAAGTGGCAGCCCGGCCCGGCCGTGCTGGAGAAGCTCAAGGAGATGCTCCCCAAGCCGGATCCTCTCATCGCGGCGGACACGGTGGACGAAGTCGAGTACGATCCCAAGGGCAATCTCGAGAGCTTCGGATCCAACGATCCTCAGGGCGGCAGTGCGTGGGAAGACGAGGACGACGAAGGCGAGACGGCGCAGTGCACGACGCAGTAGATTTTGGATTGGGATGTTTTGGCTTCACCGTTTATACCACTCTTCTTGATTTATTCATCCTGGATGGCATAGATTTCCTGGGATATGATATGAGTTGTCTGGCATTGGGGGCGTTTTGTCATGATTAGTTATGATTGCTATGTTCTCGGATTAATAGTAGACACTCTCCTGCCACCGAGTCTTTCTATCGACTATCTATCGACTTTCTATCGACATAACCCGAGAATAAAGAGGTGAAACTGAGCGTAAGATATGACGCATGCAACGTGGGGAGGAAGTGGGATGATCCCGTGGAAAAACCCCCATGCTTTTCTCCATAGCGTGGGGTCTCCATTTCTTCCTCTTCAACCCACCCGACCCGAAGTCTGCCTTCTCCAACGCCTTCACCATGGCCCATTCCTCGTCTTATTTAATTCCTGCTTCCCGTCGGACTTTCTCCGTTCGTCGGCTTTACGTTCCCGGCATTCGTCGCGCCTGATCTTACTTCTACCCATCCCCGGCCGCCGTCGTTCCCTAGCTTATCGCGCGACACTTTCATCTTTAGTTCTATCCTTTATCAATATCTCATATCTCATTCGGCAGACCAGCCGATGAAATTCTCGTCATTCGCCTGCTCCCTCCCTTCGTCCCGCCAAATAGATTCCTCGGCCGCAGACTCGAACAACGTGTGGGGAAGATCATCCCGAAATCATGCCGTGTGAACCCCAGAAATCATGCGAGGGCTGTTCCTGCGACGCGGGGACCAGTCGCCCGCCGGTGAACATTGAGGACTGCGAAACCGAGCTGCTGGCGCTGCGGAAGCGCACCGTAGAGCTCGAAAAGGCCTTGAAATCGGCCAAAGATGGCTCCTCCAGCCCCCGCGCCGCCCGCAAGGGGCGCAAACTGCGATCGTCCAATTGGTTTACGTGCGAAAGTAATCCCGGAATGATGGCCTTGTATATCGAGCGGTATCTGAACTATGGGATTACCCGGGAAGAGCTGATGGCCGGCAAGCCGATTATTGGCATTGCGCAGTCCGGATCGGACTTGTCGCCGTGCAATCGTCATCATCTGGAGCTGGTGAAGCGGGTTCGGGAAGGAATCCGAATGGCGGGCGGCATTGCGTTCGAGTTCCCAACGCATCCCATCCAGGAGAGCAGCAGAAGGCCCACCGCCTGCATTGATCGGAATTTGTCCTATCTGGGCCTGGTGGAGGTGCTTTATGGGTATCCGTTGGATGGCGTGGTTCTGCTGACCGGTTGCGACAAAACTACTCCGGCGGCTTTGATGGCTGCTGCCACAGTGGTATGTGCTTGCAAGCAATTCCTCTTAGTCAATCTAGGGATGCACTGACAAAATCTATCGCAGAATATTCCGGCGATCTGTTTGAATGTGGGTCCCATGCTTAATGGATATGTCAAGAATGAGCTGGCAGGGTCGGGGATGGTGGTTTGGAAGGGCCGAGAGATGTATGCTGCGGGAGAGATTAACCGCGAAGAATTCATTGACTACGTGTCTAGAGGGTATGTCGAGAATTTTCTATTATCTGGATTTTATCTGACATTGTCTAAGAGCCCCCTCCGTGGGACATTGCAACACCATGGGAACGGCGTCGACCATGAACGCACTGGCAGAGGCGCTAGGTATGGCTCTGCCCGGCTCGGCGGCCATTCCTGCTCCGTACCGAGAACGAGGCCAATGCGCCTATGAAACTGGTCTGCAAATTGTTGAGATGGTGCACGCTGATCGCAAACCGAGCGATATCATGACACGCGCGGCCTTTGAGAATGTGATCACCGCCAACACGGCTATCGGGGGAAGCACTAATGCCCCTATCCATATCAACGCTATTGCCAAGCATATCGGGGTGGAAGTCTCTCTGGATGACTGGGATCAACTCGGATTTCATATTCCGCTTCTGCTAAACATGCAGCCGGCTGGTGAACTACTAGGCGAGGAATATTTCCGGGCTGGCGGCTTACCAGCTATCATGGCGGAGTTGCTGGACGCCGGGAAATTGAATCCCGACGCATTGACCTGTAATGGCCGCACGATGGGAGAGAACGTCCGGGGGAAACATACCTGGGATCGCCGAATGATTCGCGCATACAATGAGCCACTGCTAGAGGATGCAGGGTTCCTGCACCTGCAAGGCACTTTGTTCAATTCCGCCATCATGAAAACCTGTGTGATTTCCGAGCAATTCCGACAGAAGTTTCTGGAAAACCCCGACGATCCGATGGCGTTCGAAGGCACTGTCGTCGTGTTTGATGGACCAGAGGATTACCATCATCGTCTTGAAGACCCGTCCACACCCATCGACGATCGCAGCATCTTGGTGATGCGCGGTGCCGGTCCGCTGGGATACCCCGGAGCTGCGGAGGTGGTAAACATGCATCCGCCGGGACATCTTTTGCGAGAGGGAGTCAAGTCCCTACCGTGCATCGGGGACGGTCGACAGTCGGGCACGTCCGGATCCCCGTCGATTCTCAACGCCAGCCCCGAAGCCGCGGCGGGAGGCAACTTGGGGCTCTTACGCGACGGCGACAAACTCCGAGTCGACCTCAACCGACGTCGTGTCGACATCTTGGTTCCTGCCGAGGCAATCGAAAAGCGACGTTTAGCGCTCGAAGCCAGCGGGGGTTATGCCGCGCCAGAGAGCCACACGCCCTGGCAGGAGCTGTTCCGGCGGGAAACGACGCAACTGAGCGAAGGAATGGTGCTGCGAGATGCGGTTAAATTCCAACGCCTGGCGCAGAAATATGACGAACCGAGACATAATCACTAGGGTCATACTTTAAAGGGGGCCCGGGTGCTCACCGCGAGGTGGAAGGGCCGCAATGCACGGGATGGAGGCCACCGCTCAACAACACACCGATGGCTACGCGGAGGGATCCTCGCGGATCCCGACTACCAACGCGGGGGTGGGATGAAGCAGAAAGAAGAGCTTGTTTGCTATCTAGCTATGGGGATCAATGCCTAAATACATGGTGTTGAGCAGGGATAGTGAGTGCCGCCGTTGGCATGCGAGTATGGAGTAAAGCGGAATTCGCTTTACAATACTTAGGGAAGTTTTGATTTTCGAGTACATATTTTGGCCATAAGCATTTTTCATCTGGATTTTTGAACTAATTGACGATATCTCCTTTCGGGTGTATGCTTACATCTATCTAGACTGTAGACAATATTCTCTACTGCTTCGCTGTGGCCTTCATGCACCACCTCGGCTGAGTGATAGCAAGTAGAGTTCTACTGAATCTGGAACGAGATGTGAAAGAAAGACGTCAGAAAATGCATCGTGATTGCATGATGATGATATCACGGCCTTTCTTTTCTCTCTCCCTCTCTCTTCTTTTTTTCTCTTTTTCTTTTTTCTTGTCCTTCTTCCTCTGCCTCTTTCTTCTCTACCCTTTCTATTTCTTTTCGGCTTCATCAACCTTTCCACTGTACCATTTAGTCCCATCTTGTTTTCGTCTACTTTTCAAAATGAAGACATACACAATTCCGGGGAATGCAGATCTCTCATTACATGGTGTGCCAGTGGACATGACAATATCGGAAGGAACAGCGCAAAAAATAGCCCAATCGGTTGCCACCTCAGCCGCGGCCTCCAGCATGTTATCCGACTTCATAAACCTGATCACCAGGACGGTCTTCGTCCTGGCCTATCTCATACTGCTGGTCATCATGATCGCTGGCTCAATCCTCCTACTGTGCGGTATTTTCCATTGCATGTTCGGAGAATCTGTAAGGAGCTTTCCTTCTGTCTCACTACCTCTTCCCTGTCTGTATGTATATGAGGACTGACATTGAAACGCCACAATAGGAGTCCCGTCCACATGCCCAGCCAAACGAAGCTTCACAACGTGAGAATGCGCAGGAACCCGAAGGTATGGCAGATCTGGCTTCATTCTCTGTCTGCGCTTAAGAATATCGGCAAAAGCTGATGTTCTATACTGATTGGCAGTCGAACTTGAGGACTCTGAGACGGACGATTATGAGAAAGATACCGAATCGCTGGTTTGAGGGGATGTCTTACTTTGGAGACTAGATTTGAGGAGTCAGATAGAGCCGCTTTTTTACTTGCTTTTCTTTGGGTGCTCCTTTTTGATTCCATGCTTATATCTGTGGGGTCCTTTTTCGTTTTCAAGCTTTGCTGCGGCACCGAGAGACCTTAGAGTTCTTCTATATCTGGAACGAGATAAAATAATGACGTTAGAAAATGGATCGGAATTCCACGATGTTTAACCCGCTCAGCTTAATTTATACTTTCTTTCTTGCTCTCTGGCCTTTCTACTCCTTCCGCTTCACCAATCTTTCCACCGAAAAATAATTTGATCTCATCTGATTTCTTCAATCTTTAATATGTCGATTCTCATCCAAGACCTCGTAAACATACCGGTTTGCTAGAACCTCCACCTACGCTAGTCAAGGTTTCCGTTAGTTTCCTAGGCTAAGAATCAGGCATCAAACTATTTCATTTCCGTTAAGAGGTCTTTCATCCGGGTCGGCCATTTTCATCGTTGCATTCAAGCCAACCCGGTGGACGGGGGTGCACCTTCTCCATTTGGCACAGTGCAAGTGACAGCAAAACATCGTTGGGAAACCCGGAACTTTCACTCCTTCTCAACGCCTTCCCTTCATCCCAAACCATCTCTCAAAAGCCTGGGACACTTTCACTTCATCATCCACGGATTGTATGAAGTACCTCTACCTCTTATCCTATGATTGATCGTGAGATTCATTCGTCTTTCTTCTTTCGGCTTCAGTCTTCTGCATTTGCGATATTTACCGACATTGGAGACACCTTTTCTTTTGGGGTAAACTACCTAGAGTGCTGATATCAGAATTGTCCCAAAATAGAAAGAATAGAGTTGTCTCTTTCTGCTTTGTCTTTGACTTGGAGGCAATGGAATACCCAAGCAACCAGCATCTAGCTTGTCCTGCATCAGGTGCTAGCCAACTATACAAGCATGCTTTTTTCAACATCACTAACCGCAAGTTGCACATAAGATCCATCACGAGGCAGATTAGGTAGGGAAGGGCCCTGGTGCTTGCTGGGATCAGGCAGTGTTTTAGGTTCAAGTGGTGACGGGCGAGTCGAGCAAGGAAATCCATGGCTTTGGATGGAGAAGTTTCAAGACTAATCATTAGCTCTGCGTGACAACATGTCATGAGGACTCAGCCATCTTCCCCCCGGATCGACCTCGTATTTGCCAGAATCCATGTTTGGAAGTGACACCTAATGTGTCATGGTTGAATTGGCAGGCTGAGGATTCGAGTGCGGCGATCGACCATAACCGAGTACGACAATGCCGAATCTGATATGTCGAATCGGGACTCTGCGAGTAATCAAGGGGGTTGTCCCTGGACTGGATTTGGGCTATAAAACTAGAGTCAGAGTTCGCTTTTTTCCTGTGATGATGGAAACGCTCTGGCTCTAGTCTGTTGGTTCCAATTGTGACTAGCATATTGACCTTCATGTATTTATTGTCGTCTCTTGTTCTCGTGGCTGCTACCGCTTCGGCAGTGGCGGTCAACTCGTCGGCTTGCCGGTGTTCTCCGTCTCAACCATGCTGGCCGTCCGATGAGACATGGCGGACTATAAATGAGTCTGTCTCAGGACGCCTCATAGCAGTCAAGCCAGTCGCCTGGCCTTGTCACGATCCCACGCTGGACAAGGCCTTGTGTAATGAGCGGAAGACGCTCAGCGACGATTCTTTCTGGCGTCGAGAGCAGCCCGGCGCACTGCAGTACCAAAACTGGGAAGCCTTGCCGTCGTCGAACCAGAGTTGTTTCTTTGAAACTCCTAGTTCGGTGCCTTGCGGTCAGGGAAGAGTGCCGGTGTATTCCGTTGTCGCCGAGACGGTCAACGATATACAAGAGGCAGTGCGGTTTGCACGGGACAAGAACCTGCGTCTGGTGGTGAAGAACACAGGCCATGATTTCCTAGGCCGATCGGGAGCGCCACATTCGCTACAAATTGCTACCTTCAAGATGCGCGGCATTTCATTCAGCGATGACTTTGTGCCCGAAGGGGCCCCGGACAGCCACGGTCATGGATCGACGGTGACGGTTGAAGCGGGTGCTGTTCTGAGCGAGATCTACCCGGCTGTGCAGGAAGAAGGAAAGATAGCCGTACTGGGAACGGTGCATACAGTTGGCGCTGCCGGAGGATATATTCAGGGAGGTGGACACTCGCCTATTGGTTCCTGGAAAGGCATGGCATCTGACAATGCTGTCGAATACGAGGTGGTTACGGCAGATGTAAGAATTTCTTCGAGCATGTTTGAAGGTTGTGAACGTGGGTTGACACATCATTGTTAGGGTGATCTGGTCACGGCCAACCAGCATCAACACCGAGAACTTTTCTGGGCTTTGCGTGGCGGTGGCGGAGGAACATTTGGAGTTGTCACCAAAGTCACTCTGCGAACCTTCGACGAGGTGCCCACGGTGGCCGTGAACCTGACCATTTCCATGCCTTGGAGTCCAAACTCCAGCTACTGGCAGTCCCTAGCGGAATTTAGCTCGCATATCCCTGATATCAACGACGAGATGTGTGCAGGGTATTTGCTCCTGCTGCCAAAGCTTCTCTGGGGAAATTTCACCGTCTCTGTGCTACAGATCGACGCTGTGTGCATGGATCAGTCCTCGGCAAAAGTAGACAGGCTATTTCACTCTGTTCTCGCGCATATTAGCTGCCTACCTGACGTTACTGTCACCTATAACTCGACCTCTTACACTACCACGAACCTGGCTCTGAATAATTTGATCAGGCTGGGGAGTAGCAGCGACCAAACCGGTGGTACAGTCATCCTAGGGTCCCGTTTGATCTCGCGTGACTTACTCCGGTCTTCCGACGGAAGTCAAGATCTCGCTAGGACAATTTCCCAACTGCAGATGAGCGACGGAGAAGCGATCCTAGCCCACTTCGTGGTCGGAGGACAAGTCACCGAGAATGCGGACGTGGAGAGCGGGCTGAACCCGATCTGGAGGGATACAGCAATGAATGTTATTTGGACACGCTCCTGGCTTCCTGGCGCCTCGGTCAAGGAGATCCGCGCCGTGGAAAAACAAGTCATCCGTGAGGTAAACATGTTCAAATCCCTCGAGCCAGACATGGGGGCATATTGCAACGAGGCAAATCCCAACGAGGTGGGATTCCAAAAGTCCTTCTGGGGGGAGAACTATGCACGGTTGTATGAGATCAAACAGAAGGTAGACCCTCGGGGTTTGTTTATTGCTCGCAAGGGCGTTGGGAGTGAGGATTGGGATGATCAGGGTCTCTGCCGACAGGTAGCTTGACCAACCGTTGCAACTGGGTACTAGAATGTAGCAAGCCTAAACTTTAAGACTTGGCAATTTTCAACACACCGATTGTTCGTCCTTCTCATAGAATTCCTCCGAAGAGGGGAAGTAGAAGAGCTGTACCCCATTGAGAATGTATCTGCATGCGTCTCGAAAAGGCAAGCTTAGAATATCGATTTTTGCCAGCAGGTCTGACTGGCTTGGGCAACGGACATCAAAGTCGTATTGTATGGCTGACGAGATACAGACAGTTGAGTAATCTCCGGATGAGCCACTTTCATGCCGCTGGCTCAGACTAATCTGGCGGTGCAGATGAAGATGCGCCGGTTCTTACTATAAGCCGCATACGCTTATATGGCTGGTGGCTGAGGCCAGCGTTCTAAATTTCAAGTAGATTAGGCGGGAATGTCCTCGAAGAGCATAAAGTTCTGGCGTCATAAATCACTTCGAAAGTTGACCTGCTTATTTGACGTGACGGTCTCTGAGTCAGGGTTCCAATTACACAGAGCCGACCTGCTGATCTCACTAAGCTTTACTTCGTACGACGCAGCGGAATAGATACTGTAGTTCTTTTGATGTACGTGGTTGTTGTCAACACAAAATCGTTGCGCGTGTGATAGACAGCGGAAAGTCAGCTCAAGGATTGTGCGCCAAGGCCGTTCCTGGGCCAATTTCCAGGATGCCCTAAATGCGAAAAGATGCTTAGCGGCTCTTCCGCTTATGTTACTGAATTATTGATTGACGGTTGCTAAAAGATGATCGGCAGGTCAGCAGGATGGCGATAACGAGAGTTCTGGCGATTCGAGTGCCAAGAGGCCAGGGCCATTCCTTCAGGCTGGCGGATAGTATGATTTCCCAACCAATTCCGAAGTCGACAACATGCACATGGCCGTCAGCATTGACCTCCAGCAAGGACAAGTCAATAAGTTCCGGCCAAGACGGGCGTTATCGGTCTCGACTTGCGAATTGTGGAAATTAGGAATCCAACGCAGACGATCCGGACTGCCAAGGGGATTGACTCATCGGAGGGGGAGCGAGGTTTCGTAAAGGAGGAGAGAAGTGGATAAGCTGGAGGGCTGAGACTGCGACTCCGACTCGGAGGGTGACGAGTGAGGGATTGAGAAGAAAGAAAATAAAAATAAAAAAAAGTTTCGCGGTGGGTCACGGGAAGGCCCCACCCTAGACTAGGGTCTGGGCCGGCCCCGTGATTGCTGGCTTACATACTCCAGTGTTATCAAAATTTTCGCCTTAGACCGCCTCACAGACACTTTCCTTCGTTCAAGGCAGCCACCTATTTTTTATTTTTCTTTTCTCCTTCCTACCCACCCCTGTCCTATATAATTCCATCTATCATGTTGTTGACTTCCATTATCGCCCAGTCAGATTCTCGATTTCCACCATGCGCTCCTGACGAACAATAACGAAATTTCTTGTCTTTGATTCTTTGTGCGTGCGCCGTGCGCCCTGCGCCGGGGACTGCTGCATCTCTCCTGATCGTCTCCCCTGAATCCATCTGCTCTTGCTTGGTCGGTGTCGTTTGCATATCAGCCGATTTGTCCCATCCAACGCTCAAGTCCCGACGTGGTGTTATCGGTCTCGAACCTGTCGCAATCGGTCTTCCTCGGGAGATCTTGTCCTACCCGCCACAAGTCTAGAACGACCCCTCGACACCTGTTCCATCTTCATATACTTGCACACCGCAATCTTCCACCCGGCTTTGCTCCCTCGATACCGCGGAAACAACCAAGCAGTGCCGTTTAAAATTGTTCCAGCGAATCTTTGCCCGGAAGCATACAAGCACACAACCCGCAACCCACCTTCAACTTTTCTATTTTCGTTCAGGTCATACTTGTTTGCGCTCGGTCAAGATGGACGTCGACCTATAAGTTCGCCTCGCCTCTCCTCGTCTTCTTTCTTTTCGCATCGCATCGCGTCGCATCTTCTTTCAGTTCCCCTCATCAGCAATTAAGCGTGTATATCTTTCCTCTTCTTACTGTCGGGCTTATCATGGCGCCCAACCTCTTCCTCTGTTTGCGGATGGCTCTCTGCCCCCTCTACTGGTTCCAGCGCGGGGAACGTATTCAGGGATCCATCCACCGCGAAGAACACTGGGAATCTCCTGTCCCGGGTATCTACAAATACATTCCCGGCCGTGGATGGCACCTGATCTGCAAGGATGGCAACGAATACGACGAGAAAGCTCCAGTCCCTCTGGTTTATTGTCGCATCCTTCACCGCCACATTTTCGAACACGAGATGGAAGAACGATGCCAGTGGCATTCGGTCACCATCGACGGTGCCGAAACCGAAAGATTTTTGTTCTTCCGCCTGGACGATGGCTGTACCTACGTGACCGGATGGGACGCTAAAGGCAAATTCATCCCGGGTCCCTACCAGAAATACTACTTGGACCCGGAAACGCACACCATGCGTCACATCCTGTTCCCCGAGAGCGCGAACGTCTCTCGGTGCAGCAGCATTCTCCCGAATAAAATGGAGTAATTGAACCGGGGAATCGTGACTTTCACTGTGATTCTCGTGTACGAAAGTCCGATCGCATCTCGACTTTGGACGGATCTGGTTTTGATTCCACAGCTGGTCTCTATGGATCATCAACCAACCGAAAAGTGATTTTTCTTCTTGAGCGACTACCACTGAGCGTACCAGCGGGTGCTTCTTGACACCATTCTGTCAATGTTTATCTTCACTTTTGTTTTCGACATACTGCTGTTTAGGCTTCGCGATGGCGCTGGACTTTGGCGATAGACCTGGGATAGACTTATTTCTTTTTTGCTTTTTTTTTGTGACTTTAGATAGAAGGCGACTTTGTTTTCTCTTTCCCCCTTTATGATACCAGTATTAATGATCTTTGACGCGTCACGGTGGACTCTCCAAAATAGTGGCTAGAAAATAAAATTTTCAGATATAGATTCAATAATTTTTTCCCGGGAAATCTCTTCGTCCAAGTGAATCAGGTAGCAGCGGAATAGAGTATGGTCTCACCGAGCCACCGACACCTCGTATGCACGACGCACATCTCGGACAGGTCACAAATGCAAGCTGCAGAGGGTGTTACTTCCGCTGCAGGCGTCGCCTCCGACGGTATCGGTATCTGTGATGTGCATGCATATCGCATATCGCATCTGTACCTCTTACCTGGTCTCAGGGATCGACAAAAGCCAGACGGATGTTTGATGTCCGAAGAAGTTTAACGACTTATCGTGTCCAATCACGAGGCCCACGCCCTCCCTGCCCTACACAGTTCAGATTGTATAGCCAGCTGGAGGGTGGTGGCCAGCAAACTGTCCAACTTGTTTCCTTGGTGTCTATGTGTCTGACCCCTGGTGCCACCAGGATCGATGGCTACCCAATTGCCATACATGTTCTAAGATTATTTACTCCGTAGGCTATAATACTTAATTTTTACGCAAATAGATCAATGTGCTTCCCGCTCTAAGTCTGTCTGCCTTTTTAAACTAAGAATACAGCTCTCTTAAATCCGCTTTAATTTATTATTTTTCTTTAAAAAAAAAAAAAAAAGAAAAGAAAAAACCGATATCACTACCCTTATATTCGGCTACTATCATTCATATCTTTCTGGCGGACCTTCAATTCAGGTTTCTCTACAAGTCTGTGTCACTCTTTTGCTGCCCACCACTGGCACCAAAGAAAGGTCCTAGTGCACTAGAACAAGGCGTGATGGTCTCCTATGTTATCTTCCCTTTTGCCTTTTTCTCAGATAACCGTATTACATCAGGAACTGGGTTGCTTCTATCGTAAGATGATGTAGTTATCATGAAGTCATGCTCGGAAGAATCGAAAGGTTGACGAATTGTGACATAGTTGAATACTCTGTGACTCACTCATTCACCCTTTACCAACCACTCTGATCAAGACCTCTCTATACCTCTCATAAGCTCACAATCAAAGAGAATTCAGTTTATCTCGCGAGACACTCTCAGTTACAAGTATCGAAGTATACAGCAGCAACCTCATCCAAAAGAACATCATGATGGAGTGGGTTTGCGATTGGTTGGACACCTTTCTGTCGTCTAGGGAATACTCCCTAGGAAGAGAAGGAATGTGGGAGGAGGCACAGTTACTGCGCAAACGCAAGCATGGGTATAGAATCCCCGGCGAGTGGAGTTTGAAATTGCTTAAAACCTTCTTTATAACCGAGTACAACTTACGAGGACTGGTGCAAGCAGCAGCTGTTCAAGAATACCCGGAGATCAGAGAAAAGTACCTACTGAATGTGAAGAAGCTTTACGGGATGGAAGTCCTCCTCCCTGAATCACCAGCAGGAAGGTCTGTTCTCTCACTTCGACGACAGAAGAACTGGTATCTGTCTGATACTCTGCGCGCAGCGTGTGCACGCCAAGGGGGATGCTGTGGCCGGGCTTGTGGCTGCTGTGAGAAGCCGAGAGGTATGACTACATTCATGGAAATGGGCCAGGGCCATTATACAAGTGCCTGCGGATGCTGTGCAAAGGCACGGGGGTTCGAGATTATGTTTACGTATCAAGAAAGTGATACTCATTCTGCCTCTTTGATACGAGCCCTTCGATGCCCGAAGCAGTATACAGATGTTCTGGATGCTTATGTATGGGGCTTGGGACAGGAAAACTAATAATATCTCTTAATGATTCGAGGTTTTCCTTAACTGACACTTCTCATGGACGCACCTATTCTAGACATATCTCATTACTTTCGGCCTACCCAATCACAACTTTGCAGCGCCATTCCCTATCCCCTTCACCACCAACTTCTCCAATTCCCGTCGCGTACCCTCCTCCATCCCTGCGCGCGTCGGCCTCATCGTCTCCCGCGCAACAAACACATGCGTATACCCGCCCACCACCTTCACGGCCTCCTCGCCCTCCTTGAACACCCCGACCTCGTAGGTGACGCTCGAGGAGCCCAGTTTCGCAACCCGCAGGCCCAGCTCCAGGACGTCGGGGAAGGAGACCGAGGCAAAGTAGTCGCAGTAGGAGTTGACCATGATAGCGACTTGATTTGAAACGGGCGCGGCGCTCTTGTCTTTGTCGTTGTTGTTCATGGAGAATGGGTCCATGCCGCAGCGGTCGATGAGGTAGGTGTTTACGATGGAGTCGAAGAGCATGGCGTACACGGTGTTGTTGAGGTGGGCGTACATGTCATTGTCGAACCTGGGGGGTATTATCAGCGTGAGGTAATGGTTATATGTAGGGAGTATAGGGCTGGGGAGTGGAGCGGGGCAAGTTCGATAGTAGTGGAATGGATGGGGGAGATATTGTACCATCTTGTGCGGTAGATTTGGCGGAAAACATAGTCGCTTCGAGTGCGACTCTTTTTAGCTGTGATATCTGGGGAGGGCATGACGGTGAGTGCGGAGAATGAATGCGATGGAGAGGAAGCTCTGGAGTACTCGGGCATTCTAATACGCTAAAGATCCAAAGAAGCCGAGGCTCATCGATGCCGACGGAACCTTTCCCGATAGGGACTAGCCTGGGGGATGGCCGAAGTGGGGAATGCCGATGGCGCTGCTTTGACTTCTTTCATTCATTCTTAAATTCCTACACCTAAATTCCCTCTTCATTCTGAAGCATTCCTCACTAGAAGCTCACGCAACAGGCCCGTAAAACTTGAATTTACCCTCCGGGTCATACTTGTCCTTCAGAAAGCTCAACTTCTTCAGCCTCCATGCTTCATCTCCATACCAATCCTCCGGTTCCTCGAGCCCCGATGCATAATTGACATACGCATGCAGTCGCTGCTGACCACTCGCTTGGAACAAGATTTCCCGTAGACCTTCCCCAAACTCCCTGGCCTTGTCGTTGAGCGCCGGATCGGAGTATACAACGAGGGGTGCGACAAGCAAAGAATCTTCTCTGAATGGAAATGCAGTGGACTCCGAGGGCACGGCCTGCACGCCTTGCACGGGGTATCCCTCGAATATGATAACCGATTGGTTAAGCCCTGGCGTTTCGGATGTTCCCTTGGCAAACGCGTCGAAAGCTGCTCGTTGCGCTTGGATGTCGTAGGACTGAAGGCTGAGCGGGAAGCAGACATTGCTCATGTTGGCTTTTTGGCAGGTAGGGGAGTCTTTGGCCGTCATCGCCCATGATGGGACATCTTTGTATGTTCCGGACCCGGAGCTGACCACGAGCGGACCGAGATCTCTCAGTGGGATGGTATATGCGGAGTCGACGGTGGATTTTCCCTGCTGGAGAAGGATTAGAGCGACAACAGGCTGTTGTTGAGCTGATTAGCAGGACAACATGAATTGGGCTGGGGAGGTAGCCTTACATTCGCTGGGTCTATATTGGGGTTGCGAAAGAAGGTTGAGTAATAAACTAAATCTACCGCTTGGCCGCCGTCGGTCGAAAATCGATTGATACGATCATAGACACCTTCAACCTTGTCATGGGTGAAGATATAATTCTCATATGACCATAACCCATCGTAAGGCACGTCGTAGATCTTGGAAGTAACAGAAGTCACGACCCCAAAATTATGGCCAGCGCCTTGCATGGCCCACCACAGATCCGCATCTGAATCGGAAGAGACTGTGCGAATGGTCCCATCGGCAGTCACCACACGCATCGAGACAAACTGATCCGAGATGAGGCCATACCGGCCCTGCAGGAAGCCATGGCCACCACCTAATCCGGGTCCCAGGAGACTAACGCATTCGCAGCCGCCAGTCACTAGTAGCCATGTCTCATCAGCAGATTGAACTGAGCCCAGGAATTCCCAGAGACATACCAGTCTGCTTTCCAGATTCCCACAGCGCATCGATAACCGCCTTTGATTTCACACCCCCGCCAAAAGTAGCCGTTTCGCCATCCCCCGATATGACAATCGAGTCAAGCTTATCTAGCCAGATCTCGATGCCATGCTGTACACCCCCCAAGGTAGCAATGGTACCATGGGCGGTGCTCACAGCCAAGAAGGAGATGTCCTTGGCATTGGCGTATTTGATCTTGCTCCATGTCAGACCCTTTCATGATATTTCCGATGACAACTCACCGTTTCAGCTACATCATCTTCCTGCGCAACTTGCACAACCACCGTGAAGTTGGGTGCTCCATATTGAGAATACCGAGCCGTAGCCACGTCGAAACCCGGAGAATCTGGGAACAGGATCTGAGCGCCACTCGAGAGCTTCGGACCCAGGTCCGCGATAATGCCTGGATGCTGGAGTGCGCTGGAATGGTTGATCCAGGGCAGGGAGGTGTTGAATTTACCCAATGCCCAGGCACCGAGAGCCGCCACTACTTCCATTATGGCGTATATATATGAGCTTCTTTGAAAAGGCCATAATAGAATGTAGGCAACGAAGACAGCTCATTTATTCCTTACTGCGTACGTCTTCAGCCCTGGGTGTAACCCATGACGCCAAGATGTCATACGCTTAGCCATCGGAGCCGATGTCGGATGTCATTGGACATGTTCAACAACTGTGTCACATATTGTCACATAAACTCTGTAGATGGAGATCGGAGGGATTGAAGAATGCACCATGAAATGCTACAATGAAATATGGTAGACACAGTATATGAAATTTTATAGAAAATAAAGAATTAAGATATCTCTTTTTCTTGTACTTTTTTGTAGAAAGAGAGCGCGCTCGCTAAATTATAAATTAATTTCTTATCCTATTTTAGCATAGAAGAGAGAGGCAGATTTATAATTTTGTTAACTACTATTCTGGTAGTGTGTATTGGGGGGAGGAGGGAAGGGGAAAACAGGACTTATCTATTTCTTAATAAGATAAGAAATGTGTGGACTTCTGTCTGTAGCTCTCCAAGTGTCATGCCATTCGTACCTATACTTGACTTGCAAATCTGCGTATTACACGGAACTCCAGGGGGGGGGCCGTAGACGCGGCGGGCGTGTGGCAGCTGTCTTATGTTTGGTTGTGTTTTGCTTTTTGATTATTGTCTACTGCGTACTGCGATTGTGGGTGAGGGATGGGGAAATTCTTGAAATTCAAAAACCCCTTCCCTACGATTCTTAAACTCCCTGCTCTGCCTGCTGCTGCTGCTGCTGTTGTCTCGCTGATGAAAGATCCACCAAGCCCACGCCTCTCACTAGAGCCGGCACATTTGGCTCCTCGCCGTCTAATCCCTCCGGAATCGTGCCATGTCCGATAACCACCTCCTCTTCAGGAGGCACCGGAATCCAGTCGGGGACTTCGCGCGGCCCATCAAAACCCGCCGGCGGCAAACCCCACTGTGGCATCTTACTGCGATATTTCCACTCGCCCTCGTTGTCCGAGTAGGCCACCGCATGCAGGAAGATGCCCAGGTCGTGCAGCCCGGGGTCGGTGTAGAGTTCGGTGCCGCAGACGTCGCAGGTCTCGCCGGAGAGCAGCTCCCCTTTGCGCTGGTGATACCGGGCCACGGCGTCCTCGTGTTCCTTGGACATGATCTTCTCGACGACGGAGGAGTCGGTGCCCGGCGGCACCATGGGCGCGGCGGTGAAATGCGTCTTGTAGCTGACGGTGTCCGGCGTCTCGGTCTTTCCCATCGTGTTTAGCCGCTCGATGATCTCGGCGTCGCGCTCCGAGCCGTCTTCCATCTTGCCCAGCTCGGGGCCGAACACGCGCCGGTTCGAGTAGATCGGGTCGTTGGTGATCGGGTGGCCCAGGAACTGCAGATGCACGCGGATCTGATGCGTACGGCCCGTCAACGGCAGGCAATGCACGACGCTGTAGCCCTCCGTCTCGTTCGACAGCATCGGCGGCGGTGTCGCGGGTCGCTCGCCATCCGCTGAATCACCACCAGACGAGGCAGTGCCAGCGAGCTCCTCCTGCGTCGGCGGCGGATAATACGCCAACCGTCGGAACTTCGTCGTCGCCTCCTTACCGGTGGCCCGAACGCGATTCAACCCGACCTTCGGGCTCACCGACATGATCGGCTGATCACAGATGACCACGCCGTCCGGGAACTTCCCCTTCACGCGCGCCACGTACTCCTTCTGCACGGTGCGCTGCTTCAGCTTGCCCGCCATCTTCTCCGCCCCCTTCGCATGCTTCCCGATAAACATCACTCCGGACGTCAACCGATCCAACCGATTACAGGGCCTCGGCGTCCAGTCGATGCCATACTGTGCACGCAGGATCTCAATGATCGAGTTATAGTGGTACCGACCGGCCGAGTGAACCGGCACGCCGGCCGGCTTATCAATGACCATCAGGTCGTCGTCTTCGTGGATGATGCCGATCTCGTTGGCCGTGACAGGGGGTTCATGGCGATGCAGCGTGTGCGAGATGACCTCACCATTCTTGACGACGTGGTGCGGGCCCACGGCTTTCTTGTCCACGGTAACCTTGCCGTCGATAAGCGCTTGCCTCTGGAATCTTGTTAGCCCCTGCCCCCAATCATTCAAGTTGCTAGCCCATAGGCCCATAGACCCATATTCACTGGGGATTCAGAGAGAGGCAGGGGTGAAACGTACGTAATACTCCGGCGGCCGATCCCTGAATTCAGAAATAAAGATGTCCACCAGCTCGCGGTTGCGCCACCGTTCCTTGCAGAAGGTATTATAAGTGAAGTGGTACGGCTTGACGCGCCGAAGCCCCTTCTCGTAGTAATACGGTGCCGGCCAATTCTTTTTGCTCGACGCCGTGGTATTCGTCGTGGTGATGCTGGAGGTGGCCTGTTCTTCCTTGGGCGCTTCCTCGACGGGGGCGGCCGCTGCGGTCGGGTCGGCCATGCTGCTGGGTGCAGGGAGAGAGACCCTGCCTTGTCGCAGCAGCTGCGAAAGGACTCGAGGGTTAAGGGTTGGAAAGGGAGGCTGAATGGTGAACTTGGGAGAGGTTTTGACGTGTGTTGGTGGGAGGGAGAAAGGGGAAAAAATTCGAGGGGAATTTTTCGGGCTGCGGGGGATCTTATCGCAGATAACGGAGGGCTGGTTGTGGGTATATATATTGGACTACCACATCAAGTCCCTGGATTTCAATTGACATAAAGATAAATCGTTCTACATTGGAACCTCTCACTACGTTGGAGATTTCCTAGTTTTATGACTTATTTCGCGACGCTGTCATGTGACCTTGTCTATAGTCAAGGTTATTGCCCTGCTCAAAATAGTTGATCATAGTCTACGAATCTACTTATTTCGATTGTTAAGTTGATCATTTATTCGTTCCTAAACGGTGTTGAGCCCTCGTTTCTTCCATATAGGTGAGGTATTCATTTTCCTTTTTCATTAGGTGGCATTGAAGCTATTTAGACTATCTAGCTCACTGCCCGCCCTATTTCGATTATTCGTACTGATTCGGTGACCAACTGCTTCCTAGACCACTGTAACAATCCATTACCATGACGATTCCGACATTCCGAACAATGAGACCGGAGAGCAAGTATAGTCATCGCCTTCCTTGTATGCCAGTTGCAGACAGCAAGGCATCCGAAGCACTTATGGATTTCTCATCAGCTCTTGAGTCAAAGCCAATATCAAAACTCTTACCGACTTGATCGACCGGTATGGTCAGGAACTAAAGCACGATAAGACGAAAGAAGAGAACGAGTTTATCGCGTTGTTCGCTACAACGACTCAGAGAAGCGTATATACACTGATTACGACGCGTAAGGATATAAAGCACCATGAACGAGTTCCTTGAACCTTGCCAAACCTCCTTGGGCTGTGTTATAGTTGCTTCGGGCCTTTAACAAAAGCCTTTGAAGACTGCACAAGCCAAGAAACTCGAGGCGTTTCCGTGGATCCATTTCCTATATGGATGGCGATGTCGTTGGCGCATCTGCACCTGAAATAGGCGCCGGAAACAAAGGAAGGCGTGCGACGAGATTCTGCTTCAACTGGTGAAGCGCCCGCATAGCCTGTTGCTTCGATGGGCTTTATCGGGTTAATAGAATTTTGATTGATTGATGGATGATTGATTTCAGATCTGCGTTGTCTAGGCCTCGGCCTTCAAAACCCTTAGAGCGGAGATCTTCTCGCCTCTGCTTTCTCGTTTTCTTCTTGTCGTGGTCATTTTGCCAAAGTAGGCATGGGGCCTGGAATGTTCATGATCTTGAGCGTGGTTGCAACGGGGAACATTTACATAGATAAGCATGGTCGATACCTGCATATAGAATGTGTATGACATGGCATCATGACTGGCAAACGGTAGACCTCTCAGGTAGAAGTCACGCATGCAGCATTCTACAATCTAATTACCTTTCCATGCAACGGAGTCGAAGGAAAGCAGAGAGAAGATCATGCACATAATCTGAAATTCGTTACGTTTTTTGCTTTTTGCTTTTATCGCCACGAGAATTTGATTCAATTCACGACCATACAAGAAACCGCAAGCGACACCTGCAACTGCCAGAGCGTTAAGAAAATCCCCATCGTGTAAAAATTTTCCCCCAAGGTATAAAATGGTATTTGGAAAGAAATGCAGCAACGACGAAGTAGTGTTTGCCACTTGCTCCGCCGCTCCCGCTTCTTCTGATTGTAAGGTTTCCAGGTAAATTAAATCATTTAAGCCTCGGTGGTGACGCGGCCACGAGGGTTGGTGACCTTGACACCGAGGGCCTTGGCCTTCTCGATGATGTCGACACGCTTGCGGGAAGAGACGGCGTGGCCGATCCTGAGGTAAAGGTTAGTGTCATGTATTTGCGAAGTCGAGGTTGGAGGAACGTACTCAGCAGCGTAGGTGCGGTTGTGCATGAGGAGCAGCTCAACGTCCTTGGGGTTCTGGACGAGGAAGGCCTTGTGTCCGGAGGGCATCATGTGACGGGTCTTCTTGTTGCTTCCGTATCCGATCTGCATGTGAATGCATGGTTAGTATGAGATCGGTCTGAATGCGCGACCCCGCGAGGGGCGGAGACGGAGGAGACGTACCGAGGGCATGGGGATGTTGCTCTTGAAGCGTCTACGGACACGGTTGTCGATACCCTTGGGCTTGCGCCATGACTCGCCAACGCACTTGAAGCGGTCGGACTGGTGGCGCCAGAAGCGCTTGGTGCCTGTAAACCAGGGTCAGTTTGACTTTTCTCGATCGGATATGGTTGGCGTCGTGGTCGGATTGGTGGCGGACAGGTTGTCGGAAATTCTTTCTGGGTGGTCAAGACCATCGCAATCCAGATGTCGCCCAGCAAGTCAATGTCAATCGGTAGTCAAAATTTTCACTTCGGGTTCACGTCCGCTTCTCTTTCATCGGGCCAGGTGATGTTTCAAATTCGATCATTGCATAAATTTTCCTCCCAACCAATTCGCTCGCAAATCCAACTCTTCCGGTTTCTCTTCTTTCCATGATTGACATCGCTTGCTGAGGATAAAAGGATTGGACTGGACTGGACTGGACTTCGGGCAAAATGGGCAGGATAGATCTCAAGGATGGCAAGGCAACATACGCTTCTTGACGATGGGGACGTGCTTCTTTGCGAGGACCATCTGGACGAAACGATAATCAGTATGAGGCGCGACGAGGAGAAAAAGTCGTGGTATCCGGGAGAGTTCTCACCTTGTCGGTGTCGTAGGGTCCGTGGCTGGCGCTCAGAGTTGTCGTGACGGTTCGAAAACGATCTCAAAAATCGTTCGCTGAGGTTTGGCCGAGTCGGCGCTAGTGGCTCGCTAAGCGAGTCCCGTTTAGAGCGATTAGGGCTCGCCCGGGCAACCCTGCCAAGTCCCGGCATTTGCTGATGTCATTCATGACTAATTCTATTGATTGCATTGTTTTCATCTATTCTATTCTATGGCGTACTCTTAGTTATAAGGGCTAAGCACGAAGGCGACACCGTCTAGATCTGCAACTCCAGTCGCTTCCTCTCCCCGTCCTCCGAACTGCTCGTGAACATCCCCTCCATCACTTCCAGATCTGCCAGCGCTTCTTCCGGTCGCAATGCCTTCGCAATGCTGGTTCCTGCGACAATGCTCGCTCCGAACGCGCCGATCTCCTTGTTGACGCAGCGACCCTCGAAGGGTACCTCATACCCAGCTCCGTTGACCGTCACTCGATCCCCATTCAGCGATACAACGCCCCCCTCGCAAGTGAATTCAAACGTGGAATCGCTCAATGTCGAGCCGTATGAGATCGAAACCACGCCTGTCGCGCCCGACCGGGTTTTAACGGCTGCATCTACGGTGTCCACGGGAGCAAGATGTTGTTGCTGCAAACATGACTGTGCAGAGAGCGTGGCGAGAGGGTCACTCGAGCCGAGAATCAGCCGCAAGCCAGCGACCATATGGATACCGCCATCGAGGACGAAACCGCCCTGATACGCGGGCGTTTGACGCCATTCCGTTTCTGCAGAGGATCAGCTGAACGGGCTCTCTTCAAGTTCAAACACAGGCGCGACGATCCGGCAAGAACCTACTGTAGTATTTGGAGTCCGTTTTGATCAAGTTGCGCACGTTGACGCGGAAGTTCTTGACTCCGCCCAGCTTGCGCACTTCCTCGGCAGCGCGCACGAATTTGCTCACGTAGCGGAAGTTCTCTGCCACTGCCCACAGCGTCTTCGTGCGGTCGACGTTGGCTTCGTACCAGGCTATCAGGTCCTTCGCCGTAGCCACGTCTTTGGCAATTGGTTTCTCTGAGAGGACATGCTTTCCTGCTGCAAGTGCCTGGCGGATGAATTCGGGTTGAGCAAGGATCGGCAGACTGTCGCATAAGTATTGGACCTCGTAGATTAGCTCCTTGTTCAGTACCTCGTATGCTTGACTGAAACGTACGCGATGATCACCGCCGCGACATCCTGGCGCGACAGCAAATCGGCATAGCCTTTACCAGGACCGGCATCCTCCGAGTACAGGTCAATTCCGGAGACGCCGGTGGCGAGGTTTTGCGCCGATTTCAGGGATCGCGAATAAATGGCCTTGAGGTCGAACTCTTTGGCCGCTTGAACACCGGGCTAGCACGTTGTTAGGCCCCACTGGAATATGCCATGATGTGTATTGTAGGGCAATGATGCCATACCAAATGTTCCTCCCGTGCGAAAATCCCTGCCGTTGGTCAGTGAAATTGAGTTCTTCGGATCATCGATGATCGCATACCACTTCCGATGATTGCAACGCCCACCGACATGATTGTATGGTTTTCTTGTGATAGATCTAGTAAGAATCAAGAGAAATGTGTATATATCATCCAAAACGAGGTATTCACAAAGATTGACGGGTCAACGGGTCTCGTCGGCGGATGTGTGGATCGAGAAGCCCTCCGGGTTCCCCGTATCAAATATAACAAAATCCATCCTGAGCCCGGTGGGTCAAGTGTTAAATTAGCTCCAGACCCCGTTGGCGGGGTTGAGGAGGCGATCCCAAAGTGCTGCCGGACTTGCCAAACGCAATGCGAGTTCAAAACAAAAAGCGTCGTGGAAAGAGAGCATGCATGTACAGATGAATTATAGCCACCAATCCAAGTATAGCCAATATAATAGATGTAAACCAATATGAACAACGCCACGGTAGGCCGCAGAGACACTAATCCTTATCAGACACATCGAAACGATCTTAACCAAACGCCATGCCAAAATGCTGTTCGTAGTCTTCATGGGCGATGACCCCCAATCCATCAGGTCATGTCTCGTGTCAAATCCAAAAACTGAGATGCGTGGATGCCACCAACACAAGGGTATAAATCACCAAATGAAAATGACGGGCCAGTATCCAAAACCAAACAGAACGATATGGGGTAATCGGTGAAAATAAATGCCAAAAGAGAAATATAAAATCCAAGAAAAAAAAGGGTATCGAAGGTTGGTCAGCCGACCAAAGCCCGGATGCGTTCGACTCTCTCCATTGCCTTCTCCAGACGCTCAAGGCGGCTTCGTTTCTCGACATCTCGTCGTTCCAGCACTGCGACTCGCTCCTCCAACTTTGCTCGCGCTCTCCGTTCTTGAGCAACCATCTCGTTGGCTTGACTGAACAGCTGCGCCGTTAATTCCTCCAGTTCGGTATTGGCCTGCGTGAGTTGCGATTCCGCTTCCCGACGCAAGTTCTGCTCCCGGTTTAGAGCATTCTGCCATTCAATCCTTTCGTGTTCCGGGGGTTGCGGCGGCGAGGGCGGGGTTGGAGCGACAGGCTGCGCCGGCGCTTGTGGAGGCGTTGCCGGCGAGGCACTCGGTCGGCGATAATGGAGAAACGAGGTCAGGGTCGAGAGACGACCCCCCTGTTGGGTCTGCGAGTGGGATGATTGAGGCGGCGACAACGACCGATCGACTTCATTGGACTTGGCGGAGGACAGGGACGACACGGAGGAACCGTTGCGGGAGTTGTGCACGGCGGCCTGAGCGCGCAGGCGACGGACTTGTTCTTCGTACTCGGCGAGCTTTTCAGCTGTTTAGGATGATGGGGGCCAGATTAGCATGCAGGGTCAACTCCCGGCGTCATTGCCAACGCAGGAAAAGCGTGGTTCGGCTCTTACCCATGTGTGCTGCCTGGACATTCAAGCATTCGATATGGCCCTCCAACTCATGGACTTTTTTCTGGGCGTCGGGAGGGAGGGGTTGCGACGGAATGCCCGCCTGGCCACAGGTTGGGCAGCTCTTCCGCGAGACTAAGGCTGTCGCATCGGTGATGGTGGGAAGCATTCCGACCAGCGTGGTAGACGTTAAAGCGGTGGCCGTAGTCGTCGTCGACATTATTCGTAAGGCATAGGGAGCGAGGAGAATTGCGGAAGAAGGGCTGAGGAGAGAAAAGCACGAGAGAGGACGAAGTTGACGGAGGAAATGAAAGGGTGTCGCAGCGATGGATCCGTGTGTCGCGGAAAGGCCCGATGGGAGTCCGGATGAGCTGGCGGCTAAATAACGAATTGAGGAGGAGAAACAAAGAGATTAGAGAGAATGAAAGAACCCAGCGAACAAAGAGAAAGAGAAAGACTGGTAGAAAAAGAAAAGAAGAAGGCGAAGTGTCGAAGAAGGAGAAAGAGACAGGAGAAAGTCGGTGGATGGATTAATTACTGTATCCCGATCGTATCAGGCATTCCAGGCATTCCACCGTCTCTCGATTCCTTCCGACGATTCTTCACCTCGTCCTTCCCTGATCGCCCTTCCTCCCCCGGATCTCTCGCACGTGTGGATCGTCCGGCGCCACTCGTGTGAGTTCATGACTCGTCACTTTTCAGCCCTGGTACTCACTTGTCTCAGGCTACAGGGCTGTTTCTCGAACGAAATAAATCCCAGTATACACCATGATGCCTGGATGGCTCAACAATGACTGAAGAAACAAAAGTCCATCGCAGATCCAGCCATTAACTTGCAGCATGCGGCATTACCCCCTTGCAATCATCTGCCTAACCTCCATACAATCCCAGTCGCCAGGGAAACCCCCAGCCCTCAGTCGCTACAGTCAGGTACGGAGTAGTCCATGGCGATAGATGCATGGTTGCTCTTCATCCCTTGCGCGGAGATACGGAAGTTATGTTGTTACTCAGGTACTATCGCCGTCGGGGACATCCCTTGCATTGCAATGATCTTCATGACCCAATGAGATCATGGGACAGAAGTCAGGCTCAAACGTCAAAAGGTCGCTTCATGACTCCGCTTATATTAAATCCCAACTGCGGTCGAATGACGCCACTTTTCTGTGGTCTGCACAATGCGAGGGACGAGGCTGGGTGATAACCCAGGGGAACAAGGAGTATTTCTGCTCAGATTTCTGTTTAAGGCAACTCAACAGCGAAAGGCAAAACCGTTTAGTTGCGCAGATATCATGTCGAAATGTCAAAAGATAGCCTACTTACGATCTTACAACTGAAGAGGTGAAACTGAGGATCCGATGATTTACTCTAACAGCTTGCCTATACTTTGTTATAAACATGATCCCGCAAATTTGCAATTGAATGGACTTTTCCCTGCACAGCAAGAACTAAACAACCCTCGTGTCTTCATCATGAGTCAGCGCGCTCGAAGCATATGAAAACAAGAACGCTACTTCATCACCGACATAAATCATCACTCATTATCCAGAAACAAAACCCTTTTTCTGATCGGCCTCGTCCATAACCATAAGACTACTGATTGTCTACTAACCCCAAAGCCTGGAGAATAGTCCGGTCCGTTAAAGCAATGACAATCGCCGTCGCTGCGCTCATGACGCCAAAAGCGCAGGTCATAGTTGACCACCCGCCCAAATCCATGAGCAGTCCCGCAACCAAAGGTCCCAGCACCTGGCCTCCCGACCAGGCGACGTTGAAAAGCCCGTACGCTTGCGCCATCGCGCCTTGCTTTCCGAATATACCGGGGTGCGCTTTCTCCTCGCCCTCGACAAAATGGTCGACTTCGGTCATCAAAGCGACCATTTGCATGGTCGTGGCGATACCAGCAATGAATAGAAAGATGTAAAGAAGAATCTGATCATGAGCGGTGTTTTCTGTGATCAGACGCAGAAGCAGGAAAACTGGACAACCGAGGGAGAAGCCCAGGAATGCAATGAGTCGAGGACCACAGCGGTCGACGGCAGCGCCTATGTGTACTTTCATCAGTGTTGCCCTAATGTTGCGGTATTAGGGTCTACATACCAACTTGGGGCGAGGAAAATGATGGGGCGAATAGGGGCAGAAAACAGAAGCCTATCAACATAGGGCCCCATTTGAATGTTCGCATGACGTACAACGGAAGAACCTGAATAGCGAGAGCAGCAAATTAGAGACCAGGTCCAGCACAGACACAGGATTTCATGGTGAATACACACCGTGTCAAAGGATGAGTACATCATGGCTTCAACAACAGTCGCCCCCAGAGCAACAAGAACTCTTCGAGAGCAAATGAGACGCACCATGACGGGCATGGATGATACCCGTCCACTCGAGGCAGATTCTCCAATGTTATCTACTAGCAATTGAGTGCAATCCTCGGATGACTGATCCGATGAAACTGATCTTGCAGTCCCATAGTGGATACCATCCCCAGGTGCTGCATCCAGCAAGCTCTCCGTTTCGTTTACACCTGGTTGGGCCCACTTTGACGCCGTCTTCTGCTCAATCATAAAGAGACGAAGGAGGATGTCCAGAACAACGAGTCCAATAGCCATGACAAACACGGCATGGTATCCCAGCCGCGATAGCCTAGACCTTTGGTCAATGACTCCACAGACGATTATAGATATGCTCAGGTCCAAGCAACTCACATAATACCACCGATGAATGGCCCAAAGACCGTTCCCACTGTCATCGCCATGGAGACATACCCCATTGCAGCGCCAACCTGGTCCTTTCCCACTGTGTCCACCACAAGGGCCATCCCCACTGTCCACACCACCGCCGCAGAGAGACCCTGTAGGGCCCGCGCGATTACCAAGGCCGTCAACGTCGACGCGATCCAGAACATCACGGTCGAGCCACCCAATGCTGCCAGGCCGATAATGAAGGGTCCTTGTCGGGAGGTGCTCTTATCGGCGAAGTAACCAAAAATGGCTATAGTTGGTTAGACGACTGCCGTTGCGATCAGGCGAACTCAAACAGATAGGGACAGAACTCACGAGAACCAACAAACAGCGCGCCACCAAACGCAGCCAGCAAGATCGACATCCATTTCTGCACTGCGCATTCATGTCAACAGCGCTCTAGACAGCTTCTAACTCGACCATGGAGTAAACGTACACTCGTCGTCCGGCACTATCACACGCGTTTGCAAGACTACCGGAAGGATCGGAACGATCTAAGACGATGCAAATTAGAGATGTCGTGCTTCATGCTGACCATCAACTGGACACGCGTACCATGCCATAGATAAAAACATCCTTCACTCGCACATGTCAGCAAACCACACCCTCGATCTACCTCTCCAATCGACATCCATACCGTAAAGACCGCGATCGACACGACCGAGATCACAAACCGCTTGGAGGAGCGAAACTCCAAGTTCCACGGCGGCTCCGAAACCGGCCCTTTGGCGTCGTGGAGTCCATCGGCGTGCATTATGTTTTCTTATTCTAGGAGTCGGAGTAGAACAATTCGGATGGGCGGAAACAACACAAGAAGCAAGAATCCCGCTGGCAAACAGACACGAGGATACGGAAGCGACAGGATCAATAAAGAAAAAAGTCAAGAACGAGAAACGAAAGATGAAAACCCCCCAGTCCGTCGCGGAAAATGGCAGCTTATGCCCAATGGCGGAGGCTGGTAGAGCTGAAAGCCGATGCTCAGCTTAGCGGGGAAAAGGGATCCACCAGATTGGCAGATCAGACGGTGTGCTTGATTAGGCAGTGTTTTCCAGGTGATTACCGACTCTAGTGTGTGCGAGATGCAGAGGGCCTTGTTTCTGGTTCGGGCAGGGAGAGACTTCGTATAGAGTACTATAGCAATGGCATCGCATTGAGTGTGGTCGTTTGCTTGTCTTTTGGCTACTTGTCAATGAGCTTACTTCTGTGCTGAGGAGTAAGGTCTACCAATATCAAACATCCATCCTTGGTCATTTCTTATCTCTACTTGCTCTTCCCGAATCATACGGTGTTTCCCCACGCGGATCCACTATTCGTCTGATACTTCGTTCCGATCGAGTGTTGACATCCTATATCGGATAAAATCGCTCACTCTATCAGCGAGCCCCCACGCATGGTTTTATAAACTAAAGTTGAAATTCAAGATCAAGGCAGTATTCATTGTATACACGAAACGTACTACATGCATAGAAAGTCCCTCCTCCGACAGGAGCTCCGTTTATGTCTACCAATGGCCAGAGGAAGGGACCAACAAAGTCAAAGGGGGAAAGGGAAACAGGGTTGATAAGTAAGGTCTTCTAAATTCAGGACTACCTGCGATTTTCCATTCTTTTCTCATTCGGTTGGCATTACCTCTTCACGCGTTGCCGAGTCGTAATCTTATTCGCATGAGTGTCTCGTCAAAGGGACATGACTCCGTTAGAAGAACACGAAAAAGAAAGAGACTCCACACACGCCATTCCCCGATCCCAAACAACAACAATGAGAGATGGGGAATCATTCGACAAGGAAGGAAATAGAAAAAAACAAGGCCAAATCACGATAAGCAAGGGATCCGTCGCAGGGCCGCAACGCATCCCGCCATACCGGCCGTAATGGTCATCGGTGGATTCACCGTCCGTCCATATACAAGGGAATCAAGCAGCTCGCATCGAAGTTAGGAAAACAAAGGGCAACAAAACATGTGAGAAAACTTTTCAACGTGCCGACAATGGTAGTAATGACAGGGCGCAAGTCAGGGGAATCTTTGCCCGACGAAAGAGATCGTGAACCAAAGGAAGAGTCGGAGAGGAGAGAAAGCGACGATTGCAGCTTTGGGAGGGAAAACAGACAACCATCGAAGATAACCAAAACAACAAATCGGAAAGGAAAAAAGAAGGATCAAGGAAAAAGAACAGAGAATAAAATAAAAGAAAATAGATAATCATATCAGCTGAAACAAGGGCGAATGATCAAGACCTAGGATCGTGTCATTATTACATGACTTTGAGAAATCCCGAAAACATCCCATCATGCGCAGGCCTCGAAAACACCCTCCCTGTGCAAACGCGGCATTGGAATGGAAGTTATGGCTGATTTGGGGGGTATCCATTTGATCTATTTAAGATCGGTTCGGTCCACGACGGTTGTTGCGCTTACTCGAGGGTCCCACCGTGTTCCAGCCCTCGTCATCCGCAGCCTCGGCGGGCTGAGCAGGGCTCCTCCAGCTGCCATTCGACTTGCTCGCGGCCTCTTTCGATGCTGCGTCCGAAGCAGCGGCCTCCTCCTTCTGATCCTGATCGGCAGTCATGCCACTCTCATCCTCGCCGGCCCGCCGGAGGATCTCGAAGTTGGTACCACCCTGAGGCGTCTCGGCCGTGTCCTTGCCGTTGGGGTCAGCGCCCTCAGTCTTCGGCTGCTCCTTGGCTTGTCGCTGCTTCTCGGCCTTCTCGGCCTTCGCCTTCTCGTCGGCCTCCTTCTTTTGACGCAGAGCTAATTGACGACGCTCCTCGACTTGCCTCTCGCGGGCGGCAGTATCGGTCGGTCGCGCACCGCCGAACGGGCTGGCCTTGGACTCGGTGGCGGGAGCAGTAGCGGGGGTGGTGGTGGGAGCGGCCTCGGGGACGGTCCGTTTTTGGAGGTTCAACTTGGGACGGGTGGCGGGAGCAGCGGCGGCGGGAACGGGGGATGTAGGAGCGGCTGCAGGGGAAGTCGGGTTGCTGGGTTCCTTGGCGGGGGCCTGGTCGGGGCGCATCTTGGATCTCCAGGAGTTATCCAGCTCGGCCGCAGTCGGGGCGCGTTCCTGGAATTCACGTCGCGGAGGTCGGGAGCCGCCATCCTGGGAGCGTCCTTCACCCCACGCAGGCGAGCTTCGTCGGAAACTAGATCCCTCGGCAGCGGCCGGACGGCCCTCTCTGACCGGTCCACTTGTCGGAGAAAGAGGACCCTTGCGTTCCCAGTTGCCGAAATCACGGAACTTGCCGTCCGACTCGAAGTTGCGACGTCCGCCACCTGCACGTTCGCTGCCGGCATCGGACATGTTGTCGAGACCACGGCCAAAAGCGGAGCGGTCGGGCACACGACGCTGAGGGGCATCAGGAAGGGGACCTCTGCGAGTCCAGTCGAACTCCTTGACGTCGCGCTCCTTGGCTATCGGGACGGTCAGTTGGGTCTATCAGCCGTATCGAACGCCAGATACGAAACACTTACGGGGCTCGGCAATGCTAATTCGGATGGCCCGTCCCTGCAGGGTAGCGCCAGAAAAGTCAAGAGCCTTCTTCAGACCATCGACAGTGTCAAACTCGACGTATCCAAAGCCCTTGGGACTGTGGGTCAACTTGTCCTCCACGATGCGGACATTCGTAACGCCACAGTCGACAAAGAGGTCAGAGATGTCGGCCGAGGTAGCGTCAAAGGACAGGTTTCCGACGTGAACGGTGTAGGGAGGCTCCGTGGGAAGCGGAAGGGGCTCCCTCACGGCAAAACCGCGGTCTTTTACCCTCCAGCGTCAGCGACATGTCGACCTTATCGGCGCAAAAGGGGCGGGATTCCATACCGTTGAAACTACCTCCAAAGCCAGAGGAAGGAGGACCGGCACGGCGGTCACCTCCGAAGCTGGACTGCATGGGGGGAACTGCTGGATATTTAGACCATGGCCGTCGCAGAAGAAGAGCGGGAAAGGGCAAATTTCGCAGGAAGTGTGGGTGGGTTACGCACCGGCTAGAAGACCTTTGTGTCAGTAAAAGACCACCAAGATTACAGAGAAGAGAGTCGTCACTTACCAGGCATAGGCATGTCATCCATCTCATCGGCCCACGAGCCCAAGTCTGTTCTCATTAGCAGCGATCACCCCCGCGGGGAACTAACGGAAACCTACTCTCATCAGCCAAGAAGGTGCTGATGGACATCTTCTGGGCTTTCTGCTTTGCGGGCGCTGCACGGCAATAGAGTCAGCAGCCATCTTCAACGCAGCGACTGACCTCGATGGGGATAGCGAGACGGATCAGGACCGTCCCCGGGGTGCAGAGGAGGGGTTGAAACGAACCCATGATTGCGGTTGATGGAAATCCAGAAACGCGCCAAGGGAACCTGTGCGCGTCTCACGCAAAAAAAAGGGTAGTAAAAAAAGATAAAGGGACTTCCGAGACGGAAGACACGAGGCGATTAAAAAAATGACGTTTGGGTGTCTGGACAGAGTGATGTGCGATGGGGGTTGCAGGAAGCTCCGCAGTGAAAGAGCAGAGGGGGGAAAGTAAGTTAATCCGTGAGGATAATTTTTAGTGATGACGCTAGAAAAGTCAGCCTCCAAAAAGTGTTGGTGCGGTCTTTCGGTCTGCGCCTCGACCCAATCCCGAGGGCTTTTCTTTTTTTCCTTTTTTTCTACTTTTTTTTTTTTTACTTTGATTTATTTTCTTTTTTTCTTTGGTTCCTGGGAAAATTCAATGCGCATCAGGTGTTATTTTACGGGGAGGGATTAAATGTTTAGACATTATTTTTTTACACAATTTAAACGAAAGCAGAAGATTCAATTGTTCCTTTTTTTAACATTTTCCTTTTCCCAGGCGAGACCGGGGCTGTTACTGTACGAAACCCTTTCGGTTGGAATGTAACTGAATTCGTCCGGGGTCAAGACCACCACTTCCAGCGCAGTCGCTGCATTCCACATTCCTGGAGGAAGAGTCTCAGGCACCGATCGATCGCTCACGAATGCGTTTACCCACCGCAGAATGCAAACCTTGACCGGCAGTCAAGACTCACCTCAATGGTTGCTCCGTATTCCGGTGGTATTGTTTCTGCCTCTTGGCACGACTAGCCCTCGCCAATCCAAATCGAACCAGTCCAGATGGAGATCCCATTGGTCTGGTCGTCTGTCGGATTCATTCAATAGATTGGTTTTATTTATTTATTGTTGGTACATGTGCAGATATCCGACTGTAAGACTCAGGCTCGTAGTGAATGAATTGGAAAGTCCTGCCAGCAAATGTGAGATTATATAAGTGCACACGTGATTGGGTCACGTGCATAGGGACCGTCGCCGACCGATGCAAATGGATACTTACATCGACGGTGATTGCAGCCAGTGAGCATCCGACAGGACATGCTGAGTGGTTCCAGTTGACAGGATGAGTGGGCAAGGTAATCAACCGCCGGGTTTGCAACCCAATGCTTTGTTGTCCGCAGTTAAGGTGGGCGCTCTCAGTGGTGAGTATCGTCAATCCTCGCTTCTATATTTTATGTTTCGACTCTGGACGATATCTCCAGGACGTCGGGGAGCAACAACTACCACCACCATCCCTCGTGAAAAAGAAAAAGAAAAGAAGAAAAGCGCCGGCTTGATTGAATAACGGCACCATACTGACATACATTGCAGGCTCCGCGGGGCTCGTCTACGGTGGCATTTCCGGTGTGCTTCGGTCTCAGCACCCGGTGATCCATTCGATTTCCTGCGGTATCCACTGGTTTGCCTGCGGAACTTCCTTTTGGTGTGAGGTTCTCCTGCTTCTCTGGACCCCGAATTTCTACGCGATACTGATCGGTTGGTAGGGATAAGAAATGGCATCCTGGACCTGCACTACCAAGGCGAGGCGACTCCGCGACAGCGCGCTTATGTCAGCGCCCTGTCTGGCGGTCTCGCCGGCGGTGCGGTCACGAGACTAATGGGTATGCCCTGGAAATCCCCTATTGACATTGACGCCGGAAGAGGGTCGATGATCATGATGCTTAGCTGACGCGTGTGTCCATAATAAAAGGAGGTCGCCTTGTTCCAGGGGCTGTGATTTTTTCGATGCTAGGCTATCTCGGGCAAGGCTCGTACAATGCGATCGACACATGGCAGATGGAGCATGCAAATAGCCCGTCAAAGCCAATCATCCAGCGCATAGCCGACTCGAAATGGATCCCGCTGAGGTCTCTTTCCGACGACGACTATCGCGGTATGCTTAGCGAAAAATTGCTGAGTATCGAGGCCGAAATGAGCCTTATCGACGACAAGATCGAAGAACTGGAACGATCCAAAGCCGATTCAGGGTTTGCCCCGATGCCTGCCGAGCCTGCGGAAAAATGATCGCATAGATCGAGCATTGAGCAGCGAGGCGCTATTTCCAGAGTGATGCCCCCGATCGCTTTGGAACCCTTTTCGACATGTCGGTTTGGACTATTTACCAGTCGGGGCAGATGATTGGCCGAAGTCCGGGATATCCTCCACCCCGTCCGTTTGAGAGTTATCCATTTGAAACCGGGCATCTGAAGCGTTGAGGGCGTTCGCCATTGGATTTGCCTCGCAGGGGAAATGACGTTGAGATAGATGTATGGGACCCCCTGAGTGATCTGATCCATGGGGAGTGGATGGATCATGAAGCTCGGAGGTGCGAAACTTCGTCCAAAGCTGGCATCTTGTGGAATAGTATGTACAATAGCGATAATAGAGAGCCGATAGGTCTACTATGGATCAAGGATCATGTCATTGCCAAGGGGGCCTGGTGAGTTGTAACACCCTGGATGCATACCCAGAGATGCCAACCCGTACCAATCGCCCGCAGTCTACCTACGTAATTCCAGATTCTAGGAAGGAAGAGAGAAAACAAAAGAAAATACCCCAGGTAAAACAAAACAAGTCAAATCATTCGTATCCGTACATCAGGAGAAACCGGAGAATTCCACACCGATTTTATTTATTTTTTCTTCCCCTAGACGAAGCAGCCCCAGTTATTTCTAAGCAATGCCGAGACAGCCGGGTTGGCCAGAATGCCCCGGAAGACCAAGTGGGCGGCTTTCCGCTTCCAGTTCTGCCCGCCTGTCGCCTGTCCGTCTGTCTGTCTTTCCGCTGACATGCTGGATAGATCTATGGTTCGTCCGCCCGTATTCTCTGCCTTTCGCTTACTCACCGTTCTCTCTCGTCGCCCAGTTTTCCTCTCGTCGCTGAAAAAGCATGACTGATGTGCGATCTGTACGGATTTACTGCGACGCTTCTTCGGCTGCTGTGGAGTTGCAGGTCCTGAATTGAGACCTGTCCCTTCGCCGCATCCCGAGTTCTTCGGACTAGACCTCGATCCCTTCGGGGTCCGGTCTGCCCCGGGTGGTTTCTCGAGACCAGGAAACTGACCCTCATTCTCACGAGCTTCGTCCTAGGAAACACGTTACGGATCGGAGTCTCTCGATGGTTTCGGTTTTGTCCTTTGCCCGCCCTGTTCAACGGATCGGTCTCCCTGATCGCGAGCCACGATGACGCTTTTCAACCCGACCACCGTACTCGTCGGTTTTCTCCTTCTCTACCTCTCCTCGTTCCTGATCTTCGCCATCGTTCGAATCGCGACGGGGATATCCATCCAACGAATCGGTTACCTCTCCCTCCGCCGCATTGCGTACGCTCCCAAGGAAGGCGTGTTGATCGAGCTGCGTGGTCTGGGACTGTCTCTACACCCTCCGTCCTTTGCTCAGCCAACATGGCTGAGTCTCCGATTGACCGACCTGAAGGTGACACTGGATCCCTCCGTGCTGGGGAAAAAACAAGGAAATGCGAAGAAAGCCGACGTGCCGGAACCCCAAAGCTCGGAGGAACTCGGTGGTTCGCAAGACGGGGAGGAGGATTCCGCCCTCCCCCCTCGGAGCAAGACATGGAAGACCTTAACGGGACTGAAGGAACACGTCAAACGACTCCATCGGAAGATACACTGGTTGAAATTGGTGGACGTTGTGGCTGTCAACACGACCGTCAACATTCTCGAGGCCGGCCAAATCCAGGTGGGATCTCTGTCCCTGGCGGTGGATACGAGGCGCAAGATGGTGGACAGAGGAAAGGTTTTTCGCCGCAAGAAGGACGAGTCCGGCGAGCAACACCCCGCCGAGTGGATCATGACGGTGCAAAATGTCCTGCTGGCTGTCGATGGCGGAGAACCGACGGAACTACTGGATAACGTCGGAGTCAACATACACGGACTTCTTCACAAGGATATGGATGGTCTCAGGGATGCCTCCATTGCGGTCAAAATTGGAAGGATGCATATACCGTACGACGACTTGACAACGCTCATGCAACGCATTAAAAAATTCCGGCAGTCTTTCAAAGAACCCTCGGACGACGACCTGGAAGATGAAGTGACATTTGCGGATTTTGTGGAGGAGCTCGACCGGCCCGGAAGTCGCGACGATACGATTGTTCAGACTGTCGCAGATTCGAAGGAATTTGCCAGTTCTCTTCTCCGCGGAATTCAAGAAATCCAAGTGGCATTGAGTTTCTTCCGATTGTCTCGAGCTATTCAACCATCTTCGGCAAAACAGAGCTCCGTGTACTTGAACGTCGTGTCCCATGAACTGGGAGTGGACCTCCATCGGATGGACCAGAAAAGCCCGGCTCATCGCATGTACTTCCAGCGCAATGACGTTGCTCACCAAGCCCTTCTTGCCGCCATATCCTTTTCAGTCAGCTTGGATGACAGCTCGGGGGAGACAGATAATATCCTTTACATCCCCATGGCGACTACCACTATTAAAACCACCCTTCCTTCGAAAACAATCAGCTCATACGATGAACGGAACCCGGAAGACCGCAACACCAATATTCTGTTTGCGAATTTGGTGGTCACGTCTCCTTCGCTTGACCTGGAACCAAGACATGTGTCTCGGCTTCTGGGATTGGCCCAGGATAGAGCTTCCACGAGAAGTGGAAAAAAGAGAAGCAACCATAGGCTGATCTCCCGACTGCTACCAAAAGCGAGCATCAAGCTCTCGGTGCATGAGCCTGTGATTCGGTTCGTTCTTCCGATCTCCGACGATTCATCTTCCAATCCGGAGGACGATTACAACCTCCTCATCTCCTCCATCTCCTCTATCTCACTTGATATTGAATCTTCTCACTCTACCGAAGGCAGCGTGCATTATGCACTTTCTTCCGTTTATAGGGTTGCATCTCATCAGCTGTATTACCAGACGCCCTCCGGAGTTAAGCATAATTTACTCACGACGGAGAATCTTGAAATGAAGGTTCATTTGAGTGCTTCTCCGGAGGTGCGAGTGATCGCCTCCGGAAGCCTGAATAAATGCTCCGCCCACATGGTGAACGGTGACGTGAATCATGGGATCCAACAGGTCATCGAGCAATTCCAAGCCCAGGTTCGGCCGAGAAAAAGAATGTCTATGTCGCATGAGGAGAGGAAGCCTAGCATTCTTAGGCGGATTCCCTCTTGGCTGCTTCGCCTTCAATTTGAGGCAACTGGCTTGAGCTTAGAAATTGCCGGCGTTGATAAGAGTGTTTCCGAGGCGTCCCGTGGCGTTTCCCTGCAGCTTCAGTCATGGTCCGCAGACTACAAGGCCCAGAAGACCGAGTCTCATAATATCAGCTTCGCCCGGCGGCGGACTCCAAGTCATTCTACCATCGGCGACGAGTCACCGTTCAGGTTCCCTCCAACATCTCCACCCCGACAAACGCAACATGGTGCTGCAGATGGGAGACGACTAGCGCTGCATATACGAGGCTTTGAAGGCTTTGTCATAGAGTCAGAAGACTACTTGGAATCGGAGCCGTTCATCTCGCTGCCCAGATTTGAGGTGGCGCTGAGCACGTTGAGCGACCGCCTCGGACCCATATTCAACATTAATTCCGTCCTGAAAGGTGTTTACCTTCAGTATTCTCTGTATCGCTATTACTGTCTGGGGGTTGCTGTCTCTGTTCTCCAGAAGGCTTTCGCGCGCCAGCCGCCCGAATCATCAAGCCAGGTACCACCTTCGTGGGAAGCAATGGGCCCTGCGCCCACTTCTCCACGCCCAACGGTACAGCGAAGTGAGCTGATAACGGTCGATGCGAGAGCTACCGTCATTCAAATCAAAACTTCTATGCCAGCAGACCCTCCGATGCTCTTACAAATTTATGGGTTGTCCGCTGGTTCCCATCGACTATCTGCCCCCTTTATGAGGGCCCATCTGGTCCGGCTCCACGCAGAGGCGCCCAAGTTGAAGGGTGTTTGGGCAAGGATAATCAGCATGAACAACTTTAGACTTGACCTCCGGACGATGAAGTTGAAGCAGGCGATGGGTTTGGTCGAAGAGAAGTCGATTGATGTATGGGCCGATTTCATTCGCATAGGTGTGCCTCATCATATGGTCATGCATCGCATATTCGATAACATCATCAACACATCGAAAGCGCTCAAGCAACTTCATTACCGCTTCAAAAACCATTGTTCGGATTTCCCTTCGGAGAGGGACCCGGAGGAGCCAAAGAAAGTACCGAGAGTCACCGTGCGCAGCAAAGCCTTGCTTTTCGAGCTGGAGGACGACGCCTTTGAGTGGAAGCTAGGCTGTATATACCGAACTGGTCTCCTTGAGCAGCGTCAGCGCTTGGCTCGGCAGGAGGCGTTCGAGCTGAAGGTGCAAAAGATCAAGGAAACTGGACAGCGACGTGGCTCCTCTAGATTGCGAACCAGATCGAGCCACCGAACACTCCGCAGTGAACGTGCAAGCCAAGACACCCGACGCAGCAAAAGTGCCGACCCAAAGCCGCGGGACGACGATGATAGTCCTGGCGCCAAACGCGGACGAGGGAAAAAGTTCCGTTACGACGCGGAGGGTGCGGCTTGTCTTTCCTCCGAATCTAAAATCTCCACAGACAGCGCTTGGTATCGTCTGCAAGAGCATCATGCGCGGAGCTGGAAAAAGAAAATCGACGCCGCCCTGCGCTTCCAAGGTACATCGATAAAGGAGGTGAGGAATCTTTTCTCCGGGGCCGATGAGCCTCCCGAAGATGTCGAGGAAACTGAGACGGTGCTTTCTATTCCGAATCGACCTGCTCTCCTGGCTGCGTTGATAAGCGACATAAACCTTACTATAGACAAGCCATTCTTTCCACTGGACCAGTACCCCGAGTTTCTCCACAGGATTGGCAAAGGCATACCTATGTCGACACAGTATGCTTTGCTTATCCCGATGAGTTTCCAGCTGGAGATGGGAGAAGCCCGTGTCAATCTACGAGATTATCCCTTGGACTTGTTGCATATCCCAGCTTTGCGACCCGGGCAATCTCCTAGGCTTCCAAGTTGGTCACTTCGAACGAATTTTGTTATCGCCGAAGAGTACCGTGATCTCGAGTCAGCCAGAAAAGTTCAAGTTGAGCTGGCTCCCTCCACAGAACTTTCAAATGGGTCTATAAGTCCAGCCTTCACGATGGATGTCTGGCGATCTGTGTCTCCAGTAAAGACTTACTCTGATCCGACCATTCAAATAAATACCAGTCTCCCAACCAGCATCTCATGGGGCATGTCCTACCAACCAGTGGTTCAGGACATGATGAAAATCATAGAAGGATTCACCAAACCAGAAATCGATCCCTCCGACAGGGTAGGCTTCTGGGACAAGATCAGACTGAGTTTCCACTCTCGGATCAGAGTCGTTTGGAAGGAAGACGGTGATGTTCATCTACGCCTGAAAGGCTCTCGTGATCCATATGTGGTCACCGGCTTCGGTGCTGGTTTCGTAATGTGCTGGCGCAGAGATGTCAAGTGGGATATCCATACCAGTGACGACCCAATGGAGTTTATGAGCGTCACCAGTGGAGAGTATGTGATGGCAATTCCAGACTACAGCCATGAAGCTCGATACATGGCCGAAGTCACGGCACAAGATCTGGAAAGCTCTTCTGCTTCAAGCGACCTGAAGAATGCAGCCCACTTCAAGAAAGTTGTCATGAAGCTTTCTGGCGACGTGAAATGGGTGGCCGGCCTCGTTTTTGAGAGAAATGTAGACGAGAGTAGAAGATCGTTCGAGTTCAGGCCGCACTATGATATCGTGCTTCGGAATCCTATCCACGTCGATCCTTCTCAAAGAGAGGTATGTTGTGTTGTCATCCGCAAACAAGGTCTTCTATAGCTAACCATTTTGCACAACAGGACTATGACGCTTACAAAGGCTTTCGAAGTAACCATATCCACTTGTCCGTTGCTGTTGTTGCCCCAGAAAGTAGAAATTGGAGTGTCGATCACGTTCAACCTTCTACGAGCTACAACACAGTTCATCTCACCCCGCGGTTCTTCACACACTTCTTCAACTGGTGGTCGCTCTTTTCCGGTGTCATGTCTCTGCCCGTTCGTCAAGGACCCCTTTGGCCTGGTGTCACGAAAACTAGCAAAAAGTTCAATCGCCATCTTGCCACGGTTAAATACAAGCTACTCTTTGCGCCTCTGTTTGTGGCACATATTTACAAACACAAGGACCGTGAAGACTATGCCGAGGATGTTGTCACTGCGACCGGTATTAAAGTTCGCTTGGACAGCCTGAAGCTGGATGTCCATCAGCGTCGTGAACAAATCAAATCTCAGGCCAAGGGACGACTAAGGCAAAACCAGGCCAGCGCGATGCGGATAAACCAAGCGCAATTGGATCTGCAGGCCGCAGACTTCAGGGCCGTCTCTGCAAGCATCGAAGGAACCAATCTCGATGACATAGAGAACAACAAGGACGACATCATCTCTTCCTTCCAGCAGCCTGTGGCCTCTGTTGACCTGTCAAGATTCACCATCCCCGACCAGAATCTTGATTGGATTGACATGGATGATTTCGTGGAGTTGGATTGGATTCTCCCCCAGGAGTCGAATCCTCGAACGCAGATTTTACCTTTGGCATTCACCCCGAGGTTCACCTACTTCCGTCAAACGGATCACGGCAACTTGAGCCCGGACGAAACAGGGTATAGCACGTTTGGAAATGAACCTACTCACGAATGTGTCATGTCCGAGAACAACGACCCTCGACGGGTTCAAATGGAACTGATCAGAGACCGTCTTGCTACCGTGGAGGCACAAATCCGGGACTGTGACCGAACAATAGGTGATCAAGAGCTCAGAATGGCCAAGGAAGTCGACCATGATCCAGATTTGAGGTCTCAGCATAATGATTACGTTAAGCAAGCGGAGTCCCTAGCAAGGAGGCGCGGCTTCCTCTCTGGTGGACTTCAACGTCTTGAACGTCAGCTTGCGCGAGACGAAAGGTCGCCTACAGAGAAGAATCCTGAGATGATTGCAAGCGATACCGCTTCTAGGCTCGGCAGGGACTCCGATTCCACCAACGATGGTAGGGATGCTGCGGACCTTGATGGACTTTACTCGTCTCCCAACGACGAATTTGCCAGCGATTTCAATAACCGTTTCATGATCCACAACACCCAGCTCAAATGGAACAATTCCCTCAGAAACATTATCCTTCGTTACAGTCACCAGGTCAGCCAGCGGCGTGGGTTTGTTTATTACATGTCTCGACGAGCCGTCAAGTTTATCCTAGACATTGTCGATGAACAAAGCAAAAACAAGCACAGACACTCTAAGCTCTCGCAAAGCGCATCAAGGCGTCCTTCTGATGCACGGGGCTTGGTAGACACCGACGATGATGATAGTGTGGAAGATCGCATTGAACAGCTATTGAGCGACGCAAAACGGTTTGTGAATGCGGAAGACCAGGAACAGTCGGACCAGCAAGGCCAAAACAAGCCCATGTCAGATGGCTCCAGCGAGAACATATCGCCAGAATTTACGCCGCAAAACAGTTATCACCTGCGACTTATTGCACCTCAGATTCAACTTCAGAGCGAGAAGAACCATAAGTCCGTGCTACTCGTTGCAGCCAAGGGCATGCAGCTCAAGGTTGTATCAATCATGGACAAGGAGCGCGTGTCCGACGATATCAGCGGTTTGGTGCAACGTCGTTTCTCTCTCGATATGGACGGAGCCCAGTTCTTTGTCGCAACTCAAAAGAACCTGATGACTCACTTGCAATTCTATGCCGGCAACAAATACGGCAACTCCCCCGGTTCCGCCTGGCCACCTTGGTTGACACTTGAGGCCATGTTTGATTTCGAACTCAATCCGTTTGGCTTCTCGAGAATTATCCAAAAGACTTCGGCCAGCTTACGCTATGACAAGTACAACAATCTCCGTCTGAAGTATAACGAGGAGGTGGCTAAGGGACAGCGCCAATCTGGCCAACAGAACGTCCCAGATGGCCAGGAAACGAGAATGGATCAAATCAGCGTCGATTTCCCACACTTCCGTGCTATTTGTGACTCGGCCGAGTACTACTCGATGTACATCATCGTTTTGGACCTCCTTCTCTACAGCGAACCCCTGGAGAAGGTTCGGAACGAACGTCTCGAGAGGATTATGCTAAGTTCCGATTTCAGCGACCTCCGCGGTGCTCCGGAAATGGTCTTCAAGCTGCAGGCCCGTATCAGGCAATTGGAAGAGATCAAGGAGCATTTCCAGATCCACGCGAAGTATCTGGACAAGAAGGGCTGGGAAGATCGTCTGGTCCTGGAGAATGACCTGACTCAGTGCGAAGATGAGCTGTTCTTCTTGATGAAAGCCATTACAACGTCCCAGCGCAAAATCGAACCGACAGTGTCCGGAGCGACTGGAATCTTACGCTGGAACATCTCTGCAAGCGAAGTTGTGTGGCATCTCATGAAGGATGAGTCGGAGCCGCTGGTCGAGTTTCAGCTTCGGAATGCCGAGTATGACCGCACCGACAACAGCGACGGTTCGAACCACAATCTAGTGGCAGTTGAACGACTGTATGGTCTGAACCTTCTTCCCGATGCCATATATCCTCAGATTATTGTGCCGTATCTCGACCAGACCAAGCATCTGGATGTCCCAGACGATCACATGATCAAAGTCAGTTGGCATATGCTCGAGGCTGTTGCAGGCATTCCGGTCTTGGATGACTTCGAGGTTTCGTTATTCCCTCTCAAGATCCAGTTGGAACATGAACTCGGTCAAAAGGTGTTCGAGTACATCTTCCCCAATGTCGGGTCAACTGCATTCGAAAACGGCGGTTTCTCTCCCTTCATGATCAAGAACATGAAGCCATTAGACAATTCCGACTCGGAAGACGAGGAGGACAGCAGCTCAACTTCTCCCCCGACAGCACACGGAAGCAGCGATCCTTCGGTTGAAGATCTTCAATTCTCGAAGGGACCTGGCGCTATCGAGCTCCGACTACACCCGACACTGTCGCTGTCTGAAGAGGCCAGGCCAAAAACACATCGCTCTAATCATCTGAAGGGCTTGGCAATGACGCCCATGAACAAGGAACTTCCTCGACCGAGCTCATCCCGCCAGCTCGCGCGTCCGGCAACCAGTGTTGGTACCTTGACGAAGAAAAGATCGGTCGACAGTATGCGCGTGTTGTCGCGGCAGCCTACAGAGAAGAATCTTGCAAATGGGTCGAGCGCCAACCTTGGTGAAGACAAGGGCAAAAAGTTCAGCCTGGCTAAGATACCAATCAGGAAGTCCAAGGAGACTACCGACGATCTTACCCAGATGATGTCACGCGCATCGAATTACATGACTCTGGCCCATGTCAAGGTCCATGACGTGGTTCTTTGCTTGAGCTACAAGGGCAAAGGCGACCACAACTTGGAAGATCTTCACGACTTCGTTTTCCGTTTGCCCATTCTGGAGTACCGAAACAAGACATGGTCGAACTTGGATCTTGCCTTGCGATTGAAGAAGGATGTGATCAAGGCTCTGATCTCCCATGCACCCGCAATCCTTGGGAACAAGTTCTCGCACCACCGGCCTAACAGACAGCAACAAAAGCGATACCGGGAGCTTGCGAGCTCGTCACAGATCCTGCACAACTCCGACACCACCACACTGTCCGACAAGAGCCATAGCCTTGCAAGTCAAGACTCGAACAGCGAATTCTCCGAGTCCCGTTCTCAACGATCCGTCCAATCGGGTACTTCTCCGCTTGTACGATCCAACTCATTGGGATCCAGCACCCTTAGCACGCCCGAACCAGGTCTTGTATCATCCGATGCTCGCTCTGCGAGTGAAGTAGATGTGGATGCTCGCTGGGAGGTATGTATCATCCCCGCAAACCTGCCGTTGAAATCTGAGTTTGATCATTAACACATCTTCTAGCAATCTCGTCGAATCGTGAATCCTCCCAATCGGCCCATGACATCGGGCACCACGATTTCCCGCTCCCAAACCAAACGATGGGACGGGCCTGATGAGAGGTAAGACCGACTCTTCGCAACGCGTTAGAAACGATATACTAACAACCTCACAGTCATAGAATGACGATCCGCAACTTCGGCCGGAAGTTGATGCCGTCTCGCAAAAACGGATAATTCCATAAGCGATATCACACAGAAATCGCTCCTTCCTCTCCTGCATTAATTCATGATTCCTGAACTTCCCTTGCTATCTTTTCAGCATCGCGAGTTAGCGTTTCCCGCTATGAGATACCCAGATGCAGTGGGTGTATATAGGCGTCTTTTTTCCGAATTTTTTTCTGCCTCTTTTTTTCGCCTATAAAATTCCCTCTTCTAATTGTTTGATTGGTTATTTTTTTTTCTTTTCATCTTCTTCATGAGAATCTTTTATATTTGGCCTCTTTTTACCTAATCCTTCGCTTCTATATTGCATTTCTTGTGACGACGGGTTCGTCTTTTTTCTTGGAATAGTTCATTCAACGTTCCCCTGCTTGTGAACCAACCCTGTGTTTATGCGTGTGTGTGTGTGGCCATGACTGACGGATTGACTGATGGCATACTGAGGTGACGGTGAACTTGCATAAAATTTGGGTATATACATGTGATTGAAAATAGGTGTGTATAGATAGATGGTGTAATTGGATAGAGGGTGTTATATGAGCGTGAACGTTCATCTTTCTGGTCATTGTTTTACATTTCTCTCCATGAAGAACTGGATATTAGGTTCATCTAATACTCCACCTACACATGGAGTATAGAAGGAAAAGTTACATAAAATAACCTTGATGCTTTTTGAGCCTATATACCCAGGCTAATAGCGTATTCGTACATTTTGAGAGCCAGCACTAAATCAATAAATAGCCCTAACCGATCCCGAGCGCCGACTTTATTTTCCCACCAATACCAAGATCCTATCCAAATAACCTAGCCCAACCTAATTCCCTCAGTAAAAAATACACCCGCTGAACGAAACTGCCCAAAAAGAAGTATTATGAAAAGCTCCTCTTCTGCGTCGGCTCCGGCGGCGCCTGCGTCTGCATCTCATACTCAATATGAACATCATCCGTCCGATGAATATGCAACGGCCCGGCGGTGTCGACGGCATTATCAAGTCTATTCTCGCGCAGGATACTCTCGCGGCTCTCGACGTCCGTGGTGAGCGTGTAGTCCTGTTTATGGAGGGCGTGGGAGCGCCGGCTGCGATGGCTCTGGCTGGGGTCGTGGCCTTGCTGGCTGCTTTGTTGGTAGTATTTGTGTCGGGAGTTGCTTTTGCCGCCGGAGGTGAGTTTGCGCTTGCCGAGGATGAGTTCGAGGAGAGGTTGCAGGGTGGGGATGCAGGAGGCGATGACGACGACGTTGGCTTCGACGCTGTTTTTGGTGGGATCTGCGTTAGGGTCTGTGTTCCGAGAGAGTGGTTAGGGGTCTGGGACTGCGGTTACGTACTTCGTCCAGATGACGAGGGGGACGGTTCCATCTGTTTGGGTTGATTGTGTGTTAGAATCGGGCGGGAATACTGGGGTTGACTCCATAGGGGGCTGGATGACGTACAGGTGGGATCGGTCTTGTCTGCTAGGCCTTTGATTTGAGCGCATTTAACAATGGCGCAAGCAGCTGCACTAAATGTAGAAATTTGTCAGTGGTATGGTTCTCGGGTGCTCAAACACTATATCCAAGGTTGACACATACACTGCGCCCAAGCCCATTGCTGCGCTCAGTGCGATCTTCTTGCGCAATGACATCTGTAGTTTGAACAACACAGTGCTGGGATAGATGGCTAGGTAGAGATCGACAAATGCGGATATTGCTAGTAAGTGTTAACATGCATCTGTTCGAAGACAAGCGAGAGATAGTAATCGTAATGGCAGTGAAGGCTCACCTCCGTTGAAAGTAGCATAATGGATGAGAATCCAGATATCGCGACATGTCGCCTCCCCATTCATGACCATACTGATTTTCCATAGGGCTTGTGGAGGGTCGCACATGGTCACGTAGATGATAATGTTGACGATGGCAACTGCGCCGACGAAACTCGCCAGGCCCCATGTGATGATGCGGTGGATCAGGCTCGGATTGAGGAGACGATTCAATAAAGCTGCTACGGCAAGCTTGGGTAGCGCGAAGGACAGGATACCGAAGATAAATGATACGCTGTTGTAAAAGAGTCCCTTTTCGGCATCTGCTATATCCAATTTCGCTGTGTGTTCACCATAGCCGTACGCTGCAGATGCCGTGGCGGTTCCCACAAATATCAATCCCAGGACCTGTGTTTTGTGGATTGAATTTAGTTTGAAGGGCTGATGCGACTGAGAACGCGGTATAAGCATGTACTGACCATCGAAATCGCAATTAGCCAGTCGTCCAACCCTAAAACCCGCAACACCTTTTGTCGTATGAAAAGTCGAGCGACGACAATAAATGTCGTGACTCCAGTAAGCGCCCACATCACGGCCATCATCTCAGAACCCTTCCCCGGCCCTTGCTTTTCGTCATTTGCAGTAGACCCCGCCATCATTGGCAATTTAAAATATGGTAACGGAAAGATGACAACGGTTGGAAAGCTGCAGGGGCCGTATAATGAGTCGTGCAGACATCACCCGCCGTCGCCGATATTCCCGTCCCTGTCAAGAAGCAGACGGAATATGTGCTTTCAGTCAACGTTGCTTATGCCTGACTGAGTAGATCCATAGGAAGGACAATGGAAAACACTAGAAGTAAAGAAAGACAGGGAGGAAGAAGTCGGTTAGCTGATGAGCTCCTAGAGCATTGGCATTCGCTCCATCAGACAGCTGAACACAGCATGCTTCGTACGCTGTAGTCCGGACGGAGTACGGAGTAATCTAATCGTTTGGAACAATACATGGTCCAGGGCCAAGTGGGCTGAGAAGCAGGGGCACATGGCACCGTGTTGTCCGAAAGTACCCCAGGATCGAACTAAACCCGAAATCGAACGAAAGGATAACATCCCTGTCAGGAGAAACACGACGTTACTTGTCATGCCAGGGTATTGTTTGGTTCCAGGCTGTGGACCGCGGAATTGACACTTCTTAATTAAGTGGGCCAGCCTAAAGACGATAGGACGGAGCAGTTCGTTGGCATGGGTCAAGTCTAGTGTGGCGTGCTTTAGTGCCAATTTGAAATCACTGATGGAAGTGGCGGCACGAGGATATGTTACTCCGTCCTCCGTAGAGGAAGGAATAGGATCAACAGTGGCAAGGTTCACCGGTTTGGTGTGCTAACCATGATAGACAACATTGGGACTTCGAAGGTCCTTGAAACGGACCTGATAATGGCCCCGTCGTTCCAGTAAATGTCTCGTGGAATCCATCGGTCCACAGTCCATGGCCGATCCTGCTGTGTAGATCAGACTGTCCAATTTTCCAGCCACGAGAGCTGAAATATTCTCACGAGAGGGTGTTTCCTAAATCCGCATCGATTGGTGGATTCTCGAATGCAACATCACCAGGGGTACAAGAGACTAGCATGGCATGTTGCATTAGGCGCAAGCCAGAGGACAAGGGGACAAAAGTGGAGCAGGACAAAGGGAACAGGGTTATTGATACAGTCTTAATTTGAATGAAATGGCTCAGTTCCCCCTTGTCATGCATGTGAAAATTTTTGTGAGGTATCAACTGTCCATCCCCCTCTTTCTCATACTGCTCGTGTGTTGTTTTTCGCAGGATTTAACCATCATGGCCGAGCTCAATAACGGGACCAAGATCAATGGCACCAAGACTAATGGCACCACTGCTCAAGTCGCCCTCGATGACCAGATTGCCATTTCTCCGAATGCACCACAGGACCTTCCCCGCCTCCTCAAGGAAGTCAACTCCCTGAGTCAAGATTTCACCGAGGGACATCAAGAGGCGCGACTAAAGCTCATTGACGCGGCCCAGTCCATTGTCCGAGCTTTGGAGACGCCACGAGAAACCCTGCTTCGCTACTGCTGGGCCCAATCCACCGCTTTCGCGGCGATCGAGACATGCATTGATCTGGGGATCTTCCCCATCCTAGCCCAGAGCGACGAATCGAAATCAGTGGCAGAGCTTGCAAAAGCGACTGGTGCGGAGCCAGAGTTGCTAGGTTAGTCCATCCCTATAAAGAAAAGCAGAGTTCGTGCTCATACAGAGGCAGGGCGTCTCCTGAAACATCTCGGTGCCATGGGTGTGGTCGTGGAGACCGGGTTCGATGAGTACCGCCGTAATGGGTTCTCGACAGCATTGGCGATGCCCCGTTATAGTGATGGAATCCCATGCATAAACGGGTGCACCATTCCTTCAATCCATGCGCTCCCAGCATGGCTGAAGAACAACAACTATACCAGCCCGACCGAGGGCAAGAACTCCCCATTCTCGCTGGGATTCAAGACCGACCTACACTTCTTCGAGTTCCTTAGCGCCAACCCCGAATACCCGCAGCTTGCCGGCCAGTTCAACAACCTCATGTCCGCCTATCACCAGGGACGAGCCAGCTGGATGGACGTAGGATTCTACCCGGTGCAGGATAACCTGATCCAGGGTGCACGGACCGGAACCGACGAAGTGTTCCTGGTGGATGTCGGCGGGAACAAGGGTCACGATCTCGAGGAGTTCAAGTCCAAGTGGCCTGAGGCGCCCGGACGATTGATCCTGCAGGATCAACCCCATGTGCTCGCTGAAATTAAGTCCCTGAACCCGGCTATCGAAGCCACGGCTCATGACTTTTTCACAGAGCAGCCAGTCAAAGGTATAGCCATAACTTTCCCCCTCTTTTTTTTTTTCTTGACCTTTTCTGCGGTCCTCTCAAACCGACGTGATAGCTGACTTGTCCCTTTACTGGGTTTAGGCGCTCGAACCTACTTCCTGCATTCCATTCTACATGACTGGAACGATGAGACCTGCCAGAAGATTCTGCGTCGACTGGCGGATGCCATGACTCCCGGGTACAGCAAGTTGCTGATCAACGAGAACGTGATTCCTGATACGGGGGCCCACTGGCAAGCTACCTCCCTGGACATCATCGTGATGGTGGATCTGGCATCCAAGGAACGGACTGAACATCAGTGGTACGAACTGATGAAGCCAACGGGCCTGAAGATCACGAAGATCTGGTCGGCGCAGGCCAGTGCCGAGAGTCTGATTGAGTGCGAGTTAGTCTGAGGGCATGGGTCAGGTGAGGTGAGCTGGATATACCAATGAGAATGAAATCTGTTCTTTAATTTCCGATGCCGAGGTTTCCGAAGTAGGCGACGTACATTGGCTATCCAGGATCCCAGCGCAAGGATGGGAGGGATGGATTCAGGGAAAGAAAAGTGGAGAGAGTGAGACGCTGAGACTAGGCGGGCGCTAGTCGCTTTGGTCTGCCGCGGGCGCGGGAGGTGGAGCTTTGCCAACGCTTCGTTCCTCTTGGGCTTCTTTATCTCCGGCGCACTCCCTGCTCCTCCCTGCTCGACTCCCGGCGGAATGTCGGCGATTAGGTGGGGAGACTCTTATGTCGCAGTGCAGACTCATTATTGCTCACTGCTGCTCATCTCCACCGTGTTACCTGAGGAATAATGATGCCTAAAATTCCAGCCTTCAATCAGGGTGTCAATCTGCTATCATGCGTCCATGCGTCCATGCGTCCCAACATCGCGCAAAAGCGAAGTGCACAGGACCCTCGATCAAATCGAACCCCATGGCATCCACTTCGCTCATACCGTGTTCATCCTTCCTCGCGTCACTGCTTAGCGTTGGGTCCACCTCCATAAAGAACTGTGGGTTCAATCTTTACAGCTATCCGCAGATACATTTTCAGCACGCGCAGAGCTGAAATACGCAGTACTATCGCCGGGGTGGGGGGTCTTTGTTTTGAATATGGATGCAAAGAAGCTCTGCCAGCTATCTTCAAAATACCAGGAGGTGAATCGACCTGACCGCTGCACCATCTGAACACCGTGCTCAAAGCATTGGTACCCGCGCATAGAATCAAATCGATAAATTTGTTGGCATGGATGAAAGTGCATCGATATGATATTTATGAATGCTAATCATATAAGGGTCAGTTCAATCCCTCTATTATCTTCTCACATAATCGTCGAATCTGCTTCCATCGCCCTAATATTGTGTCCAGCCGTTCGCTCTCCTTTGAATCAGCAGCAGGTGTTTGGCTCTTCATTTTCTCGATGGTCTCCATAGTCAAGATACTTTCGTTGAGGTATGTATTGACCCATCCACAGATCACCGCCGCAGTCTTTTCCCGATCCACGCTGCGATCAGATTGTCCGAGGACGTATTTTCGCCAGTCCCGGAGGGACATGTACTTCAAACACGCGGCAAGTTGGACAGCGGTGCTGGGGCCCTCTGCCAGAACTTCGTAATTGCTAGATATCAAATGTGAGATGGTACTCAAGGATGGGGTTGTGAGCTGTACGCACCCGAAATATTCGCGAAGGGCAAGTTCCTTTTTTTGTGGCATCGAAAGTTCCTGGAAGATGATGTCGTCCAGGAATATCGAATCCGACTCGTTCTTGTCGAGATAAAAACCATCTAGGGCTGTTAGTAGATCGTCGCTATCATATTTGCCGAAACTCACATTCAATCAGTAAGAAGTCGTTAGAATGTGCTCCGTAGCTCATGAAGATCTCTTCTCCTTTTTCTATATCACGAAGTTAGCAACTTTATCAAAACGCAACGGCATGGTCTCTAATACCGTATCTCTTCGTCGCTGTGAACGTATACTTTGAGCCATCAAAATTAACCCCGCAAGCCTAAAATCCCCTAATCAGCCTAAATTCATCAACAACCAAAGAAGCACACTCACCGCATCATCCTCATGGTTGAAATAATCTGCAAACGGAACCAACGCTATCGCATCGTTCCAGTCTGCCGGCTCGCCCTTTCCAGGCGACGTATAGTAAAAACTGCGCGAGTTGATAATACACCAGTTATACGTGAAAGACTCCCATTCCGTATCCGGAAACACCGAGACAACTTGCTCCCACGAGTCCTTGAGCCGTTTCTCCTGCTGTGGCAGCAACTGCTGATATCTCACCTCGTAGTCCACATTCACTGGCGTTTTGGAGAACGAGTTCCATGACCCCGAGATCGATGGCGGAAGTATACTCGGAGCATCGGACGAGGAGTTCCTGCCTGCGGCCGTCCCCGAGTTCAATCGTCGGAGGTGCTCGGGCCAAAGCACAGGCATGGTATCTTGGAATTCCTGCCAATTCGGCCATGTTCGCCGCCAGGCATCCAGCGGCTTGAGCAGCTCTGCGTCGCCGTGCGTGAGATACGCGGCCATAATCGCATGGTTGGATGCGTTCTCCGGAAACCGATCCACGAACCATGACGGGATTGAGTCAATGGTTACCATCAATGCCAGGGGCACGGAAAGCATGAGCTCATCCTCCTTTTGGGCGCGCAAGTATCAAGTCAACCATTTGGCATCTTGTGCATGAATATCAAATCGGCGCTACTAGTCCGTAGTAGTGTTTACTAGGGACTAAAGGCACTTAGGAGCTGCTAAAACTCACTTCTATTGTTCTGGTGGCTACCATGCCTAGTCGGCGGCCGGGAAACCGGGCTGGCGCGATGCCGTTAATTGTGACGCCATTCGATGCGGCCCATTGTGTGAATGCGAGGTGTTCTTCACCCGGTGAGCCGTCCATCTTTGCTTCTCGAGGAAATCAGAGGTGTCTGCCCGAGGGGAAGAGGTGTTGTTTGTTCTTCTGATGGTTTTGCAGATCTCTTTGTCCAATCAAAGTGCCCGTCCTGTCAGGCTTATGTAATCCACCTCTACAGAAAAAAAAGATGAGGGGAAAATTGAAGATCCACGAGAAGCAAGCATCGTCAAGACAACCCCAACGCTCAGCTTGTCGACCATGTCTTCATCAGATCCTGCGACGGTCGCTCCCGACTCCAACATCGACCATGCGGCCTCGATCAGATACTGGAACAGCGTGCCGGCCACGTCCAACGCCATGTTGGCCATGCTCGGCAACTACCCCTGGTACTCGCGCATCGACCTCCGAGGGTCCAAGACGTTTCTGGCCAAGGTGCGACGAATGATCCCGTCGTGCCCGACCGACGGGAAGCTGGCGCAGGCCGCGGACTGCGGCGCGGGAGTCGGACGCGTGACGGAGGGCTTCCTCAGCCACGCCTGCTCGGTGGTCGATGCGGTGGAGCCCGTTGCGAAGTTCACGCAGGTTCTGCAGGACGGACCGCTGAAGAGGGACGGGGTGGTCGGCGACATCTATACCATGGGAATTGAGAGCTGGTACCCGGACAAGAAATACGATCTGATCTGGACGCAGTTCTGCGTGGGACACTTGACGGATTCGCAGCTGCGGGACTATTTCGTGCGCTGCTGTGCCGCCCTCACGGAGACGGGTCTCATTGTGGTCAAGGAGAATATGTCGACGGACCCCCAGGGCGAGGATATGTACGACGACGAGGATAGCAGCGTGACGCGGACGGACGAGAAATTCAGGAAAATCTTCGCCGAGGCCGGCATGAATCTGATCACGTCGGAGCTGCAATTGGGATTCCCGAAGAACTTCAAGCTTTTGCCTGTCCGGTTCTATGCGTTGCGACCTAAAACCTGAGAACATTGGCATCCTTCGAGACAATCCGTGACAGGAACTCTTCCTCGTGTGCATGGAATCGCGATCCTTGTATCCATATTGGAAAAATGGATGGGGCGACTCCGGCCATTGGGACATCTTGTCTAGTCCATTACTGGCCTATTCATTCGTCAAGGTATCCCGGTGTCAGGGATCAGTTGGCTGTTCTGGCGCGACAGCATTCCAACGAGTCAAACGCGTCGCGCTTTCGCGGCTTCATTCGTCCATTTTCGACTCTCGCGGCACAAATCAACCGCAGATACGGGATGAGATCGATGAAAGACTGCTCCGGCGCCGAGTTAGTTCCTGGTATTCTCAGAAAGAAAAATTAATTGATACAACTTTCCAACTATTATCACGGAAGATTCGTATTCTAATTTTGTGTTGTACATTCTAACAAAAAATCATCAACTTCAGGGTATCTAAATACAAAATAATAGAGTACATCGTATATGAACCATATCGTCATTATTTTCTGCGACCAATCCATTGTGCTGCTTGAATGATCATAGAAAGTTAGCTGGACAACATTGTTATCTTGATCGGTAAGGCGAGTGGCGTAGTTCATGAAAGAAGCGTCGTGTGCGAGAAATTGTTGCTGTTAAAGTTGTCGGAGATCGAACGTCGGAAATCAGACATTGGATTGTCCATCAGACGGCGTAGGAGGCGACGAAACTTTTGCCTTTTCGGGACTTCGAACCCAGGGCAAGAAACTTGGTAGGTTTACTTGAACTGACTCCAGTCGAGTCCGGGCAGACGGTGCCCCGACCTCATCCGTATACGTCGGAACGCCTCCTTGAACACGATGTTCCTGCCAAGCCTTCTTTTCACGACGAAGATCGCTCTGAACCCATGGAATAGTGATTAATGTCCAGACACCGGCCCAGACTAGAGGCAGTGTCCATCCCAACTGTGAGAAACACTCGTTAGCATGCTATTGCGATCCAGTGCTGACCCCTTCGGAGACAAATCCGCGATACTTACAGTAAAGGCGACGGACTGAGGCGTAGTGAAGATAATGGCGGTGAAGGCAGCGGCGAAGACAATGGACCCTCCGGCCCAGAAACAGTTCATCTGGAAGAGCATCCGCCGGAAGTAAGGACTGGATAGATACCGAGTTCGAAGTGCATAGCGATAGATCTGACCTCCACCTCCATCGACGGCGACGACATCTTCAATGAGGACGTACAAGGCTGTAGGCATGACGGAGCCTTTGGGGGTCGACGATATGCGGAATGGGGCCTTGAACCCGCAAACGCGGAGGATATCGAGGGCGAGGTAGACAGCACCAAAGTAGAACATGACGGAGGGGAGAACCATAGCGACGAGTCGGACTGCAAGAAGTCAGATGATTAGAACAAAGTTTCCCGATCGGCATGCCGAAGGTCTTACCGTATGGTTCCTCAACCACCGTTCCCCTAGATTGGTGTTAGTTCAGAAGTGTGGGATGATGCGATGGCGAGACTCACGTAATCAATTCCACGGCCAGAATCAACCAAACAATGGTGAAGTTGATATGGAAGAAATCGAGCTGACGGTCTATTATTAGCCTCCTGCTCATCCCAATCTGACTTAAGACCAATATCCTACCCATGATTTCTTTGCGTTCAGCGGCCGGGTCCGGGAATCTTTGCGGAACAGATTGTAGAGTCGGAAAAAGTATTCGAATACCGATATACCTCCCAGCGTTATGGTGACGATGGTAAACACTGTGCGAGGAGGAAAAAGGATCAGGATCAGTATCGTTGACCTATGAAACAGGCACGAGATCGGAAGGCATACCCATATTATGCGAGAGGTCTGTTCCGTACCATAATCCCCAATACAACGCGACCGGCTGGGCGGCGAGATCAAGAACAAACAAAGACCAGAAAATAGCAATCGACTTCTTCCGAGTGCGCAGCGAGTAGGGCAGAGGAGGAGGCTCCGAGGGCACGGGGTTGGCCCTTCCTTCCTCCATCTGCTCGGCCATGAAGTTCGCGGAAAGCTGAGGAAATGGGGATGGAGATGGATGGGACAGGATGTGCGATGCTAGGGTCGGGGTGTCATATGGACAGGCTCATGGCGTGGTTCGAAGGCGGAAGAGTCTGGGCCTTTCAACATCGAAGAGCTGCAGAAAAGGCAAAATCAACCGGAAACGACGGCAATCCTCCTCCTTTGAGTTTGTCGTTTCCTTCTTGGGCGATCACGGGCCTGGGTGCCTGACGTAACCGCGATGATGTCATCGGGGGTCGGCCTTGATTCCCTGGTTGCGGCCAATCCGGTTCCCGTAGCCTTTGACCATCTATTGACACTGCTGTTATAGTGAATACTGAATACCACGAGTCAATTCTCCTTGATTCCTGATTCCTCCTTTAGGACCTTCACATACTGCGTATATACATGCAGCCTCTCGACAGCCCATCCATGCCAAATTCAACTACTCGCCACTCGCTGTATATCAGCCAACCCACTGATCAATGCCCTCGAAGCTAAGAAACCAAGAAATGTATGATGCACTTCTTAGCTCACATCTCCTATTTCATACCAGCCCGGAAGGATCCCCAAAAGTTGACACTTCCGGATCGGTCGAATAAGTATGAAACTAGTCTCCGGTGAAAGCCATCGAGCGGAGAATGACGAAACGGCATCTCCTTTGAGATACTGAGATTCCGGAAAGAGTAAGATCTGTAGGGGGCTGTACAAAAGACCCATTTATTCTCCTTGAGCATAGGCCACAGGAGAATCGGAGACAATGCAACACAAGTCACCGTTGACGATATCCATCTTGGCTGACAGAAGTGTCATCAATCAATCATCTCCCCAGTGGCTAAGCACCGGTCCAACCAGAAATTGTCCGAGCTATATACATCTGCATGCTACCGCTAGGATGTTACGGATTGACGAACCACAAGCGACCCTGGAGATGCGATTAGTCGCCACGTATATCATGTAGACGAAGTAAGCTGATGTGATGAATACCCTGCTTGGCAATGCACGTTGATGACATGAATTTTTCTATGACGATAATTTGCCTGTTATCAGAGATCTAGACCATCTTGGGATGCTGAGAAGGTCCATACCTCTTCAAGTCATCTTTTGTGGCATCCTGGTATGAGAGCATTGTCCTCCAATACTCAAGTAACCTCACTTAAAGGTATTATCATGAACACTTTATTGATCAATTCGTCTTGTAAATTAAGAGTCTAGACTTAGTACGGAAGGATCTCATGCATAAGTTATCCATAGTATAGTTGATGGCGAACATTGACTATAGTATTGGCATATGTTCATTAGCAGCCTCTATCTAGTTGCAGATGCTGCATAAAACCTACCTCTGTAGTTCACTTTGCTACTCTCACAATCATAAATAAATACTCCCATGCAGGCTTAATTAGGACCATTGTAGGACTATCATCATATTTGTTCTCTCCATACTATAATTTTCTTTTCGAGACGTAAACAGACATGTTTATGTTATAACGCAGGGCGGTTTCCTTTGCGTAATTGTGTTGAGTGATCCACATACTTTGGTTTTGTAGCCACCAAATAATATATCAATTTCTATTCAATAAGATGCTATAATTAAGGACTTTTCAGTCTCGCTGGCTCAACTGACCCTTACAATGTACAGGCCTCCGATTATTATAGATTCGCATCTTATATAACCGTTAACATGATCTTCTATGGTAGATCCTTATCTTATCGGAATCACCCACGACATGATTACGTGATGCCCCTCACGTGCCAGCGCCACCCCCACGAGATTCTTCAAACGGCACAAGTTCGAATCGCGCCCGTTCCTTTGCACGACCCCTCCGTGTCGAATATTCTGCGCGAGCCATCCCGCCCGTTGTCCAGGCAATGAATTGAAGTCTTTCCCGAGTGGGAAAATTTTCGCAGGGTATCGCGCAGTAGTTCTGGCCCAGCCATGGAGGCACAATGGCCCCTAGCCTACGAGATTTGATCGATTTCCTGCTGGCGGAGATTGCGCTGTGCGGCGATCAAGGTCAGTCTTCGCATCCCTGCATCCTGCATCCCAATTTTAGCGCAACCAGACGGCGCCGAAGTCCACTCGGTCCGCCCGCGCAGTTTTCTATATCACATTTTCATCTCCGAACCTCCGTCACCAATTGTCGCATGTGACAGCGCCGGCCCATAGAGCTGACAGATTGTAGGCGCGACTCCGGCAGATATCTTGGGTTCCGTCAATACATTCTATGCCAAGGCTGCGCAAGATGCATCTGATCGAAACCATCGTGTCGATCGGCGGTTCCAGGAGAAGGTGTGGTCGTGGCTGACAAGAAACCCGGAAGTCTCGGTTGGCACGGATAGAGAGTGGAATCATTTTACTCTCGACGAGGCGGAGGGTCATGTGCAAAATGACCAAGGCGCCGAAGAAACCGAAACACCGCGATCGTCATCTCAGAATGCAGTTCGAGTTTTCGTTTCCGAAGAAAGAACATGGCTTGCGATCACCGGCCATGAGCGCGACGAAAGCAGGGTCTTTTCGACCGAGTTTGCCCTCTTGTCCATCATTGCGTCGCGCAAAGAGGCAGGTATCGTGCAGACCGAGCTCGTCAGGCTCAGTGGCCAAGACAAGCGCTCTGTTCCCAAGCGCACGGAAATGCTACACCAAAAAGGCTACATTGATAAGCGTGCGATTCAGATCAAATCGGCTCGGACAAGTTTATGTACCTTGCGCAGGTTCATGACCACTGATGTCTCTCCCCTAGAGGCTGCTGCTGCAGGTCAGCAAGTGAATGGACTACAGCATGGCAAGGACGTCATAGACTATAAGGCATTTGTGGACAGACTTTTCGAGATTCTCGGAGAGCATAAGATCATCGGCCGTAACGACTTGAAAAACCTTCTTGGCTTCGCTGACCACTGGCGATGGCGGATCCTCTCACGCGCGCTGCGCAAGTGCGAGCGCATAGGAGTCCTGAAGCGAGTCAAGGCTCTGTCGCAGTATGCCGACACCTTCAGCAAATACCACCCTTGCGTCATGCTTCTCCGGCAGCCTACACCGCGAGAAATTGAAATGTTGAATGAGTTTAGTTTGAACATCACGAAGAATCTGGGACCTGAGGACAACGTAGAGCTTGACGAGGACATTGAACCGAATGATGAAGGAGTAGAATCCTCGTCACTTGGTGAACTCAGGATGGTCAAGCGAGAAGAAGACATGGAGGAAGCTGGCCGAATGGTCCCTACCTGGACCCCAGACCGCAACATTCACAATCAGATATTTGAGACGGTTGACAACGCAGGGACGAGCGGAATAACCAACATCGTAAGTGGGTTGAGAGCCTTGTGGATAGGAAATGACTTTAAACTCACCAGAAGCTGTGCAGGACCTCATCAGAACGTGCTTCGGGGGGTTCTTCCGCCGACCGCTGGAGAGTGCGTTGGCTCGCCTGGTCACATGCTGGCAGCTGTCCCAGCCGCTACACCTGCGCCATCTGGCCATCGTGCGAGACATAGCCCTGCGCCGAACCATCACTCACTATGTCCACTACTCCGCGAACAATTTCCGCAAACTCGTCGATACAGGAGAGTCATCTTGGGAGGCCGTTGAATTCGTGTCCAAAAATGCCAAGGGGAACAGTATCCGAGTGCCCCCAGTCGATGCGTCACCTCAACTCGATCAGTATGGATTCTCGATTGATGTTCCTCGAAAGGAATTGTTGAAATATGGGAATGCTACTCTTTTGGAATGCATGCTCAGTGTCAAGCCATCGAGTTACAGCTGCACCAACACTGACCTCACGGCGGTGCGGGTGGAGGGCGATACTTACGGTGAGTTCCAAGCCAATTACAAACGTTCCAGTGAGAGTGATTTCTGACACCCCCACTTTTATTCAGCAATCAACTATGGCCAGAAATATGGGGATGGATCGCGTCCAGAAAGATTGGTTACACCGAAGCGACCGAGGGCCATTCGCGGTGACGCTGATCCAGAGATCGAAGATGGCTCAGCTCAGGTGGTTTCAATTAGCCGAGGCCCGCGCAAGAAAAGGGAAGACGCCGAACGTTTCATTGGCATGTCCGAGAAGGAGAAACTGGAAGCTCTCGGCTTGGATGAGACATGGACCGAATACAGCGTGTTGCTCATAGAGCGTACTCAACCGGGCGTGTATGTCACTCCTCGTGGACGGCGGAGACCCGCTGGAAAGCGACAAGGGCGTCCAAGGATAAGTCGCTTTGCCGTCTTCAAATCGTCGAAACTGAAGTCATTCCCATGGTTTGTCGAAGAAAAGAAAGATGACGAACACAACGATGCCGCAGAGACGCAGCAATCTTCGCGAGGCGAAAGCGTTGTGTCAGCATCGGGGACAACCCCGGCGGTCGTGTTTGAGGACCAGCCGTCCGCACTTGACGGCCAGACAGAAACCCCCAGTAGAGGAGCTAGAGCGAACCTGCGACGCCGTGCTTCGGGTATTGAAGAACCAGCATCTGGATCGGGCAGGGCTCACAAGCAAAGGCGTCTTAATGGGACTACTGTGGATTCGCCTGATATCAATGCAGCTTCTGATCAACTGACCAATAAGAGAGGCGAAAATGAAGAGCCAGATCAAAGCACGCCGACAAGGCGATCAAAACGGCGAAGAGTAGAGTCTCCGATGCGAGATGCCGCAGTGGAACCCGCTGATAATGCGAATGTGCCGGAAGAGTCAAGTCAAGTTCAACAGTCTGGCAAGTCGGCTGCTTCCGCCACCGAAGAGTTATCACAAGGCTCAAAGGGGACGGTCATTGCAGGCGCGAAAGAAGGTGAAGAACCACTTAGTACCGTCCCTATAAATGGCACCCACCCAGAGACACCAATGGCAATCGACCGTCCCAATGGATCCCCTACTGCAGACAAAGATCCCGTCATTTTGCAAACCTCGGAAGAGCCGCAGCGGAACAAAATTCCGGAGAAAGGAGGATCGGTAAATGTGCTGCGTCGGAAAATCATTTTGGATATTCTCGAGCAGGCTGGAGGCGCATTTCCAATGGGCACTGAGCTGTGGTACCCATTCTCATATGCGTGGAAGAACCTAAAATACAAAGGGAAGCCTGACCTCAGAACCATCAAGACCACAGTCAAACACATGGTTGATGCTGGTAAACTGCGCCAACAGACGTTCAGTGGCAGGGACAGCAAAGGGGTTATGGTGACAAAATCCATAATCAGCAGAACAGATTTGCAACCGGATTCCCCCATTATAAAGAGTCTGCAGAGAGAAATGTTGGCCGCAGATCCTCGACGACCCTATATCCCAGAAAACGTTGAATTCGACCCGCAAATGTCTAAGAGCGGTCGAAGGTCTACACAGGTCAATGATTCCAAATTACCTGTTCGCCCTCCCATTCAGCCGGGGATCACTGTACAGCTGCATCAGAAACCCGGATTTGTCTTGGCAGCAGAGAAGAGGAAAGGTCTGAGCATTGAAAGACAACTGTTTGGAAGATTGGCGGCTGGAACAGAGCCCGGGCGAAAACCGCCGCGTCTCATGAAAATTCGTCGTCCGGCACCCGCGAAAGACTCGCTGCATAGTTTGACATCCATTGTCAGACCAGACAAAACCGATGGTGATGCTGCGATTCATCCTCAGCGACGACGTCGACCCGCGGCCTCCTCCGATGCACTACCACCGAGACGCTCAATTCCTCGTCGCAAGATGGGGCGTCTCAGCATTCCCTTATCTGCCATGGCTCCTTACGCGATGGTGATGAATACAAAGCAGACCTTCCATGCGCAGTCTGGGACCTTCGCCACTCATGCGGGGCTTATTTCCTTGCAGATTCCCAAGGATGCTCTTCGAGAGCGGCCTCTAGAAAAGGACGAAGTTCAAATTGAACTCGAAAGGGAACTAGAGGCAGAGCCGGAATCGGAGTCGGAATCTGAACCTGAACCTGAATTGGAACCTGACCTTGGACAGGGACCTGTCTTGCCTAAGTCTCTTGATGATATATTCACCATGACACGGCGGCGCGTTGTAGATTATTCCGATAGAGCGGACCCTAGGTCGAGGAAGTTTTTCCGCGACAACGATGTCATTCTCAGATGGGAGCTGCGAAACGAAGACCTGCTCCGAAACCAATCCACCGAGGATCTACCGTACATCAACCAAACAGTGTCAGACCTCTTCAGTACGCCAATTGAGGGGAACATACGATTCGACCTTGACGAGCCCGAACCCCCAGCTCCGCCGCCACGCGAACCCAAGATCACCAGACAAAAGATGCGCCGCCTGGCAGCAGCCAGGTCTGCCATTTCGCCACCCCCCCGTGTGGACAGTGGTTTGCCTCGGGACGAAGACTCTCATAAATATGACTCTGTACCACAGAACAGACGCTTGAATAAACTGCTGCAGGGCGAAACAGCCCCGTCAGCAACCGCATCTCCGTCATCGTCTCCATTGCGACTGCAGAGTCGTCGACGTCGGCTGTCCAATCAAATGTCTGAAATACTGGTGCAGAGGATTATGACCGCAATCGTTGCGATCCGTACCTTGGCAAGTGGCCATGATGCGCGACTCGTTGATTGGGGTCTTCTGCCATATTGCTTCCCTGAGCAGGACCCAACGTATATCCAAGAGCGAGGAAGAGCGATCCTGACCCGATCCCGACTGCAGATAGCCAAGATGCAGAATGATTTCCAGGAGCTCTATCTCGATGCGTACGAGCACAACCGGGTCCCTCCCATCAACTATGACGACATCGAGAACTACGACTGGGAATGGATCGTTGATTGGGCGACGGAACAGCTGGAAGTGCCCCGAGCAGAAAAGCAGCCGTATCTTCCCGCCACGCGCGAGCAATTCGACAGCGTGTTTGAGATCCGGGAAGAGGCGCCCGCGTCGCTGGACGACATCTACCAAGCCGCCAACTCCACTACCGTCAATCGTCGTCGCACTCTCTTCGCCGGGGTGCCTTTTGCGATCCCCATGACTGGCAAACCTGCTGCAATGACCGCCCGAAAGGCCGAGCTTGCTCGCCTCGACGTGGCCAAGTCTTGGGTTCGTTCCAACGTCATCACTCCGGACGAAGCGTACGATGCTGCGACTGCGCGACAGATTCTGGAACGACTGGGCGTGAACCTCGTCGACCAGGCCTTGCAGTCCTTGATCACCGACCGGGTACTCTGCAGCGCGAACAAGGGCCGAGTCATCCCCGGCCGCAACTACGACGTGACCGAGCTGTTTCTGCATTCCCTCGGACGCAAACGCACCATCGAGGCAACGGAGCTGCAACGCGCCGCAAAATTCAAGACCGAGACGCTGGACCTGGCGCTCCGAAAGCAAGGCGTGTTCGACGTGCCCTACAACGCCGAAGACGGCGATATTCTCGCCTTGATCAATCTCTTCGCGACAGGCCGAGTCAGCCTCCAGCCTCGAGACCCACCGCGCGACAAATTCGGCCTCACGGACGGCGGATACCTGACGCGACTGATTGATAAGCAAAAGCTGCGGTTCTCCATCGAAGTCCGTCCCGTCAAAGGCAAATATATCTTCGGCGACCCGATCCAGGAGATCAAGTCCAACACCCCGGCACCTCAGATGCCGGTGACCGATATCGACTCTCCAGCCGCCATGTTCCAGAAGATCCCTCTGTGGTATGACATCCACGGGAAGTTCGTTGCGAAGCTGTGGGAATTGGCGCTGGCGGCCGTGGTGGGATGCGTTGCCATACGCCCTGGGATCAACGCTTCCGGCATCGCCAGCATGATGAAGCCTAGCTTAGGACCTTGGGAGATTGAACTGATATTGAGCTGGGCGTGTCAGGTAGGGGTTATGCAGGGCGGAGACGGGTGGAGTACGCAGGAATGGTGGTGGATGATAATCACATAGTTCCTCAATTGACATACATTTTCGGATGCATTCGTGAAGTCCAATCCACCCAGCTGGCCTGTATCTGTCAGTCCGAGTTCGGAAAGTTTGCAAATGAATGGATTACTTACTCGGGAGCTGGTGGGCTGATGATCCATGAGACTTGAGTGATCCCACCCTTGGTGAACTTGTTACGCTGGACACAGGTCTCGTTGGTCTTGGGGGAAGATTCGATGGTGGTGTTTTGGGAGGGCCTTCTCTCGAGAGAGAGTGTGAGGAACGTGGAGTAGAGAGCTGGAGGCCCCTTTTGCTGCAGTGAAAAGAGCTATAAAGTACGCAATTTACCCCAGTTAACTAGGGCTCGCCCTTTTTAGCTCAGTGGTAAACTCGCAATACCTTTCCACTCCCCCTTCCCCGTCGATCAGACCTACACCACGTTCTCCCACCTCCTCGACCCTAACTACCTTGGAGAACTCCACTCTTTTCTGGTTCCAGAAGAGCTCGGAGTAGCGCAAGGCCGTCCAGAAGCTGGACAAGGATCGTGATCGTTGCCGCGGCTTCTTCACCTTTTGTCCATGAATCAGGCAACTATCTCTCTAGGTTAAGGTAGTAGATCACCTTTCGGACCGACTAGTAATTTATCTGTTTGATCTAATAAATTACAGCTGTATGCTTCTATCAGCAAGCATACCTAAACACTCAGTACCTACCTCGTAGTATCTCTACGCTGCATTGTTCATTTATCCACTGGTTGTAAGGTAATATAACAGTCCAGGATCACAACTCGCTTATTTCAACCAATCAAGTAATACTATCTTCTTTTTTCTTTTCTCTTTAATTGCCTTCTAGCCTGAATTGATCAAGGAATCCATAGGTAAAAGGTGTCATCTACTCGGTGTAGTCCGCAGGCTTTAGTACAGCCCGTGGAACCCTGGTCAATCCTGTTGTAAGCCAAGCTTTAATCTAGCTAACACTTAAGTACTAATTTAGGACCCTGAAAGACTGAGTTGATATTGAAGTAGATGCGTTAGAGAGGGGCTTTATGGGGTAGAGACAGGTGCAGTGTACAGGAATAATGGAGGATGATAATCACATACGGATCTCTTTCTATTCTATTATATGTACTGAGTAATTGGCTTATTGATGTAGAGCTGAAGTAAGATCATGGATTCAAGAATTTCTCCCTCTGTCCTCAACACATATTTAGTTATCCTTCGGCTTAAGAAGGACTTTGAACTACTGGTGCCAACATTATCTAAAGCCACATTCGCCCAACATCCGGTCCTTTCGTAACGAACGTATCAATGCAAGATCTTGTTCGTCATTTGGTTATCGTGAGACTGCGTGACCCCATTCGATGCCTTGGCATCGGTCATGATGCTGGTGGTTGACTCGACATACTTGCCATTCACTAGGATAATGTGTGAGACTAGTTAGGCAAAAAGAGGCTCAAGTGAAGACTTACTCGGGGCACGATGATATTGGTCGATCCACGTCACTTTAGTGCCAGTGGAGAGGGCAACCTTCTGGACAAAGTTCGGATCTCGCAGGAATTCCCGGGCAACGTGAACAACATCAGCCTTGTTATTGCTCAATATCTGCGCATTCCGTAAATATCTGATCAGCAACTCTCGGAAACACAGTGTCGCCCATAGCAGTGACGGCAGGATAAGGACCAGATCAAGAGACAGAAGAAACGTACATCGTGAACAGTAGCACCATCGCGGATCCAGCCCACAGCACCGACAAACAGATTGGGGATGCCGAGTTCTTTCACAGCTTTGGCAAATGGCACCTGGTATTGCTGGCCCAGTTGAACCTGTTGTCTGCGGTCGGTACCACCGCTAGAGACATCGAACAAGTCCACGCCTTCGGCGGCGAGGATGGGAACATAGCGAAGGGTATCGGCAAGGCACCAACCCTCGCCCTCGGGCATCCAGTCTACAGCGGAGATCTTCCAGAACAGAGGAACGTCCTTGGGAATGTTGCGCCGCACAGCACGGGCAACCTCAATGCCGAACCGCGTGCGGCCTTCGAAGCTGCCACCCCAGCCGTCTGTTCGCTTGTTGGTCTAGGCAATGGTTGAGTTAGCTCCCGCATACTATATCTCAACACAGGGCGTCAACATACCGCCGGTGAAGCAAAAGAGTGCAGCAAATAGCCGTGGGCTCCATGAACGGCGATGACATCAATTCCGGCCGCCACAGCGCGGCGCGCAGCTTCGCCATAGCCGTTGATGGCCTCCCAGATCTCCTCCTCGGTCATTTCACTCGGCGTGGCATAGTTCTCGTTCCATGGCTCTGCCGTAGGGCCCTGCACATCCTTGGCATATCCACCGAACTCATCAGGGACGACACGCAGACCCAACCAGGGGGGAGTGACGCCGCACTTTCGGCCGGCGTGCTGCAGCTGAATGGCAGCCTTCTGAGACTGCGAGTGAATCATGTCAACCACCCGCTTTAGTGGCGCGATATGCGCATCTGAATACAGCCCAGCATCTTGGGGAGTGTTGCGGCCCTATAGTCAGGAAGTTAGTCTACAAGTGCCCCTCGAGTTAATAAGTGGGAGGAGGGAGTATACCCGCAGAGTCACCGCCGCAGCCTCGATGGTGATCAGAGCGCTGCCTCGCATGGCCCACTGGCCGTAGTGCACGATGTGGAAGTCGCTGAACATGCCATCTTGACAGCTGTACATGCACATCGGAGCCACCCAGATGCGGTTCTGGAAGGTTTTCCCGCGGATCGTGATGGGCCGGAAAGCAGGCGTAACGGACTCTTCGGTCTCACCATCTTCGAGAATTACCGTGCCCACTGGTACTCTCTGCTTGGGCGTGAAGAAGGGGAGGCCATCCACAGCGACACTCCGGAAATCGGTGTATTGGTTATCGGCAGCTGGCATGGTGATGGATTTGATGTGGGAAAGGGGATGGAGAAGGAAGTTCAAGTGTAGAAGATATGAATGACACGTGGGGGAAAGACAGGGTCTCTTAAACGTCTGGGAGGGTTGAACTGATGTCTATATGATGTCTTCTTAAGTCCATCAGTTGGTCTTGTGGATAAGAAGCGATTTTCGTGTATACTTCCGAGTTCCCCTTTAGGAATGTGGAGAACAATTACCGGATCCGGAGCATTTCTACCCCAAGTCTTTGGGCAGTCGTTCATTGATTCATTCATTCATCACTCACGCAGCTGTTCCATCTCGCTGCATCAAACCCATTAGCATTCCTGGTAACTCCCTTGACGCAGAGCACTAACACCATGGCTTCCGGATTAGCACGCAAGTATGAAATCAACGCCGACATGGGCGAGGGCTTCGGCCGCTGGAGAATGGTGAGCACAATCGAATCCTCAGGGCGCGCATGAGCTTAAGTGCTGAATCACCACCATAGGGACCGGACGAGGAGTTAATGCCGCTCATCGATGCTGCCAATATCGCATGCGGATTCCACGCTGGTGATCCAACAATCATGCTCAAGACGATTCGTCTCTGCAAGCAGCACGGGGTGAAGGCGGGTGCCCACCCAGGACAGAAGACCTCTTTGGATTCGGGCGCCGAAAGATCGAGGTGGACCCGAAGGACATGTACGCCCTGGTTCTGTACCAGGTGGGCGCACTGAAAGCCATGTTAGATGCCGAGGGTGTACCTCTTTCCCACATTAAACCGCACGGAGAGCTGTTCTTCTACATGCAGAGAGACGAAACCATCATGAGGGCGGTGCTAGAGGGGTGTGCGACATTTAAAGTCCCCGTCTACGCCTCAAAGAATGAGCGACAGGAGGCGATGTGCAGGGAGCTGGGCATTCCGTTCCAGGGCGAGATCTATGTCGATATCGACTACTCGCCGGACGCAAGACTGCTCCCCGTCGCTCAGTCGAAAGTTGCCACGCCTGAGCTATGCTACGAACGAGCTATTTCCGCTGCGATAACAGATACGGGCAAGGATATCAACGATAATAGATTCCAGTTTGGCTTCCAGGGGAAGCCTTTCAGTATTTGCGTCCACTCGGATTCGCCGACCGTGCTGCAGAACGTGACGGGAGTTCGCAAGGCTGTCGACGAGGCCAACCATCAACGATTTCCCGACGAGACGAAAGCTGCACGCTCTTGGAACTCTACATAGGAAGCCAAATTAAGAAATAGCTTCTCCTAAATCCTTCGTACACTGGAAATGCTCAATGACATAGTGAATTATTCTGTCGCAATCGTTTTTTAGTATGCCACTTGAAGACTAGGGTGAATATTGATATCTCGATATCTCGATACCCCAATGACCGGGCAGTGGCCATTGAGCTCAGCCAAGTGAGCTTACCCTACAAGATATTGATCCCAAATCCGACACGCGTAATTGAGGCTTGTCTAATCTTGCGCAGGTATCCACTACATGAAGAGCTTCGGGCCCGTTCGGCCTGCACAAAGATAACTCCTACATTTTGAGAGGCTATCGTCGACTATCATTGATAGTTATTGATAATTACCAAATGAGATTTGAGGTCATACATCGAGTGGATCCATCGGTGGGCTCACTTTCTACCCCGAGCACTACCCATAAAGGAAAACGCATACCAAGGGAAAGATATTGGCGTTGAAGAAGTGGCAAATCCGACTGATTGGGCAGAGCTCGCTGCTCGTACTGGGGATATATTCAACCCTGTGAAGGTATAGAATGGCCTGAACCAGGTTGTAATAGATTATCGATCTGCTGATTGCTGGGAAAGCAGTTTCACCGCTGTTCGCTCTGCTCTATTGCATCTCTCTCGAACCAAAGGGTCGCCCTTTCTGCACAGGCTTATCGGTCGTTCGTCAGCCAGACCGCACTAATTCCGGTGAAAACACTCGCTGATCTTCTGCGTCAAGATCATCTGCAATGTGACCTCATAGACAAAAAAATGGGACTGATCATCCCTGAGTGCGGCTTTCAATATATTGAACCCCTCACCCCTCGAGGGACTCGCCATGGTTACGAGAAGTGACCTTGCTGAATCACTCGACAGACATGGCTGAGACCTCTCTCGGAGGAATGGGATCGCCAATATCGTTGATCTTACTGGGAACTCCACGATAAGCAACCTCCTTGATCAGCAAGTGTTGTGGGGAATCTGGGGTATTTTCTACTCCAAGTTCGCATCGCTTATCTCTTCTCAGCCTTCGCAGACCCCGCGCCTATCAACCGCTACCGGGGGCCGGTTGGGATGCCATGGCTTCCAGAAATGGGGTTCTCAAGGGGCTTGTCTATTCTTTTAAGGGGCTTCCCCTCATCAGTGTCCTCCTTGCCCCTGGAATCTTCTGAAAGAAGCCCTTGACTCCGAACTCGCACGACCAACATGGATTCAGGGCCACTCTGCCACATTCGCAAAGTTTTAGTCGCCAACAGAGGCGAGATCGCTGTGCGTTGTATTAGAGCCTGTCGCGAGCTGGGTGTGCAAAGCGTCGCAATCACCACCGAGCCCGACGCATCCTCCCTACATGCTCAATTGGCAGATGAAGTATTCAGGCTTCCTGGCAGCAAAAGCACAGCCTATACAGATGGGTAAGCTCTTCTGTTTCTATCTACACGGTGCCCGAGAGAAGAAAAGCAATTCTAGGTCCTTGAACTGTACTGACCCATCACGAGCATAGAGATGCGATCTTGGATATCTGCAAACGCTGTGGTGCCGATGCTATCATTCCCGGGTATGGATTCCTGAGCGAGAATGTCGAGTTTGCCGAGGCCGCAGCTAAGGCCGGAATCACATTTGTCGGCCCTTCGTCTGCATCCATCCAGGCGATGGGATTGAAGCATGAGGCTAGAGAAATTGCCAACGCTGCAAATGTTCCGATTATTCCAGGAACCTCGCTGCTGTGCTCGCGCGAGGATGCCATCGAAGGCGCTCGGCAACTTGGATTTCCCGTCATGATGAAAGCCACTGGAGGAGGCGGCGGTATGGGCTTGCAAATATGCCAGGACGAAGAAGACGTCGGGAAGGCGTTCGCGTTGGTAGAAAGTCGTGCTGGAGCACTATTCAAGAACACCGGTGTCTTTCTGGAGAAGTACTTTCCACACTCTCGGCACATTGAGGTCCAGGTTGCCGGCAACGGGAATGGAATTGTCACATTCGGTGAACGTGAATGCTCTCTACAACGCCGACATCAGAAAGTCATTGAAGAATGTCCAAGTTCATTTTTCGAGCGCAGACCTGGACTGCGCGAAAGGATGCTCCAGGCGTCAGTTCGTTATGCCTCGCAACTCAAATATAAGAGCGTCGGGACCGTTGAGTTCCTCGTGGATGACCAAACGGGCGAGTTCTTTTTTCTCGAAATGAACACACGTCTGCAGGTTGAACACGGAATCTCGGAGTTATGCTATGGAGTGGATCTGGTGCATTTGATGCTTCGACAAGCCGATTACGAACACGGGGGTCAGCTAGGAATCCCCTCAGAGCTGCTGAAACGTCTCGGGAGACCCCAGCCTTTAGGATGGGCTATTGAAGTTCGTGTATATGCCGAAGTCCCGCTGCGGGACTTTGCACCCAGCCCAGGTGTTCTTCAATTCGTTCGTTGGCCCGAAGGAGATGGAGTGCGTGTCGACACATGGGTGCAGAGTGGCCAACATATCAGCGCCCTATACGATCCGCTGATTGGCAAGGTCATGGTACATAGTCTCGATGGTCGACTGGCTGCTCAACAGAAAATGCTTGCAGCACTCGCCAACACATCGATTCAGGGTACTCAGACGAATCTGCAGTACTTGTCCAAGGTGTTACAGTCGGATGAATTTACGACCGGATTCACCCTGACCAATTTCCTATCGACATTTCAATTCCATACACCAGCAGTGCAGGTCCTTGGTCCCGGTCTTTTCACGACGGTTCAAGACTACCCTGGCCGTCCAAGCATCGGCCACGGTGTTCCGCCTAGTGGGCCTATGGACGACTTGAGTAGCAGAGCGGCCAATATTCTGGTCGGCAACAATGTCGGAGTAGAGCCCCTTGAAGTGACGTTAACCGGTCCTGAACTCTTATTCCATGTGTCGGCGGCAGTTGCCATCTGCGGTGCCCAGATTCCGGTCACAATAGATGGTATAAATCAACCGATGTGGTCTCGAATCGTCGTCCAACAAGGTCAAACTCTCAAACTTGGCACCATCAGTGGCAAGGGGTCCAGAGCCTATATTGCTTTCCGGGGCGGCTTTCCCCAAGTCCCCGCGTACTTGGGCTCTAAGTCCACTTCCCCAGAACTGCAACTTGGCGGACTTCAAGGACGACGGCTTCAAGCCAATGACATTCTCGATCTTTCTTCAGAGCCGGTTGTCTGTGAATCTGATTATACGGCTTTGTCCTTACCGTATGAAGCCCTCCCCGACTATAACATCTCCGAAATCTACTGCCTTCAGGGTCCTTTCGGCTCCGAGGACATTCTGAGTCAAGAAGGGCAAAACACAATCTATAACTCCCGCTGGACCATCAGCCATAATAGCAGCCGGAGCGGTGTCAGGCTCGAGGGGTCACGGCTTAGCTGGGCTCGGACAAGTGGTGGGGGCGGTGGATCTCATCCATCGAATGTCTTCGATTACGGTTATCCTAACGGGGGTGTGAATTGGACGGGAGAGTATCCTATCATCCTGGCACGAGATCGTCCTGATCTTGGAGGCTTCGCGTGCCCTATGACGATTTGCTCTGGTGAAATGTGGAAGGTCGGTCAACTTAAAGCAGGTGACGCTGTGCAGTTTCGCCCCACAACTTTCGAGAATGCGATGCAAATCTCCCGAGCGAAGGATGCCTGGCTAGATACACTCTCTCGGCGTGTCAACGGCGACAACGTATCGATTCGCTCTCCTCGAGTTTTACTCGGCCCCGAGACCACTTCCTCGATTCTCAGAGCAAAGCCTGTTTGCAACTCTCACCCGCCGGTCACCTTCCGGCAGGGTGGCGATACCTCCATTATCGTTGAGTTCGGCAATCAAATTGCAGACCTGCGGAACACTACCTGCGTTAAGCTTCTCAGTGAGCAGGTTGTTAAGCGGAGCTTGGCTGGCGTCCGCTGTGAGCCAAACATCGCCACTCTTACCGTTCATTATGACCCGTACCAGCTGTCACAAATCGAGTTGCTTGGGATCCTAGAAAGCATAGAAAACAGTATCGGGGAACTCTCGCATGCTCAAGTTCCTGTTCGAGAGGTCCACCTACCACTCTGCCTCGACCACCCGAGCATTCAAGAAGCCACCGATCGTTACATGGAGAGCATTCGGCCTACCGCAGCCTATCTCCCAGATAATGTTGAATATTTGCGAAAGGCCAATGCACTGAATTCGAGAAAAGACGTTTTTGACTCCCTTCTGAAAACTCCATGGCTGGCCGTTGCTGTCGGCTTCTTTGTCGGCACGCCGATCATGTTCCCGCTCGACCCTCGATATCTCTACACCGGCCAAAAGTACAACCCCAACCGCGTATACACTCCGAGTGGATCCGTCGGTCTGGGTGGGTCGCTGCTTGGATTATACCCGGTTGCCTCACCGGGAGGATACCAGCTCATGGGCCGCACACTCAGTGCATGGGACACCGCAGGCGTTCGGCCTGGATTCACGTCCTCCCGGCCTTGGCTTTTCGACTACTTCGACATCGTGAGATTCTACGAGGTCACGGAGGATGAGTTCGATAATGCACACAGTGACTTCCTTGCCGGAAGATACACGTTCAAGATCACCAATGCAACACTGGACATGGACACCTACATTGCTCGATTCGACGCCACAAGCCGTGATCCAGAGTATCTGGAATGGCGAAAGCGCCAGGCTCTCGCGGCTGCAGAGATGGGTCGGCTTGAGCAGAGTCTCTTTGACGAGTGGAGGGCGGCGAAGGCGATCACTGGCGGTAGCCAAAGTAGGGATAGCATTGACGGTCCCAACTCGGTGCGAATTGAGTCACCTGTCGATGCCAATGTTTGGAAGGTCCAAGTGCAGGTTGGAGACGTCCTTGAAAGCGGCCAGGTTGTGGCTATCCTGGAAGCAATGAAGATGGAGATTAAGGTATCTGTACCGGACAGCCAACAGGGTGCTAGAGTCACGTCCATTCTTTGTAACCCTGGGGATGTGGTTAGTCCAGGCACTATGATCCTAGCAGCGCAGCATCGGTGATAGCTTTATGAATGTACTATTTCTGTATATCATCTACCCTGATTACAATGGATGATCTATTTTTACATTGCGTTTAAATTGCTGTAAAAACAATTTCGGTTGGTCATATTTTAGGCTTTCATGTGCAGACAAAGACACGTTGATTCGAGTAGGTTGAGCAGTTTTGACAACCAAATAACAAGGTCCAGCATATGCTTGGCCGTTTGCGGGTGACTCCGGGCCTTCCTATTGGCCCGTCCAACACCGGCCATCTACGCCGGGATGAAGCAGGCCTGAGGTTGCCACTTTGCCTCAGGCTCGAAAAGGGCCAAGGCTTATCAGTGACTTGCGGGGAGGATCGGCAGAATACGTAAACGTAAACAGATTCTGGCTAGCGATAAGCCCTCTGCCCCCGCTTCATCCGCCAACATCTCCCAACTTCTGCATCTCCCCAGCATGCCATTCCCTGTCCTGTCACTCCAACAGTCCTGGCCATGAAAGGCCGTCCCAAGCTACGGGTCGCCCCCTGCAGCTTCTGCAATAAGCAGTTCAAGAGACAAGAGCATTTGCAGCGACATTTGCGCACCCGTAAGTATGCCCCTGTCGGCAGTCTTATTCGCCTTACCTGATAGAGGCCAGACACCCATGAACGGCCCTTCCGGTGCTCCTGCGGGCGCATGTTCTCCAGACAGTACGACCCCCCCCCCCCCATTGGCCCATGTGGAGATCGACGAATGAACCGCTCATCGTCTCGCTCTCTAGGGATTTGCTCACTCGACATCAACGACTCGCCGGCTGTACACATGATGCAGTGGCGCCTGCCCCTGAAAAAGAGACATATGTCCCATTTTCTCCATCTCCCTCAGATGTCTATCCACCCTGCAATCAGCCCTCTCCTCTCCTGGATAGCGCGAGGGCCCCTCCGGTGGCTATTGGTGGTTTCAACCCCAACACTCTTGGAGAGCTTTCTCGAAATGACGGCGACAGAAGATCATCTGCAATTGTCGGCTCGGAAGCATCAAGCGTAGCCACACAGACAGTCAAGCACAGCTTTTCACAGGCCCAGTTGATGGGGAAATTCTCCATTAATGAGCCCCTGGTTGATCAATGTGAGCCTAACATCGACCACGCTAGCTACGACGCAGGACCAGAAAAAAGAACTCCAAATGTGGGGAGCGATGATACACCCAACTTCATGGCCTTCGAGGCTTTCAATGCCGACATCTTCTATGCGGAGCCTGGTATGATCAGTCACTATCTCCATGATGCTTTCCCTCCCGTGCAAAGTCCGCTTCAGTTCATGGATATGCCAATCGAGTACGATGCCATGGATAGTATTCAGACACATTCTCCCTCCAATATTGTGGATAGAGCTGCAGGCTATGCCGAGGCGACCATGCAAATGACGCTTTCGCCTACAATAGTGAACTTGACGGAGTCGCAGTACAGACAAGCACCGCCAAAAGATCGGCATATAGAATTCCAACCGGCTAGCCATGAAGCATGCAAAACAACTCATCCTGATGCACCCAAGGACGGGGAGCAAAGAAGCTCGCAGCTGCCGGACACACGACTGGATGTCTCAGATAGTGTTACAGAGCTGACTCCTTGGACGGTTTCGGTAGAGACGTATAAGGCGCTCTCTAATGAGGTTTACCGACACCGAGATTCGTTGCCTCGGAACCTTGCTCTCCCCAGTCGCCAGATGTTATCCAGATACCTTGCAAGTTACTTTCGGGGATTTCATCCCCACCTTCCATTTTTACACATGCCCACGGTGTCCGCAAACTCTATCTCCGGTATGCTGTTGCTAGCGATAGCTGCAGTCGGAGCCTTCTATGCATTTGAGCATCCAAATGGCTACACTCTTTATTTTGTTTCGAAGGCTATCATTACTCAACAACTGGAACAAAAGCGACGTGATTCAACTTTCCATCTGATGCATTCGCTTCCTCCCTACGCCGAACTTTCTGTCGGGTCGTCCAAGAGCTCCGAGACGAGCTCTCGATCCGCACCAAGCCCACAAAACCGTCTAGACTGCACGGTAGAACTAGAATTAATCCAGGCCTTACTGGTGCTCATCCTGACCACTTCCTGGCTGGATGGACCTCTGCTGAGCGAATCGCTTGCAATGAGCAGCCAGCTGGCCGTACTTGTGCGTGAGTCGTTAGCGTCAAACCCCTCGGGCGACATCGAATGTTGGACATCTTGGTGCCTCGACGAAGGAAAGCGCCGGACCGTGTTTGCTGCCTATGTTGTCCTCAATATTCAGACTATCTGCTTCAACATGCCGCCACATATGACGGTTGGAGAAATCAAGCTGCCACTCCCGTGCTCTGATGCCGAGTGGAGAGCCTCTACTTCCGCCGAGTGGCATCGCGTACGGCGTCAGGGAAATCTTCGCGAATTAGATCTGCATGAATGCATGAAGCATTTATTATCTGGGCGACCGCTTGACCCTGAGATTGCAATCACGGCGTTTGGAAATTATGTCCTTATCCAGGGCATATTGCAGCAGATTCTCTTTGAGCGTCATGCGTCATCCTCCTTCCTCGAATCGACATCGTCCTTGCCCGTGGAGAAAATTCGGACATTTGATAAGGCGCTCACAGCATGGCAGGCAGGCTGGAATTCAGCGACCGAACCTATGATTGACCCTGCATCTCCGCATGGACCCTTAGCTTTCAACTCCACGGCCGTGCTTCGCTTGGCTCATATCCACCTTGGAGTGATCTTGGGCGACCAAACTTCTCTTTGGTGCCGCGATCCGGGAGTTCTGGCACAAGCTTTCGAGCAGCACCGCAATCCCGTAGTCCCGGGCTCTGCGCATATCGAGGAGGCGGTGCTACACGCTGTCTATGCGCTACGCGTGCCTGTGCGAATGGGAGTCGCATTCGTTGCGCGAACTCAAACTGGGCATTGGAGTGTCCAGCACGCAGTTAGCAACTTTACCTGCGCATTTCTACTTACTCACTGGCTCGAGAGCCTGTATCACCTTGTTGCCACGTCGGGGATGGCCGCAATGCGGCCCGAGGAGAGGCGCCTCCTTCAGATGACCGAGGTATTGGTTGAGGAAACGCACTTGGAGAGCTCGCTAGGTCCCAGAGGGGATTATCCCCGGCGTATCCGGCGGCTTGCCAGTTCCGCCGTCAAGCTGTGGGCCGAGACGTGCAAAGGCGTGCAAGTATTTGAAATTGTCCATGTCATCGGCTCCACATTATCTTTGGTGGCGGAGAACCTTGATCGACGAGGCTCCAATTAATCTCCAGCCCCAAAAATCACGCAGTATCTCTTATCTTGGGGTAGAAAATACCCCAGATTGCCAAATTCGGCAGCCCGTCAACTACCCCGAGGTGGATCCCGGTGGGTCTGAGGATCGGCGTGGCTGCAGGGCCAGTTGCAGTTTCGGGCACTACCCCAACATCGGTTTGGTCTTTAGAACCGCACATCTCCTGCCAGAATGCTTCACTCAGTACAGCAACATTTGGAATTAAACAAGATGGCGGTGCAACTGCTTGAAGTTCCTGGCGCGGTGTCAAAGTCCCTATCGGGTCGTCTCGGCGCCAAACTCGACAGCCGTGCTGTACAGTTCTTCGCCGACTATCAGCAAAGTCACGACAACTTGTAGGTAGAAGTCTCTTTCAATTGCGGCCATTCACCGTGATCGATTGAAGCGGTCCACTGACAGCATGAGCACACAGCCTCGTTGACGTTGATGGCAATGAGTTCCTCGACGTGTAGGTACTTCTATTTCTCCGGATCGTCAGTCAGCGGTGATTCATTGTCCATTTAGGTACGCTCAGATTGCCTCGAACGCGGTAGGCTATAACAACCCAACCGTTGTCAAGGCTTCTACCTCCAATGAAATGGCCCTAGCGCTGTCCAACCGGCCATGCTTGGGAGTTTATCCTGGTGCGCACCTGGCCGACAACATAGACAGCATTATGCGGATCGCTCCCCGAGGCCATAACATGATGTTCCCCGCACAATCAGGAAGCGAAGCCAATGAACTCGCATTTAAGGCTGCGTTTTTCTTGTATCAATTGAAGAAGCGCGGGCTCGGGGCAGAATGGACTCAGGACGAGCTTGAATCGTGTTTGAGAAACGAAGAGCCCGGATCACCGAAGCTGTCAATCCTGAGTTTCAAGGACAGCTTCCACGGCCGGGGCTTTGGCTCTCTTTCTACCACTCGCTCCAAGCCTATCCACAAACTCGATGTCCCTGCTTTTGACTGGCCCATGGCCAGGTTTCCCGCGCTACAGTACCCACTCGAATCCAACGTCGACAAGAATAGAGAAGAAGTTGAAAGCTGTCTGAAAGAGGTTGACGAGCTCATGAGCACGTGGTAAGTCTACAGTGTCTATCCCGCCCGATAGCCTTCTCGCTGCTCACGAGTCTGCATTTACTCAGGCGGGACCCGGTGGCTGCTATCATCGTGGAGCCTATTCAAAGTGAGGGCGGTGACAATCACGCCCCGGCTAGCTTCTTCCAAGGACTGCAAGATCTCACAAGAAAACACGGTGCCCTCCTTATCGTCGATGAAGTCCAGACCGGTACGTACCTTCCGCGCATGCCTTGATACACGGCCAGATTGATCTAACCACGCACACGCAGGATTCGGAGCTACCGGAAGTTTCTGGGCTCACGAAAGCTGGAATCTACGAGAACCCGCGGACCTGGTGACCTTTGGCAAGAAGGCCCAAATGGCCGGATACTTCTTCGGAGACAAGACCTTGAAGCCCGACAAGGCATACCGACAATTCAACACCTGGATGGGCGACGAAGCGCGACTGATCGTCTGCAACGCCATCATCGACGAGATCCTTGAGAAAGACCTCGTGACGAAGGTATCAGCCGTTGGAAATGCCCTCTATAACGCTCTCGAGAAGCTCGCCCAGTCGTATCCAGACCGCGTGCGAAACCTGCGCGGCAAAGGTGCAGGAACATACATTGCCTTCGACACCGACGGAGCAGCCGCCCTCTGCAATAAGATGAAGCTTCTCGGCGTGAACATCGGCAACTGTGGCAAGAACACCGTCCGTCTCCGACCGATGCTTATCTTCGAGGAGAAATATATTCCGAGGCTTATCGCGGCTCTAGTGAATGCGTTCAAACTGCCGGATTCTGTTCAACCGGGTTTTGCCACCTTTTGATTTTTGGATGAACTATGATAGTTTATGACAGGTAGAGAAATCTGTGTTGGGAGGGTTTATATTTCCGCTTATTCTTAAGTGAGAAGTTAGAATAACAGAGCACTTGGTAGGAAACAGCCAGGGTCATTGGAAATATATTCTTTGAGATTTCCAAATTTCCAACTCCTACAGAAGTATATATTGCGATGTTTGAGAGATTCTCCCTCTGAAGCCAAGATGGGTCTGATTAAGATCATACAAAACTTGAACTCGTAAATCGTAGGGAATGTATGTACATCATCACTATTTTAGTTACACACACTACGCTAAAATTCAAGGTTCCGTCTCTTTGCGAATGCGATCCACGCGCGCAACATCCTCCGGCGAGGATTCCTGGGACTCGGCATCAACCCCGACAAACACCTCGCTGACCACGTCCTCCACCTTCTCCAGCGCGTAGGAGACCACCGCCACTGAGCGGGCCATGCCGAGCTGGCACACCTCCTCGCCGACGGACTTCTGGATGCGGCCGTCGCCGCCGTTCTCGGGCAGGTCGCTTTCGAACGCGCGGATGAGGGACCGGAGAGGGTCGAGGAACTGCTGACGGAAATAGATGTAATTTCTCTCAAGCCGCAGCTGGGTGCGCAACTGTGGCGAGGAGACCAGGACGTAGTAGAGATTGACGGCGGCGTGGATGGCGGGGGACAAGGTCTGGGAGAATTTGATCGAGGACGCCACGAGATCGGAGGAGACGTTGAGCAGGAGATTGGACGAGTTGAACAGCAGCGGGAACAAGACGGAGAAATAGTGCGGGTTGAGGAAGAGGTTGGGCTCGGGTTCCTTGGCAGCGTCGAGAATCTCCTGTTTCAGCCATCCAATGGCATCATCCTTGACGGCTAGGAAATAATGCTCTTCTAGCACGCATCGGATGACCTTGAATCGGACCAGATGGGACTGGTGGCTGCGCACGATGGCACCCGGGATTCGTCGAACGGTGGCGTAGTTCTGGCGCGTGGTGCATGCCGTCAGTGCGAGAACGAATTCCCTGAATTCCTTGGTGCTGGAGGGCTGTTCAATTGGGTGCTGCATGGAGAGCACGGTCAAGGTGAGTAGAGAATCGAGCAGAACCTGCGGCTGACCGAAGGCAACTTCATCGGGGGTGTTGTATCCGCCGACGAAATTTTGGAACACCTCTGCGAGATCCGGAAAGACGGCCAGATGAATGACCTGTCCCGACGAGAACAAGGCCGCCACCGCCGACCGGGCTGCCAGCAACAGCAGCGACCCGTGCCGTTCGAGCGGAATTTCGTCCACCTGTCGCGGCGGATCCTCGAAGTCGAGCGGAGGCGGCAGGTGCTCGGGCGCCTGGTGGATAATAGCGAGAAGCTGTTTCTCGTCTAGACCGAAGTCTCGCGATAATGCCTGTGCCGTTAGCGAGCCGAGATTACAACACCGACATGGTCAAACATACCACGATCTTCGCCATGATCATATCTCTCTCTCTGAGTTGCTTGTTGCTAGCGTATACATCCGTTTGAGACGGTCGGCCGGGCAGACATCTCTCGGGGTGATGCTTTTCTTGCAACCGGATAGTCCAGGACATGCCGGGGTCCGTCCAACTCGAAAAGCTGAGCAGATACGACTTGAGAAGTTCGATCAGGCCGAACTGTAGAAACTTCTTGACGAGCATCTTCTCGTTTTGCGTGTTGGGGCTAGGCGATTGGACCTCCGCCTCCGGGTCAGGCGCCGACGCCTCCGCAACGCGTAGTACGCTCGAATCGCTGGCTGCTCGGGGAGGTGGGGCCGGTCGCTTGGAGGGGGACATATCTCTAAACATTTCCAGCAAGGCGATGGTGGTTTCGTTGGTAGGCATGGAGGTGTAGGCCTCCAGGGCGGCCTGCAGCGAGGTGGCGAGAAAGCGACTGGGCGACTTGGTCTGGATGCGCGAATGCAGCACCGAGAGCATGCCTACGAGAGAGTTGAACTGTAGGATGTGCTTGGGAAGGCGACCGGTCCCGTCCTTAGCCCGACTTTCACCATCTACGGTGACTTTGTCCATCTTGGCCTCTATCCCGTGAGTCGACCCCGGCGAGCCATCTTCCTGCTCATCCTCGTCCTCGTCCTCGTCCTCCGGCTGCAATTGCAAGAGCGCCTCGGAGACGCGCAAAATGACTTCGCGGGGATTCCCCAAGCGAGCGATGTCCTGCAGGCATTCTTGAGATTGCGGCAGCATGGGCAAGAGAAGCTGCACCAGGTCCCAGCCGATGTTGGTCGTCAGGGTCTCATCCTGCAGGAGTTTATGAAGGGTGGGTAGGCGGGCCGGGGTCAATTGGTACTCCAACAGAGTGAGGTAGGTGAGGTAGTCGGTGGCAGGCGGCAGGGCCGTTATGAGGGGGTTTTCTTCTTCTGCAACGGTCGCCATGGTGGACTAGGAGACGGGCCGATGCACGAGGCGCAAGAGACAGAGGGACGTCGAGAGGGGGAAGAGAAAAGGTGGATGTGGGTGGAACGCAGGAAAAGCTGCGTCAGCGACACGGCCGAGGGGGAGGCACGGGCGGCATGACATCACCGCCCGATCGGGCGGAGTGCGACTTGGGCGACAGGGTCTGGTTCCCTGCTCAGGGCGCCTGGGAGAGGCGAGTAGGGCGGAAGAAGCATCGGGATGGGAGAGGAGGTCCAGAGGCCGGAGATAGAAATCCTGGGCCTGGGTGTGGTCATGTTTCTTTCGTGCTCTCGGGCTCTGGAGAAGAACGAGACTAACGTGACTGAGGCCCCAAGGCCGCCAAGCATCCGGGCTAGACTGCCCCGATGACGTCGATGGCCAGCCATAATTCTCAGGCTAGTGATGGGCCCATCGCCAATGCCCGAGCCAAGGCCATTATTAATTAACATTCACCAGGAGTGACGATCATGGCGCATGGTCGTCTTGGGAGATCTTCGTGAAGAGTCCATCAAGGGAGATGAGCATCGGTGGAATCTGGGGAAGTGAGCCTCCACCATCGAGACTAGAAGGGGACCAGGCAGGTGAGATGATCGAGATGATAGAGAGGGCCATGTCATGCTGGTCCAGTAGAAGAATTCCACCCGAGAAGAAAAGAAAAAACGGGAGTTGCCGATGAACCGACCAGGAAGTGGGCAGGCACCAATACGGTACCGTCAGGCCTGGTACGGTGCCTTGAAATGCCTTGAAATCGAGCCGTTCGAGAGCAAATAACAGTGTTCCGTACGGTAAAGCAGGCCGGAGTTCCCTGGTCGTCCAGTCTTGGCCTGGAAATCCGGGCAGCAGAGCGGGCATTTTGCTATCCGCGCCTTACCGGGCGATCCTTTTCTTCTTCTCCCTCTGTTTCTCCTCCTCTTTCTCCCCGTACGCCTCCGGGTGGTAATCCTATATATACACGCTGCCTCTCCTGGCTTCCTCGTGTTGGTCCGGTCTCCGCGACTCTTAATCTAGCCCCCAATCCACTCTTCTTTTCTTTTTCGCCTCGTGCCCGAGTTCGGCTCTCATACTCTCCTTGTGCGCGACCCCCGGTTTCCCGCCGTGTCACTCCTTGTTTCCCTCGATAGCTAGACCGCGCCACGCCCAAAGCTTCGCGTGATCCCACCTTGAATTCAATTCAATCATTACGTCGACGGGAAGTGGTCAATCACACTACCACCGCCTAATCATAATTCCTACGGCAGCCAGTAAAGAACGTCGACAGTCCCTACAGTCGCGGGTTTCCTTCCGGAAGGGTTGGAGGGAGATCATAGCATAGCACAGAACGTGGAAGCTTCGACCCCGGCTTATAAATCCACCTGGTCCACCTGATCTTTGCTTGGATCTTGGATCGCAACCATGACGACGGAAATGCAGTCCTTTTATACCCCGTCCACCTCGACGCACATCTCGTCCCATGCGCCGGCGGCGGTCGACGAGCTGATCACCAAGTACTCGTCCACCATGTCGTCCGCCAACACCCCGGGGAGCCATTTGGCGAGAAAGAACTCTCGTCGAAACATCCTGCAGCGATGTGTCGATCGGGTGCGCCTCGAGTACTACCGCTACGAGGTGACCTTCGGACTATACGTGATGACCCCGGGCGAGAAGCTAATAGCCAACGCCTTCGTCATGATCGTCTTATCTCTTCTCTTCTGGGCCGCGCTGCTCTACTTCCCCTCGCTGCTGTACCAGAAGCTGAGCCGCCTCGTATGGCTCTTGACCGGACACAGCAGTGCTGAAATGGGCGCGGCCTTGGGCATCCTCGACACCCACGTCAGTTCCATGTCGGCGCCTTTCCCGACAGAACCGGCCCTCTCGTGAGCGATGCTGCGCACGACTTATATACCAACGGCCCACGGGCTTCCTTTTTGCGCCTTGTTATTCTTGGTTAATACCACGCTTATATAATTCCCGATGGGATCCAATGACCTTTATACCGGTGGTATGCGAACCTGTCCCCAGCTTTCGATGCTCTTTCCTCATGCAATCTCGGATTCTGACTTTCTGACTTTTTGCGCTCAGACTATTTTTTGACCGTCACACGGAGTTGGCATGCGGCGTTCTGGATTTTGCTTTTTCTTGGAAGACACCTTACCTCACCAAACTTAATGACTTGAATGGGACACAAGAGACACCTGGATTGAATGTGAACATGGGTACTGAGCGGATTGAGCGACGCATGATGTACCTACGAAATGCCCGGGTGCTCCGGCCGGGACGATGCTTGGCTGTTGGGGTCAGTATTCTCTTCTGTTCTGGCTAAATAATTTTATGCTTTGGAGTTGGGATTGGCACGCAGAAACACGAGTGGCATCCTGCTTGGATTGTTTTTATTTTCATTATTTTTAATTTTTTTTTTCTGTCTGGGTTTTGTGTTCGGTTCGTCGTTGCCTGCAGTGCCGATGTATAGGGCGGACTTACGCCGTGAGTGGCTTAGGGCGATGGAGACTGGAGACTGGATACTGGATAGTCCACGTTCACTAATGCTTAATGTTAAATCTGATCCTGGTCGATTGCGTGGTTGCGTCGCGTTTCCCTCCCAACCGGAGTTGTTAGTGCCGTCTGGATAGACTAACACGGTGGATTGGCGTTGACATGAAGAAAACTAAAAATCGTAGTAAAAATGTAGTAATGAATAGTATTAAATATCCGTCAAGCGGGCGCAGTCGACACAAATAAATAAATAAGAAAAAACCCACGGCACCAGCCACAATTAATTAAAGCTGACGACGAGGATCGGCACCCAAAAATAGTTCCTCCCGCAAAAACGCCTGCCTAACGAACGTCGTCACCGCCAACAATCTCTTTCAGTCTTTCACTCTTTCTGTCTCGTCGCTCGTCTGGGACCGTTCACTCACTTTGGCACCTCCTTGCATTCGTTGGTCGGAGTCCTCTCGGCTGTCACCACTGTCATTCGGACAATTCTTCGGGCTGCTGGTCCTCTTTGTCGTCGTTTCGCTCGTGTCCACCCGACCTGGGAGCTCCTCTGCGTCAGCCTCATCAGTGTCTCAACAAACGTGGCCGTGCCGCGCATGTAAGGCTCGATCGGATCATCGCTCGTTCTAAAGAGGCGTCAAACCCGCACTGTGTCATACCCCCACACGGAAAAAGTCCTTTCGCTTCTCTCGTCGCTTGGCGCTGTCTGGACGCCATTCAAAACCGCCCCCAGTTCCCACCCCCTTCGACCTCCTTTTCACCTTCACCATCGCGCTGTCCTTTCACCATGGCAGCTCACGGCTACTACGACACCGGCTACGGCAACCATCCGCCTACCTACGACCAGGCGTACCCTCCGACAGACTCGGTCAATCGCCAGTCTCCCGCTCCCAGCTACTCCGGCGCCGGTGGTAATCCCTACGTCTCGCCGAACGCCGATCCGTACGACCTCCGTCATAGTCAACAGTCGCTAGGCTCGGACCAGGCGCCATACGTTGCCGGTGGCCGGCTAAACGATCACGATCAATACGCAGAGAATATCCCACTGAAATCCCAGAATCAATACGCCAACGCTCCTCCCCCGGGAGATTGGATGCAACAACCGACACACTACCCGCCGCCCGAGATGATCGAACCGCCAGCCCCGCGACCCGGGCGCAAGAAGAAGGGGTTCTTTAAGAAAAAGGTTCCGTGGGTGACTTACACACTCACGCTGGTGATGATTGTCGTTTTTATCGTCGAGTTGGTTAAAAGCGGTATGTTGAATGGGACGCGGGTCATCCCAGGCGCTGAACTAACGTGCTTATGCAGCGCAATTAACGGGATCGCCGATTCAAACAAAACCCCAAATCAACCCGATGATCGGTCCGTCGGCCTATCTTCAGATCAGCATGGGCTCTCGGTACACGCCGTGTATGAAGAATGTCGACAAGGTGCAGAACGCGAATGAGCAGTTCATGATGCCCTGCCCCAACACCACGACGAACGAGTTGGATTGCAGCCTCTCTGAATTGTGCAGCTTTAGCGGAGTTCCGAATCCTAAGCCGCATGGATCGCTCGACGACAACCCCTCCCCCAATCAGTGGTACCGCTTTATTATCCCCATGTTCCTTCACAGTGGATTCGTTCATATCGGCTTCAACCTGCTGGTGCAAATGACCATGGGCGTGGACATGGAGAGAATGATCGGATGGTGGCGATACGGCCTGGTCTACGTGGCCAGTGGTATTTGGGGATTCGTGCTTGGCGGTAACTACTCGGCGCCTTTCATGAGCGCATGCGGCTGCTCCGGCGCTCTCTTTGGCATCCTTGCCCTCTTCCTTCTGGACCTTCTCTACACGTGGAACGAGCGGCAATCTCCGTGGGTCGAGTTTATCATCATGATTCTCGGAGTGGGCATCTCCTTCGTCCTGGGCCTGTTGCCGGGGATGGATAATTTCTCCCACATTGGCGGGTTCGTTATGGGACTGGCTCTCGGACTCTGCATCATGCGGTCTCCGAACGCTCTCCGAGAGCGCATCGGACTCGCTCGCAATCCCTACGTCGCCATGAGCGGAGGCGCTGGCGCGGGACCGGAGCCGGAGAACAAGGTCACAACCGCGGGTCCCAGCTTTGCCAACTTCTTCAAGAGTAAGAAGGGTGGTTCCTCGGAGCCTTCCGGTCCTCTGGGCTTCTTCAAGGGCCGCAAGCCTCTATGGTGGGCCTGGTGGTTGGTCCGAGCGGGCGCCTTGGTCGCCGTTCTGATTGGATTTATCTTCTTGATTGTGGACTTTTACAAGTACCACTCGTCGAATTGCTCGTGGTGCCACCGGCTGAGTTGTCTGGTACGTCTATTTTCCCCCGTCTTTCCTGTGGCCCTAGGATGCTAACGTCTGTCTTCACAGCCGGTCAACGGCTGGTGCGAACAAGGCATGAAGCCTTATGAGATTAAGAACACGACCACTACTACCCACAACTAGCTTGGTTTTCTTTTTTGTGTTTGAGATCGGCTATGATTGAGCCATTTGACGACCATTTCCTGTATCTTAGATTTCCCACTTGTTGCATTACTTCGAAACACATTCAATTTATTGCCCAATCTAGACAACATAGTCAACATAGTCAACATATTGATTTATGCAGTGGCTGGTGCGCACAGCCACGTCCTAAATATAACCGGCGCGTGGCGGTGTAGGGAATTGCCGCAAATGGACGGCGATCCGATGACGATCCGCTTCGCCCGCCGATTCTCTCACTCTCTTCTCTCTCCTTCTTTCAGGTCTCAAGATTTCCGAGGTCCGGCCCTATCACTTGGACTCTCTCCCTTTTCTGTCATCGACCTGTCATCGATCTCTCCGCCGCGTCCCTTCTCCTTTCACTTGATCCGCCTTCCGAGTCGTCCGGGGACATGGTTCATGTCGCAATGATCTAGGACTCCCTCCGATCCATCGTGGATATCTTTCGCCATCCAGTGACGTTCCACCTCAACCGGTCTCTAAATGACCATGGCAACCTTAGCCACCTCCCCGCCTTCATCTCCGTCCTGGTCGAAACGACGGCCGCGGGCCTGGGCTCTCCGATGCGAACGCTACTGCTGTGCGGCCGCCTCTTTTTTCCCACTAGCATTCGTCTACGGTCTCACGACATGGGCCGTCTACGTTGAGGCCAGTATCGGCTTTAAACCGTCGCAAAATCCGTGGATTGGTAGGTGACCGTGCGGTGAGGTCTGCAGTCGAAGTCGATCGCTGACCAGTTCTGGGTTACATAGGTCTACCGAGTTCGATCATCGGCGTATTCCTTTATATCTGCTTAAATGCCTCATATACAGTCGCTGTCTTTACCGACCCTGGATCGCCCTCCGGATCACGGAATGGTCGCCACGAATATAGCGCTCTCCCTATCACCGAACTCCCCGAATATACGGCCTACACGGTGAACTCGACGGGCGGGTCGCGGTTCTGCAAGAAGTGTCAGTCGCCCAAGCCGGACCGCACCCATCACTGCTCTACCTGCAAACGATGCGTCCTGAAGATGGACCATCATTGTCCGTGGCTGGCCACGTGTGTCGGACTGCACAATTACAAGGCTTTCCTCCTCTTCCTCATCTACACGTCGATCTTCTGCTGGGTGGATTTCGTCGTGGCGTCCCTGTGGATCTGGACCGAGGTGTTGAATGACACCCAGTATATGGATACAATGTTGCCGGTGAACGTCGTGTTGCTGGCCATTCTGGGCGGGATCATTGGGCTGGTGCTGTCGGGATTTACTATCTGGCATATCAGTCTCGCCGTGCGTAACCTGACGACCATCGAGTGCTTGGAGAAGACGCGCTACGTCTCTCCGTTGCGGAAAGCGCTGGATCGCCACCGATTCCACCATGAGGCCGGCGGCAACGGTAACGACGACCCCCATAGCCTCGGCCACCGTCTGCAGGATTACGGAAACCAAATATTGGACGCTCACGCCAACGCGATTCCCGGTGTGACCAGACCCGAGGAGGGAGAGGAACAGGTGACTCCACTCCAGACGCCATCCCGACAGCCGGGTATGACACCGGCCCAGCGGGCGCTTTCGCGGTCGTACGCAGAGATGGAGAGGGAACGTGAGAACGATCGATACCAGCAGTATCTGCACGAGCAGGATAACGAGAAAATGCCCAACGCATTTGATATGGGCTGGCGGCGTAACCTGGTCCATCTGTTTGGTCCCCGGCCCCTTCTCTGGGCCGTTCCGGTCTGCACGACCACGGGAGATGGATGGCACTGGGAGCCGAGTCCCAAGTTCATGCAAGCTCGCGAGTCCATCCGGGAGCGCAGGGAGCAGGAGCACGCCGACCAACAGCAGTACCAGCGGGACCTTTACCAGCGCAACATGCACAACAGCCAGGCATGGGGCATCCCCGCGAACACCTCGCCACCAAACCAACCGCCAAACGCGTACTATCAGGAGTCGGATCGGCCGGATACCGGGGTTTCGATGAAGACGTTGGCACCGATGTCCCCGCGGCCGCGACCGGGGGATAGCGATTATGAAGACGCGGAGGAGGCCGATTTGCTTTCGAAGCCGCGGGGTGCGAGCAGTCCATATCGCGCTGGCGACCGCAGTCGTGGTACCCAAGGCCAGTCGCAGTCCGATGAGTGGCGGGACTGGGATTAAGTCATGGTTAAACGGTCATCTACGGAGTCATTGATGTAATTGTTCGTGCACGTGCATTTGTAGGTTATATTGCTGCGTTGTGTTCTTTATAATGAGCGCGATAGACGGGATCATTCGGCGCATGGTATCCAGCGTGGTCTTTGTGAATATAAAAATAAACAATGAACAATCTTATTTTATGTTGTGTTGCTGCATTGTCGAGTATTCCACTGATGCCTGAATGCCAAGGCAGCCAGGCCAGCCGTCTTCCGACCAACTGGCCAATTCCTCATCCTTGACTTCGACAACTTCCAGCTTCATTGCTTTCTCCGTCTTCCCAATGGATTGTTCCGTGTGTAGGAACCCCACTGCATGAGATATCTTTCTGCGTGATCTACCGACAAACGAACCACTTCCCTCATCTCACCACTCCCTCGGCTCCATCAAGATCGACCTTGACCTTGACATCATCGCCATCTCCGCAACTCGACTATCTTAACGCAAACCTCACTCACCTCACCTCACTCACCTCATCTCAACCTCCAACTCATCCACCGCCCCGAAAACAAAAACCCAAGAAAACAAAAATGCCGCCCTCCCACAAACGCCTCCTCAAAGAAGCCTCCGAACTCTCCGCCTCCCCATCCCCCCATTTCCACGCCGCCCCGGCCCTCGACAACCTCTACGACTGGCACTTCACGCTCGCGGGCCCTCCCTCGCCCTCACCCTACGCCGGGGGGATCTACCACGGCCGCATCGTCCTCCCACCAACGTACCCTCTCCGCCCGCCGTCCTTCCGCTTCCTCACCCCCACCGGCCGCTTCGAAGTCAACCGTGAGATCTGTCTCAGTATCTCGGGCCATCATGAGGAGTCGTGGCAGCCTGCTTGGGGGATCCGGACGGCGCTGATTGCCATCCGGAGCTTTATGGATGGGGATGCGAAGGGGCAGGTTGGGGGGTTGGATGTGCCTGAGGAAGTGAGGAGGGAGTATGCGAGGCGGAGTGGGGGGTGGTGTTGTGAGGTTTGTGGGAGGAGTAATGAGGTGATTTTGGAGGAGTGGAGGGGTGAGTGTAGGGAGAAGGGGGTGGTTGTTGATGGGGATGGAGATGGAGAGGTGGAGGTAGTGCAGAGGCAGGATGGGGAGGAGACTGAGACTAAGGTTGATAAGATGGAGGACGGACAAGACTCGAAGACGGAGGATTCGAAAGCGAATGGTTCCCGCGAGAACGGTCTATCAGAGCAGGTCTCTGAGCGAGTGCCGGAGGATGCGAATGTCGATTCTTTGCCAGATGCGGGCTCATCTGCAAAGAGCGAACCACTGCAGGAACAGCAGTCATCCTCATCACTTGCATCTGCGTCTGCGTCTGCGTCTGCATCTACGACAACGTCAGCACCAACACCAGCATCAGCACAGCCAGCTACATCGTCAACAACAACGACACCACCCACTCCAACAAGAACCACCCAACCCGCTGTCGCTCCTGTCTCCCAATCCACGCACCCCGATGCATCGCAGGACGGTCCCTGGTTGGATCGAGCAATCGTCGGGGTTCTGATCGCGCTTGTGGTGATGATCCTTCGGCGAATTGCGAATACAGAGGATTAATTTGAGCGTTGAGTTCCGTGACATCAATACCAGATGCTTTGCTTGGCGTTGGGGATGTGATTCGTATTTATTTCCTAGTTGCCTACGATTTCTAGGTAGATTTTCGAAGCTTTGCTAAATGTATGAATTTATGAGCTGCCTTAACATGTATAGAAGGCCTCTTGCAGCTGTGGCTGTAAGTTTATCACTCTCCGTGAAGAAGGGGACACTCATGAAATTGGTACAATGATCGCTTCATTTTTAGAACTTGTTTTTCCCAATGACGAGACGCCTTGACTCGGATCTTAATAGTCGGAATCTAATCAATCAATCAATCAATCAATCAAAATTCCATTAACCCGATAAAGCCTATCTATTCCGTACGCCATATCACAATTGCAGCAGACAAATCCAAAAGCAAAATACAACTAAAGTGCAGCTGCCACACGCCCACCGCGTGCCTACTGCACCTCCAAGACGCCTTCTACTCCTACGTCTCCGTATCTCTATGTTCCATGCCCAGATGCCTCACTGGTAGGAGCCGAGACCTCCGCTCGCCAGTACGTCGTCATGAAAGAAAAGCAAACCAAAATGCAGGATCTCATTTACTGGGCACCCTCAGGCTGGCCTTGGTCGCCACCTTCAGCCTGGCCAACATGGCAATTTTCTTCTGTCAGAAACTGATTCACGTCGCCATACGCTACCTGGCCGGAATTCCTTTGCTCTCCATAGCGACCCCAGAGTTCGTTCTCTAGTAGGAACATGCGATGCGTGCGCTTTTCGATATTCATGGCGTCAAATCGATTGTTGTCTCTGATTTTATCGATGTCAGTGACATTAAAGCAGATTGAATTAGCCTGGACAACTCAATGCTGAGTCGTTGGGTTTTACAAGCTGTTGTTAGGATAACTGGCTCAAGTCTTGCACTCGTCGTACTTTTCGGCTCTTTGAGACCTTTCTTTTCTGCCCAGAACGGGGCAGATTCGATCTGTTCTGTCCGAGTGGCAGTCCTCAAGCCGCTTGGCAAGGTCAGTTTCGAGCAAATGGAAGTGTCCGTGGGTTTCAAGGATTTTTCTTTAATCTTGATTAGATCTTGAAATGCTCGCCATTTCAGCGACCTAAAGGTATATGAATTATCCTTCATCTGTATCTGTTAGTCTGAGTCCAAAAGGTTTGCAAATGAATGAATTAATTACTCGAAAATGTGTATCTGATCGCATATATTCTAGACCATAACTTGCGCTTGGAATGTAGCTCCAGGAGAGGTCGACACCAGCTATATCTGTTAGTCCGAGTCCAAACAGTTTGCGAATGAATAGATTACTTACTCGAAAATGTGTATATGGCTTTTGAGCCTCCATTTGGCAACGTACGCCCTGAGGTACATCAAGGCAGCTACTTTGAGATTGATGTAGGAGTCATGGAGATTGACAAGGTGCGAGAAGGGGAAGGAGAAGTCTACGGTCAGAAGGGAAGGGGAAGTCTATGATCAGAAGTGAATGGGAGGATCTCTATTACTATTCCCTCCATGGGATTCACTCGGATGACAAGCCTGGGCCATGCAGTAGAAGGACCCTTTTTTTCTGATTCCTGTAGTGGAGAAACTTTTGTGGTTGAAGGAGCCCATTAGAAAGTATCATGTCGGTGCTGTTATTATTTCTCCGACAAGGTATGTGATTGCCCCTGTATGGACACTGGATACTATCAAATTACAATTTACAAAAGGTCATCTACAGCAATTCCACATCAAAATCCTAAAGTATATATACCAAAGCAAGGTTCCATTGGCACTAAAAAGCAAGCAGCTATCTCATCCCAAAAACAGAAAAACACAACCAACGAATATGAAACAAGCTCCTCTGACCAAGACCCGGAATCTCCAAGACCACTCCTGTTTCTAACAATTCATGAATTTCAAAAAGAGAGCGGAATCTGAACGAGATAGCAATGGACACCTTTCATCTATCGGGACCCGGCTCTCATCCCCCTGTCTTCCTCTATCGAATCAGGAGAAGAGCGGAAAGAAGAGAGAGAGTTGATAGAGACTGGACTGATATAGATCAATTCCATTTGCGTTTTTTTGGATTTTCAAAACATTTTTTCAATTTCAAAGAGCAGAAGAACACGACGGTGCAAGTGCAATGCCCAACCCGATTTATTCATTTTCAGGTTCGATCATCTTCACCTCCCCCGGGGAAGAGCGAATAGGATCGAAACAAAAAGGAAGACGAGAGGAACAAGGACACGGTGATAAAGGAGGTGCGATAAGAAGATATGAGGGGAACGTTGCGCCGATATTGAGATTCATTGGTCATGTTGGTGGTCTTGGATATGTAGTTATCGACTTGGTCGGTGGTTCGTCAACGGAGGAGCTTTCGGCGGATTGCCGAGGGCAATTTACATGATGATGCAGCCACCACCAGCGGAAGCTACTCAGGTCTGTTAGCACGTGTTCATGTATCTGTAAAGAAGGGTAGGGTGGGGATAGAGACATACCCTTGACGGCAGCAGCGTTCTGGGCAACTTCGGAGGGAGACATTTTGAATGGGTTGGGATTGCAAAGGTGCAAAGAAAGACTCGTATAATGATTGACTTTGATCTGTTGATCGTGGACGAGAAAGGAGTCGATTCGAGAGGGTTTCAGGGGCTTTTTATATCTTGCCAACGGCAGTCTGGGCCAGCCAGATCGAGTTTGTATATCTGTTGTTTGTTGTTTCGGCTTTCTATCGTTCTTTCTGATCTTTGGAGTCTATCGTCAATGAGAACCTCGTCGACCGAGTGGCTGAGAGAAAGAAGAAGAATGGAACTCAATGGGATAGGTCGTTGGATTGGGAGTCAGCCATGGTTTTCGCCGTCGAAAGCCACTGAGGGGAAAGGAATAAAGAAGACAAAACAGAGATAGAAGAGACTGAGTAACGTGTTCTGCAGTGTTCGTTCTATCAATAGAAGTGGCGAGTACTCATGGCTTGATATTGTTCTCGGGGACGGACCAATGACGGCCATTCTGCGACGCGGGTCAATGGGGAACCATTCATTATGATTGGAACATGACTCTTGTTCTACATCGAATTCTTCCAGAAGACCGGGATAAAGGCTAATTTGTTTATGAAGGACTCATGGACTCGAATTCCACGGTTGAAGTTGAGAAGAGACCGGCAGACTCGGACAGTTCCTGAGGGCGTTGCACGTGGCACGAGGAGTTGGCCACGGAATGATCCAGATAAGCAATTGTGATGGAAAGATCGAAGCCGTGGAAAATGCGGAGAATATGGAGGAGACGAAGGGGGTTGATTGTCAGAGAGAACAATATCAACCGCCACGCCAGACTTAGCAGCCCTCAGGTCACATGTCAGGCCTCGCCCTAGTCCAGTCCGGTGCAAAGCATCAAGATGTCCATTCGAAGTATCAGACTATTCCAAAGCTAGCTATAAAATGCTAAATCACTCAAAGAAAGATCAAGTGTAGATGGGCTCCGTCAAGTCGTTAAGCGTCAATCCCTCCTTCGCAACATCCTCCTCGCACAGGAACATCAGCGGCATCTCCACCAATGTACCCTTGACCTGGCTGAGCAGCTCCTTCACCTGCTTCACACCCTCAGGACCGGCCGGGAAGTCGTCGCGCACGACATGGCCATACCGGTATCGAGAGGGAGGAGAGTCCTTCTCTTCGCCGTACGCCTGCTTGTCCGCGTTATGGAAGTAGTATCCATAGAACTCCTTGTACGTCGCCCAGTCACGAACGGTGTCGTCGGGCACAGAGTGGAACACCTTGCGGAAGGCCTCGGTGTTGGTCCGCGCCCGCGTGTTCCAGAGGCTCTGGAGCGTGTCCGCCAGAGGGTCGGCCACCAGCTGGCTCTCCGAGGCCTCAAAGTCAAACTCGTTGGGGACACCGACCGGCTCGAAATTGGCGTCGGGTTTCTGGTAGTCCTGTGGGGGAAGGAGACCCAGATGCTTGCGGAAGAGCTGTCGGCGCAGCGAGCTCGCAAAGCGACTCGCGGTGAATGGCTTGCCGTTCATGGTAGACTGCACCGGGGTATAATCCTCAACAATGATGGCGATCTCGGAGTCATGGTCTCCCAGCTGAGATCGGTCGTTCAAGTTGGCCGATCCGCAGACTGCCACACGGTCGTCGGCGACCATCACCTGTCCTCGTTAGTGTCGTACTGCTTCGATGACAAGTTACCAAACTTACCTTAGTGTGAACATAGAGTTCTTCGGTCACAAAAGCGTCGATCTCAGCCTCGGCCGGGCCGTCCCACGGCACATTGCGGATGTCAGGTCCATGGAGCATATAGCACTCGCTAACACTATTCCACCGATCGGAGCCGGACTTAGCACCGCCAACTTCGCGAGCAGCCTGCTGGTATTGCTGGAAGGGGGCGGTCGTGTCAAATGCAGCCCGAGGAGCTCCGGGTCCGTAACCGCCCTGGCCAACGGCGTTCACGTCATGCTGCTTGCGAGCGTCCTCGTAGTTGACGCCACTGCGCTGCTCGGCCTGGGCCAACGGCCCGCTGAGGTTGATGCGGTCATAGTTGCGCAGGTTATAGAACCGGATGTAGTCCATAGGGTTGTGGCCCTCCTTGGCAATGAGTTCCATGATGCTGTTTCCTCCACGGTTGATCGAGTTGTACTGGAACTCCATAATGGCTCTGGTTCCCAGGGTAGAGTCATCGGCCAGGTCACCGGCGAAGCAGGGCACAGACGGGATGACAACGATCACCTTGTACTTCTGGCCAGATTTAGCGGCACGCAAAATTCGCTCCACGATGGCAGCGCCGATCTTGTTCTGGACGGGCTTCTGGGAGTCACCCGTGGCAGTGATGAAGAATTGATTCTCGATGTAGACAAAGTGCTCACTGTTGCGGATAATGGCAGCGTAGGCATCAGCAATGGAGTGCTCCGTAGGAGTGCCGTTGCTCCATTTCGAGCAGCTGCGCACAATCTGGCAGCACATGTTTCCTCTAGGCTGGTTGTTCGGTCCGCCGTAGGAACCGAAGCGATCCTGATATTGATGGATCTGACCGGCAAGCTGTCCACGTAGCACGTTTCCGTATTGAGTCAGTTCCTGACGGAAGCGCTGAGGGGCAAAACCCCGTTCTTGGTCTCCGTGACCCCGAGTGCCTTCGTAGTAATCATGCACACCCCGGGTTTGGGTGGGTAGTTCCTGGGCTCCGTGAGCCGGGGGAGGTGCGTAATAAGAGGACTGGCTTTGGTTTGGCGACTGAGCCTGAGTCTGGCTCTGCGATTGCCCGGCCTGTGTAGGAGGAGGCGGGAAATAAGGTGCCTGGGATTGACCGTGAGTCGGGGTTTGCGTCTGCGATTGACCCTGGCTAGGTGGTGGTCCCGGAGGCGGCGGCGGGAACGAGTCACCAGTATAAGTGTAAGGGGGAGGAGCTCCCGGGGAGGAAGATTGTGCGGCAGAGGGCTGGTAGCTGGATGTTGCACCTGGTTTGCTCGACATCGGGGGAGCCGGGGGGACCATGGAAAGTCCTCCACCAGGTTGGGGGGAGATGGACTGTTGAATTCCCGTCTGCTGGGCACCGGGCTGCTGGGCAGACTGCTGCTCGGCCGGCTTTGGCTGTTGAACTGGCTGTTGTTGCTGGTACTGCTGCTGTTGCTGTTGCTGTTGTTGTTGGTGCCCCTGCTGCTGCTGGTGTCCCGGTTGCTGAGGAGCGTGGGGGCGCTGAGCAGTCGATGAGCTGGGCCGACCATAGAGTGCCAGCCGAGAGTATCTGGAGTCCTTGCGGATCTCATACTTAGAATCGTAGATAAAGTTCCAGCGCTCCACGAAGTGGCGCCGCAGGTCCTCAACGACGTGGCCGTGCAAGCTGACAGATACATCGGACCAGCCCATGCGAGAAGAGTCCTTCCGATCGAGCTGGTTCTTCTCCCAGTTAGGAACGTCCTGGAAATCCAGGACTCGAGCGTTATTGTAGTCCTGACCGGGGAATACAATTTCATTCAGGTTCTCGGGGTGCACGTCGGTAAGCGCATGCTGATTGGTATCCCATCGTCCGAAACACATGTCGAGGCCACCCATGAATGCAGTCCGGCCGTCAACCAGGCAGAGCTTCTCGTGGTGGGCCCAGTAGAGGATGACATCCTCGTTCATGCCGTAGATACCCTTGAGAGCATCGCCGGACATCTTGACGAGATTCTTCGCATCCAAGGAGAAGTTTTCAAGCGACTCCGTGATCGAGGCAGTAACTTCCTGCTTGTCAGGCAGGTGATCAGGATGACGGAAGACAGCGATATTCGGGTGAAGATCTTGAAGATGATGCTTCGTGTGGGCAGAGGAGACTGTGTTCCGAGTCAGTAAATCCCGTCCTCCCGGGGCATCGTAAAGACAGTAATCACATACGAGTCAATGCCTGAGTGACCTCCTTGTAGACAATAATGTTCACCCGCACGCCACGCTGCGCAGCAGCCTGCAGCATACGATCCAGTCGGTACTGCTCATTCTTGGCCGGCGGACGTCTGAGATACAGCTCCGGCGACAACCACCCTGGACACGGATGTTAGCTAAAAATAAAGAAGATCGTTCTCGCGTCTGATAAGACTTACAATCCAAAATCCAAATCGACTCTCGAGCGCTCTCGAGTGCTTTGGAAACGGCCCAGAAATACGAGCATCCGTCGACGTACCACTTCACATCATTTCCCTGTCGATCCGGCGCAAAGCTGCCAAATCTGTGCTGAGCCTGTGGCTGTCCATGTCCGTATTCCGCATACGCCTGCGGGTCTAGAGCATTTCCCAGACGCTGAGCCACGTCGTTGCCGAGCCCCGCCACGGTTCCCTGGAGTTTACCCAGCAACCCATGAACCTTATCCTGTTTGTTCTGCTTTCCGGGCTTTCCCTGATTCTGCTGATTCTGCGGGCCCTGGTCGTAGTAGTTCGGGTTTCCACCGGACTGCGCAAAGTTCTGCGAGGAGCCCTGCTGAGGCGAGTAGCTCTGCGACGGGTTGTAGCTCTGGGGCTGGTAGCTCTGCGACTGGGGCTGCGACGGCGACTGCGACTGCGGTTGGTGCTGATATCCCTGAGACTAGCTCAACGTTAGCCTCGAAAATCCAGATGGGTCCATGACTCCATGGCTCCATAGAATAGTCGGTGAAGATGGAGCAACTTACACCGTAAGATGGCTGGTTGGCACCCTGGCCGGGCGGCGGGTTTTCTCCCTGCGGACGAGAGTGGTGGCTCTTGTATGTTTCCTTCAGCATTTTGAAGGTGTCGCCGACAAAGCCTCTGGCGCTCTCGCCTGCTCCGCCGCGACTGGACTCCTGGCCGTAGTATTTGCCATAGGCAAGTGGGTCCTCACGGTTCGACATGGCCTCGGCTAGAGTCGGTGGGATGTGATGGGGGACAGGGGGAGGATAGAGAGGAAGAGAATATCATGCAGGACCAAGAGTGGCGTCCTGGGGAAGAGATAAGAAAAAGAAGGGAAACGAGGAGAGGAAAGGGACTAGAAATAGAAAAGAAAGCGGATGGAATGCGCGGATGAGATGAGGCTGATGGGTCTGACTGCCCCGCCATACGCCCGTTTTAGGCTGCCGCCATTTGGGGCGGTGGCTGAGCTGGACTTCCGCTAATTCATTGATGGGGTGATTTGAGGGGGATTTATTTTGGGATATTAAGGAGGTTTGACTCGAGTGTTCCGAGTATTTGGGGATGTTGATGGAGGGGTACTTGTTGACGGTTGACGGTTGAGGGTTGACAGATGCACCGTGGAAACCTCCGCTGCTATAAATAGGACGCCCCTTAATAACTGATGGACTCTACATCTTCGCTCGCTGCCGATGATCGCTCCTCCCATGCGCCATTTTCGCATGGCTGCCGGCAAACGTATTTGTCGCCACTGATGCAGCAGTGCTTAAGTCCAGCGCCAAGGCAAAACAAGCAATGATGCCGGCGAATTGCTCCTTCATGCCCGCTCCGGCGCACTGAATGATCTTCAGGCCCTCCTGTTGCGTCTCGTACGCCGTCCCTCCACCAACTACCCCCACCGGAAGAGAAGGGAAGTACAGACTCAGCTGCAGATCGCGAGAACTTTGATCGTATTCCATCGTGAGCTGGCTCCAGGACGCATCCGTGACGCAGGCAGCGTCCTGGCCGGTCGCAATGAAGATGGCAGCGAGGACGTTGGCGACGTCGATATTATGGCCGTGTTGACCGTTGCGAAAATTACCCTCCTGTCCGACGAGCATGATTTGATGAAGTCTCTCTGTCGAACATTTGAAGACGCTTCGACAGACACCGTCCGACAGCTTTCCCCAGGCAATGACCTCGACGCCTCGCGACGTCGTGACGTGTCCCCACGAGGCCTTCTTCTCCGATGACATCTGACCCTCCTCGCAGAAGTCTCGAATCTCCAACTCTGCCGTCAGTTGCGTCTTCATCAGCCACGCACAGGCTGTCTCGGTAGCGAAGGAGACCATGTTTTGCCCGGCCGCGTCGCCGCAAGTATACCGGAACACGACGTGAGCCCACGATCCAATGACATGGGGAACGATGCCTTGAAACCGGAGATGGCGACTGGTAGATTCTGCGACCTTTGCTATGTCACTCCCGTAGTCCCGGATGCGACGCGCGAACAAACAGGCCTCGCGCGGGCTGTCGAATCGAAAGGCCGGGGCGCGCGACATGCCTTGACTCAGAGCGTGGAATTCGATTCCTCCACTGACGTTAAAGGCTTTGCATCCTCGGCAGCAACTCGCGATCATCGCTGCTTCAGTGGTCGCCATCGGTGCGCAGATGTCCTTTTCAACGCCCCCGGGCATACGAATGTGCAGAGGCCCGGCAAGACCGAGGGGTACGCGCATGAAGCCAATGAAGTTCTCGATTTTGATCTTTTCTGGATCCTGATCATGATTGGTGATGTGTTTTATGCCATTGAGATGGCGTTGGAACTTGGACGCATTTCGCTCTGATGGAGAAGGCATTGTGCGATTAGAACAGTGGAGGGATGGGAGAATCTTGAATTGACCAGCACGTTGACCGAACGTCGTGACGGTTACCTATAAGAAAGTGCGCAAAATTCCCTCGGCAAACAAAAACCGGTCGACGGGGTTCAACTGGGGAATCCTTGATTTTCAAATCCCTGGCATTGAAACTGAGATCATTTTCGGCCGCTGAAGTAAATAGGCTACTCGTTCCGTGGTCAGGCTGAACTTTATCAAATCTTAATATTTACGTTCAATTTAGAAGTCAACTTAGAAGTGAGAGTCATGTCCTTGGTAAATGAGATCTTCAAGGCTTATTTATGTTCAAGCTAGATGCCATAGCGGCGGTCGATTATAACATCAATAGTAACTTATCTTGAAAGTAGTACTCAGCTCCAGCCAATGAACCACGGCGGCATCAAGTCCGAGAGCTCCATCCTACGCATGAACTAGACCTTGAGGAAAGTCAAAGATCGTGTTAGGATCTGCCACTGACTTCAACGCTTTCAAACGGTCAAGCCCCTCGCCATAGTATTGAGGGCCAAAGTTCTCCAGATGAGGGTCGATATAGTTCTGATAAGAGTGCCATTCGCTGGCTGGTCTGGCTTGCTTGATCGCATTTGTGATCGCCGTGATTTTTTTAACTGCGCTTGCACGCGTGGAATCACTAAAACCGGGGAAATAGGCCGAATAGATCTGGACCAGAAACAGGCTTTGACGATGAATGTACGCCATATCGCCGGTGGAAGTTGGGCCGTTTGTCTTAGATCCGGGGCCGAGGAGGTCGAAGGAAACGTCATTTTCCGTCTTCTTGATGCCCCTTGCCACGCGGAGTGCATCGAAGACAAGGTTCGTCTGCTTCTGCGTGTAGTTGGGAGCTCCGTTGTCGACAAGGGACTGGGCGTAGTATGGCAGATAATCGTCCGACGCATCGAGAGGACCCATGAGGTCGGTGAGGGCAGCAACCCAACTACTAAACTCGTTGACTTTGGAATCGGAGGTCTTTGGCTTGATGCCTTTCGCAGCGAGCTTGTTCAGTAGTCTGTTCATGACCGGCTGGTATGCGGACTTTTTGCCGAGGTATTGGCCTTGGAGCTGGCAGGCGCTATCTTCGTTGTTATCGCGACCCATCAGCAACACCTCAACTCCCAGATCTAGAGGAAGGCCGTTAGGGTCGGTAGCAGGCAGGGTTCCCATCGCTTGGACCTCCAGCAGGACCTGGGTGCAGTCTGCCTCCGGGCCGAAGTGCAGCTCGTAGTTTACAGTGGCAGTAGGGGCTTGCTCCAGTGCAAAGGTGAATGCAGTGACGACACCAAAGTTGTTGGAACCTGCGCCGCGAAGAGCCCACCACAGCTCAGCATCTGCCCCTGTCGAACTGGCGCTGAGTCGCTTGATATTTCCGTTGACATCGACAAACTGCAGAGCCACAACTGAACACGAAGGTCAGTCCTTGGCATTCAATTTTGCATCGAGACTTCGCGATTGACTCACTTCGATCCACCAACCAGCCCCATTTGCGCGAGGCATAACCCCATCCACCACCCAGGGAGTGTCCTGCCACGCCTACCGTAGGACAAGTGCCATGCGGTAGCGCGTAACCTTTTTGTCCGATCGTCTTGGCCAGCGGACCCAACGTCTGACCGAATTGCACCGTCACTTCCTTCTTGGTCTCATCGATAGAAATCGTCTTCATCTTGCTAGGGTTGATGACGACCTGCCCTGAGAAACTATAGGCAGCATAGCTATGTCCACCTCCCCGAGGACTCAATTTAGTGCTCCCCTTATCAGCAGCAACACATCGCACGATGGCTGCGAGCTGTTCTGCCGAAGAAGGAACCACAATGACCTCCGGGTGAGCCTGGTAGTTGGTGTTCTGCGGTTTTGCCAGCGCATTATATCTGCTATCACTAGGGTAGACGACATCTGTACCGGAGTTCTTCAAGCAAGTCTGAAGTGAAGTTGGCAGAAGCTGGGCGTCGGTTGCCGGAAGAGCAACAATCGTAGGAAGATGAATGGCTGCGAAGGCCAGTGCCAGGAGGCGAAGGGACGTCATGTTTGGCCAGTGCTGATTTTTAGCGATATTAAACTTCCGGTGCTGGAGCTCTGATTTATACGTGAGCTTCAGCTGAGGGGATGGATTCGCATACCAGGAACAGCTGATGATTGACGTGGTCTGACGCTTGGCAGGAGTAAGCGGGAAGCCGTCAAAACAAACAATCACAAACCTTGCTCTATATAAGCTCATCTGCCACTATTCTGACCTTTGGATTATGGGGCCGACAGACACCCAATCATCCATGTAGGCTGATCAACTTTGCATTGCATCCATCCTCTACCCGCGATGTAGATTCTAATTGACCAAAGAAGCTCAGAAGATGCAATCGTTATTCCATCGCGAAAAAGCACCCAAATTAGAGTGTGGCTTGCTCAACCCCTCGGGAGGCGCCAGGGTGCAGGTGGGATACGAGATGGAGTAGTATTCTTTACCTAATTGACTGAGACATGATTCAGAGCTGATAAGGACCTAAGATACAGTAAACTATCTGGGCATTCGGCTAGAAGGGCCCAAGAAACCTGAGGAAGATGCTGATTGATAGTGGTCGCCCGAGGATCAGCCATGATAGCATTAAAGATAATCCTATTAATCCTATTTCCGATTTACAAAAATATGGACGGCATGGTGACTTACAGTCATTGGTGAGTGATTTTTGTATTTTGTTTGAATGTGCGATACTAAGCTCAAATCTCCCCCTTTTTTAAAAAGTTCTTTGTGTGACAGTGTAGGGAACAGAATGGCGGAACTATACTTTGAGGCGCTATATAGTACCCAACCATAAAGAATGCATGGCACCCAATCACGCTTCGTGTGCTTTTTCATTTGTGGAGATGAAATAGACTAATAATACCCTAAATAAGATATTAAATAGTAAGTCCTAGCTAACGCTAAGCGGAACGTCATACACATCTCGATATAAACCCCAAGCTAGCCCATATCAAGCGGGTCAGAATTACCCCAACGTAAATCCACAGGACATTGACGGACCAGGTGCTGTGTGGAGCTTTACTAGTTCCTGTCAGTGGATATTCCCCAGAATCACAGACCATTATTGGCCGTCGATGGATATGACGATGTCGTTGGGGGCCAGTTTGCGTCGCCTGCTTGCGTGAGGAGGAAAGATAGGCACCAACTCAACGAATCTGCCCCTTTTTCGAGTGAGATCGAGAGAATTTTGAAAGCAATTGTGGAATTCGATTTGGCTTCTCTTCTACACTCTCGGTTTCCATCATTGAGCAAGAGGCATGAAAGACAAAGTCTCATTATCGCGTCGATATTAAAAATAGCCCGTCGAGGATCGACAGCAATCCAAACACGCTAAAGAAAGATCTGCGAAGGAGGCGAAAGACATTTGATTCCCCTCACAAGGCTTTTAAGATGAACGTACCCCGTGAATGCATTTATCTGTTGTGTTTCCGTCATGCACCATGATTGGGGACCAGTCGGCCCAGATTCTAAGCAGCCCCGACAACCTTGACTCGCAGACGACACTGTTGCCCGATAGCATCGGCCCGGTTGAGAATTCCGCGGCACATGATACGAAATGTCCGAGCGCAGAGCAAAAGGAGGCTCAGTCATCAGCGAGCTCTTCACAAACCGACGTGACATTGAACAGTCCGGAAGAAACACAGCCGACGAAAACTCGACCATGGGGGGTGTTTGTCCAGAAGTGGCGAGAATCAAAGCATCCAAGACCACCAAGACAACGAAAAAGACCCAACGAAGGAGAAGAATGGATCAAAGGAGTGGCTTTTGCCATGCGATGGGCTGCCCTAGTCCTCGTGATTAACGTGATTCTGGCCATTATTGCGATCGCCTTGGGCTACTCGGGCTTCTCATCTCGCAACGATCGATCGACAGTATCGACAGCAATTTATGATGGGAAATGCTCAGTATCGGGTGGTTGGGCATCAGGATTGCATGCGTTGATTAACATTCTCAGTACGGGTCTGTTGGCGGCGAGTAATTATGCGATGCAAAGTTTGAGTGCTCCATCGCGAGAGGATATCGATATCGCTCATTCCAAAGGAAAGTGGCTGGACATTGGGACGTTCGGCTATCGGAACATCCTTGCCATGGACAAAAGACGCAAGCTGACTTGGTTGGTGCTTCTGCTGACTTCAGTACCAATCCATCTGATGTTTGTCCCTTCGATATCCCCGGGAAATTTCCCGACTAATCATCTGCTGCAGGTATAACTCAGTTGTATTTTCCTCCATGGCCACAAATCTGTACGGAATCGTCTTAATCCCGGATGACCTGGCCAAAGATGAAATGATTTTCAACAACCAGACAGCAGAGGTAATCACCAAATCACTCGGGTACAGTGCGCAGGACCTGCAAGCCGAAATCTTCAACGGTACCTTCAAAAACCTCAGTTTGGAAGAGTGTGTGGACGCTTATGCTGTCGAATATAACACCCATCGCACCACGGTAGTGCTAGTCGCCGATCGGGAGCATTTCAATAACGTTTCCAGCCTTCAGTCATATTACGAACAGTCCAGTCAAGATTACTTCGCTTACAACTCCTATCGGTATTCGTGGATGTGTGCGCAACAACGACCTGTGAGCTGCACCAAAGAAGATGTCCTGGGACTCGTGGACCGCGGTCAATGGTCAGTCTGGGCCCAGCAGTGGAGTTATCGAAACTGGGAATTCCGGTTCCCTAGCACCAGTGGAACGAACAGAACCTTCGGATGCAATTACAGCTTGCTCGATGAATTTGCATACGAGACAAATAGGTCTTTACGAAACGACGTTGGAACGCTTTGCAACTATGTCGCGGCTTACAATCCCGATGACCAGCAACTGGGCCGATATCTGAAGTCTACCTCGCACTGGGAAAATAACACATGGGCCTCGCAACTTTCATATCAATGGCAGAACTATACAGACAGTATCACTGGGTTTGATTACCCTATGCCTCGACCCGCGTTTGAAATTCCCGTGTCCCACTGCATGAGTAAGGAGAAGGAGGAAAAGTGCCAGCTGCTGTTTAGCTTGCCCATCTGTCTCGTTGTCATTCTGTGCAATATGATCAAGCTTATTGGTATTTGCATGGCGGCTCATACCAAGCGGAAGAGAATCTTCTTAACAGTTGGCGACGCCATATCTTCCTTCTTGACCTCGCCAGACCTAACAACGAAGCACCTATCTCGTCAACCCTCGTGGAAACGTCAAAATGAGGCACAACTGAGAGGCGCGAAGTCATTATTCAACAGGGCTATCGGCTGGATTTCTCAAAAGCAACGTGGCCCTCACAGTCCAGACCATACGGCTCATATTGCATTGAACTCCCTGCCTACTTCCGAGGATATGGACCGGAGCTTTGCACCCAGTAATACGCCTAATCCTGGAAGATGGTACCGTGCAGCAAGCCCGAGACGTTGGGCAACGCTCCTTTTCATGTAAGCTCCACACTCGCAAACCCCCAGACCATTCGCTGACATACCCACTCAGTATCATATCTTCCTTTATCACTGCCATCGTCCTGTTCAAAGTGGGAAGCGGCCAACGCTACCCCAACAAAGTCACGCTACAAACCTCATGGGAAACCGGATTCGGCAAGCCGAGTTCCGTCGCGATGATCGGCCAAGCCGCACAAAGCGTCATGGAAGTCGTTCTTCTCAGCAACATGCCGCAGCTGGTCCTCTCCGTCCTGTACTTCCTCAGCAACGGCATCTTAACCAACATGGTGGTAGCAGCCGAATACAACGAGTACGCGATCCACCGAAAACCCCTGCGAGTGTCCTGGCCAAAGGGCCAACAACGATCAACTCGCTATCTCAGTCTACCGTATCGATATCGAGTTCCGTTTATGATTCTGGCCGTTGCGCTGCACTGGCTGATGTCGCAGAGCTTGTTCTTCACACAAGTTCGGCTTTTCGATATCGATGGGGAGATGGTCGAGCGGTGGAGTACGACTCGCTGTGGGTATTCGCTTGTGGCTATTCTTACGACGTTGATTGTTGGGGCGATTGCGACGCTTTCTTTGATGGGACTGAGTCTGCGAAGATATAAGTCGAACATGCCGCTTCCTATATACAGTAGTATAGAGATCAGTGCTGCTTGTCATCCCCCGGCGGATGATCATGACGCAGCTTTGAAGCCTGTGATGTGGGGTGTTGTCCCTGAAGATGGCAGATACACATTTACTTCGAAGGAGGTTTTGTGTTGATATTAGGAAATAGGACTCTTCCATTTATTAGACTCGAACAGTAAGTTCATTCGTGGATGCAGGCTTCATTAGGGTATCAATGGCTTAATGCGAGACCTGTATCACATAGACGAGGCCAAAAGTGCTTGCTCATCAATAACTAATTTGTATTTGGTGCCAGTGAATCGTAGTATCTATTCAGATCAGTGCCGTTGCCGCTTTTGAAATCATCTGATACAGTCACAAATAGTTCAACGTGAGCCATGCCAACTTGGTAGCCGTTGTACGGTACGCCATCATCATCTGGAACTATGCCTCGGATATCGGGGAGCACACTCGTCTGAGAAGGTTCAAACATGCGTACTCGAGGCACAGACGTGCAGAACATGTCAAACGCGTAGTCAGTACAGCCGCGCTCCCCGACCTTAGACTCCAAGTCACTCAAATATTTGGGATTGTGGCATTCTCGAGCAGCCTCCATGAGATTGGTATCCGGGTCCGGATCAATCTGATCCCACAGGTCGCTGTAGTCGGCGAGTATGCATACCATTGAAATTGATGGTTTCATGGAAGGCGCTCGGCGGACGAGTTCACGGCAGGTCGATTGCTTCGGTATTGCTGGGTACCAAATACAATAGGGCAGAGATCTGCATTCTGGTGTGATGCGAGACAAATCGTTGTTCATGATGAAACGAGCATTGATGGCCATGTCAATCCTCAAACCATCATGCTCGGGCTGTAAAGACCACCATTTCGCAAATAAGGTGTTATGATATATGCCCCTCGTGATGCAGTCATACTCGTATGGTATGCGAAAGGGACGGCGTAGGCGGTTATAACGGTCAACGTCTCCGTAGTAAGCCGCCATTAATATCAAAATGTCTTTGTCCAAAGTCGGCAGGTCAAGTGGCAGTGGTGTGTAGAGCAAAGATGTCACATCATCTGCATTCGTTGGGGATGCGGTATCGTTTTCATCGACCCGGTCATCCTCCGTTATGTCGAAGTAGGACGACCTTCTTCCTGCCTCAAAATTGCGTTCATCTGCCGGCTTCTTGAATTTGGTTTTGACTTCCAAATAGCTTCTGACCGCCGTGTCGCCATTCATATAGCCAACAACCGGCTTTTCGTACACGGTACGAGTGTAGTCATCCATGGCATTGAATCGCACATTTTCTGCCATGATATCGTCAAAAATTGCCCATTGCTTATTATCCCGGGCTTCCTCGGCTATGTGACTTTCAGGGAGTAGGTCGAGCTCTTTAAAGAGCTTATAGTAGCCCGCGACAGCACAGGCCCGTCCAACGAGATATTTCATCTGTGGATAGCGAGCGACAAGTTCTCGATACGTTGCCTCGGTCGCGGTCTCGGGGTACCAAATGCAGTAAGGGAAGTCTTCCGGCTCTGTCATTTCTGGGATCGCGTTGCTCATGATACTGCGTGCGTTCAGGGCCCGCGTGAATTGTGGTCGCACGCCGTACAACTCCGTTGCAAACCCCGGGTGATACCTGATGCCGCGAACCACGCATAACTGGTTGATGGTTAAGGCAAGTCCCTGAGGGATCTTCTGTCCTCGAGTAGCCAAAAGGCAGTCCTCTTCGTCATAGAACTGCTTTTTGATCCCTTTAAACCAGGGGCGTTTTGTCAGGGCGGCCATCTTTGGCTTGGGAAGTGTTGGGCGGGAAGCAGAGGAGAAGAGAGAGAGAGAGAGAGAAGAAGAAGAAGAACAAAAAAGAATTACGGAAGAAAAAGCAAGTAACAGGAAAAGTCTAAGGGGCTGGTCTCTATTTATCTGCTGTCGGGCCAGTCAAGACAAGGTAGCACTACTAGTTAGTAGTCTGGTCACCCCCGCCCGACTTTCATTTATCGGCACACGCACTCTGCCTAAGCAGCTCAAATTGCAACCTCTGGCTCAACCCTATGTTTTACATCCCCCAACGCGGCTCAAAGCTTCTGTTAACGCCGCAACGTTTCTCCAGTGCTTGATATCATAATGCTTTTCAATATCTCGGCGAAATTGGTCCACCTCCTTGTCGGGGTATTTTCGTGCCGTGGCCTCCCAGTCGACGAACCAATACTCGGTTTGCTGCCTACCACCCATGATCTTTTTCTTCATTTCTGCTGTCACTCCAAGATTCTTCTGCAATAAGACCTTTGAACTATCTGAGTATGAGGCAGCACGCACGAAGTGAGCCCGCCGCATCGCCGACCGGGCATACTTCAATCGCTGAGGACTCGTACTCTCGATCTGGGCTCTGTTGTCTCGGATGAACTTCGAAACCTACATTTTGGGCATGAATCAGCGTACTTCCAACTTGAAAGCATCAGTGGTCGTGGAGCTGACCTGGTCTATCAATTTGGGAAACTGTCCCGGAGCTTCCGGGATCCCATCCACAACGTTCTTCATGATATATGTACCCGAGTTACCGTTTCTATACAACAGGTCGGACATTTCATCGACTTGCATTCCCTTCACGTCCCGGGTGATTGGCGGACTTCTGTTCTCGTCGATACATGTTATGAATTGATTGAAATTGCACCGGGCCACCCGCATCGCCGAAGCACAACCGGTCCCGATAGTTCTGGGTCGACCTCCGTGGATCTCGATGTCAATCTCAAAGGCATGCCAGAAAAGTACTCTTTCGTAAGTACCGGCGACCCCATAAGAGCTGACTAGGGTCACAGCATAGGCAAAGACGGCGAGGAGGACGAGCCGCATTTCAAAGCCGTGGTAGGAATATCTTCACAGCGAATTCAACAAATCAACGCAATATCTGCCTGAAAAATCAAGTTTATCGAGTTTCCTCTTGAACGGATGGGAGCAGATATTTGAAGCAATTGCAGACATTTACTCTAGCACTCTCATCCATTCCAATCAGTTAGGTACACAACTTGGAGGAAATGCAATGGCCTGGAGCCCTGTTACTAGCACATTGGTTTCATATCGTGGGCTATAGCCTAGGCCTGTTAATTCCCCTTTTCATCCCCTCTCATTAAACGAAGTTACATTGCATCTGATAGCGAGAGTCTGACAACCAGGAGACAACCCGGAAAGAAAGTGGGATCGCTATAGTTGCCTGATTGCCGCGTGGACGTGTGCATGCCGCTCAAGATAGGATCGGATATTACGGAATAGAAGGACAATGATACCTGACTGGGATGTTCTTTGAGGTATTTTCGTCCATGTTCAGGCCCTAGCAACTGTGCATTGCCACGGATATTGCTGCGCCCTAGGCCTGGGAGAACTGGCCAATCCGTTTCCCCTCGGCTACATGGGACACTTGTGTGTCATGAAAATTGATTAAAATTGGCCGGAAGGCTAGCTAACACAGAATTTGATATAATAGGTTAGCAGGTCCAGCATTCATGGCGCTACTGCAGGTACAAGGGCGAAACACTACCCAGGGCTAAAGCATGTTAACTGTGCCAGCCTGCATGGACCTGATAGCAGAGAGATAACGCTTCCAGGGCTGCGGCAATGTCTCACATCATAAATTCGCTGACATTATTTTTTTTTCCCCTTCTTTAGCTGGTCGGCTGTGCGAATCTTTCACATGCGCATCGCCGAAACCCCGGGCTATATCATACTATCTCTGAGCTACTGCATATCCTAGTCTAGCTCAATTGGCTTCATCACGTTTCATTCCATGGCACAAATCATAAGGCTGTCTGATCTCCGAAAGTCCCTGTTTTGTGGGGGCTGCGAAGGCTGAAACTCCACAGGCACTAGGACAAGGCTAGACGCTTTGTTCCTTAGGTCGTCCCACAAACGTTGCATTCGAGTACGAGGCATTATAATTACCTGGCCCTATAGGTCAATACCCCGGACATGTGCGCCAAATCAAATGCTTGCCGGGATAAGCAATCCAATTTCATTTATTCTCACCCAAATTTGGGCTTGAAGCAGGGGTCCAAGCTGCGGGACTTGATCCGCAGCGTTAGCTGATCATCGTCGGATTGGCCCGTCCTCGCTCAGCCTGTTCCTGCGTTTCATTCCACCCGTTTGATTAGGGCTTGGCATTAAATACAAATTTGCCATTAGCTAATGGCGGGAGATAGCGGAGAGATTTTCTCGCTATCAGAGATTTCAAGCAGGGATCGGGATTGACAGAGGATCAATAAGACTCACTACCCTTTAGCTTCTCTTGGCATATAGCGGTTGAAGCGCAATACTAACGCATCGCAGTGATAGCACCAGAGACATCTGTTAGGGCAATCGGACAAAGAAAAATCTGCTTCATGATAGAATTCAGCCTTGCATTAGTTCTGTGGTCTGGCTGGAATCTCTTTCGGGCTTCATTTCCCACGATGTAACAGAGATCGCGCGTTCACGGGAAGAACGTCCCGAGGTGAGGTTGGGGATAGAGACTGTAGAGGGCCATGGACAGCACCATGGCTAGTCTTATGAGTATAGCATATAAGTATCAAGGGAGCATGGATTTTGGGGAGTTTGGAATACTTCATCAACTCTCATTTTGGTCTCGTGCCCTGTGGCATTCACTCGTTCGAATTGCTGTTCTTTCTCTTCGTGCCTTCAACTTTCATTCTTTGAGATTGTATTTGATTCTTTCCGTTTTTTCGATATACATTTCTTTGTATCTATTCATTTCTGTTAGTTTGTCTCTCATTTTCTTTCCTTTGCCAGTTCATTCTTTCGTTTGTTCGAGTACCTTTTGTCCCATTCCAAGATCAACGAGTGCCATGTCCAAAATGTGGCTGAAAAGCCTCCTATTCCTGGCTGGAGTTATCTTCTCTGTTTCTGAACCTGCCTCCGCATCTTTCCTTGATTATTGCCCAGCCCCATGTGGTGGTTCCGACAATCCTTCATCTGCATGGACTACCTACAGCGAAATTGATACCCTTGCCGCTTGCAATGAGACCGTGCTTCTGGATTTCGCGATCTATAATCCTCTCGACCACTCTGAGTCAAGCACCCGGCTCTATGCCTGTACCCCAGAGTCCAAGAGAACCGAAAAGCGCGGCCAATCCAAGTCTCAAAGCTGCCCGACAACCAACACAACAGACGCCGTTATGGAACTGGCTTGGTCTGGTTCCCGCAACGCGGATAAGCTGCCTGCCGTGCTGGATGCCCTAGAGCAAGTCCGAAAGCGAATTTCCGGTAGCGGAAGCTGCGATACGGAGATAGTGTTTGGCTATTCCCAGGAGACTGCAGTGGGTGTCTACATTGGCAGCAAAGTCGAGCATACACAGATCGCGGAGTCGCAGGCCCAGAAGTTCATCGAACACCTCGAACGCAACGGTGTCACTGACCAGACCATGATTCAGCATTGCGGAGTCGATGCGGACTACACTGTTGGAATTGTTGCCGACACGACTGGGGACCTTGCTGCCGTGCAGAAAGTTGTGAGAGGTTGGGACAGCGCGCAATGCGCCACTGGCTACCAGAACAAGGATCAGTGGTCCCCAGTGCAGCTGAAAGTCTCCGGTACCATGGTGATGCAAAAGTCAATTGGAGCTGTTCATGTTGCTCGACACCTTCACCCACGGGCCACCTGCTCCCATATAAAAGTGGTATCCGGGGACTCCTGCGGTTCGTTGGCTAAAAAGTGCGGCATTAGCGGTGCCAAGTTTGAAGAATACAACAAAAGCAAGAAGAATCTGTGCGCGACCCTGGCTGTTGGCCAACCAGTCTGCTGTTCCAAAGGCACCCTACCTGATCTGAGACCAAAACCGGGAAAGGATGGCTCTTGTGCAGCCTATACCACGATAAATAAAGACACCTGCTCAAAGATTGCGGTCGAGAATGGACTCACAATCAGCAATCTGGAAGCTTTCAACAAACAAACATGGGGTTGGGCAGGCTGCAAGCATCTGGATAAAGGAGTGAGAATGTGTCTGAGCAAAGGATCTCCCCCAATGCCTGACGAACTTTCAAATGCAGTCTGTGGTCCTCAGGTTCCGGGCACTAAAAAGCCAGGTAAGGGTAAAAGCCTGGCAGATCTCAACCCTTGCAAGCTCAATGCTTGCTGCAACATCTGGGGACAATGTGGCGTTACGGCGGATTTTTGTACCAAGTCGAAATCCAGCACAGGGGCTCCCGGCACAGCAGCACCTGGAAAATATGGGTGCATCTCAAATTGCGGGACAGAGATTGTCAACAAGAAATCGCCTGATAGCTGGAGAGTCGTTGCGTATTTCGAAGCATGGAACAAAAATCGACCGTGCATGACGATGAGTGTTGATCGCATTGATACCTCATTATACAACCATATCCATTTTGCGTTCGCAGATATTACCCCGGACTATCACGTCAATGTCTCGGCAGTCCAGGATCAGTTTGATATCTTTGTGGACATGAAAGGGATCAAGCGGATTCTATCTTTTGGTGGCTGGTCTTTCTCCACTGAATTGGACACCTTCCCCATCTTTCGCGAAGGCGTCACAGATGCCAATCGCCAGAAGTTTGCAAACAACGTCGCCAGCTTCATCAAAAAACACAATTTAGATGGTGTCGACTTCGACTGGGAGTATCCAGGCGCCCCGGATATTCCTGGTATTCCCCCTGGTAGCAAGAACGACGCTGCCAATTATGTCAAGTTCCTCAAGATGGTTCGCAAGGCTTTGCCCGAAGGGAAGACTGTTTCAATTGCGGCTCCTGGATCATATTGGTACCTCAAAGGCTTTGACCCCATCGAGGACTTCGAACCCCTTCTCGATTACATGATTTTCATGACGTACGATCTCCATGGACAATGGGATTACGGAAACCAGTGGGCAACGCCTGGTTGCACCAAGGGAAACTGCCTGCGAAGTCACGTCAACCTAACGGAGACCCTCACCTCCATGAGCATGATCACCAAAGCCGGCATGCCCACGAATAAAGTTGTCATGGGAGTGACCCGTTACGGGCGCTCGTTCAAAATGGCCAAGGCTGGCTGCACTGGCCCGATGTGCACCTTTGTCGGTCCCGAGTCAGCCGCAGCAAAGGGCCGATGCACCAATACTGCTGGTTACATCGCTAATGCAGAAATCGAAGAAATCATCAAGGAGAATCCCACGGCGAAAACGTCGTTTGACAAAGACTCGGAATCAAACATTCTGGTATACAATCAGACAGAATGGGTGGCTTACATGGATGACGACATCTGGGGTTTGCGCGACCTGAGATACGCTGCTCTCAAATTTGGAGGAGTGAGTGACTGGGCAGTGGACTTGAAGTCCATGTACACGGTACCTGAAGCCGGTCCCTTCCCAGCGTGCGACGGGAAGTATGACACTCTCGAGGGCATATTGAAGGATGTCGACAAAATGCCGGTCTATTGCGTGAACCCCTACGCCATGACAGTCCTAAGTAAGGAGTTCAAGTCCTCGTTGAAGAAGTATCATGACCTCTTGGACGATGGGTACGACGGCAAGTTTAAAACTTATGCGAAAGCCACCAAAGAATCGATGTATTACCAGATCAACGATTACATGACCAGTCGAGCCGACGACCATTGGACATGCAAGAAGCAAAAATATGTCAATTGCTGCAGCGACTGTGGCCCCGGGGGATGTCGTGGTGGCTGCGATGGCTCCTGCGGCAAAGGCGAGTCCGGCAATCGAAACGAGACCGTGTCCTGCCCCGACAAGGTTCCTGAACTCTCAATCGGCAACAAGGCCGACACGGTCTACTGGATTCTGAATGACAAAGATGGTTTTGAAAAAGCAATCGCGGATAAATATGGCATCGACCCGGGATGGCTCGAGTTCGGCAACCGTCGAGTCACTCCGGGCGTGGGATGCGGCGTTGGCGAAGACCTGAGTTGCGGAAATTGGTGGATCGGATACCCCCAGAGAAAGAAAGACATCACAATTCCCAACCCCAAGGAAATCATCGGCTCGGCACTGACCAACCTCACGGAGTTCGACAATATGCTATCATCCGCCGCAACAGACGCCATGGCGATGCTCTACGTTGGCGAGACTAGCGACGTGACCACAGCCTCGGAACTCCCCGTGTTCATGACCGAATTCGCTGTGAAATCGATGAAAAAGGTCGCAGATGCGGCGGACGAGATCGATCGTGACCATCAAAAGGAGGCCATCATTGGCTTCCTCATGGCCTTCCTGATGCTGGTACCGGCTCTCGGCGAGGCTGCCGGGTCATTCGGGCTCACGACAGTCGGTCGCGTTCTGGTAATGACTGGAGCAGCTGGAGACGCAGCCTTAGGTATGTACGGGGTTGTGGAGGATCCCAAGAGTGCCGTGATTTCTCTTTTCATCGCCCTGCTGGGTGTGAAGGGGGAGGCTGGCTTCGAGAAAGCCGCAGGAATCCGGCGTGAAATGTCTTCCAAAGAAAGCGCGGCATTGGGCTCTTTCTTTCAGGAAAAAAGCAAAACCCTGCAGTCTGTCCAAAGACGCTGTATATAAGGGTCCATTGACTATAGAATTTCAATCGTCGTAGCAAATACATTGCTTTGTCTTTAGAGATCAATCCTTATTTAGCTCCAGAAAATTGGCAGATGGGATCATTCTTCAGTGGGAAGCGGGGTTGAGCCCTGCATCCTCTTTTGGTCAGGGCAAGTCACGAGTATTGCGGTGCCTGAGGTGCCTGAGGTTGTTTTAATGATGGCTGACATTGACTTCTTTCCAGACGAGTTTTGGCTCGCTAAACAAATCCACTTTACCTACCCAACTTCATCCGTGTGGAAGTTGACGACGAAAGTCGACAAAAAGAACACGCTTCAAACCCGCCAGCAATTCATGGATAATCGCTTAAAATCCACTCCCTATGGACACACAAGTTCGACTCGACGCGCATCAACTTCTGTATCAAGGTGGTTGTGAGTATACTCCTTACTTGGCCTTTACAGGAGATTGATATTAAGTACTCCGGGGTAGGATCCACCTATGAGATCAATTATCCTCCAACTAGTTAGTCCATCGGAACGTCCCACATCCGGCTGACGCGATGCCCAATGAGGGCTCAACCAATTCAATCGGACTGTTATAATTCTTTGCAAACCACGCTTTTTGGAGCCGTCAACCACCCGTCTATTTTGGCTCGACATGAAAATGTCCTCTCGAGCAGAAGTCAAGTACGAGTTTGGCGGTCCGTGAGTGAATTGATGAGCCATTCTCTATTTCTATCGAATAACTAATCGTCTTCTAGCTTGGGTGCATCGGCCATCACGTTTGGCCTGCCAGTTCTCCTGTACATTTTTGCGTTCGCATGTAATGATGTGTCTGGTTGCCCTGCCCCATCTCTTCTGAGTCCTCGAACTCTCAGCTGGGAGAAACTGAGCGCGGAGATCGGATGGCCCCCTGGCGGCCTGAGAGATCTTGGCAGTTGGGAAGCGACCGGCGTTGTCTTGGCTTATTATCTCTTCAGTTTGATTTTGTGGAGAGTTCTGCCGGTGCATATAACGCATGGCACGAAATTAGTTCATCATGGACGTCCACTGGAATATCGCTTCAACGGTAAGGGCTGTACAATTGCCAATTCTACATGCTAGGCTAACATCAAGCCCAGCCTTTTCATCTACCATTGTTCATCTCGTGATATGTGCTGTTGGAACCTACTTGCGAGGTGCCGATTTTGTTGTCTGGACTTACATCTCCGACAATTACGTGCAAATTCTGACAGCCAATATATTTATCGCATATGCCCTTGCGATCTTCGTCTATTTGCGCAACTTCAGTGTGAGCACTAATTACCCGAATGATGACATGCGCGAATTGGCTGCCGGAGGCCAAACAAGAAATCATATTTACGATTTCTACATCGGCCGTGAGCTGAACCCGCGCGTGAAGCTACCTGTTTTCGGGGAGATTGACATCAAGACTTGGTGTGAGATGCGCCCGGGATTAACCGGCTGGTTGCTGTTGAATCTTGCATTCGTTGCCAAGCAGTATCGGACCTACGGATACTTGTCCGATAGCATCATTCTCACGGCTTGTGTGCAGGGCTTCTACGTCCTGGACGGTCAGTACTTCGAGCCGGGCATCTTGACCATGATGGACATCACTACCGATGGGTTCGGATTTATGCTTGCCTTCGGCGATGCGCCGTGGGTGCCCTTCTTGTATTCGACGCAATGTCGCTATCTCTCTGTTCACCCAGTTCACCTCGGATGGACCGGGGTCGGTGGTGTGATTTCCGTCTTCTTACTGGGACTCTACCTGTTTCGGGCTGCCAACTCGCAGAAAAATGTCTTCCGCGCGAATCCAGATGATCCCAGGGTCAAAGGGTTTTCGTACATCCAGACTAAGCGAGGAACAAGACTGCTCACTGCTGGCTGGTGGGGGATGTCCCGTCACATCAACTACTTCGGAGACTGGCTGCAGGCGTTGCCATTTAGTCTCCCAACCGGTCTGTCTGGATATGCCATTGTTCCTGCCGGAAGCGTCGCGGCATCTCATGTTTTTAAAATGCTGGATGGGCGCGAAGTGGTGCAAGATCAGGCTGCCGGTTGGGGCGTATTCTTCACTTACTTCTACGTACTCTATTTTGCCATTTTGCTGATCCACAGGGAGAGAAGAGACGATGCCATGTGTCTGGAGAAGTATGGTGCTGATTGGGAGAAGTATAGAAAACTTGTGAAGTGGAGGATCGTCCCTTGGGTTTATTAGGGATTCCTTTGGGCACTTGGCCGTCTGTTTATATTAATCACATTTGGGGTGCTTGACTTGAGGATTCGAAACTAGGGACACGATCACGATGGGATATTGAGATTATAGTATCTATATAGATTAAAGAGCATTATGCCAATGAAGTAATAAATGTGAGGAGTGTGCGGTCTAATGAAACCTGAGGGGGCTTGGAAGTGGGAGGCGATTGTGCATAGCTAGGTCAGGGCTAAGATCTGGTCCTTCATTAAGGCCCTGCAGAAAAAAGCCTCATGATAGTCAGTTTATGTGTAACTAATAGTTAAATCTTACTTCGAGGCTTAGGTATGACAAATAGCCTGGAGAACCCGATGCACGAGGGGCTCTATCGGTATTCCGAAGAAGACGATGAAAAGAAGGCATTTTGTTTTTATTTTTATTTTATTTTTTCTTTCGTACTCTACCGACATGGCATTTGAACAATCAACAAACATAAATCCAGAAAAAAAAACAATTGATTCGAGGACAAAAGAGAGTTCCATCGGGGACTTATTCAATCCCCTTGTGTTTCTTTTTCTTTCTTTTTTTTGTCTTTTGGCGAAATTTGAAGTTTTTTTAGTTTATAACTGATCCATGTCAAGATAATAACGGTAGCCAGTCGGATCATAAGAGTAAAGACAGGCCTGGCTAACAAGAGCTCAGCGGGCATACAAGCAGAAGGCAAATACGTTTTCCATTTGGTTCCGACTGATCAGAAGATTCAAGGCGTCGGAGATGAAAGCTGTGCGGCTGTTCAATCTCTTCTGGTCTTTGCAGACAATCGCGTGCCAGTCGTCTGGAGGGATGCCAAATTTCTCCGCCAACACCTTTCCGTAAGTCTTCTCTGCACTTGCCAATTCAAGGAGCTCAGGCTGGACGGACGGGCCACGAGACATCACCCCGGCAGTGTAGCGGGAGTGGTACTCAAACAAGATGATGTTGGCCTTGTCGAAGAAGGGGGAATCGCGCGTATCGATGTCGCTTTCGACAGACATGAAGAACACCGCGTGATAATCACTGATCATATCCTGGATCTCGGGCAGACCTTTCTTGATACGTTGAACAGCGCCCACCTTGCCGCCATGTCGCCGGTAGGAGTGGAAGGGCTGCTCGCCGACGCCGGTGTCTGTCACATTGTAACAGAATTGATCGTAAGTGATCTTCTTGGATGATCCGAGGGTTTCTCTGAGCAGATCCTGGAGCCAATGAAGCATGGGCGCGTTCTTCAATGGCTTCTTCGATGGGAAACACACTAACACCCGGAGGCCGTCAAATGGGTCATACTGTGGCCGCACACAACGGTGACTGGTTGAGTGAAAAATCTCGCTCGCCCTTATGGGGAAACGAGATGCCTCTTCAGGAACGATCTCGGCCTGGAGGAGGTTGAAGCCGTCCTGGGACGTGTTCAGAACGCGGGATGCCATGACAGATGGTTCATCGATCAATCGAAGTAGAGAATCGTCGATGGGAGTGCGAGGTTTGGCTTCCAGGTGGTCGATAAGAATATGAAGATGTAGTTCCAGATAGTCAAAAGGGAAGAAAGGCGATGTGATTGAAAAAGAAGACTTGATCCATTAGGAAATCCAGGGTATATTTATGCTGAATACATGCTGAATTCGTGCGGATGCTTCCATTGGAAATTTGAGATTTAAATGGAGATTCCGGTTTGATGCAATTCTTGGGTTGTTTAACAGTCTTTCATGTAGAATATCGATATAGTGGTTCGTTTGTATAGCCTCTTTATTGCCATTTCCCAGTAAGTCCGTGCGAGAACAGCAGGTATCCTCCTGGTCTGGAAGATTCCTTTGAAGAATCTTCTTTGCTGTTGAGAATTATTGTGGAGCATGCAGTAGGACGCAGGGGTTGGCTTTGTGTCTTTCAATGCCAACAACCAGATAATGGTCCTAGTATAGACCGGCAGACTTATGTCTTTCCAAATAGGGTAATGTGCACAAAGTTATGGATTAATGACTAAGCATTTGTGAAATGTGGATTCTGCCGACTTGTTGCTCTGCATCTCCTACGCATCTTCCTCCGATTCGATTCTTCCAGAGAACGACATGTTCCTCATCGACTATTAATTCCTTTTTTCATTTGAGATTCCAAACGTCGAACAATGGATAGCACAGAACCCGATGCCCGGCCTTCGAACCATGAGTCTTGGATCCGAAATTCCAGCGGCGCGACTAGCCCCGAACCTGACGAGCGTTCATCCAAAAGACTGAAAAGGGGCAATTATGTTTCTAAAGCCTGGTATGTAAAGACATTCAAATGCTAAGAGGGTAATCATTACTAATAAGCGCTGGTCAAATAGTGGGGAGTGCCAGAGAAGAAAGACAAAGGTAAGAATGGGATCACTAAAATTTACAACCCAACACTAATCTAATCTCTCCAGTGTGACGGATCTATTCCCTGTCAGCCATGCGTTCTCAATGCTCGCGATTGCCGGATGGTAGCAGTCGATATGCGCCGACGGAAGAGGTCTACAAACTGGGCACCAGCTTCGGAAAGTCATCGAGTGTGTTTAATTGGTGATGAAGAACGAGATGAGTAAGTATCCTGGGCGTCTTACCTCCAGTAGCTCCCATCTAATCAGCTTCTAAGAAGTAACAGTCCAACAACAAGGGAGCTGGCCTCTCGGTTAGATCGAGTAGAATGTCGACTGAGCGACATACTTTCCATCATCTCGCAACAGCCGTTTGGGTCGACAGTTCCCATACTACCTTCTGATGAAAGCTCCACAGTCCGTGGGAATACGGAACGCAGCACAGTACGCAAGCATGCATCAAAGACGCAAAATCCTCCGCGAGGTCAAAAAGAAGGATTCTCTGGTGAAACATCAATCAATCATGCACTTGGAGAGATTGAAGGTTATTTGAGACATGTCCGAGAGCTTCATTCTCAACCGGAGCCGTCCGCATCAAGAGAAACATCTGTATTCCTTCCATCATCTCCCCGGGGAAATTCACGGCATCCAGGTCCCTCGGAAATCCTCAGGAATCACGGCATCACACCGGACTTTCGGCAATGGTCAATATTCGTTCAAAACTTTAGTGACGAGGTGCATGTTTTGTTTCCCTTTCTTCATCTGCCAACATTATGGACTAATCATACCACAATGTGGAATGACTATATCCTCACACCATCCATTGACGACTCTGAGTATACTGCAGATAATCGACTTATGATGGCCCAAGTATGGATCTGCGTGGCTATTGGAAAATGCACTGCGTCTCCACGGAGTAACACCCAACAGGGCAAACATTCTTCTGGCTGGAGTCTCTACAGGGCTTCTTTGGACCTCATTGGCGACCTTTTCCGAAGCTTTCAAGACTGTTTAGACCAAATGCTTGTTTTACAGACCTTTGCATTGATGGTATGCATGTTTCATTCTTTGCTTACTTAACCCCCGAGAGCACTATTGATGACAGTCTTCTTCCGTAGGTTGTATATCTTTTTCGGGTGGATGCAAATGAAAGAGCTGAGAAGGTTCTAGCTATTGCCATCTCCCATGCTCATCATTTGGGTCTTCATCGATCCAAAGTGGTTAACGCCATGTCAGCCTTCAACAGTGAACTTTTTAGGAGGGTTTGGTGGTGTCTTTATGTCTTGGACCGGAGAATAGCAATAGAGACTGGTCACCCTGTCCTCATTCAGGATAATAATGTCGACTCCCCTTATCCTCAATGCCTTGGCGATGGCTGGCTCGCTGCTCACCAAGATGATCCAAAAAGCTGTTCGGATCTGAATTCTGATATCGACGCCGAGGTCAATCGAGAGATTGTTACACCCATTCCCTATCTTATCGCTACCATAAAATACTCCATGGTCGTGGGCAAGGTCTGGGAAGCTGTATATGGTGCCCGCGATAGTGATCTTATTCCAGATCCAACCTTGCTTGACCATCTGGAAAATACAATATCACAAGCCCAAGGAGAAGTTCGAATTGAATTTTCCCTTCTGAATCAAGAGCGTCAGTCAAATCCTCAAACTAGTGTTCTAGCATGGTGGCAAATCAAACAGCAAATGATTATGCGAATTGTGAGTTCTCCCGTCATTCAACTTCTCCCCTTTTCTTTGAAATATTTGGATTTAAATCCTCAGTATACAAACCTATCCCTTGCTTACAACGATTTAGCGATGGCTATGTCTTCGTCTCTTGATTAGAAAACCATTGTTACGTGAAACGAGCTCCTCAAGCCATCTACAAAATGATACGACATGCATAAGCATTGCCCGCGATATACTTCAGAGGTTCAGCGAGGTGCCAGAAGCCAAAGCCAAATCTGCTTTCCCGTTCCTTCACTACCTAGTCGGAGCAACAATGGTTTCTCTGGGTCTGGTTTGCAAGCAGCCTGACTCTAAGCAAACCCTAGGTGCCCTTACTTTACAGGCGGCACACTCTTTAGAGAGATATTGTCAGAATACGTGGGTATCTGGGAGGATGGTCCGAACGATATGGAAATTGAATCAAATGGTCAAGACCGTTATTGAGAGTCCTATTCCCTCGCGGTCACATTTGCCACCTGCCCAAATGCCGCTTTCAATGACGCCACGTTTGAGAGGGCGGCCTTATCGTCATTCGCTTCTAAGTAATTTTCCCCGAAACAGCTCCGACCAAACACTACATTCGACAATCGGTACATCTGCAAGGTTTCCCGGAATAGCAAACCTGGCGAATGCTTTTGGTCCGAATGCTCGTTCGCATCATACTCAGTTTCTACAGCACCCGTCCACTGCAGGCATTCCAAATTTGTTAATGACTGATTTTGATTTTGAAGAAAGAGTGAATAATTTTCCAGCAACTCAGAGGTAAGAAATTCAACGCTTGTGGAATTCTGTTAGCTGACGTGAGGGCTTTACCGATTAGATCCGCACCGCCATGCCCCCAATCTATGGATCAGAATTGGCTGCCGTGGTCCTATTCCAGTGGGCAGTCAGTTCAATCCGTGGATGCAGAACAATATTGGTTAGATGCATTTTTTGGTCCTGGTATGAACGGAGCCGTTGATTTTATGCTGCCAGATAGCTTTTGATGACAGCAAAAATCCCCTTGTAATGAAGTCATATTAAGTATCAGCTTTTGTACTATGCCAGCGACAACATATCATGGTATTTGGGCCTTGTTTTATCTATTTACGTGAATCATCATCTGCAAATATCAACATCGCTTCATTCTCGGGAAATAAGCCATGTACGATCCGAGTCAATTCTGTTGAAATAAGGTGTTCTACGAGAGATGTAGGGGATGTATATAGAGATTAACTAGTTAATCTGAGAGCTATTTCTAGGGGCCACGAAGGTCATTAAGCACCAATCAATCAATCAATCAATCACAGACGTTCACATTCTCGTAGTTCAACCCGTACCCCTTGTTCTCAGGAATAATGCGGAAATAAAAGCTCGCCGTGTGACCTGTCTCCACAAATCCTATGAAGTCCGAGATATCATTTCCAAGAGCCATGCTCTTCCATTTCAGACCAATATGTCTAGCCATCTTCAGGGAATCCTGCTCCTTAAGTGGAGACGTCTTTCTCATGGTGTAAGCAATTTTGAAGCCAGGCTTATCCCAGCGCCTAGTTAGAGTAGAGTTGCCGTCCTGCTGACCATCCTCCGTGGCAATTTTCAGGGTGTTATCTCCATTATTGTAATGGTTGACCCAAATATTAGTCGCATCGTTGCCGAGATCAGCGTGATACAAGCCACGGATAAGGAATCTCTCGACTAGATCTGGCTCATCCAAGGACCGCTTCTGGACGCTGGGTAGGTTTTCGTCCGCCTCGATGCTGGTGAATTGCAAGCTGCTTTCTTTCAGAGCACTAGTGGCGATATCCAGGTAGCTTCTGGTATTTGTTCTGCGAACTGGATCATCAGGACGAACTGCTGCCTCTGCGCCGTCTTTGCCGAAGATTGCGAAGATAAGTCCCAGAGCGTATCTGATTCCCTCAGCCCAGTCATCGCACGAGGGATCGCCATGCGTTATGGCGCGGCAAGTGTATTTGACGGCTGCGGGGCCGAAGGTAACGAAGGCAATCCTGATGAAGTTAATAGTCAGATGCGAACGGTGTGCGTCGTCGGAATGCTTTTACGTACTGGGCTCTGACCGATGTAATCCGGGAGATGAAATGATTCATGCGGCTACAGTTAGGGGCCCTTTGTTGGAGAGCGAGCCCGGATTGATTGGGACTAGCTACCTCCAGCTCACCCGTGAACTGCTCCACGGCTGTGGGATGAGCTTTGACTGCGTCGGCACCCGCCAGAAGCAGCAATAGAGACGATAGAAACTTCATCTGCATTTGGTACTCCTGAGAAACAGCAGGAGGAACTGGTAAGACACGATCGAGCGGGGGAAAGTAATAGATGAGGAACCTGGAGTTTGTTCAGCTCGAATCCAGGACCTAGGTTAAAGGAAGAGGAGAGATTGATTTGCTACCTTGCTGGTGTCCAAACGAAGATGCTTAGCAGGCAATGGCCGACAATTGAGAGAAGAGGGGGGCTGTCGCTCTTGATAGACGGAGCATCTTCCAGCGTCGATGACAAAACTGTGGGCGACGCTGATTCACTATCAGACCATTTGTCTTTGCTAGTAAGTAAATTTTCACTCTCTAATGCTGGGGCGTCCATCACGCGCGACTGTGCTAATGATGCAGGTATTAGCCAGGACAGAGCCTGGGGAGTTTCTGATTATAACCTCTTAATATCGATGAACGCTGGTTCGCTAACGGTGGGGATGCGCTAAGCAGGTGGGCGGCGGAAATCCCCGACGGTTACGGAGTACATGGGTCATTGTGCCTGCGAAAATTGTATACCCCCTGAGAAACTCTGAAAAAAAGAAGCTTCGACGCATGACTGAGCCTACCTAAGTAGCGATCAGTATCGCCAAACCATCTTCACCAAAGGCAAAGAAATGATGCGCCAATTGCCCTATGTTGTCATTTGTTGGAGTATCCTCGAGGCATTTAATGGAATCTTATGTGGTGCCAAAATTGAGAAAACCAGCAACAAAAGTACATACTCCGGAGCTTGTTTAATTCTACCTGCAAGGATTGAAGTTTAGAATAGCAAGTCGGGGCTTTCGATTAGGTAGATATTCTGGGATTACCCACCTGGCGGGGCTTAATTAAACCAAGTTTGAACCCACTCAGATTCCCCACGTTACATTGACAATTATCGGAGGCTTGTGGTTAAGCTAGTAAGACCGATAGGAATTGTTAGTAACAGATTGAATAAAAAACGATATATTATTTAAAGAGGTTCAATCTAAGGACGGGGGAAAGGACCTCCACGAGCTGTAATATCTTGGGGATAGAGTTAGAGGTTCATCACTGTTTATCCATGAGAGCAGCATGGCTAGGAAGAACGCCTGCGTTTTCAAAAGACCGATAGGTCTCGATCCAGGTATCAAAAGTGTTGTCCGTGCGGTTCCAGCCATACTTTCGTGCCTTGTTGATCGACGAGATTGTCAACCAGGACTTTCCTGTGGCCCAGTTGAAGAATCCCCAGGTGCCCCAATCGAAAGCCTCGGCCTTTCCTCCATACTTCTTGACGACAGCCTCCCAGACAGGACGCTTGTCCTTAGCCCATTCCACCATGTCGATTTCGTTGCTCAGGGTCTTGGCTTGACCAGCTGCCTTTTCGAATTTTGGCTCAGGGACCTATGCCAGTCAGTACACATTCGTCAATCATCCAGATAATCGAAATACCTCAACACCGAAGTATTTGGCAACGTCCTGCCACAGATACTTCCAAACAAAGACGTCTCCATTGCAGTGGTTGAAAGCTTCATCCTTGCAGTTGTCTTTTGTTGTTGCGTACACAGTCAAGTCCGCCAAGCTAGGCGCGTACGAATTATCGTCGATTGAGGTCCAGAAATATTCGTTTCCGGGGAACTGACCCGGCTGGTTCAGTTCGCGGCAAATCAGCAGATAAATCGCGATGGTAAGAGCCTCCGACATGCCGTTCGCTATTTCACATCCGCGTTAGATAGCCATAACTAAGACTTAGGGGGTGATGATTCAGGTAGCCTACCATGAGGGGCAAATCCATTGATTGCGTTCGGTCGGATGATATTGTACGACCATGTGTTGCGCCGTTTCTGGACTTCTCTCAGGTAATCTTCCTGGAAGTAATAGAAGTTGTATCCTTGATCGTCATATCTTGGGAAGTCCTCCTCCAGCGGAACTTTCACGGGACCTAGATGAACACCGTAATACTATCGACATTTCAGCGTATACAAGGAAAGAAGGCCAATGACTAGTACGTACCTTCCCACCAGTCTGAAGAGACACTCGCTCCAGTTTCGGGCACGCGGTATCGAGAGCATCCATAAAGTTACGAAACAAAGGAACATTCTTGTCGCGAAGGACTTTGAAGTCGTCATCATGGACATACGACGTAAAATAGGCATGCGTGACGGGAGCACAGATGCCTTTCATCTTGTTGACGATGACTTCAACGGGGTCAAGGAAATCGAGGGCGACGAATTCCACTCGAGGGTCAATCCAGTGGTTTGCCAAGGGTCGTCTCGAGGACACGATGATTTTAGACCTATTTTATGTTAGTCACGTTTTTGAAGCAAATGGAGGGTTGGACATACCATTCGTTTTTGGGCTGTCTGATCAGATGCTCGACAATGGCGTGGCCACTGATGCCATTGGCACCGGTAACAAGGGCGACCTTTTCTGGAAGAGGGACCATTGTGATATTGTGTCTGTTGTAGAGATTATCCTGGGAAATACAAATGGCACAGGATCTTTTCAATGAACGCAGGCTTAAGTCAACTTCTTGTTAATTACAACGTTCCTCCTCCCAATTTATATTCCCTGCAGCCAGCCGCCAGAACAAGAACCACGGAATTTCGGCACGATGAGCACATGAAATGCCTATCGTGCATCAAGCCCACCATGCCCAGACCGAGCGGCCCTTTCCGCCTGGTGATTCGACGAATAAAAGTCCTGAACCTACCCAAGAATCGGCATCTTTGGCCGAGAATTCTCGGTCTGCCAGTAGCAAACCACTCAGAGAGTTAATGATCTGCAACGCCAGGGAGATCGTCACTAGGCTGATGTCTGGTGCGAAAAAGATACCCGTTTCTTCCAGGGTTCTGCATATTCTGGTTGGCTGGTCGGAAGATAATGTGGGTCTTCAGACGGAATTACACTTCAAATTCCGTTGCTTTTCCGTGTGGACCTCAAAGTCTGCGTTGGCCTTGTTGGGAGTTGGTAGATGTAACAATTGGCCTTGTTTAGTGCTTAATACCATGCCGTTTTATGCGAGGCTTTGTTTGAACTGGGAGTGAGTAATGAAGATATCGTTCTTAATCGAAGGGCATGTTTCAATGTGCATTACTATGTATATTTTCGTTTGTAAGGTAGAGCAGGATGATACGAGTAGTATTTTCTCTTGTTGTCGTAAACTTCCTAAATGCCAAGTTTCCCATGCCATTCTAACTATACTGTTGTTTACTCATCAGATTTGTCCCCAGTTCGAGCCACGCCTCCCTTCTATATCATTATCAGACCACTCGGGAGTCGGAACTGGTGCGGGGTAATCTGAGGGGAGCATCGCCTTACTACTATTTACGCCAACCACCAGCAAGATCTTCAATGCTTGACTACTATGGTGCATCTGTGTCACGATGAAGGATCTAATCTGATAATCTGACATGGCCATGTGACGCCATGTGACCTGTAGTACCCCTCTCAAGGCAGACCCCGCAGTGTCACAAATACCGGCCCATGACATAAATTACCCAGAATACACTCCCCACAGTGAGCCCCTCCCCGCTGTATTGTTACGAGGGGTACCACCCCGCATGAGAATTGGAGAAGCATGACAGGCGCCGTTATTTAAGAATGACATCGTTCCTGCTCCACGTAGATAAGGCTGCTCTCATCTTGTGTAACACCATAATTCCACTCTATCTCATCCAGAAAGTTATATCGAGCTGTACTCCAAATCGCCCACAATGTCCTCCATCGCAACTCTCGACGTATGACCCCATTTCCATCCTTCCAAGCTCATCATCAATTAATCCATCCCAGACAACCCAACACCCCGGCCTCCCAGCCTCATCCGCCACTCTCTTCAGTGCCAAGGCGACCAAGAAGCTCAGCTTCGAGCAAATCGCCTCGCACATCGGTCGCAACGAAGTCGCCACAGCTGCCATCTTCTACGGCCAAGCCAAGGCCTCCCCGGAAGACATCGAGAAGCTCGCCGGCCTGCTGGACATCGACCATGGCACCTTGGAGACTCAGCTGAGCGGATTCCCGGATCGAGGCCGGTCTGTGGAGATGCCACCCAAGGAACCGCTCATCTACCGGTTGTATGAGATCGTGCAGAACTACGGATATGCGTATAAAGCGGTGCTCAACGAGAAGTTCGGAGACGGTATCATGAGTGCGATCTCGTTTTCTACCAAGGTGGAGAAGGAGACGGATCAGGATGGGAACAACTGGGCGGTCATTACGCTCAGGGGGAAGTGGTAAGTCTCTTTCTTTGTTTCTTTCAATTCCTTTTCCCCCTTACCTTTGTACCTTCTTTGGCTGTTCTTCAATGCCATTGTTATATGGCTCATGGATTAGATTGCTCGTGGAAAGAATGTATGTACTGACGATTCGGTCCAGGTTGCCCTTCTCTAGGTTCTAGAAGGATTTGGTTGTTGTTTGCGAAGGGCTGGAAATAAGATTCAGGGCTGAAAGGGGAATGGATATCATTGGGATTGTGCGAGACTTGTCTGTTGATACATATAACCGCTTTGTTTGGATTGTCTGAGACGAACGCGATGAGAGGCTTTAACTTCGAGACAATTCCAGAACGAATAATGAATGGATGGCCTGACGTTCTCTTTCCACCTGCCAGCCTCTTCCTTCTTAATCCGTTTCTCCTCGCCTTTCTTTCTCCCCACCCCTCTCACTTCGCGCAGTGAATTCACTTTTCCTCTGCCTGTAGAACATTTCTTCATCTCCTGACTCCATCACTCTATCTTCGATCTTTACTTCTTTCATCTGTCGTGAATCTCCTTCTGTATTCATCTCCCCCTGTTCTCAATCTTCTTCTCTCTTCCCAAGTTCCCTCTCTGCTCCCAAGCCTCTCGGTTCCCAAGCCTCTCTGTTCACAAGCCTCTTCGTTCCCAAGTCCCATCTCTATTCTCACTGAAGTTTCCTCCCTGTACTCGATCTCCTTCTGTCTTCAACTTCCCTCACTATCTGCAACCAACCCACCTATCCTTGGACCTTCCAACTTCTGTCCATCTTACGGGCTATCCTACGCAATGGCTCCTGAAACTCCCACCAAGGTCCCCTGCACCTACTCTAGCTGCCTTCAAACTTTTGATTCTGTCATGCAGATGCAGAGACACAAGATCATCGATATCAATCACGAGTACTGCAAGACCTGTGACGAGGACTTTGACGATGAGGAGACTTTCCTAATCCACAGGATCAAGAGCGATAAGCACATCGTCTGTCCAATCTGTGGCTTGAACTTCCGTTCTGAAGGTGGTCGCGATGGCCACATTCGCCAGGTGAGTCTTTGAACCATGAATTGTAAATGTAAGTTATTCTCACTAACTCACTCTTTCCAACAGAACCATCACACCCAGCAACTCCTCACTTGCCACGGCTGCAAGGAAAAGTTCAGGAGCGCTAGCGGCTTGATGCGCCACCTTGAAGCCGACGAGTGTCCCTACATCAGCCAAGGAGTCATTCTGAAGCAAAAGTCCCAGAAGCTGATGATCAAGGAAGCACTCAAGGCCGGCGAGGGCTCACCTATGCCTCTGATCCCCGATCCTGCCGAAGCCGACGACGTCGACGGTGGCGTCAAGGTTAAATCGCTGGCGGAAAAGAACCGCGAGGCCATGACCAATCAGCCGTTCGCCGTGAACGCCAGTTCTGCTGCCCATGCCTCTGCCGACCTGGCGACTCAACACTGGCCTGCTCTTAGTGGCAGTAACAACGATTTGCCCCGTGACTTGATGAGTCTCTCAGGATTGGAGATCTCCTCGTCCCAGGGCAAGGATAAATCCGCCTGGAAGAGCAATGCGCGCGAGGGACCGGCCTTGGGCGGCAGTTCGTTGCCTGGAGATCGCCCGTTTGGTATCTCGCTCCCTAATGCAGGTCAAACCCTTCGCCTGATGGATGAGCACTGGCAGGCTACCAACTTCCTCAATTCTTTCAGTGGCCAGTACGTGTGTCCTTGCGGCTCCAGCTTCAGCCAGCGAGATGAATTCGAAGAGCATGTTCTGCAAAAGAGCCGCTCGAAGCGCGTTGTCCAGTATGTATTCCCACCCCGTAATCCGTAGGAGATAAATTGGTCTAACAAAACACTATAGGTGTCCCAACTGCCTTCGCAGGTTCAAGACCACTGCAGCTCTCATTGCCCACTGCGAGTCTCCTAGCACCCGCTGCGACATCAACAACGGCGACAAGTACGGTCAGATCATCGATGAGTTGACCGGAGGCTTAATCCAGGCAGTTGGATACCACGCAGACGGAACTGTCAAATACGAGGCGGGCAAGTTTGACTTGCCAAAGAGCACCACCGTGGGGGTTAACCTCCGCGAGGTGAAGAAGTCCTAGTGATTCTCTCATCGTCGTCCTCGACCTCAGTTTTTTTTTTTTTTTTTTTTTTTTTTTTATTTCTTTTTTCATTTTTTCTTTTGTTAGTAATCATGGCATGATCCAATCATGTAATTATCCTGAAATCTCCTCTCCTGAGGTTCAATCATAGAATGGAATTCAAACGTTGTTATCTGGGTTATCGCTGCATTCATTCCCTCCAATCTGCCTGATTCCCAAGGCCCCTAGAGTGTTGGCCCCAAAAATATGGCTGCGAGGCCCCCACTCAGGCAGGAATAGCCGGGGCGCTGATTGGCGGACAAAAGCTTGACCAAAGCTTAGCTCGCCTGACGATCGAAATGATGTTGCCTGCCCAGCTTTCCCTGTGAGCCGTGAGGCATTTCTCTTGACCGGCTGATTCTACCAACACAGCAATGGGATGTCCTATGATCCTCCTGAGCGATATGGGGGCAAGGATCCGATCCTCTGGCCTCTCCAGGAGGCGTTCGTCCAACTCAACCCATATTCCATATAAAAGGACCTCGTCCTTTATTCTGAATACAGTCAATCGGGAATCTCGGCTCTAGAACAGCGTCATCATCTCCACAGTGTCAGAAACGTACAGCGACAGGGCTGAGCCGTGACGTGGACCTAGCAACTGCAATCAGCCAACGAGAGACCCCGATGACTGTCTCGCCTCCACCAAATTTGACACAGTCCGTCAAGAGCGCCTTGCAATTGGCATGCGCATCCATTGACTGGTCATAAGCGATGGGAAATTTTGGGCCCTAGTTCAGGGGAGGAAGGTAAATGATCAAATCCTTGCTTCCCATGGCTGGTCAGAACCAACGGCCTAATCTAACTGAATCAGGTCTACCTTTTTCTATTCTTTTTTTTTCTGCCTGGAAAACAAATCAAACAATTGGGGTGCGGCTGCTCTTGTTGGGCCTGAATAAATAACTCCCCTCATCCGCGTTTTCTCCATTTTCCACCTTCTTTCTCGTCTCCTCTTGCTACCTACTCGACATACCCGCCGTCTTAACACCTGCACCTGCTCCACCCAATAAACCAAATCAAAATGGGCCTCTTCAACTTCTTCAAGTCCTCCTCCAACCAGCAGCAGGAGCAACAGCCCCAGCAAGCCACCTGGGACCCTAACACCCTGACCATGCAGCAGCCCTCGTGCCCTACTGCGCCCAGCACCGAGCGAGTTGTGACTGAGCAGCCTGTATGGTTCCTCTTCCTCATACATCCGGTGGTTGGAAACTAACCTATATCTTCCTTTCTCCTAGAACTCTGAACAGAACATGAAGCTGCGCGGTGGTGGAGGTGGTGATGTTTGCTGTGGAGTGTATGTTCCCTTTTTCTCCTCTCTATGCCGTTGTCTTTCTTTCAATTTCACAGTACTCTATTTTCATTTGCTTTGAGTGTCATCAGACTAACCGGTTGGTTGACAAATATAGCTGCGCTGGTCTCTGCTGCTTCGAATGCTGCGAAGAGTGCTGTTAGAGCCATTCCATGTCCACGGTCTCTATAATGCCCAACAAAGCATGCAGGAACAAAGTCATGAGGTGTGACGGTCATGAGGAATGTTAGATCTGACGGGTTCGAATGATGTGTGCCTGTGAGGCGTGCTGGTGCTGGCTAGTGTTTATACCCTTTTTCGTTACATAGAAATTATTTTGGTTTTTTAATCCAGTTCAGCCAATTATTGCGTATACTGAGAACTGGTCCTCCCGTGGATAGAGAGTCGAGCGATGAAATACACAGGGCCTCGGGGATTTCCACTATCGATGGGAGGTGCTTGGAGTTATCTGTGCTGTAAACGATCAGTTTGGGTTTTCTATTTCAAACTCAAGAGATTGCAAGATAATAATATGTTTCATTCATGCTAGATCACTCATAGTATGGTATGAACCACCTTGCCTGAAGAAATAGACAGTATAACTTGGAAAACTGTAGAAATCATGCATCTTAATACAGACAAGAGAAGAGATCCCAAACGCCACATATCTACATGCACATGATAACCCATAATATACAAACCCAGAATAATAACACAATATGCATAGCACAGCCTCCGACTTCAAGCCTCCTTCCCACTCTCATCCTTCCCCTTCTCCTCACCCTCCTTCTCCCCCCAAGTCCACACATCCCAAATATGCTCCTTGATCAGATCCCCATACCCCTTCCCCTCCTCCAGCGCCTGCTGCTCCTCCCTCAATCTCCTCTCCTTCCACCCTTCCTCCTCCCCACCCATCCACACCTGCTCCAACACCCCCTTCTCCTGCCTCTGCCTCGCCTTCAACCTCTCCAACTCCTCGCTCACCAAGCCCCCCTCCTTAATCTGCGCATCCCTCGCCGCCCGCAATCGCGCCTGTATTTCCCGCGCCCGCTCACTCGGTAACTCCCCGCTAGCCGGCAACGCCGATCTTGTAGACGAGATGCGCGATTCGATGCGCTCGACGATGCTGCGCCCCGTTCGCTCGCGCGTGAGATGATTCGCCGACACGCAGAACGCCGACGTCAGGAGGACGGTCAGGTGGTCTAGTTTTCGTGGCGGGAGCGCGATCAGCACCGGTGATGCCACGAGGAAGGTCATCGCCGCGTAGGTCTTGAAGCGCTCGTAGTCTGCTTCGCGGCGCGCTTGCATGCTGGCTTCGGGATCTGTCGTGGTGGACATCTTGGGGTTTGTGTGGGACGGTCCGCGGAGGTTGGAGGGTGGAGGTGTATGGGTTTGTTTGAGGTCTGGAGATGAGTTGCGATCTTGCGATAGACGAGATGATGCTATCCAACGAGATGTGAAAATTTACGGCGCGTTCGGGAGACCAGCATGGCAGTCTTGGCGGGGTCAGGTGATTTGGTCGATAGGCTATACTGCTTTGGGATTTGATCTATGGGCATCTGTGATCGTGAGAAAGCAATAAATACATGACATTCTCTTTATTTCGACTCATTTGTTTTAGTCGCATTAGATGGTAGATAGCTGCTCCATCCCTACTGTGATTTTAAACCACACCTTTTTTCGACCCGAAGCGCGTGTTTTATTGCGCTGTTCGGCGACCCTTTTACAGCAAGAAACACGATACCGAATCCCTACCAGTGTTCCTAATTTTACCAGGTCTTGAGCTGTTGGTTAACGGCTTTTAAGCATTATAGACAACTGAAAGTATAAGAGAGTTGTTATTTGTCCTAAAATTGCCCTGTGTAAGTCGTCGAGATAGGAGACAAAATAGCATGAACCCATTCAATTAGGTCTTCTTTTCATTAATTATTCCGATTCATGAATCCAGTCCAATCCTTCCTTCCTCCTTCGTGCCCTCTGATAGCCGAGGGCTCCAACGAGGCTCGATGGCCCAGCAAATGGAAGGAGACAAACAGTCTGCCTTAGGCCTTCCTTCTCCGCCATCTCTTTCTCTCTTCCTCCCTCCTTCGTTCTCACATCCGCCTTCATCTTTGTTTCTCCCTCTCCAATCCCATCCATCATTACCCCAAACTGTCTATTTTTTCCCTTGAATCAGCTTACGTGACTCTTCGCTATGGCAACCATAATAGTTCGAGGCGAGAGACCAAGATGGCTTGGCTTCAAGACAAAACACAAAAAGCCCACTCGTATGCCTCCTGTCAGGACTTTATACAACAGATTATACACTACACAGAAGCGCCTTTTTACAAGGAGTGCGATTATAAATATACTCGGCCGCTTGAATAATCCCAGGCAACTGAGGGGAGGGAGGAGAAGTGGCACAGTCTCTGTCTGTGGGGTTGACGGATCGAGACTGGAATATCGAATTGAGACAGGGAACACTCGACGCATCAACAGCACTCAAGGATATCTACTGTAAGAGCTTCTTAGATAGTCGATGAAAGATGCTTGTCACTCGAGTTCCTCGGCGTAACTTACCTTTCAAAAGGCAAGAACCGTTCCTGCAGTTTATTATCCCGCCGGCCGCTTTTCACCGGGGTTGGAACCAGTTTGCTATGAAAGAAGCATATTGCACAATTCAAATCCGCTACCTCGCTGTGCGGCGATACGTCGGGACTGGGCAACCTGTCTACCCATTAACTCTTCCGGGGCAAGCGATGGTAAGAAATGCCTATAGGATAGGACATCAACGGTGGAGAGAAGACCGAATTCGTCGTCGTCTTCGCTCAATACTGCAGAACAACCAATTGCCGCCGAATATTACGAAAATTCTTGGTTTTGGATGTGGGCCAATTATGTTCTTTGACGATTCGGACAATACTACTAGACTCGAACCGCGGCATGCCGGTCAGCACGCAGTGTTGACAACATTGAAAGATGATCTAGAGCAGCTCCAGGGGACGCAGATTACCTGCATTGTCCAAGAACCCTCATACACACAGGTCGATGTAACAACGTTGCAAGGGCTTGGTATCACTGTTCTTAAGAGCCCAGAAGCCTTACTACAGATCGACCGACATAGTGTTGTATTCTCGTGTGCCGCATCCTTCCCAATCAAGCAGATAACAAGGGATTTCGGGTTGCCGGCGATCATAATCTGGGACAGGGTATATCAACCAATGGGGTGAGTTTTGACAAGCCGAATAGATTGATTCATCACTATACGCTCTCTAACAAGTCAAGTCTAACAAGGTTAAATCCAGACACACCACACGTGGTCAACATGATCATAAACCACTACGACCGTTATGATTTTGACAGCCTTTTTAATTGGGTTTTGGGTGACACAGCCTGTTATATCCGAAAAGCCACTTCCTAGCTTCCGTCAGTTAAAGATGGCATGCCTCACATATCGGTCATTTTGAATGATCAATATCGAAGACACTGAAACATGTGCGCGGACTGCTCTGGAAACACAAACACCCTCTCTTTTACTATTCTCGGATTGACCCGTTCCTATGACGATGGCTATTCTACTGGCTCTATTCGCATTCATACAAAGTATCATCAGAACCGAAAATGTCCCAATTGTTACAATTATCACTGAAATTTAATGTCTGGTGTTGACGAAGTCATCCATTCCACTAGATAAATAAGCACATACTATCCCAAACATATTATGTGGTACAAAAGTGCGGTCCCCCCATTTGGGTGTTGACGGAATCAAGGGAAACATCCTGGCCACATCCTTTAGTCTTATGTGTGCGAGGTAAAAACCTTGACCGGGACGACAGAATACAAAATGATCTTGTTCAAAGCGGTCCTTTGTGGACTCGACTTTGATCTCTTCCGGTGGCGTCTGGTTTTTTCTTTTTGCCACTGCTGCAATCATCCCGTCCCTTGATATCTGACCCGTAGGTCTTGTTCCTTTTGGTTCCTCCACTTGATGCAAACTGAGCCCGAAGGCTTGTCCAAGATACAAAACTCCCCCGTGATACATGATGAGCCCGTAGGCATGTTCCAAGATTCCTCCGCTTGAAGCATAATGAGCCCGTAGGCTATCTCAGCCCGAAGGCTATCTGAGCCCGAAGGCTTGTCCCAAGATTCCTCCGCTTGTATACCAAGAGCCCGTAGGCTGAAAATAGAATGCCGCTACAGCCTTGGCCAGAGACTGTAGCTAAACATGGTACTCCTTTTTCGGGAAAGTACTGAAATAGAAGGGTGTCGGAACAATCAAGTCACTGCAACACTCAGGACAATGGTGGTGTGATAGTAAACGCAGGAATCTTGAAGGAGAAGAAAGGGGAAGACGAGAATAAAAAGAGGACGATGCAAGACCCAGTACAATTGCGATGTAAATAGAAGATGCAAAAGTCAAAGTAAGGACGCGGCGAAGAAGAAGAAGGGGAAAAAAAGAAAAGTTTTGATGCCATGGCGGCTAGCCAGACGTGGTCCACATTTGCCAAAAAGTCCGGTAGCATGTAAAAGAAATCGATGAATGGCAGAAAATTGATGGGATAGACTGGGCCAACATCCACGCTGGGTACCACCACGGGAGCAGCCAGCAGCCTCTTTGCCAGATTCTACTATTGTAGCTCGACGAAACACACGAGAAACATCGACCGACCAGCACGCTGGTCTTTGGGTTGGCTTTTTATTTGTGCAAATGGGACATATCCGGCCAGCGGGCGGGATTTTTCTGTCTTAGCATCTTTGCGGGCATGGATTAACGACTTTGCAAAACTTGAAAAAAAAGGTCGGGGAAGGCCAAGGACCAGGTAGCTGCGTCAAAGCACATAATATCGGGGTAACGCGAGGAGCGCCTATGCCTATGTTCGGTGGATGTATGTTCGATATCACCTATGTCCAGTTTCAACGTCGCCTGACCTTCCCGTGAGGTTGGATCTGAAAACATCTCACTAGAGAGGGGGAGCGTCAAGCATTAGAGTGTCGCCATCAGCATCCCGTCTCCCGAATCTTTTGTTGTTTCGGTTTTTCCGGGCATTAGGAGGTGCCGATCGGGCCGCAGCCTGGACCAGCGGGATCAACGGATGCTCCAAGGGCAGAAACACGTCGATCATCTCCACGTCCGAGTCAGGATCTTCCCGGTGAATCTCCTGTCGAAAGCGTTCAGATACATCTTTCATCACAACGTCGCCATCTGGGTCGATAAGGCACCGGGTTTGAGGCCGGCGACCTTTAGAATTTCCCGCTCTTGGGATGAACTAGACTTGAATTAGCATCCTCTGCATGTATATCATTGCTAGAGTAAAGGCATCTACTCACGACATTGTTAAACTTCCGGTTGTTGTTTCTGTTTGGGTTTTGGTTTTGGTTTCGATGCGGAGGACGCTGGACACGGTTCTCTCCTTGAGGTTTGGTCGGATAGTTTCTTACCCCTGACCGGCGGGCCTGCTGCTGGGTATGGTTGCTCGCTGCAGCATTGTGGCTTGCGCGCGGATCGAAGGGGCGGGACGAGTTCTGTTGATGTCGATCTTCGTCGTGGCCGGAGCCACCTCTTCTCTTGTTTCTGTTTCCCCGAGGTCTCCTGCCATTTGGCCCATAGGATATATGAGGGGGAAACCGGGCAGTTTGTGGATGTTGTTCGAGACCTTGGCCCGAGCGAGTGCTCCAGGACCCTTCTCTGTTGAATGAAGCCATGCTGTTGCTCCTAAACAAAGGATTTGCCAAACGATGTATCAATCCGCCTCACAAGATTGGAGACGTCCGTCAAGACTAACTGAGTAGTTCGAGGTGAGGATCACAACAATAATAGAAGAAAGGCTTGCCCTATTCTCTGAAACGGATCCCTTTATTTCCTTCGTGAGTGAAAAAAGGTTAAAAAAAAGTACTTTTTGCCGAGTTGCTCAAATTTTCGTTTGGATGCCAAGTTTTTGTTTGTTCGGATGCCAGATTTTGATTTGGATACAATCACGGTTTTTGATTTAAAACAACGCTCCCATTTCGGGTGCCAAAAGAAGGTGAGCGGATTGTCGTGTTGATGGAGGGTTTGGCGATAAGTTAACTTTCGAGACTCTTTTATCTCTTGTGTGGTGAACTGATAAAAGTTTGGTGGTTTGCCCCGGTGGGTGAATCAGAGTTGCAAAAGAAGAATCTCAGTGGGATGAATCTAGATAGATGGATCGCAGAGAGATGGAGAGAAAAAAGAGAAGGAGTCAGAGTTGGGGGAGATCGGGGTCTTTTTATCAGGAGCAAAAGCCCGAAGTCGTCATATTCACTCAATTGTTCGCTCATGAGATGGCCACCGCTGTTATGTGTTCTGTCGTAACGGGGTGGTTTCGGCCATGGTACTTGGGTCTCTTCAAGGAAACAACCCCGAAAGAGTTACAATTTGATGCTATTGTAGCACCCGAATTAGAGTTCTTAGCTCATATGTTGCAACAGGAGGAAGAAAGCTGCCATTGAAAACTTTGACATTGTTAGGCTAGTTGGTGTTTAGGCCTGGTTATTGCTTCTGTCTCTTCGATCCTTGAAGAGCTGTCGCAATGGAATCAGGGTTCGAGATGCCGTCGAAGCGACGTATCCTGTTACCACCATTGCCTGTCGCCCCCGAGGTTGCTTCCTCATCACGGGCACCCACGATGGCAATCTTCGCTTTCTTTCTAGGCTTGGAGGTGGCCCCGGGAGAAGAGGTGCTTCCATTCGAGGCAAGGCTATCTCGTTTCCTCTTTTCTGGCTTCGCATTTCGTTTCTTTCGCTTTTCTTCCTTTATTTTCAATCGTCGCTGTACTTCTTCAGAGATATCCTCCGTCTCCATTGAGACGGGAGTCACATTTCTCACATTCTCGTCATTACCCGGTAAGGTCACATCAACCCTTTTACGCTTTTGCGAGCGTAGCATCTCGGCGGGGAAGTCGTCATCATTAACAGTGTTCGATTCATCTTTCCCAGGCCGCTTTTTTCTTTCTTTCGAGTGACTTGAGCGGGAAGACGCATCATGTGATGATGTTGAAGTCGACAAAGGTGTGTCAGAAGAAAATGATGTAGTTTTATCCTGGGCTAAGGTGAATGCATTATGTTCTATTGCATTGTTAGTGAGATTTGTAGAGCAAAAGAGGTTTTTATCTTATTATTATTATGGACTCCCTCATCGTGCATTGGGAGCATCGCACTTACTTGGTTTTTGCTATGTTCAGTCAGCTCGTCTGTAACCCGGCAGCGGACAGAAAAGAAAAAAGAAAAAAAGGGAAAAACTCTGACAAGAGGGGAATATGCTAATATTTATTTGGGGGGCAAATAGGCAGGGTGGTAGCGAACTCACAAGTTGCGACTTCATGACTTTGAATTGTGTCATGAGTTTATTTGTTTTCTCAGCCATCGTCGTGACCATTCGAAACATGTCCGCGTCCGATGTAACGTTGCCTTTTACAGAGCACAGCATATCGAGGTGTGACGAGAGAACTGACTCATGACGAGCGAAAATCTTTAGGACAGACCAATGAGCAAAAGCTGCGCTAATGTATGTCGTGCTGTTGATGCAGGTACCAAGCTCACCTCTGGCCATGAGAGCTGCTTGCCATTTCCACCAGGATCCCCCGGATCTGCGCCGTGTCCCATATCCTCGTTTACGTCTTCAACGGTGGGGTTGAGCGAAGGCTGAGTACGAACAGGAGCCATTTCGATCAATGAATGGGACGGAGCAAAGTCGATGTGAAGTTGAAAGCGGGAAGAAGTTCCAGGATGATCGGCAGTCGGAATGTGGAGGCCAACGCCAAGCCTTCCTGCTCAATGGAATTCCGCCCGGGACTAAGCAGAGCATACAGTAGAGAGTGAATTAGAATAAACAACTATGATTCATCTGTGTATCCTACACATATCTAGATAAATGAGATCGTAAAACAGTATATCCCGGACCAGCCCATTGCTACATTCCAAATGCGCCGTTCAAGCAGATTCCCCAGCAGAAAATTCAAATAGTGGTATGGTTCTACAGTCTCCCAAGACATCAATCTCACCAAGCAGCCGCGTCAAAATCAAACCGAGAAACTTCTTTCTGCGCATCTTCCACGTCCTTTTTGGCCTTCATGCGCATGTAGAAAATAGGGCAGTCCCGGGATGAGCAAATCACCTCGCAGTGCAAACTACCCTGACAGCGCTGGCATTGAGTCCACAGTCGTCCGAAACGAACCTCCAGATCCGATACCTTGTTCAACGAGCGCGTATAAAGCTCACCCATGCGGGGGCGACAATGCTCGCAGACAGCACCGGCCATTTCACTCTTGCCAGAAAGTGGCTTTTTACAGCCCAGGCAAGTCTGGGTCTTCTTCGCGAACTTCATAAGTCCTCCCATTGTGGGTGCGGCCACGGAGATCGATCGAGTATGTTCACCAGTGAGAAGCTGACTGGCTTTCTTCTCGCCTAGAATGGGCTCGAAAATACGGCCAAGTGGGTTTGCCAGTTGGTTGTCAAGATAGTACTTCGTGTCGATAGGAATGTTGTTTTCCAGCACATAAATCGGATCCTCGGATTTCTCGTAGTTCTTCGAGCCGCCCGCGCCTTTGACAATGACATACGCGACACGGTCACCAAGAGTGGGCGCAGAACCTGCGTCACGCTTTCGCATTCGCTCGGCGAGCTCAACGTGAGCTTGCTTGGCCGTATAATCCGACTTAGAAAGAGCTTTGGTAATGACCAGTTTCGACATATCGACCTTGTTCTGCAACAGGTCGGATATCGTCTCCTTCACATACTCTTGGGCGCCATCGATATCTCGGTCGATCAGAATCTTGTTCAAGACTGTTTCGATGACGTTTTGGACAAGCAAGCAATTGTCTCGGCGCACGGTCTCGATACCCTTGGTGTCCATCTTATCGTGTTTCTTGGGGTTTGTCCAGTAAAGTCCTGCATATCTCTTTTTGTTGATCAAGAGGTAGGGGAAGTAGACTTTCTCGAATTCGAGTTTGATCGGCTTGATAAATTTCGAAGAAACGAATTCCGAAGCCTCTTGGCCGAGTTTCATGGCCTCTTCCAGCTCGGCCACTCCGAACTTCACCATGACCGAATCCGTGTCACCGTAAATGACTTTTGCATCATGGGAATAACCATTGGCGATGGTGTATTTCGCCTCCACTTCCTGCTTGGTCTTTTCGATCATCTGACGCCCATAACTAGTCGTGCTACTGGCGATGGGAAGACACGGCAGTTTTCCGACTGTCGCACCGGTAAGACCGTAGACACTGTTAGCGCTAACCTTCAGAGCAAGCTGTCGACCGTTCAACACGGCCTTTTTGAACGGGTCGGTCTCTATTCCTAGCTCTTTCTTTGCCTTCTTTCTTGCCGTCAGAAGTTCCTCGAGAATCTGCGACAGTAGGCCCTTCCGTACTTTGGCCGTGCAAAACATATCGCCATTTGGAGTCACAATGTAATCATCGTCCTTTTTTAGTCCAAGTTTTTCGACACTGTTCTTGTTCAACAGAGTTGTGTAGCACAAATTATGCGCCTGGATGATGGAGGGATACAGGGATGCGAAATCAAGGGTGGCAATAGGCACGCCATAGTAGCCACGTACCGGCTCGATGACCGTGGCACCTTCATAGTCTTGCTCGTCCGTCGACTTGGTGTTTGGTATAACAAGCTGCTGTTCCAGAGCCTTGCGAAACAATTGACTGATGAATTTGACTTGCTGACCACGTGATAGCAGGAAGTTGAATGGAACACCCGTGACCCTGGCCATCTCAGTGTAGTTGACGAGACACATGAGCTTGTCCATGAGACGTTGTGGAAGGTATGCATCTTTCAAACAATACACTGCTAAACGCCGCCGCGAATCTGGCGTTCCATTGAATAGTTCAGTGATCATAGTATGGTGCACATCTTCCTTCTGCTCTCCGAGAAACTCGTAAGAAACAGAGTTCAGTGTGTAGCTTCGCAGGTGGTGGTCCCTTTGAACCAGTTGAAGAAGATCCAGTTGGATTCGTCCGTTCGTGTTTGTGGACTTTGTATCTCGGTTGCCCATCTGCTTGCTGGAGAAGTTGGTCTCTTTGGCTTGCGATTGAACCCCGTTCAACCTCGTCCAGTAGGAGAATCCGGAGCATTTCAAATGCTTCGCTCGGTCGAGAAGATAGGGAAAATCAAAGTTGGCAATGTTGTAACCGATTATCACGTCAGGGTCAACTTTTTCGACAAAGTCACGCCATGCCATAAGCATCTTTTCTTCCTTCTCAAACTCGAGAACTTGCGTATTGACAATCAGGCTGCACGTATCCAAGACAAAAACATTTCGAATGAAGGGCTTCGATTCTCCGTAGCGGGTGACGACGTTGGCGATTTGAATGACAGGATCTTGGTTCGGCTCCGGGAATATGCCCTTCCGTCCGGCGCACTCGATATCGAAAGACAGAACACGTAGCGGTGCCATTTTGGCCCACTCTCCATTAGGCGGATGGGAAATCAGATCACGGTAGTCCACGCTTGCTTCGATTTGGCAATTTGACATCTTCTCGTGAGGAGCAAAGAGGCGGTACTTCCCTGCCTTCGCCTCGACCCACGCCATGCCGGCGATATCTGTATCAATCATAAATCGGAGAAGATACTGGATATTATCGAACGTAAGGAGACCGGTGTCGGAGTTGTTCCATAGCCCTTTGTAATTGAAAGTGGAAAGATTGTTTTCGAGAGCGCTTCGAACTTTGCTGATATACTTCGGGTCTGTGACTGTGATCTTCAGGTACCAGCTCTTTTGATTTCCTTGAAACCCGTAAATATTCTCCCTCATTGTGATTTGAACTGACTGTATCGTTGGTTGAAATTGGCCGAGTTTGTTCTCCAGGAAAGTTCGATAAGGCTCGCAGTCGTCTTTCGTGAAATTCACCGGCGCGGCGATGTAGAGGTAGTGTTGGAAACCCGTGACATGAAGCAAAACCGATTGACCGGCCTGTTACAAATATTAGCAATCCATTCGGGGCGATTCCAGCAGCGTGAAAATCACCTCGGTGACACCAAAAAGCCGAACGGCAGTCTTTCCTCCTGCAACGGTCCCCTCTTCAGCGTCAATCTGCTGGAAGCAGACATTTTCCTTCGTCGGGTCAAATTCACCCAGAGGCGGTCGTTCCCATTGCTGATCCTTCTCCGAGTTGTTGTTTTTGAGTCCACTTATGTCTTGGGTCAACTTTTCCAAGACTTCCTCTTCGAACTGGCTCTTCTGCGGCCGGCTTGATCCAGGGACTTTTCGTTGGGTGTTCTGCGACGAGTTGAGCTTCACAGGAGGACCGGCGTCCAATTTCCGCTTCTTAAGCGAGCTGGGGGAGTTCACGACGGTTTGCGCATTATTCGTTGCGTCTCCCAGAACCCGCTTTTGGGGCATAGCGACAGCTTCAGGCATGACGAGGGTTCATTCAATGTAATGCAAAAGAGGCGAACAGGCAATTGGATATATAACAGAAACAAAAGTTAGAAACAGAAATGTACAGCGCGAATAATCAGATGGTGTCGGGCGCAGCGGAGGTGTTATGGTTGAAGATGGCAGCTGTGTCGCGGCCACAGTGCTTCATACCTGCAAGGTCGTGTCTCGTTCGCGCCTTCCGTGACGCCTCTTTACGCGTTGCCCAGAGGTCACGTGTTGATAGCGCGCTATCGGGGAGTGGCGTTACTAAGCAGCGTTCCGGTCTCCGTGATAGGACTGCAGCACTTCGTCTTCAGCAACGAGCTGAATGGATTTCTATTTGCCATAATTTTGCTGAGAGTTTCATCTATAAGGCTTCTCATGCTGCTGTGTATGCTGTGAGGAATTGCAACACCATCGTCTACCTCAACCGAAGCCTCGAAATCGGATCACGGTCTTAATCACTAGCCCGACGAAGTATATAAAAGAGATAATAGCGTTTCTCCAATGGAATGTTCATGGACTATTATTAGTTTTCGCCCCAGATACCGTCTTCGTTTGTCTTCAATGTGCCTTCCTGGCAAGATTATATTGTGAATATGTATGAATTAAACCATTTTCCAGTAATCCAAACTGACCATTTCTCCCGTAAACCCGAAAACTTTTACTAAACTGATTATTCAATCGTTTCAAAGGGTAAAGAAACGAAAAAAGACAAACAAAGGAAGAAAGAAAACAAAGAGCTAATAGCAATTCAAAAGGATCCAGCCATTGAATTCATTGTTTTTTTTGCGCCCACCCGTATCGAAACGTCAATTGAGTTGCATTCACATTCCCATTCCCATGTCATACCCCTCACTTCTCAAAGCTTGGAGCAGCGCGCTGGCCATTCGTGATCCGCCCATGGGTGCACCATAAAAGTCATCTTCCGAATCATAATTATATTCATAAGGGTCCAAGTCGTCATAAAAGTCATCCTCATCATCATCCTCGATAGCGTACGGACAAATTTGGAACTCGACGTTGGTGCCAATGAATTTATTCCTGATGCTTAGAAAGCATTGCTCCGGGGTTTGGCCATTTGGTATACGCTGCCCAGGCAGTTTAATGGGCTGCGTGATATCGAGTGTGAGTACTTTGAATGTCTTGAGGGCAGGTAGAAGTCCCTGGCGACATTCGTCTGCGACATGCTGTACCATGTTACGGATCGAAGTATTGCAGTCTGTGACGTAGAGGGTTTTCAGGGACGGTGGAAATTGAGGTTTCGCCGGGAGCAATTGATGCTGGATCGTGATCTTTTCGAGGACGGAAAACTCGCGGAGAGAACCTATCTTGGTAGAATCTGGGTGGTTTTGTTCGAAACGAAGGAACTTCAGAGTATCTTTGTGGGCCAAGAGCTCTGCGTGCAACTGGGCAGCCTTGAACTGCTTTCGACCGTCTTCGTCGTATCTTCCCTGTCGTGGGTCCGGCGAAAAATTGGCAAGTGTAAACGACTTCAGCGCTCTGCATCCTCGAACAAATCTCCTCATACTCCCACAGTCAATATGGCATAGTCTGAAAAGAGGCGATTCAATTGAAAGTGAGCCGCGAGCCCATCGGGGACAATTGGCCTCGACCAGATTCCCATAGTCTACTATCAGATCTTTCAGAAGCGGGAGGTTAAAGAATTCCTGATACGTGGCCATATTATATCCGGTATATAGCTGATCCCCACCAAGAATAATATGTTCGAGCTTTGACAAGAACGACGGGATCTGGGTGAAAAGATGAGATACAGGTTTCATATGAAATTCACCTGCGGGAATGGCCAGGGTCGAGACATTCGGGGTTTTGCTAAGCAGTAGAGCCAGGAAGACACTGAGATCGCGATTTTCGACAGCCATGAGCCATTTCATCACGTCGTCGCCAACATCAAGATCCTGAACAGCCCGCGTGAACAATCGGATATCCTCTGGGCGGAGCCTTTCTGGTGGATGTGGCATGTCCATGGGGAGCTCAATCCCAGTAGAACTGGTATCAACAGTTTTGACGCATGCTGCTAGATCCGGCCGAAGGGTGACGGCTCTGGTAAAACAGATAATGCTTCTATTATCCCCTGTCAGATAGTCCTCGTCGAAATCTTGGAACAACAGAGGCTGCGCCAAATCTCGAAATTTGTGTGAGACCAAGCAAAGATTATACAAATCTCTGAATGCAACGATGTCACCAATATCGTCGTCGTCGTCGTCGTCGTCGTCCATAGATCTCTTGTCGTCCTTTGAACGGCCGTTCAACGATGCTTGATCGAGAGAATGATCATCTGCAACATAGGAGACAATATGTGACAAGAGTTCTGTCGGCAAGTCCTGCAGTTTAACCATGGTGAAGTGGTACTGGTGTGATGATTCTTTAGATCTCAAATGTTTGGAGTCTGTAGATCAGTCAAGGGTAGAAGAAAACAAAGCGACGCGGTGGGCGGACGGGTTGCCATATGCGGTATAACGGCTGTCGCTGCTGCGTCAACCCTGTCTGGGCAATGATTTTCTTGTCTACTCTCGATGTCGTCTTCTTTCCTTAAAGTACGGTCTTCAATTATATGCTAAGAGCCACAAACTGGTAATTTACGGTGGCACATCCTTGGTGCGTCTATTAGACTGATTCATCTGACACCGGGGATACGGACTGAAATCCCTCGGCCTTTTCTATCTCAACAGGTTTCGTCGCCGAGATGGCCAAAAATCGCCAATGCTTGCGGCCGCGATAGGATTGAACCCCCGCGACAGTATTGATAAAATGCCTCTCCATGCCAAATAGCGATACCATGAGATATGGGATGTAGGCAAGCATGCAAAACAGTCGTGTCATCGGTATTATGTTGTCCGAAAAGTCCCGCACGACCACATCTGTGAACCCAGCATCTTCAAGCATCTGCTTGAATACCCCCGGGTTTGACACGCTGTTCGTCGGCATTGCAGCAAATTCGTTGATTTTGTCCAGGGAATGCACCATCTTTTCTGGAGACCCGTCGACGAGCTCGTGGTCATACTCGAACAAAGCGATCCGGCCTCCGGGACGTAGGGCGCGAAAGAACCCTGCTAGGACTGCCTTGGGATCAGTGGCGTGCACAAAGGTTTCCATTGTATAGATGCCATCGAATGTCTGAGATCCAAGGCTTTCGATATGGTGGTAGTCCATTTTTCGAACCGCAATCTGGTCATCGGTAAGACCCCTGCGAGCAATATTTCGTTTCGCTTTAGATAGGTGGTGATCGACAATATCGATGCCCTGGATTTTGAAACCACGCTTGGTCGCCAAGTGATAAGCGACGTTTCCAACTCCACACCCGGCATCAAGGACATAGGAACCAGGCGAAAGGTCTAAGCATGTTGCTAGCTTGTCTTCCATTGCCCTGAGAGCCTTGCTGAGAGGAAATGGCCACCAGGTGTCATTCTCGTAGAAACCAAAGTGACGAGTGCCACCTAGAAGGAAGCGGTATCCAATTCTGGACTCAAGGGAGTGATAGTAAGTCTGAAGCTGGGGGTTGTTGTTGATCAGCGGTTCTTGGTCGGATTTTGGCGCCATGGTCTAATTGAGCACGATAATGAGTCAAAGGTAATATGAAGAAAAGTAACAAAATTTGCCGCGATAGAGGAAGAAATTAGAAAGTAATTTTTTGAAAGTGGTAAAAGTATCAGTCTTAAATGATCTCAACGTGAAAGAAGATGATGGGAATAGGGTCTGTCTAGAAACTTTGAAAGAGAGGGAAGGGCCCTTATATAGCCAGCCCGGTCACATCACACGGAATGGCAGTGAGGCCTCCGGTATGGTTTGCATCAACCAGGCGACGCCGTCTCCACCACAATCAGCTTCTTGTCGACCAGCCGCCCAGCATGCCAAGCATCAAGGGTGGCTGCATGAACCTGGCAAGAATCACATTGAGTTACCAAAAAAAGGTGACGGAAGCAGCTATGGTTGGATACACTGTAAGCGCCGATGTGTGGATCTTCCTAGACCATTGTTAAGTACTTTGGAACGCCAGGATCTACGCGCCGGATATACTCCGTATGTAACAGCAGACCCTTGGGAGAAAACTGAAAGAATAAATCCCTTTGTTCAAGTCATTTCGCCGCCCGAATTTTGACTACTATATTTATCCCTTTATAAGATAAATAAAAATCAATTAAAATAATATATCAGATTATAAAGAGCTATTTATATACGATCTGGGAGGTTATCGGTGGCAGAAAATAATCCTTTCTGTTTTTTATGTGAGACAGAATAGAATAGACTAAGCACTTAGTACGGCGGCTGCCGGCCTGGAAAAGCCACCGTTCACGCGCCATGGTCTGCTCAATGGGGACTCGGGGAGATTGACTTTAAAAACCAAAATGCATGCTTATTATCTGGAAAAATTCGATACCTCCAATAAGAACAAACCCTGTAGCGCTGTTGAAAGGCATCCTACTGCCGCCCATTCTCCTGCGTCTTGTAGATACTGTTGTAACCGTCCAATGATTCCTGCTTCAATTGCGCTAGATCCTGTCCACGGAACCTGGTTGGGTCTAGTGCCTTCTTTGTGTTCTCATCGACATTCTCTCCGTTCAAGAGTCGAGTCAGGAACTTGGCCGAGCCTGCTGCATGCGTAACCCACACCGCCGCTGCCATGTAGAGTCCCGCGACAGAGGGAATACTTCCTACCAGTGGCATATTGTCGGGTGTCATGGAGAAGATACCGTTGAACTTCTTCGCAGGGACAAATCCCGTCTGCCCCGGTAGGAACTGCAAAGCACGGTTCAAAGTTGAGTCAAAATGCTCAATCCAGTCACCATGGGCACTGTCCTTCGGTTCTTGGGAAATTGGCTGATGGTTGTAGGAGCCTAAGCCATAGAAGGTGCCATGGTCGCGGGCATAAACATGGTATTCAGGCCATCTAACCCAAGGTGCCTTATGTGGGTTTGGCTCATGGGATTCGCTGTACATGTAAGGATGGGCGACGGGTATGATTGGGACAGGAATATCGAGTTCGCAAAGCCCTGATGCCCAAATCCCCGTTGCGACAACGACAGCTTTCGCATCAATGAATCCGGAGGAGGTCATGACTCCCCGCACGCAACCGTTGGCTTGACTAATTTGTGAAACGTCTGTTTGAAGGATCTGGACACCGTTTGCCTGCGCCTGTTTCTTATAAAAGGCCGTTATCCCAATAGCGTTTGCCGACCCGTCACATGGAAAATGAAGCGCGGCCTCGTTGCCCCCCTTGACCAAATTCGGGGCCAAGCTGATTGCTTCCTCGGATGATATCATTTTCGCGGCCAGGCCAGCCTCCTGGGCTTTCGCACATCTCCCTTTCAACCTTTCCACACCTTCGTGACTTGTGGCAATCTCCAGGCCTCCGAGAATATCGATACCCCCGGGTATTTTGGTGTACTCCTTCACGGTGTCAACTGCAAGCTGAGTGAGAACTCTAGACTCGTTGTATTGACCGACAAAGCCGGGTGCATATCCCGTGGACCCTTTCAACGATTCGAAAGAGCGATCGAGCAAAGCCACTTTCTTGCCATCCTCCGAAACGGACAGAAAGTAGGCTAGGGCTGAGCCAACAATGCCAGCGCCAACGATGGCAATGTCATAGGTGGGTTGGGGAGCGGCCATGATGTGAGCGACGTCTGCGTGATCTGAGTACTGGACTTGCAACAAACCGGGTACCGAATTTATAGGTCAGAGCCACTTAAGAGTTCTGTCCCTCCCAAGGCCGATGTCGCTATTCCGGACCTCGTGTTCAACCGCTAGTACTTGTCTTCCGGTCTATATATAGTGCCGCCCACTCAGCTAACGAGGAATGGCCGCAAGTAGCCGTGAAATACGTCAGTGTGCTCCATGAAAAGCCGACATTATTGTCCAGATAGGCCGAAAGAAGGCCGAAAGATAGCCGACAGTAGGCATATTGGCCCAGGTTGACCTGTTCACGGTCAGTCTCTACTGCATGACTGCGGGTGAATCGTTGACGTGGGGCCGTGGGTTCCTGCAGCCTCAGGCACCCATGTCACAGGGTCTGGCAGCTTCTTTTGTGTTCTCGGCGGAACGCAAAATCGCCGCGGCAACTCTGTCTCGGCATCATTCAGAACTGTTATTTGCGATGATCGGGTTGCCATGATCCAAGCACCCTTGGAAGCGCAGGTGGTTTGATCTACTCGCAGTTGCCTGGGCTTTTTGCACATCGACAGCCTAGACTCTCCCCCACGCCCTGTCATTGGCATCTATCTGGCTTTAGAATCTCATAGAAGCCCTTGGGATTGACTCAGTTCCATATGTTTACCGCTTCCCTCAACTGCCAGTAGAATTCGTGGCATTTTTTCTTTTTTCTTTCTCATTTCTTTGGGCAAATCCCACGCGACACAAAGGCGTTCAGATTTGCTGGAGCTCCACTAGGGCTACTGAGAGCTACCCCTCGATCGCTGTTGACCAACTCATCACCATTTCAAAAAGGCTGCCAAAAATATTTTCTTCCACAATACCTGGTCGCCTTCAGTGGTTTTGGAGATCTTTCATTTGCGACTCCATCTTGTTCATACGCCCTTGTTGGATGACCGGCGACTAGATGGCCGAGTCATACTCTTCTCATGTGGCGTTAATGTGGCCTTGGTTCTAATTCTTTACACTCATTTGCACATATTACACCAATTACTCTCAAAATGTCAATGTTCAGATCTGCCGCCGACAGCTCGTCCTCGGATTCTGAGTCTAGCTCGAGTCACGATGGCATTGAAACTGCTGAGGTTACGATTGACTCCGCGGCGCAGAAGACCCAGAAAAAGGGCAAGAGCACAACAACTCCGCCACTCTTGACCCGGGGAGATCATGAACCTGGTGATCAAGGCAGTATAGAGGGGCTTGATGTTGGCGCGGATCGCCATTCCAGCATGTTGACGGCCGCACTCCTTGAGTTCTTTTGCATTACGCGGGCTACAGATATACTCAATATCCAGCAACCTCATATGCAATACTCGCGCGATTCCCCAGAATCACAGGCCCTGGGAAAGAGGATGTACGAGCATAAATCCCAATTCCTGTCATCGCGCGGCGTTGTGGCCACCGGTGTGCACAAAGAGGAGCTGGGGCCTGCTAGGCAGTATTACCGGGACAACCTCGATCTATTAGGCATAAGCGCATTGGAGGATCTGAACATAGGCGATATTCAGGGACAGGTGTCACCTCTGGACTCTGATGGAAAGCTTGCTCTAGCCCCGAAACCCTCGAATACCATGCAGATTCTTTCGAATCCAGGCTACGCCAGTTTGCCATCGCCCAAATTTCGCGCTCCTCCAAGACACCCTGGCTTTGGTAGAGATGCAATTAAGAACTTTCGACTTGATTTGAGTAGTCTGCCAGCTCTCTCATCGCCACTTTCTGGAAACTCACCTGTGGGCTTTCCGCTCTTCGACCAAAACACACAGACACCGACTGAAAAGACGTCGCGCTATGCCTCGGAGTTTTCAGAAGTCAATATCGTCGGTCGTGGATCATTCGGGGAGGTTTACCACGTGATAAACCATATCGACGGACAGAGTTATGCCGTGAAGAAGATCCCGATCAGTCAGAGACGCCTTGAACAGTTACAGTGTGGGGGTGAAAACCAGCTTGAAGCAATCATGAAGGAGATCAGAACACTCGCTCGGCTCGAACACAAGAATGTAGTGAGGTACTACAGTGCGTGGGTGGAAAAAGCTCGTCTAGCAAGTTATGTGCCACCGGACCCGCAAGGATCAGTGAAGACCGAAGATACCCAGACTGAGTCCTTGACTCTCGATTCTCATGATGATCAGAGCTTTGGAGTTGTTTTCGGGCACTCTGAAGATTCGGCCGCAGACATCAAATCCGAACCGTCAACAGAGCAAAGATCATTGGCCTGGGGTCCATCTGAGCGCAGGGATAGTCGTGCCAGCCAGACGAGTTATGGTACGCTGGCATCGCGTAATTCAAAAAAGAGCTCCGCTCATAGTTTGGGAGAAGATGATGAAGAGATTGAGTCAATTCCTCGCGATTTCACGGGCCCGTCACTGTCGACATTTGGCGGTACTGACAATGACATCTTCACCGATGGCCTCAGTAATGACGCATCACAGCTGCAGGTGCAGCGGAGACCTCGTGATGCCCCAGCTCTTGTTCTTCACATCCAAATGTCGCTTCATCCTATCTCACTTGGCTCGTACCTTAGCCCCGAGCCCGGTAAGGCAGCACTGGACCATGAAGAAATCCCACGGCGCCATTGTTTCCACCTTGTTCCGTCTCTTAAGATGATGATGCGCATTATTTCCGGTGTTGATTATCTTCACGCGAAAGGCATCGTCCACCGGGATCTGAAACCAGCAAATATCTTTCTTTCCTCTCCTGAAACTAAGCGCCTTGACGGATGCCTTCCATGCGAATCGGCGCACCAAACCTCTTTACGATACTGCCATCCTCGCATCGGTGACTTTGGACTCGTCGCCGACATCTCACACATTACCGAACAATCCCCAACAACTCCCACGTCAGCGCTTCAAAGCGGCGCGAAGGTGCACCGTGTTGTCGGAACCGAGTTCTATCGCCCGCCCTTCGTGAACAGTGAAGCCGGCACCCCCACTGACCCCGGAAACCCAAACACTCCCTCTTTCTACACCATCGACGAATCCCTCGACATCTACGCCCTGGGAGTGATCCTGTTCGAGCTCCTGTATCGCCTAAACACCAAAATGGAGCGCCAGCTGGTCCTCTCCGACTTGACCCGTGCTCCACAAGGACAGACCCCCACCGGCCCATCCTTCCCTACTGATTTCGCTCACAAAGTCGACATGGGTGATCTGGTCCTCGACAACGGCTCCTCTATCGCTGATTCTCTGATGGCTTGCATTCGCGGCATGATGGATCCTCTCCCCACCCAGCGCTGGACCTGCATGCACACCAAGAAGTATCTGCAGGACATCTTGGCTGTTGCGGAGAAGGCATGTGCCGAATCATTTACCCACGCAGAGTAAGGATACATACGAGGTTTAAGTTCGGGGATGGTAGCAATGGAAATATGGAACAGTCGCATGGGACAGCATATCTTACACATTGTATGAGTACATCTTGAACACTCGCCACTTCGATAGCTCGATAGCACATCTGGAATGATAATGTTTATGAACTTTCACAACTCCAAAGTAAGTAAGGATCGTCTGGTTGGGTTCGATCTATGTAGGTATGTGATTAGCGTGCATGGTACAGAGTACTCCGTAGGAAACACCACTAGAAGCGAGTGGCTAAGCTTTTTATTACTGGGGTATAGCTTTTGCTAAGGACTCTCTAGGTTGTGGCAGGGTCATGTTGCATTAATTGGAATCAGATAACATCCAATCAGCATGTTAGCTCATGAGGAAGAGCGCCGGGCTCATAACCCGGAGGCCCCTGGATCGAAACCAGGACATGCTAAGTATTTCTTTTATTTTTCTTTTTTCTGTGTGTGGGGCAGCCCAGCTGGTGTGACTTGGAAATAGAATCGATACCAGTCATAAATGTATAATCTCAGTGGTTCGTCGACGGAATAGCAATTCAACCTTAAGTATTCCTTGGATGCTCTGATTTTGTCTTCGAAATTGGAGTTGTGAAAATAATTTTGCGATCGATGGTGGTAAAGGCATTCATCATAACCCTCTCTCGAAAGTTGCTGTGTTTTTGATACGGCATTCTGGGGATTGTATGAGTGATGGGGGGCGTTTTGGACCTATCGGAGTGGGGATAGATCAAATCTTGCCATATGGGCCAAGACTTGTTGGCGTTCTACAATAAGATGTCTCCCAAGTGCTTAACCAACCAGCCATTGCAGGAATATATTTTGTTGGATCACTACCAGTAGATGAGATCAACGACAGCAGTATTGCCGTTTAATCTCTTCCATATTGTAGGCACTTCACAGGTACTTTGCATGCCTCTATTTGTGGGAAGCAATAGAAAAGTCGAGCGACTCATATATTTAAGCCATGCGGATGCCTCAAGGCTTAAGAGAGGTTGTGTGAGGGAAAGAAGAAAAAAAAAGAGAAAAAAGAAATATTGCTAAGACTGGGGTTCGAACCCAGGATCTCAAAGAGAGAGCATATGCAGCATCTTAAGAACTTAAGTGCTCCGCCTTAACCACTCGGCCATCTTAGCGCCTTCAGCCTTGGTTGTCTCCACATTTGAAATTATGTCCATGAATCAATGTTCCGCCGTGACTGATGCCTGGTGTCGACGCTAACTGTAGGATTGGCTCTTTTGCCCCCAGACAGACCGAACCAAGGTTCCTTATTTACCCATGAGCTCTGCGGGAGCGGGAGATTGAAGGTGGCCATGGAACCCGACTGGACCCCAGATGTCGTGGTTGCCGTTGATTTTGGCATGACCTGTACAGGCGAGTTCAATTCCTTTGGCAGACACTTCTCACGCGATCTGCTAATGTCTACTAGGCATCGCCTATTCCTATGCCCCCGAATGGCCCGCCCCGAAGCCGCTCCAGCACTGGCCGGGGCTGATGGGCTCCGAACTTGCCAACAAAGTCCCCAGCAGGCTCCGATATGACCCTGTAACAGGTCAGGTACAGACCTGGGGATTTCAGTGTGAGCCCGGTAGCGATGCCAAAGGGGTGTTCAAGCTCAATTTAGATCCGCATTTTGTGGATTCGCGGCCATATCCCCCAAGCCGCCAGGACGCGATGAGGTGGTTCACGGATTATGTCCACTGCGTTTATCGCTATGTCGTCTCTTATTTTGCGCGCACTTTCCCCAGATTTGCGTCGCGGAATGTCGAGTTTATCTTCAGTGTGCCCACCACGTGGAAGGACCCGCGCATGGTGGCAGAGCTGAGACAGTCGATCCGATTTGATTCGGACTCTCATCGGGCGACTATTGGGCTGACTGAGGCCGAGGCTGCAGCTGTGCATGCTAGTGGGCAGTACTATCAGGTATGAATGCTTATTTCTTATTGATGCATGTTGGCGAGTGTTGCTAAAGAATATCTGATTATAGAAGAATGACGTGATTCTGGTTTGTGATGCGGGCGGAGGTACAACGGATGTCAATGTCTTGAAATTGATGTCGAACCCCGGGGAAGCGACGTTATTTCACCCATTGAGCTGTGTCGAAGGTAGCTGGCTGCTTCCTTTAAAGCTTTAGAGACTAGACGCACTGACTATGTCCCAGGCAAAGCCGTTGGTTCGTCCCTGATTGATGCAGCAGCTTGTCAGCTCCTCGCTGGAAGGCTTGAATGTATCCGTGATATTTTGTCGAACTCACCACAGAATACTGCATGGGAACTTATCATGCAGCAATTCCAGCGATTTAAGTGCAACTTCGGCTCCGAAATGATGGATGGCTCGCCGTTAATCATTGACATTCCGGGTCTCGCTCAAGAGACTTCGTTTCCAGCGGCTGGGATTGAAAATGGACAAATAATTATCACACAGTGAGTTCGGTTACAGCTAATTTACTTTTCCCCTCAAATACTAAAATATCGTTGCAGGGATGAACTCCAGCATCTATTTGACGCGAGAATTGATGAGGTGCACAGTTTACTGGATGAACAGATTCGCTTGCTCCAAGTGACGAATCCCCAGGAAAAAATAGTAGGCGCTGACTTTATGTTCTGCCCACATGTCAGAGCCTAACAGAAAAACACAGTCTTTCTTAGTATTATCCGGGGGCTTTGGAAGCTCGCCATACGTGAGGAAACGGCTAAAAGACAGATACCAGAATCCAGGTACCATGTCTAGCCTTGTGGAGGTACTGACGGTTGACGAGCCGTATGTCGCCACCATGTGCCAGAATTCTTTCATAACGAGTTTCAGCTAACAGTGCTCGATTCTATCCAGACAGCTGGCTGTGGTTCAAGGCCAAATCATGAACCGCGTTCAGCAGCTAAAACAGGGTGCCTCGGCCTTCAATTCCCTGTATAGCCGCGTTAGCTACGGCGTGATATGTGATCAGCTCCACGACGCTAACCGACATTTGCGAGAGCCTGTACGATTTGACGAACGAGATGGAAAGAAATTTGCCGTAGGCCAAATAGATTGGCTTGTTCTTCAGGTATATTCATAATTCTCCCCGTTTTGTATCTGCCTAATTTCGAGCCCACTGACCATGCTGTGACTATAGGGAGACGCAGTCCCCCGGACCGGAGTGTCGAAGGAATTCCGACGAAAGATTTACCCACGGGATATGGCCCGGCCATGGGTTGCACAGATTGTGATGTCGACTCTTCCGCCGGGGCAAATACCTCAGAGCATGTCACACCCAGGGGCAAGTCTTATCTGCAACATAGAGGTGGACATGACCAGTGTGGATCGAAAATCCCAGAACCACCGCTGGTATCACCGAAATCAAGCCCATTTCTTAGCCAGTTTCACGATCAGGATGGTGGTTGGGCCCAACGACCTCGAGTTTGAACTATGGAATAAGAGCGGAGGCAGAATTCGCAGCCACAATCGAGACCCCATAACTGTCAAGTGGAATCCACCGGTAGAAGCAGAGGATGGGAGCATTCATCGAGCCCAAGAAATGCCCGGGGATGAGCATAATATCCGGCCAACTGAGCTGCCTGCACATTCTAAAAAGCATTTGGAGCTCCCCGGCAGCGATAGCGGGGTTAAAGAGGTGCGACATGAGCTTCCTGGTGATTTTGGGCCTTCTTTTTCATCTCGTTCCTGAAGAGCCGATGCAGGACTTTGCATCATTGCCGAATTCTTACTTTTTCCATGATGATCTTCACATTCTCTTCCTCGGATACCTACTTGGATTTATATCTTTAGAGCTGGGTCTCGACGTATATAGAAATTAAACTAAGATTGAATAAAGAAGCATTATTAGTGACCGAGATCATACATGCGCAGTCATTAGGTACATTGCCCTCTCAAATGTGTCCTTGTGTCACTGGACAACTCATGTGGATGTCAATCCCTTTGTTCCCAAAGCCCGCGGGCCGAGGTCACAGTGGAGTTACCCCAACCCTCCGCTCAGATAAGACAGTGTTCCCCAGTCCAAGAATGCACTACCTGCATTCCAGAACCCCCTTGCTTAATTACATTTCCCGGGGCCAGTTGATTATACCATTTAGCACAATGCCTCATGAACACAAATACCCAACAGCCCCCTACAGCGAGCCCCTCCTCCCTCAACTTGACGTCGCAAACCCCTACTATACCGACCTCCACCACAACCTCCGCACCTATGTCCGCAACTACGTCGACACGCATATCGCACCATACGCCCACGAATGGGAAGACGCCGGCCAAGTGCCAGAGGACGTGCGACGGCGCCACTGCGCGCTAGGATTCGGCATCGTGCACCCGCTGACGACGCTGGAAGACGCAGCCGGACTGTCTCTGCCCGGGAACGTGCCCCGCGAGAAATGGGATACTTGGTGCAGTCTCATCGTGGCGGATGAGCTGACTCGGGTTGGGTATGTGGGTGTTTCGTGGGGGTTGGGGGCAGGTAACGGCATTGGGTGTCCGCCGATTGCGAAGTTCGGGACACCGGAGCAACGGCGGAGATGGCTTCCGAGGGTTGCGAAGGGGGAGATTCGGTTTTGTTTGGGGATTACGGAGCCGGATGGTAGGTTGGAGCTTGAGGAGAGCTTTTGGTGCTTGATGGGCTGACGATGTGATAGCTGGATCGGATGTCGCGAATATTCAAACGACGGCGAAAAGACAGGGGGATCATTATATCGTGAATGGAGCGAAGAAGTGGATCACGAATGGTATATGGGCCGACTACTGTACAGCTGCAGCCAGGACTGGAGGGCCGGGGAGAACAGGCATAAGTCTGCTTGTGATTCCGTTGGCAGCCCGTGGAGTGACGAGGCGGCGAATGCACAACTCGGGTGTAAACGCAAGTGGTGAGGCTCACTTAAACGAGCTATATTGATGGAGTGGAATGCTAATATAAGCAATGACTAGGATCGACATTCATCGAGTTAGACGATGTCCAGGTGCCCGTTGACCACCTGATCGGAGAGGAAAACAAGGGCTTTCCTCTCATCATGTCAAGTATGTTCAGTCAGATCAATCCTCCGATTTCCAACACTCACAGAATCAGACTTCAACCCCGAGCGTCTATCTCTTGCGTGTGCCTCTTTACGCCTTGCGCGGGTTTGCGCCGAGGACGCCTTCCACTATGCCATGCAGCGCGAGACTTTCGGGTCTCCCTTGATCAAGCGACAAGCAATCCAAGCCAAGATATTCAAATTCGGCTTGATGATTGAGCCCGCGTACGCATTCATGGAACAGCTTGTTCACATCATTGAATTGACCAGGGATCAAGCCAGAGACGATGTCAGAATCGGAGGTATGACGGCTTTGCTTAAAGTAATGTCTACAAGAGCCCTGGAGAAGAGCGTCCGAGAAGCGCAGCAGATATTGGGAGGGGCTGGATATAATAAAGCTGGGAAGGGTGCACGGATTGAGCAGATTAACCGTGATGCGCGAGTCCATGTTGTTGGCGGCGGCAGCGAGGAGATCATGATGGGTCTTGCGCTTCAAGAAGAGACCAAGGCTCTTCAAACAAGGCGGATGGCGTTGGAGAGGAAGTCCAAGCTTTAGAAGGAACACGCTGAATGGACCTAAACCTTTAAGCAAGATAAAATTAATAGTCAAAGCCACCCAGAAGAGCTAACATTTTTGTCTCTGGTTTACTTAATACACTAGCTGTTATTCAGAAAAAATAAAATAAAATATAAAATAGATAACAGCCTGTGTGCAAATACTTTTGCCACAAGGGGTCCTTCCATAGGGACTTTTCATAGTGTTACTACAAGTATCACTACAAGGACGCCCGACTTGTTTACCGTAGCGAAAGGAATAATAGCTCTGAATATGCTACTTTTGGTGAACTGTCGTGGCGAACTATCCTTAGCTACCTACGACGCCTTTTACCCCTCCCAAAGGGGAAGACCGAGTCTGTTGCTTATCTGTGGTTCTAACGCCTAAGAAGTTTGCTTAGCTCCTAGATGTCACGGGCCTCTACACTTCGATTGAGCCAAGTTACCTACTTCTATTTTTTCCCCCATTTTTTCTTTTGTCAGTCTCTTTCTCTCTCTATGTTACTGCTAAGAGCTGACTAGCCTGGATATCCGGCTATTAGAGGACCCTTAACTCTTATAATGGGCACAGCGCGCAGGATCCCTATCCTTGGGGACTGTATAGCCTTACGGGGCAGGATACCGCGTCTTCTACGGGTGTATCTCGGGCGAAATAGCCCTCAGGAGGTCGACGGAGGTTGATCAGGCAGCCTCCAACTAGACGGTAATCAATAATATTACTACTATTTTTGCTCAATAAAAGAGATAAGAACTAATTGTAAAACAATGAAATTGATGATCAATAGTTCCTCCAAGAGCCGCCCAAGAACCACAACAAACCCACCGAGAATGCTCAAATAAAATCCCAAGGGTTGTACCTCTTTTGCTTCTCCTTCACTTCAAGTTCATCTGCTCTCTTCCGCATTGCTTGAAGGTGTTTTTCCGTATCCTTTATTGCTTGTCTCAAGAGAGGAAGATTGTCAAATGCATCGGGACCCAAAGGGAAGGGTAGAAGACCGCCATCAAGCTTTGACTTAGTGACATCCAAATTAGGATTCAGAGTCAGGTTTGTTGCGTCCCTTTCTTCCTTGACAATAGCACCTTCGACTGAAACTTGGGATTCCACTAGGCGTTCCCTTTGTGCTAGGCTGGCAGACAAGATTGAGTCTTTTTCTTCCTTGACAACAATAGCTTCGACCGAAACTTGAGTTTCAACTAGGCTTTCCCTTTGTGCTGGGCGAGCAGGCAAGATTCCGGGATATGAAGTCGTTGTATTGGAGGTCTCTGGAGATTGACTCTTCGAAATGGCGATTGGTTGCGCACCTGAGAACAGGGATCTATTGTTACTGAACCAGTCCGGTAACTCGGCTGAGAGCACCGTTGTAACCGTCCTATCAACTCGCGATTGTCCTGACATCTCGTCCTTTTTATCGGGGATCGACTTCCATGCGTTCTCAGAGTTAAAATCATAGATGTCTTCGATTTTGAAAGCCCCTTGGTTGTTCATACGTTAGCCAATCGAGGCGAAACGCCGCCAGAAGTAACACACTCACGAAAGTCGCAGTCATATTTGCGACTGAATTGACAGTTTGCACATGTCCCGGCGAGTTTCGAGTCTTCTTCATTGATCATGATAACACAAGCCTGCCATGGGCCCAATCCTTTGTCACAATTAGAGCACGGATCAGCAACCTCAACGCCTGTTGTCTGAATAAAAGCTGCAGTTCGGGATATTTTATTGGCTAATGATCTTCGCCTCGGCTTTCCATGAAATGGTGTGCGCCAATCAAGCTTTCTGGCAACCGGCATGACTTGATATCGCTTTATAGCATCGGTGGTAAAAGGTTCGGCTATCGGCAGATCGTCAACGTTCACTCCAGGTACGACTATCATTCAATGAGGTCCAAGTAAGTTAGTATTGTTTCTCGCTGCGGAAAAAAAGTTTGTGGTTTGGTGACTTACGCTCTGCTGGCACCGAGGGACGCGTCTCTGAGGATTGTCGTTTTCTCCGAGGTCTCCAAGGCTCGTCATCATCGGGCTCTGATTGCCCTGTTTGAGACATTCTCAGATAGATTCATATGGACATAGGGCTTATTAATAGAGGAAGTGTATGTATCCAAAAGTGACACGTCATGCACGTCATTGAAAGAATATGAGTGGGTGGATGGGAGAAGGAAGATGGTTGTTCAGTAGGGCACTGGCGATTGCTGAGTCGTCAGATCAACATCATGCCACTAGGTTGACTGTCAGAAGTTTATGTTCTCTTCAGCTCTTTTAAATGACTGAAACCGTCACCTTCAACTGACATCTCACTCATAATTTCTATCAATGTTCCTGATACTTCTATAGTTCGGTGAATAAACGCATTTGCCATGGCCATAGTGCATTGTATCCGGTTTCTTGGCGGTAAGATATCCCTCTTCTCAGGAGAAAGCCCTGTACCATGTCCTCTCTTTGTCATTTCGGGTGATAAAGCTATCTCTGCCAGATCTCTTGCAAACTAGGGCTGGTGATGTGTGACGTCACATCCACGCTAAACCCATCCGAGCAGTCACGGGGAACTATACCGCCCGAATGAAGTAAGCGTCGATGGTCGCGCATGACAATTCCTCACTATTTTTTCATCTTCTCCTCACTCAGTCTGCCGTCCCCAACCATGTGGCTTTTTGGCTGACTTAGGAAGACCTGCTGGCAGATTTCTATTTTCAACAGTTGGCGCTGGATTCGCCAGCTGTCTCACTGATGGAGAGCCTTGATGAAGTGTCCCGCCCGCGAGAGGCCGCGGAGGAGCGAGGCGCGGTCTCGGTCGACGGTTACTCCTCCAAGGCGCCGTCGGTGGCCGAGAATGACTCGCCCAACTCGATCTCAGAATTTCCCGCCGGAAATAAAGGCACGTCATTCACGTCGAATTCCAGCTCGAAATTATTAGACGACACCGACTCGACTCCCCGCCCCCCAACCGATCAAGACGACGTCTCGATACCGCAGCGGATTCTGTCGCCCTTCGCTCCGATCCCCTACAATCCTCCGTCTGTCGGCTCCATGGGTGATGAGGCTGGCGAGGAAGAAGATGAAGAACCCCACGTGGCGACCTCCTTCGAGCGGGATTCTACGCCCGCCTCGGCCCAGAAACGTCGGTCCATGTATTTCGACACCGGCGAAGACGAGTTCAATCGCATGCACAAGTTTTCGCTCTACGAGACGGCGACCCGCTTTTACATGGTTGGCATGAATTTGTCGGATACACGGTTTAGAATTTTGAAAATCGACCGGACGTCCGAGACGGATCTGAGCGTTGCCGAGGACGATATCGTGTACACAAAGAGAGAAATGAGTCAATTGTTGGATGCTATCGATGATGGGAACAAAATATCGGGTGGGCTGAAGCTGAGATGCAGTGCATGGGCCTTGTTGGGCTTCATCCGGTTAACCGGGGCTTACTACATGCTGCTCGTCACCAAAAGGAGCCAGGTGGCCATGCTTGGTGGCCACTATGTCTACAAGGTCGACGGCACTGAGCTTATCTCTTTGACTCCGTCCAGCTCGTCGCGACTGAAACCCGAGAAAAATCCGGAGGAGGCGAGGTATATTGCGATTCTCAACAATCTCGATCTCACCCGGTCTTTCTATTTCAGTTACTCCTACGATATCACACAAACATTGCAACGCAACATCTGTCGCGAACGTAAAGCTCATCAGGATGGGCTCCCGAAACCGTTCCACCAAGACTTCAATACCATGTTCATATGGAATCACCATCTTCTCACTCCGGCTATCGCGGCTCTAAAGAGTCCTTATCAATGGTGTTTGCCGATCATCCACGGGTATGTCGAACAGGCGAAAGTGGACATATACGGTCGACTGGTCTACATCACTCTCATTGCTCGCCGTTCCCGGTTCTTTGCTGGAGCTCGTTTTCTCAAGAGAGGTGCCAACGATCTGGGTTACGTTGCCAATGATGTTGAAACCGAGCAAATTGTATCGGAAATGTCAGCTACATCGTTCCACGCTCCGGGGCCTCATCTCTACGCCAATCCCCTGTACACTTCCTATGTTCAGCACCGAGGCAGTATTCCTCTCTACTGGACACAGGAAAGCTCGGGAGTCTCTCCGAAGCCAGACATCGAGCTTAACCTGGTCGATCCGTTTTACTCCGCCGCCGCTCTTCACTTCGACAATTTGTTTGAAAGATACGGTGCTCCAGTGTATGTCTTGAATCTCATCAAATCCAGGGAACGAACACCACGAGAGTCCAAGCTCCTCAAAGAGTATACAAATGCGATCAATTATCTGAACCAATTCCTACCCGAGGATAAGAAGATCATCTACAAACCTTGGGATATGAGCCGCGCAGCGAAAAGTCGAGATCAGGACGTGATCGGGACACTGGAGCAAATTGCTGGAGAAATCATTCCGCAGACCGGTTTCTTCAAAAATGGCTACGATGCTGAGTCCGGCCTTCAAGTGCAGAATGGCATCGCTCGTACAAACTGCATCGATTGTCTGGATCGCACAAATGCTGCCCAGTTTGTAATTGGAAAAAGGGCTCTTGGGCACCAGCTTCACGCCCTTGGTATCATCGACGGCACGACTGTGGAATATGACACTGACACTGTCAATATATTTACGGATTTGTGGCATGATCATGGTGACAACATTGCCGTCCAATATGGAGGGTCTCACCTGGTAAACACAATGGCCACCTATCGCAAAATAAATCAATGGAGCAGTCATTCTCGAGACATGGTGGAGAGCTTCAAGCGATACTACAACAACTCATTCCTTGATGCCCAGCGTCAAGAAGCGTACAACCTTTTTCTCGGAAACTACATATTCTCTCAAGGGCAGCCCATGCTCTGGGACCTGTCCACCGATTACTATCTGCACCACGCCGACCCGAGATCCTGGTCAAATAAGAAGAAGCCGAACTACATCCAGTGGTATACTCCGGAAAACCTGAAGGCGAAGGAGCTCCCACCGCCTCCTCTGCCGCCAAAAGAGCCTCTCTCACGTTACGATGATTATTGGCTAGAGTATTACAGGCCCTTAGCTCTCTCAACCTTCTCCAAGGTCTTTACTCTGAAGAACCCCTTGACAACCATCCGCTACCTCTCGCTTCGTCCCGCATCTGCCCTTCCTAGTGACCTCAGCCCGTTCGTTGCGCGAATCACACATGAGCACATGAATCGCGATCGTCCGCAGCGCACCGTGAAGATTCAGGAGCCGGACCGAGCTTCGAAGGACCCTTCTGAGCGATCGCGCATCGAGGCTGGCCAACTCCAAAGCAAGCAATACCCATCGGCCGGCATCATGAAAGAACCGACCGATAAATTCCCCCACCACAACAGTTCATTCCAGTCCTTCCCGCAGCCCTCGGATTCCACCACGCCCAGCAAAGCCCAGATTGCCCAGTGGACCTTGGGTCAGCTCGTCACGGATTCTCTGAACCCATCAATCACCGCCGGCGAGGCGGAGGAATACGAGCATTATATCAACCACCCCCTCAAGGTGCCACTCGTCGTCACATCCAAGAACGAGATCACGGCCGCTTCGATCCGCGAGCACGACTCCAACCTCGATCTCCTCGAGTACGCCAACAAAGTCAACATCGAGGAGTCCACTCTTCAGGCCAGAGCCACGGAGAATTATGCCGACTACGCCGAATTCCTCGATGTCTCCGAAAGCGGGCTCACCGTGGTGGCGGAGGACTACGAGAAGAAGCGCTATAAACGTTATCGACAGTGGCTGCGAGGCAAGAGTTTGTTCAAGCAGCGTGTCGATTCATGACTGCACTTATTTGTGCTACCCCCGGCTACGATGTTATGACCTTAGCATGACGCTATGACTTTAGCATGATACCCCCTTGTCGCTCTTTTCTTTGATTTAATCTTTTTTCTTGTTCAAACGAACCATATTATGTCTCTAGCTTTATGAACCCACAAAATTGAAATCCCATTCTAGTACAAAAAACAAATAAACAAAACAACCCAATCATACAATCTATCAATCACCCTTGATCAAACCCGCACCCCGAAATACGCCGCATCCGTGGTATCAAAATCCATATCAAACAGCCCCTCCAGGACATGATCCGCCTCTACGAGCTTCCTTAGCTCTTTCTCGATACTCTCCTTAGCCTCGATCTGGCCCGCATCACGACTCCCTCGCTCTGGATTCTGCAGCGCAAACTTCAATAGATAGCTCACGCCCCGCAGATCCTTTTTCAGTCGCAGGGTTTCGGCTGCGCGCGCGCGGTCTGTCTCGGTTAGTTGTCCGGTTTGCGCCCGCTCGGTCATCTCGGATTCTTCTTCCATGGTGTGTAGCCAGCACGCGCAGAGGGCGCCGAGGATCTCCCCGCGCCAGCGCCATAGGCGCGGGTGGGTGGTGAGGATCACGGCGCGGAGGAGGCCAACGGCGGAGAGGAGGAGGGGTGGGTGCGCGGGGCCGAAGGGGTTCGAGAGCGTGGTGTGCACGAGGGGTGTGATATCCTGGAGGTATTTGGCGGCGTGGACGCCGAGGTCCAGGAGGAGGGGGTGCATGAGGTCGAGGAGGAGGGTGGAGAGCCGGGGGTGCGGGAAGGAGGCGAAGGAGGAAGGGGTGGAGGCGGAGGTGGCGGAGCTGATGTGGTGGAAGGAAGGGATGAGGTTCTCGCGGAGGGTTTTGGTGATGGACGCGATGTAGGCTTCTGTGGCGATTTGGGGGGGAATGGGGAAGGAGTTCTGCGCGTTGGTTTTGAGCACGGAGAGGAGCGCGGGATAGGCGGCGCTGAGGAGTTCGATGGACTCGTCTTCGGGCGTGATGCTCGGGAGGGAGAGGAGACAGGGCCGGATGGCGTCTTCGAAGACGGAGGAGAGGTTGGTGCGCCGCAGGATGTCAGATTTGCTGCCGCTGATGGGGATGAGCAGGTCGGAGGCAAGGTGGCAGCCGCGGATCTTGAAGGGGAGGCTGTCGTCGTCGATCAAGGTTAGGATGGCCGGGACGAGGAGGGGGAAGTGTGCCTCTAGGTGGTCGCGGTCGGTGGCCTGTGGATTTGTTGGTTATCTTGTCGTAGGCTGATCTGTGGATGTGGACGAACCTGATACTGGGCGATGATCCAGGAAAGGACGGTGGTAGCGTAGACATTTTGGATTTTCCACGGCTTCGTTTCTGGGTCCAGCATGCTGGCGTCAAACCGAGGCAAAGGCACAGGGTGGAAGTTCTTGCGGCCAGAGGCTGTGATGGCAGGGTTCTTGGTCTTTGCGAACAGAGGCCGGATCTTTTGCTTCAGGGTGTCTTCTATCGTGGCCCAGAAAATTTCATTTTCATCCGGATCCGAGCGCAAGGAGGTGAATTGTACTGTCAGCAAAGCATTTGCACGAGCCTGGGTTTCTGGTGACGTCCATGGATCGTGATTAGAGGTGAAGCTCGCCAGCGCAATGATGATGTCCGATGCATTTTCTGCGTCGTGAATCGGAAGCAACTCAGCCAGCAAGTTAATAACCGACATTGCTATATTTGACCGCAGCTGATCCTCTTCAGCCAGGTCTCTCTTTTCTGGTTTGGAGTTAGCAGACCGGATCAAAGAAGGTCACGCGAGAAGCAGGTCTCGATGTAATCTCACCATCCAGTTCCTGTATTTCTGCAAACACTGGTGATGGGAGCGCAGCACTGCTTGCCCATTCATACAGGTAATTGACAGAGTCTTTGTCTTGCTCCGACAAACTCCTAGATCCCCAGCCCTTCAGGAATCCCAGGGCAAACAGAAGGGTTTCGCATATCTGGGACATTGTGAGCGGGACATTCGTGCAGCGGTGTTGGGGATCCAGGAATAATTCCCACAAACCTCTGTATTGCTCGCATCATTTTGAGATGACACATATCCTTTAAGCCAGCCAAGATCAGCAGGAATTGCGATGCTGGCAAGTCTAGACTCTGGCAGTACAACTGAAGCCGAATTCCGTTGCTGGAGAGCATCACGTGCCGCGTTGCGCAACTCCCCTACGGAGTGGTCGTCCATCGTAGGATCTCTGACACCGGTGTATGGGCTCCCAGAGAATTAATTAAAGGAAAGCATGGGCAAGGGTGACGGTCCCCCAGAAATATCGATACGTCAGCGAGTAGATGCAGGTGTGAAGAATCTGGTTGGGAAAGGCAAGCGGTAAGACCGGGACAATATTGGACTTTTTTTCAATTATTATTTTTCCTTTTTCGTTTCTTCTCTACAAGAACCCAACCACAGCCATTCAATCGGTCACTTTTCACGTAGAACCGAATCCTAGTTCTTCCTTTCTAGCACAGACCACCTCCAGCGCTTTCTCCTTATCTGTACATTCGGGGTGGAGGAGCTGCCACTCCAGGACCATTTCTAAGGCTCTGGCCAACCACGGCCCCTTTTTCCCTCCCAGGCGCTGCATGATCTCCCCTCCATGAACGATGGGCTTCAAGTCATGAATGTCCTGCAGATTATGGTCTACGACATAGGTCAAGAATTTATCATAATCCTGGACGACTGTTGGCAAGCTGACGTCAGTGTGCTTGGCCTCGATATGATCTCTGAGAGAAAGCTGTGACCCACCTTGAGCAAACTCGCCTCCTTGCATGATCTCTTGCAGCAGAGACAAGACTACACACAGCCTCCAGTCCCGCTTCCATGACCGGATATGCAATCCAATCTTTTGCCGAATTTCTGCATCGGTGCCATCCATGCGGCCTTCCAGTAGGGACGATTTGATGTCGATAATGGTGCGCCAGTTCTGAGCCGCATCACTGAGGATTGCGATCGTCTTATTGTCAGAGCGGAGGCCATCTCTGGCCATCTCCGCCGGCCGTGGAGGGAGTGGTTTCGCTTTGGGCCCTCTTGCGACGCGTGCAGGAACAGCAGACCAGGGAGCAAATGTGGTGATCACCCAGGCATAGTAGGCCTCGCTGTTTTCACGGATAAGTGTCTGGCGTACTCGAGCGACGGATTCTGAGGTATTCTGAGGAGATAGTAAAGTGGCCAGCCCATTGTAAGCCGCGGCCCAAGATGAGGTATCGGCGCGGGCTTCGTCGTGGACGTTAGCGAAGATCGTCGGATGGAGTCCAAGACGATCAATCAGTTCCAAAGCGACGCGCGGATCAGGGCCTGTAGCTAGTAAGCAAAAATCCCCAGGGATTTTTGAAAGTTCACCGACCGTGCAGCATGCCATCCATTTCTTTGCCTACGCGCTCCTTGCTGATTTTGAGTTTAAGGGCCTCGCCAATATCACTATTTTGCATCGCCTTTTCGGTATCTTCGTCGATCCGGTAACCCAATCGACTAGCAAACCGGATTAGGCGTAGCACTCGCAGAGGGTCGTCTTTGAACGTTTGGTATGGCTCCAGGGGAGTGCGGATGATTTTCTCGCGCAAATCGTCCAAGCCTCTTCCCGTATAATCCTCCACCTTCGACTCATTCAGGTTGTAGAAAAGCGCATTGATCGTCGCATCCCGGCGCATAGCATCCTCTGCGGCAGTGCCAAATTCCATCTGGGGGTTCCTGCTGTCGTCCGAGTATACCTCCTTTCGCAAGTTCACCAGGTCTATGTCCAAGCCGAATATCTTCGTCGTCACGGTTTCCAGGTGTTTGGACTTTTCCGGGTTGGCCTCGATCTTATGAAGGCTGACGATGGAATCGTTCGGGCGGCTATTCGACACATCTCGCTTGTACTTTTCCAAGTTCGTCGGGTCGTCCAAATACTCTTTCAGTAGGATCCCAAATTGATATCCGGTCATCGTATTGATTGCCACGTCGATATCATGGCTGTCGACACCGAGGAGCTTGTCCCGCACCCAACCTCCAGTAAAGCGGAGTACCGTTTGGGGAAGATCTGAGTCATTTGCGCCCTCTGAAATCGCCTTTGCCCGTGCATATTCTGCGACATCCAACAGGAGAGACTTCACGGTTTTCTCAAGGCGAGTGAGTTTTAAAACAGGCAGCGCCTGGTCATCGGTTCCCGCCATGCTGCTCGTGATAAACTTGTGCGGGACCGGATTGGAGATGCGTCGCCTTTTGTTCGCTGGCGCGGAGGGAGATGAAGGGCGAGATTCGCGATGGGTCATGGAATAATGGCGCAATACTGGACGGAGGACTGGACTCAAGAACGGTGGAACTGCAGTTTGTGGACAGTTTCTCGCATGGATGAGAGATCTGGATCGGTTAGAAGCATGAGCGATGCGGGACGGATGGGCTTTAGAAAGAGGGCGAAGTGGGGTGGATCTGAACATTGACAACAGCCATTCCGGAGATCAGGTTGCCAGGAATAAAATTATGACTCAGGAAAATGGCCCAGAAGGACGGCCTAAGCGCAATTGCGAGGATATTCCGAGCGACGAGCCATCATGACGCCGTCGCTGCAAACAAAGAGTCATCAGGCGCTGAGTCACCGCCTTCCCGTTTAGGCCGACCACCGTGTGCTGCGTTTTATTGTTACGGTATTTTACGCAGCTCTATAGATGGAAGCATTTTGGAAAGCAGGTCTATCTGAGGTGTTTACGCGGAAAATAACTATAGCTCCAAGAAATGGTGATCCAATATAGAACCATGCGTTGGCGTGGGTGGAATCGACATTCCGTCATACTCTCCTGCGTCCAACTGGAGCTGGCAGGCGTCGGCGAATGAGGCACGTTCCAGCGGAATGCACCACGTTGGTGGCTCTCTTTCTCCTCCAACGAACTCGACCTACTTACTTCCACCTCATCATCCCTCATATCCCGCCCTCCGCTTGATTTTCTTTCCTCTCTTTTCCCGCCTGAATCTACCGTTGAATTTTCTCAATACCCTTCTGGTTCCTCGACAGCTCCCCCCGCCCCCTTTTCTTCTATGTCTCCCGTTCATGGGCGCCCCAGCCAGTTTAATCTTTGTTAGTCTTGCATCGGAACCCAATCGGTGTCCATGACATCGCCCGGAGATGCTGCTCCGGTCAGACCTCCGCCGTCTTTCTCGCCCGGCGTTCCCCGTGTCGCTTCGAAATCGAGATACCCAGACCAGCGGCGCGACTCGTCCCCGGCTTTAGATGCAGACTTGGTGGAGTCGAGAATCGGCGCATCCCCTCCCCCTCCGCTCGCCTCGACGACGGCGGAGCTGCCGCTCAGGTCTGCGTCGCCTCATGCCCGCTCGCTGAGGCCTTCAACGCCGCAATTGGCTCGATCTTCGCTCGGGTCTCCTATCGAGGGGCGAGGGGAAGTGGCGGAGGATTTACGGTCGTTGATTCTACGGGCGTTCTCGCCGGTGGTCGGAGTGTACGCCTCCGTGGATACCGACGAGCTAGTGCAACAAAAGGGGTTCAAGGGAGGCTTCTGGGACCTCATTCGGCCGTTTGGGGAAAATGTACCGGGCAAACTTGTCATTCGGGATAGCGTGGGGGCAAGCCGTGGCTGGGACGACTATGGCGTTCGGTTTGTGGACCTGGGGAGCAGTCAGTGGGCTTCCGTTCCGGGTACGGAGCGAGTATCGCCGCTCACTCAAGTGGAGGAGGTCTTGGAAAAGCAATTGAACCCAGATGGGAGTCTGCTGGGCGGAACACTGGGCGCTAAGGATCTGCTGAGCTTTTCTTCGACGTCCCCGTTATATAAGATGTTTCTGCGCCAGCTTCTTTCGGTAGCGACCGCGACGCCACACGAGACATTTCGTCATCCCGTCGCCAGTATCATCGTTATCAGTTCGCGCAACACATCACCCCTCGAGACCCTCAGGCGGCTATATGCAGACACCAGTAATGGTGACAGAAGATTGCCTGGGTGGATTCATCCGGAGTATCTGCGATACTATGTCCTGGTGCACGACGAGGATAGGGATGATATAACAGAGTCCACCAAGCTCTATGACCAGATGAAACGGCACTTTGGACTTCACTGTCATCTGCTGCGGTTACGGAGCAACCAATGTGTCGTAACCGATGATGATAGCGTCCAGGTGCCTGAATGCGAATGGCTGTCGCCGTCAGAACGTCTGTCAGACCAGGCGGGTAAGTGATCTATTAAATATCGTGATGTACAATGAAAACTAATGTTATTCAGCGCCCCTAGTGGATCTCGACACGGATGGCCTTCCTTATCTATTTGACTCCGACGTGACAGCAATCAAAGCTTTTGTCCGCGAATTGGTAGCGCAGTCTGTGGTACCATTCATGGAGAACCGAGTATCCGTGTGGAATGATCAGGTGGCATCTCGCAGGCGTGGGTTCAGCGGTCGTTTCATGTCCATGTCGCGACGATGGGCAGGCTTTGGATCGGGGTCTCGATCCAGTTTTGCAGGGGCTGGAGGTGGAGCCAGTGGAAATTACGACTCCGGCCATGGCTTTTACAAACCCGGCGTACCGGAAGCTATTTTGCGGAAGATGGCCGATTTTGCTTTTATGCTTCGAGACTGGAAATTAGCGGCATCGACCTATGAATTGCTCCGCTCGGACTACGCAAACGATAAAGCATGGAGATACCATGCGGGCGCGCATGAGATGTGCGCCGTTAGTACACTCCTGGGTCCCATTTCAGGACCAACCAAAGCCAAACTCGAGGGGATTGATCAAATGCTTGAAACTGCCTGCTATTCTTATCTTACACGATGCTCGGATGCGCCCAACGCTTTGCGCTGTCTTTGTCTGGCAACGGAGTTGCTGAAATTTCGTGGAGGCTCGGCGGTGGAGAGTGCGGCTAAATGGGCCATGCGGGCCATGGACCTGGGATTAGTCGGCTCTATCGGCCAAGGGCTCTTGAGTGAACGGATTTCAGCCTGCTATGCTGCCCGAAATCCCGTCACGGGAGTCAAATGGGGATCGCGTCGGAGAAAGGCCGGCATGTGGAGCGTTCTTGCTGCCGACCTTTGGCTCAAACTCGGCCGGCCCTCGCTGGCATCCGCGTGCCTCGAAGAAGCAGAACGTCTGTATGCAGATGTATTGGATGGCGATGGCGCATTCCCCATGCCGGAGATTCAGGCTTTCATCGACAATCTACGACACGCCGTGAAAGTGGAATATCTCGAGACGAGGGGACTCGACACGCAGGATCATACCGTCCCGGCGGATCCCCTGGAGACAGAAGAAACAAGTGAGAAGCTAGACAGGCGCAAGAACCGACGATCACTGATGACCAATCCGTTGGACTCAGCGGGAGGGTTCAATCTAGAGCAAGGCATCAGGGATAATGATAACCCGGCCAATGACGATTTTGAACGAGCATAGGTACTAAGAGGTCTTACGGGCGTATGAGAGGATATTCGGTATTTAATAGACATTCGTGAGCAATGAACATTGTGATTGTACATCTATAACCTTGTCCTTTGTATTCGATCCATTCGCAACATAGACTCCATAGAGAGCACTCTTTCGGACCTGTATCATGTGACCCGTCTTATCGATAAGGATGATCTTCGTCATGCCGAGCAACGCAGATGACCGTTTGTTGACACCGACCGACTCGATCTCGCAGGGCTGAAGGCCTCCGGACGCAGCAGGACCCCAAGCATCGCTACACTCAGACTCACCATCTTTGGCATATAACCACTTAATCACCCGAGCTCCCAGCCCACCAGCACCCATCTCCCGAAATGAACGACCTCCTCGCCTTCATCCTATCCCAGGATGAATTCAGAAAGTCAGTCACAGTCACCTCTTCCCATTCCCTCCCTACGCCGAAGTGACTCTAACACCGTCTGTCCCAGGAACCGCCTCCCCTCCCTCTACTCCGACTTCGCCATCCACCGCAAAACCAACCCGGACGGATACGCCGTCAACGTCTCCGCATGGGAACAAGCGCTCCTGAAAGCCGCCCGCCACGGCTATATCTCCAGCAGCAGCATTCCAAGCCCGAGCTCCTCGCGACGCAAGAACAACCACCTGATACTCAGAGCCGATGAGGGGCTATTGCGGGCGCTTGAGACGGCCGAATGGGGCCGGCCGGTAGCGCTGGGGGCCGTTCTTGTATGTTCTTTGCCCTGTTCGGATTCGAGAGTAGGCCGGGGAAGTGGATTGGATTGCTGATGTTTGACATATAGGACGAGGCGGTCCAGAATCGAGTGATGGTGCCGCTGCAGGTGTATAGGGCTAGCTCGACGAGCTTGGATAAGCCCGGTTGGAATCTGATTGATCCCTCGGTGCTGAGTCCGTGGAATGTGATGAGCTGGGGGCTGAAGCAGTTGAAAGGCGTGGTGGTTGGGTCTGGGTCGACGCCGCATTTGCAGGCTCAAGATCTGGTGTTGGTGGAGAACTTGAAGGTATGGGTGGGATGATACTGGGATGTATTGGTGGACGCCAGTGGCTTACTGACTGACGTGCTATAGGAAACTGCCGGGCTTGTGGTCAAGCAGGCGATGAGCCAGAATCCGTCCAAGACCGACCTCGTTTACTCCAAGGAACGCTTTGTGAATGAGTTCGCGACGGTGCTACATGAAGAGAGCGAATTGTCTAATGATGATCTTGATGTTTTATTGTTATATCTGTCCCGCGATAGCGGAGCGATCGCGTATGATGGCGAGGTATGTACAGTTGCATTATTCGTCAAATGCGTTTATGCTAAATAATATCCAGACGATCAAGTTCCGCTCCTCCAATGACACTTCCCGCGAAATCACCCAGCAAGACACAGCCATTGGCTCTATAAAAACGACCCTGTCGGCAATGACAAAACAGGTGGAAAGCCTGGAGAAGAAGATCGCAGAACTGAATGCTACCGCGAAGACCGCTTTGCACAACAAGAACCGGATTTCAGCGCTCGCGGCGTTGCGCTCCAAGAAGCTTGCGGAGCATAATCTAAAACAAAGACTAGACACCATGACGCAACTAGAGGAGGTTTATTCCAAGATTGAACAGGCCACAGATCAGGTCCAATTCGTGCAGGCGATGGAGGCCAGCACCGGTGTGCTTCGCGGGCTGAACACGGAGATTGGAGGTGCTGCCAGGGTTGAGGATGTTGTCGACGAGCTGCGTGAGGAGATGTCCAAGGTAGACGAGGTCGGAACCATCATGAACGAAGCCGGTCCACAGATCGACGAGACCGAGATAGACGACGAGCTCGAGGAGCTGGAGAGCAAGGAGCGACAGGAGGAAGAAGAAAGGGAGGCCGAGGAAACTCGCCAGAAACTCGCCGAGCTCGACTATCTCGAGCAGCGTGCCAAAGAAGCTGCGCGCACTCCCTCAGCAGGACAGGGCGTGGATACTGCGTTAGAGGAGAGCATTGGCAGACTGTCCCGCATGTCCGTCGAGGAGGGCCACGGAACCACGTCCTAATGAATGAGAGAACACAGCCAGTGGCAATACCGGTCTCTGGGGCAGTGGGTGCTCGCATTATAACAACAAGAAGGCACTGGTGCAAAGAAGGAAGGGTAACTATCGCGGAGCATCGGTTACCTGGACATCACTAGGCTCTTGAGATTCGTGGAATTCGTTGTCCGCAACCTTGGTGATGCCCGCAGAATCTAAGGCTAATTGCTCCGGCTTCTGTGCCTCTTCTTCCACAATCGAAGGCTGGATCAATTGCTCTTGACCCTGTGCATCAGGTGGGGTTTGCTCTGCTGAAGATGCTTGGGGAATTGTTGTGCGAACCAGCGCATCGCTTCGTTTGCGAGCATTTGCAATCAATCGCTTGAAGTCGCTGTCATGATCCGTGGACCATGCAGCCGAGTCGAAGTCTTTGCGCATGACCGAATTGGCTGTCTCCATTGGCGCGGCCGCATTCCCACCCTGTGTGCGCTCCCAGACATCCAGTTCGTTCAGCAGTTCTCTCTTGGATTTAGGCGTTTTGGAGTCACAGTTGGCATTCCACAAATTCATCCATTCAGTGTGACGTCTCTGTATGAGGGGTCGCGGTCCCCAGTTCGGTATACCCAGATCTTTGAGCTTTTTTCGCAGAACATTCTCTTTCAGGATAGAATAGTTTATAACAGGAAGCCTTTCGGGTTTGTTTATGGGTTGCTGGCGCGCCGGTGGCATGGGTTGTAGAGACCTGATTATTCCCTATTAGCTGGAAGCAGACATAGGCCTTCCAAGCAACCAGTCTTACCCAAATGTAGTCTTTTTAGGAGGAGCTGGGTCTCCCGAACAGCTGTCAAGATGAAGAAACACTGCCTCATTCTTCATTCTCCGCGCGCAGATAGGGCACGCGACCAGTCCATCATCTGCTTCATATTAGAGCCCCGCAGTAATGCATTTGCCCAGTGTCTGATCACACCTACCCGGAACATATTCCTCATCCTGGCTGTCTTCAATGACCTCTGCCGCAACTGGTTCCGATGCATGGTCGACGCCTTTACTCCGCGATTGGGTCTGTCTGCGCTCTACCGGAATCGCTTCAGGACCAGCCTGTTCGGCAACCTTTCGCTTCTTCGGCGCAGGCCGCTCTTCACCCTCCTCTTCAGCATCACCAGCACGATCCGCGGCCCTCCTCGCCAACTGTAACACGCTCGGTCTCGCGTTCTGGAACGCCTCCACCAGCTCCTGGACGGCCCAGTTCCGTCGCAACTTGAGCTCCTGGTCAGAGCTCCGACACGCGGGGCATTTCCCTTCCGTGCTCAGACAGCGCCGAATGCACAGCGAGCAGAACGTATGGCTGCACGAGGTAATGACGGGGTTGTCGAAAAAGTCCTTGCAGACCTGGCAGCGGAGGGAGGATTCGAGAGGCGTCAGGAGCGACAGTGGCGTGTCGAGCCAGTCGGTGGAGTCGGGGAGATTGAAGGACGGCTCCATGAGGTGAGGAGGGAACCGGCGCAGCTGATGGGTTTAGACTTTAGAGCCAGTCTATCATCCAAGCGGCGTGACAGGTAGGAATCAATCAATCGGACGGCGTTTCCGAAGTTGACGGAAAGACGTGCCAAGACCCGCTGACTGATACGCGTTAAGTGGTTTGGCACGCGTCGCCCGGCATACACCTTCTTCTGTTTTCCTGACAATCGCTCTTGACAACACCAATCGACAAGATGGCTGTCGCGGATTACAAGAAGTACCTGGCGGAGAATGTCCTCAATGAGCGCCGCACAGTATGTCCCCATTCCCTCTGTCAGGAGCTGCTCCAATCTCACTCCGCATCTCTCACAGGTCACTTATCGCTCTCTGAGTCGAGCTCTCCGGGTCCACTGCACCTTGGCCAAGCAGTAGGTCGACATGCGCTTTGTTGGAAATTAACAGTCTCTAATGCATAGAAGGATGTTATGTGATTTTCACCATGGCGAAAACAACAAGAAACCAAACAGCGTCAATGCGACCTACCTGATTACGGGCATCCAGAAACCGCCGGCTCCCCCCACTACGAATGGGGCGCATGCCAATGGCGATGACTCCAACGCAGACGACGTGATGGCGAGTAGCCCATATCTTCCCAGCTCGATGCCGAACCAAGACGAGATTACCGATGATGTTCGCACTGCGTCTGTCATACTTGCGCGAGAGGAGGATTTCGAAGGTGGGTGCTAGGATTGGTGCCAGGCGCATTGTTGGTTGTTGACATATTCGTGCAGATGCGAAATCCACCTTCGAATCAATCGCCTCGATCTACGTCTACAGCATACAGCCTACAATTCTCCAGGATCTCAATGTCTTGACCGATGTCAGTCGGGAGATGATAAAGAACCATGCGCACGAGGACCCGCTAGAATTCGGGAAACAATGGGGGATGATTCAGAATCAAAACGTGAAGGTATTGCACACTTGATTGCCTGATCTCGACATGATAATGACTTTTGCAGCGGAGGACCGGCGCGCGACCGCCTGCGCCTGCGCCTACACCGGCACCGGCGCCAGCTCCTTCGTCCAAGCCCGTTGTGCCGTCGAAGCGTCCAAACGAAACGTCACAACAGAAGAAACCCGAGCCCAAGCAAGAGAACCGCTCTGAATCTGCGCAAACATCGCAACGTAGCAATGCTCCGTCTTCCAAACCCGCGGAGAAGCCAGCTCCGGCACAGCGAGAAAAGAGCAATCTCTTCAGCTCTTTTGCGAAGGCTAAACCGAAACAGAAGAAGGAAGACTCGGCGACGCCGGCTGCTAGCGTGAACTCGGTATGTGTTATGGCCTTCTTTTCACTCGGAAAAATCAAAGTACGGATGTTAACAGATATTTAGGCCGAGCCAAGTGCCCCCGAAGATGGTGAGTATATGTTTTAAATAATACACCTGTGAATCAATACAAACTAACTCCCACAGTTGTCCTGGACGATGCTTCGGAAGAAGAAGCCGAAGAGCTTTTCCCTGACACCGGAAAGTCCTCGGCCGCTGGTACACGAGAGTCAAGGAAAGAGCGCGAGGAGAGGTTGAAGCAGATGATGGAGGATGAAGGTAAGCTCGTCGAGCCACTTAGTATACATCCTGCCGGTACTCATCCGCTCTAGACGAAGAAGACGAAGAAATGCCGGACGTGCCAGAACCTGTTGAAGAATCCAACCCCATCGACGAGGCGCCGCCCAAGCCTCCTTCGCCCAAAGAAGAAGTTACTGTTGGGGGAGGACGTCGGAGAGGAAGGCGCCAAGTCATGCAGAAGAAGACTGTGAAAGATGACGAGGGCTACCTTGGTAAGAGTATTGGCGTTTTGCTCTGATATGGATTAACTGACAATCTGTCTAGTAACGGTTGAGGAAGCCTCATGGGAGTCGTTCTCGGAGGATGAGCCAGCACCGCCGCCCAAGAAGAAACCCGCCGTGAGTGCACCAAAGGGCAAGGCAGGCGCCAAACCAGGACAGGGCAATATCATGTCATTTTTCTCCAAGAAATAGAATGGTGTTCTCTGAGTGCTGTGCCAGAATTTCGAAGGTGCGCAGTAGTCGAAGGATTTAAGTCCCTGGTATAGTATGGGATCGCAATGTTTTTAATGCATACAAATGCTTTATCTCATGGCTGCAACAAGACATACATTCGAAGCGAGTACTTCAGCATTGACCATTCCACTTATTCATAATGTCATACCATTTATTATATCCTAAATCGCCTGCAGCATCCACCCACTAGGGTCGAAGGGAGTCCGCAGCCACCGTCGACGATAGCGAGAGCTGAGTGCCCGGCGCAAATGAAGCCAGAGGGTATTGATCAGGCACTCTCCGTGTTTTATCCACTTGCACTGAAATAGAAGCATGCTCTTCACCATCAACGTCCGGGTCTTTTCGGCGTTTTGAGGACGAGGATGAGACCATATTATGCAGAAAGCCCCCCAATTCTGAAATAAAAGCACTCTGCGAGATATTCCGCAAGAACCTGGAGAACGAGGGAAGGCAGCCTGCGATTATCCCGCATGCTATCTCTATCACAGTCCATACCCCTGCACACCAACTGTTGTAGGAGTTGTTGGTTTTGGTGTAGATAAAGACGGTATATGCTACTCCTAGTATAGATGCGACAGTAGCTCTGGGGAAAAGTCAGATGATGTCAAACAGCTTTTTTCATTGGCAAAGAAAGAAGAGAAGAGAAAAGAAAAGCTCACAGGAGACCAAACAAGAACACTACAGAGACCGAACTCTTCTTGTGCAGCGTCATATGCAGCCGCCAGATGCGGATCTGTATCAAGATCAGAATTATTATATCTGATGCCGAATTGATAGCACTCGAGACGATGCTGATCAACATAGTTTCTATGGGACAAGCTCCATCGATCCTCAACATACCCCCGGTTTCCGAGAGGTACCGACAGGCGAAGATCTCCAGGAAGGTACGTATTGCGTAGAAGACGAAATTCACCCAGATCAGGCCATGGCAGGCCCAGAAGAAGAAGTCTCGTTGGACTGAGAAGATCTCGAGATATTGAAGCAGAATCGACAGTTTTATGAAGAAGATGATGATGCCGTATATAATGGAGTCGATGTGGAAGTACTGGTTCATGTTCATTAGTAAGGGATGACCACCTGAGTGCTCAGATTCCTACGTAATACATCTTGATAAAGTCTCTCAAGCGAATATTCCACTGATCCACGCCTGGTGCGAGTTCGTTTATTTTCCAGCCCATCACTAGGTAGCCCATGAAGAGTCCCTTTGGGAATCAGCGCGGAGTCCGGGGTGTTTGGAGTGTGTATGAGCTTTTACCCAAGCTAGTAGCATAGCATCTATCATGTCCTTCTCGTTACTTAACAAACTATCTTCTGCGTACACTCGGAATACATACAGTCAGACATTCTGAATTTACGGACGACAACGATCTTCGTGTAGACGCGAATGAGGATGAGCATGGAAGATAAAATCCAAGCCAGTAGAATTATTGTGCGGCCAAATATGAGCAGGTTGGGAGGATCGTCAAGATTTGAGGCTTGTCCAGGAGGAGGAGACACTGCTGGTCTCTCAAGAAGAGCTTGAATCTGCGTAGGAGATAGAGGACTCATCTTAGAAGTGTAGTTGAAACTGACTCTGGGTGGCTAAGCGGAGGATGATCAAAGGATTTAAGATTTATATGAGTATGACAAGCAGTAGGCATCATCTCTGTCATCTCCCCTCCTTGATGTTTAGGGTAACACTCAAAAGAGGCTGACTGCACGTTCATATTTTCTCGCTTCTATGCTAAGTGTATCTCACAAGTGTTATCCCTTAGAAGTCGACACCTTGAATTATAGCTTGTTCGAATATGACGTTGAACCTTATTATCTTGTCTGCACTATTCAATGAATATCACATCGGTTTCTTGATCACAAGGCAGAAAAATCGAGAAGCCCAATGTTGTATTGGAACTTAATCACGACGACTGCATACCTGAGTAGTAGAAGAAAAGATAGCTTCCCTTCATTATGCCTCATATGACATCAAAGTAATTTCATTTCAACGCAACAACCGATTACTACGTGGTGTTAGTCTGACTTTTCGACGAAGCCTAATAATCGGACAGAAGATTAGCGTTCCACGTTCATCAGCCGTTGCTGATATTGGTGTCACTGCGTTGAAGCCATGAAGATGATCTTCGGGGCTTTTATCCTTGTGACGGTTGCATTGATATACGAGAACCACAAAGCTTGGTCTTCTAAGCTGAAATGGCGGTACAAGTTCTGAAATTTGTCTGGGCAAAGAAGCACTGTAGGACTTGAGGCTGACATACATGTCAATGCTGTTTGTCTGATGGCTTACCAAATATTCTCGGCATTCTCACTTTTATCCCTCACCAGGTGCAGAAGTCCATAAATGCCGAAACTGAGTTTATATTCAGCCTGAACATAAGCCGTGAAACGAAAAAGAAAAAAATAAAATGAAAAAAAGTCATCGCGTGACTGGAATTGATTGGCGAGACGAGAGAACCGTCTAGACCGCGAGGCTGAACTGAACAGACTGGTTACGTCCATAGATCTAGCTGATTGTTCCACATCCTCAGTACTAGGGGCCCATCTAATCTCGAACCCCGCTGAGGTTAAGCTGGGGCCCTGCCGCTGGGCAGGCAATTGATCTCTCCTACTGAGCTAGTGAAGCATACACCGTATATATTTACAGCGTCTTCGAGTAGTCGATGATCGAAAACAAATGTTATTCTTGTAGTTATTATGTACACTGACTCCAAAGAGGCAAGAGACGCTACTTGCTGTCTATCTCTTCATCCAACTAAAAATGAGTGGCTGAGAAGTTCGGCGGCTGATTCTCGGTCTTCCGGACGTTCCTGCAACATTGACCAAAGAAAATTAGCAAACTTCTCAGAATTTTCTTTGCCAAAATCAGCTGGCAGTCTCTCGCTAATGTAGACAGCAAATTTTTGATTCCCATGCTCAAATAGCTCGTGTATGAGAGATCGCAAAATCCCATGAACCTCGTCAACCGTGCAACCAAAAGATTCTACCGGGAAGAGAGGCTCGTTTGTGGCAAGTTGAAATATCCGTACGTGATAGTTAGATCATGTTATGTATTAAGGATGGGGAAAGTACCAAACACCCTAGAGCCCAGATATCGATCTTTTGGTTCCACGAACAAGGTTGGAGTAACTCAGGTGCCCTCAATGCTATTGGTGTGACAGGAGAAGAACCATCTTGCGTGTTCCACATAGCTATAATAATAGTTAACGATCCATATTCTCGCATTATCAAAAGGGTTCAGACCTCCGCCCATATCACCAATCTTGACTATAAGCGTTGAGAAGGCTGCATTGTCTAGCATTCCACGGGGCCGCTGCGAACACAGAAGATATCGTGGGGCACTATTATCCACTTCAACTCCTGGAAGCCAATTAACAGGACTGAATTCGGGTTCTGTCATCAATTCGCTCGATAAATCGCAGTCCACGGTGAATAGTATGTTGGCTGGTTGGAGGTCTATTCAAAATCAATACTAATTGTTGTAGACATGTAGTCCTCAAGACACATACCGCCATGAATAAGGCCCTGGTCGTGGATATAATTCAATCCGAGCAGTATTTGTTTCGAAATCTCGCGAACATAAACTGCATAACGTGGGGTTTCCCGAACAGTCATTGCCTCGCCATCTGACATCATGACGGGGAACACGAGACAAAGGTGGACGCCGTTAGGCCCGTGATGCTCAAATTGATCCAATAATTGCAGCACGTAGTTTTTGCCGGGATGAGATACATCCGCTCTCGCTAAGTGAAGAAGAATAGAATGCTCTCGGCTATTACTTGAGACATCCGCTTTGAGAATCTTCAACGTAACGTATATTTGAAGCCTGGAGGACGGGAAAGGTCAGTTTGATACTAGAAGGAAACGAGACGAAGTGAAAACCACCTTGTGTCTTCGGCCAGCCAAACGGTGGAAAACTGACCAAATGCCCATTTCCCGACAATGCGATACCTCTGCTGAAAAGTGTCCTCGAGGTGAACTGGGTGGTAGCCTCCCGCACGATACTCCTCGACAGGCTCGACAACATCATGAATGCGTTCAAAGCGACGCGTTTTCCCAATATAGTTGCTTCAGTGTTGACGATTCCAATAAGGGTCAAATGGGATGGTTTCACTCGAGACCAGATATGTGCGGGGTATCTCTGGTTTAACCTATCAAACTCGGTCCTGATCACAGGCAGGTCTTCTTTATCGAGAATATGCTTCGATTATCAACGCCCGTGCGAGATCAGCGCTTCGCCTTCCAGGAAGTGGGCCTCTTACCGGACCACATTCTGTAGCGCTAAATTAGAGGGGCTCTAAGTATGGAGGGTGGGATGCCCAAGCCACAAACACTCTGGATTCTATGCAGTAGAACCTGAGAACCTGAGCGCTAATCAGGAGATCACCTGGCGGTTCCTCGTTCTCAACAAGAAGTACACTTCGCACATGACCTGACTTGATGAGTAAGACACGCCAAAGTTGCACCAAGTCCCAGTCATCTTCAACCTTTCATCATCTGGTCCAAAATGAGGGTCTTTTCGAGATTGCTTAATCAATCACACAGGTCCTTGCCAGGTAAAATCATGTTCTTGGCGTGGTAATCGTGAGCTGTTTGAGTACACCTCTGGGCGTTTTTTGTGAGTAGAGCTCACTGATCTGACCTTAACATGTCCACTGCTTTGTCCTAACATGATATGTCAAACTAGATTCTTCTTGCCAAAAGTACGGTGGTGAGGATTCATCGGTAGACCGATGTCATTTTCGATATAGCTTTCGCTAAAGATTGCCGTCTACTCTTGAGCGTCGTAAACCTTTAAGGACACTTTCCTCCTTCCAGGGAACCTTGGCGCAACCAGTCTTGTCACGGGCATGAGCTAACACTGGCCAGAACGGCCAGTGATACTGCATAAAGTGGCATTCTCCGGCGAATGGAAAGAGGGCAGTGTATGGGGCTGGGAGCCGCTGTCTGGCTTAGCCCATGATGGTTATTTAGGCTGGGATCTTATAATCCATTCATTAAATTACCATATGCACATATATTCAACCTTCTATGATCATCGAATTTTAGGTACGTCCGGAGCAAAAGCACAAGATCGTACCACTAGCCCTGTCAGCAAGGCTCGCTGACGTGGGAGCCCAAGACCCAATCGCTTTATTTGATCAAAGGGGGGTAATATGATGGACGAGAGCCTCAGCCGTGTCGTATCAGCCGCATTTAGTCTATAAACAAATTTTAGCCTTAGCTGCGTTCGATAAATAAGACGAGATACCCCGGTCTGTTGTCTGATTTTCCTGAAGACACAGCAATGAACCTGTACTGAAATTCCATCCCATCCAGCTCTCGTATTTACTCTCGTTCCCCATTGGGTAATTAGAATTATGTGCACTGCCATGTCTCCCGAAGCAGACAAAGATCCAAAGAAGTCGCCGCAGGAGCACATCAACGACTTCTGGACCAAGTTCATCACCAAGACCCCCAGCAAAGTCACCCGGATCTTCCCCATCGACTTGCATGCAGATATCCTCCCCCCAGCTGAAGAAGAGCCGGTCTTATCCTCTCGCAACGTCGCCGAGGGCTACGAAGCAACGGCTGAGAAATGCAGACAACGCATCCGCCGCATCGTGCGCGACTGTAACCGCACGAACGAGAAATTCGTCGACCCCGATTTTGATCTCGAGACCGACAGGTATTTAAACTTGTGGAACTGCCTTCGCGGACTTGCTCGAAACGAAGATACTAAACCAGCGGACGAGAACGAGTCTGTTGATGAGGAGGAGGAGGGAAGCGGCTTTCCAGGCTCAGTGCACAGAGTTGATTGGATCTTTGAGCGGCCCGAATTCACGATCGATGGGTACTCGAGTACAGATATCAAGCAGGGAGCCAACGGCGACTGTTGGTGGCTTGCGGCCGTGGCGACGATCTGTAACCGGCGGGACCTGATGGACAGGTTGTGCGTTGCGCAAGACCCAGAATGCGGCGTGTACGGGTTTGTGTTCTACCGCGACGGAGAATGGGTGTCGACCGTGATCGACGATAACTTGTACTTGACGAACGAGGACTTTGATTTCAACGGGGACTGGCATGGGAGCGTGGGCAAGAAAGCGCGTGAGCATAGAAGGAACCACCAAACGGGCTCAGAAGCTCTCTACTTCGCGAAATGCTCGCACCAGAACGAGACCTGGCTGCCGTTGCTGGAAAAAGCCTATGCGAAGATCCACGGCGACTATGACGCCCTCTGGGGCGGGTGGTCGGGAGAGGCCGTCGAGGATATGACGGGGGGTGTTACGACGACGATTGCGACAAACAGAATCCTGAAGAAGAGCATGCTGTGGAAGGAGCTTGTAGATCCGGAAGGGGGCTTTGTTTTTGCTGCCTCAGCCCTGGCAGCTGGTCGTGATTCGGCTCGAGGAGGTCTGGCCATGGGGCATGCTTATTCGATTATTCGCGCGACGGAGCAGCAGGATGAGGATGGAAATCCAGTGAGGCTAGTCCTGATCAGGTATGTCTTCCTTGATGTTTTTAGGCTCGGCTCATGATGCTAAGCTCTGTGAATAGGAATCCATGGGGCGAAAGAAATGAAAAGGGAACGGGCGAGTGGAATGGACCATGGAGTGATGGCTCACGAGAGTGGACGCCCTACTGGCTGGAGAAGCTCCAGCATAAATTTGGGGATGATGGCATATTCTGGATCACATACGAGGACATGCTATCGACCTTTGCCTTCCTTCATCGAACCCGAATCTTCGACAAGAAGTGGACCATTGTCCAGCGGTGGACCAGCGTCAGCGTCCCCTGGGTTACAGGCTTCCTTCAAACCAAGTTCGACGTTGATGTCAAGAAAGCTGGGCCGGTGGTTTTTGTGCTTTCGCAGGTATGTGACAATTTCCCGGGGATTGCTGAATTCCATCGTGTTAAGGCCCCTGTGGTAAGATCTAACATGGCAACTAGATCGACAAGCGCTATTTCCGAGCCCTGGAAGGGCAGTATGAGTTCGCGCTGCACTTCATATTACGAGAGAAGAACGCAAAACCCGGCGAGCATCTAGGACTGGTCCGACCGGTTCATTCCTGGGAAGATCGATCCATCAGTGCCGAATTCGAACTTGAGCCTGGGAGATACGAAGTTGTGCCCAAGATTATCGCAACAAGAGACCCCAAGAAGAAGATGGTAGAAGATGTGGTAAAGGCTCAGGTAGAGAAAAATTCGCAGAAGTTGAGGCAGATTGGCCTGAACTACGATCTGGCGAATTCAAAACACGAGCTGAAAGGCCAGATGGAAGCCAAGGCTGACAAAGAGAACAAGGAACAGAAGGTCGAGCAAGAGAAGAAGCACGACGAAGATGGAAGCCAGATTGAGAAACTCGAGAAGGGAGATCTTGCGAGCAGCACCGACCAAGATGTGAACGGTAAAGAGGCACACGACGCAGACGGCCAGATTGTTGGTCAAGTTGACGCTCTAACTCTACATGGCACGTCTGATGTTGAACAGAATGATAGGGAAGATAAAAAAGACGACGACAAGGGCAAAGAGAATAACAAGGAGGAGGAACATGCAAAGGACGAGACTCAGGCACCTGAGACAGACGACAACGGACCTGGGCCATGGAACGCAGTCTGTGTGATCGGCTTAAGGGTCTATACCCAAGACCCTGAAGTCACCATCGAGCTGGAGAAAGCGAAAGACTCGAATGTTGTGTGATGCAGGCGGGATATAGATGGGGTCTCAGGAATCCATCAGGACTAGATGTATGGCCTAAGGCATCCAACCCGCATGGTTACATAAGCCCCTCGATGCCATCGAATAGCCCGAGACTACTATTTCCTATTGAATCACAGATGATCGGCAGTCCACTGTGACGGTGACAGCGCTATGCTACATAGTCCGAGGACACGGTCTTATGGCCGTGAGGGCAGACAGAAAGATACATAAAGCGGTCCTTCCCCGGTTTCCATCTTCTCCGCATTCCACGTCTTGGCACGTACAACAAACAGTCCACTCCCCAATTCCCACTTCATTTGTCGGAATTGGCTTAACACACTGGATTGCATCAATTCCGGGACAGTAAAGGCATCCATGAGCTTTTAGATCATCGTCTCGCTCCTAACTGCCACAATGACGCGCTCGTTGGCAGCGCTGGTCCTGGCCCTAACCTTTGCCTTGGGCGCAAGGGGTTCCGCAGGACTTCCCGACCATCCTGCAGTTCTTCGACGAGCCTGTCCGGACTATTTATCGTATTCAAAAGTCGGACAGTAAGTTCCTGCCCTCAAATGTCATGCCGGAACCATGAAGAACCGCGGCTAATCCCATCTAGTCCCCCATACAGTGAGGGCCCACTCAAGCTCCCCTTCCAACGACCGGCAGCCGAATGCCGCACCTTTAGCTCTCCAGCTGTAGAGCAGGTCATTGAGGATGTCACCTCACGAATGAAAGACAAGGACCTCGCGCAGATATTCGGGAACGCTTTCCCGAACACTCTGGACACGACGGTGCGATGGCACGTGGACGGGACCTCGGCCGCGTCGAAGAACCGCAGGGACTCTCAATGGCAGGGCCCTCAGACCTTTATTGTCACCGGCGACATCAACGCTGAGTGGCTGCGCGACTCGACAAACCAGCTTACCGGGTACCAGGCTCTAGCGAAGAAGGATAAGAAGCTACACAGCCTCATTCTGGGCGCGATTAACACCCAGGCCGAGTTTGTCATTCAATCCCCGTACTGCAATGCGTTCCAGCCGCCGCCGCCGAGTGGGCTGGAGCCAGCCAAAAACGGGCAAGATGATCAGGTGCATCCGGCGTATGAGCCCTCAGTGGTGTTTGAATGCAAGTACGAGCTCGATTCGCTAGCGCACTTCCTTGCTCTGGGCACGGAATTCTACGAAAGCACCAAGTCAACGGAGTTCCTGACTGACCGCTGGTACTCTGCTTTGGATACTCTCTTGAAGGTCCTAGATGCTCAGTCGCAGCCGACCTTCAATGACAAGGGTCAACACGTCGTCAACCAGTACACCTTCCAGCGTAAAACCACCCTCGGCACCGAGACTCTCAGTCTGGCTGGAGTCGGAAACCCTCTGAACCACGGCACAGGGCTGATCCGCAGTGCCTTCCGTCCCAGCGACGATGCCACCATCCTCGGATTCTTCATCCCACCCAACGCCCAGATGGCCGTCCAGCTCAAAAAGACAGCCAAGGTGCTGCGCGCCGCCGGAGGCAAAGCCGATCTAGCAAAAGACCTCGAGGACCGCGGAGATCGCCTCGATAAGGCTATCAAGGAGCACGGAATCGTCAACCACGCTAAGTACGGCGATGTCTACGCCTTCGAGGTGGACGGGTACGGCTCTCGCATCCTCATGGACGACGCCAACATCCCATCCCTGCTCTCCCTGCCGTATCTCGGCTACGTCAGCAAAGACGACAAGGTATACCAAAACACCCGGAAGATGCTTCTCGCGAAAGACGGCAACCCTTACTATTTCACTGGTTCGGATTTCCACGGCATCGGCGGTCCTCACAGTATGTCTCCCCACCTCCTCCCCCCCCTCCTTTCATTTCACCCCTCCATCCAGAAAATAAGTCCCACCAGCTAACCTCACCAGTCGGTCTCCAAAACGCCTGGCCCATGTCCCTCCTCATCCAAGCCATGACCTCCGACTCAGACGCCGAAATCACCGAGTCCATCAACCTGGTCCGGAACTCGAGTCTCCTCGGTCTCGTGCATGAGTCCATCAACGTTAATAATATTAAAGATTACTCGCGTCCGTGGTTCGCGTGGGCGAACTCCGTCTTCGCGCAGACTATCCTGAAGGTGGCGGCTGAGAGGCCGCATTTGCTTTTTGGGGAGGGCGCTGAGCCGTATATAATTGAGTAGGGTTAGGTATAGTATAGCATAGTAGCTGTGTTGGATTCGGCTGTCCTTCAAGCTGAGAGAAGGTTTCTTGGGAGACATTGCATTGCATGTTAGGGTGTAATCCCTCCCGTATTTGAGTTGGATAGTGTAAACAGGGACGACTGAATTAGATGAAAGAAACGTGGTATTAACATACTCGCTGGAAATATTCAGGCAGCCATGCTCATCAACCATGCACTATATACAAAACTCCTCTTCTAGATCAACACCCGTCTCAACCCCTCCGTTCCACCCAACACTCTCCTTCCCGTCACCGGACATCTTCCCTTCCCACTCTCCCATTTCCCCTGTCGACTCTGCCCCGGCTTCCCGTCCTGCTTGTCCGCGTCGTCGCCGTCCCCTGAATCATCTTCCCACGCGGCGCCGGCACCCTCCCCGTTCATGAAATCGATCTGTCTCTGGTGCTCGCCGTTCAACCAGTGGAAGATACACACGTAGCAGTATACATACCCCGTCTGACACGCCGTCGGATTCGTCAACGGATTCAGACACACCGCGCACATCGAGGCAACGTCCGAGTCCGCCGGCGGAAGCGGCACCGTGAAGATCGGGAGATACGAGGACGCAGAGACAGGGGGCTGGATGCGGCGACGGGGCGACTTGAGTGCGGATTTGGGCGAGTCAGGGTCCTGCGCTTTCTTGGCCTTCTCTTTGTTCTTCTCCTCGAGCGCTTGTCGCTTCTCTGTTGGGGATATCATCCCGTTGGAGACGGGGGCGGGGAGGTCCAGTACCTCGGTGGCTTTGCGGGCGAGCTGCCGCGAGAAGTCGCTGGCGTGCCACCATTCGAGGAACTTGAGGGCGAAGATAGACGCGGGGAGGAAGTAGCGGAGGGAGGTGAGGAGTTGCGGGTAGAGGTTCTGCGGGCTGAGCATGCCCAGGAGGCTGGATCCGGGGCGGGATCGACCGCCAGGGCCGGGGGCCGGTTTAGGGGGTTCCAGCACGGAGGCGATGGCTCTGTGGTCTGCGGCACCGAGACGGCGGATGCGAGTGCCGATGAGCCAGAGGAAGGGGGAGGAGTATTTGGTGTTGTCGAAGAGGTAGGCGAGGTTGAAGGCGAGGATGGAGAAGTGGTAGGCGGCGTTGACGGAGGGGTAGACGTTGCGCAGGAACCATTTGTAGAGGTGCAGGAGGCGCTGGCGGATTGTCGGGCTGGGAGGGAGGTCGTCGCTGGGGTTGTAGCGGGGGCCACCGCTCATGATCAGCGATGCTTGCGGCGCGGCGTGCACGTCGTAGCCCTCGTCTAGCTTGCGCTTCAAGTAGGGAATGCCGACCATGACGAAGAGGTTCTTCCAGACGTCGGAGGAACGCAGCTTCAGGGTCTCCCGGACGGGGCCGGCAGCGCCCAGCTGAGCGCGAGGAACCTCGCCATTCTTGGTCAGGAGAACTCGCTCGCGCTTCAGGGAGTAGAAGTTCTCGGTGAAGGAGCCGCCGAAGGTGCGCAGGTAGTAGCGCTCCACCACGAGCGAGACGAGGGCGTAGATTTCATCGTATGAATTGAGGATCCGCAGCAAGTATCGGGGGTGACGGTGCGTGGCGACGGCGAGGATGTATCGAATGGAGGGAGGGAGGAGATCCGAGAGCTGCTGTTCGGCGAGGAGTTCTAGATAAGGCGTTAGTCGGGGTTGAACGCGAGGAATGGGCGATGGGGAAATTACCAAACAGCGACGGCTTGAGCTCATCGAACTCTTGCTGGAGACTGGGCAAATACTCCATGATGATGAGGGAAGCCAGTCACCGCAACGCATCCCATCGAGGCGATGAAGGAAATGCGGAGGAGCGCATCGCCCGATTCGGCGCACGAGAGCCGAGGCATTCGGCTGCTGAGTCAGGGCTGAGTCATCTCCATCTCTTGTCTACCGATGATACGGGGACTCGGGTTGGATTCAGTGAAAAAGCCTTTCAATGCATAGCCCTGGAGCAATATCAAGCGCTATCATACAACCAACTATAGTAAGAGCATATATGTACATATAAAGTCCAAAACACCGTCTCACACATGGTCCATGCCCTCACCATTTCAGTATCCTGGTCGGTAGCCGGCACCTCGTTGCTGACAGTCAGTCCAGAGGCGAACCATGTGGCTGTTAACTTTTTCTTGAGCATGCGCTTCAACCTCCGGATCCACCAGATAGATACAGGCCAGGACGTGGTCCAAAAGCTTTCCGCTCAACAAGATCGGCTGCGCCTCTCTCTCGATCATCGGGACCCAAGCCGTCAGGCATGACTCCGCCCGTCCCACCTGTCCCAGGTCCGCGTGTAACTTGAAGAGCATTTCGTAGTCCGCCGCAGTGCGCGAGTAGTCCATGATCGGAAGGTTGTGCCACATTTTCCAGAATCCGTCGTAGTCTTTGGCTTGGAAGCGCAGGAACATGTGGATGCGGGTTTGCTCGGGGTCGAAGGGGAAGTCGAAGGCGTCGATCATGCGCGTGACTCGGTAAAGGGCATTGTCCATCTCCTCGTCCCCGGATGCTAGTAGACGTTCATTTTCTAGAGGGATCCGGTCTGGGATGATCATCGCGGCTTTGTAGATGATGTTGAACATTCTCAGGTTGATCATGTTCGCGCCTTGGGTGCAGAGGATTTCCAAGACATCCATGGCCAGCTCGATATCCTCTGTTGACAACGTCTTCTGGGCTCCATTCTCTGACTCGTCCGTGGGCCGGCCAGATAGCAGGGCCGTAATGATCTCATAGGTAAGGTCATCGGAAATTGGACAGCTCAGGGCGGTATAGTACTCAAAGGCCTTGAGCAAGCTCTGCTTGCTATACCCTGGGTGGTATCGATTGATTGCAAAACAGTGGAGCTTTAATTTGGCTGCGGCTTCTTCTTCCACCGAAACGCCAGAGAGATGGCCATGAAACAATTGCAAGAAAGGCGTGGAGGTATCACCCGGGCCTTCTCCCAGGTCCTTTTGGAGTTGCTCGTCCGGCAAGTCCGCAAGGTACTGAAGCAAAGAATCTACAATCTTACTTCGAGGGTTCTCAGCGGTGGCATGACCGTGGATGGATGACCGAAAAGGTGAGAGAATGGGTGTGTTAGCGGTGCTTCGCGTGGCCTGGAGCATGATCCGCGGACGGCCGCTGTGGATCCGTCTCCTCTGTTCGAACGGGAGATTCGCTGGGGTCCTGGTGGGATGTCCATAATCGTGGTCAGAAGGTGACGGTGATGTATTCGTCGAAGTGGAAAAACGAACCTCTTGAGGAGGCGCAGAGGGGTTGGCCTCGGCATACTTCATTTTCGCCCGCTCGGAACGGTCCAATGTCTTCTGCCATAGGCCTTCCAGATCGACTTCGGCTCTCTTCTCCTCGGTGAACATCTGGACCACGACGCGCGTGCCTCCTACGACGGTGCCGAATCCTTCGAAGTTCTGGGCTGCTGGTTCCGGTGCGGGACTCTTCTCAACAACGCCTGCGTTGACGCAAATCCATCCCGTGGTAATGCCGTCGTCCTTTTCATCGACCAATGTCCCTGACTGGCTTGCAATGCGGGCTCGGCGAGCTTTGCGTCGCAGCTTGATCTTGAGTTCATTTCGACCCAGCAGTCCGTCGGCATACGGAGATAGCTTCCAAGTACTTCTCAACCACCGACAAAGGCGATCTGCCGAGACGTTCAGATGCTTCACACTACGTGCGGTTCCGATGATCATTATGACATTGGCACCTAGTGGAGGTGGCGTTTCCAAGGGCCGCAGGTCCATCAGGTTCAAATTGTCCAATCCGAGATCCTTGAAAACATAGTCCAGAAGAACGGGGAGGATTTCCGGGGAATGCTCTGGGAGATCCGGGAGTTGGTCCCGAGACGATGTTTGCTGCGACTCGGAGACTGGTGATGCTTCCTGTAGATACCACGGGACATGGCTGGAAGAATTGGCCGTCTCGCTTTCCAGTTTCACATTGCTGGCTCCATCCAGTTCGGCTGTAGATGCGGGAGGGGTTTCAGGGGACTGTTTGTTGTGCCAACGCGAGACTGAGGCAAAGTTCCGGCCATTGGTTTTGTAGATCGAATGCGCAGGAAACGTCCGGCGGGATATGGAGGCGCCAGGAGTATATATCGAGCGAATGACCTCTGGGCGGCTCCAAGGCTGCCGTAAGATCACACGATTCATGGTGAGGGGAAGCTGCAGGAAAAAGGTAGATAATTGGAAGCAGAGAATTAGTTCGCCTGCTTCTTCGCAGTGACGTTCTGCAGATGACTCAGCCCTGACTCAGCAGTGGCAAACAGAGCAAACACCAGATTGATACGAAATCTACAATCGATATTGATCGAAACTATGTACATGATTTGATTGGGATATCCGTAAAAAGTGAGAAAAACGAAATCTAAAAGGTAAAAGTCTAGAAAATCTGACCCAGCACCTTCTTCGCATCCTCCGCCAGTGGACCGTGATCCTGTATCTTATCACGTCCCAATTTAACCTCATTCTGCTTGAACAGCCTCCTGATCTTAACATCCTCGCCTCGGTCCTGTTTGCCCTTATCCTCATCAGCCTGCTGCAACGTCCTCTTCCTCTTATCCTCGTTCTTCTTCTGCATCCCGTCCAACACCTTGCCCTGCTCCACTCCCTGCAAGAACACTTGATCCTCCTTGCGCGTCCGCGCATCTTCGATCCGCTGTCTCGCCTCCCTCTCCTTCCTCTCTCGCTGAATCTGATCCACCAGGTCATCCCAACGAAGCCCGGTGAGGTATTTGACGTTCAAAATGTCATCATGGTACCAACTGCCTTTGCGCCCGCCTATGATCGAGGCGTTCATCGTCTCCGCGCAGATCTTGGCCGTCTTCTTCGATGCGAACTCCACCCATCCGTCTGAGTAGGTCTTCCGCTTATTGGAGCGTCGGCGCGGCGCAGACGCAGGTCTCACTTCCGGCGAAAGGAACACTTTCGTAATGGGTCCGAATCCGCGCGTCTCGAAGAGCGATTTCAGCGCGAAGGGTTTCATGTAGGGCGGAAGCGAAGAGAGGTAGACGACGCCCGGCTTCTTTTTCTTTTTCTCCTTCGTAGCTGGTTTGCCTTTGTCCGAGGCTGTTTTCTTGCTTTTCGAAGCCTTGGCGCTGGCTGCGTCGGCGTCGTTGTCGTCGTCCGCTAGCTCGAGATATTGGTCACCGGGTTCTTCCTCGTTGTCTTCCGCCTCGTTGTCATCGTCGTCTTCGGCGTCTTCGTCGCGCTTCGATGCAGCTTTCGTAGTCTTCTTCTTTCCCTTGCCCTTCGTCTTGGCGGCCGACAGTTTTTCGTCCTCGTCTTCCGATCCCTCGATATCTGACTCTTCCGAATCGTTCCCTAAGAGATCATCTGTCTGCTGCGTCCGTCTCCGCTTCGCAATGCGACCCTTGCTTTCCTCTGCGGCCTCGGAGTCATATCCGCGATCGCTGGCTTCGTCGTCGCTGGCGCCAATGTCGAGGAAATCGTTCCTCTTGCGGGTGGACATTTTGATGATAAGATCAGTAGAAATCCCTAAAATGAGCTGTGGTTTGTGTGTTTGCTTCTGTCTTGAATTCGCAAAGGAGGAACGAAAAGAGTTCGTTGTTGAGATCGAACCGTTCGGAGGTTTGCAAACGCCGCAACTTTTTTTTGAGGTGGTCCGTGCGTCTTACTTTGGACCAATCAGGTTGGATACTCTTAACTCCGACCACTGCAGGCAAATAGTGAGAGAAAAAATTGAATGCGTTCATTGTAGTATGGTATTTCATTTAGACATGCATATTTGAAACTATGTACTTGTACTGCAATGTCCTGAATTCCCTTAACAAAGAATGGGTATGAACAATGTAAAAACGGCAAAAGGAAACGGTATGACGCCAATGTCTTCAACTCTATGAGATGGAGGAGCAAACAAAAGAGCAGCAGTCAAGTGAGTCTTGATATATTTCTCACTTCAAACAGAGAGTATGGAGGTATGCAAGGGCTGAATAGATAGAGGATCAAATTCCAAGAGACCACTTCAATCGCTCGTACACGAAGAAGCCGGTCGCCGCCATGGGCATCACCTTAATATAACCGATCGTCAATCCGATGTAAAACCCCCGGAATCCCCTCTCTAGCCGGATCGTGCGGGCGGTTTCGAGGATTCCGAGCCGGTGGCCATCGCCGACAACGCCTCCGACCTGCATGCGCCGTCGTATTACCTCAAACGGATAAGATGCGGTCTGGGAGACCAAGCCAGCGACGGCCCCGGAGAATAGTTCGGCGGCGGCAGTCAATTGCGGCCGTCGCGACGCTTTCGTGGATTGCAGTTGAGCAGGCGTGAGTTCGTGATCGGGAATGGTGGTGTACAGAGAGACAGAGGGGTATCGAAGCCAGTCACCGACTGTGTCGTGCACGAGGAAAGAAATGCCGGCGTAGGGCAACATGCCCATCAAAGTGGGTACGAATCCACGGTAGAAGTTGGCGACCCCCGAGCTGGGAACGACCTTGTTCACGGTGGAAGACACGTTTTCGACCGTGGCTGCCGCTACAGAGCCGGTAGCTGACGATGAAGGGACGCCACTTGACGCGGAGGGCGGCGAAACTCGTTCGCGGTAGATCTGCCGGAAAACATCTCTCAAGGAAGAGCTCGAGGACTTTTTCGTCTCGAATGCCAGTCGCACTCGAATGAGCTCCAAAGGATATGTGAAAAACACCGAGGTAATCCCCGCCAAACTGCCGGACAGGAGTCGGCGACCCGGTGTCTCCTTGTCGCGTGACGGGATGATCACCGCTCGAATCTGCTCATATGCGAGAAATTTGATCGCGGCATAAGGGAAGATGCGAAGAAGAGTTGCAGAATGACCTTTATAGAGGCCCCGGCCGCCTTCGTAACGTTTAATGTCTCGGATTGCCGCCACCAGGCCCGTCCAGCTGCCTGTGTATTTGGCAAATTGCGGGTTCGATGCCTGAAAAAGGATCTTGACTCGGTCCAAAGGGGCTACCACCGTTTTGGCCTAACAATTCCAATATGTCAACACTTTCCATTCGCAACCAGAAAATATTATAAAATCGACAGGGTATTCGACTTACCGCACACCCCGCTAACCCTCCCGCTAACCCACTCCTTGCGATATAGTCCAAACTCCGCTTGTTCACTTCAGGGACACTCTTTCTGCTGTGTGTGTTTTGAGCATTGTCGCCTTGTGTCGATTTTGTGGCAGCCACTGCCGCGTTTCTGCTGGTATCACTGGTCGTTGCCCCTCGAGCTGGTCCCGACTGTGCGACCTGTTCCATCTGAGAATTCGGGTGCGGGACGGATTCCGCGGTCATAGGATGAGAAAGATAGGCGCTGGGTGTGATCGAAGAGGAGTCTGCATGCGCATGGTCTGAAGAGATCGCAGACATCAAGTAAAGGACGAGGCAAAAAGCCTGGTTCGGTCAAAGGGCTACCGGAGATTCGGGGCCATGGGTATTAAAGCCGATGATTTTTACGCTGAGACCGCTCCAACTGTGTATAAGAAGCCTAAAAAACGAAGGATGCAAAGCGCAAGCTTGAGGGAGACGTGATTTCAGGGAAATCGAAAGGAGACACACGAGCGACTGGGGGGATCGGCAATATGGAGAGGAAAAAGGCGAGCGGCGATGATGGCATCGCAGAAGTCGGCGGAAACACAGCGGGTCGCAGGTTACCGCCCTGACATGCCGATACAAGCCGCTGCGCCAAGGGTCGGGGTGGCTTACCGTCACGATACGCCGCGGTAATCCGAGTGGCGGCGGTGGCCAACGAAAAGGGCCAACAACGCTCGGCTCGTTGGTCAGCACTCACATGCTTTATCTTACGCGAGCCAAAAGAACGCTGTATTCTACGGTATCCTTACTCCATATCCTACTCCCCATATAAAAGACTAAACAAAGTAACTCAAAAGAACCCCAATCCCAAAGAATCTTGTCCCTTAAGACCCTATATACTCCCTTAAAGATTCTAATAAAGTCCTTAGAGTACTTGTAAGAACCTCCCACTACGTCGGTAGTAGATTTCGGTAGTTTCATGGCTTATTTCGCGATATTATCATATAACCTTATCTATATGGTAAAGGTCTTTCTCTGCTGTAGATAGTAGTTGACCATAGTCTACGAATTCATTTATTTTCGATCATCGAGTTGATCATTCATTTATTCTTCAAGAGTATCTTAATCATGATGTACTTATTATAAAGTAAATAACATATTACTATAAGGTAGGTATCAAAAGTAGTGAAAGAGTGAAAGATGGAAAGGGGTCCAGTGAGTTCAAAAGAAATATTATCTTTGGTAAGTCTTTGATGGGCCTTTTGTTTACTACGTAGTTAGTATAGTAGTCTTATCTCAACGGATCAAAAAGCACCTTCATCCCACCTGAACCACAACCTAGATACTCTGCGCAACGCCCAGCAAGTCTTGGGCAGTGAATATCAGGTCTCCCTCGCTGGGGCTTGGAGGGCGATCAAGGAGCTCGCGGAAGTAGATCGTCATCTGGAGGGTCCCTGTAACCGTCCCTGCATGTATCATTCCTGGGCGGGAAGCTGCGTCGCCATCGATGGCCTCGCCGGGGGATTCATGTTGAGAGGATTTGTGGGCGTGGGTTGTCCAGGTTGGGTCAGTTGGAGGAGCTCACATCTGATAGTTCTTCTGTTGAACGAAAATAGAAGCACCATCTGGACTTTCCCATTGCTATTGTTGAACCACCAAGTCGCGTCTCTCAGCAACTTGGCGCGAGATTTGTTAACGCCCGATTCAACGACAAAGGTAGACCATTTAGGGGGTTGGCCACCTAGACCCATTCTTGACCGAGGTAAAAAAAAACAATCGTCTGCCTGTTTTCCTGACTGCCCTGCGGCGCTCTTGAAGGTAGTGCGGAACGGCCAGCAAATTAGAGTCGGAAATCGACTCCCAAGGCGCGGTGATCATTGTCCAACATGGATCGGATACTCTCTGGGATGTTCTTGACGAAAATGTACTGGTTGCCGCTTTCGTTGTTGGCTTCGAGTCTCGACAGGACGTCCCATGCTATATTTTGAAGAGCGGAGAGATCGGTGAAATGTATGACACGGTGGTCATGAGGAAGTCCGACTGCAATCTCTTCCTCCATGCTTTAAAACTCAAAAGACCGAGAATATGATATCGAGCTCCTTCATGTAGTAGTTGGTTGACCATTCACCAAAGACAATCGATAGGTGTACTAAGTGAATATCTCAAGTACAATATGCAGCAAGCTAAGAGCAGTGGCCATCTGAGAAACTGGTTAGTCGGAGTAGCTGGTTGATGATGAACTATTACATATTGAGAGGAAGATACCTCCGGGGTAGTCCTGGAATCATCGGATCCAGTAATTCACTTTGCTTGCCTCCTACCGGACTAAAGGGGTTGAATCCCAGCGGATGTACACCAGCATCATGCCTTTGGGTTAAATTCTCTCGAGTGTTCATTTTCGTCGCGAGAGTGGGAGGTGTCAAAGAATGAGCCCATTGTCGCTTGTCGTTCAATGTCCCGTGACATCACCCGTCGATCCAGAACGGCCGAGCCGAGGGAAATCGAACCCCGACTTTAGTGTCAACGCCGTCTCCTCCAACCTCCTCCGCACTCGCATTGCTCGCTCTCGTGGTTCATCATCCCAATTCCGATTCGACCTCCCCGAGCATTCCAGTGTCTCGGTAATTACTCCCGATTGATTCATCACATTCCTCTTCCGCTCGCTGGCGGTGAAACAATGGCCGACAATATGTCAGCATCTCAGTCGCAACTCGCGTCCTCCACATCGTCCCTTTCGCCCTCGAAACTCTGCTCCAAAACATACAAGAAAGCCTCCCAGCTCTATCTAACACGCCGACTACAAGAGTCGCTGACGGCCCTGGAGCCCGTCATTACTGTCAACCGGCCGGCCGAGGATCAGCAGTATTCCAATGGCGACGACTCCACGGCGCCGATTGCGACCGCCCCCGCCACGTGGAGGATCAAAGTGTGGAATCTATACATCACTCTCCTGAGCACCATACTTGACTTGGGGCCCGAGGAGGGGAAACAATTATTCGGTCAGAAAGAATGGAAGGCGATTTCGTCCAAGGTACGCGAGGGAGAGATCTGGGAGACTGTTGTTCAAACCGGCTACAAAGGTCTAGAGGGGTCGGTAGATGCAGAGGTAGTATACAATCTGTGAGTTGACTCCTGTGATATCATCCCCCAAGTAGCTAGCTAACGCAGCGCTTCGACAGAGCCACATTATTATTAAACCACTCGCCCTCGCAAACGCTGAACCAGCAACGGCTTGAAACCTACCTCTCCTCGTACGGGCAGCCGAACCTAGATATCGCAGAGCACATGCGCAACTCCCCGAATGGCTCGCAGCAACGACCGCTCCCGAACGGTGGCACCGACACTCCGAAAGATCTTGCCGCTCGAGTCAGGATCATCGAACTGTTTACGCTCCACGTGCTTCCCCGCAACGAGGAATGGGACTACGCCAGTGAATTCATCAACCTGAGCGAGGTCCTCGATGAAGAGCGCAAAGAACTCTTTCTACAGACCCTCGACGGGCTCAAGGAGGAGCGGGAGCAAGGCGAGCTCCGCGCCGCGGCGCTCCAGCGAGAAAAAGATGCCGAGATGGAGCGACAGATGCGCGAAGCCGAGCGCGAGCGAGCGGAAGAGGCCGCTGCTGCAGAAAGCGCACAGAAGAGCCACGATCGCAATCACAGCGAAGTGGACTACGGCATTGAGAAGCCTAACCCGAACGGCAGTCCCAAGGCACGGGGAAAGCAGAGCAGCAGCAAGGGCAGTGGCTCGTCACGAACGGCCTTCTCGCCGCCTGGCTCGAAGAACGTGAAACGCCCCGAGAAGCCCGAGTCCCGTGCCAAACAATCACGAGCGCTGACGAATGTCCTGCGCAACCTTCTGCAATATATCTCCAAGACCGTTGCCGGGAATCCCCTCTCTTTTGCTCGCACGCTATTATTCATGCTCGGGTTGATCGTGGCGCTGAGCCGAGAGAACGTACGGGAGCGGATCCGGAGAATCACCGGGTCTGGATGGCAGAAGGTCAAGGGGACTATCGGCATGGGCGTGAAAGTGAGCTATATTTAACGTGTTTTCTTTTCTTTTTCTCTTTCTTTGAACACTCGGAAATAGCCCAAGCTATGATCCGAATTTTGGCATGGTCATTATCATCATCATTATCATTATCACCCTTATATGTTCTAGACTGGTTTGCAGGTCAACATGCTACATAGGAGTATTCTTTCTCTTTCCCAATTCTCTGTACAATGTTCGCATGTGAATGAATCCTTAGAATAGCATCCGCAGGACCCAGAAATTTTTAACACATCCCGTCATAACCATAACCATACTTATACCAATATTCATATTTGAAAACACCCAAATCAAACCACCCCTTCCGGCCCTCCTTCTCTCCCCTTCTCTCTCTCCTCCATCTCAAGCACCCTCCCCCTCCACTTCCGCAACACATGCACAAAGAAATGCGCAATACAAATCTGCTCCGTGGTATACAACAACACTGGCACGGACGTCTTCGCCTTCACGAACAGATCCACCGGCGTCCACATAGCATAGAGCAGGGGGATGCCGAGGGCCGTACTCTTCGCCGGACCGCAGAAGCAAACGGCGATGGTCTCCTCTGCCGAGATGCGCTTGAAGACATGCGAGGTTCCGAAACCGAGCGAGCTAAGGACGCGAGGCGGCCGACACAGAACGAAGCAGACGCCTGTGAGGAAGATGTACAGGGCTATATTGAAGAAGACGACGAAGATGATGCTTCGCGTGGAGAGCGTTTGGAGGGCGCCGGTGGCGAAGCAGGATGAGAATGTCGTCCTTTTATTGGGTTAGTGGACACAGTTTACTGGTTGTACTGGTCCTGAAATAGGGGACGGAGGGGACATACCAAACCAGCAACAGCATACAAACAGTCCCGATCTTCGGGATACGATACCGCTGCAAAATCCTAGCCGTGGGATCAGGCCAAGTCCAACGCACCAATTGGCCCACGACCAGAGGCAGCAGCACACTGAGCCCCAACTGCTTGAACACATCACGATACATATCCTTCAGATCGCCGTCGCCGTCCCTCCAGATATCAAACTCCTCGCGATCCGGCAGCACAGTAACCGTCCACGCGGCGGTGACGAACGGGCCCAGGAAATTCGCAATCAGCACCTCCACCAGCGCCGCGGCGTCGTCTCCGCCCGCCGAGCGCGTCATGACCACATTCGACGCGATCGTGGTGGGGATGCACGCGGTGAAAATGTACCCCGCCAGGAGGGCGCGGTCGATATGGCCGCTCGGGTCACCGGCCAGGATGGCGTGCACGACGGCGAGCATCAGGGCGGGGATGAAGAGGAAGGAGACGACCTGGACGAGCAGATGCAGGCGCCAGTTGAGCATGTGCAGGAAGAGCTTCTGGCGCGGGATGCTGAGCCCCGAGACTAGGAAGATGAGCGCCATGGCGCCGTACAGGATGCTGTACTCGGAGCGGATGACGCCGCCGTGTTTGGCGACATTGGGGAAGTAGTAGGCCAGGACGCAGGCGACGCCCATGCCGATGAGGAGCCATTGGTGGAGGATGAAGAGGACGGTGGATTTGAGGAGCTGTGTTAGCTTGTTGTGTGGTGGTGTGGTGGTGTTTGGACTGTCGGGGGTGGTTTGGGTTGAAGGGTTGATGTCGATATCTGGGGCGTTTTGGGAGCCCATGGCGTTGCTTCTCGGCGACGGACTGGTGACAATTGCGACATTGACATGAAGACACCTTAGATATTTATTTGGTATAGATACGGCGATGGCTTCTCGCGATTCGAGAGCGTGCAGGCGAGGTCATCCCTGCGGATGACCGATTGACACAAGGTCGCCATGCTAGCGCAGCGACGGGTTTAAAAGAAATGATCGGATCAAATCCGATGTTCTGATAGACCGCCGATATGACGAATGATCGATGAGGGTTGTTTGGCGACGCTGAGGGCGATCATCCAAACATCAACTCATTGGTCACGACCGGACGGACGGGAATTCGATCAGCCTGTTTATTCTCCCTGTTAAAACGAACTCGAGTCGTTTATAATGCACCAAATGGCCGGCCTGATGCGACAGGCACCATTCTTGGTGGACGGATCGGGTTTAGCGGGTGATAAGAGACAATCTACTGAGGACTGCCGATCTTCAACAATTACATTCCTACTCCTACTTCTGTCCACACTATTCAGACACACTCAGTTCATTCGCTCTCTGACGACTACTAATAATAACAAGATATGTGCCTACATACAAGTATTCCCAGCGAAGACAGATGAAGATAGATATCCTGGCATACAACCACTAATGTATAGAGCTGGCTAATCATATTCCACAAGTGCTTGCGAAGCGAGTAATAGATACTCAGAGGGTCAGTCGCCACCAATCGATGACTTGGCTTCATCAAATAAGCTTCTTGATCGACATATGCATCTTGCATTGTTGGAAGGTTTAAGAGGACTTGCGGTGATCCGTGTCCGACTCATCCCTGAGGTACAAAAACGAGAGATTAGGCCAAAGATGGTAGGGAGAAGATGGGCTGATACAGCTGTTCTGCGCGAGGTCGTCTATGATATAATACCTGCTCGACAAATCAGTATGAAATCGATCCTGAACGGCCCTTGGAACTTACACCCACGCCCGGCTACCTCCCTCTGCCATCATATGTGTGTCGCGGCCAAGTCGATAGATGACATGCGCGACGGATGACACCGTGACTCCTTCTAAAGCTTCATATTCCAAGTAAATGACGGCAGAAGTAGCTTTAGTGTAGTCATGTTGGGTCCACTCTAGCAGCCCAGTCTGCTTTCCATTTTCAGCCCGTATGTTGATGCGAGTGGACGATTTGCCGTCTTGATGAAGCAGGTAGATCGACCAATGGTTTTCTCTGGCCTTAGGTTTGGATTTATCGACAGTGTGGGCCACCACGCGGGCATGCGTGATTCGCGTGGAGTCCGCTTGAGCAGCTTGCGGAGACAGTATAGAGGTCATTGAGATCGTGGTCAAGTATGATGCCTGTGATGTGGGCAAGGATGGACTTGGTTCAAAAGCTGAGACCAATGACTGCCTTGTCGGTTCTTATAAAGCCGACAGAGTTGGATCAAATGTCGGAGACCTCCAGTAAACAACTCGAGGGGCCGGGTCACATGGTCGAACATCTGGTATCTTGTTGAGCAGGACTGCAGAAGGCAGCTGTGATAAAGAGTCCACATGAGCTTTTCCGTCTCTTCTCCATGGTCTGTTCCACTATTCATTCCAAGTCTCCCATCACTTTGCTTTTGCTCGTTTATGCCGTGTCCCTAACATCTAGAAGCTGCAAAGCCGGAGATTCTCTTTTTGGCTCCGCATTGAGGAATAGTATAGATCTATAAGTCACCTCTATTCCGAGCCAATTGATGTGACGACATAACAAAGTGTTTCGACCATCATCACCTCGTCATCTACCTTACATCTAGTAATTTCCACCCCTCTCCCATGAGTCCTTGGGTATAGCTTGAGCTGTGTCAGTTCAAGAAAGGTATACCATGTTGCCTCAAAAGATACCATCATGAGAGTGCCCAGTCAATCTTTTGTTGCCGACCCGACCCAACCTCATTTTGCGATTATAGATCCACCTATCTGCAAAAAATGCAACGTGCCCGCTATCCAACGCATCTGCAGATCCGACAATGAAAACGGCAATGCAGGTAGACCATACTATGTCTGTCCCTCCTGCGGAGCCTTCCTTTCCTTCGGGGATATGCGCGGTGTGTTGATAAACAACCCTACCTGCTATTGTGACCATGGCACGCAACTCAGCAGAAGGATACTGGCTGGGAAAGACGCGATCATTCCCAGATCGATACTATTTCAGTGCGCCACGGGTGGATGCGGCTATTTAAAGTACGATATGGAAAATATGCGCACGATTCAGGAATACAGAGGTCGTGTTTCCCCAGAGGATGTGATGCGTGCAGGGCTCTGAGAACCCTACAAGGTGGGCGCCCTCCATTCTCATTCAGATTAGCCTTGGCGACGGCTCAGTAGTATATATCCCTCTGATTATATTTCTGTATATAGGACGCAAGTGCATGGCGTGGACGCAGAACATGACGCCTTTGCAAATACAAAGGCTTAATATTGAGCAGGTCTCAAACTAATCTCGAACTGGTTGTTTCTTGATTTTTTTTTTTTTTTTGCGCATGTAGTAGCAATCAATAGCTACTTAATTATCATTTTGTTTCTAGCACGCCGTCCTGCAGCCTCCTGGGCCAGTCTTTAGCGATCAGAGCTCTCCTCAGAGCCGAAATCTATAGGAGAGAATGAAACTTGTTTGCGAGAAAGGAATCGTCTCATCGAAGTATCTTCTCCAATAAGTAGTGGCAGCGAGCTTCAGTTCCTGTGATATTTTAATGCGTCCCCAGCCGATGCGAGTCTAGAACGTATAAAAGCTTCCGTGGTCAGTGAAATCTAGCGAGGGAGAGCGATCTTCGAATACCCAATTGCGCTCGACACGTCAGTGGAAATTTCCCATGTCGGATGCGAATTAGCTAGCTGCATTCCCCATTCCAAATAGCGCAGTAAACTCTCCTGACGGATAAGCCTTCAGCACGCGACCTCAAGGTAGGTCGTAGTGGAAAAAAGGTCAAGAGGCGTGGATAAAGGATAAACCGTGCAGGTCGGGTGCGTGCATACTAGTAGATAATACTAGTCGTTAGTACGGAGTAGATTCACATGCCCTAAAACAGCAGCTATAGCATCTAGAAGATCAGTTCATCACACTCCTCGTCAAGTGCAAGCCAGCGATGAGTCAGAAGCACTCGACCCATCACAAGACACCTGAGCAAAGACGAGGATAACCGTGGGCGTCGGCAGAGCCCAGAGAGGAAAAAGCCTCGGCTGAACGAAGACCATTTCTTGGCCCGGCTTCTCCCGCGTCATGGCTCCCTCTCCGCATTCTCCTTCTGCAGAGACTCTCTCCTTGGCTAGCAGACACGCCGTCGCTGCCTGATGACGAAGAAATGGGGACCGGCATGTGAAGAGTCCCTTGGTACAGTCCGGGAGTCGATGAGGTCACGCCGGGGAGGGAACCACGCGTGTGCCGACGGCGTCGGGCTGTGGCTGCACCGGGGGGAATGTATACTAGTAGATGTTAGCAGTCCGGTATGGGGAATGCGGAGAGATGGCAGATGAAGAGAGAGGATAGATTAAATCGAGAGAAAGAGTGAAGCGCGGGGTAGAATCTTCCCAGGATATCACCGACTAGGCATCTCATCTCGATCCCACGGGCGAATGCTCCAGATCTCCGTTCGGCTGTGAGAGCATCGAAAGCGGCGCTTCCGCTCGTCCAGCGTCCTCCGCTTCCCCGTCATCGCCGTGTCTCCACGCCAGCTCCCGCAGTTCTACTACGATTAAGAACGAATATTAATGCCCACCCACCCCATGGCCGTAAAAGTCAAAACCCGCCACTTGGACCGAGCCGTGCACTCGATGATCCTCGTTCCCGAGAATTAAATTTATTCCATTCGTTTTTGGTTCTGCTGCCAGCCCCGGCTGACCTGAGCCCTCCTCCCTCTGCCGATTTAAATACCCTAGGTCCAGCCGAGGGACGTAGCTTTTATACTTCCGTATCTCCCCGTCCGTCTGGATCGCCTGTGAAGGTCCGATATCGTCCTCGTTCTGTCTTGCCTGCGCATTAAGAAAAGAGCTCTTCCGGCCTTTTTGGAAGTTGTCTTGTCTGCCATCTTTCTCTCTTTTGTATCTCTCTGGCTCCGTCCTTCGCTCTCGCTTCTCCTCGGACCCCTGCACGTGCCGGCGCATTGGTGGCTTCGCATCGTCATCGCAACGCTTCCAATACCAATTGACTCATCTCGTCTGTTTCTTTGGAATAACCACAATCCGCAATCATGTCTGCAAAAGGAGGCAATGGCAAGAAGACGACTTCGCCGGCCGTCAACCTGATCGGTAGGCCTTATTTCTCTCGCCGGATTGGCAAACTGTGCACGTCGCTAACATGTGTTACCTAGCTGGTGGCGGTGCTGGTATGATGGAGGCGCTCGTGTGCCATCCCTTAGATACCATTAAGGTCCGAATGCAGTTGTCGCGACGCGCGAGAGCTCCGGGTGTAAGTGACCTCTCAATGTATGGTCCTTGGCTGAGCTCGGACTAACACCTATCGCGACAGATGAAACCCCGGGGCTTCGTCACCACTGGTGTCGACATCGTGAAGAAAGAAACCGCATTGGGTCTGTACAAGGGTCTGGGAGCCGTGCTGGGAGGTATCATTCCGAAGATGGCCATCCGGTTCACCTCCTATGAGCAATATAAGCAAATGCTTTCGGACAAGGAGACTGGCGCAGTCACCAGCAAAGCCACCTTCCTTGGTAGGTTGCTCAATTCCACGTCTATACCTTTACCTAGCCACGCTAACCTTATGTCTCCCAAACAGCCGGTCTTGCCGCTGGTGTGACGGAAGCCGTGGCCGTCGTGAACCCCATGGAAGTCGTGAAGATTCGCCTGCAAGCGCAGCATCACAGTCTGGCAGATCCCCTCGATACGCCCAAGTACCGCAGCGCCCCGCATGCTCTCTTCACCGTCATCAAGGAAGAAGGGTTCAGCACTCTGTACCGCGGTGTCTCGCTGACCGCGCTGCGACAAGGAACCAACCAGGCGGCCAACTTCACCGCATACACCGAGCTGAAGGCGGCACTGCAAAGGTACCAGCCCGAATACAACAACAGCCAGCTCCCGTCGTACCAGACGACCCTGATCGGACTGATCTCCGGTGCCGTCGGACCCTTCTCCAACGCCCCCATTGACACCATCAAGACGAGATTGCAGAAGACGCGTGCCGAGCCTGGCCAGTCCGCCGTCACGCGCATCCTGGTCATCGGCAAGGACATGTTCAAGCAGGAAGGCGCGCGCGCTTTCTATAAGGGTATCACGCCCCGTGTGATGAGAGTCGCGCCCGGCCAGGCTGTCACCTTCACCGTGTACGAGTACCTGAAGGGCAAGCTGGAGGCCTCGAAATGGAGCCTGGTGGGCGGCAAGTATGAGGAATAAATTCGCCTGGATTCACTCTCCGTGAAGAAAATGGCCGCTGCGTGTTCTCTCGAAAGCATTTGATACCATGAGCATGGTGGCGTTTCCAATTGCGACTTGCGATCTCTGCATCGTCAGTACATATTGTTATTGTTGGGTATATTGATCATTTTTGGGGGCCTCTTGTCTGTCTGGTTAGAAAGCCGCACGGATGAAATCCATTAGCGAGTGGATTGTAAATATCTTTTATTTTCGTTTCATTTGGTTTTTGAATACCACCTTTCCTATGTTTAGAGAACTGTGAGAATCCAGACAATTTTCCTGTCGACTGAAGAGAGAAGAGAAGGCAAGATGGTCGGACGATTCCCGACGAGGAACTGTAAGCCGTGTGGCCTGAGGCAGCACATGCAAACCCCACCAACAACAAACACGTCAAACACGCCAAACACACCGCTTCCCGTCGTTCCTCCGCAGTTCCCAACGAGACCAACAACCACTTGAACAAGCCACCTCTTCAAGGCACCAGGCATTCCGCAGGTGCATACTTCAAGATGCAGTCGGGAATCTCCGGTGAGTTTAACGATGGCTGTTCCTGCAGGAGCTCGCACACCGACTGATCTTGCCTTTCCCCTTTCCCTTTCCCCCTCTTGTTATCCCCGCCATACCCATACCCGCACCCATACCCAATACTCCAGCCTCAAACGCATTTATTCCCCAAACTCGTTCTAATATAATCCATAAATACAGTCTCCTCGGAGCTCCAAAATGCCTTTAACCGGTTCACCTCCGACTCGTCGCTCTTCTGCCTCCCCGTGACAATCACAAACGAGAGCCTGGCCCCTTTGTCCCCTATTCCCTTCTCCGCCCCCAATGCCTTCTACCCCTCTCTTTCACAATTGTCCTCCGTCCTCGAACCCAAAACACCCATTTACCTGCTCCTGCGCCGTCCCGAGGCCGGCTCCTCCTCCCTCATCGCCCTAACCTACATCCCCTCCAACGCCGGCGTGCGGGCCAAGACCCTCTTCGCCTCAACCCGGGCGACGCTGGCGCGAGAGCTCGGTACGGAGAAGTTCGCGTCGACGATCTTCGCCACGGAGGAGGACGAGGTCGTGGGCGAGAGTGCCTGGAAGGAGCGCGATGCGGAGAAGAACGGATCGGGCTCGGGGGTTCAGCGTGAGGAGCTCATGGGGGAGAAGGAGCGGGAGTTGGAGGCGGTGCGGAGAGCGGAAGAGGAGGCGAGGAACGGGACGCCGAGCAGGGATATTGGAATCGGAGGCTCCTTTGCTCGAGGAAATGGAGGATCTAGTCCCTTTGGATCTGGAAACCGGGCATTGCAGATGCCGGTCGACGAGGATGCTAAGGAGGCGCTGAAGTCGCTGCAGCAGGGCGGGCTGGTGCAATTGGTATGTTTCTGGACCGTCCTAGAAAGGAGGACAATTTCTTCGGAAAATTGGTTGGAAATATTGATTCAGATGGCTAACTCCTATGGATTTTGTTAAAGGTCATTGACATTCCCAAGGAGACCTTCAGACTGGGTGGCGCGGGATCCGGCATCGACCCCAACGCCGTCCAGGAACAGATCTCCACCTCTTCGCCACGATATACATTCTACCACTATCCCGACTCCGAGGCAGTGGTCTTCATCTATACCTGCCCGTCCGGCTCGTCGATCAAGGAGCGCATGCTATACGCCAGTTCTCGATTGTACGCCCTTCAAGTCGCCGAGGACCAGGGCTTGAAGATTTCCAAGAAGGTACGGAATTGCAGAATCTGGAGCAGACATTTGATTGGAGAGGTTCGGATATTAACGGTGAAACATTGTAGATCGAAGCGTCTTCGGCGGATGAGGTTTCGGGCGACAGGCTGCACGAGGAGGTCAACCCTCCCCAGAATAACGGGCCCCAGCGAGGATTCGCGAGACCGAAACGACCCGGCCGGTAAATCCGTGACGCCTTGCGGATTTCCCTATGACAGCACAACTCTTTCATCTGCATCATACACAGCTCTTCTTTTGTAGTTTCAGTTCCCACTCATTCAAGACTCTCCGATCGACATCGGACCAGGATCGTAGAAATGCAAACCAGTCGTTTCGGGGCTCAAGATTCCAACATTAAAACAAACGACCGGCCAGCATTCCACAGAGCACCAACAAACCAGGGCCTGTATGTAGAAACACCAAGCCCACCATAAGCTCACGGTCAATGATTTCGAAAACTTTTCTTCTGGTAGAATAAATCCGTCCTCGAACTTCCCAGATTGATAATCTTCGGACACCCGTCCCGGTCCTTCTCGAGGCGCGTACACTCGAAGCAGTAGAACGCATCACTGATCCCCTCGCCGCCGCACACGATGCACTTGTTCTGGTAGTTGCCAAACGAGCACTCGTCGCAGATCCGCACCAGGGTCGTGGGGCGCACGTAGGAATCGCAGACGGGGCATTTGCCATCACACTTGTCACACAGGCGGCCGATCGAGATGCCCGGCTGCTTACGGCACATGACGAGATCGGGGTGATGGCGAGACATGATTGATTAGATGGTAACTGTCAACGGGGGAGTTGGGACTGGATTGAATGTGGCGCGCAAACGGGGGAGAGGGAGCTCGAATTTCGCGAAGGTCGGGACCGCAGGCTGTCTCTCTTGCGATAAGTAGCGAAAATCAGAGAAGGAGGCAAATACAGAAAAAGAAGGAAATAATTTGTAAGCGTGGTCTGGCAACCTGCGTGGTCTAGAGTCAAGGGAGTTAACGGTGAAGAGGCGGAAGAACAGCAGAAGATTCCACGGCTTTTGGCGCCAGATCGGGCGATGGTCCGTGCGGGGACGGTCGAAGTCCCGCCGTTCAGATCGCGACGGATGGTTTCTTTGCCAGTCGAGCGAGTTCCTTCGGGCTGATGAGTGATGAGTGAATGATTGCTTCTTTGGGGTGTTTGTTTGATCTTATCGACGCGTGTCTTCGGTCTTAATCCTAATTTCGTTTTTTCGCTTTTCTTTTCGTGTTGAATCCCTCGGGACAGCTCAGGTCCCTAGGTAAACTACCTAATCTCACAGATATGGCGGAAGGGTGCGTACTTTAATCCAGAATCCAGTTCCCTATCTAGAAATATCCGCTAATCGATACTTCCTTCCCCATGCTAGCTCTCTCGCCTCCGCCGTGGCATTGCCCGAACCGGAGAACGTGATATCATCCCCGGAAGCAGGCGTCAAGCGGCGACAATCATCCATCTCGAACCCGGACCCCGATCACAAACGACGCCGACTCAGCAGCACGACCACGCAGGACGATCACCACGATCGCCGCCCGTCCGTCTCAGACCGCAAACAGTCGTCGCCGGACGCAGAGCGGAAACCGGATCGGAAACCCACCCGGCCCGCTGGGCGCGACGAGGAACGCAAGCGCGGACAGCGGTTATTCGGTGGCTTGCTGGGGACGCTGTCGCAGAGCTCGAACACGGCAGCTCAAAGGCGCCGCGCGGATATCGAGCGGAAGCAGAAGGATAAGTTGAAGCTGCAGGATGAGGAGTACGATGAGTTGAAGAAGAAGAGGCGCGGAGAGCGGGCGGCGATTCGCAAGAAGGAGCAGAGGCTATATGATGAGGAATCGGTGAGTTTGGCCGGGGGTGGTGTGAAGAGAAAGCGACGATGCTGACGGCTGAATGTAGATGCGGACGCGCCACTCGAATTTGCTGGCTATGGCTCATTTCTTGAAGACGAGAGCTGAGCCGGTCTTGGTATGTTTGTCTTGCTGTTTTGCGTCTATGGGCTAAGTTGATCTAACGTGTCTGCAGTACTACAAGCCGTGGCAACTTCGTCCGGACGACCATGCGATCATACGAGACCAGATTGAGGATGCAGAGGCTACTATTTCTCGCGAGGTGGCGGAATTCGAGGCGCGCCATCCGCCTCAGCAAGAGGAACATCCTCAAGAGCAAGAAAAACAGCAGGAACAGCCCGAGCCAACGCAAGAAGGAAACTCTGAACCGGCTCCGGCGCCCGAGAGCAGGACAGAGGCAGAGACGGATGGGAAAGAGTCTAAGGAGACAACACATGAAGTCTCGCACACGGCAGAGGCTGAAGCTCAGCATGAAAAGAGCACCGAAGAAGCCCCAACTGACGTTCCACCTCCTAATGACAATGTTCCCGTCCACCACGAGCACTCAGACGTGCACCGAGGCCATGAAGACGACGGCGGCGAAGTGGTCGAAGACCAGGAGGATACTGTGATTTATTAACTGCATGGCGAATTTCTTTCCAAATCTTCAATTTCTTTCTATTTATCTCTTAATCAGTCTGTCCTCTAGCCACTACTTGACGTTGGAGAATGTATCATGCATGCACGGAGTATGACGACGAGAGGAGACTGCAGATCGAATATCCGGAGAAGCCGAGGCACTTCGGCAGGACGAGAGGGCGCTGACGACACTACAAATCCAAAATGGCCTGTCCTCTTCACCAGAACGACCGTCCAAAACTTGGACTGCTCGTTCCCAGCATCCACGGAATGAAATCGTACTACTCCGTACTAGTGCCCAATCTCGTAGCTTCGTAGCCTCGTTTTTCTCCTGTTTTTTGCTGTTTTTCCCCATCCGTGGGTTCTTCACGTGATGGACAGCTGGCGGGGAAGAGGAGCTCTATAAATAAAAAGAAAGTCGGTATGCATCCGTGGATCTTCCCCAGTAAATAATCCCTCGGTCGATCGGGATTTAGGATTTAATTTTTGGTCATTTGTCCCCTCGTTGTCGACGGTATTGCATGCACGCTTTGCATTGCCATCATGTCCGTTGACAAGATCTCGGTATTCGATGATCCGCGGGTCGAGCGGCGTTCTGCCAGTCTGAATGGCAAGAATTACGGTACGTAGCGGTGATGCTTTTATGCCCAGGAAGTTGTTTTCCAGAACAATCGACTTGAAGTTGTGTTTTAAAGCATCCTAGTAGCCGGTGTCACAGAAATGAACTCGAGCTAATATATATCTCTAGGCTATCTCTACAGCGAGCCCGAGTCGGGCAATTACAGAGCGACTATTTTTCTTGTGCGTGGAGTCCCGAAGGCTCAGATGAACTTTCTAGAAAAGAAAGAAAAATGAAAGCCAGCCTGTCATTTTAAGTTCACTCTGAAGAACCCTTGAGCTCATTCTATCCAGCTTCATGGCTTCCCCGACTTGTCGATGGGATGGCGATACCAGATCCCCATGTTAAGACGGATGGGCCTGCGAGTTGTTGCGCCGGATTGCTTAGGATATGGACGAACAGTGAGGTTCCCTGACATTTTTAAACGGAGATCTGCTAAGAGACGGAATAGGATGCCCCAGAAAACATCGCCTTGTATTCACATAAAAGCTGCGCCGACGACATCAGGGAACTAGGATCTCAACTCGGAGCATCGCAGATCATTCTCGGCGGTCATGATTGGTACGTCCTTTGCCTTCGAATCCCTCAGTCTTCGCGACAACCAAACTAATCCCCGACCAGGGGCGCCGCCCTCGCCTACCGAGTCGCCCTCTGGCACCCCGATTTCGTCTCGCACCTCTTCACCGTGTGCGTGCCGTACGCGCCGCCGCAGAAGAAATTCTTCCCGCTCGAGGAAATGGTGAAGAAAGTGGCGCCGCACTTCTCGTATCAGCTGCAGTTCAGCAGCGGGGAGCTAGAAGAGCCGACGCGCTCGAAGGACGGCATTAAGAAGTTTCTCTCGGCGCTGTATGGCGGGCGCACTCCGGAGAAGGAGTTCGTTTGGGACGCGGAGCTAGGCATTTCCGTTGAGCGGATGGAGAGGATTTTGCCGTCGAGGTTGTTGAGTGAGGAGGTTCGTTCTTTGCCCTTCCCTTTTGTTGTTGCTTTTCCCTGGAAGCTGGGAGGAGGGAAATTCCCATTACATAGGACGAAGTCCTATGTAGGCAATAGATACGGTACTAACCAGAGAACAATATAGGAACTCGAATACTACGCCACAGAATTCTCGCGCCACGGACTTCACGCTCCCTGTACGTTCCCCTCTCTATCCTCCCCTAAGGCCCTAACGAACAAAACTAACCCCCCGGGTCCCCAAAAGTCAACTGGTACCGCACGCGTGAAATCAACTACAAAGAAGAGCTCTCGATCTTAGACCAACGCATCACGGCGCCCGTGCTCTTCATCCAGGCGCTCCGGGATGCCGCCCTCCCGCCTCGTCTGGGCCGCGGCATGACGAAGACAATCCCGCACTTGACGTTCAAGCAGGTTAATACGTCGCATTGGGCGCTGTGGGAGCAGCCTGCGGAGGTGAATGAGATGATTGCCTGGTGGTTGGAGGAGGTAGTGTTTACGGATCCGAGGGTCGTGAAGTTGTAGGTTCTCTCAGTGGGGGGTTCTAGATTGGGTGGTGGAGTTCAGCTGTGCTGGGCTTTGTATTGTACTGGGTTGTGCTGTGGTGAGCATAGCCTCGGAAGGTTGGTTGGGGGCTATGCGAGGGTAAATTTGATATTTTGCTGGGACGAGCTGGCTCGTTTCAGATGTTTTCATTGGTTTTGGGGAAGAGTAGAAGGCCTGTGTATGGAGGTAGTAGAGGATTAAATTGTGTGAACTATATATATAGTAGTTGAGAATGGTCAAATCAGATCGGCAAATGATATACATCGTACTATATAATCTAAACCAAGACCGAGACACAAACTATACAAAAAGATATACAGACATACTTAGAGCACAATCAAAACTCCAAAATCTTCGTCTCAATATAACATCCCGCCGCCTCCAACCGATCCGCATACTCCTGTCCCAAAGAAGCCGGCGTCACGATCCCCCCTCTGGACACCTTCCGAACCTTCTCCTCATTCTCCAAAATAACCATCGCTCCCTGGGCCATCAGCAAGCCGGTCATCGCATACAGCGAGCCCTGATACTTCAACGTGCCCAACGCACGCTTCGGCTCCTGCACATCCTGATCAGCCGTCGCCACAGCCCGATACTGCACGCGATCTCTAGTCGAATCCTCCATGCGCGGACCAGTCCCGGGCATATAGATGAACTGCTTCACGAGCATGCGCACCGGCGGCAGAACCAAGAGGGACACGGCGATGAGGAAAATGAAGTGCAGGGCCACGCCGACCAGGACATTGCGGACGCGCACGAACTGGCGGAAGGTGAACTTCGGGCCGTAGAATTCAGGCATCAGCGTGCTGCTGCGGTGCACGATGATGATGTCGGCGATGGCGGTGGGCGAGGTAGCGAGGACGCCCATGTCTGGGATGCAGCGGACGCCGAAGAGCTTTTCGGTGATGGACTCGCGGGGAAGCGTCTTTGGGGGTGGGGACGCGGCCAGCGCGAATGGTTTCAGGGATTTGGCGAGCTCGGGGTACGGGACTGCGTCGAAGAGAGTGAGAACGGTGCTGAGAGTGCCGCCGCTGGCGCCGGAGCTCCTGTTGCGATGGTTAGAGTACATGTGTGGTATGTAGAGCTGGCTGGCTTACTTCAGTTCGTCGATTGAACAGGTGACTTCCTTAGTGTGGCAGGATAGTTCCTCGCGAACTCGTTTGACGAGCGACCAGGAGAGCATATCTGCCGGAGCACTTTCAACACCCATGAAGGGAATGATCTAACACAATTAGAATACCGATGTAACTCTAGAAAAATAGGGCACTCACGATAGCCCCGGTTGCCTTTGCAGTATCATGATATTTCTCAAGAACGCTCTTGATGAATGGTGGCTCTCCGGTTCTAGAACTTCAATTAGAATGACTCTGTCATAGTCCACCATAGAGGGATCATACGCATCAATATAATGGGTCCCATTGCTTGCGCAAGCTTCAACCACCGGAACCGAATACAGAACATATGGACCAATGCAATTGATAATGAGCTTTGTTCTCTGCGCCAAATTATGGAGCTCCTCGCGATTGAGCTGAACAGCCAAAATCTCTACTGGAGCGTTAGCAATGGCCGACCTCAACCCAAGGTCCAATGGAGCAATACCTGGTGGGGTGCGATCCGGGTTCAATGGCTGGATTTCCTGGGCTACATTCTCGATCTTTGGGACAGAGCGTCCCGCAAGAGCCCACTTCAGGTTAGTGGGCAAATTCCGGACAATGTGTTCTGCACACAGCTTTCCTGTGTAACCTGTCGGGCCGAGGACGACTAGGTCGAATTCCCGGCTGGATTGCATGTTGGATTGGATGGAATTTTTGAGTTAGTGTGGGAAGGTTATATCGGAATATAGGGGACTGAAGTCATATACTATAAGACAATGGGTAGAATTGAATATATATACATGTGTTGAAAGAGGGGGAGAGAAAAGCCGCGGTATAGATACGGGCAGGGGTGCTCTGGGGATTCTAGACTGCCGTCTCAGGAGTTGCTTCAGGCTAGCCCCAAAAGGAAAGGGAATTGATGACATCATACAGTCATGTGATTCGACGCAAACTTCTCTCTCACAAGGGCTTTCCCCAACATCCATAGATGGTGATAAAATGAAGTTTAAGATGGCAAATTAGCGATGCAAATACTCTATTCTTAGGGTGGATTATGGCAGTCTCAGGTTCATAGGAGTAGCGGCGATGATGACGTAGGGCGGGAGAAGAGATTGCACTGTTGAGCACCATCCGGAAAGTGCATAAATTTGATAAGGCAGACAAGGACCACCATACGACAAACTTCATTCATATTCATATTAATAAGATGACTTTTGACCATTAAAACCGAAAAGTTTTGTCGGCTTCGTGCCTGGACCAGATTCTATAGATCGCCTCCAGTTTCGACGCGGCGAGCCCCACGTGACCGTCGCCAAGAGTTCGAGCCCTAAGCGAGCCCACAACGACTCCCGCCTACCTAGAAAGCCTCAGTCTCGATTTCGACTTACCGCACTGTTACCATCTTCGACTTCAACAGCCTAACAGCCAAGATGACGAAGCGCACCAAGAGTGAGTATATCGCCTTGCAGAAACATGTCGACGTCGAGGAAATTAATCACTGACTGAAAATTCCAGAGGTCGGCATCACCGGTAAATATGGTACTAGGTACGATTTTGCTCTACGCCCTTCATTCTAGGAATCCGGTTTGAATTCGATGGCGCTCCTCACCCGAGTGATCACCCCCAATGAACGAATTCGAACTCGAGACCTCGCCCTCGATCAGACGAGACAGAAGAGAAGTATTGACGACGTGATCGAACAGATACGGTGCCTCCCTGCGTAAGCAGGTGAAGAAGATGGAAGTGTCGCAGCACGCCCGCTACATCTGTACCTTCTGCGGCAAGAACACCGTTAAGCGCAAGGCTGTTGGTATCTGGGAGTGCAAGGGCTGCAACAAGTGTGTTGCCGGTGGTGCCTACACCGTCTCGTAAGTCGAGCGCCTGTTTTGACAATTTTTACTCGCCACTTTTCCGTCCTGGACATCGGCCAGACTGGGCTCTTGTACCAGGGGAAGTGACCTATGTGACAAATACTGATTGATGCGATCGTGATACAGCACCCCCGCCGCCGCTGCCACTCGCTCCACCATCCGTCGTCTCAGAGAAATCGCGGAGGTTTAAATGTGATGATGGGATTTCCTTTTACGTTTTAAATCAAAAAATAGCGAAATTCAATACCTGAAGAGCTTAAATGATTGAACTCCTACGATCTTACCCCTTCTCTCGATCTCAATAGCGCTCGCTGTCGTGCAGAATTACGCCGTATCCCAATAGACCTTGACTCCCTCCGGCGATTTCGGATTTTTCAAAAAAAAAAAAAAGTTTTTAAGACCCTTTCGTAGCAGATATTCCGCATCTGCAGTTTTTCGTCTACTGTATTGCGCTAGGATTCATGTCGCCTGTTATGAATTTTTTATTTCGAAAGGTTAAAAATACTGTTTGTGATCGTGTCTTCTGACGTTGCAAGATTGCTGCCATGTGGGCGAACTCGCACCTCAGCAGGAAATGAGCGAATTATTCATTTCTATTGGCGCGTGTCTCAACCGGACAGATGGCGCAGTATGGAGCATGCATGCCTATTCTCTTTGTTGCCCTTCGGGCTGTTCGGCGGAGTCCACGGTAGCCAGTTACATTCTGCATGCTCGTTCGACTAGTTACGGAATAGACTTCGGATGGATACGAATCCGACCAGGTAGTGATGAAGTCAAGGATCACTGAGAATGGGCTTACACTTTTTACAATGTTCTGGAGGAATGGCACCATAGTGCCGGTATGTGGAATAAAGTTATCGTGGGGAGTTCCTCAAAAATCGGCCAGCGGCATACTCAGATTGACTTCAGCGCTGTAAAACGGGTTGCACCAGCTGACGGATCCCGCGAGAGGGGGCTGTGGGTGAACCTGCTGAGAGCTGCAAGGGCCTGACCAGCCCTGACGAAAGCACCGACTTTGGTTTTACCACCTGAGGCCATCAGGAGGCGGCTGCGCTCACTCTCTTCCCGGGCGCTCATTGGCCCTCGACGACGGCCGGTCACGTTGCGGCCCAGACTCCTTTGCGTTAGACTGGATTCTAGGTCCACCTTCAAAAGGCCGGCTGCTTTCTCCCCACATCACTTCGTCTTGCTTCCTCTCTCTCCCTTTCCCTTCTTCTTCCCACGCCTCTCTCCTATCCCTTTTTGCCAGCTGCTCTTCATGCCTTCTCTTAGCTTCCCTGCAGACAATCCTGGCACATCCCCTACTGTTAATGTCCGACACTTGTATTGTGTGTTTAGGAGACCTTGGCGAAAGCGCCAGCGATCCTCTTGCCGTCACCGCCGAGGCCGCGCCAAGACCTGATCTCGGAGTAGATGGCAAGCCCAATGACCTTCCTATCGAGCCGAACGGCGTGGACGGCAATGAGGACGCTGGTCAGATCGCCCAGTTACTCCCTTGCGGCCATATCCTGCACAATAATTGCCTGGCACCATGGGTCGAACGTGCCAACAGCTGTCCCATTTGCCGCCGCAGCTTCAATGTGGTGGAGCTGAGGGAGCAACTCGGAGGTACGTACATTGCTTTATACTTTGCCAACCACTTCTGCATACAACCTGCATTGATCCGTGATGGACGCTCGCTAACCATGAACTCTTCCTCCGGCAGGGCCCGTGTTGTCATCTTACTCCGTGCAAGACCGAACACAGGTGGCGGATGTTGATCCCTCCATGGTAATAGAATATTTGGATGATGATCTGGCCGAGTTCCAACCGTGTCTCATTTGTGGAGATGCAGATAATGATGAGCTCCTGCTTCTCTGCGATGCGTGCGATGCCCCGTCCCACACCTACTGCGTCGGGCTCGATACGGTGCCGTCCGGGCCTTGGTATTGTTCGCGGTGCCTCATCCAACGCACGTCGGGATCGTCCTCCGAATTGGCCGAACGATCCCTCCGGACTCCGGACCGCCGCGGTCGCCGCACGAGGGCACAGCAGCGGAGACTGCAGAGCAGGAACCAGATGAACTCTGTCCACTGGGCACGGGTATGGCAGTCCGTCTGGGATCATCTTAACCTTGACTTGGATTTTCCTTTTGATGATGACAGGGCTGCAGAGCGTGCCCGCCAGCAACAAAGACGCGAAGAAGCCAATCAGCGAGAGTTTCGCGTCTGGCAGCGTCGGTTTGAGGTCGCGGAGCAGCAGGGTGGCAGCAATCGATTCAGAGACACTGCTGCTCTCCTCGACCTGGAAGTTCCTCGCCCATCACGACCTCGTGTTCCACGGGAACCCACTCCGGAACCCGAGTCTCTCGAGGAAATGAGAGCCTGGAATGCTTTCGAGCGAGCTCGGGAGATTGAAAACAATCCGAGTGCCGCAAGAAAGAGAAAGGAGCCCACCATGTCGCCTTCACCGGAGCCCACTGAGCCGGAGAGAAAGCTGAAGCGACCGCGAACCCGCAGAGCTCAGGACCTGGCGGCTCTGGCTACGCAGAATGGGGAATCTTCCCGAACTGCTAGCGCCCAAGCTTCCGCTCGAATCAACGCCGAGGGTTCGAGCGAGCCTAGCTTCCTTCAATCTCTCCTCAAGGAAGTAGAGGACTCTTCCACTCCCCGCGGTGCCAACTCGCAAGGCCCCTCCGCCCAAGCTTCAGTCGCACCGACCGACCATCCAACGCCTGGTCCGTCATCCCCGTCAATATCGCCTGCCCCTTCCAACCACTCGTCTCCCTATTTATCATCTTCAACACCACCGCCGCACCTTCGGAGCAGGCCAATTTCTCCAATTCAGCTCGCGTCCCCCATGGTCCCATCTTCTCCACTATTTTCACCAGACGTATCGCCAGCAGGCACTGGCAATGACACCAAGGAAGATACGCCATCGCGACCGGCCGCTGAGCGGCCTCAGCCGCGTGTGCCAAGGGCATGGTTGCAATCATCAGGAGCACGGTCCAACGATAGTTCTCCGACCCGTACCAAGCCGTCTTCGGCTGTCAAATCCGACATCCAAAGACTTGTTGGGGCAGCGCTTAAACCATACTACCGCTCAAGAATCATCTCGAAGGATGAGTATACTGATATCAATCGGAGTATATGTCGGAAACTTTATGAGCGCGTTGGGGGTATCGGATCCCTCGAGGCAGATGTGAAGGAAAATTTAGAAAGCACGGCCAAGGACGAGGTGGAGAGTGCCGTTGATTCCCTCAAACAGAAACAGAGGAGCATCAACGACCATGATGATAGTGCTTGATATATGAATTTCATACGGCATGTGCCGGCGTTTATGCAGCGATTTAGCTTGGTTCCATTGGGGAAAGCATCTTCTCGGGCGTTTATCTATGACCTGCCGGAAGGGATACCATGGAGATATCTGTTTTATTGTTTCTTTTTTCTGGAGTCTACGGTGGCAAGCTTGGGATTAGCATGAAGCGCAAGTCAACCTTTGTAGCTGTCCCCTCTTGATGTTGTATGATTGAGAGGATTTTCCATCAATAATATATTACCATCAGCCCGTCTTGATGGCGGCCTTTTCCAAGAAGATTTTCAAAGCTTTGGTATAGATACTTCTGAGTATTAGGACAAGCTAAACTTGAAGTGAGAGGTCGAGACGTTTGCTCTGCGCCCTAGCAAAGAGTATGGTCGTAAGCATTATTAGTTGTAGTCTGGTAGGCCTCAGGGATCAAGGCTCAAGCCCATGTAACCACCCCGCCTTTTCTCTCCGCACTTTTCGTTTCCTCTTCACGCAACTCCTCCCGGTGAAAAGACATGTGCAAAGCAGTGCAAATTGAAACGAATCCTTGTGTACGATCTTCAGGGCATAACTGATCTATTGTATAATAGGTCTAGATATGCTTTTTCTCAGTCGGTAGCTCTAATAAATTGTTCATGTTTTATTCTGCCTACTGACTGCATTAGCTTAGCTTTACGCAGACTTTCGTCCACGTTGCCAATTCAACGTGTGCTTGCATACGCGATATCCACTGAACAATCATCCCCAGCAATTAGAGGTTGCCTGGTCCCTGATCACTGCGTCATGGGACTATCATATTATTAATAGCATCCAGTGGCGAAAATCAGTAAAGACTGAGATCCTGATGCGATGCACACGGCATATTGCTTACTCACCCGTGGCACAAAACAGTGATGACTGATCAGCATAACGAAAAGCCTTTAAGATCGGACTTTCCGCGCCGTGCCTCTCTAACCTCCGAGATTGATAGGGGCTTAGTATAAGGTCGGACTCCCGAGCGAACGGAGTTATGGATCGACCAGCTATTCAAGCCAACATGCTGACGAATCGACCGGAGCCCCTTCACTCCTTCTGCTTCAGTCGGGCAGTCCAGCGCGCAGTCCTGCGTCGGTTCTCGGGAGTAGTGCTAGGAACATCTACCGATACCCGCTGAATGGTCAACAAATGTCAAGATAGAGAGAAGCTAAGGCGTCGGCTAGAGTGGGTTCTTGACCCTCCTGACCCAATAGGTTATGCGAACCCGGACATGGTCGGTCTTCGGACCGCTACAAAGCGCGAGCGGCGTTTCTCGAACCCACGTTTCCAACTTCCACCCCCTTCTAACTGTTGGAATCTTAAAACTTTGACTCATATGTGCCCCTGGCCGCCAATCATAATGGCACCGAGCTACCATCGCCATGGGCCGATTATCCGGTCAAGGTACTCCGTACACTACGGACTAAAAGTACATGTCAGATCTTCGCTCTCGGTGTTAATGGTCTGCGACTGACGCTTTCAGACCGGGAAATGATCTCATTTTAACAGGATCGGACTGGCGGTCATGGGTCCGTTCTTTGGCTTTCGGGCCATTCCTTTCCCTTTTTTCCTTTTTTTTTTTTTTTTCTTTTGGTGCCTTTTCTCTAATCGATTTTATCCTCGCCCATTACGAATCAGTATGCCGGGGTATCGGTGCCGACATTTCGGACTTAAGATTTTATCATGGTGGAGCACGTTTGAGGGCTGGACACTCCGGTGTGGCAGCTTTGAACCAAGATTATTCTAGTCTGGTTTTCATTTACTAATTGATAGATTTTTGGGGATATTATTTTTGCTATAGGAGGCCCACTTTCTTGATGTTGCGCAAATACTTATAATCTCCGGAGGCCCACGTTTTGGCCACAGGTTTCACAGCATTCAGCGCTTTATAGATTTGATTTTCAAACGATTTACTATTTCTTAATACCCTGAATAATCACAAATCTATCTCTATTTATCTGAAGAGGAACATTACGACACAGGAAGGAAATCCCATAGATCGCCAGATCCTGACCAAGCGCCATGGTTTCCGAAAACCAGAACAGCGCAACGATAAACGATACCAACGGCATGGCTCCCCGTTATGATCATACGAATGAGCTCCCAGTGTCGTCGGACGTTACCTTGAACTCTGAGACAAATTCCGCAATAGGGGACCCGGAGAAGGAGCTTGAAGCCTCCCACGAAAAAGACCTGGAGAATGATGGAGCACTTGCCCAACCAGCTGGAAGCGAGAAGCCAGACGCAGCGCCTCAGAAAGACCCGAACTTGGTGGAATTCGATGGACCGGACGACCCTGAAAACCCGCAGAATATGCCTTACTGGAAGAAATGGGTCTTAACGATGACCTTGTCTTCGATGACAATGTGGATCACCTTTGCGAGTAGTGTCTTCTCGACTGCGACTATGGTGACGGCGAAGGAATTCAACGTCTCGACCGAAGTGATGACATTAGGAACCAGTTTGGTTGTCTTTGGATTCGCGCTGGGGCCTTTGATGTGGTCTCCCATGTCTGAATTGTATGGACGCAGACTGCCACTGTTCTTTGGCTATGCTGTGTTTGCGATCTTCCAAATCCCAGTTGCTGTCGCACAGAATCTCCAGACTATCATGATTTGCCGTTTCTTGATGGGCGTGTTTGGCTGTTCCCCTCTGGCGGTCGTCGGTGGTGCTATGGCAGACTTCTGGAACCCTATCGACCGTGCTGTGGCTATTGCGATGTTCTCGGCTGCAACTTTTGTTGGACCAGTGCTAGGTATGTTTCTCCCTTGAGGATCTTCTTTGTCCCCCAATCTTGCAACTTCCCGTCTAACATGCACGCATAGGCCCCATTGTTGGTGGTTTCATCACGGACTCGCACCTTGGCTGGCGCTGGACGGCTTGGATCACTCTGATCGCCTCGGCAACCTTCGGCCTCATCGCCCTGGTCATTATCCCCGAGACGTACGCCCCTGTTATTCTGCAAAAGCGCGCTGCTCGCCTCCGTAAGGAGACCGGTAACTGGGCACTACACTCAGCTTTGGATGAAAGTCGCCCTACTGCATCGGAAATCGTTACCAAATACTTGGTTCGCCCAATTCAAATGCTGTTTTTGGAGCCCATTCTCCTCTTGATCACGATCTACCTGGCCTTGATCTACGGCATCCTGTACTTGTTCTTTGAAGCCTACCCGGTTTCTTTCCAGGAGGTTCGCGGATGGACCAACGAAGGTGTTGCTGGGCTGCCATTCCTTGGAATTATGATCGGGGTGCTCTGCGGAGTGGCTCTGATTATCTGGCAGACGAAGACTCGGTTTGCTCGCAAGCTGGCAAAGCACGGTCGTGTTGTTCCCGAGGAGCGTCTTGTCCCCATGATGATCGCGTCGATCATGCTGCCTGCTGGCCTCTTTTGGTTCGGCTGGACCTCCAACCGCAACATTTCGTGGGTCCCTCAGGTTATCGCAGGCATTCCCATCGGTATGGGTATCCTGGTTATTTTTATGCAAGGTCTCAACTACATCATCGACGTCTACCTCATGTTTGCCAACTCCGCCATCGCGGCGAACACTCTGGTCCGGAGTAGTCTTGGAGGTGCTTTCCCGCTCTTCTCGGTGCAGATGTACCATAAGTTGGGTGTCGACTGGGCTTCCAGTCTGCTTGGCTTCATCACTGTTGCGATGATTCCTATCCCGGTTGTCTTCTTCATCTATGGTAAGAAGATCCGGGCTATGAGCAAGTTCTCTCCCAAGCTTTAAAAAGCTGCGTTCGTTTTTCTTTGTTTGTCTTTATGTTCTCCAACGAGATATGCATAAAAAAAGCGGGCATTTGGAAGGCGTTATTGAATACTTTACTACTAATAGTTAATGATGGCATATAGATAGTAACGCTTAAAGTTAATTTTAAACTTAAAGATTTGATGTCTCATCCCATGGTCTAGTTTGTTTCGATGTCTATTATAAAATTTGAAGTGCACATAGCCAGTGCATATAATAAAAAGCTAATGGGACTAATCTCATGATCAATATTTTGGTCGACCGGGTGGACACCTGAATCGGATGGCAATCAATTCTATCCCCGACTAAGGCCGAAGAGCCGAGCCTACTCCTCATCGCCTACCATGGTCTGTTCTCGTTCTCGCCTTTCCAACTCATCGGCTTATTTGCTTTCCTGTCTCCACTTCTTTATGCTTCATTTAGAAATGAATATTTGCATTGGCTACTATGTCGACTTCAAAGGACATCACCAGCCATTCTTTCCCGTTGTCCGCTGCCAGGTTTCGAACAAGAACTGGATGCGCTGAATGTGAGTCTGTCGAGGAAACAAGCCATTATTTGCACTATAGGAGCAGTTGTGCTAAGTTACTGAAAGGTCGGAGGCGCCGTAAGAAGTGCGATGAAAAGCGACCACGGTGTGGGGGATGCTCTCGAATTCATCTCACTTGCACATGGTTAACCGAAAATCAGTTAATAGATCGACGAAGGAACCGCAATCCCCAGAAAATTGGTGAAACACGATGTTATCCACAGTTCACAGTTTTTGGGGATCGGGAATGTCAGTCTGAATCGCAAGACCAAGATTATCCCTTGATTACTGTGCCTCCCAACATTAATGTCTCTTCGATTACTATGCCGGCCCCATTCCAGTCAAAGGAACACCTTCGGCTTTACCACTATTTTACAGCCTCCGTTCTTCCATTCCTTATCCGACAAACAAGTCTAGCAAGGTACTCAGAGCAAAGACATTTCCTTCGACTTGCTCTTGAGCACCCTCCTGTCATGGGTGCGGTGATCGGTATTGCCGCGCTTCGCACCAGGGAGCAGTCATCTCGTCTGAACATCTTAGCTATAGAAAGCTATTTATTCTCAATCAACTACCTGCGTAAAAGTATTTCTCGTGCTAATTACACTGGAGATGAGGATTGGCTCCTGGCAACCACCATTCTTCTTTGTGTTCTTGAGGTAATGATCTCCTGTCTTCCCGCTCTAGAGGCCATGGAATATGACATTTCTAAGCATTTTTAGCAGAATTCACGCTACGATGAGGTACCAAACGCCGGGTCACATATCCTTGCCTCCGGTCAACTTCTGAGCCTTCGAAGCCCCAGGCCCCGCAATTACTACTCACAAGATGCCATTGTTTTCGAGCGAATTTGCGCCGAGTCATTTCTCTATCACTCAACACTTTTGACTCTTCTTGATCCATCGTTAGATCGTATATGTGCTCTCAGGGTCAGGCTTGATCTAGATGGATATTTCTTCGATCCTGCCCATCCTGACGCCAACGATCTGGGGTCCTCTATTTCTACTCAGCCGATTCTCGAAGCTTCCTATGAGTTTTACCTGTTGATTGCGGATATCACGAGGTTGGCAAGAGCAGTGCCATTAACAAGTCCGGAAGATTGTGCTCTTTGGTTTCAGCGGCGAGAGGGCTTTCGACGCTGGGAGAGCACTATCGGCAGTGCTCGCCCGGCCCTGCTCAGTAATAATATCGCTAAGCTTTATGCAGAAGCGATTCGAATCTTGTTTCTCAAAGCGCATCCTGAGTTACCAAGGAATGAAATCGTCGGGTTCCTTGAGGTCAGCTTCCAGCGTGGCTTGGCCCTGATAAAGACCATGGGTTTCGATGAATGCTTTGCTCCTTATTACCGTTTGTGGCCTGTCATTGTCATTGGATCGCTTGCCATTGATTCTGCTGAAAAGCAAATGATCAGAGCAAAATTATGTGCTATGCCCGAATCAGGACAAAAAGGGCCATTGATACTAGTACTGCACCGTCTAGAAAGAGTGTGGGATCTAGATGCTACATCTCACGGTTATGAGCAAGGCATGCTAAGGCTAACGTATTTGACAAAGCTTCTGAGTGGCAAGTGAGGCATGAAGTGAAGGGGAGGTGAGCGAAGTTAAATTCAGAAAGATCCGCAAATGACAATGAATGAGTAGGAGCAAAGAGAACGACGTGTTTCCTATATTGACAATGTCTTGCCTTGTCTGGTTACCTTTTCCGCATACTCGCTATTACTACCGCTTCAGAGCCTTCTCTACAACCGCTGCATCTTGAAGAAGTTGCTCATCTTTCATTGGCCTGCCGATCAGCTGAATATGGCATGGTGCGCCTTCAACCTCTTTTGGACGGTCTACATTGTGTCAGCAACATGTAACTTGAGGCGCAATTCCAAACTTACATTCGGGCTTGTAAACCACGTCTCGAACAAAATCCGCATCTGCGCCTTCATCTGCATAGGCATATGGAAGGATACAAGCGGGGTTCTGGATTAATGTCAGTATTTGAGTGGACACTGAGCATGCGTGACTCACGTTCATGAGGTTGCCGATGACTGTGTATACGGGTAAACCATATTCATCGTGCGGAACTGCAGGGCTCTGGTAGCCTGCTCCCAGAATAAGATCCACATTATTGTCGACGAAAGCCCGCCGCATTTGCGAGAGCAGCTTAGCTCGAGTAATGTTCATTTCAAAAAGCTCACGCAGGTGTGGCTCTGGACCGGTGTCTTCCGGGTCATAAACGTGCTTCAACGAGGGAATGCAAGGCTCGCCACTTTTTGTAACGTTCTCTATGACGACTTGGTCCGGATCGATCCTGAAATATTGCAGAGACAAATCCGCCACCTCAGACAGTGATGGTATTTGACTCGATAGATCGATGATGCGATGACCGCAAGCTTCGAGCTTGCTTGACACAGTCTTTATGGTGCGCTGCATTGGAGGGTGCAAAGGACGCAGTGGATCCTCGGGCATGATGCCAATCGTGAGAATTGGCCTTTGTTGAGGAATTATCCATGGAACCCCCAACACAGTTTCATCGAGATCGGCAGCATTTGAGTTAAACACCGTCTTCAGAAGAAGCTCTGCGTCTCTCGTTGAGTGGCATAGAGGACCGGCCACAGGAAGAATGCCTGGCATTCCGGGACGAACAGCCGCTGTTTGTCCACCATAAGGCACTCTACTGGCAGATGGTTTGAAGCCAAACACACCGCAACAGAGAGCTGGGATTCGGATAGATCCTCCAACATCCGTTCCGATGCCTAGAACGGACCCTCGCATCGCTATCAACGCCCCTTCACCTCCACTACTTCCACCAGCTGTCAGATTCAACCGATAGGGGTTGAGGACACGGCCGAAGATATGATTGTGCGAGTCTGCCGACATCATCGTCTGTGGGATGTTTGTCTTCACATAAAGAACAGCACCGGCAGCAAGAAGAACATCAACCAAGGCGGAATTCTCTGACTTGGGTGGTCGGTCCAAGAACGAGACGATCCCAAGAGACGTATGAATTCCGGTAACGCTGAAGGACTCCTTGAGGCTGACTGGAAGACCATGCAGTGGTCCAACTGTTTTGCCTGTTTCCGCCAAGTAGTCGTCTAGTTGCTGGGCCCTGCTGAGGGCCATCTCGAAAAAGGTCTCGGTCAAGCAGCTTGTCAACTGCTGGGCGATGGCGGCACGCTTGGAAAATGCCGTGGTGACCTCGACCGAGCTGAGTTCACGAGAAGCTAGCTTCTCAAGCAACGCAGTGGCGTCATAGTTCTCGGTGATGCTGATCTCTTTCTCGGTCAAGATCCCACACTTGGCAGGGATGTCTAGCACTCGAGAAGTAGCATCCATGGAAGACGATAGAAAATCAGGCGATAATCTCCACTGCTCTGGGATTTTCTCTGCGGCTTGGGCAGCCTTGAGAGCAGCTTTCTCTTGCCACGATGTGTTGGTCATCTTATGGTATTGGAATTGAATAAAGAAGTCTGTTTGAATCTGGATCAAAGGAAGTATGAGTACCATTTCGCGGGGATTTCAGTCCAGATTTATACCTTTCGCCAAGGACAAGATCATCGTTCTCAAGTTCCGAATCTATTCAATTTCATCCGTCCTGATCCGCAGTCTACAGTTGAGGAGTATCGTCGTGCAGCCGACAGGCGGCCAATCAGATGTTTTTGCGTCGAACTTAAGCGGTGGTGGGCTTATCGTTCATTGTTCGGTCTGAATTCCCCGCACAGGATGGTCAACGTGTATTCTTCGTTGTCCGAGTAGACCCCTGGTGATCTCCCCACATCCTGTCTTTCTCTTCTTGCCTGGTTTGAGATAAGCGCTTGCGCATTTACCGATTTGTACATCTCCCATGTCAAACGACACCACCATGGAGTGCAATCGCGTGATGGATGAATACATAGCAAGTCTAGGGCAAAGATTGCGAAATCTAAACAAGAGCGTGAGTTATGCAGCAACTTGTCCAAAACGTATTCAAATTAATGTATGAAAGATCCATGATAATCCCGAGCTCGCATATGAGGAACACCATGCCCATGAGACCGTATGTACTTTCCTGGAAGAGCACACCACTATTCCGGTGACTCGGAGGTCATACGGCCTCGCCACAGCATTCGAGGCCATCAGCGGATCTAGCGGGAGATGCGTTAACTTCAATGCCGAGTATGATGCTCTTCCGGGTATTGGACATGCTTGCGGGCACAATCTCATTGCGACGGCGGGTGTGGCAGCCTTCCTGGCTCTATCGCATTTGATCGAGCGATTTGGAATTTCTGGACGTGCTCACCTGCTGGGCACCCCTGCGGAGGAAGATGGGGGCGGGAAAATCGACCTGTTAAAAGCTGGCGCGTACGACAAAGCCGATGTCTCATTGATGATGTAAGTTCCATGAGACTGTCTATAACATCTAGGATCTAACTAGAACAGACACCCAATGTCAGACGGCTCTCTCCATGAACTCGGCATTGCGGGAGTAGCAGGCCAGACATCTATCTCCTGCTTCGATCTAATCTGCACATACGAGGGCGTCAGCGCCCATGCCAGTGCCAATCCCTGGGATGGAGTAAACGCCTTGGACGCCATTGTCTGCGCATACAACAACATCTCCATGCTCCGGCAGCAAATCAAACCCGAAGAAAGAATCCACGGAGCAATCATGGAAGCCCCCAAGATCACCAATGCGATACCCGAAAGGACAGTCACCAAATACACCGTCCGCTCACCGTCCATGAAGAACACAGTCGCCCTTGGAGAGCGCGTTCGTGCATGCTTGCAAGCAGGAGCTCTCGCAACAGGCTGTAAGCTTCACATCGAAGAGACTGAGATCTATGCCGACTTGCGCGTGAATGAGCCTCTCTGCGGCGAGTTTGCCAAATGTATGAAGGAGCAGGGAGAACAGGTCCAGGATGTAGCTAGTAGCCCTATCCCGGGCTCAACGGACCAGGGAAATGTCAGCTACGCTCTTCCTGCATTGCATGCTAACATTGGCATTCCGGTCTCGAGCGGTGCGCAGCCGCATACTCACGACTTTTGTACGGCTGCGGGGAGACTAGAAGCTCATGAGATTATCCTGAAGGCTGCGAAGGCCATGGCAATGACGGGTTGGGCTCTCTTGACGGATAATTCATTGTATGGGGAGGTTAGGGATGCTTTTGATCGGGACTGTCAACTACGGTAGACATGCCAGTTTCCGAGACATGTATTGACTGGGAGGCTATAGATTAGGTTCCCCTAGCAGAGAATACTACCTATTCCGTAGACCACGATAGTATAGATCATGTGGTGAGGAAAACCCTGTCCGAATTAGGAAATGGGGGTCCGGTGAGAAGACCAAAACATTGGTTTCCTGGGTGTTATGGTAAATCAAAATGGAAAGAAAAGAAAAGAAATATCTCCATAGACTGAACAGACCGAGTAATTGTCTGATATAAGTCACCAGTAAATACAGAGGCATCGAGGCAAAGAAAAGGAAAGGAAAGAACACGCGACGCGTCCCAGCGAAGGCGGTCAGCAGCGAAAGCGTCCCCTCTCGTCTTTCGTTTCGCTCCGGATCTCCTTATCCTCCTCCGCTTCTCGTCATTCGACATTGTCCCACCCAGCTTGTTCTCTCTTATCCTATCACAGTCTGGCCCCTCCCGCACAGCGCATGGTACCTTGAAGCTTCTTTATCCCCCTTCTCCTCCCTCCCTCTCCGCCCCGTTCCCTTCACCCTCGGCTTCCCCGCGCTCTCGTCCACGATGCCTGCGCGCACCCGTCAAGGCCCCTCCGCCGCGACGGAGGTCGCAGAGCCTGAAGAGGTCGCCGGTGGCTTTCGTCGTCTTCAATTCAATGAACCGCTGTCGTGGCGTGTCGGTCGAGGCGCCATCCCCATCGCAGACCTGCTCCAGCGCCTGCAGACCCTCGCGCAGGAGCTTCGCAAGCTGGAACAGGAGGAGGTTGAGAAGGATTCGCTGAAGAAGGTCTCGCAAGAGCTGGCCACCGCTCAGCTTCTCGGTCACAAGGATAAGGGTGTACGAGCTTGGGCGACGTGTTGCATTGTCGACGTGCTGCGGCTCTGTGCGCCTGACGCGCCGTTTACCGCTAATCAGCTCAAGGTGCGTTTTGTTTGATGGCGTCCCGGTGGAGGATTACCTCGGGGTGGTCGGTCCATTGGACTTCTATCTTTTTATTATTATTTATTCTCTTGACGGTATCGTCAATGCAGGATGGCGCGGCCGATGATGATACTAATACTGATTCTGACCTTGTTCCTGGTTCTAGGATGTGTTTACCTGCATTGTCACCTCGATCATTCCCGCTCTCGGGGACCCCTCGAATCCGTACAACTCCCAACATATCTACGTGCTCAACTCCCTCGCGGAGGTGAAGAGTATCGTCCTCATGACCGATTTGGATCACCCCGATTCGTTGATCGTGCCGCTCTTTACCACCTGCTTCGACATCGTTTCCGGTTCTGCGAAAGCTTCGACCGGTGAGGAAATCGCTAAGAACGTCGAGTTCGATATGACTCGTTTGCTTGTCACGGTTATTGACGAATCACCGGTGCTTGCGCCCGAGGTGGTGGACGTTATTGTAGCGCAATTCTTGCGGGTCGATCCCCGTATCCTGGATCTTCCCGCTGGCAGGAAAGGGAAGAAAGCCGATGCGCCGGTCGACGCTAAGCAAGGGACGTTACTTCTGAAGGATTACCCTCCGGCCTACAACATGTCTAAAGCGATCTGCCAAGCGTGTCCGGAACGGATGACCGGCCACATCAGCCAGTATTTCAATAATGTCATTATCGACGTCTCCGCATCGAAGAACGGCGCGTCGAAGAATTCGAATCGAAGAGTTACGCTTGACGACGAAGAAGAGGAAGAGGAAGACATCAAAGAGTTGAACAAAGCTCATCGTCTTATTCGTGAGCTGTGGAAAGCCTGTCCGGAGGTGTTGCAGAATGTGGTCCCTCAGCTCGAGGCTGAACTCTCCGCCGAATCCGTTTCCTTGCGTCTGCTGGCGACCCAGACTATTGGTGATTTGACTGCTGGGGTTGGCGTTTCTGGACCACCTCCAGCTCCTCCAATGGATCCCACCGTCTATCCCCCAGTCACGCTGGAGGACTATCCCCAAACGATTCCGCAGACGAACGTCGTTTTGACGCCGTTCTCCCCTAAACCGTTCTCTCAGGCACACGGTTCTACTTATGAGGGCTTTTTGAGTCGGCGCCTAGATCGATCTGCCTCGGTAAGAGCTGCGTGGGCGACTGTCGTGGGCCGGATCCTACTGACGTCCGCCGGTGGCTCTGGACTGAGTGACAGCGAGGAGCAGACGCTCATCAAACATCTGGCATCGATGCTGCGGGATGCCGACGAGAGGGTTCGTGTGGCAGCAGTTGACGCAGTGGGCAATTTCGGATTATCTCATATCGTGTTGAAACTTGGTGCGGACGGTGGCTTTTCGTCGTCTGATTCGATACTCTTCATTTTGGCAGAGCGTGTCAAGGATCGGAAGCCTCATGTGCGAGAACGGGCAATGCGGACCTTGGCTCGAATGTGGGCTGTCGCTGCCGGCGAGCTCGAACAGGATAACGAGCAGATCGTGTCTCTTCTCGGAGATGGTCCGTCCAAGATTCTGGACGCCTTTTACACGAATGACCCGGATATCCATGTGTTGATTGACCATGTTCTCTTTGAGATCCTTCTCCCGCTCAATTATCCTCCGATCAAGCCCAAGCTGACGCGGAGTGGGTCGAGTCAGTCGCAAAAGCAAAAGGATTCTCAGGGTACAGAGAGTGACAGTGAGATCGACGTGGACAAGGTTCGCGTTCGTCGCATCCTCACCCTGACAAAGGGTCTGGATGATAAAGCGAAGAAGGTTTTCTTCGCCATGCAGGCCCGACAGATACAGATGAGGACTGCAATCACGCTGTATCTTCAGGCCTGTGAAGAATATAATGTAAGTGCAAGCTAAGCATTCCCACCTAGGCGTCTCCCAAAGCTGATCTAAATGACTATAGGGGGGTGTCATTGAGAAAAATGATCAACGGATCAAAAACCAAATCACCCGCGTCATTGACGGGCTGTCTAAGATCTTCCCGGACTCATCGCGCGCGTCTGCCGACCTGTGGAAATTTGCCAAGGTGCATGACCGACGGAGTTACCAGCTCATTCGCTTTGCTATGGCCGCGATCAGTGACTATCGCACCGTCGTGAAGGCCATCAGGGAACTCGTGAAGAGAATGCAGAGCGCCAATAACAGCCCTGTCCTCGAAACTCTTACCCCCCTTCTGTACCGATGCAGCTCGCTTGTGTACAATCGGAGTCACATTCCGGCGATCATCAATCTTTCGAGGACAAACGAGAACGGTCTGGCCGGTCCTGCGCATGAGCTGTTGCGAGAAATCTCCTCCCGCAATCCGGAGGTGCTGGAAGCCCAGGTCCAGGAGATGTGCAAGGATATCGAAACCCAGGCACCGAAAGCCTCAACCACCAATGACGCTGGGACCGAGGAGATCCTCAAGGCTTGCGCAGGATTCGCAAAGAAACTGGGGTCTAAGCTCCCTAAGGAACGTAAATTTTTCCTGTCTCTCGTCGATCATGCCCTTCACAGCCCATCCCCCCAGGCTGCCAAGCATGCCGTTTCGATCCTCATGGCCACTGCGGACAAGAAAGAGATGTACGCGAAGGACCTTGTCCAAAAATGTGTTGCCAAATGGAATTTTGGGTCGGATAAATTCCTCACGAAGTTGGCTACTCTGGCTCAATTGAGCCTGCTCGCACCCAACGAAGCGGACACCGAGAGCGACGCCATCATTTCTATCGCCGTTAACCAGATTCTACTCACGAATCGGACTCCCCAGCCTGATTCGGGCTATGTCTGGTCGGACACGGTAGATGACGAAACTGCAGCGAAGGAATGGGCTCTCAAGATCATTGTCAACCGTCTACGTGCCAAGGGAGGCTCTGATGGTGAGGATGACTTCCGCGCCCATGCGGAACCTGTCTACGATACCTTGAATAAACTGGTGGCCAATCAGGGCGAGTTGTCGAAGAAGAAAGATACGCCAGGGGCCCAGAAATCCCGGCTACGTCTCCAAGCTTCCAAGTCTATTCTCAAACTGTGTGCATCTCACGGTCTCTGTGATCGACTATTTGCTCCCAGCGACTTCAATTCCATTGCGTTGGTCGCCCAAGACCCAGTCGCGGCCGTGCGAGTTGGATTCATCAATCAACTCAAGAAACAACTGGTGCAGGCTTCCCAGTTAAGCCACCGCTGGTATACGATTCCATTCCTGCTGGCATTCGAACCGAATCCCAGCCTGAAGGACAGCACTCTTACTTGGCTGCGGTCTCGAGCTGCGTTCTTTTCTCAGCAGGGGAGCAGCAAGAAGACCGAACAAACGGCTATGGAGTCTATATTCTCCCGCCTGCTGTCGCTTCTCGCCTATCATCCCGATTACCCACCGGCCGATTTGGACGAAGCCACTCAGTTGGCTGATCTGACCGACTTCGCACGCTATATCATCTTCTATCTTTCTGCGGTGGCTAACGAGCATAACCTGTCGCTGATCTTCCACATTGCACAGCGTGTCAAGCAAGCGCGTGATGGTATCACCAAGTCGGATGAAATCACTGTCCGTCTTCACACGCTTTCGGATTTGGCACAAGCGACTATCCGGCGGTTTGCCGACATCTACTCGCAACAACGCAAATTCGGTGGGGGCGCCGCAGGTGGCACGAACATTCTGCAGACATATCCCGGGAAAATGGGCATCCCAAGCTCCATCTTCGCCGCCATGGGCAGCCACAAGGAAGCGCAAGAAGTGGCCGACAAGAACTTCCTTCCCGACGACGCCGATGACCTGCTCGATCGTCTCGTGCGGTCCGCCATGCGGACGAAGAGCGGATCTCAAGGTCAGGCTGCGGCAAAGAAGAGAAAGACGGACTCGAACGAGCCCGGCGCAGATACTAGCTCATCAAAGAAAGCCAAGAAGGAGAAGGAGAAGGCTCCCCGCACTCGGAAATCATCCACAGCCGCAGCCTCCAAGACACCCAAGAAGAAGAAGAACGAGGATGACTGGTCCTCTGATGGCGGTGGTCGTGATGGCGGTGCAACCGCTTCTGCCCGGAGACGCAGTAGCAGAGGCAACACGTCCCGGAGAATCAGCTACGCAGACCGAGACAGCGACGAGGATGACATCGAGATGGACGAATGGGACCAAGATCAAGAACAGGACAACGAACCCGAAGACGATGAGGCTGATGAAAAGAGCGAAGCTGAGCAAAACAACAATGATATCATGGATGACTCCTCAGACTCGGACCAGCTGTCTGAACCTCCGGACGATGAAGATGAGCCTGAAGAGGAACCAGAAGCCAAAGAGCCTTCGCCGGAGCCGGCCCCATCGCCAGCGCCAGCATCTGCCAAAAAGACTGCTGCCGGAAACCGTAACGCGAAGTCGACGCCAACGTCGCTACCTACGCGACGATCCGCGCGACGAGGATAGGCTATACAATTAGGTAACTTGGAGAGACCTTCCTGGAGGCCGCTTCGCCGCGGCTTTGCTTTCGTCCCTTTGTCTGTGTAAAGAGCTTACTTATGGCACTTATCATCAATGACCTTCCTTGACCTCTCGCCTGTGTGGATCTCTACCTAAAATTTACCTTTCTTTGTTTATTGTTCCGATCAGCCAACCAACCATGTCTGCTGTCCTGTGTTTTCTTCTTATGTTACTTTGCTGGAGCGTTTTCATCTCGTTTTGTTTCTTTAACTTTTATTCTTGTCTCTTCTCTTATCTCTCTATCTGTCTATCCATCCAATTTTTTTCCCAAGTGAATTCGATCCGAGTAAAGCGAATAATCCGGATTGTAACCCAATGAAGTTGGTCCTTCTTTCTTTCTTTCTTTCCTCGTTACTTTCTGCTATTTCCGTTATTCTCTATCGTCTTGTTTCTTGTTTCTGTTTCCTAAGTATTCTCGAGTACCAGTGTCAGTGAAATTTATACCCACTTCATTTCTTGCTTTTTCGTCTTCATCTGATCTGATCTAACCTCATCTCATCTCTCAATTAATTAATCTATGTTAGCTACGTGGTTGTTAGATACGTGTCATTAATCTGTCCATTGGTATCAACACTCCCGTAGGAGCCTGAGGTTTCATTTCATAAGTCTACGTCTACTGACCAGCTAGAAAGTGAGACAGAAATGCAAAGAACAAATCTTTGTATAGATTGCATGATTGCAACGCAGAATATTCCCAACATCAGACGGATCAGGTACAATGGTCTGGTTGCTGCCTATCCAGAAAGAGAAGGAGAGAAATAAAAATGTATTTACGCCGACCATGGACAAAAGTGTCACAGAAGTAGGTAGGGGGGATAGTAGTAATAGGATCAGCCGAGGGAGAACACCATAACCCAAGCTGATTTAAGAGTATCAAACACAATCAACAATCGAAAGACCAGGAGGAAGGAGGTAAAACTTCCAAGACCGTTCAAGTCGCTTAAAATCATATACATCACAATCAACAAGATCAAGTAACCAACCCAGGTGGAGAGTGGCTTTCCCATGATGATAAAAACACAAGGAGAGAAGGAGGGAAAAAATGAGGATGGGTAACCCCACAAAAAAGGAAAAGTGTACATTCATGTTAGAAGCGAGGAAGGAAGAAAAGAAAAAACGATTCACCATTGACTCATGACTTTATGATGCATTGCCTCCGGCACCGGCATTCCGGGCGAGTCTTTCTTCCACCCGTTCTTTGTGCTGTCGGTTTCTCAGATGAACTTCGAAATTGTCGACCGTGGTGGCGGGACCGGGAGTGTACAGCTTCCCTGGACAGTCGTGGCACCGGATGCGAGGGAGGTATTGATATTTCAGCTTGTGCCCCGGTTGGGTGCTCGAACTTGCTACCGGGAGCATCGTTTCGGTATCAACAGCGGTGTAGCGCATGACACCTTCGAAGGAATCGTTGGGATACGAGCGCTTCAATCGCGCGAGTCCCGCTGCAAGCCAATTTGGAGGCGGAGGCTAAGTCAGGGTAAGGTCAGCAAGGCACCATGCTTGGGGTTGATTCCGTCCTTTCGGATAGGTTGATTTGTTTCCTTCTCTTCTCTGTTTCTCTAACTCTTTTCTTTCTTGATTTTTTTTTCTCTTCTTTCATACACCCATGACATCCAGTCAGGAACTGGTGCCGCGAATTCCCAACAAAAGATTTTATAGATTATTTCATTAGTAACTCACCCCAGAGACACCCGGCTGAGGGGGTTGAACAGCATCTATCGCTCCGATTTGTTGAGCGGGAGCATTTCGTTGCGTGGGAGTACCGACACTTGGTACTCGAGCTTGAGGCTGAGGTTGTGACGGCGGCGCCATAGAACTCTGAACGGGAGTCTGCACCCCAGGCGTGCTTTGTTGTGAGGGCAGCTGAGCGCCTGGAGTCGACGCCGAAAGGCCGGATACCGCCTGAGGGCCATGGGTGAGGTATTGACGGAATCTTTCCCGGTTGATCTTGAGTTTGACAATCAACCGCTCAGTCTCTTCGACACTCTCCTCTCGATAGTCGCGTCGTCGGGCCGAAACTCTGCTTTCGTGGTGAGGTTCTGGAGTGGCAGATTGGCCGAGGTTGGCGCGCAGGGCCGCATGCGCTGCAGTGGCGGCCCCTCGCATACCTCGTGTGCGCGCAGTGCCCTGGGCCAGATGGGGACCGATGGCGGGCGAGGCCGTGATCGACGATTCGTCGCTATCCGAGTCTTCGGAATCATCACCACCGTCACGCATTCCGACCGCGGCGCGTCGGTGTCGACTCGACCCTGACCGCTTGAACACGTTGCTTTCGTCGATGGATGCGGCCGTGTTGGGAATGACCGACGAGACGAGCATCGTCCGAATCGTTCGTTGACGGTCCTTGAGATCGGGGAGTGCCGGTCCGCCGCGCCGGTTGACCGAGCGTTTTTGTCTTCGTTGGTCTCTCGATATGGACACTTCGGTGCGTTCCAATTCTGCTTCATTCAGTTCATACAGATACGGCGTGAATTCCTTGGCCGCCTGGAAGGGTCGGAAGGGAGAGATCACGGGAGAAGGTAGGAGAGCGGTTTTGAGATCGGGATCTTCGATGGGACGCCCGTCGAAGGGGTGAGAGAGGATGTAGAGCGATTTGGTGAATAGCTGCGATTGTTCACGAATGGAGTGTGCAATCGCAGTGGTGAATTCACCGGAGAGAGAGAGGTCGTCGGTCATGCGCGCGGCAAATTCTTCCGGCGAGTTGAGGGGGTCGTTAATATCCCATTCGAACTGATCTATCAGCGTATGCTGGCCGATGGTGATGTTTAATTTTACAAGAATGCGCATTTCGTCGTTTTTGTAGGCACTGTACGGGAGGTGAGGGTCGAGGGGTTCTTCTTCCATATAGATCTGGGGGTAGTAATCACAGAGTTGCTCCTGGATGCTCTGCGACATCATCCGAATGAGCGGACCACAGGATTCGAGCGGGAGGCCCAGGTCTTCGGCCAGCTTTTCGGCGAACAGGTCGGGGGAGACGACCCGATCATGCAGGTTCCAGGTGAAGGTATCTCGGATTTTGATCTTGTCCCAGTCGATGTCTAACCGAATCGGCACCAGGTTCTCTATTTGGTCGCTCTGCGTCTTCAGGTCTTTTCGGGAGATCCGCAACTCCCGCGTCCTTCGGTTCCCTGGTCGACGACGGTTGGACGGGTACAAAAGCTGGGGATGTTGCCCTCGCAAATCCGTCCGAGGGTTTCCGAATCCTTCGTATCCCACTCCGTAGAGGGCAGCCGGGTTCATATGATTTTCGCGTCGGATAGTGAGGAAGTAATCGCGTTCGGCGCGTTTTTGGTGCGCGATTTCTTGGCTCGGGTTCTGCCAGGCCACCAAGGCCGAATGTTGGAACTCGCGGTTTACGTACTGCTCCAGCAGAATCTTGTCCGCGGGCGTTTCGCGCACCCGTACGGGTAGCTCTTCCGTGGAGTGAGCCGTGGAGCCGTTTCGCGACCGCTTTTTGCTCGATGCTAAGCCATTTGAGTTGTGAGACTGAGACCCCGACGACGGATCACCATTCGACGCGTCCTGGCCGGCCTCGGCGGAGGACGGTACGCCCGAAGCTGCCAGCACCGCCTTTGCGTTCTGTTTCCCCTCCGAGATCGCATCCGATCCATTCGTCGACGGATCCGTCAAGAATTCAGCGGTAACATCGCCGGAATGACTGTCGGGCTGGACATCGCCAGGGAGGTTTCCCGTGTGAGGGACGTCGGGTGACGGCATGATCGTAAAGGGACACGGCAGAGTCGATGATGGAATCTTGTTGATGAGGCGAGAAAGAAGGATGTGTCAAGTGCGGGAAGGGATGGGCATTCGCGCAGCGACACTCAATCGACCAGAATTGCAAGCCGGAAAGAAGGTAAGGATTGAATTACGGCAGCATCCTTAGTGGGTGATCTATCTGCGACACGACACATTCAGGTCAGCCAAAACCGCATGAGCAAGACACCATCGCACTAGACGACGCGCCAGCGCAACCGGAGGCGAGAGGGGCGCGCTTTTGTCGCGGAACAAAGCAAGCAGGATGAAGTCGCCATCTCGCCACGCAGGCACGGTCCGCGCGTCACTCGTCGCCGAGAAGACATGACCAAGGAGGATTCAGGAGGGAGAGGAGGGGGGAAGAATTAAAATGAAGGTAATGGGGGACACGATATGGGGGGAATGGAAGGCAGGGAAGAGGGGAGGGCAACACACCACCGACGCCAACAGAGGGCAGACGGGAATGACAATATAATAATAGAATCCAAGGGGAGGGGGAGGGGGAAAGGAAGTAGAAATTAAGGCATCAAAAAATACAAATCAAAAAATCGAGCAACGGCCGGGACGAATCACAGGGAGCATCTACTAACCAGCGAAAACAAGGGACGACAAGCAGCTGGATGGGTCTGCGGTCGGTCTGGGTCTGTCTTGAGCTCGAACTGAAGGGAAAAACGGAAGCGAACGGCTAATCAGCTGACGGCTAGAACTTTAGTCCTGCTCGCAATTTCGAACCGGAGGCCTTGTCCCCCCTTCGAGCATTGAAGTCCAGTCGATCCCCCCAGATGCGTGGGGTCGGACGGTGTGAATGCGACGGTGCTTGCAGTCGGCTTGAAGGCGAGCTTTCAGGAGGGAAGAAGAAGAGGAAGAGAGAAGGACGAGCGAGCGAGACTGCAGAAAAACCCCCGGCGCCCGACTGCCTCCCGTTACTTACAAGTGCCGTTCGCCCCCCCTTGGCTGGTCCAGGGGGGAGGGCGCCGTCGGGCAAGCCGCCCGGGTCTGTCGGTCTCGAGGTCGACTGCCGATCGATCTCGCATCCGGGATTCTTTCGACTCCATCCGGATTCTTTTTTCGCATCCTGATGCTCCTGAGATCCTCCTGAGGCTCAACGCCCCCGTGACCGTATCGCCCCCGTATTACCGCTGGCGTTTCCGTACGGTATCGGTCCCTTCCCGCGGCGCTATCCCCTTTCTGGGGCATCATGTGATGTGCACTAGCCTCCAAGCGGCAATCGATGGCCAGTCCGGGCGGCTTGGCGTCACGGGTCAGTGGGGATCACGCGCTGGTTGTCTGCGGTATTACGGGGTATTGATGTATTACCGACTGTCTCGCTCTTCCTCCTTTCTCCGTATACGACATCATCCTTCATCAATGATTGCATAAATACTTTGTATACTAGAATGGATCTACTTTCGAATCCCCCAGTACTCCGGAAGCCTATCTGTGCAACCTCACGTCACTCACCACCGCCCGATGGTCCGAGTTGAAGACGCCGTCGTCAAACCGATTGGCCAACACGGCGTAACCCTCCACCGTCCACGGCTGTCCTCCGTTGCCCAGAACCGTGTCCGACTGCAGCTCCAACAGGATGTAATCGATGCGCGACGGCGGCTGTCCCTCGTAGCCAAAGCCCGTCCACGTTATCTGGTTGCCGTAGTGCTCGGCCCCGTCGACCTGCTTCCCTGCGTCCGCCAGTCCCGACTCCGGTCCCGTCAACACTTGATACGCCTCCTGCTCCTCCTCGCTGTTGAAGTCGCCCGTCAGGAAGACCCCGTTGATCTGGTCCCCGTACGGCCCCGCGCGATACTCCTGGATCTTGCGCAAGATGATGTGAGCCGCTTCGTAGCGCGACCGAGACCCCTGATCGTCCAGGTGGGTGTTCAAGGCCAGCACGGTCTGCCGGCTGGTCTGGTGCTTGAACACCCCGACGGTGACGATGCGAATCGACGCCGCGTCCCAGCTTTTCGACGGCTTGTCCGGCGTCTCGGACAGCCACACCGTCTCCCAGTGCTCGAGCTGCCAGACCGCGGGTCGGTAGAAAATGGGCGAGTACTCGCCCGCATGCCGGCCGTCGTCGCGACCCACCCCTATATAGGCCCAGGTGGGGTCTGCGCCGGTGGCCGGGGCCGGAGCATTCGACGGTTGGACGTTGAGTCCGGCGTGGATGTCGAGGATCTGATTGTGCAGCACCTCCTGCAGGCAGATGAAGGCGTCCTGGTGGCGCGTGTTGAACAGCAGCTCGTTCAGGAGGGGCTGCTTGCGTTCCTCCCAGGGTCGCTCGCCTTTGAACGGCGAGCCCGTGGCATATCGGATATTGTGCGTCAAGATGCGCAGTGGGAGCTCTGCGGATGCTTTCATCGTGGGCATAAATATCAGTCTCCAGCAGTTTTAGAATAGTAGGATTACGGAGTGATGAAAGTCTGGTTCGATTTAGGTCAATGGGACAGTACCTGAGGGGAGGGGATGAATCTTGGTCGAAGGCTGGCGTGAGGAGAAGCTTGGTCACGATCTCGTGATTGGAGGAATTGCCCTTACTTAAGAGCTGCGGTTGCATCCCGTGTCTAAATCGGCTTCACTGGTATTGTAACTCTTTCCGGTTTTCTGGTAATAACTGTCTGCTTGAGTTGGTATTCGAACTCTACCGGGGTACGACGCCATGTGCAAACCATCGTCCAGTAGAACGAAACTATATATTTCCCGCCAAGCCCTACAGTGTCTACTTGACAACACCACGGCTCCGGCAGCAAATGCCATAACTATTTTTACTGTAAGACGGAACATACTAGAACCCCCGTTTCAATTTACCTTGTTGTAGATTTGGGTTGGCAGCCATCATATGGAGAGGCGACGTCATGACTTGACGTATGCGTATTGACGAGATCCCGGGAAGATGAACAGATCCACGCACCACCGAATATCCTGAGTGCCTGGGATATAATACGGAGTATGCAACCGACCCCACAATGAGGCAGGAGTCCAATGTCGCCCATCCAGAGCTTTTCTCGTCGATTTGTTTACATCGCCCGGCACGTGAGTGATGTCATGGCCATCGTGATTACGTAAGCCACGCACACTGCAGGCCAGAAGCGCTGCGGATGGAGAGAGCGAGAAGGAGAAGACGGAGGAGTGCGGGCAACCCATGCTGGAGAATCGGCGAGGGGGGAGAGTGTAGATAATGACAGAGAGCCTTGCGAGGATGTAATAGCATCCATCATCTCGACGCGAGAGACGGGCGACGGTGAGCCCTACCATCCGTTACTCTTACCAGACCAACCCCACCCAGCGGTAATGCGGCCGTAAAGTAAAGCAAAAGCACACGAGACTCGACAAACAACTTTTCCCTCTTTCCCTCTTCTCCTCTCCCCGCTGCGGATTCTCACCTCAATTGTATTTTCTCCGTTCTCTATCCTTATTCACCATGGCCGAGACCACTCCCACCCAGGCCCCCGAGGTCGGTAAGTGTCTTCCTCTACCCCTCCTCTCTACTCTTCTCCAATTTGAAAAAGCTCCGTCGTTTGTGGGTTTCCTGCCCGCTTGGGGTGGGCTGCGTCGCGGCGCCTGGACAACCACCGAGCTCGAGACCTTCCGAAGAGGCATCGAGAACCCGACGAATATTTTCCCCCCCTCGTCGTTCCTCTTGCTTAGGGGCCCCCGTGTGGTCGCCGACGGTCACCGATCTCGATGCCACCCTTCTCGTTCGCTCAGCTAATCATGCGATGGACGTTTTCTAGACTACACCCTCAACAACCCCGACACGTTGACCAAGTACAAGACTGCCGCGACGATCTCTCACAAGGTCCTCGATGCCGTTGCTGGTGCGTAATCTCCCATTCTGGTCCCTTGTGTATTTTGGCTAGACGTGCGTTCTCTAACTTCAATACTAGCCCTGTGTAAGGAGGGAAGCAAGATCGTCGAGATCTGCCAGAAGGGTGACGAGCTGCTCGACGAGGAAATCGCCAAGGTCTACAAGGGCAAGAAGATCGCGAAGGGTGCGTTTCCCCTACCCTGCGAGCTCCTTGAAGCGGCTTCTGCCGGCCAAGAGGAGCTTTGCGCGTGGGATATTGACATGACGTTATAGGTATCTCTCACCCCACGACGGTCTCTCCCAGCTCTTATGTCACTCCCTACACTCCCCTGGTCTCCGAAACCGAGGAGGCTGAGACTACCCTGAAGGCCAACGAGATCGTGAAGATCCAGCTTGGTGCCCAGATCGATGGCTTCGGAACCATCGTTTGCGACATGGTCGTCGTCGGTGCCTCGGGCGTTGTGACCGGCCGCGAGGCCGACCTGATCCACGCCACCCACTACGCCAACGAGCTTCTGCTGCGACTTATGGTGCCCCCCGGTCTCCTGGCCGGTGGCTCCGACGAGGAGAAGAAGAAGGCCGCTGCCGAGCGGCCCCCTACCCAGGCTCAGATCTCCCAGCTGGTCGAGAAGGTCGCCAAGATCTACGACTGCAACGTCGTCGAGAACACCACCACCTGGCAGTTCGAGCGCAACGAGATCGAGGCCGAGAAGAAGATCATCCTCACCCCCGGCTCCGGTGTCCGTGGCGAGGGTGTTCCCGAGGTTGGCGAGGTCTGGGGTGTCGAGATGGGTCTCTCCCTCGGATCCGGCAAGGTCAAGAACCTGCCTCACCGTGCCACTCTGCACCGCCGTACCACCACCACCTACATCCTCAAGCGCCCCAGCTCCCGCCAGACCCTGTCCGAGGTTGTTAAGAAGTTCGGCCAGTTCCCCTTCAGCTTGCGCCAGCTGGATGACGAGAAGGCCGCCAAGGTCGGTGTCGTCGAGTGTGTCCGTACCGGTGTCCTGCGCCAGTACGAACCCGCCGGTGATTCTGACAACGCTCCGGTCTCCCGTCTGTTGACCACCGTTGGTACGTTCTAACCCAACCTCCCAACAGCTCTCCACCTGCTCTCTTCGACACCACGATGAGATGGGGATGATCTGTGTCTATGTTTGTAGCTCATTGACTAACGCGCGATACAGCCATCACCAAGAACGGTCTCACCAAGCTCACTGCCCCCACCATTGATCTGTCCAAGTACCAGACGGACAAGAAGATCGAGGACGAGGAGATCCTCAAGATTCTCGAGCGCCCGTTGTCCAAGTCGACCGGCTCGAAGAAGAACAAGAACAACAAGAAGAAGACCGCCAAGAAGGCCGGCGGCGAGGAGTAAATATCTCTCTCTGCACATGGACTCACCCGGTCCACCGCAGTCTTGGAATAGTGAAAAAAACGACAATGTCTCTGGCCATCGTTGGAACATGTTCATGAATTGCCCCGAGGGATCGGATGGGATGTGTAATTGCAAATACCCTTGATAATCTGAACGGAGAGTTTAGTTCCGCGAATCCATGGTGTCAAGAGACAAGAAAGGCATCGGAAGAACAATATGAACGCCTTGTCTTTTTCCTACGGCGACCTTGATTGAAACCGTCGCGTATCCACTAGTTGAAATGCAAACCGAAAAAAAGGAGAAAGTTATGTACCAGCCAGATAAATGACAAAATGAGGAAACGGTTCAGTTTCGCCGCCCTCAATGCAGCTTACCTATGTGGTGTGGGTAGTAGTAGTTTGCACTTTTACAATGATCTTCCTGCTGGGGACAATACTTGAGTGTACTGGATGTCCTCTAAGTCTCGAAGATTCGAGGATCTCACCAGCTGTTGTTCCTCATTCATATCCTTGTTACACTCCCATGACAATATCAGTGACCCGCGTCGAACTCAACCTGCCTCTTCAATTTTCCTGAACGAATGAGAATTCTTAGGGAATGCAATGGCAGATTCCTATTGTGATCTACTGGCTTGGTGTGATTGTACGTGCCCTAGGTCCGAGTCATCCGATCGAGGGCGTTTTCGATCACCAGTCATCATCAGAATCAAGTCTCTCCCACAACAGTCACTGACCGAATATTCCCCTTAAAATCACATCAAATCCCTTCCACAGGTTAGAAATAGTGGTTTATTCATGGATCTACTCTGTATAGCAAGCTGAGACGGTGACCGTAGTCCCCGGGGAAGGTCGGCAAGACCGGAAAGGAGGGGGGGGGAGGAAAGTCCGAAATCAAGCAAACAGGAAATCTCCGAAGAAGTTCTCGACCGTGAGGTAGTTGTTGACACCGAGACTGGACTGTTTATTCGTGCTGGTTGGCAGCTGCGAAGAGGTGGATGTAGGAGTGGGCCAAATCTTTGCCCAATCCTCTCGGCCTGGCCTCGAGTAATCTTCTTCCTTCCTTCTCCAATCTCCCATTCTCCCACCTTTGCCTCCTGGCCAAGTTAAGAAACCTCTAGCTCATTGACTTTTCGGCTGGCGGTCTTTCTGTTACTTCCCTACAGCAGTCGGAACTTGACGCTTCTCGTGACGGGTTGCTCCGTCCACCCGCCACTGCCTCGACGCCTGAAAACCCTCGATTCATTCATTCACATCTCGCTGTGAAACTGCCTGCTCTACCTTCTCCCCAGCCACCATCCTGGATCAATCATTCACTGCCTTAACCAGTAGCCTTTGTTTCCCCTTTTCAGTGTCTTCGTTCTCAGCGTAAACCTCTTCTTCTCCCCCCTCCTGTCTTCTTCCTCCTCTCTTCCTTCATCCACAACATCTTCCATCACCACCACACACCCATCTCTTCGTTTTGAAAAGCCTGCTATCTTGCTGAAAAGTAACCATTTTCATTTACACGCGACGTCTCATCCTTCATCTCTCTTCTTGAAGGTCTTTCTTGACCGTACACCTCGTCTTCCCTTTCATCAGCATCTTACTTCTTCTCATAACCACCATCTCCCCACACCGTTTTTAAAGCCGCTGGTTTCCCTGTACGTTCCAATCCCCTGAGCCTGTGACATCTGGCTCTCTTGCATGCCCATCCTTGGGGTGTTCATACTTGCTCGGCGGGGGTATCTTGATCCCCTTGCTAGACAGGCTCGTGGACCTGTTGCTGACGAAGAAAGAAACCTCTCATCAACTCGACCACTGGTCTGAGCAAAAAATAAAGAACGCTAGAGTTCTCAAAAAGCACCCCTATGGTGCATTATCTGCACGCCGTCAGAGCAGCCATCACGCAGCCCGCAGAAGCTCCTTTCACCAGTTGCGCGTCTTGATAAGACGTGACAACTCATTCGTAAGTCGGTTTCTCGAGTTTTATGAGAGCCGAAGTTCTACAGGACCCAGAAAGAGGCTAATTTCCACAGATTTCACCTTGGAAATCACCTGTTCACGTGTTTCCAAGAAGTTGGGGTGTTCCGGCCTGAGCGGCGAAACCCCCTAGAGGGCGTGACTAGAAAACTCCCGTCGGCATCCAAACCGCGATCATCCTCTTTTCCCCCAGCAACCCGCAGAAAGCGCGGGCTGGCCACGATTCCAACCAGCGCCGCTGGGCCTTCTGCTCCGGAATTCGTGTATTTGTAAGTCCTCAGTTTTTCCCTGCTTTTAAAATTCTGTTTCGTCCACTCGTGTTACGTGCACCGCCAGCTTGAATTGACAGTGAGCTAACCGTGCGGGTGCCAGGCCTTAACCACATTTCTCGAGTCCTATCTTCAACAACAATGGCTCCCAATCTTCGCTCGCTTCGCTCGTCCTCCCACGCCAGTGCGAATCAATCCCGTCCCTCCACCCCGGCCGATGCGCCTGCGCCTACGAGCGCGACTCCTTCATTCTCCGAAACCACCAGACCCCGGAAACGGCGCCGCACTGGACTGAACAGCCATGCTGCGAGTGACCCTGTAGAAGGACAGGAACTTCCTGAGACCGAGCTCGGGGGTACTGCTGGTGAAGCGCATGTGCTTTGCGACGCGTCCGACTGGAAGGAGCCCCCAACGCGGGTGCAGCAAACCACTTGGGAAGAAACCACTTGGTCCGGTACCAACAAAGAATCCAACTCAGTTCTTCGTTCCATGCGCCCCCTGGGCGAGATGCCCTCGATCCCTGAGCTGCGCAAACAAGGGTTTTTGCCCAAGATCACGGATCCTAACGACCCTTACGACAGCAATACTGGCGAGATGCCCCCGGCAGTGGACGGGGCGAACGACCTGAACGAAGACACGACCGGCAATCTCGATGTCCCCACGACAGTCGCGGATGAGACCGAAGCCGAGAATCTGCATGAAGCTGAACCTCAGACCGTGTCTGAATCCCAAACCGAGACTGCGCCTGAGCCTGCGACTGCTCAGCCCCAAAGTCACATCTTAACTTTTATGGCCATTCCTATTTCGCCGTCGACCATTGTGGACGTGGAAAAGGTCAGAGATGCAGTTGGGGACGCTTTGAACGTGGCATCCGAGTCTGACAACACTCGAGTCGCCCGTGGCCTGCTCCGCATGTGGGAGAAAAGTCAATCAGACCCCTTCATGCTGTCCATTCTTGAGGCCATGTGCAAAGAGGAACCCGACCCTACCCAGAGACGCGCGTTCAACATCATGATGCGCGCTGTTGGCAAGGAACTGCGGGCGGAGGATGCGGAATTGGAAGCTGCTGCATTGTCCCGCAAACGCAAACATTCCCAGAGCAGCGATTCCTCACTTTCTTCCGCTAAATCCCTTGATGTCGAAACATTCGCGCCCGGCATGGCGGCCACTCGGGCTAAAGGCAGACACGCCAAAGCAGCCAACACCGCACAAGTCGCCGGGCCTCCGATTCGCCACTCGGCCTTCCCTCCAAGAAATGCACCCCTCAAGCGCAAGCGCGCGATGGAGCAAAGCGAGGACTTTACCCCTGAGGCCATGACCACCAAAAGAATTCGCCTACGCCCCCCTGTTCCCGAATCGGTTACCCCCGCCGAAAGTCAAGTCCGCCCGGTGCCAGACCGCACCTCGCTGCCCCCGATTCCCGACTCTGACGCGTTGTCAACATCCAGACAGGCCACGCCCGTCGGCAAGGCTGATGCCCCCAGGGCGCGACCGGAAAGCCCCTCTAGCAGCGATGCCGAAGGCAACCGGCGGCTGACCCCCACTTTGTCCAGAGGAGATGACCGCGCGGATAACAACGACTTCTGTCGCGAGTGCAGAGGGAGCGGTCAGCTCTTATGTTGCGATGGCTGCGTGAACTCATTCCACTTTTCTTGTCTCAGTCCTCCCTTGGACCCAGCGAACCCCCCGGAGGGCGACTGGTATTGTCCCAGATGCACCGCAGCGAATGGGATGGACTCGTTGCTCTCCTCGTTCAAAGCCACTACTCAAACGGACTTTGCGTTGCCCCAGGAACTTCGTGAATATTTCGCGGGCGTGCGAACCGATGACGCCGGAAGCTACCAGGAGGGCGTCCCGATTCCGAGATTTAAACCGCGCACGGTCAAGGGCAGCCGCGAGGCCCGCTACGACGACCCCTTCCTCCTGAGGGTCAAGGATGCCAAGGGCCGCTATATCTTCTGCATCATATGTGGACGCTCAACTGGAGGCGAACGCCCCATTATACACTGCGACTACTGCGAATGTGGATTCCACTTGGATTGCCTGGACCCACCTCTGGCCAATCCACCCATGCAAAAGCCCGGCAACGGTGACCGGGCACATGGCACATGGATGTGTCCCAACCACGTCTTGCACGACCTCATGGCGGCGTCTCCGCGCATCCGCCGTCCCAGGAACGCCCGCAGGATAGACGTTGAGGTCGTGCCAAACGAGGAGGAGATGGAAGAGCTCGAGGAGCAAAACCCCGAAGGGGTTCTACTCCACGTGAAAGAAGATGGAATCAAATTAGATTTCATCAAACGGGTCAAGCAGTATGTTTCCCTCGCCCTCATATCCATCCACCATCACAAAAGCTAATGTGCCTCTCTAGGGATAACGCGGAAAGAGAAGCTATCACATTGGCCGCCGCCACCCACGCCGAGTATGCGGCGCGCCGGTTTGACGCCCTCACGGCTGGTGCGCAGGCCTTTTTCGACTCCAACCCACCCGCCGTGCCCACTCCCGAGGTAACAGCCAGCACCCCCGAGGCCACGGTTGGGTGGGAATCGCCACTGCGCACCACTGCCGAACGGGAGGCGGCTGCCAACCTCATCGAATTTGCGCAGAGCAACCCGATGGGCGTCCGCCCCCCGGAGGCTCCCCGCATCGGCCTTCTCATCGATGCCCTGCGGGCTAGCGCCCCTGAATTCCCTTCCGTTGAATCGGAAGTGGAGGCGCTGCGCTCTCTGCAGTCCCTGATTGAGCGTCGTATCGAGGCGCTCAATCAGGGAACGCCCCGTTAGAAGAAGGCCGGTGCCGGCCCGCTTGGCCCGTTGAGCTCTTCGAGCTCTTCCACCTCAGTTCTTTTCTACTTTTTTTTTAATTTTTATTTTCAACTTTTTTTCTATTTGTCACGTTTTTCCCTATTTCTTTTGTTCTTGCCATGACGGCGTTGGGGGTTGCGCAAATCCCAAGAATCAGGGTATTAGATCGGGCCTGATGCATATGAGCATGTACTATTTTGTCTTGTTTTTTACTTCATTTTTATTTCTTTCTTGGACAAGAACAGGAACAAAGAAAGAAAGAATCACACAGGAGAGGGACTGTGTGCAAAGAGCATATCACATGATGCATTTGATTTTCCAAGCGTTTTGTTTTTTCTTTCTTTCCTTTGTTCTGCTTTGTTATTATTTAGCATGGAAACGGGCTTTGTTTTTGCTTTTTTGTTTTTTTGGCCGTTGGGTATTATATACTATCTGCCAACTCTGCTTCTTTTTCTGCGTCATTGAACATACACGGACGTGTTTCTTTATTTCTACTTTAGTCCTTGTATTTTATGATCAATTGGCCGGACGGCTTTCTATTTCTCAGGTTTCTTTTTGATATAAGGAAGGGTTCGATTGGAACGATCTAGAATGTACAGGAACTAAAAAAAAAAAAGAGAACAGTTCGATAAGCGATACACTACACCAAAATATAGCAAGTAGGAGGTAAGGTAGATACATAGATGGTTGGTGTGGAGGGGGGGTCTTTCTTTTTGTTTCGTTTCTAGATATAGATAGATGTGTAGATTTGGTTGGGGTTGAGTTTAGAGGAATTTCTTGGGCATGTTGGCGCGCCGACGCTTGTAGATGACGTACGAGACTGCGAGGACGACCTGGAAGGCGATTATCAGGAAGATGAAGAAGCCCATGCGCGGAGTGGACGCGGTGATCACTGTTGAGGGATTGATTAGTGGATGGTTGCATGATGGGAACACTGGGATGTAAGGACGTACCGTTGAAGACATGGCCTTGAAGGCTCTCGGTCAAGGTTAGGTGAGATGATCGGAGCGTGTCCTGGAGCTGGTTGAAGCGGTCACGGTAGTCTCTGCCTTCGAGGTCCTTCTGGATCTTCTCCAAGGTCTGCTCGATTCTCTTGAGTCGGGTGTCCAGATGGGCGACCTCGTCCTTGCCGGCGACGCGCTGGAAAAGCTCCGTCTGGCGGTTGTCGGCTCTGTTGGATTGGCTGCCGATCTCGCGGATGATGTTGCCGGTGGCGTGGTTGATCAGCTGCAGACTCGATCGGAGGTCCGCGAATTGCTGGTCGATCGTGGACTGAGGCGTTGTGGGTGGGATCTGGGCGCGTGGGGGAGCCTGCTGGGGTTTGCCGACGCCAACGGGCTTCTGGTTGCTTTGCTGCTGGACGGGGGGAGGGGCGGAACCACCTGCGCTGGTCTGCAGGACGAATTTGAAGACCTCGAACGAGTCGGGGTTCTCAGGGGTCGCGGATGTGAGACCAAAGTTGTTACCAGCCGGAAGTGCAACCTACGGCTTTGGTTAGTCGATTGTCAACAGAACAATGGAGGTGATCTTGAACTTGCCTTGTTGGTGGTGAAACAGAGCTTATCGTCGACGGTGACTTGAAGAACGGAAGAGGTATGCTTGACACGGAGGACGGACGGACGTCCCAGGTTGCGGTAGGGATAGTCGCAGTGACCGAAAGCCAAGCTGTCTACACTCTTGTGGCTTTTATAGTCTGTCGTGCCGTCGTTGAGGAACCCTCGAACGCTACCACCCTGGTCTACAAGTCAGTCTTGTAAACTTGATAAGACTAGGAAATTCAGGGGTACGCACTCTGCCGCCATGGGTGTCAATGACAAGAGCCAGTCCGTCAAATTGGCCCACGGTGTAGATGCTGGAGGTACCGATTTTGCTCTGCCCATCCTTCGCATACCATAGCTGGAGGTTGCCTCCTCCCCTCTCGATGCCACTGGCTCGGAATTGGAATTCGGCCTCCCACTCCTGCTGAGAAACACTGTGCTCGCCGTCAACTTCTGTTCGGTGGTGATGAATGGATATAGATGTGTAGTGCGGACTCACGGAGTCTGTGCCCAAGCGAACCCTCTCGTATTCCCGGGGTACGGGGGTGTCAGAATCATTTTATTCGAAAGCTAATGGGAGACATCGAGTCAGTACGTTTGGAAAAATCAGGTTCCAGATGAGACGATGGGGGCATAAACGTACAATCTGCGGAGTGTGCCCTTCTCCTCCAACCTGCCATCCTGGAATAGAGTCCCTGCTCGGCGATATACTATGGAAAACAGTCAGGAACCAACGTGCATATGCGCGGGGCAATTGTCCATTACGTTTGACCCCAACCAAAGCTGGAGCTTTCGATCAATGACTGCGCCGTAGCGACAGCCGCGAAAAATGGAAACGAGGCGTGAAACTTCATGATGTCTATGCAATCGGAGAGTCGTCGTGGTCAAATGGTTCGTCACTTCGGTTCCGAGGGGCTGCGAATTCAAGACAAAGAAAGGCAAAGACGAGATAAAATATACAGCGATGCGACAGAGTCTAGCTCCCAGAATTGATCCAAAAGAAGAAAATCAAGAAAGGCAGAACGCAATGAGAAAGCGACAGCAATTCTAAGTATTAAGAGCGATCATCAGAAGCGCCCCGATTCAATAACGCGGAGACAACGCGTGTGGTGGTCCACCCAACCACAATGGCGATCACACAGAAGCGGAGCTCGCGCACGATTGAGACCGTCGCGGGGGAGAAGTCAACGGAGTGCTGGATGTTGAGATTGGAGAGAACGACAGAATGGCGGACTCCTACGTCCGAGGCGAAGTCCATGAATGCTGACATGAGCTGAAGAGTCGACGAAGGGACACACTGGCCTTTGCTCCTCATGGCCCCAGTCACGTGCGCCCCTCCCCGGATCGCCGTCGGAGCTTCGTTCCATGGTTTCTTTCTTTCTCTCTTTCTTTCGCTATCTTGCTCGGCTCTCTTCTTGCTTTCTCCACAGTCCACTGTCGCTCTGACAGCGCATCATGCGCACTGGCTCCAATGGCTGAGTTGTACCCGTCCCTGGCCCAATGCGCCATTGTCGCAACGGCCTTTAAGATTCTCCTATTCCCTGCTTAGTGCGTCGCATCCCCTCCGACAGAGAAAAAAAGAAAATACCGATTCTAATCGCCTTGCTTCAACGCAGTAAATCGACCGACTTTGAGGTTCACCGAAACTGGCTTGCGATCACCAATTCTCTCCCGGTGAAGGATTGGTATTATGAGGTACATTGACCGCATCACACCCTACTGCAGTTCCGGCGTGTTAATTCGGACTCGGTCGCTATAGAAAACTTCGGAATGGACGCTCGACTATCCTCCCTTTTTCGCGATATTTGAATGGGTGCTATCCCAAGCCGCGCGCTACGCGGATCCGGCGATGCTGGTGGTCGGCAATCTGAATTATGATTCATGGCAGACAGTTTACTTTCAGCGCGCCACGGTCATTCTCACCGAACTTGTCCTCGTTTACGCACTGAGCCGGTATATCAAGTCCGTTCACTCCTCGAACAGGCAGCTTGCGCACATCGCCAGTCTATCCATCTTGCTCTCGCCCGGCCTCCTCATCATTGACCACATCCATTTCCAATATAATGGTTTCCTCTATGGCATCCTGATCTTATCGATCGTCCTGGCCCGGAAGCAGTCGACGCTCCTTCTCAGTGGCATCACCTTTGCCATCCTGATTTGCTTGAAGCACATATACCTATATCTCGCTTTGGCCTACTTCGTTTACCTGCTGAGAGCATACTGTCTGGATCCCAAATCCGTCTTCCGACCCCAATTTGCGAACATCTTCAAACTCGGCGTGTGTATAATTAGCATTTTTGGCATAGCTTTTGGTCCGTTTGCCCAAATGGGCCAGCTGCTCCAATTGAAGGACCGGCTGTTCCCGTTTTCAAGAGGCTTATGCCATGCCTACTGGGCACCGAACGTGTGGGCGATGTACTCATTTGCGGATCGCCTTCTCATTCAGCGTACGTTCAATTCTCTTGATTCTATGTGTACTGATACTAATTGGCGCAGTTGCTCCCCGCTTAGGCCTCCCAGTCAATCAAGAAGCTCTGGTCAGCGTTACCCGTGGTCTTGTCGGAGACACTTCCTTTGCTGTCCTCCCCGAGGTGACCAAGGAGCACACATTCATCCTCACCCTTCTGTTCCAACTGGTACGTCCTCTTGATCTCCTGGTTAAGCGTCCCACCTTTTAATCGTTCAATCCCAGCTCCCGTTGGCCAAGCTCTGGCTTCGTCCCGACTGGGAAACCTTCGTTGGTGCCATTACTCTCTGCGGATATGCCTCTTTCTTGTTCGGCTGGCACGTCCATGAAAAGGCCGTGCTCCTGATTATCATTCCGTTCAGCCTGATCGCGCTGAAAGACCGACGATACTTCAGCGCTTTCCGTCCTCTCGCAGTGGCGGGCCATGTCTCGCTCTTTCCTTTGCTCTTTACGGCGGCCGAGTTTCCCATCAAGACGGTCTACACCATCTTGTGGCTGGTTTTGTTCCTGTTCGTGTTCGACCAGGTAGCGCCCGTTCCCGAACGACCGCGATACTTCCTTGCCGACCGCTTCTCCCTGCTTTACCTCACTGTCGCGATCCCACTGATCGTTTACTGCTCCCTGATCCACCAGCTGATCTTTGGCCTGGGACGACTCGAATTCTTGCCCCTGATGTTCATGAGCAGCTACTCGGCTCTAGGCGTGGTTGGCAGCTGGGTCGGATTCATGGTTGTATACTTTACCGCATAACATAGTATAGAATCCAAAAGTTTTCCCTTTTCTTCCGGCCTCAAAACCGCGGAAATGATGTAATGCCGGAGCTCTTGGCGTTTGACGCGTTTGCTCCATCCACGTGCTCCGGAGCACGACCCACTTGATCAGCCCAACTTTGCAAAGTTTATCAGCCATCAGGCCCAATGCGGCTTAGCGCCCCGACCTTTAAACATGATCTCTCCCATGGATTGTCGCACTGCAGAAGGAACACGGACACAGATCGAAGACATCCGTGAGGTGTGAGATGTCTTTTGTTTCTGAGACTGGCTAATGGGTGGCTGAGACGAGGAACTTTGACCTGTATTGTTATTCGAGTCGATGGTTCATTCAGAATGTCTTTATTAGTAGAATGCTATTGTTTGGGATCGGTTGTATATTTCGAGTACAGATTGGACAGTGTGACATGACCAGACAACTCCATTGCCAACACGATTTAATTTTGACCCGTATACTGTGCCTAGTTAATTTCATTTTATTATTCATTAATTACTAAATATATTTCCCATCTCGTCGTTCAGTTTTCTAATATTGTCGTTCATTAACTGGGGTTTTCTACAATCCTTATGCCAATGTGAGTAGAGAGAAACTCACATATGGACTCAACTGCATTCTGATTATGCAGCCACCTGGAACTGAGAACCATGTTGGGTAAAGGATGTGGCTTGTGATCCATCGCTAGAAATAGATACCAGGGTCTATTTGCCCAGTCTGATAACCTGATCGGTCATATGTCAAAGGCGCAACTTGACAACGTAGAAAATAAACACATTCTATTTGATCGCATAAATTCTGCTATCCGGCTTATATTCAGTGATTAGATAGTTAGTGTTAGTATATGTACAGCGTTTGTGAGACATTGTTGACTGCAGAAGCAATAGCTGGGAGATAAACAAATGACATGTGAGTTTGGAGGATATGTTCTCAGACGAGCATCATTTATCGCGAAGATAGTTTCTAGTCAGTAAGGATGTCTTTAGCATTTTACGTAAAATCTCAAAATTGACATGGTAGATTGTTCTCTGTGAAGGATGGAAGGCTAATTGAAATGCTCACCATATGATATCATCTGCGGACCGTATGATTGTTCGTGATACGCGGTCTGCGCCACGAGATAAAATTTTAGGCCGGTTAGTAAAATGTACTAATTGAATTGAAAAATAGAGGAGAAAGCATTGCAAAGATGGAAAGCACGAGCCATAGATCTGGTGGCTGTAGGAGCCATAGTGGATGCTAAAAACCTACATTCTACCACACTTCCTGGAACATTGTATAGCTTACATGACTGCGAAATTTCTTAGAATCAAGATAAAAAAGGTACCAAAGAGATAGAGTCGGTGTTTGGATGGAAAAGTGAGTCTATGTTGGGGAGAATACAGTGATGAGTCCAGGTGCTTACATTCTACTAAGACCTATAGAAGGAAATTATACTCCGTAGATTTAATGTTTATAATCGCACATAGTCATGGAAAGCTAGAGACATCCATTTAAGATGATTGTGGTGGATATTCAAGGGAGTGTACCTTGACAGTGTTGCTCATGGTAGGTCAATCGATCGATCTGGGTGATGTTCGTCCATGCGCAGCCCGGTAGAGACGGTCCCCGCAAGCCGTTTCGGACGAGGGACGGGGATAATCGACAAGAAATGACAGGTCAAAGAAAAAAAGCTTGGTAAATCCCCATGAGCAGAATCGGCCGCATTCAAGGACGCGAACGAGTGCAAATACACGGGGGACGGGGCTGGCGGGCAGACAGAGGAGAACGGGCGAAGACGGATGGGGAGGCAGAGGAAGGCGAAGAGGGCGCGACGGAGGCCGTGAGTCCCAAAGGAGTCTAGCGGCTCGCCGTGTCCGCCCGAACGTCGTTCTCCTCCTCGCGGCCAATCAGGGCGCGCCGTGCCTCGGCGGCCTCCCACCACTTGCCGCAATGATCCTCATGGGACCCGGTTCTGCCGTCGTCTTGTGCGGCGACCGCTTCTCCTTTCTCTTTCTCTTTCGCTTTTTCTTCTCCTCTCTCCCTTCGTCCTCGTCGTATATATCGCGCCTCTCCCTGCCACCCCCTCCTCTTTTACTTTGTCCCCGCACGCTACTCCGATTTTGGGGATATCATTTCCGCTTCTTGCGCTCCACTCTTCTCGAGACCGACACGCTCCTCCGAATCGGTGTTCTCGTGTCGTCCCGGCCATTCGCCCGCGCTGTTGGTACCTCAACGCGAATACACACGCGTTTGCCCGGTAAGTCGCCTCGCCAAAGCTCTCGATGCATCGTGCTGCGCAATCTTTCCCCGAGCATGAGGCCAGTGCTCGGTATCCTCGGAGGCATCGCATTTTCCCCGTGTTGTCCCGAGCTTCGTCCTGCGCACCCACCGTCGGCCTCGTCCAATTCCGCAGCACACTCCGTCCTCCGCGGCTTTGTCTTTGCTGCTCGATTTGTTTCACCTCTTTGTTTTCGGACTGTTCGTTTGCCTCTTTGTGCCAATGGGCTTTGTGCTGACCGTCGAATGCGACTCTAGATTATCCATGGTGGACGTCTTTGCTGGTCTATAATTAATTGGCGCGTGTTGCATTTCGTGGAGGATTATGGTACGTCTTTGAAACTCCCATGAGCGTCGAGGTTCCAACCGAAGGATGCGGGAGGAAATGAAAATACAACGCATGCTGGGAAAAAGTGCAACCGCCAACTGACGTCTTTGACCAGGTGTTGTTCAAGCGGAAACCCGTCCAGTACCTCCCACGACCGGTTATCGAGGATGACAGCTCCGAGGCACGTACAATTCGATCGAATGGCGAGGATGTCTACTGACCAACAACGGAAATAGGTCTGGGTCATCCCGGAGACCAACGAGGTCTTCACAAATTATGAGCCATACCTGCAGCGGATGGACTTCTACAAACAGCGGAGATTTATATGTGAAATCACGGGTCATTCGGGCTTGACTTTCTTCGAGGCGCTTAGAAGCGAGGTATGCGACAACCCAGGCTTCCGCAATTGTGCGATTGGATTTTGCTTATACTGGGAATCGCAGACGGAGGAGTCCAAAGAGGTCAACAGCGCCTTTCCCGATGCCTTGAAGGAACCCATCCTGCGCAGAATACAATTCTCCACAGTATCGCGGGTCGATAATCTTGGTGCGTACAAAAATTTCAAATGCTTCAATTTGCGCCTGAAACTAACGCTCATTTTCATAGTGGATGAGGTCTTCGAAGTGAGTGGCATCACTAATAAATCCCAGTCATCGATTATAGGGCAAAACTAAACAAGCGCAGGAATTCAAGCAAGACTTCTACCCAGGAGAGCCAGTTTTGATATTGCTTGACGACAACACGCGTCTCCATGGCATCATTCGCGACAAGGCCAATTTCGCAGAGCAGCTCAATACCGATGGGACGGTTAAAACCCCGGCTTACGCGACATATCTCGTGAAGGTCCTGGACCGTCCAAATGAAGAAGCGCTTTTGGACCAAGAGCACATCACCCGAGACCGCAAAACTTTCACCAAGCAGATGCTGCGTGCTTTTATCAAGAACAACGTGACGAGGGAGTCTTGGAGCGGTGCCCCCTGGCTTGTGAAGGCCTCGATCGCCGAAGAATATAGGATATCGACCGAAGTACCGAAGCATCTTCAGTATGGAGCTAAGGTCGCCGAGAAGAAAGCAATGAAAAAGGCGGATCAAGACGGATTTTTCGGTTTCTTCGCCTCGCAACAGCTGCCTGAATTGAAACCTGCGGTAAAGGCCCAAAAATCGAAACCCTCACCCAACGACATGGCCCGCTCAAAAGAGGCACAGTTTCTCGAATACCAGCGCTCGCTCAACGGTAACCCGACCTTCGTCGTCAGCAACAAGCCTGCCGGTGTCTCCCGCACGTCTAAGTCCCAGGAGGCTGAAAAGAAACCGCAAGCCGCGCCCGCTGTGGTCAAACCTGAGTCTCCCCGACCCCCGACTCCGCCGCCGATTAAGTATCCCATCGAGGATCTCGACATTGCGCCAGACCGTGAAAAGAAGAAGCAGCGACCGCCCCTTGAGTTCGTCAACATAGATGAAACCGACGAGGTTGAAGATGACGGGGATCTTCTGTATGACGAGCTTGAGATGAAATCAGTGGGATTGCTGCTTGAGACTTGGAATACGCTGAATGTGTATTGCGAAGTTTTTCAACTTGATTCCTTTACCTTCGACGATTTCTTCCAGGCAATGCGATTTACTTCGGATGACGTGGATTGCGAACTATTTGTTGAAATGCATTGCGCGGTGCTGAAGAAGCTGGTGAACGCCGAGAAAGATGATGGTGCCGTGCAAATCTCTCTTCCCGATCTTCCCGACGAGGACTCGGAAGATTCCGAAGCCGAAGACGAGGAGGGAGAAGAAGAGGGAGAAGAGGACGCGACGCCCGAGCCAGTCGTCACCAGAATGACTACTCGCAGTAGCCTGGCCAAGGCCGAGGCGGAAAACTTGAAGGAGCAAGCGAACGGGAGTCGCTCGAACTCGGTAGAAGTCAAAATCCACCGTGCTGCCGAGCTTTTCGGAGACTACTCTTGGATCGACCGTCTCCGGAAACGCGACTTCCGGAACGGTGGATGGGAGTTGGTGATGGCGGGCCTTTTGCATCGACTGTCCATGCGTCCCCGCCTGGAAAAAGTTTGCGACGAAATTCTGAAGCACCTAGCCCCTCTTGATGCCGAGCCAACTCAGGAGACGGTCCAGCAACAGTACTCCACCCTTGACGTCAATCTGCGTATCCAGGCTCTCCAAATCATCTGCATGCTCAGTCTGGAAACCAAGGCCATTCGCAACTACTTGGAGGAATGCAGTAACCAGATGACGGAATTCCGCAAAGAGAAGATCGAATACCAAAAGTCTCGCAAAGCAGCGTAAGTGTCATGTGCATGGTGTGTTGTTTGTTAACTTGGCTAACTCCGTGATAGTCTCGAGGAACTTCGTAAATTACACCAGGAACGGAAAGCCCTTCAGCCTGAACCCGAGAAGTCGCCTACTCCAGCACCCGAATTGGAGGCATTGGAAGATTCGAAGATGACCGGTGTTGACGAATCTGACCAAGGCATGGACTCGGACGATGACGACGAGCCTAAACAACGGTCATTACGCGGAGGCATGGACCGAATTCTGGAACGCAAACGAAAACAGGAGGAGGAGCGCGAGAGAAAGGAGCAATTAGCCAAGCAGCCGAAGGGCTCCAAGCAATACCAGCGGGTGCTCAAGAAGATCGAAGACCAGAAGGCGCAAGTCGCCAAGCTGGAGGAAAAGATCGAAGTGGTGGACAATGACCTGAGGGAAGCCGACTGTCCACGGACGAGATGTCTCGGCAAGGATCGCTTCTGCAACCGGTACTGGTGGTTTGAGCGGAATGCGATGCCTTACGGTGGAATGCCCAACAGCTCCACGGCTGAGGCGGCCTACGCCAACGGTCGCCTATGGGTCCAAGGGCCTGACGAGATGGAGCGCGTTGGCTTCATCGACGTGCCCGACGATATAAAGAAGCAATACCAGAAGGATTTCCAAACCACGCCAGCGGAGCGCAAGAAGACCGAGGAAGGCTCTACTCGACTTTCGAACGCCGACGAATGGGGCTTCTATGACGAGCCGGATGCGCTAGAGAAACTCATCGACTGGCTGGATACACGGGGAAACCGTGAGTTGAAATTGCGCAAGGAGCTGCTGCTGCAGCGGGACAACATTGCGAAGTATATGAACCGTCGCACGGAGTACCTGGCACAAACCGCCGAGAGAGCCGAGTCCGAGGAGGTGCCAGCCAAGCGGATGACCACGAGAACCAAAACATACGGGGACGACAACCAGCATCGTTGCCTGAAATGGCACAATGTGACGGCCTTGTCCGAGAATGGGCATCTCCATGTCGATGCTTCCCGGCCGGCCAAGCGAGCGAAGCGGACCACCGATGAACCCAAGGACATCAAGGCGACGAATCGACAAGGCAAGCCGCTCACGAGACAGGGAACGCGGTACAATTTTTAGATGCACCGGAGTGTCGCATCCATTTGTCTATTGAAATTCACCGGCGTTCTCGGTCCTTGTACATGTCAGAGACCTAGGGATGGAGGGTAACAATTGGGAGGTGGTCGCAGCCTGTTTGATTTTGATTTTATTATTAAAAAGAAAAGGTCTTTTTTTTGGGTTGCATGAGCGATGAGACCATGAAATTTGAATTTCGACAGCCCACCTATATATACACGCAGATACATACTATATCCATCAGTTGGATACTTCATGCGAGTGGGGAAGCATTTTGGCCATAGAGGGAGTTGAATGGACTTTTGCATCGTTCTAGTTCACACCGGAGTATACGCAAGTTGAATAGGCACACTAGACTGTCCCGTGATCTTACTGCATGAGAAGCCGACCGAACTCAACCACTGACTTGATTCACTTCATCATTCGCTCACTTGTTGAGCTTGATCCACCTACAGGGCTGCAAGCAAACCCTCACGATGGATATCACCGCTGAGACATTTGTCTTTCATCTTCCGAGACTCCTAGATGACTTGGCAACCTGTCACTTTGTGTCGATAGACTGCGAATTCTCTGGGATCCCGACCGCCAATACCTCACCATCGAGTGGGAAAACCACGCTTCAACAGCGGTATGATGAATACAGGACATGTGCCGATAAGTACAGCATCGTGCAGATCGGTCTTACTGTTGGCCATGAAGATACCAAAAAGGGTAGGTTCTACTACACAGTACTATGTTGCAATGTATTGACAATGCCCAGCAACGTATACTCTCCGGCCTTACAATCTATACCTCAATCCGACTATCGACCAAAAGTTGGATGTAGAACGGGATATATGCTTTCAAAGTAGCGGTATGAGCTTGTGTTCTACTTGTGGCTATGCTCGCTAATGTTCTCAGCCATGGAGTTTCTCCTCCAGAACCAGTTCTCTTTGAACTCCATGTACAAGGATGGAGTCCAATATCTGTCTCGGGAGGAAGCGGATCTCGCTATGACCAAAGCTGCGGCGAGATTCAACCGCACGCCGTCTCGTACGGTTTTGGAAATCAAAGAGACCGAGTATGACTCTATTGAGTTCATTGCAGCAGCCCGGAAGTTGGTTAAAGACTGGCTTGCTCTTGGTAAAGTAGGTGGATTGCTGCATTCACACGGCCATCCTAACTGTCTATAGGCTCGTGAGCCATATCTCAATATCCCGCCACCAAGTGGCGATGCTGTGAGAGCGGACAGCACGATGCCGTCAACGCTGAACAACTACCAAAAGAGACTCGTGCATCAGCTCATAGAGGCGGAATACCCATCGCTGGTAACCATTGGCCAACCCACCTTCATCCAGATTATCGACTACGATGAAGAGCGCGAGAAAGCCGTCCGGGACCAACGAATGAAGCGGGCCCGAGAACGGATCTCCAAACAGATTGGGTTCAGATGGGTAGCAGAGGCGTTGGCCGGAGGCGATCTCTCGCATCTTGACCCGTACTGTTTCCGCAGCACGATGTCCACCTCAACAGCTGTAAAGCCGCAGGCCTCGCTCAGGCAGTTTTCGGACAAAATGAAACAGAAGCTGCAGTCACACAGGCCCGTACTGGTTGGCCACAATCTTCTCATCGACTTGGTATACTTCTGCCGGTGCTTTTTTGGGCCGCTGCCGGACAGCGTGCAGGATTTTCAGACCATGGTCCATAAGATGTTTCCCGTCTTGGTTGATACTAAATATTTGGCTACGCATCAATGCGGGTCTATAATCCCTCGATCCTCGTTGAGCGAGATCAATGAGACGCTGTTGCAGACAGCAACCCCAAAAATCAGTCAGCAGCCCCCCTTCCACAATGCGATATGGACTAATGAATGGGGTAGAAATACACCATCAGCATGCTAAATACAATAGCCGGAAGAGCGAGCACGAAGCAGGTTATGACAGTCTGCTCACGGCGCAAGTTTTCATCAAGCTTTCCGCCCAACTTCGTGACGGCGGCCTGTCAGAAACAGCCGAGCCTTCCAAACCGCAAAGACAACTGCAAAAAGAGAGTTCGCAGCAGAAACGCATTGAACCCCAAGAAACCGGTCTTTCCACAAGGTTTGACGTGCTTGGAATTGAAGAGGCTGGAGACGTCGACGGCGATCTTGCCCGCGAGGACGAAAAAGCCCAGCGTGACGAAGCAAGCAAGAAAGCCGGCCAAGGGCAGTTGATTCCTCGGAGCGGGAACGAATTCTGGCAAGTCTACAGCAACAAACTCCGGGTGTTTGGCACGGAGGAGAGTGTTTGCTATGTTGGGCAATCGTAGACATGATATCAGCGAGCACCCATTGGCCATGCCCGAATTGATCTCTACAAGCATTTGCACTACAATTAGATAATCCATCCACCTAGGAAGGAAGGCATGTATGCAGCATCTATCTAACAGTACACCTTGGAATGAAGAAGGTACTGCTAGCGAAATAGCCGCTCTGCTCGTTCTGAGCACCGGTAAATGATCGACTGGTCGTGGAGTAGCATAACGCAGTGATGATAAGGAAAAGGTGCCGTAGAGAAGAAAAGAAAAGAAACTGAATCGGCGAAAAATTTCGGGAAGAAAAGGGACGCGGTGGTCACGTGCCTCTAACCCAATCCCGCCTAGCGCCGCCGGTGCTCAAGACAGGTGACCGCCAACTTTTCTTGCAATCGGCGAAAAGCACCTGAACTGTTGACCAGCATCCGCATCTCGGCCCCTGTCCAGATCATGTCTTCAGGAGCCAATGGCGCCAGGCGCATAGCCTCGGTATTGAGTATGCCGTTCCTGCAATGCCAATGACCCCCGCCATCCCAAACTGACCTGACAATCACAGGGCCTTCCATCGACCCCAGAGTGTGCAGAAGCTGTCAAGAGACCCTCGTTCGCCGCTCCTATGCCTCCGCCGCTGCTCCCACCACCGAATCCACCTCTGCCTCGCCGGCATCTACCCCCTTCCCCGTCCTGAAGCCCACCTACACCATCAACGCCGGCGTGGTCCTGTCCCGTCCGCCCCAGATCACCCGCGACCTGACGCCGTTCGAGAAGGCCTACTACTTCTACCAGCGCCGTCTCAACGAGCGCCTGGCCCTCCCCTTCACCAAATACTTCTACTTCAAGCGCGGCACCCCCGCCGACGAGGACTGGAAGCGCAAGATCCGGGACCGCCAGACCCCCGCCCGCGACGTCGGCAAGTACAACGCCTACTCGAAGGACGCGTGGAACGACGAGCTGCTCGTGGGTGCCGTCGAGTCCGAGCCCGCCCACCAGGCCGAGCTGCTCGTCCAGGACGCCGAGGCCACCGCCAACGCCACCTCCCAGGATACCAGCAAGCGGGAGGAGATCCCGAGACCGTTCTCCCGCGTGACGGAGGCCGACGAGAAGAACGACCAGACGAGTCTGAACCGCGCGCTGCAGCGCACGCTCTACCTGCTGGTCCAGTCGAAGGAGGGATTCTGGAAGCTCCCTAGCTCGCCTGTCGAGACGGAGGAGACTCTTCGGATCGTGAGTTTCCATCCACCATCGCATGCTATGGTTTGTACTAATTCAGATAGGCCGCCGAACGCACCCTCTCCCAGACCGCCGGCGTGAACATGAACACCTGGATGGTGGGCTACCACCCGGTCGGCCACTACGTGTACAACAACCGCAAGCCGCACGTCGACGAGGCCAACGGCATCGAGCACCTCGGCGAGAAGACCTTCTACATGAAGGCGCGCATCATGGCCGGCCAGGCCGATCTGTCTGCCAACGCGCAGAACCTGCAGAGCTTCAAGTGGCTGACCAAGGAGGAGATTGCGAAATACGTTCGCGCCCAGTACTACGCCAGCATCAAGAATATGCTTGCGGAGCGGTAAATAGGGGGGTGTATTGATAGAAGATTAGCGATTTGGTTCAGTGGAGGTCGGATGTAGACCGGTTGGGTTGCATATATTATAAGAATAAGTATGGTCATGTATTGTATTACTAGCTTTGAATTTGGATATCATATTGATTGATTGATTGTAAGAATTGAGTATCTAATAATGGATCCAACGCCAGCCCTATATACACCAACCCCCTGACCGAAAGCCTTACTGCTACCTAGGTATAAACAACCAAAACAGATTACTTCAAATTAAACTTCTGCCCCTGCACAACAGGCTGATCCTTCGCCGTCTTCGCCGCCAAACTCTTCCCGCACATCGGACAAGCTAGATACCGTATGATTAGCCTCCATTCTCCAACAAAGGAACAAATGAGCGAGACAGAAAAGGGAGGATACCGTTCTTCTGATACGCACACCGCTGACAGTACTTCTTGCCCTGCTCTGTTTTCGTCTTGCACAGATCGCAGGACGAGGCGTACGCCGCGTAGGGGTTTTTGGCTTTCGAGCTGAGGAGTTTACTCTGATACAGTTAGATCATCACCATCACTCTTCACCACGAGAACAGAGCGTTTGAAAGAGATGAACAGGACATGCTGCAACTAATCCCTCTCACCGAGCCCCTTCCCCCCCTCCAAAAAAAAAAAAAAAAAAAAAAAAAAAGAACTCAATGAGCTAGGTAGGTAGCTAACTCCAACAAGACCAAAACCAACCCCATAAATGCAAATGCAAAAGATAATAGAAAAGAAAAAAGATACATACCTTCCCAACGCCCGTATTCCCCAACGTCGGTTTCGACTTGCTGGACCCCGCGCCTCCAGCGCCCCCGCCCCCGCCCACCGAGGTCGACGGCGAGCCGTAGTACATTTCCGATTTGCGCTTGACGCCGGGCGTGGCGAGCTCGGTTGATTTGAGCTTTTTTTGGCATTTGGAGCAGACCATCTTCACTTTTTCCGTCTTTCTTCTCTTTTGGATTGGGGGGGTGGGGGGAGGGGGGATATAGCGGGGAGATTAAGGATGAGGAGGTAAAGGGGTTGTGTTGTTGTAAGTTGAAGAAGAGAGTGGTTTGTAGATGGGATGTTGATTGATGGAGGTGCTCGATTCGGGATGGTTTGGATGGTTCTGCCACCGCTTTGGGGGGTTGGTTGCGTCATTCCTCTTCGGCTTCTTTTTCTTTTCTTCTTTTCTGGTTTATGATTAAATGGATTTCGTGCATCTGATAAATTGCAATCTCCGTTATATATGATTTTGCAGGCTACTTAATTAGTTGGACGATGTTGGATTCCCGTGCTATATTTCCCTGGTCTCTGTTAACTGTTTATTTACAGCGGAATCTTATGGCAGTCGCGCTGATTCGAATGCCGAAACGTTATAATCTATACGACGATGCTATCTCATTGCGAAAAGGTAGAATGATATCGATAGGGTATATGGCACATTAACAAAAAAAAGCCGAGGCCCAAACCTACTATCTCCCCCCCGACATGAACGCCTCATCCGAACTCCCTACCCAAGTCCCGTCGGTCCCAAACACCTTGGGAGAATGGCCTGGCTGGCTCAGGACCTCCCCGATGGAAGGCCGATACGGGATATATGGTTTGGTTTCCATCCGTTGACGCAGACGACTCTGTCTTGCGGCAGTCTCGTCTTTCTCCAACTGCAGGTAGAACATGATCAGACCGGTGTAGATGCCCACTACGCTGAAGAATTGCACGACTGCGCAGGCGGCGTTGGTATATCCTGGTTGCGGGACGTGGAGGTACATGTAGCGGATGGTGCGGATGGCGGAGGTGAGGGTGAGAACGAGGTAGGAGAGACAGGAGATGGTGAGAGAGACGAGTCCGGTCTAGTTGGGTTAGCTATCTATCTGATTATAAGCGGGAAACTGAACGGCGGGCCAGATACTTTGCTGTGCGGCAATTCAGAGCCAGGTACTTTGACCACCGGGAAGATAGCCCAGAGCAAGATCTCCAACGACATGATCATGAAAAGAACCGCACGAGAAGTAGTCAGTCGCTCGTCGTGGGCTGCTATACCCCCGGCCTCGGAGCTCTCCACAGTCCTGACGATCGACGCGATCCGTACGGCACAGTTCGCGATCACCAGCAGAGAACATATCCCCAGGACGCCCCAGTGGCCGTTTCTAACCAGAGCCAAAAGCCCAGTCGGGAATGCAATGCGCTCGAGGATTCCGTGCACGACTCGGTACAGCGCATAAAAGAGCAACAGCAGCGCAAGGAGCCGAAAGATCATCTGCAGGATGCCTATGACCACGTAGCTCTGCTTGACGGTGGCTTCTAGGAATTCAACCAGCAGGAGGATGACCGAGAGGATTTGTGAACTAGACGGTTGATAAGCACCAGGAGAATGTCCGACTCTGCCTGTCCACTACGATGGGATGTACGGTGGCACAGGCAGGGTGCGGCAACCACTCACAGGATGTAGGATACGATGGACGCGATCACGGCCAGGGACGGAAACGACGCCGTCGCACCGCAGGACGACTGTTTGGCGGTGCAGGCCGCCGGAAGGAAAACCAGCAGGGCTACCAGGGTCAGAAACTCCGAGACCAGCCAGACGGTGGTGTAGGGCAGCGGGCCTAGGTCCGACCTGAGCAGGTGGATTTCCGCATTCCATGAATGCGGCGTACTGCTGTCAGGGGAAGACAGGAGACCCTCGCTGAAGACAACCGATCTGCCCCACGGTGCCATGATGGCGTTGACAAGGAAGCAGACAGGCTGAGACTGGGGAAGATGGGGTCGTGCATCCAGCGCGACGACCCGTGGGGTTTCAAATATGGGAATGGAAGGATCGACACGCGGACGGCATAATGGTGCTGTTTAGGTTGAACTTGCGTGAACCGGCTCGAAGCTTAATGGATGGGAACGATTAAGGGGAATCAACTACGGGAAGACTTGTCTCCTTGTCGCCGTGAATGCAGCGATGCACGTTAAGACTGCGTGCAAACGGCCTCGGGATTACAGACCGTAGATGGGAGATCGGCCGGATGCCCCGTCTGGATGTCGATCTCTATTTGATGATGCTTGTTCCCATGTGATTTATGGTGGTATCGTTTGAGAAATCGGCCAAAGTCGGAGGGGACCATGCACGAAGCATTGTACCAAGTGCCAGGACAGCGATCGATACATAAGAGTCTAGACGCTCGTTTGCAGTGTGGTAGTATCGGCCATGCAGACGTCCGGATAGGATTGGCCACGAAGAGAGGATACTCGACAGCGGCTAACCGACGGATGCACGATGTGGGTGTCCCTGCTAGCCCATGGCCGTACATTTGACGGGGTCCGACGTGCTGGGATCAATCATGTTTTACGGAGACTCACGGGCCCATTGCCATTGCGACCAGCCAGCTTCTTCAGCTGCAGGTTCACCGTGTCCTAATGTCCGGCCTGAACGGCGGATTGGAGGAGGCCTCCACACGATCGCGATTGACCTGCATGCGGATGGGTGGACTGGTCACAAATGCGATGGAATTCGTCAGGCTGACTGGAGTCCAGCCAGGACTCTGTAGTCTTTCACATGGATGGAAGAAACGCCTGACAGTCGACAACTGAGGGAGACTGACGAGTCAGACGTCAGACCACCGGTAAGCTGATATAAACCGTGCACTGCCCACGACGCGAAGACCGTCGCATCCGCCGGCAACCCAGCAATCAATCAAGATCAAGCATCGCAAGTGGCGAACGGAACAAGAATCCATCGAAGCCAACCCTTTCCTCCAGTCGAACGTGGAATCTTCAGCTGGACTTTTGCCATCTGTTTCAGCTGCCCTGGTCGAGGTGTTTGTTGTCTCCCCCAAGCTGCAGGATGGACCCGCCACTCCTGAAGTGGCCTGCATGAGCTGCAGAAGCAGCTCTGGACAACAAATCATCGCCGGAATCGGTAGCGAACGCACATTGCTGGGATGGAGGAGAAATGAAAAAAGAAAAGAAAGGACAAAGAAAAAAGAACAGAAAAAAGAAAAGCGACGATGATTAAAAAGTAATAAAAAAAAGAGGGTTGTCTAATGCACAATCAAATAAGAATGTCTGAAGAGGAAGACACAAGGATTCCCAGAAAAAGATGTCGGGCGCTGGTTCGTCGGCTGGGCGTCGTCGACTCCTGACTTTGTGCCCAGATCAGGGGGTGACGCTGTTCTCTATAAAGCTGAAATGGTCCTCATTTCTTTCCGACGACAGTTCTCACGGCTGTCTGTTTGACAAACCCTCCCAGTCCCATTGACTGGCATATGGCCCTCGCAGTGCTGCCGAATATCCCGTCGCCAGAGCTCCTGTCTTGCCTGCTTGTTCCTTTTTCTTCTTTCGTTCGATTTCGCGAAGACGAACCTACCAGTTCGATCCTCTGGCCTCATTCCTGGGAGAATCTAAAGAGGAGGGACTCTGGTTCTAGTCGAAGTCGGCCTTTGAACGGCGACTCCCTTGCTTCTGAGGGATTGGGACGAACGAGTCAACCATCGTCCGCACACTCGTCGGTCGCCTTACTGTTACCCCTTAATTAATTCTTGCTCGCGACGCCCAACGGGGTTCGTTCTACGCGAGGCGATTCGGATGTTTGCATTGGCGCCGGCCCCGGGTTTAAAAGCACGCCTGCAGACCAGACACGGGGAGAGAATCGTCTGCCACCGAATTGATCCACGAACTCATCAGCAAGAATGCCTCCGGCCGGGTCCTCCTTCACGGCGCTGAACCTGCCGTCGACCTTCGCGCTGCCCCGATGCATGGAGTATTTCACGCTCACCGCCGGTCCCAACACCGATCTCTGGCGCAAACCTCCCAATGGCGACACCTCGACGGCGCCCATCGTCTTCACCTCGCTTCGGAACCCCTTCGTGGTGGCCGAGGTGACCGTCAGTGCGGACTGGGAGATGGAATGGGATCAGGGAGGCCTGGTCATCTTCGCCGGCGCCGCCCCCCAGTCGTTCTCGTCGGAAACCGGTCTCTTGTCGCCCACGCGGCCCTGCAAATGGGTCAAGGCCGGCATGGAGTTCTCGTCGGGGACGGTCAACGCCTCGTCCGTCAGCGCCACGGCCGACGGTGCAGACTGGTGTCTGTCGCCCCTGAACCTGACCGACGCTGCGCCGGCGTCGGCTCGACATTCTTTGCGCATCAAGCTGGAGCGCATCGGCCACTCGCTTTGGATCTGGTATCAGGTCCCGTCGGCGTCGCCCTACGCTCGCACGCCGAGTGCCGTCAGCAGCACGTGGAAAAAGCTGCGCGAGGTGACCTGGTTCTTCTACGGCGTCGAGGACAAGTTCGTCCACGTGGGGGTATACGCCAGCCGTCCGAATAACCTCAGTCGCGGCGATACGATGTGGGAGATGATGAACGGAGCTGGGACGGACAGCTCGGTTGGTGATGGATTGGTGGTGGAGTTTGAAGATCTGGAGATTTTTTGATTTTTTTCTTCTTCTATGTTTTTTAACGATTGATTCCTGATTTGCCTTGATTCCCTCTGTTCTGTCTGTTTTGCATTGCATTTCCCAGCATCCCTTGCGAGACCATACGAGCGACATGGCATGGGTTACGAGTTCACGACCTCTCTTACGTCACGATTCATTCTACCGGATTTTGGAGTCGCTTTACAGGGCATTCATTTGTGTTTGGGGTCTTTCTACTCGGAGTCATTAATCTCATCTGGGGTATTGCGACAGATTAGTTATTGGATATTGGATTATTGGATTTATTGTATTTGAGATTCAAATGAGTCCTGAATGAGTCACCGATAGGAGAGATCGGCGATGAGCTGGCAAGCGCAGGGCCAGTCGAGCGACCCGATCGAAGCAAGACAAGCATCACGCACATCGAGGTGAACGTGAAGCATGAAGCCCTCGGTGATCCACGCGCTAAGCAAATAAAGTTCATCGGGCACATATTCTGATGATATGATTCTTGTATGAAGAGGGTTCAGTTCAGTTTCACAAGGAACGCTGTGCCTGGGAATTACCGAGGGCAACGTCCGGCGGTTCCATGGCTCGACCGGCAGGAATCATTTCGCAGCTCCACCGTGACGCACTGAGGCGTAGAATCCAGGGCATTGTGAACTGAATTCTCACGGGTTTGGGTTGGGGAGAAAAGGTTCATGCCTGATGATCTCATCGGGGCTGCGAGCCGTGTCGACCGTTAGCAATCAGTTACGGAGTATGTTCGTCCTGTGTTTATGGAATGGAAGAATAGAAGATATCCGACCGAGTTCTATGTAGGTATACGGAGATACTCTGGAATCCAGTCAGACCAGACGACAGACTCTTCTGCAATATCGAGTACAATAAGAAAGATCAATAAATAATAATCATAATAATACTACAATAACTGCACTCTCCACTCCAATGGTGCCACTCCGACTCTAAACCGCAAGGCGACTAGTTGCTCCACTTTGCTTCCATCCTCATCCGTCCATCAGATTTTTCTTCATCAGCCGACGAGGAGGTCTTGCGTCCTGCGTATGTACTCGACTGACTACTTCGGAGTCCTGCTCAGGTCTCGCCCATCCCTAACTTCAATAGGCAAACTAGCGAACCGATGCGATTCCTGCGCGCCGTATCATTGGCGACGCGACGGCGCCAACTCACCGCATTTTCACTGCTGCGAACCATCCATGGTGGACGCTGTACCCTGACCTCTGCGTATCTCCGGAATCATGGCTTGCATTCGGTCTGCGTCTGCGATCAGGAATTTCTGGGAGTTCCGATTGCCCCTGAATAGCGGGTATCATATGTGAGTGACTCCATCGATAGTCGACGGAGTACGGATCTCTAGTATAGGGATAGGATAGGATAGGATAGGGGATAGGGGATCTATTCTTAAGAATAGTCCAGAGGAATAGGAATAGTAATATGATAGACTCGACGGAGTCCTCCTAGGGTACTTCTAGTAACTACTGCTAATCACTGGGACAACAGCCCCGCCGGTGACTCCATCCGTGGGACGTTTTGTTTTGGTGTTTTCCTGCTACCAGTTAGTCAATCTCTGAGAGCTCCATCTTTTTTTTTTTCTCTCATTTCCCAAGGTAACCTGCCTAAGATAATTGTGACTGCTTCCTCCTCCAATCTCCTCGCTGCAAATCCTCCTCCTTATCAATTCCCTCGTCTACCCCTCATCCGTCTCTCGTCCATCTTCTTCCCTCCATTTGCTCCTCGCACATCTACTTGTCCCTCCCAATACCCTCCAACCCTCCAACCCTCCAACACCCTCCAATACCCTCCGTTCTGTACATTATTCCTGTGCGGTTGTTTGTTTTGTTCTTTGTCCTGCCCTGAGTCTTTGTGATCGTTTGCTTTTTTGTTGAAAAAAAAAGAGAAGGAAATAAAGGAACGCCCGTCGTGTGATTCCTGTCCATCTCATCCTCGCCAGACTTCTACATCCCATCCATTGATTGCGCCTGTTTTGAACCTAACGACTGTCACGACTTTTCCCCCTCGCCCTTCCCCTCGCCATGGCTGAATCCGTCGGCGAAAACATCACCCTCTCCGTGCGCCGTCCCGCCGATACGCCCGCCATCTTCGTCGCCGCTTCCTTTTCCGACCCGAAATGGGAGCCGCTCGAGCTGGCCGTCAAGACCGTCGAGTTCAAGGACGACGAGGGCCTCACCTCCACGGAGTACATGTTCTTCCGGGACTTTAAGGTCGCTCCCGGTCAATATCAGTACCGATTCCGAGAGGGCGCCGACGGCCCGTGGTTTCACGACGAGACGGCGAAGAATGGTATGCTCCTTGCGTTCTGTGTTTTATTTTTTTTACGTGGCTTCGAGCTTCGATGGGATTCGTGTTAAATATCGGAAACTAATCAATTGCCTTGCTTATACAGCTCCCGGAGACGATGGTCTACTGAACAACGTTCTTGTCGTCGAGTCCCCCGCCGCCCCCGCTTCAGAGGACAAGCATGTTGAAAACGGGACGGCCGAGAAGGTCGAGGAGCCGGCCAAGGAGCCCGAGGTAGAGGCTGTGGCCGCCGAATCCGTGGAGAAGGACTCGCCCGCACAGATTGATACCAATGGCACGTCGGAGCAGGACTCGACGGTGGCAGAGCCCACCACCGAGCAACAGAAACCAGAGCCCGTCTCGAATGGAGAGGCCGCGCCGGTGACCAACGGCTCCGAGCCCGCTGCGCAAGAGCCGGAGACGGAACAGGTGAACGGAACCTCCCACACGGCGGAGACGGAAAAACCGACCGAATCTCAGCCCGAGCCCGTCGAAGACGTCGCCGACAAGGCGGAGGAAGTTCCGGCCGTTGTCGAGACGAAGGCGGTTGAGAAGGGTGACCACAAGGCTGAGCCTGAGGAGCCGCAAGAACCTTCGACAGAGAGCAGCGGTCCGGTCATCGCTGAGGACAAGCCTGTTGACGAACCTCAGCCGGAAGAGCCGGCTGCGAAGATCGAACAGCCTGTCGCCGAGAAGGAATCTCCGGAGCCCGTCCAGGAAGAGGCCCCTGTCGAGCAGCCCACGGAAGCCCCGGCCGTTGAGGAGACGGCTGCTCCTGTCGCTGAAGCTCCCAAGGAGCCCGAACCCGTCGCCGAAGAGCCCGCGAAGGAATCTGTCGACGAGAAGCCCGCCGAGGCCGCCGTTTCTGAAGAGCCCGTGAAGGAGGCTGCCGAAGAGAAGCCGGTGGAAGAGACTCCTGCGGTTGAAGAGCCCAAGGAGGCCGCTGTCGAAGAAAAGACCGAAGAGCCCATCTCCGAGACCGTCGAACAGCCCGCTACGAACGGCACTGTCGAGGAGCCCGCCAAGGAGGTGAACGGCGCTACCGAAGAGGCAGCCACCGAGAAGCCTTCGACTGAAGAGGTTCCCGCCGAGGAGTCCACCGCCGAAACCGCCAAGGAAGAGCCCTCGACCGAAGAAACCGTTGCGAAGGAGTCAACCGAGGCACCTGCTGCGGAAGAGCCGGTGAAGGAGGCCGTTGCAGAAACCCCCGCCGCCGCCGAAGAAGCTCCCGAGAAGCCAACGGAAGAATCGACTGTCGAGGAGCCCGCTGCGCCAGCTGTCGAGGAAGAGAAGCCTGCCACCGAAGATGTGAAGGAGGCCGAGCCGGCTCAGGTTGTCTCGGAAGAACCGGCTGTTGAAAAACCTACGGAAGAGGAGACCCCCGCCGAAGCTCCTAAGGAATCTCCCGAAGAGAAGGTCGAGGAGAAGGTCGCCGACGCGCCTGCCAAGGAAGAGCCAGTGTCCGAGGAGACTTCCAAGGAAGCCATCGAGGAGGCTACGGCTGAGCCTGTGCAGGAACCTACTCCTGAGGCTGCCCCCGTGCAGGAGCCCGAGACCGTTGCGGAGAAGGAACCCGTCGCCGAAGAACCCGTCGCCGAAGAGCCTGCTGTCGAGGAACCCGCTAAGGAGTCCAAGGTGGAGGAGAGCATCGCGCAGGAGCAGACCCCCGAAACTCCCGCCGTCGAGACCGAAGCCTCCAAGGAGGTGGTCGAGGAGCCTATCGCTGAGGAGGCAGCTCCCGAGAAGGCCTCTGAAGAGAAGGTTCCCGAAGAAAAGGTCCCCGAGGTGTCGACCGATGCCGCTGTTGCCGAAGTGACCGCTGAGGAGCCTAAGGAATCCGTCTCTGCCGAATCTGCTCCCGCCGCCGAGATATCGACCCCCGAAAAGCCTGTGGAGGAAGTCAAGGAGACTGAACCCGAGGTCCCTGCTGTGGAGGAACCCGTCAAGGAGGAACCCGCCAAGGAAGAGCCTGCTCCTGTTGAGCAGGCCACTGAGGAATCAACTGTGAAGGACGAGCCCGAGCAACCTGCCGTTGAGCAGCCCGCCACCGAGGTTCCTGCCGAGTCGGAGCCTATCAAGGAAGCCGAGACTGTTTCGGAGGAGCATAAGGAGGAGACCACGGAAGAGCCCAAGACTGAGGTTGAAGAGCCTAAGGCAGAGGAGCTCAAGGCTGACGAACCCGTCGTCGAGGCGCCCGTCGAAACCAAGCCGGAGGAGCCTATTGAGGAGCCTAAGGCTGAGAAGGCTCAGGTTGAACAGACTACTGCTGAAGAGCCCAAGGCCGAAGAAACCAAGCTTGAGGAGCCCTTGACCGAAGAGCCGAAGACCGAGGAAGTCAAGGCTGAAGAGCCTGAGGTCAAGGAGCCCGAGATCGAGGAGACCAAGGCCGAGGAGCCCACGCCTGAAGAACCTAAGACTGAGGAAGTTAAGGTTGAAGAACCCAAGGTCGAGGAACCCGAGATTGAGGAAACCAAGGCTGAGGAAGTGAAGGCTGAGGAACCCGAGGTCAAGGAGCCTGAGGTCAAGGAGCCCGAAGCTCAGGAAGTCAAGGTTGAGGAGACCACTGTCGAGGAACCCAAGACCGAGGAAGAGCCCAAGGTCGAGGAAACCAAGGCGGAGGAACCTACCGAGCCCAAGGTTGAAGAGCCTCAGGTTGAGGAACCCAAGGCTGAGCAGCCTGAAGTTGAAGAAGCCAAGACCGAGAAGGTCGAGGTCGAGGAACCTGCCGCTCCTGAACAGAAGGAGGAGCAGGCCGTCGAAGAAGCCACCCAGCCCGCCGAAGAGCCCAAGGTTGAGGAGCCGATTGCTGAAGAGTCTCCCGCCAAGGTCGAAACCGAGGAAGTGGTGGCTGAGGCGCCCAAGGAAGCCGTCGCAGAGCCCGTTACCGTGGAGGAGCCCGAAGCTCCTACCGCCTCTAAGGAAGAGACTGTCGAGCAGCCCGCTGCCCAGGAACCTACTGTTGAAGAGACTCCCTCTGACATCCCTGCAGCTGAGCCTGTGACTCAGGCCGAAGAGGAACCTGCCAAGCCAGCTGCCGTGGAGGAGCCTCAGGAAGAACAGACTGCCCAGGACAGCGTGGCAGACAAGGTTGCCGGGGAGACTGAAGCTCCTAAGGAGTCGCCCGCTGTGACTGAGCCCGTGGCTGAACCTGCCGTCGAAGCTGTCCCTGAGCAAGCACCCGAGATCCAGGAGGCAGAGCCCACTCCCGCTGCTGAGACTCCCGTTGAGCAGGAAGCCCCTGCTGCTGAGCCCACCCCCGAAACGGATTCCACCGAACCTGCTAAGGAGGTTGCCGCAGAGGAGCCCTCTGAGGACAGCGGCCTGTCCCCCGAAGTGATTGGCGCCGGTGCGGCCGTCGCCGCCGGTGCAGTTGCCGCTGGAGTGGCCGTTGCTGCTGCTGAAAAGAAGTCTGAGAGCGAAGACAAAGACAAGAAGGTGCAGGAGTCTGAGCCAGAGACCAAGAAGGGTAAGAGAAGTCTATCATCATGTCTACTTGTGAACGAAACTGACCTAATTCGAACAGCCCCTGCCGTTGATGGCGCCTCTGAAGAACCCGCCCAAGCTAGCCAGCCCGCAGTGAAGGAGCCTCAACAGCCAACCGAGGCCCCTGCTGCTTCGAACGAAGCTTCGACTTCTGCCGAGCCTGCTGCCGAGCCTGCTGCCCAGCCCGCTGCTGAGCCCGCTGCCACCGAGACCGATGGCGACAAGCAGGTGGCCAAGAAGGACGGTGACAAGTCTCGCTCCGAGAGCCAGAACCGCTCTGTTCAGGCTTACTCCCTGAACAACCAGGCCGATGGCTGGTTGAAGACCATCCTGCGTGCCGTCTTTGTCAACTTCTTCGGTGCCATCTTCTCGCCCTTCCGTCGCCGTGGAAGATCCAACCAGTAAACAACAAAATAACCCTTCTCCTTAATCCTATCCCCATCATCACCCGGGGACCCAGAATGCCTATTATTCCTGTTACTGCCAGAAAAACCTGAATACTGCTATTCTTCCTAGCTTTGTTCGTTTGGCATGCATATACCCGATAAAGTTGTTCTCAACTTCTGTCCTCTTACCTGTCACTCCTTTTGTTTCAACTAGTTTGATTTGATTCCCCTGTATTTGATATTTCTGTTCGTCATCAATTCAGGTTTTTTGCTTGCTTTTCACATGCTCTCCTCTCCAGACTGGATTGCTCGCCATCTCCATTCTGCAATTTGTCTACTCCTGCTTTGCGGTCTCAGCGTTGGTTGGGATTTGATGGGTGGATTTGAGTTTGATATATGGACGAATGGATGGATGCTTTGGCGGCCAGATATCAGCGAACTGATGGTTGATGTCTGGCTGCTTCTTGCTTGCTTGATTGCTGCACAGGATGTAATGATTTGATGTTCTTGATGATTTATGATAATGAGAATTCTCTTTTCTTTGATCTTGTTCCTTGGCTTGTAGATGACCGTGGTCTTTGAGACTACGAGGAAAGTTATAAGTGTAAAAGTGCTCGTAGATAGATTATGTACCGTCTCTTGATGTCGGATCCTTTGCTTACTCGACTTCAAAGGTTGGCATTTACGCAGTCTACTAGGTAACCACGGCAGATACTCGTCTTATATGAAGTATAATTCCAGGCCTATATCGAGACGGAATATTCTAATGGGTAGTTTCTTTCCGTAACATTCGCCTGGCAATTCCATTGATGAGACATCTCACATTTGTTTCCCTTCTGTCATGTTTTATACCGTGGATTGGACGTACCCTCCCTCCCTCCTACAAACAACCTGGAGCTTTTGTAGCCTTGTATTTTCTTCTTTCCACTTCTTCCTTCCTTCCTTTGTTTGTTTGTTTGTTTGTTGCATTTATTCCTTAATCTCTGCCCATGGGATAAACCTCGAAGATACTCTGTCCGTCGATGGACGAGGAAGGGGAGGGAGGGGAGGGAGGCAGCTATGCGATTTGTCTTGCTCTTTGGTCGAGACATGAGGGAGGGGCTGAGAAAGCTAGATGTGTGATGTATGGTCATTGGTTCGATAGATATTCTGAGAAAGGTCAGGTATGAAGATATCCACTTGGCTCACGGGGGCTTTTTCTGCTGCTGCTGCTGCTGCTGCTGCTGCTGCTGTATTAACAGCTGGTTTGATACCCGGGGCTTTAGAATGAGAGGGGGTTTATTGGTTGTAGACTAGCTTGGGAGATGGAATGGGTGTCTATATGTCTGTGTCTTGGATCGTGTTGGAGGATTTATGATGGGGTGGAGGAGTTGGTATCATTTTTTGGAAGAGGGGAGTTGACATTTCTGGGTTCTGCGGTCGATGGTTCTAGGGAAGTTGCCTGCTGCTTATGGACTTTGATCGGTGGTACGATTATCTTCTTGTCTTGCTTCTTGCCATGTAGCTCTTGCATTGATTTTTTGATGGATTAAAGGCATTGAAAGAATATAAATACTGAAGTATCTGATATGCAATGCAGTTTACTTTCGTACTATTATAAGCCACTCCCTAGCACACAGAACCGTCTCAGATTCATGTAGAAAGAACCACAAAGAACTTCTAACTCACCCCCAAATACCCAAATTCACGTCCGCTGAACAATTCACCGTCAGGGCAGCCATCAACAAGACTAGATAGGATTAGCGTCTCCTGTGAACCACAGACTTGCCAATAGAATCGCCGTGAAGATGAAGACGCAGGCAGACTTTCATTTCCAGGCGGGTGTGCCAGCGAAAAAGTAAGAGGAGATGGTAGAGGAGAAGAAGGGTGGAGGCGTTTGTGAATGTCCTCGTCATGATTTCTTTCCCTCTTCTCTGCAGCCGGGGTTTCTCTTTCTTTCTTCTTCTCACGCTTCTTGAGTCTGAGTCTTCTGCTTCGATAGAAGATCTGATCTGGTTCTGTTCGTGATTAGGAGGCCATCTTCATATGTGCTTCACGTCACTGGTGATCGGAGGTGCTGTTTCTTCTTCTTTTTCTTTCTGGCGTTCCTGTGCTCGCTGGTGATCTCTTTAGTTCGGTCGTCCTTGTCCTTCTTTTTTGAGATATCCGCTGTTGAGCATCCTTCTTCACGTCACATTCCCGTTACTGTTATTGATGGTAGCAGTTGAGTGCTGTGACGTTTCTCGATAGAGAGCTTTCTCCCTTTGGATCTTCTGTCCTGGATCGTGCGTCGCCACGAACTCGCTGTTTATCTTCCTCCTCACGTCACATCTCCGCTGTGAAGATTCCGGTTAGGTGTCCGCTTGACAGAGCTTGCTATCTTCTCACGGATATCGTGTATCAAGCTCTTCTACTGTTGATCTGTATCGCTCGTTCACAGACTCGTTGTGAGTTTCTTTCCCACGTCATATTGCCATTGTTGTCAGTCGAGTTGTGATCTGCTCGATAGAGTTATCTTTCTCATCACCTTTTTCACGTCACCTTCCCACTCTGGAAGTTGAGATATCGTGTCTGCTTGATAGAGAATACTCCATCTTCATCATCTTGCTTATTCTCTGTCCCTTCTGTCTTGCATCAAGCATCGAGAATCGAGGATTGAGGATCATCTATCATACTTCGGCCGCCACCCACAATCGATCTATCGTCTCGTCTTTTATTTTCAAGTGCCACGACAGACCACCCTCATGTCGCCTCGCGAAAACAAGCAGACTCGAGACCGTGAAATTGCTGACCTCTTCGAAACATCAAACCCCCGAGTCAGCCTGCCGCCTATTCCGCCCTCCATGACTTATATTCAAGGCAATGCCTTTGCGCAGATGAAGGCCAAAGAACGAGAGAGGCAGCAGCAGATGGCGGAGAGTGGTAGTCCTGGTAAGTGGACTTTCTCTCTTGGCTTGGGTTTTTGCCTTTTGCCTTGTCGTCGTCGGGGTTGATGGGTGTTTTGTTCTTTCTTTTCGGTTTGTCTAGCTGACTGGCTGTATGGCTGGCTTGGTGTTCTGTCGGACTGTTCTGATCTGAAATCCTATTCTTTTTCTTCTGTTGCCGGATCACATCTTTCCCTTCTTTTGCACGTTTTTTTAATTTTCAACTTTTTGTGTCTTTTTGCTGTTTCCATTTGCGAAAAGAAAAGAAACCATCGACGATAGAGAAAAGAACAAAAGCACCATGCACTAACACATAGACATCACAGAACAAACAACACCCCGGCCGAGCACCGGCAGCGGACGAAGATCTAACGGCCTGGACTACGACCAGGAACTGGCCCTCCCGATGCCAAAGCCGCGCCACCTGCCGCCAACAGAGGCCGAGTTGGCGGAGGTGGCAGCACAACAGAGGCGGCCGTCGTCCACGCACCGGGCGAGATTGACGAAGAAGAAATCTGGGGACCTAGGGGCCGGGAACAGTCCGACAGACACGGAGAGAAAGAAGTCCAAGGTCGCATCTCTCCGGTCGAAGTTCAGTTTGAAAGATCTTGCAAAGGAGTTTCTTCGGGACTCTTCCCCTCCGCCGGCGGTGCCAGCTTTGAGGAAGTCAAGCAGTAGCGGGATTCCGGTTGAGGGAGGGCCCAGGACACCGCGATTGGTGTCGCCGGCGTCGTTGGAGAAGACTCCCAGCTTCGAAGAGAAGAGACTGTACGTGCCAAAGGCACGAAAAGCCAGCACGGAGGAGCCGTTGTCGGCGCCACCGGCAACATCGAGCTTTCAGGAGTCGCTGGGAGGGGACCGGATTTCACAAAGCAGCATGTACTCTTCTCCCCCCAGAATGACGGAAGCCACGGCGAAGAACGAGAAGAGGGAGAAGTTTCGACACGCTCTGGTGCATGACGAAAGCAACGAAGGCCTCACGCTGAGGCAGAAAGATACTGACAAGCACCTGAGAACACTGCTGCTCGATGGATCTTCTCCTCCGGCCCATACGGGCGAACTGAGCAACACCGGCCAGCCGGAGGTCGTTACGTCGGGGAAAAGAATATGCAGTATGAAAGCAGAAGAGGGGCCGGTGACCCCCATCAAGGCAATAGAAGCCACCCTGCCCGCGGCAGACATCGCCCGGGAGTACTCGCCATCCATCTACGACGCCGATAGCGTAGCCACGACCGTCCCGAAGGCCACACCCATCGAGGAAAAGAAGGCGGCGACAGACAAGCGCCAGCACCCATTGATCGTCTCCTCCGATCAAAAGGGGAAGAAGAAGCCCCCCAAAAGACCAAACCGGCCTGATTTCGTACCCACTGGACCCGCGCAACCGCAGTATGGACCGGCCCAGCAGCTCCAGTCCTTTGCTCATCAGCTTGATCCTCAGATGCCCATGGACGATATGAGATTCTATACCGGAATGACCAGCCACGGAGGCTTCGCTCCACCTCCTCCTCACCCCGGCTACCAGAACACGGCGACTCTGGAGCAACATATCACATCGCATGCCAACTCGCTACACCATCATGTGGACAATGCACTGAGAAAACTTGGCCACAACACGGAGAACAACATCAACTGGTCCACGGACCAGGTGATCCGCCAGGTAGAGTCGATGACCGATATTGCCAGGATGCTGAACACGCGCACCGTTAATCAGGCCGAGCTTATCAGAGAGTTGCATCAGTCTATTGAGTATCTGCGGGTTCAGGTTAGTGAGTTGCAGCACCATACATTCCGGATGGAGGACAGACTTGCAGAAAGCTTTCACGCAGAGATGGCACAAGTCAGGGCAGAGATCAGAAATCTAGCCATCAGCAGGGCCCCCCACAACACAGCCGAGAAAGCAATCTCCTCGCACGGCGAGTCGCAGGGGGCAAGTCAGTATGTATCCAAGGGATCTAGAGAAAACTATGAAAAGCGGACCAACAGCAAGAAGAAGGCTCGTGCAACGACAGCTCCAAAGAGTGAAGAGATGGCGAGAAGGCCAGAGAGTAAGAAGGGCCCAGCAGAACACAACGATCAGGAAGGTGAATGTGTTGCTGCTAGTGCTGGGAGTTTGGTTGAGGCAGGCAAACGCGCCGAGCATGTCGAACAAACGTCTGCGTCTGGTGACCGTGGTGACCAAAGTGAACGTGGTCATCGCAACCTTCACTCTCTCCCTTCTTCTGTCCCTCCTCCCACCGCTGCCATCCTCCCTTCCTCCATCCACACCACCCAGGAATCCAACGCTGTGACTGAGATCAGACGAACTCTCAAGGATCCTAGGCAGGAGTCATCCGGAAGTCCTCAGCCTAGGGGATCCAGACCAAACAGTTCTACTCATCCTCATCCTCTACTCTCCCCTGACGACGAATCTGACGCCAGCAAGATGGTGTTTGGATTTGGTCGGTCCGATAAGGACAAGAAGGCCAAAAAGGCCGACAAAAAGTCCGAGAAGAAGGGCACCCAGTCCCCTGTGAAAGAATCTAACTCTGATGCCAAAGACATCAAGGCTGATCCCAAAGATGCTGAGTCCGCCTCCAAGGACAACACCCCCGAGACTGCAGGCCAGACCAAGGCTGAAGGCGAGCCTAAGACTGAAGGCAAGCCCAGCACCGAGCCCAAGTCCAACCCCGACGAGAAGCCCGAGGTCCCTGAGGCGAAAACCGAAGCCAAGGATGTGAAGTCCACCCCTAAGGACAAAAAACACAAGAAAGGCATGTTTAACTTCAAGCGTCATCGTGACGGCAACCCCTACAGCAGCTTTCTTCGTACTCCTCAGCGTCACAAGGAGAACAAGAACACTGTCATCACTGCGGTCAGAGAGCCTACAGCTCAGCCCATGCCTATCCCCAACCCAAACATTTCAATCCCCCATTATGACCTCTACTGTCCTCTCCCGCACAGCCCCGAGGGTATCGCGAACTATAACTCGAGCGAGATCGACCCTGCATTCGTTCATCCCGCCCTCCGCACTCCCCAGCAGAAGGCTGTTCTTGCTGAGCGTGAGCGTCTTAGACTCGAGGGCCTCGCTCGTCAGCAGTCCGGAGAACAGAACCAGAGCCAGCAGAAGCCTGGTCAGACCACCACCGCGCCTCAGGAGCAGCACATGGGTCCCCAGCAGCCCGCGCAATTTGGCACCACCCCGGGCATTCCTCACCACATCCCCGGCACTCCATTCAGAAACCCCCCTGCTCCTCCCGTGACTTTTCGGTCCACCATGTCTTCACGCCAGCAGCAGCCTGCAGCCTTCTCTCACCCCCAGCAGCCGCCCTCATTTGGCCAGGCCCCTCCTGCAATCGTCTCGCACTACTACGGCGGAAACCCTCACAACAGCCTGACCACCAGCGGCGTGACCGGTGCTCCTAATGTCCTGATGCCTCCTCGCTACCAGCCCGGCTTCCCGTTCCCCCCTGCCGAGGGCATCGATATGCGCAGATGGTACCAGGAAACCCGCAGTATCTCTGCCACTGCCCAGGAGGGTGACCATGACCGTTCTCAGCAGGCGAACCCGTCCAGCGAGGGCAATGCGTCCAGTCAGCCGAAGCAGAAATAGTCGCTTTTCATTGCGCATCGATCACCCGTTCAGCTCGTCGGCGTTTACCACCTTTTCGAATTCCTGGCCAGTCTTTCATTCGGTCTCGGTACATGAACATAACGGTGTTGTTGGGTTTCTTTTGTCCGTTGATGATAGCAGTGTTGCATGAGGTTCCTTTCTTGGGATACCATACATAATCATACCGAAGAGTTGGGACAAAGATAGTTGAGTTGAAGGGTTGGAGAAGACCGGACTTGGCTGCTTGGCTCAGGAATTGATCATCTTATCTTCGGATTATGGTGTGGTTGGTTTTGTTTCATTTTCATTTCATGTAGTTGAAGTGATGGAATTGATGAAGTGAGATGAAGAGACGATGAATGTTGGTGATCGGGAGCGTTGAGGCGGCATTCCGCGCACGTGCTTTTTCCTTTCCTTTTTTGCTTTTGTCTACGGATTCTCTCTGATGCCGGGCCACAAAATACTCAAAATCATTGAAAGAAAAAAAAGCCCGATGAAATGATGAATGGTTGATGCAGAAATGAGAAAATAATGATTGATATGGCATGGCAACGGGGTATGTACAGAATTGAAACTTATTTTCTCGAAATCATCTTCTCCATATCCACCACCGCATCGCGGACTTGCGGACAGTAGTGATTCCGCAAGAGCTCTCCCTCCCACACCGTTCCTGCGAATACATTTGTAGCCTCGACGTCCTGCGCGTACGGGTTGAACACGCCGTCTCCCTTGCGTTCCTCGCTGTGCCAGAGCGGCGAGATTCGGCGCGCGTGGTGCTTGGCGACCTGGTTCAGCAGCGCCAGGGTCGCGATGGCGGATTTCTCGGGGACTTGAAGGGAGGTGGTCATTAGGCGTTTGGTGAAGCTGCCGAGGCGGACGGAGGGCGGCGTGCCGTGGGCGCGGGAGAGTAGGGTGGATGAAATGCAGCGGAGGAGGAGGACGGTGGGGGTCTGGAAGTTGACCTTGTTGCGAGACCGGTAGGACGAGTGGTCGGGCATGTTGGGGTCGGGAAGACGGAGGGATTTGTTGGGGTTGAATTCGATGTCGGGGTTGACGGAGAGAGAGTAGAGGCAGCGATAGAGTTGCTTGATGAAGAAGCTCAGGTCCAGATGCAGCGTGGCGGCGGCCTTGCTGGCATCCTGTCCTTCCAGGAGGGCAAAGGCAGTGACGGTGCAGAGGAGGGCCTCCCGCTGAGCGTCTCGCGTGGTCGTCTCGTCCTCGTCGTTGTCTGCCTCTTCGTCGTCTCCTTCCAGTTCGCTCTGGTCCGCGTGTCCGATGAGTTCTTTCAGGGCTTCGAGCAAGTCGCCGAAGAAGTCCTGGTTGATCAGGTGGGCGTATTTGGCGAGACCTTCAAGGACCGGGCCCATCAGGTTGGGGATTCGTTGCTTCAAGATCCGGAAGTAGATTCCGAACACCAGTTTCAACGTCTCGGCCTGGTTCTTGTCTCTCTCCTCGTGGGAGACCAAGGCATCCGCCTGCTTCATGTCCTTCTCCACCGCCTTGCGCTCCTTCTGGAGTTTACGATCGCGCTTGGTGCGGAATTCCTTCTTCTGCTTAGGTTTCTTGCCGCCGAAGTTGTTCTCTTCGTCCTCGCCACGATCGACTCGGTCCCGGGATGCCTTGGAGGAGAATTCGGATAGCAGACGCAGGTGGAGGAATGTGTCCAGAACGCTTTCCTGGATGTTGTAATCCCGGGCTTTCATCATCTTCGACAACATACGCACCGCTTCGAGCGAGACGATTCCGTCATCGTCTCGGTGGAAGACATCTTCGAGGGTATCGCGGCATTTAATAAAGTCGTCATCGACCTTCTTGCGCGCAAGGCGATTGATAAGAATCTTCAATAGTTCGCTGCGGAAGTTGAAATGCGGCACGGAGAGGATGAGGCTACAGGCGCAGTTGATGGCAATGCTCTTGAGGCTGGCATCAACCTCTGCCTGGCCTTTTTTAGCGGGCTTGGTGAGTTCCGACAGCGTGTTCACATAGTTCTTGTATCCCGAAACAAGGGTCTGTTCGAACGTGCGGAGTTTGCGCACTTCCTTGGAGATCTTGCCGGACATGTCTTCGTCACTGAGAGGACGGATGCGGTACCCGGGGATGACATCCTTGTAGATGGCAGCCTGTGCGGCCAGAGCCAATTTCTTGATTGCGACATGCGAGCCCTTCTCCACCATCTCGGCCATTGTCTTGAACGAGGAGAGATGCTCCTCGGGGTCCTCGTTGATCAACGTGGCCGCCTTTGCAATTTCTTCCTTCGCTTGAATGATCTGTATCTTCAAGGGGATTTTCGGTTTCTCCTCCTCGGGTTCTTCTTCGATCCCTTCGTCGGCATCCGGTAGCTCGCCCTCGTCATCGTCGTCGGTGCCCAGAAAGCTATCGGTCTCTTCGGCAGCCTCAGGTTCGTCCTCTTCGACATTCTGGAATCCTTCCGCCGTCTTAATGGGTAACCGTGTTCGCTCCTTGTCCTTTTTGCCCAATTTGCGTGGACGGCGCTCATAATCCTGTTCGAGGTCCCATTCGGCGGCGTTGCTGTAAAAGTCCTTCTTGGCTTGCGAGCCACTACCCTCATCAGCAGGGGGACTGACGCGTCTTCTCTTCGTTGTGCGACTCGGAGCCATTTTGTCAATTGAGCTCGACGAGGTTGAAGACAAAAGGTGACCGCAAAGATGCTTTTCTGCCGTCCGAAACTTTTTTTTTCGCTGCGGGCGCCAAGACCGGCGGCGCTAGACTCCACTCCGTCTAGAATTTTTGTCCGCGGAGCTTTTTTTCCATCAGAAAAGTTCCTTGTCAATCATCACCCTTGACAAACCCCTGCCTCCATTCAAAATGCGTCAATTAACAGAGGAAGAGTTGAAGACCATGCTGGGCAAGCTGGCCGTCTACACCGGTCGCTCGCTGAACAACCTCATCACCTCCGAAGACGAAGGCGACCGATACGTTTTCCGACTGCACGGCAACCGCGTCTATTATATGAGACTGTCGCTGGCCAACCTGGCGACGTCGATTCCTCGCTCGAACCTCCTGACCGTCGGAACCTGCATGGGCAAATTCACCAAGACGGGCAAATTCCGTGTCCACCTCACCGCGCTCGACATCATTGCGCCGCACGCCCGCTACAAGGTCTGGATCCGCGACAACGGCCAGATGCCCTTCCTGTACGGCTCGAGTGTGCTCGGTGCCCACGTGGGACGATGGAGCGAGGATATCCCTGAGCACCAGGGTGTGGTGGTCTACAACATGGACGATACTCCTTTGGTAAGACTTTTGGTCCTGGACAGTTGCCGGCAAGTGCTAATGGTCCCAGGGCTTCGGAATCACCGCGCGATCCACGGCAGAGTTGAAGAAAATGGCCCCTACGTCAATTGCGGTCCACTCCCAGAGTGATTTGGGTCTCTACCTAAGAGAGGTAAGTCGGACACTGTCGCCGTCGCAGCGATCGCTAGGTTCCGGGGATGATACTAACAACCGTCCAGGAAGATACTCTGTTCACGACGTAGGAGGAACAAGGTGCGTTGGCGAGGCAGCACATGGGATTCGGAGGCTAGATACCTGGGGATTCTGCAGGAGTTTTGGAGTCGTCTATCTGTTCAGCTAAAAGTGTCTCTTGTCTGGATTTGCAATTGAGTCTCTGGATTAAGGCTTCCTATCCGATATACCAATATCAATAGACTTGCTTGAAACACTCTGGTACTTCCATGGGCATGTCTGATTTGACTGCCTGTAATGACTTGTGAGGGGAAAGACGACGGGATTCTGGTCAGTCGCTGGGATTTACTATGAGGCACGTGACATTCAGGGACCAAGTCCAAATATATTCTCCGGCGCAGCAGCTCTAGTCGCCGTAACATTCATATATATCAAAATCTTTCAATCTTTTTGTAGTAATTTTTGAAATCACTAGTCACAATTCTCTATACGCATCACGATTGCACAACAGCAGAACACTAAAGCGCCGTCCACTGCGGGGCACGTGCAGGCCGATCAGTCAGCGGCCAGGCCCAACTTTCCTCCAAATCAAATCAAATCAGATATACTGCTTCTCCAAGCCTGACGACCTACTTTCGTTACAAAGACCCTTGTTCACTGGTCCAAGCAGCAGTCCATCGCCTCATCCTGCCCCTCCCCGGACACTGTCCCACCCTCCGCCTTCATCCTTTCCAATCATCCGCATCTTATCGCAGGCTCGGCCTGTTTCTCACCCCACCATGCCTCCATACTCCGGAGCTCAGAAACAACAGATCGCGCAGTTCGTGAACTTCACGCAAGCAAAGGATACAGTAGCTGCTAAGGTGAGGAATCCTTGGGATTCGATGCCCACAGGTCCCGTGATCTGGTTCTCTCGTTGGTTTTATCTCATGTCACGTGAACCTGGCAAACCCGATGTCACTGACTGACTTGATTGTGTCCAGTTCCTGAAATCTGCGAGATGGAATGTTCAAGAAGCCATTGATGCGTGAGTGTCACCCTTTTTTGTTTGTCTCTATTCCCTGTCCATTGTCGTGTCGTGGCCTCGGAGTGTCGGCAATCGCTTTCTTTGCTCTCGCTGGGGGTTCTTGCTTCTGCGAGCAGAGTTCAGGATTCGTTCTCTTAGGCATTCAGGTCTGGAGTCGTTGCTTGGTCTGTCGGGTCTGGTTGGTCGTGTGTGCTGGCCTGTGGCAGTGGTCTGTCAAGATCGGATGGCGAGTTTACTCGGGTCTCTCATGAGATACAGACCGAGGTACTGTTGACTTCTGCGTACCTCCTATCAATTCGATATAGGAGGACCATGACCCTCTGAGAAACAGTTCGACACGATGTGGACTCAACTTTAGACATGCTGCCTGACTCGCCTGTTGAAGCAATCCATGCATTGGCTTGACCAACTCATGGCTCTGGTCTATGATCAAAAGGCATTGAGTGGCATCTCGGGCACTACATCGTACCAAAATGCCGTTTTCTTCTGGCCAGATTCCATGCAGCTTGTCTCTTTGGAATTGAATGCCTCGAAGCCATTCGGTTCCAGCTAGCTGGAGAAAGCAGACACGTCATGTCACCACTGCAAACGCTTCATGTCATTCCTACTATGCACACTACTATCCATACTCTCACCAACAAACTATCCTCTACTTCTCCTCCCAACCAACAATGCCTTGAACCCTTCGAACCACCTACCTTCATACATCAAAAACTAACGCAACTCAGATACTTCCAGAGCCCCCAAGGGGGCGGAGCCAGCAACTCTGCTATCAACGCTATTTTCGACACCTATCTAGGTAAGCCCTCGACAGCATCCATCCAGTCAAGCACAAACCCAACTAACAACTACAGACTCACCGGCCGAAGACCCCGACACCATCGGCATCGACGGCGCGATGAAGTTCTTCGGGGACATCCAAGTCCAGCTCGACGAGGTGACCTGCCTGGGCATCGCCGAGCTGCTGAAGTCGCCGTCGATGGGCGAGTTCACTCGCGAGGGATTCCTGAACGGATGGAGATCTGTCGGGTATGCCTCCCCCCCTACCCCCCTCCTTAATTACTGCACCACCATTCCAAGCCAACAAACTAACCAAACAGATGCGACACGCTCGACAAAATGATCGCCCACGCGTCAGACATCCGTTCCCGAATCCCCACGCAACCCGAGCTCTTCCGGCGCGTCTACCGATACACATTCCCGCTATGCCGCATGCAAGGCCAACGCAACCTGCCGTTCGAGATCGCCAGCGAGCAGTGGAATCTATTCTTCACGCCGGACCACGGCGGCATCGCGTGGAACACGACGACCACGCCGTGGCTGGACTGGTGGGTTGAGTTCCTGGAGGCGCGCGGCAAGAGGCCCGTCAACAAGGACCTGTGGGAGCAGGTGGAGGTGTTTATGCGGAAGACGCGCGAGGACGAGGCGTTTGGGTGGTGGAGTGAGGATGGGGCGTGGCCCGGGGCGTTGGATGAGTTTGTGGAGTGGGTGGGGAAGAAGAGGGGGGGATGGAGGTTGAGTAGATAATTGGTTTTTTCTTTCCTTTTGTCTTGCTGGTGTGGTGGTTAGGTCGTGTTTGGTAGGGTAGGCTTGCTACTGACGAAGGTGCTATCTAGGAGATGATTTGTCTGTAGGTGGTAGTTAGTTGAGCCAAGAGAGGTTGAGTGATGGCATCAGGATGAATAGATGACCTTCGTTGTGTCCATTCTTGGCTCACCACCTTCTCTTCAGACACTCAAAACTACTAACGGATCAATCGGAATATCTGGCATTCGACAACGGCGACATTATAAACAAATCGATTCAGGTATGTATATCGCCAAGGTAAATCCTCATGCAAGAGGCAAAATGGGAGAATAAGATAAGAAAAAGCATACATCATAACAGTGAAGCATCTCTTCGTCTGGACAAGACACAAGAAAGGAGATGAGACAGGAAGAGGGGAAGAGGATAGGAGATGGAAGAGAACGATCTCCGGGATTAGGATAGGATAACAGGCAGGAAAGCAAATAGTAAACACGGCGAAATATCCCGGTCCCATTGCACGTTCTTGACAATTGCTTATAAATTGGAGTTGGAGATTGGGACCGGATAGATGGCTAGCTCAACAGCAAGTGCTGCACGCCTTAACCTTATTTACCGGTATTCCTTGTCGTATTCGCTGCCGGGTCCGCCGGGCCCGCGGCGTTGGTCGTAGCGCTGGTTAATGACGCGTTAGCTATTGCTGCAGACAAGATTCAAGGTCCCCTTACCCGTCTCAGAGCCTCCAAACGCTTCTTCTTCGTGTGGGTGTTGACGTAGGTTCCGATGATGAACCCGATGATGTTGAAGAACGGCACCCAGGTGTGCTCGGGCAGGAACTTCTGCGCGAACGCCAGCGCGATGGGCGAAGTCACCCAGCTGACCTTCATGACGGGCATGAAACCCGCGCGGACGGTGGCGCGGACCTGGTGCAGCGTGCGCGCACCGGCAATGACGGCCATCGAGGTGAGATAGACGGCATTTTGGATGGGGGAGACCTAGGCGTCCTTAGCTTGATGAAGTTGACCCAACCCAGAACCAGAAAACATACCACCAGGTTGCTGACGAGAATCTGCAGGATCTTGGCCTTCAGACTCGTGCGGCCGGCGAAGATCTTCTGGAGAATGCCGACGAGGAAGTGACCCAGAGGGGCACTGATGAACATTCCGTAGAGAAGCATCTTCGGCACGCGGGCGCTGAAGTAGTGTCCATGCTTGCTGACATCATGCGCGATCCACGAAGCCAGGATTTCTTGCAGACCCGAGAGAACACCGGATGTCAACATCTTGGTTCGCAGCGGGTTCGACTGCAGTTGTCGGAGATAGAGCTGCAACGAGGTCCAATCCCCAAGTCAGCTACACGGTCCGCGCCAATCCGAAACCTGACGGACGGGAGGTTGGGACAGAGTAAACATACAGCCAGATAGCCGGTCTCAGAGTTTCCTCCGGTCAAGCGCTCGCCGACCTTATGCGCCAACTCCTTGGTGTCCTTGCGGAGGGATCGCGCGGCCTCATCTTCGAATTTGACGGACATGGTTGCGGATGATGGGAGGTGCGAGGAAGGAAGGATCTCGGATGCGCGCGATAAGGTCAATCGGGGACTAGTGGATCAGGGCGAAACCCAGCAACGATCCTAGCGTTCACGAAAAGAAAGGTACGGGTTAGCGAACAACACGGCGGTAAGACCAGAATTCAATGACGGACCAGACCAAGCAGAAGATCGGTGTGGAGGGCGGCAATGATGGATGACGGGGAATGGAATGAAAGGAATGGGGACGGGGTTGGGCGAGGAACTTTGGTTGGAAAAGAGTCCCGCGAACGAAGCGACGGGAGAAACAGGGGGATCGAGTGGAGATGTTTGTTTACCCACAAGAGGAAGGAGGCTGGACAGCGGATGGCACCAGGAGCTTACCGAGGTTGGCGTGGACGGGGAATGGAATTGAGTTGATGGGAGCGATGGAGGGGACAGTGTGGAGGAGAGTGGGTGGATTGACTGGAGAGACGCTTGGATTCCCAACAGATCCGATGGAGAAGAGGATTAATATAAGACTAAGATTATGCAAGAAATAGAGCCACAATTGCGGTGGATGAATTCAGAGAGAGAGCTGAAAGAGAGGGAAAGACGAAGAGAAAAGAGTCCGACCGGCCACGACAGCCGGCACTTTCCACGGGCGCCTCCCCGGCCGCTGTCCTGCCCGGCTTCGGTCACCTCCGACCACTAGGGAATTGCCTGGATTGAGTAACCGAAATTAGATATCTATTGTCTTCATTGATCTTTTTTCTTTCTATTTCTTTTTCTATTTCTTTTATTCTATCAAATTGACAAATAGAAAATCAGGTCAAGCAATTACAATCACTACACATGTGCTGGAATCACTCAGCTCCTAGGAGCCGTGGATAGAAAGGCTCTATTACATCGTCCTTGTTTCTAATGTTCTGCCCTAATGAGGTCTGCTTTCATCATGATGCTCCTGAGAAAGCAGTCCTCTTGTACAGTTCATTCCTGTTACTCCCGTCACTGAAGGTCGCCGAGACTGACGACATAAGCAGCCTGAGGCAGAAAGAGACAAATGTGAAGGACGCAAGTGAAAGCATTTACCTCTGTTTACCAGTCTACAATGCACCTCTTTCAGTCTCTCTTCTTCCCCTCGTACTCATTTCATTATATCCTCCAACCTCAGTAGCCCGTCATGGTAGACGAGGACGAAGCCAAACGGGAGGATTCCCCAAACCCTCCTCCAGCATCTACTCATAACCCACAGGATGATACTGTCCCCCAGCCTCACCAACAGCAAGATCTGCCCTCCGATCATCACTCACCCTCAGTCCAGGGAACTCACTCCGGTCAGAATTCTGGCCGACTGCTTCCGCCGATCCCAACTGCTCGCCAGCCAGTCGTGCGTCTTCCACTCTGCACGCACAGCGTGGTGGAACGGCAGCATTGTGTGGACCATCTAGAGCGGTGCGACTCTTGCGGAAGGATCCCCTTCCTCGGATGGTTCTTCGTCTGCGTCGAAGACACCTCGGGATTCTCTGACCCCTTGGATCCCATCCGGGGCCCATTCCTCAGTCCTTGGATCTTGAAGGCGATCGAAACCGGGGAGTACACGGTGGAAGAGCGAGAGGTGTTGATCCAGCAGAAGTTGCGCGTACTGAGGATGGCTGATCTGGAGAGAGCTCCGTCAAGCCCTTCGCTCTCCATGCTGGAAGCCGAGTGCGAGGCTGGAGAACATGCCTTGCAGCAGAGACAAACGGCCTCCTCTTCAGCAAACCCCGGCGATTCAACAACCAATCTGCCTGCGCATCCGCTGCCTCCACTGCCGTGCACCCTCAGGGCCTGTCGCCATTGTGAGCGTCGGTTTGCTAATCTGGAAGAGCGCTCCTGGTTGAGCATCAATGAAGTATGCAACGACGCCATCGGCCCTCCGGCTGCGTTCGAGCTTGCAGGCAGACCGGTCTCCGATGCTAATATCGTCCGGCACTTGGGCTGGCGCTCGGCAAATTCGGGTTCCAAAACTGACGACTACCCTGACAGGCAAGCATGGTCGCGCAATACGTCTGGCTCTCAGCTCGATTTCACCGACCAGGAGTTGTCTGCTCTTTTCGACCAGGTATTGAATATGGCGGCAGCAAAAGACACCAAAAAGGATCGAACTACCGGCACTGACTCCGATGAATCGGGTCTCAGCATACTGATAGGATTGGAAGTGGACGATACATCCGAGGCTGGTGATCAAGATACCTGTGACGGAGGAGTGCCACTGGGGTGACTGGTTGGACTCTTTGGGACTTATTCAACAGGGCAGCTTTGGTAGGACCTGGAAATCAAGAGGGGGATGAACAAATGGAAAAGAAGAAGAAAAAGAAAAAGCAAAAGAAAAGAGACTACAGCGAGGCAACGAGGTTATACAAACGAAGGCAGGCTGCAGGCTGTTTCTACCAATAATTCACAGGGATGGATACACTCGCCAATATTGGACGGGCCTGGATTTCTCTTGGTGTCACCAGTCAAGCATGTATCCTCGTTCTGGATTGATTGTATTTGTCCACAGAAGGCCTAATAAGAGGAGGTTAAGGGTTAATAATCTGCAACGTAGATACCTCGATCGTAGCATCTATCGCCATGCCGGAAAGATCTAGACCTGTGACAATTTTCTGACAGTTCTTTCTCTTTCCATATTTCATCTCCTTTCTCCAACCTAGTATATTTCTTCTTATTTTTAATTCTTAGTATCGAATATTCTGCAGTCGTTTAGCCCCCATCTCCTTTAATGTTCCGTTGTTTTTCTAACATTCGGTTGTAGTTCTGGTCTGATCCACACCATATATATCTGATCGGATTCGCAATAAATGATCATCTATACACAGCAATCACTACGAGGAGCACAGAACTCCGATGTGAGAGCCAAGACCATGATCAACACCTGCACAGCAGTTTTTTACGTGAAAGAAAAGCGACTGGAGCCCTAAGTGCCAGTGCGTTGCGATTGTCGGCGGCCTCGTGGCTCCCCACCAGAGACCTCTCGACCTATCCCGCTGCGACCGACACGGGATTGACAGCTAATTCAGAATAATTTGCCGAATCCTGTCAATTTCCTTGATCGGTATGCACCCGTGCTTCAGAGAACGAGAGACTGACGGTGTACGACGCCTCACCGCAGCGGGCCAGTCGGTCCCTCCAATTCCGAACCTCGGCATCTGAAGTGCTCTGAACCACGCGCCAGCCCGTTGACCCGTCGATCAAATGCGCCGAGTCGTCTCTCCTTAAATACTCTGCACTCTGCAGGCACCTCGACCACGCCCTCTGCAGTTTGCTAGAACTACTCGCAGGATTCCCCCAACACACCCGCCATGGCCGATTCTCAGCCCGACGAGGGGAAATCGGGCAGCCCCGCGACAACGTCATCCTCGTCGGCTGCTCGACGTCAACTGCTGGCTACTCTCAGGACTGCGGATCTGTTTGTCGGTCGTTTAGACCGGTAAGTGGTCATTCATAGCGATCGCTGGATAGCAGACTAACCGCATATCCTCTTCCAGGCTCATGTCCACAGGCGACGGCCAAGAACGAATTTTCGCAGTCACCGGCTACCTCACCCACGTCCTCCATCACCTCCTCTCCTCCGCGCCATGGATCGCCGCACAGACACGCTTGAGTCTCCTGGCCCGGCTACAATCGGGGCCTAAATCCGTCCCTCCGAAGACCGACTCGTCCCAGTCGCGCCTGCTTGCCCTCTCCTCGCTGATGTCGGAGACCCGCTACACCATCCGACTCCTGGGTCTCATCCCCCTCTGGACCTGGGGTTCCGCAACGATCAAATCGCCGCCCTCCGATCGCACCATCTACGCCTTGACTCTGTTACAAGTGTTCGTGAACGTGATCTACCAGGCCCTGGAGAACGGCGCCTACCTGGCGACCAAGGGGATCATCTCCAAGCGGTTCGTCGACCGATGGGGTGGACCCGCCAAATGGGATCTGTGGAGTATTCGCGCCTGGTTCGGCCACATCTTCCTACAATTCTTCGTGCTGTGGAGGAAGCGCGTCTTGCTGAAGAAGAAGGCCGCGGATCCGTCGGCCCAGACGAAGGAGGGCCGCGACGCCGTGAACGCCGAGATGCGCGCGTGGAAGAAGAGTCTGGTCAACAACATCTGCTGGGCCCCCGTGTGTCTCCACTGGTGCTTCGAAAAGGGCATCGGGTTCCCGAACAATCTGACCGGCCTGGTGAGCTTCATGGCGGGTGCTTGGGGGGTGTCAGACATGTGGGCGGCTACGGCATAGGGGTTGGCTTGTTACCTGTGTGTGGGCATGATGGCCCGAGGTTTGTACATATACTGTTACGATTTACCAATTTGTTTATTCATGGATCAAGCAGACTGGATCTGCATTGTATTCGTTCTAGACATTTATGCTCTGGGGTCTTGGACGCCCAGATCCGACTTAACTATATCCTAGCTTGGGTAAATCAGCCTCAGAAACCTGGTCTTCTCGCCATCAATCACCGCCGCCGTCAGAAGCCTCCGGGGGCCGGTCCTCGCCATCTAAAGCCCGTCTACGCTGAGAAGTCTCGATCGATTCATAAAACGGCTCTTTCAGGAAGCCATCCACCGCCCACCTCGAGCTCTTCATGGGGATCAATTCGACCGAGGACCCGACCCAGACAAACGCACCCGCATCCACAGTCCTCGCGTTCAGAATATCAAGTTCCTCGAGGTTCTCACGCACATAGATCTGCACCTCCACGCTCACCAACCCCATCAGCCCGCACTCGAGCTCGTAGATCGCATTTCGCTGCGTCTCGTCCAGCCCGAGAACTAGAATCCCTTCTACCACCGACCCGGGATCCCGGCTCCGCCGCATCACCGGGGTGCTTGTGCTCGAGAACTGATACAGTCTAAACCCCGAGACCGTGGCGCGTGTCATGCGCTCATGGATATTGACGGTCTGGCTCTCGTTGATGATGCACTTCAGCACGGTGGGCAGCATGAGAGCCCCGTAGACGAAGCGTGGTGCGCAGCCGGGTTGCTTGAGCAGCCGCGTTAGATCTTCGTCGCTGAGCGTGTTGGACATGGCGTCTTGGTAGTCTTTTGGGTGCCATGTTTGGTTGTTCATTTCTGGGTTGGGCGTTGTCTTGCTAGGATTGCTGGTTTGGACGGGCAGGTTTGCCGACAAGACAGTGGCGATAGGGTATGTATGTCTGGATTTGGTCAGAATGCAAGTTTGATATGGAAGCAAAGACTCGAGGCAGGTTGGGACTAGCTTATAGATTCTCTCGAATATTCAAGCTCTTGTACCGACCCTAGCAATAGGTGTATTTCAGACACACGTCACCGGGCACCTGGATAGATTATGCCGTTGGGAGGCCCCTCTACACATGAGGAGCCGAGCTCTGCCTCTGTTTATAACCGCCCTCTGGCGATAAGGTGTGGTCTGGTCCCCCGGAGGCTAGAGAAGCTATACAGTAAGCTATTTGAGACTTCCTTCTGTCGTCAGAATGACTCCGACATGACTACGGCGCAGTCTGCCTATCCTCTAGCCACATTGTGCATGGCAAATAGATGGCTCTGATATGCGCAGCCTCATTCACCCTGTTGTTTTCAGAGGGTCGTTGAGGCTGCAGCCTGATGGGACTTATTCTGCCTGGGCTATTCACCCTGTCTGGACCGGGCGCCTACATTCTAGACTCGATCTTGGATTTTATTTTATTTTATTTGTTTTTTATGCCTGCTAGACATAAATGTTTTCCTGCAAGCCATGGCTCTCGGTTTGACATTGCGTATTTCAGTCTTCTATCTCTACGGTACAATGTGGCCCAGCGCCGAGGCCTGAGTACGGATTCCACGTTGCAGAGGATTTATTTTTACATAGTAGCTCACTCAAATGATGGCAGGATTTGTTGGCTGTCGAAGTGGATTGATCATACTCACCATGTGCTGTTTTCTAATTGGCGTCGATCTGCATGCCCTGAAGCACCCACTATTGACCCTAGCTGAGCGATGACGATGAGATGGGTATTATTGCACGCCAGAGGAATAGGCAAATATCTCGGAGTAAAATAATCTCTTAGTAGAATCTCCATTTCCAGTCTGGGATTTAGCACGGCCAGTGGAGCAACCGTTACGCCGTACTCCGTATATTGGAGCAAAACCCAGATGTTCCAGAAATGGCAATCTAATACTCTTTCGAGAACAGGGAATCAGAGACACGGGCTAAGTTTCAAGTCCCACTCCAGATCAGCCAAACCTGAGAATAGATGCGCTGGTTCCATGGCTGCGAAGAGGCCGCGGATGCCTGAGGCAGGCGTGTTTGCAGAGCCGAGGTGCCTGGCTTCACGGACGTCGCCCCCGTGCGTCGTGCAGGGCAGAGGAAGGGCAGGTCGGAGATAATGATGGAGTTTGTCATCTGCAGCAGAAGAATGGATCTGGTATTCACCGTGAAGTACAGAGTAGTCCAGGGAAATGCCATCATCTGGTGGATACGACCGGCTTCCATGCGCTTCTCTCCGGGCGGTGGCGGGAGGATCCTCAGGCAGGGCAGCTTAAGTCATCCACCCGGCAGGCACTGGCGCTCTATCGTCACCTCTTAACGGAAGCTGTTTCTCGTCACCCTCCGCTCTCACTTCCAACTCTCTGACTTCACCTCCCCCCTCCCCCCTCATCTTCATACCCAATTTACTTTGTCCCCTCAGACCTGCCATCGCGTCTGTTGGACTCCGCGTTTTCTTGTTCTCTTTTACCATCTCTTTGATTTTCCCCATCCCTGTCGCCGGGTTCGTCCACTCAATCCCAGCGACGTCCGTTAAGCCTACGTTGCTTCAAGAGCTTATTCGATTCGTCTTTCATCTCTCCCAGACTTCAAAATGAGCACGGAGCCCGATCACACCCACGATAAGAAGAGGGTCAACCTCAAGTACGTCTGAATTCTTTGGTTCTGGCATGAAGGGCTCAAGCTAACCCATCCCAGTGACGCCTCTGGCGCCGAGAAGAAAGAGGTAATCAATCTCAAATGAGGATAGACAAGCGCTTTCCTGTAAGCATGTACTGATCCGCTTTGCCACAGGAACTCGACACCTCGACAGCTATCCTCAAGAAGAAGAAGAAGCCCAACTCGTTGATGTAGGTGACCCCAGATGAAAGTGGGCCTTGCTTCGATTTCCTCATACTGACCTGGCAACCCGTTTAGTGTCACCGATGCCGTCAACGATGACAACTCCGTCATTGCCCTCTCCAACAACACCATGGATACCCTTCAGCTCTTCCGCGGTGACACAGTCTTGGTCAAGGGCAAGAAGCGGAAAGACACCGTTCTGATTGTGCTGGCCGACGACGATCTCGATGACGGAAGTGCTCGTATCAACCGTGTTGTCCGTCACAACCTCCGCGTCAAGCATGGCGATGTCATCACGGTTCACCCTTGCCCCGACATCAAATACGTAAGTCCCCAAGGTCCTTGACGTTGTCGCCTTGGAGTTAGTGTAACTAATGACCATTCTCTGCGCTATAGGCCAAGCGTATTGCTGTTCTCCCCATCGCCGACACCGTCGAGGGTCTTACCGGATCTCTCTTCGATGTCTACCTCGCCCCATACTTCCGCGAAGCCTACCGACCCGTGAGACAGGGAGACCTGTTCACGGTAAGAGGTGGTATGAGACAAGTGGAATTCAAGGTCGTCGAGGTGGATCCCCCGGAGTACGGTATCGTTGCGCAGGACACCATCATCCACTGCGAGGGTGAGCCCATCCAGCGAGAGGACGAGGAGGGTAACCTCAACGAGGTCGGCTACGATGACATCGGTGGTTGCCGCAAGCAGATGGCTCAGATCCGTGAGTTGGTCGAGCTGCCCCTGCGTCACCCCCAGCTCTTCAAGTCCATCGGTATCAAGCCCCCCCGTGGTATCCTCATGTATGGTCCTCCCGGTACCGGTAAGACCCTGATGGCTCGTGCCGTGGCCAACGAGACCGGTGCCTTCTTCTTCCTGATCAACGGTCCCGAGATCATGTCCAAGATGGCCGGTGAGTCCGAGTCGAATCTGCGCAAGGCCTTCGAGGAGGCGGAGAAGAACTCCCCCGCCATCATCTTCATCGACGAAATCGACTCCATCGCCCCCAAGCGTGAGAAGACCAACGGAGAGGTCGAGCGCCGTGTCGTCTCGCAGCTCCTGACTCTGATGGACGGCATGAAGGCCCGCTCTAACGTCGTCGTCATGGCTGCCACCAACCGCCCCAACTCCATCGACCCCGCCCTGCGTCGTTTCGGCCGTTTCGACCGTGAGGTCGACATCGGTATTCCCGACCCCACCGGTCGTCTGGAGATCATGCAGATCCACACCAAGAACATGAAGCTCGGAGAGGATGTCGACCTGGAGACCATCGCCGCCGACACCCACGGTTACGTTGGATCCGATCTTGCCTCCCTGTGCTCCGAGGCCGCCATGCAGCAGATCCGTGAGAAGATGGATCTGATCGATCTCGACGAGGACACGATCGAGGCCGAGGTGCTCGACTCGCTGGGTGTCACCATGGAGAACTTCCGCTTCGCCCTTGGTGTCTCCAACCCCTCCGCCCTGCGCGAGGTTGCCGTTGTCGAGGTTCCCAACGTACGCTGGGAGGACATTGGTGGTCTGGAGGAGGTCAAGCGCGAGCTCATCGAGAGCGTCCAGTACCCCGTGGACCACCCCGAAAAATTCCAGAAGTTCGGTCTGTCGCCCTCCCGAGGTGTGCTGTTCTATGGTCCTCCCGGTACGGGTAAGACCATGCTCGCCAAGGCCGTTGCCAACGAGTGTGCTGCCAACTTCATTTCCGTCAAGGGCCCTGAGCTGCTGAGTATGTGGTTCGGTGAGTCGGAGAGCAACATCCGTGATATCTTCGACAAGGCCCGTGCCGCCGCTCCTTGCGTTGTTTTCCTCGACGAGTTGGACTCGATTGCCAAGTCCCGTGGTGGATCCGTCGGCGATGCTGGTGGTGCTTCGGACCGTGTTGTCAACCAGCTTCTGACTGGTAGGTTTATGAATTTTCCCTCCTAATATTTTCCATCATGCTAACCCCATGTCAATAGAAATGGATGGTATGACCTCCAAGAAGAACGTCTTCGTCATCGGTGCCACGAATCGACCCGAGCAGCTGGATGCCGCTCTTGTCCGTCCCGGTCGTCTCGACACCCTGGTCTACGTGCCTCTGCCCGACCAGGCTTCCCGTGAGGGTATCCTCAAGGCCCAGCTCCGCAAGACCCCCGTGGCCGGCGACATCGACATGTCGTTCATCGCCAGCAAGACGCACGGATTCTCCGGTGCCGATCTTGGCTTCGTTACCCAGCGGGCGGTCAAGCTTGCCATCAAGCAGTCGATCTCCGCCGACATCGAGCGCCAGAAGCAGCGCGAGGCCAACGGCGAGGATGTCAAGATGGATGAGGATGAGGACCTGGACGAGGAGGACCCCGTGCCCGAGCTGACCCGCGCCCACTTCGAGGAGGCCATGAAGTCTGCTCGCCGATCCGTCAGCGACGTGGAGATCCGCCGGTACGAGGCGTTCGCGCAGAGCCTGAAGAACTCGGGCGGCAGCAGCTTCTTCCGCTTCCCGTCTGCGGGCGAGGTTGAGGACAACAACACGTTCGGGGAAGCCGGCAATGATGACAGCCTCTACGATTAAATTTTTGTTTGTTCATTTCGTTTACTTTCATGTCCTTTAATGTTTCCAAAGTTTGTTACCTATCTATCGACCGGCACTAGTTAGATCTAGCGAGATGGCCTGAGGTGTTTGATGAGAACAACTGGGAATGTTACTTGGTTCTGGTCTTTTCATCTAGACGGACATCACCTGTGTCTACTTGCCTGATATAATAGTTCCTCATGGAATCCATTCATCTTGAGTCTCGTGTGTTTGTAGTTATGTAGTTGTAAATGGGTGTCTTGAAGTCATTAGAATATTCTACCCGTATGTTCTAGGCAGATAAGGTAGGTTAGACAAGTCCATCCAGCCCATGTCCGTGAATAGTGATGTTGTACAACTTAAGGGACGACAAGCGAATGACATGAATCCGAGAAAGAAAGGAAACGCAAAGTGATAACGAAATAGACAGTGTAAGGTATCAAGAACTCGTAAGCAGAACCGAAACGCCTAGACCCAGGAAGACAGACAGAAAAACAAGATGCTCAGACGTGACAGACAGGCAGAGAGAGAAGATCTACTTCTGCTTCCCCGGTTTCGGCTTCTTCTCCGTCTTCTTGACGGGACTTGTATCACCGTTCTTGAGCTCGGACTTGGACTTGACTTTCTCCGCGCCGTGTTTGCCTTTCTCCTTCTCCTTGTCTTTGTCTTTCTCCCTTTCCTTCTCGGTGCCATTCGACCCCTGCCCCTGACCCTCACCAACATTCGACTCGCCATCATCCTCCAAAACCACCACCTCCCGCAACACCTCCTTGATCGCACGAACCCCCTGCTCCACCACCTCCGACGGAATGCGCACATCCAGATTCCTCACCGCCGCGTCCCCAGCACCACCACTACCATCCAGAACCCCATCCTCGGACCCATTCTGACTCTGACTCTGACTCTGGCTCTGGGCGTGTGCATTCCCCTCCGCGTCCCAGAGCGCATGACCCCTCCCTTCTGCGGACGCGACCACCGCCTCGACGACCTCGTCGAAGCGATCGCATCGGCCCGCGCGGAGGAGCTCGAGCGACAGGCGTCGGATCTTTTCGGTCCAGCCCGTGCGTTGCAGCGAGCAGAGGAGGTTTGAGTGCAGGTCTTCGAGCGCGGTGGTCGAGGCGAGGTGTGTGAGGAGGTCGTGTTCGAGGGTTTCGGGGGTGAGGGTGGCGGTGGGGGGGTTGGTGGTTGAGGAGGAGGGCATTTTGGTTTTGGTTTTGGGGTTGAGTTGTTTGGTTTGGTTTGGGTGGTAGTTGGGAGGTTCAGTTGAGGTGGTTGGTAGTGGGTTGGTTGGTGGGTGGTCTCGAGGGAGGAAGAGGAGGGTTGGGAGGATGGGCGATCACGACCGACCGATCGGGTGATGAGGGTGGTATCGAGGTAATAGATGTCGCAGGGACGGAGTAGGTAGATTGGATCTGTTGCGCTCGTGCTCGTAGACGAGACTTCGACTGGAGGCGAGGAAGGAGAAGTCGCGTCGGCGGCCGATCTCGATTTTGTTCGTCGTCCGTCTCCGGGATTACCGAGCAGTGGTCCCGATGAGGTATATCTCCTTGCCCTGATAGACTCGATGATAGCGTAGACGACGCGCCTCGATTGTCGGTATGACAGCGACCGAAGAAGTGGACGGAGGCGAGGTCGAGGACCGGCGTTCAACTGCAACGGGGTATAGTTGACCACGCGGAGACGAACGGGCGGGACGGCAGGAATTGCGATCTGGTCGCGATCGACGGCGATTAGCTTCGTTCGGGAACTGGGGGTAGTGACGAGGTGTGGAGGGTCGAGGGAGCTTGTAGAGAGAGAATACGTACCAGCAGGAGGTGGAGGGCAATTGCGCAGTTGATGTGAGGAAGAGAGGGAGAGCCAAGAGACGGAGAAAAAGAATGGCCCGACTGGTTGTTGGAGGCCGGTCCGAGATGGCCACCTTAGCAGCTATGGTTCAATAGATGCACGAGGGATTGGATTATGCACAACAGGGATGTGAGATGGAGGAAATTGAGAATGCGATTGATAATATGTAGTAGTTGGTTCTACCGAAGTGATCCCGATGCGTCATTGACCTGAATTGATTCATTGAACTTCTACCAAGTGTGAATTGATTCTGTCTCTACCGATTGGATTCAGTAGAGCTTCTAAAACAATATCTTGCAGTATCCATGCATACTATGGTTTACTCAGAATACAGAGTGAAATCCATAGTGTTGATTCGCATCCAGTCAACATATACTTGTGCCATGCATCCTGTTGATTCCACTGTCGATTCCACGAATGAGCTACTCCACAGAGCATATACTAGAGTACTTTGTGTATAATCCAAGAGTGGCAGTCACTTTAATTCATCAGTTTGCTTGCTATTTATTAGACAAACTCACATTACTATGACTTGTCACTGGTGCTGCTGAGAGTAACCAGCCCAGAGCCAATTAAAGAACCGTTATAACACATTACAGATGCGTTCGCAGATACCGCAATCCGACAGCTCTGCAGATTAGCTCCCCGACTAACCCATCTCGAGGGGCTCGTTGGCCCTGGAATCCGGGGCCAGCCTTGTGTCACCCGAACCTCCAGGCCAAACAGATGCCACCACCGGGCGACCTTGCAGCTGGTATCCGTCGAGGTCAGAGCTAAAGGCGATCCGTTCTATGGCAGGTGAGACAACCCCCAATATTAATTTTTATTCAATATGCCCTGATGATATCAATAATCCCGGACCCGGTGCGCTGGCAGGATGGAAATAGCAACCCAGTCCGAGCTCAGCGGTGACTCCGAAGGAAGCAGGCCGAACGTGCAGGGCACAGACTACAGACAGCCACATGCTAGCGCAACGGTCGTGACGAACAGGCCAGGACTTACTTCGGAGGCAAGATGCGGCCGAAAATAGATCGTCCGGAGGGGATTGTCTGATGGTGGGGGGGAGCAAGGGATACTAGTCGGTCTTGAAGTGGAGTGGCCACCGACCAGAAGAAAAGAAGGGAAAATAAAAGGGGAAAAGGAAGCCAACGACGATGAACCGGAGGAACACCCCAAGCAGATGCGCACCGAGACAGGGCAGCGCCAGGTTCGGGCCAAGAACCAGCGTCTCTGGGATTCATCAGGGGAAGGAATCAATAATTGGCACGATGACAGCGGAGCATTCCACCGTCTCCCCGCCCAAAGCGTTAAAGGCTCCGGCACTATTGGAAGGCTGACAGCGTTGCTCTTGGGCTCCGGAGAAGGATTTCTTCCAGTCAACGATGGTCTGCAGCGGATTGATCGAGGCTAGCGGTTCAATAGTGCCGTCGACTATCTGGCTGCTAGATTGGCTAGTTGCTCGAGTCATCCAGGGGATAGGATCAGAAAAGATACGGAGTAAAGAGAAAAAAAACTTAGCGCCTAGAATAATAATAATAATACTCCGTATTATAGTAATTATTATCAATGAGTGGGGGAAGGTGACTATTGCCGTCCCTTACGAATCCTGCCGGGGAGATGCAAGGAATTGGTGGCCGGCGAGAAATCTGAAGAAGAGGAAAGACTGTCGATAGACATACATATTGCCGGGGATGTCTTGCAGAGACTTTTTAGTCGAATCAAGTACTCTGTAGAAGCACCTGCGAAGAAAAAAGAGAAAAGAAAAGGAAAGGAAAGCAAAGACAAAAGAAGTCGAGTCCAGACCGTCACGTGCGGCGATCCCCGTCGACTTCATCCGCATTTCATTTCATTTCATTCCATCTCGTCTCGTCTCGTCTCCTCCATCGCCTGCCATCTCGACTCGTTCCTCCCGTCCATTCCTGCTTCTCTCTTGTCGCCTGGCCTCGTCGTCCATTGTTTGCTTCGTCATCACCGCCGGTCGCCTCCATCCCGCCTCAACTCGTCTCCGTCTTCCCGAATCCATCCACGTCTGCCTGGAATCGCCCAGAAGAGCTTCCCCGCTCCGGTCGAATCGAGACTCGCTGCTTTGCTTTTTTCTCGATCCACGGCCTGCGTTATCCTCGATTTCGCGTCGCCCTTTCGGCTCATCCTACAAACCCCGGCCAAGGGTCAACCGCTCCTCTCACCCTCGATTCGGTGCCTTCTCCGCATTCCAGCGATCTCGGCTTCTCTTCCTTCCAGCCGCCGTCCTGCCTTGTCCCATGCGGCACGATTGCTTGGCTGAGAGTCACTCGTCGGCCTAAATTCAGACTGCTGTTCGCCTTCTAGATGGGATAACCTACACATCTCCTCATCCTTCCGCTATCAGATCGCTCGTTCTTACCTCTCTTCTCTTCCCTCTTCGTCGGCTTGGACCCTGACGCTCGAGCCGCGCCGACTACCTCCACCGGCCTCCACCCAAACAATCCATCTCTCATTTTCGTCTTCGTGTAAACCCTCACATCAACAACCTCGCCATGTCTCTTCATACCTCCTACCATGCCGACTCCGACGCGGACGACGAGTACGAGCGCAGCGTGATCACCTCTCCCCATTTGGCCACGGACTCGGAGGCCTCTCCGTCGGAGTCCGATTTCCCCTCCGCGGAACATACGCCGACCTCCTATGCAAATGTCGAACACAACCCGCAGTCCCCGCGGACGATCATCACCGAATGGACTGCCGAAGAGTGCGCCAACTTCCTCGCCGCCCTCGGTCTTCGTCAATACTGCCCGGCGTTTCTAGGTGAGTTGGCTTGGTTAACCGGAAAACAACGTCTTTCCGACGATCGACGGTCGCTGATAAATGGCATTGATTGACAGAAAATGAAATCGTGGGAGAAGCGCTGATTGCGCTGAAACATGACGAATTGAAGGAAATGGGCATCATCAGCGTGGGCCATCGGTTGACCATCCTGAAAAGCGTTTACGAAACCAAAGTCAAGCAAGACATCCCGCTCGATGCCGATCATTATATTCCCCTCTGTAGGTTGCCTCAATTCGCTCGCTTGTTCCCCCTCCTTGCTTACCCGGTTCTGCAGCGGCGGATCAAAGCATGAACGAGAATGCGTCCCAAGACGACGTGGCTCGCCTGATTCAATCCATCCGTCTACGAGATGAGCGGATTACGACCGTCGAATCCGAGATGCGACGCATTGCCGAGGAATACCGACGACTGCGAGAGGAGCTCCTTCCCGTGTTTAAGATGTCCAAAGACCGGTCGCAGCCGCTGCCCCCTCCGTCTGCCATCCCCAGCTCCGTCCCCGAAGGGTATCATGACAATCAACCGATCAGCTCTCCCTCCGGCATCACTCTGCTGGAACGGTCTGTGTCCGGAATTTCTCGCACCTTCTCCAAGCGGTTACACAATGGAGGCACAACCCCGAAGAACAACTCTCCCACCCACATTCCGCCCTCGATCCACGAAAACCGACCCTACAATGATAACGCCTTGGACCCTTCGACCGCCGCCGTCTCCTCGTCGCATCTGAGCACGATGAACGGCAAATCACAACTCTCCCCGGGCATTCCGTCTCCCACGTCACCCGGTGGACATTACGGCAACACGCAAACGCTGGCCTCGCGGTCCTACACGCAGCCGAATTCGAACAGCCGCAATAATTACGACCACTACGAGGACAGTATGCCCACACAATCTCGACCCGATCGCCTGAATCCGACGCCTACCCAGGCCACCCGCCCGGAGATCCCGACACGCTCCGACTCCCGAGCGGGTGGGGATCCTCCCAGCGTGGAGATCTTCAAGTCGTTCCGCGTTTCCATGGACGATCCTTGTCACAAAGTTCTCCCGGCCGCTCTGAAGAAGTACAACATCAACGCAGATTGGAAGCAATATGCATTGTATATCGTGTATGGGGATCAAGAGCGGTGTCTTGCGCTAGACGAACGCCCGCTCATTCTATTCAAGCAACTAGAAAAAGAGGGGCGCAAGCCGATGTTCATGCTACGCAAGCACCTGCAACCGTTCGAGAACACCATGTATGCCGCCACCGGAGGAGCCGCAGCAGGGTCGGCGCCCAACAGCGCGGGCTTTGAAGGGCGACAGGCTCAGATCAATCTACCGGGCGGAGTTCTCTAATGTCATCTCGCTTTGTTCGAGAAAGATACCCCTTGTTCAAGGCGGACACCTTTATTTCCACGGCTTTTGTTAAACATTGCATTCTTCTCATTCAAGCAAGCCCTTGCTTACTCGATTCTTACATTGATCATTATTATATAAGTGGGTGTTTGGTTCTGGTGTTGGGGATTATAACGGACTGGAAAAGCAAACATTCAGCGTTGATTGATTTCTCTTTCCTCCCTTCCATCTTTTACCTTTTTCTTTTCCCTTTGAATAAACTCTTCTACCTGTCCATATTACCACTGTCTTTTTGCTTTCATTCAGGCTTCCATTCTATCTATCCTTTTTATTTTTATTGATTCAATTTCTTTCATCTTTCTTCAGCGTCTCTTGATCGACATAATGAATATGATGCATGCATGGATTGAATGGATCTTACTGTTTGGACATTCCAATAAATGACAATCTATTTGACTGACTATCTGTAATCAACTGTCTTTGTTTTAGTTCCTTGATAGCCACTCTTTTGACGACAAACTTAGGAACTATGTCAACATACCCAGCGAGCAATGGAACAAGCAACTATAGAATTTCTTTGAGATCCGCTATATCAGGCCGGGGGACTTCCTGTTAGCAGACATGAATAATCTGACATCTAACCATAGTGACTTCTTTTTCCTGTTATCAAGCGCCATACCTCATCTCCTAACTAACGCGACCAGTTTGCTGTATGTGATCCCGAACATCTTTCCGACTTCATCTGGCATATGTAATGTCACTGGCCTGGAAGGGTATTTCTCCTCGCGCTACCCATGGCGACTTTTCATTTGGCAAAACGCAGCACGATCAACTTTGGCGCGATTCTCCCGACCCAAGGCCACGGTCAAAGGAAAGCAATCAAGAAATGATAAGGCTCTATGGTGATCGTGACAATGAAACAAGCCTCCGCAAGGCTACTAGCTCCGCCACGGGAGATGAAGACGAATCCAACGATGAAAAACGATGATATTCAGATGTAGGCGTTCGTGTGTAGATACATACAGGAATCGAGAAGGCGCCCGGGGTGTTAAAGTCTTCTTTCTGCCATGTCTTGTCGTCGGTCAACCCAAATTTTTCCTTATCGCGCGTCAAGGGGTCTTCGAATGATAGTCGTGTCAAAAGGAAAGAAGAAGCGTGAAACACCCACCGGTTCACTCCGGCGGTGTTTCGGGATCACCTACTACTAGAGCTGGTCTATGGAGAGATCATTCCATATGAAATGACCGTGGGTCTTCGAATGGTTCTCTTTGTAAACGACTGTGGTGATTGCCCTGACCTCTTCGGCGAACGTATATCGCGTGGAGTTCAACTTGACGTGAGCTTCGAATGGATAGTTACAGGGTCAATTCGAGACCTGACTTTTTCTTCGTCGTCTGACTCGGAGGTGAACTGTATTAATGCAACACCACGTAAGTAGGCTTGGGTATTTTCTTTTGCCATGTCTTCAATCTTGTAGGCCGTGATATCAATAACCCTGTCACATATGGTATTTCCTTCGTAGACGAGTGTGGTGGCGTTGGTTTTGTCAATCTTCTGGTAAATATCACGAAGCGAAGAAGCTCGCCTGAAATTCGATTGAGCGGCATGGTATTAATATATCATGAATATGTTGATAGGTTATAACAGTCGTAGTGTAGGTACCTGGTACCTATGGGTGCGACCAACCCTCCACGCCACACTTCTCACAGGAGGGATACGATCCAGCAGTATCGGACGCATCTGGATCAGTGATGACGGCTCGATGCATCTTAATGTTTTAAAGTAAAGATAAAATATCGTCTTCAGCTGATATTTCCCGTAGTTTATCGATAAACTCGTCAGTATAAAAGGGCAGGTCTGGTCCCTCGATTCCTCACCCTCTCCGCTGAAGACTTGAACAACGTGAGAAACTGAGACCTGATAGAATCGCCGTGGCGGAGATTCTAAGACTGATCTGGAAGATCCCTAGGATCAAGATATTAGGTCGAAATATGGTAAAGTTAAGTGTTCACAAGGAAACCGTCAACACAGTCTCCGCTAACCGTCTCATCTGGACTACCCGGTTGGTGTGAAATGGCCGTATTTGATCATTTCAAGTATCCAGCGTGATGACAGACTCCGTCTTTAACATGTCTTGCCCAATTGATATCGAATTCTGGGAGTGTAATTCATTTACATGCCCTGCGAGACATGAAGGTGACTGACAGTCGTTGGCTCAGACAGTCAATAATGAACGAAGATACTGTTGCTGCGCCTGACAAGAGCATCATCTGTCTCTGCTTGTCGACTCGGGCATACTTCTCTCCATGCTGCCGCGAAGTTTCAACGCAAGCCCGATATCCGGGGATTTCTCAACTGGACAAGTGCGCTTGACGCCAGTGATTCCAGTACTAACCTGCTATTTATTATAGGCCTTTTATGTGCGCGGGATGGTCAACTTACAGCAGACTTAACCAAGACCTTGCCGCATAAATACCTCGAATCATCCACATGCCAACATATGCCGCCGTTCACCTTGCTCAGAAGAACCGGGGGGTTAGGGGCCGCGTCGTTCTTTGCAGCCGTCTTCTCAGCCTTGTGCAGGTTGTCGCCATATCCGGGGTTCGGGTTGTTTACATAACCTGTTAATTGTTAGATGCAGCTCAAGCCATGTAGGTCATAACCCGTACCGCAGTAGGTACCGTTCCGGATTCTTTTTATGTATCGATTTTGGTGACTAAGTACCCTGTTGAATAATAGGGCTATTCAATAGGCATACCGGAGAGAAATATTTATGTTGGTGAGGTTTGAGTACGTGACACCACACCTGCACAGGACGGGAAGGAGCAAAGGCCGCAGTACTTACCTTGACACGCAGCAACGGGAAATATTTGACTGTCATATTCTATTCTCGCCACGGTGAGTGAGGTGACGTCTGAATGACTGTAGGAAATGCCTGCGTGAAAGTATTAGATTTAGAAAATTGGTCTCCGGAACCCGAGAACTTACCTTGAGGATAAGACATCATGGTAAATCATTATTTCAAAAAGTCTCGTCATCGGATAATAGCAGACTTCTAAGGAGCAAGTCCACAGCTGAACTGACTGAATGCTATTGTCGACGGACTATATGCAGAGTTCGAGGAGCTATCTCCCTGGTGTTCAAGACGTCTGCAAACCACAAACAATCCCATCTGGCTGAGCTAACTCGAACCCTCCAATACCAGTGGTAAAGATCTGAGCACTTGGCGCTTTCTGTCAAGGATGATGTTAACCTGATGCGTGCTCCACTCTGAGGGAGTTTTATTCCCCTCATCAAGCCAGAGTATTATCCATGTCTTTGGTTGAGTATTGTTAGCTAATAGAACCAATATGCAATGGCTAAGTATCTCTTACCAATTTCCAACGGTCAAATTGGCCGTGAAGACTTCATTGTATGAAGTGAGTAGCTCAATTGAGGCCCATTTTTAATAGTGGAAAATATCCTGACCGTCATGCAGCTTTGAATTCTTCTTGCAAGAAAATATGTCCCGACATGGGTAACTGATTCTGTACCCATAATTGCGAGCGGTAACGATATCTGCGCCGTGTAGCAGATGCAATGGCGTGGGCTAAGTTCTGATGTCCACCCTATCCAGAGGGTACGACCCCTACTGAGGTACAAGACAATCATATAGCGATCACTGTTGGACCTGAAATATAAATAATTAGCCATAGTATCCACGAGTGTAGCGAACAACATGCCCAGTAGTTTCTGAAGACGCTGGACATATGACTGCATTGAATGCAGTTTCTCGTCTCCCCAGTATGTTCTAGATTGTGAAACCTCAAGACCAGATGTAAGCTTTCTTTATCTGCCTATTTTTCGAGCCCCTAAAAAAAGCAATGGTATAGCTCGAGGAAGTTTACCCCCGAGACCTGGGGATTTCCACGATCACTTCTGTCATTTTTCCCCCTGGAAGATCCCCTTGGTGCTTCTCGATCAGAGATCTTGTATATGGTTGTCTTGATTTTGCGCAGTCCTAAACAGCAGGTTTGAAGTTATGGCTTTTGCTTTCTCGATACGTTGGTTGAGGAGTGCAGAAGGAGGACTGGAAAGATAGAGTACTGTGAAGAAGAGAAAGAGGGATTAGGGAAAGGTTTAGTATCCAGAATGGAATCAGAGTCAGCTACACCATTCACTGATCATATCAAGCCCTGTGGATCTACTGTATATTCACTGAGTCAGTCCTACGGAGTAGTATCGGGAATAAAAGGTGAGGAAAGTATGGCACCTTCAGCGAGCTGTGGATTTTAAGAATTCAAACATATTCTAAGCTTCATATCCTATACTAAGCCACGCGTGACTGTCCACAATATTGGACCAGGGGGATTTGTATTGAATATAAAAATTAAATACTTATATCTGCGCGAGAAGCCTGACTGGATTATTGCTATCTTTGCAGAAATCTGGACAATGAAAGGGCCGCTGAAGGAGTTTATAGATAATCTCCCGTTTCTATAAAACAGGCACAGATTGTCCCTCGTAAATAACCCTGCCGTACGTATACATATCTTACATGTCATGGTGAAGCAAGAATGTTATCCTCATATAAAAGAAAAGTCTATATATTAAACAGAAACCAAGTCTGTTCATTCTAACAAATTAAGGGATATTGAAACACAGAAAATAATGTCAAGAAGGAGAAAAGGAAAGAAAAGCTGCCAAAAACTTCTATACACATCAAACTCATGGAAGAGGTTCGCTCAGTCAATGCAACACAGGAGTCGAGGGTCCAGCAGGAAGCCAAGCATGAGGGAGCAACGCCACCTCACCGAATCACGGTTCCTCACCGCCCTTTTGACTTTTCTCCGTACGATCTTTCATGATATAGAAACTCTTCTTTCTAGTCTTCAAGTCTCTCTACCCTTCTCGCCACCCCAGGAAATTCGAGGCCGGTATCCTTGGTTCGATGACCCCGATCCGTTGCCCTCGCTGGAACTTCCCTCGTCGGTCTTGGTTCGCGCAGGCTTGGTGCCATCCGCAAAAGAGATCTTGCCGGGCACCTGACGGAAATCGCCGTCATCCTCGCTGTCGGATTCTTCATCCACCGCCTCGTCCGAGTCATCTTCACCAAGGGCGGCTAGACGACGGCGACGTTCAGCCGGAGTCTCGCCGGTATCGTCCAGATCGGCTTGCTGAGGAGGTCGAGTGAGACCGGCCGCTTCTCGCAGCTTCGAGGGCGGTACACGCGCCGTACCGTCGTCTTCGGAATCTCTGCGCGGGCGAGGACTAGCAGGCCGGTCCAGAGCGCTGGTGCGGCGTTCGTCGGCAGCAGTTCCGCGAGTGAATCGAGCGAGGGAAGCGGCGACATTGCCACCCGGTGCACCCCGGTCGGATCCCTCATCAGTCAGGTCGCTGCTATCGGTAGTGAAGTCATCGTCGTCGTCAGCTGCGGGAGCGGCTGGTTGTTGAGTGTCACTGGCCGGTGCTTCAGTAGGCACTCCGACGGAGGAACGGCGGCGCTCCTCCTTGATGGCCTCCTTCTCCTCGCCCCGGGCGACGTCCTTGACTCGCTCTGGAGCATCGGTTTCCTCGACCATCTCACGACGGGCCTTGGGTCCGAGGCCGCGAAGCTGGTTGACGAACTCGTGCTTGTTCATGCGCTGTCCCTTGTGACTCACTCCCTTCTTGTCAATGTTGTCGTCGTCAGCCACCGTGAAACGAAGTCCATCATCAGCAAGCCAATCATCGTCAGCGGCTTTCTTGTTCTTGGCAGCCTGAGAGGACTCGGCTTCTCCCTGGCCAAACCAGGTCCCCATGCGCACGAGACCACGGCGCACTGGGGCAGCGGCACCGGTATCGGGTTTCTTCTCCGGCGTGGCGGCGGCGGCAGCGCCTGAAGAAGTTCCGGTTGAGGGAATGGAGTATTTCTTGATAACCTCTCCGTCCTCGTCCTCGACAATGATGGTGTTTCCGAATTGGTATGCGTGAGCCGAGCGAGGCTTTTGCTTGGGGGTCTTGCGAGATGCGGCCTCTCCACCGGTCTTCTCGGAAGCCGGACCAGGTTGGGGTCCATCCTCGGTAGCGCGGCCCTTACCGAAGCCCATCCAGTCGCCGAATCGTTTCCGGGCCTTTTCGAAAGCAGTCTTATCCTCCGGCACGGGCTGCACGCCATCTCCACTGTCGGGCTTGCCGTTGGGCTGGCTCGAGGACTTGGCAAGCTCTTCGGACTTCGCCTTTTGTACCTTCTGCCGCTCTTCCTCAACGTGCTGCTGCTGCTCGGTAGGGGATTTGTGACTGATGTTCTCCGTTCTCAGAACATTACCGTCCTCGTCTTCAATGACCAGGTTATGTCCTTCCAAGTACACTTCAATGCCCGCCTCGCGTCCGAAGCGCTCGCGTTCCTTGGACGGCGGGGAGCCACCGCGCTCAATCTTCTCGCGTTCGGCCTGTTCGGCTTCATCCTGGGCCTTCTCGTCTTCGGTCTCCGGCTGGCGTTGAGGTGCAATTGCAGACTGACTGATAGGACCACCGGCCCCGGCGTCGCGACGGCGACGGCGACGAGGTCGTTGGCTACGCGGCCTTCCGGGGGGTGAGTCGGCGTCCTCATCACGCTGCCGGCGCAGGAAGTTGCCGGGAACGCCGATGGGAGGAAGGGTACCCGGGGGATATTCCGGTTCGTTGGACGATTCCTCCAGCTCATCCGCCTTGCGGAAGGACATGGAGCCCTTGGCGATAGACTGCACACGGGGCAGACGGTTCATCCAGGACGGACCCTCTTCGTTGGCCTGCGTGTAAGACAGCGTGATAGTCAAGGTATTGATACGCTTTCCGAGAGTAAAGACGGCAATCGACGAGCCGTGCACCAGAATAGACGAGATGACCATGAAGGTTGTGATTGGCCATATCAGCCGCACGACATAATAGTCCGGTGATCCAGCTTGTGGCAATTCATTGGTCGGATCCGGTTGGGTGTTGCCGTTCTCCAGTTCGGCTCTCGCCAGGATGCAAGCAAAGATGGCACCGACTCCGATGGGTCCAAAATGCCCGGCGAACAGGGCTTCTCGCCATGTTTTTACATCCGGTATGATGGGTTTCAGGATCAACATGATGGGGATTCGACGGAAGAAGATGACGAGGATGGCAATCACAACTAATCGCCACGGGGTCAGGCCGATGTCGGGGTTGTTGTAGTCCTCCCAGGGAATAATGGACCCGAAATAGACAAAGTACGCCAAGTTGAGCAGTAGATCGATGACGTTGGACACGTGTGACTCTTCCGTCTTCTCCGTGAACCAGCCATCGTTACTGAAGCCGACACCGCAGGCGAACCCGATCAGAAGATCATCCATACCCAGCAAACTACCGGATCCCGCACAGAACACGGCCAGGACGAAGTAAAACACCAGGAAACTCTCACGATCGATCAGCTGCTTGCGCTCCGCAAACTTGATGGCATGACGCGCAAAGTATCCGATCAGAAAACCGAAGATGGCGCCGACGATACATTCGTAGAGAATGGTGACACAGAACCAGTTCAGGGACACCTTGCCGGCATCGGGACGGTAGTGCAGAATGTAGAATGACAGGTAAATAAAAGGGAAAGCCATGCCGTCATTGCAGCCGGATTCGGCGGACAGCAGATCTCGCAAATGCTTGGGGACTCGCTTGGCGAATTTACCCTTACCGACGACGGAGGAGGCCAACACGGGATCAGTGGCCGTCACGCAGGCGGCACACACCAGGGCCTCGAGCCAGGAAAGAGGCGCCATCCACCAGATAAACAGACTCGTGATCAACCAACCCCAGGTCATGACGGGCACCAGCAGCAGAAAGACCGACTTCCAGTGACGCTCCATGTAAGCCTTGGGCAGTTCGACGCCGACGGCAAAGCATTGTACCACCAGGACAATGCGGGAGCATTCGAGCGTGATCTTGTCTACATTTCCCCATTCCATGGGATTAAAGAGATTCGCCGCATGGGGCCCGAAGATGATGCCACACAGGGTCGCGACCGTGGCCTCACCGATATATAGTTTCTCCTTGACAAACAAGGAGCACAGCATGAACAGGCCGGTGAACCCGCCCAGGATCATGTACGCCAGGTGAGGCTTATCGATATCCAAGTGTTCCCACGCCATGATTGGACTGGAGGGACCAAGTGGACCTGGTCGGGAGTCTTGTAATCTAGAGCTCGAAGCGTCCCTCCGCGTGCAACAGCTCTTGCCAAGGTCCCTGCACTCTTCCGGCTCTGTCGTTTATCGCTTGTTTCTTTCCTGGCGTAGGATGTCTACCTCTTTGTTTATGGCTTTAAACTAGGGGTTGAACACCCCGAAAATCGGTCGGCTTATCGGACAACGGAAGAATCAGGTCCGACGTAGATCTCGGCATGCCTCGGAGAAAGGGCAAGATAAGTCCGAAATGATGACGCGCGAGGCGCCTTGGAAGAGGGAAAGGGTCGAGGGCTTTCTCGCAGTCGTTCGGGGGAGGGTAAGGTGGCCGTCACTCTGCAAGGGGGGAGGATGATCGCTTAGTGGCAGCACTCATGAGGGAAAATTTGACAGAGGGAGGCGGATTATGAGAAAGTATAAATTGTGGAAGGGCACGAGGTGAGGGAAGCAAACGAGGGTAAAAAGGGCAGAAATCCGGATTGTGATTGGAGCCAGAGGACTTACCTGGGACAGATCGAAAGATCGCTCTCCGTGCAGGGCGGAGAGGCAATCGACAGATAGCAGCGACGCGGGTAGACCCAGACAAAAAAAAAAAAAATAAAGAAAGAGACAACGGAAAAAAGAGGGTAAAGAGGGGGTCGACAAGAAAAGACAAGAAGGACAAGAGAAGACAAGAGAGAACAAGCGACGACAAGAAGCGACCAGAGCAGGACAAGAGTCTGGGCAGGCGAGGAAGGGAGAGAGGGGAGGCGAAGGAAAAATCAGGAAGCGAAGACCAAGAAATCGCAAAGTCGGGCCAAGACCGACATACTGATTCTGATGACGACGGAGGGAAGGTCTGGGGAAGACGAGCAGGTCGGACGAAGGAATCAGCGGCGCCCAGACGCGGCAGGAGGAGACTCGGCGGGGATTTGCTGCTCGCACTCGCGGCTTGGCGGGGCGGACCCTCGGGACTAGTGCTGTTAGTGCGAGCGTAGTGAGCAGGTTGTTGGCTCGTACCGCTGGATGACGAGATCTTGGAAGGCGTAGTGTTCAGGCCGTGGCCCACGCGAAGTGTCAGGCAGACAGATGATGACCGGCAGGAAGAAGGAAAGAAAATGAAGATGGAAAAGAGACTCGGCATACATTCTGTTTGCAATTTCCGGCGATGCGGCTTAGTCAGGCCGGATCCCGTGCCCAGCCCTGCAGGGCTGCCAAGACTACTGATCTCGCATCCTATTGGCCGCCACTCGCCGTGCCCCCACTGCAGAGCCCTCAGGTACCGATACCTACGAGAGAGGAGCTTGTCCACAGTGCGCCAGGTCACCGGTACTTCTCTCGGATGTAACTGCGGAAGCTACGGGTTACCTGGGCTACTACCTAATACCCTACGCCGTAGATAGGTAGCTATACTGAGGACTTCGGAGATGGAAGCGCACCAAGACGCCGGTCAGATATGTCGCCTGCAGCGACCGCTGCCCGAGAACAGTCAAATTTAGATCAGTCTCCAAAATATGTCGCACGTAATCGAAATGGGGAACGAGCAAAATCAACAATGTATCCGGCTAAAGTGTCACACGGCTGAGCATCGACAGGCGCCGTCAAACGCAGAAAAAACCTCGACTTGGAAAGCAAAAAATGACCCGTCAGATGGCAAATCAGAACTCCTCGACCAATCAACTCGTCACTCGATCAGTCCCCCAGCGGCATCCCTTCCACTTGGTCACTCAAGGACCGCCAGTTGTCAGCCTGCAGTTCCGCGTATTTGACCCGCTCCTGGCTCCAGTCCTGGTGCAGGCGGCTGATGTGATATTGGCTCTGTTGGAAATACACCAGCTCGTCACGGATGCATTCCCGGATGAACACCCCGCGTGCATGTTGCTGCACAATCGATTCCTTGTCCTGTCCCCACCACGTGTTGGATTAGTCTTCACCCCACTTTCGAGGGCTACGGCGGCTTACCTTGAAAATCGATTCCTCCACCTTCTCGATCTCGCCCGGCTTGACGGTGCCCTGGGGCCGAGTCCGCAGGTCCTGCAGCTTCCGTTCGTTGGTCTCGATGCGTCGCTCCAGCTGGGGGATATTACTGCGCGCATATCGGTCTCGTCGGTCGAACATCTCCCGCACGCTGACCAGGCAGTCCCGCTGGCGCTTGAGGTCCTCCAGAATCCCCGTCTCCCACGCCCGTGCCTCGTCCTCGAGCAGGCTTTGGCTCGCCGACAGATGGCTGGCGGTGGCTTTGATGCCCTCGTTCAGCAGAGGGACGTCGTTGGTGTCGATAGCATAGGTGTCCCGAGTCACTTCCGTGAGCGATTGCAGTCCAAGCGAAAACCGTAGATGGTCCGCAGCCAGCCCTTCGTTGCGCTTGGCCAGGCGGTCAAGCAGCGTGCAAAGATTGATGTACACCTCGGCCGACCGTTTGACGCCGCCTCGCACCGTCTCAAATGTGTCCGTGAGAGTAGCCGGGAGCGAGTCCTCTAGGTCGGGAGGAAGAGCTTTGCCGGTGAATTCATCCTGAACCGAGAGGTTGGCTTGCTTCCGCCACACAGAAAGCTCCTAACGTCACGTCAGCTAGATGCGCTCAAATCACGAACAAATACATACCGTGGGCACGGTTAAAAACATGATGACCAGCTGTTCCTGGCTGAGAACCGGATGCCGAACAAGGGCGTTGCTGAACCGAACGAGTCCGCGACGTCGCTTTTCGAGAAATGATGTAGAGTCCGCTGCAAGGTGAGTGCCATTGACTTCAATCGAAAAGAGGTGAGTAAGCTTATTTGAGCAAGCCTTTGCATTGACGTACCTGAGATTCTCTTCGGGGGGAGAAGGGGCAATTGTCGGAATGGGTATCGTTTGTGAAGGCAATCCAAGAGCCAGACAAAATCGCTGTAGCGTCGGATGACGGTGCTTCCTCTACGGGCGGATTTCACCTCGTAGTTGCGATGCTGGAACATAAACATGCCCTCCTTCTCCGGTAGCAGAGTGACCGTGATCAGCTCTTCCAGGTGTGGACTGGCCACACGGCCAATTCCCAGAGACCGGCGACGAGCATTTGACTCGCCTTGGTCATTGCCCGAAGGTGCAAAGCCACCAAGTCCAGCTTGGACAGGCCCGCCTCCAAGCCCACCCGCATCGGACGGATTGCCGAAGCTTCCGCCCCAGCCGAACCCTGCGCTGCTGGCAGCAGATTCCGTATCCGTTTGACCATTTGCGCGGTGACTTGATGTCACCTCATTTCGGCCGCCCTCCTCCCCGGGGCGACTGGCCCAAGCATTCGTCGTCGACCGCACGCTCCCGTATCCATTCAACACCGGGTGGCTGGATTCCGTTTGCGCATGGGCATGGTCGCGGTGAAGCTCCGGACTACCCCAAGGGTCGGACTCGAGGCCACCCAATGTTTCTCGACCTGATCTGCGGGAATGTGCGGAGTTCGGCTCCCGGACTTGCGTGGAGCGGGAAGGGGGCGTGGCGGGTCGTTCGGCGGGCTGATCGGAGGTGGCCGATTCCTGTTTCGCGTGCAGTGCATCAAAATATGAGCTCCGAGGAGTCGGAAGCTCTGTGTCCAAGTTAGCAAGGGACCTGGATGACCGTCAAAGAGAGCTCTTACTTTTGCGTCGATCATCCACCGCGTCAAACGTCAAATCCTCGCCTTCCTGCGCAAGACCCACAAGTGCCAACAGCACATTGAATTCGCTACGACCCAGGCCATTCGCGTCATCACCGTCGCCCGTAACAACGAGATTGAGAATCTTCGCTTGATCGGTGGCGCTTAGTCCGCTGCCCGACAGAATTTCCCGAACGGAGGTTAAGCCCACCCGGGCGCCGACGCGATCTCCACCCGATAGCACCAAGTCGTAGGTATCAATGTAGTTTTCGGGAACATCTGACTCGGGCAGTAACGTTTTCACGATCTCATGTCGGGCGGTCCGCTTGCTTGCGTTGTTGTTCCATGGCGAGCTCGAACCGTCGTCGTCTGCGAATAGGGAGGACGAGCCCAGGGCGGAATTACCACCACCGAAGGGTTCGTCGGCGAAAAGAGAGGACTTGGATCGCAGGGCGGATTGACCCCCGGGCGAGTCCTCTGGGGATGTGCCGAATAATGACATGAGGAGAGATAGTTATATTCAGACGAGCGACGCAGCGAAGAACTGCAACAGGCTTCTGTTATTCGAGGAGCGGAGTTCGGCGACAATGATGGGGGGATAGAGCGGATAACGCAAGCAACAGCAGTGACAAAAAACAAGTCTAACGGCTCCCAAACAAAGACGGGGCACAGATGCCTGGATATGGATTGGCAACTGAGAGAGACGCGATGAAGCACCAGAGGGAAAAGGACCGGCTCTCCCCAGGAAGTGAGTGAGGGAGTGATAAGGACGAGGGAGCAGAACGAGTTCCTTGGGGGGCGGGCGGTGGACCACGCTAGTCTATTATTGGACAGCTATGACGATATCATGTTTACCCATGTGATTTCCACACAGGAGTCTATATGTTATATATTTTATATATGTCAACATCGCATTGGTATACATTGCCCGCATATCACGAAAAATAAAACTCCGAGCCCATCCCATAACGGGGTATCTATACATGTAGTGTTCATTCATTATATGCCTCCCTCGCTGGAGCTCTCGACGACCGGCTCACTCGTCTCTCGCCCGGCTTCCTCGACGGAGCTCACGGTCAAGTATCCTTTCTGCACAAGGAGATCCTGCCACTCCTTTTTACCGGTTGCGAGGAGAGGCCCCGGGTTAGTGTCTGGAGGAAACCACCGCTCTTTTCGGGTTTCGGACTTGCTCCCCCCTTCGAGGGCCGCTCGACTCGCTCTTGTCTTGCGAACCCGCTTTGTTCCTTGTCCTTGCTGCGAGAGGAGTCCGCTAAGTTGTAATCGATGATGTTCGAGTCGCAGGTCAAACGCCATGATGGCTCGGATATAGGGTGCTAGGTCCTCTACAATAGGACCAATTCCGTTCTCGAAGGATGGAGCCAAACGCCCTGTGGGGATGGGAAAAGCGTAGTCGGCTCGCATGACGGGCTCGAAGGCCCTTAAAAAGTCGGCGGAGGTAGGGCCTGTTGCCTTTGCTCTGGTGATATTTGCTAAAACTTTAGTCGATTGGGAGGTCTCGACGTCCATTTCATGTTGTGGTCGGGAGATTTTCTCCAGAAGAACTCCAAAAGTGCCCCCAATGGCTTTTGAGAGTAGGGAGTAATCGGGGGTGAGGTCGGCGCTCAGTAGTTGGTGACCTTCTATGTAGTTTGTCCTCTGTTTCTCGGAAAGTTGAGGCATGAAGGTATCAACAGGATCCTGCGAGTATCAGCATTGACAGGTCCGGTATTTTGTCCAAGAGAAAATCCCAACTTACCATGCGGTGATCAAGAGAGCAATCCGAGCCCAGGATGTCCAGAACACTCCTCATCTCGAACAGGTCGTCTTGATGTCGTAGTTGTTCAAGTCGTTCCTGGTTAGACTGAGGGGAGGGGGTATAAGATGAGTGTTTGCCCAGGCCCGCTAGCCATTCGCTATCTTGAAGACTCAGTTGCCACCAATCCAGGGACTCCTGTTGAGGCTCGACCAACCGGTCTAAGCTGTTGCTCATCATCATATCGCGACTGAACCAGCCCATGAATCGTTCATAGGTGTTCAAACTGAGCACTCTCACTGGATGACCATCGTGGTCCAGATCCACCCCTGGTGGCCATCTGTCAACCAACCAGTCAAGGCCAGATTTCTCGCTGCCAACGGCCATTTGACACCAAAAATCTAGCTCCATGATCGATCGACGGAGGTCTTTGCCCGTCGCAGTGTAGAGATCATCGATGGCTTCTCGTTTGACCATGTGGCCCTCATTAGCGGTCAAAAGAAGCAGGTAGTCCACAACGAGGTGCTGTGGAGGAGCTCGGTATCGGAGAATGGCATGAAAAGAAACATCGCCAAGAGGAATGAGGCTTTCGTCGTTGCAGGTTATAACGATCGGCCGTTTTGATTGCTGGATGAGGGAGAGAACGCCTGACCAGAATTGTCTATCCTCGTCGAACAGAACATCCGCTTCCTCCAAAAGGATCAAAGACTGCTTCTGATGACGAGAACGCTTCTGGTCTGATTCTTTTTCAGGCTCCTTTTCCGGAGACTTGGCTTTTTTCTTCGGCGCTTTCGCTGGGACCGACTTGAAGAAACCCGCCAGCTTGTTCTGCTTAGTATCTTCGGACGCCAGACTTTGAGGCTCAGTGTCAGGAGTTTGGCTATTAGAGCGCTGTTCGCCAGAGCCGACATGCTGTACGAGGTGGTTCCGTGTCATGTCACCAACCCGGTCTAGGATATCCTTAGCGCTGCGCCTGTTTCCCGGGGTTATCTCGAAGACCTCGAAGTCAAGCTCCTTCGCCACCGCATAGACGGATGCAGTCTTTCCACATCCAGAGGGACCACTGAGTAAAATTGCATTCGAAACACGGCTTTTGTCGGTCCCGGATTTGGAAGGGCCACTGGCCAAGTCTGCAGGCCTAATGACGGACTTTTTGGTCGGAATTGTTACATCGCCAGCCAGTTCATCGTCGGAGCCACTAATCTCACCAAGTTCAAACGCTTCATCTTCACTCGAAATAATAAACCCGTCGAGTTTATCTGACTTCTTGCGTTTTTTCCGTTTCTTTTCGTCTGACTTTCGTTTCGCTTTCTCGGCATCCTTTGAGATTTTACCAGTGTCGACGGCAGATACCATGAGATATTTCAACCAGTCACGTAGCATGGATGCTTCTCGGGTAGGTTGAAGAACGTCGTCCGATGTATTGGGGGCGTATTTGTGAGCCCAAAGAAGGCTATCGTACTGTCCGCGATCAAAAGCCGTCATCGAGATCTTAAGGGATGAATGCAGCTTTCGAATGGCAGGATGGCAGGTACTGCTCAGGGAGTTTTCGTTTGGCTTGGACAAAGATGGCGGAGAGAGTTCTTTGGTGACTGCCTTTTGCAGAATGGCCCCACTGGCAATGGCTCTTCCTGGGATTCGCAGAATTGGTTCTGTATCATGATCGTAGCCCTGCACTTCAGGCGAAAGAACATTCTCCTTGTTATGGATACAAACGGCTGCCATTTTGGCTTTCTTTAGGTGCAGGTCCAAGGAAAACTGGGTCCGTAAAGGCTCCGCATCGATTCCGCGAATATGCGTCAAATCCTGTGGAGGCCATATTGGCTGAACAGGTTCCGGAGATTTAGGCTTGGGTCGGAAACTGGTGAATGGTGTCGGGTAAGCGTTTGCCGGTTTTCTACCCGGATTCGAGCCATTGCTAGCTGGGGTCGATGCCGGAGATTCAGTAGCTGCTGTGGCACCCTGTCCAGAGCTATGGTCAGACAAGGGGATCGGCGGTGTATCTGGTTTGGTGGCCTTTTTCATGAAGAATGGGTGCGTAGGTTTAGGAGGTAATTGTTTCTTGGGGGCAGATGTCGGAGCAGGAACCACGCTAGGAGCGCCGTGCTTTCTTCGTCCACCGATGATCTCATCGATCAATGCCCCAAGGCGTTGTCTAGCTTCACCATCGGTACCATACTTGACAACAAGCAGTCTCCTTTTACCGCCGTCTTTCTGACCATTCGTTTTCCCACGCTTGCTGACTCTTCTCTTTGGCGTCTCGTCGATTTGTTCGGGCCCCGGTGAGCTCAACAGCTTTCCGTTCGGGAATAATTTGACCGTTTTTTGTCTTGAAGATCTTCTTTGCGTCAATTCATTCGCGGTACCAGAGTCAACTGACGTATGTGCGATGCAAGTGCTTGACTGTTGTTCTGATTGCTCTTGGGAGTCGGGGTTGTCTTGGACGATAAAAGTAAGCCCCTCTAGGGCGGGATCGACTGGAGGCTCAGACACCGAAGCTGGTTGGCCGTGATCTGATGAGGGAGTCCCCTTCATCAGGGTATTTTCACTTTCCGAAGTTCCATTGATTTGCTTGCCAACTATGAAGTTCGCAATCGACCCAGCCTGGCCCTTATTGTTCGACTTGTCTGTCTTGCGCCGTTTCCTTCGCTCCGAGTTAGGATCTTGTTCAAGTGTAGCGGGGGGATTCTGGTGAGAGCCGTATTGTAGGGAATTGGTCGAGTGAGAGAGATTGTTGCCCGCGTACGATTCGGTTTTTACAGAGGGTTGAGGTTCGTGTATGGCGGTGCCGTTAGGAATATTCGCGGGAGCATCTACCGGAAATCAGTAAGGCAAAGTGAAAGAAGAATGAAGATAGGACCTTTCCGAAAGAACGGGTGGATGTTGCGTTCCTCGCTTTGCTCCATGGCCATAGGTCCCGGCAATATACCCATTGGGTGAGCTAATACTCATCGCATTAATAACAGTTGCGTAGAGGCGGGTAGAAACATGGAAAGTAAGATCACAGAAGAGGTCTCTGACGGTGTGTTTCAAGTGATATGGCGGAGTGTAGAGGGGATAATGTAAGTGGTGGAAGGGGTGTTGTCGCTGAGAGAGGCATCATTGAGGGAGCGACACGGCCGACGACGCACCAAAAAGACGCGCAGAGGCGCGTCTGCTGCGGGCCACTTAATGACGGGGTAGTTGCCTGAATATCGTGGCATCCAGACATGTAATATGCAATGATGAGTCAGCAGGATGCATAACGTGCATGGATCCAACGCTAGCCGTAAGGGGTATAGACTCGGCGCCGGAGGAACTGAAGATCCAGAAATTTTTCGGGATGCATCGAATTGAATTTGTTCATGCAGCTTCGTTGATCCAGCGTTCAGCGGCACCCGTCGCGCATTTTGATATTCCACGGTATAGATTCTGCTAAGATGGATTTGCAACCGCCGTCGGTGCTGGCTCAATTGCCTCGCCCCTTGCAAGCTTCGACTGGAAAAATCCGCATCGGTGAAGTGCATGGATTGGCCGACTCGAAAAAGCGCAAGAGATATGAAGTGGCCGTCGCAGTCGATGGAGAGGCTGTGAACATTTACAATGTATGCACTCGAGTTGCGCTGGAAATGTAGCACAACTTGCTAAAATTCTGAACTTTCTAGGTTCAAACTCCGAAGCTGGTTACCTCCTATGCCGTCCCACCGCAGTCCTCGTTTTCATGCCAGCCATGCTCGGTGCGCAGAAAGCTTTCGAACAAGCCCGTTGTCAAGCGACAGACGTATGTCGCAGTGAACCCTCAGCGCGAGATCAAATCGTTTGTCGAAGAAAGTGGTGGAAATGGATCGACTGCACCCGTGATTTCTTCCTCGTCCTTCTCCGTGAAGGATTCGGATAGCCCGGCCATCTTTGTCGGTTTGGTTCCGACTGCCTCTGGTGTTGATAGAGAAGATGATTCGTTCGATGTGCTGGCTGTTCACGAAGACGGTCGTGTGCGCCGGCTGGCAGCTGATCTTGCGACTCAGCGATGGAGCATCCGACCTAGCGAGCTGGCGCAGGGCTCGTCCGATACCGTGCGTGCATGCTTCCTCGTCGAATATGAGGACGCGAAGAAAGCGCTCCTAAAGAAACGCCAAGACCTTGCGACTTTGGCTTTGGGAGACCTGACGAACTCCGGCGTGGATGAGCCGTCGATATTGCTGGTCGTCTCGCACCCTACCGGATCTCAACAAATCAAGCTGAACAACGTGAAAATCTCCATGTTCTCCGTTCCTGGAAACGTGTCGCAGACTCGCCTGGATGAGAGCCAGAAATTGAGACACCTCATCACTGTCAGCATCCCCGATATCGACGCCGAAGAGACGTTTGAGAGCAATGGGTTGGAATGGGATTTCCACGCCGCATCGGCGGGGCTGAACCTCTCTTGCCGGAAGGGATTTATCAACTTCGATCTGTCCCAGTACAAGCCAACGGCAACTTCCAAATTCATCCTCGACGACGAAGAGTTCTCCTCGGTCATGCGAGTTTCGCCGCAGACGGTGATCGGAGCCGGCAAGTCGATTATCGCATTGTTCGACACGCAGTACAAGTCGATCCAGCGAAGTATCGCCTTCGACGATGTCCCTAACATCTCTTCGAGCCCCAAGGCGCCCACAAAATTCATCAGCTATTTCGCGAAGCTTGGCATTGCCGTCGCAGCCAAGGGCAACATCTTGTATGGATTCGACTTGAGCTCCTCGCACGCGACACTGGCTTCGTCCGTCAAGCGACCCAGGGACGGTCTTCTGATCGACGCCATCGGACGCGGCATTGGTTCCTCCGCCTCGCAATGGGACGCAGCTTCCAAGAAGCCCCGCGTCGAGCAGGTGAACTCGCTGGGCCTCAATTCACAGGAGCAGATCGACCGATGGAACCAACTGACCACCGACCTCCGCGAATCCGCCAAATCCAAGGATGCTGGCGCCTTTGACCGCGCGGTCCAGGCCTATTTCAACGTGGACGACTCGGCGAAGCTGCCCGCACGGGGTCAATACGTTAACGTCGAAGTCACCCTGTTCCTCCTCACGTTCATCTTCTCCGTCCAGGATGCCGGCAGCAGCCAGGACAAGCTCTCCGCCTCGTCGACCTTCCGCCTGTCCATCGACTTCTGGCCGTCCGAGACCTGCGAATGGCTCATCCAGCTCGGCCACCTCTCAGCAGACAACGTTGAGATTGCCCTGCGCCGGTCCCTCAAGCCGCGCATCCTGCCCTCCCTCCCAGTCGGCTCTTTTGTCCAGGCGCTCATCGACTCCGACGCCACTCTCCAGCGTCTCCTCAGCGTCCTCCAGGGTCCCACGATCTTCAACCCGGACGAACTCGCCTACGCGCTCAAGACCTTCCTCAACACCGCCCACGCGCGCTCGCTCGCCCTGGAAGAAGAGACGGCAAAGACCCTCGCCATCACCTCCGGCGAGGAGCCCGACCAACCCGACCAATCCGCCCTCACCACCAGCACCAGCACCAGCACCATCCAAGACGCCCTCAAAGATATCTTCCTGGGCCTGAACACCACCATCCAGAAGATCCACGCCCATCCCGCCCCCGCCATCACCCACTCGATCCGCTCCGCCCTCTCGCGCACCGACATCCTCTCGCTCGTCCACCACCTGCGCCTCTCCCTCGCCGTCGGCGGCCACACCACCCGCTTCACCGAGAACCCTCCCACCCCGATCTCGCCGCACCAGACCACGCCCACCCTCTCCCTGGACACCATCGCCACGCTGCTCAACGCCTCCGTCGACGCCATCGGCCCCTCCGGCTGGATCTCCGCCTCCGCGGACCTCGCCGATGCCCCGACCCGCGAGATGGACCTCATCGCCGACATGAAGTCCGAGGTCTCCGCCGCCCTCGCCGGCGTCGAAGAAGCCGCCTACCTCACCGGCATCCTGCGCGAATACATCCGCTACACCAACAACGTCCACAGCCTCGCCACCCCATCCACCCGCGGCAAGGCCTCCATCCCCTCCTCCTCCTCTCACGACAACACCACCACCACCACCACCACCACCACCACCAACACAGACCTCCAGCCCGCCTCCGATGCCGAACCCCCACTCTCGACGCGCGTGCGCCACGAGAAACTCAACGGCGCAGACCTGATGGTCTTCGGGGCCGGCGACGAGGGCGCCGAGGACGGCGACGCCGCTGGAAAGCTGCTCCCGCTATCACTCAAGGGCGCGAACGACGTCTCGCGCACCAAGGTCAAGAAGTCCACCGGAGAAGTCAAGGCCCGGAGTCATCGTGAGATCGGGTACTTGAAGCGTAAGGCGGTCGGGAAGTATTCGTTTGAGAGGCTTATTGTATAGATTAGATCAGACTTTTTCTTTTCCAGTTCTTTTTTTTTTTATTAAAATATTCTATCTGTTGTTGGTCTTATTGTGGTTGGCATGGTTTTTATGTGTGTAGATGTTATTTCCCCACTTGTCTGTCTATCTGTTTAGTAGGTAGATGTGATAAAAGAAAAATGGAGTTAAGATTTTTTGGGATTATTCTGTCTGGACTTATTTCATATACTGAGACAGTTCTATCTCATTGTAGATTATCATAGCGTTTACCGATGCAACATCCACGAAGACCTTTGCTCACTCTATAGACCTGCACATCTACTCAAATATTTAAACCACACCAATAAATTGAAACACTTATATACACAGAGTAATTCGTCTCACTATATGCACAAAAACAGCCAGATATATCACGTATCATATCAAGCCCACACAGACCACGACAGGTAATTGAATACCTAGCAGCGACAGTGCTCACACGCGAGCACATGCATATCCAGTCGAACCAAAACCAGCAGTCAATCACGTCACGTTTCGAGGGACGCCGTGGACATTGGTTCGGATGGTGCGCGTAGATCAGATCGTTCATGGTTCATTTCATCTTCGTATTGGGAGCTCATCAAAACAGGGCACAAGAGGATAGAGCAGAGTGGCAGGTAAGGTGCGATCGGGGTTGAGACATCCGCCAGAGAGTGGGATGATTGTCGTCTGAGCCCGCTTATCCTTCGTATCAAAACAGACAACACAATGCAATGCGTGCAGATCGAACAAGAGGAATCATGACACAGGAAGAAAAACAGACATAAAACATACAGTGCAATGAAAAAAAAGACATCGCTCGCAATGGTGAAAACAAAGGTTACAGGCGGAATGCAGATAAAAATAGGCCGTATCTCAAGGACTCTTCGAGTTGTCATGCCAAATCGTGTATGACTCGGACAGTAGAGACGTGGTACAGGTCGGGTTGGTAATATCAAGCCGACCGCAAAGTCCCCGACATGGCCAACATGAAAGGCGAGAAAAGGTTCGTGAAAATGCAACGGAAATAATAATAGAAGACATCCACCCTTCCATAGAAACTCCGGCATCTTGCTTGTCGTCTCAAGTCGCATTGAAGAAAAAAGAAAGAAAAAAAGCACTCCGACAGGGAACGCTTCCACAGAAATTCTTGCATAACCCCTCGGGAATAGACCGCAGTAGAAACTTGAAAATAGTGTAACAGGTCGAAAAAACCATCGCATGTCGGACAACCACATAAACTTTCGTCTAGGCAAGCATCAAATCATTACTTGCCCAGAGGGGCGGCTTCATTGGTAAGAAGGACGGCGAGAAAGAAGAGCAACCCAGTCATGACACGTAACCATACCGCAGGGTGTTGTGAAACCCCAAAAGCAGAAACGGCGCAAAAATCAGCGATAGTGTCATCTCACGTCGGTTCAGTTGGAAGCCATGGCCGAGCTTTCGGAACGCTCCTTGAGGCGCATAGCTTGCGCTTCAAGCGAACGCGCCATCAACTTGATGACTATGAAGGAAGTTAGATGACATCACCGAATCCAATAAGAACGAAGACTAAAGGGCAAACTAACCTGGCCACACAGCAGCTCGATCAAGAAGGCTTGCTGTGGCGATGAGTATCTTGCAGCCATATCCTCCTTCCACAACGCTGGGAAGCCGCTGTAAGACACTCAGAGCTGACACGGTCGCACTGCTCTGCACCTCTCTCTGCATTTTGCTTTCAACACTTGCGAGGATTTCTTTGATCTTGTCCAACAGTTTACAATCTTCCTCCTCCAGTAGCATGGCATTGGAGGCCTGTACCAGATCAACGTTGTCTCGGCCTAGAACCCCCAAATAAGGACCGACGCGCTCCTGCACCGTCGTAATCCATTCCGCCAGGACCTGGGCACAGTCAAAGGCGCACATGGCACACTGGATTGGCAGCTCCCTGCACGTGAATTCGGCAAAGGTGTTCCCAAGTCGATCAGACATGGATATGGAGTCTGCTGCGTAGAATGCAGCTTTCCGTAGATGTCGCTCTCGTTTGGACTGGCCGGGCCGATACACGCCCATCAAAGTCTCCGTGGGATTCTCCCGGGTTGGGGTTCTCGAAATGGTAAGGTCTCCTACCCCCAGATCGGCCACCGAATCACGGCGAATGCCAGGTTGCTGAGTGACATCGGTCATGGACGGGTCCAAAATGTCACAAGGCACGTCCTCGGCGTGATGCACGATTTCCGTGCCCCGTGCAAGCTCATCTGACATCGCGTTCCAATCCCTCTGCCAGAAAGCCTCTTTGCATCGGCCGAGGTTCACGAACAACCGCACGTAGGCAAGGTCCAGAAGGGGAATGCTGTCGGCGGAAAGCGGACCCGCCCCATAAGGGTTGGGTCGCTCTAGACTGTGGAGGGGGTTGTTGGCCCACGCGGTCTGCCATGCCCTTAAGGCGGGCTCAATGTGTCCTTGCATGGCATCGGTCTCCCTTGCCGTCCACTGTCGGCCCATATGACGCTGCCGGGTTTCCCAGATGTAGTTATGGAGCGCATAGATAAGAACGAGGCAACCAAAAGTGCTAAGCTTCAATTCGCTATTTACAGCCTCGTCACTAGTGGTGGGATTGCCTGGAGAGCTCGACTGGACCTGCTCTCGATGACTGGCGGTCAGGAGAGTCGTCAGCGCCGAGGAAAAGGATGTGGTGCTTTTCGGTGCGAGATGACCGCCAATTTTCCTCCACGCCTGCGGTGATTCGGCGGCCCAGACGTCCTCTTCACATGGCAAATCCAGGCGGATTTCGGAGTTGGTGAGAGCCGGTGCATGGTTGTACGCGGAAACCAGGAAGCACGAGAGCGAGAAAATGGCATAGAGAGTACGTTTTCGTTCTTCCACAACCTTCCAATCGAGCCAGTCCTTTCGTTCTTGGGGTGGCCCGAACGGTGATGAGCCCCATCCTTCGGAATCCATCATCCCAGACCCGGCACCGACGGCGGTATTCAGATATTCTTGAGGAAGATCCTTGGGGTCCAGGTGATGGGTCAGGTCAGCCGCGCGCGCGAGACTTACCAACGCCGCGCAGTGCGTGCTGGCAATGTCGGCCGAGGTCTTGTCCCCGCAGGTGTGACCGTAGATGACATTGAGGAGCATGGCCTGCACCAACCAGAGGGGCGTGTTGTGGACAGAGTTGTCACGTCCGGCGTGACCACGGCCCAGAGCGGCGGACATGTCGGCTTTCCGGCGTTCCTCCAGATACAGCTGGATCATCTTTTTCGCGGCCTCGAAAAGGTCCTTGGAGGCAGCCGTGTCGAATTCGTAGAGGGCACCGATGGCTGCCATGGAGAGAATCAGGCAGCCGCCACCTCCGGCGACACCGGTGGAGCTGAGGTTCAGATGGCCACTGGGGGTGCGAAGGTTGTTCGTGTATTCGGGAGCCTGGAAGTTGAGGGTTGGGATGTGGAGAAAGGGCATATGAGGGTGGAAGTAGGTGATGTAGGCGGAGATGTAACGCTGCATGTCGGAGGTGCTGGGCAGTTGACCGGAAGCGCTGTTGAAACTAGGACGGGAAAAGAGGTCGCGGCAATGGATCATGCCGCTGGCGGGCTGGGAGTACTTGCGGTGACTAAAAGCGGAGGGGGTGGCCATGCTGGCTAATAGAGCCTGTCGTGTGGAGTCTGTAAAGGTATCCGTTGAGGTTGCGGAATGGTGAGTTCGTAAGGCACTATTCGCGAAAGGCAGGTTGAGAGGATTAGGAGATTCTCCGTTTGTTGCCATAGAGGATGATAACATACTCTGCGAATGTCCACCCAGAATGGGCTGGCCCACCGACGTCATGGATGGAGGGGTGGCATAGGTTTCAGCAAACGGGTTTTGCGCCATCAAGGACTTGGGAGAGACGGTTTCCGGCGGGATTCCTAGATCGTTAAAGGCGGGCGAGGTGTAATCAACGGAGAATTGGTTGGGCGGCCCCGTGTGCGCTGGGAAAGGGTTGTGCCAGCTGGCCGTGGAGATGGAAAATCGATTGGATCCGTCCATCATCGCCTCACTGATACCGCTCTGGCTACCCGTGCTCATGGCTGAGGGAGACGACCCGTCTAGTGCCGATTCATTACCTTTGCTCATCGGCATCGAGGGGTCAAATCCGTTCATCCACTCGAATCCAAAGTCGTCCTCCATCATCGGGTCGGCGCTGGTCGGCATGGCATGAGCCGCCTGCGCGTATGGGGAGGACGGGGAGTCATTTCCATAGGCCTGCGGCGAACCACCGAAGTGTAGCTGGGCCGGGTTAATCGTCGTGCCATGGCCCATGAACATATCGCTAAAGTTTACATCGAAGTGGCCAACGGGGGCGGTGCGAAGACCGCCAGAAAGGTCCATGGGCAACCCCTGCGTTTCGAGCTTCGCCAGCCCGTTCACCGGAGCGTGGTTGCTGCTGAATCCGCGATAGTCCAGGCTGGACCCCAGCGGCGCCGACCCCAGGCTGGGATGATAAGCATGGCCGGGAGCCGACGGGGGTGGGTTAGTGGCATTCGCAATGCCTAGGGAAGCAGCGTCTATATGGCTAATGGTATTGGCCCGGGGCCGCATTGTGCTGGCGGCGTTGTTGCTGACAATGGAATTCTTGCGAACGCGGTTGGCTCCTGTACCTGCGCCGCCGGTGCTTTCTCTACGAGCATTTCTAGGGCGCGACGACGGAGTCGTGGTCATGTGCAGCTTTTGCTGATGTCTCAGCAGCAGATCGCGCCGAGCAAAGCAGCGAGCACAATCCGGGCACTCAAATGGTTTTTCCTTGGTATGTGACCGTTCATGGCGTTTCAGATGTTCAAGCCGAGCAAAGGACCGACCGCATGTCGTGCAACCATGCGGGCGTGGCTTGTCGGTCTTGGGAGGCGGTATATTGGCGTTGGCATTGGCCTGACCGTTGGCGCTATCGGCTTTCTTCGCAGTGTCTTTCGACGCTGAAAAATCCGGACTGTTGTTAGTAAACGGCGCGAGCAGCAAAAACAACGAAGACTGCTAGAACTCACTGGACATATCCGCAGGGATCTCACTGATGCTTGCGAGATCCTCAACTTTGGGGCTACTGCCCAACTCTTGACCCACCATCGAGTCTACTAGCATGCTATTTCCCGGCTATACACCGAAAAACACAGGGCGTCGGCGTTCGTATTATGAGACAGAGACCCGCGCCGAAAGGTCTGGAGCTTGAGAATCCACTTGCGAAAGCAGGGACCCGAGGGAATGGTTTCAATATCGATACTCGAAACAGCGACGATCACGGTCTAAGCATGGACCGGTTATTCTGTGTTCCATGAATCCAGTAAGCAAACTATCACCGGCGGAAGCTTGGTAGAAATAAAAGTCCGGCGATCAGCGCACGAGAGGACGATGGCGTAGACTATGATGCTAATGACGGTATGGATAATATAATACTGCCGTCATTGGCGTTTCCGTGGAAGGAAGCAGAGATAAGACGGGAAACTCAAGGGAAAAACCAACCAGTCAATCCGGGGCGCAGAAAAAGAAAGCGAAACAAGAACTCGATCCAGGACCGACTTGAGGAGCTGGCCGGTGGGCAATCGAACGATCCGAATGTTGATTGCGGGATGACCGGACGGAGGAACAGGACAGTTAAAAAAGGAACACGGGCGCGGAAAGTGGACGGTGGCGAGGCGGTTCCTGGGGAGCTCGATCTTTGGGAACTTTCAAACGAGCGCAGCAATCAGCAGGGGTTAAAGTTTGGAGGATCCAGGGGAGCGGCCACGGATGTCAACTCACCGAGCAACGTGCACAAGAACGGGCTAGAAAGCATCGATCCACGAGATCCGATCAAGGGAGAGGCCGAACCGACGTTGAACGGCGATGACTGGAATGCGTCGTTGCAACGGGATGTAGGATGTGGTGTGAGGCGGATTGGGAGAGGTAAGCCGGAGATAGCCGAATGGGGAATGGAGGACGGAATTGATACGTGCGGCAAGGAAGGGGGGCAAAAGGAAGTGGGCTGGGCAGTCAATTGATAAGGGAGGGGCGGACGGGGAGGTATGGTGGGGAAATAGGAGGGAGGGAGAGGTGTATAGAGGGAGAGGGAAAGGGAGAGGACGAGAGAGAGAAGAAGCAGAAGAGAGGAAAAGGGAGGATGGAGAAGTAGCGATCGGACAGAGAGAGGGAGAGAGAGAGAGAGAGAGGAAGAGAGAAAGGTTGTTCCAGGCGTAAAGTAAAAAAGAAAGCGTGCAGTCAAAGGACGAGAGGCAAGGAAGGTCGACAAGTACCTCTTCTTCTCTACAGAGCGTCCGAACTGGCACTACCGGCCTTTAGCTCAATTAGTGGGAAGGAACTAAATCTCGTACAGCCCTTAGTCAACCTCGCACGGGGAATCTTAATGGACCATCAGGACGCAGTTGGCCCGATAATTTATTTTGAACGGGATGAATAATAATCAGCATTATATTATTATTATTTTTTGGAAGATGAAATGAAATGAAATAAATGATTTATTTTCGGTTTGACTGCTGACCGCGGGCTAACCGCCTTGGAGCGATGTACGACCGGCCGGTCTACCCCAGCGACTGTCGCGGGATCACCCACGAAACAGCAGACGCTCTTAGTAACGCCGCCCGCCAATCACACCGACCCGCCGGGGCCGCAGTGGGGCGCGCCAGTGCTAGTGCGCCGACTGTTGCAGGGGAAGCATGGGCCATGACAGGCCCAGAGCCAAGCCCGCTCCACCCTCCCGGTCACGGGGAGATTCGCTGGTTGGGGTGACCGTACCGTCACGCCTCTTCGGGTACGTCCTCGGCCGTATCGATACGCCCGTCCGCGAAGGGGTTGGGGCACTTTACCGGTGACCTGCCTATGCCGGTTAAGTCCCTCCGGTTGGAGTCAAGCTCAACCAGAGTCTCGCTGCGCAGATGAATGGACAGGGTCAAAAGTCAATGGCGACGAGGGACTCCCGACTCAACCCTCTCCCGCTGTGTCTTCACTAGACCCCCCGAGGAAGGACTCTTCACGAGAGTAACCAAGGCGCATGTATCTCGGAGGGCAATGCCGCGCGTGGAAATTGGTCCTTAATTTCGCATGATTAACTTTGCCCGTGCCGTCAGTCAGCGTCCCTTCGGATGAATACTGCGTAATGACACCTTGCCGTTTGCTTTGTTTGTACTTCCTACCCAGGCTGGACCCCGTCCGGAGATGCCTTCAATACTTGCTTTTCTGACCGACCTGCCCTGACGGTGACGGCACCAACGGTTCGGCCAGCTTCCGATCAATTCAGGATGCTGAGTCGGCGGTTGCACAAATAGAAAGATAGGCAGGAATCAGCAGCCGAAAGCTACGACAAGATAGCTGTCAGCCACCAGATAAGATACCCCGATCCCCGTTACCTAATATTACCGATCCGTACGATACCTCGGGGAATGCATGCATGCAACCAGCCCCAGCCCCTTGGCTGTTGCTGCTGCCTGGTCTTGACTCTTGCCTGCGGGATTCCCAGTTGCCTTGTATGCAAAGGGAGGTATGTATACGCCGTACGACTCCGGAAAATTGACACTGGAGAGTGAGATGTCATAATCTCTTCAGTCCAGTATGTGCTCCAGCAATGTCGAATTGAGAATGTGGGCATTGGGTCACTGAATGTCGTAAACACGCATCCAAGATAGACATGACCTTACCTACTACCTTACTCCGAGCGCTGGCAGTTACCGGTGAGCGCGCAGGGGCAGGAGGCAAGGTACGGCGAGTTCTGCGAGTACACCGGGATGACTAAGACCGAGCAAGGGGTATCGTATCGTATGGTAAGACGCCGGTGGATCGTTGTCGAACGTGGAATTCAACCCCAGACCTCGTGACGCCCGATTATTGTTTGGATTATTGAATGTTTCGGGTTTGCCTTTTTTTTTTTTTTTTTTTTTTTTTTTTTTTTTTTTTTTTTTCTATTCATTCTCCCTTCCACGCCCTTGCCGGTAAGGCCGGGATTTCACTCTGGTAGACATTCCGGGATGGATGATGGCCCTTACTTGGAACAGTTTAGAGGGATTATGGATCATTCTTGGAATGGACATAAAGAATGAAGAGCCGAGGGCAAGAAGACAGAAGACAAAAAAAAAAAAAAAAAAAAAAAAAAAAAAAAAAAAAAAAGTGGCTGCTGATGGGGTGGCGGTTGGCGCCGCATCATTTGCCTCCAAACGAGCCGGGTCTCAGCAATCCATCGATCGTAATCATTCCCAATCCCGGGTCTTCCCCCCAAACCAGAGCCAATTGATACTACATCGTCCATCAGAGGTCATTACTACTCCGTGGAAAGCGGTCTCAACAGGAACGGAACGGAACCTAAGGTCACGGCGAGGGTGGCTCCTGGCTTGACTCAAGGAGGTAAGCCAGCCAGGTTACCTGGTAGGTGAGCAGCAGGAAGAGCGACCTAGCTTTTGCGCCATTTTGTGGGGAGAGCAAATGAGCAACGGGCGAGGTTCGTGTGGGGGATTTCCCAGGATCCGGCCGACTAGGAGCCAATGGCCGCCGTCCGATCCGGCGCAGGTGGTGGGCCCCTGAGGTCATCGCTGATCAATCATGGCCGGTGGCATCCCCGGGTGTGTTCATTTTGGTTTTTTCTTTTTTTTTTTTTTTTTTTTAATTATTATTTTGGATTTGGCTTCCTGCGCCCACCACCAGTCGTCTCGGATCCATTCTCTGGCTCGACCAATCACACCGCGGGGGGTATTTCTCTCGGTGGACCGCGTTCCCTGTCAGAAACCAAAACCTGCGAAACGAAAGGCCCCCCCAAAAACCCGACCTATCAGGCGCGGTGGGCTGTGGTCTCCATCCACTGAAGACTTGGCGACGCCGTCCGCGACGAGAAATTCGGAAAGCTGGTGGTTGCGCTACTCCAGATCGTCGAGCGGCGGCGATTGGTCGCCAGGCCCGATGTTGGATGATCCAGGCTGGGACCTTCCCCATCCATGCGTCTCTCCCCTGGAGCCGAGCCGGTTCCCAGGGCACTGAGGTCACGGCTCGAATTTCTAGAACTTAGCCACGACCGGCGGCACCGGTGGGCTCCTGTTGATCTTTGTTCGTTTTCTCTTTCTGCCTCCTTTCCACGCTGGCAGACGAGGTTAAACTTCGGACGGCTAGGCGCTTTTTCGCCTTCCAGCCTAATAATTTAGATGCGACGGACAAAGGAGTCCTTGCGGCCCTAGTGGCAAGTCCGTCGAACAAAGGATCTAACCGCGAACAAAGAGAACGCAGAGCTACCCACGGCTTTGCCCGGCTCCAAATACCTCGTTTCCGCCATCGCATCCGGCATGGCCAGGGAGCGACAGCTCGCCGCCAGACTGAGTTTCGTTTCCACGTCCATCGCCAGGCGCACGTTCGGAGCCCCCCGATCCGAGGGAACGCTGATGATTTGCGGAGCGTGAATTTATTTCCAGCCGCTCTCACTGGTCCGGCAGCCAGACGGGCACGATTATCCGAAACGGGTGAATGATGGCGCAGGGAGGCTGCACGAGGGCCGTGAGACAGGTCAAGGATTAGCCGCCGTCGTTTGCATGTTGGGGCAACGTTCCATCCCACGCTATGACGTTGATAATCTCCGGTGCATGCGACTCGGCAGCGTGAATCTAGATCGGATGCTCTTTGTCCTTTTGCCTTTTCTTTCTCCTTGCCGCTCGCCCCCGGTCGTTTTCCACTTTCCGCTGTATTTTCATATCCGGAGTTAGGGAATGCAAAGGAGCATGCATTGGCATCCGTCGATGAACTGTCCGCCTTGATGTCATGACTCGTCCGCAGCCGGTTTCTCTGGCTGGCCACGTCGGTAGCTGTTCGCACGGTCCTCCGCGCATGGTCTCAGACCCTCGACACCTCAGGCCACGCAGGGCCGAGCACCTGACGCGTTGAGTTTAGCTACGGCCGAGTCAGGTGGCCCCGGCTGGCGCTCCTCGATCGAGATGCGTGTCCGACCTCGTACTACGAGTCCATGCTGACGATGCTCTAAAACGTGTCCACCCTGGATCTGCGAGAAAATCACGTCCACCGTCGCCACCCCTGATGCAGTGCCGACGCCGTTCTATATATTTCCCTTAGTAGCATCCATTCCCATCATGCTATGCCTCATACGACCTTCATCGTCGTCGACTGCATGATGATCTTCCTTTGGCGTCTCCCAGGCGCTTCGGTGCTCCTGCTTATTGGATGCGATCGACCGTTACTCTCGGCGAATTCAGGGCTGTCGAGGTGTTGACACACCCCCGTCGTGTCACCCTTTTTGGGGTTTGGGGTTCAGACTTGGGCTTGAACTAAAATCCACTGCGGCCCCCTGTCCTTCATCAAACATAGTTGGATTAGGAAGGTCAATAGCCGTGGGAGACATCGATCGGGGGCACACCATTTGATACAAGGAGGGATAGAGGGCCAAGGAAGGGACGGTTACACCCGAGCGCCCACAACGATCTCGCAAGCTTCGATTGGCGACGCGGCAGGGCCACGACAGGGACACGGACCAACGAGATTTAATGAGACGTGCATGCGGCGGACAACCAAATCGCAGCGCATCGCATGCTGCGGTCTTTTTCTTTTCCTGATACAATCGCATTGTCGATCTGATATCGTTTACAGCCGGCTGTGGGCGAACGAAGACAAGAATTCTCCGAGCTGGCTTGGGGTGACCAGTACTATTGATAGGTTCTTCATGCACGATGGCATCATCCACAGCGCACGGTGCTGTCCGTGCCATTGTGCCATATTCGAGCATCCATGTCTATAGTACGGGTAGTAAGTCGTTTTATTTTTCCTTCTGTCGCTCCATGAAGCTGAGGTAACGATCTAAGTTTGGGACTACTTCGACGTGCAGATAATATGCGCAGCTAGTTGATAATTCGATCAACGAGCAGCACCATCAGATAGCGGATATTAGTCCCTACGCAGAGCGCGCCCTAGGTAGCACGCCATTCGAGTGACAAGGGTCATCATAGGTGGACATTATTAGCAGAAACTAGAAAGAGTGGTATACAGGATGGTTGCATTAGCAGGGTGGCCCCACTGGAGGCACTAACCTGCCGATTGATTGTGAGCTCTGAGACCGATAGTAACCCCCTTTCTAGCGTGGGTATTCAGCGCAAGTACGGGGCTCACTTTCTTCTATATCTCTGATCCGTCCCACCAACAGGGCTACAAGCCAGACCCATTCCCAACCACCTGTTTCATCACTTATCATGCAGTGATGCACATCGGCGTCGCGACTGGAGACTAACAGAGCTCCGAGTGCCACTCACGCAGCGTTCCCACATTCGGTGGGGACAGCACGTCTAACCGCAGCAGGATTCGTAACATTTCCTACAGAAGTACGGGTACCAACAAAGCTAGCCATGCAAGCCCAGACACCGGCGCAGCACCCGGGCCACCACCACGGCTGCTCGAGAAATTGAACCGTTCCTGGTGCCTCCGCATGGACATTCTGAGAAGACCAGGTCCGGAAACGGTTGACCTCCACGCCCCGTCGTACGGTTACTGCGGAAGCTACGAATAATAATACTCTTCTTGCCCGGTTTTTCTTCTTTGCCCTGAACAAGTGGAGCCTGCTGCGGCTGAGCCTTGACGATCCCGCCGCTAGGGCCAGGAGGTTGGGTGAGAGATATAATTGGACTTTCTTGTTTTTGCGTTGGTTGCACTCGCTACTCGGTAGCTGGCTGGGCGACGTGGAAATGTTTCTACGGAGTAGCCCGTATGCGAAAGTCTGCCTGAGTCTCTCGCCCTCTTTGAAGAATACGGGTCCAAACGAACTCCGGCGTACGGCGTATATCTACGGAGTACTTCGGAGCATGCCCCTCGGGAGAGAATGGAGACTTGCCAGCGCCACGGCCCGCAGTGCAGAATCAACCTAGGCAGGTGGGAAATGACACTCCATATGAAAATGACGCACAAGCCCATCCATGGTCCCTGCAGCCGAGTTGAAGACGAAGGCGAAAATGGAACCCCCAACCCACAGCGACACTGACAATTTACCAACCGATCGCTGCGAACCTTGCCTGCCTGTTATTGACTTTGCTGCAAGGTGTTAGCTCACAATGCACAGTGCACATCCGTCCACCCAGGATGGACCGTGATTAGCCACCAGACAGTCCATGTCACCTTATGTACATGAGAAAGTTACGCCGGAGAAAAGCCGATCACGCCCTCTTGACGGTGATAGGACGGAAGACGCACATTAGTGGTATTGGCCCAACCCCAAGCCGGCTAGCAGTCACCATGTATGTAAGATTGTTCTGCAGCCACGGACTTCCCAGCGAGTCGAGACGCGTTCGGTGTGATGTACTCCGTGGTTATCTAATCGTCTAGGACTCGACGAATGTGGCCAGGGCTCCCTTCTAGCTTTGAGTTAGGAAGTGACAGGGCGCGATGTTAGTAAGTGGATTGGAGACAAAAAAAAAAAAAAAAAAAAAAGAGAAAACCAAGACTACTGTAAGTTCAGACCATCCCTGATCGTGTCACTCGTGACGAGACTTGGGCGAACATGGATGAGAAAGTCAAAAGAGAAAAATAGACGATGGAAGAATCCGGATGAAATCCATGCATGCAGTGTCACCCTGTGCCCGTGCCTCGACAACAGGTCCGTCCTGTAGGATACCGTGAAATCTCCCGAGAATGCGATGCGATGCTTGTTCCGGGTCCTGCAGAAGACATCGCCCTCGAGTCTTGACATTTACATTTGTCTTTTCAGTTTTCTTGCTTGTGGTGGTCTTAGTCACCTCTTCACACGCAACTCTTTCCCCGCGCTTTTCCGGCGGAAATCAAGACGTCCAAGAGTATCTGTCAGCGCAACTAACTAGCGACGCGATATCAAATGACCGGAGCTCGAAACTTTCGCAACCAACGTGTGCGACCGGAGCTTTATAACTCTGTCGTTGAAACTGCCAACCGGGCGTTATTGCATTCGAGACCGGAGACGAGAGTCGTACAGAATCCTTGCTTGTAGATCCTAACGGTGAGGTAAGATATCATTATAGGCTATGTAGGCGAGTACCATTATCATATATACTTTCTCTACGTTATCCCTTTCTCCATCTCGGTACATACATATACAAGATCACAAGTAAACAAAAATGTACGTCCTTATCCCGTCCACGAACACTCCATATGAAAAAAAGGAAAGCAGAACCAAACGAACATTCCCAACCCAACCAGCCCCAAACGCACCCACTCGGTGCACAAAAACAGCCATATAACATCCAGCCCGAAAGCCGTCGTAGACAGCCCTCTCGCAACGCAAAATATGAATCCAGCCCACGCCCGGCCCGATAGCTAATCCTCCCCCAACAGTGTGGTGCCTATTTCCCTCGCCGTGACTGCTTGGCTAATTGGAAGGTAGGGCAGGAGGGTAGGGGACTAGGGGAGGGAGGTCAGGCAAGGCGGGATTGAAATTAGATGAGTCTGTGTGTTGGTTTACTCAGGTGCCTAGGCTCGAGGGTGTTGATTGAATAGATCGAGAGGTATTATCCAGATCCAATCACACATTTGTTTGTCTTGACTCGATGTCCTGCACGAGGTTAGAAAATGAACCATCACACTCTCCTCTACCCATAATATAACCCTCACATCCAACCATCTCACTCCTCCCCTGCGCCCTAAGAGAACCAGACAAAGGAAAGCAGACAGCAAGAGTGCGAGAGTGACCTGGCATTGCGATTTCGACCGACGCTAACAACCCGGACCACAAGATAGTCTGGCCCTGTCAGTGTCAGCAGTAGACTGATTGCTTTCTCGAGGCATGGAAGTTTCGAGCGCTTATGGAAGAAGTTTGCTTTCTGCTACTGGGTTGGGGTTTAATGGCGTGGGGGGTGGAGGGGGGATCTAGTTTGCCTTTTGGGGGGAGGGGTTGCTAGACCCCGCGGGAGGAAGGATGTACTGCGTAGATTTGTACCTCTAGCCCTGTGCTCTGTGTGGGAACGAGTGGTTCGTGTTAGTAGGCATGGTTTTATGGCTGGTTCTTCTTTCTGGTGTTCAGCTTCTAATGCTGGGGAGGTGTTTGGGCCGTCTCAGTATTGGGGTTAACTAGAGCGTCGGGGTGTATAGAGCTATATATGTTGAGGTATATCTTCACTCACAATAAAACCATTATCTACTGCTCATCAGTCCAGTATGGGCCTATAGGAAGCAATGAGATTACTGCTTCTACAGAGGACAGAGGATCTGAAATATATCGCCATGATATACTACCTCTTCGGTCTGTTCACTCCGCTGATCGTGCTTTGACGGGAGGGAGAATAAGATTGAATCAGCTGTATTCCAATATGTTCGTGATAATCATGAAGACGCAATAGACAAGCTGACCGAGAAATATCTCTGTTGAAATCTCGGGCTCGACACAAGCCTCGGGAGAATGAATCTTCGGGCCCGAGAAAACCACTCCTTCGACGACATCGCCTGGTACGGCAGCGCGTACCTGGTCACCAGGTGCGTGATGCAACTACCCCTCGGCATGTTATACAAGATGTACGCGCCAAAGACCGCGTACCTCAAAAGCATTGTGATTTTCGAAATCAGCTCCGCGGTCTGCGGCGGGGCACCTAACTCCGAGGCCGTGATCGTGGGCCGAGCTACTCAGGGTTTTGGGTCCGCGGGTATCCTCTCGGCTCGATGGTGCTGATTGTTGAGGCTGTGCCGCTGAAGAGACGTGTGATGTATACTGGCTGCTTGGGCTGGGTGGTGCTTTTTGATTAATTTGCCGATTGGTGATGTTCTGCTTTTAATATTTTCTATTCATTTTTCCAAAGCAGGAGCAGAAGGGGGTGCGTGGAGCGGACGCAGCGAGACAGTCTCTGTGGGAGAAGCTGCTGCAGTTTAACCCTCTTGGGTTCTGCGTGTTGGTCCCTGCGGTTGTCTGTTTGCTGTTGGCTCTGCAGTGGGGAGGATCAGCGTACGCTTGAGGTTCCGGACGAGTGATAGCCCTGCTAGTGATGAGCGGCGTTCTATTTATCGCGTTCGCTATCGACCAGGCGCTCGAAGGCGACAGGGCCATGATCAAAGCGAAAGTCATCAAGCAGCGCACCGTGGCCGCGACGTCTGTCTTCTCGAACTGCACCGGTGGCGCCATGATGACTGCCATCTACTACATTCCCATCGGGTTCCAGGGCATCAAGGGCGTCAGCGCAGTGAAGTCCAGCGAGATGAGCTTCCTGCTTCTCATTTCGCTTGTTCTCGGTTCGATCCTGGGGGAATCTTAGTCTCCAAGCTCGTGGGATATCTGTCACCGTTCATGATCGCTGGGTCGATGCTGATGGCCATCGGGGCTGGGCTGCTCAGCACGTTCACGGCCTCGACTGGACATCCGCACTGGATCGGATACCAGGTTATTTTCGGACTGGGGCTGGGATGCGGAATGCAGCAGGGGTCAAATGACATTCAGACGGTGCTGCCGAAGTCAGAAGTTCCATCAGCTATCTCGTTGCTGTTCTTCGGTCATCAGCTGGGAGGATCGGTGTTTTTCTCCATTGCGCAGAACATTGTATCCCAGGAATCGATCAAGAATATGAAGGCGAAGCTACTGGAGGTCGATGCGTCTATGATTGTCAACGCGGCTGCTTCATTGTTATAATGATGCGGTGGTCAAGGTGTTTTATCTGGCGGCTGCTCTCTCGTTAGTTGGACTTTTTGTGGCACTGTTTGTCGAGTGGAAGAATATGAGAACTGTGCAAGAGGTACCTGAGCAAGGCCAAAAGACAGACAGGGAAGGTCAGTGACTTGGCCTAGATCCATGTGTTTATTCAGCTTGAGATTTTGGATAGGAGTTAGGTGTAGGAAAGATTCGAAAATCGCTACTTAGTATATAGATAATGTTTATATTCAAACCAAGAGTTTCAATGCCTTGTTAACCCCCACATAACATTCCCAGGACACCCTTCAAGTAGTTGCCGTAGGCAATGGCCGTTCACAGAGTTCGATTAGTTGTGAAGCATATTGCTGGCTTTCACTCAGAACACTATTGACCGGGATTTCCGAAGTAATCAGATCGACGTATCTACTTCAGCGTATACAACAGCGTCCCATGACCCAGCTGATCAAATCCTCCACTGTTAGGTCCATAATCACCTCCACCCCCCTCAGCTCCGTCGCCGTCCTCAACCACCATGTCGCGATACTTCTTGGTCCAGGTGACATCCACCCCCTTGAGCACTCCGTAGTGGTTGTATAGCAGCTCCCAGATGGGACGCACGCCGCCACGCTGGGCATCGCTAATCACATCCTGCGTGACGTCGCTGTTGACGTACGTGGTGTAGGGAACGTCCTCGCCGAGGTTATACTTGGCGACGTATTCAGCGCTATACACCGTCAGTTTCCACTCCATCTCATAGACAATAGACCACCTACCCAGCCAGAATCCGGTTATCCAGATACTCAAACAGATCATCACCCTGGTTATACGCCGACAGAGCAATCGGGCCCAGCAGCGCAAAGTCCAGCATCGCGTGGCCCTGGTCCCTTCCTGCCTCCTGCCCCTGGCCCAGCGTCTGCCCATCCACATCGTACAGCTTCCAGACCATCTTCTCGATCTGGCCGTTCCCGTCGCCGTTCTTGAAATAATCCACTGCTTCCTGATACATGGTCTCGTTGTCCGACAGCACGCCGATCGACAGCATCGACGCGATATTGCACAGGTCCCAGTTCGCCCAGTAGTGATCGACCTCGGCGTCATTGTGCCGGATGAAGAAGTCCCGATTCATCGGGTAGAACACGCTCACCATCATATCGCGCAGCGCGTTGAAGCTCTCGCTCGACCAGCCGTCGTAGTCGCGCATGATCTCGGCCGCATTCGCCAGCTCGTACCCGTAGATCCCCGAGGCGAGGAACTTGTCCGAGTTGCCGGAGATGCCGGTCAGTGTTGAACCCCAGGCATCGAGGATGGCGACGGCCGAGTCCGCGTAGGTTGTGTTGTCCGTGACTTTCCACTGGATGGCGAGGGCGTAGGCGGCGGCGATGTCGCGGTACAGGTTGGGGTAGTTCTGCGAGTGACTGCCGTCGTCGCCGCGGTAAATGACTTCCTGGGCGGTGTTGGTGTATGACGCCGAGGCGTACGAGCTGTTGGTTAGCTTGTACCAGCCGGTGATCCAGGGGTCGGCGCCGGCTTGGACCTTGGATTGGATGCGCTTGAAGTCTTCGTTGGTGTGCAGCAGGCCGGGGTGAGTGAAGGCCTGGATGAGTGGAAGGGAGGCGAGTGCCCCGAGGGCGAATCTGGATCGCATTTTCCTAGGTCCTGATGGTGTTCCAGTGGAGGTATACTCGACAAGCTGCAGATGGACAGTCTGCCTGCTGCGATGCTGCTATCCGGTGATATTATATAGGAACCCCCCTCAACGGAGACCCTCCGGCGATTCCACCGGTCTCCTGTCACGCCGGGGAATTGCCCATCCGGTCGACACGATGCACGACCCCTGACCATGGAATGGGATATTGAGCGGAGGGTTCCCACGAGGATCAGCGAACGAGTACGTCAACCCTTGAATAGACTCACGGGAAAGGTCACCCCGGCCGGCAACTACTCCGTCAATTCTACACTGAAAGACTCTCCTGTCATGTTCCTGTGGGTGAAAAAATCAGGGATCGATCTGGTTGAGACCGAGCGATGTCAATCATCACCCGAAACAGACGCGCTACGAGCCCCGTCGGTTTCAATGCAAAACAGCGGTTTGCTAAGCGACGCGGGCCGGAGAACATTCGGAGAAGTTTATCGGCCGTTTTAATTTGTTTTAATATAACCCAGGGGTTGAGGGATGAAGATTTCGATGGGGTGTTCGAGGGTGAGGGCCCTAATAGAATCTTTAGAAGTATGAGCGAGACACGGAGTGACTACATATTTTAACTGTCGGGCCACCAAACGAGAAGAGCTAAGAACTAGAGGCGAGGTCAACATGACAACCTGTAGGGTGAAGAGAACGGCCTATGAAATGCCTAAACATACGGAGTAGAGCAACTGTTGCTGTTGAGCAGAGTGATAGCCATGCATGCCTGAAAGGAGGCATTTCGTAGCCCTAAACCGGCTCAGACGTTCCCATGAAAGACAACCTCATCTGGCCTTCTTCTGGTAAGTACATGTGGAATATCGGGTAGTCCGAAGAAAATTGACAGGGTTGAATTAAAACGAGTTGCCTACGGTCTATACTCTATGCATTTCATTCGGCTTCAAGAATGCCGATTTGGGAAATGACAATCCGACCAACAAATGCAATAACGTCAATACCTGCCAACGAAGGCAAACAAAACGAGAGGGACAAATAGGTAGGAAAGTCGGGCCAAAACGATCCGATGACTAGTGATTTCTAACAACATTTCTGGTTTTGCGGAACAAAGGTTGCTGGTACGTCTACTGGCTTGTCTCCATAGCTGTGATGCGTCAATCAAGAGATAGCGGAGATTACGTCACTTATGAGCAACGAAGGAACCCAGTACAGAAACTTGTTCAAGCTTAGCGATTCGATCTCTTGTTTAAGGAGCACAGGATAGGAGTTAAAGTTCGAGCCGAATGCTCCTGGGACAGGATAACTAGTGCCGCCGCGTCAATGCATAGGATTGACTACTGCAGCCAACCATTGTCTTGATCGAAGATTAACGAATTAGGATTAATAGTGGCTATGTTCGGATTCGAAGTTGGCGAATGCGCCTTGCAGGCCCTGCGAGCCCGAGATCGCCACGACGCTACAGACAGGCTGATTGGAATTGAGCTCCACATTCTGTGCGAGCTTTCGACGTGAAACTCCCATTCTGTTCACCAAGACTTTATCTCCGCTGCAAGGTGCATGCAATATAACTATGCTTATCACACATGTCTAGGCGAAAACCGCGCATGGTTGGATGATCCCATCCCTAGCTTAAATCGAATCGAACCAGCAGTGGTGAGGCGAATCAAGAACACATATTCCGCAATACCAGGAACGGTAGGTCCCGTGAAGATATTGCGTATTCGATATTCCTCTATGTGTTTGCCCCTTGCAGAGCTTCACATATCATGCAATATGACATCTCTGCTAACGGTGGGGCTGCACCATACACATACACTCGATAGATAGCGCAAGCAATAATCGACAAAATGACGCGTCGGTTCCTGTGTGATATCATCGAAGATCTGGTCATTGACTAGATATAAAGCCAGCTCTTTTGTCGAGCTTTCAAACGAAACTATTCCTTTCAGCCAGAGTGTACTGAACAGGCCCAGTCGCATTCAAGTCTAAGCAAAACGTGCACAATCTATACATTTTCCATATTCTCAAGTTCCAACCCCCTCTACCAGATACAATGAAAGCCTCGATTCTCGCCAGCATCGTCCTCGGCTGCTCCGTCGGCCTGGCAGCCCCCCTACCAAACAACAACGACATTTTCACCGCAGGTTCCATCTCCGAGAGGAACCAAGTACCGCGTACCAACATTAAAGATCTTACGGGCGGTGCAGCTGGTGGAGCCAAAAAGAACGCGTCGCCTGACCGCAGGACAATCCAGGTAGTCAAGCGCGAGCAAGGAGCTGCTGATGCTGCCAACGCTCGCCTGGATAAGGAATTTTTCTCAGGCAAGAAGAGGGAGCAGGGAGCTGCTGATGCTGCCAACGCTCGCCTGGATAAGGAATTTTTCTCAGGCAAGAAGAGGGAGCAGGGAGCTGCTGATGCTGCCAACGCTCGCCTGGATAAGGAATTTTTCTCAGGCAAGAAGAGGGAGCAGGGTGTTGCTGATGCTGCCAGCGCTGCGTCTATCCCCGACAAACGGTCGGCCTCGGCCACCAAGCGCGAGGGAGAAGCTGTGGATGTGGCTGACGCCCGCAAGAACGAAGACAGCGGTTCGGCCATGAAGAGCGAGGAGGGTGTGGTTGCATCACGGGAGAACGATGCAGCTCGATCTGCAACTAAGAGGCAGGGACCTCTTGAATTCCATGACATCAGCAACCCGGCGGCAGCCGCAGGACAGAAAAGGGCGCATAAAGTGCCTGCAAAACAAGCGAACGGACAACTTCAATCGTTGGATATTGTGGGATTCGGGTCGCCTCGGTGATTTGCTGCTTGGTCGGTCGGCTGCCGGGCTACCTTGAGGCGAATGTACTGCTCTTGAACCAATGTTATCAGGAAGATGGGGAAAGAATTCCTAGCTGGAAGCTTGTTCGCGAACTTGGCTAGGTGTTAAACTTGCAGGGAAATGGGAAGCCCATTTAGCTGCCGTTGGTGGTCGGTTAATTCATTGGAGCAATTTATTCAAGTCGAAGTGTTGCATTAGAATAAAGATAACCCCTGCGTAGATAATCCATCGCCATGAAAGAGCATGCTAGATCTGCCCCTGAAATGATAGACTCGAGCGAAAATAGAGATTGTAATTGCAAAGATAATCAACGAGGCCACGAACCACTAACAGCATGAAAGGTCTTCACACAGCTTTCCGCAAACGAGTTGACAACTTTGCTCAGACCCGTCAGAGTCCCTCCTCGCTTGTTGGTCCGATACCTCTGTATCGGTTCCAGCTGGTGTGGCCATGAAGCCTTTACGATCCGACCAGACCTCAGGCTGTAGCGTGACAGAATGAATTCCATACGCATGGAAGCACTCGTTAATGGTTTTAGCTAGACCAGTGAAGTTGGTCTTTGCATCATCTGTCAGCAAGATGTGGGCGGATGCGAGAGACTTGGTCTGATTTAGGCGCCAGATATGAAGCTCGTGGATGGCACGAATACCGGGAATCTGGAATATGTTAGCTCGTTCCCAAGAAGGTCTATCTACAGGAATTGACATACTCTTTCCAGATCATGTTTTACATCATCCGGGTCTACTTCGCCAGGAGCACTTTGCAGTAGAATAAGACCCGCACGTTTAACTAGTATGGTCAGAAAGCTGGCTTCAACTATAAAATACCCGAGGGAAGACTCACTCAGTGGAATAGACGAAGCAAAGATCATCAAGGCGATGCCCATACTAGCCGCCGGGTCGGCATAATATCTTCCATCGTAATCAGCAAGCCAGATGACCAGCGCGGCAGCCATGACGCCGAGATTGTTGCCTGCATCGCCGAGGACATGAATCAATACTCCCATAATGGCGAGATCGTGGCCAGGTCGAGAGACAGACGAGGCGTTGATTTGGTGTTTGTGATCAACGTGCTGGATGGGTCAGCTCATAAAGTAGGCATGATGGGGTTGGGTAACACGGAAATTTTGGTCTTTCAGTGCATGAGAATGGGTGTTGGCATGAAGGTCGGCTTCGTCAGCGGAAGCATGATCATGGCTATGGGCATGGTTGTGATCGTGTCCATGGTCGTGGCCATGATCATGACCTGAAGGCATTGAATTAGTCACAGAACAACCGCAAGTATTGGAGAAGAGTCTAACCATGTAAGAACAAAACGCTGATGATATTTAGGCCCAGGCCAATCGAACCGATGATAAGCACCAGTTTTGGATTCTCGACGGCTAACAAACGGATTGGGTTAGTTGTTGGACACGCTACATGAGAAGCGCCACTCACGTTGTAGCGAGATAAACCTCTCAATAGATTGCAGGAATACGCTGATTCCTAGACCAAAAAGCAGGACTCCGTTGAAAAACGCTCCGAGAAGCTCCGCGCGTTGCCATCCGTAGGTGAGGGACTTGGGAGGAGTACGTTTATTGGCGACCTTGGAATGTAAGCTGAGATGCAAGAAAATGAAGTAGGCAACGTACGACAACAGCGACAAGGGCAATGATGAATCCGATTAGATCGTTAAGCTGAGACTTATTTAGTGATTGAAGCGGAAGTGTATTTGTTCATCGATCGACTTACATAGTGAAAAGCATCGGCTATAAGAGCGAGAGAATGTGTATAAAAGCCAACTTAGTAGAATCGATTAGCGAAATGTAAAGCCTCTGGAGGAAACATGCTGGGTATGAGGTGATAATACCGGAGATTTCAGCGATGAAGAAAGAGGTTGAGATAGCAATGACGGCACTCAGGCGCTGAGTGCGGGATATCTTGAAGGGCATTTTGATGGTAGAACTAGTTGATCCGTAGAGTGCGCTAGAAGGGTGGAAAGAAAGATGCCCCGAATAATGGCAGTTGCAAGAGTTGGGCTGCGAGAGGAAGATTTATGCGCTGTACTCCGGAGGATTTACGGAGACAATATTACCATTTAGGGAAGTATTCATCGTAGCAAGTCCGTCGACCAATCAATATTGCAATAGACTCCGAGTCTTGGCGCAGACGTCCGGAGGGAAATTACCGAACTCGGAAGGCAATTTGCCGACCGGGGCATGTCGGTCCCGCCGGAGTCCCTGTTCGCACACCACCGAGCATCACCACTTGTGGCCCACGCCAATTACTATCCACCATGGACCCTATGAAACAGCTTGAGAGTTCCAAGAAGTCGATTATGCGAGTAAATCAGCAGGGGAGGATCAGACCGTGCCGAACAGTTGGTCAAACCCTCTCCTGTGCGCCGTGTCGAAGACGCAAGGTGAAATGTGACCGGCTTCATCCGTGTGGGCAATGCATTAAACAAGACATTGGCGACTCTTGTTACTACCCCGGGAAACCTGCTGCTTCGTTAGTTGCGAGTGTGCAGCGGAGAAGTGCTGGTGGTGCCTCGGCTTTGCATCTATCCCCGGAAGCACCTCGACCAGAATCTCGAGTGACCGAGAACGCTCGACCGGACACATTAACATCTCTAAGAAGTACGCTGGAAAATGGCGGAGCCCCAATACAAGGCTCGAGGGTGAATTCTCGTCCAGTAGCTGCCAGAAATGACAGCATTGTCACTGGAACTTTCCCCGTTGGCAGAACTGCGACCCAGTCTTTACCCGCAGAACCTAACGCCTTCTCTTCGTTTTCACATCGCGGAAAAGATCATAAAACTCGCTACTTTGGCAAGAGCCATTGGTCGACGACTCTGGATATGGTATATAATGTCATCAATTCATAACTCTGAAAATTGCTAAGGAGTTGTAGTTCCCCGATCTCAAAGCTCACCTGCAGAAGTATAGCGAGGAAAAGCACAAAGAGACCCATCACAAATTCGACGAATACCTGACAATGAAACGGCTCAAACATGATATGAGGACCCAGAGCAAGACAGACCCTGATGTTGCCCGGTATCCGTCAGTGCAGCAATTGGAAGAATTGGTTCCTAACCGCAGTCTGGCGGATTCTCTGGTGGATCTCTACTTCTCAAGCTTTGAAACAACATTTCGCATATTACACAAGCCACAGTTTATGTCCGAATACAATAACTATTGGGACCCCGAGCGGCTTTCCGGCTGTCGATCTTCTAGGACATTGTTTGTGGCCAAGTTACTGGCCCTTATGGCATGCTCGAGTAACTTTTATGAGCACCAGTCTGCCGAGGAGAGAGATAATAGCCAGGTAAGTATATCCGCTCGGACATGGTTTGCAGAAGTTGTGTCATGGATCCAATCTACCACCGGATATGCCCGACTTAATCTCGACATGATTCAAATCAAATGCTTGATGGTACTCGGCGGACAGGCCGTTGCGTACGAAGGCGACCTGGCTTGGATGACAGCGGGGTCTCTCGTTCGAGAAGCCATCACAATGGGCCTTCATACGGATCCGTCAAACTTTCCACGGGTCTCACCCTATATGGCTGAGATGAGGCGTCGAATTTGGCTTACTGTCGTTGAACTGGACCTTCAATCTGCGCTGCAAAATGGCACGCCCATGGGGATTTCATGGGATGAAATGGATGTGTCACTTCCATGTAATATTGATGATCAAGACCTCCAACCCGACTCGATCGAGCCCCCCGTGTCCTCGCCAATATCCACCACAACAAGAACGTCTTTTCAACTCATTCTGGCACGGAGCTTGCAAGCTCGGATGACAATAGCCAAGTGCGTTAGCAATATTCGCTCCACTTTGGATTACCAGGAGGTCTTGAGCCTCAGTAACGAATTGACGAACGAGATGTCCAACATTCCTCTTGCACTACGAAGCGAAGAGGCGACCGAAGGCACAGGATACTCAACATTCCAACGATCATTCTATCTATTTCTCATCTATCGCTCTCTACTAGCCCTTCATCGACCTTTCTTCCTCTCTCTCGCAGATACCGGCAATCCAACCTTCGAATACTCCCGACGACTCTGCGTCCAAGCTAGCACCGCACTTCTGGCTCAACTAGAGACATCCGATCTAGACGCGCAAGCCTTCGCCGTGACCAACCAATCCTATCCTCATCTGCTACGGCTCCGAGGGGGTATGTTCCGCGACGATATGTTCCATGCCGCAGCCACCCTCTGCTTCGAGCTGTGTCTACAAGCCAACGATGCCCGGATCCCATCTCTCCCTGGCTCGCGAACCTCATTCATTGACTACGGGACAAGCTACCATGTAAGCTCGCTCTGGCAGAGCATTGAAAACGCCATCCAGTATTTTGAATTCAAAGTCCGTGCCGAAAAACAGGGCTGCAAGGCACTCATGTTTCTTCATTTGATTGTCACTTCGGCTCGAAATCACAACGCACGGACAGGCAACAACGCCGTCGTTAATTTAGATGATGCTTGTCCGCAAGCATCGCGTCGGTGTCGGGAGCTGTTGTTGGCTGATACAAATAATGCTCATGATGGGACGACGCATGAGCGGCCGGACTATGCAGATGTATGTATTCAACGCGATGGTTCGGGACAAATGCTAATCGCGTCGAAATAGGCAGCCGATATACACGCTTCCTCGCCAATCGACGCCACAGAGACTGAGACAATTCAGCATGTACCGAATCAAGGACAGATCATTACTCCTCTGTCTATGGGCGACTCCGCCGCGGAGTTCTTGGTATGTGCATCTGCATTGTGGATGGATTCAAACTGAACCTTGTATAGGATCCCTCATTGGACTGGAATCTACTACTCGACTCCTTTGATCCATATTCAACCACTAGATGGCCGTTGATGGATCCACTAATGTAATAATGACATGTCCAATCCGACATTTTCCCTCGGATTATCTGAGTGGAGATGATATAATACACAGAACACTACCCTTCCAAATAATAGCAATAGTAATACAAACAAGCTCTCTCCAACCCAAAATCAATGACAACTCCTTCCCCACCTCCTCAACCTCACATAATTATACGGTAAAGGCGCCAAAAACCCCGCCGCGATACTCACCGCCGCGGCGGCCCAGAACGCCGGGTCCTGCACCGCCACCACGCCGCCGGTTAGATGCCAGTCGACAGCGTTCTCGGCCGCTTCCATGGCGAGCATAGAGACAAGGCTCATGCCCGTTGCGGTGCGAAATGCCGCGGGAAGGGGGAGCTTGTCGGGGCCGTGCTTGAGAAGCATGGTTTCGAGGAGGATGGATGTTGAGATCCCGCTTGCCACTATTTATGTTAGCTATGGTTGACGGGTGGTTGTATGGTATGAAGATTGCAGCTGAGGAAAGAAGACAGAGGAGAAGTACTTGATAATCCCATGATAGTGCCCATTCCGAGACCAGGAAGATAGGTTTGCAGGACCCAGAGGGCCGAGAAGTCGCCGATCGTGCAGCCGACTAAGCAGCGCAAGGTGTTGATAGATGCGCGTTTCCATGTCGGACGGCTACTCCAGAAAGAAGCGCGGAGAAGCGATCTAGTATCTGCGTTTGAATTCGAATCCTGCCCAGGGTTATGGCTGGCTGGGGACGGAGTGTTTTTTCCAGCGCAGGATGATTTCGGACATGCTTGTCGTGGGGAGATCGTCGAGAAGGGTCTAAGTGATAATAAAATATGCTGACCACTACCCCTGGATATGCGCGGGGACAAAGGACAAAGACGCGTAGACAGCATGATGAGGGTGGATGTAGAATGCAGGATGAGAAGAGCAGAGAATAGAAGTATGGAGCAGACCAGACGCCTTACCCCTTGTAGTAAAGCGCAGGCACAAATGGCGCACTCCCGTCGGGCTTGGCATTTGCCTAATACGGCCGAGCTCCGAGATTTCTTCTATACAACATTAGAGGTGACTACGAAATGCTCCAGTGCCTTTGAACAGGCAAGAATGCGATTAGCGGTGCATGTTGCTAGGCTCGAAGAAAGTACTTCAAGCTCCCAGATTGTGTTTTGCTTCCAACAACAAAAAAAAAAAAAAAAAAAAAAAAGAGGAAGAAACAAGATTTCACAGCGGTGGGAAGGATGGTTTAAGACGATGGCACAACTGAGATTTAACTACTCGCCACTATGCCTGGTTTCGGTTTTGCCAATTACCCATATAAGTACAAAGGGTAAAGGAGATACTATACAGAACCACTACGGCAAACCTACCAGATGCAACGAAGAGTGTACTCACTGAGAGGATGAAAGCCAGGAATTCGCGAATATCATTACTCGACTCGACCTCGCTTTTTGCCTTCATCTCAACCTTTTCTATTTAATTACCTTGTTTGTGCTAGAATTATTGTCTAGTGACAGGCTCTATGAAACAAGTTCGGTATATTCCGGTTACGCGACGGCATGGAGCAATAGGATTAAGCAATATTTTGGTGGCCACGATTCCATATATTCACATAATGAAGGACATTCTTTGAGTTGAATAGAATGAAAGAAGTATTATGTATCTCCCCGATATCTTCCATGAAAATTTCATTAGCCTGTGAGCGGAGAGTATTTAAAGTCCTTCGGACTTATCACACCGAATTGAACAAGATCGAGAAAACCAGCACTGCACACTTCTTCCGACCCAGTTCCTGACTCTTAGAGACCACTAAGCGTTGGGCTGTACACACCCGTCGACTATCATGACGGAGAGACTTGTATCTCATTCCTTCACTCCGACAGGTGAAGTCCTCCTCCACCATGTGCGGCCTAACGATGTAACGGAGCTGGGTAGGTGCCTACACTGGATGGATATCAGCTACATATTCCTCGAGAGAACCATATTCCCAACCGAGTTCATCGTTCGCTGGGCGATCTTCCAACCCCTACACGACTACAATACCATTCTTTTCGCGGACGCACATGCCTTCGCTGATTTCATGCGCTCCGCCGAGCCGCGCGGTGTCGTCTGGGTTGACGAGAAACTGTCCACATGGACGCACGACATCGAGGACAACGTCGGTGACGCTCGTCGACGCGACTACGCGGCTGGTCGTCAGATCTACGGCATTCTGCGCTGGTTGCTGGTACATATTGCATTCGCCTGGGAAGAGAACTATGCCACGGTTGCGAACCTTCGCAACGCCATGGACTGGTATGCTGTAATGCAGAAAATTGCAACGACCATGGTCGAGCGTTATCGAGTGAGGGGTCCGGATGTGGATCATCCCCTGGGACTGGGTTATACTGCTTTCATGGCGGGTCTGAAAGACGGGTTTCCGGACAGGGTCGAGCATCCTTTGGAGCAAAGTGTGTTGATTACTTTCTCGTCGCGCTCTGAGCACGAGGGTATTACGATGTTGCCCAATTTGGCCTTCTCGCTCCCGGAGGGCTGGTAAATGCTCGTCTGCCTATGATTCCTTTGGACATGGGTGTGCCGTTATTCTTGTCCGACTTTCTGTTCGCGGATTTCGGGTCTGATTTCGTGCGGTCTGTATCTTGTGTAAAGAACAATGTCAATATGATATTACTTTTCTGTTGAATCTTCCTATAAAGTAATCTTGTAGTATCCAAATGAACTTGTAGCTACGGTTCTGATGACCCTAGAACCACCTGTGAGTAGGACTGAAAGCAATATACCCTTGTGGTATTTGTAGGCTTCGAAGGTTGAATGGGCCCAAAATCTCATGCTCTAGACATACATATTATCCATTCCTATCTGTTAAAGCGGGTACCATGTAGCAGACTTGACTATGGGGCTTTTAGATGCCAGGTAGCCCTTACAACTTTGTAAAGACTTGACTCTCTATGTATTTGTGGAATTATGGGACTTGGTCAGAACTCAGTGATTAGCCGAACTCAATCGTACCATGGGGATTTGAATAGCCCACGTTCGTATGAAACAGTCGTAATAGGCTCACCACATCTGCAGTTTAATGAACCTGAGCTCTGAAAGTATGAGCCCTCGGCTGTGAGGCCAAAGCGTGGTCGATTTAGAGGTGGTCATGTGCTTCTTTAGCCCTAACCAGTTCCCTGTTCTTGGATGGACTCGCCCTCGAAGTCATAACCCGTCCGACAATTTCCATGGAACGTGTCGAATCAGTACCAATCGACCGAAAGCTTCCTCCCCCAAGGGTGAAACCATGGTTTGGTTTTAGTATGCGACAGAAAGATGGGAGACTTGAGAGCCGAGTCCGATGGGAGCGAGTTGGTGAGCCAGTAGTCAACCCATCGCTCAAGTATCCTCGTGCTGCACTTTACCGAAAGCCACATGCCTGGAAGGGACCCGTACCTCAGAGTGGATTTACTTTGACTTTTACGTTGTTCAGGTCTGAATTTAGTCGCAATGTCGATGCCATAGGTCGCGTTTTCAAATACAAGAATCCCATATTTGCAGCGTTTCTTGCACACCTTGATTACTTCCGGAGCATCATCCGACCCATTCCCTTCGTAGGGATGACGCACGCTCTCCTTACTGAACATCCAAGCCAAGACCTTGAACCGGCGCAAGGCCTTTGTTGCTACGAACTCAAAAAGGACAAGACAGACTGCGAAGCACGCAATCTAGTCGCATTGGACTTAATCTACAGTCCAAATGTCTATTATGGCAATAGGCTGATGCCCAAGATGTCTGATATTGCCCTCGAGTTAGAACATCGTCAATTCCTCAACCATGACCAACAGCTGACATGTCGCGGAGATGCTCATCTCGTACAAATCTGTCACCATGGATCGGCACATCCATTCATCCGTGGACTACGCATAAGTCCACCGGCCACGAGTCTGAGGACTCGGTTAGTTTTATGCCGAACGCCGGACTAACGGAGGAGAATCTGCAAGTAAATGAAGCTAGCCCTAATTCCTAGCTCCCCCGCATTCTGTTCTGACAGGGACAGGTGAAGCGACAGCCGTTCGGTTCATTTCATGCATCTCTCCTGCAGCATGACGGAGGATTTCCCACGAATGAACAGACTCCGGTGGAGGAGCGTCGGAGTCGCGAACACCCCTCTCATCACCCCCCACCGAACACTATAAAGATGCACGAACATGCTATCCCAAAGTATCCCAATGTCTATCGGCATTGATCAGTCACCATGCGAGCCCTTCAATTCCCAACCCTAGCGGTGGTAGCTACCCTCGCATCCCAAACCCACGCCAACCTCCAAACCGCCCAGAACTCCACCCACATCTCCGTCAACAATGACCACCTCAGCGTAACCCTCGCCAAATCCAGCGGCCACATCATTGACCTCACCCTCGACGGCCAAGACCTCCTCGGCCCAGCCAGCGGCAACAGCGGCAAGGGCCCCTACCTCGACTGCAGCTGCGTGCCCTCCGGCTTCTGGACGCCCGGGGGGAGCGCCAACGCCCAAGTCCAGCTCATCAACGGCACCGACTCATCAGGCACTGCCTACGCGGGGCTCATCATGAGCGACACCTACGCAGCCACGAACCAGTCCCTCTCGCAGTACTTCTTCCTCCGCGACGGCGAGACCGGCCTGCATGCCTTCTCGCGCCTCACGTACTTCAACGCCTCGTTGCCCTTCCTGCGCGGTCTCGGCGAAATGCGCACCCTCTTCCGCCCCAACACCAACCTCTGGACGCACTTCTCCACCAGCGACACCAACCACGGCCCCATGCCTTCCTCGTCCGCCTACTCATCCGCCACCACCGTGCAAGACGCAACGAGCTATCTAGGAAACACCCCGTCCGACCCATACGTTAGCCAATACTCCGACTACTTCACGAAGTACACGCTGGCGGAGAGCTGGCGCGCCCACGACGTCCACGGACACTTCGCGGACGGATCGCACAGCGCTGACGGGAGCGTGTTCGGCGCGTGGCTGGTGCATAACACGCGGGAAAGCTACTACGGGGGACCGCTGCACTCGGACCTTGTCGTCGACGGCATCGTGTATAATTACATGGTGTCTGGGCATCATGGGGCGCCGGTGCCGAATATCACGCACGGGTTTGACCGGACCTGGGGTCCGCAGTTCTATTACTTTAATAAAGGGGAGAAAGGGACGGGGCTGGAGGAGTTGAGGAAGGACGCGGCGAGGTTTGCGGATCCGGAGTGGAATGCTGATTTCTATGATGATATTGCAAGACATGTGCCGAATTTGGTGGCTTCCAAGGGCAGGACGACGTTTGAGGGGAAGGTGAAGGTGCCGAAGGGAGCCAAGCGGCCGATTGTGGTGCTCTCGGAGAATGAGCAGGATTTTCAGCTGAATGTGTTTGAGACGGAGTCGAGGCAGTACTGGGCTGAGATTGATGAGTCTGGGAGGTTTAGTATCCCTCGTGTTGTGAAAGGCACGTATCGGGTTACGATCTATGCAGATGGTGTCTTTGGATGGTTTATCAAAGACAACGTCAAGGTGACAGGCCGCAGGAATTGGAGCTTCACCTGGAAAGAGGAGACCGCAGGGAAGGAAATCTGGCGCATCGGCGTGCCTGATAAATCAGCCGGTGAGTACCGTCATGGATACGCGGTCGATGAATCCAAAACCCTCCATCCCGAGCAGTACCGGATCTATTGGGGACAGTATGACTTTGCCGACGACTTCCCCAAGGGAGTCAACTTCGAAGTCGGGAAGAGCAAGGAGGCCGAAGATCTGAACTATATCCACTGGTCATATTTCCCAGCGAAGGGAAACCATCTTCGGAATGAGTCCGTGTACGAGAACGTGAACAACTGGACGATTGCATTCGACTTGTCCAAGAGCCAGCTGTCTCGGGCGAAGACGGCGACATTCACGGTGCAGATTGCCGGCACCAAGACAGCGAATGGAAACTCGAAATGGTCGATCATCGACCATCCGTATAGCAATCTGCCGTGGACGGTGAACGTCAATGAGGGAAGCTATGAGTCCACATGGTGGATTCCCTACTTTCGGAGCGGATCGTGTGGTGTGCGCAGCGCCGTGGCGTGCCAGAACATCGAGCATAAGTTTGTGTTTCCGACGTCGAAGCTGAAGCAGGGGAAGAACGAGTTCGTGCTGAGCTTGCCGTTTAATGCGTCGAGTATCGAGACGGCTGTCTTGCCGGATGCTTTGTATGTGCAGTATGATGCTCTGCGGTTGGAGTTGAAGTAATCATGCGGTTAGAACAGGCAGCTACAAGAACGGACGCTTACAAAGACTAGCATTCAATTACAGAGTCTATTAGACTCCAATGAATTGACCAACTAAACAGGATTTAGGTTTCACAGCTAGTAAACATAAAAATAATGAAAAGACAAAAGATACCGAAGCAAAACAGAAGCAACACCAAAACAAATGAAAGCGATCGTATTCAAAATTGGAATCTTCATCACGATCCCAGTTCAAAACATTCTAGCTGTTTCAAATATGCTCAGACAGCCTGCAGCAACCTCCTCGGAGCCATCAGGAATCTGGCCAGTAATCAAGCTCATCATCACTACTCTCTGCATCAGCGTCCCGATCGTCAGAATCCTCTTCATCCTCGTCAGACTTATCAGGCTTATCATAGTCCCGCATTCTTTCAGCATGAGCGTCCTTGATCTGAATAGACAACGTAGCCGCAACATCTTCCGCCTCCGGATGAAAAGCGCAGTCCTTATCAGTGAATGTATTCTTCATGAGCGAGGGCGGCAATTCCAATCCCGAAATATTTCTGACAAATTCTTTCAAGGTAGCCCGGTCGAGATAGGGGCCTGAAGATGCCCAGAAATCAGGCGTGTTTTCAACTGCGGATGTGAAGTCCGTGTGGCCTCCCTTTTTCGCCTGCATGTATGTCATGATGAAGCGGAAGAATAGGTATCGGTGCGCAGGACGAGCTTCGGTGTGGAAGACTAGTTCTTGGTTGTCGAGGTCCTGGTTATGGTTAGTGAGGGAATGTGAGACATGGTTGAAGACAGGGATCGGGGATAGAATAGGTAGGTAACGAATAATGCATTCGTATGACAAGTGGAGTCAGGAAAGGAGCAAGAACAGGGGAAAACTTCATATCGACATACCTTCCATCTGAAAACCACCCGATTGCCTTTCTTCAACTTGTATTCGCGCTCTGGAATTCGGAGCGGCTGTCCCAAACCATCAGTAGACAGGAAGACCTTCTCCAGCGCGATCTCATTTTCTTTGGATCTGTCGACAAGTACGCATTTCCATTTGCACTCTGATCCAGAAATCTCAGGTACGATGGCTATCACCCCTGCATCCAGAGCGGATTGAATCGTGAAGTGAAGAGAAATCCCATTACGGGCGTCCATTGGCGGCATCTCGTCCGAGCCAAACAGAAAGGCCAACTCGCGCCCTGCCAGCGACATTGGGACGAGAGGAACCTCTCTGATTTTATTGGGGAGGTTCCAGCCCGACAGGTGACAGTAGACCATAGCACCTTCTCGCGTGATCGCGGCGTATCTCGCCAGAACGTCTCGGCGGAATTCTACCTCGTCGCTGAGCGACAGAGTCGGTTCCTTGTCTGGACTTTGCATGAGACGGGATACAATCGAGTGGGCAGATTCGTTCTCGTGGAGCCTGGTATTACTTTTCATTTCTTGGGCTTCCGCGATGTCCTGTTCGAGCTGGTGGCGCTGTTTGCGAAGGATCTTGAGAATCTCGCAGATCGGGGTAATGCGTGCAATTGTATTGTCGAGCTTTGCTTGGAGCTCGTCTGGATCGACTGTTTGCTTCTTCTTAGCCTCTAGGAGGGTGTCTCGATGGGCGACAAGAGTGTCTCGCTCCGATTCTAGCTGCGCTATCTTTCCGGCTATGAGGTTTGACACGGAAGAAGCAATCATGTTAGACATCTGGGACCCGTTGCTGGAGTTTCTCTTTTCGAGTTTCTCCAGATCGGGGCGGTGATCGTCGGAGAGGGGTGCAGATGCGTGCTTGTCAGGCATCTTGATGTTGAAGTTAGCTTGGCTTATTCAGGGCAGCAGCGTTTGTACTGTAGGTTTGGATGGAGATGAGTGAATCAAGGCTAGTGTGGGTGTGATCTATCATACATCAACTCACGTTCTGATTATACAAGAGCTTAGTCTTACCTTGTAGAAGGATGTTGTGGGCCAATGATGTGCTCAAAAGGGAGTATTGGATTTGAAGATACAATGTGCAAGGACAGTTGGGGGGATGTTGGAGAGACGGAGAGTATGGCAGCAGAGGAGAAATTTCTGAAGATTAAATAGACAGAAGATGCAGTAGATCCTCATTGCCCTGTGACCTCCGGTAAACAGTCCATTGCGGATTAATCCGGTATACTTGTGACAGACGTCACCAGTTAACCCTATCAGTGAATTCCAGTATTGCGTATGTGACTTGCCGATCATCTCGCTACCAGATATCTATCAAACCTGTGAGACTACATCCTGGCTTAGCGTGCTTTGAGTGGGATTCTCCGTTAAGCATGTCGCCACTCCAGAGAGCCACAGGTATAAGAATATCTTCACGTAGCAGTGATGTCTCTAACCCACTCCTCTTCTTACCCTACCTTCTCAAGATTATCAATTGAACTCTACAGTTACATACCGTCTACACCTCTCTCATAGTATCAAAATGTCCATGCCAACCAAGCATCGTCCCAAACGCCGCCGTGTGCAAGAGGAAGAGCCTGCGCCTCCGTGCATCCCTAAGCATATCAACCAATCCCCTCCATCTCCAATGAACGACTCTCACGAGATCAAACACTGCCGAGTCATAGCCTCATACAACTGGATCGCCGACTCCAATCCCACCATCATGATTCCAGGTAAGCCCAGCCCAGCCCACCATCTACCCAAACATAAACATACCAACATACATAGGCCGTCCACGAACCGTGTCCCTTGAATCCCGATCCATTTCCAAATCCACCTCCAAATCAATCCCCCGCTCTGTCAACTCCTACATCCACGACCCCAACACAACCTCCTACCCAGCATACCCCCTCCTCCCAGCCCTCGAAGCACTCCTACACACCCACCCCTCCTACGATACCGTCTCCATCGACGTGGTCACCTGCTCCCAGACTATCGAGCACCTCCTTCGGCTGCTATTCGAGAAAGGCTCTCGCTTCCGCATCCTTCTCCAGGCTTTTGGAAACACGGTCTTCTTCCTCCCTCGTCAGGAGACCCAGGACCTGAGGCCTGATCTGAAGGGGTATAGGGATTCGTTTCCGGAGTGGGTTGCCCCGTGGAGTCAGGATGTGTCTGGTTCGAGGTCTCATCATCGGGTGTTGGAGTATGAGATTGGGGGGTTGAAGTGTGTGGTTAGTGGGGAGGGAGAGGGGTATGTGCCTGAGTTTGAGAAGGGGAAGGGGAGGGCTGTGGAGAGGAACCCTGAGGCTGAGGCTGAGGCTGTGGGTGAAGAGTTCACCGCGCTGAGTGGGTATTCTGAGGATAGCGAGCCGCTGCTCATTCTGGAGGGTGGAGCTGCGGTTCCGCGCAATGCGGTCTGTGATATCGAGACGTGCTCGGTGCTGAATCAGAGCCAGGGCCAGAACCAGAACGAGGTGGTGGATCATCAGAAGATGGCGAGGATGTGGGCTCGTCAGGTGCAGAATACGCTGGTTGGGTTTCATCAGGACGGAGTCTTTAGTCGGGTGGAGGTGAAGAATGTGCGCGATGAGATCATGGAGTGGCAGAGTGCGCAGGGGAAGAGGATCAAGAAGTTCACGGAGCTGCTGGGAGAGATGGTTGATTTTGCGAGGATGAGACAGGGTAGGATGTTTGAGCTGCGCAATGGAGAACGCGGGCTGGAGATGAAGGACGTCGATGGCGTCAATCCGCTGGTGCCGGACAAGTTGGCGATGCGGTGGGCGCGAGGTCCTGCGATGTCTGACGATGGTTGGGTCGGTGGGGATGACGGTCCTTCTGGCCTTCATTCTCTGGCTCATCCGGAACTGCGAGCATTCGCGTCTGACTTTTTTGCGAAGGGTTGGGACTATTCGAGGAGGTCTCTGTGACTCTGGTCTTGGCCACCTTCTGTCATCTTGACTGAGCTGGACATGCAGTGCCGTTTAGATTAAATTGTTATCATGGCCTGGATGTACTTATTAATCTGCAGACTCCAACTACTAGTTTGGTTTTAGCATAGAAATTGAGATTCTCCTTGATCTATTAGAGTAAATTTTCGGAGAAAGAATAAATGAATAACCAACTTGATCATCGAAGTAAATGAATTCCAACTGTCTACATCAAAGAAAGCCCTTAACTTTATAGACAAGGGTCCATAATTCAGCATTGATAAGCCATAAATCTACCAGAACCTACATGTCAGACTCAGTACCAAGTGACAAACCTTTCTATAGGAAGTATGCTTTTATTTCCGCAAGAGAAGCAGAACTTCGAGCATCTCCATGCCCCGAGAAGTCAGCATAGCGGGAAATATGAGATACTAGACTCAGCCTACTGCGTACTTTAAACATCAATCAAATCCCTATTGATTCCAAGATAGTATACAAACGCCATATCCCCGCGAGAAACCACCATAAGCAAAAGCCATAACCCATCTCCATCCTCAATCCATCAACCATCAACCATTAATCCCAACCACTCCCCAAACAAAAACCCATCACCCAACCCAAAAGAAAATATAAAAAGAAATCACCACATCCTCTCCCACCACCTCCTCCAAACCCCCATCGCCCTTAACTCCTCCCTCCTCCTCTCCTGGACCCCTCCCTCCTCCCAAACCCGACACTCCTCATCAATCTCCTCCTTTCCGCCATGAATATTCGCCCTGGCCGGATCAACCCACTCCGTGCGCTTCCACACCTTCCAAAACACAAACATCACGGCCCAAAACGCCAGTCCGAAATACGACGTAATGAACCCCTGCACGCTGAACGGGCTGAAGACATTGAATCCGTTGAATAGCGTCACGGAGCTGCCGATGAGGGTGGCGAGGATGGCGGCGTAGGGTTGGAGCGGGGATTTATAGGGTAAACTGTCCCTGCTAACACCTTGGGCCTTGAGGGCTCGATACCAGGCCAAGAAGACGACGACCATGCTGGTGTAGGTCACGATCAAGGCGCAGGTGGTCAGGTCGACAAACCAGAAGAAGACGGTGGAGGAGGCGTTGGAGGCGACGAGGAAGGTGATGCAGCTGAGGAGGGAGACGATGGAGACGCAGTAGATGGGGACGCCAGATTGAGTGCATTTAGTTAAGAAGGCAGGGGCGTGGCCGTCTCGGGCTAGCGAGTACAGTGTCCGACTGGAGGCGTAGAGGTAGGCGTTTCCGCAGGACCAGCCCGCAAGTAAAATTAGGAGGTTGATGAGGTCCGGAAGGCCCGTGATGTTGAGGTTCGTGATGCCGATGACCCACGGGGAAGCGGCGGATCCGGAGGCGCCGTCGTCGATGGCGGAGAGGAGCCGTGGGTCCTGGGATGGGCAGATGGTGGCGACGGCGAAGACGCCGAGGACGTAGAAGCCGACGATGCGGTAGAAGGTCATTTTGACGACGCGGGGGATGGCGAGACGCGGGTTCTGGATCTCGCCGGCGGCGAGGGCGGGCAGGTCGGGGCCTGCGACGGAGAAGCCGGCGTAGACCATGACGGAGAAGAAGCCCAGGAAGCGGCCGGTGGTGCCGTCGGTGTAGTATTCGTGCATGACGCCGTGGGTCCAGTTGCGGAAGCCGTAGGCGTCGTGGTTGGGGTTGCCGCCGACCATCGTGATGAAGGTGAGCAGGACGAGGCCGATGAGCAGGAGGATCTTGGTGGAGGCCATGAGGAACTCGGCCTCGCCGTACCATTTCACGGCGACGACGTTCAGCAGGAAGCAGACGACGAGGGCCATGGCGACCCAGACGGCGGGATTGACGGAGGTGTTCCAGTACTGCATGACGGTGGCGACGGCGGAGTATTCGGTGCAGACCAGCATGAGGCCGCCGTAGAAGTAGACCCAGCCCCTGGAAGATTAGATTGGATCATACAGACAGGAAAGAAGGCTTACATGGCAAAACCAAAGGCCGGATCGATGTATCGCGCGGCCAGTTCGAAGATCGACCCGCGAATGGGCAGATATGCACACATCTCGCCGACACACAGATTGCACGGCCAGATGAACAAGAGGCCGTAGCAGAGATACCCCAGGAAGACAGACAGGGGACCCGCATCGCGCAGATACGATCCAATTCCCACGAACAGACCCGTGCCGATGGACCCTCCGATGGCCATCAACTGCACATGTCGCGAGGACAGACCGCGCTGCGTCTGCCGGTAGGGCGCGACAGTCCCAGCGGCGGTCTCCTCCGGATGATCCTCGATTGAATGTTTCTTCTCCATGGTGTTGGAGACTCGTTGTCAGTCGAGTCCGATCCTAGGCTTATATAGCCTGTCCAGTCGAGCGATACGACAAACGGTCTATCCATGACATCCATGACACCCCAACCTCAGTATCTTGACCGATAAGGCGCCGATCGCGGGCTGCAACCAGAAAGGGCAAAACAAGGCGATGCTAGGGGCGCGCCAAGTGATAAGCTCGGAGACGAGGGCAAATGAGGGCGTTGATTGATATGACAAACGGCCTCGGACAGACTGGACGTATCACGGTCCACCTTCCGATCTTCCTGGGATGGATTGAATCACTATTCATGGATCATAGCATTGATCGATGCAGCCCTATTGGCTCGGCTAACTGACTAGAAGTAAGATATACACTAAACGACATAAAATAAACACCGGAGCCTATTTGGATATAATGCGCCAGGACGAAGAAAATATTAACAGTAGAAGGACAGAGCCATATCACCTCCAGGACGCTAGTCGATCAACTCGAGGGCTACCGCCCGTCGTGATGCTCTGGGATCTGGGCCATCGGCACGGGCGCCTCCAACTCGGTCGGATAGCGATGATGGCCGGGGCTCTGCGGCATCTGGCCCATCTGCTGCTGCTGCTGCTGCTGCTGCTGGAAGGAGGAAGAGTCCCAGCTCCAGTGGCCGCTTTGGGGGTGTGGTGGCGGCGAGAAGGCGCGCTGCGTGGGATCGGGACTCGAGACGAAGGTGGCCTGGTCGCCGGGATGCGGCGGCGCGCTGCCGGTCATCTCGCTCTTGCGTTCGCCGTGGCTGTTGAACAGGGCCCATTGGGCGGTGCGCTCGGTGCGGCCGTCCTCCGACGACATCCACTTCTTGTAGATGCGGTTGCGGCCCAGCACGAAGAACAGTGCGATGAGGATGGCGACGAAGGCGACGCAGCCGACCACGATGCCGGCGATGGCGCCGCCGCTGAGCCCGTGGGAGCCGCCGCTGCTGGACGAGGCGCTCGAGCTGGGCGAGGAGGTTGCGGTGCCGCTGGGGGGGAGGTCGCCTTCGGCTGGGGGGGATTGGCCGGGCACGAGCATGTAGGGATACTCCTTGGCTTTCTTGAACTGGGCATCAAAGGTCATGCTGGAGTTCTGCGGAGGATTAGCGGAGTCATGGATCGTGACTGTCGGTCTTACCGGGTTGATGACGCCGACCATGCCATTTCCGATGCAGGAGTCGATGGCGGTGCAGTAGAAGAACGTGGGCTGAACCGTTAGTCACGTTTGGAGTGTTATGGCGAGATGCTCACCGAAGTATCATTCACGACCAAAGACCAAGTCGGCGGCTAGACTCGTTAGTAGCATATCCACGTCCATATCATATGAGGTGTACTCACCGGTCCCACCAGCTGTCCATTCTCCTCGTTGAAACTGTTAAACTCCCCGGAGTTGAACACATCCTTCTCGGCCGGCACACACGGGGCCAGATAATCGGCCTTGACGACGGAGTGGTTGCGGGGATAAAACTCGAAGATGATGATGTCGCCGACGTCCGCGGTGATGTTATGCGGCGAGTACTGATGCGGGTCCTCTTTGGACCCGACCTTGACGGTATGCGTGGCAGAGGCGGTGGACGAGGAAGTCGACTTGGACGACGTCGTAGTCGCAGAGGCTCTAGACATCGTGCGAGTGGCAGTCCCGGTGGCAGAGGCGTAGGTATCGTCGGTGGATTGAGTCGATGCCAGGGCGGCCTGCAGGACTAGCAGCAGCCATGTCAAACGCACGAGAGACGGCATGTCGATTTCGGCAGGTTGACGGCGTTTCACAGTCTGGGGTCCGTCATGCAGAACAAACAAAGGAGAAGAAAGAGCGAAGGGAGGGACAGGAATATGAGAGGAAATATGGAGAGTCGAGGGAGTCTCGAGGAGAGGGGGTCAGCGTTGGACAAAGAGCAGACTTTTTTAGTTGCCATAATCCCTACGACCCCGACCGGTTAGCCCATCGGGTTTATCTAATTTAATTTCTTTGATATCAGCATCCTGGCCGTGGCGCAGACCAGAATGGCCGGGAAACACAGAAAGCCGACAACAAGGAGGAATCACAAATCATCGGGCCCAGAACTAAACGCAAGGGGCTTAGCGGTCGTGCTGGCGATGATCCTGGGCTGCTGGGCTGGGCGACCCATGGATCCTGCGGCCATTCAGACGGCGCTGAATGCGAGACGCCGCTCCACTTGGCTCCACGGGCTCTGTTAGACAGGCATCTGACTGGTCCAGCACCGACTCCGACTGATCTAATGGCTTGGCGAGCGTTCAGAATCACAGCCTTGCGAGGGAGAAACTGGTGGGCTCACGTTGAGCCTTCTTTCTTCGTCTATCACACGGCGGATTACTGCGAGTTAACGACTCTCGTTTTGGCCCCCAGACTCCATCACTAGTCGATGGAGATAGGGCAGAACCCTTAAGAGCCCCTTCGGACTGATCATGGACTGATTCTGGACTCTAACTCGAACCAAAACAAACGAGTTACGAGCTTGCGCCTCCACCGTGGTCCGGCGCCGAGTGTCGCACTGCCGCCTGAGACTCAGCTCGGATTTCCCAGATTCCCTGCGACCGCTTTGTCGTGGAACCAAGGCTCCAGAAAGTAGAGTTGAATGCTACCTTAGCTGGGCCTCACCGTCTGGGAATTCCGATATCCACTTTGCTTTGTCTGCTCCACTGGACTTGGTACGATTTACGAGTCAGGGTTAGTAGCCATGGACGGATGCGTATCTCACGGAATAATATGATTGACTACTGAATATTGGATATCCCCGGAGGAGCCGTAGTTGATTCGTAAGATTAATTCTGACCGAGAATGTCCGACGGATTGCCGGTCTACGCTATAAGGACTATCCTGCGTACGGGCGGATTAGCTCGAGCGACTGGAAGCTTCTGATCTTGTTTCAGATGTCGATGATCTTCGATCACGCATACAATACCAGTTCGATAGACTGTTTGCTATACTCCGTACGCAATAGACGTAGACGCCCTGAATCCGGAGTCCTCCACAATATCATCCCCCACAATGACATCAATCTGCATGATCACCGTCTTCTCCGTCCATCATCCCCTCTAATTAGTGGAAGATGGGCGAATTTCCGCGCCCGGGAGAATTCTCCCGTTGGTGGAATCCTCACATCTACGGAGTATCGCGAGATGTGATCGCTAACCGCTGAGAATCACCACGCAGTAGTACATCATGTATATATATCACAGCGTCGCGAAGCTACATCCCAGTCCAATGCCCAGTCCACCCGTCAAATCCACTAAATAACCGCCCGAGCCCACAGCCAAGTACTGTACATCATGCATCTCGGCTCCCTCATCACGTTCTCCTCCCTCGTCCTCCCCTCTTTCTCCTCTCCCCTCCCTGCACCGGCATCTCCCCTGTCCAAACCCCCCTTCTTCCTCCTCGCAGGGGACAGCACCACCGCGACCCAAGCAACCAATGGCGGCGGCTGGGGCGACGGCTTTCTGAACACGACGCTCCACCGCGGCGCCAACGGCCGGAACTACGGCCACAACGGCGCCACGACCGTGAGTTTCCGCGCCGGCGGAGACTGGGACGCCGTGCTGCAGGAGGTCCGCGAGAGGCGGGTCACTTACGCGCCCTACGTGACGATCCAGTTCGGGCATAATGACCAGAAACCGGCCAAGAATATCTCGATTGCGGAGTATACGGCGAATTTGGAGGGGTTTGTCGAGGAGGTGAGAGGGGTAGGGGGCGTTCCGATTCTGGTGACGCCGTTGTCGAGGAGGAGTTTTAATGAGACGACGGGGGAGGTGGTGAGGAATTTGGAGAATGAGAGGAAGGCGACGATCCAGGCGGCGAGGAGGTCCAGGGCGAGTGTGGTGGATTTGAATCTGAGGAGTACGGAGTATCTGGATGCGATTGGCGAGGAGAAGGCCCATTCGTATAACCTCAGTCCGGACGATAATACCCATCTGAATGTCCCTGGCAGTCAGGTGTTTGGCGGCCTCGTGGCGTCGCTGATCGACGGCGTCCGGCCGGAGTTGAAGGGCTTTGTGGCGGTGGATGGCGCGTTGGAGACGGCGTTGGATGAGGGCGAGTATTACTGGCCTGATGTTAATTAACTTATGGATCTGAAGGATATTTATTTGGACACTAAATCCTCGCGGCCCGTCGATCCGCTGCCGATCTGAGGTAACTTTCTATAAGTATATAGACCTGTGTCATTAGCTTCAGCTTCAGCACATCATGGAGCTCTTGCAGGTTCAAGACGAGCCCGTGCCCTGACTGCTCCTGAAGCTGATCGGCAGTCTGGGCTCTGATCCCGTATTTTGAGAATCCTACCATATCAACATCGACCTCGTCTTAGTCCTGTAGTCAACCTCCCTGACTCTATACTCTATCATATCCTAACATCAACTGCCATTTAGATACGGACCACCTTCACCGGCGGCTCCTCACCAACGGCCTCCTATCCCACCAGCTGCATCTATGAACCTTCCTCGCCATCGGCCAAGCCTACCAAAACACCTACGCCAACACGTTCATCATGTCCGTCAAATTCGCCCACCGCTGGCTCGGCTTCATCCACGCCATGTACAGGCCGGATGTCTGGTTGCGCCGTTCGTCGCGACGGCAGTGGCTTCATCAGGCGAGGGTGCTGGCTCGGCGGGGCCGACTTCCTGGTGGAGTCTGTTCTACGGAGCGCCGTTGGGTCTAGGGTGTTGAACCTTGGGTTGGTGCTGGTTGCGTTTCGGGATTCGTTGGGGTGGAAGATCCGGGGGAGGGACCAGGCTTTGGATCCTGGGGATCAGGTTGAGGCTGAGGCTGAGGCTGTGCGGATTGGGTGGGCAGGAAGGTGGATGACGCTGCGCATGCCTGGCTGTGGACTGTTGGTTTGTATTTCTTTTTCTTTCTGGGCGCGGTCATCACGGCTGGAGGTGAGTCTTTCCATTCTAGGCTGTGTTTGAGACTTTATTAATGAGGTAGGCTAGATGGTCGAGTACCTGGTTCATGTGCGCGATGGCGATCTGAAAGGGCTACGTGACGGCGGGGTTCAACGGGGGTGCGTTTCTGGGTAGATTGCTGCTGGCAGGGCCGACGTATCGGTTTGGAGAGCGACGTATGGTCTTTCTCTATGTGTGTTTGTGCTTGGGCCTGGATTTGGTGTTTTGGTTGTATGTCCGTCCCCGGGTGTTGAATTGCTGGAGGGGATTGATGATGGTTAGGGTGCCGAATATCATCACCGAGGCTGTGGCCATCAGTCTGCTGCGCTTCCTTTCGGGGCTGTTTTTTCGCGACGGTAAGTTTGCAGAGACAGGGCTGGACGAGACTGACGAGGCATCGAAGCTGTTTGCGGTGGAGATTCGCTCGGCGGCGTTGGGTTTGTACTCCTTAGGGCATTGTTTGGTGACGGGGCTAACAAGACAGTCTTTATCATCGTCCTCGGTCAGATTAGAGGGTCTGTATTTCCGGCCATCACTGGGGTTATAGCTGCCAGGACTGGCGTCAAAGTTCTGCAGCCTGTCCTGGTTGGTCTGTTAGGGGCTACGGGAGTTGGTTGATGTTGCCGAAGAGCAGACTTCATCATGAGTAACGCAGCATTCATTCATTAACTCTCACCGTCTTCAACTCAGGAACGGAACAGATCAGATCAGAAGCAGAACGCACAAAGCAAAACACATAGAACGCAAACCAAAAAGCAACACAGTCAATCAGATCATCTCAGCCAACTTCGTACGGCTACAGAACCTGAACCCTCGGCCCAGTAACCCCAATATCCCAACGAATCGCCACCTCGTCACTAACACCCACGAACTCAAACCCAGCCATCTCGCCCGCCGGGCAATCAAACTCGGGATATCCACCATACGACATGATCCAGTCCGCGACACCCGGCGCAGTCACCTTAATCCTACCGACATGCTCATCTCTCGACTGCACAATCACCTCGGCGACCTCCTTCGACGCCGCCGCAACCGCCTGGATACTCACTTCTCCTTCCTTAGCGGAGGCACCAGTTGGCTTCGTCGCGGTAAAGACATCCGCCTGCTGCGATCCGGTCGACACGTCTCGCTCCCACAGATCAAACAGCAGCTTGCACTTGCGGCCCTCGAGGTTCGCGCCGATGTCGAAGGTCACGATCGTGGTGGTCTCCTCGGCGGGCTTGCCATTCTTGACCACCAGGAGCTGGTCCTGCGGGTCTTCTTTGAAGTCGCCGCTCTGCGCCCAGTAGCGGTACGTGCGGTAGGGGTACAGGAGGGTGTCGGCGCGGGCGTGCGGGAGGCGCGCGGCCGTGGCGAGCGCGGCGGCGCTGAGGAGGGTGAGGGCAGTGTATCTCATTTTGATGGTTTTGAGGTTTGGACGGTATGAATTTGGCTTGGTTGTTTGACTGGACTGTCTGAACTGGATTAAGGATGATGATGGTGGTGGTGATGAGAGCTGAATCGACGGGATATCTACACCTTTATATACCTTTCCTTCCCATATTCCCTCACTTTTCTCGGATCTATCTCACATCCACCAGGCAACGAAAGTACGACCTCACCTACCAATCCAAGACATCTCCCTGAATTCTCCATCACTGGGTAGCTATCCGATTGTTCCTGTTTCTCCCTCCCGCTCGCCAAGCACGGATCTCGTATCCTGCTCGCCTTACGCTGGACGTGTAGACTGTACGGATTTGCCTGAGAATGGAAATACCGTGCCTGCTGGTTGGCCTTGTCTTCCGAGACGCGGAGGATACGGATGGTCGGGTGGTTCGGAGTGACCTGGCGATGCGTGGCTAGTCTCGGTGTCGGTTCTAGAATCAACGAGAGTATACAGATCAGATGGACTTTTGGCACCCTTTCGTATATGCATTAGCTACCAGAGTTCGATAGTAATAGTAATCCAGGCAGTAACTAGGACAGTGACAGTCAGACATGAGTAAGCAAGGTAACAAGTGTAACCAATGACGTACCCTCCAATATCCAAGACACCAGTCCGAGACGGATTGGCTCCGACATCGTATTTCATCCCCACGCGGCGCGGGCGCTATTTTTGGTCGGGGAATAAGGGCAGGGTCAGGCTGCCAGATCTAAATTGAATGGATGAAAGACTTGAGGCGCGGGGGATCGACGGGGTCTGATCCCTGTTCGTCTGTCGTCATCTGTCAGGGAGGTCGGTGGGCTGGATACTGGGGGATCATTCATCCCTTGTTCCTTGTCTGAGATGCCGGTTCGCCTGGCAGATATATTTAGATTTATATTTGAGTGGTTGGTGGTTGAGGTTGTGATGTATTTTCTGCTTTGAGTTAGTTGCGGCTTTGTTTGGTGCAGGTCGGAGTCGTCGGGGCTTACCGACTGTCTGTTTTCTCAGCCTTATGTTTTGTCCAAGGATGTGTGCAGATGCAGGATGCATCGGGTTCATTCAAGGATTAATTCTACCGGTTGAATAGAGATACAGAGATCCATGTTTGTGTTGTTTTTGATTGTCTCGGAGTGAGGCGTCTTCATTTAATGATGGATTATCATGGAGTAGATAGCGCACCAAATATCTAGAACACAATCACGAACATTATCATTCTAGACAAGGGAAATGAACGTAATAATCTGCAGCTACATGATGTTGATGAATACTAGGAATGAACCAGAATCAAGTTTAGATTCTAATTTACTGTGGAAGGTTTTCGTGCGGAGTTATAGTGACTGAGGAGCTTGCTTTCTTATAGTATCTAGATTTAGAATGAATGGAATAACGTCGACTAAACACATCCACCTTATAGTATAGAAGAGATCGACCGAGCTTGGCTATCATGTAAAACCTGATCTATGTGAAAGTCTTGAGTGCTGGTATCTTATTTTTTTGTTTACATATTTATCAGTGAGTATACCTTTTCGATGGGATTATTTACGTCCGGAAGACTTAAACTTAGAGCAACTCTCGCGGTATGCCTCCTTCATCTGTCCCCAAGTAACAACCAAGCTAAATACGGCTGACCAGGATTCGCAGACCGGCTTCGCCCTCAAAGAACAGGCCTTCCTCTCTGGACGAACAACTCTAAGATTGTAGAGAAAGAGTACATAAACACACCTTACCTTCCACCAGGATCTCAAAAGCAAGAAGATCGCCATCTTACCCACTCTTCATGCCGTAAAAGAACTTACCACCCTACCAAACCTGTTCTGGAATCGAAATTTAGTGATAATAATCGCCCAGTTCTCAACTACCTCGCCTGCTGATTAGCCATCGAAAAACGTCATCTAAAGAGCCAAGCTTGGCGGTTATGATGTCCTGCATGATATATCTCGAGGTCCACCGACTAAAGGTCTGTTTCAACCTTTCACATGTCCAGAGGTCTCTCTGGAGTGAGAAAGCATATATTCACCTTGGGGGTAATGATCTCCAAGCGGAGGCGAGATGTTCCTCACAAAACACAGCCAAACCACCTAGGGCTACCTCGTAAATAAACATTATTTATTTCTGATTTCTACATAAAGATGGAGCCTGCGGTCTCGGTTTAGGATTGAAGAAAATCCGACAAGACCAGGCCCATTCAATCACGGAAATCATATCCGTGTCTTAAATGTGCATCACTCGGTGTATCTCTTCCCATGGATCTGCGCACTGATATAGAAGTCGGGATGTGGAGGAAACCGGACGGGCCATCGTGAAGAGTTTCAACGAGATTTGGTCCATTTTTCTTCCGTAGCAACACGCAGGACCAAGAAGTACTATACATTCTCCCTCGGAACGAAATAGAAATCCCCGAAACATTGACTTCGCAATGGACACAATGAAACAATCCTCCCGATGTGGACAGCCGCAAGTCATATAAACAACCTCATCGCATCCGAGTCAACTCACTGCAAACACCAACACATCTCTACACCTCTGGACCATGCACATCCTCCCGCTCCTCTCCCTGCTCGCCCCCGCCGCCGCCGAATATCTAGACTGGCGCACCCACACCGTCCACGGCGTGAACCTCGGCGGCTGGCTGTGTCAAGAGTCCACCATTGACAGCACCTGGTGGGCCGCCAACTCGCTGGGCGCCCCGGACGAATGGGGTCTCTGCGCCAACCAAGGCCCTGCATGCTCTAGTATCCTCGAGCGGCGGTACGCCAGCTTCATCACAACCCGCGACATCGACACGCTCCACGCCGCCGGCATCAACACCCTCCGTATCCCCACCACCTACGCCGCCTGGGCCAAGGTCCCCGGCTCCCAGCTCTACAGCGGCAACCAGCTCTCCTTCCTCCGGAGCCTGTCCTCCTACGCCATCGCCCGCCACGGCATGCACGTCATCATCGACGTGCACTCCCTCCCCGGCGGCGTCAACGGCATGCCCTTCGGCGAAGCGGAGGGCCACTACGGCTGGTTCCACAACGACACTGCCCTGGCGTACTCGCTGGAGGTCATCGACGCGGTCATCGACTTCGTGCAGACCTCCGAGCATCCAGACGGGTACTCCATCGCGCCGATCAACGAGCCAGTCGACAACACCGACATGACGGCGTTCGGGACCCCCGCTGCACTATCGGACGACGGGGCCGCCTGGACGCTGCAGTACCTGCGGGCGGTGATCGACAAGGTGGAGAAAGTGAATCGCCAGATCCCCGTCGTCGTGCAGGGCAGTTTCCGGCCCGTCAGCTTCTGGTCTGGACACTTCGCCAACACCACGAACCTGGTCTTCGATGTGCATAATTACTATTTCGCGGGGCGGCGGGCTACCGGGGAGAATATCACTGAGTATATCTGCGAGGATGCGGTTGCGTCGGCCGGGGATGGCAGGTTTCCGACGTTTGTGGGCGAGTGGTCGATTGAGGCGGAGAAGGGGAATACGTTGGCGGGGAGGCGGAGGACGTTGAATACGGGGTTGTATGCGTTTGGGGAGCATACGAGGGGGAGTGCGTACTGGACGGCGAGGTTCTCGGGGAATGCGACGGTGGATGGAGAGGGGAGGCAGAGGGATTATTGGAACTATATGGCGTATGTGCAAGGGGATATGATTCATCCGGAGGAGGGGAGGGGGGTTTGTTAGGTGAGTAGCTGGGCTGAGGTTGATGTGGTAGTTACCAGGTATTTGCTGGTGCCTGCTCTGCGCTTTATACATCTGTTACTTTGGCGTCTTATCTTTCGACACCGGTAAGCTTTTAAATCATCCACGTGTATTGCAGTGACACTCGATGGACAGGGTTCTCTGGCCTATGCTATCTGGCGACTGGAATCATCCTTTACTTTCCAACGAAGAGTTTGAAGTTATACAAACGTTGCTAGCTGCCTACTCATCTCCACTCCGGTCATTATGAATTTGACGACGTCAGGACGGTTAATAGACAAATAACTGATTATATTACAAATTCTCGCAAAGAGCAAAACCGATCAGCACCAGTAGCTTAGAATATGCAAGGGTAGCGAGTGTGAGAATAGAGGAGTGTACTGCGGAGAGGTGAAAGCAGGTAAGTATATACTGAATGCCTGGAATCGGGAAATCGAGATGTGAGATGCTGATCTTGGAATGTTTAGAGTTATGTGAACAAGATTCAAACGAAAGGCATGTCTATGGATTTCTTGATTCAAGAGGATCGTTGTCATTGACATTATATGACTAGTGAGGCTGACCTTCTCCTTTCCAATCGATTTCCCCGTCCTGTCGTACCCAAGTACACCGACCCAGGTGGTTTGACAGTAACTTCCAATCGAAATACTAGTACATCAATCTCCAGATTAAATTACCCGTAGCTGGCATCGGATAAATAGCGTTGTTCAAATCCAATATTGAACGCAAATTGCACCGCATGATCGAGCCTCAACTACAAACGACACCATATACACAGACAATCACCTGACAATATCTGTAGGGCTCAGTTCTAGCCCATGCTTCAGCTAGAAGTCAAGTACCATCATTTGGACCTGATATTGCGTGCTCCGCCATCCCGATCGATGCCAATCTGCCAGGATAGCCCCATGTCCGGATAGCCCCATGGCGGTCTCGTGTTAAGCTTGTATCCACCGTGATTGGTGCAGGGATAAACCGCGCGGGTCTTAGAGGCAGCGTTCATTCGAGAACGAGGTTAGTCCGCCACAAGCTTCGATCCTGCATTCGCAATCACAGGCGTGGGATTGCGCGACTGCCAAGGGCGGGCTTGGCGGGGTGCTTACTGGACGTGAAGCCATCGAGTAAGACAAAGGATTGCGGATCGAGAGTCACGAGTCAGCGGCCGCAACCGGCGCCGCCAGGCAGTAAGGCATGCTTCAGGCATCATTCAGGCACGACTTCAGGCATCCCGTTGCCTCGCACGTGATCCCACGTGCTTCCCCGCTAACCCAAAGCGGCAGCATCGGCGGCCCCGGGGAAACCTGATTGGATGGCATACAAGGCAATCTCCCTCTCACCAACAACATCGCCATGTCGACACCACCGTCGTACTACGGAGTAGTGCCATGCGTCCAAGACCTTGGCATGGGTCCCATTATCTTGAAATTTCAAACCTGCTGGCAGGATGAGAATGCCTCTACGCGCTTGGCATGGCTCGACCATTCCCGTCTCGCATGGCACAGGCCTGCCCCTTGGCGGTCGCAAATCTACAAAAAGCTCGCGCTGATGTCCTCGTTGATTTCTGACTGACCTCTGTTGTCTTTGTTTTGCACTGAATTACCGCATGCGGTCGCCGTCACGATGTCGCAGCGCATGCATCAAGGCTTCCTTGGGAAGATTCTTAATGGTCTGAAGAAGACCGTCGCTTGGATCGCTCCTCCGCCGAAGAAGTCGGAAGATGGTCGAGATCAGTGGCCGTCGCGAGCGGCCTTTCTGCTCGCTGCCATGGGCGGCTGCGCCGGCCAGGGAAACCTCCTGCGATACCCCTCCGTCGTCTACAACAACTATGGCCTGCAGTGGTTTATTCCGTATCTCCTCGCGGTCTTCGCCGTCGCTATCCCGGCTCTGATCCTCGAAATCTCCATCGGTCAGGCGTATCGCGGCGGAACGGTGATCGCCTTCAACAACATCAACAAGCGACTGAAAGGCGTGGGAATCGGGCCGGTCCTGGTCAGCTTTATCGTGACGCAGTACTTCACGGTCAACCTGGCGTGGATCATGAACTACTTTCGCAATTCCTTCACCAGTCCCCTGCCGTGGGAAAACCGCATCGAGGAATTCTACATGGGCGATGTCGTCGCCAATCCCGATCCCATCGCCGGGAGCCTGACCGACGGGAATAAAGAGGTGGCAGCTTATACGAAATACCCGTATGTGAGTTTGCTGGGGGAGACGGTCGGATGGAGCGCGTTCATCTGGTTCTTGATCTGGATTTCCATCTTCCGGGGCGTCGGCATGACCGGTCGCGTTGTGTACTGGACCATGGGTCTCCCGATCGTGACCACGATCATCCTGGTGGGCCGTGCATGCTCCCTCGAGAACGCCCGTGAGGGCGTGAAGCTGCTCTGGGCGACGTGGCGAGGGGGACAGCTTGCGTCCGGCACGGTCTGGCAGACTGCCGTGGGACAGGTCTTCTTCTCGACTGGCATCGGCTTTGGTTATTTCACCTCCTATGCGTCGTACAACGCCAAGCATTCGAATGCTGTAATGGATGCAGTCCTGATCTGCGGCAGTAACGTGCTGTTCGAGAACTTCGCTGCGTTTGCGGTCTTCGGCGTTGTTGGGTACCTCAGACGCTGGCCGCAGGACGGCGAGCGACTGGGCGCATTTGTCGTCGGGTTCCTCACGCTGCCTGAAGCGGTCCTTCATATGCCCGGAGCGAACTGGTGGGCTATTCTCCTGTTCTTCACGTTGGTGGTTCTCGGGTTCAGTTCTGCGTTCGTGATGCTGGACGCCTGTGCCACGCTGGCCGTCGACGCCGGCGTCAAGCTTCCTCGGCCGGTCATCGTCACTGCTCTCACCATCATCTCATTCCTCATGTGCCTGCCCTACTGCACGGAGTTTGGATTTTACCTGCTGGACGGAATCGACCGCTGGATCAACAACATCTGTTTGATCTTCGTCGTCTGGTCGGAGCTCGTCAGCGCCACGACTGTCTACCGCTGGCAAGACGTGGTCAGCCAGACTGGACGTCCTGCCTTCCTCTTGTACAACTTTGGCTACTTTGGCGGGCAGATCGTCGGAGTAGCTGTTGCGCACGGCGTCGAGATGCCAGAGGCGGGTGCTGGTGCTGGATTTGGCCTGTACATCGTGTGCACCATCGCGTCGGTCTTCCTGGCCTCAACCCCGAGCATCAAGGCGGCCAGTTTCTGGGGTCGCAACCCTTTCCTCAGCCGGTTCTGGTATCTGGCACTCTACTCTGTATGTCCCTCTTCCCCGTATCATAAAAGAAAAATATTAACAAAACCAGGGAAACCAACTCCGACGCGACCTGAACGCCGTCGTCGGCGGCAACGGCAACTGGAACATTCCGCGCTTCTGGCCCGTCCTGCTGCGGTACGTCAGCGCGCCCATCCTCGCCATCATCTTCAGCTTCGCGTACCCCGAGTTCCACACCCTGCGCTACGACCCCATGATGATCGCCGGATTCATCCTGGCCCATTTCTGCCTCCTCGCTATCCTGCTGGGCTTGGTGCTGCCGCGCTACTACGACGTGTTTATTCCGCAGGGCCGACGCGCCGAGGGCACCGAGGCTACCGTGGCGGGTCAGCCGAAGAACGAGGATTTCGGGCCGCCGGTTACCGGGCCGTTTGATTTTGAGGCTGGGCTGGAGCCGGAAATGGGCAAGGGGGAGGGAGCGTACAGAATTGATGGGGGACATGCTTTGGGAGTGCGGAATTTGGATTGATGGGTTACTTACCTATTTGTTTATCACTGGTAATATGCTTAATAGTGTCGTGGAATAATATTGGTTTATGTCTGAATTCTCACTCAACGGCTTCAATCATACCGAGTCCAAACTGTTTGTTCATTCCAATGTTCGTGGACACCTTATAGAGAATTTAGTCTTTTGTCCGGAATAGAATAATAGGACATGTATCATTAAAACGTGATGATATGAAACTAAGCAGAATCAGCTTTCCTTTTCTCTCCCAAGAACCCTGTCTACATCCTCTGCCACATTGTAATCCACAATCTCCTTGTTTGCTCGCGAGAGTCGACCGGGAAAAAGTCCTACTATAGTCAGTAGAAGTCCTGCCTCGACGAGCACTAAGACATGTAAGAAACCAATGACAAAGGCTGAGACATCACCAACGAAGGCATCAAATACACAGCCGGAGAATGAAACAATCAATCTAACCCCGAAAAAAACCCACAAAAGAGCCCGAAGAGGTGTGTACTCACCCAGAATCCACAAAAAAACATACATCACCTTCTCCCCCACCCACCCTACATCCCTCTTCCCATTCTGCTTCCTCTGCGCATCGTTCAGGATCCTCTCCACGCGTGGCTTTCTCAGATCAATATACTGTCTTGCTGCCTGCGTAATCACCCTCTTCGTTCTCACTACCTCCCCATCCCTCTCTCCATCTCCATCCCCATCCTCTCCCCCCTCCCCTAACCCAGAAAGAGAATGGACAAGAAACAAGGAAAAACACTCCGCATCCTCAACCCCCATACTCGCGCCCTGCCCGCTCGTGGAAGGCAACGCGTGCGCCGCATCGCCTACAAGAACCACCCCGTGTGCCTCCCACGTCGGCAGAACGGGCGATGTCCATGTCGGATAGATATTCTGCACGCTGAGAGAGGACAGGATGGATTGGATGATTGGGTCGGTCCAGGCGCTGTGCCGGGACTTTAGGTCTGCGTTTATGGAGGAGAGGGAGATGGTTGATGGAGTCGGTGGTGGGGAGGGGTGTGCGTAGGTGGACCACCAGGTTAGGGTGGTGGATGGGGGGGTTAGGGTGTATGGTGATGAGGATACTGTTCCTGAATTGGGTGAGGGTGGAGAAGAGCTGGGGTAGTAGCCGAAGAAGCCGTTGCCGCTGAAGAGGAGGGACATTGTTCCTGGTTTTAGGTGCTCTTTTAGAGAGGGAGACAGGGTTGTGAAGCCGCCGATGCCGATGAGGCCTCTTAGGTATAGTTAGCGTGGTGGATATCGGTATGGCGAAGTAGGTTGGGTAGAGTAGTTAGGGTAGGAACATACTCATATCTCGGTCCATATTCATACTCCTCATCCTCACCCTCTTTAGACTTGGAAAACATCCCCCGTCTCGTAACGCTCCTCAACCCATCCGCTCCAATCACCAGATCCACCTCCACCTGCTCTACACCTTCACCCTCACCCTCAAACTGAACAACATTCAACCCATCAGCCCTTGGAATCACCCGCCTCACCCTCCTATTCACCACATCTTCATCTGGCACTCTCGCCCGCAAAGACCCCCACAGCGCGTGTCGACTACTCGCTATAGTATTCATTCGCAGTTTAGGACGGTTTTCATCCGAGTATTTCGGACCAGACTCCGCGTCAGAGCGAGTGCCAGGGGAGAGAAACGCATCCGGCACCAGCATAGGAGACGACGCCGCGTCCATCTCCGCCAGCAGCGCTCCGCTCTTCGTCTTCATTGCCATAGTACTGATCGCGTACCCTGATCGTGCGATATCTTTGACCAGGGATTGGGAGGGGTCGAGACGAGAGAGGACGCCGAGTCCGTTGGGTGCGAGGGCGAGTCCGCCGCCGATTACTGGGGTTGGGGGTGCATTTGCAGTGGCTGGTTCAGATGAGGGGTCTGGGGAGTGAGGTGTCGCGTAGGCTTCGTAGATTGTGATGCTTTCGATGCTAGTCGGGAGGTGCTTTTTTAAGAAGAGATAGGTGGTGCAGCCGGAGATGCCGCCGCCTATTATTGCGATTTTCATTCTGGGCTTTCTTATGGTGTTGAGTGGGGGATTAGTAGTGGTGAGGTTAGGATTAGGGTTGCGTAGTCGGTGGGATCGGAGATATACTTGAGTTGGGGCAGATGGAGGGATGATAGATCACCGGACACGAGACTCTTTATAGTTCATGTCATATTCGAGTACTTATACGAACGCCACAGCCAGTCATATCCGTTCGTATCAGCATAGATCATGCTCTAACCACGGTTCAGACTCGCTCGGACCCACGATCCATTATCTCCAATAAATATCCATCACTTCAGATCATGTGCAACCCCCTTCCTTAAGCCTGTACTATTCCTACTCTCACTCCACTTCTCCAACCAAACGCCCACAAACCGCACCACCTCCTTCTGCACCTCCTTCACCTCCTTCGGCACAACACCCGTCTGATTCCCCACCACCCCGTTCTGATCCCAATGATGCACCGCCCCGCGCACCCCATCCCACACGTCCTCCGCCGCGATGTCCAGCAGAATAAACGGCTCTTCATCGCTAGACTCGCGCTTGGCGGTTCCGTCGGCGTGCGGCGTCGCGTCGCGCCAGGGGTCCGCCAGTCCGTCGATGATCGCCACGCGGGGGAACGAGAAATCGTACCCCCCGTGCTGGTTGATGTTCTCGACTTGAGGCGGCGTGGTGATTCCGAACTGCGATGGGCAGAAGCTCGAGAGCGCGGGGATGTCGAGCACGCGCGAGATCAGAGGAAGTGTGTCGTTGGGCACCCCCGTGCCGGTCGTGAAGTACCCCCATTCCGTGCACACTTGGTAGCTCCAGCTGGTGCCGGAGGATTTGGGGAGGGGTTTGGCGGTGGAGTTGTTTGATGCGATAGGGTTGGGGTCAGAGTCGGAGGTTGAGTCGAGATCGGCATCCGAGTACGAGAATACCAGCTTATCGAGAAACCCGACGTGGTTGAGGATCTGCGTCACGAACGTCTCGTTCTCCGCGTCGTACCCGGCCACGTCGACAATCTGCTTGATCGAGTCCTCGACCTTCTTGGTCTCGGGATACAGCAGGTCCGTCGCGGTGATGTTATCGCAGTACCGTCTGAACCCCAAGCTCCCGATAGCCGGGTCCCAGTTTCGGCCCTGGAAGTCGTCCAACCCGACAGACAGCGAGCTGGCGAAGGTGACGTCGTCGTACTGCGCGGACGCCCCGAACGCCGTCTTCAGCTGGGAATTGAGCGTCTTGTTCTCGGCGTGGTCGATCAGCACGCGGTCCACGACGTCGATGAACTCCTGCGTCGCGCGGATGCAGTCGCTCGGCGCGTACTGCCGGATCGGCTCGTAGTACTGCCAGTAGTCGATGATGGCCTGGGTTACGCCCGACGACGACACCGCGCCCCAGTACACCTCGGGGTAGAGCTTGCGGAGGAAGGCGACGAAGGCGCCGGCGTAGGATCCGCCGTACGCGATCCAGGGGGTGGACTTAGGGCTGAGATCGACGTGCTCGAGGCCCGGGAGGGTGACATGTTCCGCGAAGTAGGCGTAGTCGGCGAGGGCCTGGTCGGTGGAGAGGAAGCGGATGTTGTCGGTGTCAAGCGAGTCGAAAGGGAAGCTGGAGCCATAGTAGCGGTGCTCGAGGATGACGCCGATGCCGTGATGGGCTTTGGCCAGCTGCGTGACGACCCCCTGCGACAGGAAGGGGAAGCGATCGGTGGCGTCGGTTTCGCCGGCGGCGATGACGATCACCGGTCCGCCCTTGCGGTAGTGGCTGGCGTCGAACCAGTAGCGCAGGCTGAACTCGTCGGAGGTGTGAGGGGCGTAGCGCGAGTCGTTGTGGAAGTGGTCGATGGGCACGGAGAGGTTGTGCTCGGTGTAGGGCAGCGCGCGTGGCGATAGGCCTCTGGCGGTGGATTTATGCAGCTGCTTGATGGCGTGCAGACGAGGCACGGCCAGCTCGAGCGGCGTGTGCTCGAAGGCCTGCGTGATGGCCGGCAGGACCAAAGCCCCCAGCAGACATGCGAAAGTAGGAAAATACATGGTTGCTCGCGGTGTTGGAGGACAGCGGGTCTTAATGCTTTAATAGACCGACGCAAACGTCGATCGGCGATCAACCGGACTCCGGCGAGATTGAAACATCGTCAGTTGATAACCCAATTACCCCACTTGATGAGGACGCAAGGTGCTGGATGAATGGCTGGGGATGGCATTAATAATCCAGTGACTCGAAGCGAGGGATGTTGGCCTTCCTGTTCAGGCAAAGTCGTTCCTGGTGGAGCTCAGGCGAAGCTATCCGGATGGCGTAGCCTATGCAGTGCTAGTGCTGACTGCTCGGATGATTCCATTAGATTGTATCACATCATTCCCTGGTCTGGTTTCTTTTTACCTTTTCTTTGCACTTGCCGGGTTCTCTTCTTTCAGGTTCATTCATTCATTCCAGGTTATGGTATTAGCATTTGGGATATTGACCGAGGTGGATCACTAAGGGTATCAAAGGTATTGTATGACCATTTCCCCTCTAGACACCACTTTCACCGATAGAGCGTTAAATGGCATTCTTCAATTCAATCGTGTAGTAGAGGCAGCCAGAATGCTCATGTAGACACAAACAACCCAGTAAATCATCGTGTGGACCCATCAAAGACAGTCTATGATGCCTATACACCCAAGCCCCTTATGGATGCAGGAAACTAATCCAGACAACAATGTCTGATACTACAGTCAACAAAAGCTCTCTTCTGTTTGACTTCCGACTAGATATTCCTTCCGGACATCCCGATCTCCAGTTTTCCCTGTCAGAAACCCGGATTGTCTCTTCGTCCCGATGCCAAGTCCCTGCGCCTTTGCACGTTGGCTGAGGCTGTAAAGATCGGCGAGTGGGGATCGTGAGGTTTGCTTGGCCAAGACGGTCTATCTTGATCGCTATAGGTTCTTTGAAAACAATTATACAGAGTCATAAATGCAGACATCAGGTAGATAGTCCAGGGTAGTCGGCATCAGGGTGATTCAACTTAAGCGTTTGAGAGGAACAGGTGGAATCGACAAATACTGGACATAGGAGGTTGAGGTGAACGCTACCAACAAAAGTCCCATAAATGCAGCTGCCTTCAGAACGCAGATAAACAGCCGATATCAATCTCATCCACTACTTCCAATAATGCAAGCACGCCGGGCGTAAGGTCGGACACCGAAGCCGTAGGGCAGAGTGCATCGCCGCTTCCGGAGAGGATTCGTCCCGCACGATGCGTTCTCGTCTAGAGTGCAGGCATAGCTATCTGAGATGTCATATCGGGGATCCTATTTGTATGTGGTGAAGTCGAGTATTACTTATTGAGTGCTTTACCACATTGTCTCCCATCTAGATGCGGTTTCATTCCTTCCCGGCCCCCTACGCAGCAAACCACCCCAGCGTCGCCGCCGTCAACACAACCCTCTACTTCCTGGGCGGACTAGTCGACGTCCCTGACGTACCCGGTCTCGACTTCAACTGGGTCGCGTCGGGCCTCTCCTACGCTTACGATCTATCATGATACCTGGACAGATCTACCGCCTATGCCCAACGGCACAGAACGCGGAAGCTCCGTCGTCGGTGTCCATAATGAAATGATCTATCTGGCTGGCGGGATGACCGTTCTTCAAGACGGGTATCAAGATGCGGTGAACATCGTCACGACGTTCAACACGTCCTCCCGCGCATGGCAGAGACTTCCTGCCGCGGGGGCCGAGATCCCTGACAGTAGGCAGCACGCGGCGGGGGCGGTCATCGGGGATATATTCTACGTCGTTAGTGGGCGATATTTCGGGCAGGAGAAGACCCGCGACACGGTGTTTGAGCTGGATTTGACGAGTCTAGAGAGGGGGTGGCGTACGAGTCACGCCCGTATGTCTGTGCCGAGGGGCGGGCTTTGTAGTGCGGCGGTTGGGGACAGGTTGTATACGCTTGGGGGAGAGGGGAATCCTAGGACTGAGACTGAGGTGTTTGATCAGGCTGAGGCGTTTGATGTTGTCTCGGAGCGGTGGGAGCTGTTGCATTCTGTGCCTGTGCCGAGGCATGGGACGCAGGCTGCGGCGTCTGGGGGAAGGGTTTACATTCCGGGCGGAGGGCTGCAGCAGGATGGGAAGAATGTGACGATGAATGGGGTGGCTGCTTTTCATCGCTCGACGGGTCATTTTGATGTTTATTGTCCGTGATTGGGGTTGGATGGGTGTCATGGGTTTGTTTGACGTGGTAGATAGGTTGTGGAGTACGTTCGATGTATCTTATTGCTGTATGTTATAGAATCAGAGTCTATACAGAAGACAAAAAAGGGAACTAGACATACCCTCTAATTTGTAGGGGAGCAACTGGCTGTCCAGCTCACCCCGTCGGGATCTGTAACCCCTGCTCTCATTAAACAGAGTCAATGAAAGCTCTTGAAACAATCAGCACTGACACCAAGTCTTCGAGTACTCAGTCCTAATCACCCAGTCCCACAGACGGTGTAAACAAACGCCATACCAAACCCTACCCAGCATTCCAGGCAGCCCATATAAACACACTCCTCTCAGCACTTCATTTCCATCCAGATCACACCATAACACAAACTATACAATTCTAGAGTCATCCAGTCATCCACCTAAAATGAAACCCACCGCCCTCCTCCTCGGCATCGCAGCGCTGTTCACCTCCGCCGTCGTGGCCGATAAAACATGCACCCCGAGTTTCGATTACTGCGCCAACGAGCTGATGGAGAAGAAGGGTAGGTTTCACCTGGGCCATGAGATCAGGCCCTGGATTCTGAATCGAAAGAATGTATGGTAGGCTAATGAGCATGACAGGCTTCTCGGAAGACGATATCAAAACCTCCCTAAAGGGCAGCGAGTATGAGAACGAGGACTTTCAGAACATTCTCCTTCATTGTATGAATCCCGGGATGGTGGGGCATGCGAAGCTCTGCGCGAGTGGATGTCAGGCGGCGGCGCAGGAGGGGAGTCGCAAGTGTTGATAGACCTGTGGTTGGGGTCGGATTAGGTTAAGAGATCGGTGGAATTGACAGATTCACGATTTGATTTTAGTACAAGTATAATAGTACAGTCTGGATATCATAGACAATCACGAAAGTAGATATCGTACAATTTGCCAATCCACATCATCGAGTACAGCAGGACCTGTTGATTGGATCTCAACTCAATTACTCGCCTCGCTTCTTCTCCTCAATGGTCCAGTTGTTCAACACGCCCACACCCACGTTCAAATACGCCGCAAAGCCCGTCCACAGCGCATACGGCACCAGCATCAGAGCCGCCGTGCGATCATTGTTCCACAAGCTGCCGATCAGCGCCGCCACGTTGCCGCCCAGCAGGACGAGATCCGCCAACGCGTAGCTGGGTTTGCGCAGGGAGAAGAACAGCGGCATCCACAGGTAGTTGAAGACCAGCTGCGACGTGAACAGGGACTGCGAGGTGACGGCCCAATCCTGCAGGGTGGTGGCGGAGGGATTGGCCAGCGAAGGGACGGTGCCGGAGACGGTGGCATGGTGTATGGCGTAGCCCATGGTCGCGTACAGGAAGGTCCAGACGGGCGGGAAGACCCAGACCGGAGGGTAGAAGGGAGGCTGGCGCAGGGATCGGTATTTGCGCTTGGTGCCGCCGCCGCCTGCTGAAGTCAGCGACCGAATAGGTCTAAGACGAATCAATGGACTGACCGTTGACGAGATAGCCGATCAGAGAACCGCCGGCCATCGGGGTCGCGACGGACAGGATGGGCGAGGCGAAGATCGCCTGCGGGAGAGCAATGGACCAGGGCATGTTGTCTGGGGTGTGGAGGAGATTGGAGATCGAGGACGTGGGGATGCGACGGACCTGGTCTTAATAAATGCAGGCTGGATCTGAGGTTTGCCGACCGGCTACGTCATTGCCAAGGCAACCGTAAACAGGGTCGGGGAGGGTCCATGGAAGCGAAGGTGCTAGAAGGGATCAAGTCATGTTCCGGAATGGGCAGTGGAGAGGCCACGACGACAGGAGACATGATGAGTTGTATGAAGATGAGATGGATGAAGGAAGCCAAAGTAAAGGAAGAAGAAAGGAGAGAAAGGAAAGAAAGGAAAGGATCCTCGACGAGAAGCCCGGCGCACGTGTTCTTCCGTGCCGCGCTGCCTCAGGCTTCAGGCAACCAGGCCACCGGGCAACGAGGCAACCGGGCAACCAGGCAACCAGGCAAGAATCGCTGGATCTGGTCAAGGCCGAAGGAGTTGCAATACTTCTCTTTCTTTTCCTCACGTTTTGATCTTCTTTGAAGCTCATCCGATGGTAAATACAAAATCCCTGATCTGAAACCGCCACACAATGCATAATGAGTAGCCAGGATTGGCCCTACTGGCGACATTCGATTCCCTTTACCAAGAAGAAAATGAGAAAAGACACATGCATACACAAGCAAAGAGAGAAAGGGGAACAACGAAAGATGAAGCGGTATACTTTAGAATATAGTAATCCACTTCGTATTCATCCCATCTTCAGTCCAGGTTTCGGCCAGGATTAACCCAGTCATTCTTGTTGGAGTCTTTCAAGTCCACCCATGCATTACGTTACGGTGAGTTCTTTGTCAGTACCTGGCACCCTTTGAGCTGCGAGGAGTGAATTCACTGTCCCCGGGAATGAAGAGAAGTATATCTTCCTTTTTCCATGGTCGCTGAATGATAGCCGGAAGGCCCCTTCCCAGGCTGATCTCTTGACTATATAAACCCACCAGGCTGTCCTCGACGATTGATCCTTTCCCTACCAACCCAGTCTACAAGCAAGATACATCAAGATGGCTGACTTCGATGACACAGATGGACCCCTCACTGATCCACTTCCTATTTTGGCTGAACTAGGCCGTCTTCTGGATGAGAATCGAATCCCGAACGTCGTCGGGTGGAACTGGAATTGTTATCTTTTCGGCGCGGCCGGAGCATCAGAGGTAAGCAGGATAGAAGCCCCCGTTATACTGATAGATTTCTAACTCACGCTGTCCAACAGTCCGTTCAGTTTGTAGTTCCCGACGAGCACGTTCCGGGGGCTATTGCAGTCATTGCCAATGCCGGCCTTGGCCTGACCCCGTGTACGGATGGAACCTGCTTTCATGTCCAGCATAACTCCCGCGCTCCGATCCCCGAGAAACACTTCTATGATGGCATTGAGGACGGCGTAAGGGTCTCGGTTTTGAGAAAGTCGGCCACGTACTGGGCGCTGCCCGATCTTCCGACTCAAGCTCCGGCTGCCGATGATCGGAATTTTATGCTGTCCAATGACCCACGCATCCCACCAGGGGCAGCTCGGGCTACTACGGTTTCTCCGTTTAAGATTCTCACCCAGATCGCTCTTGTGGAGAGCTTGATCCTGTTGGCGTGCCGGGACGCTCGCCAGATGAACCAACACTATGTCTACTGGGAGGCGTACCTCTTGAGCATCCATATGTGTGATCCGAAATACCGCTGGCCGGGGCCGGAGGCCCTTGAACCTCAATTTGGACGTTGTTGGCAGATCTTCTGCAACCCTCCGAAATCGTGGCCAAGACGGGCCATGCAGCAGGCATTTGTGGATCTGCGGGATGAGCTGCGCGCAGGGCCGGGCTTGCCTTCGCCACCTACCATCAATGCTTTTGGGTCTGAGGAGAAGGCTGAGGAGTTTCTGAGGCTTAACGGATCGTTTTGATGGGACTTGTTTCTCCTTTTCTGTCTTTCCGCTCCATGTTACGTAGCAGCTGAAGTGGCTTTGTCGTTGATTCTGTCCTGTGTTTTTCATTATTTCTTTTGTGATATTACGTCCTACTTTACTAGCAATCGCCCTAGAATATGAGGCTATCCATTCTTTTGCGTAATCCCATAATAGTAGCACTCGGAACTATTCTTGTCGTTTCCTTCTGGCCACCATCGCAGTCGTGTGAAATCCAAGTCAGGAGAAGGTCTCCGGCTGCTGGTCTGAGACAAAATGCCACCCTTCAGGCTAAGCCAAAGCATTCTGGTTACACAGACGTGAATCAGGTCCAATTGACATCACCTCCTAGCTTTTTTTTTTTGGAAGACCGTAGAGCTGCTGCCTCATTGGATGTCCGGATATCTCATTCGTCGGGCGCCTCAGCCTGGATATCATGTTTCGGGGGGCACGGCGGAACAAAGAATTTGGGGCAGAAAGGATTCCAATAGTGCTGACCAGCGGAGGTCAAGAGAATATAGCATTCTTATTAACTCCCTCCGGCGCCCTCTCATCCGTTCCTCATCTTCGCCGGTTGCATCGTTCGGCAACGACCACCGACATGGCCGACTATCCTCAGCTCCACGAACAGCGAAGAGCTGTCCGTCGAGTGATTCGTCACCTCAAACACATCATTCGCCTCCAGTCCGACGGTCGTTTCAAATGTCATGACAGACTCAAGGAAATACCAAGCTTGCACTCCCTCAAACTTGTGGCAATTGGCGGCTTTGCCGTCAGATCGTTACTTCCGGTCCCAAGGCCCACCATGGTATGGCACCTAGCTGACAGGCTTCACACCCGGGCAAATTGCAACAAGCTGACTGCGTTAATAGGATGTGGATCTGATGGTAGATTTGTATCCAACAGGAGATGAACTCCCCAAACTACCCAACGGTCTTGCTCAGGCCCTCAAGGCTTTGTTGATTTTCCAATACCCTGAGATCTACAGCCAGGACGGGGACTACTTCCGTGTCAAGATCCAAAGCACTCCAGCCTTGAGAATTAGGGTCGATTTTGTATTGAGCGCGCTGGTAAGTCGACTGCAATGCATGTGGGCCTTTGGCATTCTTCTTGACACCAGTACAGTTGCCGTTTGTCCCTCGTGCCGCGCACCACGTCCTCACCATCCCGACGAACCATATACCGCTGTCCTCCATTTCTGATCTGCTGGCTCAAAAGGTGTACTGCTGCTCGCTGAGACCCTGGCTGGACAAAAGCTTCCAGGATGTGGCGGATGCAGAGCGGTTGGCGACACATCTCGGACCTGTTCGTCTCTCATTGCAGTCCCGGAGGGTCATTAGATGTCACCTGGATGAGATTTTGGAGTATTCAATGTACAACGAACCCTGGTGGAGAACAACTCTTGGAGTTTGAAGGTTGATTGCTCATTTGGAACAGCTTGTTTATGGATGCCAATCCGCTTGGCTGGTCGTCGTGAAGGTATACCTGGGCCTTGCCCGTGTCTCTTTTTTCATCTTCCATTTTATCTCACCGTGATATGTTATAGATTTCTTTCGTCTTCATCCTGCTTCTGGTGTTCACTTAGACGGATTGTGCGATAGACTTCTGCGTTTGGCCCTTCTGTGTCTGCTATTGTTTGGTCTCGTGTTCACCTATCTCTTTTCACTGTTTTGCTCTTCTGCTTATAGACTATAGACCGCGTTGCTTTTCATCTTCGCTAGATTTCTTTTAGAATAGAAATGGATTTCCTATTTACGTCAAATCAAGGTTCGGTCACCCAACCAAGCAGACAGTCTATCTAATCCCCCAACGCTATCTGACAACAGGCCTCACGCGTATCATCAACCGATCATTCCTATCCCCCGGCCTCGTCGCCAGTCTTCCATTCTGCAGAATCGGCTCCTGAGGATCCTCCAATTCGAACTCGAATGCCGCCACAAACGCAGCCACCATCACGCTCAGCTTCGCCCTGCCGTATCCCGATCCCAGACAGTTGCGCGGCCCATGCAGGAACGTCAACATGGCGTAGACGCTCTCCGCGCCGCCTTTCTTATTCACCTCCCCTGTTGCCGCGTCGATCCATCGCTCCGGTCGGAATTGGCCCGCCGTCGGACCCCAGAGATGTGGTGCCCGGTTGATGGCGCCTGGTGCAACCATTACTGGTGTTCCCTTGGGAACTGGACAGTCGAGAATCGAAGTATCTTGCGCGGCGACGCGCGCTGTCAGCGGAACGGAGGGATAGAGGCGGAGGGTCTCATTGCAAACGGCATTCAGGAGGGTGATATTTTCGAGACGCGTTGCGACTTCGGGGTTCTGCGTGATCCAGTCCTCTGGAGAGGCGCAGGATAGGATCTCTGCGCGGAGATCGGTCTGGATGCTGGGATGGCTGGCTAGGAGATAGACAGCCCAGCCGAACGACGCAGCCACCGTTTCGTGTCTTTGGAGGTTAGCGATTCTAGATCATTCAAGTATGGCAGTGAGACTCACCCCGCCGCCAAAATCGACAGCAACTGATCCACCAGCTCCGCGTCCGTGAACTTGTTCGACTCTATGAGCTTCGCCAACAGATCCGGCGAGTCAGCCCCAGTATCTCTTTTCGTCTGCCTATTCTCATCGATGGACTCCTGGCAGAACTGTCTCAGATAGTCAGTCGCCGTACTGTACTGGCGATCCACACGGAACGGAATCCAATCTATCAACCAGCTCAGTCTGCACCAGATCGCGCCGTACAGGAACGTCTTCCTCCAGGTCCCTGTAAACGCCGCGGTGTAGGCCTCTTGAATGGCGACCCGCGACCCACTAAGCGTCTTCAGCTTGCGTCCTAGCCCAGCAGTACCCATGATATCCAGTGTTGTCCGAGTCGCCCACGCATTCATATCCACGACACCACCTGCCGAGTCTTTACCCTGTCCCTGCGCGCCAATCTCACTTGCAATCCCATTTACCATCTCCACACTCCTCCCCAAGTACAACGGCGCCAAAAGCCTCGTATTCCGCAGTGTAAAACTCGGCGTGACCCATCTTCGATGCCGTTTATGGACATCTCCCTCGGTGGTGAGAAGCCCTCCGCCCAAGATGCCGCTCGTGAACTCACGGACCTCGCGTGGTTTCTCGAACATGTATCCTTTTTTGGAGAGGACCTCCTCGAGAGCGGCGGCGCTCGTGAGAAGGAGGTGGTCTGTGTTGAAGAGGTCGTGGAAGAGAATGATCCCCTCGTTGGGCACTTCTCGCATGAACCGGCTGTAGTCTTTCGCGAGGGGCTGTTTGAATCGGGCTAATGCGTGGCCGAGGATAGGGTACCCGCCCTTGGGTGGTGTTAGAGTTGTAGATAGAGGTGGTAGGGGATTGTGAAGCTTACCTGGGCTTTGGGGAGGTGTCTCAGGGGACTGAGGAAGCGAGGGTATATGAAGAGGCGGTAGATGAGCCAGAATGTGATAAGAAAAGAGCTGAGAAGTATTGACGTAGAGGTATTGACCAAGAGGCCCTCGGCTGCCACCTGGGCCCCTCCATCTAGCTCATTCGAGAGATTAGTCGGTAAGTAGGCTGCATCCATTTCCAAGATGTTCAAAATGAGAATATTGAATCAATCCTCCGGTCAACCGAACATGTATTTGACTTCGGACAGAAACCCGTCTAGGGTCCCCTTTTCATTGTCGCACTCCTATACATCGCATAAGCTAGTACAAGTCATCATGTGGCCGAGTAATATGCATGGATGATCATCTTTCGGACCCACTCTGATCGAGATGACATAGGATAATCGCTCCTGAAGGGTTTAAATCATAGTACATATCACATTCGTACGCTAGGAGTGTTTGTAATTATCTTCTCCTCATTAATTAGTGTTTCCGGTGTGTCATAGAAGGCTGCTAAATGGCTAGTAGATCAAGATAAATGTTGGTTAGATCCTAATTATAGCACTGAAGGAGGATACGTCTTTTGAGTGATAATTAGTTGAGTGGTATTTTTTGTTTCAGTATTTATTGAAGAAATTTAACTAATAGTGCAATTCCGACTCAATAATTGTCTACAAGTACGTCCGAACCGGTTTCAGAACATTTAATTCTACGACAAATAAACATACACGGTTAGAGCGTGCAGTAAATGATAGAACATCCATGGCGTGGCTAAATTAGGTAGCCTTCATATATGATTTTAATTCCAACTTACTATTATCACTGTCTGTGTAACATTGGATATGCAGAATAAGGCCTATGACATAATAGCCTATGCGTTGTTCCTTGCAATGTACGCTACATGTCTGCGCCGTATAGTTTCTTTCTTATTTCCATTTTATCCCTAACACAATAACTAGATGCTAGCCTGACCCATTCAGTACCTAAGCCACCTTAATAGCTTCGTGTGTGTTCGGGGTCTTTTAACTGCGCTCTTTAGCACTCTAGCCATTACCCAGCGACATAAAGCTTTAGGGGATATCGATTAGGGGGGTTGGTTATTCCTTTCAGTGTGGTTCTAAATAGACATATCAGATACTCCTTAATATCGCGATATGACTTGTCCACATATCCATGCAGATGAACAAACCTGTTGATCTCGATCTGTTTATCGAATGAATTTAAAATGTCAATCCTTCATGGGCTACCAACCACTGTTTGGAGTAGCCATTGCCTTGATTTAATCATCCGATCCCGGACATTTTGAGTTGTTGAAGGAGAATTGTTCTTGTATATCTGCCGCGAACATTGGTTGTAAGGCCTGCCACGTGTGAAGCCATTTAGAGGTCTACCAGCAATAGCATGTATAAGAACCGGTTTATGGTCGAACCATGGCCACAGATAATAGTATTGTTGTCAACTTCGACCAATAAGGCCTCCACTAGTCACCTGGGAGCCGGATCACAATTCTTAAGAAATTTGGAATTCGAACGGTTTCGTTATGGCCAGAAGAAAAGGTCTATTACCATAGCAACCCCCCTACCAAAATACTCCGTATCTCGTTCCCTATACCCGCGGAATTAACACATTCACCCCTAGCAGGATCTGCAGCCACAAGTTCATATCGCCACCATTCTAATATCTCCTCATAAGCCCACTCATCTGCAGAGGTGGAATTAATGTTATTGGCTTCAGGTCATTCTTTTATTATGGATCCATGCATTGACTTTTATTGGGTATATTCTATAACGCTTAAACAGAACAAGAAAATATTTGCGCAAGCTGTCATGCCGAATATGAACCTGAAAAGTCCATCATCGCCTTACTGTCTAACAAAAGAAATGATTCGAAGCGCAGGCCGTCGTCTGCGATTGTGGAGGATTGAACATCCTGGCTGATCTTCGGCGACGCTGATGTCCACCCATCTAGCAGCTTGCGCCAGTAGCATGTTTCAGCTGCCGGGGTGAGGTATCGATCTCGAAAGGTGGCCACGCTGTTGTTGGCGATTCGCTCTGAGAGTGCTGGGTCGTCGAGCAGATGTTGCATCTTGTCTGACAGGTCGGTGAAGTCCCGCTCTACCTCGACGAAGTTCTGGTCGGGCCCTGAGGAGACGAGGAGGTAGTGGTGGTGTTGGATGAATTGGAGCTTGTGTGCAATCACAACGGACATGCATGCTTGTCGGTATTTCAGCGACGCGGAGTATGATCGTCCTGTTTAGCTATTAGTCTCAAGCGCCTCAACGACTGTTATACTGACATACCTTCAACGTGGGCAATATATCGATATCGACAATGATCCTCCATCGTCATGAAATTGTCCTTCCGCCCCCAGTCCAGCTCCTTGACATCGCCCCAAGGCTTCCCCCTTGCTGCCTCCAACAGTCCTCGTCGCATCTTCGCCGCAAAGCTCAGCTTCCCTCGCCACACTAACTTCGCCTCCTTCTCGTCCCACGGAAACTCGTCTTTCTCGCGCCGAACAACCCGGTCCACCACCGCGTTATACGGACCGATTGGCCGATCCGTATGTCCGTTGTTCCACGACCAGAAGCCGAAATCCGGCATCAGCCAGACAGACTCCTCGTCGGGCTTCCGGGCCAAAATCCAAATAGGGTAATCCGGTCCAGCCACATCGTCCAGTCTGTCTTCGACGGAGAAGACGAACTCTGTCGAAGGCACTGCTGCGCCTGGGTTCGTGACTAGTGACCGGTGAATGGAGCTCAGGGTTCCTAGGATCTTGCGGCGGTGGTCGTCGTTGTGAGCGCGCGTGGCTTTCACATACAGCTGCCCGTCGACGATGGCGGCCCGCGCCATACTATCGACGAACTCGATGTCGTCGAGGTCCTCGGTGGTGATTCCGCCGCGCGACTCCCATAGCCCTTGGGCACGGTTGATGTCTTCGAACAGCCCTGGGAAGAAGCCCTGGCATTGCGCGTCACTGAGGGAGAGATTATGTGCGTCGTAAAGAGGGTTGTATTTTCGGTTCTCTTCTGGAGAAGATGTCGGTGCGTCCGCAGAGCAGTGCAGACAGGTGTCGCATTTAAATTCCAACGACGTTTCGCACGCACAGTGACCAGCGGGAATCAACTGATTCAGTAACGTCGGGACATTGTCTCTGTCTGAGTTGACGCCGAACCAGAGGCCCCAGACAATCAGGCCGACGAGCGCACAGGCTAGTAGATAAAGAACGTAGAGACCTCGAAAATGAAGCCTATTGAACATGATGATGGAGGAAAGGAGTGACATGTTCGTTTGGGTAGCAGGGTGAAGGTGAAATTGTCTACTTTTCAATCGCCCCCAACATCACGTACCACTCGTAAACTAAGCGGTCCCGCGCCTTTTTCCTAGCGTGACACAAACCGCCCTCTACTTCATGACGCAACCCGCTCGAGAGCCGCAGTAGCAGGGTTTGTGATCGCCGGTGAAACAAGACGATCGTGGTCCACGTTCACCGTTCATTGGCGTGCTGTAGGGTGTAGAGGCCCCGTCCCTTTGGGCGTTGCCTAGCCAGGCAAGGATACTGCTTGGCAGGGCCAATTCCTCCAGAGACTGCCCTGATGGGGTATGGATTAGCCCTGAACGAGCGGGCGGGCGGTTGAAGTGGGCGCGATCGGCGTGTTGGTTGGCTGTGTCCCATGTTTGGGGTTTCCAGGTTCAATAATGCTGCCTGCCATGTGCACCGGCCGCGATTTGGCAGGACTTGCTGCTAATTTAGGGGCTTTTATAGGCTCCCTCGGGTGTTTGACTCCACTACGGTCCATTCCTAGTGTCTGGTGTTGGTTGGGGTCAGAACTCAGAACATCAACTCAGCCACGCTGTGTAGGGCGGAATCTTTGTCTGAATAAGCTTAATATTGTCCTGTCTTGGGGTGACTGTTTCATGTCCTGTAGCACATGTTCTGGAAGGTGTCAACTTCGCTAGCCTTGCTTAACATGTCTCAATCCCCCCGAGCCCTATCCGACCGAAACTAGGACATCAAACCTTTCGCCCCCATGTCATGAGATAGCCATTTCACAAACTAGTTCGAGTAAACAAGCACTTCACGATCATGCCAAGCCTTTCGATTCTTGAATCTTGATGCCTAGCATGAGTTCTTAACTTCTCCGTACTCACTCCGTCCGCGGCGTGTCCGTAGTCCCCACTACCCTGGCGTGATGGGTGGAGTTATCAGATTCTGTAGCTTAGTGCTGGCGCTAACGCCATCGGGAGCTATGTCAAAACAAGCGTACAAATCGGGAAGGTGTTTAGTCTTCATATCGCTTCTTGGCTGGGTTTGATCTCCCACCGTTTAGATGTGGGTTGTTTAGTCGATTGGACAAAGCTATAGATGCATCTAAGGTATATTGCGGCGCAGTAATGTCTCACCAATGCAGCGTTCACTTCATACAGGGTCCAAAGACATGGTCCGTAGATTTCAGGCAGCACAATATCAGTTTTCAATGGCAGAATTTTCACTCGCGAAAGTCTTCGGCCGTCGGACATCGCTATATTGATACTGCAATATATCGATGTTTTGCGGACTCTACTATCCGGTTTTATCTTCCGTTTGATTTCGGTGTTTATCTCAGTGACCTCAATCAGGCATCGCATATCGTAAACGGCCTGTGACTGAATGACAGGTCAGAGATTTGTCCAAATGCTATGTGCTAAATCTCCCTTCAGTTCTGTGCGCCATTTCCGGATTCTAGTCGACAGTATAGACCCCATCAATGATAGACCCTAGTGCAGGCAACGCCATTCTCTCGGTGGGTCTATCCGAGGTTTAGATCAAGCATTATATATCGCTTCTTCAACAGAAGCTTTGGGCAGTTCTACTGGACCCCGCATATTCCGTTATGAGTCTAGTTTTCTGCCCCAACAGATCGGCGATTATAGCTATCTAGATTACCAGGCAACTACATAAATCTGTTTGTGTATGCAAATTCTGACGCACCCATCCACACTAGGATCGCGACGTAGTATTCGATTCCTATCCTCACCGACTCAAGCATTCAGCCCAACAAGGCCCACGAGTCTTGATTTGCTGGAGACTAGTCAACCAGACCATTATCTCGTATACTATAGCTTGATGGAGTAATTTAACCGATTTTCTCCTCACTGAAAAACCCCTGTCGTGCTTGCTAGATGAAGCAGGTGCTCTTTTGGCGGGTCACCGGCTTCGATTCTACGATCCTGTTCCGGTTGAGTCCTTGTCTATGCCGTAGATTTCGAGAAAGTCAGCCGTTGTTGTTTGATCGATAGTGGACTGTTGGGCCTGTGCTATCTGGATGGTGTGGCGTGGTTTGCGCATGCCGGTGGATATCACCATACTCGAACTTCGTGATTGAACGAGGACTATTTGATTGCATGATGCTTAATATTTCGGTCTGTTCGGGTGGCCTTTCCCTTTGTTGGTATGACAACGGCTGATTCATGTTTGAGGTGTTTCTATGGTGATTCACGATTTCTACCAGTAATGGGATCATAAGAAGAATTAGAACTGTTACCTTTCCGGGCTTTCCTTGGTTGTAGATGGGATTGTCTATTGGTGGTAGTCTACAGGAAGTTGTCGTAATCCCCGGTTTGCGTGGGATTTGCTTTCCCACAGGGGCTTCATGCAATGTGCTTGTGACTGGAAGGGTTAGAGCCAACGGTCCTAATTCAGGTAGGAGTAGAGAAATATTCACTAGGAGTGCGGTAACTAATCAGACTTTTCTTGACGGCAGGAAAGCAGTCACACTGCCATCGATAGACGACAATCAACGATATTTCCGCAATGACTGCAATATAGCAAATGTGTTTAGGGCTTCGGAAGTCACTGTGTCTGTTTCCTGGGGCACAAACCCACTCCTGTATGCCCATCCCTCCATGAAGCCTCAATCTGACGTTTAAACTTACCTTAGGTTCCTGTTCAATTCCCTCGCCTTCGAACGCCCTTATCTGCATTCGATTGTCATTCCGAAGTCATCCTACATTGCCGTATATCCCCCGTCCACTGGAACACACGCCCCCGTCATCCAGCTCGCGTCCTCGCTCGCCAACACCACGGCCATCCGTGCGATATCATCCGGCACACCGAGTCCCTTCAAAGGATGTTGTTTTTCCAGACCCTCCCAATCCAGCAGGTTGTCATCCGCTCCGCGGAGTATTGCAGTCCGAGTAACTAGTTTGTCAGTCTCTTTGAACACGGACCTGCTTGAACAATGGAAAGAGGCATACATCCAGGACAGATGGCATTCGCATGGATGCGGTCGGCGGCATAGTCCAATGCCACCTGGCGCGTTAAGTTGCTGATGGCCCCCTTCGAGGCACAATACGATGCTAGTGCTAATCAGCTGGCTCTGGGCTAGGTCAGATCAAAGAACCCACGTGTTATCATCGCCCCGACAATCCCCAATATCGAGGACATGTTTATGATCCAGCCCCGATCGCCTGATTCATGGGGCTCTTGTTTCAGCATCTGCGCTGTGCCGTATTTGCATCCGAGGAAGACTGATTTCGCGTTCACGAGCATCGTCTTGTCCCACGCCTCTTCGTCGGTTTCGTGCACCTTTCCTGGTCGGCGGCTCTCGATTACTACTCCGGCGTTGTTCACGAGTCTAGGGACTTCAATATACTGCTGGAACGGTGGTTAGCTGACAGGAACCTACATATCCAGACGTCCGAATTCCTTCACAGCTGCTTGCACCATTTGCTCGACGGCCTGCGCATTGCTCACGTCTGTCGTCACGAAGATGGCTCGTCCGCCACCTCGCTGGATGGCCTCGTGGGTCGTGATTTCCAGCTCTTCGGGGGCATCGGACCGTGCGGTCGGCGATAGATCCGCACACACAAGGAAGGCTCCTTCATTGGCGTAGCGGATGGCAATGGCTCTGCCAATCCCGGAGGAGGAGCCGGTGACGATGGCGACTTTCTTGTCCAGACGCATGTTTCCAACGGGATAGTGCTATGCCTGCTTCTTTATTCGGAAATACTTATGCCTTTATACTAACAGACTAATTGGTATGTTGTTGCTGCGGGTTGTACAAGACGAATAGAAGAATATTCCGCTTATACATGGCCAGCGCTGTGATACGTCACCAGATCGTCATCGATCACGGAGGCTTACCTCGTATTTGGTGTCAGGTGTGATGAGTGCGCAGCACTGACCTCTTATTGAGACTGTTGTCTTGTCCTAGAGGAATGCTGGCAGTGATATGGCAGTGGTTACTTCGGAGTATATCACCGCCACCCAAGAGATTACCCTTTATAGTAGGGATCTTCTATTCTACAGCGTCCATTTGGTCTCGTTTTTCAAGGGGTAGCAGTTTGATTGAACATGGCATGTTTTTTCTTTCTATCACTTTCGATAATCTCTTCTTGTTTTTTTCTCTTTTTTCCCCTTCTTTCTTTTTGCCAATTGCGCATAAAACAAAACGATGAGTGTTCGAATATATAGTTCATTACAACGATCGCCCGGACCAAGCACTCTCTATTCATGTTGGCATGATGCGCTGATCTCAGACGCTACAACCATTAGCTGTAGCAGCTACATGCCGCCTGAACATGAATATACTTAGCATGATTCGACATGCGGCTATCGACTGGTTATGCAAGGAGTTCCTATCCGCTCCCGTCACATGGCCATACACGTCATGACTTCATGACATGTCAAGCAACTCAACGTTGACGATGATTATATATTTCCACAGACCCCTTGCATCCCCCTACGTTCCTTGAGCTCTTGCTTGTTCTGTCGCCAGTTATACTACATCACAATGTCACAACTAAAGACAGAAGTGCGATACGCCTCGAAGTTGAAGACCATGTCCTCGGAGCGGTCAGTGACCTCTGCTTTAACTTTCTACGGGCGTGTTGATCTTTCGGTTGGGCTCTTTTGGGGAACCAGAATATTATTGTCGATGTGAATGGTTACCAAATGCCTATATGGTGAACGACTGGTTATACACCGACAGTGCCGGATTGCTATAGGAAGAACTGGTCCCCCGCATCGGACAGATGGAGTTGCCTGTGGCGAAAGATGGACACCCAGTCACACCGTCCAACTTTATATCATCCCCAGAGTCAATATGATCAATGCATCCCACGTCGAGGTGCGGAGAAATGCGGTGAGCCTGCAAGATGCCGAGCTCCCGAGTCGATAAGCTGCCTCCAGATCCAGCAACTCCCCACTAACAGAGCTTTCTTATCACACAGATAACCAGAAATCCGAATACACCACTCCCACTGGCCAGAGCATGCACTGACAGAAGGAAATCAATAATGATAGAATAACAGAAACCCGCCCGGTTGCATGGGTGCCTCAGGCCGCGCGGACTTCCGCCGAGATCCTCCTGCAGCACCAATCAGCGTCCACTGGAGCATCGGTTAACCGCGGATCGCAGGCAAAGCTTTCCAGCGTGGAGTCGAGAGGATCTATTCTGTTACTCAATTGCAACGACCATGCATTCCCATTGGCCGCGGTGGGTCTCGCAGAGCTTGACTTTCTGTGCGTGTAGACGAATTCCATCGCCATGCATCTACGCCGCTGCGGGCTGTCGATCTGAATCTCGCGGTGCGCTGGCTATATGTTATGTAGCCGATGGTATATCTGTAGTAATTGAGAGTATCTAAAGGCCGAAATCGCTGTGTTCTGGACAGAGACTTGGGAGGCGAGGTTTCATTCAACGGCGATCCCCAGATATCCAACATCTCGGAGAGACATACCGCACGACCCACTGCAGGAAATTTCTGCACGAACGACCCTTCTCGGAGTAGCTAGCTTTTCTTCGACCTGGTGTCATCGTCTCCGTCATTGTCATTGCCGTTGTCACTGTCCTTTGTCCATTTGCGCCCTCCCTTGACATCGACTGCCCCGTTCCTCCACCGTGATCAAGATGAGATTGGACGGCGTCAACCCCGAGGTCGATCCCATCGATAACAAGCAGGCCGAGAAGGGCGGTTACGAGGATGACCTCAAGGGCCAGCAGGACCCGTCCTTCGTTGACCCGTTCGGCAACGAAGAGACCGCGGAGGTCAAGTACAAGACGCTGAAGTGGTGGTATGTCATCTTCCAGCAATGGAGTGTTGATGTTGTGCTAATAACACGCTAGGCAATGTGGAATGTGTATGTCGATGCGCAGAAGTACCTGAATCCAGCTAATCCATGAAGTCATGATCGCCGAATCCGTCTCGCTCGGTGTCCTTTCGCTGCCAGCAACCTTGAACGCTCTGGGAATCGTTCCGTACGTCTTCTGCCTTCTATATCATCGCCGTCGCTAACAGCTCAGTGCGGTCATCCTCATCGTCGGCCTCGGCGTCCTCGCCCTCTACACCGGCTATGTCATCGGCCAATTCCGCCAGCGCTACCCCTTCATCCATAACCTGGCCGATGCAGGCGAGATCCTCATGGGCCGCTTCGGTCGCGAGCTGTTCGGCCTCGGCCAGATCCTCTTCTCCATCTTCATCATGGGCAGCCACATTGTCACCTTCACCGTCATGATGAACACCATCACCGACCACGGCACCTGCTCCATCGTCTTCAGCGTCGTCGGCATGGTCATCTGCATGGTCCTGTCTCTGCCGCGGACCATCAAGAACATGACCTACATCTCCGTTGCCTGTACGCCGACTCCCTCACCCTGCCCTAACATACGAGCTAATCCCCCCCAGCCTTCCTCAGCATCTTCTCCGCTGTCATGATCACCATGATCGGCGTCGGCGTGCAGTACAAAGGCGGCGAGAACATTACCATCACCAACGAGACCAACCTCTACCACGCCTTCACCGCCGTCACCAACATCGTCTTCGCCTACTGCGCCCACGTCGCCTTCTTCGGCCTGATCGCCGAGATGGAGGACCCGAAAGATTTCCCCAAGGCGCTGTGCCTGCTGCAAGGCTTCGAGATCATTCTGTACGTCGTCGCTGCGGTCGTCATCTACTACTACGTCGGTGACGGCGTCGCGTCTCCGGCGCTGGGGTCTGCCGGGCCGGTACTCAAGAAGGTCGCGTATGGGATTGCGATTCCGACGGTATGTCCCTCCCTCACCTTTTATCTACCGCGAGAACTGGGCAATTGGATGGTGCTAACTAGACAGATCGTCGGAGCCGGCGTCGTCAACGGCCACGTGGGTCTGAAATACATCTACGTGCGCATCTTCCGTCGCTCGGGGCGCATGCACAAGCGGGATCTTCTGTCCGTCGGATCCTGGGTCGCCATCGGTCTCAGCTGCTGGATTATTGCGTTCATTATCGCCCAGGGTATTCCGACTTTCAACAACATCGTTAGCTTGATTGTATGTTCTCCAGTCCCTTTTCTTTGCCTCTGTCTGTGCCAGAGGTCGCCTAGGCGAGATGATGCTAATATTATACAACAGAGCTCGCTGTTCGCTAGTTGGTTCACTTGTATGACCTCTTTTCCTTCCCTTTGTTTCGGCTCATTCCACTTCGAGAAATGAGATACTAACCGGGTAATGATCATGCAGACGGACTCAGCGGCGTCTACTGGCTGCACCTCAACTGGGGCCGATGGTTCTCGTCGCCGCGCAAGACCTTCCTGACGATCTTGAACATGCTGATTGTGCTGATTGGCGGTGCTATTGTATGTTCCTCCTCTTTTTTCCCTTCCCCGGTTTTTCCTACACCACCATGGATATAAGGTGCAAGGAACTAACGAACGATGTAGTGCGGTCTCGGCCTCTACGTCTCCGGCAAGGCGATCCACGACGATGCGTCCAAGACGAGCTTCTCGTGCGCGAACACGGCCGATTAGAGTCTTGGTGTTTGGATATAGATTTGGATTTAAATTTTGTTATGATGCATGGCACATGTTTATTTGATATATATTATGTTGGTTAATGAGTTCGTTGGCGATAGATTGTTTGGTTTTTGATTGTATAGGTGCTTCGTTAGGTGTATGGGAGTGGATAATTTCACTACACAGTTCAATTGAATAAATGGAATATACTGAAGTATGTAGACTCGGTCTTGTGAGTGGAGGTACAATGACTAGCCAGACAATGTAATTAGTCCGTACTTAACGAATGGAATATGGAGACTCCCAAGGTAGATCTAATCAAGGCGACTACGATAACTTCTCAACCAAGGAAGCAACTCCACCTGCCAGAACTCCGTATCAACCACTACGAACAAAACTACATATGAGAGAAAAGATGAAATAAAATCTATCATAAATTAATCTTATCTATAATAATATATTAAGAAAAAAGGAAAACCACAAAAGAAACCACTTTTACCCAAACACCAATCCCAGAACCCAACCCTGATAAACCAACCAAATCACGCACTCTTCTGCAACAACTCCATCAGCCCACCCTGGAGCTCACCACGACGCAAACTCTCATAGATGACCGAGACCCACGACCCGACGGTCTTCTTGGCGCGGCCGTCCAGCTCCGTGCTCTCCGGGGTCGGGTGCTCCACGAAGCCCTGGTGGAAGGGGACCTTGAGGTCGTGGCGGACGGTCTTGTAGAGGATCTTGGCGCCGTCGCCGAGGAGGTCTGTGGTGTGCGGGTTCGCGATGAAGGACGCGGAGGTCTCCGAGTAGGTTTCGCTGATGATGGAGGTGGCCTGGGTTTGCCAGGTGGTGAGGTCGGAGAGGTGCAGGGGGGAGGAGGCCGCGGCGGAGACGATGACGGGGATGGCGGCCTGCGCGGTGGTGGAGCAGCGGTCGGCGATGGGGATGCGGGTGGTGGTGGGCCAGGTCTTGGAGATGGTGGAGAGGATGGAGGAGGTCAGGGAGGACTTTTGGGACTCGGGGAGGGAGGACGCGATGGTGGAGGTGGTGAGGTGTTCGAGGCGGGGGAGGACGCGCTCCAGGAAGCGGATGTGCAGGGCGCGCAGGTCCAGAGCCTGGCAGGCGATGTAGAGGTAGGCGGAGGACATGAGGGACACCAGCTCGACGGCTTGCATGGTGTAGCGGCCGGAGACGAGGGCGAGGGAGTTGACGGCCTGGTTGCGCATCTCGGCGGTCTGGACGTGCGCGCTGACGGGGTGCGCGACGTAGGCCAGCTCGGCCATGTAGGCGGCCATGGAGATGTCGACGCCCTTCATGGTGAAGGAGAGGGAGGGGTCGTCGGCGACGAGGTTGGTGGGCAGCCCGTTGTTGTAGTTGGGGTCGACCAGCTCGGTGGCCTGCGCGAAGATGAGCTTTCCGATCATCTGCAGGTTGAGACGCGTCTTCTCCATGGCGGAGGTGACGGCGGCGGCCTGGAAGTTGGCGCCGCAGAAGATCTCGCCGTTGACGGTGTCGACGAGGGGGTTGTCGCAGGAGGAGTTCAGCTCGACGGAGACCTGGCGGTCCGCCAGCATGAGGTCCTCGAGCTGAGGACCGACCCATTGGGGCACGCTGCGCCAGGCGTAGCGGTCCTGGATGAGACCGGCGCGCTTGCGGTCCTTCTCGCGCTTGACGCCGACGGCGAGCTGCGAGCCCTGCAGCAGGGAGAGCACGTTGCGGGCACACTCGACCTGGCCGTCGTGGGGACGGGTGGCCTGGATGAAGGGGTGGAAACTCTCGGCGGTACCGGTCATGGCCTCAACGCCCATGGCGGAGAGCGCCTGGACGAGCACGGCCAGCTGGTGAGACTCGTGCAGAGCCAAGCTGGCAACACCGGCGGATACGGCGGTACCGTTAACGAGACCAAGACCCTCCTTGGGGCCCATGACGCGGGCCTCAATGCCGGCCTCGGCAAGAGCATCGCGAGCGGTCATGATGCGCGGGTTGGAGGGCGACTTGGGGTCAGCCACGCGAACGTAGATGTCGGGGCTGCCCTCGACGGCACCGGCGATGTAGGACAGGGGCATCAGATCTCCGGAGGCGGAGACGGAGCCACGCAGGGGGATGATGGGAGTGATACGGTGCTTCAGCAGCAGCAGCAGACCCTCCAGCACCTTGATAGTGACGGCGGAGTGGCCACGGGCGTTGCTGTTGGCACGAACGGCGATGGAGGCCCGAACCCAGGGAGAGGGCATCGAGTGAGCACCCGGGGACGCCGTGTCGGTGGGCTGGTCCTTGTCGGCAGCCACCAGAACACCGGCCTGCGTCAGCTGCAGCAGAGCAGCCTGCAGGGAGGTGGCCCGGTCCGTCCGAGAGTCGGCACTGCCACCGAAGCCAGTGTTGACACCTGCATATGTTAGGTTGGTTCTGTAGTATGTAGTATTCAAGGGCTTTGTACCGTAGACGCAGTAGCCGTGGTCCAGGTGGTCCATCAGGACATCCACACTGGCGGTGATGCTATCGATGACATTGGGGTCCGAAGAGAGTTCCGGGATGCAGTCATGGCTGAAGAAAGAAAGGTATTGTCAGCGAATCAGTCAAGGAAAATCTCGCGGCCAACAGGGCCAAACAAGGCCAAACAGGGATAAGAAGGACATACTAGGCAACGGCAACCACCGACGCAATGTCGAGGCTGTTTCCATCCAGCTGGAGGTCCTTCTTGGCCTTGATGTCCTGCAGACGGTTCCACGTCCGGCAGGTCGTGGCCAAGTGAGTCGGGGTTGAGGGAAGGGCAGGCATGATGATGATGTGAGAAGATACTGTCGAGAAGAAATCCAGGGGAGATTTGCTGAGCTTTATATGCAGGCCGAGCAGGGATGCTGCCCGGATTGTCCTCGATCTTGCCTACTCGAGGGGGGGATCCACGAGCTGAACCGAGTGGACTAGAATGGATTCATCCATGGTGTCAAGAGTATCCGCTGTTTCGCCAGGGGATCGTGGGCCTGGATATTTTCGTACAGGAGTTTCAGATCCAGTGCTGAGTTGAGCTGTGATATGACCCATTATTGAGCTGAGTTTCATTCTAACACAATCTAGCACTCTGTCTGCACTCCGCTGTATCCTACTGATTCTAGGAATCTTGCTGAGTCCAGGGAATGTCCCTGAATCCAGGAACAATCCTTCCATACGATCCTGCAGGTGGATCAGCGAAAAAACAAAATAATAACCCGGTCAGATCGCTCCACCGAGAAGAACATGATCGTCGATCGAGTGGACTCGGCATCAGACCGTGGATACGCTGACGAACCCGGGAATAGCACCAGCCGTGGAATCTGATAGTGCAAGCTCGAGCGCTCGAAGAAACATGCCGTGCGGATCGTGGCCGACGCCAATGACGAGCCGTGGCCAGTGGAGAAGTCGGGATTGGACCACGATTGAGCCGAGAAAAAGAAAAGTCTGGTCGATCGGACCACTTGGACCAAAGGCTATTTGATATTCATTCCGCACGAGCAGAGACTGCCTGGTTTCAGCTGGAAGCGGGTCGAGAGGAATCCTCCGGAAAAGTCGTGCTTTGTCCATCTCTTGACTAGTGCGGTGGAGCTGCACTGTCGATCACTCGGGAAGAACATCTGGTCTTTGATATTTACTTTTTTTTATTCCATTTTACTTTTATTTCCTTTTGTAATTCCATTTCCGGTGGAGCCGCATTAAACGACTCCAACAATCGCATCACCTCACGAGCTGGTCTCATTGTTTCTCTCGCACTCTCTTGCAACTCACCAGCATCATGACCTCCCCATTCCCTGCCATTGACGTCCCCTCCGTCGACGTCTGGAGCTTTCTCTTCGAGCGTCCCGACCGCCCTTATCCCGAGCAAAAGGGTATGTCAATGTCACACCGCATCCTGACTCTGGCTAATCCTCGCAGCGCTCTTCACCGACGCCGACTCCGGTCGCTCCCTCAGCTATGCCCAAATCCGCCAGAAGGCCTTGACGTTCGGCCATTCCCTGCGTCGCAAATGGAACTGGCAGAACGGCGACGTGCTGGCGACCTTTGCGCCTAACTCCATCGACCTGCCTCCGTTGATCTGGGGTACGCTGGCCATCGGCGGCGTCGTCTGCCCGATCAACCCCAGCTACCGCGCCGAAGAACTGCTGCACCCGCTGAAAGATGCGAAGGCTAAGGCCCTGGTGACGCAGCGCGCGCAGTACCCCGTGGCCATCGAAGCCGCCCAGAAGGCCGGTCTGCCGGCCGACCGCGTGCTGATCCTCGACGAGCTGCCGCGCGATATGGTCGAGGGCGGCGTCACGTACGGACCGCACAAGGCCCCCGTGGCGCGACCCGACACCGACCTGGCCTTCTTGGTCTACTCGTCCGGCACGACGGGTCTGCCCAAGGGCGTGATGCTGTCGCATCGCAACATGGTCGCCAACCTGCTGCAGTCGGCGTCCGTCGACCAGGGCGTTCTGTCGTGGAACCGGGGCGTCAGCGGCGAGGGCGATCGCGCGCTGGCCCTGCTCCCGTTCTTCCACATCTACGGTATATCCATCAGGACCCCCACAAACGCACCTCAACAATGAATCTAACTTCTGTAGGCCTCACCTACCTCCTCAACCACACCATCTACCTCGGCCTGCACACCTTCGTCATGCCGCGCTTCCAATTCGACTCCTTCTGCCGCACCGTGCAGGACCAGCGCATCACCTACGCCTACGTCGTGCCCCCCGTCATCCTGGAACTCGTGTCCAACCCGCGCGTGTCGCAGTACAATCTGCGCTCTCTGCGCATGATGCTGTCTGCTGCGGCTCCTCTGGCTACCGAACTCATCCACGCCCTGCGCGAGAAACTCGATCTGTCTGTCCGCCAGGCCTACGGTATGAGCGAGTGCGCTCCGTGCACGCACATGCAGGTCCGTCCTCTCCCTTCTCCTCCTTCATCTAAACCCATTCTGACTGACAAATGAAGACCTGGTCCGAAGCGCGCTCCCACCCCGGCTCCGTCGGCCGCCTCCTCCCCAACATGACAGCCAAATACGTCCCCGTCGAAGGCGAGACCGGCCGGTCCGCCGAGCTGTGGGTCAAAGGACCGAACGTGTTCCTGGGGTATCTGAACAATCCCAAGGCAGACGCGGAGTCGTTCTCCCCCGACGGATACTACAAGACCGGCGACGTGGGGTACGAAGACGACGCCGGGCACTTCTTCATCACCGACCGCGTCAAGGAGCTCATCAAGTATAACGGGTTCCAGGTGGCGCCGGCGGAGTTGGAGGCGATTGCGCTGGGGCATCCGGGGGTGGCGGATGTGGCGGTGACGGGGATTAAGAGCGGGCAGAGCGGGACAGAGTTGCCGAGGGCGTATGTGGTTCCGGCGAAGGGGTATGTGGCCGGGAAGGCGTTGGCGGATGAGGTGGTCAACTTTGTGGCGGAGAAGGTGATCAGTTATAAGAAGTTGAGAGGGGGGGTGCATTTTGTGGATGTGATTCCGAGGAACCCGTCGGGGAAGATTCTGCGGAGGGAGTTTAAGAAGTTGGATCGGCAGGCGAAGTTGTAGATATTCATTTTGTATAGTATTGTATTGATATTGTTATAATTTTCCTTTGTCTTTATTTATGGTGTTCTATAATGTATCCGCGTAAGATATATATTGAACAGTGATAGTACTTACCGCTAATCATCTTAAACACTTTAAAACCGTAAATTCCTGCATTATATGCAAGAGCCACTCAATACGCAGAACCTACTTAGACTCCCTAGCTATTCAAACCAACTTAACTCATCGTACTTGCACACCATGATAGACTTCCTGACCAGGCATCCAGGGGCAGAAGTCGGCGCTGGTTCCGCCAATCGGAAAAACGGACAGCCAGCCGCCCCCACATGCCGTGTTGAAGCCGGAGACCTTCTCCGTTTCACGGACCTTTTTCTATCCTGATCGATCTGACATGGTTGGAAATCGATAGAAGTACGGAGGAGTCCAGATGAAATGGATCAATTTTGGTCCTCTGGTCTAACCACTTACCTACTATGGAGTATAGAGTAGTGTAAGTAGTGAGACATCGAGTTTCCGTTCTCTTTACCTTTTGTCTGTAGAAAATTTCATGTTTAACTTTTATCCCGATCCATCAAACCTACCACCCGCCCAAGTGCTTCCATCAGGTCCAGGATCCAGCTAGCCAGGTCAGGTCCCGAGTCCCACTGCACGAGCGAGAGCCAGCGGGCCCATCGCAAACCCAAAGTTTCCCCTGGTTCCATTGATCGCGGTGGGACTTTCTCTAGCCGTGTTTGTGTTTTCAGATCCAGCGCGGATGTTTTGCCGATCGATCAGGCCCACTAAATACCCGGTCCTTGGGCGGGTGTTTCTGCGGGTGGTTTTTTGCGCGGCGGATGTTTGGCTGCGGGTGTTTGGACGGGTGTTTTGCGGGTGTTTGAGTAAGTGCCGAGCACTGGTAGGGGGGATCGTCGGGTGATAGGTTTTTCATTTGTCACGGTCGACTGGGTCCATTGTGGTAAATGCGATGCGGTATTTACTTTTTTTGTGCTGGTGGATGGGTGGAGGTTCGCTTGCTTTTCTTCCTTGTCTGCTTCAGTGCTTATGGGGTGTGTAGTGGTTTTCTGTGAGGTTCTTCAGTGCTTGGCTTACTAGGACTAGGAGTAGTTCGTGTAAATTGCCGTGCAGGCTCGGTAGCTGCGAACTAGGGACGAGTTCCTGGTGGACTGCGGGAATTTGAGTTGGTCCTGGCGAGGATGGATCGGATTCCATTGTTTTGTTTTGTGTTGACTTAATTATATTCTGCACGAAGTTTCATCTTGTTTTGGATTTGATTTTTTTTCTTGCGTGGTCGCTAGGTGCATTTGGATGGAGAGTTCTCCTTTTTCAGGGAGATATTGGGTCTGTCGGAGGGAGATTTACACTGAAAAATTAAATATCCGGTGGATTCTGTCTAAACACCCGTCCTTCGGTCTTCCGTTGTGCCGAGGCCGGAATGTACTGCCTGGAACGAGAACACACAGTAAACAGCAAATACCCGGTTGTTCTACAATAGCAAAGGAAGAATATCCCGGCGTGCAAGACGAGTATAAAAGGAGTTGACTCCCCTTAGATCTAGAGGTTTGGTAGGACCTGTTCCAGAAGTTGTGTTGAATGCTCGCACATCAAGGTAGCGCGATCGCAGCTTGTTCCTCGGGCTAGCCGTGTCTTCGGATAATAATGGCAGTTTGAGAGAGCAGTGGCTTTGACTTTCCCATATGACATTTTACTATGAAATCGGTATTCGGATTGTGATGTTGCTGCAGAGTATATCTCCGCGGATGGGTTATGGACAGTGAAGCAAAGAGTTGATGTCTACTGACTCTTGATGAGAAATTAATTAGTGAATCTATAATGATACTGCGCTTGTCTCCCATCGTAGTCGCTGTTGTTATCTCATTTTGGGTTTGTGGTTGAAGGTTCATGGTTGACCAGGACCTTATTCCGTTTTAACTTCAGCCTGGGGGAGTAAATACGAACGACATCAGAAAGAGACCGTGGTTGGCAATGCCATTGTGTTACTGAAAGATTTCCCCGTCCTACCTCAAGTTATACAAACTAAGCCAGATGGAGGGCGAAAAAGATGAAGTTCTGCCTTAGGCACCAGGAAACTGAGACGGAAGACACTAGGCATCAAGGCACTAAGGCACAAGAGACTAACACACCCAGGCACCCAGGCACCCAGGCACCCAGGCACTCAGCACCAAGCACCAGCATGTTCGGTCGGCCCATGAAGAGTCCGTACGCAGTAAATCCATCACCGATAAAATCTAGACCGGCAGACTGGTAAGACGCCCGGTCGGAGACGAAATGCGGCGTCAAGTGGCGCCGTCCGTCGTCTTGGCTTTGGGGTCCTTCACCTGTCAGATTGGGGGCGGAATGTCTGCAGAATATCTTCCCTTATTGTTGAGCTGCAGAATGCCAGATCGATAGCAGGAATGTACATAGTTAATGATGAACTGCAGATTATGCGAGGGTCAAGCCTTCATGTGAAGAATGTCAACCCCTCATCTGCAGAACAACCGCGGCATCGGCCAGATGATATGATTGATCTCCGCACCGCATCCACTTGGCCCGGTGGCGGCATCTAGCGCCGCGGTATAGATTGTTTCTGACATCAGATCATGCTGACCCGAATCAGCCCAACCACGTGTTGAACGTTGCTTTTGTTCTAGAAAGGAACCCTGGTATACGCAGTAGACAATAGCCCCTAGAGACCAGACACCTTCAATAATCTGTAGAAATCTCTACATAGGCCTTGAATAACCATATAAAACTGAACGGGCATCCTATCACTCCCGCCGTATCAAAGAGATTGTCACTTCGCGTCCCGACATTTCTGACAGATTTTAGCTGGATACCCGTAAATCCATATACCTGTCCTTGTCAGCTTATAACCTCGCAATATCGGGCAATTTTAGCCGCCGTACTAAATCCTGGCCTGCGCCGACGTGATCATCGCACAACGGCCTGCATAACCGAGGTAGCACTGCACCACCCCTTGCGCACCGTTATATTGCCGCCAATCCGCCGTTCGCCCTCCCAAATGTCTCAAGGATCGGCACGCTCTTCGCAATGGCAGACTCTCGCACCTCGCGCAATGTGGGCAATAGGGATTTTACCCAGGCGACAGTGGTGATTATCGGCGCGGGGATTTCGGGTATGTTATTCAATGGACTGATAAGGAGTCTGGCTAACGAGGCAGGGCTGTGTATGGCGATTGATCTGCTCAGGAAAACGTCGTGTCGCAACTTCGTCATCCTCGAGAAGGGAAGCCAGGTTGGCGGCACCTGGTTCGATAATAAATACCCAGGCTGCGCGTGTGATGGTATGCTCTTCTCTCTGGTCGTTCGGGCATCGCTAAGTGGACAGTCTGGAGCACGTTATACAGCTTTTCCTTCGCGCAAAAGTCCGACTGGTCGAGAGCGTATCCCGGACAGGAAGAGATTCTAGTACGTACCCACCTCAGTCCTCTGAACCTGGCTAATCCCATCAGCAATACATTATCAGCGTCGCGGAGAGGTTCGGCCTATTCAAATACATCCGGTTCAACTCGGCCGTGCAGGAAGCGCGCTGGGACGACGAGAAACAACACTGGACGGTCGACGTCGAAGTCGGCGGCGCCAAAGACCGACAATACATAGAATCGTACCAGATCACCACCAACTTTCTGGTCTCCGCCGTCGGCCAGCTCAACGCCCCTTACTGGCCGTCTCTCACAGGTCTTGACGAGTTCACCGGGAAACTGATGCACTCGGCGCGATGGGACTGGAGTTATGATTTCACCGGCAAACGCGTTGCCGTCATTGGAAATGGTACTACTCCCTGTCTCCCTTGCCCCTATAACCCCCAGCGCAAGAGATATTCACATTAAACAGGCGCCACGGCCGTCCAAATCGTCGCCAACATCGCCCCCTCCGTCTCGCAACTCACCGTCTACCAACGCACCCCGAACTGGGTCAACCCGCGCAACGACGCCCCTCTCTCTTCCCTCCACCAGTTCCTTCTCTCGCGCATCCCCCCGCTGCGCTGGCTCAAACGCTCGCTTCAAATGCAGATCCGCGAACTCACCCACCTGGCGTTGGCCCACCCCACCTCCGTCTTCTCGGACTACGTGCGCAACAAATCCATCGCCTCCATGAAAGCCCAGTTACCCGATAAACCGGAGTACTGGGACAAGCTGGTCCCGAAGTACGCGCCGGGCTGTAAACGTATTCTCGTGATCGATGATTACTACTCGACCCTGAATCGGAAGAACGTGGCGCTGGACACGCGGCCGATCCGGGGGCTGACGGAGCAAGGCGTGCAGACGGACGATGGGGCGGAGGCGGAGTTCGATCTGATTGTGCTGGCGACGGGGTTCCGGGCTGTCGAGTTCATGCATCCGATTAGAGTCTTTGGGAAGAACGGGAGACCGCTCTCGGAGATTTGGAAGGATGGGGCCGCGGCGTATAAGGGGGCGACGGTGGAGGATATGCCGAATTTCGGGATGCTGTTTGGGCCGAATACGAGTTTGGGTGAGTCTCGCTTTATTCTAGGATGTGCTGGGGAAGATGTGCTAATTGTCAGGCCACAACTCTATCATCCTCATGATCGAAGCGCAGTCGCGGTACCTGTCCACGCTGATCCAGGGCGTCGTCAAAGCCAAGAAATCCGGCAAGTCCCTCGCCATTACGCCTCGGCCTGAGGTTGTGCAACGATACAACGAAGAGATCCACGCGCGGCTGGAGAAAACCAGCTTGGCCGACCCCAACTGTCACAGCTGGTATAAGACGGAGAGCGGCAAGATCACGACCACCTGGCCCGGCACGGCGGTTCAGTATCAGCGGGAAATGAGCCGCGTGTGCTGGGAGGATTACGTGGTTGAAGGGACGGGGAAGCAGCTGGTCAAGGGGAAGAAGGTGTATCTTGGAAGAGTGGTGGAAGAGATCCCGGTTAGTTATCCGGCGCTGATCCTGGGGATGGTTGGGTTTGTGGCGGGTGGAGTGGGCTGGATGAATGGGTTGACGGGCGAGAGGGTGGGACAGTGGGTATGGCAGGTGGGATTGCGGTTGAAGGAGAGATACCTGTTGCTTTAGTCTATCCACTGGAAGTTTTTCCTGGTGTTCAATTTTCTTCACTTGACAGGTCTGGTTGGGTTCTACTACCAGACCCTTAATGAATGATTCCGACATTCTGTCTTCGTCTGTACATCTCGCATGGTCGACATAGAAGGTTTGATCTTGCTGCGAGAAGCGGAACTGACCAGACCATTTGTTCTTCATTGGTCTCACCTACTAGTAGGCACTCGGAGTTGGTTGTTTTCATCGTTCAGTTTTAGTTGACGAAGTCTCAATTTATTACGGAAAACCGCATGGAAGTATCACATACGCAGCCAATGGTCGATGGAAATCAACGGTAAAACGTCGCATGAAGATCACAATGGCTTCTCGGCTTGCCGTCATAAAAGCATTCCCATCTCAAATGAAGGACCATCAATCCGGACATTCGGCATATACTCCCAAGTTGTATTCCGAGGGGTCCTAGGTAAGCTTATTACTTGCGGATACACCTATCCTACAATATCCAGCGACTGACTGTAGGGATTAGGCCAGGTTGCCCAGTATATGTCGAGCCTGCGCCCGTGTATGGTTTCATCTCAAAGAAACCATACTTCTACACCAGATGTAATCCTGTTTGACTGGGTCTAAAATCCCGCCCAGTGCCTAGAAGTTTCAACGCAAGTGGGCAGGAATGAGCCTTCGCCAGTGCATTGACATTTAACGCAACGGATCAAGCTAGCCATATGGCATGAGTGTCATCCTATTTGAATACCTTGTCGTCCGAACACAATGTCTCAGGTTGCAGTTTGATCTTGGCTCTCCGCCATGCTGTTGGCTCTATGCTGTTTTCGCAAGTTGTGCAGGAGAATCTGCAGTGGGATGTTGGACATGAAAACAACAGACATCAATCAACCAATTTTATTTTCATATTATTATGCACATGGAGACTTGGTGTAGTTTTATATTATTAGTTTTAGGACATGAACAAGAGCCATCACTGGATCTATCAACTATAAAACCGATGAGTTTGTGATGAAGGGTTTTGTTACTAAATCATCGAACAAAGTAGCAACGACATTTGAATATCATTAGAAGCATCAGACAGTAGAACTCAATAAAGGCCAAAAAGAAATGGCAAAATCGCCTTTACTATGGTGGTGTACGCAGTACTTCATGGATGACGCCAAGACCCAAACACCCCACCCAATCAAATCCCCGCGCTTACCGACCGACGATCAAGGAGGACTACGCTCACATCCCATCCATCATTCCTTTCCTTATATTTCATCATAAACATAAAGCCGACAATAATCCTCCAATGACACGGACCATCCTCGTAACAGGAGCCACCGGCCAACAAGGCACGTCCTTGATCGCAGCCTTGCGACCACGCGACACCGACTCCGCAGACTACCGCGTCCTTGCGCTGTCACGGAGCAAAACCAGCCCATCGGCCAAGCACCTCGTTCAAGAGAAGCATGTTACTGTAGTCGAAGGTGACTTGAATGATCGTGTTTCTATTGCCCGTGTCTTTCAGGAAGCCCGGGACGGGGATGGCACTATCTGGGGCGTGTTTATGGTTCTCGCTTTTCCGGGTCTAGGGAAGAATGCTGACGCTGAGGAAGCTCAGGGGAAGGTATGGCATTATTTTATGAGTAGATGCCGGAAGGCTATGCTGATATATGCTAGTTACTGGCAGACGTGGCGCTGGAGTACGGCGTTTCGGCCTTTATTTACTCTTCGGCGCTGCGCTCTGGACCGAAATATGACGATCAGTTGGAGCGGTCGGGGAAGGCGAAAGTCAATGTTGAAAGACACGTGAAGGAGATCGGGTTGCCTTGGGCGTGAGCTCATCAATTTCCGAGACTGTGTAGCTGATGCTAATCACTAGCGGGTTAAACTAGCATTGTGAAGCCGGGGTTTTTCATGGAGAATTTCTCTGGTATGCTTGGCCCTCTGGCCGTTCATCTGATGAAGGCTGGGATGAAGCCCGAGACTCGTCTGGATCTGGTGGTGAGTTGACTCAACATGATCTCATCTTGAAATGCGTGTACTAACAGTCGAAGGCTGCCCAAGATATAGGTCGTGTTGTAGCAGCTGTCTTCAAGGTGAAAGAATCAACCTGTACTGCTTGACATCCTACTCACCGGTCCTGATACCGCAGGACTTTTCCAACTGCTCATCCCGTGAGGTCATCATAGTTTCCGAATCCCTAACCGCCAGCCAGATAGAAAGGACGTACCGTCCTACCACGGGGCTCGTCGGCTCATATGTTTCGCCATGCCTAGCCCGCTTGGTATTGAAGATCAATGCCGATACTCAGAATCTGTAAGACATTGCCCTCTCTCCAAACATCCCGATATTGCTGACAATATGAGTGTGCAAACTATTAATGATACATACGATCGATCGATCAACGGGGACTATCCAGAACGTGAAGATGAAATCCAACTTGCGAAAGATGTTTGTCCCCAACGGACTACATTCCATGAATGGGTCAGCAAGGCGGATTCAGAGGTCCAGGAGGGATGGAACCGGGTGAGCATTTGGGGGCTTCTCACTGGGAGGAGTTGACTTTCCTCAATCATAATGTAAAATGTCATCGAATTGTAGGAGACGTATGTTGTCTTGAATATGTCCCTTATCAGTGAACTAAAAATCCAAAATCAAGACATCGGGTAATGAATTGAAAGCTTGGCCGTTAAACTTATTGTTTAAAATGCAATCTCGAAATAGTGGTTCATGATGGGTACTTCACATTGCCGCAAGACAGACCGCAGAGGGTCAACGATTTCTGATTTGGATGGTCTATGCTATTTACACGTCTGAAGATAGCTGCGCAGTCAACATTTTATGCAGAGCGGGAGCCGACTTAAGTCCTGAGACTTGTCTCGAGCCAGCGCCAAAAGAATTGAGGTGTCTTGGCTGATTGATATGGAACAGCCATAACAAGACCCCTCCCCTGAATAATAAGTAGATCTACCTGAACCGGCTGAACCGTACCATTGTCGGCTTCTTATCCCAGAACCACCAGATCCCCTGGGACTCCCATTCGGGCAGTTCCACCCCCGGCGGCGTGTAAATATCATATCTCCAGAGCAAATTTGCAAGAATCAACCGAAGCTCCAGCCAGGCAAGGTTCTGACCCGGACAGTTATGAGGACCCAGCGAGAAAGGGTTAAAGGCCGTCTTCACGTCATTCTTGAACGCAACATCATCCAGCCACCGTTCCGGCGCAAACTCATTCGGACGAGTGAAATTGCGAGAGGTGCGATATGTCGCCCACGGCGGAACAGAAACAACCATTCCCCCGGGCACGAACCGGCCTGCAATCGTGGCTCCTCCTGCTGGAACACTTCGGCGCATAGCGTCCGGGATCGTCGGACATAGCCTCATTCCCTCGTTGAGCACCGCATTCAGGTACGGGACATTCTTCAACGACGAGGCAGTAATATCCTCTGACGAAGAGAACGTGCCCCGAAGAATATCCACCAAAGTCTGATGCACCCTCGGGTTCCGGAGCAGGTGGTTAATCACGCCCGTCAAGACAGTCGTGATCGACTCGCTCCCCGCCGCCACGATCATCATCGCATTCACCTCCATCTCCTCCCCCGTCATGCCCTCACCCTCCTTACTACTCTGCATCATCGTGCCCACCAAATCAGGCCGCGTCTCCCCGCTCGCCACCCGCCGCCGCACCTTCTCCTCCGTCACCTTCCACATCTGCATGACCTCACTCAGCGCCGACGCCGGCGTAATCGCCATCAAGAACGCATAAACCAGCGGATAGAACTTCAGCGCGCCCACAATAATCGCCGCCTTGAACTGACTCACCGTCTGAATCCACGGATGATACGCCAACCCATCCAAACACCCAAACGACGACCCCCACGTCAAATCCCCAATGATATCAAACGCGACATAATTAATCCACTCGACGACATCGACATCAGCCCGCTCATCCAACCGCTCACACAACTGGTCAATATAAGACTGCACATACGGCTCCTGCTCCGCCGCATACCGCTCCGAGAACCCCGGCGCCAGGATCTTGCGGAACTGCGCGTGCTTCGCCTCCGAGCAGGCGATCAGGTTCTCGGCGGTCTTGCCAGGCGGCTGGTCCTTGTATTCGTCGGGGCGGACGAAGTCGCGGCCTCGGGTGTAGATGTCTCGCCAGGCGGCAGGGTCGATGAAGGAGAGTTCGTTCGGGGCGACCCGGACCACGTCGCCGTATTGTTCGTGCAGGGCGCGGATGCGATGCGGTAGTTCGCCGCGTATCATGGACAGGGTGAAGGGGAGGCGGAAGGCCCGCCAGAGGAGTGGCCCTGGGTGGTGGGCGAGGGGGTGGAAGTATAGGTTGTGGGTGGCATAGGTGATTGGGGCCTGGGTTAGTTAGCTTTGGTCTCTGGGTGGGAGCGGGATACAGACGAGGATTGATAGGACGGTTAGGAGGAGGAGGATCGCCATGGTGAATACGAGGGGGCGACTGAAAGGATGAGAGATGAGGACGAGTGCGGAGGAGTCGAGCGATGCGGAGGATTTACAGCTCGATGATTGCTAAGCTACATGTACCTTGTCGGTAGCCTTTGGCGCCAGGCTGTATAGCAGCGGATAAAGTACGGTAGAGTACGGCTAGAGGTATGGTATGTGGGCGCCATAACACATACAGATACGGTATTAAACACAGAGACAACCCGTTTTATAACACCCAATACGGTGGTATACCTGTAAATATACATTTCAATACGTCTTATACATCTAACACAACCCAAGCCACCAATCCCCCGCCTCAAACCCCCGAGTCGATTTGCTCCGCATAGTCGGACTTGTCAATATTATCCCAAATCTCACACGTCTGGTCCATGGCCGGCGGGATAGCCATCTCGTTCACGATATCATCCGGTCGTTCCTAAGTCAAGTCAGCCGAGCGAGTTCATACCAGAGGAATAGATAAATCCTACCATTACTAGAATGACCATGCCCGCGCTAGAATGAATCGAGATATGACAATGCAGCGGCCACACCCCGGGATTATCCTGGTTCCACTGCAGGACGAGATGCGAGGGGTTCTCGGGCGTCCCGGGCTGCATGAGGTGCGTGTCTCGACGCAGCGGGTTCTCGGGGTTAACGACGGTGCCGTCCCACGGACCAGGACCTTCGGAGAGGACCCAGAAGTCGTGTCCGTGCAGATGCATCGGGTGCAGCGTCTCGAACGCGTTCTCGATCACCAGCCGCACGCTGGAGTTCGACCCGAAATCGTACACGTTGCGGTCTGCCGGGAACTCCGCCCGCCCTTGGTTGACCTCCAGCAGCGCCGCCTGGTTGTAGTTCGCCCGGAACGACGAGTTGTCCATGAACATGACCATGAAGCCGGTGCCGTTGAGCCCGGCGGTGACGGTGACGGTCTGCGTGGTGGTGGGCGCCGGCGGGGTGAGCGGATAGTAGGGCACGGTGAGCTCAAGAGGATCGTTGCGGCAGTCGTTGCTTTCCCAGGTTGTGCCCTTGGTGTGAGGGAGCTTCTTGGTGTCCGCGGACTCGTAGTAGATGGCGGCGCGCGCGGTCTGGAAGGTCGCAGTGTTCTGCAGACAGACCATGTCCATGTCGGCGCGCATCCAGACAATGTCGTTCGGGGCGCTGGTGGCATGGACGATGACGTCTGTTCGCTGGCCGGGGCTCAATGTCACCACCTTGGTCTTGTGGGGCTTGACGGGGACGAAGTCGTTGGCGATGACCGTCATCTCGTGGTTGTCGATGCTGAACTTCTCGTTGGCCAGAGCCCCGCTGTTGATCAGGCGCAGACGGTGACGTTTGCCGGAGTGGAATCGGAACTTTTCATATCCAGCTCCGAGAAGGCATTTGCTGGCTGAGCTGGTGCGGTTGCAGTTATACGAGCCTTTCCCGTTGATCAGGTTGTTGTCTAGCGGGATGATCCCAGGCGGCTTCGCCAGGCTCCGCTCCATGATCTCGTAGTACCCGACGTGGTAGTAGTCGGAGATCATCACCGGGCCCAGATCGAAGTCATATTCGGCTTCCGGCTGCACCGGACCGTGGATGATCACCGGGCCAAACAGTCCGTCATCGTACTGCGCGCTATAATGCGAGTGGTACCAGCCAGAGCCATACCGATCCGCCTGGAACCTGTACGTGAGCTTTCCTCCGCGAGGCGCAATCGGGCACTGTGAGACCCCCGGGACACCGTCGTACCAGGGAGTCTTCTTCTGCGTGAGACCGTGCCAGTGCAGCGTGATGCCCTCGTCCGGACTGTCGATGTCATTCGTCACCTTCACCTCGATCATATCACCCCAATTGGCTTCGATCATCGGCCCTGGGAACTGGCCATTGATCAGGATGACGCTCTTGTTGAATCCGTCGGGGGATGCGAAGTCGCGCGAGACGGTGAACTCGTAGTGTCGCGTAACTCCAGTATCGGGAGGCTCTCCTGCAGGATCGAAATTGGCCCATGGGACCTCAGTGCTCCCTGACTCCAGTGTTCCAATCCCATTAGCTATGATCTATAACTAGAGTCGGGGGGACCTACACCGTCAGGCAGGAATCGGGGCAAGTTCCCTGACGACAAGTCATCGCCCGAACAATCTACCCAGCATCCAGTGAGCGAAGAACATTCCCAGAAGCAAGCAAACCAGATGATCGACAGCGCAACGAACCAGTGTTCATATGCCGCGACAGAGCCGCGGCGCTGGCGATCGTCGCCACAGCGACCAATCGCAAGAGCTGAGCCATGGGAAAGTCGAATTCACAACGTGTTTAGAGAACGCCGACAGGTGAAGGAAAGGGATCAGATCTGGTGCGGCGCGAGATTATCAATGATTATTAATTGTCCGTGGGCGCGAAATGGCCAAGGAGCTGTGCAGCCCTTCAATGCGTGGTCTGATGAGGTGTTGGTTGGACTTGGATTAGGGCTGGTATGCGGTATTACGGTCTGGTGTTGGAGGTACTGTAAGCATCTGCGATACGAGCAGGTAATCAGGGGAACTAGGCGAAGCATTGCGTCTGTGGACTCATGCAGTCAGCTGTCAGATCGGAATATCTAGGCGATTGGAGTTCATGCATTGACTTAACACTATTGGTTTGTCTGTGGGGCCAAAGACTAGCATATATCTGGTGCCTACTTGGTCGGATACAACCCCAGAACCCCATTCAGTAAAGACCCATTAGGATCCGGGCCGTTCCTCCAAGAGATCATGCAGGAGACTGGAACCACGCTGCGGTGTAACAGAAGCAGATCAGCTTCTCGTGGTGCAGTAGTCGCCCCTTTTGGGAAGGACCTCCGATACCAGTCAGGGCTTCTCGTATACGTGCAGAGGCAGTCCGGGGTTGATCCTTGAGTATATTAAAATGTCGGAATCCGGAGACGGGGTTCGCGACTTCAATCTGAATTTGGAATTAGCTGTTATTAGTTTCGTCTGACAGTTCGAAGTAACCTGATGTCGCAAATACTAATCAATGGTTTGTAATACTTTAGCAATCAACGACATCTGAGGGGTTGCAGTAGCTGGGCTGGAAAGAGCTCTATCACGCGAGGAGTAGGGACTTGGGGTATACCATACCCTGTTACTCCAAGGTCCATTGCGCTAGACAATCTAATGCAACGTGTGAATCGGGGTTGCCGCCATTGGCGACAGGTATCGCACTCGGGTGACTACATGTGGGAATTCCGAGGAAACCGCAGATCAGGGGATTTAGCAATTTACTGACACAGGGGTTACCAAAACTGCTTCCATAGATGTCTGTTCAATGGTACAACTAAAACATGATTCTGAGCTAATGGTGTCCACAACTACGGGAAATTGACCACTGTAAATGCCCCTTTCTCTGACTTATCCAATACCCCATTGGTCCTATCTGTCTACCACATTTTCCACTATCCTCAGCAAAAACCGCTTACATCTGCAAACGCTCCGCTACCGGCCTCCGCCTCATCAGGATCTCCGCGTCAGGATTCGGGAAAATGAACTCATGCGCACGCAGATTCTCCGGGCGCTTATTCCCATGCTTGAACTTAAACTCGTAGTCCATGAGCAGCCGCACCAGAATGATTTTGATCTCCAGACTGGCAAAGAACCGACCGGGGCAGGCATTCTGGCCATGCCCGAAGTTCAGAATGCGCTCCTGCGTCGTCGAGAACTGGTGCAGATGGCCCTCGCCCTCGCGCTCCCGTAGCCGGTAGTACCGGAAGCCGTCGAACTTCTCCGGCTCCGGCGTGACGTCGGGGTCGTTTTGGATGTCATTGACCGCCATGCTGATGTGTGCGCCTTTGGGGAGGAGCGTGCCGTCGAAGAGGTGCGCGTCTTGGAGGAGCACTCGGTGCATGGATAGGAGGGTGGGCGGGTTGAAGCGCTGCGACTCGCGCATGAAGGAGTCCAGCTTGCGGAGTTTGGAGAACGCCGGCTTCTGCCACTGCATCCAGGGGCCGTCCTCTGCGACGACGCGTTTGATTTCGTCACGGATGAGGTCCAAGTATTCGGGGTGGGCGAGGAGGTCGTAGAGGACGTGGACGGCGTTCATCTGGGAGGTGTGGATGGAGGCGAGCGAGAGGACAACCTCGAGATGGGCGAGAGAGGCGGGGTCGCTTTCTTCTTTCGTCGCGATCTCCATCATCCAGGAGAGGAGATTCTGCTTGCCCTCGGGCGTCTCGATGCCGTTGCGTTGTTGCTCTCTGCGCTGCAGGATCTCAGGCACAAGCAGCTTCTTGGCTCTCCGGACGTAGGCGTTTCCTCGGTATGATGAGGGCATGAACCAGCTAAGGAGCTTGTGGGTCCAGATGGGAAACAGTCTCAGGAAGACAAGCGACACGAAGACTGGTGTCGTTAGAATCGAGAAGTCGATGTGGGATGTCTAGGGTCATACCGTTTTCTGTGAATTGCGTAGAGACCTCAAGCCACTTGGGGTTCCGGCACAGGGGCAGGCCGAGGAAGATGCGTGCGCTGACGCGAGCTACAAAGTCCAGAATGGTGTGATAGGGCTTGACGGTAACCCATTCGTCTGTTTCCGTCAGTCTTCGTCAGGCTAAGGACGGAGGTGCAGACCTTCAGACGTGGTGAGCTCCTTTTCCACCGCATAGTTGACCTCATCCTGCATGGGCGCCGTCAAGGAGTTCAGGTTCGGGGTCAGTTTCAGCTGGAGGGTTCGGAAGTGTAGGTTGCTGCGAAGGATGATGTGCATGTTGGTGGACGAGCCCATGAGATTGTGCACATGGGCGACTGTCGGACTGGCTACATGGTTTGGCAGTTTCCTGATGTCGTCGACATACTTGGGAGGCAAGACGAGCATGTCCGTATCGGCTCGTCGGAATTGGAAGATTTTCCCTTTGCACTGCACTTGTCAGCCTTTCCTCGTTAGCCAGGCCACGGTACATACTGCGTTATACCCCTCGTTTAGAACGTCTCCTGCGCGCATAAAGAACCGGAAGTTGGACACCATAGTCGGCTCCCAGGGTGTTTTGACGCCGAAGACAGGGACTTTGTAGCCGAAGATTGCGCTCCATGCGAAAGATAGGAAGTACCAGCCAGCCAGGAGCGCCGGGGCACTGTAGAGCCATGGAATCGGAGTTTCAGGGATCTTGGAATAGAATCCCTCAAAGGGTAACGCTGGATGTGTAGTATTGGCCATGTTGAATCGGCTTTGCGCTCTTGGGAAGGGAAGATGGTCACCACGAAAGAGGGAGCTCTCGCAGGTAATCATTTATCAGCTCGATCACACAAGCAATAAGCAGCTAGCGCATGATGCCAGCGGTCACGTATGAATGCCAGTCGCGAGACAGGTCGAGGCGCTATTCAGTGCTGTCGGATGCAGGCCGGACTCCCGCAGGCGGAGTATGTCCAAGTGCATTGGATCAGATGGACGTGAATACTACTCAAGGATGACTGGGAGCGGGGTACTTTGCATATCTGCAGTCCACCTCTCACAGTCCGCATCTTGTGTGTCAAGGCTAGTCGTTGTCATGGACGGTCTTCAACGGTGGACAGATACTGAAGCGACATGTGGAGCCAGAATTGCGATGCAATAGGTGGGATATTGACCGCGCCACACTGCGATAAGGCAGTCTAAAGCAAGCCATGATTAGAAAGATATTAAGCGAAAATCTGGCCCCTCATCGGGAAGGAGACTCCCCGCCCAAGGTCTACTGCGTATATTGATGTTGCCATTGAGTGGGGTCCTTAAAGCGAATCGGAGCGTGATGAAGCCGTTGGATATACTTCCCGCCGTAAGCACTCGTATCACGGAAGACTGTCGGGAGGCGTACGACTAACTCTGTTATGAGGTCTATCGGAATGGCAGCAGTCGCCACAATAGACTAAGTTGTTAGTATCGATTAGCCTCTGGTGACAGATGGCCTACAAAAGTTCTTCAATGCTCTGTCCGAGCGCGGGCCACAACGAGCCTGATCAACTGTTTGCAAGTCATTACACTCATAGTGCTCGGGAAAATGATTCCAGAAAAGCGACGAAAGTTGGACTTGGGCTCTCCTGACCTCAGCCAACGAGCAAAGGAGGTCGTGGACAAGATTGCCGCGGGTTGTCAGGCGGAGAACGGCTTTGGAGACTTTAGCATATCCCTTTATGACACGGCCTGGCTGTCTATGGTCACTAAGGCCGATGCAGCAGGATCTCATCAATGGGCATTTCCCGAGTCATTCAACTTCGTACTTCACCAACAACGCGAGGACGGATCTTGGGGAGCCTACTCCTCCCCTGTTGATGGGATCCTCAATACCCTAGCGGGTGTTTTGTCTCTACTGGTCCATCAATCCCAAACAAGGAACGAAGGTCCGGATTCCTACGAGCCCATCGTCTATGAACACCGAATCTCGAAGGGAATTGACTCTTTGTCCTCCGCACTGAATGAATGGGATGTTGAGGCTACCGTACATGTGGGGTTCGAGGTTCTCGTGCCGAGTTTGCTCTCTCAACTAGCACAACAGGGCATCGAGGTGCAGTTTCCGGGCAAGGGCATCCTCATGCAGCTGCATCAGCAAAAGCTGGCAAAATTCGTCCCTGAGATGGTGACTGGAAAGCATCAAACAACTCTTCTTCACTCGCTAGAAGGACTGATTGGCAAGGTGGACTTCGATCAGCTGGCCCACCACTGCACTGCATACGGCGGCATGTTAGGCTCACCGGCCTCAACGGCAGCATATCTCATCCAGAGCACGCACTGGGATGATGCCGCCGAGAAGTACCTTCGCAATGTGATCCGGAGCTATGGCTCGTGCGGAGGTGTGCCTAGCGGGTTTCCAACACCGGTCTTTGAGACCTCGTGGACGATTTCAACGCTCCTCGCGAGCGGCTTTGCGGTAGATAATTTTGCAAATACCGCGCTCCAGACCATTGGGCAGTATCTCCAACAGTTGTTTGAGAAGCAGAATGGACTGCTCGGCTTCGCGCCGGGATTCCTGGCCGACGCAGACGATACAGCCAGAACCTTTCTCGCGTCCACATACCTAGGTAGTCAATTGAGTCCTTCTGCCCTCGTGAAGCACTTTGAGGCACCGGACCATTTTCAAACATATCGACTCGAGCGCAACCCCAGCTTCAGTGCCAACGCCAACATTCTACTCGCCCTGCTACGAACGTCAGACCCGGGGGTCTACACCACCCAGATCAAAAAGGCCGTGCGGTTTATCCTCGCGGGGTGGAACAACGGCCAGCTGCTCGATAAATGGAACCTAGCCCCGGAGTACAGCGAGATGCTCTTGACCTGTGCGCTGACCCAGCTGGTCAAACTCTGGACCCAAGGACAGCTGCGCGATCTGCCCCACGAGCTTGTCACGCTGCGGCTTCCCATAGCTCTCTGCCAGTTGCTATCGCGGTGTCTGAGCCGTCAGTCAGAAAACGGTTCCTGGGCTGGCTCACCCGAGAGAACGGCCTACTGCGTGCTTCTCCTTTCCTATATCTTGGAGCTCCCGTGGCCCGATTCTGTTCGCGAAATAGCCCACGCGAGTTTAAACCAGGGCCAAGACTACCTCTCCACGCATGCCGACAAGTGGACAGACGGCGACTACATCTGGGTAGAGAAGGTGACTTACAAGCTCCCTATCCTCAGCGAGACATACTGCCTGGCAGCGATGAAGGCCCCCGTTAGCGAGTGGCCGTGGACGCCCGAAGTCGCCGCGATATTCTCCGCCGAAGACAAGAAGTTGAAGATGATGGCCACCTTCTTCGGCCGCCTGCCGCTGTTCCAGAAGACGGGGACCAAAACCATGCTGCTGGCTGTCATGGAGGCGAAGCTATACTCGCGCCTACTAAAGACCGTGCGACTGGATATCTTCCCACGAGACGAAATGCGCATGACAGAGGACAAGTACATCGAGTACATCCCGGCAGCATGGTGCTGCGTCAACGCGGCGACGGAGTTCCCCCTGGCAGGCACCATCATGTGGGATATGATGGTCATTTCGATGCTTAACTACCAAGCCGACGAGTACATGGAGACGGCTGTTGCGCAGTTGTCGGACCGCCAGGTCTCCCAGCTCAAGTCCACCCTCCGGTCTGAGTGCTTTGACCAGCCGATTTGCCTAGAGAGCGAATCGCCCAACGAGGAACCCGCCTTGCAACCGACCCCAGTACCCTCAGACTCCGGGAACGAGTCTCCAGTCTCATCACCCAAAGACGCCGCGGCCGTGATCCGCAAATACATCCACCACGTGCGACGACATCCCTGTGTGACGGCAACTCCGGAACTCGCACAGCATCAAGTCGCAGACGAGCTGTACAAGTACCTACTGGCGCAGATTGCGCACAATGCTGATAATCAGCAGCTCAGGGACGGGAACGTGTCGCGCGTGCCGTACTTCGACTGGGTGCGCACGACGGGCGCCAACGACACCAGCTGTCCGTATTCATTTGCGTTCTTTTGCTGCCTAGTCAGTCAGAATAAATCGTACTGTCTTGTTTCGGCGAAGGCGCGGTATTTCGCCCGAGCTATGGTGGTGCATCTCGCTACGCTGTGCAGACAGTATAATGACTACGGATCCTCGCGGCGGGATGCGGAGGAGGGGAACCTGAAAAGTCTTGACTTTGAGGAGTTCAAGAACGGAAAGGCTGTGGAGGGAGACCGGGACAGTCGCAAGCACGCTCTTCTGGACATTGCGACGTGCGAGAAGGAGTGCATGGAGCTGTACTTGGGGCGTCTTTCTACAGAGGTGGACAAGTCGACTGGGCGCCGCATCAAGGCGTTTGTAGACGTGACGGACCTGTTTGGGCAGATCTATGTAGCGCGGGACATTGCTAGTAAGCAGACTTAGGATGTCATGTTTTGTGCTATTAGAATGTCATTTCGCTTCTCCGGATTCTATTGAGGACAACACAGACGATTACCGTATGTACGTATGGTACGGTAACACCGAATACAAAACACCATACCAGTATCGTATCCGTCACTCCGTATGTAATGTATGTATGGACCCATTCGCCGATATGATCAATCCACACGCAGTTATTAATAGCGATGGCAGTGGTCCGGTTGGGCAGCGGGGACAAGGATCGATTAGCAATCATTAGACGCGGCGCAGGGACGATGTAACGCAGTGGATACGCTAACATGGATCCTCATCCTGCTCGACTCGCTACGTGTAACCAGACAAAGAAACCAACAGCTGGCTGTAAGCCCTAAGACAGGCTACTCGGTGTTGTGAGGTCTAACGACTCTACGGAGTACTGCGGACGCACTACTTACCCCATGTTGATGGTGGATTCCAGAAAACGCCGTGAGGGGATCCCATGCAAAGGCCTGCTTGCCCTCGCGTCGACTCACTATATCAAGTCGACGTGTCCGAGTAAGATTGTGTCCACCAAAAGGAACCCCAACAGAGTACTCAATCATGTCTCTCAAGCCAATCAAGCTGTACTGGAGAAGTAAGGCGCCTCGGATTAGTGAACATGCTCGGCAACTGACCGGTATATCATTCGCCAGACCAGGTCCCCAATCCCTCCAAGGTGCTCGTCATCCTGGAGGAGCTGGGCCTCCCCTATGAGACGGAGTTTGTCGAGCTCGACGCCCTCAAGCAGAAGCCGTATACGGATGTCAACCCCAATGGCAAAGTTCCTGGTCCGTGTGCCTAGATTCGTGGCTCGCCGGTGGAGTCTCACTAACTAATCATGGCCCCCTTTAGCAATCTATGATCCTAATCAGAACCTCACTCTCTGGGAGTCCGGTGCCATCGTCCAGGTACGTTCCAACTAGTGTGGTGCCTGTGCACATGGACTGTACTGCTTCGCTCCGGTCTCTCGCCCCATACGCTAACCTCACATGCAGTATCTCATCACTACCTACGACACGGATCACAAGATCTCCTATGCCGCCGCCCCCGAAAGCCACCACCTGCTGCAATGGTCGTTCTTCCAGGCCTCTGGCCAGGGCCCCTATTTCGGCCAGTCCGCCTGGTAAGCCTCCCCTCTACCCCTCCCGCTCGGGGGAATTTTTCCATCCAGTGAAACAGACACCGTCCCAGCCCCTCCCCCTGGCGCCGTGGCTGATCCAAACCCCGACAGGTTCAACATCTTCCACGAGAAGTTCTACGGCGAGAGCCCCGAGTCCGCCAAGGTGCGCTACGGCAACGAGGTGAAGCGCATTGCGGGCGTGCTGGACGGCGTGCTCGCCGGCCGCGACTGGCTCGTCGGCGACAAGTGCACGTATGCCGATCTGGCGTTCGTTATGTGGAACCTGCAGCTGCCGTTCTTCATGAGCAGTCGCACGGGAGAACATGCCTGGAACCCGGCTGAGTTTCCGAATTTCTCTCGCTGGCAGGACGCCATGATGGCGAGGGAGTCGGTCAAGAGGGTTGTGGCGGTGTTGCAGGATAAGGAGGTGAAGAGTTTGTAGGTAGGGATATCGGACTATCCTGGTCTATGATCCTCATGATCCACTCTTCTACAAGCGAGCGTTTTATGAGGACCTAGTTCATTGCACCTGTCATCTCTTTTGAAGTAGCTTCGCCCCGTTAAATCCCTTACAATATATGAGCAAGGAGGAATGCAGTATTAAGATAAGGATTACTATTTCTGAACACAATATACATAAACAATTACCCAAGCCCACCCAACACGGATTATGAATTACCACAATGAACCAATCCTCTAGCAAATCACCATCTACGCTCTCCCTCCCCCCTAGCCGGAGACCCCCTACTCTCAAAAGTCTTCGTGACCGAAATATTCATCTGCTGCGCATTCGCCGTCAAAGGAATATGATCCGAACTGACGCGCTCCCCCAACTCAACGTCCCCGTCTCCCTTGCCCACCCCCAGCAACTTAAACTGTCGACTACTCGGCCTCTTCGGCGAATGCGGCTCGCCTGTCGCCGAGCTCTGCACGATCACCGAGTTTCCCTTCGCTATCGATCCCAGCGACGTGTTTCCGCCGCTACTTCCGCCGCCTGCGCCGCGCGTGGACAGGAAACTACGCACGCTGCGAATCACGGATCGGAGACCTTGCCCTAGGCCGAAGAGGTTGGCGTATGTCGGCAGGCAGGCGGCGACGATGCTCATGTTCGGCTCGATGATTGCCCACGTCGTGGCTGTTGTGCTGGCCGTGTAGCGGTCCGGGCCGGTGTTGGCGACGGACTTGCGGATGTCGCTGTAGATGTAGTAGAAGCGGATGGCGGAGGAGACGCAGCAGCTGGGTCGGGGCGAGTTAGCATTGTTACTATCCTGGGAAGCGGAGAAAGTCGTACAAGATCCCAAGCCAGAATATACCAAGCACTTGGAGCTTCTGCACCCCTGACATCTGCAGCTTGTAGATCACCGGGATGGGGAAGCAGAGCACGATAATGTCGAACACCATGCTCATTGCCGCGAATGCGATGGAGTACGTGTTGTAGTCGTACCGCAGGGGGTCTTTTGCCATGGGATTCCAGGCCGCGGTGATCGGGTCGGCGGTTAGGAGTTGGGCCTGCGGTTGAGGTGAGATGGGTCTGCATCGTTTGTTCAGAGACCATGGGATGATTTACCACAAATATTGCAATGCCCCATGCAACCAAGATGGAGATGTAGATCCACACGGCCAGGCGGAAAGACGGCGTGACGAAGATTCGTGCGTAGAACATCAGCAGGGACGTCTTCACCAAGACTAAGCTGCTGATGAGTGGAAACCCCTCGATCCAGAGGGCCTGCTCCGTCGTTAACGATTGCTCCATACAGAAGATAAAAAGTCTAAGGCAAACGTACCCGTAAAAAGACGACCGTCGCAGAGAGAGGGTCAGTAGTGGCCGTATTAACGCCTGCCAGTGCCGCGGCGACATACATGTCGATCGAAATGCCCCATGCTGCTATCACAGCCAGTAGGGCGACGTAGTCGTCGGCGAACAGCCGTCTGTGTTTTGAGAGGCTGGAATACAGCCGCAGAGCCACAGCTATGCTGCCTAGGATTGGAAATACTATAGCGACGACCAGTAACGACGTGGTCACCAGCGAAGGCCCGGATGACTCCTGTATGTTGCTCATACTGGCAATGACTCAAGAGGTCCTTGCCGGGTGATCAGGCCATACCACTGACAGGGAGGTTCTGCATAGCCTATAAGAAATCCTACAAACAGTCATTCCAGGGTCCATTTTGGCCCCCTCTAAGCGACGAACGACACCTGCATGTAAGATGCAGCGATTGCCATCGACATCCGGTCTACAGAGGAGGAGGGGTGCATATCGCTGACTCGCTGTTGCATTAAAAAGGCCTTATTACGCGACCATACCCATACTATTAGCTAAACTGCAGTGCATGCTAGGGTTGCTATCTATTGACGCTAGCGAGATAGCCCATTCCACATGCGGTGTTTGCTCCGTGCCGATGTGCATACAGTCTTACTCCGCATTGACATTGTATCGGTCTTCACAAGGGTAGCGTGGAAACGAGTGTGAAGGCGATGGGGCAGTGGGTCTGACATGCATGCATAGTCCGAGGGCCCAGGCAAAGCGCATGTTGGCAATTAGATATTAGATACCAGACACGAGACCACGTCCTGTCGCCCCCTGCCATCTTCCACGCGATACGAGAGTGTCTGACAATGCTATCCCTCGTCCTGGGCCTCGCAGTCCTGCCGATCACGTTCGGGATATGGTCCTTGGTGAGCTTGTTCTCCCAGCTCGCCCGCGCCCGGTCCACTGGGCTGCCCTGTGTTATAGTCCCCTGCTCGTGTCTGGGAGCCCCGTGGCTCCTGAGTCAGCCCATTCTGCTTCCTATCTTCCAGCTGCTGCCGACGTCCTGGACACAGAACTGGCTGCCTCTGCTGCGTTTTGAGCGCGGCTGGCACGATGGCTACGAGCCCTTCGCTAAAGTCGGCGCCGATACCTTCCTCACCGTCTCCCCAGGGGATATCGTCCTTTATACATGCGACCCAGATGTCTCCTCGCAGCTTCTCCATGACCAGCGCTTCGGCAAACCCGCACATCTGATGGGCGTCCTGAATATCTTCGGCCCGACCATCGCTGGCACCGACGGACCCGAGTCGCGGTTCTACCGTCGCATCGCCGCGCCGTTCTTCACGCAGCAGACCATCCAGCGCGTGTTCACCCTCTCGGTCGCCGGTGGAAAGCAGCTGGGAAAGGCCCTGTGCCGGCCGTCAGCTTATCGTCAGCTGAGAACCCTAACGGCGCGTCTGTCGCTGAATCTGCTCAGTCAGATTTGCTTTGACAACCAAGGCCAGGATGACCTGGCCAAGGCCCTGCAATTCCAAGAGGACCGACCGAATCGGCATATCTTAAGCTATAGTCAGGCCATGCACTCGCTGCTGGACAACTATAAGACGATATTCATCTCCCCACGGTGGCTTCTGCGTATGGAACCCCTGACCCCAGTGCACTTTCTCTTGCCCCCCTTCTGACCGGCCAACAAAGCAGGATGGTCGCCTGTTCGAACTCATCGCCTCGCAGGCACGGCCTACACTGAGTTTAATAGGTATGTGCAGGACCTACGGATATCCGCAGAGACGACGGTGCGGGAGACTGGCTCGAAAGGCACCGGTCAAGACAATCTCGCTGGTATGAATCTCCCTTTTATTCCAGGTAGATAAATATACCAATATCTCATCTAGAGCGCTTCGTCAAGGCCGAACTCTCCGCCCCTCAGATATCCGGCAACCTGTTCTTATTCATGTTCGCCGGCCACGAAGCCAACGCCAACACCCTCACCTTCATCATCATCCTACTAGCATGTCACCCATCAATTCAACGAGCCATGCAGTCCGATCTAGATAGCATTTTCGGCAACAGCCCCGCTGATAAATGGTCCTTTGACACGCACCACCGCCCCCTGATGACTAGTCTCGTTGGCGCCGTCATCAACGAAGCCTTGCGCCTCTACACCCTCATCCCTGTCCTGCCAAAGTGCGTCCCGCTCGACTCTCAGGGCATTCCGATCGTTGTACGCGGAGAGTCACACCGACTGCCACCGGGACTGGTCGCCTTGGTCAACACGAGTGCCATGCACCGACATCCGCGGTACTGGCCGCGGCGCGGGGACGAGGAGTTCGACCCTTATAGATGGTTGCATGCGGACATCACCGGGAGGACGCATGGTGGAGAGCAGAATGAGACGGGCTTTCTGGTCCCGCCGGCTGGATCCTTCGTGCCTTTCTCGGATGGAGCCAGGGGATGTCTGGGGCAGCATTTTGGGTTGGCGGAGCTGTGTGCTGTGGTGGCTGTTGTTTTTAAGCAGAATTCTGTTCGTCTTCTGACGAGCGAGGATGAGGCTAATGGGTTTGTTGATGGGTCTCCTGAGCTGTCGGATTCCTGGGCCGAGGCGAAGGAACGCGCCGAGAATGCACTCAGGGAGGGCGTGGAGTTCGATATGAGTTTGAGGCTGGTTCGCGAAGTTCCTGTTCGGTTTGACCAGCGGGTGTGACGCGTGTGTAGATGGGAATATGAGATGAATTTCATTCTACATATCGCATGCACTTGGAGAATACCTGCTCAGCAAATATATTACATTTGGACACGGGCTTTAAGTCCCTCTTCTCAGTTCCCATGAGTGCTCCAATGATCTATTGACTAACGTACATTCTTTTGCATTGGCCTTCCTTAAAATCAAACAAAGATGGCTAGTCCCAGAGCTATCAGCATAGAGATCCAGCGGTTAGGCAGCACGAATGAGCCGTCACTACTCAGAGGAGGAGTGGAAAAGGAAGGAGAGGCAGACGCAGACGGGACGCCAGACGATGACGGCGTCGACGATGAAAAGGTTCCATTCCCATTTGGCTTGGACACATCGTACAACTTCGCGAACCGCATCTCGTTCTTCCCAAAATCATAGACGGACAGCATGCTTTTCAAGAATGAAGCCCCGATGATGTTGATCGTCAGCCCCTGGATGGCCACATTCTGCGAACTGGCGATGGCAGAGATGCAGCCGTCTCCTGTCTGATAGACGAGGTCCTCGGGCTCGTGGAAAAAGGTCTGGTTTCCAATCTTGAGGCCAAATTCAGGGGGTGTTGCTGTGCAGTTCACGTTGTATGCTTTGAGCTCGGGGTTATAGATCGCCGGCGGCGAGAAGCGCGAGTTCACCGCATCTGCAACCTCCTGAGGCACGAAGGAAAGACTGTTGCCGATGTCGAAGAAGCCCTGGAACGAAGTCGTGTTGCTCTCAAGGTGCTTGTGGGAGGCGCCGTATGATGCACCGCCGAAGGTCGTAGCCCAGTAGGATCGAGCCCGCTTGTTGGAGGTGAACTTCGATGGGACTACGTCCATGATCTCGACGGGAGCGACGGTAAACTGCGAGCTATGGTTGACTGGTGGGAGCCCGCCGATTGTCAAGTAGCCGCCAAACCCGACCGAAGCATTCCGTGGTGTTCGGGCCAGGGCAATGCTGAAATAAGGATCCGTCAGGCCCTGCTTGAATGCGCTCACTAGGAGCGTATCGTAAGGCAGGCGGTTGTAGAAGAAGGTTGTGTTGTCATTCTTGTCCGCCGGATGGGCCGAAGTGATTGAAGGGTATGCGAGACCCAACAGGCCGCTGTTAACACCGTCACCCATGGGGTTTGACTGGTTGGCAATAGCCACTTTCTGGCCCTTCACGGTGATGCCGTTGATTGTGACGTCTTCGTACGCCATCACGCCGCTGGCGAGGCCAGCTCCATATTCGATTCCGAATATCTCACCTGGGATTTCCCGGTATGTGCTGGATTCATGGTATGTGTGGTTGGCATAGAGGCATTTGTATTGTGGGATCGTTTGGTTGTTATCTGGGCTGATGCAAGTGAAGCCATCGCGCATGACATAGGTGTCGCTGCTGCCGGTGTCAACCAGCATCTGGAACGTTTGATTGCCAATGGTCACCGGGGTGTCAAACACACTGCCGAACTCGGTGGCCGTGAGCTTGGACGTGGCATCGCCTGCTCGAACTCTCAAGGGTAAAGTGCGGGCCCCAACGAGGGTCAATCCGCTCACGGTATAAATAAATTGAAGGGTCTTCATGATTAATGGGTCAATGGGGTTTGAGAAGCTGATACATGTTCACGATATGGTCTTGGGTTGGTTTTTATATTCGATTCTGAGCCGTAGGAGAACTTCGTTTATTTTAGCATGGTGTCTAAGCCTCATTTTTTGGGCTGGATGAAATCTCCAAAACGTTAAATTCACCAACAGATCTATACAAATTATTCTGCCTTGGAATCCTCGATGACGTATGGCCCACTTTATCCACCCTCGTATATTTTAGTGCCCCTTAGCGCCATCAGATTCTTCCCGCACCCGGGAATAGCCTCATGGATGTGCCCTTATGTGACAGCCTTGTAAGCCAAGAGCTATGGGCATAGAAGCTTGTTCAAACAGCCGCGTCTATTAACCAACTCATGTCAGAGAAGATGCCAATCGCGCGATATAATTGGAAAATGAAATTTATAAAATGAAATTATTGCATTCGGGGCGGATTTACTAATCTTCGGTTAGAACAGGATCGTATATTTTGATTAATCTTAGATTATGCTGGAGTTCAAATCCTTTCAGTGGATTGCCTCATGTGAACTCTTTCCAAGTGATATGGAGTGTTCAAAGAATCTGCAATCGTAAGCAGTTAATTTCCCTACAAGGAAAAACGGGTGTGGAAGAGAAACAAAAGCAGTTAGAGTACTTCGATCCCAGGTCGACTAGGTGCTGTATTCTATAGCAGATATTTATACTCTGGCTCTCTATCAGTCGACCTCCACAGATCCGGGATCTCATACTGGCCATTTGCAAATCTCTCCCTCATTCCTCGCTTCCAACCCTCCCGTTTCAGATAAATATATCTCAACGCCCAACACCCCACCCAGACAACACCCAAACTCGCCAAACTCCACGCATTTCCCAGCACAAATTGTGGAGCCGACTTGTTCTGATAGATCTGTCCCGATATAATCCCTCCGATATTCGTCAATGTCAGCTGAACACCCAGACTAGCTGCTCTCTTGCCATCTGGCGCGCAGTTGCCAGATAACCAGGCGATGTTTGTTCCCGCACATAGGTAGCACGGCGTGGCGATGAGAAAGGTGGCGAAGTAGAGAGCGCCGGGAGAGACCTTCCAGGCTAGAAGGATCGCGTAGCCTGCAATGCCAATTGGGGCAGCGATTATCATGACGAGGAATCGTGCGTTGTATTTGTCTGAGATGATTGCGCCGACCCAGTAGATCGCTGCGCCCCAGAGATTGACTGGATGTTTGAGTAACATGTTAGAGAAATCCTGTGGAAGGGTTGGGTTGAAACTAACCAGGGATCACAAGGTATTGTGCCTGCTTAGTGGAGAAGTGAAAGCTGTTCTTTAAGATGATGGGTAGGAAAGTGCCGAATCCTTCGAGCTAATGTTAGTTCCATACTCAATAAGAATGTAAAATTACAAGAAGCAGTTAAACACGGACAGGGAGTAAAGAGAAGAAGGAATATACCATATAAGATCGTTACCGCGCAAATCTGCATCCCACCATGGACCCAGGTTTTGACATCACTCACGGCTGTTCGTACATCTTTCATATTATAGTGCCCTTTTCCACCGCTGTATGACTCCATTTCTTCTGCTCGTTGGCGCATTATTTTCTTGTCCTCCTCATTGAGAAAGTAGGCTCGCTCATAGTTCTCGGGGATGAGGAATATGCAGCAGAATGCAATGAAGATAGTAATTGCTCCTTCGATGATGTAAAGCCTGGGTATGGAAATGTTAGTTGGATATTTGCAAAGTGAAAAAGAAAAACAAAAGAAAAGAAAAAAAATGGCAATCCTAAGAAGAGCAGGAAAAAAAAGAAAGGTGACATACCATCTCCATCCTGCATATCCGGCCGCACCATCCATGTAAAGAATGGCAAATGCTATCAGCCCACCGAATGCACCAGCAAGCGCAGATGCAACTGGGAAATATCAGTGAAATTCCACCAGTGTCGACGGATTCGCTGACTTACTAAATAAATAAGACACTCTTGTAGCAAGCTCCTCCCGCTTGAACCAATTCGCCAGCAAGAGAGTCATACTCGGAAACAGCAGGCCCTCAAGCAGACCCAGAACCAGTCGACACGCAACCAGTCCTCCGAAGTTCTGCACGAAGCCGTTGCATAGGCACACAAGGCCCCAGCCAAATGCAGCCGCGGGTATGACTCGGTTGAATTGTAGCCGTTTCGCGAAAAGGGATATGGGAAACTTCAGGGCTTAGCAACTCATGGTGAGGAACTAGAGAGATGAGACTCACTTCGGCTAAAACGTAGAAAACATAAAATAGCGACACGGCAATCTAGTGATACAAAGTTAGTTTGTGTCTCACGCATGCATATATAGCACTCACATTTAGCTCCGACCCTTGAAGATTGATATCTTCCACCATTCCCTGTGTTGCTGCATACCCGATGTTGCCTCGATCCAAGTAGCTAATTAACATAAGCAGCATCATGACAGGTGCGATGAAGATGTCCAATTTCCGCACGAGCCGAACTTCCGCTTTGTGGTAAGCAATCTTTTCCCCGACTTCATAGTGTCCTGTGATCTGAGTTGTTTCTGTTCCTGCCTTAAGATCCTCGCTCCTAATTTTGAGGTCCGTCATCGTTTCCCTGGTCCTCTCAGTATTATCACGTATTGTAGGTGGCATCGGGAATCATTAAGGAAAAGGCTTAAGTATGGTCATGGAATAAACTTATGTTTGGGGAAGGTGATGTTGGGAAATGTATGTGGGCAGCGAAAAAACAGGGCATTTAAGAGATCGACACCAGACGGTAGCTGTGCCACCGTTGGAGAACCAAGAAATTCACTACCTAAAAGATAAATTTGCATCAGTGCGATAGAATGGCAGGGATATTAAGAGGGGTAGACAGGGGTCGAGTAGGGCTTTAGCATAACTTTTGCTATATTAGCTTTGGCCAACGGATTCGACCGAGGGAAATCGGACGTAAATAAAAGACTTATCCTTAATGGTTTTACTGATATATTTCGCGCTCGAATCTATTTCAATTAAGCAATAAAAGGCAAAACATACAAGGTTGTTTAAGTGATCCCAGATGTTTGCTGCGTCGGCTAGTCTAACAATCCCTGTCATACTTAGTTCAACAATCGCCTTGTCGGGAACGGCGTAGGACATTTGATATGCTCGCCCAATATGATTGGCCGACAATAGGGCAGTTCCCCAACAATCACAAGTGGCATCTTCTGCCCCGCACGAAGGATTTGAGCCCAGCGAAGCTATCCCGGACATTGGTATCCAACATGAACTTGTCGCATTGGGGCTTGCGCAGTACGTATAACTGCGCTTTCGTGGGATAACCAAAGGCATTTACTTAACAAATGTGTGAGGCTCTAGGGGTTGTTAGAGCCTCATTTGATTATGGATGAATATCATGGATCTTTTGTAATGACAGAATTAAAAAGCCCAGCCGTCTGAGAGTGTTTATTCGAGGTCGCTCACAAACGGCCAAAGCTCCCACTAGGGTCAAATTAGCCTCACGCCCCCGGAGCCTGCGTTTTATCCATAGCTATTTTTTGTGACGCACGGTTGAAGTGGCATTGGGGTAATTGGGGGAGGCAGACAGTCTCGCCGAGATTGAGTGCACGGGGATCGCGACTAATTAACATGACCTTCCTCAAAAGTTCTATATTTCTTATTAAAGAAAATGCGAGCCCACACATGTCTCACCGAGATTTTATACGTGTATGAGGTGACACCCGACTTGAATTTAGCACCAAGTCTCGATTTGCACAAAAAGCCGCTCCTACCTTGATCAGAAAGTCCTGAGTCCACTTTGTACATTTTGAACATGCTTTGAAGTCATGACCCAACTCCCAATGGAATCTCCCAGTACTGTCTCGGTACATACCCTAGAAGCCGGTAATTTGTCGTTACCCGAGCGATTCTTCATCACGCCGGTTGATGAGGAATACAAGAAGAAAACTGTTCCTTCTCTGTCATTTCTGATTCAACACCAGTCAGCTTTAACGGGCGAGATTACAAGAATCGTCTTCGACCTTGGAATCCGCCGGGATCCCGATCTTTACAGCGAAGCCATCCGCAATCATATTACCACCAGACTCCCACTGTATAGACACCCTGATGTCATTGAATCGCTTTCTTTAGGAGGCCTTGATAGCTCGAATGTTGACTACGTCATGTTCTCCCATGTTCACTGGGACCACGTCGGCATGCCTTCGGATTTTCCGAGTTCTTATTTCATCGTGGGTAACGGATCACGGGCGCTCCTAGATGGAAGCCAGTCACTGAACAATGGAAGTCATAGTCACTTCGAAAGTGACCTTCTTCCATTGGACCGAACATTCGAGTTGCCTTCCTCTGCGGAGTCCACTTCAGGTCCAAAAGTCCAGCAGAAGCATCTTCCTTTATTGCTATCGCGACTCTCTGAAGGCGATTGGACCTCACTGGGACCTATACCAAATGCAATCGATGTCTTCCGAGACGGAAGTCTCTGGATCGTGGATGCGCCTGGTCATCTTCCAGGCCATACGAACTTACTTTGTCGCGTCAGCGTCAACCCTGCGCGATATGTCTATCTTGCCGGAGATGCCTGCCATGATCGACGTATTCTGGCAGGCTCGAAGAACATTGCAGAATGGACTGATCCGCAGTACCCGCATAAGGTGTGCTGTGTTCATGCCAATAAGGAGCAAGCAATGGAGACCATTGGGTGGATTCGGGAGCTTGAGAGTGGAAGGACGGGATTGGGGGAGGTCGAGGTTGTGCTGGCTCACGACGTTTACTGGGCTGGCAGTGCGAAAGGATTTGGTAGATACTTTCCAGGGCATTTATAAGGATCTCTCGTAAGAGATGCGAATTCAGCTTTCGTACACTGCACAACCTATGACAACTTCTTGCAGATTATGTCAACGTATATGTTCGGCGTTGATACGATTTTACACCTTTAGTATCTTCGGTAACTTGACATGCTTTTTTTTTTTTTTTTTTTTTTTTTTTTTTTTTTTTTTTTTTTTTTTTGAAATTGTTACTCCGATTTAAGGAATACTCAGACGTAATCGGGTCTTTCCTAGGAAGGCCTAGAGACTAGGTACGGCATGAGTACTGTACTTCTATCGCCAATGCTTGGGCTTCCCCAAATACCCCAACACGTTCCCCGCAAACCCCCAATTTCCCCGCGGGTCTCGCATTGAGCATCTCTCCATTTTTCTTAGTTCTGCCAATTTCACATCACATTTCATAAACTATAATTCATGAGGAATAAAGGCTCCCCGAAAACTTACCCCGCGTTTCTGTTTAACGTGATCCCCATAGCTCCAGCATACTCGCTCCAAGCTTCCTGTACCTCCCCCAAAGCCCACTTTAACAGCTCGACTGATCACGAACATGGTGTCTACGCGTGGATCTGTTGCGTCTACCCCAGACCCAGCTCCTCCGAGTAAACGTTTCAAGTGTAGCTTCTGTCAGAGGCGATTCAGTCGGCGAGAGCACCTACAGCGACATAACTCTATTCGTTAGTGTACCTTTGTGCAAGAGGAACCTTAGGTCTAACTCAGATAACATAGACTATGGCCAAAAGCCATTCGGGTGTACCGTTTGCAGCTATGCATGTCGTCGCAGGTAAATACCCTCAGTGTTATATCTATTGCATGTCACTCCTGCTGATCATGCTTCCCAGGGATCTTCTGAATCGCCACATCAAGCTTTCTCATTCTAAAGAGCCATCGGTTAATGAAGATAGCCGAAACAAACCTCGTTTAAACCTGATTACAACTACTGCAAATGGTCTGTCAGAGCAACGTCCTTTAACCGTGGCTCCCATAGTAGTCAATGCTAAGTGATCATAGATTCCTCCCCAAGTCAAGCCCCGGAAAATAACCGACAGCTACAGCCCAGCCAGAGTAGAAGCCTTGTTCAAAACACGATTTGGACTTCGGATCCCTCACGCCCAGCTGATACAGTTCCAGTTACGCCTTATATCAGTGATAATGGCCAGTTTGGTACGGTTTCTGCCGATGTATCCACATTTCTTGAGCCACCTAGTGACCCTCACTCTTTTTCCTTAAATTATCTCGATAGTGTGGCTCTTCCTTTTCTTGTGGATCAGCCAGCACTATTTCCGGAACTATCACTGAACGATCCATTCTCTCATTCACCACCCTTTGCCAATGACATTGGTCAGAAACCAGACGTTGATGCCTTTCAATCAGACCAGCCGAATGCGAATCCTCTTTCTTTGCCGTCCGATGTAGGACGTCACCATGATCATCTTGCGCCATTTCTGCGTGTTTCACAAGATGACCACTTGTCGCTATCCTCCGAGGTTTCGAAATTTAACTATGTGTTACCGATAGGCTACGAGCTCCCGTCTCGTCATGCTATCTCTCGATATCTACATGGTTTTATTAACGGCTTTCATCCCCACTTTCCCATCATTCACCCACAGACTTTGTCGTTAAGAGAAATGGCTCCGGAATTTACCCTCGCACTCGCGGCTGTGGGGAGCCAATACTGTTTGGAATCGCATCAGGGATTGAAACTATTTTCCATCGCGCGGACGATCGCAATCGAGAAAGTTCGCCTGCGTGACCTTGAAAAAGATCAATCTTTGGTTGTTCATCCGCCAGCATCATACCCACAGACGCCCATTTCGCCAGGCGTTCGCTCCGTTGAAGGGTTGAACCAAGAAATGGCACAACAGATACCTGGTCCAGATAATGACCACGCTCTGGTTGAAACTATGCAGGCCTTGTTTTTTCTCATGGCCATGAGTACATGGGGCGGTGAAAACAGGTCATTAGTGCGACAGGCAATTTCCACGCAGAGCATCCTAGCAATGCTGGTTCGGCAACACGGTCTAACCGAAACATATGCGACCCCAAAAGATCAAGCATGGAAGCAATGGGCGAGGGCCGAAAGTGCCCGGCGCCTCAAGCTTATTGTTTTCTCTTTCTTCAACCTTCACACGTTGGTCTTCAATCTTCCGTCGCCGTTGATGATAGCAGATATCCAACTCCGGCTCCCGTGCTCGGAGTCTGAATGGAAGGCTCCGGATTCGGATTCTTGGTTTTCTGTACATCAGAAGTCTCAGCCGTCGCCGCAATCTCAGGAGTCTATTTCCGAGCTACTGCAGAATGGAAGTGGAAGTCCGCTATGCTCTTCTCTTGGAAGTCATGTGCTCATTCACGCGCTCTTGCAACATGTTTTTTCTACGAGACACTCGACTCAACTGGAAAACAAGGAAGAGGTCACTGGGCCAGGCCACTCGAATACACTACGACAGGCATTAAAGAAATGGCAAAAGGGATGTGAACTGAATCCCGAATCGTCGCCTAGCCCGTTGGATAAACACGGCCCCATCGCCTTTAATTCCACTGTGCGTTGTTATCGCTCATCCAACGTAATGTTCAACTGCTGACAGGCTTTTTCAAGGCTCTCTTCCATCTCGCATACATTCGCCTGGTCATCGATATCGGACCAGCTCGCTCCCTTCTCGAACAGAATCATGTGCAGATTGCGACCAGACTGAAAGACCAGCCGAAACTGCAACGAGGGCCCATGCTAGTTCTAGCTGCTAGACACGCGGTACGTTTAATGTTCCATGATGATCGATACGATTCTTCCTCGCTTCTCCAGTCTTTCTGTTTCTATGTTCCCGATCGAATATCCAGCTAAAACATCTCCTCAGACCGCCGCCCTATCCTCTCCTGTCCAGATGGGCGTATACTTCGTCAGCCGAGTCCCAAACTGGTCGGTCATGCATGCCGTGTGTGCACTCGAATACGCATATATTCTAAACCAATTCCTGCAAGCCACGACGGCTCCTGATCTAGACTACCCGTTAGAGTCAGATGAGCGTGCGCTGTTGAACGCGATCAAGGAGACGTTGCGGGAAGTTGAATCCTCCACACCAAATGGAAGCCCGCGGGCCATAGATACTATGCCCCAGCTGCTTGGGTCGAAGGCTGTTCGTGCGTGGGCATTGATATTGCAGGGGATGAAAACTTGGAGCACGGTGGATTTGATTACAAGGACGTTGTTTATGTATGCTAAGTTGTTGGAGGGAGGAGATGGCCCCTAGTATGCGCAATTATTCCGTTAAATTCTTTCTTGTGCTCCTGTCGGCCTACTCATGAGAGTTTTACAAAATGAAAGCCCAAGGTCAGTTAAGTTCGACTTTTGGTGCCAGCGGTGTGAGCTATAAGCGCCTATCCTATCCAATGGGAGGTATAAAAAGCATATGAAAAGAAATGGCGAGATCCGAGCACGAATGAGGCGCAACAATAAGTTCACTAGCAGATTATTGTGGAAGATTGTTGGACTCCGGCTTGTTGTGGTTGGAAAAGGTGACAAATCATCATCCGCCATGTCATCTCTCGATCTGCACGCCAGGTAGGCGTTGCGAGGCCATAGTTGTACACACTTCACACCGGCGACGAAGCGCGAACCTAATATAAAGGGCGTCGGATATCTCTTTTGCGAAATCATGTCTTCCCTAACGCATTATCACCATGAAACAAAAGAGGTATAGCTTTAGTTTTCAACTAGATGTCCAAAGGTACTTGCTAACACATAGCAATTAGAAAGCTCACACACAGTTCATACACTGTCGGGTGGATTGCCGTTCTGCGCTGCGAATTGGTCGTGGCAAGGCTTCTCCTGGATGAAGAACACCAGGCGCTTGACCAAGACGAATCCGACGACAACAACTATGTCCTTGGTAGAATGGGAACACACAATGTTGCCATTGCATTCCCTGGGGCAAGGATATATGGAACCTACGGGGCTGGTCGAGCGGCAACTAATATGCTTCGAACTTTCCTTAACATCAAATTCGGCTTGTTGGTCGGTGTTGGAGGAGGTGTTCCAAAGCCACCGAATGCTGAAGATGCATATCAAGACATCCGACTTGGCGATGTCGTTGTTAGCCAGCCAAATGAGGGCCATGGTACGGCTCCTACCCTTTTCGCTTGACGTACTGTTTGAACTTATATAATTTATGTATCTCAGGTGGTGTTCTCGAATTTGCCATGGGAAATTTGAATAATGACGAGAACATCAAACCCATGTCTCATTTCGACAAACCTCCAGCACATATCTTGAAAGCAGTCAAGCTGCTACGATCCGACCATGACTTCGAAGTAGGCCAGATGGTCACATGTATCGAAGAAGTCTCGGAAAGAGTGTCAAATATGCCAGTCTTGAAAGACTATCAATTTCCCGGACGGGAGCATGATCAACTCTTCAAAGCCAACTATCCGCATGGCCCGGGAGAGGAGGACTGTTCAAGTTGCGATCCTGCACAGACTGAGCGGCGTCTTGACAGAGATCTTCACGCCCCAGTAGTTCATTATGGTCTGATTGCGTCCGGAGATGCTGTCATGCGATCTGCCTTCTATCGTGATTGGTTGCGGGACGCATGGGATGTCTGCTTCTTTGAAATGGAAGCAGCCGGACTGATGAACAGCTTTCCTTGTCTTGTCATTCGGGGTATCTGTGATTATTCCGATCACCATAAGAACACAATGTGGCAGCCATATGCTTCGCTAACAGCGGCAGCCTACGCAAAAGATCTTTTGAGAATAGTAAGGGGTAAGGAAACTGAAGACATCTCCCGGTCGGACGATACTGTCTGCTCTTCTAATGGGGAGCTCCCTAGAGGTGAAATGGCAGAATACCCTACGGCAATGCCAGATCTTAACTATCATATGTTTCAACTTGTCAAGAGATTAGAAGGCAGAATCACGGCGCTTGAAGGTAGGTAATTCCTCTGGATGGAACCTCCCATATGGATCACTGACGAAACCAGAGCAAGTGTCTTGGACTCCCCAGGTCGAGTCTGGACAATTTAAGCATGACGCCAATGACCTTTATCGCAATAGAGCTTGCCCGGATTCAATATGGACACACTGGGAGAAAAGAATAGACTTTGATCAGTCCTTCCGTCAACCACCCCAAGTAATGGTGTCACTTGGAGGTCACAACGCGATTCCAATAACTGATATTTTTGTCGGGTCAAAGAGCATTGATTCACATGGCTTTACTCTTATTCTCTGGGCTCAAGATAAAGCTAGGGCCTCTGGAGTGGTATCTTGCTGGATGGCAGTCAGCAATCAGGGCTTTCATCATAGTAGATCTTTTATTCTTGACCCAAATGAACCAGGAGAAAACAAATCGGGTTCCTGAAAGATAATACATTTTTCGTTCGGTAATACGACAGTTTATAGACTGGCCATGAAGATATAACCATCAGATGTATTATTCCGTAGAAAGGTCCGGATAATTTAAATCATGTTGTCGGTAGATAGGGCCAATGTTCAGTTCAGGAGCTTACAGCTACTTTTCCAGTCATTCGATTAAAGCGTCTAGTAGCTTGACCTAGAGTCCAACGTTGAGCGATGGAATCATGTCCAGAGCCTTCTGGGTGTAAACTGACAGCTCTTGATTGGCTACCAACGCCGCCGGGTGGAGGGAAGTTCAATGGACATTCATTCTTCATAACTCTACATGTCTTTATTGTGGACGCCACAAACTTAAAAAAATTAAATTCCATACCAAGACCGACTCTACTCACTGAAGAACGGCCTTCTAGATGGATCTTGGAGATCTCCATAGTCCAGATTCAGGGGATCACCACTCCGATTTTGGAGTTTGGAGTGCGAGCAGTGGGTATGTGGGTGTCATGAGGTCCCTAAAAGCGTGTCGGCGGTCTCCTCGGATGGTTTGAACCTTTTATCCTTATAATCTCCAATTCCCGGTAGTAATCACTCACCTTTGCTCTTCCGGCTGAATGATTGATCTCCGACCTCCGCGATTTAAATCTACACCCCTGATAATATTGTCACAGGCAATACAGGTCCGTCATTATCGAGAGATCCCTTGAAGCGACTGCGAGACATGACATAAACACGGACTCGGAAACGGAGGATCGACAAATAGTCCCAAAAGTTGTCCTCAGGCAGCGTTTTGGAGAGCTCAGCCATTGAAGCTGCCTACATTCCTGCGCCTCGAATCCAACCAATAATTTTCACTTGGTAACTATCCCCAAGGGACAATTCTAGATCTCCCGAGGATACTTTGAACCATCACGCGAATTCGAACTTTTTGTCGGAGCAGTCAACCTATAAGATGCGCCGAATATGCTATGGAAAATCTGGACAGCTGCAAAAGACACTTCTCCACCACGGTCTAGATGACAGGCTTATTTGCGGCAATGTGTCATTGACATGGCATTCGTCCTATGACAGTGTGACATTTGGGATCAATCCATGGAATGTTGGTCTCGGCACCGCATTCGTACCCACGGCTCATCCCTTGTTAACTCTCCTCGCGAAGTCTATTGCGCCAGCAACCCTCGGCAACCTTCAGGTTGAAATCTTCAAAGAACCCAGCAATCCTGCGAAAGTATCTGGTTCTGTTCACCACTCACCCTGTCCGGGAGAATGATCTCCCCATGCGTTTTCCCCATCAAGGCGGCACCACTACGGCCGTCTGGGAAGACGGAGATGTTGGTGACCAGGTGCAGAAATACGTGATCTCGGTTTTTGCTGCCATAGCTTGGTGCAATGCCCTCGAGCTCATTGTTCTTTGCTTCAGCACCTTCAAGCGATACCGCGGTTGTTACTTCTGGAGCTTGTTAATTGCCTCGGCCAGCCTCATCCCACATTGTTTGGGCTACATCTTCTATATCTTCCCCCTCGGCATTTCGCCTTATGTGTCGGTGACTCTGATTCTTCTGAGCTGGTGTGTCATGGTGACAGGACACTCGCTCGTTCTGTGGTCGCGACTCACCCTTGTTCTGCAGTCGCAGAAAGTTCTCAGGGGGATTCTCACTCTGATTATCGTCGACGCTATTATCTTACATATACCCACTGTGGTCCTAATGTACGGGTCCATCACGTTGGAGCCATTTGCGACAGGATACAATATCATGGAAAGAATCCAGCTCGTTTGGTTCTGTGTCCAGGAAGTCATTATCTCGGGGACATATGTCTGGGAAACGGCAAAGACCTTACGAATCCGCCCCGAAAGCCGCCACCATAAGATCCTCGCACAACTTCTCATGACCAACGTCGTCATTCTCATCCTCGACGTCGCCGTCGTCGGAATCGAATATGCCGGATACTATGCGCTTCAGGTCATGTTCAAGCCGGTCGCGTACAGCATCAAGTTCAAACTCGAATATGCCATCCTCGGTCGCTTGATTCAGATCGCCAAGGGGGGTTGCTCGAACGATAGCCCGTTGTCATATACACCGCAGGAGTCAAGCTCGCATCGGTCGCGTCAGGGACGGTCGAGCGGTAGTGGTCAGGAGGATAATATTGATCGAGAGATCAGGGCATGCATGCACCCTGTGGAAACAACGGAATGTCGTCGGCGATCATCCCTTGTCTGTTAATTCATAATCTTACCTTGTATCTATGAAGCATTTTATTTTTTCAAATCAAAAATAGAATAATGATAGACCTTCATGTTAACTCTTTGTGTTTCTGAGGGTAAATGTACAATTCGGTGTCATTTCCAACGCGCAGAATCGTGTTAGAAGATGGATGCAAGTCAGACAGCCCCTTGCTTCATCAATCTCGGGCATTCTGGGCATAATACCTCATAGAGGTTGGTAGTCTCGGATTCGAGCTTCGTCATCGATGGTATTCACCGGATTGCCTCATTTTAATAACTTTTCAAAGTGGAAACCTTGATGACCACTGACTATCATATGGTGTAGATGGGTATAGGGTTCTCGGGCTTCTGGTGAGATTTAGCCTACGACTCCCAATTTCTCAATGGATCCATGAACCATCGTAAACAATACAATCTCAATGTTCTTTTCCTATATTCCAATCCTCTTCCTATCTTCTGCCTAGTTGTATCCATCTTGCAGCATTATAGGGCGTATGGTATTTACAGTGAGTCAATTTTGCAGATGCTCCTCCAGTCCGTTGTACATGTACTACCTGTGGGATATTCTCCGGCAGTGCTCTGCAAGGATTATCACTCCTGCGCGATTTCTTCTGTCGATATCTATTCCGTATATGCGCTGTTAATGTGAGATTTTGCGGTCTGACGAATGGACTTTTCGACGGCTGCGTGGCTGAACTATCAAGGGATATGCATGTCGTTGTTTTAATCCCTCAGTTCTGGCGTCACTTTTCATTTGGCTCATGTCTGATTTCATTTGCTCTCTTCGAATTGGGTTTCTGTATTTATTTTCTTTTTTTTCAAATAAATCCTGATGTCAACTATTTTTCTGGCTCAAATACCTTGCGTGGAGAGGTCCACAATATGATGGCCCGGCTAAAATATATATTTTGCAAATTGAACATCCAGCAGAAGAAGTTGGAAGGATTAGACAGTACTATATGACTATAGAGTTATGGTACAAAGAGTACTGAGTATAGAAGGAATAGACATTGACTACTCTGTATAAAAGCAGAAGGTAACAGACTTAACAACAGATAGCATCGTACGGTTAACCGCCTGAGGCACCCGAGTCATGCGTTGCGGCCTGAGGCAGCAGGTAAATCACGTGGCGACCGCAGACCCGCGAAAAGACCCGACGGAAGCAGCAGCAACGCACCAGATTCGTTCCATCATCCCAGACCCAGACGCAGCGAGCCAAGCATCGGTGGCGTTGCCGACTCGACCAGCCGGCCAATGTTGGGATCGTGCCTCTCAGGGCCAAAGTCAATTTGCTCCGACTTTCAGGCTAAGAGTTAAGCGGTTTTCGGTGAGCCGCAGACTCCCGATGGCTGTCGGTCTTCTTCACGCCGATTAAGGCAGCTCCTTTCGGGCCTAACGCAGTGCAGTAAAGTGGCTGGGGAGCAGGAAAGCATCTGCGGAGCAAAGCAGGACTTTCACATGTCAAATGTCGAACGAAAGTCGGAAAAATCCGTCCCCAACAAAAAGCGAGGACGGACTCCACTGCGCTGTGGAGATACGGGGCAGGGTTCGATATTGAATGCGACCAGCCTGCGAGCCACGCTTTTCACTGGCCACGCGTTGCGACATCTCGGCTGCTTGCTGACTAGGCGGGATTCATTGGATGAGAATGGGTGGGATACGATAACCCAATCCAGCAACGCTGCCCCTGCCAACCGCTGGTTGAGGACGATACTAGACTCAAGCCGGCTCCAATCTCTTGCCTCTCCCCCACTGCCTGACGGAGTACAATGGACGGAGATGCTCTTCCAAGTTCTGGGGCTTTCTGGAACCACATTTCACGGCCGGAGGCAAGGCGCTTGTCAATAATGAGGCCTTTCTGCCAGCGTCGTCATGCGGTTTGCTGGCTCTCCGGTCAAGAATCTCGCGTGGTGGCTGTCGGTGAGTCCCCTTTTTCTTTCGGCCTGCCGGTGCAGCAGTTTCATTCATCGCTGGTGAAGATTTATTATGACTATTTCTAACCATTCTCTCGTTTCTTCTCTTTAGCACCGCCGTAGACCTCGAATCCCTCTCGCGCCCATCTTATTCAGGAGTACCCAAGCCGGTTGAGCTCCCTCTCCTACCCTCTGTCCTGCCGCGACCCATTGTCCTCGTGTAACCAGACAATGTCGATAATCGACACCACCAAAGACCTGTCGGCGCTGTTCACGCGACAAGCGATTGACACGCCCGATGCCGTTGCGCTGGAAGACAATTCTACCATCTACACATATGCCGAGCTAGATCGCGAGGTCGAGACGTTGGCCCGTCGTCTGCGGGCTTACGGTGTTGGTCGAGACCGGCTGGTGGGCGTGCTTTTGCCGCGAACTGCTCACTACGTGATTGCGTGCTTGGCCGCTCTCCGTGCCGGCGGGGCCTTTCTCGTTCTCGAGCTTGCTTATCCCCCGGACCTTCTGACCGAGGTCATTGCCGATGGCAATCCCTCCGTCGTGATCACCTACCGTGCGGAGGTCGGTAAGATCCAAGGCAATGTCCCGTTGATCGTGCTGGACGAACCGCCGACGGATAGCAACGGACACACCCAAGAAGCGCCTCCCCTGCCTGCGGATGATGATCTGGACCGATTGGCGTTCGTGTCCTACTCGTCGGGAACGACAGGAAAGCCCAAAGGCATTGCCAACCCCCACAAGGCTGCCGTGCTATCATACAACCTCAGATTTGGAGTGCAAGATCTGCAACCAGGCGATCGAGTTGCCTGTAATGTGTTCTTCATCTGGGAGATTCTGCGCCCGCTATTGCGCGGTGCGACCGTCGTGGCCGTGCCCGACGAAGTCAGCTACGACCCAGCCGCGCTCGTCGATCTACTGGCATCGAAGAAAATCACCGAAACCCTCATGACCCCTACCCTGCTTGCGACCGTGCTGTCCCGCCACCCGCATATTCGAGAGCGCCTCCCTGACCTGCGCACGTTGTGGTTCAACGGCGAGGTGGTAACGACCGATCTTGCCCGTCGCGCCATTCAATCTCTGCCCAAAACGCGCCTCCTCAATTGCTACAGTGCTTGCGAGACCCACGAGATCGCCTGCGGAGACATCCGGGAAATGTTCGACGAGGAATCGCTGTACTGCCCCGTCGGCCCGCCGCTCGACCGTAAAAACACGCATATTCTCGACGAGAGCGGCCAAAAGGTGGATGTCGGAGTGAGTGGAGAGCTGTTTGTGGCGGGTCCCCTGCTGGCTCGGGGATACCTGAACCTGCCCGAGACGACGACCAAGGCATTCACCTCCAATCCGTTCGACTCGCTCTCCAGCTCTCGGCTGTATAAGACGGGCGACCTGGCGCGCCTGCTGCCCTCGGGATACCTCGAGATCACCGGTCGCGTGGGCGCCATGATCAAGCTGCGCGGATACTCGGTGGTGCCGGCCAAGGTGGAGAGCGACATCGTCAAGAACCTGGCCGTTCGCCATTGCGCGGTGATTGCCCATGGAGAGGGTCTGGAGCGACAGTTGGTGGCGTACATCGTGCCCGACCGTGAGGATCCCGCCGGACGGCCCGCGGTGGAGATCAACGAGTCTGGCCACAGCCCCGCGTCGCGCCGCACGCTGGCTCCGTTCCTGGCGCATTATATGATCCCGGCGTTGTGGGTTCAGCTGGAGGATCTGCCGACCCACGAGGTCACTGGAAAGGTTGATCTCTCGCGTTTGCCCCCTCCACGCAACGACCACGTCAACGGCAATGGCTCCAAATCCAAGGACCCCGTCAGTCTCGACCAGGTTGCTTCGATTTGGGCGGCCGCCCTGAAAACCTCCAAGAGCCTACTGAAGGCCGAAGACAACTTCTTCGATCTCGGTGGTCACTCCCTGTCGCTGGCAGATCTGTCGTCGAGACTCTCGCGCCATTTCGGCTTTCGCGTCCCCATTGCGCGTCTCGCCGAGAATTCTACCCTGAAGGGCCATCTGGAGACTGTGCGTGCTATCCGAGATGGACACACGGAGGCTGTCCAGGCAGACCTACCGGCCGTTCTGCGCGCCGATGCCATTCTGGACGAGGACATCCGACCCTCGAACGCCACTATCTGCTCCGTGGACAAAGCCGAGACCGTCCTTCTGACCGGTGTGACCGGTTTCCTGGGTGCATTCCTTCTTCACGACCTGATCGAAAACACCTCCGCTCGCATCATCTGTATGGTGCGATTCAACGAACCGGCGGATGACGACCAGCCCGGGGGTATTGCCAGAGTTCGCCGCAACCTGCTTGATCTTGGACTCTGGAACGACGCGATCATGGAGCGGGTGGAGATCATGCCCGGAAATCTGTCCCGATCCCGCTTCGGTCTGTCGCAGGAGGCGTTCGACGAGCTGGCTGGACGCGTCCAGGTTATCGTGCATGCCGCCGCCACGGTCAACCTGGTCTATCCCTATGCTGCGCTGCGTGGCCCCAATGTCGGAGGAACCCGAGAGATTCTGCGTCTGGCTTCCAAGGGCGGAGCCACCGTACAGTACGTCTCGACCAACGGAGTTCTGCCCCCGTCCAAGGAGAAGGGATGGCCCGAGGATGCCATGCTCGACGTGAACGACGTGCCGGAGAAGCTGCTGGATGGCTACGGACACTCGAAGTGGGTGGCTGAGCAGCTGGTTCTTGAGGCTGGTCGTCGCGGGCTTCCCGTTAAGATCCATCGCGCGGGTACCATCAGTGGCCACAGCCGTACGGGTGCCGCCAACGCCTGGGATCTTCTGTCTGCGTTGATTGTCGAGTCCATCAAACTCGGCTATGCTCCCGACGTTGAGGGCTGGCGCGCTGAGATGACGCCGGTTGACTTTGTTAGCAAGGCTATCATTCATCTTTCCACCCAAACCCATGCGGAACAAACCGTCTTCCATCTTGGCGATCCTACTCCGGTTGATACACGAACTGTCTTCGATGCTCTGAACGAACTCGGCTACCCGACCGAGCGACTGGGATGGGACGACTGGGTTGCCCTGTGGACGAAGAATCGCTCCGGCGTGAAGGGTGGAGACGGTGGCTTCACCGTTGATATCCTTCGCAGCGGTATGCCGACCGTCGATTTCCTCCAGGGGATTGTCGTGCTCGACAACACCGCCACACGACCTTTCCGCGCGGTGGTCGAACGCCCTAAGGTGGACCGAGCTTTGCTGGAGACCTACACGCGTCACTGGTTCGCCCGAGGATGGCTGCCGCACGCACCTACTCGCCTTCACGGTCGCGCCTTATCTCCCGCAGCCATTAAGGGACCCCTTAGTGGCCGCGTCGCCGTCGTTACGGGCGCTTCGTCCGGAATCGGCGCTGCGGTCGCCACCGCCCTCGTCAAGGAAGGCTGCAACGTCGCTCTGGCCGCCCGACGCCTCGACGCGCTGGAGGCCGTCCGCGCCAAATTCGCCCCTGGCGGCGGCAAGGTCATCATCCGCAAAACCGACGTCACGAAGCGAAGCGACGTCGAGTCCCTGCTCAAGGACGCCGCTGAAGAGCTCGGCCCTGTGGACATCCTCGTCTCCTGTGCCGGAGTCATGTACTTCACCATGATGGCCAACTCCCAAACCGAGGAATGGGACCGCACCGTCGACGTCAACTGCAAGGGTCTGTTGAACTGCCTGTCTTCCACCGTCCCCGGCATGCTGTCGCGAGGCGCCGGCCACGTCGTCGCCATTTCTTCCGATGCCGGCCGCAAGGTCTTCCCTGGCCTGGGCGTCTACTCGGCCAGTAAGTTCTTCGTCGAAGCTACGCTGCAATCTCTACGTCTCGAGACCGCGGGGATGGGCCTGCGCGTCACGAGTATTCAGCCTGGAAACACCGCCACCGACCTTCTCGGTATGTCGACGGACGAAGAGGCGGTTAAGAAGTTCGGAGAGCCTTCGGGCGCCCAAATCCTGGACCCTGCGGATGTCGCGCGCTCCATTGTTTACGCGTTGAAGCAGCCCGAGCATGTTTCTGTTAATGAGGTTCTGATCGAGCCGAGAGATGAGCCGATCTAGTGTCTTATACTTGGGGAGGAATGTGGTAATGTCTTGTGGTAATTTGGTTTGTTTTCAGATAGAATATGTCACGATAATCCATTTTGTTTCATTGGTTACATTGCTTCATCATAGTACAGACATGCGCATAGGCAAGTACTCCATCGTAAGACTTAATACCTATCCAGAAAGGGTCATCAATACCACATCCAAAACGTATTCTGGTCAAGTATCTCGAGTCACTACCCCCTCCCATCGCCTTCGAGCTGAGACCCCATGATCAGAAAACCCCAAAATTCAATCGATCACTCAATCCCGCCCACCAAGTTGTATCTACTTCGGCTCCCTGATCTCGCCCACGCCCTTGGCTTTCGTGTCGTGAGTCCGACGTCCTATCTGGTCCCACAGTCGACAACACCCAGTTCGGCAGAAGCGAACGACATCGTCCCTCTGTTATCCCTGCTTCATCGTAATCAAATCGATAATTAGAATAGCCAAAACAGGGTAATTGGAGGACGAAGTGGAGGTATGAATGCAGATATTTGGTTTCGAGGGAGAGAAGGGAGAGGTTCTGGGGCGAGTGAGTTATAGAGGGAGATGCTGATGCCGACGGTGACATTGAGAGTGAGGGAGCCGGGGCTTCATAGTGAGGAGATGGATATTCATAATTCCTCCCGCTGGTCAGACGATCAGAGACCGAGGGCCTAGAGACATGAGCGACCAGGTTATTTAAAAGTAGGACCAAAGCCGTCCATTCCGCGACTAGATATGAGAACTCGTTCGTTGGGAAGGTCTTCGGATCAGGGAAGTAAGACTTGCTTTCCGGGGAGTCGATACAGGTTGACTTATGAGGTGAGCAAAGTAAAAATTCGGGGTGTGCGGATTTTAACCATGCTATTCGCCAGTTGAGTAGGTCTGTGTGGAGCTGTTGGCAGCGTTGAATTGAATCTGGATCCACATGTTGAACTTGATGATGGGATGAAGTTGTCTGTGACATGATAGAGTATACAGAGGTGACTTTCGCAGCGATGTCATATAGTCGATCTCGATGGGTCTTTCTGGACTTCTTCCAAGGGATGGTCATCCATTCTCGGCGAGAGAGAAAGGAACTCTGGCCTCTCGAGAGAAGATAGAGGATCTAATTCCAGTGTCAGCGATATCATCCCATCATGACAACTCGCCAAAACGAGAAGGAGGAAGAATACCGCCATCTCCCTTAACTTCCTAAAAGCCTCATGCGTCGCCCCCAGCTGGAACTCCCCTGGCCCCTGCTTTTGCATGAGCGCCAACGCGCCGTTTAAATGACCCGCCCAACCGGATCCATATATCTGGGTCGGACGTTGCTGCACAGCCTCGAACAGCGTAAAGACTAATGATATGACAACCAGTACGGACTTGGGCTTGTCCGTACGAGATACGTCATTCAACAAGCGACTGAAGATCTGCAAACTAGCGCTATACGCACTAAGGCTGAAGACGTGATATGCTCTGTCTGTGCTCTCCGGGGAGCATGATAGCCGCATCGTCGCCAGAGCAATCAATGCGAGATCTAACGCGCTGTTCTGGGGCCCTGTCGACGAGATCCCAACGGACCACGCGTCCGGGGTGCATGCGTATCGTGAGTTGAAGTTAGTCCATAGCGTAATGAAATGAGCCGAGAACTCCCCCGCTGACAGGTCCAACGTGTTCAGGGATATGGGGGAGATGGAAATTGAGTCTCGAGCCTCAGAGTGGAGAGTGCGGGTGGCGATGTGTTGGTCTTTGCTTGTTGAGATGGCTTGGCTGATCAGGGGTCTGATGGGGCCTTTCAGGTTGTTCGAGTCGAGGTTGATGAACACTTTGCGTCCGGTCTCGTAGCCTAGGCATTTTCGGCCGGAGAGCTCGCATGTTTTACAGTGAGGATGGGATTTATCGCACTGGTTTGGTTAGCTGGGTAGAGGTGAAGGAAGATTAAGAGACGAACGGCTTTCTTGCGGGCCTGGCACGTGCGACAGGGTCGTGACATCATGAGCCCTAATTTGATGAACTCATGCTCCGGAGTGAAGGCAGACATGATGCGAACGGTGGACTCTGGATCATTTGTCTCGACCCGAGATCGATCAGCACTAGCCTGCTTTAGCATATCGGGCCGTCGGAAAGATGACTTGAACGACTACGCTTGGGGCTGCCAAGTTATTGGTCAATGGTTCGTGTTTGCGCTAGATTACGGGGCTTATTTCGCCTGACAGGCACCACTATTCCTGTGTGGGAAGTTGGATAGAACATCGGTGCAGATGCCCCACTGCTGGTATACAATGCTTTTGATACAACGTGGTGGCTACAGACATATGGCTACAGACGTGGAGGAGAAGCCGGGTATATAAACATGAACAGTTACCAGGAACATTGGCAGTAATACAAACAATGGCTCTTCTCTCTCCAGTCGCAAAGGCTTATCTCTACCAGTCCTGTCCTTCATACAGATCTACCATGTCTACTCCCACTCGAATCTTTGCCGGGGTCCCTCTCATAGACACCCCCCTCGTCCAGAAAGCCATCGACTTCGCCCGCCATCACAACGACACCCTCTCATTCAACCACGCCTACCGCTCATGGGTCTTCGGCGTCATCATCGCCTCCAAACTCCCCTCTTTCTCAGACATCGATCATGAAGTCCACGCTGTGTCTGCTCTCCTCCACGATCTCGCCTGGGACTGCAGGACCAGTCCCTTCGTCTCACCAGACAAACGCTTCGAAGTTGACAGTGCCAACGCCGCGCGAGACTTCCTCACCCGCGAGGCTTCACACTTCGACGCTCGTCAGCGTCAGCTCGTATGGGATAGTATTGCGCTGCATACGACTTCGAGTATTGCGCGTCATAAAGAGCCCGAAGTCGCGGTCTGCAGTATGGGCATTTTTGCGGATTTCAGGGGTCCGCAGTTCCCTGGGGGGCTGCTTACAAAGGCCGAGTACAATGCGGTCGTTGCGGAGTTGCCGGCTGATGGGTTTAAGGTGGGAGTTAAGGAGTTGATGTGTGAATTGTGTGAGAAGAAGCCGGAGACGACGTATGATAATTTCGTGCGAGATTTTGGGGAGAGGTTTGTGCAGGGATATCCGTTGGGGAAAGGGAATAAGGTAGAAGTGTTGATCGGGAGGATTGACCATTGAGAGGGTGGATTTACTTTGTAATTTACGGCGCAAGCTGAGTGAGGAGGGAATTCATAAACATCATATCTAGCCAACTGCATTTAATTTACGACGGAAGTTAGAATGAAGAATAATCAACATAAAAAAAGTCAATTGAAATTTGCGAGAAGAAAAGAACCAGCGAGCTCCATCTAATATCAATCTGTACATGGAGTCTCCTTTGATAAAGCAACCTTTGGACATGGCAGCGATTAGTCATAATAGATCCAACTCACCAAAAGATATCGAGAAGTTCTTTTAGGTACTCAATTGCGCCGGGGCTTTCAAGCCATGCATCTCGAACTGCCACCCGGTTTAGGGAGCTGTCCCAAACGCAGTGATCCCCGGGGAAAAGGGACCCTGACGTGCATTTGCACGTCCGAATGTGAGGACGGTAGCCATATTGTATGTAGGGCCAAAAGTCGGAGCATTCGCTATCCACTCGTCGAAACAGCCACATGATATGTTTCTGCAAGACTTTGACGTCCCTAATGTGGTCATTGAACGACAGGTCTTGCTCCTGTGCGATGATGTCAGTCGAGGGGATATTTGTCGCAACCATCTCCAGTATTTCTTGGGGAAGCCGTTGTCTAGCGGCCTCTCGGACAGCGTCAACTGATTCCAGATCGACAAGCATTCGGATCTTTATCAATGTCGCCATAACTGGCAACTGACATCCGTGGCACTGGAACAACGGATACGGGTCGTCGAAGGGGGTTGTGTTGTTCAAAGATCGCAGGTAGAGGACCTGATGTGGTGGCGTCCTGCACTTGATGTAGTAATTTGTCCACTCTCTAATCAGCCCCCATGCCCGTGAGTCTTTGCCGAGTCGGATGTACATAGCCGGCAAGACGATATCCGTCCACCACCCCTTGGAATCTCGCGCTATATCAAGATAGAAGGCTTGATACTCAATCGATCTCCGTGTGACGACCAAACGCATTGACCTAGCTAAGGTGTAGCAAGCTCCATGAAAAATACCACGTCTAAACTCCACCATTTGTGGAGAAATCGTAGCCATGGGCTGTGTAGTAGCATCACTTGCTAGAAACTCCTGGTACAGGTTGAAGGAATGCTCCATCCAACCATAGGCCGAGCCTATGAATTTACATTTTCCGGCTTGTTCAGCTTCGAGATGCATATGCTTGTGTTCACGGCAGAACTCGGCGACTTTGCACTTGTTGCAGAATAGCAGATTGGTGCTCCTTTCACAGTAGATACACCCAGTTGGCAGGGTCTTGTATCTGTATGTGAGTGCCATTTTGTAACGGTGATTACTGAGTAGAACGAGGGGTTGGACAGAGATCCATGTCTAGTATATATAGAAGTTTGATTGCAGTATTTCTTGGATGGAGAATCCCATCTAGATTGGCTTTTTTACCTGAGCTTTTCCATTAGAATCTCTGCTTTCCACATACTGACTGGTGGTTTCCATTATGAGCTTTATGAGATAGAGCCGTTCCTGTTTGTCATGTGGTAGTTTGGGTTTATTTCCGATAAAGGCCAACACTGCACAGATAGGTAACTATGCCTTAGTTATTATGAAGCAGTGTCTATTAAAAGAGAGTGCATGATATCCCAGAACTACTGGGTTCACTGAAAGAACTTTAGCACAGGTCGAGTATGACCACTATTACTACAATGAACGGATAAATTTTGAAACACAGATCAATTTAAAATAAAATTCAATCGTCGAAAATAGCCGCACTATCTTCACCTGCAACCTAATCAGGTGAGGTGTGAACAACATCCAAGTAACAACACAAGAAAGAAACCACGTTAAATCATCTCTGCGTCCTGGGAAAGGTACGTCATGGTCGGTTCACGGACAGGATTCCCGAAGCTTTGAGATATACTCGATAGCCCATCGGTTCGCATTCCAAACATCCAGCGAGTAAATATGGCCCAGATTCACAGGTGCGGTTGCTTGCTCTGGCAATTCGCCCGCCTTGTTTCCTATCACTAGATTCCACGCGTCGGGCCTCTTTCTGGAGATCACGCCATACAGCTCTTTGATCTGAGCACGGAGCTTGCCGATATGCTCGGTATTCTCGTTTCCGAAGAAGGCTTTGCGCTCGTTTGCAATAATTGACGTAGTTAGGACATATGAGCAAATGTGATCGAGAATCTCTTGCGGAACCTTGGGCCCGGCTGTGACGGCGGCTGCGTTTAGTGCGACCAAATCGTGCAGCATGTTGACTTTGAGTAGCAAAAGCAGTAAGGCGGTGTCGATTTCGAATTCGTTGTCAAGGAGCCATTTGGAATCCTCGAATGGATCGGAACTGTTTTCTCTTGTAGCTACCCAGCTCTGCAGGGGTTGCCCCCAATCAGCAGTGATGCGGGACTTCGCGAGGCTGTAGAATTCCGCATGTCGACCCAACCGGAACAGCAGACGGAGGATGCCGGTTTTGTTTTCCTCGTCGTTTTGAAACAAGTGCGCAGCTTCTATGAGATGCTCCAACTGTGCTTCGAGAGCCTTGCGAGTGTGCAGGTGTTCAAGGGCCTCGACCCATCCAAGGCGAGAAGCGGCGTATCTGAAATTGTCCGAGCGAAAGCGCCACCCCCGTTCTCTAACATCCACTTCCTGAGGAGTTATGATGTTTCCATCCTCATCGCGAAGATTGTAGAGTTCAGTTTCGCGGCGCGCGCGAGAAATAGGGTCACAAGCCTCCTGGTGGATGGGCTGGTGCTGATGCAAGTGTTCGGGGCTGCAGTAGGAGACAACCTGGCAGCCTTGGCATTCGTGGGAAGTGATGGGGCGGTTGCACAGACTGCACCCCTCGATGATATCGAGAGTTGACGACATTCCGTTGCTGACGGGTAGAGGGAGGAACTTATTGTTGGATTCTGGGCTACTTCGTAAATAAGATGGTGGGATTTTCAAGTGTACGTGTACGATTTGTCATGGCTGCCTAATCGGGCTTATATAAATACGACGAATAAAGACGAAAGGAGATGCAAAGGGCCGTTAACAACCGGTGGGTTCCACACTATGGAAATAGTCTGTTTTAACCTAGTCCTAAGTTGACAAAATTTGAAAAAAGCGATCAAAGAAATGAGTTGTCAAAGACTCAATTCGGAAAGTTCCCAGGAGCCACAACGGCCAGTTTAACAATTTCTTTCTGGCAAATTTGAAAAGAATTGAACACTTAATCAAGTGAGTGTAAAGTCATTTCTTGTCAACATTCAGAAGCTCTGTAATGTAGTCAACAGCTTCGGGTGTATCCCGCCATGCATCCAGCACTTCGCATAGATGGCAACGAAAGGACGGAAACCGAGGGGACGGTCCTTCAGGATGATCCAAACATAAATCTTCAGTGCCCTTCTGCACACCTTCAATGATAAAAGGCCATGTACGTGTAGTTCTTTTATGAACGGCAATAAAAAGGGCTTGGATGTGGTCGCGTAGTTTCCTGATTCGTTCTGAATGATCGGTGTCGTACAAAATCTTGTGCTTTGCAACGGCCAGAATACTCACTGTATATTCAAGAATCTTGTCAGCAATCTCTGCAGGAACCTTGGTGCCCACAGATTGTACTACTGCATGCAGCACCTCTAATTCACGCACTAACCTTATCTTCATAAGAGCTGCCATTAGGGCAAGTTTTGTGTCAAAGTGAGGCCCAAGCAAGAAGTCGACGTCCTCGAATAGATCTGCCGTACCGGTGTCTCGTAGCCAATGGTGAATCTGCAAAAACCCGACTCTGGATGACACAAACCGAGGGTACCGTTTTAGTAAATTGAAGAATGTATCCAGCTCGTTCAAGCGCAGATAGTAACTAGCGATCTGCAAAAGCCTTTCATCATCTAGTCGAATCAATCGCCCTAGTTCCACTAAATGCGTCAATGCTTCTAGAATCGACCTTGGAGTCGGAAATCGAGCAAGCATGGATACCAAGTAGGTACAACCCTGTAGGTACAGCCCACTACCGTTTCTATGCACGGTTTTCTCGTCCAGACCTTCAATATTCTCCATAATCTCTCCGTCTGAATCGAGGAATCCCCCCCCCTCGGGCAGCCAAGAGTCCTCGCGCACCCTGGATCTCCCCGCATGCATACCTATGCTGTTGCTCATGCTTGTCCTAATCAGAGGAACTGCAGCAAAACATAACCATGCAATCTCTGCACGGCTGAAGATTGCTAGTCTTTTCGCAGACGATACATGCGTCGACGAGGCCTAAGCAAAAATAAGGGGGGTGAAGGGACATGGTGATACGGTGTACCTGCCACTGAAAGGCAATCAGCAGATGCAAGAGGGGTGCGTGCCAGATTAACAGTATGGTTGAAAGTGCACGTTTATACTTCTCGACTAGGGTACTACACTACTTATTTATAGATTCGCTATCAAGAGTGGACTCGGGAGGCTCCGTTCTAAAAGTGAAAGCCAATTTGATTTTAATATTCGTTTACTCGTTGTGATCTAGTAGGAGGCCTCGTGGTAGATGGAAGCTTTAACAATTGCCGGGTTCAAAGCCCCTATCTTACTGGCTATTAATAATCTAGGAAGGGCCCCAGCGGCGGGGACCTGATATTCAGGCATAATGCTTTAATTAATCAATCAATGTGTGCATTGAAGGCGTGTACCAGCAGCGGATTGAGTCGCGGCACAGATGCAATAAAGGATAAAATAACCCGACGAAAACGATTGAAACAAATGAGACATACTAAGACTCAAAGGATTTCACAATGGTTAATGAAAATAGACATAGACTGCTACCTATGTCTAAACCTAGCAATACAAGCCAAGGCACCCGGGGTCTCCAGCCAAGCATTCCCAATTTCCCTCCAGATGTTGGTGAGATGCCACTTATCGAGATCACAGGCACGTGAATCATTTTCATACTTATCATAGAGGACAAACGGCCAAACCTTATCGTCCATCCTATCCACTGTGTCATATAGCAATTGAATCTGATGACGCAGAAGCTGGATTCGTTCCGTGTGGTCATCGCCATGCAGAACAGCCAGGTCATTTTGTATGAAGGAGCTAGTCGGCACAAAGGAACGAATATGGTCCAGGACCTCTCGCGGGACTCTAAAGCCAAATCTGGTAAGTGTTACCTGTAGACCTTCCAGGTCGATCAGCATTTTCACCTTGATGAGAATGAACGGAAAGACAAATCCCAGCGGAGTAAAATCGTCATCGAGCCAGGCGACTTCGCCCCATGGATCCACGTCGCCTTTTTCTCTGATCAATTGTTGGTAGATTGGATACACCCCACCATGTAATTCAACATTCTGGCTTGTTAGGAGTCGGTTACACCTGCTCACAATATTGTACGCTTCATGGTCGCGACCTAGACGAACCATAAGTCCCATGGTGGCCAGCTGTGCATTTAGATTTATCGGGTATATCTCAATCAGTATCGCTAGCCGTTCTTCGGCGGCCAACTTGGTATTAATCTTGCTTAGGAACGTAGCAAGCTTCTCACGGACATCTTTGTAGACCGCAGTGCTACGGAGGCCAAATGCAGCATACAAGTCTGTTTCATGAGCGTGCACAACAGCCCCGGTCGAATCCCGTAACGGGTTCTCGGCAAGGAAGGGTCGCCCATCATGCACTTTCTGGCAATATCCGGAGTGTTGCGCTGCCATTGCTGTCTTGTGCTCGACACAACAGAAGTAGGCCACTTTGCAATCACAGAGCTGGAGATGATCGCCTTTGTTGCAGTAAGCACATCCGGTTATAAGGACGCGCGGTCTGCGCAAATCAGGAGAGGACCCTTCGTCTGGGTGCGACATTGCTGCTTATCCCGGGTTCCAGAAACCGTTCGATCTTTGATATTTCTTATGGATGAATGCTCAATCACCCGAGTAATGCAAATTTGCGAGACGGGCTGTAGAAGCCGGATACATGAGCAATCGATGCTTTATATAGCTACAGGAACATTTTCAAGCACTGGGTAAGTTGTGTCAGGCCCGGAGGTTTCCAGATTAAATGCAAGATTCAGTTATCAATTGGAAATTACATTTGAAAATCTAGACTTCGAATTGATTAGTTTTTCCCGGAAATTGGTGGTGGTCATAGCACCGCCGATGATCTTTTGTTTTTATATTCGTGGGTCTACCGCTCTAACAGGACAAGCACAACCCTTCTAAACTGAGCCTTCGTCAGTACAGCAATCTTAATTATAATACCGAGCTCCTTAAATAGAGATTGGAGTTAGTCGAAAGACAGGGCGATATAATGACACAAGGATATATTCATAAGATTACCATTTAGCCAAACGCGACCATATTACTTCAGATTTAATCTTGATTTTTCTTTGTTTATTAGTATTATCTTTTTAATTTACCCTTGCTTTTTCCTGCTGTAGATGATCAAAATGATTCCAACGAGGTCCTCTTTAGTGCTACATCATTGGAAATAAAAAAGAAACGACAAAAAGCCTGGCAGGTTGCAACGGCTCAAAACTAACAGATAGTGATCACAACAACTTACCGGGGCAAGGTCCTTTCGATTGAATCTCACGTTTGCCGCTGACACAGACAACCTGCCTTGAGACCACCACCAGCCTCAGGAATTTACTAAGCTTGTAAAGTTGCTCGGTAGCCGAGGAATTCATCATCGCCAACAATGCACTCCGAATCATATCTGTAAACCATGTCGGTGATATATTCAAGGGCGCCAGGCGATTGCTTCCACGCGTCCTCGATATGAAACTTGGACATTTCTTTTAGATGGCACAATGTGCACCCGGCACGTCCCATCCGGTGAGTATGCCGTGAGCATTCGAGTCGTAGCAGCACCCGACAGTCAAGAAGATAAGGCCACATGTACCTGCAACGTGCTCGCACTGCCCACCACAGCCGCGCGATTTGACCCCTCAGGAGCACGATCTTTTCTCGATAGCTGGTCTGTCGTGTATTGTGCCTCGTCGCCAAAATCGGGTTCTTGAAAAGGTGGAATCGTATGTGTTCCAGTAACTCCAATGGGAGCTTTCTACCAACTGTTTCGGTCACTGCGTCGTTGATCTTCTCGAGCTCTTCCAGCTCTGTAAGCATGCGGAGTTTGATGAGGGTCGCGAAAATGAGCACTAAGCTAGGTACAAACGGACGGTGCAGTAGGTAGCCATCATTCCATGGGTCGCCGTTTCCCACAGTGGCCATCTGTTCGTCGGTAAGCCATTTTTTGCGCCGGCAGAGGCTGAGGGTATACTGCCAAAGAAAGGCATGGCACTCGTCATCACGGCTCGCTCGAATGAGATACGAAGCCACAACGCGTGGGGCAGAATACTCAGACTCAGGTCGAAGAATCGTATTCCACCGGAGGAGGTCTGTACTTTCATCAAGACCCTGTCGAGTATGGACGGTTCTCAACGCCCGAGCCAGCACATGTCTATGCTTTAGACATTTGTCAAATACCGGGTTCTTGGATTTGGTGAGGTAGATAGAGTCAATTTGCAGCACGTCTTCTGGGTGAAGAAACTTCACTTGGCTTCCAGAGAGTTCCCTTTTCCCATCTTCGTAATTCTGGCGTGCGGTGACTATCGCCAGGCAGCAGACTTCATTGTGGATTCTGCTATGAAGCCGTTTATGCTCATATCTGCAGTAGAATATGGCATGGCATTTACAGGAAAACAGGTACTTCGTCGTACCGCATTCAGGACATCCTGAAGGGTAGCCGGCAAATGGTGGAGGGACCATCTTGATTTAGCAAACAGATGAATCAAAGCCAGTGGGAGGATTGTGGGGTCTGTGGATAGGGACCAAGCCAGGTTGAGCAAAGGCAGAGGTGGACGAAACGTTCCAAAAGATAGACGAGTGTATTTATATACTGTTGCTGCCATCGTTGGTGAAGGGTTCCTTCATTCTGGAAGCTTCCGTCATAAAAGGGAAGGCATGCGCTATCCTCAGTCTGCCTCCGTGAATGTCTGCTTCTTTCATGGAGGGTACCGGTTCATTGAGCCATACATTTAACCCAGCATCTTTCGGATGTCGGTGGGACGTATGTCATTACTTTTTACTGAGGTTATGATCGGATTTGTTTTCTGGTTGAAGGAAATTATATACTTTTTGCTAGCGAAGTCCACATTGTTTCCAACCCAGCCTCGAAACTTGCTCTCGTTTCCTCGATTGCCGACTATCCAATCTAGTGGTTATTATTATTTCTGCATTCATTAAACAGCCTTGTAAAGTATTCGACGGAATGAGGCGTCGTGTCCCAAACTCCCCAGAGCCAAAGCGAAAAACCGTACAACTCGCTGCCGTAACCACGGTTCTCAAGAACAAGCGACCAATTGTCTAAGCCAACTATGGAGAACAGTCGCTTGATGTGGTCTTCAAGTGTTGTAATAAGCTCCATGGCATCTTGACTTGTCATGTGCTTTTGAATCAGCCTTTTCCCTAAAACAGTCCTCATTGAGTCCGGCACGATACTGTCCAGGATCTCTCGAGGAACTCTTTGTCCAATTGTTTCCAGAGTAGCTACAAATGTCCTCAAATCTTGAACCACACGGAATTTGATCATCGTCAAAGTTGCTACCAAGATGTATCGTATCTCCCTGTCTGCAAAGAACTCGATGTCATTAAGGATATTCAACTCGTCCGGTTGGAACTGAACGAATCTCCGTGGTCCTGAACTCTCCATTTTGTCTTTGGTCGCAAATCGCTTTAAGTATTCGTAGCATATATCATCTTGACTACATATCAGGGTCGTGGCTAAGATTCGCACGAATAGACCAGGAGATCTCTCCCTGTTCACAAAAAGGAAGGAGCGTAGCCCATGGGTTATCACTGCTTGAGATGCTTGTATTGTTGGAATATGCAAAAGACACCATGTAAGATCTATTTCCGAATTGATGAAGCCTTTATAGAAGATGTTGTCTGGAAAGCTCCTCGGGCCAAGCTTGTCAACGTTAACGCGCAAAGGATCCAACACGTACTGGACATCTTCTAGTAGCAGAAGCAATTCAATTTCAGTCTTGACAAGCTCTTTCTGGGCCTGCAAACAGTAGTACTTATGTTTTGGGTAGTACTTCTTTTTACAATTAGCATTACAGAAGGCGGCTACTGTACATTCGCATTGTAAAGAATTATTCATCGACCTACATTGCGGACATCCGCGGATCGGGTTGGGATGAAGGAGATTGAGCAATTCAGCCTCATCAGTTTCCATTTTGGCGGTTTGATGGGGCAGTGTAATTAACACAGCTTAGTTGTAATAAGCCTTGTGCAGGATCGAATCGTCGTTTTTATACCACTCTCATTGCGCTTCCGGGAGATCTTCCTTCACACAGCCTTAGTATTTTACGGATCCTGCCATATAGTGCAAACCAAACCCTGGTCTGTTGAATTCAATCATACCGAGCGAAATGCGCTTTGCTATTCTTTCTCTCCCCGGAGATTTCCAGGTTTTGTCTATGCATGCTGGAAATTATGTCTACATATTTACACATACTTGATAACTTCCGCGGACTTCTTTTTCATTCGGGAAACCAAGTTCAGGCCCCGGGATTTCGGTACGTCGTTTTGGATTCTTTCGTCGTGTGCTAAATATGGTCAAGGAATTCTATTCCTGAAATAAAACCGTGTTTTACTAGGAGACATCAATGAAATCCGCATTCACGTTTCGGTGACTAGGTGAGCATGTGAAGATACTAGGTAAAAGCCTTTACCAATTTGTTAGGCTACAGGATTCAGTATAATAGTGAGTAGAGCCCCGCCTCTGTCGGTAATTAAGGGATGGGGTTTAAAATTGAGTGCTTCCTTCAAATTAGGGTGCTTGGGGATTCGAACAGTTACATGCATTTAGGTTGTTAGGGAAAGTGTTTGACATAATAACATCAATTCATCATAAAGGATTCCCTCGAGCATGAACCGAACCATGCCCGTTGTAAACCCCTCTTGAGCTTAGATTTCTATTCGTGGAAGGGGATATCTTCCAAGTCAATCTCTTCAATGATATCAGGATCCGGTTTGATCCTGGGCTCCATCATCGTCGGACCTTCATATATGAAACTTCTGATAAACTCCATGCCATCCGGGGTGTTTCTAAGTGCCTCGCGCAGATGTAAACGAATCATAGTGGCTATTGCGTGGGAATGCTCCTGAGACAGCGACTTAAAGACTTTGGAGGGTTTCTCGTCAAAGAAAAGGTAGGCCCAGACCCGCGGGTTATAATGCTTGACAGCAACAATCAACCAGCGGACCTGCGTGGTTATGCTAGCAAGAAGGCTCTGATACATGCTTTCGCACATGGTATATCCATGATCACCGGTGGTGGCGATATCCTCCAGGAACCCGAAATGAGCTTTGCCTTTCAACTCCTCCGGCACTTGTCTAACGTCCCGGTCAGCTACCATTGGCATTTTTTTCAATTCCGCAATGACTCGCAGCTTCAAAATCACTAGTCCCACGCGCAGGGTCACCGGACACGAAGTCTCTCGGATGATGTTGATATCGTTAAAGGCGTTCAGCTTGCTGAAGTCCTTTTGGTCAATACGTGGCCACTTATACTTCCCTGAGAATATTTGGAGGAATAGCTTCATCAGCGTGTAGGTTTCGTCGTCGCCGTTCAGTCGAAACATGAGACCCAGCATCGGCTGCAAACATGCATTGGCAGTCGGTTCGGTCGGGAACATGAGCAGCGCTTTCCTTAGCAGTTTAATCCGCTTCTGGGCAACCTGAGGGCGAGGAATCTTTTCCATGACACGGGCAAGTCTGATTCGAGCCTGGGCGTAGCTGGCGAAGTGGTTCTTGTAGTCGTTCCAAATCGCGTCGCGCTGGGGAGTGTCTTGGAGTAGAAAGTCCGGGGAAACAGGCATTTCGGCCTTGATTCTTTCGTATTTGAGGTACTCTGACACAAAAGCGTCGCAAGTTGGCTTGTGAACGCGAAGATCCTCTTTTTGATGCTCCTCGCCGCAATAGAAGACAAAGCCGCATGTGGGACAGTGGTAAAAGTTCTGTTTGGAGTCGCATACAGGGCACCCGGTCGTGTACTCGATGGAGTCTGACATGGTGATGGTTGGAAAGGTAATGGTTATCTGTCTCAGGAAAAGTCGGGTTGATGTTGGGAAACCAAGGAATCGACAAGACACGGCGAGTGGTTAGCAGAGGGGTGAGACGTCCGCTGTCAGAGATAGATGTAGGTATTTATTATCCCCCATATTGATTTCAAGAGCTCAGACATGGGGAAAAGTCCGTTATCAGGTTTGTAATTCTGTGGTCCAAATGTGCCGTTCTCGACATCATCCGTTATTTTTTGATCCCCTGTTCCAAACACTGAAGTTGCCGGTTTTATTTCCATACTCGCGAAAAGGCCCTATTCGACAACGCAAGAGACTTAAGTCTATGTTCCTGGTTACTGTATAATATGAATTTGAGAGTGTCATGGCTGGTCTGGAAACCTGAAAATCCGGGTAAGATTATTGAACAATTATGACGAATGAGGGCTGGTTTTCTTAAGTATATCGAGGATTGCATACTTTCTAACGTCCATTGTGAGCCATAATCTCGGCCAACGACATTAGATAGGTATAGGGTTCCAATATCGCTTGCGCTTTGCTGGCCGAACGAGACTACACATTGTTTTGGAACGTCGTAGTGTTTCCATTAGTCTGAGGGTTTCTCTTTACATGCTATTCTCATACCTGGCTTTTGAGCAACAATAAGATTTCCAATACGAGAGAAAGGATAATTTCATAATCTTATAACTGCGAAGAGTACAGTTTGAATGAAATACGATGATTTGTTAAGAGGAATTTAAGAGTGCCTTAAAACGGAAAAAAGAGAATAGTTTGAAGCAAATGTAAGAATTAATTGAGAGAAATGTGAGAGTACTATGAAGGAACTATGAAAATGATTTAAATGAAAGGCGAGAAAAGGAATACATGAATCGTTTGCAAAGATTACATTCTCAAGAATGAGCCCTGTCTACCTTCTTTCCACTTGAAATAATAGGCGAGCATAGACACACGGTAAGCGCGAGAACACCTTCTTTGAAGACACGATAGGCATAGGTCCACGCGGATGAATGTAAGTTCTTGTGCGTCAATCCAGAGCTGCTATCGAGTCTCGAATCCATCAGTCAAGATTGTCTTGCGAAGGACGCCCAAAAGATAATCCAATGCGCCCGGAGATTCACTCCAAGCCTTCTGCAACCACTCGACAGTCCCCTCGGCTTCTGAAACCTCCTGGGGCTTCTCCATCTCCAAATCATCCAGAGCCTTTCCAAAGGATTCGTCTGGGAACATGGATCGCCACAAGTATTGGTTGTGGCTGTGTACATGTCCGGCCATAAGTTGAATATCCTTGTGTAATTCTCCGATCTCCCTGTCATGGTTGCTGGCTTCAAGCACCGGACGCTTCTTCCAGACCAAAGGACTGGTTACGACCTCTCGGCGTATCACATCCAGAATTTCGGTGGGGACTTTAGGTCCAGCCACTTGTGCGGCCATTTTTAGTGATACCAGGTCCACGGCCACTCTGACCCTCAGCAGGATTTTAAGCAGGCAGCCCTGAATCAATCCTAATATATGAATGCCAGGTGTTCTGTATGTGTGGTCACGGTGGACTCTGAGATCATTAAGTCCGTCGAGATACAAAGGACGGCACTCGTCATCCCGGTCAAGGCGAATCAAGTAGGGCGTAACTCGCATATATCCAGAGACGAATTCAGCAATGGTTTGGGATCCATGCCATTTCTCGACTAGTTCCATTTCCTGTTCGATCGCCTGCCTGGTATGGACCTGCGAAAGCGCCATTCGCAATTCCTGTAGGCTCGAGAGATATTCCATCAGCCATGCCTTGTTTGTGAGGTAAGCCTTCGTTGCGGTGATCATTAGCGTCCGACCGGAGGGTCCGACGTGCTCGATGATCTTGTTTCGCACAAACAGATGTTCAAGGCGTTGTTCATGAATAGCTTGGCACTTGGGTTTGTGTTCCTCTTCATCTGCCTTTTGATGCTCTTGGCTACAGTATAGCGCTACCATGCAACCACCTTTACAGGGGTTCAGGTTTGATGACGAGTTGCAGTAGGCGCATCCGCTCCGAATGAGTTCCTCTGAACCCATCTTTCAATGACTTTTGAACGTGGAGAGAGTGGCAATGCGAGGCTCTTGTATCGTCTTCAAAGCTTAAAGAAACAGTAGATCTTGATGCTGAACTCTCGTTCCATCTGAGGACGAATTTAGGATGTCTGTTTATACCGAGTCATTCCTGTCTATCAACTACAGAAAGTCGCTTTAATTACGATGTTTCTCGGAAGTCTCCTTCTGTGGTGGTTTCTGCAAAGATGCACACTCCTGGCGCCGCGATATGGGATATTCCGTTTGCTTAACTGCCGGTCCATGGTTCGCTGTTCCTAGCCCTATCAAAGCTCTCAGAGCGGTCCGTGCGATGACTCATGCGCCTCCTGTTTCGTGATATCTGGATAGGCTCTTTGGTAAGTTCCGGTTACCTTCCCAACGCTCTCCGTATCTCAGATCCTTCGGCCGGAGACCATCGGGATCGACAACGCTAGCGGAGCAGCATCATGTTGTGCATTCTGCACTAAATAGTCTGGGCGACTGGAACTTGAGGAAACAGCGCTAACGCTGGCAAGGATCAGCAAACATGACCTCATCACAACTGCCCATGCATGAACAGGCAGCGACTAAACCTTGCACAGTAAAATCCCGAAGCATCCCCGCATCTTGCGACTGGTGATTATGCGTGGCCTGTTCTTGGGTCCGGAGAATTTCCTCAATTACTTTACTTTGGAGTGATATATTTAGACCGATGGCCACCCGCACTGGTGGTGGAGTGGTCTGCAGGAACGACCGGGCTGTAGTTCATCATGTATTTTCTCAACTCTTTTACGTCCGCTCTAATCGGACTAGGTCTGGCTCCTCTCGTTGCTTCTATCTCTGACTCTCCCCTTTCAACCTCCGGTCGCTGGATTGTTGATTCAGATGGTGCCAATGTCACCTTTGCAGGGGTGAATTGGCCCGGCGCAGCCGACGCGATGCTGCCCGAGGGTCTTCAGTACCAGTCCATCTCGTACATCCTCGGGAAGGTTAAGGAGTTGGGCATGAACTCGATTCGGCTGACCTTTGCCATCGAAATGATTGACGATATCTATGATCAGGGCGGAGATGTGCCGATCAAAACATCCCTCATCAATGCCCTCGGTGAGGAGAACGGAACAGCCGTGTATCAGGATATTGTTAGCCACAACGATCAATTTGGAGAGGAGACCACTAGATTGGATGTGAGGTATTCTCATCCTATGGATGCCCTTCGGACACTAATCATGGTAACAGGTTTTCGACGCCGTGGCGAAAGAGTCTTACGAGCAGGGTATTTATGTCCTTCTTGACAACCATGTATCCAAGGCCAAATGGTGTTGCTCCACCGATGATGGCAACTCCTGGTTCGGAGACGAGTACTTCAACGTGACGAACTGGCATAGGGCGTGGAAGTACATGGCCGATCACGTATGTCTTCGCATGCCTCTATCTCAACTCCTCTAACTCCATCTCTAGGTCAAAGATCTACCGGCTGTCAAAAGCGTCGGAATGCGCAATGAGTTCCGCCAGCCAGATGACGAATCCACCAGCGAAGAATACAACTGGGAGGTTTGGTACAAGAATATGGTCGAAAATGCCAAGCAGATCAACGAAGCCAATCCGGACCTTCTCATCCTCTTCTCCGGACTCAACTTCGACACTACCTTGGCCCCCATTCCCACCGGCGCAGACCTCGGCGACGGAACGAAATTCAATAAGGATGACTTCAACTTTGCCGATAAGATTGTCCTCGAGCTTCATAACTATGCCAGTGACTCTGGTAGCTGTGACAGTCTCAAGTCCAGCCTCTACAGTGGCGGGTACAATGCACTTGACGCACAGAACTCGAGCATTGTGAATGTTCTGCCTGTGCTAATGACTGAATTCGGCTTCTCTCAAGACGACTCCTCTTACAATACTGTCTATGCTTCCTGTCTAAGGGAGTATTTGCCGGAAGTTCAATCCGGATGGATGGTCTGGGAGCTTGGTGGAAGTTATTATATCCGTGAAGGACAGCAAGACTTTGATGAATCATGGGGTAAGTCCTTTTCGATGTGATCTCGTCCGGAACACTAACAGATATCTAGGCCTCCTTGATCACACCTGGTCTGATTGGAGATCTTCCGATGCAATTGAGAAGGGAATGATTCCCATGGTCAGTGCTACTTTGGGAACTGAGTAATTTGATTGCTGGTGTTCGTAACGAGCTCCAACCGGCTAATGTCCTTGGTTTCTTTCCCAATGCTTTTCTATCTATTCTTTACTCTCATCTTATCTTTACTCGGTTTGCTTTGAGTACTTCGGTCAAGATGAAATTAGCTATCATCAAGTCTCAAACCTTTCTACTCTGGTCACCCCTTGCATTTAATATCCCCCAAATTTATAGCAATCTTAAAACCTTTCCCCTTGAAGCTTGGACCTGACATAATTGACCAGAAAGAATCCAAGTTGTACGCTACGTCCTAAGTGGCAAAGGCTATGTTCAACACTTAATTCTATGTGCTCTCGGACTAGAAATTCTAATTCCGAGCATATTTCCTTATGTTTTGCTGATATTCTCAAGGGAATTCTCCTGATTCTCATGAGAAGGAATATTGTAGTATTCACTCAGCTGAGTGCTTGCTGGACAAGTAGTTTAGTATATTCATTTATTTCTGTTGATCCAGGTAAAGTCAAGGACAACCTTCTCAATGAATTATCTGTTCAGCGCAAGATGTGAATATAATTTCTCTTCCATTCCCTACATAGACTTTTCTTCACTAGATCTCTAACCTTCAAAAGTAGTATCCCGTCCCAATTTTATACGGCTAAATCAATTGATTATTCTGTATCCTTCCTGCACACCTCTCCCCGTTTATACTTTCACGTCTCTTCCGTGTCCAAGTATCTATGTATATTGGAATCCAATGGGATGCTCACTTGAATGAAATACACCCGTGCACTTGACGATGCTATGCTGCCATAAATGACATGTCCACCGATAGTCGACGATGTTGCAATGCTTCAGGACGCACGCCACATCTTAATACAGCACTATCAGTTACAGAGCTTTCAACAGTCGAGCGATTGGGGTACACCTAATGTGAGTTCCCTGGCAGTCTGTACGGTATTCTGGTGCTCGGCTCGTGGTCTCCCCCTGTCTTTAATATGGTGCAGATCGCTAATAGCAGGGCTTTCCACCCACTACAGATATGTAAGTTGAGAGAATCTTCAAATTCCTGTTACACTGTCCTTTTACGACTCCAATACCAGCCTCGGGACATGCAGGATTTCAGAGCGCCTAACAGGAGTGAGACCCGGAGTATGTCAACTATACAGTTGAATATCGCTGTGCCGAATTGCAATAGCCTTCTAGCTATTTGAACACGACTATGGATATAGAATACGGCGAGTGCATAAGCATAGCCAAACAACCCTGTGCCCAAGAGACAAATATCCGATAGCTTCGTCGATATGAATCTCCTTCCAGCGCAGAATGTGATAAATTGCCAGAGGGATGAACACGTCTTTATCTCCCTATGTGGTCTACCTCCCACTGCTTTCAAATCAAACCATGAAATACTCCATTCTACCATATTCCCCTTCCAGAAAGTCGATTGGCCAATCGTGTTTTACAGTCATTCGTCCCATTGTGAGCCAGCAAGCATTCGAGCTAAAAGGCACAATGCAGTTTAAGCTGCACAAGAGCACGTTGTCGTGGGGACGAGACAGGCGTTCAGGGTCGATTCAATCAAACCGTTGGACAACTTCTCACGGTGTCCCGCTTTATATGGTGACTCCGGTACATATACCAAGCGTTGGAATGCTCGGCTTGACAATACGGTCTTATTCCGATCCTCGTTCAGCCTTTACAAGTGACATTCCACCAACAAGGCTAATGGTCACGGTTTCCAATTCTATTCCCTTTCTTCCCTCAACATTTCCCTTCTCGAAGTCGGAACAAACACCGGTGATCAGAGCAAATAAAAGCCGGCTAGGACTCATCACCATCCACATGCCACTCGCTGAAATAATCAACGACTTTTCAGAAATGGCAGTTAGGGAACGACTGCCGAATCATCTTGTCGGAACTCAGCACACCACTAATAGCGCCCTTCATGATGTGGGCTAAGTTCGAAACTAGTGTCAGAACTGCATTCGAGACCCAGAAGATGGGTTCCAGGAAGAGCGATGATTACCAGGCGGTTGAAGAAACTAGCATCAAGGGAAGCTTTGAAATTCAATTTCGACTTTGCGAAATATCAAATGTTATAGCCAAAGTTTTGAATTAAGCTTTCCCAAAAAGTCGCTTCTTACAAAAGGCAGATATGGTCAGCATGTATGAATGTCTAGGCTTATTCCAAAGTTTCTCCATAAGAAAGCTTTTTTTATGAAAGTTGATAATGAACAAGACTAGATAATTTTACCGAGCCGTCTTGACCATGGCTATAACATGTCCTATCTCCGTGTCATGAATATTTCTGCGTCATAGGCATGTTTCTGAGGTGTCATCTGCCTAATGAGAGTAGTTAACAAACGCACTTGCCACATATCAGAGTAACCTCTCTCGCCAGCTTCGACTGACCTGACAAGGCAACTACCCCAGCTTCTCGCCTCAAATTAAGGCAAACCTCCAAAGCCTAAATCAGCTGCCTTGGCTAATCCCTGCACTGTAACACCCTCGCGAGGCGTTTGGCCACATTGGCTGGTCTACACCTGCATCGAGCCGAGACATGCTCGTCGTGGTTGGCGGATGGAGTCAAGCACGTCGCACAGATGATCTGGGGCTGAGGAATAGCAGCGGCAAGTGAACATGTTCCACGCCACTCGTGGGTTGATTTTGGTTGGAACTGCATAGGTCATTCCACGGTTCTGCTGATCGCTGGAATAGGTCGGGATTCGATGATGTAGATGCAGATGTCTCGGCTTGTTGCTGTAGTGCGCTGTCGATGGATGACTGTCCACCCCATGTAACCCAAAGGCCATCGACTTAGCGAAAGCCATCGTTTGATTATTAGCAGCCCATCGTCTTGACCAAACGGATCGTATCCTCGCCTTCCCCTTCCCCTTCCTATCTGTGTCGATATATTCAATTCGCCATCCACCGCCGCATAATACCTCGCCGCATACCTCGCCGCATCACTCACTCGCAAAGCACGCCACCGCGCTGACCTTGCAAACCATAACTGCATCTCCATCTCAAGCGCCACCGGAACATTATGCTGCGTAACCACCCTGTCTGTCTCCCTGTCTTTCTCGCTCTCGCCGCTCCCAGACGCCTCCACTCGCAGTGTGCGCACGAATCCGGCCAATATTTAGGGAGGGCGCAATGACATGGTAGATACGTTTAACTTGGTGGCCATATCATTCGCAGTATTCTGGTTAGATTGTCAAATTTCTGCCGTCCACGATGTGAGATAATGTGTGGAGTGATCTCTCACTCCATGAGGCGTTTAGGGGAGCAGGGTGGGTGGCGTAAGGTCTGCGTTGCAGTGCAGCTTTCTCTGAGTGGGTTAACTCGTCGAGAGGCATGCTTTGCTGTGGTCACGGCTTTGCTGTAGGGTAGGATTGTGGCTTCTGGTGTCCTGACGACTAGGGTGATGGCAGTATCGCTTCATGAAGTAGAAAGGAGGGGCTGGCTGTCTGATCTGGATGATGAAGGCAATCTCACAACTGAGTTATTCTGGATTCAGTGGAATGCTGTAATGCTACAGCATCTTGGGTTCTCGCTCGTTTTGGCCTGGGGACACAGGCAGGTCCTCTACTTCATTATGCAGTGGGGCTTTTGTCCTACAGCATTTGCGAATAGAAGCAATCATTAGATAAATTCAATTAGAGTAACCAACCTTGTCGGATGACATCAATCTGCCTATTTTTAGTCCAGCAAAACACACCTGGCCTATCCCTGGTACCCTCCAGTTCAACTTCAGTTCATCGTCCTCCAGAACATACCAATCACATAACCCCTTCAATGACTGACATGCAAGATCGCCGCGTTCCCCGAATCCTTCGACCAAATCTCAAATCGCCCCACCTCAGTCACAATGTAAACGGAGAATCTGCCTTGTCTGTCTGCGTTCAGACACGCAGGAGTGACATCCAGCGCCGGGGGATTCCCATACTGCGGCACATTGTATACTCCAAAGACAGGCCCGGACGCCGGTGCCGTTTCCCCCGTGACGGTCTCTTCGTCCCAGTCCGACGACATGGCCGCAGCCACGGTGAGGTTGGGCGGGTTCCGGGATGGTCGAGTGAATGCCGGGAACTGCACGGTGCATTTTGTGATCGCGGAGATCGGCACGGGGTGTTGGAAGCCCACCAGAGTTCGGATGAAGGTGTCCGTCGTAAGGTTTGCTTCGAGGGTCTCTTCGAAGCCGAGGGTACATTTGGAGCAGTTTTCTTCAGGGCAGGCTCGGCAGCCCACGCTAGAGTGGAGGATCGTGGAGTCTTTGACAGCAGGCCGGTCGGTGGTTGCGGCGAGAGTAGTGATTATGCTGCTCGCCAGGGCGAGAGCCGAGAGTAGGTGCACAACGAGGTGCATTTTGTGGTAATGAGGTCAAAATTGAATCAAACGAACTTGAAATGGGGGTTGATGGGGGGTGAGATGAATGAAGTAAGGGATGCAAAGATGCGCGCTGCGATCCTTTATACCCTGCAGTGGCAATTCTTTGGAGAGGTATACACCATAGTCACGGTATGATTCTCTGTCATGATGCGACCTTGAGAGTACGAGCCTGTTTGTGATGGGGCAAAAGAACTGATTGGAAGGGTTTCTTGTGCCATTACGAGCTGGCCACCTCGCCCGAAATAGAATGGCAGGCCTGACAGGATGGCACAACGATAGATCAACTGGGCAACACATGCGCTAACTGCTGCAGCATCGACGGCCTGATTGATGCTAAGTATAGCATTCAAGACAGCGGTGTCTTGTCGGGGAGAACGCTTGTTGGATGTTACACAAAGTGTGGTCCAGGGCACACAAGCTGTGTATTGCATGTGCCTTGATCCATTTCCAACAGATCCAATGTCTGCCAGCTGTATACGGACATGTCAACAGGTTTCTTTGTGGCCTGGGGTTCCTTTGTAGCTTCATCTCAGCCCTAGAAATATTGATCGAACCCCGAAATGGACGAGGATCGCGACTAGCGCCAGACTCGGTCGGCTAAGGATCGGCAGCAAATCGAGATGGTCGTGAGTCACTCGTCCGGAGTAATTTTTGTCGCATCTCACTCAATTATCGCAATAAACCGCTCGTTGACCATGTACAAACTCGTTATTTTCGACTTCGATGGCACGATCTTTGACACATATGATGCCATTGAACACTCCATTCTCTTGACTTTCGAGACGCTCCTCCCCGGCTTCACTCCACCTCCCGATGAAGTCCGCCGGCTTGTCTCCACGGGCGCTCCGCCGGGAAACACCTTTCGAAGTCTCCATCCTGGCGTGACTACCTTTGACGAGGATTATTGGGTCAAGAAATATCGCGAATTATATGCAGTTCACGGCCAACAGCGCGCCAAGCCATTCCCCGGCGCCGAGCAGGTGCTGAACTCCTTGCGTGCCCGCGATATTCCCATCGTCATCATCAGCAACAAGGGCGTTGAGGCTTTAAAATCGGCTTTGGCCAAGACTGGTCTCTTGGGATATTTTCCCCAGCCGTTTATCCTAGGGGATGGAGTTCCTGGGGTTACGAGAAAACCCGATCCTTCCAGCTTCACGGACGTCATGCTGCCGAGACTGAACGAGCTGTATGGGGAGAAAGAAGGCGAGGTGCTTATGGTCGGCGACACTCGAACCGATATTCAATTCGCCCAAAATATCAAGGCAAAGGTTTGTTGGTGTCGGTACGGCCAGGGCGACAGCGAGGAATGTAGTCGCTTGAACCCGGACTTTACCATTGACTCGGTGATTGATCTGTTAGACATTGTGGGCATTTCAAAGACGGAGTGATTCGATTTCAGCATTTGATCTTTTTGAGCTCCTTCTGCCCGATTGCAATATATAGGCATCGAAATCATTAGACTGCATTTCGTATCCGCATTTCACTTCGCTTTATATTATCCATCCAGCATCTCCGTTGATCTGAAACTGCATTTTGAAATCAAATCCCGCATCATTGCCCTGCGAGTCAGTCATGTTTATTATCAACACCTCGTTCCCAGGCCCGTTTACTATCACCGTGGATAGGTTCGCGTTGCGCGCCTACATTCCTTGCATTGTAAAGGGAGAAAACGCAAGGAAATCACGGCTCATTGAGTTTTCGGCTAATGATCAGTCGGGACAGAAAAACGCGCAGTTCAGCCGCACTGATGAACGCATATCTCCCTGCACGATCCTTGTAGATTCCCTTGATTTGGGTTTCTCTTCGACCCGACAGGCCACGAGGCCAGGCTCATCCTCTCCGATCGCATCCAAACAATCATTGTGATACGCCGGCAGCCACGCTATCTTAGTGTGAATCCTGAGACTAGTCAATTCGCGCATTACTAGAACTGCGGCTGACGTGATAATCTTGCCAGATAAGGAATGTTCGGCAGGATCATTGCTTGACTCATCGCGCCAGGGTGGCATTGGACCTGAAAAGTTCTTGCGCTATAATGTTCTTCAGCGGCAGTGTCACGTATCAATGAGGTTGGCATTTTTCTGATCAAAATGACCGCGAATGAAGAATCTCCTCTGCTCCAGAATCCGACCGAGCAAAGCTCAAGTGTCCAGGAGCAGCAGAAAGGACAGACTGAGCGCGCCAATCAACTTGTCGTTTACGGCTCATTCATTGGTAAGCATGTCGCGTTGGGTCAGCATCAATACTAATAGTGTTTCAGGGATCTTTGTTGCGGCAGCGGATGACTCTCTGGCGATTTCGACATGGAGCTCCATAGCCTCTCAATTCCAGCGCCTGTCAGAAGGCTCATGGCTCGTTGTGGCGTATAATTTCGGGTTTTGTGTCTCTCTTCCCATGGTAAGCTGCTCAGAATAGCGTTCTCATCCATAGCGCTGACTAGTCTGTTGAATAGTATGGCACCCTGAGTAGCATGTACGGTCGGAAGAATGTCCTTCTCGGTGCTTATGCCCTTTTTGCCGTGGGATGCATCGCATGGTTTGTCTGCGCATGAATCAATATATCGAATTTTTGCTCATCCTTTCTAGTGGTGTCAGTGGCTCGTTGGAACAGCTGGTTTTCTCCAGAGTGTTAGCCGGAATCAGCGGCGGCGGGATGATCTCCCTCGTTTCGATCATCATCACCGGTATGTTCTTTTATACCGGGATGTTTCCTCACTAAGAACCTGCAGACTTGATCCCTCCTGACGACGTGGCTCTTTTCCGAAGTTATGCCAATGTTGTCAGTGTCCTCGGCAGGAGTCTCGGTGCTCCGTTGGGTGGGCTTTTGATTCAGACAATCGGCTGGCGATGGTAGGTGCTCGCTAGTCGCATAGCAAGTCAATATCCATCGCTCATAAAGCCAGGTCTTTCCTCGGTCAGCTTCCTCTTGTCATTGCTTGCGGTCTGGTGGCAGCCTATGGCCTTCCATCATCGTTGAACATTCGCGAAGTCGAAGAAGACCATGAGAATGCTCCGCCCACCAAGCTCTCGGAGGTCGACTTTACCGGTCTTTTCTTTCTAGCCTTATCCACAGTCATCTTACTATTCCTACTTCAAGATGCAAGTGTCACCACGGAGGACCACTCCCACTTGATGACGTTGCTAGTGCCATCTTTGGTCGCTGCTGTGGGCGTGTTTCTTTTTGTAGAGGCATACTGCGCCTGCAGGCCGCTCATTCCGCTTAACCTTGTGGCAGGATCTTTGGGTGGCTATTCGGCGGGACAAGTGTTGATGAACACTGCTCGCATGGCGGTTGGTCTGCACTTTGCTTCGAAAGCACTCTCAACTAATCACGGCCGCAGGTTGTGAGCAACCTCGTCCCCTACTTTGTTCGCGTCGATCAAGCTAGCAACGTTTTTGCTTCCTCGACGTACGTGATTAGCGCGTCGGGCGTCTCTATCGGGGGCGTTGTTGCTGGTGCAATTATCAAGAGGTAGAGACAATTCTGGCCTCGTAGGAGCTTCGCTGACTTTCGAACCAGAACGAAACGCTCCAAAAAGATGAGCATCATCGCTGTCGGAGCGTCCATCCTTGTTTATATCCTCATCTTTGCACGCTGGCGCGATGGCTGTTCCATCCCCGAGATGTTTTACTTGTTCCCTAACGGATTCGCTGCCGGTATATTGTTCTCCACACAATTCATTGGAATGTCGTTTGGTGCGCCGAAAGGATGTCTGGAGACTTGCATCACGACATACTATCTGTTTCAACAGTTGGGGTTGATCATCGGTCCTGCTTCCGGGGTGGCAGTCGTTCAACGAGTGTTTGGGAACCGACTGTCGCAGAATCTAGACGGATTTGAAGAAAAACAAGTATATCAACACCCCGATTCTGCTCCTTACGTCGAGCTAACCCACATTGCTCTTCAGTTCATCGGTCGGATACTCGACGATGCCAGATTCGCCGAGAACTTGTCGGACTCTGTTCAGCAGGTTGTTCGCTCGAGCTACCTCTATGCGTTCCAATTCGTACCGCGTGAGTGGATCGATCCTCCATAGGACCATAGTACTGACAAGCCGGCCCAGTCATTTCTGCAGCGTGCTCGGTAGCTATGCTGCCTATCGTCTTGTGGTTGAAGGAAGAGAAGATCGAGTGAATGCTCCGTGGAGAGACGCCATTCAATCTTTGGTCAAGTCCTTCTCAACTTTGTTGGCAATCAATCGAGAACTGAGTCGACATTTGAGCTCCTTGGACATGATTTGGATCATTATTGCAGCGAGAAAAAGTATTCGGACACGAAGGAGCTAGGGTCATTATATATATTTATCCTTATCATCAGCAATGCTGGTTTCAAACTAGAAATGCGATGAAAACGTCCCCTGGAAATTTTCTTGTTAGACAGATGGATAAATTCGAGCTATCGTGGAACAAATTCTGTGTGGAGTTGAATGTAGAAACAGTTGATGTCTGCCGGATTTCACCGCCCCAATCTTGGATTGCCTATTTGGGCAGGCACGAAGCACGGGATTCTGATGCCTGAGGCGCGGATTAGTCGCCTTAAACAGTGTGCCACGTGATTAAGCGACCAGGTTCAATACGCCTTGAGAAACTTCCCAGGTTCTAACTACCTACTGCGTACATTCCTCTTCCTCATACGGTCTCCGCGGATCCCCATCGCCGTTCTCTATTACGCTGTTGTACCACAACAAAGGAATACCTTCCTGGGCCCAACGATACCACCCTCGGTGAAATTCTCCCCCTTGCTCGCGATGTCCTCGACTGGCATCAGACAAGGAGAGTCTGCTCTTCTTGTCAACCCAGCCAGCATGAAGTGCGGGGTTCCCAGTCCTCATCTGGCCCGGTAGGTACAGGTGGTACAACGGTCAGGAATCCAGCCAGGCAGACTGAAGAGTAGCACGTTGCGTTCGACGCGATGTCGCAGTGGAGCAGGGAAGCGCGCCAAGCGGATTTCCTTTCTGACGAGTTCACCGTTCATTCCATACAAAGCATCTTTGAAATAAGGGCCAATGCAGCGCGGTCAACCGGTGTGGGTCGCACAATGTATTCGAAGCAAGGGGCTATGTGGTAGGCCTGTAGAAACATTGTGACTGTCACGTTTCAACCTGTAAGCGGGCCGGTGAGTTGGTGGTCCTATCAGATAATCAAGAAGTGAATCATGGCGCTGTGAAGATTTTTTTTATAAGGAGTACTCCGTTATAGGTACTACTTCTTTACCCAAGTCTGTTAGCGTGCCGCATCTGCATCCTGACTGGCTAATAAGCAGCTGTCATTGGAGCCAGAACCACTGTCCCATTATTTGACTGACAGTCCCTGTAGAACGGGTCTAGGCAGGGGCTCTTTATCTTCGGACTGAAATTGGCCAATGGTCTGAGTCAGCCTTGTGGGCTTTTATAGGGAGGTTGCACGACATGAAGAAGTTTCAGGATGAGTGGCTGCCTTGATAAAGGGGCTTCATTTCTGCCCTGGACGGTGGTGGTTTATTTTGAGACAAGGACCCTCCGTTGAAGCTCCTAAATTTGGTTCAGCCTGATAAGCCAAGCATGTCAGATTGGTTAATCCTGTTGGTGTAATGAGCATAGACATCCGACGATGTCCCGGTGAAGTGGGCATGGCGGCCCCCAAAGAATATATAATGCAGGGTTATTGAAGTAATGCAGCTGCTCGGATAGTCTTACTAGATTCAGATCATGAGTTACTAGCCACGCGAATGCACGAGGATACGAGAGTCCAGCTCGAGGAACAAAGAAAAGCGAGAAGGCGAATGGACCAGTCCATTCCATTCCCCCTGCAGCCATCCAATCTCAAATCAACAACAAATGGCCGCCAACGCCAAGCTTTGCCATGATCGGCTCACGTGGTTCGCTGGATTTTTTACCCCGCAACGAAGATTTTACACTATGCCGTTCTGGACCGGGATTACGACCCGTGAACAACTCAGAAATGCGTGCCACCCGCTATGGAATATGCAACACGGAAGATAAATCCATCTGCAGCATGTAGTCTGCGATCTACCGCAGCCGTCCTCGTCTGCTCTTGAGGTGCAAATCTCAAGCGGTGACCGTGATGGCGTGACCAACGAGCCCGTTGGCGAAACTAGAACCCTTAGCGTGGATGGGGAGGCTCTAAACCAAACGAGCAGAGCTCCGAATGCTGGTCTACAGCCACATCCTGGCTGCTGGTTAGCCCCAACACCGACCGCGAGGCTGTGACAGTGCGAGCGCTCCTGCGTTGGTTACTTTCCGGGGCGAGTCAGTAGTAGTCGCTCAAGGCGCGTTTAAAACCACCGAGAGGGAAAGAGTCGATGATCGTTGCCGACGTCATGGCAGGATGGGCGATCTACAGCTCGAAGGAATCCAAACCGGATGGAAGCGCTGCAGGGCACGCCTCTCATTGCCGAATCCGGAGGGCACGTGACCCGTTTCCGACACGGCGGGTGGACGTGGACAGAAGAATGTATATAGAGGCCGGAAGAATGGAGGAAACCCCATGGGAGACACTCCGTCGAGAGATGAGACATTCCTAACGAATAAAACGCCCGCCCCCGCTGCTGCCTGCTGCCTGCCCCTTTTTCTTTTCTTTTTTTATGCTTTCGAAGGGAGCCAGGAACCGCCGGCGCCGGAGAGACACGAGAGCCAAGCTAAAACAGCAAGCTTGCTTGCTGGCCAGATCGACCCCATCGGGACTTGGCGGTGGCTGACGCTGAAGCTTCCTCACGGAACTCCAACATCTATGCGTACTCAGTCCTCTGTAGACTCCGTGAAGATAATCTTACTCCGTACTCTCTGGTCGCTCCTCCGTAGAAACAGGTTACCCTACCCGAGACCCCAGGGATCAGGCATTTTTCTCTCGATCAGATCCGGTCCGCCTTACGGATCATCGGGTGGATGAACTGTTCGGGAAGCTCCTCCAGCCTGGTTGGGCTGGTTTCTCTCCACTTGCAAGGCCGCACGGAGTAATGCTATCGACCCTGCCGTCTCTCGTCCTCGTCGTCTGCCTTGTCATGGTGACATGGTCTGCCGTCTCTCGCTTTCGGTGGTTCAGTCCCTCCTGCTCCACATGGAAGCACTAACGCAATCGCAGAAAGCATGAAGAAGAGGGCGATGCAACCGTGCCAGATGAACCGGTGCAGGAGAGAAAGTCATAGACTCAGAATAGGAGAGAAGGGTGGAGAGCGAACCACTAGCTGGCAACTACTATCTTGTAGTTTATCTGGCTAAGCCTTCGCCCTGAGACAGGTGGATTCTGGCTCTCTTTTTGAATTCCGAGTACGGAATCTGGGAAATAATGAAAATAAAATGGCCAATCCTTCTGGAAGACGCTCGGGAAATAGTGGGAGAAACTATTAATAATTAAAGGCCCAAAATTGCAGGCAAAACAAGACTCAGAACGAAACCCGCGCGCAGAGATGAGGGGAACCTGGAAGCCGCGGACGCAGCCACGCAACCAATCAGCGGCCTCCAGCACTGCCCCCGCGAAAAATCTCCAGATTAGTCCGCTGCTGATTGGCCAGGTCGTACACCAGGTGGGGTCAACGGACCACGGTCTAGGCTACGACGGGCAAGTGATCACTTGCCCGACAGGCTGTCAAGGCGCCGAATGGAGACTAGCGGTCGCAGCCGACAAACAGAGAGCGAAAAAAAAAAAAAAAAAAAAAGAAAAGAAAAAGGTAAAATCAAAGGAAGACCCTGGCGGGACACGACGTCGAAAGACACCCTGTGGTTGTGGTGGATGCAACGTAGAGGCCACCTCCAAGACTCCCCCCTCCTCGGCTTGCACCTGTCATTCCTCTCGTGCTGCAGGAACCTCGCACTTTCTCCAGTGCTTGACCTATGCTTGCATCCTGGTAGCGCCGCGGACCAAAGGGGGTCTCCCTCACTTTCTGAATTTAGAGGACACGCCGGACCCCTGTTTCAGTGGCCGGGTTCTGCGGGCCCCGAGGATGGATCAGGGTCTGGATAGCCGATGCCCCTGATTGGTTAGGGGAAGCAATCCTCCATGCAGCGTTTGCGTTCTAATTTGGGCGGAAAAAAGGGAGTGCAACCAATGATCGGAGGCCGGTGGGGATAGGAGCGTACTGCGTTGTGGTATTTTACCGAGTGTTGCGGTCATGTCGGGACAGAGAATCGCCAGCGCGGGCGGATGTGCGTACGGCGGATGGCGGCCAACGCAGCGAAATGCCAGGGTCCAGTACGGTCCATTACAGGGTTCCGTGGGGCGGCGTTTCACTGGCTGCGGCTCCAAGTGGCTCGGCTTGACTAACAGGCATCCTGGGCTCAAGCTTATTCCCGTCTTTTTTTTTTTTTCCTTTTTTCTTTTTTCTTTTTTGCATTTTCGTTTTCGCCTTTTTTGCCTTTGCTCGGTCATATATGAGTCGCATTGGCTGCTCGGTCATCGTTGGATGACATGCTATGAGGTTGGCGATGGTGATGTGCGACCCTCCGCTCTTCTCTGCTATCCGTCTTTCTCGACTCTTTTGATTCCGCCATCCCCAACCCTCCATTCTTTCCCTTCCCCATCATCGTTTGATCATCATCCTTACTATCCTTCTTTAACTCCAACCCCCTTTCGTCATCCCCTCCCGTCTCAGGAAAGGCAAAAAAAAAAAATTTACTGCACACGAGCAATCTCGACCACCCTGTTCCTCGCCTTTTCTATCCGCCCTGCCATGTCGCTCATCTGACTGATTAATATTCCGGTCGTGCCGTCATGAAGCTCGCCAACTGTCTCCACGCCGTCGTGCGGCGTCTCATTCCTTTGGCCCAGCGATTGCGCGCCTCGCCGGGTCATTTCTTCGATGCCTGCTGGGAATTTTCGCGTCGCTACTTCTTCACCGTCGCCCTCTTCGCGCTGCTGAGTGCGAAGGTGCTCCATCTCTACGCTCATATCTACTCTCTACCACCCCCCAAGTTCCTGCTGTGGGGAATTACATTTTTCTTCCAGGATGTCTGCGTCCTCATCCTCATCCGCATCTTCACCCAGCGCATCCCGTGGCGACCGGTGGCGATGGCGTCAGCCTTGCTAGTCATCCCCTTCAGGTATGTCTCCCGGCTTCGTGAATTTTATGAAGGGTTGGAGATGCTAACTCGCCCAAGTCTCATGATGTCAGGAATGGCCTCCGCCAATGCTTCCTTCTATGTCGTCACCGGTGCCGAGATTCACTGGCGTCAAGCCAAGACCTTCCACCGTGATGCCGCCGCCATACGCACGCTGCTGACGGGGTTGACCGGCTTCCTCATCGTGGAGGGCCTTCTCTTGACTGTCGCGTGGTTCACGGCAAACCAGGTGCATAGAGGGGCTGGTGGCGTGCTGAAGGTTCTGGCATGGCCGTTCCGTCGGCTTGGAGGATTGATCCGGAACCTAATTTACCGCATCCGGGGCCGGCAACCCCCGGTCTCTCTGCCTGACCCCCAGGTATATGAGCAGATTGCCGTCGACGACTACCGGGATGACAAGAGCGACGACGAGGAGGACTCGCTACCTATGATGGAATCAACCAACATGGGACCCACGCAGAAGAAAGACTCGCTTCTGAAACGGGCAGGTGTCCTCGTGCCCTTCACCATCCTGATGTTCTTGCGCGCCATTCGCCCCTGGGACCCCGCCTTCTGGTTCCTCTCCGGCGCTCTGCCCTTCACCCCCTTCACCGATGGTAGTCATCGTCCCTCGCCGGTCGATACGTACGGCATGCCCGGCGATTACCGCTGGTTGGAGGGTCACTCCTCGCTGTCGGAAACTCCCGTCTGGGACTGGATGCCCGAGAAGGCTTATCCCGGATTCGAGGACTGGGATCGGACGGAACGCCCGGAATTCCACTACAACCCCAAAGAGGATCCGTTGCACATCTCCAACCTTGACAACCCGGTGCTGGAGCCAATCCGGAAGGCTCTCAACGGCGAGAAGGGCGCTAAGGTTAAGCACGTCTTTCTGCTCAAGCTTGAGAGCACTCGTGGCGACCTTTTCCCCATCCGCAAGGATAGCTTCATGTGGGACCGTATCGCCGAGTCGTACAAGGACAAAAAGCTGCCCCAGGAGGTCAAGAGCCGTATCGCCAACCTCACCCGGACTGCCGAATTCCTGACCGGATTCTCCACCGGATTTCATCACAACGACACGTTGCACCACGGCAAAAAGACCTACGGGGGTGTCGCTGCCAGCAACGCTTTCACCACCGGCACGTACACGCTGAAGAGTGTGACCGGTACCGTCTGCGGTATCACGCCATTGGTCGCCGATTTCAACCGCGAGTACGAGTACCACATCTACCAGCCTTGCCTGCCCCATATCTTCAATGCGTTGAGCCACCAGGACGATATTACCAACAAGACCGATGACTTCCGCACCTGGCCTTGGCATTCGAAGTGGATGCAGACGGTCACCGACAGTTATGACAACCAGGATAAATTGACTCCGGTGCTGGGGTACCACGACATCCTGACCAAGGAGCGCATCGAAGATAAGAACGCTAAACACTATCCGCCAGAGGGTAAAGAAGTCAATTACTACGGATATGCCGACACCAACCTTCGCGAGTACATCCGCGATGCAATCGACGAAGCGGAGGGAAACAACACTCGCCTGTTCCTCACTCATCTCACCGGAACTACCCACCATCCGTGGGGTTTGCCCGACGATGACCTGTTCCAGGAGATTATCTCGTCCTCGTGGACCGGATCCAACGGCGATCTGAATCGGTATCTGAACACGATTCACTTTGTCGATGGCTGGCTCCAGGAGGTCTTGGACATTCTGCAGGAGAAGGGAATCGCCGACGAAACGCTGCTTGTCATGATGGGTGATCAGTAAGTAACCAATGCATCAGAAGTGACAATGGCCCAAACTAACTGGTTTCTAGCGGTCTCTCCCTCCCCAACGACGGCGGTGCCACCCCCTACGACAACCCGCATCTCGGCAGTTTTCACATTCCCATCGTGTTCTCGCACCCGAAACTACCTCAAGTCGAAATTAAAACCCCCGTTATCTCCCAACAAATCGTCCCGACCATCCTTGACCTGTTGATTGAGTCCTCTTCGCTGGGACCCAACGGCACTCACGCGGCTAAAGACATCCGGTCGTTGTACGAGGGACAGTCGATGATTCGGGAGCTGATTCCCGAGGATAAAGAGGACAAGAAGAAACAGGACTGGCAGTTCACCGTCATGAACACCGGTGGTTCTTGGCTGGCATTGCGATCGGCGGCGCGACCGAAGTATCGTCTGGTGATCCCATTGATCGACGACCTGGAGTGGCGCTTTACCGATTTGGAGAAGGACCCTAACGAGAAGAAACCGTACAAAGACTTCAACCTGGTGGATCTGGCCGAAAAGCTGGACAAGGAGTATGGTGAGGACGTGGTGGAATGGCTCCGCGATGCTGCCCATGTGGCGCAATGGTGGGTCGTGGACAATTGGCACCGCTACCGTTACCACCCCAAGCCTCCCAAGCATAAGGGTTGAGAGATGAACCCCCAACTAAAGGGAAGACCGGACAGGATCCCTGTCTCTCCCTCCTAATTTCCTTCTGCTTCTGAAAAATGGAGCAGTGCTCGCCGTCCGAACCCTGTGGCCCTGCGTTTTTTGGAATCACAAACCGGATTCAACGCGCCCCATGCATGTCGTTGGCACCGCATGGGTAAAGGGCATACCTCCGGACACGCGCAGGACTCGCCCGAGTCCCTGTACACTATTATCCCGTCTACCCGTTTCTTGTCCATAGATTACGAATTTTTTGTTAATACTCCGAATGGAATATGCCTGATGATATATCCGCTTTGGTTTATTTTTGGTTTAACCGTATGACTCTCGTGGCATTGATCCCTGATCCCTGACGCTTTTCCTCATGCTCTCACCCCTGCCCCCCTGACGTAGATTTAGGCGTTGTGGCAATTACCGGAGAAGGCGTCCGGCTATTCAGACCAGGAGGTGAAACTGCAGGATCCTGGAAGGATGAGTCTGCGTGCATTGGCACTGCACGCCCATTGGGACCAATCTGTATGCCAAGACACCTTGTTCATCTGCATCAATCAGCGGTCTGACATCTCTAATGCAGGAAACGGGGATACACCCGGCCAGGAGCGATAATTATACTTGGCACGTCTCAACTATTTCTTGATTCTCCGTGTCTTGGTAGGCACGGTTGACGATCACCGTGCCTGACGGGAGATTGGCCCTCTATCCGTGACGCACTAATGCGATGTCTTGGCCCTACCGGGTAATTGGCGCGCCTATGATAGACAGACACTTCCGACTCTAGAACTGCTTCACGGCGTCGTCTTGGAAATTTGTCGCATGCCATTCGCCCAGGCGAAATGTGTCCCCGACATCCCTTGCGTCAGGGTGCGCTCGGAGGGGCACGCGCGCAACAACACCTCCAATTTATCCAGAACCGCTAATGTCAGCCCCAGACGCTATGATTTCTCGATGGATCCACGGACCGGCGGTCGAGCTGTCTGCTCTGGCATGTTTGTCTTGGTTCTCTGCCTGGCATCCATCATATATTTATGGCTCGCTCCCGCCGTGGCAGAGCTGGAAACCTGTCTCCCGACCACGCCTGATTCACTGGTCCTCTTCGCAATGAAGCTGGTGAATCGAGTGCTCGCCGCCTTTTTGGCGGCTAACTCTCGTACGTTCGATCTCATTATATGATTAGATCTTTCGCTTGTGCTGATTTACTTCTAGTGCTGCAGACATGTCTCGCTCAGTCGACCGATGCAGAGGCCTATACCGATTCCGAGACAGGCATCACGTTTGATACGTGGACTGTCCCGAAGAGCACGACCGCAGGCGGTCTGACCTTTGGTCTTGCTCTACCCAGCGATGCCTTGGATAAGGATGCGAATGAGTTCTTGGGTTACCTGGTATGCTCGACTCTTCCTCGTATACGTGGAGTGTTCTAACCAATTCTCAGTCGTGTGCCTCTGGAGACGAGGAAGGCACTGGATGGTGTGGTGTCGCCCTCGGCGGGTCCATGAACAGCAACCTCCTCGTCATGGCTTACCCATACGAGGACAGCGTCCTCACCTCCCTCCGCTTCAGCACGGGCTACGCGACGCCGGACGTCTACGCGGGCGACGCGAACATCACTCAGGTCACCTCGCGGATCAACGCCACTCACTACACCGTCCTCTTCCGCTGCGAGAACTGTCTGTCTTGGGACCACGAAGGCCAAACCGGAAATGTGTCCACCAGCTCCGGCAAGTTCGTCATAGGCTGGGCCCAGGCGTCTGACAGCCCCGGCGACCCGGCCTGCCCGGATGAAATCTCCCTGAAGCAACACACGGGCCAGGGCATCTGGGTGGCCAACTTCGACGAGAACATCGCCAGCGAGTCATACTCGGACTGGGTCAAGAAGGCCAACCAGACCGTTCCCGGCGAGTGCTCCGGTGATGGCGGCGGCGGCAACGAGCCTGAACCCGTTCCCGTCCCCAGCAATGCCACCTACGATTACATCGTCGTCGGCGGTGGCGCGGCCGGTATCCCACTGGCGGACCGCCTCAGCGAGGCGGGCCACAGCGTGCTGCTCATCGAGAAGGGACCCCCGTCGTCCGGTCGTTGGGGTGGAACGACCAAGCCGGCTTGGTTGGACGGCACTAACCTGACGCGGTTCGACGTGCCGGGTCTCTGCAACGAGATCTGGGTCGACTCTGACGGCATCGCCTGTAACGACATCGACCAGATGGCGGGATGCGTCTTGGGTGGCGGAACGGCTGTCAACGCCGGACTCTGGTGGCGGGTAAGTCTTTCTCTCATGTTGGACACGCGGATGCTAATACGAATACCCTGCAGCCGAACTCCGCCGATTGGGACGAGAACTTCCCCGACGGATGGCAGTCTTCCGACATGCAAGCGCCCGCGGAACGGCTCTTTTCGCGCATCCCGGGATCCCACCATCCGTCCACAGACGGGAAGCTGTACTATCAACAAGGACCCAACCTGATCGCCAACGGTCTCGAAAAGGCCGGCTGGCAGTCCACCACTTTCAACGAGGCCCCTGAGAAAAAGAACCGCACGTACGGCCACGCGCCGTTCATGTTCTCGAATGGCGAGCGCGGTGGGCCCATGGCGACGTACCTGGTGTCTGCCAGCGCCAGAGACAACTTTGACCTGTGGACGAACACCACCGTTAAGCGTGTTGTGCGCAACGGCGGCCGGATTACCGGCGTGGAGGTTGAGGCGTTCATGGACGGCGGGTACAAGGGTACCGTCAATGTGACTGCGAGCACTGGCCGCGTCATCCTCTCGGCCGGAACCTTTGGAAGTCCCCGGATTCTGATGCGCAGTGAGTCGGCCTTTTGAAATTCACCGACCTAGGCTAACGACGGATAGGTGGTATCGGACCGACGGATCAACTGGAGAAGGTGAAGAACTCCACGGACGGTCCTGACATGATTGCGGAGTCGCAGTGGATCAAGCTGCCAGTCGGAGAGAACTTGATTGACCATACCAATGTAAGTTGGCTGCCGTTGTGGTGAGAATGATGCTGACAGTTTAGACCGATCTTGTCGCGACGCACTCGAAGGTTGTTTGGTACGACTTCTACGGGGCGTACGACGACCCCATCAAGAGCGACGCTGAGAGCTACTTGAGTAAGTGCATTCGATCAATTTCCCGTACGGCTACTAACGTCTGTAGACAACCGCACCGGAATCCTCGCCCAAGCGGCACCCAACATCGGCCCACTGTACGTGACCATCCTCCATTCGATGTGCATGACTAGCGATTAACACAACCAGCTTCTTCGACCAAATCACCGGCTCCGACGGCGTCGTCCGCCAGATACAATGGCAGGCCCGAGTTGAGGGTGGCCATGAAACCCCCGATGGTCGTAAGTTCCCATCGCCCTGCCCTCCGGAGATACCAAGCTAAGTTTATAGACGCCGTGACTATCAGCCAGTACCTCGGTCGGGGTCTGACCTCGCGCGGTCGCATGACTCTCACGACGGGTCTGGATACCGTCGTCTCGACTCTGCCTTACCTGCGCGACCAGAATGACGTGGACGCCGTCATCCAGGGTATCAAGAACCTGCAGAACGCGCTGAAGGGAACGGGCTTGAACTGGACGTATCCGGCTCCGAACACAACCGTCGAGGAATTTGTCAACAACGTAAACCGCCCTCCTTCTATTTCATCTTGACCATATCTAACATGGACCTCGCAGATGCCTATCAACGCCGGAACCCGTCGCGCGAACCACTGGATGGGTATGCTTCTCCATCCATGTCTCCTCTCACATACCCTCCAACTAACAACTGAACAGGAACCTGCAAAATGGGCACCGACGACGGCCGCAACGACGGAACCTCCGTGGTCGACACCAACACCAAGGTCTACGGAACCGAGAATCTCTACGTCGTGGACGCCAGTATCTTCCCCGGTATGATCACGACCAACCCGTCCGCGTATATCGTGACGGTTGCGGAGCACGCGGCGACGAAGATCCTGGGTGGTCAGAACTCGCAGACGCAGACGCAGCAGACGGGGCAGAGGAAGTGGAAGCATGGCCACGGACATTATTAGATATCAGTATGTTCGGGGATGAGGGGGGACGGGAGAAGGGGGTGATTAATTTGATACTTTCGTTTCTATACTTTGTCCGCTCTGGTGGTGGATAGAGTGCTTTTTTAGACTTATATTGGAATTATCTTTCGATCATTTACCACCTTAGGACTTACTGTTGCGTATAGAATTATCAACGTTAAAATACTTGATCAGTAACGACCGAAGGCACAAGCGGACACCCTAGAACAATCTCCCATAGATTCCTGCCTCATACCCCTAGATAAATCCCTGGAGCGCCCTCAAGCGTAAGCCGCAATCGCACTGTCAAATGCGGCATCCAACTCCGCCGTCTTCGACTTAATAGTCGCCTTATCCGTCGAAGTAGCCTTGTTCTGCAACGCAGTCGACAAGCTGTCCGTCTTCGTCTTCAGATTGTTCAAATCAAGCTGCACAATACTGACGACGCCGGCGGAGACGAAGAGAGATTTCTACCATTCACAATGGCGTTAGACCACACGTACAACTGCAGACCCCACGGGACCCAGGGCCAGGACAGAAGGGGTAAGGGATGTAGGCATTACCTTGGAGACCAAAGCCGTCAACGAAGAATCAATATCCGGCTCCAGGCCAACCAGCGCCGCCGTGATAGCACTGCTCTCGGACGCGGTAAACGCCGACGCGGCATTTGTGTCCGTAATTGCTTTGTTGATGTCGTCCTCGACGGCGGATTCTTTGGTCTGAATCTGCAGCGCGGCGGTCAGGCCGCCGGTGTAGCCGTTGACGGCGGTGGTGAGAGTCCTCAGGTCGGTGGCGATTTTGGCCAGGTCGGACTGGACGGCGGATGCGTCGCGGGTGGTCAGGAGGGGGGTGGAGGAGATGAAGGGGGTGAAGAGGGTGAGGACGAGGAGGGGGAGGCGAGGTGAGATGTACATTTTGGATGCTTTCTGGTTGGAGGTGATGAATGTGAGATTGGATTGAGTAGATGGTTGGATGAAGGGGATCAGAGGAGAGGGAGAGGGTTTATATATGTGTTCTTCCGTCGGTTTTGAGCTCCTACTGTCTCTTGATGCTGGTGACAAGGATTCGATCAGAAGCTTAAGACTCCTTGACCAGGCTTACCCTCGGTAGGGCATCAGGACCATGTCTCACGATAACGTCAGTCTGCGCTATTCTCTCGTACATACAAGCAATCAATTCTACGATTTCTCATATTGTGGCTAAATGACATGCAATAATTTCACATGTGCCTGCACACATACCTAGGTAATCATGCCATGGCTTCCACAAACAAACTATCTCTACCAGCCAAAGGAGGAGTTGTCCGATGCAAAAGAGGAGATTAATATATCCCCATCTACCCCCGGATCGACGTGCCAATCGATCCCCTGACTACCCCACAGGACGGGGGTTCTTCACAAACAGCCAAGAATGGTGGCGTAGACGATCGTTGCTGTTTTGTAGCGGTTCACCACGCGATGTAACCTGGCTTTATATGTTGCAGCTGAGCGCGCTTCGCCGTGTCTGAGAGGGGTATACGTTGCGGGAGGCTGGGAGTGGTGGATTTATTGAGTTGAGAGATTTATTTGGTGATGGATCCGAGGGTGCTGCCATTGAATATTTGCATGTGTTTGTGTAGGGATCGGAGATGTTGAATCATGTACTTTTGCATAGAATTCGGGGATCTCCACGGAGATCGAGATCATGCTGATCAGGGCGATTGGTCTGGGCTCTGGTAAAGACCCCCTCTGCTTTCTGTTTAGCCTGAATCCTTGAGTCCATTTCCGTCGGAGTCTCATCATACCAGCCAGTTTGCACGATGCCCCAGCAACAGAAAGCAAGTCTAATGTAAATGCGTCCACAAATACCGCACCATATTCGCACAAGACTCCCTGACTTCTGCCGTGGCACTTGCCCACTTCAAATCCCATCCGGTATACCTGGTCAAGTCACCTCGCGCAGAGATGTAAAACGAGTGCGACTCCGGCGTCCCCACCGCCAGGCCCGGCTGATAGAACGCCACTTCCTGGTAATTCATCAACTGTCCATGCTCGCCGAACATGCTCTTCTCTGCCTTCCTCGTGTTCACATGGAAGCCGAACGGCTTGCTCGGATTGACGTTATTGTCGTACCGGATCTCCCACACAACACGATTGTATACCCATTTCCCAGACGGATCGCAGTCCTCGTGGCCGAGAATCGTGCCGGCTTGGTCCCAGTCGCACGTTCCGCGGATGCCGGTGACGTACATGTCGATGGGGTCGCCGTCGAGTTTGTTGGTGACCAGGTCGACTTTGGAGTTGCGGATGATGTCGTAACCGATGGATGCGTGAGAGTCTTGGAGGGGGGCGGTGGAGGAACGTGCTGTTCGCGGGACATTCTGCTGGTGATGTTATGATCTTATTGAGAAGGATATTTGAGAGTTGATTTGATCCTGGAGATGAGAGGAGGGGAGGTGAGGCTGAACTGGCACATCGCAGCGGCTGACAAGGCTCGGTCAGATGGCTGGCAGGGATCACGAGGGTATCGCTCCAGGGAATAAATCCTTCGACTGCCGATCTTCTTCAAAGGACTGAGACGTCCGATCAGTATGCCCATTGCCATAACACCCCGGATGGAAGTCATTCCACGCAGCTCACAACATGGAAACTCTCGAGTGCCTGATAGGAAAATACCGAATTCTGACTCCGATGCATGGACCGGGTCAACAAAGGGATACTTCCAGGAAGGAACCATACTCTCCTTCTCGAGATGGAAAGCGCCATTAATCGCACCCGGGGAAGGATGACGGGAAGTCAATAAAAAGACACGATGCGGTTCCTCAAGCACATTCCGCAGAAATTGTCGGAATTCGGCCACAGTCACACTATTACAGATTTCTTTCGACCGGTTCTTGCATTCCAGATGGGGGACTTATCATTTGAAGACTCACCTATCCAGGCGGTAGACCAGATGGCAGACCAGGCACCGAACCACCAAGATCGCCGTCGTCGGTCTGTGCGTCTTCGTCGGAGAGCCCTGGCGCATGAGGCTGAACCAAACCGCCAAGAATCACCTGCATCAGATACTCTGACTCTGTCTCTCGTCCTTCAAGATCAGGGACGCGGGGACCTGAAGCATTGGCTGCTATACGTGGCGCGCGAGAACCAGCCCGGTCTGTGCTATCAAGTCGTCGGCATCCCACCGCTGATGCAATACTGGGCGCCAGACAAACCCGTCGATATCAAGGCGACTCGGTCGTGTTGGAACATGTTCGAGCTGGGTACGGTCACCGCGGCGCAGGCGGCGATGGTGGAGGAAATTGCCAGCCAGGAACCACCAGCTCTAGCGCTGGATTTAGATGCCGGGGCAGAGAGTTGTCAAGGCTGGACGGTGAGAGTGCTCGGAAAGCTCTATGATCGAGGGGTTGTTGATGCAACGAGCATGAGCTTTGTGAGGTCTATGCTGGAACCGGCCTAGACGTTGACTTGGTCTCGGCTTTTATGATGTTTATTGGCACTGAGCAGCTTGCATTGGAGGCGTTGGGTTCTTATTTGAGGTTTTTCTTTCTGTATCTTTTGGTGCTTGGGAAAATTAAAGTGGATTTTTCAAAGTTTGTGCTGTTACCTGCGCGCTACCTATTAACTTATTCTTCTTGTCAGTAAATGCCGGTCGTACGTCATTGGAATTTTGCGCCAATTCATTCGATATCATGGCCTGAACCAGTTGGGCATGAGATTAATATTATTGAAGGAAATAAATAAGGGCATATGGTTCTGACGAGGTGCAGAAGTTGCAAGATTTATCCATCGAACACCTGTTAGCATGCTCGCTTCAACATTTTTCCCTTGCAATGTTTTGGTTGATTTTTCATGCATAACATCTTTCTGTTCACTGATCCAGAAGCTGAGGCAGAGATGCCTTTCTATTTGAATAGCCTATCTGCTTTATTGGACCAATTTAATGGTTTATTCTTTTTCTTTCTCTCACCCTGTAGCTTCTTAGCATGATTCCACTTGGTTCGATACCAAATTAGCGCCGAATTTGTCGTGGAAAATCGATTTCTTTATGTAAAAAAAGAAGAAAAGAAAAAGAAAGAGAGAGAAATCGGCCCTACCTCAAAAATCAGTAATAATTGAAGTCAAGGAATCTAATCGATAGACGTTGGTGGCGAATCCCCGTGCATTCTCCGTAGGCAGGATCAGTGCGTATGCGTGTCAGTCCGCGGCACAGACGGATAAAATCCGAGTTAACCGGAATCCGAAACAGAGCCGTCAGCTGGATATCAGAATCTGCTTCTCCAGAAATCCCCACGCAGAAAGTGGACCGCGCCGCCGGTAACCGAGGAAGAGTGGGAGAACTCCGGAAACCGACATGGCCCAGGACTCAGAGGCGAGTTCGGGCCGAGTTGGGTCAACGGAATCCGGTTCTTTTGATTGGCAAAGAATCCGGACTACTCATTGACGATCGAAGCCGTACATGCCGATCGGAGCCCCGGACAGTGAGGTCTCCGCGCGTCAAGTTACGGAGACAGCCCAAGTAATAGTGATGGCCAAGGAGGTAAAGACGCCCGTGTGGGAGGGACGTCGCCCTCTCTAGTTTTCGGGGTTCTTGAAACAAGAATGGTATTCAAAGTAAAGTAATAGTGGGTATATTTGATTATGGATGAAGCGATGAGCGATGGAGCACTGTGAGAGTTTGTTGATGGATTGTATAGGAATTCTGGTATCCAGTCTACTATATACAACGCTTACCTCCCCGGCTACATGAAGAGTGAATCAAGCTTTGATTTGATCAAACGATTTATTCAGACAATGATTCACCTGATTGCTCTGAGTAATCAATCTAAGAAATTCAAGCAATTATTCACCCGAGTCATCCCAACAGTCCGTAAGCTTGAGCCCCGAGGGCCCCAACAGGAGTAGGGTAGTTTTAGACCTGAAAAAAACAATTTATGCAGTAACGAAGCAGACCAAGCAGATTTTTCATTAATAATAGGGCCAGCCAACTCGGACAATCTCCTATCTCGCTTCCTGTGCGGAGGTCAGCGACTCCAGTTTATTTTCCCACAAAATGCATCGCCGGGTGGATCCGCATGCGGCACAGCCAAGCATCGTCCAGGAAAGCTTGATCAACATTTGGTTCCTTCAGCTCCACGCCGACCGTCTTGGGGATTCCCATTGGTAATCCGGTGGAGCTCGGCCTTGAACACAGACCCAAATGCCGACCGACGTCAGCTTGACTCAGCGTGGCCACGACCTGCCCTTCTTTTCCCCGTTTGCTCCCCGGACGCTGAATTGGAGCCCCGGAAAGATTCTTCTCTCTGCGCGAGACAACCACCATGGAGGAAAGTCACGGCGTCCCGGATGCTGCGCTGGAGCAGAAGATCTCCAATTCCTACCGGGAGAATCTCCCGCTGGTCGTGTCCGAGGAAGAGGCCTTGACGCATGCGCGGGCGCGTCCCAACGAGGCGCTGCCTCTCTTGCTCACTTTCGGGAATGGCGACGGTGACAATCCGCGGTGCTGGTCGAAGATGCGGAAATGGTATATCACCTTGTTCGTCAGCATGCTGAATGTGCTCACGTATGTTTTCCCCTGTGATCTTCATGATCGTGGACTGACAGTTGATTGTGTAGATGCTGGTGTGCCGGAAGTATCTCGTCCGGAGCCCCTGCCATCGCGGAGGAATTCGGCGTCTCGTCGGAAGTCACCACGCTCTGTCTCTCGCTATACGTTCTCGGATATGCAGTTGGTCCGGTGCTGCTCGCTCCGCTATCCGAATACTTCGGCCGTCAGCCCGTCTACGTCATCTCCTGGTTCCTGTTGTGCCTCTTCCAGATGCCCATCGCCCTGGCCCCGAACATCGGTACCGTGCTTGTCTGTCGATTCCTGGCCGGTCTCGCAGGTGGTGCTCCTCTGACCAACACCGGTGGATCGATCAGTGATATCTGGGAGCGGAATTCCAGCGGTGGCCCGATGGCTGTGTACGGATTGAGCAGCACGTTTGGTCCGCCCACCGCGTTGGTTATGAGTGGTTTTATCGGTCGCAATGCAGGCTGGCGGTGGATCTTCTGGACCCTGATGGCCATCACTGGCGGGTTCTGGATTTTGCTGGTCACGACGGTGCCGGAGACGCGACACACGATCATCCTGCAGCGCAAGACCAAGCGATTGTCCAAGCAGATGCGCCAGGAGAACCTGCAATCGGCAGACTCGGTGACCGACGCAGCTGCCGGCGGTCGCAAGGGCCTGCACGAGCTGTTTGGCATCACACTGACGCGTCCGTTCCGGTTTCTCATCACTGAGCCCATCACGCTCTTCTCGGCCTTGTACAAGTATGTCCACGTGATGCCCCATACCCTTATTCCTCCTGCTAATTCTTCTCTGCAGCGGCTTCCTCTACGGCCTCGTCTACCTCTTCAACGAAGCCTTCCCCCTTGTCTTCGGCGACGGTCACGACTTCGACGTCGGCCAGCAAGGTCTGGCTTTCCTCGGCATGGCTATCGGCCCCATCATCGCCTTCTGCTTCTACCCCCTCCAGGAACGGTACTATCTGCGACGCGTGGCCGAGAACGGCGGTCGCGGCGTGCCCGAAGCACGCATGTGGATGGCGCGTCTCGGAGCTATCTTCATCCCTGCCAGTCTGTTCTGGTTTGGCTGGACCAGCTATCCTTCGGTGCACTGGGTCGTTCCCATCGTGGCCTCCGCTTTCTTCGGTGCGGGTATCTACATCGTCATCCTGAGTATTCTGAACTACGTCGTGGATAGCTACCAGACCTATTCTGCGTCTGCGCTGGCGGGTGTGATTCTGGCGCGTAACCTCGTCGGCGCTGGGTTTCCCCTGTTCGCTACCCAGATGTATAATCGGTTAGGATGGGAGTGGGCGTCCAGTTTGCTGGGTTTCTTGGCTATCTTGCTCGTGCCGATTCCGTTTATTTTCTTTTACATGGGTCGCGCGATTCGGTTGAGGAGCCCGTGGGCTAGAGAGCATTTCGATCAGGATGAGGATCATCCTCATTGATGGCGCTTGTTTCTCTATTTGGTTACGAGATGGTTATGAGCGAGGTATAGATTTATTTAGACTATGATGGATATAGCTTATGTTTAGATTTGTATCGCATATATTCTTTTCATTTTCTCATATCAACGGCTAGGACAGAAGCTGAGACTCGGCCACTTCCCGAGATCGGGACGTGGGGGATGCAGATCGTCAAGCATCCAGCTGCATGTCCTGTCTGCACTTTGACGTATTCCTTCTGGCAACGAATGGGGTGGACCTGATTATTTTCGTCTCCATGGAAAATTGGCAGGCTGTCATCGAAAGATGCTATTGCCACATATTCCCCGACCGGGTGAATCCTATGCATATACGGAGGAGAATAGCAGCTTTCTCAACAATCAAACAGAGGATTGTGTTACAAATGGCAGACATCCTCTTCCAGCGGGCTGTTATGGACAAGCCTTCTCCATGTGAGCTTTACTGACATGTCCATGTGCTGTACTTAAACATCGAAGTACTACGGAGTCACGCTGTCTTGGGACCTAGCCAGCAGGAATGCCGAGCTAAAAACGAAGCTAGGAACACGATACAAGCATTCGATCTCGTCTTCCTCCCCCACCAGCCGATACCTCGGATTGTGGGGTATGTGATGCCCCCTCCCCATGGGGTGTCACTTCGACACCAATTTAGAACCATGTCTTTCTGTTTGCTTTTGTGCCCATCAGACCACCCATCAGACCACCCATCATCACCATGGCAGAAATAGACAAGCCGACCGTTGAATTGGCCGAAGACGCCGACATTCAGAAGAACAACACCGACAAAATCCTCGTCGATAGCGATGGATGTGTGCAGAGGCTGCCGATTCCCAGCGCAGACCCCAATGATCCGTTGAACTTTACGTTCTGGGAGAAATTGGGGGTGGTGGTCAGTTGTTGCTGGTTTTGTGAGCTAATCATCCAGACACAATGAATGAATCTGACTGATCTCAATAGCCTCAATGTCGCTGTCCGTCGTCGGTGGATTGGGTGCGATTCTGGATGTGTTCATCCAGATGTATACGGCTGACGGGCGGAGTGTGAATGAGGTGGTCTGGTTGTCCACATTTCCATCCCTATTCGTGGGAATTGGTATGCTATCTCCTTTGATATTTGCTTTTCTGGTGAGCTAATAATAAAGGGAACTTCTTGATTCTTCCTCTCGGATTGGTGTACGGCCGTCGACTTGCAACTCTCCTGTCCACCGTCATCCTCCTCGCTGCCACAATAGGATGTGCCGTGTCGAATACCTGGGAGCAGCATCTTGGACTGAGGATCATTCAAGGACTTGCAGCGGGTGCTACTGAGTCGGTTCGTACTATTCCTCATTATGCCCAGGGATCCAGCTGATGAATTAGGTCCTTCCTTTGATACTGGCAGAGGTTACCTTCGTGCATCAACATGGCATGGTATATGGGATGTATTGGGCTGCTCAGAATGCCATCACCGGTGTTTTGAACCTAGCCAGTTCATACGAGGTCGCGGCCCTTGGATGGCGATGGTACTACTGGGTCTTCACCATAGCGATCGGCGCTGGGTTGGTTATTGTGGTCTTCGCGGGCTTCGAGACCGCATATCATCGAGACTCACAGTTCTTGAACGGCAGATTAGTGCTGACCGATCAGTTCGGGGTGACTCGTATACTAACCTCCAGCGAAACCCAGGAGTACCTCTCCCAAGGCGCTCACCAGATCAACCCTCACGACAACATCTCCAAACACTCCTACCTTCATATGCTCAAACCATGGACCGCCCCATACAACAACCAATCCCTCCTAAAAGCGACACCCCAAACATGGCTGCACATCTGCGAAGCCTTCACCTCCCCTGGAATCCTTTACGCTACGCTCCTCTCCTCCGTCGTCCTCGGCGCCTCCGTCGGCATGTCCCTCTCCTACAACACCGTCCTGCAATACAGCTACCACTGGGCCCCCGAAAACATCGGCCTGATCAACCTCGGCGGCGTCTTCGGCGGTCTCGGCGGAATGCTCTACGCCGGTATCTTCGGCGATAGGTTCATCCTATACATGGCTAAACGTTGCGGAGGTGTCCATTCCCCTGAACATCGTCTCCCGCTTCTCATCTTCCCTGGCATTCTGTGCATTCTGTCCTTATTGCTGTACGGCTTCACAGCTGAAGGCGGCCCCTCGCTCACATGGGGTGGTCCCTACATGGCCTGGACGTTGTATCAGATTGCGTTCGTGTCGGTGCTGATCCTCTCGACGTCTTTTGCGGCTGAGGCGTGGGAGAAAAATCCTGGTCCTGCGCTGGTGGCTGTTGTGGGGACGAAGAACATCGTGGCGTTTGGTTTGAGTTATGGGATTAATCCTATGGTCGAGAAGTACTCGTATCCTGTTGCGTATGGTGTGCTTGCTGCAGTTGTGGGTGGTATTTTTGTGCTGGGGGTGCCGGTTTATATTTGGAATCCGAGGGTGAGTCTTTTTGTTTTTTTCTTCTTTCTTCCTTTTCTTCCGGGCTATTCGGATTGTTTGAGGGTAACCGAGGCTAATCAACCCGTGTCTTTAGTGGCGACGATACATGGAAAGGAAGGAATGATTTGACGATTCGATTGAATATTATTGCAACCTGGTGCTTTGACTTGTAGCATGGTCTGGGTATATACTGGGGCTGATCGGGCTATCTAAAGAAGTATCATACTTTACCTACTTGCTTCTTAAAGGATTATTGCTCTCGAAAGACCCAGGCTAGATTGCCGTGCCCTTACTACTGAATCAGACGTTCATTATAAGTAAACAAGAAGAAATCTTGCCCTTCCACTATCAAAGATTGACGAAAACTTAAAGCATAGGCTTATCCCTCACACTAAAGCGTCCCTTAACCTTAAGATCCCTGGAGCTAGCGCCGACAAACACCTTATACTCGCCCTGCGCAACAGCCCACTTCTGCGCCTTCGTATCCCAGTACGAAAGATCCCTGCGCCTCAGCCCAAACGTGACCTTGTCGCTTTCTCCGGCCTTGATGTCAACACGCTTGAACCCACGAAGCTGTCGGACAGGCTGGCCTGCAGCCTTGGGGAACCCGAGGTATAGTTGGGGCACTTCGGCGCCGTCTACGGACCCGGTGTTCTGCACTGTGACGGACACCTTGCCGACGGTGTCCCAGAGATCAGTGTTGCCGCCGACGGAGTGGGTGCCGGTTGGGTATTGGGAGAGAGGAGAGGGGTCGTGGACGTTGAGGTTGGAGTAAGAGAAGCTGGTGTAGGAAAGGCCGTGACCGAAGGGGTAGCGCGCGGTGATGTTGTTGGCGTCGAAGTAGCGGTAGTCCAGGTAGACGCCTACTTTGGTTAGATTTCTAATGGTAGAGGGCAGTGAAGAACGATAATTTACCTTCAGTGTAGTTGCACTGTGCGGTATAGCACAAGTCGACATTGTAATCACTTTCGTTCTTGGCGATGGAGTAGATCAGACGTCCAGAGGGGTTGACGTCGCCGTAGAGGACATCCGCGACGGAGTTTCCAGACTCCTGACCGAGAAGAGATCCGTAGAGAACAGCGGTGACATTCTCATGCTCGATCCACTGGTCAACCAATCTAGGTCCGACGGTGTTGAGCACGACGACGGTGTTGTTGCAGTTGTCTGCGACGGTGTTGACCATGGCGTCTTGGTCGGTGTTGTAAAGTTCTGTTCGGTCTGCTCCTTCACCGGACAGCGCGTTCAGGAAGACCAGGCAGACGTCGGAGCCGCTGGCGTAGTTCTCGTATGAAGGAGAAACGGCTGTGCTGTCGGTTGATTCGGGAATGAGCGATGATCCACCGCTAGAGGCGTACGTATCATTCAGGATCCAGCGCAGCATGGTTCCATCGGTAACGGCTCTGTTGGTGAGTGCGATGTGGGGTGTAATCAAATAAGGATAGGACGACTGCGCTGAGCCAGATCCGGTGGCCAGATGTCCCTGGTAAGTAGGTCCAGATCCTATCCATGGCCGTGTTGGGACCGCCGGTGATTGCGCCAGCGTGGGAGCCAAAAATGCTCATAACTCGCGGTTTGTTGAGTGGGAGACCCCCGTTATTCTTCAGCAGAACCATGGACTTCGCGCCGTTCTGACGGATCAGCTTTGAGTGGTTCGCTCGAACATCCACGTACGCATCTTGATCCTGTGCACTAGGCTGTTTGCCGTTGTCCAATCCGACGTGGAAGTATCCGATGACGTTGCGAATAGCCATGTCATTGAAACGAGCCTGAGTCAGGGTACCGTTAGAGAGGAGGGTTTCGACAGTGGAATTGCTCCAGAGGCTGCTAGATCCGTAATCCTCGCCATTCAAAGCTGACAGCGTCGCGCTGTCCTGGGCGTTGGCGTCTGGCCAGACGAGACCAGGGAATCCAAGCTCCGTCTTGAGATGTTTCATCAGAAGGTCGGAGTTCTGGCAAGCCATGGTACCATTGACCTTAATCATTGCGCACATTACGGCGCCCATACCGTTCCGGACGGCGTCGTAGAAAGGCCAGAGGTAGGTTTCATGCAGCGTCTTGTCGTCGGTGTTAGAGGAGTAGGGAGCGGATGAATTAGAGCTAGAACCAGAGCCAGAGGAACCACCGCCGGAGGGAGGACTGCCAGATGATGCACCACCAGATGGTTGAGGAGTTCCTGACGCAGCTCCAGCAGAGGAGGATGATGTCGATCCGGTCGACATACCAGGGGGAGCTCCTCCAGGACCTCCGCCTCCTCCTTTTCCGCCACCGCCACCGGTGCGGTTTGTTTCCTGCTCGTATAGTAGAAAGTGCTGTTCTTGTTAGCATATGCTTGAAATATCCTAGCGGGAGGTTATGTACCTTAGCGCCTGGAATCACACCTGCATCAGCATAACCCTTAGTGCTCAATCCAGTAACCAATCCATTCAGGTAAGGGTCGGGTCCAAATCCCTCAACGCCTCTTCCTCCCCAAGGTGTTCTTCCCAGTGGCTGACTGGTCGGACCGGATAAGACCTGCACACCCTTGTTATAGAATTCCGAGCCAACGGCCTTAGCCTGCGCGTATATAGCTTCCTCGTCCCATGTCATGGCGATGGCATTAGCCTGGCCAAATGCAGACACATAGAAGTAGTTCTGGAGTCCCATCTCTCCATCAAGGAAGGTCAGTGCGTCGAAGGTGCCATCTGTGGTGTTCACGCTAAAGCCGGTGATCAAAGAGAGTTTCTGGGCCGGGGTGAGCGATTCAACGAAGTCGGAGGCTTTCTTGTAGGCAGTCTCCCAACTGCCCAAGGCGACTGTTTAAATATTGATCAGAATACAGTGCGTTTGAAGCGGGAGAAAGACGTACCGCCATTGGACTTGAGGACACCGACAGATTCAGCGCCAGCTAGGCCGAGAAGGCCCGACGCAATGATGAAGGAAAGTGATTTCATAACTGAATGAAAATATAGCTATACAGCGAAAAGAAAGAGTGACTAAATGTGTAAGAGGAAAATCAGAGACTGAACTCGTCAAGTCTCTCCCTATATACCCTCGGCATCCCGACGTGGCTACCATACGCATACTCCCTCTCTTGAAACGGTTCACTTCCTCACCGGGCCATGTTGACGATGCCGAAACGAACTATCCACGGCTAAACTCTGGCTAGCAGCTGCTAAAATATGCTAATTCGTGGCCCATACCCACACCGGGTTTTCCGAGTCGGAACTCCCGAGGATTAAGCTACACAGGCAGCAAAATAAGCACCAGGCAGGATATGAAGACAAGGTTAAGATTAAATCAGATAACAGGGATCGTCCATTTAGTTTGGTGACGCGTTTAACTGCCGAAGTGACGTTTAATTCCTGCCTACCGGGAATGAGAGAATGACATGAGGATATTTTTGAGCTTTTAAACATTTTGATAAAAGGTGCTAAATCAAGGGTAGCTAAGGCCGATAACTGAGAGGAATTGATTAACCACAGCCAGTTTAATTATAGAATGCAACGTCAGAGATCTGAATCGTTGGTGTGACCTGGTGAAGCTATCCCGAAGAACGGTTCTGCTGTCGCGTCGAGTGGATCCGGTGGGGCGAGTAACCAGTTTTGCTCAATGGCAGTCGGGCAAAAATCTACTATGAAAGGATTTGTCCTAATATATGATTTCTCTGTTGTATTGGATTTTGCACAGGTGCATACAGAAGAAAGACAGCTTCGAGCATTGCGCTCTTTATGAAGACATTTGGAAATCAGTAGCTGTGCACACCTTTCCCATATTAGCTGAGTGCATTATGGGCATTCCTTTACGAAAGAACTTTTGCCCCAACTCCTGCTCAGTGCACTGTTGGTAGTTTCCAGAACGATCCACCTATTGATTCTGAGCCACCGGGCCTTGCTGTTCCGGACTGTCTACAGGACGGCACAGTAACGCCTCGAGTAACCATGAGAGAATATGCTGTGGTTTGTTGAAGCTATATTGATTGGCTTTCATGAATTTGTGCTACTTAGCATTGCTGCTTTTGCACACTCATGCGTATTTGTAGCATAATTGGGCTCCTTTGTATGTACCTACTATCTACAAAATAGGCCACCTTAACTCACCCTCCTTTTGATTTCATAAAAGCATAATAAACATCAAGAAATGAAATGGTCTTCGATTTGTCAACTCATTCTCCCGTAACACCCTCCTTGTCCTATCAACATCTTATAAAGAAAGAAAAAATAAGAAAAAAGAACAGAAAAGAAAAGCTTAATTAATATAAGCAAGCTCAACCGTCATACGCTCGAACGTCAAAGGAAGATCCGAAGTCGGCACACATCGCCTCAGATGCTCATGCAACACGTCCCACTCCTTATCCGGCCTGGTGTTATGTAGAGTCACCAAAAGGCGCGAAAAGCCTTGGGGAGTCGCTCCCATTGCACGACGCCACGTGCCTGCTCTAACACGCTTCCGGCTCTGAGTGAGAATTTCTTCCAGTACACTCATGATCGGGGCATAGACTACGTCAGTGGGCACGTCGAAAACAATAATGCAATCGTTTTCGATCCAGTCGTACGGTTGAGATTCTGTGTCGCAGTCGAAGGCCGCTTCGACGTCATCGACCGGCATATACTTAACTGAACTGCTTTGGAAGAGAGAGCTGAAAGGCATTTTGCATATATGTTTTGCCTTGCTTAAGCGTTGCGTGTGGTTAGAGTAAGAGGGATGTTTTTGTAGATGCCTTGCCTTTCGTCGGAGGTGTTGCGGTGGTGTTGGTTGTCTTCATGCACAAAGTGGACAAGGCGTTCTTTTTTATACAGCAGTACTAACTTCAGTTTCTTTGTTTCTCCGTTTCAAAAAGCCATTCAAAAGATGCTATTTCTTTGACAAAACGTCTTTGTTGGTTTTTGTAAACGGAAAACTACGAAATATATCCTTTACGTGAACAATGGTATGGCCTTGAAGGAACAAACATGAAACAAGAAATAAAGAATGTTCTAGGGTAATATTCGTTGTGAGTATAGCTAAGAAGATATTGTGTGTCCGGTAGATCCCTCCAACAAATTTAAAACTCTGACTTTGCATCGTCAGTCTTACGACAGACAATCCACGACTTTCCCTCAACAACTTCGGAGTATTTGTGAGCAGTAAGACAGGCCTGTCGAGATCGAAGCAAACTTGATTCCGCGCGAGCGAACACGGCGTTTTCATATTCGACAAGGGAGGTACGAAGAGCGTGCGATGAAAACGACCTGCCATGTCAACTATTTACCAAGACGTGTGACAAAATGGAGCCTTACTCTGACACCTGTACGTTGACTCGTTCAACAAGATCCAAGACATCTAGAATAGCATTATTCGCACCCTGCCCGCGATCTAAGAGTCGTTAGTATTGTTATACCCCAGCTGTGTGACACATACACATGGTCATCGTATGTGCCGAGTCTAACCAGAATAACTCGTGGATGTCGATCGCGAGACACTCCCGGCTGAAGAATCCAGTCTTCCACGTTTATGGATCGGACTTCTGTGTCTAGAGGAATGTTCTGTATTAGAGATCGAAAGGGCTCCGCGCAGTCGGCCCCTAGTGACTTCCAAAGTCGAATTCGATACAGACTTGACTCTGTTACGGATATTTGCTTTTCATTAGACCAAGATATGATCAATTGGCACTAATACTTGTCGGTGTTGGTATTCGGTGTATTTAGAACTACATAAGTTGTTAGTCGATTCATGCGACCACGCAAAGTATTCTCACGTACAGCTGAAGAACATGAAGAGGTTCGACTCTGGATGGGTTCCTAAGGACATCAAAGGGGTCGACTTTTTCGGCCCCGGCAATCTCCTCGGCTGTATAGAATGCAGCTGACACTCCACCAATGGCATTTCTCTTGGCGTATCCTTGGCTCAGCTCCTCTGGACAAGTGCAGATCCAGGATTCCATCACCGGGAGGATATCTTAAGATTCAATAGGTTTATTGCCTTTTGTCTAGTGGTCAAACATGCAGACTGTTCACTTGTTGGGCTTGTGGGAGTCCATGACTGAGTAGCAAACAGAACAAACAGGTAACACATCACTACGACGAACGGACGACTTCACTACTTTTTTGCTACTCCAGAATTTTAACATCTATTTATTAAGGGTGCAGTTTACACCCCATACAGGGTGCCGGTGGCTCCTCACTCCCATAAACATCCGGCCGCGGTTTCCCAGTCACGTTCAGGTATCCAACCGCTCCCTTCTCGAGTCTGAAAATGGCATGATCAACAAGAGTATAGGCACCTGGCACGATCATTTGCAATTCAGTTATCGCCGCACCGCCCGGGGGCACCGAGAGCGTGGACAATATATCGGTTGGGGGACTGACAACGCCACCGTCGCGATAGACCTTGCGGAAGTGACTGCCGATGACATGGAATGAGCTGGTGAGATTGGGGCCGGCATTTCCGAAAAACAGTCGAACAGTCTCTCCGGTGTTCGCAGTTAAGGGGTTCTTTGTGAGGGATGAGTCGCTTCCGTTGAAAACGACCACGTTGGGCTCCTCGCGCACAGCATCGGGGTACGAGAACTCGACGGTCTTTTCGGGGCGGCCGTCGATTCCAATCTGCGGGGGCTCATGATAGAACTCGCTCTGGAGGACGTAGTATTCTTTGTCGACGGGCGGGAGATCTTTCTCGGGCTGCACATAGATCATTCCATACATGCCGTTGGCAATGTGAACCGGCACAGGGTTCGCCGCGCAATGATAGACAAAAAGTCCCGGATTGAGGAGTCGAAATCTTGCTTTCTTGACACCATTGGACTCGGCTGTTGTGAGGGCTGCGCCGCCACCAGGACCCGTGAACGCGTGGCAATCAATGTTGTGCTGTCGGCCGCTGAGGTCCTTGTTGTAGAATGTCAGTTCGATGAAGTCGCCGACACGAGCGCGAATGAACGGTCCCGGGATGGTGTCATTGAATGTCCATCCTTCGTACTTGTATTGGCTGGTCATCTGGAATGTTTTCTCGGTCGATGTCAGGTCGACTTCAAGGCGGACGGGATGGTCGCGAGTGATGGGCGGAGGGACATTAGGAGCAGAAGTAAGAACAGCTTTTTCTACCGGGAGCTGCGAGATTTGCTCTTCGGTCATCTCCTCTGGGAAGGGATACGGGTCATCGGAGCCATCGGAGGTGGTCTGCTTTGAGGTGCTATGATTTCCTGATTGAATGGCTGCCGCAATGGGTTTCTCGCGTCGGTTGTAAAGCACAGTGCCAATTCCAAGGGCTGCTAAACCCGCGAGAATTGCGACATTGTTTCGGCTGCTAGCATCGACGGGCTTGTCCGCCTCGGTAGATAATCTTCTGAGCGCAGACTGAGATGATTGGAAAGAGGAACGCCATGGCCTGGCCTTTCCAGCCGAAGCGGCCAGTCGAACCGAGGTCCGGATGTGCGGACGAAACATCACAGAGGTACTCATCGTCAGGGACCTCAATCAATTCCAAATGAGACTCACGGCAGAGACGATGAGGAACGTGAGGTACTGAACGGTCGCCTCAAGATGTGAGACTTGACTGGTATAGATGATGTCACTGCGGCGTCGGTGGCCTCAAATGTGGTTCACTAATCCGAATACCACAACCTGGTTAAACAGGCTTATATGTCAAGCCCGAGAACCTTCAGCTCGAGGCAAGGTTACGCAAGTTTGCTGGGGAATGCAGCCAAGCGCCCCCTTGCGTGCATGATATCAGATCACTTGTCTCACCGCTACCAGGCCACCCAGTTCAGTCGACACATCGTCTCACAACCCCACTCAGACATCCAGATGTAACCCTTAGTGTCGCATGCATAATGGCGTCAAGGAAGAGATTTGGATTTCGCGCATCCCTTTCATAAGTTCATGGGCATATGGGTGACTGAGAGAAATCCCATTTATCCTGGCCATATCCAATATGGCATGGTTATGTCGAAAGACATGGGCCGGATCGTGGAATGGAAAGCTAATTTGTCCCTTACTGCTCCGGATATTCTTCATCTCTGAGGCGCAGATCAAAAGATGTCGGCTACCATCAAGTATGGACGATCGCTGGTAGGGGTTAGTTCTGACGCTGCCAAGATGCGCCAAGACAGAATGCATATTTTACATGTCGATGCAATCGTTCTGGCTAAGATGATACTACAGATCAAAGGTGGAGTGGCTATTACATTAGCAAGCCTAGTTATCCACAAGAATGTTGCGTCGGCTTTTATTTCCACTCCCGATCTCTGTCTGTCTCGATTTCCGCGATCGGAAATCATGACAGCTATGTCACATTCCACCCCTTTTAGGAATTTTAGATAGCAATGCTAATTTCCATTCCTCCAGGGAACCATAGCTTGTAATGAAGATCAAGCATCTCCCAGTGATATTATGATTAAGCAATAATTCCATGGCTGCAACAATCATAACAAACAACCCTTCAGGTACAATCTCCAGTCATCATCCCCTTCCATGCACCCTCCTACCAAGGAAAGACACCATCCTTATGAACAAACCTGCCCACGTCGGCATCCCGTTCTCCCTCTGCAATACTCAGCGCCGTTCTCCCCGGCACCTCTGCATCCCCCGCCATGCCCCATCCACTGCGCGCTTCCTCGCTACGGCCTCGCAGATTGGAACGCACAAACCCAGGACACATCATGAAGATCTTCAGCGCGTGGCCTTGGTCCTGCACCTCGACCCACTCTTGCAGGGCGACCATGTTCAGCGCTGACTTGCTCGATCGGTAAGCTTCCCCCTTCGCGGGGCCGCGGTAGGTCTTGGAGTTCGGGTCCGCCGCCAGTGTCAGGGACCCGACGCCGCTTGTGACGTAGATGGAGTAGGGGTTGGGGGATTTCAGGAGGAGAGGGCGGAAGGTCTCTGAGACGATGGCTGGTCCGACGACGTTCGTTTCGTAGCAGAGGCGCATTCGTCGCGCGGTGTCCTCGAGCTCGCTGAGTCCGCTCACTCCGGCATTGTTGATTAGCACGTCGAGTCGTCCGAATTGTTCCTGCACGATCGATGCAGCGTCGCGGATAGATTGGTGGTCTGTCACGTCAAGTCGGATGGTCGAGAGTGTGTTTTTGGTGGTGGACTGCTGCTCGATCTCGGACTTGGCTGCGTTGGCGTTGTCGAGTGAACGGCAGGCCATGATGATGTGGAACTTGCTCGATGCGCCGGCGAAGACGTTCGATGTGGCATAGCCAACGCCGGAGTTTGCGCCTGAGTCTTGTTAGATTATAATTCTGCAGAATCGAGGGTAGGCGACCTACCAGTGATTAAGACAATTCTTTGGGCCATTGTGAAGTATCAGCGGATGATCAGAAGCGTGATGCCTTTAAACTATGATTGACGGTTATGTTTGAGGTTTGAGAGTCTTCAACTGGAGCCAGAGATCCTTTTTATATTTCAGAGCTCTCTATGGGACCTCCAGCATCCAAAGATCAACGTCACTTTGATTCGGATTTAAGCCGGACAATGGATTTCCTAATCGGGCGAAACCCGCGAGGTATCTCGACGCCGCAAACTGCGACGATGGTGGTGGGTACACCTGCTCCTGTGCAGCCAAAACTTGGCTGTGATTCAACCCCCCAATTTCTCTCCATAATACGTCGCATTTAGGAGATAGGAGTTAGACTGGAGTTAAAGCGACCGCAGAGACCGAGTTGTATAGAGCTGGGCTGGTCCACCGCGCTAGTCCCGATCAGGAGAAACCCGCGAGGTCTATACAGTCACGGTCTTTGGCGTCGGGTGGATCGCTTCATTGTCGGGGGCTCTTGATTTATAATGTCAAATGTTGACGAGAGGATATTCTGGGAAGAGGTGTTGGTTGCAGATGTATAAATGGCTTCATGACTCCCGTCATTTGCAATCTTTCATCTTCACCATCCTCAACATTCTCACTCCAAAAAGAGCTCTCACCAGTTACTTGAAAACAATCATGTCCTCCGATCTCCAACCCATTACCCTCCTGGGCAAGTCCGGCCCTAATCCCCTCAAAGTCGAGATTCTCCTCCGCGAACTCAACATTTCGTACACTGTCAATCCCGTCCCGTTCTCCGAGATCAAGCAACCTGAGTACCTGGCGGTGAACCCCAACGGCCGACTCCCTTCGATCCAGGACGCAAACACGGGTCTCACGCTCTGGGAGTCTGGTGCTATATTTGAGTACCTGATCGAAAAATACGACAAGGAGCATCGACTCAGTTTCCAGCCAGGAACGCCCGAGTTCTACCACGCAAAGCAATGGCTTTATTTCCAAACCACGGGCCAAGGCCCCTACTATGGCCAGATGACTTGGTTCAAGAAGTTTCATGCGGAGAAGGTTCCCAGTGCTGAGGAGAGATATATCAATGAGATCAAGCGCGTGACTGGCGTGCTGGAGAGTCATCTGGAGAAGCAGCGGGAGAAGTTCGGTGATGACGGGGTCTGGTTGGTTGGTGGGAAATTGTCTTTTGCTGATTTGGCATTCATCCCGTGGCAGAGGATGACGGTTATGTTTCTGGCCAAGGAGGAGTTTGATGATGAGGAGTTTCCCATTGTCAAGGGGTGGATGAAGAGGATGGTGGACAGGGAGCTTGTGAAGAAGACGATGGAGGAAAACAAGTTCTTGTAATGTGGACTTCAATAGGCGGCCTCTTATTGAATGAATACCTGTTAGAGCTCTAGCCATTCATCTGTTTCCGCACATTCAAAAACCCCAATCCCAACTACTCTGCCGATCCGAGCGATGGCCGATCTGAACCATGATCGCTGGTCAGGTTTTAAGTGCCTCAATCCAGATGCAATGGTTAGAGGCCATGCCATCAACGTAGCATTGTAAGGCCTGATGCCTTGCGAATTCAACGTAACATTATCTGAGGATTCGACTGTAAATTGCTCCAAGCAGAAGGGCACCGTTGAGGCCAGGTCGTCAGCCAAGCTATCTAGATACGACGAATGGTCTGATCTCTGGTCGGCTACTTCCGCGGCTGGAACAGGGGTAAGGCTCAGACTAATGAGTATGTTCTCGACAAGCATTTTAGTAGCGTAGTACTTAGCCCATACCCCTGCATAAGTCGAGCTAGCGTAGCTGTAGACCATCCGAGAGTAGAAGCCCCGATGATCCAGTGTAAGTTGCTCAGATAGATTGTGACGACGGAAGTCCCATGTTCTAGGGAATGCGGATTTCCACTCGTCCAGTGCCCGATGAAGATGTTGAGCTTCTGCGCTTAGCTCACCAGCAAAAGTGGTGCCCTGCGCACGCTGCCGAAGCTCCAATATGCGTACCATGATCTGATCGTAAGCTAGCTCTAAGCCACTTTCCCCAAACGAACGGCCATCTCGCATCCAATCCGGTAACGTGCGAGATCTCAGTAGCGCAGATCGACTCATGCCGCGCCTAGTATGCTTAATGACGTCCGTTGCCGGATGGTCCTGACTAAACTGAAACTTCCACATCTTCAAAACTGCGGATGCTCCATCGTGGTGAGAAAAGCTCGGCAGGTACGAATCCACTCGACTCTCCGGCGCCGACACGGCCGGATGATGCACTAAATCCTCATACCGACTCATGAAGAAGATGGCTAAGAGACAGACATCGACATTATCAGGCTCCAGTCGCTGAATAGCTGGCTGGACCTTCTGCAAAACCTGTTCGTATGCCTTTGACGCCTGCACCGCCGCCTCGGGGTGCTGATGCGTCCTTGCAAACGTGCCGAGAGCCATTGTCGACACGGCCATATCAAGCAGCTGTGACTTCCGAAAGGTTTCCCGACCGGCGATATAGTCGTCACCTAGAGTGCGGATGAATCCCGGTGTCTCCTTGGGTGCCTGCAGGTAATTCTGAAAATAGAAGGTCATCGCTTGCGCTTTGACGTCGCCTGATTCATGATGGGGGTTTGGAATGTGCCCTCCGGATCGAGGTCCTCTGGGTCGTTTGACCTTTCCATCTGCGTAAGGATTCTCGCTGTGGATGAAAGAAAGCGATTGTGGATCTGCTAGTCCATGGCATTCTCGACGAGACTTGATGCAGCGTTGGCAGATGGGAAAGGTTCCATCGCACTGCGCCAGAAGTTAGCCGTGCCAGGCTGAGAGAATAGATTCAAGTCTGCACCTTGATTCGTCTTGTCTTACATGTGTGGCAGCCGGGACTTGGAAACGGCATTTCTGTGGATGCGATGCGATTGATTGCAAGACTCTCGCAGGATGACGGCGCACGGTGGCCTCAGGCAGTTCGCGCGTTTCGCCATATCGGGACTAGTGTAGTTCCAGGTCACGTGGTGCCATCTCTTCAGCTCCAAAATAACTTCTTTCCTTCTTTTCTCTTGTCTCTCTCATTTGACTCAAGAGTCATGAAATAAACAATAATGAACAAGTTAAATCAAAAAATTGAAAATTCGGTTGCGGAAAGTCTTATTCTAGTCATCCAAATTCAAGATGCCTCGGAACCAAAGCAGCAACTAAAAATATATTCGGGTTACTACTGAAGAATACTCTGTCTGCGGCGTTTCCAGCAGCGCCCAAGACGCTGATTTGGTGAATGAGCGAGTTCCTGCTCCATGACGCGAAGGAATGTTTACTTCCACTAACCAACGCTCCTCGCGCTAGGCAGAGTAGGACAGAGTAACGATCGTCAGCCCCCAAGCGTGGCGCAGGCTAGACAGCACACGCCAAGATGTCGTCACTCGTCGTTCTGCCTCTTTGATCGAGCTCTTTTGTCAGCTCCTCCTTTCGGTCTCTGCCCAGCTAGACTCAGATGAATTTTGCTTGGCGGTCTAACCCTCGCGATGAGTGCTGAAAGTCATCAGAATGACCCTCACGGAGGTGATGGGTCGGAAAAAGCTGCGTATACGTTTGTGCTTACTGGTTCCACTCGAGAAAGAGGACACTCGACAGCTAATCCGGTCACTAGATTATACCTACCGCGAGAGAGCAGTCAGAATGCTCCACCGATTTCTGTCGATCCGGACCAAGTTGACATCGCAGACGATGAGACACAGACCCAGGCTGAAGTAACAGGTATAGCTTCTTAGAAGTGATGGCAAGGGCACAGTCTAGACCGATTGACTAACAGACTACAGACGATGGACGGGTCGACATCGTCCTGAACGAACGTGCAAATTGTCTGTCAAATTTCTTCGATTCAACTCTGCAACCGCAACAATCCGCAGACAAACCACCCGTGTCGCAATCCCAGCAGCATGAGTCATCTCCCCTTTCACCTCTTGCACTCAACGTCGTCATCCACGTCGTCGGGTCAAGAGGCGACGTGCAGCCATTTGTGGCGCTGGGAAAGGTTCTTCGCGACCGGTATGGCCATCGCATTAGGATTGCGACCCACGCCAAGTTCCAGAAGTTGGTTGAGTCCAATGGCCTGGAGTTCTTCAATATCGGCGGTGACCCAGAGCAGCTGATGGCGTTTATGGTCAAGAATCCAAGCCTGGTGCCGGATCTGAGTGTTGCGAATGTGACGGATATTCGACGCAGAAGGAGAGAGATGGGTTTGATATTAGACGGGTGCTGGAGGTCTTGTTTCGAGCCAGGAAACGGACTCGAAGGCGGAGAGGGCGAGGGTGACAGCGATGGGGACATCAGCATACGGCCATTCATCGCGGACGCTATCATCGCCAATCCACCGAGCTTTGCGCATATCCATTGCGCGGAGAAGCTGGGTGTTCCATTGCATATCATGTTCACGTTCGTTTACCCCCTTTCCGCTCAATTTCGGTCCAAGAGGAATTGAATCTGACGATTCCAGAATGCCGTGGTCACCCACTTCGTCTTTCCCACACCCCCTAGCCAACATCCGATCCTCCAACATCAGCTCCGCAAAGTCGAACCTGGTCAGCTACTCACTAGTCGAAATGCTCACCTGGCAGGGCCTCGGCGACGTGGTGAACAACTTCCGCGAGTACACACTTGGCCTAGCACCTCTCTCCACCCTGACCGCCACGGGACTGCTCGCCCGTCTCAAGGTCCCGCAAACGTACTGCTGGTCCCCAGCACTCATTTCCAAACCTTCCGACTGGGCTAGTCATATCTCGATCAGCGGATTTTGCTTCCTGGCGGCGGGCGAGTCGTACGAGCCTGAGCCTGGGTTGAAAGCGTTTCTGGACGCCGGACCAATGCCGATATACATCGGATTCGGGAGCATTGTGGTTGACGACCCGATCGCTATGACAAGGCTACTGTTTGAGGCCGTCAGGAAAAGTGGACAGCGCGCGCTTATTTCCAAGGGATGGGGTGGGCTAGGAGAGAACGATGCTGTTGGTGTACCGGATGGTGTTTATCTACTCGGAAACTGCCCGCACGACTGGCTCTTCCAGAAGGTCTCTTGTGTTATTCACCACGGCGGTGCTGGCACTACTGCCGCGGGAATCGCTCTCGGAAAGCCGACCATCATTGTGCCGTTCTTTGGAGACCAACCCTTCTGGGGAGAGATGGTCGCTAAGGCTGGCGCTGGGCCAAGTCCGATTGATCATAAGCTCCTAACAGCGGATAACCTCGCGGATGCTATTTCCATGGCACTTCAGCCGGATGTCCAGCGGCGCGCGCAGGAGCTCGGACGCCTAATCAAGGAGGAAGATGGAGGTCGAGTGACTGCTGAGTCGTTTCAGGATCGTCTTGATATGAACAACATGCGGTGCAGTATGCATCCATCCGAGAAGGCCGTGTGGAAGGTCAAGAGAAGTCCGTTCAATCTGAGCGCTACGGCTGCAATGGTACTGGCGCATGAAGGACTGATAGACTTGAGTCAATTGCGACCGTGAGTATTCTTCCTCTGACTAAAATATTACCGTACTAAGATGAATAGGGTTCGTACGAAGGAGTATCAGACGACAGGTGACCCGGTCGATCCATTCACAGGCGGAGCCATTGCTTTAATGGGCTCCATTGGAAGCATCGGAGTTGCAATCGTTGACATGCCACGCCAGGTTGTCAAATCCATATTGGAGACAGATAGATCGAAGCAAAGCCCCCGATCGGGATCCAACCCTTCCACCAGCGATCTTCCAGCACCATCAAACGAGACCAGTGATCAAAACGTCGACGACCGTCGACAAAGCGATAAAGAAACCGTCGTCCCAGCGAACAACGATCCATCGGATCTCGTTGTTGACGACCCACGACAAGAAGGTGTCGAAAGACTGCGCGGTGGCAAGAAATCGTCGTCCAAGGTACTCTTTTCCCCATATTCCCTCGTGAATCCCCAAACAAGCCTTAACGATGAAATTAAATTCAGACGTTTAAATACGGACTTTTCAAAGAAGTCTCCGGCCAAGACGACATCGCAGCCCGCAGATCCAAAGCCTCGGACGCGATATACCGACAAGCCCCAGAGCCGCGGGACTCGGTCGCGTCCGATGCCGCCCGAGGCGCAGGAAAGGGGATGGGTCGCATTCTCGGACGAGGCTTCCGCAGCCCGTTGGACTTCACCATGGGAATCTCCAAGGGGTTTCGGAACATTCCGAAAATGTATGGCGATACTACTTCCCGCGAGGTCGACCAGGTGACGGGGTTCCATAGTGGGCTGAGGACAGCCGGCAAGGTTTGTATTCTCGTTCTTCGTGACTGGCCTCGTGTCTGACTGACGGATTCGGTTATCCAGGAACTTGGTTTGGGATTCTACAATGGTATCACCGGGATCTTCACGCAGCCTATTCGAGGACTGAAGCAGGAGGGGTTCAGCGGGTTCGTGAAGGGGATAGGGAAAGGTGTAGGCGGTGTTGTCTTCAAACCTGGTGCTGGTAAGTCCCGCGTATCCCTTTTACTATCCGATGAGTGAATGGCTGACATCCACCCAGCAATCTGGGCCATCCCAGCATACACCTTCCAGGGTGTGTACGAAGAAGTGCAAAAATACTTCGGCAGCGGACTGGCAAGCTACATTGCCACGACACGGTACATGGAAGGAAAGCTTGGGGCGGATAGACTTACCGAAGACGAGCGCCAACAGATCGTCCAACGATGGCTCAGTCGCGAGCAAAGAGAGCATGATCTCATCGAGTGGTGGCGGGCGTCGCAACGACGGCGTCGGGAGAGGTTGTCTAGGGGTCACTCTATGTCGACCTCCTCGTCTACTGAACTGGATCCTGGTTTTGCTGGAAGGGGACCACCGCCAGAGCTGCCACCACGGAATGAAAATAGGGATAGTTATGGAATCATAAACTCGGGTGAGACAACAGAGAGAGACGCCATTCTCGTACCCGAGTTGGATGGGACAGCTGCGTTGTCCGACCGATCCTCTCATGGTGGATTTGACTCTGGAGCACCACCTGCCTATGATCAGGGCACGTCAAGGCAGCATGAAGAGTTTGACCAAATCTCAGAAGAAGAGCAGATGAGAAAGGCCTTGGAGCTCTCTCTATTATCAGAGGCCGAACGCCAATCGCAGCTCGAGCAAAGCCAAAGAGAAGAAGAGATTGTCATGGAGTACATGAGAAAGGCCAGTCTGGCTGAAGCTGAAATGAAGGAGAAAATGAAGTCTGGTCACTAGCCGGTTCAACACGAATCATGAGAGGTTATTAATGTAATATTCACAATGGTCTAGATGCATATCACCAAACATTATCATACAGGGTCAATTATACATGGTCTATAAATCCGTCTATCCCAAACTCAATAATCGCATGCGCGGTGGTTGAGCCTCCAGCATGGCATCCCACCATCCTTGTTGTATTACACTGTCGAATGGGTGGTTGTTGATCCACCCAAACAGACTGGAGAGACATGATAAAACCGGGGAAATATTCTAGTAGGGTTAGTGATTGACTCGATGCACGATCGGGGAAAGAGAAACTTACCCCTTTATTACGTTTTTGAATGCTGTTCAACCTTTCGTATAACCTTTCCGTTTTGTCTCGATACCCCGAGGTTAATGCAGCGATGAAGACACACCATAGAGGGTAGGCTGCTGTGTATAGGGGTCCTTCGATAGGAAGGCGCATAATAATATCAAAGAGCTTCGCCTGCATATTGACGACCTGGGAATGTAGTGGAGTTGCACTACATAGAGGTTAGTTGGCTATCATCAAATTTGCACGAAAACAAAAAACAAGAGAGAGAGAGAGAGAAACATACCCAAGTACACGGCAAAGCAGGTATAGGCGTGCCGCCAGCTGATATGCCTGTGCCGTTTGCAGAGCGACCTCAAGAGACTCGCCCGGTGTCTGATAACACCATTGGTTCATCATCACGATCTCATCATCTAGCGCCTCTGCCGCTGCGATTCGCTCTTCGTCCGACATCGACAGCGTAGCAAGCGTTGTGATACGGGAGATCGTGCTGAGCATGCGACGCGACATTCCCAGGATGCCGCAGACTCGCTGCGACTCGCGCGGCGGACATTGCAACAACCAGTCGGACGATCCCTCGTGACGGTTCTGAATCTGGTTGGTTGTTTGAGCAGTCAACGCCAGCGTTAACTGGTAGGTCATGAACAGAGCTGATTCAGAAGTCGGGTCGAATCCACCCCCGGCGCCTTGAAACCCCCCGAGCATCCGTACGTGCCACGACCAGCACATATCTGTGTCGCTCTCATTTATCACTCCGTGGTGAACTAGCAGCATCCCTGCTGCTAGACAGCTTTCTGTAGTAGCATGTCCTTCGCTGAGGTCGCGCTGCAGCGCCTGCGCCGCCAGCACCATATAGTTGTGGTTCATGTATCCATACTTCGTTCCCTCCGATAGGGCATAATCTCGCATGTACGAGGCACTGACACTGAAAAGCGCATTTCGTGTGCTTTCGGAATGCAGTGCGATGGGTAAAATCGCCAGGTAGGCGTTTTCTTCGGCGAAAAGTGTTTGGCCCGGTGCGAACATATTAATATCTGACCGCGACCGATGTTAGCTCTGTTGACCCTCTGCTAGGAATCCTTGAGACTTACAAAAGTCTAATAGATCTCGTTCCATCTCGTTGCTCCACAACCCGCGGTAGTTTATCGTCGCGGGTCTCAATTTAATCAATCCATTGTATGACATTAGGGGATCCCACGACAGCGGTTCCGATGAGGTGCTGGCCGAGTCAGAAATTACCGAGGCACAGCCAGCAGAATAGGGACGTTCGATTTCGGATGCAGCAGACGAGGCATCGGAGTGAGCAGCTTCAAGCGAATAGCCTGTCGGAGAAAAGCTGTTAGCCATGCATCCTACCAGTCAATGTTACCTCATTTCCGGTACCAGGAAACCTACCAACCAGACTGGCGCGCAGGTCCATGCACGCTTTCTCCTTGTGCAGACGGACCCGCTCCAGGCGCTGCAGCACCAACTGTGTCGACGCAGGATCGTAGATAAGAGCGTGGTACCGAGGCTGGTTGTGGAGCTCGGCCCGCAAACACTCCAGTTGCTCGCTGTTCATATCCACAACGCGCCAGAGCAGCTGGCCCAGGATTTCTAACAGCGCAACCCCGGGCCCATCCTCTACCATCCAATGTCGAATCACCGCAATCCCTCGGCGACCATTCTTTTGTTTCCCTTGAGACGGCGGTTCGACCACTGCGGAGAGCAACCGGTCGACGTATGTGAAGTCCAACGTGGGCGACCCAGATGATGCGGGTCTGGCAAGATATCCTAGTGCGTCGATGGCAGCACCGAGAGCCCGCTGGACTTTGTCTGGCCGGGCAGCATCCGCTTTTCGACTCATACTTTCGTGGTATAGGGAGATGTGAGCGTGAGTGTGGGGGACTGGCATGAGGCGAGAAGAAGAAAAAGTGTGAAAGTCCAACGAGCGATCGACCTGGACTTAAGTATGATGACGGGGTGTGATCACTCCCCTGTCGGGATAGAGGCTCGACCGACAGAAAAATAAAAATAAAATAGACGAAGAAGCAAGGCCTTGCGTCAGGGGACCCTAGTATGACCATGCAGGAACTCGGCGGCGCAGTACGCTAGAAGCCAGAAAGAAAGAAATTTCATCCTATCAAGCCACGGGTGAGCCATCTGGCTGTATGACGGATTGACAAATCCACGTGTGGGATGCACGCCCGATACCACTAGGGGAAGGTGTCTTGCTGAGCGATCGGGGAAAGCATGGGCTAAAGCGTCATCCTATGCGAATCTCCATCACCCCTGCAGTTACTATTCAAGGATTTGTCAATCCGCCAGAGTCGATCCCGGAACCTCAGTGGTGGAATGGACCCTAGAATCAGGCCCGCTGCCACGAGGGATTCGCTTCTATGCATGCCTTTCCAGCTAAGCAGGGAATGGACAGAATAGGCGAAGCAAACGGGGATTTCGGACATTTCTGAAACGTAGTTTGGCCCCCTCCTGCCACCGACTTTCGAAGCAGACATGAAACCAACCCCCTCATCTGGGATCTGGCAGCAAGTCGCTGACTGCATAATGCGGTGAACCTCCAGAAGCCGCTCTCTTGTCGGTGGATTGGACCGCAACGCTTAGATGTGGAATATGTTTGCTGTGCTCAGTCCCCACGCTCATGATTCATGTCGGACAGGTTCACAATCGAAATCTTTTTTTGGCCCCCTCCCTTGCTGAAGTGTTCTCTGTTCTCCGTCTCAGATCTTCTCTTCTCTCTAGACTTGAAACACAGAAAGAATGCGGCATGCGCATCTTGCCGGAAATAGAGATGTGGACGCTCAAGGGGGGATAGTTGGCGTCTCTAGTGTCTCTAGCCCTACCGCCCCCAACCACTCGTGGGCCTGCGCCGGCCCCGCCGTCTCCATAGCGGCGCCATCGACTGCATTTCATTTGGCAGGTTTATATTGCGTGTATGGAAGCTGCAGACGCAGATGACCATGCCACTTTCCTGGGGGCCGAATCTCGGGTTCCCATTGGACTTGACGCCGTCAGGGATTAGTCTGCTCGTGGTCTGCGCTTGTCCCGGATTCATAGATAGTGCTGATGTGATGCTGAAAATGATTAATGGTTCTCAGGCCTACTGGTCCTAGTTCCTGTCAACGTGTTGACTAATCCCTGTGGTCTCCACGTTTTGAATGTTCACGCGATGATGATCGAATGGTAAGCGTCATAGGCGTTGTCTGGTTCAGCCGTACGGGGCAGAAAAGAGATTCGAACAAGCCACGAACGAAATGGTCACCCGGTTGGCTTGGGTTGTTGCACTTTACCTACAGAAGCCGACCAGAGGAACCTCTCGAACAGGAAACTGATCAAGGAAGTTTTTGCGCTCGCACGGGCATCTGATATCAGCCGCATCTTGCCACAATAGCCAGGCAAACACCGGTCGATGGCGTCTGGGCGTGTCGATATATCGCTATCCAAGACATTCAGGCCTCCATATCATCGCTCCTATTCATTGTCATCGGGAGACTGGTCCTGAATCTCCACGTCTGGTTTTCCGGGAACCCCGATCAAATCTACCGGTTGAAACCTCGTCTCAAGATATTCCTTTCCTCGGATCCTTCCTGTCAATCGTTTGATAGCTTGTAATGTAGTGTCAATTCTGAAACTTGAACCCGAGATCGCCGAGTCGGCGACAGATCCCAGGTCCTTGGTTCGGTTTTCATTTTGTGTGGGTGGGTGTCAGTGACAGGGGCGTGGAGACTGGCATGGATCTCTACAGCGATCATGTTCCAGGAAAAGCTCCCTTGAACCAGGCTGTGTTGTACTTTAATTTGTGTCCGGGGCTGTGTGTCGCTGTGATTGCTCAGATGAAGATGAGGTAGTATCCGACAGGGGGGATGCATGCAGCTAGCAGCAGTTAACGCGCAGAGCCCGTTGCAGCCTGCGAGCATACGAACCTGGCCATGTGGCCACTAAGGTGGCTCTTGTTTAGAGTGCTGCTACGCCAGTTCATGGAGAGCTTCCGGTGGGGGACAAAACTCGGGGGTCGCTTGCTCACTGCGTTCAGCTGTGGTTTGGTTGTTGCATGGGGAAGAGAAATTTTAAAATGACGGATCGACACCCCTGTCGCTACAGAAGAATCCTTCTTGTCTCATGATGTTCTAGTGCGTTCCACGCATTGACTGGCGCATGTCATTTGTCTGGAGATCAGTTATCACTGAAGTTGACCGGACCTAGCGGAGGCCGTCCTGACGTGATTGCGCTTGGTGTCTGCCGCTAGCTGGACGCTACCTCCAGTCCCACCCAGCTGAAGGCCAAGAAACGGTCGTTTCCCGAGCGGATCGACATGTCAATTCCTTTGAGAGAAAAGTACTCACCGGCGCCGCATATCTCCCTGTTCGGTGTCTGTGGATAGGCGGACCATGCTATTATTTAGTGGCAAGATTGTCACAACTGACGCAGTTCATTGGTGGAATTTTATCCATGGACCAATAAAACATAGTAGACGTGTCACGAGAACGTTTCCCAGCCGTTCCAATCAATTGGTCTTTGAGCTCAATATGGCCATGAGTTTGGCTCTGTTGTACCCGTCTTTTGGGGGAGGTCGGCGTGTCCCGATGAGTAAAAGTCGAGCAAGCTCTCACCCAATGACATTTGGGCGATTGTGGGATGATGGAACCTTTCTCACTCACATTGAGGAATTCCTCTGAGTCTCATAAAAAGACTTCCTCAATGGGACCCGGGTGCTCTAAAGAGCACAAGTCGGAGGGAAAAAGATCATTGGAATTTGGGGGTGATAAGAGCCGCGACATAATCACGAGTTTGGAAGATCGCCGCCCTGTAGCTAAATCTCGACACCATATTAGATTATTCTTTGCTGGAACAGATGAATTTTAGAAAAGCGCCTCTCCCTCGACCGTATGGAGTGGCATTTTCCTGGGGCAGCCATTCATACCAAATGAAATCACGATCCTCAAATATGAGTTACCGAGTTCGAGGAGCTAGACCAGGATTGTGAGTACTAGTAAACACATTGCCTATGATGCCGCCGATTAGTCCGCCGACCTTTGTAAAGCTCTTAACAGGAAACAGTCTGGGCCTCTTTCGACCTCTGAGATGAGTATACTAATTCTGTTCCTCTCAGTGAGTTCTTGGGGGATCCAGGCATGGGGCTAGTTGGTGCTATACCGTAATGTACATCCTTTACTGTATACGCGCGAGCTTCTGGGGTATGTCATTAGGGAGGCAGTTGGCCTTTCTGATCAACCTCGCTATGATATCACCATCGAGGAGTGGATCACGGTGACGCAGACTCAACTTGACCATTTGCCAACTCTGCTCTCTGCACATGGCACCACGAATATTGCCTTCATTTCATTGAGCGGCCAATTCGATCTACCACACAGCGACCATCGGGCGATTAGCCTGCCCGCGGCGGATTCTAGCACGTTGGAAGCCTCTAGCATCGCAAGATTTGCAAAGTGGGTCACACTGTGGTCTCACCTCTAGCGAGATAATCACATTCTCAGTTTAGCAAATGCCATGGACGGGCTCCTCGACCGGGGGACCGCTCCCTGATTCAATTATCATGACAAATACTGGGAAAGAATTGATGAAAGGGTTGAGGGAAAGAGAAAAGGGAAAGAATGCCGCCGATGAACGAAGTAGCGAAATGTAACCGGGATCAGGTGACCCCTGTCGAGATGGACCCTGTTGAAATGAACCCTGTCTTGATGATCCCTGTCAAAAACACCCCTGTCGTCCATAGTTGCTTCGCAAAAAAAGCCAAAAAAGGAAAGGATGAGGGGACTTCGTTCATGGGTGATCAACCTACTCGCCATGGTTTCGCGATTTGACCCAAGGCTACTTTGCTGCATATAATGGGGCAAAAACAGTTGATCTCCCGCTCCACCTCGTTAGCAATGGTGTGACATACCTGAGATTTACATCTGCCATATGCCAAGCGCGCTCAAGACAGGGGTCATTGCACGATTCATCCCAAGAAGTGGTTAAAGAGAAGAGAGGGAATTCACTGTCTGTCTTGATATTCTTAGGGACTGAAAGTCCTAGTCGTTGATATCCTTATTCAATCATATTCAATGTCTTGATGTGCTTCCCAGAATGCGTTAATTATAGGTTCATGTACTGATAAGTCCAAAGAACAGGAGCCTGGTTGTCGCAATTTCATGTCCCTGTTCAAAATCACAGGGACCGCCCATCTCGATTGAGGTAGTAATGGTAGCTTGGCTGGATTTCAATCCATGCAATGTCTTCTTAGCGATTGAAATTTCTGCATCTGGCCGTACTAGCCTAGATACTCCATCGGGTTGGGGATATCAATGCACTGTCTTCTCCACTTCCCTGGTTTTAGAAAGATTAAAACACCATCGAAAATGTGGCTTCAGCTGAACAGTATGATTTGTTTCATTCATGAGGCTTTCTGTGCTCTTTTCCCAGTACAATTCCAGAATATTGGGGGCAGAGACAAATGACAAATAGCAACTTCACCCCTGTTAGTAAAGTTTCGAAAGCGTCGTGAATGTTAGCTTCCGACGACACTATCCTGTGCAATATACTCAAAGTGTCCATTGTGGGTCTGATTCTAATATATGATCAAGGTGGTATCAGTTCAATGTCACCCTTCATGGGTGTGTATGAACTAATGAGAAAACTCTCGGTCGTGGCCAGAGTGACGATATGAAAGTATGCCGAATAAAAGGTGCCCTTGTTTAGAAAATGCCTTTTGTCTCACAAATTGAGCTGTCTTTTTGGATATCTCCGGACAGCCGTGCCTATTGAAACTTTAAACATTCCCTCTTACCAAACATAATGAACATAGGCTTTGAGACGTTGGATAAAGGTTCTGCTATGAGTGCAGGGGAAAACACTCTGAATTATGATGCTTTTGTATGCTCACAATTCGCTATGCGCACCTCTTTCTGAGGACGATCTTTTCGATAATAGGCTCCACTTGGAGCATAACCATTGCATGCCTGACGATCGACAGATTGAAACACAACCCGAGCTTCATGGTGGGGTGGTGTCGACGGGAACAAAATAAAAAATGTCTTGTAGTGCCCATTCAAACCTAATTGACGGTTCCTATGTCAGTTCAGATCCATATATTGTTATCAAAGCCTTCGTCAGTCAGGTATGTGGTTTGGACTCGGGTTAACAAACCCACAAACGCTTGTTGTTTTTCCCAACATGACGCGAAACACTGTGTTTTCTGTGGCATGAATACTCATGGGATAAGCCAGCAAATCAGAGTACTTGGGTTCCTCTTATCGGTTCGAGCTACCTTGTAGAGGTTGTGCCCAACACTGAAGCTTCCAGGGTCTTTTTCCCATTCTGATCAGCCATAATTCCAGGAGCGCCAACAGACTTTCCAGCAAGAATAACGACACAAAGCGCGATGATCAAGTTTTGGCGCCCAACTGGTTGTAGTTCTAACGATTGGTGCCCGGTGATTCGCTTAGAGTGGCATGATAGGAGTCTCGACTCAACGCTCAATGCATGGAAAGTGGCATCGGCATGTTGTATCTGCCGATACATCCGGAGGACGGAATTCAGCCTCTCAGCACGGTTTGGCAGATCCCCTCTTTCGTTGAATTCCGCCTATGAACTCGGTTAGATGAGAGTTGGTCGCTTGTTTCAAATGCGCGGGATCCGTCATTCTGCATGGAATGTCTGATTGTTGACTGGCATTTCCTCTGCCAAGAGAAATACGCTGAATTGCTCGAAATCTGATTGGTGCGCCAATGTATCCAATGGCAGCCTGCAGATAGCAAGCGTGATGCACAACAGGTGACTCTCACTCCACATACAACAGACTCTCATTTGTTATATGTCGCAATTGCTATCCCCAACTGTCCACAACGTCATTTGATGGAATTTGACCACACTCGAGAGCAGTCTGTAGGACAGTAAATCGACGAAACGGTCTTCCAAAACACAGGCTCTGGTCAAGGCAGTATGTTTGGGGCCACCGCAAGGTGTGTGGTGACGTGTTGACGAGAAACAGGAATGCATGTACATTGGGGTGTTTCAGGATATAAGATGCTGCATGGCATTACACACACAGCCACCAAAACACAACAAAGGATAATCAGATTCCTCCCGACGACCAATGGAGATCCAATCTGACCTCGTTCATCCGGCGCACCGACGCCGACGATCGGTGATATCCAGAATGGGGCCAATCGGGCGAATGCAAGGCAACTAGCCCCCATACGGTACAGGGCTGACCAGCTCAGCCATCACACCGTGCACTAGTCGCTGCCCCTGAGGGGGACTGCAAAATGCTGTGGCAGGTTCCGCTCTAAAACCGGCCGAACGTCTTAAAAGGCGAAGGATTCTGGTGTGGGGAGAAAAGACTGTCAATCTGGAGAAACTGTCCAGATTCCTTCCCATTCCCACCGTTAACATGGCTATTCTCCGTACGCCACAGCCGGTCACAACCGTGGGTTTGTGCGCCCCTTTGCCAATGGATCGAGTGGCCACAAGCTAACCGGGCCGCACAGATTGGTCCAATTTTTCTTCAACCGTGGTGGAAGGTGAGATCATCCTCTTCAGCTACACTAGGCCGATTCCCAATCTCACAGTGATTACCAGTAAATGGCCATGTCGAGTCTCGCTACAACGCTGAGAACGACGAGTGGTCAACTCCGGAATACGTCCATGGCCACAACGTGCCAAATCAGGGGCTGGAGCCGGTCCTGGCTTACGGTAAGCCGCGCGAGGGACCTGGATAAATGCGCATTTTGCTAACCTTGTTCCTAACAGGCGATCAGGAGTACGAAAGAATCAAAGGTAGAGGTACCGGTGCTTATGGGGGAGCTCTCCGTTAATCCGTACGGTGTTGACAGCATGCCGGAATCCCCACGGGGACATCCTGATCTTCCGCCCGGATTTTCACGCCGATCGGGTCCAGCATTTATCTTGCATCATGTCGATCCCATCCATGTCTCATGATCACTTCACTCGCTGTATCGAACTGGCTGTCGCGCGTAATGCCGAATACGTTCCTCCGCATGGCAGCACTTCAATGCTGTATATCAAGCCCACCATCTTCGGGCCCGTCGCACCGAGAAGCGGCAGCAGCAGCAGCAGCCGCGGCTCATCTAATTTTCTATTGAGTGTGGCCGTTTCTCCCGGACGAGATTGCCACATCAAGCGTCCAACCGATGCCGTGGTGATGGACGACCTCAATGGAGCGACCCCCGACAGCTCCAGCTCAACCAAGGGCAGCGGTCAAACCCGAGAAAAGGAATATGGCCTCACGCTCCATGTTGACGCCAGAACGCACACCGAGATCGTAGGTTTCTCAGGCGCATCGTTCATAGGTGTCTTGGGAGGCGGCGGGGACCAAATCCGGATCCTTCTGCCGGAAAACTGCAACTTTCTTGAGAGCTCTACCAACGATAGCTGCACCACACTAGCCCGCTCCCTCGGGTGGGCCGTAGAAAAGCGAGGAGTAAGGCTTCTTTTCACCCGGGAGATAGAGACACTGACTGACGCGGTGCCATCCACAGATCCACGTCGCATCCTTGTCGGAATTCAGCGAAGTCTTTGCGGTAGGAACCACAGCCGATCTTACACCTGTCAAGTCGATCACCCATCTTCATGACAACAGTCGAGTTCAGGTCACGTATGACGCGACTGACGAGGGTAAGGCGGGACCTGTGGCAATGGAGTTGTGTCAACGTCTGAAGGCGATTCAGATGGGGAAAACACCAGATGAGCTTGGATGGTGCTATAAGGTGCGGCTATTGTAGAATATCCTCACTGGCCGGTGCAGTCCTTGGATTGTATTAATAGATCTCGCTTTTCTGGTTTTTTTCTGGGCTTGTCTATTGGTCGCTCTTTACAGCCTTCATGTTGTTTCTTTTTTGCTTTTTCATGTTTTGTTTCACTTTTTATTTTTAGCACATCTGACGCGTCCGGAAGAAGTAATGATCGACATGAATAATGCAAACATGACACCACACATGGCCAGATGATATCATATTTGTCCAGGACGTTCGGCCTCACCCGCAGAAAACTACACTGGGAATGGTTTATCTGTTTTTCTGTCCTGGACCTTTTTCATGATCTTCTATAGATATTGTGTAACTCTTAATATGTACAGTAAAGCTTAGGTCATCTTACTGAGTGGGGTTTTGGTAGTGATTCGGGAATATATATTTCTTCATCAACACTACAAAATGAGAAGTCTGCGCTCTGGACTATGCCCAGAGCCCTTCAGAGCCTAAATATGTTTTCATGACCTATAATTCTCGCATGAAGTGATAAGAGATGTATTGAAGCACTATCCCGGGACAAAAAAACAAATTCCTTGATGTATGCTCAAGGGTATCCACGCATAAGGGTTTCCATGCAGCCATAGCCCTGGGATTGTTTTAGGCCTTGCATCAACCGTTGTGAAACCCCCAGGCTCTGTGCTCTGACCCCTCCTGTGGCTGGAAAAAAGGTTTGTCTGTTTATATCACTGATAATCGTCCATCCTGCAAGACATCCAGATCAACACCAGCCACACATTTGAACGTAACATTTGAACCTTGTTCAATAAGGAGATATCGAATTCCCGGAAGGCCCCAGAGATAATAAACCAGGCGAGGCTGACCGATAATCTTCCGAACCAAGTGTCCAAGATTAGCAATAAGACCGAAACAAATTGAACCTCGTGCAGTATTGCCAGTCCAATTACGTATCCCTGTCTACTGTTGCACTCGAACATAAATCTTGCATATATTCGACCCTTCCCCGCTTCCTGCGCAGACTTTTCTGTTCTAAGTCAACACTAGGTGAATTCGGCGGAGTCAATCTCCGTTGTCCGCTCTGTCCTCGGCTGTACTTGTCTCTAAGCATAAGTACCGGTAGGATTCATGTTGCTGTCTAGCAGTGAGGGATAGAAATTAAGATCCCGAGGGATGCGATTGGGCTGACTAGAAAACGTTTCTCCTCATTCTGCAAAGATCACCCCTTCGCCATGTCTTAACTACAAGTAGACAATGCAAAGCAACCAAGCCAACTAGTCGGCTAACTAGCGAGAAGAATCCAAGGGTGACGAGTTTAGCCCCCACAGAACAATGGCGATCGCGCACCCATCCGGAGCCAGTACCGGCGTAGTGGCCGGTGAGAATTGTTGCAAGGGATCCACCGGCTTGTTGGGGGCGTTTTCGGTTGGCTGGTGAGCGTGGAAAAACGGCGGACCGGATACTAAATATGCATGTCAGATTGTACGACGACACCGGGGCCGGCGTAAAGAATTCGTCCATAACCCCTGCTTGCTGGGATGAGGAAGTCAGCCGTCGGGACTCGGGGCAATAACGATGACGATTTCGCGGGGATCGGAGATGCTCGCTTGTGTTGAGTGCGTATGATGTGATGTTGCATGATGACTCTTGGTAGAAACACATCTAGATTGCAGGTGAAACACGTCTCGAGCGTATCCAACACTCAGAGTTCGTCCGTTGTAATCCGATTCGGCTTTGCGACAACGATCTACGGAGGAAGGATAGCCCTACATCACCAACTCTACCTTGGAGGACCATGCTTTCTCAATTCACATGGACATATTCTAGTCCTAATTAATCACCAGGATCTCATCCATCAAGGCGGGTCTCTCTTACGCACCACGACAGCACCCGTGAATCGGTCGACCTCGGACGTTGCAGTCGGTGACCGGCGAGGAGCTAGTTCAAGGCCGACTGTAGCCGGGAAAGATCGTTTTTAGACGAAAGGAAGATTCCGCATTCCAGGAAGCAAACTTCTCGATGTCGATCACTCGCTTCTAGAACGCTAGGCTGTATCCGTTGATGGATGAAACCTGTCGCAAGACCCTTGTTTATGGATGTTTGTCAACCCCGGAACACCAATAATGTTCCTGTCGGCAGTGGCAGTAAACATATAATCTGGCGTAGTTATGACATGACATGCTATCCATGCAGAAAAAGCACTGCCTTGCAGCAACGGCAACGCCTCGTGTCATAGCCATGGGCAGAACTAGCCCCTGAGCGGGTCGAACCCCAGTGGTACCACGTTTAATTCTAATGTATGCTATGTACGGAGTAAGGCATGTGAACAAGGTTGAGGTAACTTGATCTGCGGGTCGTCATACTGTGAGGCTGAGGCTGAGATATAACTGATAAACGATAAAGCACCTGTCCACCGGGAGAGGCCCCCCAGAAGCGAGGTTGATTAAATTTTGTCACGCCACGCCGTGCGGAGCCTTAATCGGCCTGGACTTTCAAAGGAATGGGTACATTTCCTTACGCAAACTGACAAAAAAGACACAGAGAGAGAAAGGGCGGGTCGTGGGAAGGCTCCGATTGGGGGCCAGAATATCGAAGGATGCGTTGCTCTGAAGGACTCTTGTCGGGCCAATGGTCCACAGGGCCCAGTGTTGGTGGCAGTGGGAAAGCACGTAGCTGTGGGAGTCCGGGCGCGGAAATGTAGTGGTAGTGAAAAATCAATGTGTCGTGAGTCGTGACCCATGAATCTATAGTTAAAAGATAGTAATTCTATGTACAAAAAAATAAAGAAAATAGAAGTCGAGTATGCAGGGTGGGCTCCTGGCGTCTATGTATAACCCTTTGTGAATGCCAGATTCAACCACCCGCTCTATGACACTGTGATTTCACTCCGCACCATAATCCCCAGTTCCGGTAGCTTCAGGAAGTCTTGCCCGGGCAGAGGGAGTTGTGGCGATTCCCTGTAGGCAGTCACTTTTGACTGAGCGGCTGTCGCGGCGAACGGAGGCTTTTGCGGCGACGATTCAAACAATTTCATGTCGAGTTCCGCTTCCTCGTCTCCCCGACCCATCCGACTAAAGTATGATCGTCCAATATCGGAGTCGCCGAGCCTCGATTTCGAGCGTGGTGAGAGATTTTTAACCACTACCGAGCCGAATCCTTCGTGGGCTATGAGTCGGCCAAAGACGAAGATGCTGGGTAGACAGACGCTGACCACGGAGATGGCGATTTCGGAAGATAGCCAGAAGGTTGGTTGCATGAACTCCCCTGTGCACGGTTAGAATATGCTTCATGATTTGTAGCAGGCCGAAGAACTCACAGGTGAAGTCTTTTTCAAGATTGGGGCCAACGTCAACGACAGTGACGAGTCGTCCGATGGACACCACGACAACCCTGTTAGAAAGGCGTTAGTCTCAATTGTAGCGTGGGGCAGCGCTGCGGAGATGCTCACAAATATCCGCAGAGAAAGACGCCGATAATCAGCAGTTTTCGAGACATCTTCATCTTCAGTCGCCAGAGCAAGGGCAGCGGCAGGATCAAAATCATGGCGTTGATGATTAAACTAGGGATTCCGCTGCCTATGAGGAGCGTGCGCACAGGGATACACTTTCCAGGAAGCATCGGATACCAGAGTCTTTCTATCGGAGTGCACTGTAAAGCGACGACGACGTGCATGCCAATCATCCAGGCAATGTTCAAGCCATGAATGATCCACAAGGCATACCGAAATCGGGATTGAATCTGGTCGAAGACTCGTGTGTAGAATAGAAGAGCGGAGGCTCTAGCGACTGACGTGCCCGTGTCAAAGATAAAAAATATCGCCCAAAGCAGTTTCATGATGGTGACGAAATCCGTCGCGGACACGTCGGTCATATGTAGCCCAACTCCTAGATCCGCCAGTTTGAGACCGATGCCGCACATAGCTACATTGAGCATCTGGATCTACTTAGACTTTGCTTTTATCGTAATAGAAGATGGGCAAACAAACCGCAGCTATGAGAGCAGTCCAGTCATCCCACCAAAATCGAACCGGCGTACTGGAGAACCCTGGCAACATCGCTCTGGACCAAAACCGTAGAAGGACTGCAACTGTCGGAATAACCAGCATGACAATCACCAACGCCCGGAGAACCGAACGCTGGTCGCCATTAAGCCCGACTTCCTTAGGGGTGGATGATTCCATGGTGTGTTGAGAGATGGAGGAGGGCGGAGAGGACAAGAGGGTGTTGAAGAACCATCGGACGCCGAGAAATCTTGAACGCAGCTGCGTGTGGAGGACAGGCGGTTCTCATAATGTTCAAAGAATGCGTGGAAACGAATCCCCGGGTCAGCTTGGGGTTCATGGCAGGGCATCTGCACATGCAGGGAATCGGTCCAGGGGGCCATGAGGGATTGACAGCCCGCCTGCGCTAAGCCATTCCATGAGTGGGCTGTACGGCATAACATGATCTAGTAAATTAGTCTAACCTGGGCCGAGAGAAACGAAAGGAGGCAGAGCAGGCCGAATTCCTGCGCAGTTTGTGTGCATACGCAATAATCAAGGCATGGGCAGTGGCATTGGCGACCGTAGGGGAGTGCACTCCACGTTTTCGCCCGTCAGACTAATTCTGGATAGCGTTCTTGGTCTGCAGAGATTAGCTCCGGTTAGCTTGCGTTGTGCAGGACCAAAGGCTGCGATGGACCTGTGAGATCCATTTCCCGGCCCTAGTTCTGACCTCAGCCCACCGTGTCAGCTCGTACTTGGGGCAGTGGACTGACACGCCCTGGAAGCCACCAGGAAGTCGATCCACGAGGAAATCAATCATTCCTGCTCATCCGTCAGTCCATCCTCTTATTATTCGCTGTTATCGGCGGGGAATACCGCCCTCTGATCCCAAGCTCAGGTCCTCAAGCTAATTAATTAGCTCCTTTATCTTCAGTCCGCCAATTTCACATTGATTCTACGGACCTTCCATTGTTGTCGCTATCCCGAAATTCGACTGCTTCTGTCGATCAGCGCCTTCTCCTTTTTTTGAATCCTCATTGATCTTCGATACAAATGAGCATATTTACCATAACCATAATAAAGAGCTTTGGCCTTCTCGGGATTTAAACACCCAGGAGCCATTCGATATACTTACTAGAGGTTGAAAAAAAATGAAACCCACAAATGGCCATTAGGCCAATTTATTGGTCCGAGGATCGACCTGTCGGACGGAACATCTCTAGACTTCCACCTTCTCATACACGTGGGAGGCCTGTTCGAACGTGGCAAAGCTTATTGTGCTGCGAGACTCAGTAGCCTTAATTGCTAGGACTGGAGATATCAACTGTGCCTTACAGTCAGCTCATTCAGCTTATCCACCAAGCAGCCAGCCTAGATTGCCGAGGTCTTCCCGGTGATGAAGAGAAAGCAGCACCTCTGCCACGATATCTCTTCGCTCATACCGCAATTCCATACCGCAATTCACCAGGCATGCCCGGTTACACTCGAGGATATCATCCTGAAAAGGAGTAGTGTCTCCGGTGAAGGATTTCTGTCGTACACAACTTCATCAGATCTAGTCGGCGGATGCCCCATTCTAGACCTTCTAACAAATATCCACTCCGGAGATTATATGTCATGGTTTTAAAAAACGTGGTGTATGCAAGGCTATTCCAGGGTATAATCGCGTGGGTACAGGTCCGATCTGTCGGTCATCCCGAGAGCAATTCCATCTTCCATGGACCCACAGAATGGAAAGCTATGTTACTTCGATTCTCGGAATCAGCCCCCAGTCTATGCGTGGATAATTTGGGGGCTTCAACTTTAGTAAACTTTAGCAGGGGTTGGAACGCCTATCCAGGCCGTTCCACGTGGTCGACAGACTTTTCTCGTGTGAGTCCGGAGATCCGGATGGTATCAATGGTTATAGTTTCAATCCAGGTCATCTATCCACAGGGCGGACATGGCGGAGGAAAATTGTTGTTCTCGGAAGAACGGTGTTGGGTATCCACTTGCGTTGGTTCATGGCCATTTCGATCTGTCGAATTACCCCTTTTGCTTCTTCTTCATCCCTTTTTCTTTTTCTTTTTTTCTTTTTTGGTGATGTTCATCTGCTGCAAATTTCAGGCGCACGCCAGACCCTCGCGCGTATCCTCCGGAATAGCGACCAAAAATTATGGTCTCGCGCGATTCGGTTCTCTAATCTATCCATGGAATTTGGAAATTGCCGCGTCGATCTTCGGCTCTTCGTAAAACAAGTCTAAACAACCTTGATTAGCTGAATGGGATTTATTCCAGCTGATAAAAAACCGCCTTGGGCCATCCCATCTGACCTTGCTGTTTGATTCATCTAGCTACTTTATCTTGAACAGTGATGCGGTCGTAGCATTTCGTCAAAACATGGTTCTCAGGCGTGTCTCGATTCTGTCATAACCCTTCCTAGCTCTGCTTGCGAGCTTGGAGGATTATTTCGAGCTGTTGATTTCCTCGATGGATTTGCTCTTCTGAACAGTGGACCCAGTGTTGGCAGACAGGCGGCCACGACGCCGATCGACATCTCCGAAACCGACCATATTCCGGGGAATATATCGCCCTCTGCACGCGTCAGTATAGACCGAATACTGGGAACTAGCTTAAGGGTATCTCACGACTAGCATCCCCGGGCTTCATGCGTGAGAGAACCACGGTGCGAATCACGCCGAAAACACAAACTCTAATAGCTCGGATCAGTTATTTTGGACCTTGAGTAGAGCTCTGCATACATACATTCCGCCCAAAAGGAAGGCGGCTAGGACCTGGAGCTTGCGAGTTATTCTCATTTTGAGGCCGAGCACAGGCTTGATTGGGATAGCGAAAGTGGCAACATCCGTGAAAAGATTTATGGCACTATACTGCCGATCAGTCCCCATTACCAGTGCGTTGTGTGGAATGGAGCAACTTGCGCTAGAGCAGTTGTGGGCTTAGACTTGTCGATACATCGACCCGGTCTGTCGGTCCATATCGATGAAAGCGGGATGCACTGGAGCGATACAACCAGGACAAGCGCAATATTGTAAAGAATCACTATGGTGCCGATTAGACAAGACACGATGAGAATCGGCTTTTGTGGAAAGACGCGATGATAGAAAAGCAAAATCGAGATCTTGACAAGCATAGTCCCAGTAGCGTAACACACCATCTTGCCAACATGTCCCTGTCGTTGCTGTCAGTTGTTTCGCGGATAGAATGACATAGATACGGTCTGCTTCTGTACCAAAATGTATTTTCTCATGTCCTTGACGAATATGATATGGCGGCCTCCACCGTTCGCAACTGCTAAGCACATGGCTATGAAATGGCCGATTACTGCCATCTTCGATGAATGTCAATTTTTCGTTTTTCTAGCTTCACCGACCCTTTGGTATCATACCACAGCGACAACAATTAACCCATCATCCCAGCCAAATCGAGCATTGGATCTGTTCCGTGAGGCTATCCGAGCAGAAACAGATATTAGACTCATGATAACTGCACAGATTCCGGCAGCGAGAATATTGGCACTTATGTCATAGCTAGCGTCTGCCTCATAGAAGGCAATTTGCTCGGGTGTTAGATTAAGCACCATGGCAATAGTGAGCCCTCTATAAGTAAGTATCAAAAAGAATGAAATGGATTCTGGAACGTTTCTTCAAAGCCTAGATAGCATAACCAGTCCGGACATTAATTGTGCCGTATAATTCCATAGACGACGTGAAGCCGCAGTGTTAACCCAGAGACACGAGATATGATGAGTATGGCATAAGACCGCGACATCAAGTGCTGTCAAAGCTAGGGGACCTTCACCCGATGTATCCGTTGTCGGTAGACATTGCAATGCCACGGTGGGCACAAGCCCCTTGCAGAAGCAGGTTCGGCAACTGGGAGGCTCTGAGATGAGAAGCATTCCTATGGTGGGTAGGGCGAGACTCGTCACCGTCTCAAAAGCTAGGCGATTAGAAATTAAACATGCCAGGCAGAGCGGGCAGAGCCTTCATCCCTTGCTTATCCCCTTCACGTTCGACGCGGCCTTTTAGCGGTTTTTATAGGGCAGTCGGGCAAGTCGGGCAAGCCAGGCAGGTCGGCTGAGACCTTGCAGGATGCCACGTCAAGTGTAATCATTCTTGTTTCGTTTTGGGCTCAGTGTCCAATCTCTTTCGTTGCCTCGACTGTCGACGAAGATCCCGCGATCTCGGCCTGAATCTCAAGGCATCAACTCATTCCGAAACCGAGTTCAAATCACCCAACATAATTGGAAGATTCCGTGAATGGTACATGGCTGAAGAGGTAGGTCGGGATGGTGTAGGATGATCTCCAGCTTCAGTTTGATCGCACGATTTATAAGTCTCGATTTCGACCGATTCTAGGTGGCTTGGTCATGGGTGATATATACTATCCCAGAAAATTGAACAACAGCCCCTTTAGGTGTTCCTCCTAACTTACTGTTTCAGCCTTGGGCGCTCTTGTATTTTAGATCGAATGCCAGGGAGGCTACAAAAAAAAGAAAAAAACCGTTTGTTCCGCAAGCAATTCTGCTTTGGTAGACCGATGTTGCACGGCAGCTAGCCATGGTTCCAATATAACTAGGCATCTGGTTGAAGGATGAAGAAACCCGATCCTATGCACAGACCAGGCCTATTTGACCGGCTAGACCACCGGGACAGGATCTCTATGCTCATTCTTGTCGATTTAATTCGTAGTCAACCCTCATCCAATGGTGACGTTTCTCCACACGCTCCATTCCGCTAAGAGATAACCTTATTATCGTCCCATGATGGTCAGATTGTATATTCAGGGACTTGATGACTTTATGTAGCAAGCAAGTCATTATTTTTTCATTCACACCGAACAACGTGAAATTCCGACGAGCGAGCGGCCTTTCAGACACTGCCCAGGAATTGAAATGCTGATTGAATACAACGGACAAGTGAATAGACGGATGGGCCACGGAATAACGCGATGAGCGTCGGCACTGAATGATGTAAGTATGAATTTGTCTAGGAATCCGTAAACCGACGATCGATGAAATGGTGTTGAATGCGAATACGAAGCCCGGAGTGGAGCCACCGCGAGTGCCAAACAGCCAGACAGAATTCTGGACTGCGACTAGTCGAGCCAAGCCCAAAGACTAACGGTCTTCGGGCATGCCATACGAAATACGACCCAATGCACGGCGATCATCGCGAAAATTGTTTCTTTTTTCGCAGATACACTCAACGCTATCGCAACCTAGTGGCGAAAAATCGATGGCGCAGCAAATTCGAAGGCGACAGCTTTTAGGGCTGAAGTGTCTGTGTCGTCTGTCGTTTATAAATAAAACGCGCGTTGTCCGTCCATTGTGCGGATGCAAAAACAGAGCAAGCTCTTTGCTTCAACACTATCATGTATTTGTCCGTCAACAAGGAACCGCCTCTCCCGACTGAGGCGGAGGCAGCCATGACCCCTTCACCTTCGCTCAATCCGCTTTCTCCCAAGGCCTCTCACGCCAGTTCCGCCGATTCATATCAAATGTTGGCCGTGGAGGGCGTTCAAAAACAGCCTCCCCTTCCAGGGTCGGTCAAGTGTACAGTGGCCTTGAAGCGATTCGGCCGGTGGGCCATCACTCCGACAGGCTTTCTGATCACAGTCTACATGCTGAACGTCGTTGCGTGGGGCGGGATGCTTTTCCTTCTCATGTGCAACGCCGCACCCGCCATGTGCCACCCCTCATGCGACGACATTAACTCGCCTCGTCGGATATGGATCGAAATCGACTCGCAAATCCTCAACGCCCTCTTCTGCGTGACTGGGTTTGGCCTCGCTCCCTTCCGTCTCCGCGACTTGTACTGGTGGTGTTTCTGGCGTTTTGGCCGCACCAGCGCCCGTCGCAACGACGCCATTGCTCGGTTGGCTGCCGTGCACGCGAACTGGTTCCGACTGCCGCTGGCTGATCTAGAGGGAGGCGAGGAAGCATTGACTCCGATCCCGCCGAGCAAGGCGCCCAAGCCACCGTTGACGGGGGTGCGTGCGCCTGCGACCGCGCCGTGGAAGATGACGTTTGTCGTGCACAACATGATCTGGAACACAATCCTGCAGGGTTGCCTGGCCGGCTGCATGTGGGGCATGAACCGCCATACGCGCCCGCCGTGGACAACCGGTATCTTCATCGGGCTGGCGTGTGTTGTGGCGATGGCCGCTGGAGGTATGATCATGAGGGAGGGGAATCTGGTCGACAAAATCGAGGGGGCTCCAATGTCGGCAGAGGAGATCGTGGCCAGAAAGAAATTGGGGTTAATGGCCGAGGGGACGTGATTCCAGAAGTTCATTCCCTTGGCGCATACGTTGTTTCCATCTTATACACACCGCTAGTTCGCTTGCGGCGGCTTTGAACCGAGTCTTGGGATACATCATCATTCCCGTGGCGGAGTGCATGGTCCTGGACACAAGAACCTCATCAAGAGTCGTATTGTGCTGTTGCCTGGCCCATTGCCCTGTGTGGTCGCACAGAGCTCGGGTGCCGCATTTGGCTTTCGACGGTCACCGAGCATAGGTAAAGACCAGATGCCCTAAACAAAGCGACAAGCAAATGTGGCACCAGGACTCATATCAGACGGGGAATTGACATTGTCTGAAGTCCTCCCGACTTAGCCGACCGATACCGTCAGTTCGACACCTCGACTTTCAGGCCACGGCGCGCTCCCCGGACGACTCAGTTGTAAGGATATTTGCAAGTCCTCAGCGCTGGATGACCATATGCGCCCTGAAACGGCAATTCGCAAACGACGTCCACAAACAGTCTTCACGGGTGCAATTCACCAACGCCCTGTCGCAATCCGTTGGCCCGTCGAAGGAAACCCTCGTTTCCACTGGGATGTCGTTTTCCGCCATTCCGAGAGACTGTGAGAGCGTTTGAGGATTGCGCGGTGGTCTTTTAGCCTGGCGGGAGCACAATTTGCAAATTTGTATACTAGTGCCTCAGAGCAAGAGTTGTGGAGACTGTTGCGATAAAAGGATTCCGGAACAGTGGTAAGATTTGATCATCATTCTATCGTGTTTCTTCAGCCCGTGTGGGGTCTGTTATGCTCATCATAAACGTGAAAGTGGTCTATTGCCATAAATACAATGCTAGTCATCACAAACGCCGTAAAGGTCACAATAACATTGTTCAGAATCGGGACATCTGGTGGTAGTGTCAGCATGACTTGGTCATCAGCTATGGGAGAGAGAACGTACGACACCGAATTCTCCAGAAATATGATATGCCATAGCATTTCAAAAACCGACCCAACGGTGAAGTTGTCGAGAGATGTTGAAAGGGCCCAATCGCGCATGTGGATGTACTCCTCGCGGGGCCGTTGCTGAATACGCTCCTTGGTTACGGCAAATTGACCGCAACAGATGCCACCGATTTCACTCGGGATCTGCTCCTCCGCCACGTTGAACAATTCGGTATAGATCGAGGTGAAATTCGTATAAACTACGTCATCCATGGAGGTGTACATCGGATCGGAGGGGCGCATTGCCACGGGACAGCCCGGGCGGGACTGGCACCGGAGATTGGTATAGCCTTTCCGTTTCACTGCTTCCATACGCAGTTTCGACAAGAGAAAAGACGAGTTCGAGTTGTCTGGGTCGTTATGCCATTGCGATGCCGCTCCATGCATGAAGACCGTTATGTCCGTCAGATCGTCGTAATTGTCGATGATATGAGTGAGATAGGACATGCCCTCGCGGCCTTTGTTGGCCGGAGTAGGGCGATAACCGGGTTCCCTGTCCGATGTGTAGGTATACACATTCCAACTAACGAATTAGCGGATTTCATTCGACCCAGGAACAGCACTTACTCTGACGTTAGGTGGTATGCCCAGGAGATGTCCTCAGATCGAGATTTTGCAAGCACCAATGACTTTTGATAGCTCACAAGGGCTGGCTGATACAGCTTGTTCCCTGCTCGATGTCAGTATCACACATTGACCAGCCGGAGGAGCACTGACCCTTCAGTACTGTCACATTATTGCCTCGGAAGGTGGGCATCAGCGTGCCAACGAGCAGACACACCAATATCAAGTAGGCTGCCAGGAACTGCCATCGGTACTGTACCAGGAACCGGATGCACGAAACCAGGGAAGTCGGTCGATGGGAACCTGAGCTCTCTGGAGCCACGGTCATTATTCCGAGGGATCCGAGCAAGCCGGGCTTGCCAGATAAAGAGAGATAAGCGTCTCTCCGATCCCAGCCGGGAGAATGAGAAGGTCCTATGTCGGGACCATTGGAAGAGGACGGGCGATTCTCAATGCTGCCCTGTCTGAACGTCGTCTGAAGCCGTCACGAGAAGATCTCCGAGCGCAATCAGCCCGTGTCACCGGAGAATGGAGGAAGATGTCGGCGTGTTTTGATTGACAAAATCCAGATCCGATCAGTCAGCCGGCGCTAAGCCCTCCTGGGCCGTCGGGATCACGTTGGGCCCCGTGATTTGCGCGTCGAGCGGGGCGCACCATCCTGCCGGGGCCAATCCGGCCGCGCGCTGTGGTCGGACCAGTCACCGTCAGCGATCGGCCCCACACTGATATCAATTGGGCCAGGTGGGGCTGAGTCTGGCCGGCTTGGCGTCTGGGAGGTGGTGCGACGGCGGCTTAGGGCTGTGGCGGTGGCCTGTCGGTGCCTGTCCGGGGAACGATCGGCAGGCAGCGGCTGTCTCTGCAAGGGGGCGCGTACGCAATCCTCATTATCCTTCTTCTCCCAAGACTCCCTGCTACTCGCGCTACAAATAGTCCATGCACAATTCATGCATGCCCTGGCATGATCGTCATATCCCGTCTTTGTCTCTGTGCGATCCATTGGCCTGTGGTCTCCCATATTTACCGGGTTCCCTCGACTGGTCGTGTACAAAGCCCAATGTGGAGATGCTATTTATAGCAACAGACTTATGTCGGCATAATGAGGAACAAAATTCATTACTCTGTATGTTTGCTACGTCATGAGCGATCCTGGCTGGGTTCAATTGCGCGCTTCAATTCTGTCCCGGCATGGATGCTGGTCAGATAGTTACGGAAGGCTCGGCTCATTTGCATCACTTGCTTGCAATGCTCCGTCAGCACTATATATTTTATCATCCAGACTCTTTTGCTCCAGAACATAGACACGGGAGAGAAACGCGTCGATATGACCCGCTCGATTCGTGGTGGGAAAGAGGATGTCTTGGTAATACCCCATCTGCCGCAGGAACACTATTGACCTGGTGGGATACTTGGTTTGAACAGATGAACTAGGTGTCAGACCGATCGCGTACCTGAGACGATGCCTTTCCGTGCCAGGTCGTAGTTACTTCTTCGTTCCAGGAAAATATCCACTGCGCCGATTAGAAAGATTGCGGTCTACGTTTCTGTGAGATAAAAACATTTCATCAGCTCTCGAAATTCTGCTCCTCAGTTTTGATATCGGCAATGGCAAGCTACAGCAGAGGTCGGCTGGTGGTCATTGCAATCTGTTCTGCAGATGATCAGTAGTGCTGTCACGGTGATATAATACTATTCGGTCTATGAATCGTCTGGTCATTTCCTACTTTGTCGGAACAACTGGGAGCATAATCCGAATCCACCCTGAGATTCCGACCTTGTGCCAATGTTCCTCAACAGATACCAGACTCATCGCCACCTCCGCCAGCCCTTGGCTCCTCTGAGACGTCCTCCTTAGATGGATCTATAACCTCTTTGTCATACACCCTCAATATTCTTGAACGATTGCTAACGGCGGCACCAAGAAAATTCTTTTGTCTCATACATAGCGTCCAGCTACTTCATAATGGTACTATTGCTAGAGCGGGGGAATGCTTAGAGCGACTGATCAAACTACTCGTTTTGCCTATAGAGAATCCCTCTTTTTTCTGGGTTATCTTGACAATTCATCCAGTCCATCGGTGGTTTAGCTTTCGTTAGCTCACTCGACAAATAGACACCGTCATAGTGAAATATTTCATCGGTTTGTCCGTGGGATTTGATTTGAGATACCTGATTGGTAGGGCGTAACTTGCAATTCATATTTCTACTACGAGATAGGCGAGGCAACATAAAGAATATCCAGGCTAAGTTTTGCTGCGATGAACCGAGGCTCTAGTGTCGGGATATATAATTTCAAACACAGAGGGTCACAGAAACCACCAAAGCACCCCCCAACTGAAATCTAACCCATTTCAATTGACATTTCTGACTACGATTGACTATCCTTGTTAGTAGAAGATAACAGAATAATCTCACAAAAACGCGACTTGTTATTCCGATTAGTCCGATATCCGCTGTCAGGCGCCAAGCCCCGCGGAATCGGAGTAAAACCGGGATCGGAATAGACGAATGCCGACATCCATCGCGTTATTCCGTGGCCCCTCCGTCTAGGATGACTCGCATGTTGCACTGCATCGATCTCCCTTATTTACCGATTGTTTTGGAATTCTTAATCTCAAACATCGAAGCATGAAGACACCCGGAGTTGAAGGCGGTTCAGTCCGCAGAAACGGAAAGCCGACCTCCTGCGAGCCATGCCGGCTGTCCAAAATCCGATGCGACCATGCTCGACCGACGTGTAATCGGTGCGTCCAGAGAAAGCTCACTGCGAAGGTAGACCCATTCACCTAGGTTTATCAACCACGCGGGGAGTACTTTGGCTGATGGACCCAGTGCTTTTATCATCCTGCGCCGTTGACGCGACCACGCGGCAGCGCCAAGTCTCGTCGACAGACCCAATCCACTCCGTCTACTGCCAGGACAGAACAAAGTCTTGACAGACAGCTTCCAATTAGTCCTGCGGCCTGCCCCCAACTGCAGACACCAGGTGGGTCCTCCGGGATCGTAGAGAGTGAACCCTCCACCACTGGTCGGGTGAACTATCTCGGCCCGTCCAGCTTCCTGTCTGTCTTCCACGACGTCAGCCCCAACCTTGAGGTCTCGACATTTGCCCGATCCTCAGTCCTATGGGGACGCTGGACTAGTGCCTCGCCCAGTATCACGCGACGACTGGTCCAGCTTCTTCGTCCGCTCGCGACGTATGAAGAATTGCTCATCCAGAAATACGACGAATGCCGATTCACCGTCATCCCGGAGCCGCTGGTCCTCAGACCCCTAAGGCTGCTTCGAGCGCAGGTCGAAGACAGACGATGGTTTGATGATGAAGAGGCCCTCGCGTCTATGATCACTCGTAACACAGCAGAAAAGTCGATTGATATCACCCCCAACATGACGGCAGACGAGTTCTACGCGACCTTCACCGGAGACAACCTTAGATGGGAGTTCGTGGGACTGATATTCACTCTGGCTGGTCTGGCGGCAACGACAGCGTGGAACCAGCACCAAACGTTTCTAGAAGATAGAGATCGAGATGCGTTCGCAGAGGAGATGGCTGCCGCAAGTAACGCCTGCATCGAGATTTGCAACCAGTATGACAACGTCAATGATCTGGTGGTATGGCTGTACTATACGCACTTTTCTCTGGCGGCTGACGCGATGGAAGATCTGAGTACGTGTATTCTGAACCAAGTTTGACGTTATATGCTGACGAGATATAGGCCACTACGTTTATCGGCTCTACGGAGAGTTGATATCTCACATGCATGCCTTAGGTCTACATCGACTCCAAATATCGAACGCAGAGATCCCCTTCTTTCTATCAGAAACGCGCAAGAGACTGTTCACCGCGTGCTACCGCACAGACAAAAACATGGCGATGTTTCTGGGTAGACCACCTCGACTGCAGGACCATTTCTGCGACACCGACATGCCCCTCGACCTTGACGATGGCAGTCTTGTTCTGGACCCGGAGGCTCTCAAGCAAGTACTCGCCGGATTGTCTCCAGATGGATGGGGTGACGTGCCGATTGAGAAAGGCAACATCCGCCCGGCAACAGCCGTTCGAGTACGATATATGATAGCAAAACTACGAGAACGGGTCGTGGTGTTTTTTGTCGGCAAGAAGACCAAGACGTTCGATGAGGATGTGCAGTACGATACCACATGAGCTTCTTATTGTATAGCGAAACACTAATGCTTTTATAGGGCAGTATACCTTGACTTGAAACATTTGTGGGACACAATCCCCGTCCAATTTCACTACCATACCACTGGCTTCGGGGATAAAAACCCTGCGACCGCAGCAATCAGGGTGATCACCTGTTTGGAATACCTTCACACAATATCGCAGATCGAACGGATCCGATGTCGCGATAGCCCAGACGCCATGCATAACCTGCTGGACTCATCGATGCGGATTGTCACCGCTCTGATTGACTTCATCAAAGCACGGAAGCAGGGTGGGAATATTCAGAAGGAGTACACGGGAGTGGTGAGTTTGTGCCACATTTACATACAAATGTTTCTGCTTTTCTGACGGATTGATTCCATTTAGTTTCTATTGTACGGTCTCCCAGCTGCAGGCGTCCTTGCCATCGAGCTCCATCGCTGCACCGTCTCGGAAACGCCGCTACCCTCATGTATTCCTCGGTCTAAAATAATTCGGAACCTTGGCCTATTGGTATCATGGTTCGAAGACGCCAATAGCTCCATGAGCGTCACCCAGAAGAACTGTGTGCAGGTGAGCGAGGTGATCACAAGGCTGCTCGATGAGACGTTGAACCACCAACCCGGGGCTGGGTTGCAAACAACCGGTCAATTCCAGCATCGGCTGGGGCCTGACACTAGCGAGCGGCCGATGATTGATGGAGTTACGGCAGTAGCCTCTGATACCGGGAGCCTGGTGCTGCCGGATGAGAATTGTGCCAACGTGAATACATTCGGAACCAGTGTTGAGTTTTTGGATTGGTGGGATGAGTTCTGGGTGGATGGAGCTATTCCAGAGGCTGTTTTGTGATGTCCCAATACCCCCAGATCTATATTATGAAGCTATGAAGGTTTACTGATAGTCATGCACCCGCAAAAGAAGATATCATGTGTTTCTATTGATGCGACATACTAATTATCGCCCTTCGGCAAATCAAACTTGAGTCAACTCAATATCAATACATGAGGTATTAAATACAATTAGCAAGGCCAGGTGAGTATTGACGCACAAAGCCTGGTCTCTTAATGAAAGGAATTAGGGATAAGGGCCATCCGAAAAGAAGGCAGGTTGCTGAGTATGGCTGCAATCGCGGTATGCTTAAATGCCCATGACAGCCACAAAGAGCGATCCTGCGACAGCACCGGCCCACATGTTACCCTGCAGGGCGGATGCGGAGTTCGCAAGGGGGATATCCGACGATGAAGCGCTAGCGGTCTATCGAACAATGTCAGCAACCGGAACTATACGAAGGGTCAGGAAGAAGAACGTACAGCCTGTCCAGTAGGGGTTCCCGACCCAGACACAGGAGTCGACTTCGACCCGGTGGGAATTACCGGATGAGAGGATCCCGCAGCCGAGGCAGTGGTGGTAAGGCTCTGAGTCGCAGAGGGAGCGGTGGTGCCAGGGGCCGTGGTGCTGTCCTCAGCTTCGGCGGAGGTGGTTGCCTCCTTGGTGGGAGCCTCGCTGTGAGCCTCGGTGGTAGTGGCACTGGAGCCAGCGCTGGTGGTAGGAGCAGGTTGCACAGTCGTAGACGAGCCATCATCATCTGCGTCCACAGGAGTAGAGTCCAGACCACAGGACTCGGCGGCCTTAGACACCGAGGAGCCGTAATACTTCCAGATGTCAAACTCGTTTGCACATTTCAGACACTCGGAGAGCTGGGATTTGAAGGTGCTCGAGTCGCAGAAGTCATCGGAGCGGGAAGATGTGATCACACCACCTAGACTTGTTAGTGATGGGCCTGAGCAGTGAAGTGACAAGGGTTTTCTTACCGCAGTTGGCATGACATTCATATGCAGGGGTACCGGGCTCCTGGCGACGGTGCAGGGGAACAAACTCAGGGTAGTCAAAGGCACTGGCACTGATGACCAGGCAGGCAAAGGCAGCAAGGCTAGAGAAGTGCATGATGAACAACAACGCAGCGATTGAGCTAATGAGGTAATGTAGAGACAGAAGATTGGAACGAGTGGATAACGAATGACACTGGATGAGAAGACAAGATCTCGGCAGTCAAGGCCACATACTTATACACCTGCTGGGCAACCGCCGGAGAAACCCCCTTCCACCCTACGAACGCTTCATTTCCGGGTCCCTGTCATGTTGGTCGTACGAGAGCTCGGGATGTCAACATCCTGTCGGGCGACTTTGCCATTTCCAGTCGGTGTCTCAGTCGAGTCACGGCGTCTAGGCCCAAAGGGGGTTGCCGAGGGCAGGCTCCACTGCGATACATGTTCGTAATGCTGGCAAAGGAGCAGACGATGTAACCGTTGGTCACGAAATGCTCGCTAATGGCGCTCCGAGTGGGTCGTGGTCCACCGCCATCTTATCTGATTGATCTAATCAGATCCCCTCACCGGCCAGTCTCCTGTCGGCGCCGAGTCCCTCGAGATTAAACCCCCCGCCGGACCCTATGAGAGCGAAACCTGGTCTGGTCCGAGCGGTTTTCTCCGACTGATAAGTTCATTTATTTCTCTTGGCAGTGTGCTCGGGCTTGCAGTAATGCCACGGACGAGGTTGCTAAAATGTCACTGCACAGGTCGCAGGGAAGCGAGCACATCCGGTTGGTTTGCTGCCTTGGATGGAGAGGAAATTTCTGATAGCCAACCTGATGGTCTGCTTTAGCTCTTGGTTCGGCCTTTCGTTCATGTGAAAGATTGCAAATTATGACACATTTATCGCCGATTGTGGTTCGGTGACTCGGCCGCTGTGGTTGCAACACCGACCTAGACGAGAGGCAGGGATATAAAGAGGGGTGGTCGTATCCAGTATAGAACCGGTGTTTTATCCCCCTCTCCTCAGTGATACCTTCGTTGTCGCTTTCTTTGGTCGTATCCAGCAAAATGAAGACTTCTATCTTGTCTCTTATCGCGCTCTCCACAGCCGGAGTATTGGCTCACGGTGAAGATGCCGCAAAAGAGATGGGCCCGGTGGCATTCATGTGGCCGCCCGACCGGAAATGGGGAGAGAAGTACGACAACAACGCCCCCTGTGGTTCGTCTACTGGGCCGGTCAACAGAACCGATTTCCCGTTGAGTATGTCTGGATTCCTCGGGAATGTTTCCAAGTCTAACCTTCCATCGTAGTCAACGGAAAGCTTGCCCTCGTCGTGCAAGACGAATCATGGAACGTTCAAGTCTCCGTCTCCCACAAGAACAGTACGAAGGATCCATTAATCCCCCATCCAGACCAAAGACTAACAACTTCCAGACCCGACCAGCAACGACGACTTTGAATCCTTCATCGAGAAGTCCGAGATTTCAGACATCAAACCCGGACACGAGTGCTATTCGGTCCCGAATCCCGCCATCGACGCGGAAGCCGGCCAGAATGCCACATTCCAGATCAAATATACGGGTGACATGGACTCTGACAAGAACGAGACCTACTATGCCTGCGCGGACGTGACCTACGTCCCCGCCAGCAAGTTCACGTACTCTGTTCCCTGCTTCAACGTGACGTCGGATGAGTTCACTGCAGTGACTACCACTGCGGGTGCGGGATCCACCGCAACGGCTGGGTCGAAGGGTTCGGACGACAAGGCCAAAGCGGACTCGGACTCGGACTCTGGTAGCAGCGGTGGGGGCTCTGGTCTTTCCGGCGGTGCTATTGCGGGTATCGTGATCGGTGCGGTGGCTGGTGTGGCCATTGGCGTTGCTTTGCTGTTCGGATACCGCAGACTGTTGCAGAAGTATCGGTCTGCGAGGAATCAGGCTTCTGTCAGGAACGTGGATTGGGCTGAGAATGCTAAGGGAGAGGTCGATCATACCCCGATGGGTTTGCGGAAGATTAGGTGATCTCGCTCTAAGGAATTCACCATGCAGCCTTTGTCGAGTTCAGTAAGGGTGGTGGGAAGTCGGAAGAGTTTCGGGGAGTTGATTTGTTTGATGATGCCATGTGTTGTTCATGTTTATGTTAATGTCGTTAGTCCAAATAATTATTATCTCACCTCATATAAGAATTATCATGTCATTCAAAAACGGAAAACCAGGTAAGACATGCGTATAAAAAATTGTATCGCAGAGATCAAGCCTCGGATTTGCTTCAGCACGCAAGGAACAACGGTTTGCGTGAAGGAATACAAACCCCAGCTAATGTACTTACGAGTGAATATTCGTTCACAAGAGAAAATGCATTCTGGGAAAAGAAACAAAAAAAAAAAAAAAAAAAAAAAAAAAAAAAAAAAAGAACGAAAGAAAGAAGAAAAACTGGATTTCCATATGCCCACATTATCTTGATCATAGAAAACTGTTTTATTCAACGACTCGCTCTTGCCTGACTACGGTGACATCCGACTCTCAGCACACAACAACCTCACTACTGCACTCAACAAAGACCTCTCGAAAATGACAACCTCCGACTATTCAATCTCACCAGGCAGCAGCACATCCCCCCACCCCCTACCATCACCAACACCCTGGACACTTCCATCCTCCCGAATCCCCTGCCACTCAGTCATATTGACCCACCCAATCAATGCCCTATCGCCGAACCCCCCCACCCAAAAGACCTGACGAACGACCAATCTCGCCCAGAAGCCTGCATGCGCTGCGCCCTCGCGACCCGGCAGCCAAGCCCTCGCGTCCGGATGGGCGTCCAGAAAACACCGTTCCAGACCCACTCTGGTCTCGGGGTCCACGGGGCTCGGGTACGGTTCTAGGTACCCTATCAGCACGGCGCGCGGTAGCGCCATGCGACTGTTGGACAGGTCTCGGAGGGTGACATCCGTGTTGGAAGCGTGGTGGTCCCACCAGTCGAGCGAGAGGGAGACATTGGATCCGGAGGCGGCGTTTTTGAAGGTCGTGCCGAGGTGCAGGCCTAGGAATGTTGGGTTGCCGTCGGGGTGGCATGAGGCGATGTATTCGGGGAGGGTGACTGCGAGGCCTGAGACCATTTCTGGGGGATTGTAGTGATGGATAGGGTCAGGGGTGATGGGTGAGGGGAAGTTTGTTGTGATATGGCCGACGGTGGACTTGTGCAGGAGACGACGGGCGAGGAGGGTGGATGTGTACCAGGTCGGGAGGGTGTGACGCTCCCTGGAGGGCTTGGAGGGCTGGAAGTCTGTGTTCAAGGCTTGCTGTGCCGGGGGATTTCTGGATTGAAATGGGTGCAGTAGTGATAGTGGCGTTAAAGCTAGCGCCAGGGGGCCGACAAAAAGCAGGAAGACTGGAAGTAGCTGCATATTAGGCAGCGAGAAGAGACACCGAGTTCGATAATGATGTAGCCGTGAAATTCAGAATATCGGACAATCTGTGTGGAAGACTGTCTGGATTTTATAGTCTGCTCGCAAAGGAAAGTGGATCATGGCCTCGGACTGGATTCAATGGCATCGTACCATTGAGCACTATGCGAAGGTCGACGGTTAACACCGGGATCAAGATGAGCAATTGTACTCTAAGCGAAAGCAAAAAAAAAAAAAAAGAAAGAAAGAAAGAAAAGAAGAAAAAGAAAAAAATATAGAAGAATGGAAAAGGTCAAAAAGAAGAAAGAAGAAATAAAATAAAAACAAAAGAAAAGAAAAGCGAGGGGATCTGATAATTGGAGGGGGTGGGAAAGTTTGAGTGATCAATCACAGGAGGAAAGACGAAATCCAACACCTTTAGCAACGACGAAACCAAAGGACTTCAGGAGCTGAAGCTTCAGCTCCAAGACAACTGGACATTCAAAATTCTAGATTTTGCCATCTATCAAATGATAGATTAAGTTTCAAGTGTCAATAGAACCCAGAACTCATTTTGTGCTCTAAATAAACAGTTCACCCGTAAGACTGCTCGCTATTTGTGAGTTTGGGTGAACCGTCGAAGGGAATTGAACTAGATTTATTCAAGTGCGTGAAAGGAGCAATAACGCCTACGCCTCTTCCTTCCAAAAGGGAGTTACATAAAACGGCCCTTCAGCTTACAGCCAGGTTACATAGTCATCATGAGCGCCAAAGCCGAATTTATTGCTGCTTTTCACTGCACCCGCTTTGCAAGGGGGAAAAGGAAAGATGGCATTGCAAGCTTCCTTCATGCTGTGCTCTGCTCTTCGTTCTGTGGCCGTATTGCTCTTCTTTCCATGGCAAGAACCTTGGTCATCCGGGTGCCCGAAACAAGCTGGCAAAGCCGTCAATGTCGGTGCTGGACTGCGAATTGCGGCTTCAAAGATCACATCCCCCGATAGCATCATTCGGGAGTTTGTCGTTCACCGTACAGGCGTTGTTGATTACACTGCGTTGCGTTCTAGCACTCTCCGTTGCACTTCAGTTCGTGTTATCGGCCAAAAATACGTCGTTGTCTTGTCTGTTGCGCTTCATATTCTAGCTCACCGTGCTTTGGGATGCAGTCACAGGGCAACGAAGTGGTAGATTAGGAGATAATAGCGACCTGACAGTCATATTTGCAGAACGGCTGACTCTCCCGGTTAGTGAGGGAATAGGCTGCGTGGTAACTTTGGTCTCGCGGTATTCGGAGTCTGTCTTGGTCTATTTAGGAGATGGGCCGTCCTGAGGTTATGACGCAAGTAAGTGATCTATACACTATCGGCTTTTTAGATTCTTACTCTGACTGGTTGCTACTAGGCATGTAACAGAACCGATTCAAGTCGCGGAACGCCTTCCAGAAGCTGAGGAACATGGTGAATCCCGGATAATGGAATACTTGGGACGTGACAAGGCAGCTCAACCTCAAAAACGCATTGAGCGAGGCGAGGCCAATCGACAAGGTCTGAAGGGGAAGATTGTGTAATATAATTAAGCAGAACAAGACACGGCACGGAAGAACATGGCAAGGACGAGCATGGCAAAGCAGGACAGACGCAAGCCATTTGACTTGCTGGCCAGTCAACGACTCCGGCTGCCAGGTTCCACATCGGCATATTGCATTCCGAAAGCAAACACTGTTGTGATGCACGAAAGATTGTCTTGTTGCAGAACATTATCCTGTGGTTATGGCTTTGCCACTGGCGGAAAGGGTATTATTTTGGAGGCTCATAGGCTCGTTATGTGGTTGTACGGAAAATGTCATGCTGTAACCTCCGACTTGGAGCGTACATAGAACGATTGTATCTTTTCGAAAAACCCCCTTTCCATGTCACGTAAAACAGGGGCAACTGGAGATTCCTGCGTGGCATATAGTGCAGTTTGGTCATAGACTGGTTCACGATCAGAATCAATCGCAGGAAGCTCATGAATTCTCCAGGGCTGTGTTTCACTGCGATTTGGCCGAAATCACTATACTCATATTTACTTTTTACGTGTACCAAGAAAGAAGGAAATTGTTTTTATTGTCAGATTAAACAAATAGAACAACCATTTCATTCAAACATTTCACTACCTAGGACCGCTGCAGCGGCGGGTGGCTTGTTCTTCCACCTATTCGTCATCCTCCTCCTCATCTTCCTCTTCTACCCATTCCTCTTCTCCTTCGGCTTCTTCTTCTTCCTCTTCTTCCTCCTCCTCTTCCTCCTCTTCCTCCCCCTCATTCTCCTCGTTCTCCTCGCCATCCTCTTCTCCATGCTCGTCTTCATCGTCGGGCTCGTTTGGCCATTGGAAACCTTCTTCGCTCCAGTGCCCATTGTAGATGGAGAGACGCGCCCCTACGCCCTTGACGCAATGCTCACGACAATAGTGGTCTAATTGTCGTTCTTGACTTGGCCCCTCACGCACACACCTCCCATTTGTCCGCCGGTGGGCCGCACATTGTTGCCAGGATGATCGCTTTCGGCACAGGCAGGCGTGACGATCGTAAATGTAGTAGCACCTGACAATCATGAGCAAAGGAACCTTACACCTAGGTTCGTTCTTACATTCTGAGGTGGCTGGCGCCGTGCTTGAGACTGTCTAGGAAGGGGTACTTGGCGACGGCCTCGATGGGCTTGCCGGTGATGTAGTAGATCTGCTTCTGGTGCTCCTGCGTGCCGGTGATCTAGTCGATGGCAGGGGGGGGGGACTCTGTGGACAAGTGGCGACGTGCGTGTCAAGATGCTCGCGGTTCTCGGGGATGGCGATGGAGGCACACGAGAGACAGGAAGAGGGGAAATTTGGAGGGGGAGGAAATCCAGCTGTCTTCTGGATCGGGCAACCAACGTCCAGGTGACTACAAAAAGAGCACGGCCTGAAAAACATGGCAATCAACGATATCAGGCATTTTCACTTCAATTTCAGGAAATATGATTGACAGAATCATAACCACAGCATTTCCTCAGCCTAGTCATCCCTTCCCACCCACTCCTCACTCCACTTCCACACTGCCAGTCCTGATCCTCATCGCCTTCTCTCCAGCTGACCTAGTCACAAAAAGGCACACAATGATTGCGGCATGGGTTGTTGACACGTTCGTACACGGGAGGATCGAACAGCTCGCATTTTCCGTTTGTTCCGCGGCGAGGAACGCATTGCACGAAGGTTCTGTTTGCTTCTTCGCAATCACAGGCGTAAACCCAGATAATGTCGTGACACCTTGGAACGTTAGGCCTCGAATTCGACAAACCGTGGGGGACTTTTGCTTACATTGTGGTGCAGACAAGGGAACAGAAGGCAAGAAACCGGCGGGTCGTTCGCGATTAGAAGCTGAGATATTGTCTTCCTTGTTTCCCAACGATCTCGCGCGATAGTCTACTTAGTCTTCAGGGGAGGTGGCTCCAGCCTGGAGGATGGTAGGTTTGGGGATAGAAAGGAAAACCTTACTTGTTTGATTGACAAAGAAAGGTGGAGTCGAACCTGCCGCATAGTTCGACTTCTGCCTGGTGCTTAGTCACCCACTGTTGACCACCACTCCGACGGCTCAGCTGCTTCGAAAAGGTAGGTATTCTTCTCTCTAAAGCGGCGGCGAGGGACCAGGTCAGGTGACGGTCATTTCTCTGGTTGGGATACGCCATCGTGAGTCACCGCGGAGTCTTCTTTGCTCTGACTTCACTCCCGTGTTTCCTTCGTGGCAGGGAAACAGCTCCACTATATTCTCTGTACATCCTCTCGACAATTGCCCCTCCTAGCCGGTATGTCTTCTGGTACTGCCTTCCGGTGTAAGGTTCCAAATTGGGTGGTCCTTCCTTGCGATCGAGAGCGCAATCGCCAGCCCGCAAAGCTATACAAAGCCCCCCGAAATAAGCTGTCAAAGCACAAACAAGAACACGTTCCCTTGTTACCACTTCCCCTCGAGATTATAAATTTAATCATCATGGAACTAGACCTACCCAGCATCGGCATGATGCGTCGAGTCAATACGACAGGGAGACTTGCAGTAGAATCACTTCCTGCATACTCGCTACTGAAGAAGCATGCTTCGAACACGCTGCGTCTAATGGCCGTCACGAAGTGCGCCAAACATTTCTCAATATCCTGGCTCTTTAGCGAGTTCTGTCAACCTTGGTGTCGATCATGTGGCGATTTCGGTCCCTTCCTTTACTTCCCGACTGCTACTCGCTTATGCTATAAATGCAATTTCGTCGAGCCCGAGTATGAGATAGCGGAAACATCGTTGCTTCGCTTTAACCTGGCCATATCCTTGAAGCAACTCAGAACAATTCCAATCATTCACAGCTTTGATCTGCAACCCACGCGCCGTTTCGCAAATATCACTCAAGCCAAGGCCTTAGCAACGGAAGTTCATGGTAGCGACAAGGCGATAGCGACTGCACGCCGGGCTGAAGTCAGGAAACGCTGGAAGGCTTACGAACGTCGAGTCCAGAAATGGGAACGAAGTACAAGGAACAGCTGCAAGCCTCGTGGTCCAATGTTCAGCGAATTAAGGAAGTATGACACAGACCATAACCGAGTCTTTTTCAGCATGCGGGCGACAGCTATCTTTCCGTACTGGGATCGCCAGACACGGAAGATTGAACCAGGCGTCTACTGCCGGGCTTGCACCTACGAGGCAGAGGAATTGATGGATTATTGGAGATACGACGGCTCAGTTTGGGACGATTACCCAAGTGCACGGTGGAAGGCCTATCATCGAGCGTTCTTGGAAGCTGATATACCTGAGCATTTCCTGAATTGCCCCGCCGTCAAGAAAAACCACGATTTTCGTATTCGCAGAGCATTAGGCATTAATAAGAGGAAGGGAACTGATTTCATTGTCAAATCTAAGAAAGCTAGCGATGTCTAATGAAGCTTTCTTTACTGGTGATCAACCCCTTGCCCCGTGCCTCTCTATAGCAACATAGATAGGATGAGCCTGAAATTGAATGATTCCTATGAAAGCCACAAGGTTTAACGCAAGGCAGATAGCAGCAATACGAGAAGGTACAGGGCAGTCGGAGGTATAGATGCCGGATGTCAAGTAATAAATCCAACGCAAAACGTTTCGGACAAAGAAAATGTGAACCAGGACAGCTCCTTATGCCGCAACTCACGATGTTAAAGTATCGGGATAGAACTAACCATATCTTCGGAAAGGGCTGGAATGTGTTGCTCTGGTTAAGATGGACGCGGACCTCTGGAATGGCGGATTGCCGATGCTCCACATTAGCAAAAATACGATCCGGCAAACCTGGCACTATGTGTGCTACAGCTGCATTAAGATGAGCTGGTGTTGTCAGGTCGACCGCGCTGGGGACTGCGTCGAGAGGTAATCTGATCTTTTCAATCGCGCAGTTCCCTCTTGGACTGAACGAGCTGTCCCTGCAAGATATCTCTACCGTTGATGGTATTCTGCAACCCGAGCTTGCACTCGTCGTATTCTGTCTGCAGCGACAGTACATTAAACCAAGGTTTCCTTGCATTACAGACCTGCCTCAGAAAGTATGCTGTTTTGCTACCTGTTATATATTGATAGGATAGAATGAAATGAATTGCAGCGAAGGAGTGCAATGAAGCGGGTGAATCAAGCGAGGGGTCCCATACTGGACGGTGAAGAATGATCAAGAAGTGAAGAGAACGCGGGGTAGGCAAAGTGAAGAGCTCGGCATTTCAGGAAGAAGGTCATTTTACAGTCACTTCTCCAACTGCTGTATTTCCCTGAGGAAATCTCTCAAAACAACAGACAGTCTCTGAGGATCCGATCTCCTCCCTTCAGCGGCCATTCGGACCAGCTGGGCATGGCAGTTCATATGGTCAGGCTTGCTGTTATACACTCAGCCGTGATGGTCAAATGATGCTACGATTCACAGTCCTACCTGATAATCTAGCGCTGCTATTCTGGGTTCGCCAGTGGATTAAGCGCAGGTATGTACATCGGCCCCGTTGCGGCACCTATGCTTTGATATAGACAACTAACAAATACAGATTACAACTAGCCACAAGAAGGGGCTCGCCGTCGGCCTTAGCCTTTTCAGGCTGATACTGTCGATCAGCACATACATTTAGCCTACAGGGCAACCAGCCCCCTCAAGTGCTTGAGGTGTGGAGCGACGGACAGAGGCGCAAGAAGAACGCCAAGCGTACCACTTCCCTCCAGGGCGCATTTGGTCGAATAATACCTGGCGACGAACATGGAGTGAGGAGAATTGCCGTATCTCGCCACCAGGCAGTAGTGGCAATGAAGGCACGCCGTCATTGGTTTCTCTCTGCGACTCATACTTGGAATCGTATACCAGACGTTTGTGGCTACATATCGATCCTCTGGCTCGAGATAATGCGGCATGTGAATGGATCGAAGCAATCCGAGGCACCGAACAACCTGCTCAACCTTAAAACGCTCATCCCTGCACTACTCCTAATTTCGGCGTGCATCAACCAGGTTGGAAGTTACTTCAACCGTCATGAAAAACGCCCACCTTTCCTGCGGACTGGGGGATACAGTCATAATAAGCGATGGTACTGCACTGATCGTGGGAGGCGAAACTACCCAAATTCAGAGAAAGACCATTGACCTTAAGTTTCCCCCGGCCTGCAGAAGATCCACAACTTTGCCTACGTGGAGTATATTGGAGGGCTTATGACCGACGGGGAGAAATAGGATGATGAAGACGACGGTGTCGGACATATGAATTGAAAGGGTTTCCGGCGCCTGAGCCTCGTTTCGTTCAACACTCGCATGGAAACACTCATCAAGAACCCCAGAGTCGATTCCGGAGACGGCACTAGGATTAGGCTGTCTTGAGGACTGCTTCGGTAAGGTAGACCGCGGATTTGCGTGGTTTTGGAAAAGGACTACTAATGACCTCTCGAATGCCATTCCCGCAACGCGCGCCCAAGTTGCTCGGTATATTGCTTTTGACTACCCGAAACTGAAAATGCTTACACGCACTTTCCACAACGAAGGTTTGCTCAGTTCGGACGGTGATGGCCCAAGATTTATCCTTTTCTGCCAATGTCCCGTAACCCTTTGGATTGTTGAAATGTGTGTTGATGCACTGGGCCTTGATTACACCGTGATTCGATCGGGGATACCAATGGAAATACAGACCGCGGCGGCTGAAAATTTAACAATACAAACACCTCGACCCGAACCACGATCACAAGGTGCTGTTGGCGGTCTTTTCCTGAATTTACATGGAGCTTGCTCCCGTGCCATCTTGATCGAGCCGCCCACGAACGTATCCATCAATTTGGGGGTAGCATTGAACTCCACGTCTGCTAGCCTGGATACCAAGGTCCTGCAGCCGATCCCGTCATATCTAGGCTGAAAGAATACATTGTGCCCCATGTACGAGTTGCGGAAAAGGCCAATGAGGATGAGACGCCGCAGCAACCAGTAAGCCATCCCCAGGCACCAGCAATTTCTCGCATTTCTTTATCCTTATTTGCTTTCTGGGTCCCTTCTTGACACCGTCGAGCCTCTCTTTCAAGCTCGTACAAAGTCATCTCCGTATCCACCGGGAGAAAATAAACATTATCCACACGTGTGGCGCAGGTTAGCAAACGGTCCTAGTGACCCGCCGCCAGGTTCTGGTTGCACCCCGATGGATGTTGCAATAATCGCAGCAGAGGAACACCACCTTCACGCATCAGATGAATCATAGACAGGCTATTGTGCTCCGGGCTTTCAGGCATCAGAATGCCCACCTTCCCTGGGAGAAACTCGGCTTTAATTGTGAGGCTGTGAGGCTGGATGGATGTGTGGGTGGAAGCTTCAAGAATACTTTTGTTGTCAGATTTAACCAATCGCCACTGTTCTGAGGATCAACAATGAAATGCCAGTTTATGCGTAGGCGAGCTTTCAAAATATTCCTTATCTTACTTTTCGTGTATAAAGACGCGTTCATGGCAGGGTCATTGAGCTGAATGGCGACTAGGGACGGTCTGAAGTATCTTCCGTGCAACACAATCTCGAAATAATCTCGACATGAACGTTCTCGATGCTGTTGCTCTTGTAGAGGTCGTGGATATCGTCTTTTGCCGGCTCTAGGCGTCTTAGGTCATTGGCATTATTGAAATGCACAACCTGCAGGGCCCTGAAGGCTCCATGTCCTTCTGGATAATGTAGTTTGGTTGTGTGGTGCACATAAGGCTGGAGGTTATCTTCCGAGGAGCGTGGCAGGTGTTTTGTCTGTATGACGGGATCTTCTGCGTTATGTTGCTGGTGCCGCAACTTGAACGACGGGGTGTGGCCAAGAATTTCTTATCGTGGTCTAGCGATATGGATCGCTTCGTCGAAGGTATTCTTTGATCGACATTTCTCCCTCTGTCTCTTCTGACTCCCGTAGAATGTTCCTTCTTTGTCGTGGCGAATCCGGTGGGGTAGGGAGGGTATGGATTGGGAATGGTCTTGTGGACTGCATCTTGAATGAGACCATAAAATTGGAGACAGCGTACGCTTGGAACCGATTAGATAGGATAAACGGCCATTAGAAGTGTGGGGGATGGAAGTGGTCGGTGATGGAGAAGGGATAAGTCCAAGGGTAGGAAATGAGTCAGGGGACTGAATCGGAAGTTGCGAGTAGAAAGATGCTTAGACCTTTCTTATCGCCCGCCATGACAGTGGGCGGTGTCCAATATTCTCTCGAAACTTCATGCATTTTTGGGAACCATTGAGTCATCCCAGGAACGTTGAGAACATAATGACATACTTCACACCGCACAACGTACTTCCGGGCTATTTCTTCTAACCTTGGACTCCACGCATCAAAACCCAGTCCTGCTTTTTTCTTTGCGTCTTTCCTGCAAGCATCAGGACTCAAAGAGCGATACCTATTAAAACAACATGTCGTTCATGAAGGATAAATTTCTCTCGCTCCTGAATACGGGTTGGAGGAAGCGTGAAGATACCCTGGAGAGAGCAGGGAGGTGGGAAGAGGCACAGTCACTGCGCAAATGGCAGCACAAACACCGGACTATTCGAAGGGAGGATGAAGCGTCCATTAGATTCTTCTTTGCTTTGGAGTACAATATACGTCACCTGGTGCAGTTGGACACGACTTGGATGGAGAAGAACGCCGATGGCACCCCGCCCAACAGGAAAAACTACTTGAAGGAAGAAGTAAGACTGTATAAGACAGAAGAGAGGATCAAAAATATACCATGCGGCAGGGCTCTTCTGTCCCTGCGACGAGATAAGAAGTGGTATTTATCCGATGCTCTCCGTGCAGCGTGTGCAAGCCAAGGGGGTTGCTGTGGCCGGGGGTGTGGGTGCTGTGAGAGACTGAGGAATCCGGTAACCCCGTTGGGACAGGGCCACTGCACCACTGGCTGTTGGTGCTGCGAGATGGCGCGAGGATATAAAATCAGATGGATCGAGGAAGAATCCACAGCGCATTCGGCCTTTATTATGCGAGCACTTACTAATCCTACGAATCATGTGGATGTTTTGACTGCTTACGTTTGGGGCGTGTAATGGGAATATGCGGACAGGAGGGTTCCTAGTGTCTGGCGTGTTCCTTTGCTTTGTATTATTTTTGATCATCTATCTAGAGCCTTGCTATTGAAGCGAAGAAATGTCCAAGGGGAGTCCTCCCAAACACCATCCCGCTTCAGAGCTCCGCAAATGTTTAGTCGATTTGGATGCTAAAGGCTATTCACTGTCCTACGACGTGTGAAATATACCACGCTCATTTGTAGTCCCATCGTGCGGCCAAATGGTAGGCTATGCCCAGACATGCCCATGAAACATCCACAAGCACTCCGACTGTCTGGCAGTGTTACCCAGTACGCTGTTTATTTCGCTTTTGGCAACGTATATGATCTATATCGAAGGAACCACAACCAAAGCAAACTCAGGGTCATCTCGCCAATCAAACTCGGTTACAGGGATGGAAGGATTCAGCAGTGATCCTATCGAAACAAAGATGTCGTCGTCCATGAGGGAAAGGATTTAGCCATTCCTTAGGGGTGTACCGGAAGAGCATGAAGAGTCATCTTGCTTGCTGATGTCCGAGATTCTGGCTCCCGTCGGGGATGCGTTGGCCGTGTTAAGCACCACGCGACGTGCGGTCAGGATTCCTACGGATTCATAGATGACGACCACCGCGAACTCCATCAACATAGACATGACAATGAGCATGAGAGGACAGCCCTTGAACCAATGGAATTCCATGTTATCAACGAACGTACACAGCGCCGAGTAGACAATGCGCACAAGCAAGAAGGGCAGCGAGGCTGTGGCCGCCGACAAAAGCCATTTCGCGGTCTGGTCGAAGCATTGGGCGTCGAGCCACAAGCAGACCGTACAGAAGCTAAGGATCAAGAAGGTAATCATAGAGAGGATCGTGCTCGCAACGAGCGTCGGTGGAACCGGGGTGGTTGTGAATCCCGCAAAGTCGGAATCCGGCACCGATGCGGCGGCGACAATACCCAGGACGAAGGTCGCGCCGAGCAAGAGGCCCTGCAGATAGATGATATATGGCCGAATGAGAGTCTGGCGCCTCCTGTGAACACTCGTCCGAACCGCAACCATCAGTCCCAGCGAGGCGAGCAAGAGGAGCGCGAGCCCCATCTGGGCCAGGGTGGCGGCTCCTCGATAAAGATGCAGATTCAGTGGCGCGGTGATGGTTCCCAGCTGCATTGCGGCTCCGAGGATCCGAGCGAAAGCAAAAGCAGCCAAAATGGCCCAGTACGGCTCGTTGCGCCATCTGCAAATGGCAGGTCAGCTCTGGATTCCGCGCGGTTGGGCACAATTGAGCCTACCCATTTCTCATTGCCAGAGCGACCGCTATGGCGAGGCCGATGGCGTAAAAGGCCAGCTCAGCCGTCGCAATCGTGCTAGTGTGGGATAACATCGTGATTCCCCCAGTGCTGCTGTTGCAGCCAGAATGACAATCTTCTTCTCTGGACAATAAATCCTAGTCGGGTGGAGCGAGTTTTAAATGGGATTCTGGTTGCCTGGAGGAAGGCGAAGGCATCCACAAATCCACCGACGCCGCCATTACGTACGCCGCCACCTCATCAAGAAAAAAGAAAATCATATAAAAAATACAAAATACAAAACCAAATCAATTCATCCCGGGAAGTAATTAATGGTCCATTTTTATAAGCATCCCGGCCGACCTCAGATGCCACATTAAGAGAATCCAGCGATTGCCCGCGTCTTGGCGAGATGTGATCAACAGGAACGAAGGCTTCCGCAGCCGTACTTTGCGCATTCTCTTGCTCCCTCGACCACCCCGTGTAGCGTCATTCGGTCTCACGGATGGATCAGACTTTCGTCAAGCAGAGTACACTCTGCACTTTGCCCATCGAGTGCAGACAGGCGATCCTCTGCTACCTTCCAGACATGCACGCGCTAAAGGCAGCAGTCTTGTCCCACCCTGCAATGTATTCGGCCTTTATAGACAGGGACGAATGGATTCTGTCCCGGATCATGGGCAAGGTTATTCCAGGGGATCTGCTCCCGGATGCGATCTTCGAGTATAGCTCATCGGCCCTAGAAAATGACTCATGGACCCGGGAAAGAGTACTCAATCTCATCGAACAACATGGGGCTCATCACGTTCCATCCTCCTTCAAATGGACACCTGGCGCTGCATTCCATATGCAGACTTTTTACCGACACGTGAGGTTTTTCACTTTGGGCTTCGTGGATTCGGCATTTGAAGTGTATCCTGCCTTGCAGGGTCGCGCAGTGTCTTCTCCAGAATGGTGCCGTATGGCCAGGAGCTTCTACCGAGTGGAGATCTATCGACATCTCTTCAGACGTCGAGACCATGTCCAGAAGAAGCCCTCTCCCGACTTCCCCTATCATGAGCAGACCGAAATCTATTACGAAAGGTTCGCTGCATTTGAACTGGAACAACTTGCTTGTGTCAGCGAGTATCTTTTTCGGAAAGTCTTAACTCGTACGCTCCCTATCACATCCAAGGCTTTTTCTTGTCGTTTGTCTATGAGCACATCATGAAGGCGAAGCATTGCTGATAACTGGACCCCGAGTGTAGCATTCAATGAAATCGCCGCACACGACATAGTATGGGCATCCAAAGCGGTCGGGTATTCAATGACCGAGCCATGGCAAAGCTTCAACCCTGCGACACGCATCGGAAATGTAGTATGTGTCCTTCCCACTGCTTCGGTTCCTTCTCGTGCCAGCTCTAACGGCCAGTCCATTGCCTAGATATCACAAGGGCTGGCATTTCTGCATGGAATGCTGACCGCAGAGACCTACGAGAAGCGGTACCAGCTTCTGACGCCCAATATATCCAGAGTCAACACATTTCTACCAAACGCTCTTTGGTTCCTCTTTCCCCGCGACGAAGGAGACACGGAGTTACTGAGAGACTATGATTCCGAAGAACTTGCGCTTTATACCACACCCGAAGCTCCCGAGTCCGACCCCGGGCCGGTGGAAGTTTGGCGCCAAGCTCATTTAGATAAGACTTTGCGCGACTTTGTCTACAGTATGGACATGCGGGAGAAAAGGCGATGGGGGTACGCACTGTGGGACTATGGCCGCCTGGCCCAGCTAGAGGTCTTCGATAGGCCGTTTACGCGGGCGCCCACCCCTGATTATGGCGAGGCAGAATTGCTTGAGGCAGTGACTGGCTCTCTGGTCACGCGCTGGAAGTTGTGGTGGAAAGGTGCTCGGGGATGGTGGTCCGAGGAAGACCAATCTCAAGTTCGCTGGGAGGGACATGAGCTCGATCTTTCGGATGAAGAATTGGAATTAGAAGGTTTCCATAATAGAGTATTGTTGTAATACAAATGCTCCGATGCTCATGGGGTATGGCCAGTCATAGGTGCTGTCATCGCCAGGCGTGAGCTAGATGATGAATTACGACTTCAGTTTGTGCGTCAGTAGGATTTACCAGGGAAGGAAGAAGAGGTCCGGTTTTCATGTCCATTGCTTATGACTATCCACTATATTTAAGCAGAATAGGAACAGAATTATAGAAATACAAAGGCTGAATGTCGCAGGGACTTTTCAAGCCGTGGCAGCACAATGAGTGATAGACAATATCATAATGGGGCAGACATCAGAGTATGACATGGAATGAGGGACTGAACGGAGGTAGAGACCAATGCGAAGGGATAATCTAGATTTCAGGGATAACGGTAGACAATTCCAAGGAGTTCGATAGTCGAGTTGCTAGCTTTGACAAGCCAGCAGAAGGTGGGGGCGATGGTCGCACTGGCGTAGTGGTACCAGCAGGTACAACTGTCTCATCTAGAGAGCGTCTTATGATGGCGGCAGCTGGTACATCAATAACCAGAGTATTTCCGGTCACACCGTGTCGGGCCGAGCTTTGCCCGGCAGAGCTCGGAATCATGACTGGAACTGAGGTTGTGATAACAGCTGCTGGCGTGACAGGCAGAGAAGCCGAAGTGCCCAAGCACACACCATGTGATTCACCCGCTCTTAAAGAAAAGAAGTACTGGAGAGGGGCAGGTTCTGCAGAAGATGGTGTGGCGGAGGGAGGAATAGTTGATCCCCTCTGTGTAAATCTGGGCTGTTGTATATCATTTGTAACTGACTCGCGGGGCAGAAGGCCGGGCTCTTGTATGGCATCTGGTATATCATTGGGAGGCAAGGAACCCGGTTGGTCTGACAAGGGCCGAGCGGTGGCAGATTGAGAAGAGGTCAGATGTTCCGCACCAGCGGTCGATTCAGCACCAGACCCTTCACGCCTAGAGGCCATGGCCTGAAGTGAGAGGGAGAATTGGTAGAGGACACAACAACACGCCCCGGGTTGGGATGCCCCTCCCCTACCAACTGTCTTCACTACTTCACTACAACCTGGACCGTTGTTCATTCTCTGGGACAAGGAAGATGGAGTCAATCGATCTGCTCCTATCAAGCAGTAGTCATGGTAAGAAGGCGACCGGATTTAATAGCTAAAAAAAAAGCATCCCATTCATTCTCACACTCCAGTGATGGTACGTTTGGTCTGCAATTTCCAATCCCCAGTACAGTTCACTCAGCAAGCAGACCCTTACAGGCTTCGTAGTCCCCAGACATGAGCATCCATCATACGGCCGCTAAAGCTGTCGTCCCTTCGTGCCATCACGTCAATCCGAGGGCGACCCGTATCAGCTGTGTCGAAATCCTTGAGCCGATACCCGTGGTATTGGGCGCAACACCCGCAGGCCGGGGTACAATGGCCCAAATCCAAGGAGTTGAGGGTACTTCTCGGTCTTTCACAGCATCCACATGCGCGGCTGCAGCATCCCCCTCGGTCGGCACAGTCCCAACGCAGGAAGTCGGACAGGTGCCACTTCGGATCCTCTCGAAGGCAACGGATTGCACGAGTCACTGGTTTGTCGATGGTTGAACAATAAAAATAATGGAGGCTTTGTCGAGTTAATCGGTACTCTTTGCTCGCCCAGTTCAGGCCTTTGGCGATCGATTTGCGTCGTAGATCCGCTTTCTCACCCTCGATGCCCAGTCCGCACTCCTTCTCAATCTTTTGCTGTTGCATGAGATATACGGCTTCTTGCTGGACGACCACACGCAGCCAGTATTCAAGGTCCAGGAAACGCCGTAATTCATATCTCCTACGCGCAGACAGGTCGAGCAACAGATGCTGTTTCTTCCGCATGCGCTGGGCGTTCATTCGGTCCCCCGACTGCTGGTACACCTCCTCTTTCGTCTTTAGAGGCAACGCAAGAAGTTGAAGCAACATGGTGTACACACTGTCGTGGTTCTGATCGGTGGGAATGAGCTCGGGGTTTGAAAGCTGTCAGGTTCTGTGCGCATGGCCTGTCGGAATTTTGTGCTGATGCTTTTGATGACGTGTATCCTCGTCACGTTGGATTTTCTCTGGTGACTTATTCACCCAGCCAGTTCTTGATGTCATAATTACTCGCATTCCGACAGCCTTCAGAGCTGCAGTCGGGTGAGCAGAGACCTCGTCATCATCGGTGGTCGAAGGACCGAGAAAGGTTTCCGAGGGCAAACTGGGCGCTACCGATCTGCTCATTTGGCCAACTTTGAACCTTGTGCTCCGCACTCTGCGACTCAGGGCCAGATTCTGCTCCACGGTTTGGACCTGGAAAGGCTGAGCCTCAACGGTTAGACTTCTATGTATGAAAGCACAAGTCCTCAAACTTTGAGAATCCACACGCCTGCGTTTGCTCCACTGGTGAACTGATTATTCTGTCGGTAGCAGAACCGTAATAACAAACGGGGCGACAGCTCCCGACCCTGTCTGATCTGTTCGGCTGAGGGGCTGGAGGTTTGAGGCCGGTGCTGCGATTCTGTTGTCATTCTGGTTACTGGTAATAACGGTAATGTTGGCGATATGAACTGCCATGTCCAGCTAGTCCCAATAGCGACAGAATCGAACCTAACCCTCTCACCCCGTATCCAACAGGCGAAGTACATACCTTGTTCTGTGTCATCGGAGCATCCTCGGAAGGAACACAACAGGGGTCGAGGCGGAGACTATGGTAACGTTGGCTTCATCTTGCGACGAAAGAAGGATCTGGGAGCATCAGGTGGAGTTTTGGTGGTGAGTAAACGAGGAACAAACGTATATAGAATCATATAATGGGTCTTGGGTTATGTTATAGATAGATCGGGCATGGAATCGGACGAAAGAAGCAGCGGAGGCGAGTGACCCGGTAAGGAAGATACCGACAAGGGCCCCTGCTTGCTTATCAACAACTAGACTTCACTTCTAACCCTTGGGGCATCCAGGACACGAGTATTCTCTTCTTGGTCGCAGATTCAATCGCACCAAGAACGGAAATGGCATCACGAAGTTTGTCTGGTCGGTCAGAGTACATGCATTAGTCCCCCGGTCATGATTGATCAACAAGCACTTACCCTGTACCAAAGCTGAGATGAAATCTATCCATGACGCCCATTGCAATGGTTACTTTCAAACATCACGGAATCAGGTAGTCTTCAGCACCTATTTTCCGAACATAGACGGCGTGGCAGTACCACCGTAATGCGACACTAGTACACGACAGCAGAAAACGCACGCTTATCACTAGTCGAACCATGAGCTGCCGTAACCCATTAGCCGTGGGATATCCGACATGGTGCTGCAAGCCATACATAACAGCTCTTCCCTGGCTGCACACTTATGGATTCCGGTACAGGTCGAGAATAAGGGTCGACATCATGCCGATACTTTACCGGTTTCACAACGAACTTCTCTCCCTGGTCGACAAGGCTTTTTCTATTCGCTTTTATTGGCCTTTCCCATGTATTTTAATGGTTAACAAGAATGATGGTTGTTATTCCATGCTGCCGGGCGAAATGCACCAACTACCTAACTAGCTTTGTTGTCCCGCCTGCGGGTGTACATACTACAGGCATGTCAATGTGACAGTGCCCGGCAAAACAGAGAAAACCAGAATATCCACATTCCACATGGTCCAACTGATCTCCGGCAATTGTCCCTCCATTGGAAATGAAATGAGAAGCGTAGGATGCGGTAGGTAGAACGAATGCAACGCCACGCTGATCAATGGCAGATCTCCAACGTCATCCGTTTTACTCCCCATTTTCAGAGTCGCTGAAAGTATGGATGTCGTTGACAGACTCGCTCAGATTCTCCCTGGCCTTGCTTGCCATGAGTATTCCCAAATCACTATAACTTTCATATCACGGTTCATCGACACACATGTCTGTGAAATCGTCTGCTTCTTCTGTCTCAGTGAGGCGTCCATCAAAGAATGCTTTCTCCATGCCCAGGATAGCCTTTCTGGCTCGCTGGCTCAACAAAGTTTGGTAAACGGTTTCTGTATCACTGAAGTAGTGTCTGATGTCCGATTCCAGCTTCCACGCTGGGAATCCCCAGGGTCTGCCAGGCTCCAGCGTCTTTCTGGTTCTGCCGTCTAGTAGACCGAACAAACCTCGGAAGGCCGGGTTCTTCTCGAAGTTCGACCATGCTTCCGCTGTCAAGTCTAAGATATCAGAAGGTAGGCTGAACCGCTTCATCTGCTCGACTCTGTCAACTTTGACCATCATTTTGGTCTGCCTTTTGGGGAGCCAGTTTAGATGCTGTTCGAGCATCCAGGCTATCGCATTTGATGTTTCCTTGGCAGCCCATGGTGGTGTATCGTCTTCGTCAGACGACCCCGAAAGATCTAGAAGTAGCTCTGGTATGTTTGAGAGCGTTTGCGCAGACGCCTTGCCTTTGCCTTTGTCAGACAAAGGCCCCTTGCTAGACGAAGACAAGCCTGACTCTTTAGAGGATTCTCCTTTCTTCTGATCTCTTTTTGCCTGACGAGCTCTTCTTTCGCGTTGTTCCTTTTGATGTTTCATCTGCTGGTCCAGCCCCTCCTGTGTCTTTCTCTGGAGTTTGAGCTCAGTGATTGTCCCCGAGAGGGAGGAAATCGCGCTTTTTATGGACTGACGCTGCTGGTCAGCCCACGCTGGCAGAAACGTCAGGCCCCTGATGTGGTGCTAAAATACATCGGTGGTTACGCGACGGTGTTGTCTTTCGTCAATGGCATGTCACAGATCTTGCCAACATTCCAGATATCATTATTTTGTTTCACAGTTTCAAGAAACTTAGTAACCCCTTTGGCCAACACTGCTATGTCGTCCTGGGTGATCGTATTCCGAAAAATGTTGGCATTGCCATCATTATGCTCAGCCACAACGCAGTCGTGCTCCCATCTTATCCTATTTTCTCTCCACAAACACATTTCTTTGCCGTAACTGTCAATGTTCTTTTCGAAGTCATTCTGGTATTGCATCAATAACTTGTGTACCTTTTCGAGCAAATATTGCTGGTCTTCAAAGGGCTGGTCAAGCTGGAAATCCTTTTCGCTGATTGTGGTGCCTTCCAAATCGATGAATCTATAGAAGGGCTTTCTATCTACCCTTGGACATATGTATACCGCCGTGTACGCTCGTCTGACGAATGCTGCGATAGGTTGCGCCACGCCGTTCTTTTTGGGGGCTGATATCGCTTTGTGGCTCAATCCATAGGTCACACCGCATTGGGTCTGTTCAATCTCTGGCTTGACCCAAGTGGGCACCTCCGGGGGCGACAATGTTTTTCGGAGGCGCTTGTTGTCATCGAGATCAACCCAATATCTCTTCGGCATGAACAAGAACAAGGACAGATCTCTATTTGTGGCCAATTTGTCTTCACCATTGTCTGACGTGCCATCATGGTCAGACTGTTTCTCTTTGCATTGCCCTGAGCCCCAGGCTGATCAGACTTTTTCTGATCCTGGCCTTTTCTTTGCTTATCATGGTTGTCGCTTGACTTCCTCTTAGACTCTTCGTTGGGCGTGGTCGTTTCATCGGTTTTTGGGTCGGTCGAGCCCTTGGTGCCCTGGGTTTTCTCCTGTATTCTGCGGGACTTTCTGGGAGCCGGGCTGGGACTGGCCTCCTCGTTAAACCGCGTTGGTTTGGTTCTCTTCTTGCTTCCCGAGCCACTGCTACCGTGGCCTGTCATTGTGGTGTAGCGTGTGGTTGACTTTATGGGTAAACGAGGCGATCTGTGGTAGTGATTGGCTGGCACGTCTTCTTTGTAAGGAAATTTGTCAAGCGATCTAGCTTATATTGCGTACAAGATATACGAGAAAAGGATTATGACAAAGAGGATTGAGGTGGGAGGTAGGTGAGAGGAAGGATGGGAGGAAAGATGAGAGGAAAGATGGGAAGAAAGACTAAGGTAGAAGAAAAGAAGACAGCGATGAAATAAGGAAGATTTAACGAAAATTAAAGTCAGTGAAATAAGTACAGATAAAGGGTAGTGAAAGTTTCAAGTGACGTGTTTGACATTGTGGGATAAGGTGAATCAAAGAATATTGTGATTATGTAGTAAATGTGTTAGTTTAGCATAGCAATTACTTCAAGTTTGTCCTCGGAGGTTGCCATACCTAATAATAAGACTGGTTGGCCAAGTAGCTTTACTGAAGGGTAACTGATTAATGTTCGTGTCGGAAGAAGGCCTAATTGGATTGTGCCAGAACTTTCTAAGACAGTCTCGAGATGCTCCAAATGCAGCTCCAGAGATAAGGAGATGACTATAAACTTGTCTATAACTATAAAAGACCTTATGTCTCGGAAGATCGAAATCAATTTAACAGTGCACATATACCACACCGTTCATGAGCCCCACCGGGGAGACCTCGAAATATTCCTCGCCCCGATGCGAGATTCCACCCGTGATCGAGTCTTTTTTTCAGCACCGAGTCTGTCCCGAGCGTTTGACGACATCGAATCGTATGATTCGAGTTTCGACCGATGATGCGTCTCCTTCGCAATCATGATCACCATGATCGTTTTGATTCGAACGGTAAGGGTCAGGGATTGATACTTTTGCCCGATTAAATTCCTTTCCCGTCGCTGGATGGGGCCCTGGTTCTCGATGTCCCACAAGGCCTCTTCAGTAGGCACTATTTGATTTTATCCATGGCGCTGGGACAGAGGGAGGCCGCCAAGACGGTTATTTGTACGCACGAGCTACCCAGATTAACTAACTAGATCATTCCGTCTCCAAGTCCGAGGATGTCGTGTGCTGCCCTGGGCCAAGGAAGTTTATATCCAAGTCAAGTCCACCGAGACGGGGACCAATCGCGACGGAACCGTCGCGTCCGATCCCTGCGGCCGCTAGTCCGTATGTGGCTAAAGCCCGCTGTTCACTGGCAATAATTGGTGGAAGTAACAGCCACGGCGGATAAGTCTTGGCGATCCAAAGTCAAGATGCGCCGCTCGAGTCAGTCGCCTTCATTTCGGATGCGCCGGACGAGACAGCCGCGGGGTCGTGATTGGTGGCACGGCATGCTAGGTTGGGCTCGGTGCAGTCCCATCTTAATATCGACAACGCAGTCTTTGTCTACAGTCCCGTCCCAGTTTAAACCCCTGCCAACTGTCGGCCGATGAAGCGCCCTGCCGCTCTCACCCAACATGTCATAGTTGCCTTAGTCTTGCCCCGGTGATCAACCCGATGCATCGGTGTTTCGTCTCTCTGCGAACTCATAAATCGTCCGAATTCCCCCGTCGGAGATCAGATTTGAGTTTGCGTTTGTTCCATGTACACAATGCGTCCGGTCAAGCTACTGGCCTGGTTGGGCGCCCTGGGGTTGGCGGGCGAATGTGCCGCTGCCTGTACGGATCCTCCCCAGCGCAAGGAATGGTATGTTTCTTGGCTTTCCAGGTTGGCCATCGGTCGGTCCAAGTCAGTGACTCTCTGACAAATACCGAAGGAGACAGTTGGATCGCTCCGAGCGCCGCGAGTACCTCGACGCAGTGATCTGCCTGACCACCCTGCCCGCCGTGTCGGGGATCAATGGCACTGTCAATCACTATGATGATTTTCAGGCCGTGCATTCGGTCCAGACGCCGGAGATTCATTGGGTGGTAGGTATTGGGGTTTACCTTGGCTCTTGCCGATCGTGCTGATCAGGATTGTGATCTACTTTCTAGGGACATTTCATTCTCTGGCATCGGTACTTTGTGGCCACCTACGAAAAGGCTCTGCGAGAAGAATGCGGATACAAGGGCGCCCAACCGTACGTTCCTCTATCCACAGTCTTATACACCAAATTCTGACAAATGCAGGTACTGGAACTGGTCCCTGGACGCCTCCTTCAACCGCACCTCGACTGCCATCTACGAGACCGAGGTCTTCGACAAAGATGTCGGCTTTGGTGGCAACGGCGACTATCTTCCTGCACCCCCGTCGAAGAACCCTTTCAACGTGACTGGTCGTACCGGCGGAGGATGCGTGCACGGAGGCGCCTTTGCCCCGGATAAGTTCCAGCTCAATTATCCTCAACCCGGGTGTTTGCGTCGCGACTTCATTCCTTGGGTCATGAATTCGTTTTCTCGCCAAAACCTGGTCGACCATGTGACGAGCCAGCCGGATTATACGAGCTTTGCGCGAGCGATCGAGAATATCCCTTCGTTCGACGAGCCGAACATTCATGGCGGCGCGCATTTCGGTGTCGGTGGCATCCTCGGGACGTTGGGCGACCCGGCCGAGAGTCCTGGTGGTTAGTGATATGACGATTACTTTGAGCAGCTAACTGACAGCATAGATCCGCTCTTTTTCCTTCATCATGGAAATCTCGATCGCGTCCTCTGGGAATGGCAGCTGAAGGATCTTCCGGCGCGATATCACGACGTCGGGGGTCCTGTCATCCCGATGGACTACGGGGGTGTCAATGTGACGCTGGATTTCGAAGTCAACATTGGAAGGTTGGCACCAAACGCCACGCTGGAGGAGCTGTTGAGAATACAGGGCGATGTTTTGTGCTATGATTACTAGACTGTGTGTGCCATGGACCTAGTGTTGGTGGGCTGGGTACAGAGCTGGCGGATATATTGTCCCTGAATTTGGTTACTAGTAACTCTGCGGGGATCTAGAGTCCACAAGCATTCACCTCGAATAGAACTATACTATCATACACGCTGGAATAACAAGCCTCACAACCCTTTTCTTGACTTCTTGAGCTCAAACTCAGTCCTACTGCGAGCCCTCGGGCACTCCATCGCCAACCTGTCCGCCGATAGGATACTTGCCGAAACAGGCGAGCTGGTACTGGGCGTTCTTCTTCAACTCATCGACGCCACTCAAGAACCCATCCAGAGGGCAGAACCCATTGCTCGCGCTCTTGCAGCCAGCCAAACCATCCAACGGCAACGGGGCATCGTTCAACACAAACCGAATGTATTCCTTGGTATCCTTCTTCTCCAGCCTCGGGTTCACGTAGAGGATTGGATCCAGTGACTGGAAGGACGTATTGCTCGGACAACTCCAGACCTCAGACATGAATCGGGCGCCAAACGGAGTGAGGTCATTCAATGAGAAGGTTTTGTTCGCTACTGCGTGGTTCACATCACTTGGCAGTCCCTTCGGGCCGTAGTTGAAGTGCTTCAATCCCAGGGCCGTGATAACGGAGAGGATGATGTCGTCATGGGACATATCCATGTAGAATGGCTGGTTGAATGGGAAGGTCTTCTCGTTGTTGTCGTAGGTGTAGTTGATGCTGGTGTCGCTCGAGTGGATCAGCTCACCCTCCAGTCGAGCCGCCAGCTCAAGAACATAGCCAATGCCTTGGGCGCGACCGGTAGGGGATCCAAAGGCGAAGTTTCCATAGTATTGGATGTCAACATTGTAAGCAAAGTCCTTCCATTCTTGCTCGGTGAACAAGGAGCAGAACGAGGAGCCACCCAGGCTGGTGTGCTCGTAGACGCATAGGTTTTGCATCGCCAACACGTCAAAAGAGGTCAGATTGAAGTTGGACGCGAAGTGGCTCGACAAACGGCGAACTGCGTCATTCGTATACTTTTGAATGAACGTCTTGGCAGATCGATCGCTTTCGTATGTTAGCATGATGCAAAAGTCTGGTCTAGAGGAAAACGCACCCAGCAGTCAAATCCCCGGGGCATGAGTCGTAAGACGCTAAGGTGTTGTTGAAAAACCCGTTTCCTTCAGGAATAACAACCAGGTCGTACTGGTCCTCCGAATTATGGGCACTGCTATTCCCGAAGAATCCACCTACACAGAGTCATGAGCATTAGTTTCCATTATGGTTACGTGCTTTTCGCTGGAGAACATACTGAGCCACCACTTCGCACTCTCGAAGATGCGTCCCTGCGAGGTCGTCCGAAACACTGGCTTTGGTCGTGCTGTGCCGTTCTCAAACACATTGAGCGATTCATTCCAAGCGGCGACAGTATCCCGATCGGCGCGATACAACAGCCGACCGTATTTGATCCAGAAGTTGGCCCCCGAAGTATCCTCGGTGGCTGCCCCGTTCTCCATGAGAGTGTTCTCGCCCACGACGTATTCCCAGTTGTTCAGGAATTTGAGGGGTCCGCTGGCCACATCCTTGGAGGAGTGCTCTTTGGAGTAATTGACCAACTTCGACGCGAAATCGCTCATCCCTTTGCCGTCGAGCGGGTTGCTGGTAGGGAAACGCTCCGCATGGCGGTGCAACACGTGGACTTGCGATAGTTCGCACCCCTGCGGCACCCCTTTAGGCACACCGAAACTCTCCGCGTTCTTGTAAGGAGACAGGTTAGCCCAGCTCTTGGTCATGTCGAACCCGAACGCATATGCTGTGCCTGTCGGAGCCGCTGCTGCAGACGTGGACGTGCCTCGCGGGGCAGCCATGCCCACGCCGGCCAAAGCTAGCCATAGAGTGAGAATCTTCATGATGGAGGTGCGTGTGGATGGAAGGTTTGAGGGGAATGTGACAAGACGTCTTTTATATGTCACTCTTGGTCAAGGTTCGACGGCATGACGTTGAATGGGCCGCGCGCCGATCACGACCCGATTGAAATATCCCGCATTTCCCTTGATCCATCCCTTGACTAATGGATTCACGATAGGGCCGATTCCGCTGAATGGTGGCTGTTGCTTTCCAGCGGACAACCGCCCTTGCTTGACATGTCAACATGCGCGTCGCTTGAGCGGCGCTGTGCTGGTGAATTGCTCGGGCGTCGGATTCCCTGACTTTGAACAGACTGTGCAGGGATGACACATTGGCAAGCCCTTGCTCGGTTGAATCGACCACGATTGATCGACTTGACTGTTGGCACTAAGCCCTACTCCGCAGTAGAGACTAGGGAGGCTGCAATGTTCCGAGGCAAACCGCACCAGCTCCTTCGGGGAATTCAGGCAACGATGTCATCGCAGTTGAACGTGAAAGTCCAACGCGGATCTCGCAGGATAACCGAGATATGAAAGGCGTAAAGTTTGCCGAACAGACTAGCGAGTGGTTAGCGGGTGGGATATCGAAGCCGTTGGGCCAACGAGAACACGGCCTGCCAACACTAACGGACGCGGTTACATTGGAAATCGGACGACACTAACGCATCCTTCGGCTGGAAAGCAAACGAGCAAGTGCTGCATCATGCGTCCAATGCAAGTTTTTTTCCGGTCAGCGGCATTTTGTCGTTGATTGCGCCTGCTTCAAAGGCCCAGGCCATCAAACATAGTAAGGTGCCACGCAGGTACGAGAAGAAAAGTATTGACAATCCAAAATATCATAGTATTTACAAAAGGTGATTCCAGGGGATGAGATCAATTCAAACCGGTTGGCAGCACCCTTCGAGTTTGTGATGAAATGAAATTCTCCCGAATTCAAGATGGGCGTCCTCACTTGTAGCTCGAAGGCACCAGAGAGTTTGCCCACACCTCCAGGTTGGTATATCCACTGCTGTGCAACTCCATCGAATCCGCCGTGTTCGGATCGGTGCCCAGCTCTTCCTCGGCCTCGTCGGGAATTCCATCGCCATCGGTGTCTTTGGGCGACGATCCGCCGTCCAGCTCACCAGCGCCACCCATGATCGCCTCATCCGAGATCAGCTCACCCTTCTTCCCGTAGGACTTGACTTGTTCGATCAACTGCGTGTCGACATCGTCGCGGACCTTGGAGGCACCGCCAGCTATTGTTCGTTAGTTGTGTTCGTGGCTCGGAGCAGTCGGTGTAGGGGTACGTACATTTGGTGATATAAGCCACGGCCTCCTCGGGGGTGAGGGTGTTGGCCACGGCCGGATAGTCGTACTTGGTCGACACGAGATCCATTCCTCCGTAGCTGGAGGCAGACTCGCCCAACTCGCTTCCGTTCAGGGTGCCATCCTGGTCGGGGTCGTAGAAGTTGTTCTTGACGTAGCCGTGGAAGTTCTCATTGCCGCGAGTGAAGGCCGTCACGCTGGTGGAAGGACCGCTGATGAAGTAATTGCCGATGATGTTCACACCTAGAGCCAAAGGGGTCAGTCAATTGCGTAAATCCGGGGGAATTGGGACAACCCACGAGATTCGCCGCTGGAACTGCCGGCAATGTAGCCTCCACCGCCACCCCAGTTGTAGATGACGTTGTTGGTGAACTCGTTAACTCCCTTCACCTTGGGGTTACGCGTCTTGTTGTCAATGTATAGGTTGCGGAAGAGAGAGACTCCTCCGTCAGTCTGCATCAGTCCGCCGCAGGAATGGGTCTGCAGCCCCTGCGCGATGATGCTGTTCTGCACGGTGATGTTGGCACCCGTGCCACTGATCGAGAAGGTCTCGTCGCGACCCCAGGACACCGACAGATGGTCGAAGATCATGCGCTTGCCCTCGGCAATCGTGATGGCGTCTTTTCCGGAGTCTCCGCCTTTGCCCATGCGACTGCGTTACTGTTAGCTAGGAAACACCTCCATCCGCTAATGGGGGAAACTAACACGCGAATGTATCGAACAATGGCATCGTCTGCATTGGAGAAGGACCAGCCATTCCCATAGACTGTAATGCCGTCACCCGGAGCCGTCTGACCCAGGATGCTCACTCGCTTGGACACCACGATGCGATCATCGATCTCAATCACTCCTCCGACCGAGAAGACGACAATGCGGTCCGTTTTCGAGACGGCATCGCGCAACGACCCTTCGCCAGAGTCGTTCAGGTTGGAAACCACGTAGACCTCGCCCTTTCGACCGCCGACCGCGTTGGCACCAAATCCCTCCGCGCCGGGGAAGGCGATCAGGGCGCACACGGGCTGCAGCAGCGCAAAGAGGCCGAGGAGAAGCATATTCGATCACGGACTGACAAATTGTCGACCACGCCCCGGTCCTCCGTCGCGCGCATTTCAGGGGTTTTATAAGGGCGGTCATGATCGCAAGCCAAGACGGACGGTGATTGCTGCAGAAATAACGGTTCCGAGTAGATTAAAAGCCACTGTCGATCTCGTCGCAGACACATCTCCACCTATCAGGAAAATCCGCACCTGGGGAGCGCCTGTATTTCGCGACACCGGGATATTGCCTAACTCCGCCGGGCTGCATCCAACGCTCCTCGCAGTTGTCTCACCTGGTCCTCTCGCACCTCGTCCTCGGATGGCAGCAGAGCGGCGGAATGAAACGCCGGCGCTTGGGTCTTCTCCGACAGCGCAGCCACATTGGATGCTCGCACTCCGCCGCCCACAATTATGCCCAGTCCATGTCTTCGGGCCCCCGGGACTAGTCGCTGCCCCAGGAGGGTCAGGCAGTCCGTGGCATTTCGTCCGGAGGGTCCTCCGCTTGTCAAAATGGAGGTGAACCCACAGCTGGCGATATCCGTCCAGGCCCTTTCCCAGTCAGACTCGGGGATCAAATCAAAGGCGCGGTGGAAAGTGCACGGGCGGCCCTCTGCGCGCGCCACCAGCGCCTGGTTTCGCTTGATATCGATGGCGACCGAATCTGCATGTAATATCCCGAAGACGAATCCATCGATGCCGGCCTGTTTTAAATCCTCCATGCTCGATTCCATCGTGGCGTAGTCGGTCGCGTCGTAGCAGAAGGAACGTGCGTGCGGTCGGATCATGGCGTAGACGGGGATGGAGAGCTGGGATTTCACGGTCGCAACGGCGTCTAGCGAGGGGGTCAGACCCCCCGCAGCGTAGTCATGGCAGAGTCTGGACGAGAACGAAAGAAATGAGTCGCTTGGTCGTGTCCAGAGGGTTGGAATACTCACTCGATGCGATCGGCCCCTCCTGCAGCTGCCGTGACGGCCGACTGGGGGGTAAAGCAGGCTATTTCAAGAACGATCATTCTCGGTGCAAAGACGGGGTTGAGAAGAGAATGGCTTTTGTGGGAAATTCAGTCCGGCTGGTTGGTGGATCAACGCGGTTTTCCGCTGGAATGGCTGAAGGTGCAAGACGGAGGAAGAAAGATATATTTTGTTTGGTCTCCGGCGGAGGAGAATCCGCCGACCGGAACGACAACCACCACCACCATCAAGTGCCTTTACCACGTTTCGATTATTTTCTGCCTGGAACTGCGAATACACATAAGGGACCATAATGATCCAGATTTAATGGCGACAATTGAAAGAAAGGGCGGCATTTCGATAGCAAAGCGTGTCAGGACACGGCGCGTCGACACACGAGCCATTCCAATGACAACTTGGATATATATGGTTAGTATGGAATCATTTCCTGTTTTTTTATATTTTGTTTTTGCACAGGTAGTTTAATTGTATCGGAATGCTAAGAAAGAATTGACAGGAAAGAACCACAGCGTCTATGCTACATGTATGGAATGCCCAACGGGAACCCGCCGCAACGCTTGAAGGGGAAACAAACAAGAGCCATAAAAGATCAAGGCACGATAGAGGTGAGAAGGAACAAGAGCACCATCACTAGGATGTCTCTAACCACGCCGTCCGCAGCCGGGCTTCGACGCTCTCAGTCGGAAACGCATGCTCGCGACGCATCACGTCCAGCACGTCCAGCAGCGCCGACTGCTCGCGCGGGTCCTCAAAGTACTCGCCACAAGTGATGATGCCCATCATAGCCTCGAAGAAGGTCGACGGCGAGTGACGGTTACTCAGAGCCACGCCGCATAGCCGACGCACGATGGTCCGGACCGACTGCATCATCTCGCGCCGTCTGGCCGCCGATCCCGGGCCCAGCGGCGGTCGCGTGGGATCGAACACCAGCAAGAGGAGTCGAGCCAGGCCGCCATGATTCGTGCCCGTGACGTGCCAGCGATCGAGATGCCAGATTTCCGGGAACATCTGGTCGACAGCAGGGTCGGCGTCGCGGCAATAGAGCGCGTCGAAGGAAGGCGGCAGCGACGCGTGCAGCTCTTCCTGGTACGTCACCAACGCCTGCCAGCGACCGGGCGACCGGACGGACGCGGCGTCACGACTGCCGTAGCAGTATTCTAGCACGTCGGCACAGAAGATGACGATGCGATTGGCCCAGACGGCGTCGGAGGCGGGCGACAGCGACCGGAAGCCGTGGCAATGCGCCAAGGGAAAGTCTAGCGCGCGCTGTTTCATGAACGAGCTCAGCACCTCCTGGCGCAGAGCCACCCAGAAGGCCGCCTGTCGTAGACCGTCGGCCGGCGAGGACCAGCGCGACTCGACGCAGTGCACCTGGGCGGCGATAAACACGTTCAGCATGCGCAGAAACACCTCCTGGTCCTGCGCCTCCTCCCGCAACGGCGCGTCCATCTCCTCGTCGGTGCGCAGGATGATGGCGGCGGCCAAGAGGTTCTCATTGTGGATCTGGTCTGGATCCATGCTCAGTGCCAACAAGTCGCGAATGCAGGCCGTGTGGTAGTCCAGCGCCGACTCCTCCGTCAGCTCCGGCAACCGATGGCCCTGCCACTCGACCTCACCGGAGCTATTCCGATGCCTCGGCAATCGAATCAGATGCCGCGCGGACGTCGTCAGGATGGCCATGCGCAGCGGCATCGACGAGCGGGCACGATGCGGCACAACCTGGGCAAAGTGGCACTGGGGATCGCAGAGGTCGAATCGGGCCGCCAGCTCGTCGACATAATAGCGCAACAGGATGGCCGCCTGCCGTTCGGGATCCGAGACGAGATGACGGATGTGCGGCCGCAACGCAGAATGCGCAGGAGGCCCGACAGGCAGAGACGGCGACGAAGCAGGACGGGTCGGCTCGATCGACGTCTCGTCGCCCGAGTCGATCGTCGCGTCGCCGTCAAACCAGCTGTTGGCGATGACGTCGGCCGTCTCGTCGACAAAGCGCCAGCGTCGCGGGCGAGAGCGAATCCATACCTGATCCGGCTCGAAACGACTGGAAACCGGACGAAAGCGAACGCGGGGGGATCGCAGACAGGGTAATTGCAGCGATTGGCAGCGCTCGCACGGCAGGGAGGCGTTGCATTTCAAATGCCGGGCTGTGCTGAGGGTTAATGAGGAGCGACGACAAGCCGGAAGCAACTTATCTGCACGAGAGACACGGCGGGCGCCGGGGCATCACCACGGACAGTCGCCGAAAATTGCGCCTTTGGGAAATCAAGCAGGCGAGATCGGCGCGGAGAAAAGCGACCGCGTTTTATACCTCGCGATGGAGTCTTTCCCCGCGTCTCCACTGCGTCTGGGCGCCAATCACGATGCCTCCTAATCCAAGCATCGTGAGGCCGTGACGACACTGTCAGACACGCTATGCTGCAACCAGAATCCGGGGGAGGGGGATTGAGGATGTCTGGCCAGGGAACACACATAAATACCGTGCCAATTGCACCTCGTCGGCGGTCCAGAGAAAGGTGGACAACCATCGCTCATCATGGCTAAACCGGACGCTTCTGCCGATCACATCGAACGGGTCTCGGACCAACCCCCCAAGCAGCTGGCCAGCGACCAGGACGAGGTCGATGCTTTGCCTGTCAGTCTGTTTGTCTGGGTCGTGGCGGCCACAGCCTCGATTGCCGGAATGCTGTTCGGATACGACACGGGCATCATCTCGGCTGTGCTGGTCTACATCGACGATGCTCTCAACAACCGCACCCTGACACACAGCGAGAAAGAGATGATCACCTCTCTTTGCTCCGGTGGTGCTTTCTTTGGTGCTATTGCTGCAGGATTGATGGCTGATAAGGTAGGTGCAATCTCATGACATTATCATGGCCAATCCCATGCCGTTACCTCGTCCTTGCTCATGCTGTCGCAGTTTGGTCGCAAAACTTGTATCTACCTCGGATGTGCGCTGTTCACCGTCGGAGCCGTGCTGCAAGGGGCTGCATACACGATCGCACAGATGGCCGTGGGCCGGTTCGTCGTCGGCCTAGGAGTCGGATCGGCGGCCATGATGGTGCCGCTGTATGTAGCCGAACTGGCTCCGGCCAAAGCGCGCGGTCGATTGATCGGACTGAACAATATCTCCATCACGCTGGGCCAGGTGATCTCGTACGCGCTGGGCGCTGCCTTTGCCTCGGTTCCTCATGGTTGGCGCTATATGGTCGGACTCGGCGGCGTGCCGTCTGTCCTGCTGGCCTGCATGCTGCCGTGGTGCCCGGAATCGCCACGTCATCTCATCTACCACGGGCGGCATGAAGAGGCACGCTTGGTGCTTTATCGCATCTATCGACAGGCATCAGAGGCTCAGATTGATTTTCTGGCTGCATCTATCGCCTCGGCCTGCGACGACGCGCGCCGCAACAACGAAAACGAAAGCCGCTGGAACAAGGTCAAGCAGCTACATACCGTACCAGCCAATTTGCGGGCTCTGTTCAGTGCCTGTGGGCTTATGGTGATTTCGCAGATGTCCGGATTCAATACGCTGATGTACTACTCATCGACCTTGTTTGCCATGGTCGGGTTCAACAACCCTACGGCGGTGGGACTGGTTGTCGCCGCTCCTAACCTGGTGATGACCTTTCTCAACATGATTCTGGTGGATCGACTGGGACGGCGTCGCCTCTTACTGTGCACCGTCTGGGGCATGTCTGCCGGCCTCATTGCTGTGGCCGTGGCCTTCCGATTTCTTCCCGTCGACACGGAATCGCTGGAGGTGCCCGAGAGTTCGTCTGCTTCAGGACCGGCTATTGCGGTTCTTGTTTTCGTATTGTGGTTTGTCATTTTCTATGGCCTCTCGGTCGGCAATACTGCGTGGATGAGCGCCGACTTCTTCCCTCTGGAGGTGCGTGCGGTGGGCACGATGTGGCTGACCTGCTCCAACTGGGCCAGCAATGTGATCGTGTCCAGTACCTTCCTCTCGATGATGCACAGCATGACACCCTCCGGTACCTTCGGCTTCTATGCTGCAATCTGCGGACTGGGTTACATGTGGATCTATTTCTTCTACCCCGAGGTGTCTGGACTGCCACTGGAGGAGATCCGTCAGGTCTTCGAGAACGGTTACGGCTCCAAAATGAGGCGGAGACGTGGAGGTAATATAGCACAAGAACAAAGACAGACAGAATAAATTGAATATCCAGTGCGCCGGAAAAGTTAAAGAGCAGAGGGCAACCAGTCGGTAAGGCAGATGGGCGTCTCTGCACCCGATTTTATTGCTGAGTTGAAGTAGGCAGTCACTATTTCAGTTGCATTCCCTGTACCGCGCTTCTTTTCACTGCCGCCCTTGGACTGTCTTCATTCACTCCTTCCTCCTGTCACTCTGATTCTACTTCATCGCCTTGCTTTACCTCACTCCAATCAACCTCTTTTACAACACTCCTACATCCTTTCAGAAGACTCCTGACTCACCTTGGAACTTCCGGCCCACTTCTAGGATAGCAAGACGGACGATGCCCAAAGCTAGGGCCAATTATATCCCGATTGGGGCCGAGGAATGGCGGGAGGATATAACCAGAGAGGACGAGTCTTACAAAAGATCGCGACGGGAGGACGACAAGCGCCACAGCGGTGTCAGATGCACGGCTGAAATGCAAGTTGGCCAAAATGATTGGTCAGAGAAAGAACCCAGTACATGGTCCTACAGCTGTGATCCGGCTGCTACCACGACTAAAAATGACCCACCTTCACGATACATCCGTTTATTTCATAAGTGGATCGCCCGCGTTATGTCAAATCAGTCCATTTCAGCGGCGGAAAGGGGCTTTTATTGGAGCTACGCTTTGGGCCAGAACGGAGATACACGGAAGACTCGAGTGCCCTACGGCGGGGCTGTGGATGTGCTAAACTAAGGCGAGTTACACCTTGCTGTCGTCCGCCTTGCAAATGCTCTGTGAGGTGGTGAGATCTCCAGGGATAAATGATGGTTAATGAATACGCCGTCTGTGCGCAACATCGGCTCTACCCTGAAGTTATATGGTGATACGGTCAAAGCTCCTTTGTCCCTCGGTCTTACAGCGACCTTTATGGCCCGTTAAGCTGTTGCTTTTCAGTTTTATCCTTTCCTTAGATTGCAGCGCATTGTCACTATCCAGCTTAGCCAATACTACTCTTACCATGCCGCCAAAGCGAGCTCCCGTGACTATCAGTACTGAAGGATGAGATGCCAGTGTAGCCAAAGAGCTTTGGTCCTGCAACAAATCACGCATCGAGGAAGACTAGCGACTGAGCAGCCACCCGAGGACGATTTGGAACCAAGATATGAAAATTGAAAGCACCCCCACATGGAAGAAAGTAGAATGCAATACTGGTCATATTTCGATGCACCGCGAAACAGTTGTATTACTTTTTGTCTTGGGCCACAACAGTGAAACTAGAAAGACCGAGGTGCCGCGCGGAAGCCCAGGAGTGGTGCAGCGGGATGGTCAACTATCTTCCGCTGTAGCCAGCTTCTTTTCTGTGTTGTACAACAACCACATTGCGAAGCAGTACCCGTGGCTGATCAACGTTCCACCTACAAAAAGCCTCTCTGTATCGCTTAAAACCCACGGCAACCGTTTACAGATCCCTGGACAATGCAATGCACGAGATTGCGCGATGCAAGCACCTTCTTGATCAGGCTGACAAGGAAATGAATCAGCTGAGAAAGCAAAGCGCGATTCTGAGCAGGACGTCTGCAAAGGCTCCTCGAAGTTCCGCATGGCATGTTTGACAGAACAGAAAGTTACAGATGCTCAAAAGGAAGTGGCCGATGCCTTGAAAAAGCTTTCTGATGCAGAAGGACAGGCCGCAAGAGATAGGCTCGAAGCAATCTGATGGGTTGAACAAGAAAGGCTTGCCCTGCAGAAACTCCTCAAAGAGGCCAGGAAGACACAAGTTGAACTGCAGCAAGGCCTTGATAGCCTCAAGCAAGGCGGTAGTGAGCAAGCAGATCCACTCGAAATTGACACAGGGCGGTTGAAAGCAGAAGATTCTGACTACAAGAAGCGTGTTGCAAGGCTCATGGATGGAAAAGAAAAGCACCATGAACTAGTGCACCGATACACAAATCCCCTTGCTGGAAAGCGACTTCGTGACTCAGCATATTCAATGTTTGATGAATCTACGAATCTGTTGCATGGAGTTACTACAATGGTCCGAAACAAGCGTCAACCTACGTACTCAGTGATTAGGCATGGTAACTTTCCTGTCCCCCCATATTGTTGCCTGGTTACTGTACCTTGCTGCACTGCAAGTGCTGTTACACTTTTATTTTGCTGCTTTGCTCTGATATTATCTCTACTTTTTCCATGTAATGAACTTTTCTCTTTTCTTTGCAATTTTTGTGAAGCAATCCAATGTTCCAAACCTTGCATGCAACGAGCAATCTAGTATTTAGTTCAAGTAATCAACTGCAGCTGAGTTTATTATTCTGGGCTATTCTTTGTTTCGATGACGACATGAAGTCAATGTGTAGCACTGTGGGCGTTGGGACTCCCTCACAGAATTCCAAAGTCCTGTCAAAACCCAGTTTTTCTTGCTCCATTGTATATCATACCGAATTAATCGATCACGCAATTCCATGATCCCAATCCCTAGCGCATACTAACACACGGCAGGCAATGCAAGAAGCTGCAGATAAGCCCTTAACGAACAATCCTTACAATTAGACCACTGACAGCTGATCAAATCTTAGCATGGATGGCGTTACAACCGAAGGATCGAAATGCATCTCCATAGCACGTCATTTCCTACCGCAAGACACGGAGAGATAAGAGGGTTGGTTATAAAATGCTGTTACTTGAACTCGAAGATACGACTATGATTGACCTCTTTATTTCGTGAGAAACCCCTCGTCCCTCACCACCCAGGACAGTATGGGCGAGACTATCGGGGAGAAGACGGCCGTGGCGGAGGTCAGCCCAGCCTCTCAGGATGATGCCCACGCAAAATGCAGTTTCCTTGCCAGCTTCTCTCGTGAAGAGGAGCAACGGATCATGAGTAAAGTGAACCGGCGATTTTGTCTGCTAATTGGAGTGATGTATCTGATCAAATCGGTGAGGATTACATTTGTACGATGTGCTCAATTGATCGCTAACTATTTTAGATGGACATGAGCAATGCTGCGAGTGTCAAGGTTCTTCAGGTTGGGCAACCATCAAACATCCTCAATGAGCTCAACATGACCGCCGATCAGTTCAATTGGGTCCAGTCGATTTACTATGTCCGTCTCCAAATATCAACCGTCGACCACATGGACTGACACATCCAGATAAGCTATATCATTTTCGAAGTGCCCAGCAATCTGCTTCTGAAAAAGATGACGCCAAAGCTGTGGCAAACTCGCATCTTCCTTACGTGGGGTGCTGTCCTGGCCTGTCACGCTGCCGTACGTAATCGACAAGGTCTTATAGGGGTGCGATTTATTCTGGCGATGTTGGAAACCGGCTTCTTTCCGGGGATTCTGACGCAACTCAACTCATGGTATCGGACGGACGAGGTGGCCAAGCCAATAGCATGGCTACTGTCCATCCACCAAGGGTCATCCATCGTAGGGTCGTTACTTTGCTACGCGATCAGTTACATGAACGGCATGCGAGGAATGAGCGCATGGAGATGGTAGGTTTGATCTGGCCTCGATCCGTGCTTGTGCTAAGCGTTGAAATAGGGTGTTTCTTCTCGAGGGCCTGTTGACGGTTCTCTTTTCCGGCATCATTTACCTCGTCCTGCCTGATTATCCCAAATCGCCGTCGAGTAACAAATGGCTTACCAGGCGTGAGCAAGAATTCATCGAAGCGCGCCTCAGTAGCGATGCACCAAAGACCAATGACTCTGCCTTCGACAGGGATGAAATTTTTGCGACTCTCAAGTCTCCCACCCAATGGTCATTCACCTTGTCGCAGTTATTGGTCAATATTGCTTCATACGCGCTGATGTGGTATCTTCCCACAATCACCACCAGCCTAGGCTTTACCTCTCTTCCGTCGAATCAACTGTTGAATATCCCCCCTGCGGCAATCGGGGCGATCGGGATAATCATTGCTGCTTGGTTGCCCTCAACGAGCAGTGACTACGAGACCGGTTCAAGTGATGTGAATTTCATTTCCCTTTGAAAGCGAATTGCACTGACCCGGATGATGCAGGATCAACAACGCCGGAATGATCGTCGGGTTTATCCTCTTCTTCACTGTCTCGTCCCCGGGCGCCCTCTATGCCGCATGCATGATCGGCTCGTTCTTCACGTCCACATACTACATCCTGTTTCTCGCGTGGCGATCGGCGACCATGAAAGGTTCTACCGGCACGGCATTTGCATGGGGTCTCCAGAATTGTCTGGGCCAAGTGGGCGGAGTGATTGGGCCTCAGCTATTTCAGTCCAAATGGGCGTACAACCGATACAAGAACAGCTTCGCGATAGCTGTAGCTTCTGTTATCGCGGCAATTTTTGCGAACTTATGGTCTTGGTGGTTGACCAACAACTCCGAGAAGAACATTCTCCAGGAGGCTCGGGCAAGACGAGGCGAAAAGAGAGCCGACAATGAGGTTTAGCTCGACCGGTCGCAAGCTTTGATAATACTCCAGAGCAATGTAATCTTGCTTGATCAGATGTCCGACATCGGCAGAGAACTTTCGGCCCAGGTGAAATGTCAAATTCGAGGACTAGCATGACTGGCTCGGGTCACGACTATGCGGCCTGCACCGTAAGCTGCGCCATGACCCCAACACACGAGATTTAGCTTACATGTATTCATTCTATCTTCTGGGCTAAAATCTCGGTTAGACATACATTAGAGTAGAGCCAAAATTACGAATGAAAAAACTTGAATGGACTGCACTGGCAAGCGGATCAATGGCCGGTGGGGAGGCGCCGCGGGTTATACGCTAATGTGCCATGATAGATGTACAATTTATGACTCCCGAACAAAGAAGATAGATAATTTCTGTCGTTGCCTGACCGTGTCAATCTTCGGAGATTTCTGACAGCCTACGGTTTTCATTGTATCCTGCTTCTACTACGTACAGCCAACGTGGCCGACGCGACCAGAGTGGAGACCGCAGCATCTCGCCGATTGCATCATCAGCGCTATGTTGTCGCGACTGGCACGACGGCAGCTCTACGGTAAGCTCGCCATCATGCCCCAACTAATCGTATTACTTGTCGAGCTGGGAAGTCTGCCTGGCCTGACTCTTATTGGGCCACTGAATGTCCCGATATGTGGGGATTGCGTGTTCTCGACACAGGGTGAACCAATTTTCATCGGTTCCAGTTTCCTAGAAAACAGCATATAAAGACCGCGGCATGTCTTTGGAGGTCATGTATTTCTGCAACGGCTCCAAGGATATCTTCAGAGCGAGAGCATGGCCGTGAACCCGCCAGCGGTGTCCACTGGCATCTTCGAGAAAGATGCCGGTAGAGTTGATGTCAACGATTCTTTCTCGGGAGACCATGACGCAGATGCTGTAAAGGATTGGTCCGATGCTGAAGAAACTTCAGTTCGAAGACGGTAGGAACCCACAGAATGCAAAGTTGGGTTCTCTGAGCTTATAATTTCCCCAGTACCGACCTAATCTTAATCCCCATCTTGGGTCTGGCATTCTTCGCCCTTCAGATCGATCGCGGAAATATCTCGAGCGCCCTGACATCGACCATCACGGAGGATTTGAACATAACGACCAACCAGATCAATGTCGGCACTCAATTGCTTTCGGCGGGCATCGTGGTGTCGGAAATTCCCTCCAACGTTCTGCTGCAGATAGTTGGCCCGCAACGCTGGCTATCGGCGCAACTCTTTGCTTGGGGCTTCGTAGCCACCTTCCAGGCCTTTATCACGACTTATCCTGCCTACCTTGTGACGCGCCTTCTGCTGGGTCTGTTGGAAGGTGGATTTATTCCTGGTTAGTGGCCTTGATGTGTTTTCAAAACCCAAGAGACTGACTTTTTAGGCGCCCTGTACTATATGTCTCAATGGTACAAGAAAGGAGAGACTAGTCTTCGCACCAGTTTATTCTTCTTCGGCCAAATGTTTGCCTCTGCAACCTCGAACTTGATATCGGCGGGACTGTTACAGCTCTCTGGAAAGAGTAGCCTTGCCGGTTGGCAATGGATCTTTCTAGGTATTGCTTTCAATTTTCGTTCACTATTCTGCCTCGAAGTCGGTGTCCGTGTAATACTGACCCACTCTCTTAGTGGAAGGACTCATCACCATATTCGCGGGCATTGTTTTTGTTCTACTAGTTCCGCGACACGCAGGGGACGGCAAGCCTCTCCTGAGCCGCCTGACTGGAGGGCGCTGGAGCTACTTCACCGAGCGCGAGTCTCAAATAATTCGTCAGCGTGTGCTCCTTGACGATCCTCTCAAAACGCAAGGACATGTTAAAATCACTGGACGAAATATTTGGGACACGGTTCGTCAGCCGCGCATCATTCAACATTTCTTCATCACGTTGCTGGCCATTTGCACTCTACAGGGCCTGGGCACTTACGTCCCATCAATGATCAAAGGATTTGGATTCAGTGCAGTGCAGGCAAATGCGCTATCTTCTGTATCAGTGTACTGCGGGATGATATTACTCCTGGCATTGTCGTTCGCTGCGTAAGCTGCTATTCCCACGCATAAATCTCTCCCATGGGAAGCCCGACTGACCACTTACGATAGTGATAAAACTGGCCATCGCGGCCCATTCGTTCTCATTGCCATAACGTGGAATGTTATCGCCTTTCCCTGTCTCAGGACCCTTCCACAAAGCTCAGGAAAGTGGCATAAATATGGAGCCCTGGCGGCCAGTTATGTGTCATACGCCAGTACTCAGTCAGTTGTCACTCCGCGAACGGCGAGATCTCAACTGATATCTTTCTAGCGTATTGAACATAGGATGGCTTTCCGTGAATTGCAAATCCCCGCAGGAGCGCAGCGTGGCAATGGCGTAGGTGTCATTCCATTCTCATAGATGAAAAATGCTAAAGCTTACTCAGGTTAATCATCATGGCTGCAAATGCGGCTGGAATTGCTGGTTCACAGATATTCCGCACCGAAGATAAACCGCTGTACCATCGCGGGCTAACGGCGATTTGTGCCATTGCCGCTGCTTGCTGGTGCTTGACGGTCATTCTCAACGTGCAGTATTTCTTACTGCAAAAAAGGAGGAGAGCTTTATAGGCCACCGTGGTCCATTCGAATCACCACACCGTACATAGCTGCATATACCCCAGATGCACGAACTTGAAATCGAAATATTTCTATTTACATCTTATGTTACTCATAATCAAGCTAATCACGAATTATTGTAGTTCAGGTATCAGAGAGAAGGCGCTGCTTTCACCTCAGTCGTCCGCGCAAGGGGCTCGCCGTTCTTGTCAAACGCCTCTGCAAAGAACGTGGTGGATGACGCGGTTGAGTTAGATGATGTCTTCCAGACAAAAGAGCTCTCAAAGGACTCTCTATCCACCTCCCCTATCTCAATTTTGTCCCCACCACCGACACGGTAGAATTTCCAAAGGCTAGTCTCCGTGTCTCCATTCCACGAAACATATAGTCTGACCGAACTCGAGGTTTTGAAGGCGACAATAGCCGGATCCTCCCTTGGGGTGCCTGTCCAGTTCCTCGCAAAGGCACGGTAGCTCACACCATCCTCGATGAAAGCGTGATATAAAACTTCGTCAGAGGGACCAAATTCGGTGAATGCACCTGCAGAGCCCCATCCGACAAAGAAATGGTCGTTTGGCAACAACTGCGCGTTGCCTTGCGAGCGAGCAGATAGGCCGTAGGGCGCACTGGCCTTGCGTTCAATGGTCGCGGTATTGTCCGTGTGATTGAGCTGGATGATCACAGCACTAGAAACATTGTTGTAATGGACTACTCCGCCGGCCGAGTTGTCAAAGAGCGAGAATCGCTCGATCGCACTGCCCTGTTTGTGCGACAACCAGCGAGCATGATGCTGATAGCCGAATTTCCAGTTGCCGACCTGTTTGAATGTGGAGCTATTGCCGCCCAGCTTCCAAATGATGGAGCCATCTGTTCCGTTTACCTTGTAGATCGTACTAGTATGACGAGCTGAAAGAAGATAGTTTCCGTCTGCGTCTTTATCCACACTGTTGAGGTGGGCGTAGTCCCACGAAGTGGCAGACGTTAGGCCGCTATTGGATTCAGAAGATCCAAGGGTCACTAGGCTGTCTGCGAAGGGTCAATCACTATCCTGCTTTCCTTTCGATGATGATCAAACAACGAGGAAAGCATCAAGCTCACCAGCTGGATCGATGTGATCAAGAGCGCTCCATTCGAAGACCAGATCACCAGTCGCGATGTCAAATTCTAGCACGCAGGCAATCAGCATAATGTCGTCACGTCAAACTAGGGGAAGACGCACCCTGGAAAATTCCATCTCCGATCCATCGCTGCGAAGAATTACCCCCATACGGCGTCAGATCCGCGGGAGTCGTCTGGTAAATCTCCACCAGCGCAGTCTGTCCATCAATCACATTAAACTCATGTAGCGATGCAATGCGATGATTTCCCGGCGTAGCGGTTACGACGTGCTCATAGTTCTGGTCTAAGAGCACATGCTGCCCATACCCGGTGCCAGGCACTGTGTTCATTGCACCCTGGAAGGCCTGCAAAACTGGCTCCCCATGGTACTCAGTAGGGTGAAAGTTCCCTACAAACCCGGTGTAGTACCCGGTGCCAGCCCACACCAGGTCACCGTTTTTGCGATAAATATACGCACCCGGCCTCTCGAGGGAGCCTTGGTATGGCGAAATAAACACGTATTCTGTACCATTTGCATCTGGAGCCTGAACGGTGATATTCAGCTTTGGGGGAGCCAGGTCAGGGCGAGATTGGAACTGAGCATCGGCCGCGGAGAAGGGCAGAGATGCCGTGGTGGCTAGGGATGCCAGGAGAGATTGACTGAGGAGAACCATCTTTCGGCTTCAAATTTCCACTGAGTCTAGCCCAATTGCTATAGAGTAGAACGTTAAGTAGGGGCATTGCTATCCCGGCAAGGCCCTTTTATGAGCCAGTATCCATGCCATGGGGCAATGGCGATAATAAATGACGCGATTCCTCAACGGCATCTCGGCTACATCGACGGTGACGATCCAACACCTCTTTTGACTTAGACGGTATAGACACAGCGGCATGTTAGCTGTTAGTCGCTAACTCATAGTAGGTTGGCGATGGTGGAAATGCAGTCATGGATCACGTCAATCTAATCTCCGATGATTGGCGATTTTAGGCTGACAACTGTCCCCAACAGCCATACAGAGAAGTGGAATCAGCATTAAAAAGCTCTCGGCCCAGAAGCGAGCGTCTGACTCCCCTCGGGGAACGCCATGGGGATAGGCGAAGAGTGCGAGGAATTCTTTATCTCAGCAAGCTCAGACCCTCTTTTGCGAGCAAGGCCCACATAGCTCTCAATCTAAGCTTGATCTAGTTAATATATACGAATCTAGTTTAGCCTTACTATTATACCCCATCACACGTGAGAAAGCCTTTACGTCTGCAACATGGTTATAATATCCCTCGATACAAACGTTTGGGTCGCAAATTAGGTTTCCAGCTGGCTGGGCCTCGTGAGGTGCTTGAAAAAAAGGGCCGCCATGCCTACAAGCTTGATATTCCGAAAATATGGAAGATTCACAATGTCGTCTCAGGTATTCATTTAGAACCTGCGCCGCTTGGCAAAGACCCATACGGTAGGGTTGTTGAACCCCCGGCAGCTGTCGAAGACGAAGATTCCCCTGAAGTTTCGAATCGATAGGAAGTTGAAGAAGTCCAAAGAAATGGGAAATGGCCTGTCAAATGGAAAGGCTATCCAGTGGAGGAAGCCACTTGGGAACCAGCGAAGAATCTTAAGGGTGGTGAGGGCATGGCGGACAGCCTTAAGTCGAAGATGAAGTCTTCGACAACGCCAAAGTAATTGCGGCGGTATGTTTTGCGCTGTGCCATACTACTTTTACCTCGTTGTATCCTTTACCCGTTCACCTTTCCTTCAGTGTTGAGCAGTTTCACTACCGTTATTCACTTCTAATCTCGCCTTTGCCGTGGTTGTCATTCTTTCTACAATTCATAATTCACCTTCTCAACCTTCCTTGTCATTTTCACTACAGTTCACCTTCTCAACCTTTCTATATAATTTCATCTTTCTCCTCGGCTTTCTTGTCACAGTTTCTCTGAAGACCACAATTCACATTTTCTTAATGTCATATTGTTTTTGACACTCTGTTTGCTTTGTTTGTGCATCGTCCATTTTATATGGACCAGGATCATCTTATTGAATTGAGTTCCGACTCCTCCAATTCGGCTGAGAAAATTGATTCGGTTCTTGACTTGGAAAGACCAACTGTTTCTTGGAAGGATCGATATCGATTTGCATCGGATCCTTATTTTGGGCAATGTCCAGTGCCGTTTCATACTGTCGTGGACGGCTTGCAAAATTACCTTGATCTGCCGCCGAAAGGAAGCATTCCTTTAGAATAGAATCAGGTCGTCCAAACCACCAACAATCTCACCAGCCAAACCTCTTCAATTCCCAAGAAACAAACTTCTTCCAGGACATAGTCCTCTAACAAACCCACCTTCGCATTCAAGATGGAAAAGCCACCTGGGAAAAGAAACCCAAGGCACAGCGCACTTGGGCCCCGTATGGCTCCGCGGAATGGGTTTCCAACATGTCCCATTATACTTCTGCTTGCGAAGGTGTGGCAAACAAAATCATTGCTGCCACTGAGATCAGCGGTGATGGGAAGAAACCGACTTTTGTAGACGATTTGACTTGGTCCAAACCTTTGAAAGTCAGCTCAGCTATCAACGCGTCTTCTGCATCCAGGCCCTTGTACAATATCGAAATAACTAGGCGAACATGAAGTCATTAGCACCTGATAATGTTGGGTTGGCCGATGCATGGATGGTCGCGGCGGTTTTGAATAACAAGCGTTCTGCGAACGAGCGCGGTTCCATCTGGAAGCACGACTTTGATATGAACGGGTGCCCGAAGCAGGGCAGAATCCCCCGTGGCGGCCCGGTTATTGCTGAGCATCATTACTGTAATCAAGGGATATTATCTGTTTTGTGGTGAGAAATTAGCTTTGCAGATGCCTTGGCTTCTGAATGCTCCAGCTCTGGCAACTAAAGAGATTTGGACTGGGCTCTTTCTGCTGGCTTCGACAGCTTTTACCTCCGTGAATCCTAAATGGCAAGCGGATTTACTTGTTGACCTAACTTCTTATCCTAACGGAGGTCGTATCTCATTTAAACAGTTCGATACGGATCTTTTGAGGAAGGATATCATCTGCTTGCAGGAAGATACTTCGTTTGCGTCTTTCGCCGAGGATCTTCGTTCCGACAAATCACCTGAGCCGCATGAATCAGCGCCTATGACTTCGTCGGTCATGACTCCTTTGACTACTTCATCTGCTATGGATGCAATTCAGAACCTTTTTCAAGGGCCCGTGAAAGTCGAAGAGCTTACCGTTTCGAATCATAAGCTTACTGAAGCCAACAAGTCGCTTCCCGCGGCCAATCCTGAGTTTTACAGATCCAATAATGAGCTTTCCTTTACTGTGGCCACTTTGACTGCTTCGAATACGGAGCTTACCTCCACCATCGCCACTTTGTCAAAGGAAAAGGGACCCCTGATGGCGACGATTAATAGCTCGAATATGGATTTGGCGAAGCAGAAACAGGTTTCGGCGAAATTTGCTAGCGATCTGGTAACATTGAACAAAGAAAACAATGGTCTGCAGGAAAGGCTCAAAGAGCATTCAGAGAGACTCGATGACGATGATTTCTCATGGGACCGTACCTACGACGACGATGACAACGATGCTTGTTTTACCAAGTGATCTGATGAGGCTAAAAAGCAGTACATCGACGTCTCCAAGAGACCTGAGGAGTCCAAGGAGCGGCATGCTGAAGTGTCAAATGAGCTCGCCTTGTCCAAGCGCTGCACGAAGATTGCCAAGCAGAATGCCACTGCTAACAAGCGTCTCGAAAATCTCCGTGATGCTCTGAATAAAACGGTCACTTTGGCATCTGTTGCGAAGAAAACGCTCGACATGGATGCAGTGTTCATGCAATCGAGGCCTGCGGAATAGCTCTGGCATTTCCACCGTGCGTGGTCCGAACTTGTTCTGCCTGTTCCTATATTGCCCCTTTCATTTCTATATGGCTTCCTCTTTCCATTTGTCGGTACGACCTTGACCTGCGTTTCATTTCTACTTTCCCTGACCATTTCATTAGCCCTTAGTCCACTTCGATGGTCGACAAAGGGGTATTCTTTTTCGTTTGGCCATGTTGAGCCAGTTTACCTCTTTCGCTATGGTGGATTTCCTTATGGTTGTTGAAAGAGAAATCGAGGTAGATTTAAATAGGATTTGATGTACAGCCTGGAGTGTGTAGGTAGTTGGCGATTCATTTGGACCTTCCTTGGTCATCTCAATTACTACGATTGAATGGCATCTATCAGCAAAGCAACTTGGGTTTGTAAGATTGGGGTAACCCAACGATAAATTTAGGTGTGTTGTAAAGTAATCTATGTCTGTATAGGATTATTATTGAGATTCCAAGTTGGTTTAAGTCACCAACCTTTCACCATTTCTTAAAGTTTTACTTGAGCTTGCCGAGATAAGGAATTCTATACTTTATTTTTTTGTCCGAATTATGCAGTCCGGAATGCACGGGTTATGCAGAACTTTGTGCATTGCTTATTGAGCAATAGTCACGTGGTTCAGGCGTGGTTTGACCGATCGTCGGCCTCTTCCTTTCTTGTTTCTGCTTCTCTTTCTCATTTCCTCCTCAATCGCGCCTTGTTGAGATCTCCCGAAATCTCTAGGATCGCTAGCGTTTCTTCTTCTTTTCCAGAAACAAGAAAAGGGCCAGGCAATGCACAGTCAGCAAGACGCGTCATGGCATCAATCATGTCGCCTGATGCACCTCTGGCGCCTAATCCCCGAGGTATAAAGCTGCCCATCCGCTCGCGTTCGAGAAGCACCATCCCTGCCATCTTCCTTACGAGACCCGTGAGCCAATATTCACCGAAGTAGCCATCATGTCAACCCGGTCTCTTTTTCTTGTCTCGTCGCGCAATGCGCCTTCCCAACGAGCTCATTTCGGTATCTTTGTCCCCCTGGCCGCAGATTCTCGGAAAGGTACTCTGATCAACGTCGTCGGAGCTCCAATGATGGGCTACAGCTTGATTTTCCAGAGAAATTACACTCCTATGGCTACTGGCTTGGACGAGGTGCTTCCGATTGGAAATGTGGGCTCTGAGCATATCGTGGACACGTCTGCCTCGGGATCGCCATCCGAAGACTCCACGCCCCGAGGAACGCTCGAGATTCTGGCTGCCAAAGTGCCACCTCCGCGAATCAGCGAGAACTTCATGGCCCCGGTCAACGATGTAAGCTTTGTGTAGTCTGCTGGTTGGTCCGTTGGCAGGAGCTCATCTTCACTGCAGACCACCAATAAACGATGCCAGGAGTGGACCATGGAATACCTTTGCCATCTGGTCAAGAAAGGCATCATCGGCGCCGATGCGATCCCGGTCGTGCAGTCAAAGCGAGACCCGCCAACTCATGGGATTGGGCTGCAGCCCGTGGTGAATCGTGCGCCGCAGTAGATTCCACATTATGGGGGTTAGGATAATCACATTTCTTTCGAGGCCATTCGAACGGCCGCACACAGGCCTATCATACTCCGCGTAGAACCCGGAGGACGCAGAGCATACCGGACCCACCCTGGCGTAGGGCGTGAATAGAACGTGGTAGTCGATGGCGACAATCTTCATGATGACTGCCAAGGGAGAAAATCGGGGCCCAGAACCCGCTCCCCGGCTTCGGCTCGCCCGCCGATTGCTCGCCCACGCCTTATCATGTCGGCACTAATCTGATGGATCATCCTGGTATTCCTGCCCCTCATGCCCAGCTGTTCGGTCGTCGTGACTCATTCCGACGGTTATATTGCCCGGTGTCTCGCACTGGGCCTTTGCTGTCCCCATCGTCTTCGTTTCTGCCTCAGACTGCGCTCACAATGGCTTCGGATCCGATCCCGATGGAGACTTTGGCTCCGCCGTACAGCAAGCATGCCCGCGTGCGAGATGAAGAAGTCCCTCCAGAATCGGCCTTTTCCGTTGTTGAGCCGCCGCCAGATCTGTCGACTATTACCTCGCATACCCACATCCCTCTGAACACGGAGGACACGTTCCCCGATGGTGGCAAACAGGCGTGGTCGGTCATCATGGGCTCATTCTGCCTGTTGATGGCATCGTATGGCCTCATGAACTCGGTTGGAGTCCTGCAGAACTACTTCGCAGATCACCAGCTGTCCCACTACTCCGCAAGTGATGTCGGATGGATTCCCGGACTGTTCGTATTCTTAGGACTCAGTCTGGGCGTCCAGGTGGGGCCCATCTTCGATCGTTATGGACCGACGGGGGTCGTCAGTGCGGGCACATGTTGTTACGTCGTCGCTCTAGTCTTGCTGGCCGAGTGCACGCAGTACTGGCACTTTGTCCTCACCTTTGGCATCCTCGCTGGATGTAGTGCCGCTCTGCTTGCTACGCCGGCTATGAGCACTGTGGCGCATTGGTTTCAACGCCGCGTGGGGTTAGCTATGGGAATTGCCATGGCCGGTGCTGCCTGTGGCGGCGTCATGTTCCCGCTTGTTTTGCGCGCTGCTTTCGCGCGTTTTGGATACAAATGGGCCATCCGGCTCCTGGCCTTGATGGTCTTCGTGATATGCGGACTGGGGGTAGCCTTATTGCGATCCCGTTTGCCTCGGGGACAAAGCAAATCAGCCATCAACCTGCGATGCTTCAAGGACTCCCGGTTCAATTGGCTCACGCTAGGGATGTTCAGTATGTATCGGTCCATTCAAATGCCAGACTTGGAGCTAATGAGGCGCAGGTCTTGAGTTGGTTGTCTTCGCTGGACTGGGTCTATACCCCACATATGTGATGATGCAGGGCTATAGTTCCAACACTAGCGCCATTCTCCTGTCAATTCTCAACGTGTGCGTATATTTATTCTTTCTTTCTATCTCCAAGTTGCCTCTGACGTGCCTCGATGTATAGGGCATCGTTTGTCGGCCGACTTTCCGCCGGTGCTGTGGCCGATTCCTATGGTCGCTTGAACACGCAAATATTTCTCATCGGGATGGGAAGCATTACCATTTTCGCTGTTTGGCTCCCATTTGGCAGCAGCCTGGCCGGTCTCTACGTGTTCAGCGTGCTATTTGGCCTGGCTTCCGGCTCGTTCCTCAGTTTGGCTCCGGTCTGCATTGGACAGATCTCCCAAGCGAGCGAAATCGGCGGACGTTTTGGCACATGTTACTCGATTGTTAGCTTGGCGTAAGTTATCGTCTCTCTTCCATCTTTCTTAAACCACAATTCTCACCGTGACCCCTTTAGAACGTTGATCTGCATTCCCATTGGCGGTGAGATGCTCGAGAAAGTCGGAAAGCAGGCGATGGTGGCATATCTGGGCAGCATGCTGATTCTTGCCCTGGGCCTCTTCGTCATGGCACGATGGGCTTGTTTGAACTATCGGTGGAGCTGGGCAGCGAAGCTCTAGTCTTAGTCACATTCGCCACCCTTTTCGTTTCGGGCTTTACTCTCTCCTTTTCAAGGATGGAAGACATCGACATTCTCCCCGTTGTGACCAAAGAGCCGATTTGTAAACGAACTTATGGTAAGATGAAAGTGATGATAAAATAAATGCTGTTTGGGGCTTCAGCTAGGCTTAAAACTGTGAACTATGCCTGGTCAAAAAGTTGATATCGATCTGCTAAATGAGGTTAATTGAAAGCTATTTATACACCCTTCTTCACGAGACCTGCTCGGTCCAAGATCATCTCCTTCATGTCCTATTGCAAAGATTCGGCTCCCTTAAAGATACCCACGCCTACAGTTCTCTCCCACTCGCTGCCCTCGCTATCGGAGATGGTGACCGTGAAGTGATCAACACCAGCATCCCCGCTAGACGTGTAGGTCGCCTGGCCCCCGTTCTTCTTGACGGATCCCAATTTCGCGCCCGATATCTTGAACGACGGGTTTTTAAATCCTGCCGCCAGCTTTCTCAAATTGAACTTGACCGATTCTCCGGGTGTCACGAAGACGTGCGGTTCGGCCATGAAATGAAGATAGCCCTCAATTGCCGTGTATCCGTCTCCTCCGGTCGATCCGTCCCACCAGTCGGCGATGCCGTCGTTGTCGGCGTCCCAGCTATCCGGCCGCGAGGCTTTGGGGTAGTTTTCCAGGCCTCCAGCATCTGCCTCATTGTCGATCAGGCCCTTATTACCGGATTTAGATCCGCGGTAGGTGTAGCTGCCGTTGAGTGTCTCATGGATGATGCGCGTGTCGTGATCGTCGAGAACTGGCTGGTTGGATCCGGAGTCGGAGAGGACGCGCTTGTACGCTTCGGTAGAAGTGTGCTCTTTGATGTAGGACGGGAAGAACCTTGTCAATAATTAGCACTCTCTCTTCTGTTAGAACATGGGATCCAAGACTCACGGCTCATCGAAGAACTTCTGATACTCAGGAGCCGGGTCGATGCTGACGTCGGCGTAGCAGGCAATCTTGGAAGTCTGGGATGTGCCGTCTTCAGAGGAATACTGCTTCGAATCCTGGTCAAAGACGCCAGGCATTGAGTTGCCTGCACAGTAGTACTGTTGCTTTCCGGGCATATTGTCCTCGTACTGCGCTCTAAGAGCGTAGGTGAGCTCGCTGGCTGGGCCTTGTTTATAAAGGTTTCCGACAAAGTTGACTTCCTTCGCACCCCCGTCCGTCACCCGGGATCCTGTATTTGTCAACCCTGATTTACGGTGAAAAAGGAATCAATGAACATACCAAAGTTGTACACGACGTTGTTGCGAATATCCAAGCGTCCGGCAAACGTCGAATTGTCGTCCACGCCACCACCCATACTCCAGCTGCGACCTTCGGCATGAGCGATCAGGTTGTGATGAATCGAGCTGACATCACCTCCAATGGTCGCGGCATAGCCATGTTCAGTTCCCGCCGGGTAGTTCTTGTGGCCGGCGACATTGAGCGGCTCGGAAATCATGTTGCGCTGGAACGTGATGTTCTTCGCACTGCGCGACGAGAAGGATTCGTCAATGGACCAGCCCATCGAGCAGTGGTCCAGGATGCAGTAGTTGGATCCTGCCATGCCCATGCCATCCACAGTCTCGTTGGAGCTGGTGCCAGGTCGAGTGCGGATGTGTCGCACGATCACGTCCGATGCGCCGGAAAGTCCGAAGGGCTGGCCCTGAACTATGATCCCTTTTCCAGGTGCAGTTTCTCCTGCGACCGTGATGTAGCTGTCGGTGATTGACAGTCGGGACTTGAGCGTGATGACGCCGCCGACATCGAAGACCACGATCGTGGGCCCAGTGACATTCGTCACAGCGTGTCGGAGCGTCCCTGGTGCCTCACTGTCTTCTAGACTGGTGACTTTGACGATTTTACCGCCGCGACCACCGCGAGCAAAGCGACTGCATGGGTTAGCTAAGACGGGTGACCATGAATGTCGAGGACAACTTGCCCGTATCCCTCTGCACCGGGGAATGCCAAATGCGCCAGCCGGAAGGTGAACGTACGACCAGTGTATGTTCTTCCACCGGACACTACGTCGACTCTCCAGTAGAATGTGTCCATGGTGTTGAGCCCTGAGACGGGTCAGCATGCGGCTGGCAACCTTAGTTTCGAATCCACTCACCAGACAGAGTGGTCTCGGTCTTGTTTAGCCCCTTGGCTGTGAGCTTCAGGTCATCCGTCGCAGTTCCTTTGTAAACATTATACGTAGCGCCCTTGGCAGACGATGGCGCCCGCCACGATGCGATGACACTCTTTCCATTCTCCGGCTGAATCCGCTCGTCACGGTGGTTCGGCGACGGAAATGATATCTGGTTTCCGATCGCAGGGGTGTCGATTTCGAATCCATTGAGGATGACGCCGACATCCTCGGAGTTACCGGACGACGCGTAGTTGACCTTGACTTCCTCGTTTTCCGAGCTTACATTGAAGGTCACGTACGAGGTTGCTGCCTCCCAGATGTTATCAACGCGGACTGATTGTTTGACCTGTAAACCAGTCAGAGAGAGAGCTGTCAGGGGTACTCGTCCAACGAACCGAGGCCTGTTTCTTCCCGTTTATCGACACGGACACAGAGCCGATCGCATCGACAGCGTCCCAGGCATTGTGCCAGGTAAGGAGCGAGTGTTCTCCTTTGCTCAGACCCTTGATGGACAGAGCGATGCTTCCAGATTCATCACCCGACGTGATGCCTTGGTTGACAACACGCTCACCGAGGTGCGAGATCGCTCGAGTGTACTGGTATTTAAAGTAATTTCCCTCCAGCTGCGAATCGGCAGACAGACCAAACGAGACCTCGTTGACCGTGGTTGAGGCGTTCTGGCTCTCGCTCTCGATGGTCCAGGTGTGAAAGTCGGGCTCCGCCAGGGAGCGCACGTTGGAGGGATTCAGACGAACCCTGATCTGGGCGGACGTCGCCGTCAGCAGCGACGCAGCCACAGTGGCGATCGACAAGAACCGGCCCATGTTGGTGTTGGTGCTGGTCAGTTGAGTCCCTGGCACTTGGCGGCCCAGGAGAAGGGTGAAGACCGCCACATCTTATACAACAGTCCCTGAATCCGGCGTTATTGCAAATTGCAAAACGGCACCGGATTGCAGTGCAGAAGCGTTGGTCCCTGTTTCACTTTAATGCGTCGACTGCGTCCCATCCGGAATTTTTTCCACAAATGGAGGTCATGCCATGCGGGTGTTTATGGCGATCGACATGCCCAGAGTGTCTGATTGAGGAAGATCTGCAGTCGGTGGGGCGCTGGCAGGAACAGAAACAGTTCGCGAGGCCGTTTAATATCGCTCGGTCCCTAGACTGTCTCTGATTGATGCTGCCGATGCAACTCCGCCACGTCACGATATGATCGCATGTCATGCTGGTGCATCCTCTCGGAGCACGATGGTCCTAACACCCCTGCATGGATCATATTAATGTCCTCTGCACTCTCTTCCATCCCACTCGCATACTGACGCGGTGCACCCAGGCGCAACCGGACGATCAGGTTTCTCCTTGAGATCTCTTAACCTTCAAGCTGGCCTTTCGAGGATTCTTGGCCTGGAAGACCTCCTCCAGCTCTTCGAGCGTGCGATCTTTTGTCTCCACAAAGAAGAAATAAATAAACGCAAACTCGAAGCAATCCCAAAACACGAAGAACACATAAAACCAGTACCCGATCTGTGTAAATCCCATCGTAAGCAGGATTTCTAATCTATAAACGATGTCGCAACAAGGGCACCTACATTCGTCAAGGCTACCGGTGCCGCAAACGTATTCACGAACCCAGCCGCACCGGCCGTCAGTTTGAATGTCCCCATTCCTTTTGCTCGCATATCGTTGGACATGACCTCGCCGGGGTAAATCGGTTGCATGGACGTGAACGCGAAGGCAAAAACAACCCCGAAGATATAGATGAAGACAATGGCTGCTGTCGAGGCGGCATGGTTCGACGATTGAACAAACACCGCAGTCGTGGCTGCTGTAATGGCCAGGCAGATCACCATCCCTCCAGTGGAACCGAGGAACATCTTGCGGCGACCGACGATGTCGTGGAATCGAGTTCCAACGGTAGCTGCGATCCATCCGGTCAATGCATAGATGATGTTGAGAAGCAACTGGGTGTTTGTGTCGGTGATCCCGACGTTCTTCAACAACGTTGGAAGATAATACGAAATGACACTGTGCGAGTGATTTCCATGGTCAGCGCCGTCCTAACCGGGCTTCGATGCAGAAAGAAGGTACTTGTTTCCGGAGAATTGCCCAAACCAACTAAAGGCCAGGTTCAACATCAACCGATAGCGACGCGATCGGGATTTGACGAGGACGGACAGGTCAATGATGTTTCGCCACCCCGTCACCCCTTCGGATTGCAGGTTTTCGGTCATTTCTCCCATTTCCAATGCGACCATGGGGTGTGAGGCATCGCCATTGGCGTGGCACTCGACTATGAAGGCCTCGGCTCGGGCGTGTTGGTCTTTGGAAATCAGCCTTGGTATCAATCGGTCAGCATTCTTGAAAGCAGCAATGCCATGGGGCCAGGGGCAAATTCACCATCTAGGCGACTCGGGGCAGAACCAGATTCCCAGGCAAACAATGCCCGGACAGGCCATTTGCAGCCACAGAGGCAATCGCCAGTCGAGTTGACCAATGTGACTCAGGTGCAAATGAGCGCCATACACGGCTGACGTGGCCAGAATCGAACCCTTCGGCAAATCCAATATCAGCTATGGTCTAGTCATTCTGGGCGTAAACTAACCGCATAATAGAGAGTGTTGTACATTCCGGCCAAGGTCCCACGGTATTGCGGAGGTGCCAGTTCCACGAGAAGCAAAGGGGATGCTGTGTGTGCACAGGTCGCGAAGAACGACAGCAGGAATCGCCCTGCTATAAAGACTGATAGATTTGGTGCGGTGCTCGTTACAATGGTAGCCACGCAGACTCCAAGACATCCCATGAAGATGTGAGCACGTCGTCCGAGCCAGTCTGCCATCCAGATAAAAAGAGCGCCTGCCATTTGGCCGATCTGGTCATTCTTCAGCCGACGGCTTCAAGGTTAGAGGTGGGGATTAGAGAATGCATACCTGAAAAATGGCGAATACAATTCCTGTGCTCACGTTTCCATCCTCCGGGAGATCATAATATTGCGTATAATTGGGTAGTGCGTTGATGGAACCCATCAGACTGCTGTCGTATCCTAGATGCAAATGTCAGTTATCAAATGTGGATTTTATGAAATTCATCAAACGTACCATTCATCGTGGAGCACAAGAAAATCAACGAAGCCATGAGGTATAATTTGCGATATCCTGCGCCCCGTGGATTGACCGGATGTCTCTCGATAATTTCCTTCATGGTCATCTGCGGCAAACCATCGGCCTTCATGTCACAGCTAGATTTTCCATCCATTTTCGGTGTTGAGCTTTCTGTCATTCGTGATCAGTAAAGTCAAAGAGGACCAAAGGCGACCGACTGGAGCCCTAATATACCCCGGGTGTGACCCCGTGGAGAAGCTGCGGCAAAGGAGGAAGGGATGCGCCTGCAGTACTAGCCTCGTACTAGTCGTTACCAGCTCAGGATGGCTTGCGTCTCTTGGTCTTGTCTTTAAGATCCCTGCTTTGTCCGACTAGGTCCGGTGCTTAACTCGAATCAACTCACAATGGCAAAACGCTTGACGGTACGAGAATGTAGGCATCGCGAATCACATTATCTCTCGCAAGAGGCTAACACGACTCGGATACAGTGCAGCTGCACGCCTCGTCAGAGAGCTGCTGGATTGCTTTGTGCGGTCGGGTTTACGATGTAGGTATTCCTTGCTGAGTCCAGAGTGTTGCTAACGAGGTGAAGATAACGGGATTTCTGGGCCACCATCCAGGCGGTTCGTCAATTCTGTTGAATCTCGCGGGTCAGGATGCGACAAAGGAATATGACCTGGTCCATCCGCCGGGTCTTGTAGACGAACATCTTTCCTCATCCTTCCTTGGGCTGCTCGAGATCGACCCTCCAGCCGCAGGAGACGAGACTCTTGAGCCGGAAAGAAGCACATCTGCAGGAACCATCTCGGTAAAGCAGGCCCTCAACCTTCATGAAATTGAAGCATTGGCGAAAGAGAGATTGCCCCATAAGGCTTGGGCATACTATGTCTCCGCCGCAGATGACAACCTGAGCAAGACTCGGAACAACTCAGTCTATCAATCAATACTTCTTCGGCCGCGGGTGTTCGTCGACTGCACTGCATGCAACCCGAGCACTACGGTTCTCGGTCATCACTTAGGCATGCCGATCTACGCGTCTCCAGCCGCAAAGGCTCGAATGGCTCATCCCTCGGGCGAAGCTGGAATTGCCACTGCATGTGCGAAGTTCGGTGCTCTGCAGATCATTTCGCATAACGCATCGATGGACCTGGTTGACATAGTACGAGGCGCGCCAAAGGATCAAGTTTTCGGCTGGCAACTGTATTGTCTCAACGACGTTCGACAAAGTGAGCGGAGAATTCAGAAGGTCAATCAAATCAAGCAGATCAAATTTATCGTTCTGACCCTTGATGCGCCTTTCCCGGGGAAGCGCGAAGTCGAGCTGCGGTCTACGATGGACTTCTCGCGGTCGAATGCGCCGCCTCAGGTCTGGGGAACAGATGCCTCGCTGGCATGGGAGAAGACTCTGCCGTGGCTGCGCAAGCATACCGATCTCCCGATTGTTCTTAAAGGCATACAGACGTACGAAGACGCTGTTCTGGCAGCGCGATACGCCCCGACTGTTTCCGGGATCATCATCTCGAACCACGGTGGACGAGCGCTGGACACTGCCCCGAGTCCTATCGAGACCTTACTCGAGATCCACCATCACTGTCCCGAAGTCTTTCCGAGGTTGGATGTCATGGTGGACGGGGGCATCAAGCGAGGAACGGACGTCGTCAAGGCCCTTGCTCTGGGTGCCAAAGCTGTCGGCATTGGTCGGGCGCCTCTCTGGGGACTGGCCGCTGGTGGACCGGCGGGCGTGGAGAGGGTGTTGGAAAGTAAGTTGGAAGACAGTCTTGTCCCCACCGATCATCCCAGACTAATATCTCGGTTCTTGCAGTTTTGTCCGAAGAAACGGCGACGGCAATGCGGTTGCTAGGAGTGTCGAATGTGAAGCAGCTCTCCAGGCAGCATGTATGTCCCCAACCCGTGATGATCGTATCAATGCATTTCTAACGATGGACAGGTGAACACGCGCGCTCTAGAGTCGGGAATCTTCACGAGTGCATGGGATAAGGGCGAACGGGTGGAATCCAAATTGTAGAGGCCGTTAGACCTAGTCCAAAGTACCGAGTAGGATCAGTCAAATGCACCAGGTTCAGGGAAACGCGTCTCGAGGTACTCCCACCATACGTCCTTGACCAAATCTCCATGACGCGTCGATCGCTCTGCACCGCTCCCAATCAGTCGAACTGCCAAGTCTGACTCAGTCAATACCGCTAGTAACACAGCTATCCATGGATCCATGCAAGGATGCATCCACGCAGTCGACGGAGAGAAACACAAGCCTGACGGATGCCTGAGAAACGCGACTTCAAAAGTGCGTGCCTGATCGGGTTTAGCCTGAGCGATCAGGCCGCACTAGGCCTCATTCGGCGCGGAGACAGCAAAGCGCGCACCCAAACAGGACAAAACAGACAAACAGTCCGTTGATTTGTGCCCTCAGGAGGAGTCTGCTTGGCAGGGTTGATGCGGAGATCAGGATTTAGTTTTGAATGGATGGATTTATGTCAGACAGTGGGGTGTTAGAGAACCTCGCGGGGATTTTGTGTCGGTACCACTGGAACTGTTGCACGGATTCCGAAATATATATCGATGGTGGACGAATTCCAAGACACTGCCAATAATAAATGATCACACACGTTTTCATCAGAATGTCGGAGTTTAGATCAAAAGAGCTTTCTGATGACTGGAAATTGAGAGATGCAACAGACACCAACACAGAGACCTGGTACACAGTCACCGCCGTACCCACGGTGGTTCATCTCGACCTGCTACAGAACGGGATAATTCCCGACCCCTTCATCGGATTGAACGAGGAAAAGGCACAATGGGTTGCGGAGCGCGACTGGATATACCAAACTACCTTTGAAACACCACCTGGCGACCCAAAAACTCGACACAGTGTCGCTTTTGACGGTCTGGATACGTTTGCTACGGTCAAGCTGAACGGCAATGTGATCCTGCGCAGCGATAACATGTTCATCCCCCATCGCGTCGACATAACAGACATTCTGGCCAGTAGCCCATCGACAACAAACACACTGGAAATTCTCTTCGAGTCGGCTCTGCTGCGTGCTCGCGAGGTGGTCAAAAGCCATCCCGAACATCGACACATCGCTCACCAGACGGAAGTGGGTCGTTTGGGGGCTCGCAAGGCGGCATATCACTGGGGTTGGGACTGGGGGCCTATTCTCGTCACGGCTGGCCCCTGGAGGCCCGTGACATTGGAATCATATGCCGATCGGATTGACGACTTGTGGATTGAGAGTACCGTCGCTGACGATCTCCGATCATGCGCAGGAAAGATTCGCGTACGCACAGAGGGTCGGGGGGCAGACCGAGTTCATATCGCGTTGTGGCATGAAGGAAAGGTGGCGATTGAGGCCGACGTAGAGGTTGATCCTCAGGGAGAGGCAAACGTCTCATTCTGCATCGAAAGCCCAGCTCTCTGGTTTCCTCATGGGTACGGACCGCAGAGCCGTTACGAAATTCGGGCGGAGCTATTCTTGCAAGACGATCTGCTGCATGCAAAGTCCAAGAGAACTGGCTTCAGAAGAGCCGAATTGATCCAAGAAAAGGACGAACATGGACAATCGTTCTATTTTCGAATCAACAATGTTGATGTCTTCGCGAGCGGCTCGTGTTGGATTCCCGGGGACAGTTTCCTTCCTCAGATCACAGATGCTAAATACCGGAAATGGCTGACACTGATTGTTGAGGGGAATCAGAATATGATTCGGTAAGTTGGTCTCGTTCAAGCGTGCGAATGGTGTACTGATCCACTGGACTTAGCATCTGGGGCGGCGGCATCTTTGAGCCAGAAGTATTTTATGAGACCTGCGATGAATTAGGAATAATGGTGTTTCAGGATTTTCTCTTTGCCTGCGCCTCGTATCCAACATATCCAGAATATCTTCAGTCGGTGGAGAAAGAGGCGCGAGCGAATGTTCAACTCCTTCGGCACCATCCCTCGATCGTCATATACGCTGGGAACAATGAGGACTACCAGATCCAACAAAAATACAACCTGACATATGACTACGACGGGGACAAAGACCCCGAATCCTGGCTTAAATCATCATTTCCAGCCCGCTATATTTATGAGTACCTACTGCCAAAGGTGGTCGAGGAAGAGTCCCCGGGAATGGCATACCATCCGAGCAGTCCATGGGGTGGTGGCAGACATACAACAGACCCGACCATCGGGGATATTCATCAATGGGATGGTGAGTTTGGATAAATTTGAAGCATATGGCGTGGATCTTTCACTTCTAACTCGGCACGCAGTCTGGCATGGGACCATGGAACCCTATCAAAAGCTCAGTTCCATGGGTGGCAGATTCAATAGTGAATTCGGCATGGAAGCGTTCCCTCACATGTACACAATCGATTCATTCGTCGATGATCCAGAAGAACGCTATCACCAGTCATTGACGATGGACTTTCATAACAAAGCGTCCGGCCACGAAAGACGCCTCGGGGCGTATATATTGGAGAACTTCAACGTGAAACAGGACTTGAAGGTATGTGATCGGCGAATATTCCCGAGGCAAGAGGGACATTAGGTCATAACATGACTGGCCCCAGGCATACATTCATTTATCGCAAATCGCTCAATCGGAGACCATGACATTCGCCTATCGCAGCTGGCGTCGCGAGTGGGGACGAAAGCGACGATGCGGCGGAGTGCTCGTCTGGCAGCTAAATGACTGTTGGCCCACGATCTCCTGGGCTATTGTGGATTACTTCCTTGTCAAGAAGCCAGCGTTTTATGCCATCGCACGAGCGTCCCAGCCCCTAGCCATCGGCGTCAGCCGCCGCCATAAGGAATGGACATCCGGCCATGCGCGATCACCTAGCTCTGTGGAATTCGATGTATGGACCGCGAGCAGCAAGGCAGAAAGGGTACACGCTGTAGTGACCGTCCGTTATATCTCAGTTGAGACGGGGCATGATTTCAAGCCAGCTTCCGTCCATACCGTGGAGGTCGTTCCCAATGGGACGACTGAGATTCTGGGCGATAGGGTGGATCTCAACCGAAACAGCACTGAAAAGGAAGAGGTCCAACCGTTCGTTATCTTTGCCACCTTGAGCGTGGATGGGGCCATCGTGAGCCGAGACTTTGACTGGCCCCAACCACTCAAATATCTCAAGTTCAGGGAAAGGGATGTAAAAGTTGAATTTTTGAAAGAAGAGAGCTCTGTCAGGGTCGCAGTATCCAAGCCGACAAAGGGGCTCGTATTCGAGGAAAGACCTGGGATTTGGTTCGGCGACAATGGAATCGACCTTGTGCCCGGCGATGAGCGGATAATCCCGGTGAAGGGAATCGCCGGATATGATTCGATCCCGCGTTGGACGTATATTGGCGATAACAGATTTTAGATCAGGATCCCCAGTTCTTCGATAGCGATTCCAGTGGCTAAAGGTCGAGTCGAGTGAGGAATTTGTGAAGTATTTCAAAATCAAGCCTGATCGAAGGCTGCTTATTGCATCATTCCTAACCCGCATACCCTAATTATATAGCTCATGATAACTGCACATCTCCTTTCACTCATGTTCGTTTTCAAACATGTCAATACCGAGCTGGAAGGGATCAAATTGGAAATCGAGATCCTGCAGTATATCGTCGAAAGTAAAACAAGGCGTCTCTTCATTAAGCGGCAAAGGGTGGCTGTCATTTGTTCCAGGATATTGCGCATTCAGAATCCTCGAAGAAAGCGTCTCAAATGTCTTGATGCACTGCGAGACATACGGACTTAGGTGCTCATGTGCGCGGAGGGCAGATAGAACGTTCTGCCAGGATTGCGACACCGACTCGTTGAACAGATCCGATGTGAACATGGCGGCCAGGAAATTAGTGCCCGCTATGTGTAAGTAGTATACTCGGTACCACCACGGCAGGAGGCCCATCGATTCGTACGGTTCGATTGTTTCGGCGGTCAATGACGCCAGCTTCTGCGCAGCCTCGATACACGATTCGGCGCATTCTCTCACTATCCGATCATCCATAGTGGGAATGTAAGATGCCATCTGCCCTGCTTTCGGATGTGAGATTCTTGGGTAGAAGCGTGCGAGCATTGGTCTGAGCAAAACGATTCGATAATGGGCCAGCCTAACCATTTGGAACTAGTAATCAGAAATAATTCAAATCGCGGGACAAATCCACTAGGTCATCTTGACAACAGTGATGGAACACGGCAGCAGAAGCAGCAACTACCTGAAGGGAAGGTAAGCGGATGAACTTACCGAAGATGAAACAGATACGCTTCAGCTCGAGAAGCCCGGTTGGTGATGTTTTGAAGATTATCCGACCTCCAATCAGGGTGGAGGCCATTCTCCAATTTGCTTAAGCATGCGTCTAGTTGGGTAGACACGGAATGATAATTGTCTTGTGAATAGGGACGAGGTAAGCCTAGTCGGGCAGCCAGAGGATTTCGTGTCTCGGTCTGAGCCAGTTGGATTTGGTGGGCAATTTCATTGAACTCCATTGCCCGCGTGAGATCCTCCTCATGTCCCCGACTATGTGATTCGTTGCCGTTCGAAGGCATACAATCGAGCCAACGTGGTAGAAAAGCCATGGAAGGCGCCGCAGTTCGGCCCAGCGACCAGGAAACACACCTGCGGTGTGGTCGAGTCAGCGACAGCCACAAAGAATATACCATACGGCTTTGGCGACAGGGACCTCGGGCCTACCGATCGAGCGCGATACACCCAGCCAGGACACGCTCTCTTATTTTCCTGTCTTTGCTGCTGTCCTCGCTCGACAGAGTTGCCTGAGGGCGAGAACACATATTCTGGGACATTCGACATGCTAGTCCCGCCGTCATCCAGGTCTTATCTGGGCTGTTCGTGCAGTGAAGGTATCTATTGAGAAGCATCAAGCACTGGATAATCTCGAGCGAGCCAGGGTTCCAAATAATAGATTCTGGACGTAGAAGAGTCCATGCACGCTGGAAAAAGCGATTGCCCTCTTGATTTCGCGTTTGCAGGGGCATTAATTCTTGCCTCTGAACTGCCAAGGCAAACACAACATTGACTATACTTAACCAAACATCACGACCGGCACGGTTGGAGACATCACCACACGTCGAGTACCACAAATCATAGTCACGGAAGAATTGGACCCGGTCCAAGACTGGCTCCATCGGATCGACATGCTGCCAATATATACCGACTAGGCGATCGGCGTATGAACGAGGTGGCATTTCATGGGCTAGGCCAGCACTATCGGCGGTAGAGTCAAGGTTAGGATCTCCAAATAATGGGGCATCCACAAAAGGAACAAGGCGAGTGGTGTCTCCCCCAGCACGTCCTGTTCTCTCCTCGATGGCAATTGCGACTTCGCCAGCGAATCGCCCGTGGGCCGAGTAGTAATCATTGCTTGAATCCGCATCCGCGCTATTGCTCTTATGCAAAAGCTCTGTCCTAGGGGATATCTCCGTCGTTGGTGGCGTCTCCAACTGGGTAGCTGGCAAGGTTGGGGGCGTGACCGCGACAGAAACAAGACTGCGCGGAGTGTGCTCAACCGAAGGGTGGTGCTTGCTCTGTCGTTTGGCGGAAAGGAAGTCACGACTATACGTACATGAAGCTCCCTTAACCCGACATCTGGCACATGCTACGGAGGAGCAGGTCAGTGTTTCCTGCCTAAATATGAAAACATGGGGACAGGAGTACCAGGACGACCGCCGTCGCATTTCGCCTTTCTTTGCCGACACGTCTCACAGGCCGTGGAGTTTCTCAGTCGCTCCCTGCCGGCCCGCCTGGAGAGTCTGTGGAGGTGTTCATGAGGCTGCATATCCATGGTTCGAGTTGTGAAGCAGTTGGCAGGCGTCGATCGGGGTGGTCTTTGTTGGGAGCCTTGAAGCCTAGAGGCCTGGTAGCCTGGAAGCATGGCCAATCAAGTGCTGCTCCGTTCCGGTCGAAGGCCCCGCAGCGGCAGTGCATCTCATTGGATGAAACCTTGTGGCCAATCAGGTCTCTTGCCGTCCCGTCGATGTTGGCCGCCTCCCTCAGGCACCCAGGCACCTAGGCTCAGAGTCTTGATAGTATAAAAGAAAAATTGGATTTTCCCTGGAAGCGATGAATGGATACGTACTGGGACTGTTTTCCTACCTGTGCTGAACTGCATTCTTACCCTCAACATGCCTCAACAACCCCAGCCTCAAACAGGCGCCGACCCTGGCGAAATTGAGAAAACGCATGTATACAATGGCCTCGGAACTGCTGAAGACCCATTCCTGGTCGAGTTTCGAGCCGACGACGCCGGAAACCCCATGAACTGGTCTCGGTCAAGGAAATGGACGATCACGGCCATCGTGACTGTATCTGTCTTCGCCGTCACCTTCACTTCCTCCGCCTACTCCGTATCCTCGAGTGAAATCATGCAAGAATTCAACGTCAGCAGCGAGGTTTCTACTCTGGGCCTGTCCCTCTTCGTGCTTGGGTTTGCAATTGGGCCGGCACTCTGGGGTCCTCTGGTAAGCAGCTGCTCGCTCGGGTCTCATTCCCACGGATAGGATTAGGACTAACAATTATTTTAGTAAGTCTTCCCCGACGGCCATACGGGATTCTGCTTGCCCTGCTGACGTCGCGCCGTTCCCCCAGATCCGAACTCTACGGAAGACAGAGACTGTGGATCATATCACACGCGGCCATGGTGGCATTTATTGGAGGCTCGGCCGGCAGCAAAAAGATCTCAACCCTTCTTGTCCTCCGCTTCTTCGGCGGCACGTTTGGAGGCTCACCGCTAGTCAACTCGGGGGGTACCGTGGCGGACCTCTTCATGCCTGCTCAAAGAGGCCTTCCCATGACACTCTACTGCGTCGCGCCCTTTCTAGGTCCCATCCTCGGTCCCATAGTGGGTGGGTTCATCTCGCAGAGTGTCGGATGGCGATGGGTGCACGGGGTCTGCTGCATCTTTGTGGGAGTGGCAGGAATTCTGGGCATAATCTTCGTGCCGGAGACATACGGGCCGGTGCTCCTGACCAAAATGGCGAATGGCCTCTCCAAGACAAACGGAAAGGTCTATATAAGTATCCTGGAAAACAGTCAGGGTAGGAAGAACCCGTCGGAGGTCTTCCAGAGAGCTCTGTTCCGCCCTTGGGTTATGCTGTTTCGGGAGCCCATCGTGTTAGCAGCCTCGCTCTACATGGCCATTGTGTACGGCACCGTCTATATGTTCATGGGAGCAATGCCCGTCGTTTACAATGAAGGTCGTGGATGGCGCCCGGGAATCGGGGGATTGGCCTTCATCGGCATCGCCGTCGGTATCATTCTTGGATTGTTCTATGCGATCTACGACAACAACTGCCGCTACATGAAACTATCTCTCGTCAAATCAGCCACTGCAGAATCACGGCTCCATCCGGCTCTCGTGGGAAGCTTTGCCCTTCCGGTTGGCATGTTTGCCTTTGCATGGACCAATTACCCCAGCATCCACTGGTCTGTCGGCATCATTCTATCGACTCCCTTCGGCTTCGGCTGCGTCCTGGTGATCCTGCCGATAATGAACTATCTAATTGACTCGTACACCATCTACGCGGCCTCTGTTCTTGCCGCCGCCGCCATCTTTCGATCAATTGTCGGCGCCGTGTTTCCCTTGTTCACTACGCAGATGTACCACAACCTCGGCATTCACTGGGCCACCTCCGTGTCGGCCTTTTTGACTCTGGCCTGTCTGCCCTTCCCGTTTGTTATGTATCGCTACGGGACAGAGCTGAGAATGCGGTGTAAATATGCTTTTGAGGCGACCGAGGTCATGAAGCAGATGCAGGCGCAGCAGGTCTCTCTTTCCACCAAACAGAATGGCGATCGTTCTATGGAGTGAAGCACAACATTGTCTCTCTCCACTGTGTCATATTTCTGGCAGTATTGCGAGTCACACGAAGTTTGCTAAGAGCAGAAATAATTACTAGGCGTGCTTATGAAGTGGCAGGGAGAAAGGAGCAGCAGTACCAGAATCTTTGGATAATAAGCTGGATATCCTGCAGGGGAAATGCTCAGCAAGGCTTCGACCTTACTGCTAGTAACAGTACTCCTAATACTACATCTCCACAATATATATATAGTCTGAATTGCCCACAACGGGCCAAATATTCAATTTATTGAGCCTGGATACCAACAACACTCGCTACACAGCATTGGTCGATAACAAACAATATGGCGAAGCTATGTAGGAGTCACTGAATTAGTGTCGGTGGAGGCATCAGCCAACACTGCCCCATCGATGACTCAACTCTCACGATAAAAGCAACCACAGCTGCCTCTCTCCATCCCAATGACCTACATTTCCCTTCACTACGTTCACAATGGCATCCATTCAGATTCCGCCAGACTTCCTCAAGGGCGAGTGCCCGAGCGCCAGCCTGCGCCGCTTGGATTTCATGCAGACATTGCCTCCAATTCCTGCCTTCAAAGATCACTTTGCCGCCGTGGTCGATGACCTTCTGACGCCGGACGAATGCCAGCACCTTCTTCGTCTGGTCGAAGGATCAACCCTCCCGACGAACCAACCATCAGCCGCGCCGACATGGCATCGTGCAATGGTCAATGGCGGCAACGGCAAACAGGATATGGCGGTCGACACGCGCAACTGCGGGCGCATCATATGGGATACTCCTGAGATCGCCGACCGACTTTTTCGTCGCCTGAGACCATTTTTGAAAGAATGCGAGATTGACACGATCCAAAACCAACCACTCGTGACAGGCCGGGGACCAGCCAAGCGTCAAGAGGAGTTTCAATTATCCCGACTCAATGAGCGTATCCGATTCCTGCGGTACAAAGGAGGAGAATACTTCCGACCGCATTGGGATGGGAACTACGTGACGGAAGATGGAAATGAAATGTCGTTGTTTACGGTGCATTTATACCTGAATGGAACCGGCGAGCAAGACGTGGAAGAGCTCGAGAGGAGAATCGAAGAGTCGGAGCGAGAGACAGGGCTCTTGGAGGAGGATGGGGAGATCGAACTTGGTAATATTGCGCCAGACCGTGACAACAACAGTGACCTTGCCGAGTCGTCAGATGAGAGTTCAAATGACATGAGGACTCGCCGGGCTGCGGGAGGCGGCGATGATCAGGACGCCCTTCTTGGGGGTGCGACATCGTTTAGCGATGGCTTCCGCAGTAAGGGCGCGGTTCGAGTGTTTCCGAGGGCCGGATCCGTTCTCATCTTCCAGCAGAGAAATCTCTTCCACGGAGGGGACGACGTCTTCTGCGGCGTGAAGTATACGGCTAGGACGGACGTGATGTATAGGAAAGCAGCGAAGGAGTAGTCGATATCCCGAGACTCACAAAGAAATGAGAATATGATGATCACAATCGCAGCCTGTTCAGCGCCCGAGAATCTTGTCGCGATGAGTAAATCGGCCATCCCTCTTGATTTGTTCGTAGAAATTTCTCGCCCAGTGGAGATGATAGCTATCGCCTAGGTCTGTAAACAGCCTCAATGACATTTCCTGGTCTCTCAAGTATTCCGAGTGATTAAACGGCGAATACATGTAGCGTCTCTGAATGGCCGGCCTATCTCGATCCCAGCCCTGGTCTACCGCATAGCGAGCCACTTCGACCGCTTTCGAATCCGTGGCGTAGGCCTGGGGTGTGTCGCGAAAGACATTGCGAGGCACCTGATCGAGAAGCAGGATCAATGCTAGCGCCCCATCCCCGGTTCCTTCTCGTGTCCATGCGTCGAGCTGACCGTCCTTGGCCGCCTGGTAGGAATCGCCCAGGTGGGAGCGCACGAAGGCATCGTCGGCGGGGCTGCCGTACCAGAAGGATTTGGCTTTCAAGTAGTCCGGGGAAGATCCGGGGCCAAACCAGAAATCGAGCACGTCGGAGTATGATTTGGCGGGCATGATTCGTCGCAGGGTTGTGAGCATTAGACCGAATTGGCGTGAGTTGCAGGGACGAGGCTGCGCATGTTGGAGAAGAAGAAGAGAAGAAGAGACGAAGAGACGAAGAGTCACAGAGCAGGATGGACACTAAGCCCAATAAGGTTAGGGCATAGCAGAATATGACGTCATCTATCCCGGATCGCCGCTATAAATAAACACGGCAATACGAAGGGTCGCATCGTCGTCGGCGGAATACGATACGGCTGGGTTCCTGACCCCCTTTTCCTGCACCCTAGCATTCTCTCCCCAGATACACTGGTCAGTAGGCTCATTTAGCTCTCACTCCAGGCAGATTTACCCGACACTAATGGCAGGAAGGATCGCCAAGTCCGTGTTGGATGCTGCGGCAGCCATGTGGTCTCGGGGGATGCAGGAACAAGGGGCAAGGAACTCGTGCTGATAGACCTCATTATCAATGCCAAGTACCAGCTGCACGAATGCTCGCAGGATACCCCTCAAGCAGGCTAGATCCATTTCCAAAAGCAATGGCGTTGGTTTGGACTTCACGTATGCTAACTGCAACACAGTATATCATGGCCTCGTCAATCATGAGCCGTGATCAAGGATAAAAGGACACGGGTTTCCCTAGATATGACACCCAGCAGCCATCCGCAAATACCACAGCCACAGCTTCTTAGCATAGCACAGCTCTTCTAAACCTTTCCAACTATACAGTTCAAGCTCATTATGCGCGCCGCCTACTTTCTCTCGACTCTATTGGCTGCCACTGCCCTGGCATCGGCAGTTCCCCAGGGACCCGCGGAGAACGCTGAGCTCGTCCCGATTGACGACCCTTCTGGTAACCTCGTTCTCTCCAAATTGCCCAAATGGACTCCTAACACCGTGGATAGACCTGGACAAACGTGGACCTATTGCACCGACGCCCGATGAGGACGACGAGGAGTCTTTCGACCTCGAGGATGAGGAAGGTAATATATCTTTGCCAACATCCGAAAGAATGGTGCTAACAAAGCAACAAAAGACGAAGTGACTATCAGTCATCTTGAAGAGCGTGGAATCTTCGACAGCGGCGGTCGCGTGTGCAAAAAGAAGGGCCAAAAGACCTGCTATCATGTGAAGTCCAACGGCCGCTGCAAGAACCTGGTTTCCTCCAACGGGAAACCCTTTATTTCCGGTTCAGCCGATGGCGGGTGCATCTGTACCGTGTATTCGCAGAAGGGCTGCCCCTGGATCAAAGGCAAGAGAAAGAGCTATGATGAACGTGGTGCGAACTTCGGATTCAATGCGAAGAGTATGGACTGCTCCGTCAAAGTTTAGTAGTTGGAACATGAAGGCCAGGGCCATCCTTGGCCTGTGGCGGGCTGTTATGTTGTCTGTTGTTCCGCTCCGGAGTCAGTATGCAGTGCCATTTGGTCTCTATATCCATGTTTACCATACACAAATTGAAAGAACAGACTGATTTCAACACTGGCTCCTCATTTGTTGAAGGTGCTCTGGAGAGAAAGAAGACCCTGCATAAAAATTGTCGATGATAATAGGCCTCACTTGTGCCACTGTTGGCATCTTCCTTTGGATACCCGTACTGTCTGTCTATAAAGGAAAGACCTCCGTTGCGGCATGAATGGCACAGGTCCCACGTCGGACCAGAATAGCACTTTCGTATCGCAGAACCCCGACGCGATGCATCGGATGAAAGTCAGACGGTTCGGGGAAAGAGATAGACGCAGAGCCCTCCCAGGCTTCGTCGGACACAAAATCCACCGCGAACGGAATAAGCTCCTTGACCGACGACGGCTGATCCGGGATGGCCGATGGAATGACACGCAAGTTCAATGATCGCTTAGCTGGGAAGGTCACCTCCTTGAGTCGTCGAATGGGACTGTAATTGAACTGCACCACTTTCTGGCCAGCAGGATATTCGGCTTGACCTTGGATCACTCGGGACCCCGTCTCCAGCATGAGCGACACGGGGCCAAATTTCTTGGGGTATCCCAATTGTTCGCGACCACAAAAGATGGCCGCCTCGTTTTCGAGAATGAGCGAGAGGTTATAGTCAAACCGTTCTCCGTTGTAGGTGACTTCGACCGCATGCACATATTCCTGATACGTGCCGAACGTGCTCATGCCATGGCTTAACAGCATGGCAGTCACCAAGGGTTCGTCTTCCAGTTCCAGCACGTCGGGCACCAAAGGACGAACATTGTCGGCCTTGGTGCGGTAGGTGACGATGAGCATGGTCATGTCGCTATATTCATTGCCCTGGGTGCTGTACGGAGGGGCATACTGCGGAATGGGGGTTCCGTCGACAGGCAAGGAACCAAATGGCATGATTGATGATCAGTGCGAGGATTCTGGTCTGGAGTCCTTTAGCCGGCGCTGAGACGTCCCTTATATGCTTTACATCTGTGGTGGCGTGGGAACGAGGGGGGCTAGGGCGAGGATTATCCATGCAGCATGATGGAGTATTCGAATGAAGGCATTCAGAGGAGCAAATCAACAGCGAGGACTGAAGAGTCCTGCCTGGGGCGCCAGTGGCCCAACCCCGTGACCGGCGCGAATGCATCGACGCGGCCGAATCCTTCGCTCGATTCTCTCCCCCACAACGCCCTCACGATGTTCCACACCATCACCGATTGGGGGCCCACAGCCCACCAACCCATTTCCACCTCGCGGTCTTCGCCGGCAGCGAAAACGAACAAATCGTGTGCGGAATGTCGCCGAAGACGAGTCCGCTGTGATGGGGGTCATCCATGCAGCAGTTGCCACTGGTATGGCGTGCCCCAGCGCTGCGTCTTTCCCGCGCGATCCAAGCGCAGGACGGTGTCTCGCCAGTAAGGACAGCTCCTGTCATCTCTTACGAGTCTCCTATCATTGATACATCACCATCAAGGTCTCACCACGAGCTATCTCAATCGCTCCATCTTCGAGACGCGATCCTCAAGGAGCTTTTCCCCACAGAATCGCTAGAGTCTCTTCAGGGTCTGCCACGAGAGGCCCTGCTGCGGAAAATCGAACGACAGCGCCAGAGCGAAGAGGAACCCGAAACGGGGATTGAAGTACCTTCTCAATCTCATTCACAAGATAGAAACGATGATAGCGAGGAATGGGACGAGGCGGACAAGCGCATGCAGCATTCCTCGGCCTATGATGATGTCAACAACCTCTCCCTGACCTTCGACCGGTCGCATTCCTACCTCGGCTTTTCCTCGGTCGGCATCATTTTGCGCAGCATTCTCGAGATCTCCCCTAGAATTCAAACCAAACTGGCCCAGGACCTTCAATCCCATGCGTCCAGTTCAACCCTCGCTCCGGGTGAAGACAACAATTTCTCAGATGGCGAGATTACACTTACGACGGAATTTTGTATTGATGCCTACTTCGCCCATGTCCACGGCATCACTCCGATGATTGATGAGATCGAATTTCGCCGCCGAGTCAAAACGAACAACACCGAAGATGGTCCCTGGCAAGCCTTGCTGAACATGGTTCTAGTCATGGGCGCCGTCGCCATGGGCCAATGGAAAAGCGACTTCATCCGGGATCGCTTCCACCGGGCGAGAAGCTTCATGAATATGGAGCTTCTGGGGTCGGTACAACTTGAAAGTCTACAGGCTCTGTGCCTCCTTGGTGGGTACTATTTGCATTTCCGCAGCACCCCCAATATGGCCAATGCTGTTCTCGGCGCAGCGTTTCGAATGGCAGCGGCCATGGGACTACACAAGGAGGCTATCCTCACCCATACCGCGAAGCAAAACCCGTGGGATCAAACTGAGGCGGAAGTGAAGCGGAGGTCATGGTGGACTCTGTTTTGTCTGGATACGTGGGCCTCGATGACGCTGGGAAGACCGACTTTCGGGCGCTGGAACAGGGCGACTATGGATACAAATTTGCCAACCGCACATAGCCCCGACCCTACGGTGTCTATCCTATGCGCCAGTGCCGAATTTTGCTTGATAGCCACCGAGGTTCAAGAGCGATTTGCCCAAGACATCCCAGTGACTACCGCGGAAACCTTTCATTATGACAATCATGTAACGGCTTGGTATAACGCGCTTCCCGAGAGCGTCAATGAATCTCATGGCGGCTTGACGAGCGTCGCTGTAGCGCAGGCCTATCTGAGGAATCGATATTTGAATTTTCGAATCCTGCTTCATCGACCATTTCTTTTACAGCTCTCACGGCCAGGCTTGACTCGGTCAGAAGACGTAGCAGCTGCTGTTGTCACGTGTTGTGAACTCAGCCTGGAGGCAATCACAAACATTGCTGGCTCCGTTATGCCCAACACCATTTGGGCGTGGAATAGCACCTGGTATCTGTATCAAGCGTGCATGGTTCCGCTGTTTATCATGGCCACTGATCCACAAGGCGATGATGCTGCATCCTGCAAATCAAAGCTTCGGGATGCCCTTGCCACATTTGAGGCCCTGGTCCCCTGGACGCCAGCCGCCAGTAGATCACATAGCATCGTGAGAAGCATTTTTGAGGCTGCCCAGAATCCTGAGTCAGGCGACGACCTAATGGAGATTTCAAATTTTGACCTCTTAGACATGGATGTCAATGGGTTCTGGGACTTGAACAACGTGGGTCTAGACCTTGACGTCCTGCTCAACTACAATACCACAAACGACTTCGAGAGATACGGCCTGGAAAGACTTGATGGGAACTGAGAAATAGTTGTTTCTCAGCTATTCGTCGTCAACTCTCGTTGGCCTATGTCATGCTAGTCAGGAAGCTCTTGATACCGATCTCTTTCTCGTTGGACTGGTCACGACGGCCCCTGATCATGGTTCTATACCATCAAGCCCTGTTTGATGAAGAGTGCTAGGAACAGCTAGATTTGTGATGGTGGTGGTCAATCCAGGATTTCATTTCCCATTCATCCTTCTCTTTCTTGTCATATCTTCCCCCGTGGTTGTGTCCTTGTCTCCTTGTTTTGTGGCAGTTCTCGGTTGCCACCGCGAATTATCACAGCCTAATTTCAGTTTTGCTGTGACATAGAGATCATGTCCCGATATTGATCAACGTCGATCAGTTCAAGCTGGGCTATCGGATTTCTCATTTTTTATCGTTCACTTCAGAATTCCCATCTGCTCTCCGTAATCTGGAGCCACTCCCGCACCCACTTTCGAATCCATTCCTCCTGCACTCCAGGGACTGTTGATAGCAGGGCGCTTCTTCGTGCAGTTTGTTTGGTTTCCGGGAACGCCGGCACATCTTCACTCCCTAAGACGGTTTCATAGAACTTGGTTAGCCGCCCAAGCAAATGGCTGATGTCGTGTCCTGAGTCGGGGTCATGATCATCTGGTGCTCGGATTTTCTCATTTCGACGAGTCAGCTCGGTCCATTTTTTCAACGAAACTACCTGAAGACCGCCAAATAAGGCTCGCCGGCACTCTTCCAAGATGATAGGCATCATGGACTCCCAGCTCGATGGGCGGAGGTTTACCGGGTGATGGACCTGAACGGTGGGCGAGCTCCCACGCTCACGGTGATCGCTCAAGGAAAGCTCAACCAAAACCTCCGACAGCAGGTCCACCGGGATCCAGTCAATGTGACTCAGACGAGGGCCGAGAGAGCCAGGGAGGACCCCGAGACGGAATGAACCGATCATCAAACTTGGCAGCCATTCGTTGAGATCCCAATGTGACGCTCGTTGTGTCGACTCGGGCACATAGGTCAATCGTGCGATGGAAGCCTGAATGCCCAACCTTCTGCTCGCATAGTCCAGGAGATGCTCGGCCATGTATCGGCTCTCTGCATAGCCATTGACAGCCTGCCCCCCCAAATCAACAACACTTTCTGGAATTGTCTGGGTTGGACTCTGATAGCCCATCAGAGCACCGATTGAGGACACGAAAAACATCACCGAACGAGCCTTTGTCGAAGAACATAACCTTATGAGATTCACCAAGCTACATAACTGTGAGGAAAAAGAGACCAGCGGCCAGTTTAGATTGATTGGCCAATCGTTATGAATGACCAAAGTGACCTTTCGATAGAGCTGGTCTACAATTTGGCGTTCAAGACCGAAGTTCTCATGGGATAGATCGACTTGCAAAAAGGTCACATGGCGTAAATCGATCTCCAGGTTGTGTTGCTCATTTTCCTCGATTTGGGCTGCCCGCCCGCCGCGAATCTTCATTATGCAATACACGTGGTTCACCACAGGGGCTTTAAGGAGCTCATGCAGTAAATGAACGCCGAGTGAGCCTGTGCTTTTTGTAAGAAGCACGCAGTGTCCGGGGATACTCGGTCGATGTATAAACTGAGGAGAGATGCCATCAATCATCTCTCGGTATAGAGTGAGAATGGCCTTGCGCTCTGAAAGATGATCCTCCTCGGCTGACACAAAGGGCCTTCCCCAATGATTGGTATTGGGACGCATCAAGACCAGTGTAAGCGTGCTGACGCTGGGGTTATTGTATATCAACGACGGAGTAAGCTCTTTAAGGCCGAGTCCCTGTTTTAGCGCCCTTGCGGTATTCAGGGTCTGCAGGGAGTCCATTCCACGGGCAAAGAAATCTTCCCCAAGAGCCAAATATTCCCACCCAGTCTCATACTTCACAGTGCTAAGGATGAATGACGAGACCAGGTCAGGGTCATTCGCTTGATGCCGTGTTAAAACACTTCCATCGCCCGTGCATGTATCACAGTACAGTCTTTCTATCGCGCTTTCGTACAGGTCAACTGTAGCCACTCGCTGAATCGTTCCCTTTCCTGACCGGCTCATAGGGGTGGCTGAGTTCGCAAATAGAATATGTGACTTGGCGATCCGAGCATGCGCCGGGCATTCTCTGTTTGCTTCTTGAATGGTAGGCCATACCTTCTCCACAAATGCATTCTGATCAAATGCCGAGTTGTCTACTTTTCCCTCCAATAAAAGGGCCGGTTGTATGTGATGGGCCCCAACGACCAAAGCACAACTGATGGACGGATGTTTCATCAGATGGTGTTCCATTGATATGGGGTTCGTTTTCTCTCCATTCAAAAGAATAAGAATGTCATCGCGACGAGCGACCCATTTCCAACAACCGGGATTGTTTGGGTGTGGTTCAAATATATCCCCCGTGGCATATTCATTCATATCCGAGCTTCCATGATAGGTAAACGCCAACTGCTGTCGCTCTAATGCCGTCTGCCGCTTGCTGTATAGCTCATGTTGTCCGTCCAGCGATGGCCGCAGCTCTAGCCCGAGGTCGGGATGAAACTCCAAATATTTCCAGTCGCCGGATCCACAAGAGGTGTCTGGCAGTAACAAGGGCACTAGCCCGAGCTCTGTTGATCCATATTGGTTATAGAGTGGAATCTTCGTAGCTACGTGATCCCCAATGTGCTGCGGCAGATCCCCACCAGCATACAGTATACATTCCAATTGTTGGGCACAGTACTCCAATAGATCTGGGGCCTGTGCCAACTCTTCGACAATCAAAGGTGCAAGGATTGCGACATCAACATTTGTCTGATTCAATGCCTGAACCAGTGCAGCAGCTGACGGAATGGCGGAAGCGATTGGGGCCACCATGACCGTATCAAAGGGCACTGCGTTCATCAAGTGACATGCGAGGTACGCACCCTGCAGCGTTCGTCAGTTTGTAGCCTCTGTTTTTGGGCTCCTATGGTGAAGCCATACATGGAATGGTGGGAGCATGGAATACACGCGTTTCCCGGTGATGAGGTGATTCTGTCCTCGCCGTCCCTTTGGGGGTGGCATCGCAAACATTCTCATTCCAGCCACGGCCGAAGCGTGAGTTAACGTCATCGGTTTTGGCATCCCGGTCGAGCCTGAGGTATGGATAGTTAGGAGAGGTTCCATCTGGGTCGTTGAGAATGCTTTTTCGTAAAGAATAGGCTGACTGATAGCCTGCAGAAGATCTTCCACATCAGGAACATATAAAACACGCAGGCTATTTTCTTTTAGAACCGCACTAGCAGCACTGGGACAAGCCTGGGATGTGATCACCGTTTTGCACTTCAGCTCATGTAGAAGTTTCGCATGAGCAGCAGCGCTATTTCTAGGCGAAGGAAAAAACATCTAGGGATAGACTTAGCACTCAACCGTTCCTGAACCGAGGAGCCATTTACCGACCGTATAGCCGGCTTTCACAGCCCCCAAGGCCAGTGCGACATATCGTACGTCGTTAGGGCCAATGTACGCAAGCGGTTTGAATGAAGATCCAAGTCCAATGGTCTGGACCAACCACCATGCCAAGGCGTTGATGGCGCTGGCTAGCTCGCGGTATGTGATCCCGCGATATCCCTGGTCGTAGCTTGTTGGGCATTGTGGAAACTCGGCATACACGGCATCGGGCTTTACAGCCGCATAGTGATCCACGATGTGAGGCAAGAGCTGCTCTGTTGGGTCAAAACTATCGTTGATGTTCATAGCAGTCATGGCTGAATACCTCTGGAGGTTACTAGAGAAGCCTGCTCGTGTGATCGAACATTCAACGTGAACAAAATATAAAATGAATGGCAACTAGGTAACGTCAACTCGGATGTGAACTCCTACGGCCGTTTTGTTCCATGTGGGATCCCTTTCGACACTAAACAAGATCAGCTCATTCCAAAGTACACTGCCAACTATGCACTAATCCCCAGTGGGGCTGATGCACACAACATGCCTTGCTTATCAACATAGTTTCTTGTTGGGCTTTCTGGCAACAAGAAATAGGAAAGTCAAAACGCGATTCATACGTCATATTCTCTTGCATCCTGTCCGAGGAGAAACGCGACTTTAGGGTCCACCTTCAATTGGTGATACCACATTGTGTAAGGGGTGGTGCGGAATACCGGTGATCGTCATTTGATGACCCAAAGACAATTGGAGTTGGTCCAATGTTTCTGGGAGCATCAATCCCATTTTCCACGTCCGTTCCACTGCATCGGAAGCTTTCGAGTGATACCTCGGAACTTTTTTTTTTTTTTTTTTCTTCTAGCAAAGACTGCCTCAGGTAGCGATCCCCGAACTCTGCTGCACACTAACCTTCCTGCCTGCCATGTCGAAACCTCGAGCAGCTCTTCCGTCTATCCTCGGTCGTAGGTGCACCACATGACGTACGGTGGATGCGTCTACGCAGTTGCCTCTTGGCTTCCATAATCTTTCATGCAGCCTGAGCATTCCTTAATGCCGGATCCCACACGAACTGTTAGAGCAGCCGTATCACTGCATTACCTCCTCGGGGCTGATAGTATCCTTTGAATCGTTGCTGGTAGCCAAAGGGTGACGCAAGCCTAGCAAGGTTCAAATCCCGAACTCTACTACCTTCACGGCTGGTGAGGAAAACACACAAAAGCATTTTCGCACGAAAGCAATGTCAACCCAAAGGGTAGTCATTGTCGGTGCGTAGTTTGGCCTCATCTTTGCATCAGATACTGATGTCTAGCAGGTGCCGGGGCCGGGGGAATAGCGGCCGCCACCCAACTTGCTCGACAGGGGTTCAAAGTACAAGTTCTGGAGCAGCATGGATGTGTCGGTGGTCGCTGCTCGCTTCTATACAGAGATGGTTTTGTCAGTCTTGCTGCGTCACGTCCATCACACGTCCGGTTATTAACAGAACCAGCGGTTTGACCAAGGACCATCATTGGTTCTGATGCCGGGGCTGTTCCGCAGGGCATTCGAAGACCTTGGAACTTCGCTGGCGAAAGAGGGCGTGGAAATGCTGCAATGTGAGCCTAACTACTGTATCTGGTTTTCGGACCGCGATTCGATCGAGTTGTCAAGGGATATGCCACGCCTAAAGGTCGAGGTAGAGCGACACGAAGGTCCGGGTGGGTTTCATCGTTTCTGTGCCTTCATGGCAGAGGCTGGATATCAATACGAGATGTCCATGAGAAGCGTCTTTAACCAGAGCTTCCCCACGTTGGGGAGCATGATGCATCCATCTCTGGTCAAAGCGGTACTCAATCTGCCACCTTCCACTAGCTTGTACCATCAAGCGGCCAAGTTTTTCCGTACAGAGAAGATGTGACAAGCCTGGAGTTTTACCAGCATGTATCTGGGTATGAGTCCATATCGGGCGCCTGCAACCTATTGCATGCTGCCATATGCCGAGATCACCGATGGTATCTGGTATCCAGAAGGAGGCTTCCAACGAGTGGGTATCTTAGTTCTCACCTTCACGCTTGGTTCGTTGACAACTGTCTACTAGGTCTTGCAAGCGCTTAGCGAGGTTGGCACTCGTCTCGGCGTGGACTATCGCCTCGACACTCGCGTTACTAACGTTGAACTCTCCACGGACGGTCAGAGGCGACAGGAGTTCGGCTCGAGTCGGGGGAGGTGGTTTCAGCGGACCTGGTGGTGCTCAATGCGGATCTCGTATATGCATGCAATCATCTTCTGCCACTGTCTGGTCATGCCCATCGCTTGCAAGACCGCGCGACCTCCTGTAGCAGTATCTCCTTTTTCTGGTCATTCGACGAACACATCCCCCAGCTCAGACCGCACAACGTTTTCCTAGCCAACAAGTACAGACAGAGCTTTGATGTTATATTTGACGAGCACGGCATACCGGAAGACCCTTCATTCTACGTGAATGTCCCCAGTCGAGTGGATCCCACGGCAGCACCTCCTGGCAAAGACTCCATAATGGTCTTAGTACCAGTGGGCCATTTGCCCAAACATACTGATTCTACAACCGAAGGGGAGAAAGCACGATGGGATTCCCTCGTAATCCGCACAAGAAAAACGGTGATTAAAATTATCGAGGAACGCACGGGAGCACAAGGCCTCCAATCCAAACTGTTGGATGAGCAAGTTAACACTCCCCTGACATGGCGAGATAAATTCAATTTAGATCGCGGGGCAATTCTCGGACTGTCGCATTCGTTTGATAATGTGGGTTGCTTCCGTCCAAACGTGAAGCATCCTGATATCCGAGGATTGTACTTTGCGGGCAGCAGCACTCAACCAGGCGCCGGAGTGCCGGCGTGTTTGGTCAGTGGCAGGCTTGCTTCGGAGCAAATTGTAAAGGATTGGAAACAAAGAGAGACAATTCCCCTGTCTACACCAAGACTCTTCATGACGGTCCTGACGATGTTGGGTTTACTGGTGGCGGCAATCTTCTCAATTTCTTCTTTGATTGAATCCTTCGGCAACAAAACTTCAAATCGTTCTTTAATACCATAATTAATAAAAGAGTCCGGGATCTAGGGCCACGAATTGTTTCTTTCCAACTGCCTTTGCCTCATAAATGATGTGTACCAATAACGGAATCGCCACGCGGCTCACCAGCAACGTGCAGCCGCTATCAAATTCACGCCTTATAACTTGGCACTTGTTTCAACTGATGTTGGTCTCAGAGGAGGGACGTGCTTCTTCCATAGCTCGTCCACCGTCATCCTCTCCACCTTGCCTTTTTTCTTCCATGCTGCCCGAAATTGGTGGTTTTCTTCCTGCCATCTCTGCAGCTCCGGCCCAAGCCAATCCACAATCGAATCTGCACACTCGTTGGCGGCTTCCTGTGCTAACAGATGCCCAAAGGGTGGTAGCACAACTTGACGAACTCGCCCTGCAGGCACACCACCGCTGCCGCCGACTCCAGTTCCTGTCATCCTCAATTCGTCTGCCCGTAGTTCGGGCTGGCACATCATGCATCGACCGCCAAACACATACAAGGTGCTGGGTCGAAGATGAGGAAGCTGCTCAAAGATTCGGGAGAGCTCCGGGCGGTAAAAGGGGAAGTCGCTCAGCAACAACGGGTCCACGTCGGGATGAGTGACCCGCGTGCCGGGCTGATCGGTCTCGTCATAGAGAGGTCGCGAGAAGGTGAAAACCTCTTGGTGTCTAGTGGTGGTGAGAGTGACTGGACGCCCTTGTCCTCCTCGCGCCTTCAACTCTCGCTTGCCCAGTGGATGAATTGCCGTTGGGAGATCTCGAAGTCCATATTGGACCCATCTCTCCATTGCGCGAGGGTCCCAGCTCTGATAGAATGACGAGTGATTGAATGCCTCGGCTGCGACCTGTCGAGACGGCCATCGATCACGCCGATATGTAGACAGTTGCGTGGTCTCTCGGATGGTACGTTTGTTGTCAAACCTTCCACCGTCGTCTAACTCGGTTACCTGGCGCTGGATGATGGGATCCAGTAGCACGAGGCTATAGAGCAGGCGCGGGTGGATCAGGCTGAGACTAATCCTGATACTTTATTAGAGAGGTTCGAGCTGGGCCAGGATCGTACCTACAAATGCGCCCCTCCCATGCTGTGTCCAATTCCAACAATAGGTTGCGGCATCTCCGCATGTTTCAGATTCACCAAATGCAGTAGATCCCGGGGATGATCAAACCAACTCGCTAAGGCAACTTGTCAGTGAGCATAGGGTATCTTGTGGGCTAAGCTTCACTCACGATCATTTCCAAGCATTGCCTCATTTAGAACGCCACTCCGTCCCTGGTGCGCGGCGTCAGCCATCCAGACTCCCCGAATGCGGATTCCACTGGCTTTCCAACGGCTGTATATCTCTTCCCACAATGGCTCGTACGTTTCCTGCTCATGTCTTAGGAGCCTTTCACACTGAGACTGATCCACGGGAGCTAACCTTTGGTAAGCTGTTGGCATGCGCCGCCAGAATGGTCACATCCCCCGCATGTGGACTTGGATTGTCAAGAGGAATGTATTGCTTAACGGCCAAAGAAAGAACATCTTCCTCGCTCGCGGTCGCAGCAACGTATTCCCGCATATACTGACAGGGCACAACGTGCTCAACGCAGCGAAATGAAGTAGACGTGGCGGACGACATGGTTTCTTTCTGTGGTCTCCAATGGTTTATGCTTTCCACAGTTTCATTCGCACAAATCTGATTCTTTCCAGTATTGCTAAGTCTATCCACCCACACCTTATACTTCCCATTCTGCCTTTTAAGGGCTAGATGAAGCAACTCCCTTCGCATTCCACAGGTCGATAGGAAAGCCCGTTTGTGACACGGGAACTATTGTCTTACTCTTCTCCACGGAGCAGGGGTCATCTGATTGGATTCGAAACTTGGTCTGTCCTTTTGGGAAACGGACTACATTCTGAGTCCATGTCACCCGTGGCTACACAAACCCCAACGGCAATAAAGCTCCGATTCTTAGTGTCAACGTTGAACAATCCACAACCTACAGCAACACTCTCTTTGCTCCAATCATGGATGCAATGTATAGTAAGCTTTCTCACTAGTACCATGTAGAACTTGAACGGTCATTCTCCGCCCACGCCGAGTCTTTCTTGGTACGATGCCCACTCAGGCCGAGGCAGATTTATATATGTAGGTTCTACACCAAGAATCACTCAGAGTTTGACGGATTGTCTCTCAGTTAGACCACATGGCCCAATCCAATATGGCAGATGGGTCTTTTCTACTTTGATTGACAGCACCCCGATCATCTGGCGAGTTAATTTACCTTGATAGATGATGCCATGGGCTTTCATGAGGTATAGTGAAAAGGGACAGATTATTGCGATTGCATTTCTTACGCTCGTGCGCATTCGACAGTTACCGTGATTATTAACTGTTGGAACCTTGATCTTTTCTCGGCTTCGTTGCCTTGGTGAGCGAGCTCCCCGGTGTTTTAACTTGTTAGGTACACCCTCCTACTGTTCTCGGCGATACCATTCCCATTTGTCCATTAATCTCACCAGGTGATGCAAATCGGCATGCATGGGAGCACCGAGTGGGCTGCCAATGGCCTATGCCGGCGTGTCCCTGTGATATCAGGATCACAGGGATATAGGAATAATTGGCGACCGTGTGATTATATCCCAATTTACTCCGTACATACGGCTCCTTTCAAGTTGCACCCACAGGGCAACCACGTACGTCATGCCGACCCAGGCCTCGCCCCTTGACCCCATGATCTGGAAGGCGATGCAAGGAGGGAGTGAGGATCTGCTAGGAGAAGGCAAATCCCGAGCAAGGGCCATTACATCATCACCAGTCCTCAAGAAACCCTAAACGTAGAGCAACACACTGGTCTTTGGCATCGTGTCATCATGCAGGTATTCAAGCACTCATTCCTTGTTCTTGTCGACCCTGACTGCCACCGAGGTTATTGTTTACTTTGCGGGTGGATCCTAGGCACGAGGTTCATGTGGTTCAGTAAGTTGACTTTCAACCATGTAGACTCGTCAGCTTCTTTTCAAAGTTCAATCCGGAACCACTTTTTGTCGGCGCTTACTGTGCCGTTTCATGACTTCCTAGAACTATAGGATTTGAAGCTACCGCGCGGAACTATCTGATAGCAATGATATGACTCCTTCGAGGTAACGGCCTTCTCTCCCATTCTTGGGTTGCTCTTGGATCTAGGAACCATCACTGCTACAGCTGACACTCGTAATGCCCACTCCTTCCGTTCTTGTCATTGGTATGTACTATGAGTCTCGACACTTGCCAGCATCCTGACTATTCCAGGCGCCGGTGCCGGAGGAATCGCGACGGCAGCTCGTCTCGCGCAGCAGGGAGCCAAGGTGAAGGTCATTGAGAAGAATGATTTTGTTGGAGGCAGATGCTCGACCATCGAGGAAGAAGGATTTGTACGTCTGCGCCAAAGCATGCAAGGTCTGGTTCTAATTGCCGCAGCGCTTTGATCAAGGCCCATCCCTTGTTCTTATGCCAGAAATCTTTGTCGAAGCTTTCCAGGACCTTGGGACTTCTATCAAGCAAGAAGGACTCGACATGATCAAGTGTGACCCAAACTACTGCATCTGGTTTGCCGATGATGATACCGTCCAAGTATCTTCCAATCTCTCTCAGCTCAAACACGAAGTTCAGCGCCACGAAGGACCCGATAGCTTTCCCAGGCTATGTGCATTTTTAGCGGAGTCGGGAACCTACTATGACTTGGCTCTGAAGTATGTTCTACGTCGCAACTATCTATCGATGGTGAGTTTGTTGCAGCCCAAGGTCCTGCTAGGACTGGGCACTGCGAATGCGACCGTGGGCGACTGTCTACGGCCGCGTCTCCAAATATTTCTATTCCGATAAAATGCGCAGGGTATGGACATTTGCTTCGATGTACATGGGCATGAGCCCCTATGCAGCGCCCGGCACCTACTCTTTACTGCAGTACATCGAGACGGTAGACGGCATCTGGTATCCGCGCGGAGGCTTCCAAGCGGTAGGTTTCCGTTCCGAGTGCATTCCCGCTTGCTGCTGCTCATCTATTCTTCGCCAGATCCTCCAGTGCCTTGCAGATGTTGGTCGAAGGTCTGGCGTTCAGTACCGGCTCAACAGCCCTGTTGAGTCAATTCTTGTCTCGCAAGACCGCGGAAGGTCTGCCCGAGGGGTTCGTCTTTCTTCTGGCGAAGAGCTCTACGCAGATATTATTGTGGCAAATGCAGACCTTGTATATGTCTATAACGAGCTTCTTCCTCCCTCAGAAGCAGCCCTCGCGCTCAAGCGCCGACCGGCCTCGTGCAGCAGTGTCTCATTCTTCTGGGCTATAGACCGCACCCTCCCACAGTTGAAAGCACACAATATCTTCCTAGCTGACAAGTATCAAGAGAGTTTCGATGCTATTTTCAAAGACCACGATTTCCCCAGCGAGCCCTCCTTTTATGTCAATGTCCCGAGTCGAGTCGACCCCACGGCTGCACCAGCGGGGAATGAAGCAATGGTTGTCTTAGTTCCGGTAGGCCATTTAAACACTGGGTCAGCCTATGAAGCATGGTCTTGGGAGAAGAGAGTTCCAGCTATTAGGGACTTTGTTCTGGAGACTCTCGCGGCAAGAGCAGGACTAGAAGACTTGAGGTCATGCATTCTCTCCGAGAAATTCGAGACTCCGGCTACATGGCAGTCCAAATTTAACTTGGACCAGGGTGCAATCCTCGGATTGTCACATAGCTTCCTCAATGTTCTCAGCTTCCGCCCGAAAACCAAACATCCCGATATCGAGAATCTTTACTTCGTTGGTGCAAGTACGCATCCGGGCACGGGGGTACCTATCTGTTTGGCTGGTGGGAAGTTGGTGGCACAACAGATCATGGAAGACTACAACCAGGCAGACGAGGAATAGATATCAAGCGAATTTACAGGTGTCATCGCTGCCACCGCAGTACTCGCCTTTCTCTTGCTACTGCTCGTTAGCTACCACTCTTAAAGCAGCTCTTCATAATTGAGTGATTGAAGCATTTCTACTCGAAAATTGCCACCATATTGGGGCGTCCCTTTTTAAAATTTGAGCGGCGACAGGTTCGAATCCGGAGAAAGATTTAACAGTCGACTGGCTCTTTCCTAAGTTGAGATTAACCAATAAAACTACTTCTCCGTCCGCAACTCTCTGTATGCACGCTGACTCTGAATCTGCTCCTCAGAAAACCAATTTCCGTGCATGCCGTAAGGCACTCGTTGAGGCAGCATGATCCTGGCTACGACCTCTTTCATCGATACAGCATCGATGATCCACAGCTCGCTGCGCGAATCTGGGGTTGGCTGTCCATTTGAATCCAGCTGGGATTCGTCAAATACGTATGTCACAATTCACCCTTCATCCTCCGAATGGCCCTGGCGACGCGGCACAAAAGAGCATTCCTGTGCATACCAACCACTTGGGAGCTTGAAGACTTTCACCGCGTCGTCTGGGTCGGTAGATTTCAACACCTCCTGTATTGACCTAGTGTCCACTGCTCCAGTGACCTGAGGTGGCGGGCTTGCGATTCCTCGGTCAATAAGTGCTTTCACGTCAATCTTCACTAGACAATCAATTTTAATGCCCGTTGTGGAGGCGGAGGTGAAGTTTCCATCCGACATGGAACATCCATAGATGAATTGAGCTGCCGTCATTTCGCGATGCCGGGGAACATTGGGAAACTCGAATGGAATGACCGAAAGAGCCCACTGGTGAATTATTTCCCGCGATATCTGATAATAGTAGAGACGCGACTCCGGCTCCTCCGCGCAGACACTCTCAGGCGGTGTCAAAGACCCCATGGTATACAACGGAGCAAGACTGTTTTCGCGACAGAGCAAAAGGTGAATTCGTGGACCTTCCGAGCTCTCTTCGTCCCAGGTATTCGCGGTGTGCATAACAATGCAAGGGGAAGTTTCATGCCAGTGGACTTGATTGGGGGCATGTCGTGGAAATACCCCTAGCCTCGTTCGTCCGTTCGCGTCGTATTCAACGGCCGACTCATTGTTCCGGAGCCGGAATGGATCTAGAGAGACCGGACAGTCGATTATCACAGTGTAGTTGGACGAAACGCCGAAATCGTGCATCAGCTTGCCCGATGACAGCCCCGGAACTGGCTGGTTGAGACGCGCCTCCGACAATGACAATTCGGCGGGCACGATGGAATATTGAACAAACGGTGGCAGGAAAGTAGAATGGAACAGGATCAGCTCTCCGGTTCTCCGGTCCACGCGAGGCTGCACAAGTCCCGCTTCAATCAGTTTCTGCTTTCTGCTACCAAGCCCTTAGGGTAATATACTGACATGGGCCGTTGTCATCTCCTTGTAGAAACCCTCAATTCCCTTTCCCCCAAAGTAAGGCTCACGCCTGCCTTCATCGGCTGCCTTTCCCTGGCCCTCTCCTTCCGCACGAGAGCCGGTAAACCACCCAACTGTCTTCAGCGATGGCAAAAGAACCCTCATCGGAGGTCCGATTTCATTGGTTGCCAGCACACGCCCATCGTGATGGACGATATTGGTATTGGCAGCCCCGATTCTCTTTATTGGGCGAGCGATGATCTTCAGAAGAGAGGCAAAGACAATTATGTAGGCACGAACCATGCCAATGAGAATTTGGACCCGAGAAGGACTGGGATTAACCAGTGTCGCCATACTAGGTATCACGGGGTATAGGGATCTGTTCTTTCTTGTGGCACTATAGACATCGGTGAGAACGTATTGATTGCTAAATTGCGGCTTCACACCAAAGCCAGGGATTTTTTCAAAGAAGACCCCCGTTAGCATTCCATCACCATCAAACCAGTGGATATCGCCGTGAGTGTTGCTATCCGCCAGTGGATTGCTGCCGTTTCGCACATATTGGCCAGCGATGAACTCGTCGGGTATCAAGCCTTCGGATTTGCACGGAACAGAGGAAACAGTGGTTCGTATCGGGGCATAATTGCCTTCTAGATACCTGAGATATGTGAGTTCAGACTCCTTGTGGCCAGTTTCAGTATTCGGGACCTCCTCACGGGTGTCTTTTACTGCGTGTAGACATTCTCGGACGAAATTACTCTACACTGACAGTATAGAACAAGTGCAGAACAGTAACACAATAATACCAAGATTAGAGTCAACGAAGATGCAAATTCCGAGGGTGCACCAGGATAAAGAGCGGCTTTCAATAGTCATAAATCTCATCCCTTGGAGCCTGATTTGAATCCCGTAGGGTTTGGAATACCCGGTTTCGTGGCGCATCTCCTGCCAGTGGCTCCATCGGGAAGTTAGCTCACCTTTGACTTTCACCGTTTCGCCATCGGACGCGAGGGGCAAGAGCAATCCCATGCAAATGATCCACTGATCTCATGAGCAATGTCATAATCAGCTGCGGGGAGTCCAAGTGGGCGGTCGTCATGCCAATCGCAGAATAAATCGGCGGCACAAATCTCCCTTGAGCATCGGGTGAAATTCTACTATTATCTCGGCAATCACTAGTTATACAACTCTGGGATACTTCACAGCCTTGGAGTGTCGTTATGGGTCTTGATTATACTATGGTGTTTGTCTTACTTCCCCTAAACTGAATATCGCTAACTGGCTCAGCCACGTTTATTATAATATCCCCCTGGGGGTAGCATTGACCATTCTCTCGTGGCCATTCCTCACGCGGATGGACTGGATCAAGACACTTACCCTTATCACGGTAAAGAGTCTCTCATCTCCCATTTGGCTACTTTCTCACTCCTCCATAGGTTGCGATAATTGGAACCATTCCTTGGGATTCGTACCTCGTTCCCAAGCAGATCTGGACATATCCGCCAAGCGCAGTCCTTGGATTTACCCTGTTCTCCATTCCCCTTGAGGAAGTATTCTTTTTTTTCATTCAGACATATAATACAAGTCTCATTTACATGGCGTTGACTAGGCGATTGGTTTTCCCGGCATATCTCTGTCGGTCCTCTCCTATCCGGACAGCTGCTGGATCTCTTTTTATCTCCATTTTGGTTTTGGCAGGTTTTCTCGCCATCTTCACTGGAGGACACTACACCTACCTTGGGTTGATCCTCTCGTGGGCGTGTTCGTTCCTATTATTGCAATGGTGGGTCGTCTTTAGTTCTTTAGTCCCCCTGGCCAAATGCCGCAGGCTCAGCGAGTATCCAGGGCTCTGTCTTCTGGCTTCCTTCTAGCTTTACCGTGGAAGGAGATGGTATTCTCTGTTATTATTCCCACTTTCTTCCTGTGGATGGTCGACACCCTTGCCTTGCAACGTGGTCACTGGGTGATCGAAAAGCCAACTAAACTAGAAATTCAACTTTGGGGGGGTTTGGATATGGAGTGTGTACCCCCTCTTAATGGAACGCATGAACACAATGGCACTGACCCGATCAGGGAAGCTCTGTTCTTCCTGCTCACTAATGCCTTGGTCGTCAACGGTATGGTCGTTGCCGATCATGCGATCGCTCTTATGCACTGTCGACAAGCGCAGTCTGTTGGGGTGGTCCATGAAGGCCCACCATGTACTCACGTCTTGGTCGATGCCATAAATTCCACCACAAAGACAGATAAATCCTTTGTTTCCAGTCTTGCTCACTCTGTCAAGCGTCTATCTTATTCCAGTCAAAGCATGTACCTGGGAAGTGCTATGTTTCAGGGAGCTCTACGAATCGACCTTATTTACCTGTGAGTTGTACAGGCGCTCTTGCTTTCCCTCAAACTGACACTTTTCATCAGGTATGCATTTTGTCGTGTCGCTGATGACCTGGTTGATGAAGCTTCGAGTCAGGATCGTGCATGCGCTGTGATAGAGGATTGCAGTGACCTGCTTACTACCAAATTTGTGCATCCGTCCAAATTTCGGGAGAACATCATGAAGACAACATCGGGCTTGTGTGCGCCTCGTGAGCTTGTTGATGTTATCGATAACCTTCCGGTGTCCCGGCTCACACTCCAGCCCCTGCAGGGTCTACTGGAGGGCTTTCGCATTGATTTAGGCTTCGATACAAAGAGAGGCACTTTTCCCATTGCTAATGGAACAGACCTGGACTGTTATTCCTACCGAGTGGCAAGCACGGTGGCCCGGTGCATTCTCGATCTCGTCTTCCACCATTATCCAAGCCATCCTTCTGCTACCGACCCGTCACTCCGTCGTGATGCGATCTTTTCTGCTGAGCAGATGGGGAAGGCGTTGCAGTATGTCAACATGGCGCGAGACATAGGCCGCGATGCAGCAATTAATCGGGTGTACCTGCCGACTACATGGTTGAAAGAAATCGGTCTCTCTCCCGCAGACGTTATTTTCTGCCCTTCAGATCCTCGCATAGAGAAACTACGATACAGACTTATCAACCAAGCTAGGCGCTTGTATGACGAGTCCGAAGCAGCCATTCAATATCTGCCGGTGCAGGTTCAGGGCCCTCTGCGAGCAACGGTCGCAACCTATATGGAAATCGGGGCTGTCCTTGAAGAAGGCGTTCGCCCGCGTAGGCCCTGGCAAAAGCTGAAATTGTCCCTTGGGCGCCGATTCGTTGTGGCGTATATGGCCATGGGCAAGGTTGCATTCTCGCAAGTCGCAGCATTCCCCAGATAATGGTCCGGCCAGGAACTTGCTACTACTGGCCTCATGTCCAGTGGGATAGGGAGCCAAACAAAAAAAATATACAAGCCAACATCGTCAACATCTCCTTGCCGCTACGTCGACACATACCTGGCTCGTCTGAAGTACGGCACATAGGGGGGTCTTACTTAGAAGGGGGAAACATTTAGCAAAGCTCGCCGTACCTATCCCCTTGACTTGACCCAGTACTCAATTCATCCCGAGAGAGATGAGATCAGACTGACACTATTCGTCCTGGCGCGAGAGGTGCAAGAGGCATTCGCCAACATCTTCGCCACCGGGTTCAGTTTGCTTCTCACATGGGGGCGAGGAGGGGAAGGCCATAATGAGGAATGGGCAGATTTAAATCGGCCCTGTTACCCAAGCATTCGATAGCTTCGTGCTGCTCCGCCCAGGCCTCCAGCCAGGTCCCGTTTCAAACACATCGCCCGGTTCGCAACGCCGTCAAACCCGCTTTTGTATGCGGTGCCATCACAGAAATACCCGTGCCCCGAGTTGTTTGTAGGCCAAGGTGCAATAAATAACCTATCACTGCGAACGCTGGCTGGGGCAGTTCACGGTCCCCGGCCAGGCTCCACCTACCACGGTCGCATGCTGGGAACCATCCGCCAGCTCGGATGCGCCATTTTCCAAAAGAATTCCTCCGCCCCCGAATCCTACGCGGCGAGGTGTATCACTATCAGTAGTTGAATCTGGGGCTCAATGCCACCTTGTCGGAGGACCAAGCGACATTCCTATTTCAGCTGCAGGCCGTCGAGTCCATCGAAGGTCGCAGGCGCCATATCTGTCAGGCATATTGGACGCCCTTGGCACCGTTGGTCGATATGGGACATCTTTCGCTGCTGCGGTTGCCCGTTCATCCTTCTTTGTCGGATGTCATCCGGGTGGTATTTGCGTTCTGGGGGGGGAATCTAAAGCTGTCTCAGTAGGGTTTTGTTAGCTCCGATAGTTCATGCCCAACGAGTGCTTGAATTTTATACAACATACTCGGTGGACATTGCAGTTGTCGCTGGATATGTAGCTGCAGTGGTTGTAGAAGATAGAAGGTAGAAGGATGGCCTGAAGCACGAGTCTCGCTGTCGGGGTCAAAACACGTGCTGCATAACGCGCATGCATAGTTAACTACGCCGGCTGAGTCATCTATCCTTTCGCCGGTCCTGTCTTGTCCTCCACCAAATCTGTAGCTTTACCACCGCCCTGTCTCTCCCGAGCAAGCCGTGATTCTTGAATAGGCTTCGAGCATTTCCCAGATCCTTGAGACAGGTCCTCGTTTCAACTTGCTTCTCGCGGTGACTGAGCGTATCTGGCCCAAGCTCCGACAGATATATATCACGGGCCTCACTAGCCGGCTGGTAAAGGTTTACCAAATCCACGTTGCAGGGACAATATCACATACACTGGCATTGCTAAGTTAATCTGCAGCATCATATCGTTGGCCCTACATGCTCTAGTATGCTCGGAGGTTCGATCTTGACAATTTCTGACTGTCCAGGCTCGGAGATAAACCTAGAGCAATCGGGCGAAGGATCCTTTGCCCGAGAGGGTCAAGCATGGTTAGCTCCGAGTGACGGCCATCTGACTGGACGCTGTCTATCCCCGTGATGACAGGAAGCAGACTGCTGAAGCACTCGGAGGTGAAATCATTCCGAGTCGGGGATCAATGGATATGTCCGGGTCGCAAGTCAGTATAAAAACCCTGCCATGGGCCGAATGACCGATTTGTCCAGCAACACTACAAGAACAACGCTATCAGTTACACCCATCGACTACGGAGCTCCAATCCCTCTCTACAAAGATTGTCTACCTTGTCATCCTTCCATCATCATGAGCATTACGACGAACAACGCGGCCTGGCTGACCGCCGCCAAGGCCCATCCGTTCGAGGTCAAGGAAGCCCCCGTCTGGAAGCCGGACGTCCGCGAGATCCTCATCCGCAACCACGCCGTGGCCGTGAACCCCGTCGACGGCAGCCTGCAGAGCAAGGCCTGGTGGCCCCTGGAATACCCGACAATGCTCGGGCAGGACGTCGCCGGGCAGGTGATCGCCGTGGGGGAGCAGGTGACGCGCTTCCAACCGGGCGATCGCGTCGTGGGCCATGCAGTGGACATGGCCACCCCCACTGTATGGCCACCAAGCGCCCGCAAGACAACGCCTTCCAGGTCTATACCATCCTGACCGACCATATGGCTAGCCCGCTGCCCAGCTAGGTCTCCTACGAAAATGCCGCTATGATCCCCCTGGGGTTCTCCACCGCCGCGGCTGGGCTCTTCCAGTCGGAATTCTTACGCCTGAACTTGCCAACGGAGCCCCGCGCACTCTCCACTGGAAAAACGCTCCTCGTCTGGCATCCAGCGTAGGCAGCAATGCCATCCAGCTGGGCGTTGCGGCGGGATACGACGTAATCACCACCTCTTCCCCCAAGAACTTCGTATACGCCAGGCGGCTGGGGGCCAGCGAGGTATTCGACTATCACGATGCTGCCGTCGAAGAGAATCTCGTACGCGCGCTGCACGGCAAGACCCTCGCCGGCATCATGGACTGCATCAAGTTCTCGCCAACGCCCGTTTGTCTGGAGATCGTACGCCGCTGCGAGGGCGACAAGGCTGTTGCCACGGTAAAAGGCGGCTTCACTATGCCGCCGGAAGGAATTCGCGTGAAGAACGTTTTCGGGACGTCGATAAAGGATAACGCTGTGGGACCAGCCCTGTACGAGAGCTTCCTCCCGGCAGCATTGGCGTCAGGCGTCTTTCGGCCGGCGCCGGAGCCTCTGGTGGTGGGGACTGGACTGGAGACCGTGCAGGCGGCGGTGGATTTGCAGGTTAAGGGGGGGAATTCGGCGCAGATGGTGGTGGTGCTGCTATGAAGGATGGGAGGACATCAATTCAGTGGTCCCTCCAGTTGTACGCATGACGCATCGGCCTCGCGTTCCTCCGTCGCCGAGTCCCCAATCGAGTAAGCGCACTGAGTATGCCTGAGGCTGCCGAAATCGGACGTTGTTTTCACCGCTCGAGGATCCTCCCTTCTCACTCATACAACAGTATAGTCCACCGCAATACAAGTGTCTTTATCACCCCAAGTCTTGCATGTTTTCATCATATACCTAGCCCATCGCTCAATCCGCACATTCCAGGCGGGGGTGTATGAGCCGGTCATTAATAATGGAGGCGTTGAACAATCCAGCGTACTCCCTTGCATCATCATCAAGGCATAAACTATTAACAACAGATAACCTAACTACATACAACAGTGCATTTAGTACTGGACAGGCCCGAATTCGACTGCTCTCCTCGTCGCCTCGTCTAGCTCCTCCTTGGGCAGACCAATGGTGTCATTGGCGAGTTCTCTCCGGGACTCAAAGTCACCGCCACCATTCTTAAAAAAGGCTCGCGTATACATGGCCTTGGCGTATCCGGTCCGGATGCCGTTTTGCATTTCTGCAAGTCCGTCATTATATCGTTGGCGACAAGGTTCATATCGGATTGTCCAGTCGGCGTCGGTGGTCCCCATGACGCGGTGAACGCTGTCGAGCATGTCGCGTTGGCTGACCGTAAAACTAGCGACGTAGAAGAGCTGGTTCTTCCATTGTGCCACCTTGGCCTCGGGCAGACTCAAGAGCGCCGCTACGGCTCGACCGCATTGAGCTGGGCTCGAGGAGGTAATCGGCGTAGTGCCGTCGTCAAAAAAGGTCACCGATTTCTTCGTCAGGTCAAAGCCGAACCACTGTTCCCCCATCGCCAGACTCCACTCATACCAGAAGCCACATACCATGGCGATGTAGGCCGTGTTTCCCTGCTGTTCAATGTCGTGACAGCGATCGAGAGCGGCCGCTCCGTACAGATCTTCGTTCCGCAAAGCCTCGTCCAGCAGATCGTTGGAGTAGACATTCGGCATAATGTAAGGCACTCCCGCGGCCGAAGCAGCCCGGACAATCAGCCCATGCAGATGCGGCGGGCTATATATGGACAGCGTAACAATCAAAAATTGCTGTCCCCGCAGCGCATCGACGAGCGTCTCGGAGTTGTTATAGTTCACTTCCACCCTCTGGGCTCCTTCAGGGATCGGGCTGGTGCTCCCCACCCGGGTGATTGCAGTGACTGTATGCTTCCCGGTCTTCAGCAACTCACGGGTAAAGTGTGACCCGATGTTTCCGGCTGCCTAACGCTTCCATTTAGTCAGAGGTCCGCGAGAAACGGAGAGCATGCGCTGGGAGGAAGAGGGTGCTCACGCCGACAATCGCCACTTTCTCAATACAGGCCTCGGAGGGCATCGTGTCGACAGTGGCCAATGGACAGCAGTTATTTTGGTCAATAATCACCAGAACACCATCAATAGGCTACACCGAGCATAAACACCGAGTATTTAACCCATCCTATCGCACCGGAGATAGCGGAGATTACCAGGTTCGCGACGGGGTTACGCTGGATGCGAATGTCAAGTGCATCCAGAAGTACCTTTCTCCGGACCTAAAACCGACGGTCAGAGGTACTCAGAAAACTTTACCTGTCGTTAAAGCCGACCCGCCTCACCGAGCTCCAGGATCAAGTTGCTCTTCTATGACGCTGCTGCAGCGCCTGAGACTTGTGGCTCAAGACGGGGCAATTCCTTCATATCCACGGTCCGCGTACAACACTGCGGAATGAGAGAACGTAAACTACGAGCTGTTGCCAAATTCAGTAGTAAAGAATATAAACCCAAGCATTCGTAATATCAGATTGTGTTTCTTCGTTGTTGAATATCGAGACCAATCGGTCTCTGGATGGATAAAACAATGGCCTTCGCCAGGGGCCAGGATCAATTAAGACTCTACAACAAGCTCAGCCGCTCAAATCCTTCGCCCCGTCCAGTGGTGTCGCTTTCGTTCGGGTCAACGTTGCTGGATTCTAATAACGGGAGAAGAATGAGTGGATGGACAACGTAGGGCTGTTTTCCCTTGTCCCATTCTGTCGCCCCCAACGTATTCCCCTGCCTGCCAGGTTAACCTCCAGAAAAGATGAGTTCTCCGTGATACGGCCTCTAATGCGGTCGTGTCATAAATCACCATGGCTCTACGCCACCAGAATAACACTACTAACGTAGCAACAAAGGACAGGAAGATGATGTGAGAAGGATGCTACGAAATGGACTGGCGCTAGTTTGAAAGCCCTCCATTTCCCCTAATTTCGCCATTCAACCACTTTCACACTCTTCTTTTGATTCACCTATCAAGCCATAAAAGTCTAGTCAGCATAGCATCAGAATGCATCTCTTTACAGCGGCGTTTTTGATGGCTGGCGTTGCGCACGGGCAGAGCACCAGTGCCGCTGTCCCCACCGCAACGATGTCGACATCACTCGTTCTGTCCAGGCGTCAAATGTCCCAGACGATACAGAAATTCAGTTAATCAGCGACCCGCTCGAGACTTGTTTTATCAAAGTCAACAATCCCAGTCGATGTGAAGGCCATGGACGCTTGGCACAGCGGTGTCTGCCCGCTTTCACAGGCATCAAGGCACCAAGGCACCACGGCACCACGGCACTCGGTCGCATCCCACGAAAAACTGTCGCGCGGCATCAGCAACTTTGTTTTCATTCCCTCTTTCCCCCAAATCATCCTCTTCCCGTCATCCCCTCGTCCTACATCCGATGATGCATATTCTCTGGAGGAGCGGACCAAAGTGAACCCACCACGGCGCGATGTTTCCAGAGGATGACTCCATCCGGCCTCTCAGATCCCGACTGGGATGCAAAACCTGCAAGTAGGTTGCCATTCCCCCAACAGAGACCTATCATTCTGATCGCAGTGCAGAGCCCGGCGAGTGAAATGTGGCCAGGAGAAGCCCACCTGCGTGCGATGCAGCAGCACCGGTCGCCAGTGCGAATATCGTCGTGCAACCACGCGCACCTTTTCATCCGCTCCGGCCACGCGGACGGTGCTCGATCACCCTCTGTCCTCCTCGCCCAACACCGTCTGGCGAGAGCGGCGCGCCTTTGCCTACTACTTCCATCGGGCCGCCGTATCCGTGGGCGGCGAACTGGATGTCGACTTCTGGCGCTCGATCATCCCGCAGGTCTGCCGAGCCGAACCGGCGGTGTGGGATGCCATGATCGCTCTCAGCTCGCTGCTGGAGAGCCCCGAACTCTGTCCGGACGTGATCGCCTTCCGCCGACCGCATCCCCACAGCCTCAATGATAAGCAACGAGACGCGCTAGGCTGGTACTCGCGCTCCGTAGCGGCCGTTCGCCGTCACCTCGAGACCGGCGGCGTCGACATCTTCGTGGGCCTGGTCACCTGCGTCCTGTTCATTTGCATCGAGGCTCTCATGGGAGGCCTACCCGAGGCCGTGCAACTCTATGATCAGGGGGTCCGTCTCATTCTCGCTCTGCGCAGCCAAATCGCCTGCGGTCTGGTATCGGAGGCCCGGGCTTCCTTGCTGGAGGACACAATCGTCCCCATCTTTGTTCGACTCGGAATGCTATCGACACGTATCGTCGCGCTCCCCGTGAGTGCTCTCTTGACCGAGACCAAACACCCCTTGACGCCATGGTTTCCTTCTCTGAAGGCGGCCCGGGAGGCGATTGTTGCCCTCGCTGCAGAGGTCCAGCTTTTCGAAGAGACATGCAACGGGTATCTCCTTGCCTCGAGTGCAACCCAGGTCACCGAAGAGCTCATGATGCGGCAACAGAACCTGTCTACGAGGCTGGAAGGCTGGCACTCGGCCTTCACTAAATTCATGAATTCGTCATCGGCGACGGACCTCCCGCCACATCAGCGAATCAGCATCGGTGCTTTGCTCCTGACATACTACGACATGTCATTTGTGATCCTCGTAGTCTGTGTGTCACGGTCCCGGATCGCCCACGACGCGTGCCTGCAGAACTTCCGAAATATCGTCGAGCAGTCAAGTATCGTTCTGAATGACCTGGCGCCGGGGGGCGGCACGGCACCGTCGTTCACGTGTGAAATCGGCGTCGGCTTTCCCCTGTGGTTCACCTGCCTCCGATGCAGCGATCCGACCACCCGACGCACGGCACTCGCTCTGCTCCGGCGAGCGCACCGGGTGCAGGGATTTAATAACCGCGACCACGGGGCCATGGTGGGGAAGTGGGTGATCATGCTCGAAGAAACGTACGGGATGGCGCTGAGTGCCGCCCAAGCTAGGCGTGGTGCCATAGCCTTGGGGTCCCGGGATGCTACCAATGAGGAACGCTCTCAATCCCAAGAGATGGACGACCTCAGCAGCCTCCTCGGCAGCCTGGACATCAAATTGGCCGCAGGTGCTAGCCCGTCTGCAGCGATCCAACCTATAGCGCCGTCGGCAGACCTCGTCCCAGAAGAGGCCCGCATCCGACCACACGGGGTATTTCGGCCACGAGATGGGTTTCCTCAGGGGACAAGCGAGGCCGACCTCACGCGGTGGAGCCGAAGCTCGGATCAAACGTTCTTGCAGTTCTCGAGGACGGTGCACGATCGGTCGAACGATACTTGGCAGGTGATCTATAGTTATATTCCCATCGATTTCTAGCCATCGACTGCGGCGTAGAAAAGTTCCACTTGTCGAGTTGGGCTTCGGCGGGGATTTTACGAAGTATGACTCGGATGAGCACCAGATTGTCGACCCGGCAGACCACGGAGTAAGTTATAGCCAAGAGCGAGCTGTTTTGTGTGTATTGCGTACTTGAATCCTCCAGCCCACCACAGCGTAGAAGGAGACCAAAGTCGGTCCGCCCTGGATTGAGCCGAGTGGCGACACGGGAGCGATGAAACGTCGCCCATGAAATCGCCCCCTTGGCGGAAACGGCCTGCCACCGAGTTGTTTGATTAAGGTACTCCAGGGATTCAACCTCCCCGTGCAGAATTGGCCCCAAACGGATCATTATGCTCATGGCTAAGCTCGGTCCGCCGTTTGTCTATCAAGTGCTCGGTGCTCATGGACATGTAAGAACGTTGACATTATTGACATTATTAAGGACTGACTAGCCATAGTATGTATAAATGATTAATGAAAATTAATAATAAACCCTGAATCATCACATTAGTCGTTAAGTGGAGATCCTTCCCTCAGGATCCCATCCCCCCACTCCTCCCTGATGCCTTTCGGTTTCATCCCTCTGGCGTATCCCTTGACCCTTAGCAGCTGTACTCCACCCACCAGCCCGTCTCCTCGTTTTGCTCCAGGAAAACCTGATCGTTGAGCTCCATGGCCAGCCGAAGCGACACGCTCTCCTTGCAGTCGACGGCTGCCACGAGGTTGGAGCGAGGCCCCGGCGTTTCGGGCCAGAATGAGAAATCGGCGCCCCCCAGGCGCTCGTTGTCGTCGTTATCGTGCACCGACACGCGTGCCGTGTGTCCAGCCGAGAAGTTCCGCTTCTCGGGGATGCTCCATCCCACGGAGCAGTCCTTGGCCTCGGCGGGAAGAGCCCACGAGGCAATCTGCTGCCGTTCGGTCGTGTTTGATTTGATGAGGTCGAAGTTTTGCGCGGGAATGGGCTTGTCGGTGTCAGGCAGGATGAGGGTCTGCATCTGTGGCTGGAAGAGCCTGGTTTTCTCGCCCTTCTTGGGGCAGGACCCCGGGGTGGGCTTGGTGTCTCCGTCGTCGTTGTCGGGCTTATCGGGGCAGCCGTCTTGCAGGGCGCACGGGTCGACCGAGCAGCAGCCACGGAAGTTGTTGAGGTTGCAGACGTAAAAGGCCTTGCCGGCTTCGCATTGCGTGTCATCTCGCGAGCTTAACGACATACGTGAATGATCTGTGGTGGTGGTGGGCAGGGCTGCAGCCAGAGGCAGGCTGATCAATGCCATACAAAGTGCCGATGCGCGGAACAACATGATGGATGGATGAATTACGGCGTCGTGAGAATTAAATGTAGGAAATCGTAATGGAGTAAGAACAGAACGGAAGGGAGTCGGAGGAAATGAAACGTGGAGAAATTAATATTCTAATTGAATGGTGTTGAGGTTGATGATGATGATGGGAAAAGCACGACGATGGCGGCCATATTTATACCTTCGCCACGGAGGCTGTCTCCAGGATGGAACTCATGGATCCTCCCCGTAATCCCCTAAAATTCGGCACGACAAAAAAAGCGGCTCGCGGCCTAACCTCCAGTCTCCAGAAAATCCCCCCTAGTCAGGCAATACCAAGATCGCAAGGCGCAGATCGCAATCCCCTTCCAGGGATACGGCTGCAGGTGGTGGGAAAGTGCCAAGATCGGCTAATGCACAGTGACCCGGTAGATTCCTTTTTTCCTTTTTTCTCGTTTCTTTCCTTTTCTTCGTGGCCAAGAAGACTGCGGAGTAGGGCTGTGCTGATCACGCCCAACCCCCCTATGGGATTGCCTGGATGCCCCCGGATGGCTCCACCTGCCGGCTATTATTATCAATGCGAAGACTAGCCACTCACTAACGACCAACTAGTTGTCCACGACAGCCTTGACACCGCGATTCGCAGCGAATCACAATGCAGCCGTATTGGGCAGGCCTGTTGGCTCCGATCGGTCAGGACGGAGTACGGAGTATGACATTTGGAGATGCGGCTGCCACCCCAGCCTCCCGCCGCGCAAAAGCAACGGTGTGCTCGGTGAGACACGCTGGCCTGGCCTCCAGAAATAAATCTCACGCCCAATGGATCGCAACCGAAGGCTATGCTACAGCGACGTCACGATGCGGAGCAGAACCCTGGGAAATAGCTATCAGCGAGTCATGCCGGTGACAGCACGCAGCTCGGACGATGAACCAGCGTGCTATCAATAGCACGAGAAGTGTCGGTCGCCTGATAATCCGGATGTTATGCTAGATTTTCCCCGAGGCTGTGCACAGGACAGCACCGATGCAGGTCTTGCCGGACGAGCCTGCCGTGGTGGCCCATCTTTTGTTCTATTCCTCAAAGGCTGACAGTCTTACACGCCATCATGACTTGTAACATCTCGAGGCAATCAAAGTCGAACACACAGCAAGACATGTTCGACGTTTGCCGATTAGACCTCAGATGCTCCGATGATATACCTGTAACCGAAGCCGTCTTCCATGTATGAGAAGTCTACGGCAATAGCGATCTTATATCTAAACAAAAGTAACCCTAGTGATGCCACTTGCTCCGATCCTACCAGTGGCCCATTTGGCAGCCTGTGGTTGATTGTCTGAGGCGAATTCACAACGCATGATTATGACCAGAGAGCATTGCGCAAGGGTGCACGCAAATAATCAGTTGAATGGGGTAACAGGGAAAAGTACTTTCAAGGGGCCCAAAGTTTGGCTAGGCAGTGTTCGATCTGGACAGTCACAGACAGCGCAAGGGACAAGATAGTGCGTGTGATCAGACCTAGTTTCGGAATTTTGACCATCGTGGACAACCACAAGCCAAGTATTCCCCGCATACTCGGGGATATTTGTAGGACAGGCAGAGCGTTATTTACCATTTCAAGGGTCAAATTTGGCGCGGTGCCATAGAAACAGTGCACACGGGGAGGAGAGCAGTAACGACGCTGAAATACAAGGTTGGCACCTTAAAATCCACAATGCATCACGTACACCTGGAATATATTGTATCTATTTACATCGAATAAATGTAGCGTTGAGTCATGTCATACCCGATCAATCATGAAAATTCATTCTTTCAACAGACTCCCCGTTGCCGTCGCCCGGAAGTCCCGACTACTGAAGCCAGCCTTAAAGGTAAACGGACCGGTGGGGATGCGCCACTCCTGGGCAACGACATCCCAGTAGCTGAGGTCCCGACGCATGAGATCAAACGTCACCGTCTTGGTCTCTCCTGCCCGCAGCCAGACCTTGTCAAAGCCGCGCAGCTGGTTCGGAGGAGTGCCCGCCGGGGTGGAGGAGGGGAACTGCACGTAGAGCTGGGGAATGGCGAAGCCATCAACCCCGCCCGTATTGGAGACCCGCGACGTGAGCGAATAAACCGTGTCCCACAGCGCGGGATTGCCACCGGGTTGGACTGGACGGGCCTCGGGCAGCGCCGTGAGGTTAGACGCAGCCAAGGCTTTGGGCGACAGGGTTGTCAGATTGAAGGTCGTGTAACTGAGCCCGAATCCAAACTCGTAGCGCACGGGGATATCGTGGGCATCGAAGTAGCGATAGCCGACTTCCAGCTTCTCGTCAAACCAGCTCTGCCAGTCGTAGGTGCCGTTCGTGGCGGAGTCGGTGGTGAGCGGAGCGTTGTAGTCGGACTCGTTGTAGGCGATCACGTAGGGCAGCTTGGCAGACGGGTTGACGTCGCCGTAAAGCAGGTCTGCAATGGCATTGCCAGCCTCCTCTCCAGGATAATGCGCCGCGAGAATCGCTGTGACGTTGGGGTGATCGGCAAAGGGGAATACATTGACGCCGGCAGAATGGGTGACGACGACGGTGTTGTTGCAGTCTTTCGCCACAGACTCGACGACTTCATTACCGTTCCAGTCAAACTTCAATGTTTGGCGATCCTCGCCCTCCTGCCCGTAGGACTTGAGAAAGACCAGGCAAACATCCGGAGACTGGACGGTCAGGAGGGACGGGAGAGAGTTCTCCGCGACCAGGGTGTTGTTCAGATAGGGCTGCACAATGCCGCCATGTCTGCGTGCGCGAGCAGTGATGGCCTCTAGGGGCGTAGACAAGGTGGTCAAGCGACATGACCCCGAGGAGCCAGAGTTCACCAACACCCCGTACTCGGCATTAGACCGCGTGGTAGCGGCGTCGATGATCGGCCCGGCATCATTCCCAGCGATGACAATGTTGCGAGGTTTGCGCAGGGGCAACGCATTTCGCTCATTCTTGAGAAGCACGGTCGACGCCGCGCCATGCTCGCGGATCAAGGCGCTGTGGTTCCCACGGACGTCGCGGTTGCTTGATCCCGTGAACTTCCAGTCATGCAGCCAGTCCTCGATGGGGGAGTCCACGTTGAGCAGAGCCACCTGGGAGTCTACACTGGGGTAGGAGGCTTTGTCCTGACCGAGCCAGTAATACGGAGTCATGATACGCACAATCATGTCGTCAATGCGATCGGAGCTCACAGTGCCGTTGTGGATCGCCTCCGTTAGGTTCTTACCAAAGAACGATCCTTCCGTCCACAGCTCGCCATACAGCGTGAATCCACCCGGCATCGTCATGTCCATGCCACTCTCGATGGACGATACTCCGGAGTGGGTCGCACCCCAGTCGGACATGACGTAGCCCTGGAACCCCAATTCGCCCTTCAGCAGATGGTTTAGCAAGTACGAGTTCTGGCAGGCATGCGATCCGTTCACTCGATTGTAGGAACACATAAAGCTGGCCACGCGGGCCTTGGCTGCATTGGCAAATGGCCACATGTAGATCTCGTGCAGGGTGCGATCATCGACATTGGCAGACACCGAATCCTGGATGTAGGTGGTTGCGTTGGCATCGGGCTGGTAGGTGGGGTTGCGCTGCGTTTCCTGCTCGTTGGCGATGAAATGCTTCGCGTTCGCCTGCACTCCGGCATCCTGCATTCCCAAGATGGATTTCTCCATACACACCCCGGTCAGATAAGGGTCGGCAGCGAACCCTTCCCAGGACCGCCCACCGTGCGGGCTGCGACCCAGCGGACCGGCAACGGGACCCAGGATGACATGGGAGCCCTTCTGTTTATGTTCCTGTGCCTGGGCATAGGCACGGTCATACAGCAATTTCCGGTCCCAGCTGGCGGCAGCCGACACGCCGCTAATAAACACGCTGGAGAAGTCGCCCTGCTGGACGCACTGGGGACCATTCTGAAGACAGAGACCGGTGAAGTTGAGCCGAGGGATGGGCAGCACGTTGCCGACACAGGGACCCGGCTGACCCGTGGCCATCCATGCTTTCTCGTCGACAGTCAATTGAGAAACAAAATGCTTGGCCTGGTGCATGGCCTTTTCCCAGCCCCCATTTCCCGTCGTTTTCGCTGGGACGAGGACGTTAGTGCGTTTCAAGGGCCGAGACTGGGGTGGGTGATTTGCTCACGCGACGGATGCACGGCGGGAGAATGGCCGTAGGGAGTCAGGACGGTGGTATTTTCCGGGGGAACATAGCTGAACGGAGTGCCCGTAAATGGGCCGGGGGGCTGGCAAGTGGTGGCCTCAACGGATGCCAGCCAAAGCGCCGACAGGAGCACGTCGGTCGTCTTCATTGTGAAATCGGAATGATCCTGGTTGTTCACTCCCTCTCTCGTCGAACCGACCCATGGGATACTTTATAGCAGCTGCCGGTCCCTTTGACTCGGGTACACTCCGTGCAGAAAGACCATCCCGCAATGCCACTTCAATCCCCACAATTCCCCAGCTCAGGTGGTGCTGGGCGAATCGAGGCCGGGGAGAGCCTCGTGTCGAGCTTTCCCCGTCAGGTCAGTGGAGTGAGTCTTTTTCAGGGCATGACTTCATCGCACCGAGTGACGGGAAACCGAAGTTTTGCCGGGATGGTCGGATTGCAGACTCTCCAGAAAACCCCCACGTTTCTACCCCGCGGGCGACACTAGCAGTTCGTCGTGGAGGTTACGGCATTTTCCTCCGTAATGGCGGCTGACATCCGAGCTGGAGAAAGGACGGGGTGACAATCGGCCCGGTCGGCAGGTGTCCAAAGTGGCAGGGATTGTCTTGTGATGTCAGCACACCCCATGTTCGCAGAACCTACGGATTGACTCGGCCGGCATCCGGAGGAGAAAACAAGGACAGCCTGAATTGGTTCTCCACTCACGCTGCGAAAGCATCGAAAATATGCCGAGTCAGCCGAGGGTTGCGGGCATCGATTTACCCGGGGTCGAGCGACTAGGTCGGGCCGATTTGAAAATGTGGAAGCGTTGACAATCCAAACATTGAATTCAAACAGTCAGGATGATGAAGTGTGGGAAAGGGGTAAGTCAGGGAGAAATACTTGGTAGACATCTACCGAAACCTGGCCAGCAATATATTTATCAGCATGTCTACCGTTTCTACCCCTGTAACATCCCCACTGAAACCCCCGAAAAGGAATGGTCTGAAATAAGCAAAATATGTCTACAATACTATTTGCAACGCAGATGAGCGGCTTGAATTAATTGTTATTAATTGTTTCTGAGCAAACGTCTGGCCTATCGAACTCCACTGACGTCCACCGACATATGCATCGCAAAGGTATAAGGCTGATCAAAGCACTGATCCCACGTTTTATGTGTTGATTTGAGCGCCCAGAATTTCTCTAGCAGCCCCTTGGCAAGAAGTGGCACATGAGTGCCCATCGAGTAACTCAGACAAGGTAGTTGGTGCCGCAGAAATGCTTGCAACCTGGTGTCCTTCACGGCCGCGACACCAAGGACCACGAGATCCCAACCCACGAACCGTTTCAGGCACGGGGAGGAGACGGCGGCAGTGAGGCCTTGTTGCAGACTGTGGGCGTGGCTAGTACGAAGGTCACCCAGCTGTGTATTCCAAGGGAGAACCCCCAAGCTTTGAAGCGAGAAAATGCAGTAAATAGCTATTGCGTCTTGGTGGATCGCCCCCAACAGTTCCCAGTCGGAATTGGTCGATATCGACTGAGCCCATTGGGCCACGCAGAAACTATGAATTCGAGCCAGGATTTCAAACGCTGATTGAATGAGATCACCCGAAGCTCCTTCCAAGGCCTTCACGCGAAGATAGTTGATGTTGAGGATCTCTCGGAATAGAGCTGCCGGATACGTGCCGAAGGCAAAAGGATGATCGGCATGCTTGGTAATCATGACGACTAGGGCTCTCATATCTGAAGTAGCCAGGGACAGCTGCGATGATGGCGATGAGGTATCTCCCATAATGGCAGCGCTGAAGAGTCAATGTTTTACCTGGACCAGGGGAGCGATCGGGATCACGTACAACACGACAAACAGTAGCAGAGGACGCAGCCCCGGGGATCGGGCCATCACGCATATCCCCCCGCGCAAGTCAATTATCTTCCGCACCCCGTCGAGGTGACATCGCCAATGAGGCGACGCGCCTTGCTGAGCCTGCCCACGATCAGTTGCCGTTGACACCAGCGGGGCATCTGAACTTTACATCGACCAGCAGGAGGGTAAGCATTCCCGCTACTACCAGATCGCTGGTGCGTCTTTCCGGCGCTTGAATATCGTCACTTAACGACCGAATCAGCTGGCCCCGATAGCGGAAGAAATCCCGCACTAATGCCTGAGATCCCGGCTCATTCCGCAACCGATTCATGCGGTGGCTCAGGGTCATGCAAACGATCACCATGCGAATATGGTCGGGATGCCTGGCCATCGCCATTTGGACAATTTCCGGGGTGATTGGGTAGATGGCGGTATTCCTGCCCAGCGTCGCGATATGCCGCAGGTCCGGATAAATGCAAGCATTGTCTGACGACTGGTCAGACGGATTGGGATTTGGGTACGCAGCGTTGACTAACAATATTCCGTCGCCTGCACAAAGACATGGAGATCGGTGGGCAACTCGCGGGCAAGTCCCCGACTGCACCCAGTCCCTTTGACCTCATGTTCGACGGGCTTCTTCTGCCGCCGTGAAGTGACCTTTCCAGGCGGCAGCCACTTCAACCGACGAGGCTCCGTTGCGCCGTAGCCGGGGCAAGCAACACCGGCGGTCGAGCATCGGGTACACTGTGGACGGGTAAAGTCACAGACCAGGGAGCGGCGCAGGCACTCCCAGCAGTGGCGCTTGCGCTCTTCCACCATGATTGCGGACCCGTTGACGGAAGTACGCGTAGCGGAAAGTGTGGAAAGGAGGTTGCTGATGCTATCCCGTATGATTGGGATCATCGTCGAAACGAGGGTGGCGTTGGGTGGGCCTTCCCCTGGAGAGCCAAGTGGGTGGGGGCGGAATCGGGCAGCGAATGGAACCTATGCCGGAAAGCTTGTCATTCTAGACAAAGAAATGTAGGTTGTCCAGGCATTTATTCGGGTGTAGTTGCATGTTTGTTTGGGAGGCGGCGAGATTTACGGGGTTGATATCTGCCTGGTATTGCTTCTGACAATCTACGGAGTATCAATATCCACCCGACAAGTAGATAGGATCCAAGCGAACACCCGGTCGAAGGCACAACCCGTGCCAGAACTACACCGGGTCTTGGCTTGGCAGGAGGGCCTGACGTCATCGTCATTTGGGACAGCTCAGGTCAGGTGATAATCGATATGGACAGCCAGTGGGGACGGAATCTGCCTCCACCACTACTTGGATCTTGCAACGGCTATGCTCTGCTCGACAGAAAGCCAAGCCGCGAAGGATCAAAATCGTGAGGGGTTGTTTGCCGATTGTCATGATACTCTGCGCTCGTTTGACCCCTCGCTAACGGGTCCTCTCGGGGAAATGTAATGGCTGGTGCGAGGATAGGGAGATATAAAGTCCTGCCTAATCCCTGTCCAAAGGAAGATGCATCAGACCATAAACTTCAGATCGGTATACGGCACAATGCTGACCCACCTCGTGTTGACAGTCGTAGCCTTCTGGGCCGCCAGTCCGGTCACTGCCAGTTATGCCTTCTACGTCGGCAAAAACCTCACGGCCGACGGCAGCACCATGATCGGTGGCACCGGGGAAGAAGTATCAAGCCACTGGCTGCAGCTGTTCCCCGCACGCGACCATCCACCCAACGCGACAATCACCGTGGGCGTCACCAAAGACGCCAGCTTCCCCGGGGAGCTCATCCAAATTCCCCAGGCCAACCACACCTTCCGATACCTGAGCATGGAGTACTCGGACTACGAGGGATTCCCGGCCCCGCTAACCAATGGCGGCCTCAACGAAAAGGGGGTTGGCGTTCGGGACGTCTGGGCCGATAACCGGGAAGAGCTGCTGGAGATGACGCCCAATCCACAGCACGGGCTGCAGTACAGTGACCTGGCGCGCATCGTCATGGAGCGGGCGAGCACCGCCCGCCAGGGAGTGGAGCTCATCGGAGAGCTGATTGCCAAGCACGGGGAATCGACGTATGGCGGCAACTCTCACCTCATCGCCGACCATGACGAGGGCTGGATTGTCTGGGAAATGGCCGGAGGCGCCGGACTCTGGGCGGCGCAGCGCCTGGGTCCCAACGAGGTCAAGGTCCTGTATCCGGGGTACATCGAGGAGTTCCCGGTCAACTTCCAGGATAGCCCGGATTACATGGGTTCCCAGGATATCGTGTCCTTTGCGGTTGACCGAGGCTGGTGGAATGCTAGCTCCGGCAAGCCGTTCAACATTTTTGACGTATACGGACCGCAAGACCCCCGGTACCGCGCCCGTGACGGCGGATACAAGTTCATGTCACAGGCTGCTCTCGAAAATGCCACACGTCAGATGGCCCCCGTGACGGAGGAGGATCTCATGGCCCGCGTCAGAGATTATCGGATCGCGGATGACGAGGCCGGGTACGGTCAAGTGGTTAGTCTGCGTGCTGGCATCGATCGAGACATGCTTCGCATCTGGATTGCGCCCACCGGATCCGTCGCCGCGCCGTTCATCCCGTACTGGCTCGGGGTTCATTCCATCCCCGCCGAGTTCGGGGCCCATCGATACTTGACCACAGGGGCCTCCAGCAGCTTTCTCAACCCGGACTATCAGTTGCAAGAAGTCTCCATTTTTGCAGGCCGGGTCTTCAAGCGAGTTCTCTACTATATGTGCTCCTCGCCGCGCCTGTATCTTCCCTTGGTGAGGGACATGCTGACCCGGTTCGAATCCGAATCTCGCGCCCAGGTTCAGGACTGGGTAGAGCATTCCGCCCTGCTCCTGCTCCAGGCTGGCCGGCGGAAAGAGGCGCGGCAAATGCTGACCTATTATTCTCATTCTCGAGCAGCACAGGCCCTTGAAATCGGTCACAAGCTGAACAACGCTCTCGATGGGTACATCAAGCTGACAGGACAGTGGCGCACACCGAAGGGTAGTGGGATCAACGATAGTGGGGAGGGCGAAGAAACGGTCAATTGTTTGGTTGGATACGATCCCGATCAACCTAGTGACCTGTATTCTGTGGTTGGCAGGAGCAAGATGTTTTGAGACTACCTGAAGTCGTCTAAAATGACAATGCCCGCGGTTGGGTCCTCGCAGCAAGCTACATGCAGAATAGGAAGAGCAAATCATGGCGAATAAGGGGATAGATGTTAGGGGTGCATCCATGATGGACGTTTGTTATATCAGTCCACCTGGAACCACACCAGCCAGGCCAGCCGCAAGCCTCGCCCGGCCACGCGTAATGCCGTTGGCCGCACTTCCCACGGAATCGTCACAACTTATTGAGGTCATATGGTCGAAACTAAAACTTTAACAAACCCAATAATGCAATGAATGTGCAAAGAATATGCTGTACGGCTCCCACATGACGGGGGAGGCTGATACGGAGTCTAATAAATTGAGATTCCTCGTTTAATTGACATGATAGTTTCCATTTCTTACATACCGTACATTCTAAACCAGACGTCACTATTGGCTGCCTGGTATGCTGGGTAACAATTTCCCGTTCAACGTCCCCCCGGTCTGCTCATCCTTGTCCACCAAGGGATTTATTGGGGATGGATCACGGGCCACAGTCCGTTAGCCCTGTGTCGCCGCCAGCGCTTGATCATGGCCAGCAATGAGGGAACAGTATCCTAAATCTGTTCTCGTCAGGCGGACGCATCGTGAACTCCTGATGTCGCGGAACAACCAATGTTTCAGAATCAGGAGCGTAAAAATGTCGTTTTGAGGCCTTTCTGGGGTTCCAAATCCCTTCCGTGACCTGGCTTGGCCAGGAACACACATTCTCGAGCCGAATATCCATTATTCTGCTGGGCGACTGGATCTGTTGAGAATCAAGGCCAGAGCCGAATGGTTTGGGGGCAATGCCCAATGTCAACGGACTGGATGGCCAGAAATCTTCAGGGACGAGGGTGCAGGCATTGTACACGGTTGGTTCTCATAAATTGTCTCGGGGTTATCTTTCGGCGGGCAACTCGTGAATCTGATGGTCCTTCATGTTATCCAGCTCTGCCGGCGCAGTGTGCCCATGCAGTTCTCCGGGAGATAAATTCTGATAAGGGTGGACCGCTGCAGCCTCGCCAGCCTGTGGTGGAATGGACTGGCTCTTTTGTCGCCGACGAAATAAGTATAAGAATAGGGCGACAATGATGGCGACACCGGCGACACCACCAACGACGCCGCCCGCAATCGCCCCGGCATGGTTACTCGAGGAGCCGGTTGAATCGGACGCGTCAGATGGGGATGTGGTGGTTGCGGAGGCAGGGGCGGAGCTAGCGGAGGTCGCCGAGGCAGTGGATGTTGTGGATGGGATGGTTGCAGTCCCGGAGACGCCTGATTCACATCGTCAGAAGGATATATGCCGAGAATCAAGCGGGCCACTACACACTAAATGAGATGGGATTCAAAATGGAATACCCTCGGTCGTCGGGCACCCCGTCCGAACAGCCGACGGCGTCTTTCGGGCTGTCCGTCCAGAAGCCCGTCTGCCCGCTGAGACAGCAGAAGAACCCGGTGTGATTAAACATCGTGGCGTTTGCGACGGCGCAATGGGGCGATTCTTTCAGCGGAGCGGTACAGTCTGCCTCGGAGGGACAACAGACGTTGTTCTGGATGGCTTTCGAGGCTCCCGGACAAATCGATTCGCCGGGACAGCAGGCATGGAAGCTGTCCCAGGTGCGCCCGCAGCTGGTCTCAGTGCTGAGACACGATCCATTTCGGCGCAGAGGGAAGCCGTAGGGAGGGTCATAGGACACCATGGTGAGGAGCAGCAGACGACCGTCGCATGAATTCTGGCCAGGGCACGACGGAGAGGAAGGGAATCGAGTGAAGAAGGGCGTTGGTTTACAGAGAGACGCTGACGGCAGAAATCGCAAGCAAGGACTTTGGGGGCCAAAACGGAGCAATTTCCCCTGGTTTCGCAGGATTCTGAATGGTTTGAATAGTTTGAAGCACTAGGCGCCAAAGCAGTTTAGTGGCAGCCCGCTAAGCCGGCGCCGACAACGCTCTAAAATGCCGAGCCGTGTCCCAGACCCACGCGATGCCCCTGGGAGGGTTAGTGCCATTCCGCCGGCCCACAACATGGCAGCCCAATGCCTTTGTTCCCCGACTCCGCTAGATTAGATAGCGCTGCTCCTCCGTGCTCCTCCGGAGTACGGAGTAGTTCAGTCTCCTGCTGAGCAGTTATCTCACCCCTGTAATTCTCACGGCATACGGAGTACACACCATGTGAAGTACCCCTATCATCTAATGGCTCATCTCATCACCCCCTATCCCACAGGCCCTGGGGAAAGATATGTGATTTATATTTAGGATGCCGAGCAAGACGGCCTGTAATTAGCTACTTAATTAGTAATATAATATAGTTTTTCTTTAATTTATTATATAGTTTTTATTTAGTTTCTATACTCTAATTCCTTTTAAAATTAGATATAATATTAATCAAATACTTATTTATAATTATTTAAAAAATAAGGCTAATGTCACGGTGCAGACCTGAAGGCACTGCCAAACCCACCAGAACCAGATAGAACTGCTAAGCTAGAAGAACCTGTCCCTAATCCTAAACCCTTAACTGCTTAAAAGCCTAAATACTAGAGATCTTATTATAGCTCCCTGAGCTATATCTTATTTATTATCTTATATATAATCTAATTATAATAATAATCAAAGATTTTATAAATCTAGCCCGCCTAATCTAGCCAGATTACCTGCCCTGCCTGCCCCTATTATATTAATTTTACTAACCTACTAGCCCGTGCCTTAATATTATATAACTCTTATTTATAAAGCTAATATTTATTTAATATATCTAAAATTTTAAAGCCTTTATCTCTCTTTAAGGATCTTAAATTATTTACTTAATATATTACTAAATATACTAAAGAATAGTATGCTTATTATAACCAGATCTATATATTTATAATAAATATTAATATTAACTAAGAATATTTTTACTAGAAAGTCTCCCGTCTCTAATAAAATATAAATACTATTATACGAATTATTATCCTCTAAGTAGATTATAAAAAAAATTTACATTAGGGTTTACATTAGGGTTTACATTAGGGTTTACATTAGGGTTTACATTAGGGTTTACATTAGGGTTTACATTAGGGTTTACATTAGGGTTTACATTAGGGTTTACATTAGGGTTTACATTA